AATTATAAGATTTATAATAAAGAGCTGTTAGCAATTATCTGCTGCTTTAAAAAATAATGCCCTAAGCTTAAAAGTATACTATCGCCAATTAAAGTTATTACAGACTATTATAACCTGAAATATTTTATATTAATTAAGCTGCTAAACTAATAATAGGCCTATTAATCTAAGTTTTTATCCTAGTTTAATTTCTGAATTGTATACTAACCTAGAAGGTAAGAAATAAAGCCTAACGCCCTAACCAGGAGGTTAGAAAATCTCCTTAAGGAGGGGGATAAACAGCTACAATATTAGAGCCAGACAGTCTTAAAGAAGGAGAATCTTAACCTATAGATTTAAAGATCCCTAAAATTAAAAGCTATTATTAGAAATTAAATAATAAGATATATTCGCTTCGCTAATCTAATAGTTTAAAAGATTAAAAATCCTGCTAAATCTATAAGAATATCTGCCTAATCTGCTTTAAAAAATTAACCTATTTAGCCTAGAGAACCTGTCTAGCCTACCCTGCTGCCTAACTAGTCTATTAAAATTATTTAACCTACTGAGAAGATAATCTAGTCTATTAAAAAGACTATTTAGCCTATTAAAGAAATAGCCTAGCCTATTAAATAAAACTAGTTAAGTTCCCCTACTGCGCCCAATAAACTAAAATACTTGCCTAATATTAAAGACCTGCTAAATATAGCTTACTTATCTAATAACTTAATATAATTTATCCTGCAAGCCTTAGATTATAAAGCTAACTATTATTCTAAGATTACGCTAGCTAACTACTAGTAAAAAGAAAGATATCTATACTATAAAGACCGCCTATATATTCTTAACTATAATAAGCTAAGAGCCTGCCTATTGTAAGAATGCTATAATAAGTATATATTTAAATACCCTAGAAAATATAAGCTTTATAATTTAATCTTACAAGAGTATTACTAGCTAAATATATACTAATATATAGACTATTAGACCCAGAATTACTATACCTGCTACTATATTATACCCTTAAATAAAGGCTGCTAAGGAGTCTTATACTAGCTTTCTATCTCTAAATACTCTTAGTAAGATATCTTAATAGATTTTATTATTAGACTTATATCTTGCTAAGGTTATAATGCTATATTAGTTACTATAGACTAACTTATAAAGATAAAATATTTTATTCCCTGCCAGGCTATCTGTAATATTAAAAGAGTAGCATAATTATATATTTACTATATATAGAAGCTTTATAGGCTACTAAAGATTATAATATCTAACTAAAGCCTTTAATTTATTGCTACTTTCTAGAAATACCTAACTTAATATTTAGATATTATAAACTTACTATTTACTACTTACTATCCTAAGACTAATAATTAGATTAAGAGGATAAATACTATCCTGGAACAATACCTATATGCCTATATTAGCTATCTATAAGATAACTAGATTAACTAGCTATCTCTAGCTAAGTTCGCGTTAAACTCCTATTGTTCTAAGACTACTAAAATATTACCCTTCTTTACTAATTATAGATTTTATCTATATATAGGATTTAAGCCTATCTAGCCTATAAACTAGCCTACTACTAGAGATACTAAAGCCTTTACTAAAAAAATATAAGATATTATAAATTATATTTATACCTAGATTTATACTGCTTAAGCCTATTATAAAGAGCAGACTAACTACTGTTAAACCCCAGCCTGCTGCTACTATATAGGATAATCTATCTAATTAGATACTTAGAATATTTATATTTAGCGCCTCTAGAAGAAACTTAACTAGAAGAATCTTAGCCTATTTTATATTACTAAAATTATTAGCCTATATGCCTATTAGCTTAATCTACCTATCTTAATATATATCTATCCTATATTTAATATTAGCCTGCTTCGCCCTATTATTAAAAACCTTATGCCTAGATAAAGATAACCTTTACTACTGCCCGTTAAAGTTAATAGCCTTAAAGAATAAGTTATTAAAGATATCTTAGACTCCCAATAAGAATATTATAAGTATAAAGGCCCCCGACTATAATATACTATTAAATAGTTAGGTTATAATAACCTAATTAAAGAGCCCATATATTACCTATAGTATACCCTAGAAATTATTACTAACTTCTACTACTACTATTTAAATAAGCTAAAGCTAGAGAATAGTCTTAATAAAGCTTAACCCTAAAGAGGGGAGTATTATTATAATGCCAGTATAGGAGATAGAGATTTACTAGTTAATACTTATATAAGGTATTATATAACCTCACGAAGATATCTTTAACATATAGCTCAATTTAAATTTAAGCTCTTTAAGCTATATCTTGTTTACTAAGCCTGCCTGCAATAGCCCGTTCTAGTCTGAATTAGCTAGATAAAGATCTTGTAGCTAGTCCTAGTATTAACTACCTTATTCTATTTGTTCTGACCTGTTTCCTGAGCCCGTACCTTAACAATACCTAGAGTTTCTATATATTCTTAAAGGAACGCAGTAATTATAAATAAATCTAAGTCTTCTAGTTATTATTTACGCTAAATTAACTATATTAAAGGCTAATATAAATATTAAGAATCTAACTTAAGTTAGACTCTAATATTATATTCTAATATTATTCTATTAATTTTTAGTTAATATTTAGTAATAAATATTATAAAGAAATAAAAATCTAAATAGTTCTTAAAGATTAATAAGATTTATATAAAAATTCAGATTAATCTAAAGTAACTAAAAAAAACTAAAAAAACCGAATTAAACTAAAAAACCCAAAAAACTAAACCTAAAAAAACCATATAGTGCACTATAAACTATCAGTTCGGTTTATAAAGTCTATAAACCGTTCCGGTTTATAAAATTATAAACCGAACCAAACTATAGGCGGTTCGGTTCGGTTTAGTTCGGTTTTTTTAGTTTTCTATAACTACTCTAATTAGTAGTCTTATTATAAATAATATTTAGATAATTACTTAATTTTAGTATTATATTAATCTCTTAGAAAACTTATTTATAATATTTATTTAAAATAAGACTTGCTATTATATAATAATTAAGAGGCTTATAATTTTAATCTAGAGCAGTAATAAAGTCTAGAATTATTAGTTCTATATATAGATTAAAGGATCTAGTATTTGTAAAAATTAATATTTTATATCTTTAATTTAACCTATATCTTAATTTAAAAGCTAGAATATTAGCTAATAATAAGAATTATATAGGCCTTTTAATTACTAGTTTAGGATTATAAATTGCTTTCTAAGATTTATAGCAGGTAAAGTATTTAGCTTAATAAGTAGTATTTTTTATAATCTTCTTACTGTAGTAAAGGTATTATATTTATAGCTTAAAAAATAGTTAAATTAGCTAATAGTAGTATATTTAAATAAAATAGATCTTATTATTTTTAAGGAAGTTTTTAAATGCTTTCTAAACTTTAGTAAGATAAGCTCTGCTTTTAAAAGAGTTAGTATTACCTATTATTAATAGTTTTAGGGTATAGTATACTAGTTAGAATCTAAAATAAATATAAATATATATAAAATCAATAGCTTCTGCTTAAATTCCTAGTTATCAGGTAAAAAGTTTTATTAAATTATAAAAATAGGGCAATATAAGCATTTACACTTATCTATTGGTTAAACCTCTTGTTTAACTATCTACTTTTATACTAGCGTATTCCACTAATTAGTCTATGCGTTTTAAATTTTGAAACGAAAAAAAAGGGCGAAATTTCACGTTTCGTGAAATAGACCCCCCATTTCAATATTTCACCATCCCTAGCTTGGGCTATTGGCTGTGGGAGCGGTTGTAAGATTCCGAGGCCTCCGATGACAGGGATCGTTGATCCTTTATTCCGTGGATCGCCGAAATAGATCTACATACATGGTCTGCTCGATTTCCAGGGTTCCTTTTTCTCCCTTTCTTTTTTTTTTCTCCGAGACGACTTTGCTAAATTTTCTAGTCTGCCGGACAAGTGGGGAAGTACGAGTGTCTTACGCAAGTCTAGATAGCGGAGGTTCTTGTCCTGGTAGCGATGCACGCGACGCGAGGCTTTATGGATGCTCGAAATGTGGATGAATCCACTGGTACTTGCATGTACCCATGAGAAATTAGTAGACTAGAGAAAAAAAAAATGGTATAACGGAATCCCGCTCATGCCCAATATACGCGGCCCTAATGCTGAAGTTTCGAAATGAGGAAGATGAATTCGGCAACCAGGACACCTCAGTTGATACGACCCAGACCATGTTGTAGCCAAGAGACGGATGTCTAAAATCTGGGAACCATAGTAAAACAACATGGATGGCATGCAAAAGACGCTAGGGTCGGAGATCATTTCTCATACAGCCTGGCATTGACCATCTGTATTCACCAATTTTTATTCCTCGGCGCACACCCTCGTTCCCAAAGAAGAAAAGCAAATGCGAAGTAATGCGCCAAGCGCCTGTGTCACCAAAAAGAACCAACCCGCCGGACACATGATCACCCACAGATTAACCTCATGAATTCCCGCTCCGAATAACGCCGGACAGTGACAAATGAAAATGAATCCACAGGAAAGACGGTAGAATATGTTTTGGATAATGTCCAGAAGTATGAAAAAGAGAAAAGGCGTCGAGCTAATGGCTTGCTAAAAAAGAGAAAAAGCAAATGGAATCACGGTAGCAGAAATATGCTCGGATTAGTGGCATGCAGCGCGGAGACCCGACTGCGTGCCTAGCAAGGCTGGACAGCATTGAAGCGCTGTGCTGAGCCTGCACAAGGCTATTACGAGGTCTCCGTGGCGGACGTGCAGTGCCTGATGTATTGGTCGGAACCGACATATGGACAACCAAGCGCAGAGCGCTGGCCATCGAGTATATCTGAAGTAGATAATGATCGGTGTATACAAGGCCAACCGTCCAGTTCCAGTGGATCGGGAGCCGGGTAACATCGGTCGCGGCCGCGATAATTAGATCATCATATACGTGGACCAGCCGATTCTGATCATACCGGTCATGGTCAATGCGTGAGGGGTATATGCATCCTGTCAAGGGCATGAAGAGGTGGTAGATGAGGTGATCAGAGGCGAAGTCGCGCGGACGCGAAGGAACAGCAGGAATGAGACGTGCTCTCATGGTTTTATCGATGGTCGCCGGTTCGATCTGGTCCCTGCTGCCCACCTTGCTGTCTTGCTCTGAGCCAGGCCATAGCAGCCTCCTCGCGAGAGACGGGCGTCTTCTGCTCGTCCGGTCGTCCGGACTGGGCGCGAGGGAGCATATTCGTAAACTCCGCAGCGAGGGCAGAGGCCATGTACGCGCGGAATTCCTTCTCCTCACGCTCGTCCTCCTTCATGAGTCGTCGTTGTTCCGACTTTGCCATGTTCTCCCGTCGCTTCTTCCTGATTTCGTGCATGACCCAGAGGACGACGGCCTCCGGGGCGCGCGTCCGATCTAGGCCATGTTTGGCGTGATTGCGAACATATCGTCGCGTAACATCGGTAGCACCGTCAATTGAGAAAGCGATGCAGTATGCCAGTTTCCGGCCCCAGCCTGGCTCAGTTAGTTAGATTCGTTCAGATCTCCGGACAAGAAATCGGATTAAAGTACCTTCTGTGTATAGCCGTGGCTGGTCCCAGGCTCCCTCACAAGCATCAACATGCACCCATCGCCTCTGGTGCTCCGAGTACACTTCGGTCCAGACGTAGTCCTCCGAGTTCCACACCCATCGAACGCGGGCTCCCACGGCTCTGCAGAGCATGCTGAAGCAGTTGGCCCATTCACCAACACGACCCCGTCGGGTCTGCAGCAGCTGCCACACGTCTGAATATCGGGGAAACCGTTCATAAGCACCGCAGCTCGGCTCCGAACATCTGTACAATTCCACCCTGCTAGCGCTTCGAGCGGTCTCGTCGGGAGTGGGCGGTGTCATGCCCTGGGCGATGGTGGGGCGCAGGCATCGAGGGCACGGAGGGTTGTTGACGAACTGAAAGAATGATCGTCGAAACCATCTACGAGTCGTTAGAATCCATCATCAGAAGGGATGGCTGGCTGCAGGCGAAAACGAACCTGAGGAGAGATTTGATCACACAATCCTGGTACCCCCACTCGGGCTTTCCTCCCACACTGGCAGCCTGAGCTTGCAAAATCTGGCTTTCCTCCTCCGCGTCCGAATACAGTCTGTCCAACGGGATGACCGACAACGCCTCGTCCAGCAGGCCGGGGTTCTCATATCGAGTCGGAGTTACCGACAACACATGGAGCAAACTCGCGAATTTCAAGGAGGCAGGATCCTGCGGCGGTGAGGGGAAAATTGGCAGGTTTCTGAGCGACGAGGGAGGGAGAGAGGGTTGTTCCGCGGGCGTGGACGAGGCGTGCTGGGCGGGAGAGGGAGGCGGTGGTGGTGACCGGGACGGGTGCGGCGGTCGCTGTCCGGGCGACAGGTGTGATGAGGGCACGGGCGACTGTGTCCGCGATCTGGCTCGAGATTGTTCCTGAAGACTGGTGAAGCGCTTCGTCCGCATCAACTGCTCGAATTGCTTGGTCAATTCGTTCGCATCGTAGGCATCGGTCGTCGGGGCCCGGTGGGCATGGTGATGGTGGTGATGACGGCGGTCCGCCATGGCAGGGGTAGCACCAGCAATTGCCTGACCTCTGTGACGGGCGTCCAGGTTGACGGAGAGTCCAGAGGTAGGATGGACGCGATGGAGGATCCGACTTGCGATGATGGAGTGTTGTCGAGGAAAAGACAGTCGGGAAGGGAAAAAAAAGGCGGGAGATGGGGATGAGTGACAGAGAGACGGTGGTTTGCGTTGAGGAGATGACGGTCGCAGCAAGCAGAGCAGAGCACAGCACAGCCCGGAGTCGTTGCCACGCTTGGCGCTAGGGAGATCGTCAGCGCGACAGGATGGACTCGACAGGACTACTAAGAACTTACGCGAGAGAGAGAGAGAGAGAGAGAGGGAACTAATACTCTAAAACGAGAGGAGGAGCAAGGAAAAAAAAAAAAGGGAAGAACAATAAGAGGGAGTAAGTAAGTAAGTAAGTAAGAGCTAGACAGAAGAGAGTCGATAGATCGACTAGAGTTGATATTATTATTGCTGTCTCTCTCTCTCTCTTTTTCTCTTTTGTTCTTCTTCTTCCCATTTTGCTTTCCCTCCACGCAAGCCCGGCCGAGCGTCGTCAGCCGCTCCGTCGCTATCGTCCTCCTGTCCACTGTTCCCCCAATCACAGCCCCGCGCCGCCCGCTGATGCCGCGTGTGTCCCGCCCAGAAACGGTCAAGATCTGTTCTGTTCCCAATATTTGACCTTTTTTCTTTACCATACATACATTGAGGGTATATCAATTATAATATTTATTATTATAATAAGAAAGAAAATAGTCGTCCTCTGGACCCTGGAGATCAGACTTAGTCTACAATTGCTAGTTAGTTAGTAATTACCATAATTAAGCTCTCTACCAGGGAAAGACGCAACAGCAGTTGGTAGTCTAGTAGTAGTCACTAGATAGATGCATCCCATGATTCCCATATTATTATTACTATTACTAGATACCTACTCTACGAACTGTATCTACCATACGAACTACTACCTGCAGGCTTGACCCGTCGGAAGATCCCTCTCTCCACTGGATGGCGCCATTCGCTGATGAAGCCAATCCCTCTCCACCTTTTTATCACCACCATCTCGGATTATTATTATGGCAGCCTGTCGATAGATGATGATTCTTTACTGAAAGAAGTATCCAGAGTATAACTTTAGTCTACTTGATTAATTATTACTCCTCCGGAATCACGACAGATTGTTCTTCATAAGATAGAGATCTGCCGTCGTGGGCTGTCGAGAGTCCCTCCTTTGGCCGCTGGATACGCAAGCTTTGACGACATGGATTGCTTGGTCGTGGTCTCTTGTCCATGGTTCTCCCCGACCGCCATGCAAAAATAATAAGTAATCATCCAGTTAGTCAGTTGACTAATAACTCGACTCGACTCGACTCGAATCCTCCCCGCGAAAAAAAATAAAAAAAATAAAATAAAATAAAATAAATGATTGACGCGGCTCTACTCAACGCTTTTGACTCTCGGGTTTCTCTGCGACCTAGTCTACCGGTACGGAGGGCGTCCACCTGTGCCAATGGGGAATGCAGTATTGTTACTCTGCTAAGTCTGCTTCGATCGTTGTTCTTGTTCCGTATATACGCGACAAGAGGAGCACGGTGGAGCCGCAACATCCAGTCTGTGCGCGTCCCCATTCGACACAGCCGGAGATCGCACGGGTCCACTCGCTTTCCCTTTCTGGCCGCCCAGCCAGCAAGATGGTCTCATTGGGCAGGGCTTGAAGAAGGGGATCCGCCCGTCTGGCCCCGTGAGCAGCAAAGGATTCATTTGGTGTTCAGGGGTGGAACCCCAGGATGATCAGGACGAGTTACTACTAGATAGGCGCTAGACTCGATCGATCGCATTGAACTTGCTTATGTTCTATCTTTCTGTTCTCTTTTCTTTTTGGATCATCTGTCTTGTTGCGTCGTCAACATCCCCCAAGTCGCCAATTCCTGTTTCGTGTCGCCCTCGACCGTGGGAATCCGGAGCCCAAGACGGCATGTCGCCAGTACCTGCATCCGGTCGTCTATCGCGGGCGGACGTGGCGGAGACGCGCAATCGAGGGCTTGGCGTGGAATCCGACTAGGCTAGCGCGGATTACGTGGCTGGGAAGGATGAGCCCTAGCCGGTCTTGGCACCTGGCAAGGCAGCCCTGGAGACCCGCTGCGAAGGCTGGCCCCGGCCATTTGCCTTGGCGCCTGGGGTTGCTGGCCTCAGGCCGCCAACTCGGCTGACGACAGCCCAGATCACCGCCGGATCTCAGGCAGGCTTGGGATAACAACCATGTCAATTTCCCCAAGGGTTCGTGCCTGGTGTTCGAAATAATCCTGGAAGTGGGTAATTATTATCTTGCGCTTAAACGCAGGGCAGAACAACAGGTTCTTCTACGGGGGATTATCTTAGACTCGTGGCCTGTGCGAGCATCTCTCGTATGGTATAGCTTCTTCATGATATCAGGCCATCATCATCATCATCATCATCATAAGCGGCGGATCATGGCTCAGGAGCTGCAAACGATCTGACCTACTGGTACAGTCTTGAACCAACCTCGATCACCATCGAAACTCTTTCTTCTCATCTGACTTGGACATTGGGGGCCGAGAGATATCATCATGTTTGTCCAAGCAATAATGAAAATAACTCGGTCCTCCCTTGGAAGTTGGACTAGCGACGGGAACGTTAGCCCGTTGGCTCCTTTCGGCCCGTGAAGACGCAATCCACGTGGCCACGGGAAGTTATCCCCGTGCGCTGACTCTACGCAAGCAGATGTATGAAACGCGGGGACGGTATCACTATTCATATGGTACTCTCGAGTGCAATCCAGAAGTAACTAGCCGCTTCTTTGGATTCTCTAGGAGATTTATCATGTTTCCGCACGAATCAGATCGGATGTGCATAGCTAACGTTAATTCTCGTCCTAGCACCAGTTCTCATTGCTCTGCTTGAACCCAGACTAGAGGTGACACCTCTAGTCTAGAAAACTAGCTCAAGAAGCTGGAACGTCGCAGCTTTACTTCAGGCTAGGGTCTTCTTCATTACGTATCGAAGATTCGAGATTAAGTCAACTAATTGCTAGATTCTAAGTTAACTGAGATATGGTTAAACAAAGCTTACCATGCGATAACGACGAAAGAGCTCATGTGGACGACGTAGATGCTTAATAACTAACGCTCTATAGAGTGATAACTAGTTGGTACTCGATTGATTCTGCTTTTGGTCAAAATAAATAAATAAAACATACATGTGTTTGACCCTTTAGATCCTTAATACGCTACACCCTTGTCAGTCTCGGATACAATCTATCTTCGTATAACATGTGTCGTCTCGTGCAGCACTATACTTCTATATCGGGTGACATCAGTTATCTCCTACTAACTACTCCTTACTTAGTAGAAACACCAAACATCTCCTCTAAGTTATACCATAATGTGGCCATACGTAATTTACACCAGATATCTTCACAACACCTTACTCTTCATTCTATCAACTAGTTAAAAAACAAACTCTTATCGCCATCCACACTAGATAGACTAACTAGTCACTAGTATAAATACCCCCGATAAACACTAACCGTGTCAGATGCCAAACAGACACTACTCTACGTTCGTATACGAATTCTAGATAAGGTAACTAAGTCGTCTAACTATAACTAGTTATAACGACCTCTTCATAAGCAGTTCCTCTATAGTAGTACATACATACTTACTGGACTAGAGTAAACTAACTAACTACAGTAGTTAACTATCTACAGTACCTAGGTAGTAGTTAATCACCTAAAACCAGAGTAACTAACTAACTAACTAACTAGCTAAGTAGCTAACTAGCTAGCTAGTTAATGTGAGTGCTCATACATAAGCTCGATCAGCGGGCCCCATTCGAAGCGGGGTGATGACGTTGACTGTTAACATATCTCTGCTCTTCTCGGGTAAAATAAATCATCAAGTAAAAGTGTCATTTTCTTCTTTTCCTTTCTTCTGGTCCTCTTCGCACGATAAGAGAAGGGAGGGAGGGGTAAACAGATGGTGGCAAATGAGTTATTTTTTACTAGTACTTGCTTGCGTTTTTCATCTCGTGGTCTACGTGGGATGACGAGTACGCTTGCGATATTATTATTATTGATATTTTTGGTGGGTACGTAGATGAGTCATACGCGGTGTTGTGATGTTGTGATGTTGTAGGGAGTTAGAAGGATTGATGGATAGATACATGGAGGACGTGGAGTCTACCTTACGACGCAGTCACGTAACTTAAGTAGTCCAGTTTACGTATCTACTTGCGGTAGATAGATACTTCCCTCGTTAACTTATTACTTCTCAGTCTCCATTAGTTATTAAGCGAGGGCAAAGAGAAAAAAAAAAAAAAAAAAAAAAAAAAAAAAAAAAAAAAAAAAAAAAAAAAAAACAGAACCGACACTGACTGACGAGTCCTTTAGAAGCGGTGAGTAATGATCGTCTTCTTTTTACTTCCTTGAGAATCGAGGAGACGTAATCCTAGGGATATTTCGATGAACTAGTTTCTTTTAAATAGCGGGACATAGATAGACGTGTTCTGATCCATCATGATTCATTGGAATTGTACCGTACTCTATCTATGATCTAATAGCTTTTCTTTCTGTGCTTTTGGGCTAGGACTTGTCTTTTCAAGGCAGCAAGCAGGTGTCATCGCCCGAAGAGGCGAGGGGGATGATATGCGTTTTCTATATACAATATGCATGCTTATATCTTTTAGTTCCCCATTCCGATTAGAGGAATTACGGTATACATGGGATTCGTCAAGATGTGTATTCGACAGACGTACTAGAATTTCGTGTTGTGAGGTTGATTTACATAGAGAGAGGTGTTTCTACGTGATGAAACTAACTAGGTAGGTTATTACCCGGTTTTGAGTACAGGTCTAGTCTATCATACTCTCTATCCTTGCGTTGGCGTCTTGGTTGATGTGTGGTAGACCGCAATGGGTAGCTTTTGGCTATGTCGTGCTCGAATATGTTCTTGCGTTAGTGTTATTCATTGTCGCTGAAGTCTCGAGGGTAGGACGTCGTCTTCCGGTATGTACGGCTTTCGATTCAACTTCTCGTCGTTCATACATACTTCCCTGGTTACTGTACTCGGGACGGTTCTGCTGATACTGCAGTTACGCATGAACTGGAAAATAATTATATCCTATTTATAACAAAGCTTGTATATATATCATGAAACAAGCGCTTTTCTCTTCCCCTTTTCACTGATAATTCCATCTCTTCCAAGGCATGCAAATCTAAGACAGAATTTTAGAAAGAAACGCATTCAGGCATCACGGCATTAATCCCATCATCACAGAGGCCAATGCTCCTAATGCTTTAATCTTTTCCCATATCGACAACGCTAATAGACATCTTCCGGATTCACCAGGAACTGCTCTCCGTTCTCGCGAATATGCTGCAAGTTCTTATCCCGACTGCACGGTTTCCTCATATCAAACGCATCCTCGCCTTCTGAAAGACCCGTCGGGTCGTCGCTGTAGTAATTCACCACTCGTCGGAATACCGAGTATCTGTTTTGCAGACCCGTAGTTTTTAGCTCCTGTGATTATTTTCTTATGGTGGTTAGGTGCTAGATTGATAGCGTACCCCATTCCCTTGTACATTCCTACTGCGACCTTGTTGCCCGCGCGCACGTACAGATCCACGAACCACGCATCGTTGATATCGGAGGACCGCTCCAGGCTCTCGGTCAGACGGCGCGCATGGCCTAGTCGTCGCGATGCTGGCGCAACTGTCAACACGGTAATGTGTCCGTGCCAGGGAGTGTAGTGTTCCGAATGTCGCATCGAGGGGGGCTGCTCCTCGAGCTTGCCCATTACTAGTGAGAATCTACTCGTTAGCATATGCGATTGTTTACCAGTGAGAAAGCGGAATATCTAGTAAAGCTTTCTTCCGATGTATACTATCAAATCGGCTCAATGGGCAGACGCACTGTAACCAACAATACTGCCATCGTGATCCTCAACCACGTTGAATAGCGACGGCCATCGCATCAGATAGTTCAGGTAGAATCCCAGGTCATAGTTCTCCGTCAGAGGATCGAGATTGGTCAGATTGAGCGAGAACAGGTCCGTTGGCGTCATGCGCCGTACGCTGCTCATGGTGGATATGCTTGGTGTGGCTGAGAAATTGGCGGGGAGAGATAAATGATTCTTTGCCTGATCGCCGGAAGCGGAAGCGGGCAAGGAGGGGAACGAACCAGACGCGAACGATGGAAGAATGCCTTTGTCTAGTTGATCTAAATAAAACAAACAAAAAAACGAGGAAACGCAATGCTGGCGCAAATGGACGGAGACAACCGACTGCTTCTTGGATCTATTTATTCTTTGTCCGTCAAGAGTTCGGCAGATGTCATGTTTCGCGCTGTGTGGGGTTTCCGAAGTCTCGAGCGTTAAGACGTTTCGGTCACGGGAAAGGGGAAAAAGGCACGATGTTGACAGGAGAACAGTCTAGCTGTTGACATTCTCCGCGAGGGCTGTATCTTATCTTGTCCATCCCCTGCAGACAATCTGGTCTCAGTGCCAGTGTCCATCTGTCTGCGTGCGGGCAAAAGCGCTGCCAGCAGTCCATATTAATTGACGTTTCTAACCCCCTACTCTTCACAGAGGACGCCAACACCGCGGACTAAGGAGTAGTGACGTGCCAGCAGACCGGCAGATCCAAAGTCATCCGCACGACCCTTTTTCTTTTTTTCTTCCCTTTTAGCTTTTAGAACATATAACCTGTCTGCATTCACTGGTGTGAGCTGCACAGCTACAAAGCCGCTTTTCCAGTTCAGTGCATCGCAACGTCGATGGTCTTGTCATCTCCGATGGCGGCCACACACCGAAGACATCCGTCGAGTCTCGACCTCTCAGCATCGTCCCCAAACGCATATGCCACAAATGGCTATGGACAGAGCCCTCCGCTGTCCCCGAGGACCCCGAGGTCATCTGCTCCTCCATCGCCAGTCACTCCCAGACAGCAAGGCTCGCAGACGATGAACGGATCCCACAGGATGTCCGGCGATTTCACGGCCGCGGAGGCGGGAGGCGGTTTGGGGAGTCTTGCCGATGAACTTGCAGATGCATGGGAAGAAGAAGATGGAGGTTATGAGGATACATCGGGCTTGGAGAACGGACAGATCGATTCTCATAATGCGGATTACAGTGACAGGGAGGAAGGCTACGTCGATTCGGGTGCGGGCACACCGGGAGACCGTCTCTCTCCGGACGACATGCTGCAACCGAGCAGGGGGAAACCCAAGAATAACCACAGTCGGCACAAACGACATGAATCACAATACGATGGGTCTGACTACGGTAACGACTCGGATTTGGAAGAGACACCGGAGATATCACCAAGTCTGGAGGCGCGGATGGCTGGCATTGAGAGTCTGGCTCGAAGGGGAACGGAGGATAATGGCAGTGAAAACGACAGGGTCATAAAACGCGCAATAGAGAGTCTCCGGGATCTGGGTGGTCAGAGTGGGATTGAAAACGGCGCATCAAGGTTAGTACATCCAGAATGATTGTGTTGGAAGCCTCATTTTGCCCACGTACTCCACCTGTTCATGCTGCCGCTTGGTCCATCTGAGTTGTGACGACTAACGCTTCGCGCAGACTGATAACCGCTCATACTTCGATCACCTCGCACCTAACGCACCAAACTCGAACGCTGCAGACACTCACCCATCCTCTCCTTTTCTCGCCTTTCCCGATCCTCTCAGAGGAGGATATCGATTCTCTCGTCCCTCTGATTGATGAAGAGCTGCTACCCAATCTCCCTTACCCTTTTCCACAAGCCCAGTCTCGCTCGCGACCTACGACGCCGGCGCAGTCTGCCTCCCTCAACCCGTTGGTCTCGCTGCAGACGCTTCTGTCCCAGACCTCTGAGCTTGTCTATAGCCTTCGGAGTCTAAGTGATACTCTACACGAGTCACGACAGGTAACATCGACGGCCTCGCGAAGGCTGCGGTCTGCCAAGGAGCTCGTTGCCGAGTTAAGACGTGAGGAGGAAGAACGGGAAGAAGGCACGCGCTGGATCGAAAAGGGCCAATGGGACCGCCGACTACGAGAGAGAGAAGCAGGCAAGGTCTGCGGGGATGTTGTCAGCGGCTTTGAAGCAGTCTGCGGAGAATGGCGGAAGAAACTCTTTGGTGCAGCAGCCCCCGACGCAGTCGCTGCATAACTACTACACTTTTTCACCATCCTCATGCAGAAGCAGAGCTTGTCTGCCGTCCTTCTATAATTCCTCCCTATTTGAATGACGCGTACGAGCTATATAGACTACCCTGTGGCTTTGGACCCTTTCTTTCAAATCTAATGCCCGGAGTTGGAGAGGCGATCATGAATTTTTTCCTTAAAGGACCGAGCTTGTTTCTTCTGCATCCCATATTCCGGCCTTCTTCTGCTTTCTCTTTCTTTTTTTTCCCACTTCTCCGCAATGATCCCCCCGTTTCTTCAGACTAGAAGGCAGTAGAATAGTTTTCTTCTTCATACATACATACATACATAACTTCTCGTCTTGACTCAGATTCCCTACCCTTATCCCGCTCCTACATTGTTTCATGTGAGTTTATCCCCGGCCAAACCATGCGTGTACTGTACATAGAACGATATCCAGCTAGCCGTCCCAGACAGAAAAAGATACCAAGATTCTCCTACGTCAAGAATGCAGTTCATAATCCCGAGTAAAAAACTACTCCCCTAGTCTATCTACTCCTATGTTTATTTTTATTTCTTTCTGGAAACGCGACTAGCCTCTCTCTCTCTCTCTCTCTCTCCCGAAGTGTCCCTTTCTGAAACGCTGGACCCGAACTACTGTACCGCGCCAGGAAGTGGTCAATCCACCCTTCTAAGCAGACGCACAGATATGAATTAGTTAACTAGTTAGTTAGTCGGTATTACGAACTGCATAAAATCCAACATCCTGCTCCCTGCAGACGATATTAGACATCGGATATTGGGGCCTAGATAGTCGATCCAAACATCCGCAGTAACTAATTAACTAGTTACTTTCCTAGGAATCCTATGGAAGCCGTATGTACAGGCGTTGGGGTTTGTTGATCGCTCGCTTCTACTTTGATATTACTCACGAAGCGAGTTCGCGGGTCATTAAGAATAGAAAAACTACCGGTGCATGTAAGTAAAACTAACGTTTATATCTACCCCCAATGAAAGACACCATACTTAGGATTACACAAATGCGGACCAAATTTCCCTGTAGACAACCATGACTTGAATGAAAATAGAAGATGATAGATGCTCATTACGCTCATAACTAATCGTAGCCGTACGTGAAAGACGAGCAACTACCTTAGACCATTCTTCCCTTCCGCATTTTTTTTCGGCTCATGGAAGAATAAGAAAAACTTTTTTTTCTTCCCCAGAGCGTACAGGGGACAGGTGATCGTAGAAATCATGAGATCGAGCGGATGCCAAAGGACATGTCCAATGGTTCAGTAGGGGAGGATGTTGACAGGGAGAAAAAAGGAAAAGAAACATGACAGATCCTGGACGGCAAAATGACAACTGGGGAAAATGACCGAACCCCTTTCTAGAGAACAGCCCTGTCGAACGACAATAGGTTTCTCCTAGGGGAGATTGTGAGATCAGAAGCGACAGGGTGGAATGACATGCACTCATGTGCGAATTCTGCAGCTAACACGAGGAATTGAAGAATGAAGTAAGGGACTAGGTTGAAGAACGGAAGAGCACATCGGTCACCAGCGACCAATTTAGCTCTGCTGTTGCTTCCACCGCGGCACCCACTTCCCGCCGGCGGGCTTCGCATCACCAGAGGCAGCTGGGGGAGTCTGCGTCCTGGAGGGGGGCTGCGAAGCGCTCGATTCGCGCATATGGCGAGGGACGTACCGCTCAGGAGCGCCGCCATTAGCAGGAGATGCATCACGGGGAGTGACGCTAGTAGCGGCACCACGCTGGTGTGGAGGAACATAGCCACCAGTTCTGCGGAGAGGGGGAACATCTTCCTTGGGAGCCTCAGGGGCGCCACCAGCAGCCTCCTTGGCAGCCTGGCGCTCTCTCCAGCTGGGTCCTCCAGCAGCAGCAGTGCGAGGAGCCAAGTTAAGACGAGGAGCAGTACGCTCGGCGGTTTCAGCCCGGACAGGTGGCTCAGCAACGGCAGCGGGAGCGGGAGCAGTCTTGCGCATAGCACGGCGGCGCTCTGCCTCCTCCTCGCGCTCTCTCTGCTTGGCGGCAATCTCGTCGAGTTTCCTGGAGGTTAGGTTAGCAACATCTTCATAGTATGGAGGCATATATATAGGACTATACCTTCTCTCCTCCTCACGCTGCGCCTTGAGCTCGGCCAGCTTACGTCTCTGTTCCTCTTCTTTGGCAAGTCTCTCCTCCTCCTCACGTTTGATACGCTCTTCTTCCTCCCGACGGCGTCTCTCCTCCTCCTCACGCTCCATTCTCTCGCGGCGTCTGCGCTCCTGGACTTCCTTGACACGCTGCTTCTTCTTCTGCTCGAATTCGCGCTCAGCGGCCTTGCGACGCTTCTCGAACTCCTCGTGACGCTTCTCGTTCAGCTCCTTGCGGTAGCTGTTGAAGACGGGCACCAGGCGGCTCAGGCGGTGCTTAAGAGCAACGTCTTCCTTGTGCTTCTGCTCGGCCTCCTTCAGCGTCTGCTCCTTGATCTTCTCGTAGATCTCCAAGTCTCGCTGCTTCTGTTGCTCGTAGTCCTCGGGAATGTGCTTGAGCTCCTCACGACGGAAAGCTCTCTCCAGGTGATCAATGCGCTTGGCAGTGATGCGGATACGATCATTGAGCTCATTCTTCTCCTTCTCAAGCTGCTGCAGCTTCAGTGCGCGGAGGCGGTTTGTGTCGAGATCCTCGAGATCGATCTCGCTGACATCGATGCCCTTGACACCGCTCTTCAACTCCTCCAGCTGCTTCTTGAGCTCCTGCTGGCGGATACGGTCCTGTTCATCCTTGATTCTCTTCTTCTCACGCTCACGCTGCTCATCAAGCAGTCTCTGCTTCTCAGCCTCCTGGAGCTGCTGAGTTCGGATACGCTTGCGGGTCTCCTCTTCCCTCTGCTTCCGCTGGAGGGCGTCGGTAGCAGCCTCCTTCCTCTTCTCGATGATGACACGACGAGCCAGGGCCTCCTCGTGCTCCTTGGCTGCGCCAGCCTGAGCGCGAGCGAGGGCCAGCTGCTTGGCCTGGACACGGGCCTCGTTGTAGGATGGGTCGACGTACATGCAAGTAATGTGGAGAGTCTTGGCCAACCGCGAAAGCTGGGCACGGGCAATCTCGGAGGGGGTCTTCTGTAGGCGCTGAACGGTGCCCACATCGCTCTCAGCGGAACCAGCAGCGCTGCCGGAGTGGATAGCCTTGGCGGAAGAGAAGATATCAGAGTCGAAGGTGAGCACACCCGAGACATGGTTAACACGAATGGCGAGGTCACCCTTCTTGCAGCCGTTCATGATGAACTTCTCGATCATCGAGCGAGTGATCTGGAAGGGCTCGGGGAACTGGGCGAGCTCGTAGACGAACTTGAGCTCGACGGTTTCGTAGACCTGCGACAGCTGCTGGAACAGGCGGGTGAGGATAACCTGCTGCAGAGGCACGACATACTTCTCCATCTCGGGGTCCGCACCAATCTGCTGAAGAATGGGGGTGATCTTCTTGCAGATGGAAAGAGGGTGGAAGTCGACCTCCAGGATGTTGTAGAGGTCACGGATCTCAGGGCGGACGCGCTTCAGGAGACCCTTGTTCAGAGCATCCTTGAACAGAGCAGCTCTGGTGGGGTGCTGGGCCATACCCAGGAGGTTGGTGAGACGAGCATTCTTGTTCTTGCGCACCTCATCAACGTCGACCAGGGCACCACGAGAGCGGGAGGTGCTGATAACGGGGATAGCCAGAGCGGACAGCAGAACGAACGAGGCGGTCTTGGTCATATCGGCCTCCGTCACCGAAGGGTTGTCCTTCTTGGAGCCCTGACCAGCGGCCAGAGTAGCGGCCGACTGGCGGAGAAGGTTGTAGTAACGGCTCCAGGCAGCGGCATGGAAGAGGTAGTTCTCGCTGACGAGGAAGATGCGGGTCAGCTTCTCGTAGTAGTTAGCCATCATGACGTTCTTGGCCGGACGCTTGCTCAGGCTGAGCAAGGTGTGGATATCCTCCACACTGCGGAAAGCCTCCTGCCATAGCTCCAACTCGACAGCAACGTTCAGCTGCTGGAATCTCGTGTCCAAGTGGCGCTGCAGGGTGTCCGGGTCGCTGAGGTTGATGGAGTGCATCTGGGCCGAGTACTTGGCGGCATTCTGGACGTGGTTGCGGAGAAGCTCGCACAGTCTGCGGAACTCGGTCTTGCGGGTGTACTTCAAGCAGAATTGGAACGCCTGCAGAGCGGTGGTCTGGTACATGACCTCGAGGCGCGCATTGTTCTTGAGGATCTCGAGCACCGTCCGGTAGGTCTCCCACAGGAACTTGAGCCACGGAGTGACGACCGCACGATCAGTACGATCCCGGGACTGCTCACCAGAGACAGTGGCAAGGAGGATAGTCTCGGGGGTCTCGATGGCCTCGAGGTCCTCAACGTTGGTCGAAGGAGCCGCGGACTCCAGCGAGGACTGGATCTCGTCGGCCTTGGCCTGGGCCTCCGTAACCTTCTGCTCCGCGAGCTCGATGAACTTCTTGAGAACCGTCTATCCAACATGATATCGTCAGCATCCATCCACCGCATCTAACGCTGCCAGGAAAAAATTATCTGCCTACCTCGATCGTTCCGACATTAGTGTTCTGGGCGATGTTCTTGTACTGGTACAAGCCATCCTTGGCCGCCTTTCCCTTGCGCAAATCGACACACAATTCGACAAAGAGGATCATCACCGGCTCGAGCGAAGCGATGGGGGTGCTCCGGGTGCGCTTGGAGGTGACATGCTCGTGGAGGACGGTCAAGGCGGCGGGCGCCTGACCGACGGCAATGAGTTCCTGAGCCCTCTATTCCCACACAACATCGTCAGTATCTCAGCCTTGAAGGTGGAAGATGGGGGGCAGCCACGACGACGAGGACCTACCTTGAGGACATTTTCAGGCTTGATATGGGGTGGAGGCGGCATGGTGGGCAAGCTGCCCCTTGGGTCGGCGGATCACAGAAAAGAACGGCCTGGCGACTGGGCGATCTCGACTCGACGCAAGACGAGACGGACGAGAAAAGAGCGGGCAGCTGGACTCGATGCGATGAGTTCAGATGACGCTGCCGCGCGAAGGTCGACGATAGACCAGGCTTAATTTGAGGGGGGAGATCGGGACGACTGGAGTTTGCGTCGTTGTGCGAGAATCACGAAAAACCGAAAGGGCGCCAGCGGAGCCCACTTGAGCGCATAAGCGACCGGGGTTGCGGTCACGTGAGGACAGCCGCAGAGACTCTCTCTCTCTCTCTCTCTCACCGCGACTCGGGCTGGGTGGCTTTATCTTGACAGCTGGAGAGCAGAGATCGTCGCCTGGCGTCCTGCATGCCTGGGGCGTTAATGCAATTTTAATGTGATTAGGGTTTGGCGATAATGCTCGAGGATATCGAGGATGGCTGCATGTTCGTGTGCGAAGTAGATACTGTAGATAACTACTGTAGTCTACATTGTTATGGTGTACCTAACTAGTGACTACAGTAAATGTTCTTCCTTCCTTCATATCCAGCAGCAGTCCCTATTTTGTGGGGTTTCCAATTTATTCTATGCAAAGCGCGTCTATAAAATCCGGAGACTAGAATCAATGCATCCAGTATCCAAACTAGGATGGACTGAAAGAATACATGTTTTCCTGTCGGGCGGAGATATATTCTTCCGCGATACTCGTTTCTGTCACGGGGAATAAATCATGTGAGTGCACACTCGCGCAGTCACATGATTCAGATTCATATTACATAATCCAGATATAATCACGTGATATCATGGCACTTGCACGTCCTCACGTGACAATGACAGCCAACGCTCCTCGTCCTTTGGACGCCAACCCGGATCTGCACACGCAATCCGACTGGCTGCGAGTGCGCGTCTGCTCCAGTTGGCGCTGTCGCCGGTCGTTCCCGGACTGCGCAGGCCAGCGTTCGGGTCCAGCCGCTCGGGGCCCTGGCGGCCTCGCTAGTCCACTAGCGAGGATTCTCCTGCGAACCAGGGGCAGAACCCCGTGCGAAGCTGTGAGAGCAATAATAATAATCAATAATAATAAAATAATAATAAATTAAAATACTCTGTAATATGGTATGAGCATCATTAAACTCTCACTTCCTCTGTTTCCCACCTGCGCTGCCCGTTGACTGCTCCTAGTAGATCTAAGTCAAACCAGGAATCGTCGTTTGCCCCCTTTAGCTGTGAGTCTCCTCCTCCCTGACCCGGGAACTGGCCCGACGCCCGGTCCATCGTCTTTTCCCCCCCCAAAAGCCCTTCTCGGGAGCCTTTCTCACCTGGGACCAACCGTCGCTCCTTTCACCCTCCCATCCTCCTCTTGCTGCCTCTCCGTGCTTCTTTCTGCCTCGTCCCCCTCCTCGCTCTCTCTCTCGCTCCCCCCCCTCCAGCGTCGTCGGTCTCTCCATCATTCCCTTCATCGTCTCTACGTCCTGTGGCCGTTTACTTTCCGCTCCTTCGAGTTTCTGACCCCCGTTGCAGGGCGACCAGCACTTCCAAGAGATCCGGCGCGTCGTCTGGTTGGCAGAGCCTCTCTCGCCCTGACGACCAGATTTCCCTCCAATTGACGATTCCGACGACGACAAGAGTGAGAACATCAACATGCCGGCCGCATATGAAATTCGCTCGGGGGGCGATGCCCGCAACAAGAAGCAGAGTATGGCCGATCTGAAGTATCGCCGTCTCATGGAGCTCAACAGCCGCCTGAAGGAGGATCTGGATCGGCCTCGTGTCAAGGTGTCTGAAGCAGCGCTCTCGTAAGTCGATCCTGTATCCCGTCTCAATCAACTGTGGCTCTCCCACTGTGATGGGAGTCGCCAATTGAGGCTCAATTGGCCCTTGGCCATTGCCTAACGGGGTGTCTCCTTTTACTGACGAGTTCATCTGGCAGACTGATCAACTACTGCAACAACACGAGAGATTTCATGGTGCCATCCGTCTGGGGTCAGGTATGTGGAGAAGCTCACCACGCTCCCAAGGGGAGACATTCTATAGAGGACAAGTCGCTGATTTGCTCGTTCAGGTGGACAAGCGAGAGGACCCGTATGCTCCTCAACAGTCAGGTGGCTGCTGCACCGTCATGTAATGGCTTCATGACTTTCGACGTCTTAATTTGCTCGATCGGATCGACTCGATCTCCTACATTCACCTCCTTTTCTTTTCGCATATTTTCCGATATTCCCCCGACTGCGATGACGTCCTTACCCCACTTTCTTCGGCCTACTCGCATCCGTTTTACTCATCACGACCACCTCCCCCTCTACCGACCACGCCTGGATCGGACTCTACGCCCAGTTGCTACGATGATAAGGGTCTGGTGCGGGGATAATTCGCTAATCACCACCAATGGAGGGCGCTGGACTGCTCCTAGGCCACCAAAAGGGCCGACTGATAATCGCCTATATCGTCTCGCCCAGATCAGATCGGCCGTCGAGACTTCACTTTTAACTCATAATTCTTTTTGCCCGATGCGCCAGAGGATGTCTGCCATCTTTTCTTCAGTTTCACCTTTACCTCACTTTTCTACCCCGGGTTCGCGACGTTCATCGGTCAATTTGTTCAAAAACTTTTTGCTTTCCTTTGTCTCAGCGGTGTCGTCTGTTTTATCTGGATTGTTTAAAAATCACACAGCGGTCTGCAGGGAGGTCTGGCATTGGCTCCATGCCTCCCGGGTCCAGCAGTATCCTCTTGTTCTACTGTGTAAAATAGATTCATCATGGAGGAGGCCGCGCTACCATGACCAAATACTAGTTACTGTTGTAATACCCGAAAAATCAAGAAGGATTTTGAGGTTTTTTTCATCACGCCATCTCATCGCATTTCCAGTCGTGACTCGAACTGGGCCCAGCACGTTGTCCAGTATCCCTCCAGTTCAGGAATCCAGAGGGCCTCAAATGAGGCGTCCAGCTGACGTGGTGATACCACAACGATCCCATCCCATCCACCATGCACTCTTTCTGAGATCAGTTAGCCTCCGGCGACTCCGACATGCGTGCGCGGATCGACGCACTGGACAATGCTCACCTGCATTGCAGCTGGATCCCGAGTTTCGGTAATTTCTCTGCAAATCGGAATAAGCTCTATCTACAACGTCTACTCTGCAGTCTGTTGCCTATCTTATCTTGTACATATATGCTATGATCAATGCCCGCCATTTATTCATCGTCCGTAGCAATATCCAGCACTAGTTATAAAGCAAGTAAAGTGCGTTGTGCTCTGCTGTGCTGTTATCTACGTAAGTTATCCCACTACAACTAATTCCCCCTTGCTTCCTATCCGAAGTAAGTCTTGACTTTGCAATAATAATATGTACGTAGCAGTTGTACAATACTTTAAGTTTCAAGTCCAACTGTGTGCATGGATGACGGCCTCCACTTCCATTCCAAGGGAGGAAGAGAACTATCAAGCGTAACGGCCATGTGAATGAGAATAGACAAAAAGGGGGGGGGAAGATTCCTTCCTTTTGCTATGTAGTATGTATCATAGTTCTTTTTTTTTTTTTGCCGTTGCAGATAAAGTATATATGTATGCGGTTCTTCAAGCTAATCTAAGCTTTTCTAACGGCCGAGATAAAGAAATGTATCATCTCTCAGGTTTTTCTTTTTATCTATAGTATAGTATAGCTCGGCTAAAAACGAACGGGAGAACGAGCGGGGAGGGGACAATAACGACGTTAGAAAAGTCGGAGAGTTTTGCGCGCGCGCGTGTGTGTGTGTGTGTGTGTGTGGGAAGATTAGGTATTCTATCCCTTGCGTCATTGGGGGCAAGTGCGTGCTGGGTGTGTTTCGAATCTACCATAAAGTTATGGGTGCGGTGCGAAAAGGAGAAAGGAAAGGAAAGGAAAGGGGGTGGGTTTTGTGGGTGTTAGGTATGATTTATTATTAATTAATTATTTAATAGTTAGCATTATTTGGTTTGGATATTCTGGTATAGTATAGTAGTATCATGAGGGATTGCTGGATTTATCTTAGAGGTAGTTGGAAAGAGGTTCATTATACTTATATGAGGTGTTGTTGTTCTCTTATAGGTTTGATTTATTAGCTTTTTGACAGGTATATTTAAGAACTAAAATGCTGTCCTCTTATCTTTTATGTAGGGGTCGTTACGATTTCATTATCCTAGCCACTCTTGATCTCCCATCAAGGCTCAACCCCCGCCATGAATCCCAACCAACAACCCATCCGCAACCACGCGCGTCTCTCTCCCGCCTTCTCCCCTTGTGCTCTAGCTTCCTCGAAGATATCACTAATCCATCGATCCTCAGTCTCTGCAGGATTCTTCAACCGCAGGTCCCGTCGACGCCACCAATCGTGAATACTCGGACGAGGACCCCACAAGAAACCGTTATCAGGGAGGGGAAATCGGAGATCAGAGACTGATAACCGGGCATCATCGCCCGTAACGCCAGAGAAGAGATTGCTTACTTTGAACAAGGTCAAAGAGAAACGTTTGGCCTCTTCCGTCCGGGCCCAGGCGTAGACGATGGGATCATCCGGACAGCCGCGGGCGAGCATGGATGGATAGAAGAATAGGCCCTGGACAAGACAGGTTTCGATTAGAGAGGTTAGGATAGATCGTACGCGGTCGAGAAGCGCTTCGGTGCTGTCTTCCTCTCTGGGGGGTGGGCCGGCGATCAGAGCGAAGATGATGTAGAGGAGGATCGATTGGTATGTTGCCATGGGCCATTGGGAGATATCCTGCTGCTCTGGCTGCGGGGTGTGCCAACTTGTCTGGTTTAAAAGTCCTCAGCCTTTGTGACACTTCTTGAGTTGTCAAGTGCGAGGATATATGCTGTGTCGTTGAACTCAAAACTCACCATCTGCTCTTTTATAAGAGTGTGCAGGCGATCATGGATCTTCCACGCCTGACGTCGCGCTTTCGCTTCGCCGGTAATCCATAAGCCGATCATCACGAGCGCCAACACGAGCACAGTCGGCTCTTCCTGGTATCGAAAGGACGCTTCATGTATGAAAGGCCACTGGGGGTTGAAGTGCAGAAAGTAAAGGCGGACGTAGTACGCGGTATCGATGGGCTGGGTAGTATAATCGTCATCATCCAGACCAGCTGGATAATCAAGAGAGTAATAGGAGGAGGAAAACATATTCCCTGGCCATGTCTGCCATGGAACGGTGGAATCAGCCGGTGCCAACTGCAGTCCTTCTCGCTGTAGTTGCTCTTCGTGTTGGACTAGTTGCATTTTGGCTGATATCGTAGAGTTGGAAGGGGGAGGAGATTCGCTTTTTCTTCTATGATTTGGAACGCCTGATGCTACCGGTGACAGTTCCTGATCATTTCTGCCGACCAGGTATGACTGCTGAGGAGGAGGAGGAGGAGGATCGATAAGTCTCCTATTAGGATCCTGAGGGATAATAGAATCCGAAACGATCTCCGCTTCTGAGGCGCTGACTTTCTGCCGATGTTGCCTCTTCGACCTTGGACTCGCCCTGTCGAATGAACAGACAACACCTCTCTTTTGGCAGATAGAGCAAGGGAGCTGTCCATCGCACCTAGACTTTTGGATGCGGCAGCGATTGCAGGCTTTAAGCACTCGCGCCGGATTTGGCTGGTCGTTCTTGTTATGAACTTTCTTATGTCGTTGTAGGGTGTCACTGGAGATTTCCGTCAGTTTTTTGTTGGGACACCAATAATGATAGAAATTGGATCCAGAAATTCTCAAGTCTATATATATATAATTATATACACTTGAATATACAGTTCTCCCACAATTCTTCTAATATCTGTTTCGTTTTCTGACAATTTACGTCTTCATACTAAAACAACCAAAATAACTCACCTCCTATCGAAACTAGCCCGGCATAGATTGCAACTAAATATTCCCCTCTGCGAGTGTCGAATCGCATGGCGCGCCAGGTGCTCTTTTCGACGGTATGTAGCGCCGCATCCTGGATGCTGACACGTGAACCGGCGGATGTTCTCATTTTCTGTTGGCTTGGTAGACATAATAGTTCACTCCAGTTGAGTAGTGATGCAGTCGAAGATAAAATTACAGAGAGAGAAAGGGAAATAAAAATAAAAATAAAAGATTCATAACTTGACTCGGTAGTGCCATATCTTCCGTCTGTACGAGGAGGGTTAAATAATTACTACCAAGTCAAGTCAGTAAAGCTCCGAGTGGGATGGGATGGTCCGGGTGGGATGACACCCGTGATACTTAGCGCCAAGGTTTCCCACGAACAAAGACTTACTCCCATGGATAACTGGGGGACGTTTGATAATTGACCGCATGTACTGTATATAGATAGAGAGTACTCAAAATATAGGTCAGATGAATATTGTAGATCAAGATGTCACGTGTTTGTAGATAAAATTGTCACTTAACATGCATTATTTTCTATAGATAGGCCCACGGTGCTCTGAGTACTTACTTAGGTGCATGAAAAAGAGGCTGAGCTATTACCGTAGCTAACTGTCCCTGCTAGGATTCACCTGGAAAAGCATTCTGGAATAGAGGGAACATAATTTACGATATATGAAACCACATGAGACGCATGTCTGCACTCCATCCAGCTATGCCCAACATCAGCCCTATCCAAATCAGAAAGGCGAAACCGAACCAACCCACTTAGGTACTTACATCATCCAACATCTACCCGCAGTCACGATAACCCTGCTCACAATAACAACCACGACCTACTGAACAGAGCATTCCACGCAGAATCTTCCCAGCATTCATCCTTAAGATGACAGAACCAATGCCTCCCATTGAACAGAAGGACCCGACAGAGCCTGACCCGTCCGCGCAGGATCCAAACGTCGACGGTGGCGTCTCCACGCAGGTCTACCTGCCTCGAATCACGATCAAGTACTGCACGCAGTGTAAATGGATGCTGCGGGCGGCATATGTAAGTGGTTCTTTCTGCTTGAAGCTGTCTGTGCTCTTTTTCTACATGTTCAACAGGTACTCTCTCGTTTCTCCGCAGTGGTATTTTATTATTTGGCTTTTGATTGTGATGATTCATTCCAGCCTGGGCGTTTGGGCGTTTCTTCTATTATCGCACTATCATATATTTTACGTTCTTTCCATCTGCCTTGCATCTTTCTGTTTTCCATACACTATCGTCTTCAGCCTTTCAAGAAAGATGGTCGTCGACTTCCGGAATCGAAGTCCTGCCCTAATTCTTTTGAACGGCGTTCGCGTATACCAGACCATCTATATCTGACTTAATACAGTTTGGACAAGAGCTTCTCTCGACCTTCAACACCTCACTAGGCGAAGTAGCCTTGGTCCCAACAACCGGCGGCGTTTTCACCGTGACGATCCAGCACAAGTCCGGAGATGATCCCTCACTCAAGGAAACGCTTCTATGGGATCGAAAATCCATGGGTGGATTCCCTGGTTCGTATTTGCTTAAAAGCACACTATACACATGTCCAAGTTAGGATAACGCTAACCTTCATCCTAGAAGTCAAGAACTTGAAATCCCTCGTGCGCAACGTCGTCGATCCCTCCCGGGACCTAGGCCACGTTGACCGCGCTCTGGGAAAAGAGATCAAAGCGAGAGATACTGCGGTTGCGCCGAATGTGACGGGTCCCGTATCAAGTAGTACCGGGCCTGCGCCTACGGGTGGCATAGCGCCATCGCCGGCCTCTAGGACAGTGGCAGAGAACACTGACACGAAGCCTGGGATGGGGGCTCCGGCAGAGACGATTCAGAGATGTGGTTCTGCGGGGAATAAGAATGATAGGGAAGAGTGTGAGGATTGTTAATAGTGATGTGTATGCAGAAAACGAGGGTTCACTGTAGAATTGTAGGAATTGATTGATTGTGCTTATCCGTTTGAGCTCGTGCTCGTATAGATGCCTAACGTTATTAGAGTTCTGTAAATCTACTGCCTATATCTCCTGCCTCAAGAGTCTAGTCAGAACTAGATCAAAAACACGCTTCCGTCCAGAAACTTGACTGACACCCTAATCTACGCGACGACTCGAACAGATTACCAACAGTATGTTAAGAGGCATGAGCCGGTAGAAGATGGCGTCGAAATTGGTATATCCTGTATGTACATGGTACAAATGCAGCGGAAATCTGTACACAAAGATCCATAACCCAAAAAGTCATGGAAAAAAAAAGAAGCATCCAAAGCCAGAAAAGAAAGAGAAGAAAACAAACAGGCAGGATGAATAATAGATATAGATCGAGGAGGACCTAACATAATAGCAGGATCCTCGACCTCATGCATGGAAGAAGATAGCAAAAGAATGATGTGAAACCAGGCGACGACGGAAGCCATGTGACACTAACTATTGACAGAGGATATCCCCCGACAAGTACAGACGAGTGAATCGTAGACAGGGAACAATTTTGACTGTTGCCTCTGTCGTCCCCAGACGCGAGGTGCGCGCGTACTGAGGGCGGCGGGCGGCTTCCACTTTTTAGCATTAAGAACTTCACTCGATACCAACTCTCCGTCATCCCATGTCCATGGGACTCGCAAGGCCACAACCTCATCGTGTCTAACTGGTATCACATCATGCAATAATCGCCAAAAGGATGATGAACATCCCGCAAAATAAAAACCAAAATAAAAAAAAAAAGGTGAGAACTGAACGCAGTGGGGCAGCTGCCATATCCTCGCGTCGCTTGCCACCAAGAAGACCCAAAAAGATTACACTTAGAAAACCCAGGAAAAAAGAGAACCTCGAAATCCAAATGCGGTCGTGAGATCATGCACCTTTTTTTGTGAACCGGAACCCAACATCGTAACGACACGCCTCACCTGGCGTTAAGCCAAAACACCAAATAGAATAACTCGACGCCCCCAAGAACACCGTGCAAAATCATCAAAACGAGATTGTTACAAATGCGAGTTCTCCTATAGCTCCCCACTCACTTCTTGCGGATGCGAAGGGTGACTTTTGCGTCTCCAAAAGGCTAGACGAAGACGGCTCCGTCGCCTCGGTACTGTCCGCTGCATACCATCACTGCCATGAGACTCTGCGTGAGAATCTCCTGTCCTCCCACTACCGCTGGCCACAGTCGAAGCAGCAGGACTGCGGGTACCGTTGCGGACGATAGTCGTCTTGATGTCGTCTTTACTGACATCCTCAACACGATGAGATGGTCGCCGCTGGTGTCTGTATGGACCGAGATGCCCATTGCCATCATAGTCGCGATGAACATAGCTTGGCACGTCGGAAGATGATGGTCTGCTGCAGCCGCTGTCATAAACATCGTGAGGAGAGAAGTCCTTGTCCTCACCGCTATCTACCGTAAGGAAACTGGTCGCATTCGTGGCCGGCGAGACCGGAGTCATCACCGTGTTGGTATATGTACTACCACTCTGTGTGCGGGCATAGCTGGTGCGGTTCGAGTTCGATGGCAGAGACGACGAATTCTTAGAGAGATGGTTATGGTGGTTATTAGACCGATGACTCTGATGCGAGCAGCGTCGACTCTCTGATTGCTCTGGATATCCACCGTTGAGGCTGGAGTTTCGAGCCTCCTGCCCTCTCTGAGATGAGCCTGCTAGGAGAACAGCAGCTAGGACTGACGATTCGCTCGAGGGCGACTTCATGCCGTCCGATTCATCCACCTGAGGACGTAGGTTGAATTGTGGAGTATCGGATCCCCCAGGCTCGGCTGGAAGAGCCATTGTCCTTACAGAAGCTGACGACTGACGGCGTGGGCTTTCTGTGACCAGGGCAGTTGACGGCACTGAAAAGACTGGACCGGAAGACTCAGGCAGATCAACCTGACTTATGGTGCTGCCATTACGATCCTCAGGCGAAGTCAAATCCTCGTCAGTGGGCACATTCTCTTTGGGCGTCGAAAAGGGCACTGAATCGCCGGAACGTTCGCGCGCTGGCACAACAGGGCTCCTGGAGCGTGGAGAACGAGTTATCTCAACACGACCTCCTGACTGCTGAGATTTACGTTTCTCCCGGTCTGCAAGACTCTGCCAAATGGATTGGTTAGTCCGAATTTGCTGCGATGCAAATAACATTTGTGACATGAGATCCGCGACACCCTCGAAGAGGGGCAAGGCAAATATGGACATAAAGCCGATCTGTCCTGTGGCGAGCTTGAGAATATTTCCCAGCTCTGGGGGACCTCCAAATAGGGCCGTTTCCATCCCGACCTCCTTCTCCATCTCGCCTTGGTTCGCGAATTCCTCTTGAAGAATGTTTGTCCATTTTTCTGCAACTCGCCACGGTCGGGCCTGGAACGGTTTTGTTAGCAAGCTTCGTTACACTCCATGAGATGCTCAAACTACTCACGACGTTACTGATATCTGCGCACTTGATGAGAAGACCGCAGAGGAGAGTCCGGTAATTCTCGATATCTTGGGGCTTCCATGTCTGCACGTCATCATTCTCATGATATTTCTCCTGCAGGCTACCGAGGCTCTCCATGAATTTATGATGGACACCCATATCAGTTGCCAGTATGGAGCTAATGAGTAGCTTTCGCACCTGCCTGTCCTTGAAGGCGGCTGGCCAATGTCGGCGAAGAATCTGAGAAAACGCGGCACAATGGAAAGCCTCCAGAACAGAATTGTCGTTATAGAGTTGAGCCAAAGGCGCATTCAATTTGACAAGGAAGATGTTGTTCACACCGGGATGGCCAACATCGTGGCCGATTGATGCAATAAGAAGAGTGAGAGCATCCAGTGGTGTTAGCATCGACGCGATGGGCGATCTGACGGTAGGGACGTCACCCGGATCCATTGCATACGGCGGCAAAACGCCAATCTGGAGTAGAAAGAAGAAAACCGATTGTAGGACGTCGATAGCATGACGGAAGTTATGGTATAAGACGAAGGAGTTGTAGGAGGCTCGGCTGGCTAGGAGGAACGTCCTGACTTCTCCCGGTGTGAGTTTCCACTCTTCAAGTTCTGGCATGGTCAATGCATGCTCAAGCATCTTGCATGCGCCGTATACCAGTTCGTCCTCAGTGAAGTCGTGCGCACAAAACCACCAGTTTCCTATTTCGCGTTCAACAAATTGTTTGCGGTCGTCGAGGACATAAAGCTCGCTGCCCCAAATGTCAGTCGTGAACTAACCGAAGGTGAATATTGCAGCCACTTACCGATCTTGGAAGTCATCAATAACTTCTTCGGGAACGCAAATTCCTTTCATGAGCTTTGACACCCTTTACATCGTGTTAGTGAGGGGCACGAATGATAGCGAAAGGTTGAAACACTCACATGGCCTCTCTCAGATAGGCGTATGGTTGCTGGTCATGCACACCGACCCACGAATGCTTTCGAAGCTTACGATTCGCAAGGAAACCAGAAAGCTCTTTCTGTGCGGCCCTGCGGGTACGATAAGCATGAACCGCCAGACCGTGGACTCTATTCTTTTCCAACGGGGACGTCAAGACATCCACTGCCCCTGCATCTAGACAACGGGCAATCTGTTTCGACTCAGGTATTGGCAGTTCAGTGCCCTGTTGCTCCGTCGGGAAAGTCGCCGGCTCTCCTGAAGAAGCGAAGGGTCGCATAATAAGGGGCAAATGAGAACTTCCAGATCTCGGCCCAGATAATGCTGAGTCCGATGGACGCAGAATTGCAACAGGAACAACTAACTTCGGTCCATCCTGCACCTGGATATCTGATGTCAAATGGAAAAGAAGCTGCAGCCCGTAAGATTCTTCAGATTCGGATGAATATTTCATGCCACGACGAGCGGCCGCAGATGAGGATGCGGCTGGGAATTCCGTGCCGAACTGCAGGCTCGTTCTCCGGTGAGCTGAAGCCTGTTCTTCAGAAAGGCCGACATCGAAAAAAGCGAAGATAGGCGTACAGTCGTTCCCTGACTGTTCAGTGAGAGTTGCTAATTGACTAGCAAAAGACTTTCCTGAATGGCACAGGTAAACTGGAAATCACTGTTGTCAGTCTGGAACGGCTAATGTAACATTCAAGAAAGGGGCAGCGATTAAAACCCTCGAGAAACCTGGGAACATACTCTGTTTGCTAATTTCTAGTAGCATTTCAACGTTCGACTGGAGAATCTCCGGCTCATCAGCCAAAATAAATGAACCAGCGGAGCCTGTAGAGGCGTCAGACGAATTCCGCCTGACCCATCTCTCGGCTTTAACGCGGTCATCGATGTAGACAGCACAACATTCGGCGCGGTCCATGATGATGCCTCACGGAGTTGAGAACCCAAGGAGGGATATCCTCAACTGTCCGTGTCAGAATGTCGGAAAGGACTTGATTCGGCCACCGGTATGCCCATACAGTCCCAGGGAGACCCAAAGGTACAAGGATATCGGTGATCTGCGGGTTCGAGGGAGATTGGAGGAAATTCGGACACAGAACGCGCACACTGGCGACAAGTGATTGATGATATACTCAGGACGCACAATGTGTTTGCCGCCTGACTCCTATGAAAGTTTCCACCCCCACAAACTCACGAGACGACGTCGGTGATGACACAGGAGTCGCGCGTATCCTGTCAAACACTCGGACTCCGTACTCTTCGCAGAAAGGCCAGGTGCCACGGCAATGCTCGGGTGTAGGACGCAGGCCTGTCTTCCGGAGACTCGTGTTGGACTCCAGTATTTGGTCGAGCGATTCCTCGCCGGAATTGAAAAAGAATGTCAACGGGATCGCAGTGCCAACGTCACACACGTTATCCGACAGATAGGGAAAAGAATGACTGCGCGAAACATCCAGGATCCGCGGGAAAGACTCGGCCGGCAGTCGAAGAAGATGGCAGATGAACTGGAAGACTCTCAAGGAGTCATGGCGTGAGCAGCGGTGGTGACCGGCAAGACAGGAATGGTTCGGGAGGAACAAGGGGGCCAGAATCGAACAGCCTTACGGGCGAAAAGGGGGTCACGTTGCGGAATTGATGTTCGGGCGAGTATCGCGCACACGCACGGCGGTCCTGGAAAGAAGATAGAAGGGCTGCGGAAGGTGCAGAAACAAAGGAAGAGAAGGAGGGACTACAGAGGAAATGCGAATGTGGAGATGGGGGAGAACGAGATGGAGCGAGAGAGGGAGAGTAAGGCTTAGCAGACCCTTGGGCGAGGCGGCACGGTCTTGCGGCAGGCTTCTGCTGGCCTTCTGGAAGGTGTCTGTGGTTGGCCGAACCAGAGGAGCCACTGGGGCTGGCACGGAGAAGACTCGTCGAGCCTTTTGGATGGGATATCCAGGCTTTCCTTGTCTTCGCCGACGGGTCAGCGAGTCAGCATCTTGCGAGACGATCTGGCCGGCCGGCAGCCTCTGTCAACCGCGGGCTTGCCCTGGCCCTGCTTTCTACGGAGAATTCTACGGAGAGGACGACACATGCGTGTTCACTTGGACGCCGATCCGGGCGATAAGTGAGTCGCGAGTGGAGTAGCGCCAGTCTTAGCCGTGGCTTTGCTAGTCATCTTTTCTAGAAGCCGTCGGCCGGCTGTGGTGCCCAGCGAACAATAGTTCCGTCAGCCCAGATCGCGATGGGGACCAGCACCCAGCTCGTGTCAAGGTTATCGCCTGGTGGTTGCATGTTTCAGCGGGGGTGCTCTAGAGAAGCCCCCTAAAACCAGGCTGGCCCTTTGGCGGCTGAAGGAGACGAAGGAAAATGGATGAGATGACCACAGACGGGACGTGGCGGCCCTGTTGCCAGCGGGGCACGAGCCGATAAGCTGCGAACCACCGATACACAGACACAACGCTCGTCATCGACCGCGATGGGCGATCGTTGTTGTTCATCGCGCAGAAGCGAGTGCCGATGTCGTCAGCCCCGACTGGAGGATCGACTTGGCTGATCGGTTTCCCCCTCTGCTCACTACGCTCGTCGAGGCTCGCCAGCAACAACACCTCCAGGGTCTGTACTACCGTTCTCCTGCATCGCGGACCGCAGCGTGGCCTGGTAGATCCCCCGTGCGATCGATCAGCCTATCCCCGCCCACAGTCGCTCCCCCGACGGTGCGGTGGCGAAATGCCGACAAAAAACTGCTGGAGAGACGATGAATGAATATCGCACCTCCAACTCTGTCAACCGCTCAGCGTCATAAAGGTTAAGCGACGCCTCTATCCATCACTTTTTGGCCCCCTTGCTGGGCCATCCTGCTGCTGGGATTCGCCGTACCGGTGACATTTACGCCGTTCCGCCCATCGACCAATAAAGCGCCCCCAACCTGCCCGTTCGACGTCGACCAGTCAATGAGGGGTTACCGATCGTCGACTCTGAGGGATTCTGCTCGCAGCCTAGAGCACGAGTCCCTTGTTGATGTGGTATTCTCATTACTCATTATTCGTGATGGCTGGCCCGTTTTTTGCCCCGCTCACGGTCCAAGAACACATTTACGAAAGCCCCGATGCACGTTACTACCGTCACAGTTGATCCGAAGTTCATCGGAGCAAACCGATTGGCGAGGTGCGAAGGTGTTTCCTCATAAAACTAACCTGTTCAAGGGCACCAGTATTATTATTATTCTGCGCGCGAAATCATAATTCAGCGTTACCCATGACAGCCACAATACAATAATGCCTTGCAGAAACATCGGCTTCTCGAAGCCTTATTGTTTTTTCAAACCCGGGCAGCGAGCCGATAGGGTCCCGTCTGCCGTGTACTCTACATGTTTTTGGCTTGCAGCAATATCTAACTGAAAAAACAGACCATACCCATTTCAGTACTTGGTCCGATATGGGGTAACATCTGCTCGTAAACATCATCAGCTCAGATGTTTATGGTCGATGTATGGGTCCGCGCTAATTGATCTTCTTTATCTCTTCTTTGTTTTCGACGGTAGTCATATCCGGGCGCTATCTACTATTATCGTCTGGCAAGTATAATTGGCTCTCGATGGGTTTGACTGACCACAGGATAACGCCGTGATAAAATAGTATTATTATATTCACCAGGAAGAGATGTCTAGACTAGGACGGACTTTGGGCATCCCTTTCTTTTTCACTTTAGATCATCCACAGTTGATCCAATCCCGGTACTTTTCCGCGTTTATATTCCACATCAGCTTTTTGGTCTCTGCTGTGGACAATGCTGTCACCGTCTGCAAAGCAGAGTCGTCCACTGTAACCCGTCTTCCGTTCACCATAGGCATGCCAACAACCAAAATTCGTCCCCGATAATCGGCCGTATGACTGGGCAAACTCGGGCGCTCGAACTCGTCTGCAAATTTCTGCCACACGCTCCATTGTCGGGGTAGACCCCATAGTTTCGCCACTCCTCTCCTGTCCCCGTCTAGGGCTTCCTGCGGACGGGAGCTTGGAATGTTTTCCTTTGCCTCTCTCCCAGAATAAGGTGCTCTTTTTCGGATGTTAACGTTTAGTAGAGTCAATTTTCGCAAGCACTCCCTTCGGGTTAATTCGAGGATCCTTGAATACCAAATCGCTCCACAGGACACTACCAGTTTCCGTAACATATATGGTAATTCCACCTCACGACCAAGTTCCGCTTTTTTCGTAATACACTCGTGCATATTCGACGCATTTTTCTTGCCGTGATCGCATCCAATGTACAGCTCCCGGAGACGATGAGAGCCAAAGGCAAGAGGATCGAATAAACGAGAATCGAAACGGGATCCGGCACAAGGATTTAATGATATTTTCTTGATGCCGGTGATGCCTGCGATATGCAGGATCCGCATATTGCGATATACAGCCCAGAGGTACGTCATCTTGGAACCGTTGCGCTTATAACCCTCATTTCCAGGTGCGATTATCAGTGAGCAGTTCTGGATGCCATGTTCTTCTTCTTTCACTTTCCTGAACATTTCCAAGAGCTCCCGGGCCTGTTCCCAAGAACCGACGATGCGAACCTTCTGTAAGGGACTTTTGCATGCTATAAGTTCCATGATCGTCACAACGTCGCGGATTATCTCCCAATGAGGCCCAGTGAGAGGAAGCCCCGTGAGATCAAACACGAACTCCGCCGGTGGTTTACCCTTGGGGTATATACCACCAGTTCCGTCAATAGAGGTGGATATATCCTGCAGCTTTTTGAGCACGCGCTCATCACCGGTACTCCCGTCGAAGTAAGCGCGAGTGCCGATGCGTGGGTGGATGAAGGAGAATTTCTTGGATAGGGAATGTAGAACTACAAAGCCGTAGTGGTCGAGATGGTCCACTATCATGAACAGGAGCTCATAGGGGAGATCTTCAAGACGGGCCATCGTTTCATCACATAGAAGAAGGCAAGAAAGAAAAAAAAAATAATAAATAAAAAAAAGAGTAAAAGAAGAACCATCATATACCTTGATTCAATAGTAATCGAGTCAACGATACGATAACTACGATACGATAACTACGATACGATAACTACGATACGATAACTACGATACGATCATGATCTCACCCTGACACTTACTAGACCCCCGAATCCATCCCAAAAAAGAAAAAAAAAATCTCTACCATGTAATCCATCCGCAAGCAAATTGAGGGGAATGCATCAATCCCAAGGGGGAAAAAAACGACTAACTACTTCCGCCCCCGACGTGGTTTTATATTATATTATATAGAGAATAACTACATTACATAACAGAACCTAGTATAACTATTATTTGCTACCAGTACACAGTAGATTATACAAACCAATCATAACAGAAAAAAATATTAAAATCCTTTAGCACGGAAGCAAAATCCGAGCTAAATAACTTGAATTACTTGCTTACTTGCTTGCTTGTTTTCTTCTAGATCTAAGGGGGGATTTAATCCCATATTTATCTCTAGCATATAAAACATCTAGATCCTAGTAATCTAGTAAATTAGCTAGTAGTTTCTATCCTATAATCAGGATTCAAAGAATCTGTCGCAAACGGATGATTAACGGATTACCGGGTGCTTGCTTTATGTGCTAATAAATAGAGTAGAGTGCAGTTTATACTACGAGTGTATATATATTCATATCTTACATTGCATGGAACTATATGACTATCGAATTTGTCAAAGCGGGCCTAGAAGCAAGAAACTGTTAGTTATACCATACCATCTTAGGGATCTATTTAATATAGGCTTCGAACAATTAGCCTAATGCCTTTGAATGGTGTTATTATTTATCTGAACTGTATTCTTCTATGCACTGACCACTTTGAGTAACTTAGTATGCCAAGCATAAACCTCGGAAAAGAGACGAGGATAACTAGGCGTGGGCTTGGATGTAATATCTCGAATGCTGCTACTACTATCACTACTACTACACTACTGGTGTGATGTTATAAGAGAGAAAAATCTTTTATCATGGATCTCCTTCATTGGGGCCATTCACTTCACAAAGGGATTTTAGAAACAAATCAGTGGTATAGGACATGACAAAAATAGTGCACGCAGTGGCGTTCGATAAAAATCGCTCTGTCGGCTAGAGGAATACGAAAACAAAGAATAAGAAGAAAAAGAAAACAGCGCTTCGTGAGACAAAGCCTCTCCGAACATTATCCCAAACCCCATTATCATGCCACCCCCCTCTTGTGCATAAGACGAAAGCAAAGAAAAATCAAAGAAAAAAGAAGAAAAAAGTGAACATAGCGCAGGTATCGTACATGGAGATCATTTTTTGATAAAGGCCATCGTCTCATTGTCTCGGAACTGCCGTTTCTTAGACACAACTCGTATCGATCGATTATGAAAGAAGGTTCTTTAAGGACGGGCTTGCGCTCGCTCCCGATGCAGTGCTCGTTCCGTTGGCGCCGGCATACCGACTACTGCTTGTTGGTCTCGCTTGGGCGTTCGCCTGGTCCTCGGGCTTGCCTGGGGTGCTGGGCAGCTGAGGATCAACACTGCCCCGCAGTGATGGCGAGTGGGCTGGTGCGCTCAGGACACGATCGACAGAGTACATTCGCGGAGGGCCACCGCTCAGGGAGTGCTGAGGAGAGTGGCGCACCATGGTCGCGTGCACATCCGGCGGAGAGGCAGAAGCTCCATATGGACGTGGTCCTGGAGCATGGACCGGACGAGGCGAGGGCACAGCAACCGGGCCATACGGGCTCTGATGCGGCGGCGGGTAGGCATGAGGAGGGGGTGGTGGCGGCACGCCGTTGGCATAATGCGGCGGCGGCGGGGGAGGAGGTGCGTGATGAGGAGGTGCGGCATAACCGTTCATGTGCTGCGGAGGCGGGGCGTGATAGCCAGACAGGCCGTTGGGTTGCGGTCCGCTCGGGGGAATCCCGTTACGAAGATTGGGATCTCCATATTCGCTCGGTCGTTGTTCATATCCAGGGTACGCGCTATGGGGACTTGCACCTATAGGCCGGGGGAGTACGCCCTGCTGGAGGTGATGCGACTGCTGTCCGTAAACCGGGGGATATTCTGCAAGTCGCGGAGCAGGAAGAACTGGCGCTCCCTGGGAGGAGAAAGGAGATGGTCGAAGCTCTGGGGAAGACTGGACCACAGGCTTTTTAATGTGGCATTTGTGGCATTCATAGGACACAGCGCTCGACTGCGCAGGTGCCCGATGAACGTCATTTGGTGTACCAACAACAGGCTTGTCCGGTGTACTGAAGTCTCCATTGAGTCTAGGAAGCGAGCTCTGGGAGAGGCTAGGAGTATGGAATGAAGGGCTGGCCGAGTTTGCGCTTGGATATCTCGCGTCTCCCGGTTCACTCAGGGTGACTCCATTCATCAAGGGTGTACCGTTTCTGCCCACGGTTCCTCGTAACGTGTTTTCAACGGGCCACCACCTTGGACTGACACTTGTAGAGCAACGGAAGCATTTTTTGTCTGCCTCTGCTGCCGCAGGAGGGTGCGACACCGTATGCCCCTCAGAATCGATGACCATCTCGTCCGATGCCTCCTCTGGGGAAGTCCGCGAACTCTTGCTACCATCCTTTTGAAGAGACACTACTGTGCCATTGGCAGTCGACGCCCGACGATTTCCTGGCGTTGTGCCATTCTGCGTTGAAGCACCAACCGACTGCTGCACATGTGCCGCCTTGCGCACAGTTCCCGTCAGAGTCAGATCGGCCTGCTTGTAGGTCTGCGCAAACAGCTGCAGAGCATTCATGTTTTCTTGGTCTGTTGGCTCGCTCATTTCATGCACTACAGTCTGCAATGCATGGCCAGGACACCAGATACCTGCGGTAGCAGATCCCACCTCTTCACCCAGCTTGATGGTGTTGATGGAATCCTTCCGAGAGCTCTTCACAGGCGTCACGTCGAATCCGAACGTGTATTCGCTTTGGAAGGCACAGCCAACATGGAATTGAGCATTGCAACCAGGGAACTGACAAGGTACGCAGGCTCCCTTGTTCGTCTTGCAGATCCTGCAGACTTCTCTATATCTGTCGGCCGGGATCAATCCAAAGCCCTCTGCAGGTTCCAGTTCCTTCGCGTTGCCGAATTTGATCTCCGGATTCCAGACGGCGCACATCACATGGACCCAGTTGTTTCCTGCAGTTCTCTTCAACGGTTCTCTGGGACCAATTGGCTTCCCGACTGCCTCTTGCCTCTGTCTATAGAGCTTGATTGCTTCAGCGACCATCTCCTTCTCCAGTCGCTCCTTTTCTCGCTCTCTGTCCGTCTTTTTCTTGTGCGTCGACTTGGGCGGTTCCATCAGCTCATGTTCGGTCCATGTAACTGGGCAAAGGACACATTCATACGACGTCGAAATCATAGGATTTCTGTCGTTCAAGCACATATCGCAAAACCATTTCGTACAGTTTCGCGTAGGGCTGACTCCATAGCAGCCGCGATGCACGGTAAGACGACAATCCCGGCAGGACAGATGCTGGTCGCCCATAGGATCCATCTTGTTACAGATGGCACAGGGCAGGGTCTTGGCCTTGGGGGGATCGGGCACGATTTGCGGGGGCTCCGGTGCTTTCTCAGGGGCCGGTTTCTTCTTGGGGGCCGGCTCCACCGAAGTCCCAGTCGAGGGAGCACTATCTTTGTCGGTCGTTTTCGCTTTCTTCTTTGGCGCTTCTGTCGGTGCTGCGGGGGGCGTTATTGTACTGACATTTATGCCAAGAGCCGCTGCGGCCGATGCTGTAGTAGGGCTGAGCTCGTACGGCGTCTCGATGGCCACAAGCAGTTGGGAAAGCAAGTCTTCCTCAACGCGACGGCGCCAGGCCTTGGTTCCACCCTGGGAAATCTTCTTCGAAACTTCATTGATGTCTTCCCACTGCAGTCCGTACTTGCGCCAGACCACGGCACACTGCAGGCACAGTGCGACCATGAGTTGCGAGCCCTTGTCGCGCTTGGACGAAGGCTCAGCCGGGACCGTCGTACCCGGCTGAACAGCAGGCGCACGTCGCCATTGCCGGGAATTCCTTGCATTGCAGAATTTGCACTGGAAGCCACGTTTCTTCTCGACGGCCTTTGCGCTGTCAAAGGCGGAATCGTCCTGATCGTCGGCCACATCGTCCACCAATTTCGCTGTGCTGTTATCGGCCCGTTTGGCGGCTTTCCTTCCTCGTCGTCCTTCGTAGTTGCCCCAGATTTGCTGGCCTCGAGGCGTCTTTTTCCACATATAGTAGAAACGGACAATCTGGTAGTGCGGAACGGTGCCGACATGTTTCGTAACAAGACGCAGCTCCGATCCATATTTTGCCACACCCTGTTCGAAGACTTTAACTTCTTCGGGACGAAGATGGGGCTCCTTGAGCTGGGTGTATTTGTTCACTTGCTTCAGTTTCGCAAGAGCGGCCTCTGCATTGAAGCTCTCTGAATAGAGCAACTGCAGCGCTTTATCGAGGAAGTTCGTAGAATACTTCTCCAGCCCTTTCTCCGGTGCGATTTCCTTGGCTCGTTCCATATAGTCGTCAACGAACTTTTCGCGTTCTGCGAGACTCATCTCCGAACCCGGCGCATCATCTTCACCACGGCTGGGAATCTGAGAAGCCTCTGGCATCTTCCAGAGCAGCTCTGCCGTACGAACCTGCTTCCCGGCCACGGTCACCGGCTCATCTTCTCCACGGCGTACATATCCAGTCGGTTCGTCCATGACCCACTTCGGCCGTTTGGCCCTTTCCTGCTTTTCTGCCTCGATCGCGGCCAAGGCATCTTTGGACAACTTGACCGTACTGCGGCCCGCTCCCTTGGCATATTTCTTCCTGACATCTGCAGGTTTCACGTATTCGACGGGATGTCCGTACCACGGACCTACGTTCGCCTGGTGGCGCGGTCCCAGTCGTGAACTCGCTCGCGGATATATCCGGTCATCGTAATCCAGGGCATCCTCAACACGGCAGTGGATTCCTAGATAGCGATACGGCCACATTCGAGATTGGGCGATCTGATCGGAAGTGGCTGGTTGTGGAAGACTCTCTTCTGCCACTGCAGGAGTGCTGACACCAGTGCCATTGGGCGCTCCCTGCGTATCCTCCTCCTCTTCGTCGAGAATCTCCTCTTCCGCTTCCCCAGCTCCTTCGCCCAGTGAAGGCGTGTTTCGAGCTTCCAGTTTCTGGTCGTGTTTTCGACTGCACGCAGCACAAGCCCACGCGAAACCTCGAGCGGGCTTTTTTGTCAGGACTGGTCGCACGCAATACATATGATAGGTAGATTTGCAGACCGCACAGTCCACGGAATCCGTGCTAGCAGCGTAGCCATTACAGCGCTTGCAGGTCTTGACGGCGCTTGTCAATTCCTTCCGTCGGCCCACCTCGACTAGCACAAATCTCCAGCGCTCATCGAGCACCTTTTTGACGTTCGCGGGCACATTGATCACTTTGCTTGTGGGGATCACTTCGTAGTAGCGGTGGATATATCGGTCGAACATCTTGTCAAACCAGAAAGTATCCTTCGTCTTCCTGTACTCATCCAAGTCCTCAATCTCGGACGTATGTAAGATTTGGCACTTCCCCCGTAACGAGGTCAGGGGGCATGTGTCTGAATGCATTGAGGCGAAAACGAGACGGCAATCGGTCACTTTGCGCTGGATGTCGCGGGGCCGGTAGTACCAATTCACTCTCAGCGCCTCAATGGGTCCGCTGGGATCCTCCTTCGATGGCAGGAATTCCATGATCCGCGCCAGGTAGTATGGTTCGCCGGGTGGTTCGCAAATGAGGTAGACATGATCTAAAATAGCATATCAGTATTGAAATCAATCGAGACGCAATTCGTAAATGACAACGAAGGGGGGGAAAGACGAACCGTTCACTGCAAGGACCGTCCCATCGTCCGCCTTCAGCTTCCCATTCTTCAAGTAAGCACCATGTGTCTCAAAGGTCATCATGTTGGAACCATTCGCCCGACGAGAACCTTCTGGGGCCGTGGTAAAGATTTTCTTCGACGAGCCCGCCGTGTTTTCGGGGGCCGAGCCAGTCCCGCTGGCGGGCTGTTTGCGCTTCCGTGACGCTGTCGATCCCCCGTTGCCAGCATTTGGGTTGGCAGAGAAAGTCGATGTGCCTGGGATCGCCTCTTTGGAGTTCGTTGCGCCGTTGGTGCCATTCACGGGGGCCTGGCCCCGTCGCGTGTTGCCCGCAGGCGTTTTCTCCTGCTCCGCGGCCGGGGAGCCATTGGCGGTGATCTGACCGCTCGTGGCACCGCGTTTCGAACTGCCCGTCTTCTGCGCCGGACTGGTCAACTCGAGTTCCATATCGATATCGCGGTCCTCTGCGTAATTGGGTCGAGGGGCACCGTTTCGACCTCGGGATCGAGTGCCGTAAGGCGCAGGGGTGTTGGAGTTGCTGGCCGGGTCATTACCGGCGACCTCTGAAGAGGATGACATAGTGGCAGTCATGGGCTGCGACTCCAGTCCGTTCACCGCAGAGCCTCGAGCGGGCGAGACGGTGGAGTGGGTGGATTGAGCAGAGGGGTGACCGGGGGCGGACTGGCGGCCCTTGGCCGATGCGGCCCCAGCACCGGAGGGAGAATCAAGCGTGGCGTCAGAAGCCTGCTGCACGTCTCCTGATGGTGACACTTTATCGACGGACATGACGAGGCCTCCGGAGCAGCAGAGAAGCAGCTCCAAGGGCGGCAGGTGCAGGCTGCACTCCGACGGTGCGTCGGTGGTGACAGCAGAAACGACACGGACCAGGACGCGGAGAATGCAAGCTCAAAGAACGGACCGTGGCGGGAATGCGATCACTCATTAGCTAAGACGTGGGCTCGAGCACATACGGAGGAAGACCATCAAACAGTGCAGCCAGCAGATCCTCCTGGGAGAGCGTGGACGGGGGAAGAGCCCGCAGATTTTCTAGGTCTGCGGCCCGCGTTGTCCGCGTGGGAAGCGTTGATATCGGAATATCAAAGTGCTGCCCGGAGGGAGTGACGAGAGTTTGAGGCGCGAACTACCAGAAGAGGACAAGTCCCGGGTGTGAGTAGCCAAGCGGCCGTAGTAAAGTCAGCCGGGCACAGGAACATCAAACAGTCCAGGGAGTGGCTGTATGTCCTGGGAGACTCGAGGGCACGAGACCCAAACGGGGAGTAGGGGAGGAACAATGTTGGCGGGAGTGAAAGGGAGAAGGAAGAGGGAGGAGAGAAGGAAGGCGAAATATGGCGTCAAATGAGGAATGGCAGAGGGAAGTGTAGGGGGGGAAGAAGTGTGAGAAAGAGAGAGAGATGGGGAGAGAGAGAGAGAGAAAGAGAAGTAGTGGGAGAAACTACAATGGTCGCCGCGGCGGCGACCAGAGGCAGCAAAGAAGCGCAGAGAGAGATCCACCCGTCCGTCCAGGCCCGTGGGTGCGAGAAAGTCAAGATGGGGAGAGAAACGCCCGGGCGAGGATGCGTAGTAATCGAGGAAAAGAAGAAGAAGAAGAAGAAGAAGGGAAATGGAGAGGAGAGGAAGAGAAGAGAAGAGAGAGAAGAGAAAGCCGTAGCAGCGGTAGTAAACTACTACAAGACACCGCGTATCCATCCGCCCAGGAATCCCGTCCACGTCCCCAGAGCGCCTAGTCCCGATCTGTTAATATGACGGATCCTCCACCAGGGAAAAAAAATGACCAGAAAAGCATGTCGAGTCTGTCTTTTTTTCCCTGCGCGCTGGTGGTGGTGCTTCCCACGCCGTCCGTCTGGATTTCCCCTTGCTCGGGTGGACGATCTGCCGCTGCGGGTGATATGGAGTCGAGGGTTGTCTAGTCTAGAGTACGGGGTGATGAGGAAGGCCAGAGAGGGTCGATATTATTACAGAATACAGAATACAGAATTCCCACGAAGCGGACTATCCAGCATCATCCACCAACACAATGGGAGGAGGAGGGAAGATAAAGGGAATGAGGGGGGTTGGTAGTGGCGGTGGTTATGGTTAGGTTATGGTGGTGGTGTTACTACGCCTGGGATGCTGTCGAGCTTCCCCCCGTAGAAATTGAGAAATATGGATGCACGATGGCGACGGACGGCCAGGAATGCTCAGCGGGCCGTCGTGCGTGAAAAGCTGCAGCCCCCGGAGCGGGTTGGATCTCGAGGTCAAGTCGACAGAGAGTGGTCGATAGGCGGTTTCAAAGGGAGCATGTCGACTAACTAATACGGTAGTGACTATTAGTTATTTAGTCCCGACATCAATCCATCTCGTGTCCGGGCCATCCCCCGTCTGGTTCGTGTTCTCCTCTGCCCTAATGACTAACGACGATGAGATTGATTGCGGATAATGATGACGATGATGATAATACTGATGATGATGGTAGTGATAGTGATGGTGATGGTGAGGGCGGAGGGAGGGGAGGAGCGCAGATGGTGTTGATTTGACCTTCCGGTTGGCGTCCGACGATACCGTCTGACGTGCAAAAGGACCAGATATCAGATTCCATATTATCATTATGTACAGTAGTTAGTATTCTTATGTTGGTTATTTAACCTCGCTCCGACAGACAGACTAGACCCGACCCGGGGCGATTGTTAGTAACATTAGTGTGGGTTTGGCCCTCAACGGGCAATCGACGAGAAGCCAACCCTGATCGCTGCACCATCGGGATCGATCCCAGAGCCTCTCCCGAAATTGCGGGTTACAGGCGAGAAAGAGATTAACATTAAACGACAGACCTGCTCGAGGACGTGAAAAAAAAAGATGGAGTTTCGGTCCGAGGCGCTGGAGGGTTGAGGTAATAATAAAACTAGCGCCGGGGAGCGACTGTTTCGACCCCTCCCCTGTGAGGATCGTTTCCCCTGCCCTGCCAGAGCAGAGATGAAATACTCTAGTCACTTAGTGAATTACTCTAAGAGTGTCGATGCCCCAACTTCACCCACTCACGCTAACCACACTGGTCAGACGGGCCCGGCAAGACGGTTGCGATGATATTTATTATTATTACGCTGCGCTGCACTGTATGGTACTGCAATGCACACTGACTGCATACCAAGCCAAAACTCAGTTTGATGGCACGGACACCCCAGAGCGTCTACTCCAGGAGGAGCATTTCCAACCGCTTCCAAACACCAGCTCATTCGAAAGAAAGTACCATATCTGGCGGGATTGGAGAGGTTGCCAGGATTTGCCACACATCGGCTGCCACAGCAGAGGGGTGGGCTTGGCAGCAGATCATCTGGTCGAGGCACGTTTGGGGGATGAGATGGACGGTGGGCATATGCCATATGGTAGTTATGTATTATTATTATTATTATTATTCCTCTACTTACTAACTAACAATAATCATAATAATAATAATAATACTCGACTACAACTTGTGACCTTTCCGTCTTTCGCAATCCTGCTATCTCCTCTCTCCAGGATCCCTGTTCTAATCCAGGTCTTTCCGAGCGATTCCCGGTCGTCATCGGAGTCTCGGGTTGGTCGGCGACCTAGGTCAAGCCAGGTGGCCATTGTCATCTATTATATGATTATTGATTACGCGGTTGTCTTCGATAGCCTTCTTTCTTTCTTTCTATCTATCCTGACTGCCACAGATGCTGGCCTTCGAGCCGTACCATTCCCTGCGATCTTTGTTCGGACTTCTGACAGAGACTGAGGATGCGGGCGGTCACCGATGTCAAGCAGCGTTGCGTGGCTAACTAGGAGAGACGATGTGGCGGGCCCGTAATTCATGCACGCGATAGTTAACCGCGACGCTGCAGGAATAGGAACAACTATCGATCCCAGCACCACAAAATCGAAAGATGACAGGTATCAACATCTCCATCCCGTCGCAAAGCAAAGCAAAGCAACGCAAAGCAATCGACTTCGTATACTTTCTTGTATTATTTGGAAGAAGTCAGAACACGGGGAGACGGTCTGATCAGAAGCATCGGGATCGTAATTACCGTCTGGCTGGCTCGCCCGTGACGGATCATGATTATGGTCGACTTCTTGACGGGGTCTGTCGGCTTAGAGTAGATGTGCCGCTGGCCAATCAGAGACTGCGACATCTGCTCGCAGGAAGTCTCCGAGTTAGTCAGTTAGTACTCCGTAGTAACTAGTTAGTTATCTGGAGTACCATATGGTACATTAGGTAGCTGGAGGTGTGGCCTGGCTACGGAAGTACAGGATAATAATATTTCATCAGTATCAATGTTATATATGATCTATAATATATATGAATACTATCATGAATGATCCGGAGTGCTTCTGCCAAGACAGAGCCTGTGCTGGCGGCGGTGTGATCCGAGCGCGCTGTCAAGTCCATCCCCGGTTGGCCAAACGGGTGATGGGCAGAGGATCCAGGAACCTTCCGCAGGGCTGTGGCTGCCTGTGGATTCAGGCATCACTGGTTAGTTAGTGTACCTCAGGTTACTCCTCGCCTTAACTACCAAGTCAAGTTAACTAATAATAATAATAATACTTAAACTACTCCAACGGACGTGAAACTCGAAGCTTTTCCCCCAACCGCACCGTCCATCGCGCTGCTCAGCTCTAGTCAACAGAATTCAAGCAGCACTCACACACACAAAAAAGGAAAAAAGAAAAAAGAGAGAACAAAACACTAACTGTGGAGCATCCCCCCTCCGCTTGAACCCCCCAGACTCTACTCGCTGCGGTGGACAAGAAAGAATGCCTGCACGTTGCCTGCTCGTCAGCTCGATCTGACCGCGAGTGCCGCGAGCATGTCGGACCAACCGTTCCAGACGCATGGCTTCCAAACCTCCGTCGACCTCGCCCGCAGGCAGACGTATTCCACCACCTCGACAGCTACTACTACTACTACTACTACCACCACCACCACCCCGCTGGCGGGGGTTAAGCGACCCTGGGGCAGTATTAACAACAACAATTCTTCGAGTGTCGATCCTCCCGTCCTTACCGACCGCACAATAATCAGCAATCAACAAAATAGTAATCCGAACCATGTCGCGTCGCCGGTCGAGTTCGTTCGCGCGTCCGCCTCCACTCGCAGGAACCGCATTGCCGCTAGTGCCATTCGCTGGGCCCCCGGGGCCGTGTCCGCGGACCAGCTGCCCTCCGAGTACTCCCAGAGGACCGCGGTGCCTTCGACGCCAGCGCCCAGCCAGAATGCCCTGCTGTCTCTGCGCAGTCCCAGATATGGGTTGCCGGCTGCGCTGGTTGCCAATTTCGAGGCCCTGGGCGTCAACAGTATTTATCCGTGGCAGGCCTCATGCTTACTGGGGCGGGGCCTTCTCACCGGTGAGAAGAACCTGATCTATACCGCCCCGACTGGAGGTGGGAAATCCCTCGTAGCAGACGTCTTGATGCTCAAGAAGATCATCGAGAACCCAACCCGCAAGGCCATCCTCGTACTGCCCTATGTGGCCCTGGTGCAGGAGAAGCTGCGATGGCTGCGCCGTCTCGTCGAGGGCGTCTCCAAGAACGTCGCGGAGGATGATGACGATGACGCGCAGATGACCAGCGGTCGTTGTGCCTGGAGACAGCAGCAGAAGTCCATCCGGGTAACAGGATTTTTTGGAGGCAGTAAAACCAGATCGACGTGGGGGGACACCGATATCGCGGTTTGTACTATAGAAAAGGTGCGCAAGACACCATCCATGGGGTCTGAATCGCACCCACCTCTGATCAGAAAGATAGGCCAATTCTCTTGTAAACACCGCCATCGAAGAGTGCAAGATCGACGACCTGGCGGTCGTCGTCTTGGACGAGATCCATATGCTAGATGACGAAGGTCGTGGCTATCTCATGGAGCTGATGATCACGAAGCTCTTGCTCTTGCAGCAGGATATCCAGATCATCGGCATGAGTGCCACTCTTTCAGTATGCCTCTTGCTGCGAACAGATTGTAGACGTTGGATGATGTTGACCAAGACTGCAGAATACGGAACTCCTGGCGCAGTGGCTACGCGGGAATTACTACATCTCCAAGTACCGGCCCATCCCCATAGAAGAGTACCTGGTGTTCGAGAATGCCATCTACCCAGCGGCCAATGCGAAAGAGTTCTTCCGGACGGCAGCCCAGCTGAACACGACCGCCTCTCAAGGTGCTGTAGAACCCTACAGGACGATCGACAAATCGGAGTTTAGAGAGTTGGCAAACCCCATGGCGAACGCCATGGTCGCATTGGCCGTCGAAACGGCGACAGCAGGTTATGGCGCCTTGGTGTTCTGTGGCAGTCGCCATGCCTGCCAGATTAACGCCGCCCTCATCAGCGAGGCAATGCCAGAGCCTGCAAACTTGGATCCCGGCGTGTTGGAGCGAAGATTGGATCTCTTGGCTGATCTCCAGAGCCTTCCTTCTGGCCTCGACCCGGCCTTTCAGAATACGATCCTCAAGGGAGTTGCTTTCCACCGTGAGTACCCTTGTCTCGTGGAGACTTGCTGCGGAAAACTGACAAGATCAGATGCTGGATTGACCACCGAAGAACGGGAGCTGGTCGCGCGAGCTTACGACCAAGGCATTTTGAGAGTGCTTGTAGCGACCTGCAGTTTGGCTGCAGGGGTGAACCTCCCTGCGAGAAGAGTCATCATGCATGGCGCTCGTATGGGTCGAGAGTTGATAGGACCCGCGATGTTGTATGTTCTGTTTTAGTCCACTACTCTTAGCATCGCCGACTGACTGTCACAGACGCCAGATGCGTGGTCGCGCGGGTCGTAAAGGAAAGGACGAGGTGGGAGAAACCTATCTCATCTGTCAGAAGGCCGATTTGGAGGCCGTCGCAGAACTCTTGGAGGCAGAGACACCAGCCATTGCCAGCGGACTTGCTCCAGAAAAGAGGGGTGTCAAGAGGTACGTCGTGAACCTGCTGTTCCTGGGCAGAGTCGTTGACGTCGTACAGGGCACTTTTGGAGGCCATAGCAACCCGGCTGGTCTCAGGTCGCGATGCGATCAAGGAATACGTTGAATGCACGCTCGTCTACCGGACCGCAGATAACAAGGATATATACAAGATGATGGATGCGACTCTGCAGGAGCTGGTTGATGAGGATCTCCTACGACGGAAAGACGATGATTCATACGAGCCAAGCGAGTTGGGACAGGCCATCGTCGCCTCCTCCTTCTCCCCTGAGGACGGCATGTTCGTCTACGAGGAGCTCAAGCGGGCCTTGCAGGCCTTCGTGATGGACGGGGATATGCACGTCTTCTACATGTTCACTCCACTGCAGGTTGCTCTTACCATTGAGATCGACTGGCCGATATTTAGGGACCAGCTCGAGAATCTGGACGAGAGTGGCCTGCGAGCTCTTCAACTTGTTGGCGTACAACCCGGCTTCGTGAATACTATGTAGGTCCTGCTGCATGATGTTTCCTAGGGTAGCCCCATATCTAACCCAACGCAGGGTGCAAGCTGGGTCCTCTCTAAAAGAAAACACCCCCGCGCAGATCAAACAAGCCCGAATCTATCGCCGTGCCTATACGGCTTTCCAGCTACGCGACTTAAGCAACGAAGTCCCCCTCTCCACGGTCGCTCGTCGCTACCACACCCCGCGAGGCGCGGTCCAGAATCTCGCGCAGACCTGTCATGGGTTCGCCGCCGGCCTGGTCAAGTTCTGCCAGCGCATGGGCTGGGGCATGCTCGCCGTCGTTCTCGATCACATGCGCGATCGCCTGGAAGCTGGTGCGCGAGCAGATCTCCTGGAGATGGCGCAGGTCGCCTACGTCAAAAGCTGGACTGCACGGGTTCTGCGCGAGAATGGGTTCCGGAGCGTATGTGAGCTCGCGCAAGCAGAACCAAAGGATCTGGTCCCGGTGCTTATGATGGTGAGTTAGCCCTTTACGATTTGGCTAACTAACCAGCTAGCTAGCTAGCTGGATGGATAGATCACTGACCATTCTCCAAACCTAAAGGCCAACCCGCGCAAAGCACAGAAACATCAACAATATCCAAAAGAAGCAGAGCGCTACGCGGCAAAACTCCTCTCCAAGGCGGAGACCATCGTAGCATCAGCAAATAAACTTTGGGGTAACTATGTCTTTACCATCCCTCAGTCTATAGTTATGAGAACTAACCGTGAAACCTTGGATCCGCAGAGCGCCAAATGCAAGTCGAGATAGACGAATGAATCACATTCCGCTAAACTTCACAATGTACCATCCTGGATGCGTCGTTTGGGGGGTATACAGGGAAGTTTTATCAGCTGCCTGTCCTGCGTCCTCGTATATCGATACCACATATTTTGGGTAGGGGACTGCTTATCACGGCATTGGATAGGATATATTTCAGAGTTACTTGGAAGAATTCATCATATGAAGCAGGGGTCTTTCACTGAGTGAACTATATACTTGTATGTATATAAGTCTGGTTTAGTGTATCCAAAACACATATCATCTACAAATTCCGCATCCTACCTACTCTTCTAGATAATCCCGTAGGGCAAGATGTCAGACATATGTTACGATTGCACGAATATGAATAGAAATACAAAAGCTACAGCATAAAGATATATGAGATATATAATATATACTACCACACCACACCTAACACATCCAAAACTATTTACATACACATCGATCTACCAATAACCATCCAACCCAACCCGTCCCTGCCCCCTTTCCTTCCTAAAGAGAGAGAGAGAAAACGCACTCTTCTCAAGAATCCGAAAACCCATTCAAACTCTCCTGCGCACCCAAAACATCCCCCTGATCCGTGAAATCCACCAAGACGAAATTCGGCACCCGACCATACAACCCCTCACACAGACTCGCCTGGGCACCAATACTGCCATTCCCACTGACGGCATTCGTCGTCGGGGCCGCAACTCGATCGGGCACTAGCACGCCCAGGATATCGACGTCGAGAAAGTGATTGACGATATACATGCGGCCGGAAGCGGAGGCGCCGGGGGGTCGGTCGATGGAGCAGTTGGAGAAAGAAGGGTCGGTTACGTCGTAGGGTGTTTCGAAGAAGTAGGAGAATTCATCGAGGATATAGGGGACGGAGGTGGTGTTTGCGCCATAGTCTGGGTTGTGTTAGTTTTCCAATCAATATTATATATATATATATATTATATGTGCTTCCGTATTCTTTCAGGGGGAGATACTCACCCAAGAAAACAACCACCCTCGTCCCATTCCCAATCAAATCACTCAACGTCGGCCAATCCCCAAATCCCAACACACCAGGACTAGACTCAGGAACAAACACATACTCCTTCACCCCCGCACTCTCAAAAGCAGCATCGAACTCCTCCACAGGAACATTATCCCCATTCGTCAAAAGCAGCGTCACGACTTCATTCGCATTACTCTCCTCATCCACCCACCCCTTCACCGTCTGCAGGAACGAGACCAGCGATCCCCCATCTTCAAGCAGACAGGACGTGTGGCAGAGGTCGAGCTCGCCTTCGAGGTTTTTGTGCGTTTGGCCTTGAAGAAAGCGGATGCCGAAATCGAGCTGTTGGGTGATGTTGAGGTTTTGGTTGTCGGAGGGGAGGTCGCCGATGAAGGGGGAGTCGTGGGCTCCGATTAGACTGATGTTGGAGTATTGGCGGGTGCAGAATTCGATGTGGCCGTTGCAGGGGGGTTGTTGTTGGGCAAAGGTGGTGGTGGATGTGAAGAGGAGAGAGAGGATTGGAAGGAGGGGTTGGGTTGTTTTCATGGTGGGGTTATTATGTTTATTAAGTAACTTGTTTAGATTATATATTTGAGAGTGGTGGTTCTTTCTAGGAGTCGTATGTATGATAATAATAATGATGAAGCAAGATGCATGTATGTTGTATGTATGTACATGCATATGGATATGGATATACATACAATCAAGCTACAAAAAGATCTCAAAAGGCAAGTGCAACCGCATCTATAAGTAAACATTTCCCCCCCGTCCCTAGAATATCAACATGAAAAGGGAGGATGGATCGACCGGCTGATCTAGACATGGGGATGCGAAAGCGAATGCAACATACCCATGTCCATCTAATCTAGCGTAGTGTCATAAGTAAGTTATGTATACATACTCCAAATAAGCGAGATTATCTAGTCTCCAGGGGGGGGCCAACCAACGGGATTGATTCAAGAGCCACATGTGGCCCGGGTCCGCGGGCAGAAATGTACCGTAACGGGGACTTGAAACTTCTCAGCCTGTCGATGCTCGATGCCCATCTGGCTTTCTATTGCGTTTATGGTATTCTCACGGGGGATTATTTTTACAACTTATTACTATTATATTGGTACCATGTGCCGAAGAAAATGAACTCGTATGTATCCTCGTGGGTTGTAATGAGCATTCATCCTGAACAAATAGCCCTAGCACGTGCCGTTCATGGGGATGTGACTGCACCAGCTGGTTATGGTGTTCCTGATCCAATACTCGAATCTGTTAGCTGGTCACTTGCGTCGAGATGGTCCTGTAAAGAGCATTTCACAGTGATACTGGTCTGACGTTTCTTATGGTGTTCATTACTGTATTAGATGCCTCTGGAGAGGATACAGGAGACTGGCAATAGCCCCGGTCCCAACTCAGACAAATAAATAAATGAAAAATAATCACTGCTGTGTTGAGAGGGCAAACTCCATGCTGGCCATTATTGAATATTTGCTGCAAACAGCAGCACTGTCTCACAGCACTGTCTCAATAGTACCGAGAGAAGCGATGGAGATATCACCAGCCTCGGTGGCTTGTGGGGAAGCGTTGGTTCGGCCCCAGCCTCCGCACCGCACCGCCTTGGCCCAGGCAGCTTCAACTGTCAACAGTCGGCTGATTTCGTGCTCTGCAGTTGCGCTCACTGCTGTTTGTGCCTTGAGCTGGGTCTATGCTGTGCCAACACTGATGCACAGAAACTGATTCGCTCGGTTTTCTTCTGCTTCTCTGTTTGCTTCCCAGAAGAAGAGCACGTCCCGCGGACTTGGCGCAGCTGAGCTCAACGGCTTCCGGTACCTTCCTCACGGCGTTCCGATTTTCTCTGCGATACAGGGAGCGATGATAATTCGAAAGTATCGCCGATGAGCTCCACGATTGAGGGGAGTGATGACGGGGACCGAGAGGATCAGCTCGACCTGGACCAGGACGACGAAGAGCTCCCTCTGCAGCCTAACGGACATACAGACCATGATCGGCCGGCCGAGGACGTGAATGATGCGCCGGCGCATAACGGGGAGCCATTGTCCGTCACGAAGGATGAAGGCCAGAAGAGCCCATATCTCAATTCGCCTGCAGACGTGGCTTCGGATGGAGTGCTATCTTCCCCCCGTGGCTACACTGCGCGAGCGCCGGGAAGCGTGGATGATACTGCTTCAACGCCGGATGACACGCCATCACTGCATGTCAGTTGCGGCCCTCGCAGTCGACTGTTGAACGGTCATCACTAACAAATAACAGGGATCACTCCGTTCGTCGCCCAGCAGCAGCACATTGCCGCTTCGAGGTCACTCTCGCCTCAGCCCCAGTCCGTCACATCGCCCTTTCGATCTACGATTCCAGTCTCGTCTCTCGTCCTCGTCTCTAAGTAGCCCTCGACCGTCGTCACCGTTCTACTTCCAGCGCCACTCACGGCAATCGTCCCTCGCGAGTCGACTCTCCCCCAGTCGCACAGAATCGGAACCAGAATCCCCTCAGACGCCCTGGGACGTCGTGAGGTGGACGAAGCTGAGGAAAGTAGCAGGGCAGGCGTTCTCGGAAGTTGGGAAACGCAACTTTGGAAGGCCGACCTGTCTGGCCGTTTCAACGACCATTGTCATCGGCACATCGAAGGGTATTATACTTGTATTTGACTATCAGCAGAATCTGAGAACTATAATTGGGCCGGGCACCAAGGGCATGTTCCACCCTCCTCCCCGAATTGCGCGTGATGCATGTATTGATCGTGTCCACAGCTGTCGAATCCGGTGCGGTGACGTCTCTTGCGCTCTCTGCGGATCACTCGACGGTAGCTGGAGGCCACGCCTCGGGCGACATATATACCTGGGAGATTTCGAGATCAGCCCGGCCTTTTCTTCATATACCCCCCATCTCCCCAAACCAGCTCGAAACTCAACATGCAGATGGACATATCGCAGGCGTTTCGGTTCTTCACGTTGGGTTTCTGGGAACCCGACGGACGGCACTGGTATCAGCAGATGACCGTGGCATGGCCTTTTCGCATCTGGCAACGCGAGGTATGGGTGCCGTTGGGCGGACGGTAAAGACAACGAGGATCTTGGGACGGTATCCGGAGAAGCCTGTTCCAGGGAGTCGACCGCGGAAGCCGAGTTCGGTGCTTGCCTTCTCGCCGCTTCCCCTCGGAAACGTCGAACAGGCGACTGATTCCTTAGGTCTAGTGGCTATGCTCACACCATATCTCCTTGTCGTGGTTTCGACTACACCGATTGCGCAGACACAGCACAAGGCCCCACGGCCGAGAGAGGTCGCATCGCACGGTGCCATGACCGCAGCCTTGGCTTGGTTTCCCGCAATAAAGCTAAAGGGGAAGGACTCGCAAACATCGAAGACGAAACTCGTCTACTGCTGGTCAAACGTTCTCACGGTGCTAGAAGTCTCCGAAGTTGAACCCGAAGATCCAGGTGACAAGGATCGGCCTCCGGTGTTAGAGTTTCGACCGCGAAGCAGATGGAGGGCAGATGAGGCCATCGTCGCAGTGCAATGGCTGAGCCGATCTGTACTTGCAGTGTTGACCATCACCCAGCAATTACTTATCGTTGAGGATACCACGTTACGCGTGACGGACTCATTCGACCTCCTACAGAAGCATATTTACCATGCTGATTTATTCTCCACCCAGTTGCACTCGCTTGTTGAGCAATATAACGAGGAGGATCCCTCGATGCATGGCGTGGTGGCTGATGCATTCTACATGAGCTTCCGTGCTTACAAAGGACGACTGTTTCTCCTTGGCTTTAACGATGTATCCGTTGGCAGTTTGTCGAACTGGGCCGACAGATTGCTTGCTCTTATGGAGGCTGGAGATTTCATCGGGGCCATTCGACTTGCCACTGCATACTATAGGGGAGATACAGAGAGGCTCACCGTAGGACTCCCTGAAGAAGATGAATTGAGACACGCCGTTGTCCGGGAGAGGCTGATGGAGATGATCTCGGCATCTCTCAAATACGCTTTTGGGAGGAACAGAGAGGCCAATACGGAACGTCTTGAGAAGCCACAGCTAGAAGATCTTGCAGAGGCATCTCTGGCAGCTTGTGTTTGCATCGGAGACGAGGATTTCCTCTGGGAAGAAGTCTACAACTGGTACGAAGAGAACGACTCGACGGGAACTTTTCTCGACGTCCTCGAATCGTACATTGTCGATGGTGATATACGATCGCTTCCCCCCACCGCCGTCAAGGCTTTGATCAGTCACTACGCTACGAACCACACATCCACCCGACTGGAGGAGATAATATGTCTTCTGGACACCACTACAATGGACATTGATCAGGTCACCTCTCTGTGCAAGCAATATAATCTCTACGACGCCTTCATATATGTCTGGAATCGCACTCTTGGGGACTACATCGGGCCATTGGAGGAGTTAATCGGATTTGTTCGCCGTTTACAACAACCCCTCGTCAACGGGAATGCTGGCAACGAAGAAACCTACTATAATAATGCAGCGAAAATATTTCCTTATCTGTCCTTCGTCCTCACCGGCCGCATCTATCCGACGGGAGAGGAGATGGACGAGCCCGAGTCCACAAAGGCGAAGGCCGCGCTTTATGGATATCTATTCTCTGGCCATCGGTCGGCTCCAGTTTCCCAGGCGCATGATGGCTTCGCAAATCTCAGGGCCATCCTTGGATTTGACTCGTCTAGTTTTATGAGCATGCTCAACGAGGCGTTTGAGGATAGCTTCTTAAACGAGGCCGCAGACCAGACCAGCCCCGTCGAGGAGCCAGAAATCAACCCGCTCCTGGGCGTTTCTGTCAACCGGCAGTATATCATTAGTATTTTGCTCGAGGTGATGAGCCCGTCTGAGTTCAGTGCCGCCGATACGATTTATCTAGACATGTTCATTGCGCGGAATTTGCCCAAATACCCCCAATATATCCTTCTGTCAGGCACTACCCTCCATCAGGTTCTTGTGCGGCTGTGTCAGTTTCCCAGTGAGGAGATGGCTGAGGATTGCGAACTCAGCGTCGAGTATTTGCTGTCGATGTACCGTCCGCCGGATATCCAGAGTTTGATACCACTCTTCAAAGAGGCGCGTTTCTACCGGATTTTGAAGTCGACGTACAGGTCAGAGAAACAGTTCCCCGAGTGGATCCTGACGTACCTCGAAGATGAGAGTGAACAGGAATCTGTGTTTGCTTGCATCCAGGACTGCCTGCGCCCGGGCTCTGGGCTCGGCAAGAAGCAGCGACGGGACGTTCTTGATGTGATCAAGAGCCATGCTAGGCAACTGGCAGATATCGATGTCACCAAGGCTGCTCAGACGGTTCAGGACTACGCTTCTCATTTGCATGAGAGCTTTCTGCAAGCTTTGGACGACGACACATATAGACAATTCCTCTATCTTTCCAGCCTTCTCGAGCCAAACAAGAAAACCGCGGCCGAAGGCGGATCAGCCAAGGGTCTCGAGAACTGGATGCTAGAGCGCTATGTGCAGCTCATGTGCAAATACAACCCGTCTCATGTTGCAGATTTCGTCGATTTCCTCCGGGCTGGCGAACTCCGGCTTGAGGAAGTGCTACCGTTCATGGAGGAGAGCGGCGTAGTGGACGCGGCCGTGATGTTGCTGGCAAGACAGGGTCAGGTCCGAGTTGCGATGGACAGACTCATCGCTCATCTCAGCACGCTTGAGTCAGCCTTGGTCAGTCTGCTTCAGAACGCAGGGGCGAGTCCCGATATGGATAGTACCACAGAAGCCATCGCCGGCCTCCTCGAGTCTTTCGAGAAGTACACCCAGGTTGGCACCTGGTTATGCCAGAACCAGACCAGAACAGCTAAGAAGGCCCGGTCGCTCGGGAAAAATGGGAAGCGTGGTGTCGACATTCTCCAACAGCCGCTGTCGTTTGAGGAGGATCTTTGGCTTGATCTCATCGAAACCGTCGTTCGCATTGCGCGCAACGTCTCATCGCTATTACATGCCAGCGACACAGATGCGGACACAACAAAATCTGTATGGTCAAGTGCCTCTGGCGCTGATGGAGAGGATAGTGGTCAATTGACCATCTCCTTTCGCAAACTGGTGCAGCAGGTGTTCACGGCTCTTCTGACAAGCACTGCCCAAACCGGGGCTTCGACCACCGACAGGACAGACATGTCCTTTCTCCGCATCTTGCGCGCCTTTCTCACGCGGGCTGCGAGCTGGTCCCCATCCCTGACCGAACTCCGTTCCGTGCTCGCTTCCATCTTCGCCGCGTACGCCTACGAAGAGGCTCTTCTGTCGTTAGCCAACGGCATGCTGGATAAGGACCTGTTTGTCCATGTCGACGAGGTGACAAAGTTGCGGCAGCGCGGTTGGCGACCACGAGGTCAAGTCTGTGAGATCTGCCGGCAACGAATCTGGGGTCCCGGTGCGGGGTCACAAGTATGGACAGCGTGGGAAAAGAAGCAAGAAGAGCAGCGTCAACGCCGCGAAGTCAAACGGGTCGAGAGTAGCATCGACCATGCGACCTCTCGAGGCAAAGGGAAGGCAGCTGCTGAGCCTTTACGGCACTTTGACCTCGAGCGACATGAGGACGGCGGGATTGATGAAACCTCGGGGTCAAAGGGCGGGCGAGGCGTCAGCATCCCCGGTCCGGTGGTCGTTTTCGCCTGTCGACATCTGTATCATCGACAGTGCCTACTGGATACACCTCATCTTCAACCCCCGGGAAGAGCATCACATGCCAACCGGGAGCGCAGTCATGTCGTGCATGAAGGCTCTAACCTGGAATTCTCCTGCCCGACGTGTACATAGTTCTTTTCTTGGGCAGGGAAGTCTGGGATAGTATCACGGTGTCATGTATGTAGTAGTGTAGCAGCCATTTGTCATGTCCTTTTTTTCTCCCTTCACTTCTTTTCCTTTTTACTTTTCGGTGTTACTTGGCGCTCGCACCCTTCCTGGTTTCATACACCCCTCCATGTTACCGCGTAGTCATTCACGAAGCAAAGCTTCTGTTATTTTTTCCTCATTTGGATCAACAATTTCGGCCATCACACCTATCTATCCAGCAGGCGGTGGTCCTTCATCACCATTCTTATCCCTCTAAGGTAGAAAGGAAAGAGTGGCCAGTAAAACTACGCCAGCTCATCAACGCGTCTCTGTAGGGCCCGGTTGGTTGAATACAAGCTATGCTGATAAGAAGTTGGGAACTAAGCATCGAACTGCCAGCGCGCGCTAATTAATCTCTTGCGCTGGGAGCCATGATAGTTCTAGTTTGCAGTCATGAACGCGTTGTGAGATGATGGTGGTGGGATGGGATGGATGTGCTTGCCCAGGCCCCAAGGTATTAAAGAACGCTGAATTTTAATACGACAAGCGTCGAAGGACTCTCGAGGTGTTTCGCATCTGGCCGCAGGCGCTCAGTTAATACTGGAGAGAACGAGAGAATAATAATAATAAGGCGCCCACAAAAATAAGCCATAGGATCCTTCTTTACAGCGCGTACTTAAAAAAAATTTATGTGATAGCGGCCTGATACTACTACGTACTTACAACGCCTCCGGCAGGTTATTAGTTAGCGGCAAGCCACATCATTTTACCCAGATGTTGCTGTCCATCCGTCGCATTGGACCTTACCCCTGCCGAGAAAAAAAAAGAGGCGTTGTTGATGAGCCTTGAGGTGACGAGTGCTTCCAAGTGGAATGATATCGCTCTAGACTGGTAGTAACTTGATTAGGAAGGGAAGATTAAACTAGACTATCTAGACAAGGGGCGCAAAAAAGAAAGGCCTTTTGCTGTGATTCTAGATTCTAGATTCTAGAACGTAGATAGGTAGATGTAACTATACGTGGTCCGAGGGGCTCTAGAGTAGATACTGTACATACCTTGTTCGATTCGACCGAGTCTTTCCCAACGGCGCCTCCACTAGAAAGAAAAGAAAGAAAAAAAAAAAAAAAGAATAACCCGCGATGCTATCTACTCCGTAGACTAGGGTGGATTTTCTGCAGTTAGTGTAGTTTATTGTTCTTCGAGTTGTTGGTTCCTGGTTCCATGGTTCTGAGATCCGGGTCGTTGTTTCAGGAACTTGTTTCAGGTTCTTGAAGGTTTTCTTTTTTCAGTGTGGGTTAAGCTTCTCTTGTGGGGGGGGAGGCGAGTTTACTTTTACATTCTAACTGGTAGTTTTAGTTAAATACATAGAGTAACTAGTTACCGCTGTGATCCTGGGCTGGTGTACGTATTATTGAATATAACTAAGATGTATTATTAGTTAGTTATAGTATTACTTCCTTGGTAATTGCCTTTTCTGGTCTCTAATCTGGAGAATATTCGATTATGATTCTTCACTTAACTATAGGGAGTTACTGGCTTTGTGATTATTATTATTGTGAAGAGCCACAGCAGTAGTCGATAATATTTCATGGCTGCTCGCCTCAACTGGCCAATTAATGACGCGGGATCACCTGCGGCTGACGTATTCCACCGGTAACATTACGAATAAGTTACATGCCATTACGCGGAAATCCATCCATGTGGCTTTGGGGCTTTTTTCTTCTTCTTTTACTTAAAGAAGAGAAATTGCTAGTATATTATTATGACCTTTTCATCAAGAGGTTCTTTTTAACGAGGACTAGGGCGAATAAGAGGAACGGCAGTGTTTCTTACTCTAGGATTATTCCTGCTTGGCCCAGTGGTACAATGCGCGGATGCAACGTGGCGGGAAGCATTAATGATGAGGTCTTATTGACCCTTAATAATAATCACAGGGGGCTGGGAACGAACAAAATCCTGAAAGCGTGTCCGTTATATTACTCTTCATGCTCTACAGGACGGCATAGGATATTAATAATGACTAATGATACATACCGGTGTGTCCAGAACTTCACAGTCGGCGGAAAGGATGATGGTTAGATAATTATGTATTGTATGTACCTATCTAGTGCGTTCTGGGACGGGTGACTGAAAACGCACAACTCTGTATGGGGACAGAAGATCGACAGATGCTATGCCTCAGATGGCAGTGATGGCCGTCTGATGTTCAAGTCTTCTGCCGCCCTCGTGGTAACGGTAGCGCTCGTAGTAAGTCGTAGAGTAGTCGAGATCCTGAGGATGAAGATAAGTAGATAGTTTTACCGCCGGTAGATAGTTGGTCTAGTGGTTAGCAGGTACTAGGTAGGAAGTTGAACAGTTAGGTAGGAACTTGGGATACTAGCAGAGAGTGCTACTAGCTAGACAACTAGGTAGCAATTTCAACCAAGATAATGGAACAACTGGTGCCAGTGCTGATGGCCGATGTAGACTGATATTCTGATAGGGCATGGGCACTCCCCCTCCTGGACACACAGTCAAGTCAGCTGCATTATCTTCCATCCCCGTTAATTCTACACACCGAAAGATGTATGGATGATTATTATTACTCGAATGGCATGCTTCCTCGGAAGATGATCCGCCACGCAACAAGTGACCTGCATCGTCCTGAAACGCGACACGTACAGTGCAATCGAAAAAGCTTAGCTGAATGGCGGGTGAGCGAGACTCAGATCAACCGATCTGATCATCCCTTCGGGCTTCTCGAAGCAGATTAGATGGACGAACATGGTCGACATGTCGAAGAGGCCCTCTGCGACATCTCATTGGGGTAGTCGAAGGCACGCTAACATCGCATCGGCGCGCCCCTCGCGACGGGCTGGAGTCCTCTGAGGCCGCTGAGACCTTGAACATGGCCGCTGGATGATCCGGTGGCAGGGAACTCCTCCGCCAATATACTTTTGGACTAAGATGTCGCCTGGGCCGTACCTGAACTCGGAGCCAACAACGTCGTCCTGACCGATGTTTCGAACGCCCCTCGGGATAGCCGCCCTCTCCGCTGTGGGAATATCGGTGGATGCATCACCGCGATGCACAAACCCACAGGAACGGGCAATCCATCCCTTTCAGCATTCAGGAACTCCTCTCGCTACACGGCCTGTGTCGTGATTATCCCGCTGTTTACCATTCCAAGATCGATCGAGGGGAGAAACACGCTTATCAGCTACAGCCACCCATTCGCCACAAACGCAGTGCTATTTGAAGACGAAGGAGATGATATGGATCACAAAAAAAGAGTTCTTGCTCTGGCGGTCCTCCAGCCTCCAGGCGAGTGCGGACCCAGCAGCGAGGTAATAAGCGACTCGTCGAAAATGTATAGCCAGCGTTCAATTTCCACTCTGTCATCCACAACCGGATTAGTTAGTGCATCAACATACAGCTCCCCCAAAGCTTTCTCTGATCTGATCGATCCTATCCACGCTAACTCCCTCCGCTGGCCGCGTATGACTGGTTCTCGGCCGCCTCTTGGTGGCCTATCAACAGCAGAGACCCTGATAAAACGTTGTCGTCTCGGAGGAGAGGAAACGTTTTGTTTGAATCTCGCCCTGAAAGACCCGTGGGTTAGACTTTCTCTCTTCGATGTTACGCCCCCAGATGGCTGCCCTGCCCCGGTCAAACGTTCCATCCCCCATCAATACCCTAGTCCGTAGGCCCAGGGCCCAGATGTTGCCCTCATGATGCTGTTTCATTCACATGGTCCACCTCATCTGCTCTAAGCCGGGGCCTGGTTCCATCTTCCTGCAGGTCCCAAGGGCTAATCTGCTGAGTGTCCCATCGGGCGGCTCGACCTGCGGGGAGTAAGAAAGATGTGCCGATGCGTTTCTTCCTGTGAAGTATATAACCACCCTAAGCGCCACAGCGGTGGAATTGATCTCCTCGGGATCAACCGCAAGTCGCCTTTTCGTTCCTTCACTTGTTGCCGTAGCTGGTCTCATTCCTTGAGCCAGTGCTTCCTTGTTTTTGTTTGCAGGTCAACTCTGTGCTTTGCCATTCCTTTCTCTCGCACACCCCCCCAGGGAAAAAAATTTGTTCTCGAGATCTGGTCATCTCGAGAGAACTGTCATTTTTGCCATTTGTTTCAAGCGCTAGAACGCAGAAACACAAACTGTTTTTGGACCCTGTCCGATTACGGAACATATAAACATCATTATGCGTTCCACAACATTCCTTCCGGCCTTGGCCGTCCTGGCCAAACTGAGCACAGCTGCCTACACGCTCCAGCAAGATTTCGGTGTTTCATCGTTCTTCGACAATTTCGCCTTCTTTACGGTAAGCTTTTGGAGAGCTCTTGGTTCCGGCTTGGCTTGTCATAGATATACTTTTGGTCGCTCTATACAATATCCGGTACTAACATTGCAACCAGGGCACTGACCCTACCAACGGATTCGTTGACTACGTCGACCAGAGCACTGCTCAGAGTGCTGGTCTTATCTCTACTGGAAGTTCGGTGTACATCGGTGTCGACAACACCAATGTTGCTTCGAGCAGCGGGCGCCAAAGCGTCCGTATATCTAGCACGGCTACCTTTAACCATGGCCTTGTGATCCTGGATCTGGCTCACATGCCTGGAGGTATCTGCGGAACTTGGCCTGCATTGTGAGTCCGCCTTCTTGCGAAAAAAGAAAAAAAGAAGTCATTTTTTCTGACCAATAAAACAGCTGGATGCTTGGATCAGACTGGCCCAACAACGGCGAGATCGACATCATTGAAGGTGTCAACGACCAGAGCAACAATGACATGACCCTCCACACCAGTGATGGCTGCAGCATCACCAGCAGCGGCTTCACCGGTAGCCTGGTCACGTCCAACTGCTATGTGGATGCGTCTGGACAGTCCACAAACTCGGGATGCCAAATCGCGTCGAGCTCCTCCCAGTCGTTTGGTACCAACTTCAACAACGCTGGCGGTGGTGTGTATGCGACAGAGTGGACCAGTGATGCCATCAGCATCTGGTTCTTCCCTCGTGGCAGCATTCCCTCGGACATCACCAGCGGTAGTCCCGATCCTACCAGCTGGGGCACTCCCGATGCCAACTTCGCGGGCGACTGCGATATTGACTCGCACTTCAACTCCCTCCAGATTGTACGTCTCCATGTGTCTGGTTCTGCATTGCTTCATTACACTTGCTAACATGAGTTACCCGATTCAGGTCTTCGACACCACCTTCTGCGGTGACTGGGCCGGTGCTGTCTGGAGCTCCGATTCCACCTGCTCTGCGCTCGCCAGCTCCTGCCAGGACTACGTCCAGAACAACCCGACTGCATTCAAGGACGCCTACTGGGAGATCAACTCTCTCAAAGTCTACCAGGACTCCAGCAACAGCATCAGCAACATCATCAGCGGCGGCCTGAACGCAACCATTCACGGCCATCTCAATGCGACCATCGCCGCCGGGCTCAATGCGACTATCGGCCGCGGACTCAATTCGACCTTCAGCGGCGGCCTGAATGCGTCTATTCCTTCATTGAAGAGACGCTCCCACCGCAACAGACACATGCACATGCACGGTCATCACTAGACGAACGAACGCGATCGATGTTCTTCTTGTCTTTTATCACATGGACATTTTTTTCTTCTTCTCTTATATCCCCCCCCTTCTTTGCTTGGAAGTTGATCTTTCTCCCATTTATTCTTTTTTTTTTTTTTTTTTTGAACCGTGGAGCGAAGCTTTGGAAATACCCCCTCAAACCATGCAGTAGCATAAGCATATAAGCATGTTTTCTTTCTTCTTCTTTTCTTCTTGTGGTCCTCGTTTCCCCTGCTCCCAATCAACTCGAAGTCGAATTGACCGGAGTCACAAAAACGAAGGTACATTTACATTTACATTTACATTCAATCTTCATTTCTTGTATATATTTCTTTTTCCACTTTTTTTTTCTCTCTCTGTGTGATGTGGATGTGGACGTTGATGTGAATATATGTGTATGTGTCTGTCTGTGTCTGTGTATATCTTCTGTATATGAGTCGGTCAGCCTAACTATCTGTGATTGAATATTTTACCTAACCTAACCTACCTTGCAAGTGAATGTTCGATGTAGATAGATTAGGTCCAATTTTAGCGAAAGTGAGTTGAAGTGATTTCGAATTGGATCGGTCAGTCAGTATAAATAAGTATTATTATTATTTCTAATGCGGATGAGATCGAGATGTGATCATCGAGTAGTCAATCTAAGTACTTATCGTTGCGGAGAGAACCCGAATCACCAGCCAGTTTTAATATTCTTATCTTCCGCATATTATCTTTTCCCACTGCAGTGCCATTATCATAATTAGGCTGCGTCAGTAATCTTCCCCGCTGGAATAGTTCAGTCACTCTCACATTTGTGTTATAGTAGTATCTCAATAAGATATATACATTACTTCATTAACCCTTCATCTCCCATATCCCGAAATATAGGACTGGGTGAAGGTTATCAGTTTAGCTAGTTGGGTACTAGGCGCTCATGGTTCTATCGTAAAGCAGAGAGAAAAGTTGAAAACGCCAACAGCGAAACTAGCTCCAGCGCCAGAGAACCAATACCGCACAAATGCAAGGAAAACACAGCAAACCCCTTATAGTACAGAACAGGCTTCATCGCCATTTGGACCACTTTACAGGTCCAGATGCACAAAAAACAAGATCATAGCTTAAATCCTAGTTCGTCTCGACGGTCATCAGTTAATCGGCCCCATTCGAGGAGAAGCCGGAAGAAATAGATCTCCATATCTTCTTTGCGAATTGCTTGCGCAGCCCATTTTCGTCCTTCTTCCGCAATCCAGAGAGCTTCCCGGTCATGCGGGGGCATCACCACATCTTCTCCGTTTCGCACACCGGCGAAATAGGCGAGCGTACTCCAGACATCATGCAAACGAAGGTCTTGCGGGACGAAATGCCGCCACGCGCTAATTCGCGAATCGAACCACTGCCGGAAGAGAGCAGTCTTGAACGGGAGACTGTTGCTTTGCAGGAAAGGCAAGAACCGTCCACTGAAAGCAGCACCGTCCAAGTCGAAGAGATACCGATACCGCCAGTGTTCCTGGAAATCGACCTTGTCCACCGTGTGGAATTCCTCCGCTTGGGTGTCGCAGTCTCCGCAGCGGACGATACGCTCTGCTATGTGCACGGAGGCGTTCAGACCAAGCTTCTCCTGAGGAGCCCGACCGTCGAGGATCTTGTAGTTGTAAGTTCCTTGCTTTGCCGCTGGCAACATGACCGAGACTTTGTTCAACGTATTGTTGTTGATCAGATGAGTGAACCTTTGACGCGCCATGCCCTGCCAACGCCCGCCGAGACCCACGCCCTCGGAAGTAGCACCTATCCAGAACAGCGTGTTTTCCTTGTCTAGATAGGGAACATCAGGGTGGTCCTCGGAGGGCTGATACTTCACCTTATCAACGTAATTCCATGGACTTGGGAACAGGATGTCGTTGAAGCCGCGCACTGAGCTTTGGCTGAACACCGGGAGCAGCTCCTGGCTTACTTTGAGAGAAGCAGCGGAGAGGAAGAAACCGTGAAGATATGCGAGATCTGGCTGATGACAGATATCGGCCGCACGATCCCAGTCGGACACAAACTGGCCGAGCGAGTGTGGCCGGATGCAGCTGAGGCATATATTGCGCCGGTCCCAGACGCGGTCCCGACGAGCCTTGGAAGAAGACGGACACACCAGACTCACAGGGTCGTCAAAGACATCGTCGGACCAGGAACGGTCCACAAAAGGCGTCTCTTGAGTCTGGTCTGCTGGTTCCACCGGCGCCCAGCCGTCGCTCCGATCCATCGACCACCCATTCAAGACTTGATCTTCCGGCGGTGCCTCGACTGATCGGCCGGCATCTCGCATTCTCGTGATCGTATCATACGGAACGGCGATTCGTGGCTCGTCATTCAGATTGAAAACGAGATCCATGTCGGGGAGATATTCGCTGAACGGCTCGATTATTTTTGCGGCACCCTCCACCATCCAGGCATGCGTCAGCTTGATGCCCTCCTGAACTCTGGCCGTACCATTCCTGATGATGATCGCACCGACATCGTTGAACGGGTTGGTCGCCACTTGATGTGTCAGTTCCCTCAATCGCTGAGGTGACAAGGCCCGAAAAGGCAGCAGATCTTGGTGGATCTGATCGAAATCCTCAATCACAAGGGAGGACCTGCTCGTGGCATAATGGTACCATCTGTCAAATCCTCTTTCGACAACATTAGCTCTGGCTCTCTCATACAAGGAGGGGTTTGACGTACGGGGGTGGGTGCTGTTTGTAGCGATGGCGATATTCAATAACGGCCTCCTGGAGGTTATTGCTGACCCTAGCCTGAGAAAGAAACTTCTCATGGTGGTTTCGGCCATCGAAGATGAGTAGATCGATTGGATGCAGCATGGCTCTGTTACGTTGGGAGAACATCAAATATAGGGCAAATACCGCAAGGACGGCAAGAATCTTCCGCGGCCAGGTGCTGGGCTTTGGACTGGACTCGGACTGATTCTCGGAGACTGCAACTGCCTGCAGGAAGAGACCACTGCCGACGAAGACCGTCACAGAGGCTATAAGGGCGGGAAATAAAGAGATCAATGGGAAAGGCTGGGTGGAATTCCATAGCGTCGAGACCAGAGATATGAAGATGACAATAAAGGCCACCAACGTTGTCAAACTCAGGGATCCATATTTGGGTGCCTATGCCTGTCTTAGCTTATGACCACCGTTGGGATCTGTAGACGAGCTCACCAAATGCGCTGCTGATGCGAATAGTGTTGCGAGTAGAATCGCGTGCGTAATCGCGCCGCGAAGGTAACGGCCATTGAGCGAAACAATATATTGGCGATGTTCTGGAGCCACGGCGTACACGACGATGCCTACGGTCACCCAGAATAGTGCAACCGCCTTATTCAGAATACAGTTAGCGCTTTATCAGATTGGACTGACGGGTGTCCTTTTTCTCCTGTGGTACTCGAACTTACGAGCAATCCATAACCCCATAAAGCCGACGTATGCCTCCTTCTCCCACCCAAAAACCGGAGCTCCTTCCGAGCCAGCTCGCCAGCGCCGATCAGCAGAATGGTATCGAGAACCACAGCGAGGGCTCTGAATGCGTGGATTCGTGGGGCGCGGTTTAGGACAAGGGAGCATATATAAGTTGAATTGCGGCCCTCATGGAACGATGCGACCAGAAAACCTCCCAGCGTGAGCGCCGCTGTGGCCAAAACATAACGCAGCCTGCTCCGAGGAACCTGAAACATCGCCGCGCCATAGATTGTTCGATCCGGAGCTACATCTTCCTCCACGGATCGATGTCTCTGAAAGCGCCAGTAGTCGTACAGCGCAACAAGGAAAGGAATCACGCTCTGGATGACGTCCGCAACAGTACGTTAGCATATACCATTCATTCCCCGCTAGCCAGGGTTCCTTACCGCATATCCAGCATTCGAGCATTCATTGTAGATCGTGATCTGACGGAACACTTCGACTCTGAAGCAGAAAATGGCGACGAGCGCGGCCAGTAGTATCCATGCCTTGGCAATGCGCAGTCCTGCGATATTGAACGTAGTCGTGTATTCGACTTGCTCCAAGTCGGATGGGCCGGATGGAAGCTGATCCGTGATTTCGGTCAGCGGGATTGCGACATATTTGTGCTGTGAAGAGGAATTCGTCTGGACGAATCGTGTACTGTATCGGTCGCATAGGAAAAGCGTCAAGGCCGTAAGGGTGCAAGCCAATATCGCCGAATGCACGGGACGATCTGCGCGGGAAGCTCTCCGTTAGCACTTGGAATCCATCGATTCTGTATCTTATTATTCGGATACCTACCAAAGGCAAAGGTGGTCCGGTACAAGCATGCAAGTAGTACAGCACTGGAAACGAACAAGCTAGAGTCGCCATTAGCCCAACCGCCCCCTCGCGGGAGAAGAACCAGACATACCCGAGCGAGACCTTGCGCGCCGTCTCCGTAGTAATGACCATGGTGAGTGTTCAAGGACGGACTTCCTCAGCGGCCATGTCGCCGTTGTCTCGTCCTTTCTTTTGCACCCTGGAGGCGTTCAATATTCGGTGTTGTGGGGGAGAACTTTGGTCAGCATCCAGAAAGACTGGAGGGAAGGAGGGATTGCGAGTCTCGACGTTAATCAGTGGGGGGGAGCACGGTGCGACGATGAACAACGACGGGAGATGATGATGAGAGCAGCAGACACGAAGGAAAAACTAGGAACCAGGGGACTCTATGGTACGTCTACTCTTACTGGCAAGATACGGAGCTAATAATAATAAGAATAATTACTTGTCCTTGATCATGATGGCCGCCTGGTTCCATCATTGGATGCCTATCCAGACATAACCGTTCGCGGGAAAGCAAGCTACTCTTGGCTAATCGTTGACTTTCCGTGGCGGCAGGCCAGAAAAAGCTTCTCTCCTCTGCCAACATAACTGCGAGAGGTTGGTCGCCCAAAGACTACCATACGCGCGGACCCCGTCCAAGACGGCCAGGCCAGGCTTTGACAGTTTGATGAAAGTCTCCACGCCCTGGAGCAAGAAGTCTGCAAGAACCAGGATGGGATCTGTGCTGCTTCTTGGCGGTGTATTCCATGAATTCTCCTGCCCAGGGGAAAAGGAATGGAGGTTATGATTGACATCCAGTTCCGGAAATAGTACTGTGGAGCATCAAAACGGTACCGCAGGCTCTGTATCATCGAAGTCGTGGGATTCGCTGTATAACCAACGATCTTATGTCTCCTTTACTGAACAACAACTCATGCAAGGGCCCTGGGTCGCGGACAGAGACCAGACCATAGCCCATTCTAGCAATGCAGACGCCAGGCAGTCAACCCAACTGTATACCTAGATACAGCAGTATAGATCCTCGTTTATCAAAGTGACGCTGAGAATCGTATACGTCTTCTGCTCCACACGGCACGGGACGATATGCCGACATCCTGCCAGCTTGGTAGCTGCGTTGGCTCTACCAGGATCAAAGGCCACCTTGATACTGGAGATACTACAGATACTGCAGTAAAGATCGGCCATTCATAATGGAAAGATAACACACAAGAAGCATGATGATGGTACCATACGCACGCTTTGATTGCGTTAACTATCGGGTAATAATAGAGCACTACGGAGTAGATATGCTGAGCATCGAACCGCAAAAGCGGGTCGTCTTTGGTCTTTTCCGTATAGACGCGTCACGGCACGTAAGATGATCTCTGTCATGTTATCGCTGCCGCCATTGAAGCCATCCTTTTCTTTTTATTATTAGTATTAGTACTGTGAATGGAGAGAAACACGCCAGAATGGTAAGGAATCTATTCCGTCTACATGATTGGCTGGAAATGAGGTGTAACAATATCACGTGACTAAAGTCTAGTTTCTTTTCTGCCAAAGGCGGTGGAGCAATGAAGGCGGCGAAGAGCGGCAGTTTCGCAGGTCTCGATAATTTTTTTGTCGCAGGTGAAATGCGACAGCCCAGATCGACGTTCGCCGTGCATCTTCTGACCCGCTCATCTTAGGAGGCCGTGTCTGAGGTCTTCGTCAGGATCAGAGATACCGGAGTAGAACAAGTCCAGGCCTTGTACGAATTTTTCGGTGTGCTGCCTATTCAAGGACTCGTTGACCTTGCTTTCTCCGCTTGAGAAGGCATCTCCCCGCTCCGGATATCCTATCGACCAAGATGCCTCGCAAGGCGATTGATTCCCGGATTCCGGCACTCATCCGGAATGGGGTGCAGGAGAAGAAGAGAAGCTTCTTCGTGGTGGTCGGAGACCGTGCGAAGGAAGCGATTGTGAACCTGCACTATATCCTGTCTAGTGCCGACGTCAAACAGAATAAATCCGTACTGTGGGCATATAAGAAGGATCTATTGGGTTTCACAAGTCACCGCAAGAAGCGGGAAGCAAAGATCAAGAAAGAAGTCAAGAGAGGAATTCGAGAGCCCAACAGCGAGGATCCCTTCGAGCTTTTCGTCACTCTCAACCAGATTCGATATGTATACTACAAGGAGACGGAAAAGATTCTGGGTAACACATACGGTATGTGTATTCTGCAGGATTTCGAAGCTATCACTCCCAACCTTCTCGCGCGTACGATCGAAACCGTGGAAGGAGGCGGTATTGTCTTGTTGCTTCTCAAGGGCATGAAGAGTTTGAAGCAGCTGTATACCTTGTCGATGGACATCCATTCCCGGTACCGGACGGAAGCCCATGATGATGTGGTTGCAAGATTCAATGAGCGCTTCATCTTGTCCCTCGGGAGCTGTGACTCGTGTTTGGTGGTTGATGATGAACTCAACGTGCTCCCTATATCTGGAGGAAAGAACGTCAAGCCGCTGCCACCACCAGACGCAACGACAGAAGGAAAATCGGCGACACAGAAGGAACTGCAGGAGATCAAGGAGAGCTTAGCAGACTCGCAGCCTGTGGGGTCACTGGTCACTCTGGCCAAGACGGTCGACCAGGCAAAGGCCCTCCTCACATTCGTTGATGCTATTGCAGAGAAGACTCTGCGGAGCACAGTGACCCTCACTGCGGGAAGAGGACGTGGTAAATCAGCGGCCCTTGGTGTCGCTATTGCAGCGGCCGTCGCACACGGATACAGCAACATTTTCATCACCTCTCCAAGTCCTGAAAACTTGAAGACGCTCTTCGAGTTTGTCTTCAAAGGGTTTGATGCCCTTGGTTACCTTGACCATGTCGATTACACCATTCTGCAGTCGACGAACCCTGACTTTAACAAAGCAGTCGTGCGAGTCAATATCCATCGTCAGCACCGTCAGACCATTCAGTATATCCGGCCCCAAGATGCTTACGCTCTGGGACAAGCGGAACTGCTCGTCATCGATGAAGCTGCCGCAATTCCCTTGCCTCTGGTGCGGAAGCTCATGGGCCCGTACCTGGTCTTCATGGCGTCGACCATCAACGGTTATGAAGGAACAGGCAGATCTCTTTCCCTCAAATTGATACAACAGCTTCGTGAACAGTCAAGGGGCGGCTTGAAGACGGGCCCGGAGGACACGGACATCGCTGATCGGGCCACTGGGAAAGCCGCAAAGAACACAGATAAGAACCTGGGTGGTCGATCCCTCAGAGAAATCACCCTCTCTGAGCCCATCAGATACGCACCGGGTGACTCTGTCGAGAAATGGCTCAACAAGGTTCTCTGTCTGGATGCTACTCTGCCAAAGTCGAAGATGAACACTCAGGGATGCCCCCATCCTTCGCAATGCCAGCTCCTCCAGGTCAACCGCGATACCCTCTTCTCGTATCACCCTGTTTCGGAGAAGTTCCTGCAACAGATGATGGCTCTTTATGTCGCCAGTCACTACAAGAACTCGCCCAATGATCTCCAGCTAATGAGCGATGCACCCGCCCACCAGCTCTTTGTTCTTGTTCCCCCCATCGACGAGGAGGCTACTAAGCTCCCGGAGCCGCTCTGTGTTATCCAGGTGGCACTGGAAGGTCGTATTAGCAGACAGAGTGTTCTTAACAGTCTCAGCCGTGGCCAGCGGGCTGGTGGTGATTTGATCCCCTGGCTTGTGAGCCAGCAGTTCCAGGACGAGGATTTCGCCTCTCTTTCTGGTGCTAGAGTCGTCCGCATTGCGACCAACCCAGAGTACTTAAACATGGGCTACGGCTCCCGCGCTTTGGAACTGCTCACCGACTTCTACGAAGGCAAGTTCACCAGCCTGTCTGAGGACGTTGAGTACCCGTCGGAGGAGCTTGTTAGAGTCACGGACGAAGAGCTGGAGAACGCCAACCTCCTGGATGACAACATCCACGTTCGGGATATCCGCTCGATGCCGCCTCTCTTCGGAAAGCTCTCTGAGCGACGCCCGGATAATCTCGATTACGTCGGTGTCAGTTATGGTCTGACTCCTGCCCTCCACAAGTTCTGGAAACGTGCCTCTTTTGCTCCTGTCTATCTCCGACAGACCCCTAATGAGCTGACTGGCGAGCACTCGTGCGTCATGCTGCGGACACTCTCTACTGGTTCGAATGATACTAGCTGGCTTGGAGCTTTCGCGAAGGACTTCCACAAGCGCTTCGTCTCCCTTCTGTCTTACCAATTCCGAACATTCCCTTCAGTCACCTCTCTAAGCATCTGCGAGTCTGCCAATGCGGGCGCCAAAGCCGACCCGTCCTTGCAGGCGTCGCCATTGACCAAGGCAGAATTGGATAGTCACTTCTCTCCCTTTGATCTTAAGCGTCTCGACAGCTACGCAAACAATCTGCTTGATTACCATGTCATCCTCGATATGGTCCCTACCATTGCGGAATTTTACTTTTCTGGCCGACTAGGCGGCAAGGTTAATCTGTCCGGTGTTCAGCAGTCGATCCTGCTTGCGATCGGTCTGCAACGCAAGAACATCGATGACATCGAGAAAGAGCTCAGCTTGCCTTCCTCTCAGATTTTGGCCATGTTCGTCAAGATCATCCGCAAAGTCTCGATGCATTTCCGTTCCCTAGTCGAAGGTGCTGTGGCAGAGACGCTCCCAGCGGAGAACGTCGCTGGTGAGCGCGACGCCAACGGCGCGCACGATGATGAAGTTGTCGATGACCGATTTCGCCCACTTGACATGGACTTGAATGAAGAACTCCGGGAGGGTGGCCAGGAAGTAGACAAGGAACTGAAAGAAAAGCAGAGGGCGCTCATCGATGCCCTGCCGCTTGACCAGTAAGTCGCCCCCAGATTCCAAACAGGAGGCCTTCTCCTTTGCAGACAGTAGCACTCTATCCGGAATTACAAAACAGTAACTGATTCACAGCCTCCAGATACGAGATCGATAACGGTGCCGCTGCCTGGGAGAATGCTGAGAAGCAGATCCGCGCCGGAGGCGCCTCGACCGTGAGCATCAAGTCGTCCAAGACTCAAAAGCGCAAGGCGGGTGAAACCGCACGCGAGATCTATGACCAGGAAATCGAGTCTAAGAAGCAGAAGAAGATCAGGAAGGGAACTGAGGGCAAGAAGAGATCGTGATCTTCTTTCACGAACCCTTTACTTGTCGGATTGTTCCTATAAGAAGCCCTTTTTTGGCTGGAGTTTCTTTGCATTAGAGAATGGTGTTAATTGGTATCAGGGGCACTATTTGTGATGATTCTACAATGGCTTCTCATCTGGTTTTAACTAAATACTTAGTATGTATATAGACCTTTTTTCCAGCTCGATGACGGCCTAAAAGTTTGAGAAAAAATAGTCAATTGTTCTTTTTATTCGAGTATTTCCATTCCAAGATGGTGAATTGCAATGTAGGCAATAGTACTCCAGTGCAGACAATCCGTCATATAAGTAAGTTACGCAAACAAATAAATCCGACTCGCAGCTTTCCTTTCACAGTTCATCATGCTCATCCTCTCCCTCCTTCTGCTGAGCAATCACACCTGCAGGGAGTTTCTCCTTCGAACCCTCGCCCAGTCTGACCGCATCCACCCACGCCTCGATTTTGTTGAGTCCATAATCGCCGTTCTCGCCAGCATCATAGTGTCTCCACCACCCTCTGCGACCATTCAAGGCGATGATCTCGATGCTCTTGTCATCTGCCGGTAGACCCAACGATTCACGCAGAGTCTTGGAGCCGGAATTGATGGCGGGAACGTTGTAGAATGGGAAGGTCTTGCCCCTTACCTGGTGAAGCTTGTGGGAGACTGTGGACAGGCTTGTGAGAGCTTCTTTTGCTGGGGCAGGAAGCTCAGCGTCTGGTTTCTCGGGGTTAGGGAAGAGGGCGAGAACGCATGTGCTGGACTTGGGAGTCAGACAGGCGGACTCGAGAGATTCGGGAGTAGATAGTATCTCGAGTGGTGGAGGGTGGATAGGAACCTCGACAGGCTTGGACTCCTTCGCGTCATCAGGTACGACTTTGGGATCGGGCGACTCTGTAGGTTTCAGATCTTCGGCCTCGTTCACTATTGACGGTTTTGTGGACTTCTTGGAGGATTTGGAAGACTTTGCCTTGGCTTTGGCATGAGCAGGGGCAGGGTCCGGGTTTGGCGCAGCAACCTGACTCAGGAATTCGACGATCGGTTTCTTCTTCAGCTCTCCATCGTACACAATGTGTTCTTTGTCGCCGCCAGGGAGCAGGATGAGTGTAGGGTACGATGTAATACCGAACTTCTTAACTGTCTCGGATTCCTTGCTACGGATCTGAGCCACCTTGATAGAACCCAGGAAGTCAATGGCAACGGACTTCAGAAGAGCACCAGTGGTGCCCTTATCCGTGAACAGAATAGCCTTAGGGACGTCCTTGTCCTCAGACAACCATTCATCGACGTCCTTGTCGCTCAGACGCTTGACGTGATTAGGTATCCGTTCCACCACAGCGTCGACGATCGCCTTTGCGCTCCTTGCTCCTTTGTAATCTTCAACTCGAGGCTTTCCTGGTTTCTTGGAGGGCGTCACGATCTTGAGGGTGGGGAAGCCTTGGACGCCCATCCGGCCACAGAACGGCTTGTTCGCATCATCGTCGCAATTCACTGCGGCAACCTTGGCCAGTCCTTCGAGATTCTTGGCTGCTTTCTCGTACGCCGGCTTGAGATTCTGGCAATGACCACACCATGGGGCATAAAATCTGCAGGGACGCTTGTGAGGAGCTTGTGACGGAGAGGGCGGAGGATAAATGCGATTAACTTACTCTACTATCTGTTGTAGTTACCACTGTTAGCGGACATCATTAGTCGAGAATCACCATGTGGAACTTACCGATGTGTGATTTGAATTGGCGATTAACTGGTCATAATTCCTGTGGTCAACCTGAAGAACGGAGGAGCTCTTTGGATACAAGCCGTCAGCATTGACAGGTAGCGTAGCCAGAAGTGATGCAATCAGTAAGAACGCGGGGTTCTGCATCATGATGAAGACTTGACTGTCACTATATCAGTCTAGATTCAGTTAAGGTCATTACAGCTGTATCATGGTAGTCAGTGAAATTGGAAGTGCTTGGAAGGTTCCTCTGTACTGGTTTGGGAGCTATGGAGTTAAAGGTGTCCTGAAGCTCTTGGCGTCGACAACATCCCTGCGGGTTGCACACGGGCTTCCGCATACTTGGTGAATTGTTAGGAAAACCGCACACGAAACATCATTGGAATCAAATCTCTTCTGTATTAGAGGACATCGACTCGACGTTTCTCACTTTTAAGACTGACTGGTAAAGCGCTGTCTGTCTTGCAGCCTGAATAACATTACCTATTCCTTTCTTTATCTACAGCTGCTTCGCATCTAGAATGCCCGAGGAGACAGACGGCCCGTCCAAGCCATTGGATATTTGCGCCTTGCCTCAAGAACTTTTCTTCATGATACTGAATTATCTTGAACCTCCAGATGTTATCCGTTGCCGTCGTGTCTGCAAGTCCTGGTACAACGCCTTTGGTAATCCAACCAACCTTATCCCGCTGCTAAAGAAATGGTATCCTCTTGCCAAGGAAGTCAGGGAGTTGCGTGAGAAGGGAATTCTCAATGACCTGAACTTGAAAGGCGAAGAGTACCGTTACTGGCAAAGAATATTTGACCGAGTAACCTCACGATACGACCATCTTGCAAGAGGAGAACCGCGTTCTATCAGGAAATTCAGGTTATGTCTTGACAATCCTGATTATTCGAGCAAATGGTTTCAAGTCCCACCATGGGAGAGCCACAAAAGTCACCCGAATGGGAGAGTCGACAAAATCTTCAAGCAAGTATTCTGGACGTATGAGGACGGACTTCTGGTCTATCCCAGCGAAGTGCATCACTCTCTCGTTCTCCTGGACCTCAATACTGACGCTACCTTTGTCGTACCGTTCCCTATAAGTAATAAAGTTATCCGCAGGGTTCGCCTACAGGATAAGCTCCTTATTGTTGAATGGGCAGAGCCTAATATCTTCCACTGGTTAAATGATGATGACGGTGTCCATCGTCACTTCGCCTCTTCCTTTGACATCCGGCCAGAAGGAGAAGGTTGGGATATCACTTTCCGAAATGAATGGAAAATTATGTTCCTCGGACACCCACTGAGCGAGAGAGATCGTTTCTTCTCATCTCACGATAACACACATTATGTTGTATACGCATGGCAGCCGAACCGCAGTCTTTATACGGGCGACGAAGATGCTCCAATTGAATCACTTTTCGTCTGGGACATATCGCAGCCTTCATCTTACAGGCCGTCTCTAGATCCGACTGGGCGTGAGAAAGGAGACGACTCTGAAAATGGACCCACGACTGTTGCTCGCCTTGGATTCAGAGACCTGGGCTTTTATTCAGTCAGACAGAGAGGATGTCCGAGAATTATGAAGCTGGACATTAACAGCGAGGCTTGTACCGTAGATATTACGGAGAACGTGTCCATGGTACCTGGAGACCCCTATGCCAACCCACAAGAATGGAACTGTGACCTTCAAACGATAAGCATACCCTTCCACGGCCATGGCCCTTGTTGGAAGCGCAATGCAGGTATTTCGTTGCCTGCATACCGTGGAAATAGTGGCATGCAGCCTGCTCCTCTGACGACAGAGTTTCCCTGGTACCGTATAATATCTGAGACCTCTGACCCGCAGGCTCAGGTCAGTTTCAGCATCCTCTCTCAGCATATAAGTGTGTTTGGGTTGACGGGATTCTTCCTCACCACGGTGATACGAACACCGTATTCTTGCACCACCATGAGCCACGAAGGATTACCTGAGATATCATACAAAGGTATGATTTGTGGTAACGAGAGATATGTTATTGGTGAAAGCAAAAACAATGAGCTCGTTGTTTTCCAATTTGACAGATGAAGTCCAGCACATCTTGGGTAGAGCATATACCCTTCTGGTCGTCGCCAGCTACGCTGTGTTGGCAATAATGCCGTGCAAATACCATTCGCATCCAGGTAAAGGCGCCTGATTTCCGCCACATTCGTATCTTTCCTATTGCAAGGCCTAGGGAACATCTCGCAATCAGGCTCCTACGTGCTCAGCCGATAGCCTGGTCTGGATGTTAGGCTATTTGTCTCATCTGTTTACGCCGTCGCGGACTTTCACCCTGGTTAAGGAACCAGTAGGTAGGGGCTCGGACCTTGTCAGTTATCCCGACCAACGGCAAGCTCCAAGGATGAATTCAAACATGACTCTTCGTGGACCTTTTTACGAGGCGGCGCCACATCTTCAGAATTGGTTAGATCAAGGTCATATGGCCTGTGTAAATACCACAAAGCCTCCGAGTGGGAGTGCCCATGGATTTCAGCTATCGCTTTTATCCGTCCTGCCCGGTTTAAACCCCGAAGAACTGCTTTTCTCGCCATTTTAAACAGCTGCAACGATATACATAGTGAGCATGCAACGATATGCGGGGCGGCTAATCGAAAACACCCCTCCTCTTTGCCTCAAAAGAAAGCGATAGATCTCCGAGTTGCCTCCGACCTAGGTGAATGCCCCAATAAACGAGATCCTGTGGGTCTGGGGATGGCATAGCGTCCGAATGTTGATTTAGGTAGATTCAACGTCCTACATCGCTCATCGAGTAGTTCGTATTTCGGAGCTGGAATCGCTCGCGACGCTGCTCCTGTCTAATTATTACCACTGTTGCGATGATCTCGGCGGCCTGTGAAGGGAAACAGACCACCTCAGTCTCCTAGACCGTGTTGCATCCTGTCTAGTTCGAACGAATTCTAACATTAGTAGTATTCAGCTCACGGATTCTAGACCACTGGATCTAGCATTCAAACAAGCTCCGACTCCGTGCTTTCCCCCGTGATTTCTCTCAAAACGCCTCTGTCCTATTTAACCGGCTATACAACCGGACACTACAACCGGTGCAACGATACCCCATGATGTCTTGGCCAGGCAGGATCTTTGTTCCACGTGGCTATCGCCTAATTGTCGTAGTTATTGGTGGATTGCCCATGAGGAATCGATCTTGCATGTCCACCACGCTACCCCGGACCCCAGATAGTACGGGTGCGGGGAGCTCGTAACCATGGGGAAAAGAATATAATCTCCTCCTTAGTCGCATGTTACTATCACAGAGTGATCATTTCCTTGCCTGCGGGTTCCCCTTCTCTTGGACATCCCGGGGCATTGTCATATTCGAAAACAATATAGTCTACAACGAGGACTTCGAGGGTCCACGTTGGTCACAATGGGTGGTGCTGATACAACAGTGGCTCTCAATGCCGCTGCTACGGCGCGCAAGCAAGCTCTTGCAGGTCCCTCTGGCCCTGCTGGTTTGGTTCAAAACGCAAAGGTGTTTGGAATTGCACTGTTCGCTTGTCTTGGAGGGTATTGTTCTCTGCCTCAATGTCATATTTAACTTATATGCTAACTAAGTATATAGGTTGCTCTATGGTTACAACCAGGTAGGTGTTCCGGTCTAAGCCTACTGTCGAGTCGTTGCCTAACGATATATTCTCTGGACAGGGTGTTTTCTCTGGAGTCCGTAGGTTCCCCTGATCATGCAGAGAATTAAGCAGCTCGCTAACCAGACTTGCAAGTGGCGATGTATTCCTTCGACGAACATGTATGCTCTAATCCTTATGTTTAACCATTGCAGTCTATTGATGATACTATCTAGATGGGAGATGCTGTCACAAACACCACGAAGAAAGGATGGCTAACGTGTATGTTCTCAATTATCTTAATCTCAACAACGGGCATTTCACTGACGATGTATGTACAGCAATTCTCGAACTCGGTGCTTGGACGGGGACCTTATATTCTGGCGTACTTGCAGAACGCATTTCTCGTAAATATACAATTCTCGTCAACGTCGTTATATTCTGCATTGGTGTTATCGTCCAGACTACTGCTTCTGTTGGCGGCTCTTCCAATATTTTGGGTGGTCGGTTCGTCACCGGTATGGGCGTTGGAAGGTATGTATACGTGTAAAAGAGACTGTTATGAGAATTACCTTGCTGATAATTAGTCTTCAGTCTCTCAATGTGTGTCCCGATGTACAATGCTGAGGTGGGGTAGTCTCATATGGAGTTGAGGATCACCAGCTAAGGCATTATAGATCGCGCCCCCTGAGGTGAGAGGATCTTTGGTTGCGTTACAACAACTTGCCATTACTTTCGGAATCATGGTGAGTCTAGTTATTCTCAGTTTCTCAATTACCACCTTGCTAACTTAGAACACGTAGGTATCTTTCTGGTCAGTATCAGTTTCTCTCAAAAGATCACGCAACCTGACACAACAGATAGGATTGACTATGGCACGAATTACATCGGCGGTACGGGATCAACCCAAAGCGAAACCGCTTGGTTGCTCCCTCTGGCTCTGCAGCTCATCCCTGCTATTCTTCTCGGCGCTGGAATGCTATTCATGCCCTTCTCTCCCAGATGGCTCGTCCATCATGACCGCGAGGAAGAGGCCAAAGATGTTCTTGTCAGTCTCCGTGGGCTTCCTCGTGACCACCCCCTTCTCGAACTGGAGTTCCTGGAGATAAAGTCTCAGAGTCTCTTCGAGAAGCGAACAGAGAAGGAGAAGTTCCCACACCTCGAAAGATCCAATACGTGGAGCTATATCAAGCTGGAAGCAGCAGGATTCGGTAGTCTCTTCAAGACATGGCCAATGTTCAGACGAGTCATGGTGGCTACTGGTACGCACTACTTGAATTCTGGTCATGTTGCCTGCATACTCTTGATATAACCACCTCGCTAACGCACACGACATCACAGTGACAATGACCTTCCAGCAATGGACCGGCGTCAATGCCGTCCTGTACTATGCTCCATCCATCTTCGCTCAACTCGGCATGAGCAGCAACACCACATCTCTTCTAGCGACAGGCGTTGTTGGAATAGCAATGTTCCTCGCAACTGTGAGCATCCTTCCGAAACTTCGCACTTCACTCCTTAACAATCTCCAGATCCCCGCCGTGATGTACATTGACCGTCTTGGTCGCAAACCCGTTCTGGTAGTAGGCGCCATCGGAATGGCCTCTTGCCACTTCATCATCGCAGCTATCTTCGGTCAGAATGAACACCAATGGGACACCCACAAGGCAGCAGGATGGGCTGCCGTCGCCATGGTATGGCTCTTCGTCATTCACTTTGGATATTCCTGGGGGTAAGTGGCCATCATTGCTTGATGCATAACGCAGAGATATATCGATATACTAACAATGAACCTACAGCCCTTGCGCATGGATCGTCATCTCTGAAATTTGGCCATTGAGTGTCCGCGCCAAGGGAATCGCATTGGGCGCATCTGCGAGTATGTTCCGCCCTTCCACCTGTTCTCCCTATCCACAGTAGAAATGAACTCCATGAACAATGACAATAAAAATCAATACCTGACTAACACCAAAACCATCTATCAGACTGGATGAACAACTTTATCGTCGGCCAAGTCACCCCCGATATGCTCACGGGAATCACATATGGAACCTATATCTTCTTCGGCCTAATCACCACCCTAGGAGCTCTATTCATTGCCTTCTTGGTTCCTGAGACGAAGCAGCTATCTCTGGGTACGTCTACGTCTACGTCATGCTGTCCTCATCCTTATCCTTATCCACTCGTTATGTTTATCTTTCTCCATTCGGTCAATCAATTAACTTGTTCTTGTCTTTTCTACAGAGGAAATGGACGTCATCTTTGGCTCTGAGGGTACCGCTACCTCGGACCATGAGCGCCAGACTGAGATTTCTCGTGAGGTCGGACTTGATGATGCCTTGGCGAAGCTAACGTCCGCGGGGGTTACAGAGGTCAGACATGATGAGTCGAAGGCATGAGAAGAAGAAAGGCGTGTTGGTATCTGCAACGCGTCTTGACACTGTTGTCGGAGAGCGTTTCTTGTGAATTCCTGAAAAGAAACTAAGGTTTGAGTTTAGTCAGTAATGATATGTACAATGGAAGAGGTGCGGTCCATGTCTATCTAGCTTCCAAGGGGTTACGACAGGGAAATAAGAGACAGGAGAAATGCGTTAGGTAGTTAATATGGGTTTGAAATGCAGTTTCATGCATTGTCCTGCATACAATTCAACTTATTGAGGTAAAATTTTGTTTTTGTGAGTTGTGTTAGCCAGCGTTGAAAGGAGAGGTTCTAGGATACAATTTGGACGCGTGTGATATGCCCTCCTATTCCGCCGCTGGTTTCCGCTTGCCGCTACCTACTTGGCAATATCCTATAGAATAGCCGCTACAGAGACGACAAGGCCGTGACATTTACAGTCATAACATACAGAAGAACTTGAAACCGTTGCGACGATTGTACTCTAGAGTTCCCATTATATGATTATTAGGAGCATCTCGAGGAATTTGAGACATCATCATCTCTATGGTTGTGTCTTGCAACAGTCCAGAGTTTCTGTCCCCGTGGGTAAGGCGAGGGAATTGGGGCAAATCCTCGCCGAGCCTGGATGAATCTGAAGGAAACATATCCGCAAAACCATGACTCTTCCAATTAGTAGGCGCCATGTCTGAACTTACAGCCCACGCAGGCCTTCTTCCCGCATCCAGGGCAAGTAAGGGTATACAAGGGCTCGAAACGATGGCAAGCATCGCACTCCTTTTTCAAGAACTCCCTGGTCCACATGCCGAGGTGCGGGCAATCTTCAGGATCGTTGCCAGGAATCATTGGCCTGGCTTGGGGGAAGGAGAGGCGGAGATCTTCAACGAAGCCACAAAATGTTTCGAGAACCATGCCTTCTAGCTCAGCCCGGAGATCATTGAGAGTGTACCGATGACTGGGATGGGTGAGCTTGTAGTTGAAGTAAGGGGTAAGTCTGGCCATATCGTAGGGCTTGCCATCTTCAGATTCGGAGTCGGATTCGGAGTACTTGGTGGTACTATTGTCGCTGGCGCATCTTGCTGCCATGTCTCCGATATCTCGGGTCAAAGATGCGATCTCGTCCGTCTCCTGATCAGAGGGAGTCTGCTCTTCACTATCGTCATCATCATCCTCCTCCTCATCGTCGCTGCCATAGTAGGACCCTGAGTATTCGTTCTCCGAATATTCATCACTGAAGTCAGGAGAGCTATCAACATCGCTATCAATGAACGCAGCGCTGGTATTGTTGGCCTTTTCTGCCTCGATATCAGTCCGCGCATCCTGCTTCAACGATTCCTTCATATCCTCGATAGCATTCTCAATGTCATCTCTGAACAGGCGAGCTTTCATTCCGTCTCTACGACATTTCTGCCTTGCCAGCTCCATTTCCACTTCTCGTCTAGCAGCTTCTTCTTCAAGCCTCTTCTGCTCCTCTTCTTCCCGTTTGAACTTAGCTTCCATCTCAGCAGCCTCCGCCCAAGCATCTCGTGGAACTGCGCCTGGGTCCATATGGGTAGCATTATGGTAGCTGGACATGTAGCGGTCCCAGGCATTGTTTAGATCCCATTTCCTGCCACCATAAGGCGTCCAGCCAGTATAGCCAGGACCTCCAAACTCTGGATCATCCTGGAGGACAACGCTCCAATGCTTGTTCTTCTGGCTTAGGTCTTTGTCATGTTTCTTCCGCTTGGTAGGATCGCGTAGGACCTCGACTGCTTCCTGGATCTGTAGATCATATTACTATTGTCAGATAAAAGAAATGTTTGTAAAATAGAGAACTGCCTACCTTTCTGAACGTGGTCAGTGCCTTGTCTTCGGTACCTGCCTTATCAGGATGGTGCTTGAGGGCGAGCTTCTTGTAGGCAGAATTGATGTCTTTGACTGACGCATCTCGAGAGACACCAAGAACCGCATAGTAATCCACCGTTGCTGAACTCGTCATGTCGTGTCTTTGGGAATATACTATGGTAATCAAATAGTAGAGATGACACTGTAGAACGGAGAAGTGATGATGAGAGTCACGCAGATGTCCTAAGACGGTGTCGGATTGAAGGCACTTGTTTTCGAGGATGTTTGGGACGCTGCGCTCTATCTTGATGGTGATGACAGCCCTGAGGTGATGTTATCAGTCAAGGCGCCGTGCAAAGTTTGGCCGTTGACTGTTTAGAGATTTTCTGTTGACAGCGCCTGGATGGTGTCAAAAACTTGTAAGTGGAAGGAGATCAGGAAGATTCGTTGGCAGTTGCGCGAATACATAGAGCCGTCCATAAGAGGAGAAAAACACAGTGAATCAAACGGATTGCCTGCAGCTAGCCGCAGATGTTCAGTGAACAGCACTTCATGCAAGTGAAGATGTCACTTGGGACGGAAGGTACCTGGACTGCTGCGGGTTCCCTTTGTAGAGGGCGATGGTTCTGCTTCTAATATTCACTCAGCGAACCACAACAGTATATGGATGCAGGAGCCCGCCGCAGAAACGCCCAGAGTTCTACCATTTACCCAATACTGTCATTTCTACCTGGATAAACAGCGCATTCTGTTCCTGCATGGATTTGCTTCTTCGAGATTGTCACTCGAGACAAGATCAGCTCAAAATACTAAACATCGTGACTATAGTTATCCTCCCGGATAGTACGCCGCGAAAGATGATCGCAGCTGACACTGACAAGTATGCAATGGCACAAAGTATCCGTCCAGATACAAGTGGAACTTCATTAGCTAGCTTGAGGGACATGTCACCTCAGATGATAGGAATTGCATAAAGGAAACGTTGGTCAGATTGTATCTTGTTTTACAAGGTTGGTGTGGGTCTAGGTATGTATGGACAATTCTGCACACGAGGCGATTCCTCCTGGCAGCATCACGTTGACAGATTTTACATGTCCTCACTAGCAGTAGCACCAGTGATAATCTCGACCAGTTCACCGGTAATGGCGGCTTGACGCTGTCTGTTGTACAAGATCTGGAACCTGCAGAAGAGTTAGATCGAGGATACACGGACTCGGGGTTGCTGCGGTTTAACTGCCATACCTGTTGATCATGTCACCAGCGTTGTTGGAAGCGTTCTGTCACCATGGTCAGTATATCACGGACTTATAGCGGTACTGGTTAGTTGAACTTGCCTCCATTGCGTTGCGACGAGCCTAGAGTGAAAAGTCAGCACCTCCATTCAATCGACCCATGGAAATGCGGCGGTACTTACAGAGATCTCAGCAGCGTGGCCTTCGGCAAGAGCCCAGTACAGGTTGTTGGCGAGAGCGTACTCGCGGAGGTTCTTGAGAACCTCATCGTCCACCTCATAAGCGGAGATGTTGGCTTCAAACATCAGTCAACAACGAGTCATTCTTCTCAGGAAATACACAGAATTCGTCACATACGGGACTGGGTGATCGCCTCCTCGGAGTAAGCCTCGATGACCTCGGGCTCGTAGCTCTGGGCGTTGACGAACTTGTTGTAGATCACCTTGATGCTGGAGTAGTCGGTCGGAAGCAGGGCAATCTGGTCAGCGATGGCCTGGGCGTCGGCGAAAGTCGGGACGTCCTTGCAGACGTTGGAGAAGCTCAGAACGATGTTGTTGGCATAGACTCTGCCCAGCTGAGCCTTAGCCTTCTCGCCCAGGATGACGAGATCGGCCTCAGGGTTCTCCGCCAGGTGTTTGCGGGTAGCCTTGCTCAGACCGGAATGGATACCACCGCAGAGACCCTTGTCGGAAGAGGCGACGACATAGAGGGTCTTCTGGCCCTCCACAGCCTTGGTCTCCGCCTTCTCGAAGAGGGTGTTGGAAGTCGAACCGTAGGAACGGGACTCCTCCATGGCCTTCTGGGCACGGGTGAGACGAGTGGAGGCGATGACCTTCATGGTGTTGGTGATCTTCTCGATGTTCTTGATGGACTTGAGACGGCCCTCAATTTCACGCAGAGTCGCGAAGGTGGCGGCATTGGGAGGAGCAGTGCTTGGAATCGTCAGCCAATGCCACTTTGGAAGACATCTGGGATCGATAGATCGCGCATTGAATCGTGTTTGGCGGCGCACAGATGGGGATCTAATGTTTGCGCTGGGTCAGAGACTTACCGAGTGAGAGCGGCACTGCCGGCCTTCAGGGCCGGGCGCGCAGCGCGAGAGAACATGATGGCAGAGAGGTATAGAGGACAAGAGACGAAAATCCGTCGAGAGACGCTGCAGAGGGGAGAGCAGCAGGGTCAATGGGATGTCGGTTCCTCTGGGGACGTCTATAGAGGGAGGTCGTCAGGTTGCTTTCTGTCTTGTCCGGCTTTCGGGAGACGGGAAGCACAGAGCCGCGCTAGGCTGGATGAGGCAGGAGGTGAAGGGGCAGCGCGACAGACCAACTGCGCATATCAGGTGACTCCGGTCACGGGGCTTGCCAGCCCCAGGCATCCTCAGGCATACTCAGGCATTCCAGGTGTCGATGACTCTCTGCTGAGCTAAGCCGTGGGATGCCTCATGCTTCAGGCGCCAGCACGAACCAGGCAACACAACTGGTCAAAACAGGGCGGCGTGAGATTCCGCCTCAGGCCTTCTATCCAGCTCTTCAACCTTTCCTTTTCCTTCTCTCTCTCTCTCCCTCTCTTCTACTTCTCGCGCCCTGCCTTGTTCCCAGCTGAAAGTCACATCTATCTCCCCTCTACAACACCCCCCGGGACCCATTCGCTCACTTACATCTCCTTCTGGTTATGGTTACGGGCCACTCGGGCCTCACTTAGCCTTCCGGTCCCTCATTATTTCATTTGCTTCATACCTCTGTAAGGCCTCGGTCCTCGTTTGCAGGCCGCCTGGGTTCGCGCGCCTGGCCCTGCGCCCACCCCCGTTGTTGGCACTTCGACCACTTATCCCGGTGAGACATTTCTCGATTCCTCATCTACAAACCATGAGCTCTTCCGAGGATGACACCCCGCTTGCGAAGGAGAATGGCAAGTCCATTGGTAGGTTCTCCGCCTCCCGGTCAGCCCTTCGCCTCAGCGCAGCGCCGGACACCCTGAAGCTCTTTACTGCGTTCCCTGCCACTCAGTTGTGTTGTTACTTCACATCCACCTTCATTACTCTTTCATTGATGTTCTTACTGACGAGGCCGTCATCTTATCCTAGACGCCGCGCTTTCTGAGAAGATGATCGCCAAGTCAACTGATCGTATGATGGGTGACGCTGCAGAGACCAACGGTCATACCGAACCTGGGGTCTCGGTCAGGTTCGGTCCGGTTCAGGATGGGGACGTTGAAATGGCAGATGCAGGAGCGGACGTCAATGGCCGCACGCTCAGCAAGAGGAAGTCTCGAGCAAGCGTCGATAAGCCCGTTTCATATGCGGAGCCTCAGAGCAGCGAAGATGACGAGCCCTTGGTACGCCACCTTCCTACCTCGATTACCACCCTCTCTTCATCCTGAAGTTCTTAAATGTCGTTGATTCCAACGGCTGACCGTCCGATAGAGTAAGAAGCGTCGCACTTCTACCAAGGCGCACAAGGATCCCGAAACGGATGAGGATGTCCCATTGGCAGCAAATGGAAGGAAGCTTCCCAAGGCGTCTGAGACTGCTATCGGGGACGAGTCCGATTCTGACGTTCCCATTGGGAAGAAGCTTGCCAACGAGAAAGCCAAGATAGAAAAGGAAGCGGAGAAAGAAGCCAAAGCTATCCGGAAAGACGAAGCTGCGGCTGCCAAGAAAGCCAATGCAAAGACCGCGAAAGCCACGAAGCCTGCAACGAATGGCAAGAAACAGGCGAACGGAATTAAGAAGGAAGCTAGCGACGATGAGCCCCTGTCTCGCAAAGCTCCTGCCAAGAAGACCTCGAAGGCAGTTAAAACCGAGCCGAAATCTGAGCCTTCCACTCCCGTGAAGAAAGGTAAGGGCAAGGCGACGCCTGTCAAGGATGAGACCGAAGAACCCGAGGGCGATGAGGAAGAAGAATACCGGTGGTGGGAGGATCCAACAAAGAGTGACGGTACTATCAAATGGACGACTCTAGAACACAACGGTGTCGTCTTTCCCCCGCCTTATCAGCCGCTGCCCGAGAACGTCAAGATGAAATATGACGGAATTCCGATCACCTTGCACCCTGATGCCGAAGAAGTTGCTGGTTTCTTCGGTGGCATGCTGAATTCGACTCACAATGTCGAGAATCCTACTTTCCAGAAGAACTTTTTCATGGATTTCCAAGACATCCTCAAGAAGACCGGAGGTGCGAAGGATCCTAAAGGGAATCCTGTTCAAATCAAGGAATTCTCGAAATGCGATTTCCGACCGATCTTCGAGTACTACGAAGCCCAGCGGGCTGCCAAGAAGGCCCTTCCAGCGGCCGAGAAGAAGCGTCTGAAAGCCCAGAAAGAAGAAGAGGAAGCTCCTTACCAATACTGTTTGTGGGATGGACGTAAGCAGAAGGTTGGAAACTTCCGCGTTGAACCTCCATCTCTCTTCCGTGGTCGTGGTGAGCACCCTAAGACCGGAAGGGTGAAGACCAGAGTCCAGCCTGAGCAGATCACGATCAACATCGGCAAGGATGCACCGGTCCCTCCACCTCCTGAAGGCCATCGGTGGAAGGAAGTGAAGCATGACCAAGAAGGTACCTGGCTTGCCATGTGGCAGGAAAATATCAATGGCAACTATAAATATGTCATGCTTGCGGCCAACTCCGATATTAAAGGCCAGAGTGACTATAAAAAGTTTGAAAAGGCTCGAGAGCTGAAGAAGCACATTGACCGTATCCGCAAGGATTACCAGAAAAATCTCAAGCACGAGTTGATGGCGGAGCGGCAGAAGGCCACCGCAGTATATCTCATTGACCAGTTCGCGCTCCGTGCTGGTAACGAGAAAGGTGAAGACGAGGCTGAGACTGTGGGCTGCTGCTCGCTGAAATACGAGAATGTCACTCTGAAGCCGCCAAACAAGGTCGTCTTTGACTTCCTTGGTAAAGATAGTATTCGGTTTTACGACGAGGTGGAAGTAGACGCGCAGGTGTTCAAGAATCTGAAGATTTTCAAGAAGCCACCGAAGAAGGAAGGTGATGAGATCTTCGATCGCTTGACGGTAAGTGAAGAGGCGAATCCTCTTCGAGAACAAATGCTGACATCTCTAGACAACCGCATTGAACAAGCATCTGTCGAATTACATGCAGGGCTTGACAGCCAAGGTCTTCCGTACTTACAACGCCTCTTACACGATGGCCCGACTGCTCAAGGAGATGAACCCACAAGGTTCTATTCATGAGAAGGTCAAAGCGTACAATGATGCGAATCGTAAGGTGGCCATTCTTTGTAACCACAAACGTACTGTCGCTGCTGGACATGCTGGCCAGATGGAGAAATTGTCAGATAGGGTATGTTATCGTCATTAAACGAAATCGTCTTTACTATCACTAACTATGCATCAGATCAAGGGACTGCGTTACCAGAAATGGCGCATCAAGCAGATGATGCTCAGCCTTGAGCCTACGTTGAAGAAGAAGAAGGGCGCCAAATATTTCGAACTAGATGAGGATCTTGATCAAGAATGGGTCAAAGAACACCAGGCCTTCCTTGTTGAGGAACAACGCCAGAAGATCAAGAAGAAATTCGAAAAGGACAATGAGAAGCTGGCCGCAGAAGGCGAGAAAGAGATGAAACCTAAGGAACTTGAAGAGAGGCTAAAGGCTGCCGATGACCTGGCGAAAAAGTTCGCTAAGGAAAATAAGACCGGCAAAGTCGAACCGGAGGGCAAAGGCCCGACTGTCGAGAAGTTCGAGAATAATCTCGCGAAGCTTGACCAACGTATTGAGGCCATGTCATTGCAAGCTGAAGACAAGGAGAGCAACAAAGAAGTTGCCCTTGGTACTTCAAAGATCGTGAGTCTTCCTAAACTCCGTGGCTCATTTCGCGCTAACAGAAGAAATTTTAGAACTACATTGATCCGCGTCTGACTGTGGTGTTCTCGAAGAAATTCAATGTCCCCATTGAGAAGTTCTTCTCTAAGACCCTGCGTGAGAAGTTCGACTGGGCTATAAAGTCTGTAGATGAGGACTGGGAATTCTAATTCCCTTCTCTAAAGATCATTTGTGATGTGGCGCGCGGTGAAGTCATTCATGGTTTGGGGGGTTTGGGGGTCGTTTTTTACCTGTGCTTATATAGCGTTCTGTGCATTCGGTTACTTTCTCACCCATGTCTTCCTATTGGCATCTCATCAATCTCAAATTAGACGGATGTGGCGGCTCTTTGGATAGTGGACCCCACCGTCACTTCTAGAGAGCCATGTGTATTTGCAGATCCCTTTTGACCCCGGTGGCTTGTCTTGTGAAACCTCCACAAGCCTTTTTTTATATCTTTCGTTCCTATCCTTCCTAGTTGATTATTTCTACGCACCAACTAACCTCAGAAAAAAGTGCCTGTTCTACCTTCAGTCGATTTGTCAGCTTGTATTATGGGCGCGAATGTCGTGCTGGGAACTGGCTTCTGCTTATGCATGTGTGCTAAAAACTCGAGAATAAAATCAAAAACGAATCGAATCCGAAGTTCTGAATATTGGTTTTCCATGGCGCTATGCTTAGGAATAGGTAGAACTGATAAAATAAATGCTGCCTGAGGTAAAAAGATGTAGATTTGAATACTCTCCTTCGAAGCTTGACTTGTGATCCAGTTGCTCCCCTCCCTGCGCCTCCCACCGTAGCGAGGTGGAGTGATCTAAGTTCTATTTACAATGGCTTTAGGAGGAGGGAAGAAGAAGAAACGAATAGATCATCCTGAATGTTTTACGAAGATCGTAATATAAGAACATGGTTAGAAAAGATGGACTTGGCTTAACTAGTCTTACAATGTCCATTGACCCGTTCACTCTCCTATGGTAAGTACCCATGGGGGTACGGATCTTGGCTAAGGGGGATTAATAAGATAAGTAATGTAGGAATGAAACTCTGTTGTTGATGATTGCTGAATGGGAATATTCCATCTTTCTTAAACAGCAAGACAACTACGTGAAGGACAAGTCGATTGAGACGAGAGATGGGATAAGCCAAAACAAAGTGGTATAATTGCATGGTATCCACATGAGAAGAAATCAAAACGAGACCCCAAAAAGACGATATATCCATATAAAAGTGGATATGCAGAGAGGGTGAAGTAAGTAGGTAATAGGTCTTTGCTTGAGGGAGAGAGGTAAAAGGGGGACCACCGGAGATCTTGGGGGGGACAGTTAAGTAGGTAAGTAGAAATGCCACGCTAACAACCACGGTGAATATATGACGAGGGGGTAGATGATTATAAATTACAATTGTAGAGAATGCTTGGAACGCAGGAAAACGTGGGACTGACTGTTGATCGTCCTGCGAACCAGCTCAAGCTTATATGCCCGTGCCACACGTTGGCAAAAGAGAATCAAAGGACAGAAAACCGACGCCGCTTGCATGAGAGGATCCATGGTCGTACCAGTAGCGTTCGTTAAAGAAAAACTCGTGATGTGCTGTCCTCCTCTAATCCCTCTGTGTAATAAGGTATGGATGCGATCATCGACGGCATGTTCATGGCCACCATCCCATTCGCTCATAGCTGGCGACCATAGCTCTGATAGCATCCGCATCGAACTTCTCCCTCTCAGGCTTGAATCCCGTCGTGGTCTCGAACAGTGTTCCATCAATGGACATATCGATATCTTTGATCACGTCCCTCTCGAGGAAAGGGCTGATGGGACCGGGCCGCGTAATCTGCTTTTCCGCAATGAGATCGGCCCAGGTCTGCAGGCAAAGCTCGTTCATCTCATCCAAAACCTGATCGATATTGAGCTTTGCGAATTGAGAGACTACGGAACCGAGGAATGAGACTTTCATATCGAAGACAGTAGACAGGGCTTCTGCAACTTGTTCCTGTCGGGTATCACCATGGTCGACGACATTGAAGAGGATGGGAAACCCTTCTTCACCCGGCGGAGCGGAACCCTTGCTTGCTCTCCATTCAGCTGCAACCCACAAAGCACGAACGGCATCCTTGATGTATATCGTGTTGATCTTCAGATCTTTCGTATAGAGCAATTCCAGCTCTCTGCCCAAAGCCTTGTACACGCGCGCCAGACAAATACCCATGGCGAAATACCCCGAATCATAGTCTCCATATACATATGGGAATCGTAGGACGATGTAGTTGAGTCCGGGGACCCTGCGCAACTCCTCTCCCGCCTTAAGCTTCCACTTGGCGAGTTTGTGCCATGGTTGCGTCTTGTCATTTTCCTTCCGTGGGGCAGATCCACTCTTGTAAACCTGGGCTGTTGAGCATTCAACGAAGGCACGGAGACCACGCTTGGCTGCCTCGCGGCCAAGGGTAAGTGATAGGGTGTAGCTGCGAAGCTGGTAGACGTCGTCCGGCTGTCCATGTTTAGTTTCGCCCGCACAGTTGATTATATAGTCAAATTCTTCGCCGTTGGCTCGGTCGAATATTCGCGCCATCGACTCTAGATGACAGAGCAGATTCAGCATCACATCCAGTAGTAGGAAAACAGGGTAAGCTAGTAGTGAAGGAATTGCACATACGCTCACGACTGGCATCAGCTTGGACAAACTTGTCTTTCGAACACGCCTCCTCGAATTCGGGCGCCAGCCATGCTAGCTGTGGTAGGACCTTGTCCACCAGGCGCACTTCGGAGGCTAGATTATTCTCATGGAGGTAGAGGGCGAGGTAACGGCCGATGTACCCTGCAGGCCATTTGAAAAGCAAACATGTATCAGTCGGGCTGGAATGGACAAAGAGTATTGGTCAGTCAATCAGGAGGGAGAGTATGCACCTAGACCTCCAATAATCAGCACTGCAGGCTTCTTGCCCTCATTGCTGGCCATGATGATGGCTGTGAATCCGCCGGATCTGCGGTCTCCGTGTTACCCGATGGATGAGGCTCAGTTGTGGGAATTCCTGGCACCGCTGGAGAGCTGGTCGACTTGCGCTATATCCCCCGCCTTGGATGAAAACGGATCGAGATAGCGGGAAGAGGGATGAGTTCCCAAGGATGACAGTTTTACCGCCACGACCTGTTCCGCGAGGCGCAGAAGCTGGAAGAGCACGGGGCAAGCTTAGGTCTGGGCCAGGGCTCGTGTTGGAGGAAGTAGTAAGTTGGTTATACGGAGAGTTTGCCGTAACTGATTATTACCGTCTCGCACGGAGGTTTCTCCGACTAGCAAGTTCGTGGACGAGATGGGATGAGAAACAAAAAGAAAAGAGACGATGGCGCGGAGGATTTCGAGGTGAGCCCTCGACGGTTAAGTTAGTGAAATTATGATTAAGGGATTCGGACTGGCGGAGTCGGTGGAGGGAGAGAAGGACGAGAGTTGATCGATTGTGCTCCTGTTTCTGCCACCACACGCAAGTTCAAGACTGTCGACTCGACCCTCAGCACCAAGACCGGTCCAACGGTCTAGTCTATATGCCATCTGGTATTTCTATAATCTATCTGCTCCTCAGCCTCCTCTTGCTACAACAAGCCCTTGTTCCTGGCCGCCAGAGGCTGCCCAAAAGGTTCATCAGGCCCGCGTATCGCTCGGCATCAATCGGTGCTGGAGGCCACGTGAGGATGGCCGTTTCGACGGTTCCATCGCCAGCGTCTCGCTGCGCATCGTCGTCCAACCGTCCTAGACTCTGCTGGGCTAGTGATGCGTCTGGAAATTTCGCAAGGGTCATCCAGGAGGCTCACTTTACCTGAAAGTCGCAGCGTCCCGACGAGCTAACTCCCTGGTGGATCTCTCTAACGCAGCCCCGGGCGCCGTCAAAAAGCTGTCGCGCAGCGGTTCACGGCCTGAGACTGCCTGGAAGACCCAGTGGGACGAGCCGAAGCGCCCCGTATGGAACCCTTGCCGACTCGAGCAGAACCTTTTCTGGCTATTACTATTACCTAGCCTCTCTTGATCTGGAGTTGTTGCTGTTCAGAAGAGGAGGGGGAGAGGGAGCCTCGCCGTCCAAACTCAGACGAATCATAACGATTGCGATCATTTACACTGGTCCCGAAATCCCGCTTTGTCCACAGCTTGCTACTTTATAATAATACTCCGTACAGAAGAGCGAGTATGGGGCGCAGTGCTACGTATATGGCTGCTTATCACGATGTTAGTGGCCGCGCACCGGCTGATTTGCGATTTGCGTTCGGCAGTTAAATTCCAACATGACGGTTTATTATATCGGTGCGAATCGAAGGAGCATACGAACTTCCCAGGCCCGCTGGTAGAGGGGCACGGCGTCGATGTACTGTATGTACATACATAGAGGTATGCCCCATCAGATTCGGCAAAAGCTCGCATCGGCCATTTCGTTGCGCATGTAGCGGCGTGGTCATATATTATTTCTTTACCTTGTGGAGAGTGCAATTATTGGCGAAATTGCTAGTTACGAGACAGGAGCCATGATTTACACCGACTATGCGCTTACCATGGGAAGATATTATTGATACTCACGCGTCACTACTGACAAGTGACTGGAGTACAAACTATAGCGGTTACTGCATAATATGATCCCGGCTCTACGGGTTGGCGGATCGATCTTCTGATCTCTACCTCGGGTATGCAGTGTACGTGTACGGAGTAGGCTGTCAATGTTGCTTCTAACGGGACCATGCTGACGCGCTCCATAATACAGTGCAAGTGCAAGTGTGGTGGCTTCGAACGCTGGCTGGCTCATCCTGCCAGGAACAGCGCTCCACTGCATATCAGGGGGAGGGTCAATATTCACCTCAAAGAAATAGTTCTGCGCCTCGTTCGCGCACATCTCTCGAATAAGCAACTGGAAGGCCACTCTGAAGAGACTCAGAAGTCCTACATCGCGTAAAGTATACGGTCCAAGACTGCAGCTTACCCGACCTCACGACAGGGTTTCTTGTCGTCTGAGCGTCTTTCCGCAATCCTTTCTGCTGTTTCTTGAAACCCGGAGGACGATCACTCGTGTCGACGCTATCCTTGTGTGGCGGTGACGATGTCCCTGTCTGCGGAACCTCTTCGGATGGCGGAGGTTTCTTTTTTACCAAGTGGGACCGCAAGCTGGAAATAATGATTGCCTTTGCCTTCCCCAGTTGAGGCGCTGTCCCAGAGGAATAAGGGCACTTGGCCTGAGCTACTACGTACAAGAAAAAAAAAAGAAAGGAAAAACAAGGGTCAAGAATAAAATTTACAAGACGCATTATTGACAGACCAAAAAAGAAATCCACAGAAATACGTGCTGGGTTCTCAACATTATTATTATCAATCGTTTAGTCAGTATGGAAAGAAACTTACTCAATTCTAGTTTGCTCGCCCCCCAGTTTTTCAATAGTTTGGTAACTTCCCGCACATAAAAATAAACCACTGCGGCCCTTATGTATTTCGGCATCGTTATGCCTACACAGGACTCGCTCGACATACATTACTACCTGGAAATCACTGTAAGCTTGCTGACCTGTGTAGCCATTTATTATTATTATTATTATCTCTGTTACCCTTGCCTTAGAATGTTGTCATGTTCACTATCTTCTACTACGTACTTCCTCAGTGTCATGCAGTGGGAAAAGATAGATAGGGCGTTTAGCTTCTTACCTTACCTGGCTGGTCAGCTGGCTTACCGTAGAACACACGAGGTTTTGTAATTTGTATAGGGACAGCAGGGATAGAATCAATATTCATGCAAGCGCGCACACGGGAGTCATGTTATCATAGCCTCTAGAGATACATGCATTCCAATTCCATAATAGCCTCGGGACTGGTTGAGACAAGAATAGAGATGGCCCCTCGTATCCTCTACGGTTTGATTAGACATTATTGGCTTGGACGGGAAACATCCCTGCTGTGCTGCGTATTCTTAAGCTCTGATCAACCACGCCGACTCATCGACGGTGGCTTGTCAATTCGAGACGGGGTCAGCCACCGACGTGTACTCTACTCCGTACAGTTGCTTGCTTTTTCATGTATCGAGAGCCCCGAGGTGTTCTTAAGCTTTGGACATACTAGTGGCTATCGATAGAGGGTTTTGAGAGCGAATCATCTGGATGAATATTTGACCATGCTATTGATATTGGGTAGAAAGGATACTGTAGAGTACAATGTCTATCAATTATGAATCGCTCAGGATGGTATTCTCTTGTCCGCTCCAGCAAGGGCAACCAAGCTGAGAGATAGAGAACACGCGGACCAGCACAGGCCACCTGAGGCATCCCAGTCGATCAGACACTTTATGTTCCAAGAATGCAGAGAAAATGTAATCACGATCTCAGACTCCAGTGTTCCAATCTGCAGGTAGAGTGAAAATCATAGTCATTTTGCTTTTTCGATTTGATAGAGTACGTAGCAGAAAATCGGAGACCGCTCTGCAGGAGCACCTTGATAAGAAAAAAAAAAAAAAAAAAAAAGAAATATGCAGCGCTGATGTTCCAGACCATTAGTCGAGCGCCACAAGACGTCCTTCCCTTGTTATCAGACATGATTAATCCTAGAGCGTTTATTCGTCATTCTGCATATGCAGAATTATGTACCTTGCTGACAGGGATAGCGAAATCTTTATCGCAGCTGGCAGGAATGCTTTCGTGGTGTCGCGCTTTGTTTGAGATTACATGCGCATAGTACATACATACACCGCGGGACTGTAGTGATAGTTAGCAGGGTGAAGAGTAAGGTAACCCAGTATCAACTTACACAGTGAGACAGAAATAGTCGACCTCATGTACTGGTATCAATGATCATAGATCATATTTTCTGAAGTTAGTGATGCTCCCCCAATGTCCGTACTCGATAATGATCATCTGAGTTTCTTGAGATGGAGCTTCACTGTGATCTGAAACCCACAATAAGGAACCTCCTTGGTCCCCAAGTCTCTCAAAAGCCACTCCTCTCTCAACTGCGCAATAACCCTCTTCCAGTCGTCTTCCTTTCCAGGACGAACCAGGATCTTGTATCCACACCACTCGAACCCAACGGAAGCAGCTAAGATGCGTCCAATCTGGCCATCAGTGTTGGATTCGTCGTCGATCTGCATGGTATCCATGGTATCATCCTTCTCATTGAGTACGCACTCGTCCATCATGGAGGTGAAGAACGCGGAAACGCGTGAGAAGCGATGGAAAGGGATATGGACAGGGAACATCTCTTGCTCTGTGTCAGTTGAGAGTAGAAAGGTGGTCTGACGCATATATTTGGATTCAATCTCAGCAAAAGTTTCGACGTCCTCTCCCTCATCGTCCGGGGTATTGGGTTCAGTATGATAATACGGTGGTTCCCAGAGGGGAAGGCCCATATTCTGCACGATCTCCGGAGTCCCAAGTTCGGGAGTGAGACGCTCGTGATATGAGGCCCGTTTGGCGTCTTTCTTCTTAGACTTCCGGGCCTTCAGGACAGTCTCCGAGATAGCGGATTCTGTAACAGGCGCGACATCTCCCTCGCCACTGCTACCGGTCTGTAACACCTCGCGAGATGACGACTTTTTCTCAAGAAGCAGAGTCACAGCACGGATCATCCTGGCAGATATTAGTTAGTAAAGAACTATGGCTATAAATGATGGATCAGACTTACACCTCCTTGCGCTGCGGATACACGCACAAGTTCTCCGGCCGCTCCAAGCTACCCTCCATGAGATATCGAGCTCTGCTCTTCTCTCCCCAGTACTTCTGGCCGAAGTGATCAACGAACGTGGTAGCGCAGACTCTACGCACTTTTTCATCACGCCGTAGCTTCTCCCAGTCGTAACAGCGGTTCTTGTTCACATAACCCCACAGATTCTTCAAGAATTCCGAGTGATATTCGTTTTTGATGTCGAGAAAAGTTGTAAAGGCACGCATGCGGCTCTTGGTTGTAAGGACTCCGTCATTGAGATCTTGGAGAAGGCCCACAAGTCCTGGATCATTTGTTGGATCGGGGCTATCCAAGGTTGTGTCTCTAGTCCTGCTCTTGTGGCGGCGGTGTTTGCTGTGAGAGCGCCTTTTCTCTCGAGAAGGACGAGGAGGAATATCTTCGAATATCAGCGACAGAACTGCTTCAATAACACACTAGGGAGCCCTCACCTGAACCGGTGGAATCGTCAAAGTTTTCCATAGTGATAGTCTCGCGTGCCATCTTGTTTACAATCAATGGTTGGAGACGTAAGGAATGTGTCTGTAACCTGTAAGACTAATCGATAGAGATAATAAAGGCCGCCAGGAGCAAGTATTCAAATTGTCGCATGGAGAAGTAAACCAAGGTTGACTCTTCTCGGCTCAATCTGGAGAGCTGGAGGTGAGAAGAATGTGAAAGAGCAAAGAGGGGTCCAAAAGACGTGCCTGACGCGCAGATGTTTTAACACACAGAGAGGTGAATATGGGTTGCAAGTGAATACAGTTCATTCACCCAAAACAAAGAAATCATAGAAGACAGCTTTTGCAGTAAATGGGGAATAATAACAGTTAATCATATAGGCAACTTTCGATATAAGCTTTACATATTAAATCGAGGACTAATGTATGTTTTCATTGCATAATGGTATTTGCCCCTTCACTCTGCCCCAAGGTATCTCAAAGAGTTTCTCAGTTCTTTAATAGCAGTGTTTACGTCGTCAAAGCTCAATGCTGAGACGGCCCAACGAGCATGCTTCTGGGCCAGTGCAATCGAGTCATCATCGACCGTTTGATTCGCGGGTGTGCCTGAAGCACGAGAGGCTGCAGGAGCAGGTACAGGTGTTGGACGTGGAGCAGCGGCGGGGGGTGTTCGTGAGAATGATGTTGCGGGAGCAGCAGGAGGTACGAACGGGTTGGTTGGTGCTCTGTAGAAAGCACTGGGAGGTTGAGGCAGACTGTCTGTAGTTGGCTGTTCGCCTGCCGTTGGAGGAGGGAATGACTCCAAGCCGTCAGTAGAGCCAGAGTAAGCGGCGCCAAGGTTCGATGTTGCTGGAGTGTCTGGAAGACTGAGTGAAGAAGAACCGAAGCCCGCAGGAGCTGAAGGGAGCTCCGGTGCGTCTCCAGTTGAGGAAGCTTGCGCAGTATCCACATCCGAAAGTTTTGAAGGAACATGAGGCAGAGACGTAGGAGGCTGAGGCGGAACCGAAGACGACCTGGATGGATGAAGAGATTCATCCAAAGATGATTGCCGCGCCAACTGCTTCTCTGTGCGATCAGCATCATCAGGGACATCTTCCACGGATGGCTGCCTTGGTCTTGTCGTTGACGGCTCGCCCGAACCCTCAATGGCTTTCACTTCGGGGTCACTAGGATCCAGAGGCTCAAGCTGTTCATCTTCCTTCTCCTCTATTTTCGGGTTTGTCAGGTTGGGATCTTCTCCGGCCTTGATAGCTTTCACGATGCGGACCGCATGATATTTGGCGAATTTGATCTTCGCGGCGATTTCAGGTTCGAGAGGGCCCCATATCTGACAGAGCTCGAGAAACGTAGCCGCCGCTTGAAAGGTATCTGCTGTTTGTCTGTACATGATTAGCCGGTTATCACGGACTATTAGCCACCAATTTCCTCTGCGTACTTCGTAACCTTGTCCGCCCTCATGGCAGCTTCCGCGCGATTGAAAACCTCCATGGCGAATTGCTCGACATACGCTTGTCCAGCAACATTATCAGTGATCGCATCATTCCCGACATTTTCGTTTTTGAACTTGACGCAGTAGTTGTTAGCGTGTACGGGGTCCCCACGTTACTGCCTGGCGGTAGCATACTTGCTCAAGCTTATCCATAACATCCATCGTATACTGCTCGCATTCTTTGTCGGCCGTATGAAGCTTTCTCTTGATGATCTGCTCCACGATCCAGTAATTACCTGCAGTGAAGAGTGTCAATCACCCCGCCCATCGCACTTGGCGGTTGCATGAAGCCAATCGGTTGCAGTACTTACACCAGTAGGCAATAACAGGCTTGGCCTTCTCGACCTGGGCAGCCCTAAGGGCAAAGCGCCCTAGGTCTGCAGACTTCAGTTGAGCGGGGATGTTGGCCGCCATGATATAGATCTGATTGTGGACATGAGTACATTCAGTGGCAGCTGGAATCGGCCATGTGGGGAGACAATTCCAGGGCGGAGATGACGTTGGAGCTCCGGGCGGTGAGCTCAACCTCCGACACTAGCTACGGAGTATCAAAATACGCTATGGGCAAAAGTATACTTGTGGAGATCTATCTATGCTTTCACTGTATTATTCCAGGCTATTCATGGCTTTATTCACCACTGTCTGAAGGTGGGGAAATGGTAATAAGCTAAGTCAGATCTCATGAGGGAGACACCGTAAACGCCCTGCTAGTCTGCTAGATCATTGAACGCCGGGGAATCATGCACTATCTGCAAGCCATTCTCCTATCTCCACCAGTACTTCGGCAAGAGCCTCTACCTCAATATGGTCTTCGACTTGCCCTCCAGGTCCACTGATTCTCTCTACCACAATCCACACGCCGCCCTCGTGCTCGAGTCCAGGCTGTAGGTCGAAATCATCGACACGAATACCAGATGCCGCGTCGCTGTGATCTCCGTCCTCCGACGTCGCTAGGATTCTCTTGTATGGTCCTTGGCCTAGCTCGACAGTCATCAATATTGGCGAAGGAGCTACTGCACGGCCAGCGATCGTAGAGTTTCTACTCCTTGCAATAAGCTTCACACGGGTGAGGCGCGGCACTGTCAAGGGAGCCAGGATCCGATCCACCCCAGGAGATAAAACCCCGATATCAGAAATAACGACTCGTCTTCCCGCCGTTTCCGCAGCTAGAGGTCGCACTTGGCATTTCTTTGTAGTGGAAATTGAAAGGGTGAATTTTCCGAGCTGGTCGGGAGCAAAGGTAGAACACACTACAGTGTATAGACCTTTGGCCAGATCATTTGCTTCCGCAACCGCGCAGCCACGACGATAGTCGCCGCTGTCAACAGCAATATCACGGTTTCTCACAGTTGAGACTCGTTTGCCATTCGACCAAAATAGCTTGACATGAGTGGCGAGCTCTGTCTCTGGAGTCTCCAGTAAGATAGCAATATCAGTTGGTTCAAACAGCTGCAGGCTGAACTGCGGATTGGACGGGTATCTGGCAGATTCTGCATTTCCGCCTGCCGTCGACTTGGTCCAGGCTGCTTGTACAGTCTCCACATACGCGTATTTATCACGGGCTTTCGAAAGCTTTACAGGAGATGTGGAGAACGAAGATAGCGTGAAGCTTTGGGTCAATGCAGGGATTGACTGCTCAGTGACAACTACCGTGTAAGTCGTATTAGGCGGTATATCGACCTTCATCAACGTATTTGGTGAGTCGACGTAGGGGCCTCGATGAACGGCGCCATCGCTAAGAGAGACCTTCTGCCCATCCTTTTTGAAGATGTAAATGCTTATAAATTCAGATTCGTCGCGGTTCGATGAGGTGTCGAGGGACTTGGAGTCGTCAGGTGCGCTTGATCGAAAATGTTTGCTGAGAAGAAGCCATACAGAGCCGCCGGCACGCGTAGAAATCGCAAATTGTGGGTTCTTTGAGAAGCACCCTGGCGTTCCGCGTCCATTTGCCAGATCCCATGAAAAATGAATATCTTCGCGATACTTAAAGAGGCCAGGGTTCCAGTTCAAGTAAAGGTTCTCGAAGTTTTGGAATATCTTGTCGCAGTCCATCCAGAATACGCCTGGGGAGAGAGATGAGGAAGTGTCCTGACGTCCGCTCCAAGGAGAAGACGCGTCTCTGTCGTCCTGAGAACCATCACGGAATCCTTCTCCTGCCGCCCACGGATTCTTCACAAGCATCTGGCGACGCCCTTTAGATTCTTTCATATCGAGAACCGCATAGTCATGCTCTCCTATCAGACCAAGAACTCTTTCCTCGCGCTCCGTCAATTTTCCTGTGCCAAGAGTCACGAGAACATCTCCATAATGGAAAGCTTTTAGAAGCCGTTTCCACAGCTGGTCTGAGGTCACTTCATCATCGTGCAGGAAGATCTGCTCGGGTATCCAGCCGCTCAGGACCCATAAGTCAGTGCCCGAATTACTGCCGGGGAAGTCATAACTCCCGCCACGGACTTTCAAATATGCTTTCTCTAAAAGGGCAGGCCACAGAAGGTTGGGGTTGTTCCGGTCGACCACGTAGAGCGTGCGAGACGTCTTCGATGATGGCAGTCGGTCATCAATTATGACCTTTCGATAACATCCATTGAAGTAAAAGCGGAAAATATACTTTCCTGAGTGCGACAGTTTAGGCTTAAGTGCTCTCTGGTCATAGGGATGAATCATTGAAAAGGAAAGCTATCAATTGCGGTTAGTCAATTGGACCAGTACACGAGTGATGATAAATATCAATACCTCATGGTGGCCACGTTCTTCTCTGGAAGTTGTAGCGCACAAGCTGGCTACGACGGAACAATCCGTGGTGACATCCTGTATGAGGTCTATCTTGCTGGATCCACGTGTCGCTGGTCCATCATTGTTCTCGTCATCAGCGACGTTAGTGAGAAGTTCATGAGGTCTCTTCCAGCCATTGAATATCTCTTGCTGGGTGGGTGAGAGACGAAGCTCTGATTTATCCCTGCTCCCCGTCAGAACAAATGGCATAATGCAATTAATTATTCACTGGTACTTACTTGAACAATTCTTCGCCATTCTCCAATTCGAACTCCTCTGGACCAGGAGCAGTTGTCCATGGCGGAAACAAGAATCCATTCAATTTCGCACCCTCAAGAAGGATGATCTCTTCGCGGGTCGTTAATTTCCGGGTAGATACGGGCTCTGTCAGCCTCAGAATATCATGCTCGCCTATACCAGCGGCCTGCTGCCAGTTCTTGGCATCTTTTATTTTTTCTGCCTTCTCAAGGAGTTCTTTGCACTTTGCATCGAGCTTCTGTTTCTCTCTAGGCGCGCTAGTTAGTTTCAACGCTTTCATGTAATGTTCCGCGGCATCAATAGCAGCTTCCAGAGCTAGCCGCTGAGATGTAGCAGAAGCCACATCACGTTCCGCTTTCTATGCATTTGGTTAGTCGGTTGATGTACGCAAGGATGCTAGGAGAGTTACCAGAGCCTGGGCCACATGTGTTCTCTGCGCGGAAGAACCTGGTTGGGACATCGTGGTCGGGATCAGTGCAGTCCGATCAAACGATCAGCGGCCGGAGCCCCTCGCAGTGGGAATGTACCCGCAACGGTCACACATGAACGAAAGGGGAGCAGAACTAGTAACTAAACAGTGGTCGCGGTAAGGATAGGGACTTGCTTGATGACATGCCCGAGCCCAGCCGTTTCACTTTCCGATCACCGATCCTCAGATATCCGACTCCCGAGGACAAAGTACAGAGGATGTACGGTGAGTGGCTGGTGAGAGGCGGAGGACAAGGTATGACACGCCGGAAGCGTTCTCTGATAGATAGCGCTATCAGAGTGTTGAATCATGAATGTCGCGTGGGTGGAGGCACTTAGTACTGTGGTGGCCGTGGGCGACTCGGCCCATCTCTAGTCAGTTGGAGAGCCGAAGCCTCGGCTCTTTTGTGTCTCCCCGGTGTCGTACCGATAGGACCTAGGTGCCCTTCTCCAGTTCTCAGTGATCCATGCTGAGTTCTGACCGGTGGCCATGACTCTCGACCGATCGTTTTGATTCTATTATTTTATTTTTTGTTTTTTTACGGTGGCTGGCCAGATATCATTGTTTCAGTTAAGACCCCTTTTAACGTGCCAGGTGGGAAACTAGACCTCCGGTCCCCGCCCTACCTATCTCCGTAACCCGTCGCTTTTTTTTAGGATCAAGCCAGAGAAGGCTTTCCTGGGGAGACACAGAGACAACTACTGATCCTTCTCTGATCTAATGGCTGGTCAGTCGAAGCAGGCGCGTCTGGGGCCATGGGAGAGCGCAATCGCCGGTGCAACCGGTGCAGTGCTGGCGAATGCGCTCGTATACCCACTGGATCTGTATGTTCATTGGTGGCTGGCTTTTTCCTAATACTGCTTGTACTAATTGATGGTGGTTTAGTGTCAAGACGAAGCTTCAGGTCCAAGTTAAGAACCAAAATGCTACCAAGAGTGTCGCTCCCGGATATGAGCAACACTACGAGTCCACCATGGACGCCATTAACAAGATCGTCAAAGATGAGGGTGTTGCGGGACTATATGCGGGAATAAACGGTGCTCTGCTGGGAGTCGCGTCGACAAATTTCGCTTATTTCTACTGGTACTCGGTGGTACGAACGCTATACATGGCTTCCAACAAACTGCCCAAGCCCCCCGGCACTGCGATCGAGCTTAGTCTCGGCGCCGTAGCTGGTGCTGTCGCGCAAATCTTCACAATCCCAGTGGCCGTCATCACAACACGACAGCAGACACAGCCAAAGGGGGATAAGAAAGGTCTGTTTGATACAGGTCGGGAGGTCGTCAACAGCGAGGACGGTTGGTCTGGCCTGTGGAGAGGTCTGAAGGCCAGCTTGGTTCTTGTGGTGAACCCTGCCATCACATACGGAGCGTACCAGCGATTGAAGGACATTCTCTTCCCTGGAAAAGCGAGTCTCAAACCGTGGGAGGCTTTCGGTAAATTCTGATAGTGTGCTTGTCTAAACGTGTAAAGATTCTGACGCATTGCAGTCCTTGGTGCCCTTTCGAAAGCATTGGCGACCATTGCGACCCAGCCTTTGATTGTCGCAAAGGTTGGTCTGCAGTCGCGTCCCCCTCCTGGTCGTGAGGGAAAGCCTTTCAAGAGCTTTGTCGAAGTTATGCGATATATCATTGACAACGAGGGACCCCTTTCCCTCTTCAAGGGAATCGGCCCTCAGATCACCAAGGGGCTCCTGGTCCAGGGTTTCCTTATGATGACGAAAGAAAGGTAGGCCTCGTTGCTTCCACCTTTTTCTCTACGCTTTATCTAACAGTTGATAGGGTGGAACTCCTGTTTCTCGTTCTCTTCGCCTATCTCCAGAAACTCAAGCAATCGCGATTGCGGAAGGCGGCCGACGCTGCCGCTGAGAAGGCTAAGACCAGCCTTCCGGCTACTCTGAAATAGTCCTACACACTTCCCTTTTACATGTATCGTCTGTTTCCTGTTTCTGTGGCCTTTGCGTATTCTCTTCCTATTCTGTTCTCGGGGATTGTATAGATCTTCTTATCTTTATTCTGTGTTTCCTACATGTATCGTCCGGTCCGTCGAAGAGTGCAAGGAGCTGGCTCTACTCTGGAACTCTCCTCCCCGCGGGCTGAATATGAAAACAGAGACTTGAGTATTCTTAGATACTGGGTACATGCCAAACAATGGACAAAGTGTTGAAAAATGCCCGTGCTGGCACTGATCAGTCAATATTCAACCGTAGACTAGTTACTTATTTATATATCCGTAACTACGACTGATTATCAAAGTAAACAAATAGTCCACTATTACTAGAATGAGAAAACCGTATAGGGGGTAAAAAAAGTCAAAAACAGTCAACCTCTATCCCATTAGTCATGAACTGTTCCTAGTAGTACCACGATCATGGACAGTATTTTACTCGAATAGGAAAGCCGAGGTAGAGACCTGACATAGTCAAGCTACCCAGATGATCGGACCGCCAAGATAAACTTACCACTATCTAACTCCGAATTTCCGCGTCTAATCGACCAATTCGTCACAAACCACACCCTCTCGCGCATTATCAGCCCTGCCTTCAAAAGGGCATGGACAGACATGCCATGGCTGCCATGGTCTTTCAAATCGAAAGAGAACTCCGATAGCACTGAATCTCAATCCTCTCCAGACACCACCGCAACACAACAACAACAACAACCGGCATCAGTCCCACCCAACAAGAACAGCAAAGACTGGAACTCAATTCTCAATGCTACGGATTGGATCAAGTTCACAGAGCCATCTCACGTCATCCCTACAGTTCTCTTGACGAGTGGGATTTTATTCGCCGTCCACGTCCATCGTCGGTTCTTGCGCCGGATTCCCGAAGCGGTCGATATCGCCCCGTCGTATTTTCGCAAGAGGAGTATATTAGGCCAGGTTACGAGCGTGGGCGATGGGGATAATTTTAGAATATTCCATACTCCTGGTGGGAGGCTTGCGGGGTGGGGTTGGTTACGGGAAATACCTACGTCGAGAAAGGAGTTGAAGGCGAGAACGGTATGTGATTGTTTCTTTGTTTGTTTTCTTGCGTGAGAATTTTAAGTTATTTTTTTTTATAATCTCTCTATATGTTTGTGGATTGGATTGGATTGAATTGCAGTGCTGATATGGATGCTATGTATTTTTAGATCCACGTCCGCCTCGCAGGTATCGATGCTCCAGAACTCGCGCATTTCGGCCGTCCCGCACAACCGTTCGCCCGTGAAGCGCACGAATGGCTCACCTCATACCTCCTCAATCGGCGCGTGCGCGCATATCTCCATCGTCCGGATCAGTACCAACGTGTCGTGGCTACCGTGTACGTGCGACGTCTTCTCGACTTCCCGATTCCATTTCGACGACGAGATGTGTCGTACGAGATGCTGAAGCGCGGATTAGCCACCATCTATGAGGCCAAGAGGGGAGCTGAGTTTGGTGGTGAGGCGATGGAGCAGAAGTACCGGAAAGCGGAATGGTGGGCAAAAATGAAAGGGAAGGGTCTCTGGAGGGACTATAAGCGCAATGGATCCGAGTGGGAGAGTCCTAGGGATTATAAGAATCGCATGGGGATGACGGGTTTGGGAGAAGATACTACGTCGCCTTCAAAGACGAAGCGCGTTTAGCATGTCCTTTTTGGGACCGTTTGCATGATAGATAGTTTATGACTCTGATGTTTTAATGTGATTTAGCGAGGGACCTGGGCCTCTAGGCCAGCTGCGGTATAGGTGCATATGATACGAACCCGAAAGTCAATGAAATTCATCCGTCAATTGAGACTATGCAATCTATTGTCTAGACGCATGATGCACATCACATCTGGTATATCGCAATGGGTCCATGGGTAGTCTTGAGCAAGCCGCTTCTAGGAGACCGTCCAGATAACCGTCCGATGAACCTCGTACACCCAAACCAAAAAAAAGAGACCGTTACCAGCGTCATCATACAGGAGTCTATGAAATCAGCATCTCAACAGATAACGCGAGGAATCACATACCCATGAAAAAAGGCTAAAAATGTAGACCGTGGCTCAAAGAACGAAAGGAAAAACGTGGTATATATACAGGCTCGCAATATAGGAGCATTGGTCTCTAAGTAAATCGCCGTTCGATTTCTGCGAAAAGCTTCGGACTGATCTCATCACTGGAATTGCCTTCCGCGCGGAAGAGGCAACCGTTGCGCTCGTAGTGCTCGAGCAGAGGTCTGCTAGTCTCTTCAAACTTCTTCAGCCGTTGTGTCCATGTGTCTATAGAATCGTCATCTCGTTGTGTGAGTGGCTCCCCGGTTATATCATCCTTTCCAGGGACCTTGGGAGGATTAAATTCCGTGTTATAGACCCTTCCCGACTGCGCATGTATCCATCTGGAGGCGATACGAGAGAGAATAATCTCTGGAGGCGTGAGCAGATGGACGGCCAGATTGATCGGAATGAGTTTGTCCAGGCTAGCAGCCTGTGCTGTTGTTCGAGGAAAGCCGTCGAGGATGAAAGAAGCAGAGGGAGATAACTGGAAAGCCGGAGCAGGATTGCTGGAGGAAGAAGCTGTCTTGCTGGAGGTCGGGGTAAGCCAGCCCCTCGCCTGTAGTTCGGAGGAGATCAGGTCGAGAATCGTCGAATCCGGGACGAGGTTCCCGGCCAACATTGTTGACTCGGCCTTGATTCCTGTTCATAGAATTGTCAGATCGCCGTACTCGTGATCATGAACGTCTTCAGAATGTGTATCCCGTACCCAGTGGGGTCTTCTTCCTGACATTCTCCCGCAAAAGGTCTCCTGAGCTGATGGCAGCTAACTGTGGAAACCGTGCTATGAGCCTTTCTGTCTGTGTGCCCTTTCCTACACCAGGCGCGCCGATGAGGATAATGCGAGCTGCTTTCCGGAAATGCCTCGCCATTGTTTGCGATATTGCCCTTCGCACCGCAGCCACCTGCGAAATTTCGAGTTCACTTTCAGGGCAAGCGGTGGCAGTTGGATCTTTTTGACCTGTCCGAGCGGAGATCGAAAAAATGAGGAGACGATCTTAAGCGGGGAACAGGCGACGAAGTGACCGTCTATATCTATACCATTTTGGCCAATGGGACAGGAATGATGGGAGGACAACCTGGAGTCACGCTGTGGAGTGGAACAGCAGAATTTCGAAAGACGGAGAACACGGCGTTGTTCCTGGGATATTACTCAGACAGGCGGCGCGTCCCGTGAGGAGATGGGAGCATTGGGGAAACGTGTGGGGTTGACCTTTGTTGGGTCGCCGGTGAGCCGAGCTTCCTGCCGCAGTCTCGTGATGGTAGATAGTTAAGGTAATCAACTTGGTAATCACTGCCAAGTCGTGCTTGAAGCACGGCGTGGGATCACCGGCTAGTTGGTCAGATAGTGAAGAGAGATATAGATCCGATCATATCCTCTAGGTTCAGATCTACTCGAGTATACTACTATGTATACAACATACGATGTCGAATCTCGATGGTACTGCGAATCCGGGGAAGCTTGAGTGGTTCCTCGGCTGTGCATGACCTGCAGGCGAACAAAACGCCAACACAGCAAAAGCCACGAGAATGCGGAGTCTCCAGAAGTACCAGACAGTAGTATTTCCGACTCCCGACTCCCGAGGGTGCCTGTTTGATCACGTGGTGCATTTCTCCAATTATGTCACGTGACACCGATGCGCGCGTCACGCGTCGCGTCGACGGTCCGCGGAACACTGAATGGCTCTGCCACTATTACTATCTCCGATCTCGAGTGCTATCAACAACAGACATAGCAACCGGATTGGGGTTCGTGGCACCACCAAGATGATTCGACAAGATGCCAGTCGTATCGATGCGAAGCGGAGAGCCACTTTGGACTACAAGAAGAAGCAGTTCGCGGCTCCGACGTATAAGCAACAGGATTACCCGTATCGGTTGAATTTCTACGAGATCCCGCCGACCGCAGAGATCACTCTCGAACAATTCGAACAATGGGCTATCGACCGACTGAAGAGTATGCACTTCCATCTTTCCTCGACGATCTACATGTCTGACAGTGGCTCCAGTTCTTGCTGAGATTGAAGCATGTTCGTTTCGCAACAAGACGGCCGCCGAAACCGCGGCCCATATCACCCCTCTCCTGCAGAAATTCCTCCCTCTTTCCTCCAATACATCGTCCGCATCCGGTGCCGCGGACCAGCGATTGAAGAATGAGCGGCAAAAAGATCATTACTCTCACTTTATCCTGCGCCTCGCGTTCTCGGCCACCGAGGACCTGAGACATCGATTCGTGCGGGCAGAAACTATGCTCTTCAAATTTCGTTTCCAACAGGATGATTCCAAGGAGCGACGTGCCTTTATCGAGAGCCTAAACCTCGACTGGGAGGTCGTCAGTGATGAGGAGAAACGCGAACTAGCAGAGAACCTCGTCAACGCGACACCAGGCCTGCGTCGCTTGGACGACGAGAGCTGGTACAAGGTCGACTGGGAAAGAGTGCCAGAGCTGGTTGAACGACGATCGGTCTATTTGAGAAAGGGAAAGGCATACGTTCCCGGCAGAGAACAATTGAGTATGATTATCGCAGAATTTACCGCACGGCTGGAACGGGCGATGGAGGTATGATCATGCAATCCAGACCGAGATACGAGATTTTCTTGCTAAAGTTATCTAGCTCACTAGCAGGGCCCTCCCTCGTTTGGATGAGGATGACCGTCTCACTCCAATCTTGAACCATTTGTCGAAGAATTTCGGCAGTGCAGACACCGTCTACTCAGAAGGTGAAGGTGTCGTCGATGGTGCGCCCATCACTGCGTCTTCCATCGACCATCTTTCTCAGCACTTTCCGCTATGCATGCGGAGCCTGCATATGACGCTGCGCAAGAACAATCACCTGAAGCACTTTGGTCGTCTACAGTATACGTTGTTCTTGAAAGGCATCGGTTTATCATTGGAAGAGTGTATCGTCTTCTGGCGTCAGTCTTTCAAGGGCTTTACGGACGATGAGTTCAACTCCAGATACAAGTACAATATCCGCCACGCTTACGGTGATGTGGGTGGAGATGCCAACCGCAGAGGCAGAGGGTATCCTCCCTATTCGTGTCAAAAGATCTTGGGCGAGTCGGGACCCAGTGTTGGCCAAACCCATGGCTGTCCATACCGACACTTTTCTGTGGACAATCTGATCGTACTCCTTCAGTCCACCGGAGTACACGACAAGGATGTTCTCCGCGGCGTAAAAGAGGATGTCGAGAAGACTCGCTATCATATCGCCTGCAACAGAGTCTTCGAGTGGGCGCACAAGGCGGAGATCAAGAAAGTCAAGGAAGACGGAACGTGGAATCAGACCGACCTCGATACTATCGTTCACCCTAACACTTATTTCAAGCGCAGCTACCTTCTGAAGCAGCTCGGGAAACCACCCAAGGGGAACAACTAGGAAGAAGGAATAGACGACGGACGAATTGACGGCAGCTTGTTCATAATATGCATGTTCTGGGATGACTCGGTAAACCAAGGATTTCATACGGCGTTCTGGCGTGCTTATCTTTTTCATTTCAGGCAGAGGTACAGATAGCCCGAAGTTCAAATTATATCATTCCTTTTTTCCCCGCAAGACATGAGATGACATGGCGTAGACCAGTTCGCTCCTTACAGCATGCCATAGCCATAGCCTTTCTGAACTCTTCAGCGGCATGTTTAAGCCATGTTTTACTACGAATGGACTGCAGAAATTTATGTAACCGCGGCTGATTCCCAATTCATCAACAAGGATCGAAACGACCTTTCAAAGCCAGGTGCCCAGCGATGGGTAATTTGTTCTACGCGCGACGCGAAAACAGCCTCATCATTGATTTGACAGAGGTTGACATCAGTAATGTGATTGTAAGTCGGCGTAACAAAATGTAGATGAAGAAGAAAAGAAAAAGAAAAAGAGGAAATTCGGCGGGTGGAGAGAATTTAAGCAGTCGGGACTTAGCGCCAAGCCCGGGTGGCTGTAGAGACCAAAGATGCTGCAACCTGGCTTCATGCCAGAAGGCCAGGTTCACAAAACATAACGCATCTCAGGACCAAGCCCACGTCTCTCGAAGGACAATTAAGGGTTTGCCTGTCACGAGAAACGATTATGCTACAGGCAAAATATTCTTGATTTCTCTTCGAAGTTTACGAGCTGCTTGTTTTTCCAACTTCCTATACCCTGTTGTGTATACCACTCCGAATCGGCACCTGATTGAGAGCAGCCCGCCAACATGGACTACGAGGCCTTGAAGGACCAATGGAGCGATGTGGAGGACCGCGATGGCATTAGGCTCAGCTGGAATACGTTTCCTAGCTCGCGCATGGTTTGTATAACTGAATGTATTCTGCGCGCTACTTAACTGACTTCGCGCGCAGGAAGCGTCCCGCCTGGTCGTGCCCATCGGAGCCATGTATACTCCGCTGAAGGAGAAGCCCGATTCTCCTTTGCTTCAGTACGAGCCGGTCACTTGCAAGCCTCCCTGTAAGGCAGTTCTGAATCCCTACGCGTATGTCCATCACAGTTACCCTATATCGTTCCCCCAAGTTCTGGCTGACAACTGATAGCAACGTTGACGTCCGAGCTCGTATCTGGATATGTCCCTTCTGCTTGATGCGCAACCCGCTTCCTCCCCACTACAAGGATATCACAGAGAATGCGATTCCGCCAGAGCTTCATCCTCAGAGTACGACTATCGAGTACCAGCTGGCTCGCCCCGCCCCAGCACCTCCAATCTTCATGTACGTCGTGGACACATGCCAGGAGGAAGACAGCTTGAAGGCCTTGAAGGACTCGCTCGTCATGAGCTTGTCATTGCTCCCTCCAAATGCGCTCGTTGGTCTGATTACTTTTGGCACAATGGTACGCACATGACTGGTTTCCGACCCGCGCGGTCTCATAAACACGGCTAATGTGATTCTAGGCTCAAGTCCATGAGATTGGCTACACGGAGTGCGCAAAGTCCTATGTCTTCAGAGGAAGCAAGGACTACACTGCCAAGCAGGTGCAGGAAATGCTTGGACTTCTTGCCCCCGCTATGCGTCAGCCCATGCCTCAGCAGCCTGTCCGGCCACACCCACCCGCGGCCCGATTCTTGCTACCCGTCCAGCAAGCGGAATTCCAGATTACAAACGTCCTCGAGCAGCTTCAACATGACCCATGGCCTGTTGCTAATGACAGAAGACCTCTGAGATGTACTGGCGTTGCTTTGAGCGTTGCTGTTGGTCTCTTGGAGACTTCGTTCCAGAACGCCGGTGGACGTATCATGGTCTTCACCAGTGGACCGGCCACCGAAGGTCCTGGCCATGTTGTTGGGCCTGAACTGAAGGAGCCGATGAGATCCCACCATGACATCGACCGGGACAACATCAAATACTACAAGAAGGCGGTTAAGGTGAGCAATGTCCGAGTTTATCTCCCAATTTCCTGCTACTAACAAAGTTAGTTCTACGACGGCCTTGCCAAACGAGCTGCTCACAACGGGCATATAGTCGACATTTTCGCCGGAGCTCTCGACCAAGTTGGTCTCTTGGAAATGAAGAATCTCGCAAACCACACTGGTGGTCATATGCTCCTTACTGACAGCTTCACGTCATCACAATTCAAGCAGTCGTTTGTCAGAATATTCGACAAGGACCAGAATGACAACCTGCTAATGGGATTCAACGCCTCGCTGGAGGTTCTTACGACCAAGGAGCTTAAGGTTACTGGTCTTATTGGCCATGCAGTCTCTCTCAACAAGAAGTCCAGTTCTGTCGGCGAGACTGAATGCGGTATCGGTAACACCTGCGCCTGGAAGATGTGCGGTATTGACCCCGCCTCCAGTTATGGCATTTACTTCGAGATTGCCAGCCAAGGTGGTCCGGCTCCCATGCAGCAGGGACCTCAGAGGGGCATGATGCAGTTTTTGACCTATTACCAACACTCCTCTGGGCAATATCATCTCCGAGTTACGACGGTGGCACGGAACCTAAGCGGACCGGCTGGTGACCCTACTCTTGCACAGTCGTTCGATCAGGAAGCAGCCGCCGTCCTAATGGCGCGCATTGCTGTATTCAAGGCGGAAGTCGATGACGGCCCTGACGTACTGAGATGGGTCGACCGAATGCTCATCAGACTTTGCTCGCGCTTCGCAGACTACCGAAAGGATGATCCTTCATCTTTCCGCCTGGAGAAGAACTTCACCCTCTACCCTCAGTTCATGTTCCATCTTCGACGTAGTCAGTTCTTACAGGTCTTTAACAACTCTCCCGATGAAACAGCATTCTACCGACACGTCCTTAACCACGAAGATGTGGGCAACTCTCTTATTATGATTCAGCCCACGCTGGACTCTTATTCCCTGGAACATGAGGGCAGTCAGCCCGTCCTTTTGGACTCTGCCTCTATCCAGCCTACCCACATCCTCCTGCTGGATACCTTCTTCCATATCCTTATCTTCCACGGTGAAACGATGGCTGCATGGAGAAAGGCTGGTTACCAGGACCAAGAAGGTTACGAGAACTTCAAGACTATTCTTGAACAACCTAAGGAGGACGCAAGGGTAAGTTCCAAAAGGATGATTACGATTGACCAGAACATCGCTAATGCCATAACAGGAGCTTATTTCCGACCGTTTCCCACTTCCCCGCTTCATTGTCTGTGACGCTGGTGGCTCGCAAGCGCGTTTCCTGCTTTCCAAGCTCAACCCGTCGACGACTCACTCCACCGGAGGATATGGTGGAGGTATAAGTGCACAGACCATCTTTACTGATGATGTCTCGCTACAGACTTTCATGGAGCACTTGATGAAGTGAGTAGTTCCGGCTCGTCATAGTGAACATTGCTAACCATGTCTTTCAGGCTTGCCGTGTCCGGAACCAACTAGACATGACGAGGAGATGATAGTAACTCAGAAAGGGCGGTTAAACGTCACATATTCTAGTCATGTGTATCTTTAGCGCGAAGTCCTCGTTTCCATACCGGCAATATATTCCATTGAATGATTAATACAAAACAGACAGTTTAGCTATTTTAGCAGCAGGTTGACAGTCTTTATCGTGCTTTGTAAAACGGAATTACAGTAGTTGTCGTAAATCCCATGAGCTTAGAGTTGTGATTGGACAATATAAGTGATCACATGACCCTGTAGGGTTAAGCCCTTATGAATCACCAATTTTGGGAAAATTCGCTTAGATAGCGCAGCCGTTAGCCCAACTACTAATCTCAACCATCTTCACGTCGGGAGCTTTCTTTCTCTTCCTCGACAACCACCACCTTTCGAACTTTTTCCCAAGGAAGATAGACGACCTTTCGCACTCGCCATGCGTAAGTATCATCTCCTTGGATGGCATAAGCCAGGCGACTAACATTTCTCCTATTGGGTAGCTCCTAAGTTCGATCCCAATGAGGTGAAGATCATGTAAGTTCCAGCCCTTCTATGCGCTCAGTGTCGCAAATGCTGACCATTTCTTCTCTTATAGCCACCTGAGGGCCACTGGTGGTGAGGTCGGAGCCCAGTCTGCTCTGGCCCCCAAGATCGGTCCTCTCGGTCTGTCTCCCAAGAAGATTGGTGAAGATATTGCCAAGGCCACCGGTGACTGGGTAAGGAGACGAACAGACAAATTCGCGTTTGGAAGGAAGCATTATAGCTAACAACTGCTGTTCTTGCATACAGAAAGGTCTCCGTGTCACCGTCAAGCTCACCATCCAGAACCGTCAGGCTCAGGTCTCGGTTGTCCCCTCCGCCTCTTCCCTGGTCATCAAGGCCCTGAAGGAGCCCCCCCGTGACAGGAAGAAGGAGAAGAACATCAAGCACACCAAGAGCATTCCTCTTGATGAGATCATCGACATTGCCCGCATCATGCGCAGCCGTTCCTTCGCCAAGGAGCTGAAGGGTACCGTTCTCGAGATCCTCGGAACTGCTTTCTCCGTCGGTTGCCAGGTCGATGGCCGCAGCCCCAAGGATGTCGGTGACGACATCAAGGCTGGCGAGATTGACAGTATGTTCACTCAGTAATATGTCTTCTTGGTCAAAATGCTAACGAGGACACAGTTCCCTCCGAGTAAATGTTCGATAATGAAACTGGCGATCATTTTTCTCGTTTGTAACCACATGCAGATGTAATACCCTGCAGGGTCAGATACGAGAATATGATAGCTTCAAAAGATTTATGAGACACGACCTTTTCCTTTTTTGTGTTCATCTGCTCCATCGTCGCTCAAACAAACCCGCTGATGCTTTCGTCCATGCGTTCCCTTTCAGGCTGGCCCCAGCCCCCTCGTTCCTCTTCAGTTCCCTCGCTTCCCCATAGCGATTCGGACGACAGGCGAATGACTATTTCAAAGCTTGCGAGCTCAGTCTCCGACCTTTGCCACACTCTGGCCCTTACCGTCCTTTCCCATCTGGGATTGGTAAACATTCCTCCACGGTATAGGCTTATTTTGGTGCAAAGAAGATCAACTTCAGACCCATTACTCACCGCGGTATCTTCAGGAGGGAGACTTTGTCTCTCTCCCGTGGATACAGTGGTCCATATTTCGGGCCGACATGCCATCCTGCTAGATGGATTATGGGCTTCATGTCCCTTGTAGGCTTTTGCGTAGACCAGTCGATAGCTATATATATCATATACTCGATTCAGACAATATTGACCAAAAACAAATTCCTACAGTAACTACAGTAGATTCTTCATTCCTAAGAGGATCACTCTTTTCCCAACGACCATCTTGTAGTCTGACCTATTTCTTCTCTTCCCTCCGCTCCCGACCATCCCGCCGCTTCAAGCCACAGGACCACCGGTCTATGGGTTTCTTTCTCAAAAACTGGCCGAACCTTCAACAAAAGCATTCGGGGATCCCGATAATAATAATAATTTGCCCAAGCCCACGAACCGCGCGGAAAGCCCCACTTTCTATCGCTTAAACGAAGCGGAGACTGGAAAGACAGAGAAGGATCTCCTGAGTCCTGACTCGATTTTAAGTTTTCATCCATGTAGTTATCCGGATTCGATTGGGAAAGCCATAGACTACGCTCCGTAGTACTAAGTAGAAGTAGATAGGAAAGTAAGCCCGAAGAAAGAAAGAAGAAAGAAAGAAAGAAAGAAAGAACCTATTGTCCCTATACAGGTATGGAAAATATGTAATTAGTAAATGCAGTTGATTGAAAATCTGAGGGTCTCCTATGGTATACTTCGGCTCGGAATGAAAGGGTTTAACTATTCTTTTTCTTTTTCTTTTTCTTTTTCTTTTTCTTTTTCTTTTTCTTTTTCTTTTTGCCCTCACTAATTAACTGGAAACTGACTACAGTAGTGATATCTCTATCAAACCTAGAAAGAAAGAAAGAAAGAAACAAGAAGAATGTGTATATATCCGGCCGGGTTATATTAATGCTTTATATAAATAGGGAATAATACAGTGACTAATAACTAATAGTTAACTAGTTAGCTATTCTCTCTATATCTAATTATTACATAGCAACTACTAGTTCCTACATAACTAGTTAACTACTAGTTGATAATAATAATAATAATAATAATTACCATTTAACTCAACTACCAGCTACTAAATAATAATACTAGTTCTGTGGCAAATACAAAACTATCTGCCCGGATCTGCATGGATGGGATAGGGATCGGATAGCCAAGTCACGTTCATGTCATGCGATGCGATGTGTTGTTCAGCAGCACGTGTGTAAGGATTTCTTTGCGTTTAGGTTCACCTTACTACTTAGTTAGAAAGGAAGCTAGGTTAACTAGTTATAGGTTATAGAATAACTACCCAACTAATTATTTATCACCTTGCTCTTTTGCTGCTGGTTTCACTTTGGGAAATGGAAGGTATAGATAGGGTTTATTTATACCGCGCGTGTGAGGTATACTATATGGGGAGGCGAGCCGTTAAGGAAAAGGAAGAGTGCGAAGATTGTAAAGAAGAGAGTAAGGGATCGGATCCGTGCTGTGTGTTTGTTTGTTTGCTGGGGTTACAACTGTCATTATAGGCGTTGATTCTAGTGTGCATACATAACTAACTAATAGGATGCGTATCTATAGCTATATGTATGAGTTGGTTGGTTAGCTTCCGACTGTGCAGGGATAAGTTAGTGGGTTGATGAGTTGGATAAAGCTACAGAGAGTAAGTAGTACTATGTATTTGATACATATGGATCTGTGGCAGTATGTATGTATGTAGAGATGTATGCATGTATGTATGTACGTACGTACGTACTCTGAGTAGAGTGGACGGTGCCTGATAAGCAAGTAAGCACGTGCATGTGCTGTACATATGATGAATATGTATTCGATACATGCCATGTGAAGCTGGAGGGTTGGCTGCATTCTGAGGTATGTGGTTGACTAGACCAGTAGTATAATATAAGAAATGGGGGATGGACCATGGGAAGATTGCAGAGTATTGGTATACTGTTACATCCCTGAGTTGTAGTATGTATGTATATTCCACGTAGAGTACGTACTGCATCTCTTACCTGAAGTAGATAAAAAGGTAGATTCTCTACAGCGGAAGAAAGCAGAGGGTTTCGATATCATCCACGAAAAGTATCCACAAATGACCACGCGACACATCGAGTTGTCTTCCGCTTAGTCTATGTGCTAGAAGCTCAAGCCATGTACATACATAACGTGGTCTCCCCCGGCAGGCAGCTACTATGTAAAATCAACGGAAAGATCCCAGATAGGACAACCTGAGACGGCAGTAGAAGCACGAAAATGGAAATCGAACGTGTCCTCGTGGTGGCGGTTTGACCTTGCTATAACCATCTAGCGGTCTCTTCACTCGCTAGTTATCTATACCATCCATACGAATGCTGGTACCCACTTAACTATGGACCAGGATCTGGAGGGGGGGCGTGTGCTACAGTAATGGAGCAACGCAACAAGATAGATCGTCAGCCACATGAAGACTGAGGCTAGTTAGTTATTATTGATTAGAGTACTATAATCTTACTATCTCCGCCTGGTCCGTTGGATAGTGCCGCCACGGGCCTGCGCAGAAGGGGCGGGATCGGACAGCGCGCTGGGGTCACACAGCAGGATGGATGGATTGGTGCAGGCTGAACTGAACACCTACAAGGGGAGAAAAAAAAAAGGTTCTGCCTTTGGGGGATGCTCTCTCTTGGCGTAAAAAGGACGCAACGAGTGCGGTCTGATCGTCAAATCGAAAGTCTGACGATCAACCCCGGGACCAGTGGTGATTTGCTATTTTTTTTTTCTCCTGTCTGGGATTATATGCGGGGTGTTAGTTGGATGGTCAGGGGCCTGACCTTACCGGTAAATATGGTAGAGTATGTACATCGAATGAAATCGTCATACTTGGCCTGTTCAACGTTCATGAGAGGGTTAGACTAGAGTAATTTACTTGCGAGTCGGGTCTTTTGAAATTGATGGAATGAGTCAGTGAGGTCCTGTTGAGTTGAAGGTCGCGTCAATCTCATACCATACGTGGCTTGGACGGCTGAGAGTGATGCTATTCGCTGGGGACTTTGGCATCCCTCGTGTATCGATCAGTGTCAGTGTTCGCAGTTGGCACGTTCCCCTCCACACAAGGATGCGGGAGGAATGCAACAGAGGCTATGAACTCTACTCTGTATTCTTTTGAGTCGACGTTTGTAACGATCAGGTGCTCGTTTGGTCCTCGAGAGAGAGATTGGCTTATGACAGGCGGGATGCATATCCGTGCTTGTCAGGGAAGAAGAGAAAGAAGAAGAAGAAGAAGAAGAAGAAGAAGAAGAAGAAGAAGAAGAAACAAGATAGATACGATACCTATGGTACAGTCTTCGTCTTCTCTACCTATCTAGGATTCTAGTCGACGTGATGGATTGGACTTCACCAGATCTGATACATTCCCCAGAACTTTGCGATATGGATAGATATTATATATTATATTAAAATTAAATACTTCACTTCTAGGCAGTCATCAAAGCATTTTAGCTCGCCAGCTGATCGCTACCCGATTGAAACGAGTTAACTTATTATCTACAGCGATCCAGATACCCGCTGGTGGGGTCGACCAAGCGTGTCGTCATCCCGATCTCGTCGCAAAAAAAAGGAGCGAGTTGACGACGGTTCGGTCGATGGACTGCGATGGTTGCTTCTCTGGCGTTCCAGATGGGGGTTGTAAATATAGAATCCCAGGCGATAGTCAAACATTCTGCACTTTCCACCCCCAGACCATGACCCGCTTTCTGGATTTCACGAAACCCATCTTCATTTCCTCCTTTTTTTTTTGTGCCCTTTGTATCGGGGTTTCCTGCCTTTGTGACATTTTTTGTCTATTTTGTCTTTTTTTTGTCTTTTTTTTGTCTTTTTTCTTTTTCTTTCTTTTCTTTCTTTGGAACTCGACGAGAGTGGGCTCCTCATACCAGGGCAGAAAAAGAAGAAGAAGAAGAAAGAAAGAAGAGACTGGGAGGGGGTCTCCATAGCGGGTGTGATAGGAGGGCGTGCAGCGTTCAAACTTCAAAGAAACGACTGGAGGCCGATCAGCACAGCGAACGAAGCGGGCTGGTGACATCGACGATGGCCAGTCTGCGGCCTGCGGGAGCCGATACGCTGCTTGTGGCTCCACTGCTGGCCGCTGGAGGGCTGCCACAATGTGGGTCGGGCGGACCTCTGGCGTTCTGCCCGTTTCCACCGGCGGTTGTTGGCGCTGCCATAGGTTGCTGTGGCATGGGGGAAGTTCACAAGGGGGTTTTTTACCATAGTTAACTTGATGGTTACGGAGTAGTTGACTCCATAGAAAAAAGCGGCCAGGGACATGGATCAAAGATGATGGTCAAGTTGGTCAACCCACAGAAGGTGCCAGATCGTCTTCCCGCCGTGCAAGGGCTGGAGCAGATGGGCAAGCCACAGCTTTCCCGTATACTGTAATAACTAACGAAGTATCGATTTACCTATATTATTATCATCTCAACGCCCCCGGGCGTCTAACCGCTTCCACACCGGCTCCACCGCTTCTATATGGTACGCCCCAGAAGGCCAACTTCATCTAGAGCTTCGCCTTCTTGATGATTCTTTTTCTCTGTGGGGACGTGCTGGCTTTCTCTCGTGCAATCAATTAATTGATGAAATCTACTTATTTACTTAATTATTCCTGCACAACATACATACATAATTAACTCTGACGTTCCCAACGACTCGAGCTCGAGTTAGTTACCACTGTGACTGCTCGTTGGTTACTTAGTTACAACTGCTACGGAGTACTCCGTAACTTACTCTCTCTCTCTCTCTTTCTCCGCTCCCCGCCAACGACCCTCCAGCTGAAACTCCACCAAGATTTTACTGTTGCACGCAAAAAGAAGCATCGACCATTGTCCTCCGATTACGAAAAAACCCAGGACCGTCGGTCGCTCGTCTCTAGTCCTGCTGTGCTACACCACAGGGTCGAATTTTAGGTGCAGCGCCCCGTTAAGCTGACGGGCCAGCGGTGACTGCATTGTTTCCCCCTGTCATTCTCTCCGTTATTGGCGACCGAACGCCCTGCGAAGTGGGTGTTGCGCGGAGCGGAGAGCTGCTGACCGTGGCTGTAACTCTGACCATCCTCTCTCTGCTCTCTTTCTTTCCTTTTGCTTCTCGTTGTCCTGTCTCCCTTGCATGATCGCTTCTGCCTCCCCGGGATTCGACACGATTTCGCCGTTTTTCTGGAAGCTGTCATCGTCGCCTTCTTCCCACCAAGTCCCCTTGAATCGTCCTGGTCTTGCAAACCAACCGGGTACTATGGCCTTCTGACGGCACAGCGATTCCTTTCTTCCAGTGCTGGGGAATGCGATCGGATATACGAATATAGTTCTGGCTCAGGCCATGATGCGGTGTCGGAAACGCTGCAAGGATGCTTGTCGATGATCAATACAGCAAGAGCCAACGGACTTGATTTGTTCGATAGCCGCTTGTATTTTCTCTCTCTACTGACCTGATCGATCTGTTTGTCCCCGGGGGACGACAGACGGTCTAAAAGGGAAAAAAAAAAAAGAAGAAAAAGATGTTGCCCACCGTTGCTCGAATGCCGCAGCTCCAACCACATAATCACCTTGACCACCGAATCTACGATATCCTGAATACTCCATACAACCCCAACGACGCGGCCATGAGACCCTCTCTCTCTCAACACGATCCTCCCAAACACTCCTACCAGTTCGTCGCGCGACCACGTGTGCAGCTCCCACACCCGGTGCAGCGGTCCGACAGCCACGACGTGGTCAATAACTCGAATGTCTCAAGGCTAACGAACAGCGGGGAACATGCGTTGCGAAGGAAGACGCCAAATGGGACCCTCGCGGCGGGCTACGATGGGACACCGGGTGATAGGGCCGTGCAGCCACCAGCAACAAAGCATATCTTGGTCTCCTCTCTCGAATCCGGCCAGCTGCTCACCGGTCTCCCCGCGGACAACTGGCAACCGATGAGCACGGATCAATCGTCGTCGGCGCAGCACATGAGCTTTCCGCCGTCATATAAGCACGACTCGAATGGGCTCCGGGACGATGGACTTCAAAGAGCAACGGGCGCGACCTGGGTTCGTTCTGTGAATTACGTGCCGGGGGTCGACTCGATGTTGCATCAGACTCTGCCCGTGCAGACATCCCAGCGATATTACTTACAAAATGGGCCCTCCGTCCCGACCGTCCATCCCGCCCCGCTCCAGACATGCCTAGGTCCTACCGCGTCGGCGGGATCTGGTCCCTATGGCCCTTACTGGCCGGATGGAGCCTACATCCCATACCGTCCAGCCGCTCTCCGTGATACGCGCTTCCACCAGACAGGCCAGTTTCCCACTCAGGCAGGGCTGAGTGGCCCTCACTTTTACGACCTACACCAACCATCATTCAACACCACGCCTCTTCCCGGCGGTAATCTCTCGAATCCTGGATTCGCCTGGAATCAGTTTCCGGTGGGTGTCAATCCGGAGCCTGTCTTGCAGAGCACTCACCCTGCTCGCCGTTCTCATCAGAAATCCTTTGATACGTTCCATGATCCTCATACCAACCTCTCTACCCACCCGACGAGCAGTAACAACACAGTACCATGGTCTGCTACCCAGCCCGATTTGAGCTTCAGGACGTCCGTAGCAGACGTCAAGTCTCGCACGGGGAATGTAGAATTCAAGGAGAAGGTCCTGACATGGGCTCACGGGGTCTACGTGGACCTTCTTGCAACTCTCCACCAAGCTCGAAGGAACAGCGCCTCGAAAGCGGGCATTGATGGCTATGCTCACCGGCTATCAAGACCGAGCATCTACCCTAAACCACCTCGTCAACCTGGTTTGGATTTTTCGGCCCAGCCCAGTGCCGGGGAGTTGTCGCGCCATAACAGCTATCCGTCCTCGCAATTCGATCTACATGGTCGCAGCCAGCATGGGCTGGGCTCTCGGCACATGGACGGCCTGCATTCGGCCCATGGATTCGATGACAGACAGGCTAATCGTCCGCTCCTCAGTCAAATGCATCACCGAAATTCTGATTCTCACGGCATCAGTGGATACCACCCCTTTCGACGATTGTCTGGCGCCGCTGTGTCCCCATTCGCGACTGGTTTCCGCAATGAAAACTCCACCGTGTCCAGCGCCGTGTCTGCTCTGGAGATGCTCTCTCATCTCTGCATGGAGAGTGGCTGGGAGTGGGTGGATGGAATGCTCCTGGGAGGCTGCTTGGCCTACGGTTTGGGTGACTATCAGAAAGCAATGAGATGGTACTCGAGGATCATCGCTAGGGATGCCACGTAAGTCAAGCCGATGCCCACCCTGTCAAGACACTAATCACTAACGGACACATCTCCCAGACATGTTGAAGCAATCTCAAATCTGGCCGCGACTCTTCTTGCCCTTGATCGCCGCGAAGAGGCATTGCAGCATTGGTTCCGTGCCGTCAAATTACGTCCCGGTTATTTTGAAGCAGTGGAACATCTTATCGGTCTCCTCTGCAGCAACCATCGGGGCAAGGAAGCTGTCAGTATCATCGAATATGTCGAATCCTCACTCCGTGTCTCAAAGAACGGGGACTACTTCCAGACGGACGAACACTCAAGTGGAACCGAGAGCGACAATGAAAGCCGGTCCTCCACGGCATCTGACCTCGGGTCGTCCGATCGAGCGGCGTTCGATTATGAAAACGATCCAGATCAGTATTCTAACTTCAAGCACAGCTCCAGCGATTCGAATTCTGCGGGCTTCGGATCAAGTGGCTATGCGATTCCAGGATCCGACAACGGTCGAATGCTGGCTCTGATCCACGCGAAAGGAAACATGCTTTATGCTCTCGGGGACAATGCAGGTGCAGCAGCAGCATTCGAAGACGCGATTTTGATCGCATCAGGTCGCAGACGCCATGGCATCCAGAGTCTGATCAGGAAGATTCTCGCGGCCTTTACGGACAGCTCTCGCAACGGATACTCCCTGCCCGTTGAATTATATGATGCCAAGGCCCCTGTTCTGCTGTATCCGGAGAGAGCCCTGCAGACGGCCAAACTGATCTTCGGACCGTACGGCAACCCTCCGGGTTTCAGATATGTTCCTGATGGTCTGGCAAGAAAGGCGGCTATATCGACCACCAGCAATTCACTGTTGTCGCTGGCAAAGATATACCAAGATGGGATGGCTAATCTTTCCGCCCCCGGAGCCACCAGGGCACCTTGTGGCGTCCGAGATATATTGGCTCTCTACTATCTCTCGCTGTCTCTTCAGCCTAGTCCATCCACTGCGAATAATGTTGGCATCCTACTTGCCAGCATTCAACAGAGTGGTCCGGTCAGAGTGCCTAGACGCTCTGCCGCTGAGAGTCAACTCCCAGAGGTTCCCGGTGTGATACCTGGAAGTGGAATCTCGCTGGCGTTGGCGTATTACAACTACGGCTTGAACCTGGATTCGCGACACGCTCACTTATACACTAACCTGGGAAGCCTCCTGAAAGACATTGGCCAGCTCCAGGCAGCGATCAGAATGTATGAGCAGGCCGTCCAGTGCGATAACAACTTTGATATTGCATTGGCGAATTTGGCAAACGCCGTGAAGGACTCCGGAAGGGTCAATGACGCTATTGGATATTACAAGAGAGCCGTGCGAGTCAATCCAGATTTCGCGGAAGCTGTATGCGGGCTTGCGAACGCACTGAATTCGGTTTGTAACTGGGGTGGTCGCGGCGGTATCTCAAATGGCCATGGATTCCGTGATCGATGGCACGTGGATGAAGAAGGGATGCTTCGCGACGCCAATGGAGCTGAGACTGGCTCTGGTTGGATCCAGCGGGTGGTTCAGATCGTTGACCGGCAGCTCAAGGACGGTGAGACATGGGGTTGCGGCTTACTGACACCTACCATGGTGGATCAGCTCTGTGCGCAGCTGTCTCTAGCCATTGGAGAAGACAGGTTCTTGTCTACCAAGAGAGGATCCTTGGCTTCCACCCTTAAAGCGTGGGCCGGCCAGAAATGGGAAGGCTCCCGGATCGTCAGACTCATCGAGCGTGCCATCAGAGCCATAACTTGGCAGTGGTACCAAGACAAGTATGTGTATGGAAAGGAATACCCCCTGGAGAAGTATCGGAGGCCACAGCTCCCCATGGGACTTTCTCCACCTAATGCTCCGACTGTTCTCCCGTTCCATACATTTACTTGCCCGCTCTCTGCCAAACAAGTCCGCCACATCTCGCAACGCAACGGTTTGCGGATCTCGTGTTCTACTCTTCGCTCTCCATGGCTACCTCCCACAGTGTACAGACCTCCGGCTCCGCCCAACCCTTATCTGAAAGTTGGATATGTCTCTTCTGACTTTAACAACCATCCTCTTGCTCATCTGATGCAATCAGTGTTCGGGTTCCACAATCCATCGCGGGTCAAGGCATATTGCTATGCTACCACACCCAGTGACAATTCCGTGCATCGTCGCCAGATTGAGCGTGAAGCCCCCGTTTTCTATGACGCCAGCAGCTGGCCGGTAGAGCGTCTAGTCGAACAGATTGTTAATGACGGCATCCATATCCTTGTCAATCTGAACGGTTACACGCGAGGCGCTCGCAACGAAGTTTTTGCTGCGCGTCCAGCACCGATCCATATGTCTTTCATGGGCTTTGCGGGCACATTAGGAGCCGAGTGGTGCGACTACATTCTCGCAGACGAACTCTCAATCCCCCGTGAGACTTTGAGTCCTCACAAGCGCGATACCCGACTGGAGGATCGTCTGGTCGAGGTTGACCATGGCGAGGAGCTCGAGGATTGGGTCTACGCAGAGAGAATAGTGTACACAAAGCACACTTTCTTTTGCTGTGACCATCGGCAGAGTGCTCCTGACTGCAAGGATCCTCGTCTGACTTGGGACGAAGAGCAAGAGAGGCGCTGGCGGATGCGGAAGGAGCTGTTCCCACAACTGAGTGATGATACTATCATCATGGGTAACTTTAACCAGCTCTATAAGGCAAGGAGTTCCGGTCTATTTCATATATTATGAGATCGTTGCTAACTTATCGTTTCAGATCGAACCCACTACTTTCCGTACGTGGTTGCGCATCCTCGCTCGTATTCCTAACGCAGTGCTGTGGTTATTGCGATTCCCAGATCTTGGTGAACGGAATCTCAGGGAGACAGCTATCGCTTGGGCAGGTGAAGAGACTGCCTCTCGGATAATCTTCACTGATGTCGCTCCCAAGAACACGCATATTGCGCGTGCGAAAATTTGCGATCTTTTCCTCGATACCCCAGAGTGCAACGCACATACAACTGCTGCCGATGTACTCTGGAGCGGAACACCCATTCTGACTTACCCACGATACAAGTACAAGATGTGTTCGCGCATGGCATCCAGCATTTTGTCCAGTGCCCTTCCGGACTCGGAGATTGGGAAGCAGGCTGCTGCGGATCTGATAGCTTCATCGGATGAAGACTACGAGAATAAAGCTATACGTCTGGGTCTCGATCTTCACTACCAACTAGGTAGTCAAGGAAGGGCCACAGGCAGGTTGACGGAACTTCGAAAGATTCTGTTTATGAACAGATGGCAAGCCAATCTATTCGATACCAGGCGTTGGGTCAATGACTTAGAAGATGCATATGAGAAAGTTTGGAAAAAGTGGGTCAATGGCGAAGATGGAGATATCTGGTTATGACGTGCAATGGCGGGATATATACCCTTTTGTCGATTTGTTTTCTGCATTTGTCATTATTTCTGTTCTTTTCTTTTCTCTTTTTTTCTTTCTTTTTGCAGCGGTTTCCCCATATTCAATTCCCCGTTCATGTCAGTTGAGGAATTGTATCATGTTATTTCTTAGTCTTTTTTCTTGTTTGATGTTTCGAGCCTTGTATACTATGATCCATGTATCTGAGATCTTGGTATTGCTCGGTGATATGATTTGACAGGTCATGGCGTTGGGAGTGATCAAGACACACCATCCAACGGAGGTGGCTATGTCAATATGGCTATATGCAATTCTACGGCATCTGAGCCTTTCGTTTTTTTTTTTTTTTTTTTTTTTCCCAATTCGTCTGGGCCCTGACTCGGTTCTTTGGAGAGAATTTCACCATGGGATTTCGCATGCATTATCACACAGAAAACAAAATCCATGGGGCTGCACAGCCAGGCGCTTCTGTATTGTGTTTGTTTTTTTTTTTTTTTCTTTCTTTTTTTCCCCCTTCTGTATTGGTGTGCCATTTCAGCGTCATGCAACATGGGATCTTCTTAGGGTTTGCTTGCTTTTTATCAAGAAGCAACCGGCTATGAAACAGCTAAAGCTAACAGTTACTTGTCACGCCTGATGAATTTAATGACCGCGGATTTTCTCCGCATTGCATTTACCATAAAGCAACTGAGTAATGACTTTTCATCTGTTTATTATGATATAATGATCTCCGTGTACTCAATAGGAAAACACTGTAAAAGCATGATTTTCTGTAAGTTAGCAGCTTTCGTCCGGTTCTTATCTCTGTATTATTATATGATGATGTCTTCTATAGATTTCACTCAGGGGGGAAAGAATCAAGTTGTATTGTTCTTGATGTATTTCATTTCCCAGTACATATAACCATTACATTATTATGTGAAGTACATTGTCACAAGACAGAATATTCAATATAACAAAATTCTTTTGGAAAAGATAAGAGAAAAAGTCCCATCACCTTACGACAGCTGGATATGACGAGCAGTAAAATAGCCGTTCAAAAGATCTATTCGTGACTGCTCGAAAACAGCAGCGATAAAGGAATCCGGTCGGATCAGATAGATGTCATCCTGCACGATACACTTCTTTTCCATGTCCTCATTGAAAGGGAAATTGTCCAGTCTCACTTTCTTTTCTTGGCACCAGGCTTTTAATTCCTCTGTTGGTGTTCCGTAGATGTGAATCCGCCATTGTAATGCATCCAGGCTGATGTAATTATCAGTCGCGTCCTCCTTGCAGTAAGGTAATCGATCACCGGGTTTGATTTCTCCGGGTCCCTCTGCTTGGGACAGCGGGCTATCATAGTAGTTACGGCCGGTCTGGGAGAGGGTCCGGAAGAAGAAACTTGGCAGTGCGGAGTACGATCCTGAAGGTTGCATCAGATTAAACAACACTTCGTGGACGGTCGTCCTGACGAAGCCTTTGTCCATCACCACTGTGAAGATGTGGTCTGATGTGTCCAGCAGATTCTCCGCAAACTGTTTTCGCTCCTTCTCATAGGAATCCAGAAGGAAATCGTCCGCTTTGCCCTTCACCACAGAGGCAAGTTTCCAGGAAAGGTTTACCGAGTCGGAAATGCCCGTGTTCATCCCTTGTCCGTCTAGAGGGCTCAGGATATGTGCTGCATCTCCTGCGATAAAGACTCTGCCCTTTCTGAACCGCTCTGCAACGCGGTGGTGCACTCGATAGGTGGTAAACCACTTGACTTCATGTGTTGTCAACTTCACTTCCTTTTCGAGGATGGGTCTGACATCGTCAAACTGGGCATGCGGAGACATGTTCTCCACCGCACCAAGCACATGCACGTGTGTCCCGCCTGGGTACTGTTCGTATGAAACAACCATGATAGTGTCCTCTCCGCCGCCGAAGTTGAAATGACCTTCGCCATCCACAGGTGGTCCTGAGCCGATCAGGTCTGCCACGAAGAATGTCTGCCGGTATGGGCTGCCCATGAAGTCCACGTGCACTCCGTGACGAACTGTAGAGTGAGCACCATCGCAGCCAACGAGGAACGCTGTTTCGACAGTCTCCCCGTTCTCTTCTTGGCCAACGGTCTCTATGCTATCATCTTGGTCAACAGGGCGTATACGTGCAGTGATGTGCGTTCCATGGTCAATATGATCTAGAAACTCGACGGAGCGCTCGACGAAAACTCCCAGCGAATTCAGCTTGGCTTCCAAAATCGGCTCGTGAATGCTCTGAGGTTGAATAAATACGAACGGGTATCGAGTCAACCCCGCGCCAACGTCACGAAACGGAATTCGTACGGACTGTGCACCTTCAGTCCGTAGATTCAATACCTCTAGTCGATGCCCGCGTGGAAGTATATCATCTAGGAGGCCCAGCAGCTGGTAGAACTCAAGGGTTCGACTGTGGATGACGATGGCTCTTGAAGTCTCTGCTGTTGTCTTTTGCTTGTCGACGATACGGATTTTGATACCAAGCCGGGTGAGCGCGACAGCTAAAACGAGGCCGGTCGGTCCAGCACCAACAATGAGGACGTCTACGGCTGTCATCCTGTAGTGATAAGATGGCGGTAAATCGTAGCGTAGGCGATTTGATATTGTATCAACACGCTCAAACAAAGGCATTCATAGCTGTCAACGCCGATGAAATGCTACCTCTCTGCAGATCCAATGCGTGACTTAATCCGATGTCATGGCTCTGGGGACCTTGCAGTCTCCTGGTACGTCGGCTGGGAGCACATTCCGGTCCATTAGAGTTGAGCCACGATACTGATTTGGCGTAATGAATGACGACGGTCAGTGAACAACAACCAACGGCCATGAACTCAGTCTTACTGACCTTTTCCTCGAGACCGCGGAAGCGTCTGGACTCTGATAAGCGGAACAAAGCAACCCTACAGAGATGCCAGACCCTTCATTGAGAATCCAATATGCCAATTGTTTCCTCGTTTCCCAGGCTTCCAGGAGGCCAAGATTCCCAACTGACCGGTCTTGGGTTGAAGTATCCTTCCTGGTTCCTTCATCCATTGGGCGTATCAAGTGCAATATCAACCGCATGCATTCCGATCTTCCTCATAACTCTTCCACTCGATGTATAAGTAACCCATGTTTTCTTCAACTTGAAAGGTCCTTCTCTTCCATGCGTCACCCTCCTTCCCGCTGGGACGGATTGAATTCATGGAAAAAGCTGCAATGTTTGGTTCACGACGCTAATAGGTCCAGCAGCAGGTTATGAAACACAAACTATCAAGCTGTTCATTTCGTATTGACACTTTCTTGTGTATGTATTAGCGTCATGGGTTATCATGACCCGAGATGTCGTTCAGAAGAGGCAATAGGTTCACCAAATAGCCCCGCTATATAGGTATATAAAGCACGACATAATCAGCAGAGCAGAAATGATTAAACAATACAGCTTGACTATTTGATGAAATGAGCATGACGCTCTATCTGGATAGGATGGCAACTTGGAAGTAGCCATGTAGGAGGAGGAAAGGAATGTGCACATGACCCACCACTGGTGTGCTTAGTCAGGTAAGTACCGAAGCAAACAACGGCCGATAGGTACTGTTTAGTAGAATCGCGAAAATGATTATTAGGAACAGCATTCTATTTTACTCGTTTTTGGTCCAATAGATTAGTATTCAGCAGGCGGGAAAGGTTAGTGGAACTCCCCAAAAAGACTAGCTAACCCTGATATTGGTAGAATGGTAGAATAGAATGCATATCCTACCTAGTGCCTCTTACCTCGCTGGAGTTCGAACAAGTCTGTCCAACGGAAGGATGCCAATGTTTCATGGCGAGATGCATGGCAAAAACGAACCTAGTGATATAAACAAGTTCTGCACTCTACGAAAGCGGATATCGGACTCGCAAAGTCTTAATTATGAGACCGCAGTGGGTCCTAGCTGACTCCTCTGACAGAAGATCGCGAAATTGGCCTCTCCCGTAGATCATAAGTAGAGAGACCCGGTAGATCTCGGCGAAGTCGGGAATCTCGAATGATCTCATGATCGACGTTCGATCATCTATAGACATTTCCAACGATCCAATCAATATGCGTCGTGTTCTAGCATAGAGTATGGACGACTCTTTCCCCCAATAGAAGCTCGTGAGTTCGACCATTCTTTGCACTTTCAGCCAGCCACAGAACACAGCGAGCTGGCGGTTTCTCCATGCGACCCCCACGTTCTTCACGAACTGATCGCGAGCGAACTGTAGAATCTTAGATTTGGATCAGAGATGAACTATTGTACGTCTCCATTCTAGAACGTCCATACAGTGGTTCCCTAACTCATCGCGTTGTCAACTATCTAATACGGATAACCGGCCCCACCACCCATTGAAGTAGTAACAATGAGATTCAATCTCTAAGTTTGTCCTCTACGTACTATGTAGTAGTTCTTAGACTCTATGCTGCAGCTAGTACACATAATATTAATATGAGAACATCTATCTTCAGCTGTCGCTTCATAGTATTTGTGTAGTTCGCAGAGTAGACAGAGTCACTTCCGGATTAACTTGTCTTTAACCAATAAGAATTTGAACTAGGATACAAGTGAGGATCCTTTTCTAAAACTAAAAGGATGAGGGATTTTATCGTCATGCAGCGCTATTGCGTATTAGTGGGCCGATTTGGAATTCAATTATCTATCTACCCAGTGACAACAGAGTCGATGCGTCATGTACGTCCATCCTCTTCCTCACAGAGAATATAGTTAACAATACTACATACTCGAGCTAACATGATACGTCATATTGTAAATGACAACCCCGCTACGCACATATATAAAGGCTCTGCTTCTATGAAGGCTTTATTTACTCTTAGAGCTATCGATTCCGAGGAACACTGAGTCATCACGGACAAAGGGATCTTATCCATAGCTCTTATCCTGCTCCAAAAACACAGTTTAGTCAACCAGCAATACGATACTACAAGTATACCTAAAATATGTCGGACCGCAAGGTGGGTAGACAACCAGTTGTCACTCAAGACTAAGCGCTCTTATAATGACCGATATGTATTGACAGGCATATTATCTGCGATATGAGAGTATTGAGTCCTGGGAGAACTATGATGAAGAAGTGAACAAGTAAGTATATTAAATGATGCTGCCACAAGACCTTAATTTTCTAACCTTTTTATTTATGTATTAGGACAGTCGAAGATGATCAGGGGGGTCCTGCTATATCAACTAAGACATTGCCGCCTATCTATGTCAACTTGTAAGTATTACAGAACATACCTATATACTTCGTATATCGCATTAGATGACTTACGTTTATAATGTATGTCAGGCAACTGACAGCCGAAGCTGTTGATAAGTTGAAGGGTTTCGAAGGTGTGCTGCTTGAGGAAATACCTGAAGATGATTGAGTGATGGGTCAGGGGCTTAACAGATTGGCCATGTCTATGATACAATGAATGAAAGTATCTCCTTATACTGCAAATCTAATAGGCTAGAATTGTCATAATGCCTATTAATTGGGGTCAGACATTGTAGCTCCGCTATGCATGCAGACAGCACCGTGTTCGTGGCAGTTATAGGGACCATTGTAGACACCGGCCCAATTCGCCATCAATTGGAAAAGAGCACTACCCAAGCGTCCTGGGATGTCAACTATCCCCCCAATCACTGGTTCTACGACACCGGCGCGAGTAGAAAAGAACAGCAAGCTAATTGATATCGCGGATAAAGAGAACGAACAGATAGATGCTATCTTAGCCAAGGTCAAGCCGGCTAGTGAACACTGACCCATCACATCTCATGTGAATACCTTATTGCCATAGTGTAACATCTAGTCCCCGTGAGTACGGGACGGGTATAGACCGGATCGTGCAGCGGAAAGGAAACCTCCGCTGATTCTGTGGGTGGATTGCGGAGTTAGCCCAGATCTCCACGAATACGAACCTGTCCGCCTAGCACCCCGGGGGCGAAATAGCCCGTCGGAAGTGGTCCGCAAGATAGCTTGAGTAAGTAGAAGGATAGAGCTCCGGTAAATAACTATAGCTTTAGTATCTATTCAAATGACCAAGCGACCCTAGAACACAACTCGGGCTGTCAAGGAAAAAGGAACAGACATTGCAATTCCGGCACACAATATGGCTAGGGTAGCGGCCCCATACTCTTCGGTATTATTTCCCTGCTTTTCCTCTTGTTGTAGGCATCTGAATGACTAGAGTCCACGATAGTTTCCCTATTGGGAATACCCAACCCGCAGCTTGGACTTCTTGCACCCATCTGAAAGGCGCTCTGCAGATGACAATAAACCGACACAATCGAAAGTGCTGCTGAATGTTGTCGTCGTCGGAGCTGGGCTTGGAGGACTTGCTACCGCCATTGCCCTCGCGCGGAGGGGACACTCTGTGACTGTCCTCGAACAAGCCCCTGCATTATCGGAGGTGATACTTACTCTATTTTTTCTTTGTATTCCTCAACTTACCATGTCAATGCAGGTTGGAGCTGGCATTCAACTACCCTCGAATTCCACCCTACTCCTGCTGCGATGGGGCTGTGGACCACATCTTAAGGGACAAGTAGTGGAACCCGAGAACATCACCTTTCGAAGATGGAGCAATGGAGACAATGTCGGTTTCACCAGATTAATACCTGACTTCCGAGAAAACTTCGGAGCTCCCTATTACGTCGTCCATCGAGCTCATTTCCATGCCGCCCTTCACGAATGTGCAGTAGACCTTGGTGTCAAGGTCCAGGTGAACAGCAAAGTGGTCAGCTACGATCTGAATGCCCCATCGGTTGTGTTGGAGGATGGCCGTACTATTTACGGCGACCTAGTTGTGGCCGCAGATGGTATCAAGTCTGTTGCACGCGCCGCGGTTCTGGGAGGAGCCGACCGTCCTCCTGCTCTCACTGGATTTGCTGCCTATCGAGCGACGGTTGACGCTGCAAAAATAAAAGCTGATCCCGAGATCGCATGGCTGTTGGAAAGACCAGCGTTGAATATCTGGTATGTGGTTGCATTTCGACGACAGAACCTGTCGTACCATATACTTACTTGCACATATGAAATACAGGATTGGCGAAGACCGCCATGTCATGACATACACCATTGCTGCTGGAAAATCACTGAACATGGTCCTCTCTCATGTCGACCATACTGATCCTCAGACCTGGAAGCCAGAGGATGCAGTTGAACAAATGAGGGGATATTTTGCTGACTGGGACCCAAAGTAAGTAATAATGCCTAGTGCTTAAGAATTCAATGATAGAGATCACTAATGCCAATTTAATAGACTATTCAAGATCATCAAGATGATCGAACACACACAAAAGTGGCCCCTCTTAAGCGGCGTGTCACTCCCACGCTGGTGTGCACCCTCTAAGAAGCTGCTTATTCTGGGAGACGCAGCACATGCCATGGTCCCTTACATGTCCCAAGGTGCCGCGATGGCCATCGAGGACGGCGCTGCCCTGGCTGAGGTCATAGATCAAATCGGAACTTCCGAACAACTTCCAGAAGCACTCGACGTTTTCACCCGTGAGCGGATGCAGAGATCTGGCCAGATGCAATCAGCCAGTCTGGTGAACGGAAAGATCTGGCATTTCCCAGATGGACCCGAGCAGCAGAAGAGAGACGAAGCAATGAGGGCAGAGGTCGAAGGTAAACAGTTCCAGAGGAGTGCAAATCAGTGGAGTGATCCAGTCACTCAGTGGTGGTGTTATGGTTACGATGCTGAGAAGGCTGTGCGGGAAGCCTGGCAGAAAAGAGGGCGAGCTTCCAAGATCTAATTCGGACTAAGTGTGATCCAAGGCGACTGTCTATATCAACCTCATAATAATAGAGGTATGCTATACGTTGGTTACTTTCGAACATCACTAAAAGCTTGTAGTGTTATCTTGAATGAAGATATTGAAGTCCCTTGGTAGAAACTTCCCTATAATTTCTCTTCCTTCAATAGGTTAGAGAAAGGATAGACTACATAGTCCTATGTGAGTAGGCCTGTTGAAACGATTCTTAGCAGTGCGAATGAGCTCGCTTTATATACCGAATGATTAACCTAGATCTTGGGTCCGGAAACAGACTCGGTTCAATAATTTGATAGCTAGAACTCTACAAACAAAAAATGTCTAGTGTCAGCACACAAAGCGAAGGCCAGGTGACCTGTCAATCATCCGTTTGCAGCAGGTCCTGAATATAGGATGGAACCTACTAGATCACTAGGATCCAGATTCTTTGTATGCTATAGGAAACACGGGGAAAGAGAAGCATCCCTCTTCAACGGGACAATATCAAACTCACATTTACCATTTTCCTTTGCCGTGTGTCATTCGACACGAAAGGTGGGAGTAATACTCCTGAATCTTTTATAATAATAATAATAATATAATATCTATTTACCATCGCAAGTAACATCACAACGATCGCCTGACCATTACCTGACCATCAACAGTATCTCGATTGGACCTTTTCGATGTGCGGGATGCTTGATAGTCGGGATGCTATCTACTCGTGAATAATGATTAAGATTAATAAACTACGTATCGAATCCTTGGTAATTCGACTTATTTTGCTCCTCTTCAAATTAACTTTTAATGGTATTATCGCTGATCTTGTCGTTTAAATGTAGTCCCATCCTGATCTCGAAGGACTAGTTACGTAGGAATCATCTGATTTCTTAGATTTACACTTTCCTCCAAGAAATACAGAGTAATATATGTCCGTCGAAATATAATATGTCGTATTTTACGTGACTTTCTTCAAATGAATCTGTATTACGTGCTCTGAACATAGAGTTCTACACTTCTGTAATACGATACGCAGATTGAAAGACGTCAAAGCGAGTGGGCACTCTTACTAGTGTCTTGTTGCTACATATCTTGAGCAGGTTACGATTACGCACGGCTAGTACAGACTCTTGACAGCGAGAGCGACTTTTAGAAACGGGGAGATTTGACATACTGATCGTCAAATGCGTCATCTCGGTATTCTGACGAGGCTGGCGGTGTGGTCGGCCTGGAGATATTGGGCACGATTACTGAGGAGACTGGGAAACGATGATAGGAGAAGGGAACTGAATTTCCTGCAAACTCGCGCAAGGGCCTCCTCCCGATGGAGATAGGCAGGCGACTTGACGCGGGAAAGCTGTCAACAGTTGAGGTCGGTGAGGAGTTGGAGGATTTAATGGAATGTTGGGCTATACGTCTTTCTGGCTTCTATGTACTGTGGGTGAGCAGAATACGCAGAAGATCAGATGCCCAGCGACGTGGACAATCAATGGGCCACAGAAAGAGATAGGATCTCTTGAACCCGCATGATGGTTCGAGAACCCTGGAAAGAGGACCCTGTACGGGATGCGTTTTCCGATCCCAGATAGCATTAAGAACGCCCATAGGCAGCCTTCTTCTTCCCGCAGCCTGAGGTGCATCTTGCATATTCATCTGGCATTAAGGGTGACATCGTAACCGACATCTTCCTCGATTCCTGTATTCTGCCTGCAAGGCTGAATGGCGGTGAGACGCTTGAGCCCGTGCCGGTCCGACCATCGCGCCTCCTACATCACCAAATGGCATTCGAGAAAAGGAGTGATTAAATACAACCTGCACGAGGCGCAAATGATCTCGCTTCGAACGGCATCCAGAACGTTGTGGTCCTTGGCGAGGCTGAACCACAGGAAACGTGGTAAACGACGTCTTGACAGCGGGAGCGTAAGGAAATGATGAGCCTAGTTACCCCACACGACGGATAATGACGATCTGTGATTTCTCTCAATTTGTCAAGGCAAGTCCACTTGGATGCAGAAAGGGAGCAGGAACCAATGAGACTGCCGTAACAAGCGAGATTCTGCCATGATGCTTAACTAGACTCGCCAACGAGCTGAGTCCAAGTAAATAGTGCACGAAGCTGATAATCTCATCGGGACACGAGACAGTCATGACCATGGGACTAGTGTCGCAAGGCTAATGATGCGTAAAAAAGGCCCGGCGCCAAGGGTATCCGATAGATAGGGGCTTGTTTCATAGTCATCGGAGAAACGATGACATTTCCGTGAGTTTCGGTGATTGATAGTCTGGATAACAACTTTCTCCTCTTGTTCCTGGAATGATTAAGGGGTAATAACCAGAAGCGAAAAGGATTTGGAATTCGACAAGAGACCATCCGGCGACTCCGAAAGATTGACGATTTCTGGACGGCCGATGTTGACCAGGGTGCCAGACGACGGCGGAGTGGAGACAGCTGTCAACAACAGCACTATTGCTTTGCCTATTCGTACAGAGGATTATAGAAAGATCGTGACCCTAATTGAGTAAATCATGTAGTAACAGTAGCAGCATTGAGTTAGCAGATATGATCTTCTTGTGCAGGGGAGCCTGAGGCGGTCAGGGGAGAAATGGAGATGGTGGAGGAGGATAATTACTCCGTGGCACGGAGCACCCGCTATGGCCCTGACGCCAGTCCGTGTTTCCCCTCCCCTGATGACAGTCTTGGCGACGGGTATCTGACAGGCCCACGTGGAAAACGGTCAAGCCATAATAATATGGCACATATTATTGATGGCCCCTGCTCGATTACTCGGCCGTACGGGCAGTCCCCTGCCAGGCTTGTATGGTATGATCGTATGTAGTACGTCGTATAGATGGTCGTATCGACTAAGTAGATGGCACGACCAGGATCATAGAAACCGATTCGCGTTGGGCGTCGCATCGCGCAGACTGGATCTCCCAGGGGTAGCGATGATTGCGGTCCTGTTGAGCGAACCAGGCGACGAGCTCGCGGGATCTGCCTCGGAACGGGAAAGTCGTTTCTTCTCCACGTTGGGGCGGACAACGTGCATCGTGGACTCCATGGGGAGGGTAATCGCTAGTTCAAGGCAGATCAGCCATCAGTGCGTCCTGTGGTTGTTTTCGTTCTTCACCAGTGCCTGAGCAAGGCCTGTGCTCCAGTCCAATAGTATCCGCAGATCGATCAGGGCAATAATAACAGACAGGAATATTGTCAGGGCTAGCTTTGGCGACTAAGAACTTTAGATAGTCTAGTCTTAAGGCGTTTTGGACGGGCAACTTGAGTCTTGTCAAGTCTGAGCGGCAAGGCAAGGCAATACCTGCCTGAACAACAAGGCTGTCCAAGGCATCCATGTGGTCACTGACACCGGCGTCCTTCTCGGGCCAAACTACCGGCACCGCTGCGGGTACGCTAGTCCCGAATAGTACTTAGCAGATCTGGCCACCGAGATCCTCCGCTGGCCAATCAGAAGGGTAGACACACTCGCCGTTCACTTAGCATCTGATGATCGACCGTGGCTGCAAGAGCGTTCGACGGCAACCAGGATGAGAGAGGCTGAACCGCTGAAGGAAGAGAACCCTGCAGATAACAACGACGATCGGGAGATCCTCCATCTTCCCATCGGTCTGCGAAGGCGTCTTATTTGATCAGGTATGTCGCAACCACCAGCCAGAGGGATCCGCATATGATGGCCACGCACAAGCCTATCTACGCTCAAGTTATGGCCTCCACTGGCAGCAGTTATAGACAAGCTAATTAAATCATCCCATGCTTCCCCGGATATAGGAAGCGATATTCGCCCAATCATCAGACCTGGTTTTTAAGTTCCATCGTGACAAATTCTCACTGCCGTTCTGCCCCCCACCGTTCGACCGAAACCACACGGAAAGACTGGGCTAACCCATATCGAGAACATCGCGCGAGGCGTAACGTCTTTCTTCCCCCGTCGATCAAGCAGCAGCCCGAGAAAGCGGATGCGACCAGGACTAAGGGCAAGTCCATCGCTGTTCGTCTTGTTTTGCTCACGCCGGCGCCCCATCACGGATTCCACCGCTGCGGCGCAGGTCCTCAGCTTGTCGTCCGGGCGTTGGCACCGACATGACGGGTACGCAGAGCCCTGCGAGGAAACGAGATTTGGTATGAGTACGACTGAGGGAGTCTTTCTACGCTGTTGAACCTCGTATCACAGGTACGGTCTAACATGGTACTGATACCGCATGACTGACGGTCCATGGATCAGAGCAGGTCAGATCAGGCGCTAGTATGATTTGGTAATGGAAGTAATTTATTTCTTTCCAACGAGAATGTCCTGTGGTTTCGACAGCGATATGAAACAGCCGTCCCATAACGGTCAACTGTTGACCTCATTGTCTGGCAATAATAATAATACATAAGCGATATACTCAAAGACGTATACCTCCATACGGGTGGAGCCTAACATCAATTCCGGCCCATAATCTTTGAGAACAGCGCAGGACTCTGCCACACTTCCTCTCCAGTCTCTATCTCTCTGTCAGCGTCGCATAAGCATCCAGCCGAGCATTGATCGTTGATCGCACTCTTCTTCTCTCCACCGCCCCCTCTCTGGAGCCCTGGTTACCTCTTGGGCTCTGTACCAGTCGACGATCCGTTCTGGATCCAGAGAGTACTCTATATACAGTCTAACGGCGTGGCAACATGTTCCGTTCCTTGTTCTACAGTAATCCCAGCCATGATCCACTAGCAGACGGGATTGTAATCGCCATGGGCCATTCTCAGCGAGCGGAAAAGATTTACCTCGGCTCATTGACCAATCAGCGGTCAAGATCACCTCGCTTTTCTAGTAGCAATACTAAAACTGACCTAGAACCAGATCCCACGAACAACAAAAGGGGGCACGGATCCAGTCACATCTCCGCTCAGAGAACGATGGACAAGAGAATTTACAAGCGATGATGAAGGGCAATGTAGCGACGGGGGATCGAGAGGCGACATATGGACCTGGTAAACGCCCAAAACTCGGAGACCCCGGTAGCACGAAAGCTCCGTTCCCCGCCCTCTCGTTGTTTTATGCCGAAAGTTGCGCAACGGCTTTTTTTATAGATAGTGAAAGTGGATTTTGCACCCTGGGCCGATGCCTTCAACTCCACCCGACAAGTGGACCGTTAGCCTTGACTAACAACCGCTAAGAATCAACAGGCCAGTCAAAAGATCATGTTGGCGAGAGTCGTGCAGGGGTGGTAAATGTCAGATGGCCGGTTTCATTTAGGGACACTCTTGAAAAGTTGTTCCAACGGTGTTGAGCCTGGAACAAATCGACCTTTTCTTTTTTTTCTTGATTCCTTTCCCTCTTTCCAGGGCTTTCTCTCTCTTCCGCTGATAGCGGAAGAGAAAAATCGGAGGCGTTGGAAATTCTTAACGAGATAAACCGGATTTTATCTATCGGTACGATTATCTCGACTTTTCCATGCATTTTCATTTCAATCGAAGTCAAGATGTGGGGGGTGAAAAACAACAACGGTAAATAATAATAATAACCATAAACAATTCAAATTAAACTCAAACCCAAAAAACCAGAACAGACCCCAAAAACGACCACTTCTAAGACTAAATCGTGACATTTGGAATTATTCACGTAGGGCTAGTGGTTGTAGCTAACTAGCACCTGTACCTGTGCGGCACAGATGGCCTCCTTTTTCCGGGAGCGTTACTTACTTACTTAGCCCGCGCGTCACTACTGGTTACTACTGAAGAGGGGTCAGGGCATTCGGGGGGTTCGGGGCCATGACTTTCCCCCGCTTTATGAAATTCAATGGTAAGTACAGTAAACCCTCTCTATAACGAACCTAGCTATAACGAACTGGGTCGCCCCACTTTTATCGTCCAATAGGAGCTCCCTAAATATTCGTTATATCATGGTATAACGAATATTTTCACTTACCCTGCGCCCATATAAAATTGAAAAAAATTCGTTATAGCGTGAAATCTCTCTTCTGATTGGCTAGATCCCCACGCTATACCATTTTCAGTATGAGTGCTATAACGAATAAACACGCTATAACGAACAAAAATGCGTGTCTGAATTGATTCGTTATAGCCAGGGTTTACTGTACCAAGTAAATAATGCATATTATTACCAGTTTAGTTGGGGGCTGGGAAGAAGCAGATATTATTGAGAGTGTGTGTTCATAGCCATAGCCATAGCCACAGCCATAGGTAGAGTAGAGTAGAGTAAAGACCAACTACAGTAACTAACTAATGAGGGGATGAGGGGCACGGATACCATTTCCATCTGCATGTGTAATAATAATACTATAATCCAATGTACTCTACTGTAATTAATAAAATTAATGATGACGAATAATTACTTACTTACTTGCGATCACTTCACTAAAACATCGACTTTGAAACGAAAAGTGAGAGATATTTCCTCTCACCAACGAGAAAACATAGTTACCTACGTACATGCAGCCCAGCCCGCAGCGTAATGCAGGTCGATTAAGTATCGGGGGCGGTGAAGGCTGCACCTCAGACCCTGCTTCCGTAGCGTGCGATCTGGGCTCTCCTCTCTTACCTACTTACACTCTCTCTTTGGATTGGGGCCTGGGGGGAAATAAGAGAGATGGGCTTTTTTGCGATGCACAAATCGGATCCGCTGACCGATTGGAAAGTAGAGTGAATGGGGCATGGGATTTTTTTTTTGCCTCCCACCATCCCTTGCTTCGGGGCTCGTGTTGGCCTGCCGCATCGCCATGCCTTTGGGTTTAAATGGCTTACTCGACTCTTAACACTGTACACCGCAAATCAACGGGAGATACATTTGGAAAGTCGGAACGGTGGGAAATTCTACTGCAGATGTTCCAGGACAAGTAATCATGATAACGTATGTTTAGGTTATATTTGGTTTCATAATGCTATTGGTACAATGTCCTGGCGAGGCCAAGGAACAAAAAAGACGTTACAGGGTATTCGAGTCAAGAAGCGCTTTTGCAAACAAGGACATCGGACAGAAATAAACATAGGAAATAGACATAGGAAATATAGTAATAACTGTGCACAAACTGGGCTCAATATAAGAGGCAACCAGGTAGCACAGATTAGACATCATGGTTCCAACAATCTTGGAACCAGACAGATATTCGCTCGCGACAACAGTATAGACTGGGGTATTCGAGGTCCTTTTTTCCAAGACCTATACAGTATATATCCAGACACAGAAAATATGTACCAACGGGCTAATGATCAGACACCGAGACCTCCCGAGTTTAATCATAATCATACCACCAATATATGCGGGACAGTGAGTTAACTCCCTCCAGGCCAGACCCCATTTAGAACGCCGTGTAAAAGAAGACCCAATTGGAAATCAATTCAGCAATGAATCGAGGCCCATGCGTGAGTCCCGACTCGGGGCGGCGGCTCCACATCGAGGCTCCTCCGAAGGTCCGGTCCAGGAATTCGATAGCGAGCTAGAGCGCTGGTGAGTGACAGGCGATGGCAAGCTAGGTCCCCAGCGCGGGAACAACGGTGCGTCCGCCCATTGCTCCGCAGTCTTGGTGTGTTCGTCGCGGAATTGCAAAGCAGGCAGGCTGCCCCTTCGTAGCTCTCCATAGCTGGAGCGGGTGTCGACAGGAAGGGGCAGGAGCTGCGGGGAGGGAAGAGTGCGGGGCGAAGCGGAAGAGATGGAACTGCGGTCAGAAACCATCGATGGTGCGGTGCTTGATGCCTCAGAGAATGCTGGTGAGGTCATGGATGGCTCGATCGGACGGGCAGAAGCCGGGAAGGTGAAGATAGGCGACAGGCGGCGCGGGTTGTCCATGACGGTAGACTCTCTCCTCTCGTAGGAGGGCGAAGAAGCACCCGAGGGGATAGGCGAGAGGTTGACCGAGGCAGAGTCAATGTTAATCTTGGGAGAAGTCGTCCAAGACAGACGCGGGCTGCGCATCGAGGCACGAGGGTAGGGCGCTTCGATTCTGCCACTGTATGTTCGGGAGGCAGAGACAGGGACTCCTCTCCTCTTGCGGTTCATGCTGCCATTCCACCAGTTCTTGACTGCGTTATCGCTGCGGTTGCCCAATCGTCGGGCGATCTCAGCCCAGCGCTTGCCCATCTCGTTGACCATGCGCTCAATCATCAGTCCTTCCTCGTTGGAGATGGGCTCGTGGTTCAGAGAGGGCTTCAGGTTCTGGTGGAATCTCTCTCTGCATTGCTTGGGCGAGCGGTAGCGCATGTGCTGGGAAATGCGAACCCAGTTGTTGGGTCCTTGTTCGCGCACCAGCTGCAGAAGTGCCTGGTCCTCTTCAGGGACCCAAGGCCCACGACGGTGTGCGGGAGCCATAGCTATGAGTTTGACTTGTAGGGTTTCTAGATTGGAGCTGGATGTTTATTAGCACTTTGTCCAAGGGTGTAGACACCGCCTCCAGTAGTGGCGAACTTCTGGCAATGTCTCCAGGCGAACCAGAATGCGCTGGGATTGCCCGAGCAGGGAGGGGTAGACGAGGGCCAAGGCAAGTTCGAGCTTACATCAAGAATGTATGGTATGGACAAAGAATTCACTTCGAGTGTAGAGATGGATAGATGGGATGGAGTTGAAGTGACAAATAGTCTGCAGGGAAGTGGGAGTCTAGAAGGATGTCTGGAAGAAAGGATTTGTCGGGGTGGAAGTCTGGAAGAATATATGGAATTCAGAGGAGCAGGCGTCGAGTAGATATGCACACGAGAGGATCCCTTGGGAGGATGCAGCGGGAGGAGACTAACGCTTCGTCGTACCACGCTATGGGGAAACAATTCCAGATCTCAGATCTTCGGCCTGACAGCTCTCAGCAAACAGAGTGGGTAAGGTATATCAAATCATTGTAGCTAGGGTGTGGCTGTTCGCGATAATAATGCAGCCGCCATGGGATAGAGTGGACACAAGTGGGTTTCGCGGGTTGGCGGAAAAAGGGCTCGATGGGCCCCCAGATTAGCGTAACAAAAGGGTATTCCGGCCTCTGCTTTTCGGACCCATCTGGTACGGGCCAGGGTGATAAGGTGGTAACTTACTACCATACTACTACTAGTAGTAGTGACCCTGCTGCTAGAATAATAGTACAATTGGTACAGTAGTTATCGCAAGATCGTGGGGATCCTAGCCCGAGTTGGTACGAGCACGACATAACTATGTATGTATCCAGAAATTCGCCGGGAACTGTATTATTTCTTACACCCTCCCCGTAATTTATATTAACCCGGGGCGTCTGGCACTCTGGGTCTTCTGGGTCTTGTCTGCTGGGTCTTCTGTAAGAATTTGTCCGGCCATGACACTGTCGGCCACTCCGTCAGTCTAGTCTAAGTGACACGCCGTCAGCCATACACCCCTGCTTAGGTTGTACTGTACATCCCATCTATCCATGTGGAAATGGTTGTTTTAGGAGCCGAAAGTAGTGTACTCTTTTGAGGACTGAGCGTAGTTAGCAGTCCTAGAGGCGTTTTGGCCCTATGGGTTTCAGCTCTTTCGAATTCGGGCGTGTTTACGACACTTGGACCTCGTACGGGAACCTGACAAACAGGGAGGGATAAGTAGTTTACCATCATTGCTGTGTGAATAATACAGAGCACTCGACTGGAGGGCGTAATTTACCGAGAATCATCATAATGGTAATATTAAAACAACAGCCGTCTTGCGCTGAAACATACCTCGGGATGCCGCGGTAATGGTATTGTAATAAATAAGTGGCTTGTGACTAGAGTGGCTCATGCAATATTCCCGAACTTCTTCGAGGCAGATCTGTCATCCGCTGAAACGATCCCTACCTAGCGTCAAGATCGCAGGCCTCAATGAGGGGTGCACCATCGATTCATTGGCAGACAACTGCATACCAGAGCAGCAAGTCTGTTAGACCCACTGGACATGCTGGCAAGCAACAATCGAGCTCAATTATTGTTATTGTTGACTTGTTGGGGTGTCATTCTGCGAAATATTATTACCTCGGATCCCTATCCGGGCGGTTCGCACACAATCGAGATCGTTACTCTTTTTGGGCCTTACTATGCTTGGCACTGTCAGCCAGCCATGAGAGCCAGCATCGCTCCACTGATACCTCATCAACGCCAGTAATTCTTTGCTACTATTACTATCTGCTGTTAGATAGTTGACAGTACCTCAGGTATGGGGTCTGAGCCCCTTGAGGCTCAGGGGATTTCGCTCGGCCGGACGGTTGTTGTCATGATTGTCCCTTGGCTGGCGATCAGCTCTGCCCTGTGGCGCTTACGGAGATCTTACACAATACAATCTTCCTCATTCCAGAAGACCTTAGTTGACTATTGGCGCGCTTACGACACTTTCCAGATTGGGACAGACTCTCTCTTCCCTTCATACTCCTCTCATGACTCCTTGTGGCTTCAACACAGAGGATTGCAGCTGTGGCTTATCAACGGATTCCCTTTCATTTCGATCATAGTCCAGACGCATAGTTTCATGATCAAGGTTTGCCGTTTCCTGTCTCCCACTTATTAGCCGCTCGTATCCTCAGCCGTGCAATTGTCGAATATCGCACAAGCCATAAACTGCGCCACAGATCGAATTGGATCTCATATTTTCTGATACTTTATGACAATCCTGGATCGCTTGTCATGAGGCTTAACCATTTCTGGTAACGTTACATAACCGCCTTCTTCAGCTCTCCTGTTCAAACAAGCAGTAATATACTTCTGCTAGCAGCGGTACCGCGCGGAACATATTTGTCACGCTTGGCGATCAAAATCTCCTAGTCGAAATTTTCCCCATCTTGCTCCTGACTCCAGGAAAGAAAACAAGCCGCTGTCAATGCACGTCAGTATCTGTCATCTGTCCAGCAGATCCATCGTCGCTCCTCCGCAAAGCCGAGTTGACGGACTTGACGTTTGGAACCATTCCTGTCAAAACAGCCTATGTACCGTATCGCCTGTCGGCTCGAGCCGCCAGTAGCCATCTATCCAGATCACCATATACAAACAAATGTCGAGGACGTCACCACATATTGGTCCTACCGTCTTCCTCCAGAGCGAGTTGGGCGCATGTCGGTACTATAATTGTCTATTGGACACTTATCAAACACACCGCCCTGCTCATACAATCCCTTTTTTTTTATGGTTGCATTATCTGAAAACGGCCTGCAGGTCGCAAAGAAATGTGGTTCTCCCGGGGACAGTCGTTTCAGGAGATCGCCTCTATGATCTCCTCCGCGATTGGTATATCATAATTGTAGGACGCGTGTTTTCAAATGTGGGGATGGAGTGGAGCAGGAAGCAAGCAGCAGCAGAGTTCTCAAACGGTCGTTCCGTATTATTATACGCGGTGAACACCGATGCAAGATTTGTTCCAGATAACTTCCGATTAAACTCGTTCAGCACTTGAGCATAAAGATATTTTCTTTCAGGTCCTTAGATATATACCTTCTATATTCTGTAGCCGTGTCTGAAAATGGCCTCGGTGCGGTGTTCAAGACAAGCTCTCTTGTAGATACATACTTCAACTGATTTCCGGGGAACTGACTGCAGCAGCAGCATACGATGTTACGTACAGACTACTATGTCGCCAAGTCATTGGAGGGGACCAATGCTTCCAAAACGAGCGTTGACGCTACTATGCGCGGTCAGGGGATAAGCGTCTATACACATTGCCCGTTTTTGGCATCTCGATAGAATTGAGTTTCAATGCTGACAAAAACTTCCTGATCTCAAGTGGGTCGGGCGTTTATATTACTTCCCCCGGTCTTGGAACGTTGACAAACTATAAGTGGTCGGAAGCCCACGCTCAGTTTTTTTCTATTAGTACTCCTTTGCGCTATGTCCTCCAGATTATTATTAGAGGCTACGTCTTATTATTATTATTATTATCAGGACGAGATAACTGGCCAGTAGTGTACGAGAGTAGCGACATGAACTTGCACCACCTCGAGGATCCGGGGGGCTATTATTCATGACTTTGAGTGGGCAGCCACATAAACTTACCGGAAACCTGGGCCATGGTCGATTCCCAAACCTTACCGGTTTCGACGCCAATAGTACGATATGGTCCCAAGTCTCGACCCCCCTCCCCTCCCCGATCTTCCTTTAAGGCTAGTTATTGAGAGACGTCAGCCATCAGCACCTACCAGCAAGCGCACCCAAACTTACCTACCAGTGAGAGATCGTGTGGGGGAATTATTATTATAGGGGGACAGTTGCTTTGAGCTTGAGCTTCCCCCATGAAGCCACCTAAGTAGGAGATAGGCTCAATTGTGTCTAGTTATTATGTCTAATCCTCCGTCAGTGCGCAATCTGATTGGAAACATGTCCACTTCAAGCTCAGACGGTAATGGTATATGGGTTAGCGTTGATCATTCGATCCCAAATTCCGCCAGCAAGGAACCTCCAAGCAGTCCGCGTCTGATAGTCGTATTCGATAATATTGACAGCCGTTACCATGATCAAGTTTTTAACTATGATCGTCGGGCGGGAAAAAAAAGGAAAAAGAAAAAAAAAAAACAGTGGCGGTGCATTTTTCTCCTCGGAACCTGCGAAACATATTGTATCAGGGATCGGCATTATTGAAATATTGATTGAAGTTTAAAACGAAACGGAAATCGAGGCTGACGTTTTTTGTCATTATGGGTCCCTCAGCGGCTAAGTTAGTTAGTATGTGGCGGTGCGATGTTGTACTACAGTACTACTCTTAAGGCGAAGAAGAATAATACCATAACCAAACAGACACCAGCCTTACTAGTCTGAAATACGAGACGGACCGGCATGCTTCGATGGTTGTAAAGTATGGTACGTATGGAATTTCCATCTGTGGCTCAACAGGACTTCTGTCTCAGCCACATCTTCACAATACCATACGGCCTGCCCGTTGGACCTATTTTATTTCCATGGTACAGAAAAGTGATATGGAAAGTTTACCCTCCCCGAGGCTGATATGTTGCGAACCATCGGAATTTTGGCATACGAAACACTGACCTACGTAGTACTAGACAAGGACCTAGTTCTGTTTTCCACGGAATCTATTGTCTTCGAAATTGGGCGGGCTCGTGCATCGCATCACTTCTGGGACAACAGCGGAATATCACTCAGAAAACCGTTCTCTGTCGTGAAGTTAGTTAACTACTTACCCATGATGCTTCCAAATCATGTTTCAATAATGGCATAGCAAGGGTCAGGGGTATCAATGTCGTGCACTGAGCCAGGCAGGGGGGGAAGAGGAAGATCGGACTGCGATCTCACGTGGAGAGCACGCCCGTGCTCGCGCCAAATATTAACGCTTGGACCAAAAATGCGGCACACGCCCTATAGGATGATCGCCGCCCTTATTCCAAATACCATGCAGAAACCCTCAGGGCTCCCTTATCGTGTGCAGGGGAGGAGTTGACAGGAACCGTTCGCTCCCCGATCCAGCATAGTCGACCGGCCTCACGGCTCTGGAGCGTGCAATCCCGTTGATGATCCTATGCAGGATGGAAGTGCCCCGAGCCGTTGGGTCCCAATCTCTGCGTAAAAGGTCTATCTATATCATATTTTCTCCCTTCTCGACGGTCCTCGACATCTTCCAATTTCGGTTCTTCTACCTCTTACTCCAGACTACCCTTAGGATATCAGAAAGATCAAGAGAACACAAGAACTCGCAGACTTACATCGAACTCTGGATGCCCGGCGTGTGGATGGCAGCTCGGGGACCATTCAGATTTCCCCATCAGGTTCCCGATTTGCCGGCGGCTTGAAGCGCCCTGCACTACTCGTGTAATGACAAATACTACATCCCAACCTTACTAGCGCCGCATTTGGCTCAGACGCACTGGCCAACCAAACCCTCGGATCCCGCTTCGCTTAAATGCTCCTTGTCCCTATGAACGATGATAGGTACCTGCGATAGTGATGTCTATGTCTTCCAATGAAACGTCGAGTCGCGGTGCGAACCCTGCCCTCGAGTCTGAAGTCATGGAGGATGGCCTGATCTGCCCGGCTTACAAGGATGTCGACGTCGATCGCGAGATCACCGAGCTTCTCCAGATTCCAAATGTCCTTTTAGTCCTTCGATCTGACCGAACTATTGAATTTTGTGGGCCAGATACCATCATATCGGTGACTCCGTCAGCGAAGGAGCCAACTCTCAACAGCTCGGGCTCTGCGTGTCGGTCTTCCCCCGCAGGCCTGCCGACTCTGCAAGAAGTGCTCTTAGAATGGGAGTAGTAGTAACTTTAAGCAGTTAGAGCTCTCAAAGGACTGTGATATGGGAAAGGATCCCCTTACTCCGTAGTACTGACCGGTTCCTAACGGCCCCACGCATTTCGAGTGCTTCCAAATCACTTTCGGGTTCCACCAGCCCTGCCAGCCAACAGAATAAGTTGATGACAAGGGTCTCGCTCTCAGGCCAAACGCCCGGAGAAACTCAATCTGGACGGTATAAACTCAATCTCAAAATGGTTCCCGGGGGAAAGGTACAGGCGTACGCACCCCGTCCCGGCCATCCGCTAACGGGGACCCTCGCAACTCTGAAAGCCTGTGCAGAACGGATTTCCGATGTGCTCACTGTGCTCACTGTGCTCCCCGCTAGGACTCGTAGCGTCTGCGGGGACTTTTGGTGAAGTCGTCGAAATGACAGGTATCGTCACTGAATCCTCCCTTAGCTCTACAATCGAGATACTGCGGCAGGAAGCGGGGACTGATATTATTATTCCTGTGGACATCGCCGTAACGCAGGCAAGCACTAGCTATTTCCGGGCTCTCGCATTCTTGATAAGTGAGGATCCATCGACAGAAGGAGTAATGGATGTCGTAACTTGCGAAAGGTCCAGGGACCGGTGCAGCTTGATACGAGACCGCATGGGACGCCAAGCTGTTCCCGACACAGAAAAAGCAAGCGAGACCGATGACCATGACTTGTCCAGGCCGTTGATATGAGGCTGTGCATACATCTGTGGCTTGATGATGTGGCACAGAACAATGTGCTCTGTCTCTTCCGCTGGACCCAATTCGACCCTCTTTTTCCCTTCCCGCGCCTCCACCATCTCGCCTCGTCATCTGCAGCTGAACACATGAAGTTCCAGCGACTGAGTCCCAAAAAAGGGTTTACACACACTCTCTCTGGTCGCACTGTATCGATGCAGCCATAAAGATCTTCATAACGGGAATGGGACCTGTCGTTTGCAAGCTCCAGATGTTTCCACGGTTCAGTTACAGTACTACGAAAGTCTCCGACAGGAATTGGGCTCTCCCTCTGACTTTTGTTTCTTGCCTTTACCTTGCCTATCTCAACTTTCCGGAAATGGATGATAGGACGGCAGATAAGGTATCAGATATCCCATACCTGTGGTGTTATTATCTCAGAGAGCGGTCCACACATCCCTCTTGTTGGGCATACAGCATTGGACGATACTCTCACCATCACATTAGTAGACATGCCGGCTTTGTGATACCTTCATACCTATCCCCTTGGTTGACAGCTGAAGACATAACGTCAGAGAAGAGAAAACTTTACATTATATCTGTCTAATGCTGACGCAGGACAGTGTAAGCATGCCAGGATAACGCCTTTGCACGGTGGAAACGACTGACCCAAGGCGCGCTCATCTGCTGTATCTGAACCTCTGGGAAGTATGACAAGGGTTGGAGTCAGCTATGTTGACAAAAACAGCTAACGGTAAGAGAGGTAGCCTTGGCTCCGTGTTATTCGGGCTGTGTTTTTGGGGCGGGTGTTCCTTATTTTTCGCTATATCCAACCTGCCCAGTGTATGCTGGCAGAAAAAGTGGTACCAGCAATAGAGTAAGTTTTGGTATTGTTCTGGCCCGTTCTGGCTCGAGTCCTATGGTATTGGGATACAGTAACAGCTGTCATTCACGGGACCCTTCAACATGGGACCTGGGCTGTGTGATCTGGGAGGACAATGTCACGACAATGAACAAGAGTTAGGATAAACACATCGGTTGGCATCCGTCCCTTCTGTTGTTCTTGTGGGCTTGATGTTTTCCTCACCTTCATATATCGATCCTGGTATTGATATACGTGCTGATGTGCTCTTATCTCTGAGAATAAAAGTATATGCAACTCAAAGGCGAGGATACACATGCTCTTCAACAGCTTCTGAACGAGATCAACCATCACAGCGGAAATATGCACAGAAAAGAAAGTCCGCTCCCCCGGGTGTTTAGGACGCAATCAATGGCTCACCTACGCCTGTGCCATAGGAAGACTAGAGAAGAGTACTATCTTCTGTCTGAATATGTTCCTTTCGGCCCAAGTGAGGGAAACGAATAAAGGTGCAAGATCAGATAAGTCACGGTGTACTTGCCGCAAATTGTATACATAATAGTACCCTCCTGGGAGGTTCAAATGCACTATACCAGCGTCATGTCATAGTAGAAGTTTACCCCGTACTCGAGCAAAACTAGAGAAATTCGGCAGTTTTACAATCAGTTGCCTCTTCTTATTCCTATCTCCCTCCTTTTCTGCACAGCACTACCTACTTCCTATGCTGGAAGCCTACTCACTGTTAGAAGCAGTAATTAGCAGCTGGTGATACTTCCTTCGACGTCCCATATGGGATGACGCCTTGACCACAGTCTATGGTCAATTCGGCCCGCATGTGACTAGGTAACTAGAAGGGGCCAACCTAAAGTAACTTAGTTCTGGATAATCGACTCCTGTTGCCATTCTAAGATGACCGATATCTGCGAGATATAGAATAGGACCCGATTATCTCCAAGGGGTGCAGCATCACTAATAAGCTGATATGAGGGCAATACATTTACTTTTGTCTCGTTGGTCGAGTGACCTGAGCATTTCAGTTAACCTCTCCGTATCTACTCCATGTGACCTGAACAGGGAGGGGCTGTATCGTTTTTGGTAGCATACTTGAGAAGTTGAGTAGTGGCTCCTCTGATCCTGCTCTCTGCTTTTCTTTTTCTTCCTCTGTGACGTATTCTGTCCGTGTCGGGATTCTTGACCTATGAATCGTGTTATATTCTGGCGATCTTGTAGTGAAAGAATGGAAGTCTTCCTACGAATGTGTATGGAATGGTTGAGAGTATGGTGTGTTGATACTTGATATATATTTTAGTTCTGGCAAGCTAAAACGCTGGACTCGTGAACAATATTTCTCTCGAACGAACCTCAAGCCTTCATGCCTTTGAAGTTAGTCTAATATCACCGTGGCCTTTATACCACCCCATCGATTACATTAATCTCAGTTTATCATCGCATTAGACACAGGTAGAGCTCGTGAAGCCTTCCAAGCAAGTAGAGACATCTCCGATTCGGCAAGGTCACTCCGCATTCGCCCGCGCTTGTCCGAATCGGGTCGGCAAAGTCTCCAGCTGCGCAGCTCCATCATCCGCCGAGTTCAACGAGTACGGCAAATTCATTTCAACCACACTCTCAGCTTTGTGTTAGATTGGTATTTCTTATCTATATATTTGGTACTATCACTTGAGCTGGCTCGCTGTCATCTAATACACACCCTACCGCTTGCCATTCTCCAGCGCTGCAGCTATGGAAGTGGCCAGCGCTCAACAACATTCCCTCAACCACTCTCAATATCAAAACGATCCCAACATCACCTCTAACACCATGGATACCACAATGGACATTGATATGGACCTCGACCTAGGCCCGCTTCCAGAACCGGAGGCCATTGAAACTGTGAGATACCAGACGCGACTGCGCCGTGCCCATGACCGTGATCTAATATGTTACAAACAGGAACCAGCACAGGCGACTGTTTTTGCCGAAGAAGGTGCAGTAGATCACCTCGAGGAAGAAGCGACATATGAGAAAGTCCATGTTCGAGGAGTGGATGAGTTGACTACCGATGACATCAAGCGATTCGCGACGGAACATTTCCACGTCGAGGAACCAAGTCGTATCGAATGGATTGACGACACGTCGGCTAATATTGTTTACTCATCGGTGGAAGTTGGCTTACAAGCGCTGGCTGCACTCACTCAGGTTGGAGTGGAGGACGCATCGGCGCTGCCATCTCTGCGATTGCGCAGCGCAAAGACCCTGTCGAGCCATCCGGACTCTGTCCTGCAAGTGCGGTCGGCTGTCAAGACCGACAGGAAGAGGCCACGGGCGCATGAAGCGAGTCGTTTCTATCTGATGCACCCTGAGCATGATCCGAGGGAACGGTTGCGCCGGGAGCTCTCGAAAAGGAGGCACCACGGCAAAAGGGACGATAGTGAGGGTGACTACACACGGCGGCGATTCGATGACCGAGAACATCGTCGCCGGAGAGACAAGGGCGAAGAAGAAGGATTTGGTGCAGGCATGTATGATGACGAACCCGCAGACCACTCGGATGCAGACAGAGGACGCGGTCGGTCTCGTCCTGGCAGGCGGGCGGAGTTGTTCCCTGACCGTGATAATGAGTCTGGGCGTCTCCGTGGCCGCAGTGCTTCTCCAGGCCGTGACCTGCTAGACGAGGAAAGCAGAAATGATGGCGACCGCCACAGACGATTCCGTGAGCGCTCGCCTCAGGTGTCTCGTCGGAATAAAGGCAGGGAGCTATTTCCATCCAATGGAAGTGACTCAAGTTCGCGAGAGCTCTTCCCCAATAAGACGGCTTCTGCATATATCAAGAAGGAATTGTTCCCGACCAAAAGCGCCAGTAATCATCGTCGGTCCGATGCGTTTGATGCCGCGGACGAGACGGCGGAATCCTTGGCGAAGCGAATCACTGTTCCGCTCGTCGACGGAGCTCAAGATCAGAATACCTCAGGCCGTAATGCCAATGTCGAGCTCTTCCCGCAGTCTGGAGACAATGGTGTCAGTATCCGGGGCGCTGCGGCCCAAGCGTCGGGGTTGTCTATTCGTGGCGCAGCGAACGGATTGTCGATCAAGGGTCGAGGTGCCTCAGTCCGGGAGTTATTCCCATCGAAGTACAGTAACAACGCGGGAAAGGAACTGTTTACTGACAAGCTTGAAGGAAGAGGAGGCCGGCGTCGCAAGGCGGAGGATATGTTTTCCTGATGAGCATGGGGTCACGAGCTTCACATAATTGCATACATCAAATTCAGTGACGTGCTGGTTCAGTGACATCTGCTAGAGCATATTGCCAGCTCATTAAAGGAGTTCTGGGATTTGGTTCATGATACTATTTCACGATTCGAAGCTAAACTGGGTGGGGAAAGAAAATACCTAAAAGCCCTTAACGACTTTGCCTTTAATAGATTCCCAAGTATGATAAATGATGATCTCTGCATCGGATTCCTTTCTTGTTAGATCTTGTAGTCCGGGCACATAGAGCCTTTCTAACTCGTAGTAAGTTTACTGTACTCGAACCCCATTCGGCCCCGCGATTGGGTGCGCGGATATCAGTAATCACCATCTACCTAACTTAACAACATCCCGCGGATTCTCTCCGCAATCTATCAAACAGCAACAATTTCCTCCTTACAATAATACACTGAAAGCACTACAACCCAAAGAGAAGAGAAGAGAAGAGAAAAAGAAAAGGATAGACATAGACTTATGACGTCCAACATATCGAACCCAACGCAGTTACCACTAGCAAGTATTCTAGTGGCGCGTTTTCTGCGGTCCAACAATTACACACAGACGCTCGATGCCTTCATTCGCGAGGCAGGCCTTCCGCCTAATGCAGGACAGGTAAATAGCAAGGCAGAGGAGCTGGATGGATGGACGATCGAGAATGTTATTGAGGAGAAGAAGGCTTTTGATCAAACGGTGAATTTTGAGAGGTATGGAGATGATGAGGATGCGCGGGAAAAGAGGGATCGGTGGAGTAGTCCAGGTAAGTGGGTTTAGATTGGTTTAAGTTCTAAGTTTCTTTGATTTTGCATATTGTTTACTACCTGGGGAGGGATAGTTGTTTATGGTGTAGTGTAGAAATTATGTGTTGCTTTTTTTGTTTTCTTTTTGATGTTTCCTCTGAGTGATGTAGTTTTTGTGTTTCGGAATTATTCATGCTGTGTTATCTTTTGTAGCCTGCCATCCAAAATTGTTTTCTGGGAAAGCTCTACATAGCATTTTGCTTTCATGTCCCATTATCTGTTTTTTTACTGACTAGAATGAAACAAAAGCACCATCGAAACCATCTACGATACACACACCGAGCTCTTCCAACTTGCTCTCCGTTTCCGTGCAGCCCTGGGAGCGCCAATCTTCTCCAGGAGAAACAGAAACAGAGACGGATTTCAAGTCAACCTACATTATTTCCACTGGGGCTGACAGACGACTGAACCTATTCAAAACCTCTCCGGACCATGAAGCTGCCGCGTCGTTCTCAGGACTGGCCGATTCGCCTATCCTGTCGCACGTCACACTCCGAGGCGGATCCTACCAGTTGGCCACCACCATGTCCGGACAGCTGCTCCTACTTCGAGATTCTGAAGTCCTGCATCGACGTAAAGACCATACGAAGTATGTTGTCCAGGTGACTGCTCATGAGCGATCGGACTCGAATACCGTATGGATCGCGACGGCAGGCTGGGATGGTAGAATCTTGATTTATTCTTTGGATCTCGAGCATTCTCCACTGATAATTGGGGAACCACGAGCGAACATCCAGCTCTCGACGAATCCGGAATCGATTCTCTTTGTCAGACATACGGAGACGGGAGAATTATTACTTCTCGCCTCGAGAAGGGATTCGACTTATCTCTATTATTATGACGTTTCATCAGAACCGTCCACTGCAGTAGAATCAGGGGAGGAGGGCGATAAACCATATGAGCCCCGTCTTCTGGGAAAGCAGAACCTGGCTCCACACTCAAACGCCTGGGTTGCCTTCTCGCCATCTTATCTTGCCCTGAGCCCTCATGACCCAGGGTTGCTGGCCGTGGCTACGTCGACACTACCGCATATGAAAGTCATGATTGTACGCCTTCTATTTCCATCTCCAGATGCTAGCTCCAGTGGTGATGCATCCGAAGCCGCTCCTGCGGAGCCAGAGACGCAAGTGACTCAGGCTATGGCGGCGCTGGCGCTGCAGAACCGCGAAGATGCCGCTATCATGATCCAGGCGAACACCTTAGCTCCTCAGACGGCATATTCGACACCACAGGTCGTCTGGCGGCCGGATGGGTCTGGACTTTGGGTAAATGGAGACGATGGCGTTATTAGAGGTATTGAAGCGAAGACGGGGAAGATCGTGGCGTTGCTGAAGGATGGGCATGAGGTTGGAAGCAAGATTCGGAGTATCTGGGCTGGATGGGTGGATGTCGATGGGAAGGAAGAGAAGGAGGAATGGGTTGTTAGTGGCGGGTTTGACAAGAGGTTAATTGTTTGGAAGGTTTGAAGTATAAAGTCTTGAAGTACAAATGCTCCAGAGCATATGGTTCAGTACTGTGTTGTTGGACATAGATGGTTTCATTTCTTTTTAGGGAAACTGTCATGTAGAAAGTAAACTCGATTCAAGCTCTACGAGGACTAGCTATCTGCCCACCTACGAGGGGCAAAAAAAAAAGAGCAAAACGATGATTGAGTGAAAAGGGATGTAGCCCTCCGTCCATGCACCCTCTCGCCATGGAAAAGCAAGGGAAAAGGGTGTTTGGTAATAGGAGGGCTTGGAATTCTGATCTCGGCACGAAGATAATTATCCTTCAGCTGTCATGCGTGGGAAATCGCACGACGCTGTACACACAAATGCCTACTCGTGATGACTCACGAGTTGATGGAAACGGAAGAGGGGCTGGGACTTTGGGCAGATAGCGTAGTTTGATACCTTGCAAGTTTTCCACGGAGATCCTAGAAAGAAGGAAAACGGAAGCATGGACGGCTGGAATGACGTGGGAGAAAAGAATCCGACTTCGTGAGATGCGAATCTATACCTGACCGTAGAGAAAAAGTGTGAAGTAAGGTAACGCTCCTTTTTAGGCTACCTCTCAAGAATGACGCCGCTGGTATCGAAGAAGACTCGATGGAGCCCTTTTTTGTTATCCATTCGACCCGTAGCGCATAAAGAAAAACATCAGTCAGGCCATGTCCGTCTCAGGAGCGTCCTTTCTCCCTTGCAGCCAGCAGAACTTTGCCCTCTATTTCGACATGACACATCATCGCGCGTTTTTCAAGTTGACCGCCTCCGGTGTTGGCTGTGTTATGTTTATGCGACCTCGCGCTTACCCTCCTTGCGCTCCTTCTATGTGGTTGTTAGTGTGATCCATTCCCAGGGCCGTAGTCGATCCACGCATCCGAGTGGAAGCGGAGGGTTTTTATCTTCCACATACCAGAGCCTTCATGGTGCCGTGCAGAGCATGTCTGTGGTTGCGGCGGAACTTGGGGTCGGTACCCTTCAGGGAGGGGTAACGGAAGGTCTTAGGCTTCTTGATGCTGTATAGTAGATGAAGGATCAGCAATTTGTCGTCTTCTATCTTGATGACCGTCTCATTCGACCGGCGGATCACATCGCAATCGAAACATCGTGTCGATACTGATTCCCATATCCGCTGACAAAAGGTACTGATCTCAAGGGAAGGCAAGCAACATACCCGTTCCTGTGAGCCTTCTTGGACTGGTTGTGCTGAGACGAGTTCTTGGACTCTGTGGGGAGAGTATGCGTTAGTAAAATTCTCGACGCGTCAAATCGCACGATCAGTATATTCTGGTGCCATAGGTGTCACATACTGGCCATCTTGACGGATGTGTCGCAACGAAGAGGGTTGACGTTGAACTGGTGATGTCTGTCGTTGAACTTGGATCAAGCAAAAGCCCAAAGTCTCCCCCAGAGGCCCTCGGCTAGGGCTCGCGATGCGATTTGTGTGGGATCTCGCTTAGTCTAGGGATTAGCGCCGGCTGCGCAACGTCAAAGCGGTCTATCTATCTACCAAACCAAGCAATTCCACGACTGTTCAAGGCCAGCAAGATGCATCTTTGACAGCTGTACGGGATGTGAATTTGTCTATTATATGCTTTTAATATTGCTAATAACATCTAATAACTCAGATCCTGTCGTACTCCTTTCTCTCATCCCGGTGAAGCCAACACGTGCACGCTGTGTCAAGTAGTTCCCTCTTGGAAATGCTCTCCAACGTACGGAATAATATCAATAATAATAGTAATAATTGAAGACGAACATATCCTCCATTTACTGGAATTGCATGATGGCCCGAAAGTGTTCTGGACGACATGCTTCTAGCTGTTAAAATGATGATCAAAAGAGACCATGACTTACCCATTATGATCACGTGACGCAACCCGTCTTCGGAGTCTCGGAAGCAAAGGAAGGAGTAGATTTATCCCCTTTTGCACGACTCGCGCAAGGCCATGCAAAAGTGTCCATTGAATAGCAATTATTTCTCACAAGGGAGTCTCATCATGAGGAAGTTGGTAATATCTCATGGAGTGTGAACACCCCACGCTTCAAGTATGCAATAGAATCATCCGAGTATATCCAGCAAAGGCTCTCACGGATGAGCGGATCCAGGGGATATACCTGAACGTTAAGTGTTCGTCATCGGATGACCCTTGGGGCAGTTGTAGCTTTAAACGAACATATATGTAGACAAGGAAAAACCAAAGAATTATCTTTCAGCAATCACCGCCTTCTTCATAGTTGTAGTAGCATTCTTGCCAGTCTGATATGACTTTTGCGCCTTTTACGGCTAACAGTGAATCACGTGGTGCCAAGCGAAGCCTCCGACCGGCGTGGAAACTGCGGCATCCGACTTCGACCTTTGCAACTCAACCTAGCCTCTGAGGGACATCAATCACCATCTTCCTCTGTCTCCCAATTGCACAATGAGCTCTCTTCGGTTCTCCCGGGCTGCTCTCAGAGCTCGCCCTGCCGCTTTCCGCGTCCCTATCCAGCGCCGTGGTTATGCTGAAGCTGTGAACGACAAGATCAAGCTCTCCCTGGCCCTTCCTCACCAGGTACGGCATTGAAACCCATTGATGTTGATCAGAGCCCGCAAGGATCTTGTGACTAACTCCAATGTCTCCTACAGAGCATCTACAAGTCGGCCGATGTGTACGTTATCGCGTCCAGACCACCCGTTTGACCGCGCCGCAAAACGCCTTGTTTTCAACATACTGACGAGTCTTGGGGTCAACAGTGTTCAGGTTAACATCCCCGCCGCGTCCGGAGAGATGGGTGTTCTCGCCAACCACGTCCCCTCCATCGAGCAGCTGAAGCCTGGCCTCGTTGAGGTCGTTGAGGAGAGCGGCAAGAGCAAGCAGTTCTTCCGTATGTGACCCAGATCGTCGAACAGGAAAAGGCCGCAGGGTGATCCCGGCAGACGTGGCTCCGATTCGACGAAGTTGCATGCTAACTGGAACCTTGGTATATAGTGTCCGGAGGATTCGCTGTCGTTCAGCCCGACTCCGAGCTGAGCATCAACGCTGTTGAGGGTTACCCCCTGGAGGACTTCAGCGCTGACGTGAGTAGAACCAAGTTCAATCCCATAATGGCGCCATACTGACGAGAGATTCTTTCAATACAGGCTGTCAGGGCCCAGATCGCCGAGGCTCAGAAGATTATTGGCGGTGGTGGCAGTGAGCAGGACATTGCCGAGGCTAAGATTGAGCTGGAGGTATGTAAAAAAGTCACACCTGCAATATATATACCTGGTCGAAGTGGAGCTAACCTGTGAATTAGGTCCTCGAGAGCCTGCAGGCCGTCCTGAAATAGATTACCCTGATGTAAATATCCATTCGCGCTGCCAGTTGCAATCTTGAACGTGTAGAACTATCACTATACCTGAAAGATCATCCTCTGCATAACGATAACTTCATTAATATTTCCTCCCACTGAATGATTAGTATCGTCGAGCTCTCATTGATCGCACCTTCCTGCGATCGGGACGCTGTCATTATGCGTGTCCCGCTTAGTCGTCAATATTGCGTCCCACGATTAAATGCTACTTACTTAGTACTCCATATCTGCCCCCTTCTGCCTTGTTTTTTCTATGTTTGTTAACATGAATCGCACCTAACAACCCACTCCTTCCAATATCCTCTGGCAAAGAGGATTCACCTCTAAGTTTACTCATACCTCTTGGAACAGTGCCAAAACCAAGGTGCATATTGCATATATATCCTCACATGTGTCCCGGCGAATCCTAACACAAATACAGCTGACAACAATTGCGCCTGAAAGTTCCACGCAAGCTATACGCATATACGGATTTGGCGTCATCGCCGAGACCACAGCAATCAATGTCCTTCTAGCAGGAGAATCAGGATATGCAATCAACGCAGTCTTTGAGGAATGAGAATCAATGCTTAGAAAGCTACGTGGAAGTTCAGCTTCGGGCCATAGCTCTAGGCAATGATATGTCGTTTCATCAGGAATGTCTCAGTGACTTGGAAGCATATAATACATCCGCTAGAAAAGAAGAAGAAAAGAAAAGAGAAGAAAAAGAGGATTATTTCAGGCTCCTGTTCCCAACGACCAAGGCTGTTAACATCATTTAATTTGACTAAGTGAGACGTCAGGTATCGATTTCCCAACACGGGACCAAGAGATGAGCAAAAGGGCATAAGATTCGTCTGAACAACAAAGGGAAAAGGACATCGCATTTCATAACAAGACGAGGCAGGGCATAAATGGACATATACAACGTCACATGGGAGAAAAATAACAAGTGTAGACGTAACAGACGCGTATCGACATGAAGGGGGGAAGATAAATCTGACAAGGGCCAAGAAAACTACGTGGGAATCAAAGAACGCCAGTTAGAAGGAACGAAGATTATGCATCCTTAACCCTTATTCCGTCCAACCCATCCATTATATCTTTTTAGTGATTTCGCCCGTCGTTAAGAGTGATTGCAGGAGATTATGGGAGAAGGGTAGTGAGAGGCGCAGTGGAGAGTGCGATATAAGCAGGGAGGATGTTTGCAATTAGTCGACGCTCTCTTGAAGAACGGTGGAGAGAGGCCACGGAAGAGAGGAAGGGTCGTACAAGCTGACGAGGACATGGTTTAAACCACGAGACGAGGCGGAGTTTAGGTAAACTCGACGCTATGCTGTCTTGCCTGTCGCGCTTGAGCTCTCTCTGCTCTTCTCCTCCTTCGATTGCTAGCGTAGTCACCGCTCGCTTCAGTACCTGTCCAGGTCCCGGGGGAGGTAATACTCCCAGCACCATAAGGCAAACTGGACGGAGGGATTGGCGGCACTGGGATGTCGCTGGGATGCACGGGCGGGGCGGCAGTTGACGGTGGGATGCTGGCGCTTGGAGCGGGATGGGCAGTGGATGCACCAGCAGCAGCAGAAGCAGCAGTTTCTTGTTCTCTCCGGATATCTTCCGCCTGTTGACGCTCCAGTTCTTCAACTCGACGCCATCGATCAGAGCCACCTTCATTACCGGACAAAGAACTGACACTGCCATGGCGGCGCCGAGAGCCCCTGCGTTCCCGATCTCTGCGCCTTGCTTCGCGACTAGCAGCTGCTTCTTCCTCCGTTAGTCTTCTAAGAGTAACATGTCGTCCATCGTTGTGCATCTTGACTTTGACGGATACCGGTGGCGACGCCACATCTTCACGCCGCCTCCTGCTGCTACTTCGACGACGACGGTGATGGCTGGATGCTAATCCGGATGCTGCACCGGCAAGTTCTGCCTCTGTCTCACTACCAATTGTATGGTCATGATGATCGCCATATGAAACGGGGGTTTCCCCATGTGCGGGTGGCACAGGAGGAATATCGGAGAGCGGTTGATCTACTCCCCCGGAGACGACAGGATCGCCAGACACGGCTGATTCTCCTTGAAGATGACTGTGAGTCGGTCGAGTAATATCAGTGGAAGTGGCTTCTGTAGGAGTATAATAGGAGCTTGCTCTCCTATTCCTCCGTGGGAAGGAACCATCTCCGGTGAACTTCCGTTTACTATTTGCTCGCGCCAATCTTTCCTCCTCAACATCATGGCGACGGATCTCGTCCACTCTTCTCTGCTCTTCTCTTTCCTTTCGGCTCTTGAAGAGGTTTCTGACGCCCGCAAAGATCCCCGCTCCAAGGATGGTATCACGGAGTCCATGGCCACCTCTGTCCCCTCTGTCCTCATAATCCGTATAGTAGTCACTGCTGTAGTCCATGGAACTCTGGCTAGGGGGCCTGCTTGGCGGTCTGTCCCTGAGAGGTCTATGGCTTGGCGGAGGTCTCCCTTCCTCAACGCGACTAAGACTGTCCTCGGTGACATCGGTGACATCGTCACTTCTTCCATGGGCGGGTCGATACCTCCCAGACTCTGAATCGCTTTCCCGGTCTCGTCTCTTGTCGAAGTAGCGTTTGGCGAGACCTACGCCGCCAACTAGCGCACCCAGTTCGAGGAGTCTCTTTCCCCAACCACCCCGACGGGGTTCGTCAGAATATTTCTCGTCAATGTACGACGTTTGGGAATCGTCGTCGACACGACTTCTGCTTCTGCTTCTACTGCGATCGCGGCGACGGAACAGTGCTGCTAGCCCAGCCCCTGCAGCTCCTGCAGCAGCCGCCCGGCCGGGGTGGCTCTGATGTCTGTCTTCGACTACAGATGGGCCCGAGATGTAGCTCCCGCGGCTGTCATAGTCGCTCTCCAAACGGCGTTCTTCCGGGTCGTAAAGATAGGATAGGATGAACCAAATTGCCAGATAAAGGAAACCAGCAATGGCATATAGAATAAACAGCGATTCGGGAGATCCATATAACGTGAGACCAAGCGGTATCTGAACGATGCCCAAGATCGTCAAGGAACGGCCCAGCCATCGGTGTAACTGAAATCCGTTAGCTTGATCCCTATTTAGTAGCTATCAGAATAAAATTGTCTGCCTTACCATGATTTTGAGTGGGACGTGGAATCTCCGTCTTCCCTTCTCCGTTTTATGGATGACCCAGCCCCAGAGGACTTGCGTGATGACCATAACGTAAATAGCCAATCCGATTCCATGATGGGGATTTGTCAAGCTTCGTTGCGGACCGACTGCAAACCATCCCAGCACGAACACCACGGTAGTGAGAAGTAATGTCAATACCTGACACCAGACATGCAACTTAAAGGCCCAGAACGGATTGAATTGTGTGTAATATCGCATAAGGAGGACGGAAATCGGTACCAGCCCTAAAAATACGATGGCCGCTATGACGCCGTGCGCTATGATCATAGGACGGTATCCGGTCATCTCTCTAAAACGATTTCCCATTCCTAAAGTATGTCAGCCCCACATATTGGAACAACATCGTCGCAGCGATTTGTCTCACCGTTATATCTCATCGTATCAAAATTAAGGCCCATCAAGTTCGGCAAAAGAAAGGTGTTGCGCTGCGTATCCCATGTCCCATCCCCGACATACATCGTGTCGGAGGAGTAAGTACTGCTCCCCGGAGGGGTGAGGTCTGGATTTGGCGACATTTTCGTGATCAGCGCCGCTCTATCTCCGAGTATTTCGTCGATACTCCGCTCAATGGATGCTTCCGAGACGTAGGAATGTCGAGGTTAGCGGAGGGAATCTCTGGAGATCCCCCACTCCGTGGAATGCACCATGCGACAGCGAAAGAGGCGACGTTTCTCCGGTAGACCTTGTGAAATATTTGACGCCGGATTGATGGTATCCACGATGATCGTGGAGATGAAGCCTCTCGTAGGGCGATAGCTGTTATCGTCCGCGACGGCGGTGAGATAGGGAAGCGGGGAAGCTGGTCCAAGGAATGTAGATGCGTACGAAGAGCAATGAAGTCCAAGCACGACGTCGCAAAATATATCAAAAGGGTGCCTCTCGAACAGCCCGACAGGAACAAGCAAGGAAGACAAGGATAGCGGTTCTTGTTTTCCGACTGCCCTGGCAGCAGACGGTCGAGCCCAAAGACAGCTGAAGAGGCTGGGAGGTCAACGTTTTGCCGTTTGCGGTTTAGCGCGACAACTCATAACCAGGACAACCGGCCGCTTATGTCATCCACGGTGGTGTTCCTGAGGCCGCAATGGTCCCACCGCCCGTGGCGCCAGGCCTATCAGGATCCACCAATTAAGCAGGCTATCTAATCAATCAATCAATCAATCAGCCCGCGCCATCGGGGCTCACGCGGACACCGCAAGTGTTCGTGCAGCTGGCTTATCTCGACAACCATGTCCGCCCTGAGAACCAACTTCCCCTAGACATGTTCTCATCTTTGGGGCTCTCGCTCACTTGAAACCCTATGTTCTTGATCCTGGCTCCTTCCATATCATCATGTCTCAAACTGAGATCTTCGTCAAGGCCCTCTCGCGGTAGGTTATGCCGACCTCCTTGATTTCGAGATAAGCTATCTAACAGACAACTATTACAGGCTCCTAGGCTGGATATAGTATGAGAAATCAAGCAGTGTCATGTCCCAGAATTCAGTAACTGATCATGTTCTTCAAGTACGATCTGCTGGTCAGCATCATTCTATCCCCAGCCGATTCACAACATACAACGCCGCTCGACCACCGGTCTTTCTATCGACTTTCCCTCCATCAATGTCCTCGGATTTGTGTGTTACATGATTTACACAGCGGCATTCCTTTACTCTCCTGTGATTCGCGACCAGTACGCGGCCCGCAACCCAGTGTCACCGGAACCTACCGTGCGTTTCAACGATTTTGCTTTTGCCCTCCACGCCGTGGCCCTGAGCGCTATATATTACAGCCAATTTTGGCCTTGGATATGGGGATTCAAAGTGTCGCGGTATCAGAGAATTAGCAGGCCCGTCGCTGGTATATTCTGGGGCTCCTTGGTCGCTATCGCGATCGTGGTTGCTATCGTGCGCTCTAAGAGCCCCGATGGCGGCTACGATCCGTCGTCGTGGGCATGGATCGATGTTGTAAGTTGAGGCTGTCCAAGATGATTTTGCAGGTCCAAGGTCATACTGATACGGCCGGACAGATCTACACAATGTCGTATGTGAAGCTCGTCATCACGGTTGTGAAATATATCCCCCAGGCATGGGTCAACTACAAGCGGAAATCCACCGTCGGTTGGAGCATTTCCACTATCTTGTTCGATATAACTGGTGGAGTTCTCTCCCTGCTCCAATTGATCATCGACTCGAGCTTCCAGAACGATTGGAGCGGCATCACGGGCAACCCAGCCAAGTTCTTGCTTGGCAATGTTACGATCTTCTTTGACCTGATCTTCATCGTGCAGCACTATATACTGTACCGAGAGGCCCGTGAGAAGAAAGACGACACTCATGCACCCACACTGCGGACTCCGCTGCTGTCTGCCGCCGGAGAACTGCCAAGGTAGGGGCTTTGGATATTAACCCGATAACTGCATGACTACCACTCCCTGAGCGCTTCGAAAGAAGCAAATAGACAATGGGTAGACGACAACTTTACTCTGTCGTGGAACGGCACGGGTTGGATAAAGCTCCAGGAGAGCAGCGATTAGATTGACATTGACCATTCCTACATACCAGTTTCCATCCGTGCCCCTTTTTTTGGCCTGCACCAATCTCGCGGTGATAGACCTGACGGGGATCTCAGAGACCTGGTCAGAATTCATTTCTTTGAAAGAACTACTAGACTACCTTGGCTATATCCAGAATATATTCTTAACCATTTCTTTATATATAGCATAATCCGAAAAATCCCAATTCAACTCCAATCGACTAATAATAAATGATCCCATCCTCCTCCATCTTCCCATTATCCCGCAACCCCTTCAACGTCTCTTTTACCCTCTCCACCATTGCCTCCCCATACGCTGGCCCCAATGGCGGTGCGGGCTTTGACAAATCCGGCCTTAGCCATGGCAGGGGCTTAATGCCCTGCGCTGCCCCCCGCAAGATCTTGAGATCTTGATCATCATATCCACCGCCCAAGATAATGGCCTTGACTCCACGCGAGTAATCATGAGATCCCAAATCGCTATCCGAAGACACGTTCGTCTCGCCTCTTAGAAGGGCCGGGATCTGTACTGCGCCGGATTCGGGTGTCATGACGAATTGGATTACTAGTTGAGTTTAGTATTCAGTCATTATATAAATTATATGGTAGTAGTAGCGGTGGTGGTGGTAGTGAGGTACGGAGAAGAGATTGGAGGGGGTGGGAGAATTAGAATTAATCACCTTCATATTCGGGCTTTAGACCTTTGACGACCGCGGTACCAATCCGCTCAGTCTTCCCGCAGAGGATAACGGGAATTCGTGCAGCCATGGTGATGGTGATTAGTCAAGCCAACAGGTCCAAAGTGTAAAAATAGTATATCTTTTATTTGATTTAGATCCGTAGTTGAAAAGGATATATATAGGTATAAATACAGCGAATTTTCCGAGGGAAGAGCTTAGCGGGGTAGTTTGTTAGCTTGTCTTTAAGTTTTCTCTATCCTCTCTAAAGGCTCATTCATCAGATAAGCTAATTGGTCAGTGATTATACGTACCAGATGACTCCTTTAAAAATAGTAGTAAGCAGCTAGATTGATATAACCCTCTAGTTGCTAACTGGAATCAAAAGGCCTGCGTGGCAGATAGTGGCTACTTGCTAAAGTAGTAGTACCCTTCACCTAGCGGGGCCCCTTTGCTCTTTGGAATCAATTGTGGCCCACTTATGCGTTCATATAAGGCTCATCCTGGGAAGTCAGTCGGAATTGTTAACCTTGCAGTATGTCTTCTGTATCATGGTCCACCTGATTGCATGTTTTGTGAGAAATGCGGCTGTACTTGCAGTTGGCCCTGTGTGAGGACATCATAGTTTTAGCATAGTAGACAGGTGTTCTGTTCTATTCCAAGTAATGCTGTTCGCAGAGCCTCATAATGTAGGGGCCGGATATACTAATTCTGGCCGGTAATGTGAGATGGAAGGTGCTCCAACAATAGAACATTCTGAAACATCTTGACTGCTGTTGTGCAGAGGCAGTGAGTCTGGAATGCTTGAGACAAGCTCACTAGATCTGGAAAGCATTCAGTATCAGATCTTGTTCGAGACACCGCTATTTCTAACAATCCCTCAGCAGAGCAAAGCCACCACCGACCCGAGGAAGCAACATCGCAGTGTAACTCCCGCCGCGGAAGAAAGTCGGCCCGGGACGCGGATCTTGCGGGGAGTGGGCTATCGCGCCCCGGGCACATGATGATTGGCAACTGTCTTCGCTCCGCCAAACATCACGGGTGACTCTGGGAGGCCTGACAACGTCGCTCGATACGGTGTACAGTCACTTCTGCAGACCGTGATGGATGAGGAATCGTAGTCTTTTCAATTTGATACTCGGCCATTTTTGTACAGACTCAGTCGCTCGTCTCCGTTTCCTGATGACTAGAGCCCCAGCTGGGAGTCACTTCCCAGCCTCAGGACGGCACTAAATGCTTTGAAATCAGATATCCTGCGTACACATGACGCACGCAAGATGTGGCAGTGACCTGTCTTTCTCCCTGCCTGCGGGGAATAATAATGGCATCTCGATCTTGATAACACTACTCGTGGAATGACAGATCAAGGTAACTTAGGCTACCCAGTCAGTTTCGCATCCCTTACTTGATTGAGTTAGTAGCTTATGGTGTTCAAGCTTGTGCCTGCGTTATGCCCTGGATTTCCCGTAGGGCTGAGATTCTAGATGTTCCGATGAGGTGGAGGCACTTGATGCTCTTCCTCGGGTCGTTCGTTGGACTTCAGCTGACATCGATTCGAATCCTTGGGGGTCGTCAGCTCTGGTTTGCCGGTTTCATCACTCTGGAGCCACCAGTCACATAGCTGTCCAGCCAAAGGGAGAGGTTCCGGATATCTCATTCGACGAGATGAAGCTTGTGCGGTAGACGTCTTGTCTCTTTTGCGCCTGGGGATGTTTCAGCTCGGTTGATCCGTTCGAATTGGAGAGCGCCTGGATAGCCAATCGAATGACCATTGACTCACATCGTTACTGCGAAGCCGGCCAGTTCACGAGAATGGTAACGGCTCGAGGACACGCTCTGCGTATGCATACTGACCTATTGGAATCGGAGCCTTAGTTGCAACCTGATTTTGCAAACCCGGTAACAGATCTAGGTCAAGATAAGCTTCATGGCTCTCCAACAGCGTCCCCGAACGGAAGACCTTTTCAGGATACCCGCTATGACTGTCACTTCCATCATTGGGAAGTACGAAGACGGGATGCAGAATGTGGCTTGATGCTTTTCTATTGATACCCAGCTTGCGGCGATCATACCAGCCGTATTCTTCGGCTGTATGTTTGATATGTAGCGAACAAGTTCATCCTCGAAAAGTACAAACCTGCAGTCTTGCCGGAGGGCGTATACCCTAAACCCTAAGTCTATATGGTCAAGACATCACCCATGGTAGGTTCAACCTGATACTCTCTTCTGTTCTAGAGCTTGGAACATATGCTATGAAGTGTGATATGAAGCCTGTTCCATGAAGCAAATGGCGATGTCTTGCAGAAGCAACTGCAGCTAGCAAGGCACCGGTAATGGTGGCTGAAGATCAGTAAACTCTATCTCGGAGCCCCATGAAACGGTCGTAGTAGTTGTCAGCCCAAACTACCAAACACAGCCGCATCTAACAATGGCAACGGGGTCCGACTTCCATTCGGAATTAGAGTGATCCAAATTCGACAACCGTATAAGCCTTACGGGTACCCCTGCACCCGCGCATCCTATCATTTGTTGGGCGCAGCCCCCATGTTCGAGCCGGACTTGGACACAACCATGTCTTGCGAACGTCTCCGACTGTTATATAGCAAGACTCCATGCGCAACTTCCTCCGACAACAGCCCAAGCTTTCTATGGATTTGATGCTGTTGTTCATCATATTTACTTGTACGCAAGTTCCCTACGCAAGCAATACTTAGAAGATCGATCTACCAGACCCGTCTCTCTCTCTGCTGTACCTACCTCAACATCTTGGATTTAGTACCTGCCAATGTCATTGTCATCTTCAGCTGAGACTGCACATTCCGAGATGTCTGCCTTCTGTCCCTACGACTCTGAAATGAGTCTCCCTGTCGCCTACGACGACCCTCAAATATTCTTCTATCCCGAACAACCCTACACATTTGTGACTTCTCCACCTCTCGACCCCTCGATCAGAAATCAATGTCTCCCCGAGAGCAGCAGCAGCTATACATTGGTCCCACCAGAGCTATACACAGATTATCCTTCACCAACATCATTCCAGAGCTGTTCCATGGACATAGCTCACAGGAGCTCGCACCCTTCTTCATCTCTGAGCGCCGGGTCTCCCTTTGACGCAGAAAGCTCCCAATACACATCCGGCTCATCGACCACCGGATCTCCAACACCCGGTAACCATAACCATACCAATAATAACCACAATCCAAACCTAACAAAATACGGCATCCAAAACCCCGACGGAACCTGGCGCTGCGCATATCCAGGCTGCACATCGCGCGCCGTCTTTACGCGAGGCTGTGATCTCCGGAAACATTATAATCGGCACAGCAAGCATCTTTTCTGTCGCTATGAGGGATGTCCCCAAGCTACCGAGGGTGGTTTCTCGAGTAATAAAGACAGGACGAGGCATGAAGCAAAACATAATCCGGGGATATTGTGTGAGTGGGAAGGGTGCAGTCGGGTGTTTAGTCGGGTCGACAATATGAAGGATCATGTTAGACGGATTCATAAGAGGCACCGGACCTGATCCTGAGAGGGGGTGTTGGGGCTCTTTTTCATATTTATGATTATAGGATGATTTGCGAGACGAATCTCCATCGGATGATCTGTTATTGGCGTTTTTTGGGGGGGGATAAAGCTTTTTTTTCTAGGGTTACTACTTGATGATGATGATACCAGCATAGCGTATGCGAGAGATGGATGATGAATGATCTGATCTAAATGCATAATTCCAGGACATTTTTTTTTTTCTTCTTTTTCTTCTTACTTCATTTTTCAAAAAAAATCTCCAGACCTATTTTCCACAAAACCGTTCCGAAGCTCGATCATTCATTCCCCCTCCCCTAGAGCCCAAGAGCTGAACATTCGTTCCTAGGGTTCTACCATAGCGCACAACAACCCTGTAACTAACTAATAACCCTCTCTCTCTCATCGTGCTCGTACCACGCCAGCGGTATCTATTGACAGAGGTGCAGTGCATTAGCCCTGTTGATCGCCATTGTCATTCCACACGTGAATGAGGATTCGAAACCCTGCAATCCACACCGCGGGGTCCGGAGCTGTCAAGGGAAAATGTAAAGTAAAGTAAAGTAAAGTAAAGTAGTGAGCCTCGGGGGGGCCCCTGGCCATATCTTGTCCCCATAGTATGGATAACTGATCGCTAGGGTGAAAGAGTAGTTAGACATCCTTCCTCGCATGGCTTACCTGTTGGGGAATCGGGGAAACGTCCTTTTTGTCCCTAGAACCCCACTCAGCAAAAGCGCTGAGTGGGAAACGAAAATATGTAATAATACCTGGCGAAGCAGCAGAGGCACTGGTCTGGGCCAATCTGTGCTAAATTCGATCGCAAGCAAATCGGAACTGGAATCAAAATCGCTAGGGAGGGGGGTGAACACAGCCCGGGTACTGCCAATCGTATTTTGCCGCTGGTGGTCGTCTTGCGGAGAAAAAAACAAAAACTATTATGTATTATTAGCGTGGACAGTATGGTATACTTAGACTTGCGGCTGGAAAAATTACGTCTCCCCGGTCCCAAGATATGTCATTCTCTTGCCTCAAAGGTGCATGAAGAACTTGCTTGATAGTGTGTACTGAACTAGACCAATGATATTAAACGGCCCCCAAACTTGGTCGAAGCGCGACGACGCGGCATGTTTATCCAGAAGCGGACTCTCGCGGAATAGCGGCCAGTAAGTAGTGCTCGGTAGTGGTGTTAACTGGTTGGTGCATTTATTTTTATTATTGATATTAGGCTCTAGCTAGAGCCTATGAATGAATGCTTGACGGTTTGTTAGTCATTATTTAGTTATGTCTTTGACCATTTACCATCGGCCACGCTGAAGGGGTGTTAAAAAGAAAGGAGTCCTGAGCCCTTCCTTTCTCCAGTGGTTTTACGATAATTGTTTTATTTTCGTATGCATTGCTTTATGTGTAACCACGAGAAAACCTACTCAGCCCGGACTGGTGGGTACTGGTATGTCCGAACCTTTTTAATCGGAACCATTTCCGCATGTAAACACTCTCTTATGGAGCGGCCAGTAATCCTTGATTTCATACAGAGACCACTGTCCAATGTTGAACAGTATCGATCAGAATAGAATAATATTGGGACCCCTATACACTGAAAATATCAACTATCGCCTGGTCCAGGATAGGAATGGACTGTGAGACGGAAAGAAAGCAGAAACTTCGCATTGGTTAACTACCTAGTTATTATTCCCGCAACGCTCTGTTCTGTCAGCACCTTGTCCGGAATCATGTTGTTGGGGCCGCTAAAAGGCTTAAGAGACCCGACTTATCTACTTACTTCGGACGATGCCTCAAGACCCCTGAGCGGGAGAAGGAAGTTGAACTATCGTCGTCTGTAAAGCACAGATCCGCTATATTGGAGCAGCAATGAATTGAGGCTGAAAACTGGCAGATCGTCCCGGGATACCCCAAATCAAGCAGTGAAGTGACTGTTTCGGGTCGGACCACGTCGCTTCACAATACTTAGAGTACTTACCTACTCAGTTAGCACATATCTAAACGCGGTCAAGGTAAGTTAAGTCTAACCGCTGTTCGTGTCAAATAATGACCTATCTATGGCGGATGGGAAGCGATCCGCCGCGAAGCTCGTCAGCACCTAACTTGACCATCTATAGCTAGCAATGTACTGTACGTACGCCAAATAGACGACTCGTGGAAGCTAATTAATAAATCGAGATCACTGCGAAATATTGATCAAATCCATTGGAAGCCATGATCGCTAACTATGCGCCAACGACAGTCCGTAGCCCACATTGCGCTGTTCAGCGGGAAAGATATAGCGCCAGGCTATCGCGTCAGAAGGGTAATTAATTACTGGTTGCATCCTGAGCAAAAAAACCCACCATCTCGGTGAACACTGGACAGCCCACATCTCGATTGCAGCCTAAGGTGCCAGCATCAGATGGTGGAAATATCCCGAGACGGTATGCATGGCCCGATAACTCGCTTACCGTTGACATGGGGATTTGTCTGGAACATCTCGGACGCACGATGAGCAAGAAAGAGTCATGGTATGTAATAATATGCAGGCAGGGATGCTGTCTGGTTCAGCTATGCGTAGGGCTGAACTGTGCCAAGGGGGAAGGGGGATACGTATCAGTCATCACAGTTCGCAAGCGAAACGAGGTGTGCTCCTCAAGAAGGATCAACGGCGAGTCCAGACGAAGGGTTGTATTTTATCTTTGTTATTATTGTTTGCGCACTCGGTGGCTTAAACCAAGCTTTGAACGGTTCCCGGGGAACAGTCTGTCGTCGTTGATCGATCCCTGGTCTAGATACTTAGCAGAAGCACTGACCTCGACCTCGATTCAATTCGAGCCATGTTCGAGGGGGTGCTGGGTCCTGTTCACAGCACGGCTTCAAAAATGCTAGTACCGCGGTTGCAGGACTTCTTACCCTGTAGCGTTCTTCAATCTCCTCTTAAGCTTTTGCAGGTTCATATCTGCTGGCGATCTCTCATTGGAAGGCAGCAATAGACAGAAAGAGTATCGTGGCCGCACAAAGGCGTGACAGGGCCATACCAAGATCGCAGACAGAACCAGCTTTAACTAACCAGCGGTCAGATTTAAACTTCCCCTTCTGCAGAGCTGAACTCCAGACTTCGTACGTGTATACGAAATCCCCAATGGGGATTGAATGATAATTAGAGACCCCCCATCCCCTGTTCTACAGGGCTGAACTCCCAGGCTTATATGTTAATACGAACTCCCCCAATAGGACTGAATGATAACTAGAGCTCCCCTCCACGTCAGTGAGCTATGTATTTACATTGGATGATCATTTCCATACAGGGAGAGTTTGTCACTGCCTAATATCTCGAAAGACTATTTGACTTCACCCACGTCTGGGAACTTGTATGCGTCATCCCATGTCATGAGGCTTCATGTACGTTGCATCGATGGTGTAGTCTACTCGTCTACTCTACCAGCTGAGGACCCTTGGGGGGAATAATGCGAAGAGTTCGGGACAGTGGTGATGTTCTTTCTAGAAGCTAGATCGTTGCCGTCATGCTATGTACAGTACATACATTGCAACATGGAAACTATATGCTGTACAGAATAATATCCGTTTGTCCAAGGATCAATTTCAGGAAAGCGCAGGATGTCCTCAGCATACTTAATAATGCTTTGGGCTCCACTGAGCTCACGTCTATTTTTGATAGCGACAATTCTACAGCAAATCCTACCTTGGACCCCTGTGGCAACCGCGATGATAAATCCGTATTGAATTCCGCGACGTAGATTAATAATATGAAAATAAAAGCGATAGTTAAATAATCGATCTATCGGGGGAAATACGACATAATCAACTATCAAGCAAGTGGACCTTGGCTTATTCTGACAAATTCAGCCTGCATAATCAACTGCCCACTTCGCTGGGCGCTGACATTTCCGCTACTACCCATATGTTAACTAGACAATCACAACAGTCTACTGAGATGTCTAACAGTTCGTGCCTTTTATCGGTATGTACTACATACAGATTTCAGCTTCTTTTTACTTGCTTTTTCTGATGCTGGTAAGTCCGAAACTCGATTATATTGACGTTTCTACCTAGAGCTCTCCATGACGTAGCAATCTTGAATCCTCAGCATCGCCAGTGACAACATGCACCCTCCTGCTCAACGGCTATTTGGTAAGAAATGAAACACCCTTCCATCCCAATTCCTTGAGCCTGTCTTCGACATATCTGGCTACATTGCGAAAGGTGGATTTCCCGCCTTTGCAAGCCCCGCTCTCAAGATGTTGAGCGAGTCCACTGAGCGTTGAAAAGGATCTCTGGACTGCTACTCCCTTGTGATTCACCGGGGCAAGCAATACGGGGCAGTGGAATATACGAGGCGCGTGTGCGGGTGATTCCATGTGCTGTTGAAGCGCTCTATGGGTTTTGAACGGAGCACTTCCTAAAGGACACATTGGACAGCATGTGCTAGACTGTAAGGAATGGCCGTCTTCTGATATGCGTAATTGCAGCGAAGATTGACTCATCGAGTCACTATCAGGTGTATGAATCGTATTCCAACCAGGCTCAGAGATAGCAGGCGTCGAAACCCCGGAGTCGCTAGGAGTATAAATAACGTCCCAGTCGGAGTCGCTGGTTGTAGAGCTCGCGGATCCTCCAGCACCTTGCAGTTTCTCTCCAGCTCCTACAATAGAAGCGAAAACACTATCAGTGTTGCTGATAAGCCGGTCCTGATCATGCTTCTGGATCAATGCATTGAGGGTATGTCGATTGGTTCCAGAAACACACAATCCACTTTCGAGATGGTGTAGCAGTGCTGACGGGCTCGGGAACCGTTTTCTGCAGTCTTTGGACAGACATTCGAGATTGCTGATGGGTTGATGGATCAAGGACGTTTTATGCTGCTTTAATGCGTGTTTGTTTTTGAACTTGCGACCACACTCCTCGCAAATAAGGCCTTGTGTCTCGGATCGCACAATCGTATGGACTTTATCTGTGAGGTGCTGCTCCAAGGCGCGCTCGCTGCTGAAGTCTCGATCACAGTCACAACAATGAAACTGATTAGCCTCGTTGATGTGTGAGCGAAGATGTTGATCAAGAGCTTTCGTCGTGTCAAAATACTTGTCGCAGTCCCCACAATAGCAATGGCCAGTTGATCTCTGGTGTTGAGAAAGATGTGCGTCGGCGCGAAAGATCCTATTGCAATGCGCGCATTTGAAGGTATGTTTATCTCGTTTATGCTGTTTGACTGCTGACAGGGTTCTGAAACTGCGGTCACAGAAGGAACAGGGAAATTCGTGTTTATGGAGCTTGTGTTGCTCTAAAGCAGTCGCCGATTGGAGACCGCGATCACAGAGATCACAGTAGAAATGGAAATGAACTTTGTCCCGCCGGTGTTGGATCAACGCTGACTCGTTCACGAACCGGGAGCCGCAGTCGCAAACTGCCATGATGATACGTTCTTGGTGAGATTCTTTTTGGGCGTCGTCCTTGACCTTGTTAGGGAAATACGTTGGCAGGCTGAAGCAGTCTGATGCTTGAGTTCTTTAGCAAGTTCAGGCCCACGTGTGGAGCACGCTGAGACAAAGGCGTAGGAGAATCCCGTCAGGAACTCCCTAGCTAGAAGGGAGTCTCCGAGAAAATATAGGAGGTAGTATGATAGGTAGATTCAGTCGCCATTAAAAAAAGAGGGGAAACACTGTCGGAGGTTCAGAGTAGTCAATGCTAATCTGTACGTCACCTGGCCTGGTGCATTCACGTCCCACGGGAGAGTTCCATCTCAGTACGCAGGCAGGGATATTCGACAGCTCTGCTGCTAAGTTACCATTCACCCCCACTCAATGTCGGCCACGACACTGAGAAGGCTCTCAACCCCAGTATGCTGATCCATATCAGATGCAATTCCATGCATGTCACTTGCAGGTTACAGCCCGCGCCGCCTAAGTATCACTGGCCATATGCTGTAGATGAGATAATTCCACGACGACACATGGATTCTGTTGACTGGTCGGCGTACAAAATTTAGTCACATATCATCTATACGTCGACATCTTTGCATGTTATAGACAACGGATGCAGTGTTCCTTGCGGCTATACCGTCGTCCGCTCCGGATAGCTCTTCTCATATAATAGTTTCTAAACTCGTGCTCATCCGCTGCTACTAGGAACTCCATAGTATTCGTGAAGACAGGTCCAGTCATGACGGGGGCCTGGTTACTGCCTTGATGGATATCAACTGGGGCATTCGATATCCTTCTTGGAGTCTTTCCAGAGACCAACTGATTCTCGAAGCATCGAAGATATGAAGACACTGAGATAAGCGCTTGAGGCCATAATAAAGAGATATACCAGGCATGCATCTCTCTGGATATCTTCATTCATGGCTTCTATATGACCCCTTAAATTCATGTTGATATTGGCCAAGTCTAAGAACGGCTAGATGCGCGGATTTCAACGTGTATACATTTATCTGGGAATGTCAAGTGTATCCAGCAGGTGAAGGTGCTCTATATCCTCCTCTATAATACGCAATAGAAAGAAGCTAAGCTATAATCCAGAGTTTGATATCGTGGTCTCATTAAATTCGTCATAAGGAACTAGAATAAAAACACACAAGGCCGTTCTGGAATCCGGCAACGTTACCAAATGGAAGATGAACGCGCGGGGTAGACACAGCTGTTCTGAACGTGGTAGTTGAAAACATGCGGGAAGATAGTCGTCCTTACTCCTCGATCTATCGCATTTACCGGATCAATATATAATCTCGAAAAAGAACTTTGTCCAAGAAAGATATACCCGGGAGGATCTGCCAAGTCAAGAGCGACCAAGATACAACCCGGTGAGACAGAAGAGAGCAACTCGAAACGCACGCTCGCTCTCTATAAGCAGGGTATGCTTTCTTTCTGAGTCGTGTATTGTCCCAAAGGTAATTGGATAGAGCAAGGGTCAAAGAATCACCCTGTTTCTGAACCAATTGAGGAGTCCAGCACTTAAAAACCGAGAACAGAATCAGATCCTCCTGGATCCCACACTAAGCGAGAGAAAAGTTTTGCCACGCCCTAGTAACCATATTTCCCGAATAGACGCCCTGCTACCTGTATGTATATGTCGCTCAAAAATATGGAACATGAAGTGAACAAGGCTGTTTCTCAATCCAAAAAAAGACACCCAAACGCCAATCAAGTAAGAAAGGGCGGGAATTTGAACGTGAATCGAAGAGGAATAGACATGCCATCGTCAGAAAAGGATGATCGCTGCAAACAGTGACCTCTAAACACCTGGTATCGCTCAAAATAAATCGACATCAAATCCCGCTTCACTGCGGAAAATCAATCATTTCCCTCAGAAAATGACGGCTAATCATCAGGGAGGAGGAAATTAGAAACATCAGCTTGCGAAACCGTCTACGGATAACGCAATACCGAAGGAGACAATCCTTGACGATAGGCGTGAGATTGATAGTGCGATGCGGATCTGCATTTGCGCTAAGAATGCGCCCGTCGCCGCCTTCCACGTGGGCCTCCCTCAGGTCGCTGAGCAAGGACTCTCCGCAGCTCCGGATCGTCTTTGCTTTTGTCTTTATGGTGCACCTTGACATGTCTGATGATGGTTAAGTATGCGTCAGTCAAGGAAAGTTGGAAGGGTGCAATTAATATTGGATTACCTTTGAAGGTTGTCTGGTCGCGGATATAGATGCTGTTGCTCCTTGCAGAAAGGACATTCATAGCCAGGAGAATTGTGCACTAGACCGTGCCGAATCATTTCATTTTTTCGCTTGAACCCCTTTCCACCAACTCCTCTTGGGCACCCGGGGAGAGGACAATAATGGGGCCGCTCCTGAGAGTGTACGTTGGCATGAGAGCTGGATACATAGTTAGTGACGTGAGAAACAACACCGTGCGGACGTAACCCACTTCAGCAGATATTGAGTCTGAAAAGGCGGAGCTGTACAACCGGGGTAAGAACATTTGAATGACCCCGCTGGGGCAGGCCCGTTGGATTGGGATGGTGCGGAGGGGTATATTGAACGTTCGGGTTCGTTCACGGTCTTGGGCTCTGTGGGCGTTGGATACGATGTAGCTGGACTATTGACTGCCTGTGGTATATGCGGGGAGGGTTCATACGGGGACGTCATGTAAGGAAGTTCCGGTTTAACAGTGGATGTCGTTCGCCAGTAAGGTGGCTGAGACGACGGCGGCGACATGGCGGATATCTCTTTTGTGCTCCCGGGGGAAACGTGAGAGTAGGGACTGGGCATCTGAGGTGGCGGTAATGGTCCAGATAGGGTGCGTTCGTGGCCCATTGCACTCCGATTTAGTGTGGGCGAAGAGGCGGGGATTGGCGGCAAATGATGGGGTAGACCATTGTTGATTCTGCTGGAATGATCCTTTGGGGTGGCTTCCAACAATTGCTCACCCAGGGCCGATTGTAGTGACGGGAGACTTTGAGGATTCTCTGGTGAGTTCGCAAAGATCGACTGAGGAGGCGACTGCAGTGCTGGGAGTAGTTCCTGAGCTGAACGCGAAGAGGCAGGTATTGCATATTTCCCAAGAGGAGTCGTTTTGAGCGTATCATTGGTGGGATTATGCTCGGAAGTGATACTGGGACGGTGCTTCGACTCAAAGGGTCGAGGTGATAGAGGCTCCGTTTTGATATGAAAATCAACGCGCTCGGGAACTCGATGAGTCTTCTTTTTGTCACTAGGAATTAACGTTGGAGGGCTGCCATCAGTCTTCATGGGCGAATTATCGTCATATGTCTTCTGTAACTCGGGGAGTAGAGACAAGGCCTCCGCAGCGAGAGTTGCTGGTTGTGGATTTGCCGTGGGTTCGGTCCTGGTTTCTTTGGCAGTTTTGCTTTGCATGTCTTCATCATCGGGCCATTCTGCTTCTAGCGGCTGCTCTCTGAGAGCATTGACAATATCCGGTCGGTTTGGGGCTAGATGGCTGATCAGCACCGCGTCAGCCAGGGAGGACTGGGGCGGGGGTTTGCGCTCGTTCTTACGGGAAGGTCCAGATGGACTTCCCCGGTCCGGTTCGTTCTGGCCTCCCCCCTTGGGGGAGGGAGAGCGCTTGCGTACAAATGGAGGAAGCGACTCGTCCAGGGCGTAGTTTATTTTCTGAGGCTCCAAGGGAGGTGAACGATTGCACGCGTCATCCGAGTCGTACGTATCGGCCTGCATGTAGGCGGACGTTGATCACGCATCAGGCACAGTTGCTGATAAGTCCCTGACGGAATCTGCTTCCCTGCTTCTACTCCAGAGGCTTTGACCTCGGTTCAAAGTCCGACCCCAGTAAGCGGATGCGATGTCCAGTGGTAGTACTATCTTTGGTTTGACAGCACGCACGTCAAAGTTCAGCTGCGAATGATCAGTCCGTGTGCTGCGCAAGGAAACGAGTGAAGGAGAGAAAGGTGATAACGACTACAGTGACCATGATCAAAGTGAAATGCCATTGAAGAATGATGAAGACAAGAGACAGTGATACGAGAAGTCACCTTGCGGGGGACAACATGTCGGAAGGCTAGATAGCGAATTGCGGGGAGAGCAGTGGCCATGCAAAAACTATTCAAGGACAGGCAACGGATAAACCAAGCCAGATAAAAGCAGCTAGCAGGGGCATTAAACAGACAAAGAAGAACGACAGCCAGATGATAATAATAGATGAGGCTACTCCATAACGCAGGGGGGATTTGGAAGCCGAGAATGATGCGGAAGATAAGAATGGCAAGTCATTGGCTCTTTTGAGACGATCAACGAGCAACAGGCATCACATCAACATTGCAGAAGCGCAGCTAAGCAGCGGAAATAGAATCACCACGAGATAAACAGAGCACCGGAGACGGGACCAGCGGCGGAAGAAAGACATATACATACCGTGTCGACGTTGGCTGAAGTTCCCAGTGTGGCGGAGATGCTTCCGTGACGCTTTGCTCTCCCGCTTAGTGGAATTGCGGCCCGGACAGTCGAAGCAGCATGAAACTCCCCACGAGCCAGGCAGAAGGCCGGATGCCCTCTTTCCACAGTCGCTGTCGAGATTATTATTGATGGGCCAGGTTTCGAGATATCCCACGTCGTCGACACCGCAAACTTGGAGCAATAATTAGTGGAGGCCGGCGCAAAGACGGCTACACACGCACGGGCTGAGGCGAAACAACTGCGAGGCTAGAAAAAAGGGAGGGATCCTCGTTCGGGCTTTAGTTTGGCAACGTCGAGCGGTCAGCGATGCTCTCTGCGCAGCCTTCTCATGAGCCGCCATGCAGACAAAGTCGATAAGAAGGAGAGATGGAGACAGGAAAGAAACAGCTCGTCAAGACGACCCCACGTCCGCGATCTGGTCCGGTCTGAAGAGGCTGGCGATGGCTTCGATGCGCCACACAGGGGGCGACGCGGGAGAATCCCGTTCCTTTCCTCTGTACCGGGTCCAGAGATTCTAATTCAACGGACAGGCGAAGAAGACGAGGTGCCACGTCCTCCACGAGCCCCGAAACGAACCAGGGCGTCCACGCGGCGAGTGAGGCTCTGCTGGACTGTCTCAACGCATCGACCAAAGCTTGGAGCTCGGTGGGACAACGACCGCCGGGACGATTGGCTCGTCTGCTGAATCGCTTGTCTGGTCGGCCCGCGAGTGATGCTTTTAGGTTCGATCAGTGCTTCTCTTAATTCTTCCCTCCCGTACGAGATGGAAGATCCACCGCCAGAGAAGGTGTCCGGTTGCGTCGTCCGATGCTATACTCGGCTCAAGGCGGCTCCCATGTTCGATGTTTCAAACATCACCGGGGACACGGCGGGAAGACAAGAAGAGAGGCTGATGTTTCTCGGCTGCTGTGGACTCCGTCTGCTTATTTTAGTGTCGCACGCCAACGCAGAGACTGCTCTGGAAGCGTGCAGACCAGCGGGTTACGGGGAAGTTCTGGACAACAACGATCCCTCCATCACGATAGCAAACCCTGTTCAAAATACACTGGGTGCCATGGTCGGCAAGACTGCTGTGTCTCCCGCTTGCTCAGTTGATATGGCTTCTCGCTGCGAAGTTCAACGTCCTAGTTACTCTATACTGAACATGCCGGAGCCGCGATGAGACAAAACCCGGCCTAGACTAGTTGGAACCGCAAGGATATCATGCTCAACGGCGATGCAGTTCACCCAAGAACCCTGCTCTTTTCCTGCCACCTAAACCCCCACATGACCCCTCAGGACATCACAACCTTGGGAGATCCCTTTCTGCACCTGGAAAATCTCAAAAGAAGCTCGTCTCTTGGGATGAAAAATCATGTCGAGCCAAATGCAGGAAACCGTCTGTAAATTTCCGTAGCTAACTATCAGTTACAGTATGATTATCTTGACAAAGGCCGAGGACTTTCGTCCCGGACCTGCATTTAAGAAACCACCTTCTGCCGTTTTTATCCAGAGCCGCTACCACTATCTTTGCGGTTACTACAGAGAAGAATCCGGACCAATGCCATCGTATCCAGTGGTATGATTGATCACACCTAACGCGGGCATATGACTCGAGAGTTATTACCCTCTCAGTTGACACGCAGCGTTCACCATCACATAGGTAGGCGGTTGCAGCGCCCGTTTCATTGGTCGCAAGTTACTCCATGGGAAATCTGCTTCTCTTATTCGTCCCTTGGCTGTACAGAGAGCTTTGTCCCCTGGTGAACTTCCGATGTAGCAGTCAGCAGGGGCAGTCTGCATCACAGATCAAGAGAAATTCTTAAACCTAAGGTCAGTTTTCTTTATTTGCTTCTTGAGTTTACGAGTCGTGTTGTCAAGGCAATTGGTCGGTGAATTGACCGATTTGTCCATAGTCACTGTTCGGGGGATATGCTCACGTCAGACGGCCGGATGCAGTTCGTAGGGCTTCGATAAACGTTGCGCCCAATCTGGGGTTTCATTTCTAGAGGCCCCAGCAGAAGTGCATGTTTGAAGAATAATAAGGAAAAGACCATCTCCACCACGAAACTTAGGTCTGTAGTGTATTGGGGAAGACTACTAGTGTGCATCTATAGGGGTCTCTATTGGGGATGAACGCTGACAGTGATTCATGTGAGATGGCTTTGCATATACAGACATTGAACAACGCTGGTAAGGTACGGTATTTCCAGAACATTTGATTTTGACTGTCTACGGGACCGTCATATGTGCAAAGATCGGGAAGCGAGCTGGCTTATCTATACAAATCTACAGCTTCGCCGACTTGCGACCCTCTTCTTGTACCCTCTTCACTCGTTCCCACGCCTGAAGAGCAAAGGGTTTTGTCTGCAAGGCATATTCGTGGGCTCTGGCGCTGCTGGCCTGCCGTAATGCATGCCTGGCCGCGATACCTTGCATGATGACCGAACTCCTAAATGCAAAGAAGGCATCACCCCATAGTGTGTCCGGGGCAGGGTCCCATCCGGCCACAGCGCTGTACCACCGAATACACTCTTCTCGAGTTGGCAAACCCGGAACAGCCCCGGGCTTGAATTTGTCCACTGAGTGTTCAGCACCGCCGAGGAAGTAGGGACTTGTCAAGTTACAAAAATCCGACAATGGGTGGCCTATCGTTGCCATCTCCCAGTCTAGAATTCCAATGACCCTGGGCTCCGTCTTGTGGAAAACTAAGTTGTCGATCTTGTAGTCTCCGTGGACAAAGGTGCCACGATCCCGTGGCTGGGTTGCCTTGTTGGAGAAGCAGCGCACCATGTCATCGAAGTGTGGTAACTCTCCCACGGGCTCATTCGTCTCGATATCTACCGCCTGGGCCTGTGCTCTAGAAACCGCCGTAAACGTGGAGATCTGTCTATTATAGAAGCCCGATGGCTTCCCGAATCCTTCCATTCCAACTGCCTTAGGATCGACCCGGTGGAACTTGGCCAATGTCCGGATTGCATCGTGCCATCTATACGATCGCGTGAGCTAGTTGATCCACGCATAGATCACGGGAAAAAGGTGTATGCGGCGTACAGCTCATTGCGCTCCTCTGCGCTTACTTCAGGAATTGATGGATCCGTAAATATTCTACCATCCAGGAACTCCATTATATAGAAGGGTGTGCCGATCACCTCGTTATCCTCGCAGAGGCAGTAGGTCCTGGGCACGGGAACATCGGTATGTTCCAGAGCGTGGATAATCCTGTATTCACGCTCAACCCTGTGCGCAGTCTTGGACAAGAGCTTGCCCGGAGGCTTCTTCCGTAGGACGAAGATCTGGCCATCTGCTGCTCGGAGCTGGTACGTAGGGTTCGACTGCCCGAAACCAAACTTGATGACGAGACAAGAGTTAGTTAGTAGCGGTCTAGGAAAAGTCGCATTGGGTCTGAACAGAAGTTACCTGCTTCACGTCTAGTGGCGTCTTTATTACAGATACATTCTTATCAATGTACCGTTCCAACGACGGTATATCGATAGGTTGACGAATAGCTCCTGCCATTGCGTCGGAGGGTGGAAGGAGTGGAGATGATCACGACGCAATAAGTTCCTCAAGAGACCAGCTTCTCCATCCGAATACTTAATGGACGTTATGCTCATGCCACGAACGAGTGGTCGAGCTTCAAATGAAGAACCTGGAGAAGGAGGAGGAACATGTCCTGGATGTTCACGGTCTTATCGGGCCTGCGTTCGCATTGCGGCTGCAACAGCCGGGGCCGAACCGAGGTTTACAGCAACGAGACTTGAGCCTGCGGGGGACGATCGATCCACCGCCAAAGTTGGAGAAGCAGTATACGCCCAAAAGGGAAAATTAGGGCTAACCCCGTGCTGTCCCAAAAGGGCAAACAGGGTACGCGGTGCGCGTCTCTCGAAGTTGACGCGCCTCGCCTGGACAGAGAGTCTCAGCTGCGAAGGGATGAACTGCAGCACATCATTCCAAGCCATTATTTAAAAAGAACACCGCTCTCCACGCGTCAATTATCGTTTCTTTATAGCTAGCAATATCCATCCAGAAACACAATAACCTTCATATCATGACCAGAGAGACAACCCCACCTCCAGCAGAAGCAGCTACTACTACTAGCACCATCAACGGCGCCCGCGAACCACCATCTCTCCCCGCCTCTCCTCTTGCCAAACGCCCCAAGACCGACAGCGCCAACGAAGCCCAAAATACCTCTATCGCCTCCGTCATGGCTACTCAGAGCTCGAACGGCACTGCCGTCACCACCCTCTCTCAACCTGCTCCTCCCCTCCTCGTCAAGAAGCTCAGTGAGGCCGGCCGTGCCCCGACGCGGGGTTCTGCCTTCGCGGCCGGCTACGATCTCTATGCCGCGAAGGAGACCGTGATCCCTTCCAAGGGCAAGGCCCTAGTCAGCACAGACATTGCAATTGCTGTGCCGGAGGGAACTTGTATGTGAATCCCGGACGGAGGTTATATATATACATATAGTGTCCAGTGTGCAGTTATACTGATCAGAATGGAAATAAAATAGACGGCCGCATTGCTCCCCGCAGCGGTCTAGCAGCCAAGAACTTCATCGACACTGGTGCTGGTGTTATTGACGCCGACTACCGTGGTGAGGTGAAGGTTCTGCTTTTTAACTTCTCTGACGTCGATTTCACCGGTATGTCCCTCGAACTGCATGGTCCTTTCTCTGCTCTGAGAGGATCTGTGGATCGGCTAACTCGATTTGATAAATAGTTAAGGAAGGAGACCGCATCGCACAGCTTATTATCGAGAGGGTAAGTCCAGAGCCATCGGACTTCATCGAATGCATATTCGTTTCCATAGCACGCCTAGGACAGTAGCTAATGTGGCATCTTACAGATTTACACCCCTGAAGTCGCGGTCGTCGAGCAGCTCGAGGAGAGTGTCCGTGGTGCTGGCGGATTCGGCAGCACTGGAGTCAGCACTTCCAACTAAATGGCTCGTCCCTAGCTACACAGAGCGCAAAACAGCAGACGAGTTATCAAGGGAAGATCACAGCCTGGAATATAGAGCACATATAACGAATGCCTAGAAGGGTAGCCTAGGGTGAATTTATGAAAAAAAAAAAGGAAAAGAAGGAGCTGCAGAATAGATCGTTATGTTTTCGGTTCCCATTGGCGTTTTCATGTCTTGCGGAATAGATATCAATCGGAGAGATGAATTTATGGATGGATGACTTGGCCCCCAAAAGATAATGTCTACTGATGAGGGGGAGATAAAAAATGAAATAAAAATAAGAAACGATGCACGAATACATCAGCCTCATCTACTTATCCAGAGGAAAAATCTAAACGTGTAAACCCCCTTCCTTCACCCTTCGCATATGTACAAATGACCCTAATCATTCCTTTCCCTCCTCCCCTACAGTCTTCCTGATAGCCAAGAAAAGGGACTTACTCTGACCACGCCTGCACTTCAAACCTAACAACCGGATCACGAAGGAACTTGACGTTCCTAACGAGCCGTACCTCCGCGGCTTTCGTCCTTCTCAGATGCTCACGCTTCTGTCTGGCTTCGTCGGTATCTTCGACAGGCTCTTCATCGGCATCAGCGGAACTAGCACGCAACTCTTCATCGCGCGCCCTTATCGTGTTCTCCAGTACACTGTGCATGCTTGCGAGGACCTTGACCGTGGCTTTCGCGAGCGGCAGTTCCGTCGCAGGTACTGAGTCAGGCGATACCCAGGACTTGGTATGGCGCAGGGCCGGGTCAGCGGAGAAGACAGCCTCGCGGAGTCGTGCGACGGTCAGAGCGGCGAACATGTCGCCTGTCCCGCTAAAGAAGCAATCAAGGGCTGGGACGTCGACGCGGAAGAGGCGCGGAGAGCCGTCGGAGCGCGTCGTGGAGCCGATGACGGTCAGCGTAGAGGGGGGAGCGGTAGTCGAGGCGGAGTGGGAGAGGGTGGTGAGCTGGACGGAGGTGACGATGATGTGGGGGACTGAGTAGGTTTTGTGGATGGCGGTGATGGCTTCGGCAAGGGTGTGGAGAGAAGTGATTTTGATGCCGGATAGGAGTCTATAGGGAGGTTTTGCTGTGTTATTAAAGAGTGGTATTGCCGGGAGTGAGAAGTCGTCCTCAATGGATTCCGTCCAGCGTTTTGCTAAAAAGGAAGACGCGCAAGTACGCCGTGATTTGACTTACTCTGCCTCGAATTGGTTGGGTAAGATAAGATCCGCATGGTGTATGATTTTCTTATACGCAGGGACAACGTCCTCGTTCACATATATACGTCCCTGATCGCCCATCACGGGATCAAGTACTGATGACGAAGGCTATGTCAACTCTTTGATTCATTCCAATATTTGGAATATGGAATAGTACTCACTCCAAAAGAAAGAACCAGGTTTCTTCTCCGCCTTGCGCTGCAGATCCAGCCCGATCTCGCCTACAGCCTCGACAGCCGCGGCACTGGGAGCGTACCCGGAGAGCAAGACATCGAAATCCGTTAGATAACTTTGCTGGAGACCCTGATAGAGATCGCGGATTTCCTGAGCAGTTGCTTTGGTGCCCTTGACCTGCTTGTAGCCGGTATGGTTGCCTTGAAGGATGTATATATCAGCTACCTCAATTCCTGGAAGAAACCTCTTATCTTAATCAGGGAGCAACCAAAGCCCCCAGTTTGTGCAAAAGGATTGGCGAAACGCAAATAAAGAACCACAGATGCTTACTGAAATGAACCGTATTCAACGCAGCGACCTCACAGCCCAATGACTGCATGACAAACGTTGCCATTGTGTTTCCGACATATCTGATAAGCCATCAGCATTTGAACCCGAAGATGGGAGTTGGAATATCGTAAAAAGTATTTTATTTATGCAACGAAAGCAGGAATATCATATATCTCAAACAATCCATGACACTCTCGTCTCCAAGCATGGGTGATTTCTTTTCAACACTTTAAAATATACAGTAATTACCCCATGGCAAAACATCAAGCAATCGAACAGCAAAAGCAGAAAGAGCATGCATCTTACGTACCCGTAGACAACCTTCACGCGGCCAATTCACCTGAGTCAGTATCAGCCCTCGAGGAGAACAAAACTTTTCCATATAAGGAAACAGCATTCCTCACAACTGCTGAGGAACACTGGAAGTCCAGGATGCCTGCAGGGAAGCACATCACATACATGGCTTGCTACCGCAAGGACCCGCGTCTCGGGCACCAGAGGCTCCGAAGACATTGTAGCCGAGACAAGAACCACCAAGAGAGAATACACAGGAGTTAAAAGGAAATGAAGAAGAATAAAAATAAATGAGTGAATCTCAGTATCTCCAGCCTCGTAGGTTTATCAGGATGAGTCGGCGGGCGAAGGCTCTAGTGAGATCTGGACCGTAATTAGCCGCGAATTATGTGGTGTCGGTTCGGGATGGGTGACGTACAGAGGGGGAAATTGGGCGGTAAGTTGTACCCCGCGATAAGTATTCACAGACCCAGGAGCAGAATATTACAAATGCACCGCAACCTATTGATTGATGATGCATGAAGCGTCTACAATACATCCTAACTGCCCGTAGCGGATGGGTTGAATGTGCTCTAACAGAAAATCGCAAGTTCCCACTGCTTGAATTGGTGGTAATCCAGCCTCACACAATGCGGGGTTCTTTTTCTAATCCTATGACCGTCACACAAACACAGCCAGCCAGCACGTCGTCAAGTGTTAAACATGACAGAAACCCATCAATTCCCTCGAATCTCCCTTGTCCAGCAAGTTCTACATATTGATGGTGTTGATATTCGAGAGATCGGCTTCTAGAAGCGCCATGATGTTCAGGTTGCCTGCAAACCAATCTCCCAAGGAACCGGACGCGGTCATTCCGTCATATTCTGAAGGGGGCATCTCTCCTGCCGAAATACCGCTGCTGGGGACAGATGATATTGCCCCCGCTGACGTGAAGCCCAAGGCACTGAGATAGGGGTCGAAGTCGTTCACCGGGTACATGGCGTTGGTGCCGCTAACGGATGCATCTTGCTGAATGTGCACATTTGAGCTGCGTTTGATCTTGGCGTCGATATATAAATTAGCGACGCGATGGAAGACCTGACAAAGACGATATAGCTTCTCTGTAGCTTCGGAGACCTCTGATACAGGTTGTAGAGAGGAAACGAATTCTCCAAGAAGCTTAAGGTCGGACAGGTCAGCAACGGCTATCGCCTGACAGAACACAACCAGAAATGGTGTGAATGGGCAATGCATTAAAGTCCTGCAATGGATCAGCAGAGTCAGTAGGGTTCATGTTGTGTATGATTTTCCTCGGAACTTTAGCGGAAGAAAAATCGACTAACCAGCTAATATAACCATTCCAGATGTAGTTGTTGCTCTCTTTGTATCTAGATGAGTTCTGGTAGTGGGCCCTTAGAGTGGCTCGAGCGGTCTCGATACAGTCGTTGCTGAAGATGGCCGAATGGTCCGAAGGATCTGGTGGGATAGTGCGGTAAACCAGTGTCAAGACGGAATAATACACGATCGCGCAAGCAGATGTTGTCGCTTCGAAATAGTACGGGCTATAGACGGCCTTGTGATCGGTCTATTCAATCCGAGTTAGCCCATTATAGATCAGGAACTTAGAACACAGCGCGTTCTTCTATGGTGTACCTACATCTAGTATCCCTTGATACCAACACTGCATATCCCGTATGATGTCCTTCGCCCGTTGAACGCGATCTGCCTCGGAGTCTGACAAAGCTCGTGCGGAATAGAGCTGTTCATAGACGCGTCCGTTAAAACGTGCCAGATCTATCCAGAAGTTATACACCATGTCCCATGCGCGAAGGCCGACATCTGAAGACTGTCCTGGCCGCTCAAGCGTGATGTCGTAGTCCTGGAGTGTAGATGACCTGCCCAATCTCAAGGACAGACTCTTGTCCAGCACATAGACAAACCAGAACATCTTTTTCTTCAGTTCGATATCTGACTGAGTGTCTCCTGGTGTTGCAACGGATCGGTGGTACCCCAGTATCTGGCACAATCTTGCCGCGTTGGACGCTAGAGCCCAGCATAATGATGGTCTTGAAATATCGATAGAGTAGAATGCCTGCGAGAGTCAGCGACTAAGGCCAGTTCGGATATCATATCTAAGACTGAACATGGAACACTTACTCCAAGACACAAAGCTTGGATATTCTCTAGCGTAGGTGCTGTGAGAACATCAAATTTTCCAATCGTGTACTCAAAATTGGAACGGCATATCGCCGCACATTCTTTGAACTCAGCGCTGTTTTGCCCCCGCAACATGCAGACCTCGGAGAAAAGGTAGTAAAGGCCGCCATTCACCAGAGTGAAAAGGGCCATGGAATAGTCCTCAGTCGCAAAATAGACCTTCTTGCACATATCATCGAATTTCATATAGTCCAGAAATGGTAGCTCCAGAAAATTGCTCGACATCGTTTCTAGATGAAGTAAGCTTTTGACGACGCACAGAAAACATGTTTCGGTGGTTGTCACCTTTACAGAGTCTCAATAACGATACCACCGAAGCCATTGGAGGCATTTTGACCGAGGAGAAGTCAAGCGCAGGAGCTGCTTTCTGTCCGGGGAACCGCAAATCATGATGCACTGATAGGGTATTCTGCTTCTCAACTAGGCTGCGCAGATTCGAGATGGCCTCCTGCATTTCAGGGCTACGACCCACGAGATTATCCACGCTCATGGCACGTTCGAAGAGTTTGCTGGCATGGACGAAGTGCGCCCTGAACGAGGACTCGCCTTCAAAGGTCTTGTTCGCGGTCGTCATATCAGGTTCCGACGGTGGTTGAGCCACTGAGGGCAGAGGACTCTGCTGCACGGTACCTGATGGATTCACGTCCGCCCGAATCCTTGTTGGAAGAGTCGCTACATTCGAGTTTGCAGCAAGATCCTGAAGCAGACCTTCGATCCTTGACAGGCGGTCCTCTATCAGGGCAATCTTCGTTTCACTAGGCCGAAAGGTTAGCTCTGTAGTAGTACTGGAGAACATCACCAACAAACATACTATTGACTAGAAATTAGGATGCGCTGCCGCTGCTCCCTTGGCTTCTTTGCCGTCCGGCATATTGCGTTGGATACGCGGCAATTGGAACACGGCGATCGTTTATCGCATTTGATCTATAATGGTAAGCTTTCTGGTGTTCTGTATGCGTGCGCACCCTTGTAATGGGATATAATGATACCTTTCTGGCACGACAGTTATCGCACTGATAAGCTCAAACTTGATTAGCCGGACGCGTCTCCATATCTAGGTTGGTCTGGTGAAGCATACCGCACGCCAGGATGGTGCTGTCGTTTGATCCTCACCGCCCGTATCGTCTGGGCTCTGATTCATCTTGAAATTGACGAAGCAGATTCCGACAGTTATAAGCTACTAATACAGAGCTATTAGGGATCACCTGCAGCAGTTCTGTTCCACGTTGAGATGAGTTAATCAGATTCTGAGTACGGCGAGCGGCCATCTTCACCGGCGTCCGCGGCCTCCGGAGTGGAAGCATCACGCCAAGTGGATCATCTCCCGACTCGCCTGCCAACGATAATGGTCGGATGAAAAAGATCATCATCCTGGCCAATTGAAGACTTGCCATTCCAGCAGAGAATATATGATGAGGATAAATGGTAGTACGTCGTTGCTAAATTTTCGAGGTATGGTTAACTGAGATCAGTGTAGTTAAATAATAACGTACCGCAACCACAGTTATCATGAAGAGACAGGTAGTTATATAACTAGATGACATACGACCAGTTGATACAATTCAGTCGCTAAAGGCCAAAGCAACATGGGAGCATAGAAGTGACCTATTCCAATATCGCCGACAATCAATGTATTGTACTTCACTTAAGTTTGGCAAAGCTCATGTTAGTTCGTTGCTTTGGACCAGTAGCATCAGGGCGTTAGTAGTTATCTCCTGCATGACATCGAGTACAATGGCAAGACAGCCCTCGTCAGGCTCTATCAAGTATTCTTCGAAGTGGCTGTGACTGCGAAGTTTCTATGGCAATGTATGTACATTGCGATAATGTTAGGGCGACAAATAGATGGGCTGTTTTGCAATTGGTTAATAGCAACTGTTCCACATCACATCTGGGAGTGGATACTGATGCTCAAGCCCTACTGCAGCGAGCAAGAGGTTATCAAGGGTCTAAGGAAACACTTAGATGATAGTTTTGAGGGGAACGTGTTCCGATATGACTTGATACACTTTCACGCATAAAGCATGAGCCATCCTATTCAGTCAATATTAGAGTAGGTACAGCGTAGCGCTCCCAGGATTCAAATGCTGATCATGACAAGGAGAGACCGGACTTAGCTGTAAATAGCATAAGTCTCAATTCCAAGCGCATTGTCTCTTGAGATCAGTATGTGTGTAAACTCTTTGCGCGCAGCATGCGATCCGCGCAACACCCATGTTATGTCCAGCAAACGGCGTGGCAGCATTGGGGGTTGCCGTAAACGTAAATCACCTCTCACCAGTAAAAGTGACTGGAAAAGCAGCCCGGTCCACTGTCTCGAAGAATGCCTAAAATAGAATACTGTACTGGGGAAGCAATCAGTTGTAGCCAACTTGGCCAAGCTCTGAATTGCTGAAATGAAACGATCTTCGAGGTGCACTGCATGATACGCATGTGGCACCTCAGTGGATAATCCGGTGGATATGCGTCTCATCAAGCTGCCCTAGTAGGGGCTTGAACATGCGGGACAAAAGATTGCTGCACTCGTGGGGTTTGTTCATCGGGCAAGGCCAGCTGAGACTGAGAGGGACACAGGACCATTTGTCACCTACAGACTCCCCCTCTCTGTTTCGTTTTGTCTTACCTCAGGCATTAATACTGATTTCCACTTCTTAGTAGTACATGGTTCAGACACGCTGCTTTTCGACTCGGTAGAGCCAATGGCTTCCGTAGTAGCTGAGGGAGGGACAGCATGTAAGCCACTGTTCTTCCGTCCGCTTTCCCTGTATGTATGGCGGCTAGAGTCGTCCTATTGTTTCAGAATGTCAGGGAAGCTAGAACGGAGCTCTACCAGACCCCAGTATGTAGACCGAAGGAGGAAGCTGTTTGTACTGTACGTACAATAATCTGGGAGACGGCGGAAAGAGTGGCCGACATATCAGAAAGCTGGATGTTACAAAGTGAGTTATAGTTAAAACTAGGCGTTCACGGCTTTGTTGGGTACTCCCTGCCAGTGTACTCTCCTAAGCCCTAAGCAGCAACTAGGGTCGTTCTTCGTTATATCCATCTTGATAAATTATTTACTACTATTATTTAACTAGTACTAACTATAATAACCCTCACTATGTACTGTCCCTTTGCCGTATGATGCTGGCATTGCCCATATTTCCTCTCTTAATATCCGACCTTCCGAGAATCGACCCGCAAAGTATCGTGCAGAACCCCGTTTAGATTTCGCCCATGGAAGGTTATAAGCAATAATTTAGAGAAAATAATAACATCCATGGTCGGATTCTTTGTCCCCACCATGGCGCGCTCATGTGGAGCTTTTTTCAGGAACAGCCGGTCACTTGGTCAAGGAGTAAACTTTGGATGAAGCCGGATTCGTGCCGCCCACGGAGCATCAGATGAACATCATGAAAGAAACAACAAACGGAGAGGTACTTTTGATGCTGAGTATGGCGATTTCTTTAGGGAGTTTTGCTCTCTGTTGTCCTACTTCTCTTGTTCACCTCGGGAACAGAAAGCGATCGCATTCCCGCTGGCGGTTGCAGGCATGGAAGATCGAATGTTCTCGCCCCGGATCGGCCCCTGAACCGAACAGAGTTCTCAGGCCCTCGGACCATCAACATCGGCGCCAAAGTAGAATTGCGCGTGGCGCCAACAGGTGCAACAGCATTGGAGATGAAAGGTGGAGAAAGACGGAGAGATGGTCTGTAAAGATATCTCCTGCCCGTTTGTAGTTAGATGCTTCTGGTTCAGGGAAGAACTGAGGTTCAAACACCATACCAAATGCGCCAGAAAAGCACTCATGCCCCCCTGAGCATGGCCGTTGCAGTTCTGTTGGTGATCCACTGTGATCAATGGCCTGTATCCTTGACCCCAGGTGCTCGGTGGACTAACTGACCCTGGTCGTAGACTAAGAACAAGAATAACCTGAACCACCGGGGCATCCTGGTGCGACTTGCACGACTTTGGCCAGGAACTCCGCCACTATTGGCCTGGAACCAAATAAGTCATTGTGAGCCAAGGCGACCAGGCTGAGCGTATATTATCAGACGCCGGCCCCGAGTGTCGAAGTATCGCGCAACCGCCGGCACGAGGCTGTCCATCACGGAGGTGAGAGGAAAGGTGACCAACAGTACAGACTGGACGACCGTTGGAAGTTGCAGACCTTCCTTTCAACTTGACGGGCCATTCGATACGGCAGAAAGCGTTGGCTTCCTTTGACGAGTCGATAATAGTCCCTCTGCATTCCTCAGCGTCACAGGCAATCGCCGCTTCGACTCGATTCTACCAAGACCGTAGAGAGACGACGAGCGCAAGTGGCTTCTGCAGCTTGAGAACTCAAGACAATAGACTGGCTGGTGAAAACTTCGACGAGTTCATCAGTCTTCTCTCTTGGACGCCAGGCTCGCTCCAGCGCATTGGTCAATCGCCGTACCATGTTGACATTGTTATAACTCGCCCTCCCTCCCATCATTAAGCCCTTACGGCGATTCACTCGTTTAACACACAATGGAAGCCTTATCAGGCTCTCCTCTGGTTTTCCCAGATGCCTCTCGTTCACGATCTTCATTCCAGCACGATCCTTCTAATATGATGTCGCAACATCGGACACCGCGGTCACAATTGCGCCGGCAAAGGCCATCGACTTACCATACTTCCTTCTCAACGAGACTGTGTCTGCTGCTCATATCGATAATCCTAATATTTTATACACCCGTCAATGCCGCTGTCATTTCGATCCGATCTTCTGAGGCGGCGATCTCGAGCGGCGTTGCCGATTCAGCTAGAGAGAGGGAGATCACCGTTGATCGCCAGAGGTCATCCCCACTTCACTCAAGTGTGGAGGAAATTCAAGCAACGGCAGACAACAATGATCTAGAAGATCGCCCTGAGGAGAGATACAATATCGCACTGCCAGAGAAACACATCAAGAGAGCGGACTCATCGCAAATCTCGAGCAGGTCTACATACAGCACATCTCTAGAGTCCGAGTCCTTCCCAACTCCTTTCGACGGTGCCACTTTTGGCAGCAACTTTACCAGCGATAGCTGTCCGGTGTTCTTTGAGAATTTCCTCAAAAATTCGACCATCACTTCTTGCCATGCTGTCTCCCTGCTACTTCAAAATTCCCAGTCTTGGTTCCACTCCCTGAGCTCAGCGGCCGCCATCTCCAATAACCTCGACATCGCATGCTCTGCTCCCATGGTCCTCTGTACGGACATCCTGGCAGACCTTGCCTCACGGCTCATCAGCGACGATGCCTGCGGTAAGGACTATAAGCAGGGAAATCCACTCGTGGCGAACGCCTACGCGGGCATGATTGCTTACCAGCCCATGTACCGCGCAACATGTCTAAAGGATCCCTCTACCAACAGCTATTGCCTCTCGGAGGCGATTCTCAACTCGACCTCTATCACAGACTATTCTATCTACTTTCTGCCTCTGGGTATGAACCTCCCAGCGTCAGGCCGCGCCACCTGCAACGCCTGTCTGGAGGCCACGATGCAGGTTTTCAGTGAAGCCAGTGAGTCTGAAGGCCAGCCGCTCACCAAGACATACATTCCCGCGGCCGAGCAGCTGAATCTGGGCTGTGGTCCCAATTACATTAATACTACAATCCCCATCGGTTCCAAACAGGCCATTGGAGCAGGTAGTCTGATAAGCCCGAATATGCCGCTCGTCAGCTACGGCTTTGCTTTTATGCTCGGCATGTGGCTGTTGGGTATCCTTTGATCATCGAGATTTCGAAAAAAAAAAAGGTGCTATGCTATCGCACACACACACTCTCTTTCTCTCTTCCATCTATACCCAACGAACTTAATTCTATTGTCTATTTTTACATAATCCACTTGCTACACTACACCCTACGTACATACATACATACATACCTACGTCCTACACTACCGATCTCTCATACTCTCACATCATTCTCGGTGCTCCTACCCTCGTTGCAATGCACTCACTCTCCGCATGCTATCTTACCTATCTACCACGTTCCCTGGTACATTCCTACCTTTTTTAGGACTCATTGTTTTACTTTTATCTTCTGATTTTTTTTCTGACGTCAACTGATCCGATTCACTTATTGAGCGAACGTACATAGATGGGAAACACGTCTCACGAGCGCAAGATTTCTTTATTGACATTTCCTGTTCTACCCTGTCACTTTCTCTGGATATGTTGATCTTGGGGTTGAATCAAGTGACCAAGAAGCTTGAAGCTATAAAGTTAGGAATTGATTATTTTCTTTTCGGAACACTCTCGTGGCTATATGATAGTAGGGGTAACATTGAATTGTATCTGAAGGACGTAAAGCATGCGATGATGTAAGATCCAGGTATCATGACGACTGTATATTTTTCGGCGGTATAAGACATAAGTATATGCATGAATCTCACTCCAATGTCCTCAAGCACGTAGACCTGAGATTGTTCGTGATTACGTGACATGCATGATATGAATGCAAAAATATAATATGAAATATTAATAAAAGGAGATTAAATATGAGGCGTGTATCATCCCAAAAGACGTAATGCAGCAGGCTGGATATGCAAGACAGATGCTGCGTTATGCTTCCTGAACCCTCAGCTTCTTCTCGGGAAAGTTGTTTCCCTGAGAGCGACGCCAACGAGACTCTGTTGTGCTTGGCTGCCAAAACTCATTCCCGGGACTTGCTGGGTGGGACTCATGGACATTTCCTTTTCGCGCTTCAGGCGGAAATATGCGAGTTTGGCAAAGCGACCCAGGTGGTTCCAGAAATGGCGACCAGCTTCGTGAGCTGCGATGCGGTCAAGAAGCTCGACTGTCGCGTCGCGGACGACAGGGTCTGGGTGGAACAGACCCATGCTGATATAGAACAGGCCGGCCTGGCTTTCAGGCGTCACAGTGAGCAGTTGGCAAATTCCGGCATAGTCCTCCACGGCATGCGCAAAAGCGAGATAGATAGCACCGGATTCCGCATGAGAAAGTTTGAGCGACCGTAATCGATCGTGATGGTGGTGTAGGTCAAGCTGCTTGACAGGCCTGCCGGCATAATACATCGAAGCGACGTCCTGGACGAAAGAATAATAGGAACGTGTATTCCGCCATCCTTCGATTCTCGACACGGAAGCCGCTAGCTCCCGCTGCTTGGATTCCTCGTCTCGCCATACATAGCCATGTCCACGAAGAGAAGATGGATCAGAAGGGTCTGATCGGAAGCCACTGGGACTCTCCACGGATGGCGATTCTCCTGGCCCGATAATGTACAGAGCTGATGCTCCATAAACCGTTTCCTCAAACGCGGCAGCAACACGCGTGAATTTCGTGATGTAGGCACGCCATTTGGCACGAATCGCACCCTCACCATGACGCTGGGTGATACTGCGGACTATATCCTCCATGAAAAGATTATCACCAGTCGGGTCTGCGTTGGGTCCAGCAGGAGGCGGAATCATCGCGGTCTGTTGCTGGAAGTACAGAAGCCCTTCTGTAACTGGTGCAGGTTCGATACGGTTACTGATTTTCATCCGTCCGGTGGGTAGATCGCAGAGCAGATCCCACCATTCATGATGATTGGCAAAGGTTGGATTTGTTACTCCCGCAATGAAACCCGGTACTCTGAGAAGGTCATCGATTTTTGTTAGGTCGGTGTAAGGAAATGCGTGTCTAGTGAAACCTCGCAGGACACCACCAGAAGCTAGAGCGCAGGCTGCCAGGACCGCTTCAGCAACTTCTCCTGAAGGCCTGTTATGACCTAGAAAGATGACTCGTTTCTGAGTAAGCATTGCGTTGACGAGGACGATAATCGGGTGCGTATAGGCACCGCTCGTTGTGAGATGAGGGTGAAGGGCAAAGGGTTGCGGTGACGAGGCATGAGGTCCCGCAAAGATCTGTATGAGCTTTACCAGAGAAAAGTCGCCGACTGTTTCTGGCCATATTGCTGTTGGGACCTTCACAGGAATAGGGATATCGTTGTAAACGACCTTCGACTCAAACTCGTGCGTGTCTCTAGGAAGAGCGTAACGTAGCTGGTTCTTTGCAGGTGATCCCGGGGATAGTTCCCCACTCGCGATCTCGTCAGCAACCCGCTGCTGGATCATCCGCTCAAACTTCTCAATGAACATATCCTTCGAATCACTCGCTTGTAGGATATGTCTCTCCAAAAAAGAAAGCTTGGGCATCAAGGAGAGATCCATGGCGTTGACAGCATGATAAAGGCTTGCCAATGTCTCCGGGTATGGTGATTTAAAGTAGTCCTCCAGTGCCAGAAGAAGCAAAGGCTGAATTTGTCAGTTCCATGCCCAGAATAGGATGTAATATAGAGGACTTACTTTATATATGTGGAGAAACGAATGCCGCGTACAGATAGCCATGGCTTTGACCACAGCACCTCTGGAATCGTCAGTGCCCAAATTTCCATGACGATCGACTACCGTAGACTCACCGTCTGACCGTGTTGTCCTGCTTTGTATTCACCAGATTCAACACGTACATCAGCGGCGGACCTTCGCCTGCGTGGTCTTCATCGTCGCTACTCTCCTCACTGGACGCCTCGTCCTCCTGCCGCATGTCCATATCGCCTTCTCTTTGTTTTCCTTTTCCTTCATTTCCTTTCGTCTCCTCACTCCCGCCCTCTTCTTCATCTTCATCGCCCGTATCCTTGTGCAAAAAGAAAATCGTCCAATCCTGGCTTCGGACGTGAGTCTGATCCGGTAGCATGAGCTCAGCCAGCATGCTCTCGTCACCGCTGATGGCAGAAGGATATTGATGCTCCATGATGGGGCCTCGGTCAATATGAAACGACGCGACCAATATGTATTCGACATGGCGCTCGGGAGAATCCAAGGGATATTGCGATTTGTAACGCTTGCGCTTCGGTCTGGCAGTCTGCGGTACGGACTGCTCAGTCGATCGGCGACGTGAGGAAGTGCGGGAGCTCGTTGGCGACCGTTTCAAGAAAGAGCCTGCCGGAGATAGTCGTGGAAATCCATTATGAGTTCCCTGGCTAGCAGACGAGGAGAGGGAGGGAAATGGTTCAAGGGAGTTGCGCCGTTCATGGGACGAATCGTTTCCGGACGTGCGATATGGCAATGCGGTCGACATATTTCTGAATTATTGAAATAAAAATCAATTCATATAAACCTAATGCTCCTCAGTGTTGTCTGATGCATGTCCAGCCAGCGCAGGTCAGCGATCCTTGGCTCAGACTATAGATCTATGGTTCAGGGGGGAGTATAAAGCGCGGAGACTTTGGGCGTACCGACCTTTGAGCGGGGCTCGCCAATTGTGGTATCAAGAGAAATCGTGTCAGAAATATCAAAAAACTATATACATAGAACATCAAGATCCATTTTTCATGCCATCGTGATAGATATGAGTGCTTCCGGGGGCGTTGGACTTGCACTGTCGCGGCGCTTTCCCTCTCCCTTTACGGTCCGCTCCCCGCACGTGCTCTGGTAGACGGAGGCGGCGTTACTTGGCACCGGAGGCGGTCGGGGTCGGCAGATCGTCCGTTTGTTTACTCTGGGGACGATAGCAACCAGTAGTTAGTTAGATCTAATACAGATTCACCACAACGAAATATCACTGTTAGTCGACGACTCTAAGGGAATTGGAGATATACGCTGTTTTTCTGCCATAATACCTTGTGCATGAGTACAATATACGATAAACTTCTACGCTGTTGAAGATTCTCTCCCCGTCATCATGGTAGGTTTCGTCCCCGCTTAGCAACGAGAACAGTCGACGAACATCGATAATTGATACAACCTATACAGGTGACTCCTAACGGTACTTACAAACCGTCCCCATTGTCATTTGGGTCGCCTCGCACTTCTCCTTTTCGCAGACCCTCGACGCCCAATTCTCCCTCGACGATTGGCCGACCAAGCACACCGGGCAGTTCTCCAGGGAAAGGGCATACCCCCATTCAGTCCCCAAGCAAACTGAACCAGACTTATACCGCCGAAGATGAGGATACTGCTTCAAGCAGCGCTGAGCGGATTCCACAGCCAAAATTTCGAGAGCCTCCGGCATCTCCTACACCTACGGGCAGGACCAGTGGCCGAGGTAGTTTCTCTTCGACCACGGGGGCCATGTCGGTCGCACGCGGTCCGATAGAGAACGATTCCCTTTCCAGACTGCCACCGGCGCAGTTAAGGGAGATGCGTGAAGCGTTCCAAGTCCTCGATCGCGATAACGACGGAATAGTGAACAGGGAGGATGTCGCGGACGTTCTAAGAAACCTGGGTACAGACAGTCTGACAACAATCTCTGATCCATTGCTAAACTTACATTTTAACAGGTCAAGATTCGTCGTCTGCAGCGGTTGGGCAGTATTTCCCTCCGGGATCATCTCAGACGGTCAATCTACCCACTTTCCTGAATAGCATCTCCACGTTATTGGCTCCTTTGTCATCTTCTCAAGAACTATTGAACGCCCTCGCTGCCTTTGACGATGATGACAGTGGCCAGATCGATGTGGCAGAGCTGAGGGATGCACTCCTGCACACGAGTCCTGAGGCTGGGGAGTCCCCTCTTAGCGAACGAGAGATCGACGAAGTCATAGCCGGATTCACTGGGCGAAGAGCATTCGGGCGGACTGCACGAAGCGGTGGCTTTGCGGGCGGTGCTAAGAAAGGGGACGTTTTCCGCTATCAGGAGTTTGTTGCTAATGTTATGGGCGGCCCAGATAGCGACAAAGCAGGCGCAAAGGCCCAGGTGGATGCTGTGCGATGGTGAGACAAAGTCGAATCCATTTTGCTTATTCGGGGTTTCCTCGGGGTAGGTGTCATGGAGTTCCGGATTGGGATGAACGAACAAAACGAACTATGATGGACGAAACATGCAGCTGTCATTCATGTCTCACATGCTTGTTAATGTTACCTTTATATGCGTGCGATTTGTGTATTTCTAGAACAATAATACTGTTCCGGTAAGATGGTAGACATGTATCCGATTTACGAGCGGAATCGACCATGGGCAGGCAGTAATACAGAACGAGATAGAAAACGGACCGGGCCCTTTCCAATAATAATGCTTGGACTGGCAAGTATAGGCGGATGCTCCTCCAGTAAGAGTATCATCGGAGGATAATCCATCGATGGTATGGGAGCGGATCGAGACCTAAACAATTAGGTTGATACTAAACATCGTCGCATGCGGCGCAAGGACCCCTCTCTGGCCTTCCCAGCCTCTCCAGCCATTCTGGTCTCGAATCGCGCGTCGCGTGTCCCCGCATCCAACGTCCAGCGAAAAGAAAGCACAGGACATCCAGCAGAACCAGCTTGGCGATCGCAATGCTCTGCTCCGCTAGTGTAAACTGACTTCGTTTACTTGATCCCGGGAAGTCTGTTGGATGCAGATGCTAATGCTGCTGCTGCAGCATACAGTCTCCCCGCTCTCAGCGTCATCGCGACTGACACTGTGAAAAAACGATGGCGAGCAAGCCTCCATCGCAGTCCAATCCTTCTAACGTCACCGTGCCACCGTCGCCCCGAACTGCGCGGACGCTGCGGAAGTTCCAGTCGCACCAGACGTTGTACTCGAGCTACTCGTCGATCAGCGGTCAGCAGCAGCCTTCGAATGACTCGAGTCCCTCGCGGGCTTCTGGGCTCGATTCTCCCTTCGATGCGCGAGCCCAGTCGCCAACAACTACTCGGCCACGGAGACGAACGAGATCGAACAGTGATGCCAGTGTGACGGGTTCGGCGATCGTTCATCAGACCCCTAAACGACCCGCGAGGAAGACGGGGTCAGGGATAGGGCTGAAAAGATCGAGTCTCGAGAATTTGCTGAGGGATGGACCGCCAAACGGGGATGTTACTGGAGGTTTGAAGGAATTGCGATATCTTGTTCTGTCTTCGAGGGTGGATGCAGACAGTGATGGCATGGTAAGGATGTTTGCCTTTCCTTCGGGTTTAACCATGTGTCCACCTTGGGCAGATACTGATCCTGAGGCCTACAGTCCCCCTATAGAATATATCTCTGGCTTGCACTTCTTGATGTTCCCGCCCTGCCCACAGACGAATACCTCTCGTTAGTCCACAGAGGGCGTTCACCCGCCTATACAAAGATCCGTAATGATACTTTCCGTACCCTCGCAACGGACCCTCTATTCAAACGTCGGGTTACAGAAGCAAGTTTGATTCGGTTGCTGAATGCTGTCGCATGGAAGCTTCACGATGCCAAAACTGGGACTACGGGATCGCGGCCTGGTTCACGGAGACGTGAACTTGAACTTGCCATTGATACCCCTCCAGTCATAGCTGAAGAACCATCTGGAGATATACCCGAAGTGAGCTTTGGTCCACCTATCAACTTCTCGGAGACAGCCGTCTACGTCCAAGGCATGAATGTCCTCTGTGCGCCCTTCCTCTATGCTGCTCGCAGCGAAGTCGAAGCTTTCGCACTTTTCCATTACTTCATCACAAAGGAATGTCCAAGTTACATCCGAGGGGCTATGGATGGAGTCCATAGGGGTCTGAAGCTCGTGGATCGATGTCTTGAACTCGTCGAACCGAAACTCGCCAATTATCTTTTCTCTAAGGGAATGTACGCCGAACTTTATGCATTTCCCTCGGTGCTCACGCTCTGCGCCTGCACTCCGCCGCTACCAGAGGTCCTACATCTGTGGGACTTTTTGTTTGCATATGGGCCGCATCTCAATATTCTATGCATTGTGGCTCAGCTAATCAGAATGCGCGATACTATTCTCAAGAGTCCAAGGTACGCTAGCTACATGTTCCAAATACAGCATTGCCGTAGATTTCTAACTCAAAGATTCTCTCCAGCCCGAATAAGGTCCTCCGTTCATTTCTCCCTCTAAACGCTAAGGAGATCATCGCCCTCACGGTCCTCCTCGTCCGCGATATTCCTGACGATCTCTACCAGGAAATGGTAGACCACGCCAAATAGACTTTCATTCGAGAGCACGCTTAGTCGCTTCTTTTCCGGCTTTCCGCCTCTAAACTTCATTTCGATTCGTCCGTGTTTTGTGATATCTTGAAGTTTAACCCTTTTTTTCTCTATTTCCCTGGTAGCCTCCTCGAGGCTCAAAACGTTATTTTATTTCTGGATTTGTGTGATTATATCGGGCATTCTGTTTCTTTTCCCACCATGTGTCATTGAGCATTGGACTTTGGGGGTCTCTGCTGGTTGGAGCTAGTCTGGGATGAGCGATTTCTCGCATGTACCTGTATTTATAGCCTGTTTCCTTAGAAATGATAATGACCATTTAATGCAAGAATAGAACGCTTCTTGGGAGAGACACAGGTAACGAGATCCACTTTTACAACTCTGGGTATCTAAACACGACACATCCCCGCTAGCCACTCATGATCTAGAGCTCTATGAGTTTTGAGAACCATCTATTCCTTCATGATAACCATCACTCCTCCAAAGACGCCTCCCACAAACACCTCTCGCACAAACACATTCCGCCCAACGCTCCCCTCGCCCACTCCCTCCTCTCCTTGACACTCAATCCAATATCGCAATAATGATTTAGAATCTCCTCATCTTTCTTGATGCCCCCTCTGTTCCTTCTGCTCTCCCGCCCATCTTTCTCCTTCCACATCGCCCTCTCCTCCGTCGTTCGCGCCATGAAGGTAATCTCTGCACCCCACTCCCACCTTACATTCGGATCGCACGAATGGTTGGCGAGACACCAGAGCGGATGCACGGCGCAGACTTCGGGGCCACCGTCCCATGTGGACAGACGGCCTGAGGCGGTGCCGCGGAATTTGGCATAGAGCGTATTCAGGACCCAGGTGTCGTAGAGAGGGAGAGTGGCGAAGGGGTCGAGACCCATTTCTTCAAGGATGCGCATCGGTTGAAGGATGGAGAGTTGGAATGAGAACGGAAGGGTGGAAGTTGGGTCCGATTCCCAGGGCAGCAGGGTCTGTTCGGTAGATGTTGCTGATGGTGAAATGACGGTAGAGGAGGACGGGAGATCATGGAAGTCTCCCCAGATGTATTTCACCTCGGGCAATTCGAGGGGATGAACCTCCTGCGTAGCTGCCATGGCAATAGCTCGGCCCAGGAGCAAAAGGTATAAGTAATCCGCCTTGTCTTTGGGATCAGGAATATCTTTCCCGATAGACTCGAGTCCTTCCTGTCCGCAGACAGCGGCGTGGTATACCTCCTGTGCGCGATCGTGACATTCCTGGCTGCAGAAGATGGTATCGTCGCACTCTATGCATGCAACAGGGGGGTTTCCTGACGAGAGTTCAGGCAGAGGACCATTGCAAGCGTCGCACAGGTCGTCGTGTAGACGATTTGTTGCTGTCAAAAGGGACGTTTCTCGCAGGATGATCTCGCCAGGTGCGATGTCTTCTTTGGCGAAGAGACCTAGCTGGATTGATACCTCCTCGTTTGCGTTTTTGGTTTCGTCTTGTCCATCCTTCTTGGACCCATGGGAAGGATGGTCATTATGCAAAGCCGGCAATGAGACAGCTCTGACCTCACACTTTGGAGCAACATCTCCCAACCTCTCATTCAGCAACTGCAGCGTATCGGCTGCTTTGCGATCCGGCTCGTGTTCGTTCCATGGATACAGGACTCTGCGAGCGTATCCTTGAGCGTTGAGTGTTGTTGGGTTCAATTGGACTTCTTTTTCAGCTTCACCATCATCAGCAGCGGCAGAATTACTGCCTCTCCTTCTTCTCCGCTCCTGAATTGCTGAGATCCTCTTAATCTTCTCCATCTCCTCCTTCAGCCCAATTTCCTCGCTCTTCACCAAATCACCATCACCATCAGCAAGGAGATTCATCCCACGAAGACAAAACTCATACGCATCGCGCAGGCATCCACAACGAACAAGACTCCTCACAAGAAGCCCATACACATCTCCTATAGAAGAATCGTATTCTTCTTGGGATGTCGGTGTAAAGTTTTCCTCCTCATCATCATCCTCTTCCTCCCCATCGCCCTCATCACGCTTCTCTTTCTCCTGCTCTTCCTGCTCCGTTACATCCTTCCTCTTTCTAGCCAAAAACTCACACCCATCCGGGTCAACCACGGACTCAAATAGAGTTAGAGCCCTATACGCATCCGCAGCCGCGAGGTCCGGATATCCCAATTGCTCGTGAATGCGACCGCGCTCTAGATGTAGGAGCGGGTTATGCGGATCCCCGTATAATCGGGCGGTTGCTTCTTCGCGGTGTTTGAGTGCGAGATCCATTATACAGAGAATAATGAGAGATAATGGATAGGGGTCTATTTTTCGCTCCTTCTCTTTTCCTTTCCTTGATCTGCCAAATCTGTCTTCAAAAAAGAAAATTCAAGTTCTTCCAGGAGATCCACCGCAAGCCCTCGAATTTTCGAAAAGAGAGGAGAACCAAAAAAAAAAAAAAAAAAAAAAAAAAAAAAAAAAAAAAAAAAAAAAAAAAAAAAAAAAAAAAATGGATGAACCCCAAAAAGTCTTATCGGGTACGATCCAGCTCGACCCCTCCAAACAGGGCTTGTGATACTGTTCCGAAAAAAAGTAAAAATCTCCCCTTAAATCCTTTTCCTTTCAAGGAATCAGAACTCTCCGCAGCTTATCATAAAAAATCGGCTGCCCCGTTCGCCACTTGTGGTTATTTTTACCTGTTTTCCCCGCAATCTTCGTTGGATTTTTTTTTATGCTTTTCGGAAATTCGATATCACGTGATTACTTTAATTTACCTATCTGGAAGATCTTGATGCTGGTAAAGAGGTAATTATGATATTCTTTTCCCCCTGGTCTGTATTATACTTTTTTATTGGACATATCTGGTTTGAATATGGTTTCGTTTTAACGGTGGATATGTTTGTGATGCATTTGGAAAAGCGTTAAACAGTACCTTAGGTAGTCTCCAAGTTAATTATATCCGAGTGCCCACTCTGCCAAACTAATAGTATACCTACTGTTCATCCGGATTATAGTTAGAATGGTGGAAGGTAAGAATCGTACTGCAGCTAAATGACGCAAGATGCCAATCAGATAAGGCCAACTTGGCTTGAATTGTGTATAGAAAGTGCAGCATTGGTATAGGCCGCGCTACAACATATGACTTAATCTAACAAAAGCAAACTATCCCTTGCCATAGACTAGAAATCACCGAAATATCTTCGGCGAGTCTCTTCCATTTCTAGCTCCTTAGGCATCGGCTCAAGAAATTTATCAATCTCATCACGCCAGAAATAGTTCTGCGGGTTCACTTGACAAGCAGTAGTGTATTCCCAATATGATGGATACCATCCAGCTGTCTCCCAGTCAATAATACCGACAATTTCATCTCCAGAAGCTAGAATATTCAAGCTGCTAAGATCACCATGCGTAAATTTCAGCGGCCAGCTACTCTGTTGCTGAACGATGAGTTCCTGTAACTCCGGGTCAAGATTTGGATCCAGGTATATGCCTTGACGTAAATGGGTATGAAAATCTTGAACATTGCTAAATGGTCCAAAATTCAGTGAGGGTCCTGGTAATCGACAGTCATATAGAGATTCGCCATTGATATTTGCAATGCCACATCCGTCAGGAGGAATAAGACTCCTCATCTCTTGGATCATCTGCTTTAGTTGTGATAAAACCTTCGCCTTTGATTCCTCACTTCGATCCATCCATCCAACTCCAATCTTGTCGCCATGAATCATTTCCATGAGGATATAGGTCCAGCCGTGATGTTCGAAGGCGCAGAAGATCTTAGGCACAGGAATGGATGTATGGCTGGAGATATAACGCATCGTCGAAGCTTCAGAGAGCTGGACAAGTGGTCCATACTTGATACACAAACTTCGAGAGACGAAAAGAACGCTCCCCTTATGCGGCCGTATATGTTTCAGGAGTTTGATGGCCGCTAAGATAAGAAATCGGTGTAGAAGAGTGTCGTTAACAGAAGATGAATGAGTGGTGGATGAAGGGCAATGAATTTTAGATTTAAAACTGTCTGGCATTCGGATTTATCAACATGTACCGGTCAAAAAGATCAAATTTATCGTGCAGGAGCAGCAGCATTATAGAATGAACACTTATGGTTGTTGTAGAGGCAAGTTATGCTAGAGCTGTGGACGATGAAGAACGGCTGATCAATGGCTGGGAGATTTGGTTTATCCGTGCCGTGAGATCTGCTGTCCCGTTTCCCTGGTCTCTCTGGGATAGACAGAAAAGAAGGCCACAACTGACAGAGCTTAATAGCAACTAAAAGTTGCTGTGCACATGTTTAGCCAGTAATAAGAAAAGAACTCGATTTCAAGCCTGTGGCGCACTCTGAGCAAGTGTTATTCAGCACCGAGATCCTTAAAACTCTTCTATACAGACTTCTTCCATCTTCTATCTGAAACGGCTGTTTATTTGATTGATGAGAATGCACCGGTTCTCGTCTACCGCCATTCTAAAGCCAGAAGCCTTTGACCTCGCGGTGTGATGAACAAAGCAGACTTCTGACTATCCCACTATCACAAATAGAATTAATGGGTTGAGTTTTATTTTTATTGTCAAGATCCTCCATATAACATCTCCCTCCTCCAGGCCCAACCACCCTATCAACCCGAACACGACCCCAATCCCAGGTTAAATCCGTCTGATATCGTTATATAATCTTGGTTAGACAGGAAACTACCACATACGACCATAGGGTGTGGAAAATAGGGCTTCCCGTCCGCTCAGCCGTACTCAAGCCACACGCCGGCAGGTTAGTAGTTGGGTGGGTGACCACCAGCGAATCCCTGCTGTTGTATGTTTTTATTTTTATTGTTCCTACTCTACTTACTTTCTTTGGGTTCTTTTTCACAAAAAGGGAAGCCATATGGGGGTCGAGATATCGATGAAGGTATAAATGATGGGATGATCCGTTCTGGATACAGTCTCAGCGTATATTTATCGGGTCTCTTTTTCGGGGTTTCTCTTTGTTACAGCAAATTGGGTAGTTGAGTATGCTAGGAATCATACGCGGATGTGCAAGGATTGAGACGGTTTTTTGGATCCGGGCGCCTTTTTCGTTTCGAATATTGCATTATATCATTAACTAGCACTCATGTTCACCGCTAGAATGCATCGGTTATCAAACCAGATACAGAAAGTGCCAGCCCTTTCCTATAGGAACACAAGAAGTGAGATTCAATTGACGAACAGAAGACAGTTCCTGATTTATCTCCTGCCACACGGCAACCCTGCCAAACCGAAAGCCCTAACTGCAAATGAATTTTCGGTTATAGGCTCGATTTCATCGGGATCATCTGGCGTGATACCAGAGAACCCCACCAGAGACCTTTCCATTGCCATCAGTAATGTGAGAAGATACTCAGGAACTTGAAACGTACGTGTGCATTGATCCTCGTTCAAAAAATAGATGGTCTTTGCTAGGGAAGTCGTAGTACCATCCTCGCTGACGCATGTGTCTTAGTCCTAGCGTTAGCTGATGTAAAGACAGTTGTATACAGTTAAGGATACTTACTCGAGTATTCCTGCAAGTTGCTGGCGAATGGTATTGATCTCCTTCTTGCTGAACTTAGAGAAAGTAGTAACAGGGGATCCGGGAACTTTCGACATTGCGATGGCGTGCAAGTAACCTCCAGGATATAGATCACTCGGATCTGCTTGAATTAGCTCGTCTTTGCCGTAGAGTATGGGCGTTGCATGATTTTCAGTTTGGCAACTCTCTAAACAGTGAACTTCTTCCTTGAACCAATCTTCCGCCATCTCCAGTATGGTGGGTCTGTCCGATTCGAGGATCGGCCTAGGGTCCATTCTTCACATACATATATCAGTCAGCAGAATGGTACCGGAGCCACATGGTCTCTTCATGGATCAGTGGAGAATATTAGCTCGTAACTCACTCAAAACGAAGCTTTAGGATCACTTTTTCCTGATTGTCTGTTTTCTTCGCCTCGAAAACAGCAACTCTTTGAACAAACTCAGGGACATACTTTTCAGAGAGAACGCGTTCTATCAGGTATTCATGATTTTGCACACATAGAATCTTTCTCTCATATCTGCTGAGGATGCAGCCGTTAGGGAAATGGGATTCCATGACGGGAGAGTATGAGAAGTCTAGGGAGAGTAGTGACGATGACAGAACGAGAGTTGACGTTATAGGGGCAGACAAGTGGAGCAGGAAAGGAAATCCAGAAATGATCAAGGGAGAGATAATAACAATAAATGAGGGGGGATGTTAAGAGATATGACAATCTTTACGCACGTGACACCAAAGAGGTCTTCTACGCTACCCAAAGTTTAGAAAGCTTGGTCAACTCTTCAAGGACAATAAAACCGCGGTTTAAATGGCTTCTGCCTTGATCGCCTAATCCAGACGAGTAGTATTCCTGCAGGCATTGTAATATGTATACTAGGCCGCCTTACTATATGTACCTAGGTACCTCTCTAGGAGTAATATAACTTAGAAATGTATCCGTCGCAAGCTATTAACAGTCGTTTCGGTCGTTGCTACTATCTGTCTAGTAATCTAGGCCACTTCCTATTCTATCGGTCAGTCAATTATTAGTCCTATTATATCTGGCATTATAAATAGCGGTTTTGACACTATTGTTCCTATTTGCAGAGCCAGTGCACAAAACGTGAAAGCCAAGGAAGAAGTATCATCATCATCTGGGTCTACATCGCCATGGGAATTGCAGCTGCCGGTTTGGTCAACTACAGCCTGTCCCATATATCACTAAACGAAGTTGCCTTCTGTTTTCATTTCCTTACTATAATACACGACGTGCTAAAGAAGACAGAGATTCGTACACTCGACACACTAAGCCTGTTAACCTTCCATCGTGCAATACGCAAACTAATTGTCGAAAGTCAGAGTATTAAACCATTGTTCTACGCTTATAGAGCTTGCACTTTCCATTTTCCTGATGTCTGGATGCAATTGTCAGTCTCACAATCATTACTTATGCAAAACAACGTGTAACTTACCAGACTGTCCCCGGTCCTTCTCGAATACCGCCACTTCTCACCAGCCATATGCGCTATGGCTAAGAAGCATTCCCGTAGGCTTACCTGACCGAACTCATGGGATGATACCGAATCGTGATTGATCACTGGGGATACCTGGAAAGTGTATTTCCCCGTCCGCTTGAGGAACACGGTTTCATTATAAGTCGAGTAGAACCCATAGAGGGTCTCGTTATCATCCATGTATCTTGCTACTTGGCCTATTTTCATTCTTAGTATACTTCAATGACTTTTTAAAGGGATTTTTTTACCTAATAACTTGGCCAGCTTCTTCGGAGTCACATTAAGGCCCGTTGTCCAAGGTGCTTTCATCTCGTCAACAATCCATATTGTGCCCGGATCTTTATTGCATTGGACAGTGCTATCTGCCACTGTCCTCGACGACTTTCCATAAAGAGGCGTGCCAGCTTGAGGGTCTCCAAAAGTGAGACCTGGACCTATTTTTTTCTAAAAATGGGTGCAGTGGTATTCAGAGGTTATTGACAAAGCGGCCAGAGACACCAATCTCATTTCCAACAACGTAGCATTCAGAGCGGGTAATGGGACCATGGTTTCTAGGTTTTCTGTAATATCGATTCGTATGCCGTCTTATTTCATCCAGAAGGTTTGTCCACGGAGAAATCTGGTCTTTAGACAGTTTGTGACGGCTACGGGCTGGCCCAGTGCCATACCCGTCTCGGACTTTCAGTTCAGGCACCTGCATGGGGGCCCATATGTCGGTGAAGTCTGTAGGTGCCATTGTTCGAGTTCGAGTATTCTTAAAAACCGTAATGCAGTATTGGATTGAATGATGATGGATTTTGCAGAATATAGCTGCAGAGGCTTTGAATGTTGACGATATTACGCGTATCGTGTTGGTGTTGTCAGTTGACTTCCGTTGAGACCAACGGCTGGTACGAATTATTTGCCCTGACAGCAGCACAGTAGCCCTCGAAGTGGCTGGGAGAACAGAATGGGGGGAAGTGGGAAGTGTTGCAGTGAGTGAATGCGTTAGTGGCGATAGGAACGCAGCTATGTTATCTTAGTAACACTTAGGCTTCTTTGTTATAACTCATTTGATCTTTCCTGTGACTTACGAAGGAAGTTTCCTGAACTTGAGAATACATGAATATTTTTGGAATCCCTTGCTGTTAAATGTGTTACGACTTCTAATTGACTAGATGTTCATTCTAAAGGACAATTCCATCGATTACTTTCTCCAGGCGGCACTTAGGGAGCTACTAACTGTAGAGAAGCCACACGCCGGCAGGTTAGTAGTTGGGTAGGCAACTACCAGCGAATCCCTGCTGTTGTATGTTTTTACTTTATTTTATTTATCCTACTTACTTTCTTTGGATTCTTTCTAATTCGTCCCCGTATTCAGAGATGGCGTGGGAAGTCCCCAAACCTACGCTGACTTCGTTACGTGGATCAGCCATGTATCTAAACCCACCTACTGTACTGTAGCCCTCGACTCAATCACCATTACTATCCACCCTCGTAACCCTCCCTCAGGACCCCTCCGGTTCCGCTTTCTCGCGCCTCGGCATGGAGGCTGTGTATCGAAGCTTCGATGCAGACGGCAATGTGCCAATATCATAGAATGTTGAGTCGCGAGCCCCGAAGAGATCGCAGAAGTACTGAATCACTTCCCGAAGTCATACAGGGAGAAATCTGAGGAAGCTAAAGTAGAGCAGGAAAACGAAATCTAGAATCATCAAGGGAGAGAAGGGAGAGAAGGGAGATATTAGAATATAATCTTCTTGACACAATCTATATGCATATAACACTAAAATTCAAGATGCCTACGCTACCCAAAGTTTAGAAAGCTTGGTCAACTCTTTTAAGTACAAGAAAACCGCGGTTCAAATAGCTTCTACCTTGATCACCTAATCTAGACGAGTAGTAGTCTTATCAATAATTATTTAGAGGTTATCAATAACCTAGGTAGTCAAATTCTCCTGGAGGCACCCTCGTTTGTAATATACATACATACTTGGAAAAATTATACCAGGGATTCTACGACGGCGCGGCCAAAACCGTAGGAAAGGCACACTAAGCACCGATGACCTAGAAAATAGGACTGGCATCAAGACCACCTGATAATACAAAATAAAAAAATCCGTATAGAAACAGATAATTCTATTTCTCTATACACTATACACAAGCAAGCTCAATTCAATCGCCTCTTGTCTGCATATGGTTGACTCCTATTTCCTTAGACGATTTCGGGGTGATGGCCTGCCTGGTATGCTGCATTATTGAAAGCCGACTGGTCCTTTCGGTGTTTTTCCTGGTAAGCCGGCCCAAAGGCAGCCATCGCAATTTGGGTCAATTCGGTACCTCTGGCCTCCAGAATCGACTTTTCATTACTCCATTGGGGATACTATGAGTGGAGTAGAAAGGTTAAGACATGCTATCTTCACAGACTTGCGATACTCAGTAAAGATTAAACATGGACTTACGTTCTGGACCACCCAAGTTCCAAAGTTATCAGAGGTGAAGCCTTCGTCCTTGCTGTCCTTGTATTCTTTCCGTGCATCTTTATCCACAGATTCGAACTGTTTGAGGGCATCCTGGTACTTTGTCTTTGCATTCTCAAGACGATCTGAAAAAGAGTTGTTGGTAATGGTGAGACCATCAAAATTTGTTCGGAATGCGTACTTGGACGCGTCAAATGGAACGTCAATTGCGTTGAGCATTTTGGCGAGTGAGGAGGACTCCGAAATGAGTTATTATTTGGGATAGTCAGATAAATGCTCGAGGTGGAAGAGGGGTTAGAGGGGTACTTTATACTACGATACTAACCCGGATGTTTTCAGCTCCACATGTTCATGTTGAGTAGATATTGTGTTCAGCTAAGTGGGTATACTTAAGAACAAACAAATAGGGTTCGATGTTTCCCGCAGGAAATGACGACGTAGCCTTCGGTGATCCTGGATCTATTAGCGGTGTCGATCACAAAGAGATCGAACTGATTAGCGAAGGTGAAATAATGTATGAGGCATTTTTTAGTATATGCTAAAGTTACTTAGTTGAAAGTAACCTGTTTATCGCATAAGTCAAGCGCTGAACGGCTTCAGCCAGCCACCAACTCAACTTCACCTATATGCATACACGTCATAGATATGGAGAGCGATAGCTGGAAATTCCATAGTCTAATTACAAATTACTCTGTACACTATTATAGTTCTCTTTACATTAGCTTAAGTTGGTGATTCCGCCAAAAGTTCATGTTAACTTGTATTATAAGGCGCCTTTCCTTTTAGTAGAGCACATAATGCAATAAATATCACTTCACAATATTTGACTAAGTAAGTATCTCAATCGATTTATTCTTGCCGAATCGAGCCTGTCTCATATGTCATGGTGAGCTCATTATAGCCACTACCGCAGCGATCTATTAAATGCATAAACATCGAAAAGAGACGACAATGTACAGTACCAATATCATAGGATATCGAGCCGCGAGCCCTGAAGAGATCGTTGAAGTACTGGATATCTTCCCGAAATCATACAGGGAGAAGTTTGAGTGGAAGTGGAAGCTAGAAGAGATTGGTGGGAGGGAAAGGACGAGGAGTTGTTACATCCTCCGAGACATATTATACCCAAGTTTAAGGATGATGGAGGTAAGGATGGAGAAATTAGGAGCCAGAGGGCAATAGAAACAGCTTTAAATATGGGGTTGTAAAGTAGGTGTCTCATTCTGCATCACTTTCACATGTTATTTCAATCGTTCTATGCTATCTTTTCGTGTAGTTGCGGCGTGAATGCAATTTATCTTTGATACTGGTGTCCATAATGCATCTTGAAACGTGCCTGGATAAGAAAATGACAAGGCAGAAGGGAAATGGGACACATTCAGTCATGGAAACAGGTAGGTCCTCCTAAATCGAGACGTGGCGGGACATGATCCGAACAAGATTCTATCTTCTGGGATTAACATCTCAAGATAGAGAAAGTATTACCAAGACCAGCGGGGAATATAAGAAAACGACCACTACATGACCTGGACAACAGTGTCAGCGATTGAGAATGCAGCTGGAAAATGCAGGACTTACAGTGCAATTCTCATCCAAAACAATGGTAGTGCCTTCGCCCACTTCCCCGCCGAGGGCAGCAATACCACCAAGGGTCTGTCGCTGCCTCAAAGTTGCAGCTAGACGGGAAAGCATACTCCTCTATACAATAGAAGAAGCTGTTAGCATTCTTGTTATGGTAAAATTCCCCTTTTTAAACATACCGTAACGAATGCCTCCGTCATACCACCCTGTCGGTCAACGTCGTTTCGGCTCATGATCTGATAGCTGTCTTGCATCCGCTTGCGACTCTTGAGACCAAGACCGGAAACTCCATGTCTTCCAAGAGTGTTTGCGGCATTGTCAGGATCCAAAATATTCTTGCCTGCATGCGCTTCACCCTGAGCTCGTCTGTCAGGAGAGAAGATCTTGATGGTGTTGTCGATTCCAGAACATGCAACGGTGGGCTCGTAGGGGTGGCCTGAGAAAATCAGTAAGAATCAAAAATCAAGTTTCAGTCTGGCAGAGCCGTCTTCCTTACCTTCAATCACGTTGACCACCTCACCATCCCCTTCAAGGATATTGACCAAGTTGGAGGTCTTGCGGTCCCAGATGAATAAATGACCAGAATCGCTTCCACTGACCACATACTCATCATCCAATCCGAAGTAATTCACGTCTTTGACGGTCTTGACATTACAATGTCCCCGATAGACCCTGGTATGCGACGAACAGGGCACATCACGGTGGACGTTTTCTCTTCTCCTGCTGCTTTGGAAACCAGTTTGTCTGAAGAAGATGTCTTCCTCAGATTCTAACTCGTCCTCATCGTCTTCAGATTCATCATCCTCGTCATCCTGGTCACTCTCGCCGTCCTCAGATTCTTCGCCTTGATCATCGTCACTGTTTCCCTCATCATCACCATCAGACTGCAACGCTTGTGGCATCTCGACATCAGAGCTAGAGAATGCAGCCACTTCGTCATCCGGCCCAGAGTCCGCAGAAGATCCACCGTTTGATGCGGTCATCCGAGAAGTGGACGTATCCTGGGAGTGCGACGAACTTCGACGAGCCGCAGAAGCGCGGCCTCTGATGAGACGGACTTCCTCAACGGGCTCCTCCTCTTCATCAGGATCAATATCTTCCTGCACTCGTTCCCGCTCATCATCGTCATCCTTATCCTCCTCGACACTAGTTCTTAGTCCACCAAAAGCGCGATTCACAAGCTCAAAATTCACGCCGTCACCTGCTTGCATAAGAATACTCCTGCCAACTTTCAAACCCCAGAATCTCATTGCTGCGCGGCGATCCATTGCACGGACATTTGATGGGCATGGTCTTTCTTCGCCATCTTCCACTCTCACGCTCGCTCCGTCAAGATCCTCCAGGGGTATCTTTATGGCGTTGGCAAAGGATTTCACTGCTGAAGATTGAGTGTCAAAGACAATGCGAGATTCATCACGCTCGAACCTCGACGCATCCACATTGACCACAGGCGCTGATCCTGCCAGTTCTTCGAGATAAGGGATTAGAATCTCTTCAATCGCTTCATCGCCCGCCGACTGCGGAACAGGAAACCGTGCTCTGTCACGCCTGCGCGCAGGATCATACTTGAAACCATTAAGGAGAGCCTGCCGGTCGCCTTCCAGCCAAAGCAAAATCGCTTTCAAAAAGTCATATCCAAACTGGGACTCTGAATCTATGATGCCGTGTTCTGTCGGAGCGGGTTCAATCTGCCTGAACATCTCTAGTTGGGGGCTTTCCCCGCCTGATGCTGTCTGCAGCCGCCCTCCTAAGACACGGGCCAGTGTACCTGCCGCTTGTACAAACCGTCTTGTAGATTCCCTGTTGCGACGGAGAGTTTGCTGGAAGATAACTTCGTCGGGCGTCGGATTGACCGGATACCTCCAAGTTCTAATGGTCTCATCCATTTCCGGCAAATAAGAGGCCGCATAGCCTAGGGCTGAAGTGAAAGATGCGGTGTACGGGGTGATATCTGCAGAATCCTGTTGAGATTCCGCGGCTTCCCTCACAGAAGCCTCGAGTGAAAACAAAGTCTTCCGGAGCTTCACCAGGGCCTTTGCAATACGGTAGCTTAGGCGCTGGGCCTCGTTGAGAACAGAATACCGTGCCCTCTCCATGACGTCTTCTGGCGTATCGGAGCTTCGACGAGAAAGCGAGGGGATAGGGATATCCTCCGACTCCCCATTGCCGTAGCGTACCCGGAATGACATACTATCACCTTCGTCGGATTCGGAACGCATGCGGGAATGATGCCTGTTACCGCTGTCAAGAGAGGTCATCGAGGTCTTCTTCCGCTTGCGCTTCCTGTCCTTCGAGTGTCTCCTCCTCCCAGAATGGTTGCCATTCCGCAACGTCTCCTCCCTCTCCTGCGCTTCTCGCGCGTCGGGGCTTTGAATCAGATCAAAGCTGTAGATATGATCTCCAGACCAGCTGACCACCATCTCGTTCGGATTGGCATCACTGATCTTACACGCCGTGATATGCCCATTGTCATTGCGCCGCATCTTTCTCCTTCCATTCGGAGCAAATCGCCGGACACACCTGGTCGCCTGTCCCATCGTCTCATCCTCCGGAGTGCCCGGTGCTGGTGACGGACTACCAGGGTCGCCTTTCTCCGCGAGGAGATCTCGACCCAGCATCCGCCTGTCGTGAAGAAAACAGTGGAGGTGAGCGCCTCCCAACGCGATATAATGTGGCTGACTGCTGGAACAGGAAATGGTGTTCAGGTCCAGTTGATACCGTTTATAAGATATCAAGGGAGGAGGCACGTTGGAGTCGTCATGCTGGAGTCCAGGTCTGTAGGCCATGAAGCCCTGACCACCCCGCGGCGAAGGGTATGCTGACGACGGCTGCCGTAGATCCCACTGACGAACCTCGCCATCCTCCGAACAGGTCATAAAGAGATACGGAGACGACTCGGTGACGACCCGCTTCACCCTATCGGCGTGGGACCGGTAGACCCGTGCGTTTGTATTACCCGCAGTCAGGTAGCGTGCTCCAGCGAAGAAGTTATTGAAACGGCGACTTCTCGCAGAGGCCTCGAATGCCGAGGAAGCAGCTCCGTTGCCATTTCCTGAGGAATATTCAATGTCAAACACACGAACCTGCGCGTCGCCAGCACACGTGACCAACGTCTGGTCATTCGAATGCGGCATGAATTTCACGGAGAAAATGTTGGCGGAGTGACCAGTAGCCACAGTCGTATTCAGCGCAAATGGAGCGGTCGACGAGTCGGGCTGGTAAGAGTAGATGTTGAGATGCTGGTCATCGGATCCCGATGCCAGCAACCGCCCTGAGCGAGACCAGCTGGTTGAGTGTCAGAGCCCAAGTTCATTCTAGCCATCGCAGTGGAAGACAGTAGAAGATCGACGAGTGGAAAAAGCAAGAAAAGGAAGAAACGAAGAAAAACCGGATTTGCAACGATTTGATAGTAGAAGGAGGCCGTGGAACAACACCAGGCCACTGCGGAGGACCTTACCTGAGGGCATTTACGCAGCCTGTGTGACCACCCAGTTCGTTCACGATATCTAAGTCGTCGATCCACTCTCTGGCTCCATAGATACCCGGTATACCTGCATAGTGGGACGTCTCCCCGGTTTCCCGCCGGAGCAGGCGATCATATAATGAGGGCTTCATGATCACCAGTGCTGGTCGATTTCACTACCGACCAGTGTTCTCCCACTCCTCGAATCGGACCACAACCGTTTTCCACCTCCGGCGCGCCACTCGTTGCAACGATAGCTCCGAAGCCGGGCTTCGCTCAACGATACCGCAAGAAACCCCGCCTCGCGGTCTGTCAAGATCAGAGGCAAACAGTCCTTCTCCAGGATACAGTCGTGCTCCCGAATCAAGGGTCGAAGGATCACAACGAAACAGGGACGCTGCAACAGACTGGAAAGTCGGATCCTTTGGGGGGAAGCACGACGGGGGAAGATGCTTAGACTTAGACCAGCGTCAGCGGCTGTCCGTTATCGATAAGTAGTGACGGAGCTAAAGACAACGCTCTCTCCCCCACAGCAAAGAAAACAAAGGGAGCTACAGGGATATACGAACCAAAGAAAAAAAAAGGGAGCCTCCAATCCAGGTCCATCCGATCGAGAAACAGGAAAGAAAAGAAACGAAAGAAAAGACACACGCGATGGCGGTTTCTCAGGTTAGTTAGTTGATTCCGCTCTAAGTTGAGGGAAAGCCGGAGATGGACTGGGCAACTCAGGCAACAAGGCAGCCACACCAAAGAGGCGGCAAGCGGCAACTCGTCAACTAACCGGGCGAACCAGAAGCTGAGAACGGCCGAGCTTCGATCGTGCCAGAATCCCATGGATGTATCTTGGCTTCGTTTAGATACATGTTCATGTTCACATCTTTCTTGAGGACATATATATAACTATCCACGTATCGTCCAGTGGCCAGTTAACATTACCAGCTATGTCTGGAGATTTTGTTTAGACCTCAAGTCATCATCATAGACTCTAGTCTCAGGTATATGACAGTTTGTTTGTTCTTAAGAGATGCAAAAGTTATATACAGGATACCGTAGAATGCTTCTTTGCTTCGGTATGCCGGTCCAGTCCACATTGACTTGCCATAGAACCAACCTCTTACGCCAGACAACAATGCAGGAAGAAGTAAAAAACAAAATCAAAGAGAAGCCTTCCTAAGCCTCATTACAATAACTATATGCCAGTTCAACTCTCATTCAAATCAGAAAATATATCCATTCCATTTCACATCCAACAGAAGTGCAGAGCCAATATATCCTGCCCGGTTCGGAAATAACCAACATTCGCTGGTCCATTAATACTTGATATGCTTTTTTTGAAAGTCATCTGAAACAAACGGCTGGCTTGATACATACCCCATCTCAAGGAGCCAGTGATGGTGCGTCCATCGTTATCGTTCACTGTCTATCATACCAGACCTGGTGGAATGCTCCTCCTTCTCTGCACCTGTCCCAGGACGTTGCAGTCCAAGAACCGCCTGGGCCCGGGATCGGATGCGATCAGACAGATTCATTGCCTGCTGCAGCGCACCGCTGAAGTGCTCTGCCTCATCATCCAACCCTTTCAACGCACCCTCCATTTCTTGACAGCGTCTACGAAGTCGTAGCACTTCCTTCCGCAAAATGTCCAGTGACGTGGTTGCGAGGATATCATCTGCATCCGTGTGGTAGGAAGGTGATATCGGCACTCGATGTATCTCCAACGTCTCCGTCGACAAATCATGTTCGGTTGCAGAGTGGCGCACGTCAGTAAGCACGTGTTTGAGGGCTCCGAGCTCCTCAATCCTTTGCAGGAGTTCTTTCTTCTGCCGCTCCCATTCCTCCCTTTCGAGCTTGAACCGCCGAAGATCGGCTGCGCTCTGGGACTGCAACCGTGATGACATAGCTAGGATCTGCATGTATTGAGCTCCGCTTGTCGCAGACTGTTGATGTGCTTCCTCCTTTGTTTTCGCTAGATCTTCCACCTGGGTCTCGAGCTCTTCAGCCCGCTTCTGGAGTTTCATCTTCTCTTCGGTCAAGGCCTTGATCTCGCTGTCAGATACCTTGGTCTTCTTGTCCAGCGCTATGCATCGCGTCTGCTGACGGGAGTATGCCGCCAGGAGGTTGTCATGCTCCCGCTGTAAGGTCTGGATAGCTAACGTCTTCGTGCTTACTTGGTGCTGCAGATCCTGTAGATGTGACGTATGAGCAGATACACTCCAGCCAGGCGAGGGGCCAAGGGGGTGTATCTGAGCACTCGTGGGCGGCAGGTTGACAGATGACGGTGACGGGAGCATTCGAGACATTCCAGTCTGCGACGGTGATTGCAGACGAGCTAACGGTGCAGGAGACGACAGCAGCCCATGGGGAGAGCGCAACCCAGGTTGAGAATATGCATCCGAAAATGGAGTGTTAGCACCTTCTCGAGACATTGCAAAGCTTTGCTCATTTGATCTTGTATCGTGGCGTGTCGGCACGCTGTGACGTCGATGAACATCGCTCTTGTCAAGATCTTGATTCACCAGACGTTTCTTTGGATTTTCAGAAGAGGTGGTCTCGAGCATCGACGATACTTGTGGCTGGACGGACGACGCGGGTGGGTTACCCGACGGGAGCACTGGCTGGGATCGACTGACAGTCAACCCACCTACAAAGGTAGTACACCGTTCGATAACAGTTGCTGCCCATTTCAATTGCTTTTCCACATCAGGCTGTCCCGAGCCGCCTGACGGTCCCTGAGAGTCGTAGGTCTAGAATATATGATTAGTCGGGTGTCAAATCCGCACAGTAGATCGTTCAGTTTTTCACCTGTCGTGCAAAATGGCCGTGTCTTAGTGGAGAAGCTCGCTGGAGTTCATTTTCTAGGGAATCGACTTCTGATAAAACCTTCTGAAGCAAAGGCTTCACCAGAGCGCATTCCAGACACTGGTGGCTCGTATCGTGGCGGCTCTCTATAATTTTCCGCATCGAGAACATACTCTGAGATCTGTTAGTTCCATCTCCCAGTGCATTCGGTCGAGAACTATCACACCGCATGGTGCCTTCACGGGATAATATCGTCTTCAAAGGGGGAAGAGGATCATCATATTAGTCGGATGAGAACGCGGTAACATAGGGATGAGGGTGTTTTGGGAGGTATACCTTGTTCATGGGATCCATGCCCTGAGCGCTGGCCTCAAGTTCATAATCATAAGATAGCCGCGGCCGCTTTGGACTAGGTCCAACAGGGGAGGGGAAATCTCCCTCACGTTGCTGGAGATGCTCTAGTTCCGCCGCAGAGTGTGGCCTGCGACGAGCTGAGGCAAATGCCCCGCGATCAATGTCAAAAATTCCCGGTAATGATGGTAGCATCTTCCCCTGCGGGGACTGATCCGCAGAGGTGCATGCCAAAAGTAGTGCAGAGAGATCCGACTTCATAGTCGCGTCAGGTGGCCGGCTCGTCAACGGGCCGGCTGTAGTAGTGAGATTCTCGTCCCATCCTGGCCTTAATCGTGGACCAGTGTCCATCGCGGTGACGGACCTCCAACTGTGACTGAGCCGCTTCCAACCTTTAATACCTCCATGCGTCGATTAAGAAAACACTGCTTAGTCGTTCTGAAATTGAAAGACGTCGAACTCAGTTGTAAATAAGAAAAAAGTGCCAGTTGAGAGAACGTTGCTATGACTCTGATGGGGTTATCAACAACTCAAAGACATAACCAGTACCCACAAAGCGTACAATGAGCCACAGGATCGTATCTTGACAGAGTCACCCCTCAAGGATCGTGGCGAATCATCAAATCTGTAGTTTCTTGTGCCTGTCCACTCTCAACGTATGATCCGGGTGCTACCGGGGGGTCGCGGCACAGATAAGATGCCCCAGATCGAAGTTCAGCCAGAGAAACGATGACTGCAGATCAACTTCTAAGCAATGTGAACGAATCTTAGGCATGAAAAGCAGCATGGAAAGACCCGGGAAGGAAGTGATCGAAAATCCTGGAGATGGTGCAACAAGATGGACGACGATAGAAACGCTGTATAACGGATAAATGGGGCTCCGTCGGATTAACCGGAGAACAGCCTGACTGGCTCTCCTGCACAGAAGAAGCAGTATGTTTCTGCTTCCTCGATAAGAAGGGGAATAATAATATTATAAGAATTGATGAGAATCTGAAACGTCCAGTCCAATTGTTGCGGATTCAATTTTGCCTCGCGTACGATGGTCGAGACTCTACACTCGACCAGTACGGAGAACGAGATTGGACTTGCTTCTGGTGCTTTTCGCAAGACAGCACCAGCCTTCCCTAGTCTTGGCTCAGTTCCCAGCTGAAACTTGGAAGACGGTAACTGCTGATGCAAAGCCCTAGAGGAAGGCAGCAGTGTGCAAGCAGCTGTCAAGTGGTGGTTCAATGATAGCGCGAGATGAGTGCAGTCTAGGCTGGGTACGTGGGAGAGCAACCATGTGTGCTAGCTACCGAACCCGTCCGACTCTTACTTGATGTTGACAGCTGTGGCTGGGCGCAGCCCACGTAACAATAATGCGACCTCGTAAGACTATGAATGTCATTGAAGGGAAATAGGGAAATAATCGAATGATCTGGGCGGCAGTAGTGGCCATCTCCGAAAGCCGCGCCAAGCATCGCGATGATGACAAAGCAGTTCAAGTGAGTTAACTTAACTAGGTAGGTAGTTATCTTGCTACTCGTGGGCTGAGATTGTTTATTCGGACGCTCAGGCGTTGGTTGTTCCTACCCGAGGGCTGTCTCTCAAGTATGCTAATTACTTATGATGTGGTATACCATGTATCTATCCTACGACCGTTGACTCTGCTCTCGTAGTGTAGACTTTGTTTGCAAGAGGAATCTTATCATGAGTAGAAGCAAGATGATACTCGTTGCTCAAAGTTCGGATCCGCCGGAATCAGCTGATCTCCTATATCCAGAATAATCGGACTGGGAACGCCTGAACCACCAGAAAGTGACCCCAAGCTCGACGTAACAATACTCTTTAAACCAAGGAAGCTCCTCTTCTGAGTGTTCACCCGAGTGAGACCAAGGTCAGAAGTTAGACTCCTGACCGATGCTGAATAAGCGAGTTACCTGGAGATGGATGCGGGTGGTATAGGCGCATTAAGATCTAGCAGCGTCGAAGACCGAACTCCTCGCTGGTCTGCTAGATTTCTTTTCTCCGATTAGATCAAACCTTCACAACTGTTCCCCGCAGAGCAATTGCCAGGCGGACGTAATAATGGTTACATGCCCAGCGGCCTTTTAGGTCACCTAATGCACGGACGCTTTGGACTAGTGATGCAAGATCGGAATCGCCAAGCAAACGCTCTTAGGCCCCAGAGTCGTCTCTTTGGATGAGGAAAGAGATGCGGCTATGAACACGAGATTTGAAGTGCACTTGACAGGGCCGATAATTACTATCCGATATTATTAGATGTTAGTGATTGGATGTCCCTGCTTTCCCCTACCGCCGAAGGTCGCGGTTGCAGTTAGAACGGGACGACCGACAACGGAACCACAAGCATCGGTGCTGCAAGACCTGTGGGCCAGTCTGTTTGAACCAGACTGCGATCTCGTAGTGGTTCAATTGGCCGTTCTGCGTTCTTTTGGTCTGCAGACGAGTCTTGACGAGGACGCTAAAAGGCGCACAAAGAGCCTATTGGAGGCTATGGGCACCTCGATGGGAGAAACAGCGGAGATTGCTGAGCATGAGACCGTAACTCGATGCTGGCAGATCAAGCACCTGGCCTGTCAAAACCCCGGTGCAAGAAACCAAGATTATTGTCCCGGGTGTCGGACTCGAGATAATCGGGGCGAGGAACAACATTGGTCGTCTCTTTTGCGGAATCCGCCGACAACGTCACGGCAGGGTAATAAGACGGTATCGTCCGTATATGTCGACTCTTTCGATAGTGACTAACAGATCCGGGTGTTATGTCCAGACACCAACTCTAGTTTCAAGTCTTCCGTCAACAGGCTGCAAATCATCAACAAGTTTGGTGATCGATGATTTCTCTGATCTGACAATGTCTGTTTCGATGCTGCGCATAACAGACAGTTCTTCAAGCATCGATGCCAGCAGCTCTTGGTGGCCATTGGCAATTCGCAGCAGCGCAGAATTACCCAGCTGGTCGCGATCTGATTCCCCGCAGATGTCTAAGTTCTGTAGCTTCCTTAGGCACAAGTCAAGTCTAGCGCTTAGCACATCAACTTCCTCCTTCCAAGTGCGGTCTAGAGGATCAAGGAAGTCGAAATCCCCCATGAACGTTGAGGATGTAGACGCTTGTTCACGGGCTTGCTTGACTTGAGCCGCATTCTCCATCCAGTCCTCGAAAACACGAACCACCTTAGGGTATCTCCCTTCGCGGGACTCTGTCATATCATTTACCTCTTGGACAACATGAGAGAGAGTCTGGATCTGTTCTGCGAAATCTTGACGGCTGGTATTTTTCGCGATATTCTCAGACCAATTGGCCAAAGCCAGGTAGTTCAATTCTCTTTGAATGGACTGCTCTTGAGCCAAGACGGAACGATAACTATCCGAGATAGAATTGTACATCTTGCTCAATTTCTTTTCAGATGTCGTCTTCCAATCCATGTTCTGTTGGTTGTAGGATGAATAAAAGAGGTGTAGTTGCAAAATCTCCGTCTGCAGAGCGGCGATATCTGATCGCGACGAAGGTATCATGAAGGAGTCCAGCTCTGTGGAAGCAGAGCTAGCCGCTGTCGTAGGTGTTGGGGGTTTCGTGTTCTTTTTGGGACTGTAATGCTGCTGGTATGTTGAGAATTGCGGTCGTGACCTTGCCAGTGAGACAGACGAAGCCGCATCGGACCTTGCAGGTAACTCATTTCTGGATGATGATGATGATGATGATGTTGTCACAACCTGGATACGGTGCCTTGCATGCCCCCTACCAGCGGGTGGTTTAGCTGAGCTGGCGGTGGCCGGCTGCCGTAACGATGCGGATCTTGTGGGACGTGCAGGAGGAAGCATCTGCGATCTCTGAGGAGAGCCTGGATCAGTAGACTTAGAGGGAACATTGTCGGTTCTCAGTGTAGAAACAGCTCTGGGAGATGTTGTTTGCGATTTCGCCGGAGACGGTAGCCTGGGTAGGTTTGGAACAGCCGTTAACCCAGATTGGAGCGCTGTAGAAGCTTTTGACTCCCCAGTTTGTGCTGCGTTCTGACGTCGGGCCGCTGGAGAGGATTCCTGAGGTTGTTCCCTGACCGGTTGTGCTAGACCAGGCCGCCGCAGTCGACTTTCCTGGCGCTGAAGCGACACTCCCTCTCCAGCACGTCCATTGGCCCTTTGTGAACTGCTGCGCTGCGGCAGAAGACTGTTTCTGGGCGCAGGAGCATCGTCCTTATTCACAGAAGAAGCATCCGTAGTCGAAGCAGTAGTGACAGTTGGCGACGACTTCCATTGCGTCTTAATTCTCTGGCTCCCCGGCCCGCCGGAAGCGTTCGTTGAATTCGATACCGGAGTCTTGATCGAACTCAATTTAGTCGTCGTCGGCCGTCCAATGTTGGATTCCTACAGGATCAAAGACGTTAGAACATCACATAATAATAAACAAAAACGCGTCTAAGACCCCTGTCGGGGACCGGAGCCATCAGCACGGTGAGAAAGAGATCCGCTATCTTACCGACCTTTCTCTGACCAACGGTCGGCTCCCTCAGGGAGAGGGAGCGCGTAGGTATCGGCATTCCTGATACGAAACGAACGTAGAGCGCATAGAAAATGCCACGGCTCCAAAAACAGCTGGTGATCAAAAAGATGAGCGATATCTCATAAGAATGCAATTGTTTCGGGGGTGGAGACGGTTCATCTCCAGGACCAGGTCATGATACCAAGCTATGGTAGGTCCTGCTAGACTACACCGCATTTAATCTCAACAAGCTTGGCGTGATGAAGATCGGGAAGTCCCCACCATTTGCCGCCTTGATCAGCCACAAACAAAGCCGAAAAGGAGTTGCCTTTGGAGTATGGTAGGCGCGCACGATGAATGAATTGCAAATTGTTACTGGCACGGTCATTGAATTGCGATCGCTTTATGGAGTATGTCTACGCAAAAAGGGTTCATCAGGCACGCTACCTTTTGTTTGGGGCGTAAACAATAGAGTAAAACTATATATTTATACGTCTTTGTGATTTGTCGCCTTATGTGGTGGGATCAATATGAGCGCAATGAATCTAACCTTTGCTCCTGCTCCTGCTACAAGTATACATTATCTATTGAGGAAATGTGATTGCAAGAATCTGTATGGCAATTCGATTGGGTACGACAGCTGGTATTGATTTCCTTAAGACCGTAAAAGTTGACATGATTGAAACAGCGGAGATTTCCCCTCTCTCCCTCTTAACATAGCTGGTCCCTTTTTGTCTGTAGACACGTCACTGTTGGTAATGGAACATTCGTCAAGATCGGTGGGCTCGATACGCATAGCTGGGCTCCCGAATAGCCGTCACAGACTGCCTCGTCGTGGGAAGGACACGCCTTCTACGGCAGCATTGTCGGTGAACCAGTTCACCCTGTCTCCGGCACCAACGTTAACAAGACCGGATGGCAGACTGTGTCCTTCTTCCGTGTCGAATATCCTCCTCAGGATTTCCTTCTTGCCGCCGCCCGTGGCGACGAATGCAATGGACAACGCGTGCGTAACGACCGGAAGAGTCAGAGTAATTCTCTTTGGCGGCGGCTTGGGAGAGTTCGAGATGGCTGCAACCCATGCGTCCTTCTCACGGAGAAGTTCGTGGTCGGGGAATAGGGAACAAGTGTGGCCGTCCGGACCACAGCCCAAGAGGATGAGATCGAACACGGGAAGCTTGACACTGTCCTTGGCTGCGAATGATCGCATCAGTTCCTCCTGGTACAAATCCGCAACCTCCTGGGGATCATCATCACGGACATGCTCCGGGTCGATCGTGTGAACTCTGGGCTGTCCCAGCTCAGCAGGAATCTTGTCTAGCAGCTCATCCTTAATCAGACGATAATTGCTGTCCGGGTGGTCGAGTGGCACGACGCGCTCATCGGCAAAGAATATATCCCATTTGGTAAATTGGGGCGTGTCGTCTGGAGTACCGTTGCCGGGCGCCAGAAGGGCTTTGGCCAAGGTGTTCGGTAGAGAGCCGCCCGAGACAGCTAGCCTGAAGCTGCCATGGCGCGTAATGGCAGCGTTCTGGTTGTTCAAGACATACGTCCTGAGTTGCTTCGCCAGAGAATCGGTGTCTGAGAAGCTAAACAGCTTGGGTGGTGCGCCCGCCATTGTGAGCGTTGGAGTCAGTTGAGGTGTCGTGAAAGTGTCGGCGGGGTAGCGGGGTAAGGATGGTGGTTGATTCCTCACGATCGATCTCTCGCAACGGCAAGCCGAAAGTGATGCAAGAAGCGCGCTGAGATCGCGGTAATTGAGTTGGACTGTCTCCCAATGACGGACTGGACCTCGTTGCGATGGGAAGACAGCTCGCTGTCAGTACAGATAAGGTCAAGAAGCCTTCAGCCGGTGTCAGAAGCTCGTGGAAAGAGCATGGTGGGACCGCAGCTTGAGATCATTCATTACTCCCTTATCCGTCACCTGAAACAGCATTCTTGGTCAGCATCGAGCTCCAGAGAGCCCACGCTTAACCATCATGACGTTGCTCACGAATCCTGGCCCCTGGAACAGACGATAAGTGCTTCTGGATGGCGAATAATAAGGGCCATTGTCGACTACCGCCCGCCAACGACGGATGTGCGCTGTGCACGTTCCATCCTTAATTATGCTCAGTATTATCTCACTGCCACTTCAGTTCTGTTCTGCCAGTTGACATGCTAGGAAATCTAGTGATCCATGGAAGAATCCGGCGCGAGGAGAAGCAGAGGAAGAAGTAACCGTCCATGCTCTCCGGGGACCAGCAGATCTCACGGGAGATAAGTAAAAGCTGGTCTGCCGCCTCGCGACCAGACTTTCCCCACAAGCCACCAGTTGCAGATTTATCGGAGAAAAATCAACTGGATTGCCCAAGAGTAATTACCCGCTTGGGTTAAGTGAAAAGGGAGAACGGGGGATGCTATAACTATGTGAAACGGTCTCTACTTTCTGACCGGGCTTGAACTATTATATGTGGGCTTCTCTCATAGCTAGAGTCCGTCCCTTACTACTTGGTTCTCTGGTGTCTGGCACTTGAAAAGACGAAACTCTCAAGTTGTTTTGCGGTCTGGGTGGAGTCGTACTCTATCTAGATCGACGACTCTTCTTCCCCTGCCTGCGAAGAGGTCAACGGCGCGGGGCTCCAGGATTTCGACATGTTTTGATCATGGAAAAAGCGTCCATGCGTCCATGCAACGAGCTCATTTCGGCCATCCACTAAGATTAAAGCCTCTATCCGCCGGCCATTTAGACCTTGGAGCTAAGTGAGATCTGCGATTCACAGATAACGGCACCCCTTCCTGCATCTCAGGAATCAAGCCGCTTCGGTGATTTGCGAAGGCGTCCATGTTGCAGCAGTAGTCGGAAGGGAGAGGGAGAGAGAGCCAGGTTCACATGCGGAGAACGCATGTAGATAGACGTCATTGCCAAGTCGACTGCTTCGATACGGGGAATCTGATAGCAGAGTAAACAATCCATCTCTCGAGTCGGAGGGGCGAAGACCGTGGCATGTGCCTGGTTGTTTGATTATAGAGTAACTACCAGCAGGGAATTCGAAAAAAAGAAAAAAAAAATTGTCTGATATCACTATTACCAGAGGGTAATGGTGCTCATGGAACTTGGAGCCGGATGTGGATGCCAGGTTATATTGACAGGAGCTTGCATCACTCCGCTACGCCAACCCACCTGTGAGAGTGGTGTATAGAGGACAAAGCCTTTTTTGTTCGGCGGTCAGATATTGCGCGTGGCGGATTGCGATTTCTGGGATGAGGCCAGTACAAGTTGGCAGGTAAAAGGAGCCGACAGGAAGTGATTGCTCGTAGCTAAGTATACAAGCAACGTCGTAAGAAGATAACGACGCTTTCCCCAGTCTACTTCATATCGGCGATCCCTTCCAGCGAAGCAGCGCTGAGATGTGCCTGGGATAAACTCGGGGAGGCAAAAGGCGGCGAGCGTATCGGCACGCACTCCCGGGACCAATTGGGCGGCCGGGCCAGCACTGCAGGCCAGCCCAAAGGCAACGAACGGCCGCCTGAAATTTCCAGGGCGACAGCCAGATGGGCTAAACGCCACGGACAGCTAGGCTGGGTGATTGGTTCCACCCCGGGACTGCAGTTCATTTCAATTTTCAGGCGTGTTCGCGACGAGGGAACTACTAAGTTATGTAGGGATGGAGCCCTGAGAAGAATATCAACAAGCCACTCAGCGGGTCAAACGGATGGATATGCTGAGTCTGAAACGTAGTTTCATTTTAGAGCCAGCATGTTGTAGTATGAGGATCTCGGTCTTTTCAACATCTGGCTGATCAGAATGGATGATCTCGATCATCGCCGGCTGTATTTTATTATCTCCGTTTTTATTTTTTTATTTTTTTTCGCAGCAAGACCAGGGAGTCGAGGACGTTATCTGCCCAAGTTCGACCGCAGTGGAGCAGGGGAGGGGCAGCACCGCCAGCTTGGAGCGCAATTTAATGAAGGCTCAGCCCGGCGCTCAGATCTTTCTGGGATGAGTAAGATCAGTTGTGCGCTCGGTTGCAGGTGAACTACTACTATTATTTATGGAGTAATTCATTCTGAAGTGTCTGATTCTTGGGGTCATGGCGCCCAGACCAGTCATGACCGGACCGTCGCTAGAGTCGTTTACGGACCACTGGCCATCGCGGGTTATCCAACCTGGGCACGGGGGTGAATGGTGATGCCAACGACATTGGCCCTGTTCCTGAGCGCCAGACGAATCGACAAATCGACCGGCGTTGACGATCAGCTGGCCACGACGTGCCTGTCAACCTTGAACGAAGGGTCTGGTGATGACGACACGACCGGCTCGCCGGTGATGCGACAAGCGGGCATCGCTCAGCCTGCAAGGAGCGCGATCTGGCTGGTCAGGAGGTCGAATTCGGAATGGAAGCGATGTAGTCGCCTTAGGGTCGTAGAAACCATGATCTCGGATGGCCGATGTGCTCCTCTGCCCATGGTTACCGCGGGTGGATAACTGAGCCCACCTAGTCTAACTAATAATACTACTCAGTAAGCCTTAAACTCCGTCCCCATTATTCCCCCAGTGTCCGTTTATCTCTCATGATTGTCCGGCACATCCGTCCTGACCACTTTATTTGAGCCGTCCTGAAGGCTGTCGATGTGGATATAATCTCCTGTTTGCCTCCTGTTCTTATATAGCCCCGTCGCCATCCCCAACTGCGCTGTGTCTTCTGAACGGTTTCTGCCTGACATACACACACACATAACTACCATACTAAGAAGAGAACCGCTGAACGCGCGCCCAACGCCCCTCTTAGTTTCTCTCAACCCGTTGGGAATACAAAAAGGAACAAAAGGAACAAAGGAACAAAGGAACAAAAAAAAAAAGAAGAAGAAGAAGGCGACAACCCATTGGAATCGACTCGACTCTTGCAAGACCTTTGTTTTTCTCTCCTCCCCGCGACACTCACCTACGGAGAACATCCCTCATCCTCGTCGCACAAGCCACAATGAGCTCTCCATCGATTCAAATACAACCTCAGGCCACCAACGGCGCTGAGAGCCTGACACCACGATCCTCCTCAGAGGCCTCAGCAGCAATTGCCTCGTTCGACATTGTTCGCTGTTCCAGATGTCAACGATCGCTCAGCCTGGAAAATGCATCCTCTCCAGGCGTGGTGCGGTTCGGCATGAATTCTTACTACTGCAGCCGCTGCGCTTCCATGGTGGGGTTCAACCGATGAGACGGTGCGCTTTTTTTTTGAGGCACAGCACCAAACGACCACCCAACCCTCAAGAAAGCCCCGATGCAGCATTCTTTTGACCACAGTCTTAAGCTACAAGACCCGAGTCCCATCAAACTTGTTGACCCTAAAGCACGACGCTAGTGGCACTGTTTGCGGACAATCTGCGAATCCCGCGATGACACGACACTCAAGAGAGAAAAAGAGAACACCTTGGAAACGAAGTGACTACTCTAGTCAAGATCTCGTGGGCGCAAGACCCACGACGCTTTTTCGACATGCGTGCTTCGAACGCAATCCACGATTCTATGGGCCCTTATCATTCGCTGGGCATCACCTTCACCTCATCTGAAAGAAGAACATGAATACACGAACATCAATGGCGCGGGGCGCACAATATGTATCAACTGCGGAATGGTCACTCCCTTGAGGTCGTGGGTATTCCGGAATGCACCAGCTGGGGACTGAGCAGGACTCGTCCAACATATGTTTTTGGAGAATTTTTTTTATCTTTGGCGCGTGAAATTTTCTACTGTTGCATGGTTCATGAGCGGGATTTAGCGATCGGTTATTGACATTGTTTCTGTTTTTATATATACCTGTTGAGCGATATGCATGCATTGGTCCGTTCCAGAATGGGCCGACTGGGGTTTCTGTTTTTATGTGTTTCCATGGTTCATGTTCCTGTTAAATCTATCCTCGTATCGGGAATGATTCAGATGTTTGTGATAAATCTCTTTCGCAAGATTTGAGAGATCTTCTACGCTGTCCGGACCGTTGGATCCCTAGCTCGATATGCACTTTTGAGATACCCCATACCCCTGGTCACTGAGAAACAGTGCATGGACGGCGTTATACTACTATGGTTATTTTGCCTCTTTCAACAACCCTCGAGTATACCGAATTGTAACCGTCTCTTTGCGTCATGAGTATATGTCTCGCATACTATAGTCCAATCTCTCTGAACTTTGTAATCAGCCCTATGCCCGCAACGCTGACTTCATCACCGCCGCGTCAAGGCCACACGTAATCAAAGCCGCAAACGCCACATGTGTGACTGTGCAATGCTTACCGCATATCTCGACTGGGATTCTCTCTCTGCACGATTCGAAACAGATGTTCTATGCTGGGGCCTAGAATTGCGCATGGAGAAAGTTTCCATGCATTCCTGCTTGCTGGCTTTGCCCTCTCTGGCGGTCCCAAGCATCTGCGCCCGGCGGTATGAGCATAGCCATTCCTAGGTACTTACTTCGCCTCATCGACCTGGGCTCGTGCTTCTTCCTGTCCACGGATCATAAGGCGCTTTCACCGACGGTTTTTCGGAAAGCCATGTCATGATTCCACGATGTTTGCCTAGGGTCGAGACCCAGAGCATCGGGACCGTTGGGCTTCACCACAACTTCGTGCCGGGCAACAAGGCTGCAGGTACGCAAACACCAAAGAGACGGTGTGACTACGTACTAGATACTGTGACTACGGAGTACAGCTTAGGCAGTTCACGAAGGAAAAATTTTTTGTTTTTATTTTTATCTAATTATTTTTTTTTTACTTTGGTGCCTGGTCCTTTTCCCTCACCCGATCGCAAACATCGAGATCCTCCAATGTCGTTTACGGGTCGACGCGATCCGGAAACGAGCAGGGCTGGTGCATACGGCTGAGTCAGAGACTCCCAGTCCCTGGATATACATACCCAGGTAACATAACTCCTTATCACAAGGAAAGGCGTAAAGTCTCTCGTGTTTAACCCAGGCTTCTAAGTTTTTCTTTTGCCACTCAGGTACGCCCCAAAAGCAGCGCTAACTAACTCATACTTTCAGTTCCGCCAAAACCCAAGCCTAACCCGGTATCCCGCACGTTCCAGACTTTTCAGAGCTCGAATCTTCGAGCGTTCTCTGCGGAATAATAATGACCAAGGGAAAGAAAATCTTTATTTTTCTGCAACTTTCCCTGCAGCTCGTGTAGCTGACCGTTGGTTACTAAGGAGATCCAGGCAAGACATAACTTTGTTGCGCAAGTCTCGGTTGGGGAAATTGCTGGAAATGTTGGTTCCCCTTTAGCTCCATACTGTACTGCTAGTCTGCTACTAAGTCGTTAGTGGAGAGCTCGGCCGGGTACCGGCGAAGTTACCCTAAGTCAGCTCATGCCTTATGGATGCATGCACAACTTTGGTAAGTCTTCTAGACAGTACGAGAAGGAAGCAGTACCATGATAATAATCGTAAGTCTATGGTAAAGGAATGTCATATGATGGCGAATAAGGAGCATCACCGAATACTTACCATAGTTTCATAGTATAGTACACACGCCAATTCGCTATTTTAGTTGCTCGTGATTGCTTGTTCATGGATTTTCACAACCGCGAGCATCCGAGTCGCGATCTTTTTGTAGTACTAACTATTCTACGGAGTATGTATTACATACTGCTTTAGCTTCAATTATCCCGCGTTATTTGAGAACTCGTGTTTGAGTCAACAGATAATAATTCTAATCTAGTCGCTTCCATCCATAGCTGGTGTCCACTGTCTGTAGATCCAGACACCAATATACTCTTCACCCTTACCATCTCATCCTAGTTAACGTTATCAAAAAGGCAAAATAATAACTCCCCCTTATTATTTCCCTCAAAGATTCGACGTCCAAAACCGTCAAAGACATTTCTGTCGATCCCCGCGTCGGAGAAACAAACGCACGTGCATACATACATACATACATAAAATGTCAGACATTCGAGAAAAAAAAGGGATCATGAACCTTATTTAGATCCAGTCCTAGAATTCTTCTAGAAGGGAGCGACATTTGGGGCAAAACCCACAGACGATCATCCTGCACACAAAATTGAAAAAAGAGCCCGCCCACCCAGAGGACCTATCTACTCTAGTTCAGCCCACTATCTGCTCTAGATATGTTTCTGTTGTTTTGCAAACGGAAAGGAAGGGCGGCGCGCGTGTCACTTCTAAGTTCTTGGGGGGAATGCAGATCCCGCACGAGCAACCCTGAGGCTGGGGGAATACCAAAAGGAGATCGAATCGGACCCATCGAGGCCGAGACAGGCATAGATACACTGGTCCTGTCACTCTGGTAGATAGTGCTAATCTCGATAGTAGTGCAAGTGCAAGTGATAGTCTGCGGTTCTTCGCGCGAAAGCAGCAATAATGATACTGAAATTTGGATCTCCAGCTTACCAACTTTCAACGTGGAGACTTGACTTCAACAACATTCTTCTGCTACGCTATTCCTTATATAGGATCAATAATAATTAATACGCATGTACCCTCGTTTAAGAAAAAGGAGCTCATTGCGTGGTGATACAAACGGCAGGAGACCACAGGCACAGGGCCTTCGTCCTACTTTGGAGTATCGACGCTACAGTCAGGAACGCTGAGATGCTGAGATGACTAGGTTACACGAGCCAGGAACCTTCTCGTTCCGGTAGATGATCCCGGAACTCATCAGATTCCTAATAGGAGTGACAGCTGCTGCACTTGCGACACAGGATAGAGTCTGTTTATCTTGAAGCTGTTCAGCCAATAGCTAACTGCTACAATACTAGAGGGATAAGAGCCTACGGAACCCAAAGTGACAAGCCTTTCGTATAGTAGAGCTATCTATACCGCGATACTACGATCATAAACTGAATGTCAAACTGACCATTGTTGTACGGCCCGTCCTGATGCGGGATCTTCTCGTTCACAGTGGTAAATCGAGATCGTACCTAATCGGGGGATCACTCCGGCACCGCCGCAATCGTGACAGCGGGAAGTTTCCTACTGTATCAGATTGACTGTATGAGAGTCTTCTGTACAGCCTCCACCGAAGAGATCACTTCGCACTTCTCCGAGGACAGGGTCCAAGGTGTCAGACCGCGGCCACGGCGCCTATCTGCTGTGCGCCATTCAGCCTCGACAGCTTCTGCCAGTTTAGCGCAAGGGCTTGTGTGATGCTCCACGGTTTTGGACGGACGATACCCTGGACAATCTTACGAGGCGTGAGATTGATGATTTTATCCAACCATAAGTGGTTTTCAGGTACCAGTTCCTGGACGGCATCCCCATGAGCTGAAACGGTCTCCAGATCCGTATGCAGCGCAGATCCCGAGCCAAGGAGCAGAAATTCTCACTAAGATGGCGGAATGTGAGATTCGATATCGCTAGTATAGTTCCCTCCACTTGCTGGACCGGGGTACTCGACGCTACAGACCGACAGTGAACTAACTAATCCAAGATTCGCACACCCGATCGATCACTATTTACAGGGTTGCATTTTGCAGGCTCTCTTACTTCACATTTTTGAAATGATAGCATGAATTAGCTTCTCTGCCAGAACCCGTTCTAAGAACTGTGTATAAATAACTCCTCGAGGCCATAGCGGTTTGCGCCACCCTTGCTGGTAACTAATGAGACTAAGCTTGGGTTTCTGTGCTACTGCCAAGTCTGCTTCCTGAGCACTCCTTCCAATCGCGGCGGTTTTGACCCTGCTCAACGTACGGAGCACTAAGCGCTGCGAAGTGCGATGCTATATGACACCTCACACGCGTTGATTATTCTAGCGCTCATGTCTCTCATCTCTCAGGGATTCCCTTGACAATGATCGATCGACGATCGCAATGATCTGCGTTTCCCAAAGCATGGACTATCGCGGCTTTATCATCGGAGTCTTCGGTTGATCAAGGGGCCCGGCGGCAAGAAACTACAGGTGTCATTCCTTCGAATCCACGACCATTTTAGAGTACAGCTACGGGCCTACGCTTGCCGGTTTCTACTCTGTCACTGTCTGGGAGCCTGGGCCGAGATCATTACAGACTATTTTAAGAGCATTTCCAGTGATCCTTTGATCGATACCGCACAATCCAAGGCGAACAAAAAAAGAAAAGAGAAAGAAAGAAAGAAAGGAAAAGGAAATAACAAACGCTCTGACCGCTCACCCACCTTGCAGCTGCTGATAAAACTTCGGCCCATTGCAGTGTCAGACAGGAGTGGCCCACCTGTCATGGCGCTTGCTACTCCTTGAGTCCTTGCAAGCCACATCCGCCGAACTTAAGGTGTACGCCAGTCCATCATCTTCTTCAAATACTTGGGCTGTATAGCCCTAATCTGCGATTTGCTACCATACAACCGGTACATGTAACCATAGCAAAAGGAGTCCCGGTACTCCCAGAATTGCCAAATTGGCTCGCTTCAGTACTTTGGACGGATGGAGTAACTACAGCAGAAACTGTACGTAACCGAGAATACCTCGAGACGGACCAGCTAGTGATATGAGCATTGTACCGAAATGACAAAGCCAAGGTCCGCAGATCTCTCCGGAACATGCGATGCAACCAGGGGCAGCGCAGTTTACTACTTTGCACTGCTGCGAGGAAAAGCTAGCAAATACCTGCAAATCATCCGGGGCCATAGCACACCCAGCGGGGTGACTTACATGATGCGAAGGAAGTCGGGAGGAAAGGAAGAGAATGCATCACTCATCTCCCTTCTCCATGATGATCCTATCGGCTTCGACCCTTTATTATTCGCCGAAGGAGTGATCTGTGGCTTTCCCGCGCTGGCGCTGCGACGTATCTCCAGCCTCAGCCATCTGGCCCTTTCCGGGGATCTTGCCCGCAGTGACAAATAGTATGATACCCGTCAGGTGGGACCATTGACAGCATGCAGAGCTGGGTTTAATGTTTCCTTTTCTTTGTATACCTCTAAGGCCATGTCTCTGTGGTATGTCTTCGATCGCTTCATCCCCAAATAATCTCTAACATCTCACACATCATTCCCGAAGTAGCTTCAAACGGCCAACAGGCCCATACATAGTACAAGCCGGAATTTCTAGCCCCTTTAACAATCTCTGCTTCACACCCACTGGATTATCGGCTAGCAGCGTTGGACATAGCAGACTTATTGTCTGCGTTCCCTCGCCGCCTGTTTCGCCAAGCTGTCATGCTCTTCGTTACCTCTTTATGATTACCGTCCATGAAACAAGCGACTTCATCCAACACCGGGACCCGTCTTCGACCTTTCCTCCTTTCATTTCTGGTTCGGTGCTGCGGTTATATACCTCCGTCGGTGAGCATTAAACAAGCGGTCAAACAGCAAGCAGCTCTGGAACTTAGCACCTCATGAGGTTATTCCCCCTTTGCGTGTGATACCCAGACGCAGGTTTTCCAAATTTGCCTCGTATCTCAAGTAGCACAAAAGCAACCTTTGTTGTCTCTGTCTCCTAAACCAAGATCACCAATTTGTTATCCAGGACTGAGTTCTGACTTTCCTTTGCTGCATATTAGTGTCGACGTGGAGTCTATCAGAAAACAACCAGCGGACGCTATGCCCTCCCCGCCACGGGAAAGAGGACGACCAAAAACGAGAAGCTCTGAGACTGAGTTTGTTCTATTTATTCGTGGAGTAAGTAAGCTCACAACAATACTATGTTTTGATTGCAATCATCGACCAGTGACTTACGCACGTTGCAGATTCCAGCACATTGCCGATGGCAAGAACTTAAAGATTTGGTGCGCCAGACTGCCCTGCACATCCGGCAAGCAGTGGTGTACGATGACCAGCATGGGTTCCCGACGGGGCTTGGCCAGATTATCGTGAAGAACGAGGACGAGGCGTGGCGTACTTATCGTGTGTTAAAACCTCTCTTCATTCTAGCTTGCGTGCGCCAATGCTGACCTATTACTCCCAGATAGACTAGCTAGCAGCGGTTGGGATGGACAGAGCCTGACTGTGACTTTATCCCGGACGAGCTCGCCTACTCGACCGATTGCTGGACCGACAAAAAGCCCGCCTTGCGTTGCGCAGCCCGTCTATATTGGAGGTTACTCTCCACCAAGAGTGACCGGTATAACTACTCCGAGTTCGTCCCATTCTGCAGAGTAGGTGCTATCAACTTCATTCCCGTTCTATGCGTTTTTGATAGGAACCGCTGCCATTATCGAAGAGTGGTCTTCATTGACGCTGCAATGTATTAGAATGCCCACAGTGCCACCGACTCCTACATATCACCACCAAACAGAATATGGACCCATCCCGAGCGCAACGACAATTGCATACCCTCCTGCCCTTCCTATGGCGTCTGTCTCGGTTCCAGCATCCCTGATGATCAACGGGAAGGGTCCTATGCCTGCTCTTTCACCGGTAGCAACTGTGCCGTCTCCTCTTTACGACTCCCCGAACTTTCCTACGTTCCCCTACTCTCCATCATGGCTACCGTCTGCGCACGATGCTTCAAACCGTTGCTTTGCAACTGGGAGACGGACAAGTTATCAACGCATTGGATCTGAGCGGAACCACCAATCTGGCTACAATCGACACAGAACGCACTCCATGTCTCCAACGTACTATACTCCCAGTAGATATGTTTTCATCCAGAATGTTGCACCACAGACCGAGATATCTGAACTCAAAACCTATCTAAGCGCCGCGGGGACAGTTGAGCACTGCGAGATTCTCGAGGATCGCAGAACTGGTCGTCGCAGAAGTCAGGCCAAGGCAACGTTCCAGACAACAGAACAGGCGAAACAAGCAATGGCCAAGTTGGACAATACTATGCTCGAGGGTGCTAGAATCCGAGTGAAGTTTGACAGGGACGCTCCGGTATCATGCAGCTCGGAAGACACCGTGCCTTTCGAGGACAAGGACCAGATTAAAGCAGATACAAGCACATCAACGAGCGGCGATGAAAGAAGAGGTTCAGTCTCTTCTTCGAAGGATTCCAAGTGTGAACCCTTTGTCGTTAACGGATCAGTGGTCGGGAAGAAGACCAAGGATATCACGAACGGGATTGATTATGAGAGTAAGTGAGCGACCACCTATCCCAAGCTTATTATCGCATACTTAGCATATCACTTTCCAAAAACAAACCCGATATATGAGCTAATATTTCCCTTCTTCGCCAGAACAACTAATCTCCTCCACCAACCAGTTACGCATAGTAGAATGATCGATCACGGCCAAACCGCCACATTAGAAGCATAAACTTTTTCCCCCTTATCATTACATGGTTCATGGTTCTATTTAGCAGTTACCAAGCTTATAAGACGGCGTTTTGTGCATTTGTTTCCTTCACTTTTTTATCTTTTTTATTTTTAGCATTAGCATATTCAAACTCACCAGTTTGCATTCATAATCAATGATAATCTCATGTTCTGAAAGAGAAAAAAAAAAAAAAAAAAAAAAAAAAAAAAAAAAAAAAAAAAAAAACGAAACTCGAAACTCTCATGCGCCACAATTCGATCAATTAATTACCTAAGTCTATAATCCTCTCTCCAAGGAAGGGGATAAAGCGGGATGGATAGGCTCTTTAGTTGCTTTGCTTTGCATTATGAAATATGCTGTTCTTATTCTTGTTTTGTTTCAAATGCATATATGCGTCTGTGTAACTGTTGTATATTATATCTTCTTTTTCTTCTTCTCCATCATTTTATCCCAAGTGTGCCTTCCTTCATTCTCTAGAATAGGGACTTTACATCAGGTAAGTAGTAATAGTGGGTTTAACTTTTCTTTTCTTTTCACGAATACATCGAAAGAAACAGGACTTGGAATTATTATATATATATATATACATACCAACCAACTTCGCATCCTCTAGTGCTATTTTATGCCCAGAAGACTAAACTGACCATAGCCTGCCTAGACACCTTAGTTTAGTTCTGTCTGAATACAGAAAGATAATAACTAACTAACTAGCAAATAACATGCTAACTCATGAGGTATTTATTTCATCTAGTTACAATACAAATATGATGAATTCGCCACTGCTGAGGGGGATAAAAATATCCATATTCGAACCTAATGCATCATCAGGCCAATCTCTTGAGAATGGACTGTAAAGAAAAGAAAGTAAAAGATAGAAAACTCCCAAACAATGACAGAAACACCTTTGTGAACTTCCTTTCCATTCATTCCCAGTGAGAAGAAACATGTGAGTAGATGATTTTTGAACTATTTGCGGTCTTCCCGGTATCCCCCTTTGCATACGCCCTTTGTGCTGTCCTATGGGTATAGACGAAGGCTTCGGTATCCATTTTTTTTTTGTGAGCGGTTTCAAATGGTTATGCGATCTCAATATTCCTTTGGGCACTTAGTCCCGACGTTGACCCGCTGGCGCAACGCGACGTGGTGATCTTGATAGTGAGCGTCGTCGACCAGGAGCCGGAGAGATGGACCGTGTGACATTCAAAGATACACGTCGTCCCTTGTTCAGTGGAGGACTCGGCGTGCGTGACACGGACCGACTGATGCTTCTGCTCAAACTGCGATCCCGGGTGCTCCGGCCTCCACGTCGAGGAGGCGGTGAGCGCGAAGCGGATACACTCCTGCCTCCGCGTCTACGTGGCGGAGGGGATACAGAATCCGAGTATCGCCGTCCACGTGGTGCTGCTGCGCGGCGGGGCGGAGGAGAAACTGAGCGAGAGGGCGATCTAGAGTAGCTTCGGGCCCTCTTAGCGTAAGAATCGCGTCGTCGAGGCGGCGTGACCGATCGAGATGGCGAGCGTCGGTCTTTTCGCGATTGGTACGGACTAGGACTTCTGCTGACCGAGCTTCTTGAGTCGTAAGACCTATCCCGTCCCCGCCTCGGTGCCGCGGACTTCCTTGGAGGTGTACGAGAGTCTGATCTCGCTCTGCGGCGAACAGGTGTTGGGGAACGGCTGTACGAGCCCGCGCGACGTCGAGAGCGAGACACTGGCGATCGAGAGCGCGATGGTGTATAACTTCCTGACCTTGAGGCCGAGATGGAGCGACTGTAAGACCGTCCCCGACTGACAGAACGTCCGCGGCGACGGTCACGAGATATGGATCGAGAGCGAGAGCGAGAGCGGGAGGAGCCCGTGTACGATGAATAGCTCGAATATGAGCTGACTGACTCAGCGTCCGACTCCTCTCTAGGTGGGGGGAGAGTAGGCAGAGTAGGTTTGGGGAGGTTCTTGAGATGCTCACGCATCTCTTCGGTCAGTGCACCCATACCGATGCTGGTGAAGTAATTGATGGAGAAACGGGTGTTGCGTGGGTTGTCCGTCGGGAATATTCCTTCGAAGCTGGGTCGCAGGATCTCATCCTGGAACCGCTCTCGTAGCTTCGGCAGACCCAAGCTCTCTGCAAGATCCTGGAAGAGAATCTTGATGAAGATACGGCTGCTGGATGTTGTTTCCTCCTCATTCAAGTGGACGATGGACAGAACATGCCACCCAATAGCATCTGTGCTCAGCATATGGCCAAAGAAGCGAGCAATGTTACGCAGCCGATTCGTTTCGTAGCGATGAATAGTCTCGTAGTACTTGGCGAATGCGGCCTCGAAGAGATCACACCAGAGACGGTTGAGCTTCGCAAATCTCTCTCCGATCAGACCATAGAACTTCGAGTACGTGCGCTCCTGTGAACAACATTCGATGGTCATAGAGGGCAGCTCAGGCTCCTGCCCGGGCGGAAGAGAGATCTTCATCAGCTTGTGACAGCATTCTTCGAAGTCGATACTCGACATGATGGTCAAGTAGATCGTGCGACGCAGGTTCACCAGATCAGTATTGCTCTGATCTTTGATGTCCATCTGCTTCTGCTCCTCATCCTCTTCTTCCTCTGAACTGTCATCAGTCTCGTATCCGTCCTCTTCGTCACTGCTTCCTTCTCCCAAGATTTCGGCTTTGAGCCTCCGGTAGGCCTCTTCGTGTTCCTCCCACTGCGCATCGTATTTGAAGATGTTGAGACCATCCTGCGTGTCTATCTCGTCATCTAGACCAATCCGATGTGTGATCTGATCTTCTTCTTCGACGAGGTCCAGCTCTTCCCTGATGGCGGGGTTGTCCTTGTACCTGTCCTTACGAACCTGGAACAGCACCTCAATCATGTACTGGACTCTCTTATCGATATCTGCCTCGTGCAAGATATTCCGGAACTGGTCAAACACCGCCAGTGCGATCGGCTGGCTCATCTCTTCCAGATGTTGGCCCACTTCCCTGGTCAGGCCCACGGCAATCTCCACACTGTCATCTGTAGGCTTATGTAGAAGAAGTAGGAGAATTTGGGCCGCGAGCATCTCGTGGGCGACCTGCTGATTGCAGAGATGGGCGATAAAGGTGGTAGACGAGATACAGACTGCTTTATCATTACGCTTGAACGCCTTTCGAAACTGGACGATCAACCGGCTCAGCAGAAGTTCTCCGACCTGTGGCAATTTCGTGTTCACGATTGCAGCCATCGCAGCGTAGATAGGCGTGAAGGGCAGACTGGCTGCTTGTGCTTTCATGATGCTCCGGCAGAAAAGACCACGGCCACGGATCAGGTTCTCTCCAAACAGTTCCGGCACGATATGCTTGATGTTCGAGACATTGACCTTGTTGATAAGACCATTGATAGACTTCTTCAAGGCCTCCCATGCCATTCGCTGATACTCCTTGCTCGTTTTATCGGTGATCTGCGCTTGGAGCGCGCGCAGCCGAGCTGGAGGGATATAGGTTCCTCCGGAGCGCATGTTCAACAGTTTCTCATATTCCGCCTTTGCCGCAGCCTGTTTCTCCTCCTCTGTCATCGGTTTGCGCGCAGGCTCGCGCTTTTCATGCTGACGAAGTCGTTCGGCCAGCTGCCGCTGTCTCTCGATCGCGCGCTCCTGATCGACTGGGGGAAGATCTGCCTCGTCCCTCGCGGGCCCAGCTGGAGGGGACCGACGACGATTTGGCGAAGGCGACCGTGAAGGAGGCGAACGCTTTCGCGACCCTGAAGGCTGCGGCGAGTACGACGTGCCGGGCGGCGGAGTAGGCAAGCGCACCGCTGACTGCAGCATCACTGAATCCGTCATCTTGCTGACCGTTCTGAATGAATGATCGAGGTGATCCGGGTTTCAGATCTCTACCTGATCCCAGACGAAACCCGGAAACACGAAGATGGGAGCGAGTGTCAGCCACGAGCAAAGTCGTTCTGCGGCGAAGGAAGTTGGATGGTTCACATCAGCAGTCTTAGCGCGGTGGTCGGTCACGTGACTGAATAGAGGCCAAGCTGGAGCTCCAGGAGAAAGTGAGCTAGCGAGACAATATTTACTACTTACTCACTGTACAAGAGATCGAACTGTGAATCTCCTACGCGTCCGTTCCTTCTCTTCACGTGGATTCCACTGTCTCACACTGCCTACAGTCATTATGGTAAGAAGCAAACGTCCCCAACTCGAAGCACGCGCGGAGAATTGACATCTCAGCTCGGCCGACTCGTCGGATCCGCCATGCTCTTGGTCGCAACTGCGATCTTCCTCTACTACACCGCTTGGACTCTGTTGATGGTACGTCTATTCTCTACGTTCTCTCTGTCTTCTACGAAGGAACAGAAGAGAAGAAAAAAGAAAAGAAAGAAAGAAAACAAGAATCGACTGACCGTTTCGAAGCCCTTTGTTGACCCTGGCCACCCCCTCCATGACCTCTTCCCACCACGCGTCTGGGCGATCCGTATCCCCGTCATCCTCACGCTGCTAGGCTCAGCAGTTGTGGGCTCATTCCTGGGAATCATGATGATCCGGAGCAGCAAGAAGAAGGCTGCCAAGGCGAAGGCTGCCGCGAAGAAGAAGGCTTAAACGGGCTGGAAGGTCCAATGTATAATAGCGAGAGAGAGAGAGAGAGATCCGATACCCGGTGTAAAACCACAATAATACTTCTGTGCCAGCGACTGTGAGCTGTATAACTAATAGTCAGCAGCCGGCTCCTGTTGACCCGTGATAGCCACGCGCTCTTTTCATCTGTCCCTGACGGGTGCTGGATGAGCTACGTGCCTGACGAAGTCAAGTCAGTCTGTTGTTGAGTTGACCAAGTCAAAACCCGCCATGACGGGATACGCCGGACTGCGACCCTGGAGCTTCTAGACTAGCTAGTACCTCTCTTCTATGGAGATCTCGATGGAGATGATCCACGTTGCAAGGAACTGTTGGCATTCCACTGCTGAGCGGTCGGGGCCCTTCTCCGCCAGTCAGTGACGGGTGTAGCGGACTACACATGGCGGAGTGGTTCTTCATGGGGTCCCCAACAAGGCCACGACCCTTCCACTAGAGTCATTTATGGTACTCTAGTCTGGCAGTCAGTAGCTAGTAGATGGTATGTAATTACCATAGTGAGTTAGTTAGTTAATCATTAGCCATTTGAATTGTTGCGCCCGGCTGATGTTGGTCTCCGGGTCAGCATGCGAACCCGTGACGTCGGCCATCGGTTGTCGACGGAATCCATCAGAAGAGGGAGAGGGGAGAGTGTGAATGAGGGGAGGAAGAATCAAAGAAAGAACTGGAATGGAGGCATGAGCAATGATAGAATCTCTTGTGAGATCTTATCTACTATGGTAGTTATCAGCCACCACCATAGAGTAACTATTAGAGGTAATAAATAATACAAAGGAAGAACTTGTTAGTTATTATTAATTAATTAATTAATTAATTACCTAGGTACTAGGTAGATAGTTACTCTTGTTGTTCCCCTCATGGGACAGAATGACTGACTACTGAGTCCTGACTGACTGACTCACGTGTTCCTGAGCCTGTTCGCTCATCTGTTCCCAAGTATTATTCCAACTCTCCCAAGTAACTATGAGATAAGTTAGCCCATCAATCAGCAACCGTTATCATTAGTCGCCTCGCCTGTCATCCTGATAATTAGTCCCATTCCTGTCCCGTTGACGTCGGCCCCCTCCCATTATTCAGCCCAAACTTACCGTTTCACGCGGATCGCTGACTCCGCCTCTAACCTACAGTAACTAAGTAATCCCCCCCACCGATGCTCTCTACTAGTAGTCCCGTAGTTGGAGTCGGTACTCGCCATGGAGCTGCTCATACCTACTCTATCGCTGCTCTGCCTGCCCTAGTCCTGCATGCTTTCCCCTCCCCCTCTCCCCCTTCTGCCCTTCTCTGGAACAACACCACCAGACCATCAATCAGTAAAGAGTATCGAGTGTGAACGCTTGAATCTTGTTGATTTTCTGAAACCCTCCCGGACCTGCCCCCAGACCGTCTCTGGGTTCTATTCCAGATTCAGCAACGGCTGGTATCTGGGGAATCTCCATATCGATCGTCTCTACTTAACTGATCGGGTAACCGCCAGTCCGGTTGCTCAGGGAAAGCTCTCGGGTATACGGGTGACGAGGGTCCAGCAGGAGAGGTGATGTATGACTCCGTTATTATTATTATTATTATTGCTTCCTGTTTCCATCATCCCATCTCGATAAGAGCCATCGGACTGACCGCGATAGACGCGATCGCGTTGTCATCCGTTATCTCGCCGCGTAACTAATCAAGACAAGATCAAATACCCCGCGATCGAGTCATCCGTTCTGAGACCTAGAAAGAGGGTCTACAGAGCGGCTCTGATCTGAAGACGTCTTACCCCCGGAGCCTTCCCGGCGCCTTTTGATGCCCCCCGCAGCGTTGGACGAAATCTCTCGCCAGCAGACTCAGTCCCTTGGTGACAACAGTTCACTTGTCCAGGACCAGTATCGAGTGAACCCGGAGCCGGAATCCACGGGAAAGACGAAGAAGAAGGGGAAGCATGGTGCCAAGGGAAAGGACAAAACGGCTAAATGCGCGGCGAAGACGCCTCCGGACGACCTGTAAGTCCTCTAGTCATGGTTGATCTCTTGAGCGTCCTCGAGGAGATCAGATATGAGCTGACAAGCTGATCCCGCCCGGTAGGAGCGATCCCTCACCACCAGTCCAGACGGAACCCTCATCGTACCAGAGCGCTCCTTTCGCCCGTACTGCAGGGGATCCCATCGTGTCTCCTGTGCTGGAAGCTCTGGGGACGTTGAACGGCCCCCAGGAGAACGACACCGCGTATCGAACGGACGCGTGGGCCAAGTCCATCCCCTTTGGAAAGAGCCCGCCAACAGATCTCATCGACGGGGCCTTCGTCGGGGAGTCACCGCGCAGCTTTCCTACGAGCTTTCCCACGAGCTTTCCCATCGCTGCCGAGAGGGGCGGATTCAGCCATGTGTCGGCGTCCGCTTCTCCACCCGTTGGAAGAGCAAGACCGTTCAGCTATGGCAATGGCCATTTGAGCGTCGCTACGTCGCGACAGCAGTCAGTAGAGGCGCAGAAGCGACATTCGATGGGAAGCCACTTCCAGATTCAGCCGCCTCTACCGCATATGCCTCAGGCCCATTTCTACGGCGCTCCGGACATTGACCTACCTGTGTTCTCTGGCCAGAACAGGTCTTCTAGCGATGGCAGTTACTCATTCTGTGCTTTCGACACAATCTCTAGTCCAGCCTTGAAGACAACAAGGATGGGTGGAAAGGTGTTAGTCGTCGGGGGCGATGGCTTCCTCGAGGTATTAGCTATTGAGGATCGGAAGACCCGCCCGATCGGGCGTCTGGTCGGTCTCAGCGGTCGCGTAGTTGAAGCCAAACTACTACCGTGGACTGCTACCACTGACCCATTCGCGTCTTCGAGACCTCATGTAGCGGTGATAGTCCATGGTCCAGCTGCTCAGAGGGATGAAGAACGGGCCTCTTCCACCGGTTCAGAGCAGAACGAGATACTTCCGGGCCTCACTGGAAAGTCCGAGAAGCATAACAACAAAGAGGAGACACCGTGTTACCAGACGAGAGCAGAAATATACTCTCTTCGGACAGGAGAGCACATCACGACCCTGTTTATGAGCACACCTATTCCGTGCTACGACGATTTCCCGGGCCTGCCTCTCTTTGCCCCATCACCTGTGGGTAACCTGAAGCTCTATACTAGTGGTAGCCTTGTCATTCTTGCCTGTGGTGTCAGCGGTGAGGTCTACATATATGGAGTTGATTCATCGTCTCCCGCTGCCGCCTACCGGTGTCTCGCCAAGACTTGGACCAGTATCCAGTCGAGGGATTCCCGTCGATATTCCACCTCGTCGAGCTCTACCGATGCGGATGGCTCTCAGGCAGATTCTCCGCACGGGTCTGCTTCATTTGACAGTCCCATAATATCAGTCAGCGGGAGATGGCTGGCCATCGTCCCACCTTCATCCACGTCGAGGGTTCCGCTTCTTGGAACCGTTCCTGCGTCTCTGATCCAGGGCAAGATTTACGGACTTGATACCCATATTCCTCCGTTGAGACCTGCTGTAACCTGTGCGACTGACTGTGGTGAGGGCGAAAGCTTCCTAAACAAGGTCGCGAGAGGTGTTACGCAGGAGCTTTTCCGTGGCGCTCGATGGATGGGCGACCAAGGTCTCCAAGCCTGGAATAGCTATTGGAACAAAGAAGCGCAGGTATCGCAATCTGCTTCGTTACGTCGTCCGCCCCATCTGGCAGATGTGCCCCAGCAAGGCTACAACATGTTTCCCCCGACTCATGCTCAAGAGACGCAATCTATGTCACCTGCGGAACCTGATCTCGTGTCGATCATCGATCTGAAGAGGTTAGAAGAGGGCTCAGAGGTGAAAACTTCGTTCCCGAGTCCAGTTGCTACCTTCCAGGCTCCCAATGGCTGCAGTTTCGTATCGTTCTCTCCCAACGGGCTGATGTTGTTGACGGCAAGCAAAAAGGGAGATGTGCAGTACGTATGGGATCTGATGCAGATCAAGTACTGCAGAGCAGCGACTTTCCTTACTGAGGATCCAGCCCTCGCAGCGGGCAGCTCTCATGTCAGGCAAATTGCCAGATACACGCGGCTGACAACATCCACTATTATCGATGTTATCTGGGCCGCTCCCACTGGAGAGCATCTTGCCATTATTACCCGTAAAGGGACCATTCATGTTTTCGACATGCCCAAGAGCGCCTTTCAGTGGCCGCCTCCTCGGCGGGCGCGGAAAGTATCTCCGAAATCTCCAGTTGAAGATGCTTCTCCGGATGAGAGGTCGGAAGCAGGAAATCCAGGCAATCCCTTTTCTGCTGCCATGAAACTTGTTGGAGGCAAGAGCCAACCCATCTTGGCTGCCGTTAGAGGACGCGCTCCCAGCGTTGGCCCAGCATTCCCTGTGGTGAGCACCTTTGGGCTGACCTCTGCTGCTGGGGTCCGAAGTGGCAAGGTGGTTGCTTCTGGTCTAAGTAAATCTGTCGGTGCTGCTGCTACCGGGACCGTGAATACGTTACGTCACGCTGGCGAAAACAGGCTGCACCTTTCTGGATTTTCCAGAGACCCGTCCGCATCTCGAGTTACTTGGTTCTGTAACAAGGACGAGCGCCTATTGGGTTTGGTGGATAATGGCTCCTTCAAGCTATACAAAATCAGGCGAGCAGGACCGTTCCAGAAGAGCCGACAGAGTCAATCTGTCATCGGAGGTAAGGTGGCAGAATTCAAGCTTCCTTCAAACGTTCAGAGTCCCTGCGGACCACTGCACGTCGGGACCTTTAATACCGAGTCGACAGTTAGTGCATCTTGGGCGCTACCGACGGCGAATTCTCACTTCCCTTCTGGTACCAAACTTAAGTCACAGGCTCTTTCGCAGGCCGAAATTGAGACCAACACTCCTTACCAGCCTTTCCACACCGACCAAAGAGTCAATCTATATGTCTTTTCACCAGAGGTTGAAATTGGGGAGTCCGGTTTGTTGTCTGGCAAACAGTGGGTTTTTGGTGAGGATATTCCTCTCACTAAACTACACGTGCGACCTCCTAGCCAAGGCGACGATGACGAAGCAGCGGCTCCTGGTCCTCGCGCCGTTGGCGAAATGGAAAATCTCATCAGTTTAGGTAGCGGTGTCGACCAGGTAGAAGAGGTCGTCATCACAACTCGCCGGAGGAAGAAGCGCGCCGACCCATACTCGATGGCGTCGCGTCCGGATGAGGATGGATTTTTTGAGGATGATTGTGAAGTGCTGGATTTTGCCAGAGACCGGGTCTAAATCGAGACCCAAGACGTCAATTGATAGAAGACTTTGCAACATATATGGCGTTGTGGCAGGACTGTTCTTCGTTCGACGTACCATCTTGCCTGATTTGCATTGGTGGATCTGGTCAGAATGTCATCTCACTTTGGAGTTTTTGAGGCATTCTATTACACAGGCGAAGGATGATCTTCCGTTGCTTGAATGACTTTTTGTCTGCTGCCAGAGCAGTATCAGCACCTGCCCACTTTCTGAGTTTATCCGCCACGTGTTGCTTGGATTATTACATACCCCAGACTTGTCTTGTCGAACTTCTGTTTAGATTTGTTTTAATGGCTGGCTGGCTGGATGGTGGGTCGACTATTGGACACATAATCCTACAAAAAAAAGGCATAAAAGGAGAAAAATCCATAAAAAAATTTTTATGTCATTTTCTCTCACTAATATGGTCGCCGGCGTTCGTTTGTCTTTCCCTGTTGGTGGTTTCCAACACCCATCTCTCCTCCAAGTCGGCTAGAAGCCCCCCAGCCCGTATTCCCTGGGATTTGATCAGTGTTTAACTGCGTAGACTAATGCGCTTTGCTATACCGGGCCCAAGGGACCTACTATATACATGCACGAGATATACGTGTTCAGGACTACATATTATAGTTGCTAATGCTACCACTATGTGTTTACAATATACTGATCCTTTAGGACTATAAGTCTCCATACAAGTATCGGCCTGTAGATAGGATTTCGCCGATGTTGTATAAGGGACCATTTAGGACGAAGAAAGTGACAACCTCGCGCCCTTTCAACTGTATTTATTGTAAGTCTTGCTTTCGATGGTTATCATCTAGTAGATCTATATCCCCAACAACATCAAAACACAACTTCTACAGAGCCCTCCCCATTTCGTTCCTTAGATCTTGAACCAACATTCAACCCGTCAGACCGTCCCTGCCTCAGCTCTAAACCCAGTCTCTTCTTCCCACCAACCCCTAAAAACCCTCAGCCTCTCCGTCCTCACCCTCGCCATCCTCTTCCCCGTCTCCGTCTTCATCATCCCCTCCAACCGTTCCAGCTTCTCCACAAAATGCTCAATCGCCCCATCCATCACCCACTCCCCCCCAGGCGCAACATGCTTCTTCCCCTGCGCCCCTAGAAACGTGAAACAGCGCCCAATCCCCACGGCCCCTATCGCATCGAGCCGATCCGCATCCTGCACGATCGCAAGCTCCCTATACCCCTCTTCATCAATCAGACGGCGCACTTTCTCGGGATCTTTCGTCTCATTCGTATACGACACGTTCGAGACGATGGTTTGGACGCGCGCGGCGAGCGAGTCGTCCGCACCTGCTTCGAGGAGGGCCTGTTGGACGGCTGTTTGGGGATTAGGATTGTTGTTGTTGGAAGTGGAAGTGGAAGGGGGCAGGTATTTCCGATCTCCGATATCGTGGAGAAGAGCGGAGAGAGTGACGATGGTGGAGTCGTAGGGGGTTGTTGTTGGCGATAGGGTCTGTTCGGATTTGAGGATCGTTTGGGCGAGATGAACCACGCGGTGGATGTGGGCGAGGTTGTGGGAGGGGTCGTGATCGGACATGTAGTCTGTTACGAAGTCGGTCATGGATGATATGAGGGTTTGGGTGGATGGTGGCATTTTGTTGGAGTGGTGGATGTATATATTTTCTTTTCTTTGTTTTTTTTTTCTTTTGCAGAAAAAAGAGGTGTTAAGAGGTAATAATAATAATGGATCTAAAGTGATAGAAAATAGGATAAAGTTCCAGCATGCAAACTTATAGGCAATGCGATAAGATAAAAAAAAGCAAAAAAGAAAAACAGAAGTTCCTCCAAAAGTGATATGTATATACTTCTAGCTCGTACCTGACGATCGTCGCGACGATCTCAAAAAGAACAACAATAACACATTACTAATTTGTTTAGTAGTGTAGTTATGTACAGTACAATTCTATCATCGATAAGCTCAATGATGAAGTCATTCTCTCTCCCAGTCTCTCTCTCTCTCGACGCGTAGATTGGCAGACGCGTTTTTTTGTCTGCTCCACTCTGCAGCCGAACCCCATCAAGGGAGGGCCTCAACGCTGCCCATGCCGTATGGAAATCATACAACATTACTCTAGTGCTGACTCAATATTCTCTAATCCTATGATCATGAGGTCTAGTGATGTGGATTTGGGCTGGAGGAATTTTAATTATGAATGATTCCAAATTTAATTAGTATGATTCCAAATCCAACGCCACGAGATGGGGATTCTGTATCCGAAGCTCATACATAGCTCTACTCTAACAGGGATAACGTATCGGCGGTATGTGCCAGGAATGAATGTCGCAGAATGCAACTAAGTCACTCTCTGACCAGGAGGGAGTGGTGTGTGTTGATCCGGGCGTTGAAACGAAGAATGTGCGTTCTAACGTGTGTGGAAACGAAGATTCACTCTACATGGCTTGTTCTGGGGTTGGGGCTGTGGGGGATGAGCGAGTGGATTACTGTTTTGAGAAGACAAGATGACATTCTAGGAGATGGTGTGTGGTAGAATAGGGTATGATCTCTGTCATTCTGAATTAATTGACGTTACATGGCTCTGACGCCAAAGTGGAATTTTTTTCGAGTTATGAGAAAAATAGAAATAATAAAGACACAAGTCTCAAATGGAGAATAGAAATTACATCGTACAGCGTTTTGGTATCCGTATTTTGAAAGGGGGTTCGTGTTCCTGGATATCATCTCAATGTCCTGGTCAAGGAGCAAGCGTTATCATGTTATTAGCGTCAAGATGTTGGTTAGCCATGGGGCCATTTACAGGGCCATGGCAGCTGCAACAACAGCCATGAGACCAGCGGCGGAAACGCCAAGCTGGAGATGGTCAGCAGCGTTGGAGGTGGACTCGGTGCTCGAAGCAGAGCTGGTGCCAGAGCTGGAACCGGAGTCGGATTTGGAGCCGGACTTGGAGGAGGAATCAGAAGAGGAGCTGGACGATCCAGAGCTAGTGGCCTGAGCCTTGGCTAAGCAAAGTGTCAGCTTGTTTCTATACTAAAAGACGGAAAGTAACTGAGACACTATACGTACCAGTGTTTGCAACGTAGGCTCCGCTACCGGTAGTGCTGGCGGCGGTGGCCTGTCCGTTGGACGAGTCTCCGCTGGCAGTAGCAGGGAAGAACAGAGAGCTGAAGCAGCTCTGCTGGCACTGCGCGTACTTCTGAGTATCAGCGGGCGTACCGCTACCCTGAGGGCAGGCAGCAGCACAAGCGGTGGTGTCGTTGGCCATCGCATCGTTCGGGCAAGGAACCTTGTAGCACTGGGCCTTGCAGCAGACGTCGCTGGCAGCACCTGAAGAGAGATCGTTAGGAACTACTTTTTGAGAGCGTCATCTTGGGACTTGAGAAGAACTTACATTTGGCCGCGCAGGATGCTTCAGGAGACAGAGAAGCAGTCGCGGAAGCAGACGAGGAAGTGCTGTCCGCGGCAGCAGCGAAGGCCAGGAGGCCGGAGAGGACGAAGAGATTGAACTTCATTGTGACGGTTTCAAGAAGTAGCAAACAGAACTGGGTATTATTGTGTGGTTATCTGGAAATCCTGAACGACTGTCTGAAAACGAATGACTGTATGTCGCGTCCAAACGAGCGAGAACAAGCGCGCGCAGAGCAGCTTTCTAAAGATTCTGATCGAGAAGCAAAAACAACACCTGGGGGGAGGTGAGGTCTGCTGGGTCGTATTTAAGCTACTCGCATGGTTTATTCCTGGAGCTGGGCTGAATCTAGCATAGACTCGTTTCCCCAGCTCTCGATTTCATTCGCGACGTGTCACTGTTGGCATGGATACGAAGGCTGACATTCTGCATATTGATTCGCCGATGGCTTGTTGTGAGGTTTTTCCAAGGTCTTCCAAGGTTACACACAGCACTGTGATCCCGTCTTTAGGTTCAATAATAATAATAGAACATGTCTAATTTAGCTGAATTCTCTCAAGGACTTTTGGCTTTGACATGATGTATTACTGTCTTTGTGCTGCCCATTGAGGAGTCTCTACGTAGACCTATAGAAGAAAAACCCCTCGAATATCACCACCCTTAGATACTGACCGCAACAACTGAAGATCAATAAGTGACCTGGACGTGCGGGAACACTTTTCAAACTCAGCATAATAATAGCAGATCGATCTCGTAGCTCCACTCTAGCGCTGTCTAGTAGTTTCTGCCGCCCACTTGGCTAGATCGTTAGCTCCTGCAATGTGCGGAGAATCGAGATGGGGAGAGTCTTGGGCTTACTTAGGCTCTTAGCCAAGTTAGGCGAGTCTTATTATGAACTACTATTATTATTCGCGCCCATACAAACCCAGCAAACTGTTGCGGATAGTCACATGATATCGCGCATCGCTGTGACGCGTGACCACCGCGACTGATGATAATCGACTGATACGAGTACTCCATTATTTATCCACCTCGGCAGCAAGACCGTCCTGGAGTCTGCTACGAAAGGCATTCATTGAGTCATGTCATTCATTGGCGATGATGATGACGACGAGTACAGTGATTGGAATGACGATGACCTGTTGGTTGCCGCAACGCAGGCCGGCGCATTTGAGTCGACTGCGACGGCCAGCGATCTCGACTCTCCTCGACCGACTAAGCGGCGCCGCATGAGTGCTGCACGTGAAGACAATTCTTCTTCCTCGCAAATTGAAAGGGAGTCCAACGCGCGCACAAGCTCATTTATCGATCATGATCTTCCATCGCCGCCCCGCAGACGACCATCGGTGGACGACGAAAGTGACGGCCCGGAGGAGGTCAAGTCGAAGTACAAAAGTTTTGTTCCCAAGCGCACCAACGCTCTAGAAAACACATTCGTCACCCAGTTGACGCAGCCCCATTCGAGCCCTTCGAAGATACGTGGGCCGCGCTGGAAGAAGCCAGCTCCTGATCTTCCATCTGAGACAGAGAAGAGAGCTGCGGATGAGCAAAAGGACGGTCAAAACGCCGACGACGATGACGATTTGCGAGCCGCGATAGCTGCCTCTTTAGAATCATACCGTGCTGAAAGCTCGAATACAGGCAATGATTCTTTCTCAAGTAATGCTCAACGGCCAACGCATGCTTCTCATCCCCCAGCTGCAGACTCGTTCGACTTTGACGATATACCCGAAGATGCATTCGATTCTTCTCCGTCGCTGTCTCCTCAACCGGGACCGCCCGCTCACCCAGTTACAACCGCAAACCAGTTCACAAGACCTAACCCAAGTCTACACAGGACAAGTCTCCGCCAAACGACCTTGTTTGGTATGGTGGCACCCGATACGAGCGCATCAGGCCAGCCTTCAGCTGAAAATTGGTTTCCTGAGGATAAGAATGAGCCTCCTACGCATCATAAACTGAACCAGGATGCGTTGGAAACGTGGGTTTACCCAACCAACTTGGGAAAGATACGAGATTACCAGTTCAACATTGCCCAGAAAGGTCTGTTCTATAACTTGTTGGTGGCGCTACCAACAGGTCTTGGTAAGACCTTCATCGCCGCAACGGTCATGTTGAACTGGTTTCGCTGGACCAAGGACGCACAGATTGTCTTCGTGGCACCAACAAAACCACTAGTTTCCCAGCAAGTCGGTGCTTGTTTTGGCATTGCCGGTATCCCTCGATCTCAGACGACGATGCTTACTGGAAATGCCGCACCTGGCATCCGCGCTGAGGAATGGCAGAATAAACGGGTCTTTTTCATGACACCACAGACCTTAGTCAATGACTTGAAAACGGGCATAGCGGATCCGAAGCGGATCGTCTTACTCGTTGTCGATGAAGCTCATCGTGCCACTGGAGGATACGCCTATGTCGAGGTGGTGAAGTTTCTGCGGCGGTTTAATAGCAGCTTCAGAGTGCTTGCTTTGACTGCGACGCCAGGTTCCACCGTTGAAGCTGTCCAGGCGGTCATTGACGGTTTGGACATCGCCAGAGTAGAGATCCGTACTGAACAGTCACTTGATATTCGGGAGTACGTCCATGCACGGAATATCGAGACTGAAGTCTTCGAATATTCGGAAGAGATGTTGTTTTGTATGGATCTCTTTTCCAAGGCCCTACAGCCCGCTGTTGATCAACTCCGTCAGCTGAACGCTTATTGGGGCAGAGACCCGATGATGCTCACGGCCTTTGGACTGACAAAAGCAAGACAGCAATGGATGGCTTCCGACGCTGGAAGAAATGCGAGCTTCGGTTTGAAGGGGAAGATCAACGCAATCTTCACTGTTCTAGCCAGTCTTGCCCACGGTATAGACCTTCTAAAGTATCATGGGATCGTACCTTTTTACCGCAACCTTGTCTCCTTTCAGTCTGGGGTTGATGAGAAGAAGGGCGGAAAGTACCAGCGCCAGATTGTTCAGGACGACAATTTCAAAAAGCTTGTGCGCCATCTACAACTGTGGACCAGCAACGAGGAGTTTATCGGCCATCCAAAATTGGAATATCTAAGGCAGGTCGTTCTCAACCACTTCATGGATAGAGGGGAAGGTACCGGTACTGGTGATGACCAGCCTCAATCAAATACAAGAATCATGATCTTTGTGCATTTCCGAGATAGTGCCGAGGAGGTAACAAGGGTCTTGAAAAGACACGAGCCTTTAATACGACCACATGTCTTTGTCGGGCAGGCTAGTGCTAAAGGCTCGGAAGGGATGGACCAGAAGACCCAGTTGAACATCGTTGAGAAATTCAAGAAGGGTACTTACAACACCATAGTTGCGACCTCTATCGGTGAGGAAGGGTTGGATATTGGTGAAGTCGACCTTATCGTGTGTTATGACTCGTCCGCATCACCAATCAGGATGTTACAGCGAATGGGACGTACTGGAAGAAAGAGAGCAGGTAACATCGTCCTGCTGCTGATGAAGGGAAAGGAAGAGGAGTCCTACATCAAGGCGAAGGACAACTATGAAAAGATGCAACAACTTATCGCCAGTGGCACGCGGTTTACTTTTCATGACGACATATCACCCCGGATCTTGCCACGAGATACAAAACCAGCAGTCGATAAGCGGAAAATTGACATCCCTCCTGAAAATTCTCAACAGGAACTGCCAGAACCAAAGAAGAGGGCTCGTCCTCCGAAACGTCCTCCGAAGAAATTCCACATGCCCGATGATGTGGAGACGGGCTTCACTAAGGCATCCAGTTTGGGTCCCAAAGGAGCTCAGAAGGAATCGACAGGAATAAAAAAATGGGCCCGTGTCGTTCGTACTCCCACCCCGGAACCTGTCAGTGTGCCTTCCCTCGACGAAGTCTTGCTTACGCCTTCAGAACAACGGGAACTAGAGCTCCGGTACTGCAATGTAGGTGGGACGACACCGCAGTTTATCCAGCGTCCCAAGAATGATGCTTTCCCTCGTCTGCAGCGTGAACCCAGACCGACAAAATCTGTGCAGCATGGTTCGATGACTCGCCGGATGATCGGAGCATTTCGAAGGATGGCGGAGGTCCCCATGGACTGTGAGGATCATTACAGGAAGATAATCGATCTTGAAAAGAAGGCAGCCTCCAGCAAGCGACTTTCACGAAGAGATGCATCCCATGAAAGTCTGGACGATGCAGACACCGCCGTCAATACGCCAACAAGGCACAATAGCAGTCCTAACGCTATTCATGACTCAGGATTTGCAGGTAGCCATTCACCGCAGTCGTCTCCGTTGATGTGTTCGCCATTTAAACTTGAAGATAAGGAGCCTAAACCGTTCTATGCGTCCCAATTGAGCGATGTGGATGGCATGGAGACGAACTTGGATCTTCCAGATATAAGCGCACTCGTTGGCAAAAGCACTCACGCAAGACATTCCAGAAAACGCGCTAGGATTATTGCAGATGATGATAGCGATGAATGATTAATAGATGGGTCTGGAGTATTCGGGATGTTGGATATAGCGGCTGGCCAGCTTGGTTCAAGTCAAATTGGAGTATTGGGCACTTTTTGGCACTACACATTGTGTGATAGAACGGACTGGAATCGATATGATACCCCTTGTCCAGAATTAATTTCTACATAACTTCTCTATTTTCTTTTTGCATACTAGTTGTTTGTTTTGCCTCTGTAGTTGTGGCGTTGGTAAACCTCCCAGTGCGGTGTGATTGCTGACCCCACGGGCCACGGCTTCCGCCGTGTCTGCGCACGCCCCCATACTTACTCCGCCAACTTCACGCCGCGAGTCCATCTCCGAGTTTCAAGAGTACCAGCTTTCCCACAGCATCAACAATCATGGCCGACGCACAGTTTGACAGTGCACTGTGAGTAACTGCCTCTCTTGATCCAAATCGATCCTATTCCCTATCCTTCTCCTTGGAATGTCTTCTGTGAAGCACATCATCGATCTCAACCCCGCATCCTGACCGCCGCTGACCATGACATCCCCATGCCAGGGACCTGCTCCGCCGCCTATCACCGCGTGACACCAAGCGCAATCTGCAAGCAATCACCACTATCGTTCCAGACTTGACAGAAGACCTTCTTGCCTCTGTCGACCAGCCGCTCGAGATCCGACGATGTGCTAAGTCGAACCGTGATTATCTACTCTGCGACTACAACCGTGACGGCGACAGCTACCGGTCGCCATGGAGCAACGAATTCGATCCCCCAATCGAGGACGGAACTGTGCCCAGTGAGAGAGTCAGGAAATTGGAGGTCGCTGCGAACGAGGCATTCGACGTGTACCGCGAGCTGTACTATGAGGGCGGAGTCGGCAGTGTCTACTTCTGGGATCTGGATGACGGCTTCGCAGGGGTTGTGTTGCTCAAGAAAGGTTATTATCTCTTCTCGTAATGGTCATTGACGATAATACGCGCTGTATACTGAAGGAGACACCAGCGGTTACTCCCGGCTCAAAGAGCTCCGGCGCATGGGACAGTATCCATGTCTTCGAGGCGACCGATCGTGCACGCATGTCCCATTACAAGCTTACAAGTACCGTCATCCTGCACCTAGCCAGCGAAACGGATGCGCTTGGAGAGATGGATCTTAGCGGAAACATGACCAGACAGGTCGAAGCAGACCTTCCTGTCGAGTCGGACGCCAGCCATGTTGCCAACGTGGGCAGATTGGTTGAAGATATGGAATTGAAGATGAGGAACTTGCTACGTAAGTCTCCTTCCCTTTTTATGTTGCGCTTTGGCATGGTCAATAGAGCCCACGCAAGGTCGGTTGTCTAGTCAGGTGCTGATTTGTCTTCTGATCCGCAGAGGAGGTTTATTTCGGAAAGGCAAAGGACGTTGTAGGCGACCTGCGAAGTAAGTCAACGCGCTCCCTATCGTACAAGCCATGTACCTTTGCCTTGTTAACCTCTCTGCAGGCCTGGCACCCTTATCGGAGACGTCCCGTGAGAGAGCGACTCACAGGGAGATGATCAACTCTATGAAGAGGTAGTATAAGAGAGCAATGTCTTGTCAATATCATACCCATTAGAACGTTAAGGCTGTTCGAATCAACATCGGCATATGTTTTTCATATTGAGCCCGAGAGACTTTGGCCCTCTTTAAGTAACTATGTGCCCACCGCAATGTTTTTGGTGTAGTGGTCAGATTGTCCTCGTCGCAAAAGAATGTCTAACCACATAAGGAAACGGTTAAGCTTACAAGTACAAGCAACCCTCTTTCTCTAGGATGCAGGTCACGCTCTTTTCTGCAGTTTAATGACTGGCTAAGAAAGATTCCTTGCTTTCAGTAGAGCCTTCTAGGTTGAGTTGAAGCAGCCCAACGTTCGCTGCCGATCCTGGCATGTTTTGATTGTGCACGTCGACGTGGCCCAGCGTTCGTGACTGTCTAATCGTCTTCTAGGCCATTTTGAAAGGACCTCCGTGGAACAGCATAACCCTTGATTCTGAAGAGTCTAGATCGGAATTTTGCTCCATGTATCCCCTTTTTGCCCGTTGAACCGCCTCGCCCTCGTTCTATCTCCTCGATTGGGGAAACGCAGCCTCTCTTTGTTCTCCCTTTCAGACTACCGTTCTCAAGTGCATTATAAATCTCGCAATGCGCGCCCAATTAGATACCGTCACTGGACTTTCTCTATGCGAGCCTTGGAAACACTGAATTCCAAATATCCAATGGTCTTGCAGTTATAGACCGGCATCTGGTTAAACCGTAACGGAACCTCCGGACCAGCATTTCTGTGAAAGCATGTGGATGAAGCCGTTGGCTTTAGATCAGCCTCCAAGTCGCAGATGACGAAACAGATTCCACGAGCTCCAAGCTGCTATATCTGACGATCTGAATCGTTGCGAGAACTCCTTGCCCTCGACGTGAGACCGCACGGACTTGCTGTTCTTCCTGAACTAACGCATGGAATTCGTTCCTTCTTCATGCAGTGTCAGCCCTGCGGGTGCTTTTGCGACGCGGACACGGAGGCTCGTGTTAAACTAAATATACCCTGGTCTTCGATTCACGTCGCGGGTTCCAGCATAGATTAGACTGCATATCTTTGTGAGTAGCAGTGATGCGCCTTCATGGCCAATTGCGAGTCACAGGTACTTCAAGCTAGATATCCGATTTGGAGCCGATTTATCCACGGTTTTGCTCATTGGTCGACTTCTCCCAAAATGATAGAGTGAGAGAACAGAGCGCAAATGCCACACTGCAGGCCGAATTTCAGGCTGCCATCCTGTCAATTGCATAACTGTGCGAATTTGTCCGGGCGCGTCATGTCTGGACTTTGATCGTGGTTACCTACTTGATCGTGGCTCGCTTTCGAAGGCTAGATCCACCTTCACGATCCTTTATTACTCGTATCGTGCTGGCCTTGGTTAGACTCGGCAAAGGTACTTGCTACGGTGTCTGAGGCCGGTCAGACTCCAGATACCATCAATTGGCCTTCTGTTGGCAAATGTCTCTTGAAAAGTCTCTATTTAAGGCCCCCGTTATTCGATGAACATATCGAAGACTACCGTGCTTATCCCACGTCATCGCAGATACAACTCCAACATCACTGGCCTATATAGGTCTTACGGTGTCGGATGACTGAAAGTCCTTCCATCTTTTGTTGCAGATAAGTGCTCTATAGAAGTGGAGATGTCTACGAAACGTGCTTGTGACGCCTGTCACCGAAGGAAGATACGTTGTGCGGGAGGCCAGCCATGCTGGAACTGCGGACATGCCTCATTGTCCTGTACGTACAACGCTATCCCTCAGAAGAAGGGACCCAAAGGAAATCGGGCGAAGGTCATATCTGAGTTGAGAGAGACAAAACTGCGAGATCATGCAAATACTGGAGGTTATGTGGACGGCTTCGATACCGTAACACCACCACTTTCGCCACCATCTTCGCATAAATCGGAGATCATTGACCAGCAGCTTGTAAGCAGGTGTATTGAAAGCTTCTTTATCCATCTATATCCTACAATTCCGATATTTGAGAAGGGAGCTTTGCTGAACAGGGCGAAGAATATGTCCACATCTATCGATAACTACTGTCTCATGACATCTCTTTGCGCCTTTGTGCTAACTCAGCCAGGGCACAGAGTGAACGTTAGTGACTTTTCAGGAGGCTCTCGGTTAACGTCTCATGATCTCGGTAAAGCTACATTTGAAGAAGCCATTCGGATACGAAAATTAAGCTCGTTCATCGAGCGCCCAAATTCCGATGCAGTTGTAACCGCTTACTTGCTTTTCGGTTGCTGTTTCTACTTGGATAAACATAGTACTGCATGGTTCTACCTCAGGGAAGCTGCCACTCTAGCGGAGATTATTGGTATGGATGAAGAATCGTATTACTTGTCGACAGATACAACCGCAGGGATAAGGGAAAGGAGATTGTTTTGGGTGATATTCATAACCGAAAGGTCTATTCATCTATAATGAGATCCTTTGTCAATTTGATACTAACCATCGAGTGTAGATCGTACGCACTTCAAAAGCATCGAAGCCTCACATTGCATCCTAAGCTGACACTCCCGACATTATATGAAGACTCGAACGACTTTTCCGCTATATCTGCTTTAACTCAGCGTGTGAATCTCTTTCGTCCCCTTGACGATGATTTTGTCGGGCTCTGGAACAAAACGAAGACTACCTGCACGGCACAGTGGCTGGTCCAACTACAACAGCAATTGACGGATGTCTTACCAGAGAAACTAGCTGGAACAGAGTCTCAAGTTGCAGACCTTAAAACCACTCAGCAATGGCTCCACATAGTTATCTGGCGTGTCTCGATGGCCAGTGGCTTCTTATCATCTACGTCTCCCCACCCAGCAATGAGATTCACTTATCCGGTTGATATTGCTCGGGATCTCATCGAAGGCACATCAGATATTGCTCTACGATCGATGAGCATTCACGGTAGTGCACTCGTAAGGCTTCCGCTTTTTTCGGGAATTATATCGAATAACTTATAACTTTTACTAGACAGAAAAACTGTTCGATATCGCTTGCAGTTTAATGGACGTCATGGCATGTACACCCGCAAATCCTTCAACAGCAACCATAGCTGTCGGGCCAAAAACGTACCTCAACCGTCTTTGCTCTCTTCTCTCGCGTCTTCCAGGAGGATCCTCTCGATATTTACCTGTGCTACTCTCTCGCGTCGATGACTTGGCGACTCCTATCGACATCCAGCCTCTACCTTCGCCGTTTACTAATCCTGAGTGTTATTTTACAATGAGCCATGGAACAACGTCGGGACTCGTCTCCCCGTCGACTACTCTTGCTTCACCAGGGACTACGGAGGATCTCAACACAGTGGGACAGCAAGATAACGAAACGCTCAGCCCAGGTATTATCTCCGAGACACCTTTCATACCTCCGTAGGTCAATGGGTTCACGAGTTATCAGTGGTGGCTGTTGTTTTCATTTTCTTCTTTTTTTTTTCTGAGAGCGGATTCTGGTTGGAAATTGCTTCTCTGAGCTCGTATTTTATAATGGTATACGGGGAGAATGATCAATTGTCTCGTTTTCAGCTATTTTTCTATTGTATTTTCTAGGCAGGCATTTTGGACAGTGTTGGATAAGTTAATATTTAATCAGGATATTGGACTGGCTAAGATGACGTAGTGATGTTTGTTTTCCTTGCTCTTGTTCAGTTTTAATTTGTGATGTACTAAGATTATCGTACTGATAGTTCACATGTTTTAAAGATGCTCAGGGGAAAAGAACTTGGTATATCCCACTGCTCAAGACTTCATCTGTTAACCTTGAGTGGAACATCTCCTCTGAAAATATGTCGCCACGGTCGTTTCTGATACCCTGTAGTCTCGTATGCGCACGGTAAATGGAGGGGCCCACGGGCGCTGTGTAGTCGCGCGAGATCGATAGTCCACTTGCGCAAGAAACAGTGCTTAGGCCCCGCGTTGGCCACTGGTTTTGTGAGAATTCAACTCACACAGCAGACATACTCTGCAATCTTACTTGACAGGTGGCCAGACCTGCCATATGTCCTAAAATCGCATACCATAATGCTATGGTGTCCAGGTAGTAGCTGTAAAGTCTCTCGGACTCGAGAGAACAAATTCAGTAGAGGCGATGCGCCAAGTCGACGTCGTAGCTCCAAGCGATAGGTTCAACCAAGCCTGCAGTATCTCTGAGTGAAGAAGGTTGCGGTTCATTCGGTCCCTGCAAAACGCATTTTCCGATTGTCGGTGCGGGCTCAATCAACCTCCATCTTCGTATCGCTATCCGATGTATTGGGCGCCTTTTCTTTCTGGATCTGCGACACAAATTCCTTTGCTTCAGCCCACAATTCCGCTTCCTTATCCTTCCCGACAGTATCCTTCCTGCTATTCAGCCAGCTGATCTCAAGCGGGTTCGCTGAGGCAGCCGCTCCACCTGCACCGCCCGCCGCTTCTGCAGTTCTGGACGTAGGCTCAGGCGCGAGAATCGATGCTTCTTCCAAAGCATAGACCTGACGCCTAAGCCGGACATCGATTGAAGAAAGTAGCGCGAAGTACTGCGAAGTCGCGGCTTTGAATGCGGCCTTGTGCGATTCGAGTGTATTGTCCGTTGACTCGGAGTCGCGCGATCGCGTGTTTGTTAGGGATTGGATTGCCAGTCCGGCGGAGTGAATCAACCTCGTTACATCCTAAGATTTTGTTAGCTTGCTTTCATGTCGAACTTAACTTGTTTATGTTGAGGGGTGGAGGCATACCTTGTCGATTTCATTCAACTGTCGGATGCGATCCGCTGCGGTGAAGGTCTGATCTGGATTCAGCGAATCCATGATAGCGATATTTCGTATCTCAGCAGTAACAGATACGATTCACGTCGCGTAAGTCGAGCTTGAGAACTCTCGATCTTTCACAGAAGATGGAGTAAGGTACGTAATCACGTGAAGAGCTGGGGAAAGCTGCGGCTTACATAAGCAGGGCATGCTAGCCCGAAAGGCGATAGTTCAATATCAAAGGAACTCTTTCAACTCCGCCATCTTCATTGTCGCTGTCCTTGGCATGTTACTTCACTCCTCATGCGACTGCGCTCCTAGAAAATTCCTAGTCTAGGGAATCATATCTTGGCGTCTAGCTGCATGGGTATATATTGAAAACTCGGCATATTGACAGAAGACCAAAGACAAAATGTCTGCGCCTGGAGGGGCCCCGAGCCCTGCGCCGCGCAGTGCAAGTATCGGGCCCGGAGGTGGTATGCCCATGCCTCCTCAGCAGCCGATGCCTTCTCCCCAGGTTGGCGGTGGTACGCCTGGTTCGGCGACAGGATCGACTGGAGTCATGTCCCAGCAGAACCTTAACCAGATAGTAAGTGATGCACATGTATCTTTTGAACGCTGTTCTTTTCTGGCCACTCCTTTTCTGCTATTTGCTATGCTTGAGTTATGTGCTATGTTGTCTGGTTGTACTTTTCCTATTCGTTTTCTTATTTTTTGCGCGTGGTCTTTCAATATGGTTGGAATGGAATGGTGTGGCAACTCCAGGCTTGGGTAAAGAGTGGGATCCTTCAATTAAACCAGAGCATGAGACGCCTTATGTGGAAGGATGTCATTGTCAATGCCATCTAAGGGCCTTTTCTCCGCTTGCTGTAATATGGTCAAGCTGGACCGTGACTCTGGAGTTCATGCAACTGCGTCCATTCACACTATACACCGAGAACGATATAGATACACCGCCCAGAGCCATGTGTTATTTTCATCGGCTGTTCAGCGGCGGACTCCGTGACATCTCCTTTATGATATCCGGAACAACGCTAGCGCCGACTACTGTTATAACATGGCGTTGCCTGTTTTGTTGTGCTGGTCCCCTCTTCTCAAAAACGCAATAATCGTCGTTGTGAGACGCGTTATCTTTGCATCCACCGCAAGCAAAATGACGAGGAAGAGTGGTCGTGCCTCGAAATCTCGCTCAAAGGCTAGGTCCAGACGCAAGCCTAAGCATACGGATCATCAGGACTCTCCTGAAGCTCAAGCGAACGAGCAGCAGACTCTTGGTGTTGCAGCTCCGGATCATGAAGACGTTGCCAGGGCTAAAGCTCCTTCGGCCACCAGTGACGAATCCACCGTCAAGGCCGACAGCCGCCAGCAGTCTGCCTCGACTTTGAAGGACTTCGAGATACATGAGACTGCGACTAGTCCCGAGTGTTTTGCGGGCATGGCTGTTGAGTCCGAGGAAGACTACTTTACATTCCCTGCTGGACTCTCTAGAATGGATCGATTACGCTACAGGCGCCTTGCTCAGACTAAGGACTCAGCCCAAGACGAAATCAAGGCGCAGCATGAGTTGAAGGAGAACAGAGAGCACATCGCTTCGACCCTTCTGGAGAGCAGTTCTCCTCTTGCTGCCCCTGAGGCAAACGTGCTGGCGCCTTCTGGTGGGCTGGCAGCGACTCCTGAGGGTGACTCTTCTGTTATTGCTCCGGTCAAGAACAAACGTGCCTCTGGGACTCGTAGGAAGCCGGTGAAAAAAGCATCCACAACCAATTCCGAGCAACTGGGTGGCACCCCTCCAGCGTCACAGGGTGGATCTGCAGCAAATCAACCGCCATCTTCTCAGGCTGCGCCGTATCAAGCTACACAAGTTCCGGTGCAGAACTCGGTTTCATCTCAGATATTGGATTCTGGAAACGTTGCCGGTCCTGTCAAGCCAGCTAGAAAGAGAGCCAGTGGCCGCCGTCGCCCGAAGTCCTCTGTCACTGATCCTACCGTCGGCCTCGCACCGTCTGTCAATACAGGAAACGAGCAGATTCTATCTGGGTTGCCAACCTTCCCTTTTCAACACGCATTTCAACCACGTCGAGACAGGGGATTGGCTCGCCCTTCTACAACGGGGGGTTCATATGTTTTGTCGACCCAGGGAAACTCTCGTCTGTGGAAGCAGCCAACTGTTGAAGACTTGAATGAAAGAGTGTGTTATATCTGCGTGCTTGTTGTTGTGCTTTTTGTTTCTGCAATCATGTCGTCTTGTGCTGCTGTCCACATGTTTCTGCCGCACTGGTGTCTACTGTCTTCCCCGTCCTACTGTTGTTCATCTTGTCTCCAGCACAAACACAAACAAACTCTCCACCTCCATCATCTCACTGACGCTCACTCTCTTGCCAGGTCATCGACTATCTTGCCAAGAAGGGATACAGCCGCACTGAAGCCATGTTGCGCATGGAATCCGCAAATCAGGAGATTGATGGCCGCCCTCTGCCTCCTTTGGGCGAGGATGCGCGTCCCAAGTATCGAGCTGGCTTTGGTAAGTGATATCTAGCTCTTGTTTACAGAATTGTTTGTGCTAATATCCAATTCAGATTTGCTCAAAAGCTGGGTTGAGGACAACCTGGATCTCTACAAGGTATATCCCCTGTTTCCGATTCAGCCCATCATATACTGACAAGATGTAGCCGGAACTGAGACGCGTCCTCTGGCCGTTGTTTGTCTACTCTTTTTTGAACCTTGTCACCTCCTTCTACCCTCAGGATGCCAAGCAGTTCTTCGCTACCAACAAGAACCTCTTCCTTCCTGAACACAGTGAAGATATCCGTGCTCTTGAGCCTATCAGCCTCCCTGAACACGTCCAGGACAACTCCACTGCTAAGTTATATCGTGGCAACAAGTATCGTCTGATCCTGAGCAATCCTGCCTTTTCGAACCTTATGCAGTTCTTGGAAAATAAGCAGAAGGAAGGCGGTTCGGTTATGTCCGCTATCCTGAGCAGCTACTGCACCATTATCACCAAGGAACGTACTGCGGACGATCGATTCAGCTTTGCTGCCATGCTTGGCAAATCTGGTGATACGCAGACCTTCCCTCTTGAGGATGAAGGTATCCCTGGCCACCATCCGGGCTCCGCTTACACTGGAGATAATCCTGCCATGACTGGGACTCTTCCTCGTCTTAAGCTCGGAAATCTTCCTCCTGAAGCTCAGCTTGAAGAAGATGTGAGAGGTGAACTCGCGGAAGAAGATGCCAAAAACCCTCCTGTTGCCGGTCGCAACACTCTCGTCCAGGAATATGATCAGATGATCAAGAAAGAAGAGGATGAAGATGCTCCAACTCGTGCTGAGATTCGTTACCCGCCTTCTACTGCACGTGACGTTGCAATGGAAGTGCAGAAAGTCAAGGAGAACCGTGACAGGTTCAAGATCGAAGGTCGTACTGGTGGCGTTGGCCCTGCTGTCAGTGTCTGCATGTTCACCTTCCATAATACTTACGACGGGTAAGCAGCCTTTCCATTCGATTACATGGACAAGACCTTCTCTAACCTGATATAAGAATTACGTGTCTCGACTTCTCGGACGACAACATGCTCGTTGCTGCCGGTATGCAGGAATCGTACATTCGTGTCTGGAGTCTCGACGGACAGAAGATCAAGCCCACTCATGAAGGCATCGATGATAAGCCGCTCGCGAACTCACACCGTCTGATCGGCCACTCAGGACCTGTCTACGCTGTCGCTTTCGCTCCCTCTACCACTCCTACTGACGGTTCACTTGCACCCACCAACGTTCGCTTCCTGCTTTCCTCTTCTGCGGACAAGACTATCAGACTGTGGTCTTTGGATCTTTGGCAGTGCATGGTTGTTTACAAGGGCCATGACCACCCTGTTTGGGACCTTTCCTGGGGACCGTACGGTTACTACTTTGTCTCTGGCGGCCACGACAAGACTGCGCGTCTCTGGGCTACTGACCGTATTCGTCAACAGCGTATTTTCGCCGGACATGATCAGGACGTTGACTGCGTCTGTTTCCACCCCAACTCTGCCTATGTCTTCACCGGCAGTTGTGACCGCACTGTCCGTATGTGGGCTGTGACCACTGGTAACGCTGTCCGCATGTTCACTGGCCATACGGGAAATATCACTGCGCTGGCTTGCAGCAAGAACGGAAAGATACTGGCGTCTGCCGATGACCAGGGATCTATCATCCTCTGGGATCTCGCTCCGGGTCGCCAGCTCAAGCGCATGCGCGGCCATGGAAAGGGGGGCATCTGGTCACTGAGCTGGAGTGCCGAGTCCACCGTTCTTGTTTCCGGTGGTGCAGATGGGACCGTCCGCGTGTGGGACGTTGCCGGTCCCGCTCAGGATCCTGCAGCGGCCCAAGGACGGGTCGTCGGCGAGGGCGGAGCGGGCACCAAGATCGATGCCGGCAATGCTTCCGCTGCGGGCGCGCAGCCCTCCGCCTCTGTTGGCCCAGGATCCAACAAGAAAAAGGGTAAGGATGTCGTGGTCACTCCTGACCAGATCAGCGCTTTTCCCACCAAGAAAAGTCCTGTGTACAAGGTCAAATTCACGAACATGAACTTGATCGTGGCCGGCGGTGCTTACCTCCCTTAAACGGGGCAGGTTCAGCAGGGGGTGACCCTCGGATGCGCCTTTCAGCTTTACTCACTCCTGGTTTCTTCTGGTTGTTTTGTCCTTTTCTATCTTATGCTTTTATTCCCGCCGTCCCCACGGGGAGGTGGTGGGCTGGGCTGTGGTGGCGTCACGGCTAGGCGGCGTCGTCGGGATGGAGTTTTGTTCGTATCTATTTTCATCAACCGGATAGCTTCGAGGCAGATTCTTTGGTCCCCTAGGAGACTGAAAGTTCATAAGTCCTCGTTAAGCACCATGTAATACCAATACTGAACTGTGAATATTGTATTGTGTGTCACTGTAGTAACTAGGATTGTAAGCCATGGTGTAAGATCGTCCTTATGAGAGTTCTGTCCCTGATTTCGTTTTTCGGAACTCGAGCTTCAAATTCTTGTAGTTAAGACTACGACCGAGCATTTGGAGAAGAGAAATATGAGATTTGCCCACAATGTCGTGAGCTTCTACCCATATGTATATAAGAGCATAGACCGCTGCCTGAACCTCCTCACGCAGAGAACTAAGCAATACCAGAACCCACCCCTTTTCATCAAATAACGACAACATCCCATATTGAAGCTAGCAAAAAGCCAGACAAACAAACAAATCCCATCATCCTACGGAAACGGTCTCTTTAGCACCCCAGCAGCGGCATCCCCCGTGCCCTTCGCCATAGCTGCTGAAGCTAACATATCTCCAACCTTTGGTGGAAGAACGAGGGCGCTTCGATCGTTGCGTTTATAGAAATCTACTAGGATCTGAGCGGTTTTGGTGGGTTGGTCTTCTTGGATGAAGTGGCCGGCGTCAGGGAGGACTTGGAGTTGGTATTTTCCTGGTTGATGGATAAGAAAGAATTCATTGTTAGAGTTAATGCAGAAAACGTGATGGTTAGGATGAGTAAGTGGGGTTTTGATCAAGTGAAGTGTACTGTACGTACCTTGCATCTGCCCGATCATTAACTCCTTGTCGAGTCGATCGGTCCCGGCTAGGAGAAGGAGCTTGCCGCCCTTGGCTTCGAGGAACTTCTTGCTCATTCCGACGAACCAGTTCTCCCAGAGGGGTTTGGTGACGGCGAGGTCTGTTCGCCAGACCCAGGGACGGGATGGGTCTGAGGGGTTCTCTTCTTCTCGGAGGAGAGAGGGGACGGAAGCGCGTGCGGATGTTCTGTTGCGGAGTGTGCGCGAGCGGATACTATGAGAGAAAATTGGTCAGAGGGGATTGTCTTCTGGACGGTGATAATAGTGGGCATGTAGATAAGGGGACATACTGCCATTCGATTCCTGATGAGAGGGAGGGGAATCGAGTCGGTCTTGTCATGAGATACTTCTCCATGCTCTGTAGAGCGTCCATTGCAGAACCTGTTCGATGTCAGTTATCTGTAGATTTGTATGATGATGATGAACGATGATGAGAAGGGCTGGTTCACTAGCTAGCTAGTTATACACATACCTTCGACCACATCCAAGACCGCATAAGCTAATAGTTTCGCTCCCAGATCACCTTTCTTCGCAGCATCAACAACGACTGCGCCGCCAAGACTATGTCCAATGAGGACCAGGTCCGGAAGCGTATCCCAGCCCATCTTTTTCTGCGTTTCTTGCACAACGAATACCAGATCGCGGCTCAGGGTGTCCAGACGAAGATCGACTTCGACATCGCTGTTTACTGAATCTTGTTGTTCAGTCTTTCGAGTCACCGTCGTGCTTCCATGCCATCGGGCATCCGGTGCGAGGATCCCGACGTCAGGTAGGATCTTTCTGATCTCCTCTACACAGACGGCGAATGAGAGAGCCGAAGAGCCTGCGCCGTGGTGCAAGACGAAGAGTGGACCTGATTTTGTCGGTGGTGTGATATAGACGTGGTGGGAAATGTGTAGGTCTTTCTCGTCTTCTTCCAGGTACAGTTCCTGAGCGAAGTAGTCTGTCCAGTTTAATGCAGCGTCTTGCTTGGACGATGATCTGAGAAGGAATGTTAGTGAGTGCGGAATGAAACAGAAGAGAAACTGGAGAGGCTGGAAATCGATGTATCGGACGGTATCTAGGTATGTATATATATATATATATATATATATATATATGTGCAACATTGGAAGCATAATCAAATGGGATATTTCGAAAGAAGGCTCCTTTGTCTATTGAAAAGAGGGGGAGGCTGTGGGGAGTTCAATCAACATACCCTCTTCCTCGTGCAAAAAGATGCTGGCTTGGAGACGGAACGACCGTTCCTGTTGAGGAAGCAGACGAAGCGGAAGAAGAATCATCCTCATGTCCTCCCTCATGCTGCTGATGCGATGCCAGAGCATCCTCCTGGGCTTCATCGAATATTGGCGGGGGCTCGGGCGGCAGGCGGGCAAGCCGTGACTTGGCGAAAGACTTTTGGAGATCACTCATACCGTCTCCGTTCGCACTCTTATCTTAAGTATTGTTTGTATTTTGCGTGTTAAGTTAGTATGTGTCTCAGTTAGTGTTGTGTAGCCGTTGATATTGCTCGTTGATCTCTACAGTAGGCTGATAATAGATAAGTTAGATGTGCGACGGATGATTGTCCTCTAGATCGAATTTGATGAACCCCACCAAGTATTCATCTTTACTGTACACGGTTCGTCAGTGACTTGCATCGTCATTCACTGGTCTCTCCTAACGCACCACAGACTCGACGACAACAAATTGCAATAGATGGTCATTTAATTGTGTACAGTACAGTATTTCTGCTGTTATCTTTCCCCGCGCCTGGGTCTCAAGTCCCACTCGATTGTGATTACTGTAATTGACTGGGTGCTTTGTTAGTTTCTACTGAAGTATCTGATCGATGCACTGCTCCGCTTTCAGTCCTTCTCAGCTCCATGGTCGCACTCTATATCTATCTTTTCAACCCGTTGTCAATAAATAATAAAAAATAATGATCAACCTCTCTCGAAATCGAAGTCCCAATGCGGCTTCATCACGTGCCGATACTGAATGGCATGACCTCATCTGCCATGACGTCAGACCAGATCTCCGCAAGAACAAGAACAAGAACCAACGAAGCAAGTAATTATTTTTATTTAGTTTTAATACTGATCGAGATCTTAGAATAATATACCCTGCTGGGGCCATCCCAATCAATTTTCATGATCAGGCAGAAAATCCTTGCTCTGCATCTACAACCGCAACCAGATTTTGCGACACCCTGGACGTCGGTTAACTGAGCGCAAGATACCTCGACTGATCAGCGAGCGAAGTCTGGACTCCTGAGAGACACAATGGTCTCACTCTGGGGTTCGAAGAAAGATGACCAAGGGAGGGCTGAGAATGGTGACCATGCGCAGCAAGATAACGACCGCCATTCTCCCGTCAGAGACTACGGAAGAAGGTCTCAGGAACCAGAGCCGGATGAGCGCACGCGATTGCTCCCCAGAGAAGGAAATGGCTATCTGAGTCCTGATGATCCTGCTGTAAGTATAGACCCATCAGACATATATCTTCCTTCCATGTGTGCAATCGCTGAGAAACTGTTCGAATCCGATTTAGGTGTCTCCATATAACCTCTGGACCGTACGAGCCCTTCGAGGTCTCTCTGTCTTCTTCCTCGCTATCAGCTTCGTCTGGTGGGTATTCCTGCTGGTGTCAATCTTCGTCAGTCCACCATTGATGCATAGTCGCGGATCCGGCTTCTTCGACTTTGCCTACACGAGCTTGACCGTTGGCTATATTATTATCGGACTGCTGTTCTTCTCCGTGCCCTCTCGGCCTATGCTAATCTGGGGCGCTGTTCTGTCCGTTCTCTTATTTATCGATATGCTTATTATCGTGTCCGTGCCCCGAATTCGCGTGGAAGAAGGTTGGGTTGGCATCGCGTCTGTCATCTGGGCGACTCTTATCTCAATCTACAATATTATGCAGAATCGATACGTGGCATGGGGCAAGAAGGAAGAGGAAGAACGGCTCACTGGTCGTGAGGAGACACGACGTACTCTGGTTGAATGGATCGCAGTCATGGTGGAACTGGTCATTATGGGAATCATCGCTATCGTCGTGCTCCTTATGACAGCAACCCTCATCCTTCGCGCGAGGGACGCGAGTCTCGCTCCGCCAGGAAAGAAATACTACGTTGACGGCGACAAGTACCAGGTGCACGTCGCGTGCGTGGGCAACATCACTGCTCAAGAAGATAAGCAATCGCCCACAATCCTCGTCGAAGGTGGTGAGGGCCCCGTCGAGGACAGCCTGCAACCCTGGATCGATCAACTCTACCAGCATGGCACCATCGACCGCTACTGCTACTGGGATCGCCCGGGCTTCGCCTGGTCCGATAACGCACCCTCCCCTCACTCTGCAGGCATGGCTACCGACGCTCTATCCGAAGCTCTCGCCATCGCCGGGGAAGAAGGCCCCTGGATTCTCGTCTCCGCCGGCGTCGGCAGTATCTACAGCCGCATCTTCTCCAGCCGTCACCTGCGCGACGTCCAAGGCCTCTTCCTCATCGACCCCCTCCACGAAGACTTCCTCTCCCAAGTCGGCAAACCCGGCCGTGGCTTCCTCCTCTGGGCACGAGGCATCATCTCCCCTCTCGGTCTGGACCGTCTCGCAGGCGCCATTTTCAAAGGCCGCACCCGCGAAGACCGCGTCTTCGGCCAGAGCGCATACCAAGGCGGCCGCTTCATCAAAGCCAAGCTTCAAGAAAACCTCGTCGCGGAATCCATGACGGCCAGCGAAATCGCCAGTGCGCGCCACATCCAGACCCGCGACACGCCTCTTGTCATAGCCAGTTCGGGCGTTGAGGTCCGCAAGAGCGAGAAATGGGCGAAGCGCCAGGAAGATCTGGGTCAGATCACTGATAACCTGATCGCGTGGGATGTGATTAAGCATGCTCCACATGAAGTGTGGAAGACGTCTGACGGACGGAAAATCATGGAGGCTAGATTGGGAGATCTACTCAGGGCTGTTAAGGATGAAGCATAAAAAAATGGACAGAAAAAAGGGGAATTGTATATGAGATATGGATAACATATGGATTTTTTTTAGGATATGTTTCTGAGCCAGTTTTATGACATATAATCAATGCTTTCGGATTTCATGTATAATATATGACGAGACACTGGCGTTCTATGATAATGCTATTCATTGCTTCCTGCTTGTACACATGTATTTTTACGATATGACAGACTGCGCAGAAGTTCTTCTTCTTTTTTCTTATTGCTATTTATTTTCAGCATTGGGATTCCGAGAGGTGTTAGGGAGATGAGTAATAATTCTATTAAACACTGCCCAAGTTGACGCTCCCTCCGGCCGGACACCAATACGTAGAAACCACAAAGGAGAAGCCCATCCCACGATGAAACAAGCCGTCCACATGCGATACCCACCAAAGAGCGGGAGACGATCCCATAATCGGGGAGGATGGCGTCGATACCCCTTCACGATTGTCGATGCTAAACGTCATATGGAGAAAGGGGAAGGCAGTGTCCGACACGCAAGGTTGGGGATGCAGACCGTCGAAGTATATAACCGCGACGCCTTACGAGACCGTCCACAGTTCGTTCGGGTTTATTGTATATAGGGAAATGGTAACACTTTCCCCGGGGAAGGGTCGTGACAATATCTGCCAAATCGGAGAACGGAGCGAAGCATATGTTCGTAGCGGCGTGGGTATCACGGATCACTCTAGGCTAGCTCCCTTAAACCTCTTAGCAAGTTGTTCACTGTCTGATGGAGATTCGGATCTCGACGCAGCAGAAAGGTGACGCTTTTTGCCATGAAATGACGGCAAAGAATTTTGATCTGGGAAGGGCCAAGGGCGCTTGGGGGGCCGCTCACCGCTCTCCTGAAGTATTGTAACTAATGTCGCCCATCCGGGTGTGTTTATCAATTGCAGTCCTTCCGCGGGTTCCTGCTTAGCGGCAACTCGGCACAAGAGTGATTCCTCATCCTAAGACATGTGTCAAAATGCAAGCTTGGAAGTGTGGGAGGAACTGCAGCCAACTACTTACCTTGCTAAAAGTGCCAAGAGAATGCAGGAAGCAGAGAAGGTGGAAGTCCGATACTGCACGAATGGCTCTGTCAGGATCTCCATGAGAGACGAGCTTTCTGGCAACATGTCGAAGCTCCTGGCTTTCGCCAATCTCTCCGCGGTTCTCGATAGGGAAATTGCTATCAACAAACATGGGGAAAGATTCTGTGGGGAATCCATGGGTCAAAGTCACTAGCAAGTATTCAACCGGGAAACTGGGTTTCGCGTTTTCTTGAACGCTGGCGCCGTATTCATTAATCCGGCGGTAAAACACCTCTGGAATATAGCGGACCTTGCTGCCTTCGTCCTCGTCATCCTCTGACTGGACAAGCATTACTGACGGGTCCGCAGACGGCTCGACTATATCAGCCCTCACCATCTCGACGGCTGAATTTGAAGCTTGATAAGCACTGATTGTGATGGCACCCTCTTCATCTCCACTGAGCACGCAAGTGACGAAGTTAGAGCCAAAACGACCAGTCTCGCTCCACTTTGTTGCTTTTGGATGTTTGGCCTGTAGCCGGGAGGCGAAAGCAATCTCCAACGAAGAAAGGAAATATGAATCCATGTGACGCTTGCAGATGACGGTGCCGTCCCCTTGTCCCGCATCAAGCAAGTCCGTAAATATTACCCCAACCTTCTGGAGGCCGCATAACCGAGCAACTTCGTCGACTTCCTTTTCGTTGGTCCAGTCATGTAGTGTGATTCCATCTATTTCACCAACTTGTGGTGGCTCATAGATAGCCTGAACTACAGCCTTGATGCCTAGAGGGACTTCAGTGTACTCCTCGTAGGTACCGTAAAGAAAACCCAACCGCTGAGCACCAGATTTCCGCCAGTAGTCCAGCAGGGAGTTAATCAGATCCGGAGATGAGAACTCGACGTGGTCTACCATTCGGAATTCTTGAGGTTTTAGTGTAATGGCGCTAGGCTGACACTTCGTACAGATTCCTTCTGGCCACTGAGGGTGTCCCGACGGACAGTTCCGTTTTACTCGGTAATACGGTTCGCTGAGCGGCGGCATGTATGTGCTCTTGAGTTCGGGTTTGTTGGTCGAGAGGTTGATCTTGCGCAGGTAGGAGTGGAAGGATAGGTGTTTGATCTTCTTTTCGGCGAGATACTGAGGGGCGTAGGGTTCGAGCGGCATGCAGTAGTCACACATGCCTTTGGGGCCGTGGCGGCACATCTTCTGGTCCCGACCACGGTGGATCTTTCCATCTTTCTTGTCCATCATGTCATCAAGGGCCGACTGCTGTACGACTTCCCAGGGATTCTTGATGAGAGCGGATGGCGATGTGGGCTGCGGGGGTAGTGTGATAGTCTTCTCCTCCACGGGAGCTCCATTGAGACGACGGGCTTCCGTTTGGGCAAATTTGGTACTGCCATTTGCAGCGCCGTTCGCCAACGATCCCTTTTCCTGATAGCCGATGAAGAGCTTGTCTCCATGCCTTCGAGAACGGACCCAGTTAACCACGAAGCTGGCAATATACCGTATCGACGTAAAGACTTACGATAACCCAACTCTCTCTATCGATACTCCTTGTAGAGTGCTCAAGTTCCTCTCCTGCCCACCTGTGCCTATAGGTTTGTTGGAAAGGACGATGGAAGAAGGTTCGACATTGTCCGGTAGTTGCTCTAGGATCTGCGAATAAGATCAGTATGATCATCCCACCACTATTTGAAGGCTATAGCCTGTCATAAATTGCCATAGGAGACTCTGGTCAGCTCACCTTTTGCTGCAATGCAGGGAAGAGCTCTGTAGGGCTCACCGTCAAGCGGAACTGGCCATTGCGGCTCTCGAACCGCAGGATGATGGGCTTTGAGGGAGGCATTTCGACGGGGTTATGGTAAGGGACTCTGAAATCAAGGGAAGAAAGATCGATCCGTCACACTCATCGCCAGGAAGCAAGTAAGAGAAAAAAGAAGGAAAAGTGATGAGAGGCAGCTGGTTTGTCAGGGTGGTTGGCCTACTCTAAAGTTGAAGGTGACCGAAGGCAGCGGAGCTCTATCGTCATGGCCCGCTGCGGCGTCACCGCCCGCCTACGGTGAGTCTTACAAGCGCTTTGTGCCACTCCATCACTAATGAATTGAGGGGAAATTCACAACAGTAGAAAATTATCGTGAAAAGGTGGCCGTTAAGAGTATCATTACTGAAATAAGTCTATAAAAAGGAGCGTTTTTATTGAGTTGAAAATTGGTAACCAATAATTGAGGGGCTAGTATATTACCTAGCTTTGCTCGCAGTAATATCGATTCTCTCGTTAGCTTTTTGTTATGTTTATGCCGTATTGCTAAAGCTAGCTGATTTGCTAACTAAATGATTCTATCAAAGAGGACCAAAAGTTTGGTATACTATTTGTATCTTATTCATTATTATTAGACGGCATAGATTGTCACATAGCCGTCCTATGCATATGTTTCTAAGTACATATTCTCGCAGGAGAAGGACATCATGGAAAAGAAAACTCTAGAGGACAAGCAAGCAAGAGGGTATCTGGATCCGATCAAAGTATGTTGCATTTCTTCGGCAGACCGCAGGGACCTCCCTCCTCGCTGTTCTCCTGAGATTCCTTCTTTTCAGTCTGTGCTGCCGCAGCAGGAGCCTGGGTCGTGTTGGGTGCCGCTTCTTTCTTACTCTCCTTGGGGGTTCCATCTAGTCACGCAGAGAAAGCCTTGGCGACGTGCTCGTAGAAAGACTTGCCCTGAATCTCAGCAAGCTCGATCTCGAGAGCGCTGGGCTGGCGAGAGCCGTCGGCACCCTGGATACGGTATTAGCATCGCATTGGCCTTTCTTTCATTTCACTTGCGGGATGGCAAAACTTACGGCGAAGGTACCGGCACCCCAGGGGCTACCACCGTGGATCTCGGACAAGTTGGAGAGCTGAGCGAAGGCGGTCTTGTAGCCGAGAGGGACGTAGATGAAGCCGTGGTGAGCAAGCGTGCTCATGGAGGCGAGAGCAGTGGACTCCTGACCACCACCCTGGGTACCGGTGGAGATGAAGAGACCGGCGTACTTTCCCCAGAAACCACCGGTGGCCCAGATGCTGCCAGTCTTGTCCCAGAAGGTCTTCCACTGGGCAGGGAAGTTACCGTAACGGGTGGGGATACCGAAGAGAATGGCATCGTACTCGAGGAGGGTCTGGGGCTCAACGACGGGGTAGCTGGCCTTGCCAGGGGCGTGCATCAGGGTGAGGACATCCTGAGAAAGAGTCTCCTCGATCCTGTAGTTTCTTCGTCAGCTTCGGATATGGTGGCACGATTTTATTATGCAACGTACTGGAAGATATCGGCCTTTCCACCAGCAGCCTCAATACCCTTCTTCTCGGCCTCAGCGAGCTTGACGATGTGACCGTAGGTCGAGTACTATAGCGAGTATGAACGTGTTAGCCAATGTGACTTTGTGAATTTGACTTTCCCCTTTGCAATCATCATTGCGGGGTCCAAGAGAAACGTACGTAGACAATAGCGATCTTGGGAGCCATGGCGACTGATTGATGAGGTTTAATTAAGGTAGAACACGATGGGATTCTTCTTCACAAAAAATGGCAATTGCAATAGACCCGCTGGAGAAGAAGGGGGAAAAGACACGTCTAGGGTCAGCCTGGGAGAGCTTCCCTTTTATAAGGCCGGGGAGCTCCCCTCAGGGATGTACCAACGAGGCGCTCTGCTCGACATTCATCGCAAGCCCCATCCGGATCTCCATCTCGCGGTCCTCGGCGCCGCTTGTTTCCACGGACATTCCATTATTTGGTTGGCGTTGGGACAAGAAACAGCGCTGTTTGAGGCCAATCACCGGCGATCGTGGAGGGGCAAGCTCTATGGACGAATCTTACGGAAGACTGACAAATGATTTGGTGATGCTGAGCTAGCCATCAGGAACCTCGTCCCAGGCCCGCGGAATGCCACCGCTTCATAGCATCCTTTCCGTGGCATTATTAACTGCGACCCCGAAATTCGACATCTAATACGTGCGACCAATCCTTAGAATACTTTGTTTTTTTGCTGAGTTATTGCTGTCTAAGACAGAGGAGGAGGGGTCGCAATAATAATCAGTCGTGATGTCACGTAAGCCGCCCACCGTACTGTAGTTAAGTATTTCTTGGCGCTACGACTGAACTGACAAAGCCCTTATTAACGCGGTCGGCCGCCATGCCCGCCCGGTCTAGAATGCGAGTACTAATCCTCTAGTAATAATGATCGTTAGCTAGTTAGAGCATATCTTGTCCCGTCTCGATTGCGTGCGAAAGCAGAGTAGCAAGACTTTTCTCTGGGAAGCTGTGTTCTTCCATCACTGTCTCGAAGTTGCTTTTCTGCAAGCCCCCCTGCATAAGTACATACTTACCTACATAGAAGACCCATATGTTGTGCGGGAACCTATGACAACAAATAGTGCCTTCGCCAGCCTTCGTGGAATTCCATGTACTCTATGGATACATTCACTCTACATACACCCTTTGCGCAGGAGAGGCGGTGAGGACTGCTGTTTTCTTGTCTTCGTTCTTCTCCGGATTTCTCATCCTGCAATAGAAGACCATAGATCCGGCCTCTCTCTTTTCCCCCAACGCAATGCCTGATCAGAATTTCCCGAGCTGCTGATCTGCGTGATTTTTCAAGCTCATTGTTGAGGCAGTGCGGAATTAACTGACCTGTAGACCTATCAGGTTTAGCAGAGTTGAATAGAGAACGCATAACAAACGGGTAAGGTGGATCCAATGGAGTTAATGAAACTGATAGATTAGATAGAGTGTGACAGAGATGTCAGCGCACAAAGAACACGTGCAGGTGACTTGTAATATCACCCTTTTTGATATCGGATAGAACATCTGGAGCGAAGCTCGCTGGCAACTAGCTCAACCAGGTATTTATCTTTGTGGGTGGAGCTAGAAAGGCGTGGGAGAAACCCGACAGGAGGTCTGCCTGTAGGCAAGCTCCAAGAGAACCTATTAAATTACTGGGATCTAGATTTTCTGTATGGTTGGGAGATGAGTATAGGGCCAACTTTCCCCTAGATCTAGAGTTAAGCAAGGAGCCTGGCCATACCGCAAAGAGCTTCCAGATATACCGATAGGATTAGACAACATGCAGACAGAGCATTTCTGCCTCTCGAAATATCGATCTCTTCCATTACTGGCTCCGGCGCGACTTCCATCACAACCACGCGACCATTTGCGTATTCCTGCAGACGGGGGATGCTCGAGGTATCTTCTACCAGCATCGACTTGGAATATGGCGAGCTTGGCCTAGCAATTTGTCCAACAGTTCAGTTCATAGAAGTACAAATAAAACACCTACTACTTTTATCGCTATTTCAGTATTACGGCGATGTATTAACTAGCCTACATTTTAACTACCACTAGGGTATGTGAACATAGTGTCTGCAGTGGCGAGACCTTCCGAACTTATTTTTTCGATATGAAAAGTAGAACGAAATTGATTTGTGAATTGTTCGTAATCTGTGCCTGTTAGTTCATAGATGCAGTGCTACAGCAACGACTGGACGTAAAAGCTGTCATACTAGGTAGGCTACCAGTTAAGGAATATCGTCCCAATACTTCTCTGCTGCTACCTCCTGGAACTTTCAGCCCTGTATTAAGCCTCATGTGTCTCGTATACGAAGTCAGCTGTAAACATATGATTCAGTTATGTCTTAAGGATGTACCTGAGCGGCTGTGTCCACTCGAGAACGAGCTTGTATGTACATACTATGTGCGCTAGGATTGAGATGGGCTCAGCGCGCACTCAGTCCACGAGAAACTACTTTCCCCTAACTTGACTAATTCAAAGTATTAAACTTCCCTTTGCGTCGGTCCTTTTGCGCGCGAGGCTTTAATGATAATGATAATATATGCGATACTGTGCCTAGTGCGTACGAGCATACGCTAAAAGAGACTCTAGGGTAACTTATCCCGAGTGCAATATTGTCCTGTTTTTATTTTGCGTGCTGCATAGCAACCAGACATAGAATACTACGATAAGAAAACATCAAACTCCAGTTAAACATGCCTTTACTATTGATTTGTGTCCTTTTAACATTCCCTTTTATGTATTCCCACCCCCATTTGCGCATATGTTTACCATAGTCTTATGAACTGAGGTTAGGCTTAGGCACGAGCCCACACTTGGGGCGGGGGCTACTATGTTATCGCGCGATCTCGGATTCTCTTTAGTCTTTTGTTGATGGCTAGTAAACCTTTGGATACGTTGCTTTTTGAACCGCCTCTGAGATCTATCCCGAGGTGCACTCAGTTGTTCTGCTGAATAACATACAGAACAGCCCTCTTAGATCTCAGTCCCGCATCACATGCCTCTAGGAGTTCCCTAACGCATTATGATAGAAGCACTACGACTAGAAAGAGAAGCAGAGGCTAATTCATAAAGCGGAAATACGATATTTGACTGTCCCGCTAACTATGGCCTAAGTATTAACCTAGTGAGTCATGCCATGCATCATCGCTTATGTACAGGACATTATTTCTCCGTCTCCCCCACTTAATGATGGTAGCAAAGAAAATTCCGGCGCTCTACTTTATCGTTGCTCTCTACGATTGACACCTTCATGCGGTGCTTGTTCCCTGGCTTTTGCTAAACTTTCACTTTGTTATTATCCTCACCATAGAGGATCTGGATTGTCGACTCTATTCTAGCGGGTAGCAGTTCCCAGCAGCATGGGAATCGTATCTCCACTACATACTACGCACAGTGATGCGCAACAAGTGTCTCCGACAGACGACTGGACTGGTCCTGATGATCCAGATTGCCCTTACAACTGGCCCATGTGGAAGCGCATCTATATGACTAGCATTCCCGCATTTCTCTGCATCAATGTGTTAGTATGTCCCTTCCAATTGAAACCTAGATTCTGACTCATACTCATACAGGTCGTTCGCCTCGTCCGTCTACACGCCTGGGGCAAGCAACATATCAGAGAAGTTCGGAGTCTCCCACACAGTATCTCTGCTCGGGCTCTCTCTCTTTCTTTGGGGTCTTGGGCTTGGAGCCATCATCGCCGCACCTGTCAGCGAGTACTACGGTCGTAGAATTGTATATCTAACGACTGTTCCAATCTTTGGTCTTTTCATCCTAGGCTCAGGATTAGCACAGAACTTCGCTACTTTGGCCGTCTGTCGCTTCTTCGGCGGCTTCTTTGGGAGCGCAGTGGTTTCAGTAGGCGGCGGTACCAATGCGGATCTCTGGCAGCCTACCATGGCAGGATTCATCTTTCCTTTCTACTTCGTGTCTCCTTTTCTTGGTCCAGCTCTTGGTGAGATAGACTATACTAGCAGTTGTATGGGGTTTCCGTGCTGACATTCTCCAGGGCCTGTCATCGGTGGCTTTCTCAGCGAGTACAAGGACTTCCGCTGGCTTGAATGGGTAATTCTCTTCATGATCGCCTTCAACTATTTATATTCTATTCCTCAATCCGAAACATACAAGAAAACCATCCTCAAAAAGCGCACACGTACGGAAAAATCGATCAATGCTCCATTGAAAGTCGCCCTTCCCTCAAGCGCTGTCGTGCAGCGCATCGTCCTCAAACCTTTCAAGATGCTCTTCGTCGAGTCCATCGTGCTTTTTATGACTATCTACATGGCGTTCAACTTCGCCGTATTTTATAGCTTCTTCGCCGCTTTTCCATATGTATTTGGCGGCCAGTATGACTTCACATCTGGTCAGCAGGGTCTTACCTTCATCCCTATTGCATTGGGCTGCATCATCGGCTTTGTCGCCGTGGTCTATATAGATCGGCGAACATACCCTCAGTTAGAGAAGAAGTATGGCATTGGAGCTGTACCTCCCGAGCACCGTCTCTATGGAGCGATGGTAGGCTCTTTCCTTAACCCAGTCAGCCTCTTCTGGTTCGGCTGGACCGCCAACGCAGGTGTGTATTGGTTGAGTCCCGTTATAGCAGCTGTGCCATTTGCAGTTGGGAATATCATGGTATATAGCAGCGGTGCGCTGTATATCATGAACTCATATGGATCACTACATGGCGCCAGTGCCCTCAGTGCGAACAGTCTCCTTCGATACGCAGGCGGAGGCGCCTTCCCACTCTTCACTGTGCAGATGTTCTCCTCCCTAGGAATCGGCTGGGCGAGTAGTCTGCTGGGCTTCGTGTCCGTGGTATTGGTGCCTGTGCCCTGGGTGTTGTATAAGTATGGAAGAAGGATCAGGGCACATAGTCAGTATATTACTGTAGAGGAGGTTGTTGTGTTGGCAAACTCGTTAGGGGAGGTTACTGGTCAGCGAGAGGAGACGGAAGTCTAGGTGAGGATGGAATATCAGCTCTCATGGACTGATAGACATAACAGGACACTAAAAAGTAATTCATGGAGGCTCATTCCAATTTTGTCTGATTCTGCTTTGCTCATTGAACTGACCAGACTGACTGGTCTTTTATGATGGCTTCATGATGCGGCGCACGGCGTTAGCCTGGCTGGCCGCGTGGGGGCGGTCCGCTGGCGAGAGCCGCGAGACATACCATAAAACTATCGGCCCCGCGATCCGCGATCCGCGAGGAAGCTTGACGGTCATGTCAGTGCTAGATGTCCCTAGTTAGTAGGCAAATAAACAAGTCGCCCTATTGCCAACAGTTTCTCTCCAAAGAGACATTACTGAGAGCACTGTTGGTTTTTGCGCCGGACTAGCTCATACTGATTATGCCGAGACTCCAGTATTGCGATTTCGGTCATAGCAATGTTGATAAATTAGGTAGGTCTTTATGTAACACCTCACGGAAGGAAATTGTCTAAGGCGCGACATTTGCCGGTAAGTATCTCTCTAGCGGTATATACCCATGGTCATGATAAGCATGGGAATTTGCAATGAGTCTCAATTGGTGCATTTAGTTTACAATATCATTCGTAAGAGTACAGGAGGAATGCAAACTAGAGTATGAGATTCAGAAGGTTATATACTCTTTCATGGGTATCTCACAAATGGGACGCTATCCAGCATCCCTGGCAAATTAAAAGCAAAATTTGCAAGCTCTGTACGTAACTCCAGGTCTTCCCCGTCGTTCCCCACCGCATTGACCTAAACAGCGCCTGGAAATCTTTGATAGTATACATGTAAACAAATTCCAGAACACGTGCAACAGCAGTACCATTTCCACGCCCCGACCATAACTGCCATTTGGAGGCGAAAAAGGAAAAGGTTGACGTGAATATGCAGGCACAAAAAGATGCCATTCATCTTTTCACATTCCCCTTCCTCTGCCACGGTATCGACCGCGCATGAAGCCACCGCCTCGACCACGTTCCCTTCTCCACTCCCTCTCTCGCTCTTCTTCCCTCTCCTGCTCTTCTCGAATGATGGCTCTTTCACGCTCGAGCTCCTCCTCCGACTTCTCAACCCTCATCATCGGCTTGGGTAGATTCTCCGTCCAGCGTGGATGAGCGTCCGCACATGCCTTGCCTTCGGGGCAGAAACCCGCCAGATAAAACGGACAGAGCTTCCTCCGGATATGGCGTTTAGCGCACAGCGGACCTAACGGACAGAACCCACGATCGTAATGCTCACACGGGGGTAGCTTGGCTTCCGGCCTCACGTGCTGGTATAAACAGTCGTCCCCGTTCGGGCAATATCCAGACCGAGAAAAGGACTGGCATTCCGGCATCCGCCGTAGGTTGTACTCATGTAGATACTCGCATTTGAAACCTTTTTTGCAGAGTCCTTTGAGGAAGTGTTTGCAGACCAGTGAACCGTGTGTAGAGGACGGCGCGAGGCCTGAAGCGGTCGTCGTCGATGTGGTCACCCGTGAGGGCGTTGGGTGTCGATCTGGGCATGTTGGTCCAAGAGGGCAGTGACCTTCCTTGTAGGCTTTGCAGACAGGGACATCGCTGGCAAGGCCGAAACCGAAACTCTTGCGGAGGAAGGGGCCGAAGGAGAAGTTGAAGTCGGGATCGCGGGTCGTGTCGGTAGATATGATGCGCTCGGCAGCGCTGTGAATATCCGTTGTCATGGCTATGTATTGCGTGGAATTTGCTTCAGTGGAGGAAATTAAGTATAACTCTCAGCACGTAGGATTCTCTCGTGTTGGGCAGACCGTAATCTGTTTGCGCTTCAAGAGGGTGCTTCCCGGGAAAGCTCTCGAAACGAAGCCGTTAAGGTGCGAAGTTGATAGCGTCGACAGTTTTCTTTTCTTCGTAAGGTCGTCAATTATATTACAACAAAAAAGATCATCATTTGTCCCGAATAGACCTTGAAATGCAGTCAGGATTCCGTTGTGCAGGGATAGATATCTTGAAGATATTTGCTTGATCCGGCACCGATGGCGAGGCGGACTGGCTAGGTACTTCGAAGGCAAAATCAGGCGGTGAACAGCGACTCTCCGCTGGCCTAGCCAAGCTCCTATTTCGTTTTCTAACAATATTCCTAGCTTCAACGAAGTTGACGTCTAAGTGAAACACAGATAACTAATTATTGCTATAACCAGACAGGTATAAGTGTTAAATCGTCATTATTTCGTGGTCATCATCGAAGCAGCTGGAAGAATCTCGCCACCGACTGTACTCTACAAGCAAGCTGACTGATGCAGTGCTCAATTGACTAGAGCGTTCTCATTGGACTGCTGAATAGGATCTTGTTTAAACTAGCAGTGTCGCTTTATGACGACGGATTTTAACGGGTCCAGGATCTCATTGTGTGCTTGTCATGCTCTCGAGAAATCGCTATCTGCGTAGGAATGCTCCCGGGCTAATCGTATCTGGAACTGGCCCGACAGGCATCGAACACTTCCCAGTTGACTACGACCATCAACAATCTATAATCTTAGGAGATTATCGATACCGCTCATCCAATGAATGTTGGTCAAGTCTACTTGATATCCAGGGAAGAGCCCGTTTGGGTAATGCGGGCGCTCGTATGGGGGATACAAGCCATTTCCCCAAAGTGTGGGGTGCGTGGAAGCTTACTGCCATGATTGGAGATTTCTCGATGTATGTACCTTGCAATGCTGCATATGGTGTTGCGGAGAACCTTGACCGGTTGATGCCATTTCTCACGACTTCTAGCCCATTATCACTCGAACACGCCCTGGCCTTGCGTTTCTCTCAGGCTATTATTCTGACAATTACGATTGTCAGGCCTTCCACGGTCTAAAGTTATGTCTTGCAGACACTAGCGGCTCCCCCGATGTGAGTTCGCTTCAAGAGTATAAAAAGGAGATCAATCAACAGACAATTGAGGTCGTCCGTGGATGCGTTAAAGTAGACCGCTAGACGTACTTACTCTTGCTTCTCGACCCTGACACTGCGCTGCAGCGCCTGAGGTCTAACCTTGTCTAAGACTGTGCCGTCGATCTCGTCAGCCTCCTCGACGGGTGGTCATAGCACGTTCATAGCGCCATTGAAAATCCGCAGAATATCATTGATCGCGTTCCTAGGCGCCCACCCTAAACAAGGGACGAGTAATCGACGTGCCGCTACGACTCTAATAATATCTCGTGACCAACATCTACTGCAAAATTCCCCTGGAATAAATAATAAGATGAGGCGGATCGACCAGCCGTAACGAATCTTCGTTGAGCCATTCCCCCCGCTTTTACTAACCCGGAGTCTTTGATTGCTCCAGAAGTAGAGGAAGCACTCGCGGTCCCGCACCACACGGAGGTTAGAGCGTTGTGATACCCCAACGGCGCTTCGTGGGAATGTAATGATAGCCTCTGTCATTGGTCGACTAATCGTTGTTGATTGTCTTTGACAAGAGAGGTTTGCAGCCGATTCACCTATGTGTGTCACCGCAATGCTATAAAGTTGATGATGGCTTTCTGCCAGTCGATCAGAAAGGAGAGCTCCTTCTTGGTCTGCATGGATCTCTAACAGTTGATAAAACCTCGCCGCATCAACTACAAAGATGGACCGTTAACCTCCAAAGCCACTCGTCCTCTGTTTCTGGGACCGAATCCAGTCTTCTGATATATAGCCAGGCCATTTGGTGTACTCTTTTCTTTGTTCTCTGGTTCTACATCAGAAGCTGTGGAAAGGCTTTACACACGTGATCGAAAAGCACCCAAGAGTGACAATAGCAATCACTCCTTCGATCGTTTCCACTTTGGGGAGTCCGCCAGGAGCAGTAATAGACATCCAAGTCAAAAAGAAAGAGCCCTGCTGCTCTTTTCCTTGTCATCAAATGTTTCCGACAATGGGACCAGCTTTTTCTCTGTGCCCTCAATCGCCTGTACCGGCAGCGCAGTTGCCAAACTATCCTGCTGTATCGCAGAACCATTATGATATTCTGCCCATATTTGCAAATGCCGCCTACTATCCGAACTGGCGCGTATACAAGGAGCAGCCACCATCATCGTTGAGACTGGGATTCATCTCCCACGTTTTCTATGCTTTTGCCTGGTACCATTGAGCCCTGCAGTTAAACCATTCCCGATGGCTTTCCCGCAAATGTTAACTTTTCTGTTCTATCTCGCAGGGTCAAAGAAGACGGAACTGTTTATGTACATACATATCTCTAACAGAGATACTCCGTGTGACTTGCTGACTTGGTTTTGCAGATGAGCGATGAGTGGGCCGATTGCCAAATGCCTGTCGATGGTACAACAGGATGCCTTAGGGCATTTGTGCAATTGAAACAACGATACTCGCAGATGAAAGTTATCCTTTCAGTTGGAGGCGGAGGTAAAGGAAGTGAGAATTTTGCTAGCGTTGCCAGCAATCCCACGGCCGTGCAAACATTCGTACGGACAGCGAGAGGATTGGTTGACGAGTTTGGTTTGGACGGAATCGATAGTATATATTTGCCCTTATCGTCTTATTTCATTTTCTACACTAAGGCCCATCTCTAACTGCAAGCTCCTTCAGTCGACTGGGAACATCCTTCCGACCCGCAACAAGGCCTCGACTACGTCTACCTTCTCTCCCAATTACGGCAAGGGCTGCCATCTCCGCGTTATCTTTTGACAACGGCGCTTCCAGCTGGAGAGTGGGCTCTTCGAAATATCAACCTTGCGGCAGCTCAGACCTATCTCGACCTGATCAACATTATGGCCTATGACTTTTCAGGCCCCTGGACGGATCGGACAGGGCACCAATCCCAGCTCTATACCCCTTCTCGCCCTAACAGCGAATCTGCATACATATCATGCCACTCAGCTATGACATATGTTCTGTCCCAAGGTGTAAATCCCAGAAAGGTCCTTCTGGGTATACCAGTTTACGGACGATCATTCCTTGGGAGCAACAATGTCGGTCAATCCTATTCTGGATGTGGCGGGGAAGAAGGTACATTTGACTACCGTGACCTTCCTCGTCCTGGAGCAAAGGAGCATCATGATGATAAAGTAGGAGCAGCATACTGCATTGGCGGAGACGGTGGTTTCGTGACTTACGACACGACGCGCACGGTGCAGCAAAAGGCCAAGTACGTCGCAAGGTCGAACCTTGGTGGTCTCTTTTACTGGCATATTGCGTCAGATGCAAGGGGATCTAGGAGTCTCATTGAGACCGGATATAATATACTACACGATATGTGATATGGCCGCTGGCAGTGGATATGGGTTCCTCGGAATTATGTCGGGATATCCTCCGTGTATTCACACATTTCTTGTCAGCAATTTACTCCAACCAAGCTTTTTTGATGTTCGGGCATATCTTTTAAGGGGTCCAAATTAGGGAAGTAATATGTTAATGGGAAGCCAAACAGGCTTTGAATCTTTATAGGAATCAGATCATCACTGCTCTATTATATACACCTGTCCTCAGGCGGTGGAGTGCTTCCTTCGGGACTAATCTACCACGTCTGATATATAGAAGATCAGCTTGGACTACCGAGACTTTCTATGCATATACTAGCCCCAAAAGTGTATATTGCAAGGACCTATTTATGGTACTAATTGCATTGTGGGGTAAATATGATGCGGCCAATGAGACCTTGTGTGTGACACTATCATCTCACCACCCTTATGACATACTCTACATTCTAAACAGGACATTCGTTACCTAACATATGGTCATACAGATATTGGAAATATGACATCAGTACCATGTCCATGCGAGATTGATATTGGATAATCTGCATAAATCCCATTATAGACAACTCCAGCCACTCTCTTTATATAGTGGAAAAGCTCTTATTATTTAAAAGTCTTGTTCAACTGAAAGAGCCCTGAACAGTACAACTTTAATGCATTGATCAATTCTGCTAAGTTATCTGAGTTGAATAATTAACTTCTGCGATTCAGCTTTTTCGTGCTCAACTGATAGGAAACTGGAGGACATCACAGAACAGCATGGACCCTTAGGTAGGGTGCTCAGACCATAGACGATCCCGTAGTTAAGCTCGCCTTGCCTGAACCTCTGGTATTTTAGCACGCTCAACTCTCAATGTACAGTACTTTCCTAATTAAATCAATGTCAAGTTAGCCCCTGGATGTTATATTGATTATTAACTCCGAATAGATAACTAGAACAAATCCCCTTCATTCTACAATGTGAGCCATATTAACTGCGTAGGATGTGCCCGTTTGTGCCCTTGGTTTTCCGCCCCCAACATCTCCATTCCCGATACCGCGGAAAGTTTGTTCGAATTTCAGCCTCGTATTCCTGCGAATAAAGTCAGATTTGTTACATCCGCCGTCAGCTCATACGCCCTATATGGGAAACTTGGTGCTAAGGCCTCTTGGCTCCTAAGCGGCCTAATGCTCTAGGGCAGAGACGGAGGCAGACGGGATTCCCGCTCCATCTCCACGGCACCAGCCTTTGAGGATTTTGTTCATTTCTGCGGTGGTAATAATCGCAAAAGCATAAGGGGATCTTCATTTCCTCAAGAGGGGCTAAAACGCTAAAAGGTAGGTATTTGTGGAGACTTCTCTGGGAACACTTTTCATTAAAGATATTACAAAAGATCTGTCGCCTATTACTCCCACTCTTTCCAGTCTTTCGGGCCTTCTTCTCATGTTATCCCCTTCTGTGACTATATTTACAGGCAGCTAATAACATAAATATGTCACAGCAGCCTGCAATCTTTTCTTTATGGCGAAACACATTGCTTTTCTTGCTTCTCTGTTTACCTCTTAATGCTCTCTTTGTCTTCACAAACCCACCACCTTTCATCAATGGTCCTGAAAATCAATCCAATGATCCTGCATATAACGTCGAATCTATCTTAAAAATCAGCTGGAAGGGCTCACAGTCTGCACAATCCGACAAAGTCTCAATAGACCTATGGCAAGCAGTGCCCAACTCTACGGCAGAATGGGTTTTTCGTAAGTTTCTTTAGTTTGCAATAAAAAAGAATCTGTTTTCCCGGCACTCTTCTATCTTGCTTATACGCTGTTCTTAGAAAATATCAGCGGCCGCCAGTCGTACAATTGGCACGTTAAAACTTCAAGAAATCTATCTCTCTCCGACAGATTCTTCTTCCTGATGTATGTTGATGGGAACGAGAACTACGTTGCCAGATCGCATCAGTTTATAATCAACGATAACTCGACAAATACAACTTCATCCGATGAAACCTCGTCCAGTACAAGCACCGGACTCTCTTCTGGTGCTAAAATAGGGATAGGAGTTGGAGTAGGTGTGGGGGTTCCGGCTATAGCTGGGGTTGCCCTCCTTTTCATCCTCAGACGACGGCGGCGTGGGCAAATTAAGGCTTCCGGACAAAAATTTGAATCTACAGATGGGAAACCCGCGGTAACTGAACCTTTTGAGGCACCGGGCACCAAATCAGAGATAACAGCCGAACTGGGAGGCGAGACGAGTGGGAAGAGACCCCTGGAACTTGCACCTAATACTGTGAACAAAACCACAGAGCCACAGGAGCTTGAGGCACCTGTCTGAATACTACACACAGCTTAGAATGAAATATACCCGTATCGGAGCAATGACCGTGGCTGCTGGTGTTTCCGTGCTGACAATCCTATATATAGTTTTCATCTCTATCCTGCGATAGGATAAAATGACGAGCATATGTGCAGTGCGTTGTGGAAGCATTAGTTTAATTGGCCCACTAATTCAGTTATATATTATTCCGTTAGCGTCTCCAACTAATCAGCTGTGTCTCGATGCGATGCTGCTGATTATCATGCGATCCAGATATCCCACGCTGCTAATTAGAGTCTCCTAGTGAATTTTGCACGATACTGAGTATAAGCTATATGTAAATCCAGTGAAGATTAATTCGCTTCTGCTTTGCTAGCAGATACAGAATCAGGTGGTCTGCATACGCATTAACTAGCTCCTTGTAACTAGTACTACTTCTACTTTGCCCTATTAAATTTACTCTTTGGATGGGATGAACTCGCCCTTAGTCAAATTTGCACACTCTTACTCCACACCATCTTCTTCAAAACTCTGTAATGTTATGATTTCCTGGATAGTAGCAATAATGTCACTTAATGCTGTCTAAAAATAGAAAAATCGCAAATCTCTCAGGGAACATCCTAAGTAGCTCTCCCACACAAAATGTGAACCTCGGCAGAATCCAAACTCACGGGATATAAACATATATTTCCACTTCAGTTCGGAGAGGTATTCCCCCGTCTAATTATTCGTCGTCGCTGGTGCCCCTTAATAAGCCAGGTCTTCTTTTCTGCCTACCCCGGTCAGATTATCCACCCGACGGTCAAACATCGATAAAGTTATGGGCGTAGATGATCATGATTCCAAAGTATAGACAATCTGATACCTAGATGATCATGACTTCGAAGTATAGACAATCTGGGTATCAGATTTCGATACCGTGCAATGTTCATTATATATAGTATGTAACTGATAGTTTCTTCCGCAAAGTCTGTAATCTAATTGAGTCTCTTTTTGTTTAACATCTCACGGATTTTCATACCAATTTCGCATTTGGTCTACGTGCTTGCTGAGAAAGAAAATATTCGAATAAATGGCACCTCCTACATATGAAACCCAAAAGGCCTGGAAGGATATCCAGAAATTCCTTCCACAGCGTCTAGCTTTCACGGACGACCACTCTCCCGTCGAGGAATTTTGGGAAAATCGAGGACATACGATTCATTTAGACCGTTGGAGGAATCCTACAGCTAAAGTGCGCGTAATTCTCCACCATGGAGTTGGGACCAATGGACGCCAAATGTCAATGATCCTGGGAGCGCCTTTGCATACTGCAGGCTTCGAGGTTGTGGCCGTCGATATGCCAGGGTATGGATGCACCAAGACAGCTTGTCATACTACCGTTTCCTACGACGATTGGGTCAATATCGCGAACGACTTCATCAATTTTGAGCTGGAGAAAGATGATCGACCCATTGTGCTCTATGGACTTAGCGCCGGCGGTATGCTGACCTACCATGTGGCTGCGCTGAATAAGAAAGTCAAAGGCATCGTGGGCATGACGTTCCTGGATCAACGTATCCAAGCAGTTCGTGACGAGACGGCTAGGGACCTCTTCATGAGTAGAGTGGGAATACCTCTCGCACGACAGCGACCTGCCGCTCGTCAGATCGCTATGACTGCCCATGGCGAGCAAAATGTCCGCCTTGGCCAACAATCCTGATGCCCTGAAAGTTTTCCTTGCTGATCGATCCTCGGCGGGCTCCTGGGCTTCAATGCATTTCTTATCGACATATGCGTTTTATAAGCTTGCCCTGGAGCCTGAGGAATTTGATGTCTGTCCGATCCTTCTGACGCAGCCGGCCAAGGATAAATGGACGCCGCTGCATCTAAGCGAACTGGTCTTGCGGCGTGTGAAAAAGGTCCCGGTGAAAATCGTCGAACTTGAAAACGCTGGCCATTATCCCCTCGAGGACCCGGGACTTCAACAGATGGCCGATGCGATCATCGAGTTCCTTCGAGAACTGGTGCCGTGATGTTCCTGCTGTTCAATCAGCCGTCCAATATTTGGAGTCGAAATCTCCAAACCAGGCTCCACAAAGGGCTAGGTGATCTAAGTATACGCCACGGTGGAGTCTAAAAGAGCTGGAAATTGCGGGGTATTATTGTCTGATATGAAATGTCGAAACGAAGTCGGTAGAAACCCAGCTAATTACGTTTTGGTTTTCTTTTGCTATTCGGAAATGAACACAATAATCATGGCGGTGAGGGGCGCTGAAGCGATTTTTTCCTCCTTAGAGCATTGTCCTCATTGCCCTTCTTTCTTTCCTGCATTATTCCTCTCTTCAAATCCTTGATGATTATAGTGCTTCTTAGGACTGTTCAGCGAGTCCTCTGTACTTTTGAATAATGAACTAAATGCTAAATGCAATGAATACTTGAATTATTCGAGTTTGCTGAAGTCTTCAGAATGTGCTCAGTAACCGACTTGATCTCCGGTCAGGTGAACGTACGTTTGCAGGAGTTGCATAGGACAGAAGGAACGAGCTCGTTGCCCATATTTGCTTCTAGAGCAAGCTTCTATTACTTGCAGTAGCGCACACACGAGCTCAGTGCGTCGCTGTCATTGGCATTCCGGAAGTCAAGTGATAGGCAGGTCGAATCCGCTCCTACTGTACTATTCGTACTAAGGTTGCTAACCAGAGTCCGAGCTGTTTCAACTCGACCCTACACTCCACTATACAACGCCAGTTGTCTATGATATGTGCTTTCCGTCATTCTTTTCATTTCACAAGAAAAGCGGTCACGTCTGGAGCTGAGCTTCCATTCCGGCAGTGAGACAGTAGAAGAATGGAATGATCGAAGTCGTATTACCGACTCTTCCGCACCGTTATGTCTTTTATGGATCTATGTGCACAGAGTAACGACATTTTACCCGCCGAGAATTCGCAATTGTTTCTATTCATGGATCTAAGTTCATAGGTCAGTATTATTCACGCAGTGGGCGTCCACAACAGTCTGGACACAAGGTCTTCTTGCGGCGCGCAAGTCTCTTTCGGTCAGCTGGCAAATGCGGAGTTTGAACTTCCTGATAGAGAATTGAGCAAGATACTAACGATGTGAGACAATGTTCCTATTACCCCATAGTAACGCGGCCTGACGACATCTATTCTTCCAGCCTTCTTGGCGGTGGAATCCATGACTAAACGCATAGAGCTTTCCGGGCCGCCTCCGCATCGGGAGAAGAAGAAAAGTCTAGACAATATGAGGTACCAAAACAAAAGAACGGGGATGAAGACAATGCCACTGTTTGCGCAATGTGGTAGACAGAGCATCTTGAGGAGTTGTTGAGAGCTAAGTAAGTAGGCTGTCTGGCTGCTCTCCGGCGAAGATCCATCCGGAGCAGCAAGGGACGGCGTCGTTGAACCAGGGGTCGCACGGAGACTGATCGGGTCAAGGCGTCACGAATTGCGGAGGGCGATCCGGTCACGTTGGCGCTGTCGATCCCCAGAAGTTGCGGCTTTTCCGCCGTCAAGGTGGATAGTCTATGGCTGATGTGATGCTGCAACGCTCGTCGAAATCGCTCGAAAGAGGCGGTTCCCCTGATTTGGTACAGGACAAATGACAAATGACTCGGCGGTCTGCGCCAATATTTGCGTTGGTTCATCCATCGGCCAAGCCTCGGGATGAGCCACTCTCGACAGCACGATGTGATGCAATATTCGCCGGACAAAGTTTTTGCGTGGATAGTTCCATACCGGTACTTCTCTGTCCAGTCATATTAGGTGCTGTTTGGTAATCCTTTCTCAATTACCATCTTGCTAAAATCTAACCTGGTTCCTGGGTGTCCTTATGTGTCACCGGTTCCAATGTCCCGAGGGGGTGGAACTATAAAAGTCGACTATCATGCCACGATACAGACATGCGAACATGACTTGAAGTAGACATGGCAATCTCGTCCCAGCATTGATTATTTCACAGTACCGTCGTTCTTCTGATGTTTTCCTGCTTATCACCGCCATCATGACCTTGGCTTTTGACAAGCTTCCATATGAGATTGTTGACTTGATCCTCTCATATGCGGTCGAACTAAATCGACGCGATGCTGTGACATACTCGTATGGTCTTACTGAAGCGCCGCAGCCGCTCCAGCATGTCAAGCTCGATATCTATGTCAGCGGACGACGGCCGGAAGACTCCGTCAGATGGCATGCTGCTAGCTCTATTCGTCAAGTAAATTCTGTATTCAGGAAATGGGCCTTGAAATATGCAGCGGATTCACTCTACATACGCGCCTGGAGAGGAAGTGAAAGGTATATATAATCTTTGATAAAACTTGAGTCTCTTACGTCTACTCGAGCAAAGTATGTTAACTTATGAGACAGATGGATCGAATCCGACAGGCTGGAAACCCTCCGGAAGGATGCATCAGGCCAAGTCGTCTATCGACATCCGTACAACGATGTTCGGGAAACAGCACGTTGCTTTGCAAAATGTCCAGATCTAGCGCAGAGTGCTCGCCGTCTGTGGTTCGATGGTCTCTACACATTTGAGGCGAACACTGAGATCTTCAAGATCCTGTCTTATTGCGCCAACCTACGTTCTCTCTCGCTGCCGTGGATATCCGTTAGATACGGCACGGTGGAGCTGTGGCAGAAGCTACTCGGAGGTGGCCTGGAGTCCCTAGAACTGAGGGCTACCAACCTTACCAAATCGCAGCTGAAGGCACCCGCACGTCCGATCGACAATCAGGCACTTGCAGATCCCCGTGTCAGTTTCAAGAATCTGAAAAGGCTCAAGGTCATGGGAGATACGAGCTTCAAGCCCATCACGGATGCAGACTTGCAAGTCATCGCGCGGACGGCTACTGGCCTGGATGCTCTACATATTACTAGGATATCAAGTGTCTCCATAGCTGGTGAGTCTTGTGCAAGCACTTGTATCATGTCGGCCTGATCTGACTGATTACAACAGGGGTCATGTCACTTGTCAAGGCATCTAGCTCCACGCTGCGAGTCCTCGAATACTCTCCCCTGCTGGCAGAGGACAGCAATCAACAGGACCGAAAATCAGACTCCCGTTCCACACAGCGTCTTTTACTGTCTAACCACGAGACCCAATCTCACTACTGCACCACCCTGCTGAGTTGTCCTCGTCTAACCGACCTCTGCATATCTATCCCATCAATCTGTCCCTCCCTTTTCAACTCCCCCGATACCGTGCATTGGACGGGCGACGTACAAGTCCGCGCTGCTAGACTTTGCGGCTACGAGCACTCTGCGCTCCATTCGTCTGAAGGCGTTACAAAGATGAAAGATATCCTCCAAAATGCTCGAGACCTCATCGAGTTCCGCACCTCATACTTCGTCACGCCTTCACACCCAGGAAGCGACCGCTGTCTCGACATTGAGCTTTTTGTCGGTCCTTATATATTCACTCCTGTGAACCGTCTTGTACACGGCAACTTTGATCTCGCTCGCGTGTCTTCAGATTTTACGTGGCCCGAACCGGAACCTTCAGGATCAAATTCACGCCTCATGCCAACCTCGAAGGGGCCCTACGGCTACACAGGTCCACATGGAAAGGGCATCGAGCACGACCTTGAAGGTGAACTCGGACACGCTTGGAACTGCGTCGACGAAGATGTATTCTTTGAAGGGGTGAAGAAAGGATGGATAAAATTCTGAGATCTCCTCTTCTCACCAAAAGGCATACAATTATGCCCAGACGGACGGCACGATGCATTGAACAATAATAGCAACTTCTTAATACGCCATCTTGTCAGGTTCTGATCGCGGAAACTGAACTCCCAAACAGAAAATGGCTACAACATGTTCTTCACGAGAGTACGATGTTATGACAAAAATGGGTCTAAGTGCTAGATCCATAAAAAGTTCTTTGTTTGGATCCTTTTGTTTTTGCTCATCTGGCTATTATCCAGTACTCATTCTGCGTCTGGCGAAGATATGCTATAATTGCGAAAAGAGGCAGAAAGTCTATACTACTCCCTCTCTGGAAGTTACATATTGCCATTAAGTTGATGTATTTTTGTCGCTATCTCCTGATGATAGCCTCACAGTTGTCTATTACCATATTCCCCTATGCTGTGGTTTTCCTACTGAATAATCACATATCGATCAAATATTTCTATCACTATTGTTCCTATCAGGACACATTTTCCATGGATCCAAAACCCTCATGGTGTACAAATGGTCAATATTATTGTAACTCACGTTCCTTTTTATCTGTGACTTGGATGAATATATCGAATAACATATTGTACATTGTCTATTAGGATTAATTTCTCATAAACCCAGCGGGGAACGAGTCACCCACCCCTCAAACTCGCCGCCATTGGGCGGATTGAAAGTAAAGTGACCTAATATAAATAAGCACAAGAAGAAATGCGAGATCTCATTTGCTATTGTTATTGTGAAAACACTCCCTAGCTGAGCAGCAATGAATCGAGATTATAAATTTCTAAATTCATATCGTTAAGTCATGCTCTATACAAACTATGGCAATGCATAGCTAGGACATAGCATATACCCCCCTCTTCCAACCGCTTCGTTTCACTCATATTATATATAGCGCGTCAAATACTATATCGGGCGCCCCACGGAGAAATTCCGTCTCGCATTAAGAAATCGACTTAATCGCCTCCTCCAACTCCTTCACGTTCCCGCCAACAACGCGTTTCTCCAACTCCTTTCCATCCTTGAACAACACGAACGTCGGCATAGCGCGCACACCCAATTGCTGCGCAATTGAACCGGCCTTGTCGACATCAACCTGGAGGAAGCGCACGTTGCTGTAGGTTTCACTGAGCTTGCCCACGGTGGGGGCGACGGCCTTGCAGGGACCGCACCAAGTGGCGAAGAAGTCAACGACGACGGGGCCTGAGGAGGTCAAGGCCTTGAAGATGACAGGACTATTATATACGTAGAGATGTTAGTGGATAGTACTGGTGGTTTGATTCGGGGGAGAGATAAAACGCACTTGTCCACCTCGATGACTTTCCCGTGAGCCATGGTGGTTTTGTCGGAGGTGTTTCTGGAGCGGGTTTTTAAGTAGTAGCGGATTGCTAGGTGGGATAGCTAGATGTTAGTAATTATTATAATGATAGATATTGTTCTGATTTGAGGGAAAAGGGGGAGAATTATACCGAGCCAGATGGCGAGAATGACGATGAGGCGGGAGAGCTCCATGATTCCTAGTTCCTTTTTTTTGGTTAACCCTTTCGGATGGAATGGAACGCGGAGAAAGCTCGAAAAAGTGCTGCGATTATGTAAGTATAATCAACCATAACTAACTAGAACGGAACAATCCAGAATGTCATTATTCAAGTATCGCCACATGAAGAATTGAATATCTGGGCCGCCAATATCTGAAAGAGGATTAGTAGGATCTTATCTCAGATGGAGATTGGAGAGTGTACTTACTTACTAAGTACAGCGGATGTTGATCTCAACATAGGCATTCTCCAGAGCTCTCTATCTCCGCTAATTCTTTACCTCTTTTCCACTGACGTCCTGTAGCGGCGATTAGAGAATCATGTTGTTTAAATAACTAAGAAAAAGAAAGAGATGAGGCTAAGGTTAATATTTTCGACTAGTAGACTAAGTAGGTATTGAATGTGATAAGCTTAGCTAGTCTATGCCTTCTTAGTACTTGGTTCTTCTGCTACTCAAAGTATCGCTTTTGATAGTGAAGTGATAGGACATAATTTAGTAGTGGTCTCCTTTTTATTTTATTTTCATGTATCACGTTTACATCTATCTACACCTGTATTCATACTCCCCATGCACAATGTACCCTTCTCTAAAGATCTTGACGTCCTGGCCCATGTCCCTCAGTTCCATGCTGCCGCAAATATATTCTTCATAATACTATACTCCACATAGGTAGTACGGTGGGATAATCTTTTCCACCATGCGATCCCAAATCGGCCGCCAAGGAGGATTAAACATAGCGCGATAGAATTCCCAGTACTCGGGCCAGAACCCAGCCAACCCCCAATCCAGGATTACCGGCGTGCCATCAGGCCGAACGTGAATATTGCTAGTGTGCAGACCGCCGTGTGTAAATACTATTTCATGGCCTCTGAGCCCTCTTACCGTCTGATACAATATATATTCGCTGGTAAAAAAGATTGAGTCCTCGTCATCCTCACGTGCAAGAACTTCAGGACGTATTCGGTCTCGCAAGGCTTGGACTATACCCTCGTTGAAGTCTTCTTCTGATTGATACGGGCCATAGCTGTATTTTTGGAAGTCGCCGTAGCCTGCCTCGAAAATTCCATCTCGGCAAGGGGACCGGTCAAGCCCGCCGATAAAATCGCCTTTGATTTCACGCATCTGCCGTACATAGTCATGTAGGCATCTTAGTATGCGGTCTTGTTCTGTTTTCGAAACCCGGTCCCAGTAATTCTCTAGAGATTCGCCTTCTTCGTACGACATGATAATATATCCTGTCCCATCAAGGATATACGCGCTCAGTAGTCTTGGAACAGGTATTGTTGTCCGCGTAGATGCTAAATGTAGAGCTTCGGCTTCAGCTAACCCGACGCCATGACCGAATTTAGTCACCATGTCTGAATCAGCAAAGACCACGCGAGCACCCATCTTTTCTGGGAAGAGATCTTCGGCCGTCTTCAGATCTTCTGGATCTAAAATGATAGTTGGAAATCCAATATTTTCTGAATATATGAGTCGTGGTTCAGTCTCCATCGGTTCTGGCTGAGGTTGTGTGCTGGACTTTTGATCTGAACCAGAAGGAGACTCCTCTTCGTTCTCGGTCACATAGTCTTTCGTCGCGGTTTCTGTCTTCCCCACCGACTGAAGCACGTCCTTTCCTATGGATTCAAGCTCTAAAGAATCGCCACTTGCTGGTAGTTCTCGAGCAGCACCGTTTTCCGGTGGCGCTTCCACTCCAAGGTGAAGCTTTAGATCGTCTCGGTTATGTAGAATTATCGTCTTCGTTAACAAGCATTCGGGAATTTCAAGGCGCGTAAGATATTCCTCGCACGGGCGTATGATGTATATCTTCTCAAAGAGCAGCGGATAGTGTGAATGGATTAGCGGCACTAATCCCTCCAGGGCCTGATGCACCACAGAACGAAATGACCGATTATCTCTACGACCTCCGTAGGTATCACGGATATTGAATTCAACGACACAGGAGGCCGAATGATTAGAGTCACTGTCGTTTCCGGAAATATCCGCTAGAAGGGAGCTAGCAACAAGCTCTATTGCTCCAAGGCCCAACTTCATGATCCCCTGAGATGTGCTGAGGCTTTCATGGACCAATGAAGAACGTTTCATGACTTCTTCATCTATCTTAGTCCACATCACAAGTTTTCCCTGTTGAAAAGTCGCCTGGAAAAGACCCAATTGTGGCAGTATGGACTTTGCTTCCTCAAGAAGGGCTTGTGGGGAAGACAAGCGCCGCCATCGCAACGTCTTTTGCAAAGCGTAACTTGCTCTTTGAACCTGAAGCGGAGGTATCAGAGAATTATGTTCGAGGAACTATTCACTTTCAGTATTGGTATCGACTGTATATTGTTTCATCTTTTACCTTTCGGACAATAGCTTCTACTATTCTTGGGTTACCTTCCTTCAAGTCAAACCCACATATCTCTCTATGAAGTGCCTCGCGAATTATTGAATCAAGGTTTTTCAGGACATTATTCACTGCTCTAGACTCCGATAGTCTCGATAGATCAGACATAGCCCGCTGCAGATCTCGCGATGACATCAAGAAACGTATTCACTCTGTCGTAGACACGTAGTGATTATTACGAGATAGAAGTGATCTCAATGTCGTAAAGCAACGCGTAATACAATCGACATGGCTGCCAACACAAAGTATGGACAAGGCTGAGATCTCGCGACTCGAATTGGAGGTTGTCTGAGATTCCGTGATGGCTGACGCTTCTCCAGCGATATACCTCACCCAGGCTAAATATGGAAGATGTTTTATGTGATATGGTTGATATAACCTCTTTTCGCGGGGATGTCTTGTTTCAATTCAGTTTTCAGTCTATTCTTATTTTCGAATAGTCGTCAGTTAACTCGCATATCCAGCCCCGCTATCAAGTACCTACCTATTAGCATCATGTGATGTCGCGATCAATCGGCACAACAGGCAACACCGTAACATATACCTACATCCTCCTCATTGTGTACTGATTATTACACTTCTTCTCATGGACTCAAAAGCTACACATCCGCCAACTTACGGCCTAGCCATAAACGTCTACGGACGCGGTGACGCTACCCTTGGAGATGGCCCCTCCCACGTTGGAATAGTCATCTACGAAATATCCTCTTCCACATGCGAAATTTACCACATTCGCAATCCAACAGATGACGGTTTCATCTATGATCCTCGGATCCAGCCACTTGAAGACCCAGTACTAAGAGGCCGCTGCGAGCTTGGTTTATTATCGCAAGAACAAAAGGAACGAACAACCCAGTTACTCTCCGCGTTCGGGAAAGATGAATCGAATATTCCCGAATGGGGAGTGGGAAACTGTCAGGATTGGGTTGCTGGTGCTGTGGCGATGTTGGATAGAGAGGGTCTGGTGAATCGAGGGGAGGGCGAGTTTTGGAGGAGTATGATCAATCGAAGCGCTGATGAGATGAAAGAGTCTTGTCTTCGTACGGGTAGGAAGTGGATAGTAGGATCGGAGGCTACATTTGAGGGAGTCCCTGATGCCAGATTCTCGGATAAGGAAGATCCTACCAAGTCTGTTGGGAAGTTGATGCATAACTCGGCATTTCAGGATCGCATACGATCACTCTTGGGCAATGCAAAGGATACCGGAGCTTCGACTGCTGAAGACACTCCCCAGGAGCGGCCCTTCTACGTTTCAAGTCCGTTCTTTAGCTTTACTTCTGAAAGTAATGGCAAAGCGTCGTGACTACGTGATGGCAAACATTGCGGCTGAGTTGTGCCGAATCCCGTTTCAGAGAGATGTAGTTTGTATCGGGAGTTAGGTGCTCAATAGATAGCTCAAGAACGCTATAAATTGTGGCCGAATAGCACATAATTGAAATAATGCATGTTCATTGACGTTTCCCATATGTCCATTTTATCCCTGGGCACATCACTGTATCACTCGCATTGTATGAGATAGCCAATTAGCGGTAATAATGGAAGCAGAAATAGTAAGTGCAGGAAGTGTTGTCAATTAAAAGAAGAAAATGGGTGCAACAACACATTAACCCAAGATGGGACTTCTCGCCGTATCAACCAAACTTTGCCAGGTTTCGGTTATAAGACGGCCTCTTTTACCCAACTGGAAAGGTATAGAAGCAATGACATGGCTACAGCCCACCAGAAAGTCCAATCTCAGCGAGTGCCGCGCCGGCATTCACATTGACGTGAATAGTATTCGCCGCGAGCGCCTCAGAGAAATAAGTCAGGTTTTTGCCATTGACGGCGCTCTCACTGCCGACAATATCAAGGGGTAGGATGCCATCCTTGTACTTCTCAGTTAGCATGGAAATGAGGACGGTTTCGTTGACTTTTGATGTCATGGGTGTGATGTTGTTTCCAGGACGGAGGGTGAAGTTGTAGATGAAAGATTGGCCGATGGGTGTGCCATCCACGGAGAGATCCATCGTTAGGTTGCCCTGGAGTGGAGGGTAATTGGTTAGTCAGACTGTTTATAATGAGGAGGGGGGCTGAATAAATTGTAGACGGACCATTTCGAGTGTCAACACGCTAGGGTTCGGGATGAGGACAGTCCCATTCATGTTCGTCCCGTCGGGGTTGTTCTTGGTCAGGACGTGCAGTTCAGTGATGTTGAATCCCTTGAGTTTGTTGAGGGCTAGAATGGGAGATATCAGGGTTAGTATCTATCGGGAACAATGGAGATTTAGAGAGAGTCGACATCAGTTTACCTTTCATAGTCACGGTCTTGTTATATGTAACCTTCGTCTTGGGCAAACCACCCTCCTTCAGTTCCGGTTTTCCATAGACATTCAAGCTAACTTCTTCATTCAACATCGTCGCCTTGCAGAAGTCGCTAAACGCAGATATGTTGGCCAGCTGCACCCTGTCATCAATGACAATTTCAGCTCCATTCTTCGACTTGACTTTCGGGACCGGTATGAAGGCGAAAGGAGCGGATGCTCCAGCCAGAGAGACCGTCGAGTTGAACGAGTAGATCCAAGGATGATAGCTGCTGTTTGTTCCGAGAGTTTGGGTCTGGTGCAGGTCAAATGAATCCGGAGTGGGATTCGAGATCATCAACTGCGTGATATTCAAGGTCGAATCGCTGATATCGTGTTGAGCGATATGAGGGTATCCGACGTAGACTCTGTTTGCGTGTTAGTTGTCTGTGATCATGCCTGCCGCTTTAGAGGAGAAAAGGCCAGATGCATACACTGGAAGGGTGACCACCAAGACGACAATTATCAATATGATAACATGCACCCACCACCATCTCTTGTAGTGAGCCTTGAGGCGCTGGCCAATGGTCGGTTTGGCGGGTGCAACGCCAGCGGTACCATTGAAGCCGTTGCCCTCCGCATCATTATACTGCTCGATTTGGGACTTGTCCTCCGCCATACTGTAGTTCTCCTTACTGGTATCGATTTCCAGAAAAGCTATGCCCTGTGCCAGATATGTCTAGCCCCATATAGCGGTCTTATTCTGCCAGTTGTTGTGTTAATGCTGGTTGCGCAGCGTTCGTTTCAGCGGGAACTGCCGGCGCGTATTTGTCTCGTGCCTTGTTTGCGCAAACGGCATACAGCAGCAAAAAGCAGAGATATGTCAGAGTCCTATCCAAGCGAAGAAGGAACTATCTGCACAACCATCCAGGGACTAGGGTCAGACGCTCTCTCCAGGCCCTTGACTCGGGGAAGTAGACAGCACAATTCAAGCGCAGACCAGCTTCGAAAGAATCGAAAGTATTGCCGCTTGATGCTCAACAGGATATAGACGTACAAGAGCACAAAAAATAGCCATCACATGTCACCTTTCAAATGACCGCGGCATTAAGGTCAGTGGAGTCAAGATGACAGTCGGTAACGAGCTCGCGGAGAATGACCTAGAGTACGCCAATTGAGCCAACTATGGCTGTCTAAAAAGGATCGGCGTTGCATCGTGGGCATTAAGTAGATGGAACTAGGCATATCGGGATATACACCGATACGGCAACCATGTGCGTCAATTTTGGAACCAATATAGTTTAAACTAGCAAGTGGTAGATCCAAAATTTAGTAATTAGTTATGACACAAGATATCTACTACTGTGCAGAGACATTATGGGTAAGGTAATGTCCCTGGTTTCTGCTTCTTTCCTGCAACTAGCTGCCTATTAGTGATATATGGTTAGCACAAACTGTCACTAGCGAAGGAACCTGCCAGTGTAGTACTATCGTCAGCACTTGCAGCAATAGAAACTGCAATTTCACACGGTATGCGCAAAGCCGAATCTTAGGATAACGATCTGGCACCCAATAGGGCCCGAACGCTACACATACTAGGGTTTGTCCTGGTGACATTAATTTCAAACCCAGCCGGCCTTATTGTCGAGTACAGCAAAAGTGGCGTTCTAGATACCATGGGTTGTGGACCAGTACTTAAGCAGCGCTTTGACACCAATTGGACTTTCCCGCTCTTGTCCTCAGGCCATTTGCAATTGCGTTGTATCGATGATGGCCTGGTCCTAACTGCAAAATCAGGATAGGATACTAGCTGCAGACTCTTCTGTGGATAAAGCCACGTAGGGCCGGAATCACTCGAAGCTTTTGGAATCATGGCCGAAAGCCATGACATGGGTTGGGATAGCCTGCCGTGGAATACCATCCAATCAATACTCCAGCTTTCCGGCCCCCGACGGGTTTTCCCCTCAATTTGCATCCCCGGACGGGGATGCAGTGGTGGTGGTGGTGGTGGCTGTTTTGTAGGCAAGGGTTGTGAGGGTAGCTAATTCGCATTTTGCGGTAGGTCAAGAAGATAGCTGAGAGGGTGTTAGCTATAAACATAAAGACATCCCACAGACCTTCGATTAACACAAGATCGACAATGATTTACAGGGCTTAATTCTCCAGAAACAATAACACTCCAGAGCGGTGGGCATTATTGTCTGTGCTTGGTGATTTCGTAACTTGTTCACTAGTTCACATTAAACTAGATTTAACTTCCTCTACCCCACGGGGACGGACGAACCTTCGAGCTTGTAGTATAAAAGAAAAAGCCCCCGCAGGGCTCGACCATCCGACACAAGCCGCGGCCAACGAGGGGTATTTTTTTCGCCACTGAAACCTCTTCTGCGACGACAAACAAGTCTAAAAGAGAGTACACCTGACTCATAGCTTGATGGACTGGGTGCTTGGCAACCTTTCATAGAGGGTGCTATTCCATTCCCACTTTAATTTCTCTATTACCCAGAGTGTCTGAAGCAGTTTGGCGCGTGACCACAGCGCCGATGACGGCGCTTGGAAATTCTTTCTTCCTTCGAAGCTATTCGAATTGTACTGTACTTACTGTACTTATAACCCATATATGCACTGAAAAGAAGCTATTACATCTTAACGAGCTTTCATTCCATGGGTTCCACGATGTAGAGAAGTGTATGTCCAGCTAAAATTCAATAACATCCAAAAAGTCTGTCCCAGGAACAGAACAAACCCTTGACTAATTACTGCTCTGAATCATTAATTGACTGCGAGTCCTTTGGCGCGACCTAACTCCTAGGGAACATTCTAAGCTAGACCGCTGCGCCAGGAGCAAAAGACTAGGATTCTTGGGCAACGCCCTAAGAACTGCTCTCGCTATATAAGGACATAGACGTTACATCCTCAACACGAAACCTGGACCAGGTGAATATAACTAGTGCTTGAGCTCGCAGTATAGTTATAACTAATTCCTAAATTGTATGCTCGTCATAATCTCCGAATAGGTCTAAAATCCCTCTTTTCCCCCATGAAAAGTAGAAATGGTTGCTATCTCGCTTCCTTAACCAGATGGTCAGTTACGCGACAAACCTTACGCTACATTGATCCCTCCGTGGGAGGATGCAAGGCCAAAGATAGTATGTTGTCTTTTACAGGGGGGGTTCCTGGGAATGAGTGATTGTCTCAAGAAAATATAGAATAAAATAAAAACATGATAAGCTGTCATACTTCACTAGATGCTAGTTCGAGGGTACTTTGTCCTTATCTTTCAGACGGGTGGACTGGGTTATTTTTATTTATCTATTTATTTATTATTTTTGGAGTTTCTTCATCAAGGAAGCAAGAATAGAACTACACCCACGTGAAAAGCAATATCTGACGACGTTCGCTGTATGGTAAAGGCGCAATGGAATACACGGAGTAAAAGGTACTGAGAACGCTCTAACTATATTGTCTCAAATGAATTAAAAAAGGCAACGCTATGACATCCTTCCAGATGACAGATGTAAGTATATCCACAGCCCATTAACCAAATCCTTGACGCCGAAACACCGTGTCGAAACTGCTTTGTCCGACATATTCCTCTATGTTTATTTTGTGCAACGCCAGTTCAAGTCTAGAGATCCTTCCAATCGCTTGCTCTGAAACAAAAACCATCCATCCCATTAGAACTGCGCCTCGTTGAGAATCTTCACTTCCTCGCCGGGCTTGAATGCGGGCATACCGATGAAAGGGCACTAAATAAGTAACAGATAATCAGTATACGGGATTCCAATCCATTTGGCGTTGTGATAAGACTTACCCCTGCACATCTAAACGCATCACCCAATGCGCAGTTACCACATGAGCCTGTCTTTCCCTGCACGGTGAAATCTAGTTCGTTCAGATCATCCGCCTGCAGCTTCAATGTGTCCAAGCCCTGATCCGCTTTGGCCCGTCGTTCGGCGTCCTCTGCCTCAAGTTGAGCCGCCAGACCGCAAGTGCAGTCCTTGCAAGCTCGACGTCTTTTACCGGCTTTCGGCTGACACTCTGGGGCTACACAGGCTGTCAGCAAAATGGACGTAGAGAAAGAAGGGAAATATCACGGGTCGACTTACGTGGCACAACAGGTCTCTTCATGTCCTCTGCTGACAACAGGGTGTCCTCGTCGATCAATTCATCATCATTGCCCAGATCATCCGTGAAATCGATCACAGGAGGCGGGGGAGGAACATTCTTCTTTGCAGCCGCTTTCTTCGCACCAAAGCGCAGAGGAACGGCGACCGCCGCAGTGGTGTCCGGTTTCTCGAATCCACCATCCTTGTGCACGAGCCCAGCCAGAACCGCCTCGCGCGCCTCAGATGCGCCAAAGAAGTTATCCTGTGTCTGTAGCTTCGCACCCGTCTTCATGGCCGGGACAAGTGCAGTGTAGAGCTCCCGCGTGAGCAGCGGCAGAGCCTCCGACCGCCGCGTGCTATCAGTGTCGGTCAGGACCAAAACCAGATCGTACGTGTTCGAGGGAAGGGAGACGAAGCCGGCAGAGAGACGGTCCAGCATCTGGAGGTCTGTTGTGGAGCGATCGAAGGTCGTGAAGAGGTTGCGCAGTTTCTCTTCCTGGGTGGCGAATGACGGCGGTGCCAGGAGAAGCGTGCGCTTTGCAGCGTCGTTCGACTTGAAACTGGGAGGAGCCATGTCCAAGTCGTCGGAAAGATCGATAGTCACAGACGAGTGAGGCATTGTTGCTGGTCGTCTACAGCCAGGGACAAGGAGGGCCAGGAGGATGAAATTTATGAACAGGCAGGACCGCAATCGGACGCTGGCTGACATATCTACCTCGCTCGGGGCGGGGTAACTGGCTAGATAATCACTAACTGTAGATTACTAAGGCCCCAGCCAATCGACGGCGCTCCGTTACCGTCGCAGGAAACTAATGCCTGATCAAGTATTACAATACACTGCTGACCCCGCGGAGATCTCAACGACTTTTTTTCTGTTTGGCGCCCCAGGGGAGGCTGCTAATGGCACGAGGCTAAAATCTAACTATCGAAACTCCATGTACGACCCCGTCAGGTAACCCATCCAGAAATACAGAGGACGCCGACAGCCACAATGTATGGTTGGAAAAAATGAGATATTGGCACGAACGAAGAAAAGAGGCAAAAGCGAACGGCGGAATTTGTTACAGGCCGATACAAGGGAAAATGGAGATCGCATCATTCGCTGAAGAGCATGTCCAATTATATGTGACCGTCGTGGGCATCATTATAATGGTGAGAGTCGGGGCGGAGGGAAAAGCCAAGTCAAACGATAAAAAGAGAATGAAAAAAAAGGAGAAGAGAAGAGAAAAGAAAAGAAAAGAAAACGAGAGGACTGGGAATCCAGTCGGAAATAGGGTATCCATCAAAGAATCGAACAATCACGAAGATTATTATGTCCACGCCGCATGGTGGATTCAAACAGAAGAGACAACCTGCGCTCCAAGGTGCCCGCATCATCTGCTGAGAAATGTTTTTATGTACGAAAGGAATGCTCAAGCCCTCGACAAAAGACCGGCCACTCATGTATCCGGCGCTCGCACGCCAGTACTAAGCTGGTACGGATTTCTTCCGCCCAAAGATGCTGCGGGTTCGAGACTTGTTGCGAGGTTTCTTGTCAGATGTATCTCTCGCGTTCCGGCCCCGCCCCTTGGGGGTAGATTCGTCGTCGGACATGTACTTGTCCTTGTAGATCCTATACATCTGTTAGTCCCGCACATAGATGACACCAGCGTCTCGACAAAAAAAAGGGCACATACCAACTGTTGCCGACTATATTCATGCCCTTAGCCTCCGCCATACGGTAGAACTTTGCCGCCTTCTTCAAGTCTTTCTTGCAACCCACGCCCTCTGCGTAGCAAAAACCTGCCTCGGCCAAAGCATCCGCATCTCCCCAATGGCCGGCGATTTCGAAACAACGTAGGGCCAGAGCCTTGTCCTGTTCGATTCCCCAGCCATTGAGGTGACTGACTCCGAGCTCATAGATACTGAGCGCAAATTGCGCGCGGTGTGTCTTCTGGTCTGCAATGTCTTTCATCTTGGCTGTTGTACTTGCCGCACTGTCATCAATGACTTCCAGGCCGGCTGAATCGACAGCCTTTCGCAACCACTGAACGCCCTCCCGCTGGTTGGGGCGCATACCCCAGCCGTGTCTGCAGGCTAGAGCGTACATCAGCATTGCTGTCGGATGATTTTGCATGGCAGCAATGCGTAGATGGTAGGTAGACTCTTTCAGAGATCCGTCTTGATGGCACTGGATGCCTTTGGCAAGGTGCTCTTCCGCAGTTAGATGGTGCGAAGATGCTGCACTCTTACCGGTCTGTGGCCGCAGTGTACTAGCGGAACCCGCCGAAGTAGACTTTGCATCTTCTCGATCTTCGCCCGTGGATGTGTCGGCATGCGCTTCAGAACGGGGAAGGTCCGCAGACAGACGAGGTGGTGGCTTTGATGCATTTTGGGCATTTTCCAGATTTCTTGCTGGTGAGCCGTGCACAGAGGATGCTTTCAGCGACCGTTCGGGTGCCTTGAGACTGGCTTCCCGAGCGGGAGTAGGTGATGGAGACCGAGACCGAGACTGATAAAATCTTGGAGGGTTGCTTCCTGCACTGGGAGGAGGGGAACTCTCAAATAACGGCTCTTGCCACTCAAAATGCGGCGTCTGCAAGCCTGAAAAGACCGTTGAATTCCTGGAAACAGACCGGCCCCGCGGGAGCGCATATTTGCTGTACACATACGAAGAGCTTGGTCGGTCATCCTCTGGAAGCATAATCGGTCCAGGTCGATTCTCTCTGTTAAGCGCACCATGCGGGGCCTCAGCTCCCACCGGTGAGGGTGCAGAAAGACTCGTGCTCGAGCGGCTCATCGGCCGAGAGAAGTTGAACGACGGACGGGGTAGATGAGGAGCAGTGTTCGAAGCTTCAGAACTCAAGGATGGCGAACGAGGATGCGTCCGCGGATAAGGTGACATGGGAGAGTGTGGCATCGACATAGCGCTGCTGGAAGACATCTTTCGCGGCTTTGAGAACGTGGAACCGGCATTGGAGCTCGTATAGTCGTCGTCTGAGCTCTCCATATGAGTGCTTCGGGAGCTACTGTGTGGTCGACGGTAGGGAGAGACCGGCGGTGCGAGGCTGGGAAATGCACTAGATCGCGAAAATGATTCCATTGATGATTCTCGCGACGGCCCTGATGCGGAATCTCCAAATGCGCCCCTCACAGCGAGCCCATGGGTCCCATCTGTTGACCGAATCGACATATCCTCCGCAGGGGATTCCGAGCGCGTTTGGGAAAAATAGTCGGCTCCATCGTTGGAATCCGTAGGCACCTTCATGGGAGTCTGATCATTATCTTCTCCATCTTTCAAGGCTTCGAGATTCGGGACACCGCTCAACCGTGGGTGTTCGGACTGCGGTCTGAATCTCGGCTCTTCGACCTCCGGACTGCTGCCATGATCGGGACTTTTGGTCGCATGCGACCCTGCTGACGAAGGAGAACGGAAGTATCCTGGCCTTGGTCGCGACAAAGATCTTGCGACGCTGGAGGGTGGTAACCGGCTCAGGCGCCGGTCTCTTCGCATCGACTCATCGAGTTGCTTGGCCAACAGTCGTCCCTGGGCGGCGAACGCATCCAGCGGAGACAGGGCTGGAGGGATCTCGCCATCGAAGTGTTCGACTCGGGGAGACGGTATCGCAATCCTTGCTCCTTCGCCCGTCCGCGAAGGTAGCTCAATCTGACCTGGCGGGTTCCCCATCACGGTGGATCCCGGTACACCAAACGGTCAATAACTCGTTCAGAACTAGGTACCTGATCAGATCAGTATCGTATAGTATAGTGTAATCGAAGAGGCCGTTTGTTCAACGGATCGGTTCGATGGGTGAGAGCGCTGTGTGAACAGTCAAAGGGTCTGGGGCGCAGTCGCTGAAGCGCTCATCGACTCTCTGTTTCGCATCAAGCTGATACTGTGGCGTAAGTAGTCGATCCGTCGAGGAGAGATGAGCCTGAGTGGGAGTTGTCTTCGTCGCAATCTTCTGCTTTTCTCGAAACAGTCGTAGAAAAGGGCCAGGGCGGACGGGGTTAACAAAGGAGTGACAGGCTCGATTGGTAGGGAACGGACAGCTCGAATCAGCAAGCCAGGCCGTGGGAGCAGAATGGGAAAACAGAGACGGGGTGGGAATCGAAGTTGTAGTACAAGCGATAGACGTGCAGAGTGACTCTGATCACAACAGAGCAGCAACGGCTCTGCAGGAGAGAAGGAAGAGGGCGGGAGTTCAGCAGGCGCAGCTGGAACACTTGAGGATCGTTGGAAGCATCGCAGAAGCCAGAGAAAGGCATGCCAGCGAGAGAGACTCCACGCTGGAGTGGGCTGTTGAACCTCAAACCCTGGTAACCACCGTTTGGTCTCAGGGGCATCGCATCGTCGTCCCCCTTCCCGCTGCTAGAGGGGAACTAGCTCGCCTGCGAATGGCTCGACCGGATTTCCCAGAGGGGCTTTTTTTGCGTTCTAACTTGTGCTATCTATCCCACGATCCACCATTCTAGGTTGTCCTAACCCGCCGTGAGCTATTATTATTATTCTGCGTGAGACGGCCAAATCCAACGCTCCTCGTCGTGGTTGGCGATTCTTCTAGTTAGTAGTCTACTCATACTGACTGTTGAGAACAGACATTATTATTATTGCGGATCCATTCGTCATGGGCCAAACCCATCCTCGACGGCGTGCCAGCTAGAAAAACAACGCGCTTCCATCCTTGGCCTGAGCTGCCGCCAAGCCCATCATTTAAAATATTAAAATACTAGCCCGTTGTCTCTTTCTCCCCTTTGGGGCCGTCCCAGGTTGAGCATGGATATAGTGATCTTCATCGTGACGGGCCGCCAACCGCGAATGGCGACTGTCGCGTGTCTCACTTGCATCTCAAGATCTTCCTGTTGCTCACCGACCCTGACAGACGGTCCCGTATCTGGATCTTGGGGTTGCCCTTATTTCTCACCATCGGCCCCCCGTCCATCTCGAACCCTGCAAGGCCTCATGGTCGGAGATTCACCCTTGGCGTCGCTACTCCGGACGCCATGGCTGTCTGAGACGCCAATGAGCTGTCGCAAGGGCTGAGACAGGGACCTCGACGCCTGAGGAATCTAGCGAATCTGCGCTTTTAGCCGATAAGCTAATATCACTCTATCTACTCCGTACATCTATCTACAACTGTTGCCGTTGTTACTACTATTCAGTACACTATCTATGCGTGGTCTAGGCAAGGGCGACAGAGTAGTCTGCAGATCCAGCTGGCCTTGCTCATGAGGGAGAAGAAAAACACATTTCCTTGCCTATCTACACATCTCATTCTAACTGATCAGTCAGGGACAGACAACAATTAGGAGGGATGATCGGGAGAGCATAACTCGCCTCCTTGCCATAAGCAGCCGGTCATGTTTAAGCATAATAACCGACGACCATGTTTCGACTCTCACGGTAGGCTGAGACGACAAGTTCCCGGCCACTGTTTTGCTTTTGCCCTTTGAGAAATATCACCGATTCTTCGGGCGGAATTTCCTCCGCGATCCCGTCAGGAGGGATTTGGTCTATCATAAAGCACTTTCTAACTAGTAGTATCTTAAGGTAGATGGTTTGTAGCCACAATTGCAGGCCGTTCATTGCAAAGGATGTATTCGGATTAGGGGCTTACTTCATAGTAAGGGTCAAAAGATTAGACATGTTTTAAGGTTATATATGCACGTCAAAATAAAATAAATAGTTTTCTCCACGGCGTTGGAGTGGCACTTCCAAGGGCCCTTCCGCCGTCTTTGCTCGAAAGGATACATAGTTAAAGCCTGCTCAGATATAACAGCCATCTCATTTTAATGTCTTATCCTTTAAGGACTAGAAAATCAAATAGAGCATATAATATCCATCTCCTCTTGACTACTAAATCCAACAGTTTCCGCCCTGTGCTAGCTATGTACTGTAGTAACTGAACTATCAGGTCTGATTTCAAATCGGCTAGTTACCATTCAACTTCAGGGGATAACTACCTACCCCACCCGTCCCGAGATCACAATTCCTAATGACAGTTTGAGTCTAACTACCGTACGAAGTACATCTAACTTTCTCGACATCCAGACTCATCAACATACAAAGACGATCAAATCCATATAACAGGAAATGAAGTCTGAAAACCTTAGCGAGATGGAATGAGAGAGGACTTAACTACATACCCTACGTAATTGGTGCCAAGTAGTTACTACGTACCCCAAAAGCCAATACATAATGACCACTTCCCCTTTTTTCTTTTCCATATCTCAAAATCTGCCAAGCAGATACATTTCCCTCTACTCTTCTACTAGTCTAGACCAATCACAGTTAAGAATCTCGTAGCGTGCATTCCTGAACCTCATGTCGGATCTTTTTTACTTAACTTCTGACAACTTTTTTTTTTTAGCTTTTCATCCCAGTATCTGTCGGCTATGCTACAACGGAAGAATCTAAACGTTCCATTCCATTTCAAGCAGCCCTGCACGTCATTGATCATCCTGGTACGTCATATCGGTTGATAATTATAGGAGGATTCATGCATGATTACGAGAGTGGGAATCTCGTGCCATTGACACTTCTCGGGAGGGGTGGGTTGTTGGTGGTGTCGGTATTATATACTTTCTTCTCTTCTCCCGGCTTCTATTTTGTCTTAGAGATCAATGTGGCTGGCTATTCACGAGAACCACAATAACAGAAGTATAGGTTCATTTATTTATACCCGATGGATTCAAGAGTTACACAGAATATCAGGTGTTGTCATCAAGATGTCCCAGAAACTACCATATTCCAGAACAACAAGTGTGGCTGACTCCAGCCTCCTCCAGAACATTTAAAAGAATGACGTTGCTGCCATTAACCCCTCTTACGAGGAATGTATCATCTGAGCCGAGAGAACATCAAGATACAGGAAGTAAAAAAGCCATTGTCTGTTCAAGTCGCGCCCACCCTCCCTCTTGACATGTTTTGAGAGGACGCCGCTGGAATGTATAAGGTGCTAAAATACATGACGGCAACGCACTGGCCATCTCGCCGCGCCTGCATCGAGCTGACATGCCTTGCCGAGGCGTTTAGTTTCTCCTTTGACTATGGTACTCGGCCAGATCCTAAGGGCCCTTCTAGGCTTGATATGGGGTCTTGGAAGTAGAGGGCTTGGTTGGTTTGCACTGGAGAGGCGATAGTGCCAATGTGCATTTGCGAAACTATGAGATGGGAAAAGAGCCATAGATTTTAGGCTGGCCGTTGCCCCAGACATCGGAAGAAAACTCCACTCGTAAATCCTTCCCTGTCCTCATGATAATGCCTCTGATGATCTTTATACAGGAAAAACCAGCCAAATGCTTGCTATACATGAACAAAATTAGAACCCCGGTTTTCTTCAACAATGGTCAAAGTGAGCGGGTATATGATCCCAAGCGCTCTAGTGAGCGCTGAAAAAGAGTATCCCGGACTTGTCAATGAAGGAACGCGGTGGCAGCCCAGTCCTCTATGAAAAGCCTGATATAGAAAGTGGAGAGTGTAAGAGAGAGGGTATATGCGAGGAAATATTGCAGTTTGCGCATCTCGCTGGGGCAAAGAACGCCATACACCTCACCGTGGGAGTGATTAGACCTTTTCCCACCCGGTCTCACTGCTGTTACCGCTACCAGCGCTGTCCCAACCAGCAGCAGGTCCCGTTCTCAGTCCAAACATCCATCCAACGAGATTCCCAGGAAGCCAGTCTCCGATGAACCCGTAAGTCCGAGATCCCCGACCGACATACATCACTGTTGTCTTAGGTTTTCTCTTGCCAAAAATCGACTTCTGTCGCGGCGCTAGGGCATCAAACACAGCGTAGTGCAGGTTTCTCGCAGGTGAGCCGCGCACGGTGCTAGCACCCGTTGAGGTCACGGGACGGTGATCGATGCTAGCGAGATACGGTGAGCCATATAGCGCTCGCTGCTGCGAGTTCCACGTAAGAACCTCTGTGCCCGCGACATGACCGTGTGTGTTACGGAACTGAGAACCGAGGTCTATGCTACCCAGTCGCATCTCCACGACGTCTATGTTGTTGTGTCGAAGAAGACGTAACTCCCGTCGTAGTGAAGTAGCAAATCCTGAAATGGCACGGGTTGTCGTGACCTCCGGGCCAGAAAATGGTGCGGAGAGTGATGAGGAGATAGAAGGATAGAGGAACAAGATAGTGCTGTTGGTATTTCGCAGCGTGAGGAGCGGCAGGAATATCTGCGCCGTCAATATGGGAGATAGAAGACGCGCATTCACCGTGTCGGCCCAGCTCGACGGCGGAATCGTAGCTACAGGTCCCGTCGGGTATATCGGGGAAGGAAGGAGGATCAAGCCACTCAGCTGGCACGTATGAGGCGGAACACCAGGCATCGGAGACTGGGGCTGAGTTATCAGATTCCGGATCTCATGCAGAGACGGATGGATATCTGATGGCGTCGAAGGTGTCTATAGTCATGTCAGTATCACTCCAGTATGTGATCATCCGAGCTGAACACGCACCGTTGTCAGATCCAGCCAAAGAGCTCGAATATCTTGTCGATTCTCTGATCGCACAACATGTTCCTCGTCTGCAGATGAAACGGTAATATAGACGATGAATCCGCGGCGTTCAAGATCGGTAGCGATGGCTTTCACCATGGGTTCATGCGGCGACCCGGCGATAACTACCCAAAGTCAGCATTTGAACATTTTTCTCGCGCGCATGCATCATGTACCGATAATTTCTTTCCGCGCCCCATTAATGGCTCGTCGCGCTTTTCGTTTCTTCCCACTAAGCTGACTGCTGCCGTATATAAGGAGACCACCGGTGCCGACGAAGGCGAAGATAGCCGCAGTCCATGCCCGATGTCGGAAACTCCAGTCGCGCACGCGACCAATGACTGACTGAGGCGAGGAAGGCAGACTGAAACCGTGTGGTTCTCTCGACGGAGGCCGGATCGCAGGAGGTATCCATGATTGTTGCGCAAGCGTTTCTCGCACTACAGAGGCTGCGTGTTCGACGTGACGGTCGATAGAATCTGCGACCTGGAACGAGTATCTCTTTACGTCATTCGGGATCGAGGAAAGCTGCAAATATGGTCAGCGCAGGATAGAAATTTTCGGTTCATGTTATTCCTCACATAATCAAAGAAGAACTGATCGTCGCTCGTCATCTTGAACCGGGTTAAAGATGTAAACCGCTATCAAAAGAAGTTGTGAAGAAGTCTGTTGGCCGATAAGAGGGGATTATCTGATTGACGATCACATGACTGCCTTTCGTATCAATAGCGCAAGTTAGATCCGAGGCGCGCCGTGAGCAGCGGATGCGGTCATACAGTAGAGAATAACATATGAAAACATATGAAAACGCAGAATTAAGCTTACAAGTGGATGGTAACGATCTAATTGTCGCGACAATACCGAATTAGATGGTGCTTATCCGATCCCGAGCCCTTCTACTCCGGCTTAAGTATGCGCGAATGAGACATGCCCGAGCTCATTGGTCTTCAGAACATACCTCAAACACCATAATGCTTCATCTCTACGATATGATCTCATATTCTCAGATAAATATCACCTCACAATCCAGTCTCCGACTGTACATTTATCATGGTTTGGACCGTTAAGCAGCGAGGTTTTTAGCCCGTCCTGCTTGAACTGGCCTTAAACTTGTATATATCATATAGAGCTTAGATATTTTGATCTTACGCCATCTATGAACAGTCAATCTGCAGAGAACCAGTATGAATAAAAATAGTACAATGAGGCTTTAATATACGGAATAAACCCATGAGCTCAAAATATCAGCTTTTTCGGGTTAAACATGGTCCAAGATCAGCCGCTAAAAGGGGGTGGTCGCCCATTGGCTAATCGCCGTCGCTCCTCAATAATAATAACAATGCTGACCCCGAGAACGCAAACATCGAGATATACTTAACCAGGTACCTTTCCAGCGGCCAACTTCCCTTATCAGAGTACCGGTCAATGGACTACTTCTCCGTTATCTGATCCTTCACCCCGTTCTTCCATATCTGTATCACGTACACCGTTTGCAACAACTCGGTTAGCGCTACCCCAGTATGGACATAGCCCAAGGCTCAAACTAACCACTGAAGCGCACCAGCAGCTTATAACTTACTCATCTCTTTGTGGATATGTACCTTAGAAGAATTATTCAGTCTGCTCCCTGTAAACCGTCCCCCCACCCGGCAAAGTTACTCCCTACGGCAGATTTGATTGAGGAAGAGCACATCCCCCATTATAAGCCTCAGCACTTTTATCCTGTACGTCTTCATGAAACACTCAACGACCGATACCAAATCGCCGCCAAAATAGGCTGGGGAACAAGTTCAACAGTATGGCTAGCACGCGATCTCCACCAGTATGTGAAGATTATCTGATAATATATTCAAGCCTCGTCTTACTATATCACAGGTGGCGATGGCTTCCGCCCCGATATGTGGCCATCAAAGTCAAGGACAGCAATTATGCATCTCAAGAGTCTGCGGAGAAGGAGCTGCGCATTACTGAGCATATAACCAAAGCTAATCTCCAGCATCGAGGTCGCAACTTTGTCGCCACCTTGTTAGACTCGTTTCGTGTTGCTAGCTCGGGCGGCACTCATATTTGCATGGTCTTCGATGCTCTTTGTGAACCCCTATGGATGCTGAAGCGTCGTTTCGAAGGAAACACCATCCCTCTCGACGTCTTGAAGCCGGTGTCTAAACTCATACTAGAAGGACTACGGTACCTCCACTCCGAATGCCACGTTATTCACACAGGTAACTACTCCGTAGTCATCCAACCGACCCACTCCTAGGATCAGTCACAGCTAACAGACAAACAAGATCTCAAGTCCGATAATATCTTACTGGCCCTACGCAACCCCTCTATCCTGGACTCGATCGCACAAGATGAGATAAACAATCCCTCTCCACGGAAGCAACTGGACGATCGGGACATATACTTATCCCGAAATTACTGGGGACTCTCGCCCGACGAACTGGGTAGACCGGTAATAACTGACTTTGGGCTTACTACGCGCGGTGACGGCCCCCCGAACAGCCACCCCATTCAGCCAGAGGGATATAGGGCCCCGGAAGTTTGTCTCGGGGGCAATTGGAGCTACAGTGCTGACGTTTGGAACTTGGGAGTTATGGTGAAGACCTCGCTATCCTAATCCTAATCACCACTAATAGTCTATCAGCTTTGGGACCTGTTCTATGGCCGCGGACTCTTCGACACATCACCGAACTCGCGTGGTTCATGCTCTGCAGACGAAGCCTATCTCGGCCAGATAATTTCTCTCCTGGGGCCCCCTCCACCAGATCTTCTCGGCCGGGGAAAAGAAATATCTCGGTATTTTGACGCTAAAGGTATGCTAGCTATGTTCTAACTAGGCACAGCTAACTGATTCGATAGGACAATTCAAATTTCCCGAGCTTATTGGAAAGAAGGACCTGGTCTCTATGGGTAAAGAAATTGATGATGACGACGGAATGCCCCGGTTTGTAGATTTTATTTCTAGAATGTTGCGCTGGAGGCCCGAGGACCGGGCCACGGCGGAGGACCTGCTTTCCCACCCGTGGCTTCCGTAAAGAGACATGCGAATGGGCGAGAAGGGTGGTTACCTGCACAGTAAATAGATATCTCGCTCAAGAAACCTCACTGTTCAGGCGTTTCTTTCTGTACCGCGACCCGATATATCAAACGGCCATAAGCAAGAAAGCTCCGGTTCTTCTTCACAACTCATACTGGTATTGTCGATATTTGAGCATCTAAGTATTTTCAAGAATGCACTTTGTGATAATAAAGTTCTCGACCATTTATCAAGAGCGAGATTGACAATTTACCCTTCAGCCCTCGCCTCCTATGACTTTGCAAGGTACGTTCCATTCATTTAACGCGGCCTTTAGCCGAGTTCTACTCAACTTTTCGTTATCGACGCCCCCAGAAGAATTATTGGAGAAAAATCTCTAGCACGAAGCAATTTTTGATAATTCTAAGCAGTGGATGGATTGCTAGCTACAAATATTGTTAGTGTCAGGCCAGTTAGAGAAAAAGACGAATATATAGACGCTTTCCGTCTGGTATAACATTGTAGTATTATAGTCGTAAGGTCGTTTATCTAACTAGCCAGGCAACTCCATAAGTATGATAAATCTTGAAGAGAAACAGGAAAAAAAGTAAGTAAGGGGAGGTCTAGTGATAGCTTAGGCCAGAATAAGAAGTCATCCACCCTCCGGTACCTATATCAAACTATAGCTTAGAGTAACTACCTAGTAGTTCGTTGTACAGAGACGAGAAGTATCAGTAAGAATTAAACTCTATTGACAAAATTTACTTATAGATCAATCGCCAAGCTCATATGCAAGCCTTTAGTTCAGCTACTATTCAAAGCGGATTTAGAGCTACTAGTTTGAATCCTTTTAACCTAGAAGAAGTGCTCGGAGGTTCTATTATGCGATTGAATAATCCTACAGTACCAGGAAGCGATTGACTGATTCCTCCCTTAAGATCTCATAAGACTTCAGTGTGCAGTGCTGATTAGGTCAGGTTTAGGGATGGCAAACTCAAACACGTGATAGGCAGCTACATCATAATGCACTCTGGAACCAACGATCAACTCTTTATAACGACTAACCTAAGCTCTGCGGCTTACCACGGGGTCCCAGAATATTTAGGAAAGGTCACTCTGGAAAGTGCGAGTGTAGAATCGTCGTGCTGTGTCGGCAATGGTCTTATTGTTCATCTGCCGATAGTCTACCCTTTTCACCCGCAGATTCAAGAAAGCCCTTTGCAACTCCAGGGTCAGCTAACGGAGGCATTATGCACTGCATCACGATTCCCGGATTTCGACGGCAGACCCTTCACCTTTCTAAACGAATTAGCATACTGAACAAATTCTCATACCCAATCAAAGCAGGAGTTGAGACCTATTAGAATACCCCCTGGACGTCAGACGTGACCTTCAACTTCGAGTGACTCTCCACACTGTTTGACCAACATGATCCGGGAAAACCGGCATGTATGCACTCAGGAATTACGGAGATAAATTAGCTGATATTTGTATTAGATTGACGTCAAAATTCCACCGGGAAAAGCTTCGTTGGCGAAAATCATGACAGACCTCTCGAATAGTGTATGTATCTACGTCGCGAATGTCAGTGTATAAATTGGTTCCTGTCTCTCAGCTTTGTTCGAGATATCTCTAGATCCCACCGAGAATTGGCTTTATACATTGAGTCTACACCATTGCGTGCTGTTTCCCTTTACAGTCAAGATGCCGGACCGCTATCCTACGTCCCAGCCAGAGAAAGGGACTTACCCTGAGCATGCTTTGCGCAACAACTCAAAGGGTACCGATCTCGACAAGGAAGCCCTCGAACGCTTTAAAATAAGGGAAATCTGTGAGGGCTGGGGGAGTTATCGTGATGCTGCCGAGTGAGTCCCATTTCTTCTCTCTCCGGGGACTGGCGAGGAATTGAGACATCTTGTGCAATATATAGATGGCAGAACTACCGCTCCATGTTCTTTGACGATGCCTATATTGCGACTTCTTGGAAGCAGGGCAATATTGATGAGTTCATTCAAGCCTCAAAAGATGGTTTCGCCAAAGGCTCTAGCTTTATGTACATTCTGCACCGCATCATCGGGTCCTCAGTCGAGACAAACCCAGAGCTCACGCGTGCTGTGTGCAAGCAAAAGATCACCATCACCTGCCGCTTTACCTTTGATGGGATCGAAATGGATAATGAAGCCGACTGCCGCTTCTTCTTCCTTCTCGAGAAGCGTCAAGGTCGTTGGGGCGTTTGTTTTTACACACTCCTTTTCGACAAGGATAAGTTTGTCCCTGTAAATCCTGAGAGGATCTTCCATATTCCCGAGGAAGAGGTTGAGAAGTACCCGTCTGGTTACCGCTATCTTGCGTGGGCAGAGGACAAGATTGGTACACCTCCCAAAATGAACATAAATAGCCACGGTCCCGAGAAGAACATTCTCTACAGCAAGTGCAAAGACTGGTTGGAGGGCAAAGCTGTCAAGCCAGATCTGACCGGTGCCGACATTCCGAACTGGAAGCCCTGATCAGTTATATGGATATTATGATCGTCAGTATCTAGCCAATTTAATCAGTGGTATACCTTCGAAATACTTTTTACAGTAGTGGTGGCAGTAGCAGTAGTAGTATTAGTAGCGGCAGCAGTAGGCTCACCCCTCGCCTTGTGCGATTTCGCGATAACCCGATCGCTGCCTCTATAGATCTATTTACCATCAACCGTTATATCGCGCCGGATTTAGAGCCTCGCGAAGGCACATGGCAACCTAAGTACCTGGTGTTCTGTCCGGCAGCCCTCGTGGCACGCGGCTTCAAATCCTTTTGAAATGCCCCTAGAAAGTTCAGTACTACACCTAAAACACTTTTGTTTTGCAGGGCATCTTTCAAGTTGCCCTTCTTACCTCGAGGTTCACCTTCTCCCAGCCTCCAGGAGATTCTAAAGAGTCTCCCAATCTTCTCCCAGAGTTCATATCTAGGATCCTTCAACCTGAATGGCCCCAGGACACGAACCACGTCATTCGTCCCAAAAACAAACCGTCTTCTGTGGATACAATCTCACCAAAGCCTGGATTCACCCATTATACTTCCCCTTTGCCCTCCATCGCCTATGATTTGATGAGATGATATCCACGTTGAGCGCCGTCAAATCGAGCCTGTAGAACATGCATTCTGCTTCGGATCCCACAAGAAAATAATGCCCCCAGTGGAGCGGAGTGGGAGTTCACAACTGCACATAGTTTAGGTCCCGGCAGGACTGTGTGAGGATATTTTGCACCGCCACCAGCAAGTCAGATACATGAAAGTTACCCTGGCTGCGACGAGATCCAGCGACAACCGCGATGCAGCTGGTCATCGAATTAACTTATCCGCCGTGCAGATACAAACTTTTCACAGTCACAAAATGTTACTTCTGTAAAATGACGAAAAGTGGCCCTAACATCACTCTTGTCCCCTTTCCTTTCGTCGTCGACTTCACTTGACTTTGACTCTAGACACAGTTTACTACTGGAGCCACCTATCTGTCAGATATCCTGTCGCAAAGGCATAAACTGCCTTATTGAAAAGATCAATGATCTGCTCATTGACCGGCCAAGTCCTGTAAACACACATAAGCTTGTAAACAGTGATTGTAACGCGCTTTGGAAACATGCGAAACTTACCAAGGCGCTGCGCCCACCCCTGTCCAGTTCTCAAGCGTCTGGTCAATCAGGAGACGCACTGATATAAACATAAAATCCGAGAATGGCCGGCGAAAGCCATTCACGCTCATGAAGGCTCTTATTATTCCAGCAGCTGCCCCTTGCCCGTAATGCATTGCCATGTTCAGTCCGAATCTCTCCTTATCTGGTTTTTCGGGCAACGAAAGTAATCGCTCCAATGTATGGCCTGGCACGTAGGAGCTGGGTCTTCCGGTAAAGAATTGTTCAATTTTCTCAGCAACAGTCATGCTAACGATTATTCAGTTCATTTTTTTCCTACACAGGGAGAATGCACCGCCTGGTTTAGAGATCTAACTTACGTTGCGACCCCGAGCAGCCCTGCACCGCAACCGTAGATAATACAGGTTCCTACAGAGATGGGCCGGCTCGGCTGTTCGGGAACAGTAGTGCGACGAGACATTGTCGAGAAGCCTGACACTGTACAATATGGCTGAAGATGATTGCATATAATCATGTAGACTTATTGTCCGGTATGTGGACAGAGATAATGTTCTATCAAGAACGCTAGAGGAGAGCTTGGGCGATGTCATACATATGACGACATCGGAAGTCGACTGATACACATATAGATCTTCCTTCTCTTCATATTACAGATCCCTTTTCCCGTTCCCATTGATATTAGCTGCTTCACAAGCCATCCTTAGGAGATACGCAACAGCGAGAACAACTTTGAAATATACCTAGTAAAGCATGCTTTTGATGGACAGAACCAAATTTGCATGCCATCATGGGAAACAGCCAAGTCAAGTCATTGTCTTGCTGGAACAAAGACGCGAATAGTGCGATGGCAATCAATTAGGGATACAGCTACTCATGGCGTTGAGGGTTTTTCCAGTGCAATCTATTGGCCTAGACAATATTACCTTGACCTATCACCATTACATATGTAATGTGCCCTAGTACAGTTTACACCATCAATTACACGTAGCTGAGGTCGATGGCTGGCGCTGATCTCCTTATCTGTGTTAAGGTGCAGAAGAAAAGTTATGCACAGAAATAAAATCAAGTAGAACCCCGAATCATATAAACAGGAGGCGTACCACGAGAACCCGGTTTACTCGGATCTCGAACGAACGGAAATGCCCTGGTCAATTGTTTGCTCATTTAAAGAATACTGATTCAGCGCCGCTGATAGCGGGCTGGACTGGCATGGCAAACACAGGGAGCCAGGGAGACAATTCAACCTTGCTCCCACCACCTATTTTCAGGTCAGTCAAAGAATTCCAACGTGACGCGGGGATCAGCAAGAAAACTCACCAGTTCTGCACGTGTTGCAGCTGCCTATAATCCGGGGCATTGAACAAGCCCAAAACATCCAGCCGGTCCTCATCCTCTTTACTCAACCGCCACCCCAACGCCTGCGCGCAATCGATGACCTGCTTCTCGTTCTTGACTCCTGGGATAGGCACAGCGCCCTTGCAGATTACCCAATTTAACGCCACCGCTGCGGGTGACTTGCCAGTCTTTTCACCAATCCGTAGCAGTTCGTCGACAATTGGTTGCAGCTTGTCCCATTTGACATCTGCGAAGTTGCGGTTGCCACGAGGCTTGTTGTTGCCATTATACTTGCCGGTCAAGCGACCGACGCCGATAGGTGAGTAGGCTATTGTGGCGATCTATTGTTCTATCATTAGTGAGCTCTCCGCAGATTGTATAACAGGATCTTACTCCAAGTTTGCGACAGTTTTCAATCAATCCAGTCTTCCATGGATCCTGTCTAGCGAGGGAGAATTCGACCTGGTTCGATACATACGGCACACCGCGCTACAAATTCGAATTAGCCAGATGCTCTCTAGCAAAGAGCCAACAGAAAACGAGGAGACCAACCTTTTTCAGAATCGTATACACAGCCTTGACCTGCTCGATGTTCAAATTACACGTCCCCACCGCCTTAATCTTTCCCTGATCATAACAATCCGCCAACGCATTCACAATGGTCTCCAACCGCGGCCAGAACCCCATGTACGACGGCCCATGCAGCTGATAGATATCAATCTTACCCAACCCGAGCCGATCCAATGAGCCCGCACACGCCCGATACACTATATCCGGATACATGAATGGATGCCTCCACGGCGTAGGCATGAACTTTGTCGCGACCTGAAGCCAGGGTCGATTTTTAGTCGTGTCTTCAGACCAGTTCCGCCCTATGCTCTTCTCGGAATATCCGTCCGTGTAGCCATAATGCTCCGCCGTGTCGAGAAGGACGGGGGATACGTTCCTGAATATTTCCTTCCATGCCCGAGTGACGCTCGCATCGTCGAGACGTTTATCGTAACCATTGCTGGGGCCCCAGCCGTACGAGAGGACATCGCCCCATGGCCAACAGCCGAAGCCCAGGGGGGCGAAGCTTACGATTGGATTGTCCGGGTCGCCGAGTGTGAGGAGTGTTTTTGTTGATGGGATAATGTTGGACGGGATTATGGGCCAATGATGTGAGACATCTGTGTGGTTGTCCGTGGTATCGGCGCGTTGGAGTTGGTAGCTGGGTGTATAGATGTCGGAGTGTGGGCCGGTGGTTGTGCGTGGAGGAAGGTAGCCGGACATCGTGGCCGGCTGTTAGCAGTCTCCGGTTGTATACAGCCTGGATGAGTAGGCATTCAATTATTTATTGATTCTTTATTCCAAGTTCATGGTAGGAAGGAGATGAATAGATAGGCTGTATCGTTAATTCCTGCTGGATAAAAAGCAAGAATGAGTGTACATTACGAAGAGCGAGAAATCAACTATCTTCCCTCCTTTAGCATAGAATACTATATATCCACCACGTATAATGTAAATCAGGAAAAGGTGGATTAATCCGTCATGCTGACGAACATGCCGCATGTATCGTATTGTTAACCTATATGATACAACTTATTCCTACATGTCATTGGTCCGGATACTCTTACCCTTGAAATAGAAACCGGGCAGGCGTGGTGGGGAACATAGTGTCAACAATAAGAGTGCGGATGCGTATTTCTATATACTGGATTTGAAGGTGAAATGCATATATATGATCTAACTTGTGAGGTCAGAGAGCATGTTTATGATCGGAGGCTTCAGATAGCATGTGCGAGGGTGATCAGGTGTCTTTGTGCTTTGTACATACGTTTCTATAGTTTGTTTCATTAGTGATAGCCTCTGCTATCATATACAGAGTGCAGGATGTGGCTGTACAGGCCTCAGGGATAGACAAAAACCATGGATAACGCCAGGTATATAGTTGTAGTGAGATGTTATGGAAGTATTTGTGGGTTGGGCTTCAGCCATACTGTAGACTCTCTTACCCACAAATTCAGTATAGTAGCATCGGGGAGGAGGCACATATCCGAGCTGGATAGTCTATAGCCCTTCGATGACTGCTTACTTGACGTCGAGTAAGAATGATGCGATGCTGTCATCGCGCTTTTTAAGTGTAGGTACTAAGCTCAAGAACCATTTAGGACCTCGTACTTTCCTAGTAATTCTCCACCATGGGACCAAGAGCTAGTCTATTTAACCTCCTCGTTACTTCTTTCATACCATCATGTTCATTAAATATACACGCCTATCCATTAGTTATCGTTAGTTATCTCCGCGAAGCAGATAGTTAGTCATCTCTCACTTTCTCACCAAGCCCGATTCTGGCACTGCCGCTACTTAGCTCCCGTCCTCTTTTCAGGTGAGATTCCATGTGAAGCAACTACTAATCCCCTCTTAAGCCCCTAGCGCGGTGGTTTTGCCATTTATGGAAGTTGCATCCTTCTTAGATGCAGCCAGCTTATCAATCGATTGTCTTCCTCCGTCAATCAAAGTGGAGTGATAGGAGATGTTGTACACGGGGAAGCTATGCCACTAGATGAGGTTGGGAGGGGCAAAGATATCAAGGCGGCCAAGTTATCGTAGATATAGCATGCCGTCTCTATTTCTTTACTCGGCAGGGGAAAATACCCGCTCTTGCGTATAGAGAACTGTTTCTGCGCAGCCATTATTTCTCTGCTACACAGCAAACACTGCCCATCTCAACTCACTTGATTAATATTTGCTGGTAAAAATGACTCGTCAACCCTGGCAAGAAGTCGCCAGAATCGCACAGGAGGCACGAGACAAGTCTATTGAACTCGTCCAGCCTCCTGTACCTGATATCCCCGCCGATTTGCCATTGAACGTCTCTGGAATTCCCAAGCAGCTCCTCACCCCTGCTGAGGTGGAGATAACAGAGACTCCTCCGGAGGTACTTGTTGAATCGCTGGCTTCAGGGAAGCTCACAAGTGTGGAAGTTGTAAATGCATTTTTACGACGCGCAGGACTTGCTCAGAAGCTTGTAAGTGCTATCACTGACAAGAATAGACATACGTATTAACGACTCTTCTCATGCGCTAGGTAAACTGCATAACAGAGCTTCTACCGAAAGAAGCCCTCGAGAGAGCAGAATACCTTGACAATTATTTGAAGGAACACAAGAAGCCTATCGGCCCCTTACATGGTATACCGATCAGTGTAAAGGAACATGTTGCTATGAAAGGCCGCGGCCTCAATGCGGGGTTTGTCGCCTGGTGGGACCGAGTCGCATCCGAAGATGCGCATGCTCTCCAAATCCTCTGGAAAGCGGGATGTGTATTCTACGCACGCACAACTGAACCGCAGACTTTAATGCAATTGGCTTGTTCCAGCAATCTTTACGGAGAAACAGTGAATGGCTTTAACCGCCAGTTGACCTCTGGAGGCAGCTCGGGTGGAGAAGGAGCTTTGCTAGGTTTGAACGGCAGCGTGCTTGGCCTTGGAACCGATATTGGAGGAAGTATTCGCAGTCCTGCGGCAAACAATGGCGTCTATGGTCTGCGCCCAACAGGTGGCCGGTTCCCTTTCGATGGCTTGGCAGCTGCAAGAGGTGCACAGGGAATTCCTGCTGTGATGGGCCCAATGAGTACGAGTAGAGCCGGGCTGAGGTTACTGATGAAGACAGCGCTTGCTGCGAAGCCATGGCTGAAGGAAACTTCGCTCTTCCCATTTCCTTGGAGAGACCAAGAGAGTTATCTGCAAAGCGATTCAGGGAAAAAGCTCAAGGTAGCCGTTATATGGGATGATGGCGTGGTTAGACCACATCCCCCAGTCACGAGAGCTCTGAAGGAGCTTGCAGATAAACTCAAGAATGTGTCAGGTGTGGAAGTCGTGGATTGGAAACCATACAAGCATGACTACGGATGGGAGCGAATTGCGTCTCTGTACTACTGTGATGGAGCGCATGACGACTATGATATCCTTACTGACGGTGGTGAGCCTATGCTGCCGCTCTCGGAGTTCATAATCAAGAACAATCCCTACAGGAAACGCCTTCAAATGGAAGACTTATGGGATCTGCTCCAGAAGAACGAAGAATACAGAAGAGCCTATGCCAAGCAATGGAACGACACAGCTACCGGCCTCGATAGTGATGGAAATCCAGTCGGCATGGTGGATGTGCTCCTTTGTCCCGTGGGTCCGGGTGCTGCACCCCCTATAAACGAGGCCAAATACTGGGGATATACAGCCCAGTGGAACCTACTGGATTATCCAGCGGCAGTCTTCCCGGTTACTCGAGTCATTCCAGATGTTGATACAGTAGAATCCGATTACAAGCCAAGAAACGAGAAAGATGAACACAACTACAAACTATGTAAGGTGGCTTTCCACTGTATTGGGATAAGGCTAACTAGTTCTAGATGACCCAGAAGTATATCGTGATGCCCCTGTGTCACTGCAGCTTGTAGCCCGTCCTTTCGACGACGAGAAGGTACGCTTTCCTGTATAAAAATTGGCACAGAATTTCTGCTTACAATGGGGTCTTTAGCTTCTCGAAGCTCTTGATTATATCCACGAACAAACAGACTTGCCTTTCTTGTCGAGGTATACATAGGGCGAGGGAGAATAACACACATAAACAATTATCGATGTCGAGCATGGTATCCCGTGTCATTAATCTCGTCCCGTTGAAGGCATCTCAGTCATATGTACCGGACCGAGGAACTTCAGAAACCTTGGGAATGGTGTATGCATTTCCTTTTCGATTAACAATAATGACCTTTTTTTTTATCACCAGATAACCTATAACTTCCACATTTAGACTTCTGTTTCAAATGATTCGTGGTAGTCACGTGATCACAGTAGGATTGAATTCGCGGTCCGTTCAGTCAGCGCCGTCTCCACGCCTGATTATCAATGGACATACTTAGTCCGGTGGCGACAACAAAGCAGGACGGCGACTACCTTCTAGTTTTTCAACCGCACATCTGCAGGTCCAGGCTGCAGTCTCTCTTTTGTCAAGGATAGTTTGTTCTGTGTTTTTTTGTCTGTACTTCGATACCCTTCTCGCAATCGGCACCTACCTTGCTGACGTGGACGCTGCCTGTCCGCTCCGATTCGCCCTGCAAGGCTGGCGGCGAATCATTTCTTATTGCTCGCATAAGCTACTGCATTTCAATACCCCTAGAACAGCACTCTTTGTTCTCTGTTATTGTATATACCTACATCTATTCATTGAGTTTTTTGAGTGCAGGGTGACTTTTGAGGATGCGGGAGCTTGATCCTTTGATTTCTGAATATCAACATGACAAAAGCAAGCCCCGAGAGTCCGAGGCACTCTTTACGCTCCGCAAGGTGGCTTCCCTGGTGAAGCCCATCATGCGGCAGCGAGGCTGGAGAGTTGGATTATTATGTGAAATGTACCCAAAGGAACGTCACCTTTTGGGTCTGAATTATGATCACGGGCGAAAGATATGCCTCCGACTGCGGCACCCGTCTGATGAGCGACAGTTCCTCGGTCTTGAAGAGGTCGTCGATACTATGTTGCACGAGTGAGTATCGCCCTCTCATTTTTTTATGTGTGGCGTCCTTGCTGATTTGCTGTAGACTCTGTCATAATAATATTGGGCCCCATAATAGCGAATTTCATAAGCTATGGGACCAGCTGCGTGACGAGTATACAACGCTCAAAATCCGTGGCTATACCGGCGAAGGCTTCCTTTCGGAAGGAAAGCGTCTTGGTGGCCGGCGTATACCCATGGACGAAGCTCGGAGACTCGCTCGTGCCAATGCGGAGAAGAGACGGGGTTTGTATGCTGGCTCTGGTCAGAAAGTCGGCGGAGCTCCTGTTAAGAGGGGGGCCGATATTCGCAAAATCATCGCAGATGCTGCTCAACGACGAATCGAAGTGACTAGAGGCTGCGTCTCTGAGACCGACCAGACCTCAAAGCTTGCGGACGAAGTTTCGCAGAATGGCTTTAGAACAAAGGCTGAAGAAGAAGACGCCAATGAGCAAGCTATCATGCAAGCCTATATCGAGTTGCTCCAAGAGGAAGAACGGGAGAAATACGGCGAGTCGTATATCCCTCCAAGTCAAGAATTACCTGCCGGTCCTCGGACAACTCTATCGCCGCCTCCAGTTCCAGAGAGCTCAAAACCGAAGCCGCCCACACCAGCACGATCTTCATCCACGCCTCAGGGCCCTAGTGGCCAAATATCTAATAACGCCTCATACGATCAGCCCTGGACATGTCCCATCTGCACGCTTGAGAATCCACCGGCTTATCTCTGCTGTGATGCTTGCACCACTGAGCGTCCTGTACCCTCTAGCATGAAATCCTCATCCGATTCGTCCAGTAAGGGTAAAACAGTGGAGCATCCTGGCCGGAATCCCGTTCGTCGAAATACAATAAAATCATCACCGACTGACAGATTAGTGAGACCTCGCAGCAATGCTGCTGAACTGCTCTCTTCCTTAGAGAAGGAGAGGGAGAGTAAGTCGAAGCGACCTCTGGGGTGGCTATGCCATCAATGCGGAGCCTTCATGGAATCCCAGTGGTGGACATGTTCAAGTTGTGGAACAATGAAGCAGGTTTCGTGACAAAATCTTTTCATTTTGACCCGTGTTCCTATAATAGACAGACAACAGGGTCCTTCAAGTCTTTCCTAGTGCTATAGCTCTGGGATTAGCGGCATTATGATTCATGCATGATACGGAAGAAGAGGAGTTCGGGGTTTTACTGTATGTAATACAAATATAGCTTGCGATGAGAAATGCCAGTACAACAACGATTGCTAATTCTAATATAGAATCGTCTTTTGGTTAGCCATATCCTTGCGATTCTGGTGACTATAGCCCAGAAGCATGTTGATGGTGGACTGTATTGTCACTATTCGTGTCCATTCCACTTTGAACATGATATCCACCCTCGTAGTTCCTCATCAACACCGCGACTCCACGGGATTAATTCCCCTTCAATTCATTCGCAATCTCCTGCACACTCTTCATCGCCTTCGCATTATTCTCACCCACATCCAACGACACGAGAATCCGACTAACGGCATTATACCCCGCAACCACCGCCGTCAATTCCACAATTTTCCTTTCCAACTCCTCGCCCTCAAACCCCTTCTTCAACGCATCAAACGTCTCATCCCTAACCTTCACCGAAACAGTCATCTCATCCGTGTACAAGAGAACCGCCAACTCCACCTCCCCGGCACCAGATCTCTCCAACGCCTCCTTAACATCACCATCCACTTCCTTTTCAGCCAATCGAGCCGTCGCAGCACGTTTCAACTCCATAACTGACACTTCTCTGGCATACTGGAGGACAGAAGGCGGTAGTCCCGCTTTTAGTGCCAATGGCGCATGCGCGTTCCATTCGTATACAGCATCATTTACCACAGCGATACGGCAGATGGCTAGCTCCAGCAGAGATTGCGGGACGATGGTCTTGGTTCGGAGCGCCCCGACGAAGGAGTTGTATCCGTCTGCGACGGGTGGTGTGTGTAGGAGTGCGAGATCAAGAGGGATGAGTGGGCGTGGGCGACGGCGGGCTGCGATGCGGTTGTATATCTCCGTTGTGGTGGGGTCTGAATCTTCAGGAGGTTTGGAGGGGGCGTAGGGGATGCGCATTTTTTTAATATCTCTGTGGTTCTTCTCGAAGGGGATTCGAAGAGGGATTGGTTGATATGGATAGGAGGGAGGAGATGACGATGCTATTAAATGGTAATAGGTTGGAATCGATTAATGATGGACGGAAGGGTGGATTTCTAGAAGAAAGGGGTTGAGTCTGAGAGAAGTTGTCTCATAACATAGATATACCGCAGGAAAGTGAAAAGGCTCTAGATTACTATTGATATTAATACCTCCTGATAGAAATCGTGGAGTTAGGTATTCAATGCGGCCAAAATGCGGAGATGGATAGCACACTAATCGCCTCAAAAGCGTAGCCGGGTAAGAAAAGAACCGGAATCACGGTTAATCTAAGCTTTGCTTGATTCGCTTATTTGTGACTACTCAGCGAAACGGGACGAACTATGGAATAGGTAATTTTTGACATTGGAAGAGACAAGTTCAAGTACCACGTCTATATGCGAATGTGTCCATGTCATTGAATTTGTATTGGTTAATTGCAGGAGCAATGTGGAAAGTTTTGTATAGAGATAACTGGTTATATTCCATTCTTTTTTGATAAATATAGGCGCATTATTACAATTCATCTGAGTGAGTTTTTACTGCAAAGCAAAAATCACACAAGTATCTGCGCTTTAATTAAACATCTGTAAGTAAAAATATTCCCCGCGATTCTCACGATTGAGGGGTGTTGTAGTGGCAGCCTCACGTCTCAGGCAACACGGCAACAGGTCAGACCCAGAGGGTTAGGCGCCATGACTAAGCAGAACTCCACTCAAGCTTGAACTTTTTCCTTTTCCTCCAACTGCCGCAAAACTCATCCAAAAAAATATCTCTGAAGATGTGTGATGGCAATTGCAACAACAACAATAATGCTCTAGATACCTGTGATAATCTCCAGGATAACTCGCATGCGATTAATTCATAACAGGTAAAGTGAATACTTCTCTAACAACAACAAATTTACCCCCCCTTCACAATTCCTCATGATCAATTATTTCCCTTGACATTCTCGAATAAAAAAAGAAAAGAAAAGAAAAGAAAAACCCCAATATGATGAGAAACATTCTTTGAACCTCAATATTTAGGAAGAGCCGGAAGAGGATGGCAGAGAAAGATGAAAAGAACGTCTTCTCTGTCGTCGATGCTTAGAATGGTTCTGCTGATGGAGTTTATTCATGCCCGTTGTTTATCTGTTTCACTTCCCTGAGCCATTGATCTCGCCGTTCGGTCTGCGGAAGAGACTTGTTGCTGACGGAGTTGGAATTTAGGTATATCTAGCGTCTGTTGAGCGACCGATGGCGATGGTCTTATAATGGTTATGAGTGCATGGGAACATATGGAATTGGACCGTTCACATTCACAGCACTTTGGAGTTTTGATCTTAGAGCCTCTTGGAAGGGAAGTCTGATCGCCGCTGCTATATGCTGGGCTTTGAGTAGATCTCAAACACCACATAAAGTGTGATAGTCTATCGATGAATAGCATGGAATATAATGGTGTCTATCGAAATAAACAGAAATTCTATATTGCAAACTCGTACTTTTTTTGACCCGCCCACTCCCAAGGATATAGAACTTTTCCAAAATGGTACATTACAAGACATAACGAAACGCCGCCAACATGCATCTGTTGCCGCAAACTTTTATCCTCCAATCAAGCAACACTAACGAATGCTCGTTTCTTGCCCGTGCCCTTTGCAGGCTGTTCATCCTCCCAGGTGTCCACATCGACATAGTCTTTCCGGGTCCGCTCCCGGACCTGTGTGCTGATGAACTGCAAAGCAGCAAGGTTGAAGCCCATCTCATCCTTCTGCCTGGCCAACACACGACGCAGTGATGCTCGGATACCGTCAAGCATAGGACGCATCATGCGGCTTGCGATGATCTGCCGGTGATGAGTCTTCAGCATGAAGAAGAGCACACGGCAAGTGAGCGGAATATTCCACTCACGCTCCGCCCAGATGTTTAAGAAGGTGAAAAGTGCAGGCAGTTTAGAAAATGGCAGAACCAGGAGAGCGTCCTGCAGAGCAGCTGCCGGGATCTTTTCCACCACATTGAGTAGATGTCGTTCGGCAGAGATGTTGCCCAGTGCCATGTATAGCGGGTTTCGAGCAGGGGGAGCTGCATTGGGTTGAGCAGCTTTGACTTGCTTCCATTGCCGGACAACTTCGAGATCCTCCATACCCAGGTCAAGAGCCTCGACGATCCTTTCTCCAGCCATTAAGGTGACGACTGTTTGCTTGCCCGCGTCGACTGCCTCTGCCTTTTCACCATCTTCATCTTCTTCCTGCTCGAGAGATGCTGTGAGGGTGCTTTCATACAACTCCTCAAGTTCTTTCTCTCGTTCTTCCTCGAGGAAGATCTGCTCATCAGTTTGCTGCCAGGTACGGATGCTCTTGTCATGACTGGCGCTGACGAGGAATTCCCCCGAGTGGCTCACCGCTAAAGCCCAGATCTCACCGTGGTGACCCTCCAGTTTCTGGATCTGTTCAAACTTATCGCCATCCCAGTACTTGATTACGCGGTCTTTGCTTGCACTGAAGAAGTTATGTCCGTTGCCTTCGTTGTTATTGGGAACGAAAGCGACAGCCATAATACTGTCCTGGTGTGCGAAGAATGCCTTGTGGCAGTCACCGAAATCAAGACCCCAGAGGCGCACATTCTTATCAGCGGAACAAGTGACGATCAACTTGCTGTCGTAAGATATATCCATATTCAAGACGGGGAGCTTGTGGCCGTATAGGTTGAGGAAGAGTTTGAGAGTATCAACAAAAAACACCTTGACTGTGTTGTCCAGAAGAGATACAGCCAGAAGACGAGCGTCAGGCGAGAAGCGGAGACTGAGGATATCATCATTGACCTTCAATGTCCTGGTGTGAACCAGCTTGAGTCGGGGTGTAGTCCGCTTGGTCCCAAGGACCTCTTCCTGAACGACTTCAAATTTCCAGAACTTTGCTGTTTTGTCTGCACTACCCGTCACCATGGACTTGCCATCCGGGTGGACTTGCAGAGTCCAAACAGGACCATCATGAGCTTTAACAGTGTCCAGCAGAGTAGAAGACGCAATGTCGAAAACCTCCAAATCACCATTCTTGTTGCCCACAACGACGATTTTGTCTCCAGGAAGGAACGTAGAACAGAGAGAGTAACCGCACTCTAAGGTACGCAGGCAATTCTGTGTCCTCACATTCCAGATCTTTAGAGTGCCGTTTGAGGCGGAGGCCAACATTCGGTCGTCAGAACTCAAGGCTACTGACCGAATATCTGTTCTGTGACCCGGGATATCCACCGCGAGTGTCCGCGTATAATCGTTCTCCTCTGCATCCTTCTTCTTCTTGCTGGCTGTCGCCACGTTGTAAGTTTCCAGTTGATTGTTGGTCGTGGCCGCGAGGAGCTGCAGATTACCACTTGACTTCGTAGTGATCCAGTCGAAAGATCGCATCTTTCCACCTGTCCGGACGATGACATGAGGCACGAAAACCTCGGTCACAGGAGCAGTAGATATATCCTCAGGCTTATCTTCGGCTGGCACAACCGCTTTGTCTTCACCGGCTGCACGCTCAGCTTCCTTCTCCTTTCTTCGCTTGCGCTTCCTTGCCAGGCTCTTCTGCACCTCAGTTTCTGAGCGTATCCGCCAGATTTCAACTGCCTTTTCAGAGCCATGAACACCGATATAATCCGACCGCGGATGAAAGCGAATGCTGATAGTGCGATCCTTGCCGTTGCGATAGAACGTACCCCTCTCGGTCAAAATCCGACGATTCTCGAAGCCGGCCTTTTCTTTCGAGATTTCGATCATCGCATTCTCATCAATTGACCACACCTTAAGTTCTCCATCGTTTCCTGCTGTAATGCAGCCGCTCTGGTCGGGCGACAGGCCAAGAGCCCAGCATTCCCCATTACTCTGCGCAACGTGCGTCTCGATGCAGTGCTGTGAAGCCAGATCCCAGACTTTTATCAGAGAGTCTTTACCAGTTGTCAATAGGAATCCTCCATGGTCACTTTGCGTCGCGCCGGTGAGCTCTTCGCTGTATTCCCCCAACGGGTTCAGGAAATGTAGAGAAGTGACCTGATCGGTGTGTCCACGAAGCTTGTACAGACCGACTTCAGCTATAAGATCCCATACTATAATATCCGTGTCCCTCGAACCACTGGCGAGTCGCACTCCAGCCTTGTCGAAGGCGAGGTGGGTGATAGCTGATTTGTGACCATTGAAAGAGATTATGATTGTCGAAATCCTTGAGTCCCATAGTCTGATGCTTCCGTCCTCGTAACTGTGCAGATAATCAGTGTATGCCCATTACAACAAATTTTCTGCGCACTTACCCAACTGCGAATATATCTTGATCGGTCTTGCTTTGCGTGATAGCAGTAACTTCAGCGTTACAGCCTGGATCGCGCCATCTGCTGAGCAGTTCACCCTTCTTCACATCCCAGCACAGGACCTCTTCGCTTGCTCCGACTATTGCCCGTCCTGCGCCTGTTGGCCTCGCCGTCCCAAAGACATCTTCGTCTCTGGTCCAGACCGCATTGGAAGAGGCGGACGCGACGAGACCAAAGGTGTGGGAATGCTCGAATTTCCTGTGATTGTCAGTTTTCCAGAGCCATAGCGCATACTATCTGGACTGTTTTACTCACAAATACGACTTGACCATCTTTGAGCGCTGCGGACAAAAATTTGGAGCTTGCGCTGCGTCTGGGCAACTTTTCGTATCGATACGCCGCTAGCGCCGCAACTTCCCCGGCGTCTACGGGCAGCCACAGCGACCCGCTGAGCAGCGATACCCACACGCGGCCTGGATGACGACCGTAGACCAGCGCCAACTCCCCCAGACTGAAACCAACATCACTGCTGCTCGCTGAGATCAAGGAAGGGGGCTCAGTGGCATGCTTGACTGTCTTTCGCCATGCTTCTCCTCGACTACCAGAACGTTCTGATCCAATCCCTCCTAACGGAGCGGTTCTCCGGGTACGACCCCGCCAATCTACACATGGCTACTCGAGGCAGCAGCTAACTCCCGTTGCTAGAGGGCCCCCAGTGTCGATCGACCAGGTTGTCTCTGACTTTGACGGTGTTACCTTCCATGTTTCGACTCCCGAATCCAAGACCAAGATCCTTATCTCCATTTCTGTGAAGTGTTTCCGAGAATTGGTGCAGTATGGTGCTCAGGCGGTGTTGGAGCGGGAGTACGGTCCCTATATCGTCACTCCGGAACCGGGATATGATTTCTCGGTCCTGATAGACCTCGAGAACCTTCCGGCTGAGGCTGAGGCGAAGGAGGAACTGATCATGCGTCTTGCTCTGCTGAAGCGGAACGCAATGGCAGCTCCGTTCGAGCGCGCATTTGATGAATTCGCCAAGCTGTCCGAAGAGGCCTCGAAATACACAACGGAAGCTGCTCCGCAGGGTGTCAGGGAAGGTGGGGAGGTCATGGCTATCCATTACCGAGAGGAGGAAGCTATCTATATCAAGGCAAGCCACGATCGGGTCACCGTGATATTCAGCACGGTCTTCCGTGAAGAGACGGACCGTATCTTCGGAAAAGTGTTTTTGCAGGTATGAACATTCTTGTGAGTCTGCCTCAAAAGGGGTCAAACTGACAGATTCGCAGGAATTCGTCGATGCTAGGCGTCGCGTCCTCACGCTACAGAATGCGCCGCAGGTCCTCTTCCGCAGCGACCCCCCATTGGAGTTGGAGGGTATTCCAGGGCTGAAGCACGCGAACGAAGATGATATTAGCTATGTTACTTTTGGTACTACTACTATTCGATCTATTGAACTGATTCAAAGCTAACAGATGAACAGTCCTTTTCCCTCGTCACTTGACCCCCCAGCGTCGCTATGAGAACATTTCTCACATCCAAACCTTCCGTGACTATTTCCATTACCACATTAAGGCTTCAAAGGTAATATATGAACTGAGATTGTATTGGTGGCCGTGGTGCTTATTTTATCGTGTCCAGGCATACATCCACACCAGAATGCGGAAGCGAACCGCTGATTTCCTGCAAGGTAATGACGTCCTGGTTCTATTTCTTAATCCAAGCATGCTGACCGGGCTAGTTCTCAACCGCGCACGACCCGAAAACGAGGAACGAGAGAGAAAGACGGCCAGTGGTCGTACATTCAGAGTCCAGGCTTAGAGCGGATCCATATCATCCTGTTTATATTCGCAACTTGAGAGACACGGGCGCCATTTTCCTTAGAATCCAATGCGGAGAGGCCTTTAAGATGCAGCGTCTCACATTGCCAACATGTAACTGAAAACTTTCTTTGTTCGTTCTGAGAGCGCGAGAGGACATGAAGTGTACCGTCGACACTCCGGTGCAGCATGGTTGAAACTGCTGGCTTTCTTCTCTATTAGCCTTTCGCCGATATGATAACCTGTGGTCGGGCCGCTCGCATGAATTCGAAGTCGTTTTGTCTCTATAGCCGCTGGCAGGCAGGCAATGGTTACGTCGCATCAGGGCTTGAGGAATAATGGATGTGCGATTCGCTCTCAGTGCTAGGTAGATCATCGACTTGAAAATGATAAATAATACTTCATAGCTATAGTGATACAATGAGATGCAACTGTGCGTCAAAGTCCGGGGTACCCCAAAGCGATATTGGGCAAGTTATGCTTAGATCAAGGATATCGCTGAAACCTGATCCTGGACAGAGTAGCAAATCCGGTCTACCCTCCATATTCTTAACCCCATCCCCGCTCATAACGGTGTTTGCCCTATCTCGATCGTGTACGACAGTACCTTCCTTAACCGATCTGAGATACCAACCCCGTAAATCTGTGGTTGGACGCGGAATCCATCCCGGCTTATTTAGCTCCGGCAAGTCTAAGTATCCCAGCAAGACCCAATTTTTGGATCTCATAGCTAAAGGGGTCCAGGATAGATATGCACGATACGATAGGCCTCGACAGTGATTGATAGTAAGTCTAGATCACAAGGACCCGCTTGTGGTTTCCTTCCTTGTGCCGGAATTGCAGGTAGTCTGGGATGCAAAGTCTGGTCAGTCTCTTAAACATAAGAATGTTGATTCAAACTAGGGGCAGTAACTGCTACGGCCGTCAGACCCATCCACTCACTCGACCAGCTTTACAATCCGGGAAGAGGAGGTTTCACGATCTGAGGGTGGGGTTGCCATACTCGAGCCAGATGCATCCGCATACTGTCCGTACTTTTGTATCGATGTATTATCCACTACAAGAAAAGGAATTGCTGGGATCATATTGGTTGCCACAGTCCTGTAAGTGATGCAGTTCATCGATGGCCGAATGCGGAGCAAGACATTCGTTGATCTACTGTGCAGGTGCTTTTAGGACGACATACAGAGTACTTCTTTATTCTCGATATGTGGACCTTTGTACTCCGGAGATAGCCCGTGCATATATTAAGACCCTTTTTTTTTCTGCAGATTAGAGCGTCACCGATAAAATGGCACAAGTGGCAATTTTCATGGTTTAAAGGACGATCAATGCTATTGATTCAGTAAATGAGCATAGAAGAGAGCCTGTATTTGGCCATCTATGTGAGACTCCCCTCAGATACTGAAAACTGGACTGCCGATCATCCATGATTGTCAGCGTATATCATATCTGCTGGTTCCAATCACTCACATCATATCGACGGCCACTTAGAGACGACACTCAATGGAGTCTTTCTGCCAGCTATTAAGCGTCATTTAGTCCTAATTCCCTCGGTCGGTACTTAGTCTCGCTTTATTCCCCTAGAATCTGAATATCGCTTTCTCAGACTGCGCGTAATCCTGTATTGAAGAGTACTTTAGTCCATACTTTGTACGTCTTAGCTGTCTTAGATCGATCCCAGATGCTCGGTTCGCAACTAAAGTGCCCCATCACGACCGAAGTCCGTGGGTAGCGAAACTTTACTTTATTTACGGGTACAAACTATAACTTTATTTTCACCTATGTATAAACTCTCATCGAAATGCGACCATAGAGCAGTCTATACTTTTGAGAATATGGGCGTTTAACTCCTGCTTCGTAAAAGGCAAAGGATTAGTGCCCGTACTTGTTGAGTTCTCCGAAACAGATGCTACTACAACGATGGCTGGCATTTGAATCCTAGCCAGTCGTCATTCAAATTCCCCTATGGTTGGTCCCCCGGGATTTGTTTTAGGCGTTCTCAAGGCCTGCAAGAGATGGCGTGCATAGTGACTTGCATAGCGCGAACTCATCCTCTGACCGGTTATCTGACTACAAGTTCAGCGCGAAGTCGACCTTCGTGTGAAAGTCTACTTAGTACTTGCTTGGTCAGAATGAATCGCGAACACGATTAGCCTCTCTCCCAGTGGTTTGGTTCGACCCCCACGGGTTTCCTTACCATGGCGTTACGCCTATCACATCATACGGCCTCCCATTGAATTAGTGCTAAGTCTTGGTCCCACGGCGTAGCGCTCACAAGAGGTGAGAAAGATGATCACGAGGATTTCGCGATCCTGTGTACCTACCAGCGACGAGCACCGATAGATATTCTGAGCGATATCCTGGCAAGGATCTCGAGGTAAACTATAGGTGATGCATGGGGCAGAAGTTTACGAGACAGATCACCCTATGACGCAAGTCGCACCCAGGGTGCTTGTGTAACTATCAGATGAACTACGCCTTACCCTGCCAGTGAGATCTCGGTGTGACTCACCACGATCTCGGGATTGAGGCTCGTGAAAAGGGAATGTGATCTCCATGCAGGGAGAGCCAGGGAAATCCCAGCAGATATAGGTACCCTGGTATGCTTCGGTACTCATCCGGAACTTATGCTGAACCATCCTCCTTGGAGAAAAGTATGTGTGTAGCCGTTGCTTATCTTTTTTAATATCTCTAGCTTTAGCAACGGTAAATTGTACCTGACAAAGATACATTCACCGCCGGAGTAAGCAAGTAGAGTAACACATAAGCATAGCCCCAGTCTCATCCGCAGGAAGTATCGAAACTATATTGCTCGTGCTTTTCTTCTTGCTCACCGACATAAAGTTCACGTGTAGTATGATGTGCTACGAGTCTGCCATCCAACTTTAGAGATCTTTATACGGTGTGTCTTGATTCCATGTGTTGCCACCGGGGACCCTGCAGGATTAGTGTTCGTATGTATTTGGTCGGTGGGAGTCGGAGGGTGTCTTGGTTACCCGATGGATGGAATAAAGAATTGAACCTCACCAGCCGCCCACCCAGTTTTTATGAGCGGCGAACTGAGGTGAGGGTGTATAAGTAGCCACTATCGTCTCTCCGTGGCTGTTGTAGATTTCGTCATAGGTTATTCTTCCTGCAAAGGTGTGTATACCACTATTCTGCCTTCTGGGTGATCTAGGCAATTATATATAGCTGAATCTATCAAATTGGATTATTTTCTGCAGGCCTGCGCGATATCTCTGTTCAGAATTACTTGGTATTTGAGAGAAGGCAAACGTCACATGTGCCTCTTGGGTCTTCTTATCCACCCTTGCCTTCCACATCAGATATTACTTTGGGCTTCATAAAGAAAGCAGAGACACTGCTTCCGGTTGCAAGCAGTCAATCTGCTATACCTAATCACTCATACTCCACCAATCGTCAAAAGTCCAATACACTTCACCTCTAGTGAACAGCAAGCAGAGCATTCACACAGAGGAGGCGAGCCTTGGTATTGAAACCCAGCGCCCTCAAGGCCCAGTCCTGCTTTATCAAATTACCGAAATAAGGAATTACCAGCAGGGACATTGATTCCCCACAATAGAACAAGTACGTATACCACAAAGTGAGGGATCCTGTTCACATTCTGTTATTCAGGATGGTATTCTTAGGGTTGAGGTATTAGAACCGCGAGAGTGGCTGACCCATTGAACAGGATACCAAGACAAGAAGAGTGTGGCACTGCGCAGTACATCTAGTCTAACCCCACGTCTAGAAGATCATCAACGGAAAGATTCAGAGGTGCATCAAGAAAGCGTTACGCTCTTGTCTGGCTTAGCCAGGTTAATCGCCGAGAAGTACGATTCAAAGATATTATTATACGACCAGCGAATTTATCGACTCCAACCACACATATAGAGAGCCCATTTCCTTCATTCAAGGGCATTGTGTTTAGGTTCCTTGTTGTTTGAAGTGCGCTGTACTTGCCACTGTTGATCTCTCTTCTGCAGTACTTTCGTACTTTTGACCCCCGGCTTGTTATTCGGTCTATTGGAGACGCGTGAAAAGAAGCGACCGGCAAACGTGCCGGATCACCTCCAATAATAGAAGCCCTCCCCAACTTGAGACTTACAGGGAGTGACTTTGACTTCTTTTTTTACCCTGGAATCGGGACGAGGATCGCTTCCTATCACATTCTCTTTGTCCGGGGCCCCGGTTCGCGTGGGCCGCCAGGCGCGTTTTGGATTGCCTGAAATTCCAGTCAAGCTACTACCCCTTTCCTCTCCAGTGACTCTGCATTCGACTTTTTATTGTTCTTTACTTGTTGTGAATTGTTAGTCTATCTTCTGGGCTTGTGTTGGGAGTAATTTGATATTTGGCGCTTTCATTGCTTTTTATTTCTATCTATCGTTTTATTATCTTCCTTTGAACTAGTTCCTCTGTGGAAGTAACTATTTCGTCACTGTTTCCTCTTTTACTCTTTTTTATATACACCAGAATTTCCTTTTTCTTCAATTTCTTCAGTCAATTTCTTCAGCTTATAAGGGCTTTTCTTTTCCGTTTGGAACTGATCTGCAGCAGAGTCCTGAGACGTTTTATTTTTTCCAGGGACTATCTATACTCTGTGTGGAGACTCGACTGAAGGCGTGTTGCATCTAATTACGCCGCTTTCTCGCTGTCTGCGCTCGAATACCGCACATCCTTTTCACTTCCAGCTGTGGAGCGGAAGAAGTTGCAAGGATGAAGCTAGAAGTGGACGATGCGCTTCAAAAGGGTGTAACCCTCTTGGGTCATGACAAGCCCGACCTCCTCAGAAACATGCCTATGGAAATCATGTTTATGATCCTCTCTCATTTGAATATTTCATCGTTGGTTTCTTTTGGTGAAACTTCACGTGCGAATTATATATACCATACGCTATGTCTGAAGCGTCTTCATATCGCCGTTTTCCAAAAGCGGCTCCATACAACTATTGCATTCATCGAGGCTACCTCAAGCACGACCGAACACTCTGGACGATGGGGTATAGATTCTGAACACCAAGTGTCTATCGTTCTGCCCCGAAGCAATAGGGGGAAAGAGGTCGTTGGGCATAGGTCGCCATTGAGGGGCTCGCGATGGTCTGCGGAGACAAGAAGGCGAAACTGGGAGCGAGATGAGGAAAATCCACCATCTCTGAATCATACAATCCTGTCACAGAATGAGGTCTTCGCAAATCTTCTGAGTCGATATGGTAGAAGTCTTCATGATCTTGAGTTTATGGCATATGATTTGGATGCTAGGGGTGCTGTTGCACTCGCAACTCATTGCAAGTGGAAACTTCGCCATCTGGCTCTGAGATTTGAACATCCGTACATTCGGGACGCCATTTTGTCTCGAGGATATTGGATGAAACCTGCCCCAAGCAGCACGGCTTGGAATGCGTTAATCGGCAGTGGCAGCTATGAGAAGGACATGGGACCGACAGGCCTAGAGAGTCTGGTGTTGGAGAGAGCCGGGATCACAGCCTGGCAGCTGCAAATGCTCGTGAAAAGAAACCCAAGACTGAAAGATCTGCGACTGAGAACATGCAAGGCCATCCAACTGGAGTTTTTGAATTGGCTAGGAGGGATTGAGAAAGACCCCAACGAGGGACCTAACAACGACTCAGAAGATGCCCCTGGTTCATCGCTACAAGTGCTGTGGCTCGAGAACTCTGATGAAATATCTGCGGAGAGAATAGATGCGAGTGAGAAAGTAGTCGGCCTTGAATGGATGGTAGGGATGAAGAGTTTGAAGGTATGTTCGCTTGCTCAATCTATGCTTTCGATAATCAGAAGAGAGTCCTGACTCCATCCCATAGTCCCTGTCTTTTCGTGATTGTCGACGAATAAACGCCGACATCATTGAGAAGGCAAACAAGGAAATCTGGCATATCCCCGAGGTCTTCTTACCCTATCCCCTTGGGCCGTCCGGAGGTGGTGAGGGAACTATCGAAGTTGACCCTGCTTATATGTGATGACTTGGTGAGACTGATTGGTTCACATGCCGAGGAATATGAATCCTGGGACTTTCCTACTTATTTCGTTGTCTTCTGGTACTATCCTCTTCCTCTCTTGTTTTAAAATTGGATGAGTTGGGGTATTTGATAATGAGACCATGCCATGTTATTATGTATATTAATTAGTATTCTATGGCTCGATTTTTGAAGTCAGAGTATCAATATTCACTTGAACCTTTTGATTGCATATTTGTATGTTCCAGGAATGTGTGGTCAATTGTATGTTTAGTGACATACGGTGCTGAAGGAGCATACCGCTGTGTGAGATTATTCACAACAGTGATAAAGATTCACATTAGCTGTCTAATATAGTAGTAGACAGTATCTTGCCTTCAGTCTGAGATGGAAGAAGTGGTATATGCGTCCAATCCTATAGGATAAAGCCTGAATGGACATCTTAAAGTCAGGTCTTTGATAAAGGCGTTGTTTTCACTATACCCCTGCAGAGTTCCATATTGCCATATGGTGCTGGCGGACGCCGTCAGTCATAACATTGGGACTTGCCTGGGCATCAGTGTTGAAGCAGGCCCTTCACTATTTTAACCTCACCCCAGCCGCGCAAACACTCCCTCTCTCCTCATCACACACCTCCAACTGCGGCTTGCTCTGCGGGTCAACTCATCCTGCGGCTTGAATTCGCGGCTTGAAAAGAATACACCTACAGAAGCACTGAAAAAAACCTCATCATGCCTTTCCCACACAGATTTCTTCATCATCCTTTTGGCTTTTTGCCTCGCAGACAACCATCTGAAGAACACAACCATCAGAACGCGTATCCTGACTTCCCCAATCCAAACATCAATCAGGGCCAGGAGCGTTTCTACGCACGCTATCAAGCGCACGTCCGTAGAGAGCCCGAGTCTCCTTCTCCTGAACCTCGTTCTCCTGCCACCGACCTGGCTGCTTTTCGTTACCCTGAATCACTTGCCCCTTTCGAATCCCCTGAATCTGGACCGGTCAACTTGAGTCCAGAAGATCGGTTGCTAGCTCTTGTGACCGGCCCTGAACGTGCTCGTGACTCTGAAATCGCAGGTCCTCACCCGTTTCCTGAACGGCCTGACAACATGATTGGACCCAATCCTCAGGGTGTCCCGTACACCATCAGCTCTGAAGAATGGTCTCTTGCTTCCAACTCTTCCAAGGATTCCCAGGGCGTTGGTGACATTCCTGAGGGACAGCTGTCTGCTAGACTGAAGAGCGTGGTCTCAGTTTACTCGACGGTCTATGCTGTAGCTAAGACTGCTTTCACGATTTTCGAGAACTATGGAGTCGAAGTAAGTTAAGCCCCAAGTGGAGACGCGTCTTTGATACCGAGAACTGACACGGCATAGCTTGATGATACTCCTGCCGGTATCAAATTTCATATTGAACGTGCTGAAGCTGAAGTCACCAGCAACTCTATTCCTACCTTGATCAAGACCATCGAAGACTGCTATTATGTCCTGTACGCTCGCCTTGCTATCGAAATGGGCAACGTCCAGCTCTGTGCTTCCTTCAACTTGGACATCCGTCGTCTGTCTGGCCGAGACACCATGACACTTCCTGAGCCTAGTCATCTTTACCTCATCTTGCGTGCATGCAAGGAAGTGCTTGAAGCACCGGAAGTTTGCAAAGTCCTCGATGCTGAAATCGTCAAGCAGCATCAGGAAGAATTCGTCCGTCGTGCCATGGCCGAGTTCGAGCAAAAAGAACACACTGCCAACGACTTGCTAGGCTACCGTCGCTACATGACTAGCCTGATCGAACAGGAAGATTCTGAATTCAGCAGAACCTGGCGTGGACTGAACCCCGTCTACCAGATGGCCCCAGGCGAAATCCTTGCCATGCTATCCGAGAAATATCTCTCTGTCGAGCCCGTCAAGAAAAACAGCACCCTCGCCACAAGGGACCTCCCGTTTATCGACCGCGAGCGTGTCAACCCCGACGCATGGGAGCGGGAAATAATCTTGGACAACAGACAGGCCACCTGGGCCAAACTCGAAGGGAAGAGTGTCGGAGAGATGCGTCGCGAGGACGAGCGGCGCCCGCTCCTTGACTATGTCAAGGAGTGCAAGTGCATCTGCTTCTCGTTCTGCTCCTGCGCGACGGAGTGCACCAACAACGTTGAGCGTCTCTGTCCATGCGCTGAGCGCATGATGCGCATCCTCCTGGCCGAAGGCTCCTCGCCCAGGGACCAGGCGTTCGGGCAACGGTGCGCCGACTTGGCCGCCCTCGTTTTCGAGGGTCTGGCCTCCGTCTACCGGGGAGCCCATGGTTCAGAAATGGCCATGGAGCTCAAGTCGGCGCTGGACCTCTTCAAAAGAGAGGTCCTCAACGAGCGCCTGGCTGCCCTGGGGGCCAGAGAGTAGATGTCGCCGGGGTGGGAAGGAGGAGGGGGAGGGGGAGGGGGAGGGGGAAATCTGGGAAAAAAGAAAATATTAAAATAAAAAAAAAAAAATATCTTCAGCATGTGGTTGTTGGAGACCGATTGACCCTGTCGAGACGGGGGAACTGGCCCTAAGCTGGCTCCCCCAGTGGTAGATAGATCTTGGTCCAGACCGAAACAGGCTACATTTGTTAAAACCATCCAGTGCATCCTCGTAAGGCTCCCGTATGTATCGAGTGAGTATTGCTCTTATCGACGATAAATAAACCGGAGGATGATCGAAGTGAGATGAGCAAGGCAGGGTTGGTGGTGAAGCTGGTGGCTCACCGAGAAGGCATGTAGTTAGTTAGTTGACGTTCTCGGCCGTCTAAGTAATACTAGTAACACCTGACGAGTCACGCACGCCTCGGTGCTCGAGCCTCGTGTACGGCTTCTTCTCAGCTCCAAGGGGCGGAATCATCAGCGTTATATTATCGTCAGCATCTCCGCCGTCCTTCTTCCACCGACCTTCTTTGTTTCAGAATGCTATGAGCCCCGCCTATCGTGCGCCCGGGGTGCACTCTGAGCGGGCATGCTTGTCGAGTCCATATTGTCTTCTCCGGCCCCGCGAACCATCTTCGCCCGGAGTCCGCTGCGGATAAAGTCTTGGATATCAGCAGCATCCGTGCGACGCTATAGTGCCGTGCCTTCGTACGGCACTACAACGCCGATTCCAGAGAATTCGCCCGATTTGCTTTTTACCTCTCCCTATCGATTCGAGACGGGATATGCCCTCTCCCCCAAACGTCCTTCACGACCGTTTCCGCCGCCATTCCTGTCTCCACCGTCGACATCCTTCTCCGATCCTCTAACAACTCACTTTCGAGGGCAGGATAGGCGATTAACCCTCAAGGGGGATCTGATCAGAGGCTTAACAAACGGGGATGATGCCGTCCTGGTTGCCGAGAACTTCATTGGAGTCAATGACGGGGTAGGAGCCTGGGCGACGAGGCCCCATGGGCATGCAGCGTACGGCACCCGCATGATTCTGCTATGGAATATTGACACTGACGACGGGATGTAGGTTATGGTCCAGACTCATCTTGCACTTTTGGGCTCTTGAGGTTGAGCGCGGGTCCAAGATCGCTGCTGAACCGGATCCTGTCGAATATCTACAGCGAGCCTACGAGGAGACGGTCGAAGCCACCACAAAACCCAACGAATGGGTAGGAACAACTACCACCGTGACCGCGCTTTTACATCACACCGAAGACCCAGACCCTAAGCCGATACTATACGTGACCAACCTGGGAGACTCACAAGTTCTTGTGATTCGTCCAGGTGAGCAGCAGCCCATATTCAAGACCACAGAACAATGGCACTGGTTCGATTGTCCTTTGCAGTTGGGTACGAACAGTAAAGATACTCCGCGCAAAGACGCGGTTCTGTCAAAAGTCGAGCTGCAGGAAAACGATATTGTGGTTGCAGTCTCCGATGGAGTCATTGATAATCTCTGGGAGCACGAAATCGTGTCGACTATCCTGAAAGCCGTAGAGAGATGGGAAGCAGGTGAAGGTGGAGAAGCGCAAGGTGACCGGACTGCTGGAGCGGGCGGTGGCATGGTCTACGCGGCTAGGGAGCTGCTGAAGGCCGCACATACAATCGCGCAAGACCCTTTCGCAGAAAGCCCCTATATGGAAAAGGCTATAGAGGAGGGTCTTACCATCGAAGGAGGTGCGTACTCATGAATCATCCATTGTTTTTCTATTCTGACTGCTGGCAGGGAAAATGGATGATATCAGTGTCGTGACGGCGCTTTGCAAGAAGCGTCCAGGCTGATTAGTGAAAGATGTGTGAAGCTTCCCATGTCTTGGGAAGAAGAATATCTATACCTTCAATAGGCTAGCAACACTGGGTTGCCAAGCAGTCAGGAAACGATTGTTATCACTTGGGCTGGAGTCGCCGTTCTGCTTGTGACCATCATCTGCGGTCGCCGAACCCGCAACAGGAAATTGTATCGAGTCTTCCGAGCACGAAGAACGCCGCTTTTGTCTAAAAAACCCACCTTTCCGAATACCCTGAAAGCTGCGTACGAACAGTAATTACATTCAGTTCCCTTATCAGGATTCAGATAATGACAATGCGACCTCGGGTTTGCGCGCCGGAATCATCCTGAAAGGGCAGAAACCCTCATCACATCCGACCTCAGAAACACACCTACACTCAGTCAAAGGGCCAAATCCCTGTCTCGGGACCTGGAACAAGAATATTATGACTAGCGCAAGGATATGCGCTTCAAAGGCCAATGCACAGAACTTGTGTACTTTACACTCAATACCTGTATCATAATAACAGGCGGCGGGGATAGGGGGCGCATTGAAGGGATAGATAAGGATACATATAGAATCTCTTAATGATTATCTTCTATAGATTCTGGTACGACTTGGCTTCCGCATTATACTTGATTTCGTATCGAACAAGTAATATGTATCTGATTCTTATCGCGTGATTCCTACATATGTACAGGTTTGACTCCAGCCAAATTCGTGCACAGACCACACTTAAAGCGCGGCGCGCGGGAAAGCAAACCTTTTGCGGAGCCGGCCAAAAAAAGTTTCGGCGGCAGCAGCAACTTCAACGTGCTCGTCCTGCCAGATTCTCTCACCTTTCATTTTATCCCTCTTCCTGTTGTCTGACGAGCTAATTCGTCAGCTGCGATCAATATGAGGGCCAAGCGGTCGAAGAAGTATCGCAAGCTCATGCACCAGTATGAGCTTACTTTCGGCTTCCGCGAGCCGTATCAAGTGCTGGGTACGTTCATCTGGGAGCTTTGAGGAAAAGCCATGGAAAGTCGGATAATTCTGTTCATATTTACTGACTTTGAACATAAAGTGGACTCGAATTTCCTTCGTGCAGTGCACTCTTTCAAGATGGATCTCATCCCGGCCCTCGAGCGAACGGTGCAAGGGAAAGTCAAGCCTCGTACGTATATCTTTCTTCAGGAGCACTCTCCCGAATTCAGTACGGATATAGATGCTAACGGTATATTTCCTTGCGACTGCAGTTCTGACGAAATGTTCTCTGGCCGCTATCATGGCCGACTCCCCAACCAACTCGAGGACCGACAAGCCCATCCGTCCCGCGCATCTCCCTCCGCCCACAGTCCTCCCTCTCCGCCACTGCTCTCACAACCCTGAATCTACTCCCATCGACGAAGTCGACTGTCTCATGTCTCTTCTTTCGCCTAGTCCGGATGCCAAAAAGAACAAAGAACACTACATCCTAGCGACCTCAGATCCTCCTACGCCGCACGAAGACAAAGATGCCGCCAATTCGAAGAAGAGAAAGAGGGTAGACCCTAGCCAAGATCCTTTGCGGCGTGCCCAGTCTCTTCGTTCTGCAGCGCGCGCTATTCCTGGTGTCCCGATCATCTACGTTAAGCGTTCGGTGGTGATCTTGGAGCCTATGAGCACGTCGTCAGAGCACGTGAGAGACGGCGTTGAGAGGGATAAGTTCAAGGTTGGAATTCAGGCTACAGCGACGGGAAAGAGGAAACGAGAAGAGGAGGAGGAGGCGCAGAAGAAGGAGCGCGGATTGAAGAGGGCCAAGGGTCCGAACCCGTTGAGTGTGAAGAAGCCGAAGAAGGCAAAGGAAGACCCGTCGAAGCAGGGTCTGAAGCAGAAGAAGAGGAATGAGCAATCCAAGAACGGGGCTCCGGGAGAAGCTAATCACAATGGTGACGGCGAAGAGAGAAGAGAGGATGGCGAAGGCGCACACAAGAAGCGCAAGAGGCGGCACAAGAGCGCGAAAACCAGCGGTGATCAACCTGGAGGACCTGAAAAGGCTGAGGCGGCCGCTCCCGCTGAAGCAACGGAATGATTCTGTTTAATACCGGCTTGGCTGCATCCATTTATCTAGACGGCGTTTCGGTGGAAACTTTTCATCTTGGGCATTAATGTTTCGGTCGTGTGATCACCTCTTCAATATCACTTCGGCCATAAAAGTACTGTACATACATACTAAGAGTGGAATTCATTCACCTTCGATGATAACATGAGTGGAATCTTGGTGTGCATCCTCCTCTATCCCTCCAATAGAGGCACCTTCTCGCCCCTGTGTAATATTCGAAACTTCCTTTCCAAAAGAGAGACCATCTGAGATAACGCCTCGGAGCTCCAACCCATCAATGCGGTAATATACATACATATCCTGCTCCGTTCAGCAACCTCAAGTCCCAATCAACCAATCCATCAATCAATCAATCACTGCTTCGTCTCCGCGCTTCCCGTCGCCGCACTCGTCGTATCTGCAGGAGCAACCACACCTTCCCTCACTCTCTCTTCAGCCCAAATCTGCTCAATCCGCTTTCTATTCTCACGGGCCTTGTCGCGATTCCGTTTCGCGCGCTCATAACGCTCCGCACCTAGGCATTTGTTCACTTGAACTTTGATATCGCTGCACTGACCCATGGCTTTCCAGAGGAATCCTCGCGCGTGGCACTCGTCGAGCATGGTCATGATTTCTTCGCAGTCTGGGGGGACAAATTGGTTAGTCAGTCAGCATGGTTGATGGTTGATAACTAGTTGGAGTTTTATGTGTATTTAATAATACACAAATCAAATGACAAGGGAGATGGGTTGGGGAAGACGTACTGGCATTTTCGGGGGTGTGTAGATGAGAATGCATTTTCGGGATATGGCGTTCAACGTTCGCCTTTTTTCTCTGTTCTGGATGGGATGGAGATGAGAATGGGTGCGAGATTGTTGGTAGAAGAGATTGGAGAGGAAGAAGAGAGTCGTGATAGAAATCGAATTACGGGTATCGATTGATGTTGTGAAATGTGTCCTGGTTGATTGATGGATTGATTGATTGATATGATTCTATCTTCAGTTCTCTCTCTCTCTCTCTCCGCTCGTCGTTCTGGTTCCGCCGCGGGATTTGGCTGACCTCCGAGAGGCCGGGGGCGGTCGATCGATCGGGCTGTCCAAAACTAACTTAGCGCCTAGTCTACTGTATTCTGCCGGGCGGAAACGAGGTGTCGAACCACAGAAGAAAATTATTATTGTCGGTGAAACAAGAAAGAGGCGTCGCAAGAAACGCAATTTTGTTTCTTGTTCTGTTTCACTGTTTTATTTACTCTTCCTTATAGGAAACAGAGGTCGTCTACTTGTTTTCACTTGGAGGGATAGCGGCTATACTAGACGAAAGGGTCGAGAAGTCTGCAAAGAAGTTTTTTTTTGCCGGGTCCCCCAGCCCCGCCGTTATCGAGACCCGTTTATCTAGGCGGCGCGTGCGAAAAAAGGGAAAAAAAAAGTTATTTACTCTTTCTTCAGTTTGCGGGACATCAACAGGACACCAGTAGTGTGCAGCCATGTCGATGATTACGGCCACCTCCTGGGTGCGGCGCGGAGTCGCTGCCCAGTTCCCGACCAAATATGAGATCGACGAGGAGGAGATTGGTCGGATATCGAAGCTCGCGAAGATGCAGCTCGAGGAGGCCCAAGGTGACTTGAAGGCTGCGCAAGAGGAGGCTCAGGGTGAGGGTGCGACGGAGGGAAAGGAGACGGGGGATGACGATGTCATGGAAGATGATGCGGAGAAGGATGAGAAGTCGAAAAAAGAGTAGGTGGTGATCTATTCTCTGAGCTGTGAATAGACGAAGTCATGGGATAGGAAAGGAGCTAACTAGGATATTGCTTTAGTCATGACGATGATGATGATGACCTGAAGGAGTATGATCTCGATCACTATGACAGCGATCCTGTGGATGAGGACGGTGAGGAGATCACAATGTTCGGCAATGTCAAGTCATTGGCGTACCACAAGCCCCACGAGAAAGACCCTTACTTGGTTATCCCAGAGGGCGAAGACGAGGAGGAGCGGGAGGAGCTGCAGATTCTGCCTACGGATAACTTGCTTCTGGCCGCCAAGGTGGAGGATGAAGTGGCTCATCTGGAGGTGTATGTGTACGAGGACGAGGCCGACAATCTCTACGTCCACCACGATGTCATGCTTCCTGCCATCCCGCTCTGCGTTGAATGGCTCGACTTTCCCGTTGGACGGGGCACGGAAGGCCGCAGCACAGGCAACTTCGTCGCTGTTGGAACGATGGAGCCGGATATCGAGATCTGGGATCTTGACATTGTCGACTGCATGTACCCCAATGCTATTCTGGGCCAAGGTGGATCGGAAAACAGTGAACTGAAGAAGCCCAAAAAGAAGAAGAAGACCAAGGCAAACGACGAGTTCCACGTTGATTCCGTGCTGGCTCTGGCTGCCAACCGTCAGCACCGCAATCTGCTGGCTTCCGCATCGGCCGACAAGACCGTCAAGCTCTGGGACCTGAATACGGCCAAGTGCGCCAAGTCGTACACCCACCACACGGACAAGGTCTGCGCACTTGACTGGCATCCCCAGGAATCGACTGTCCTTTTGAGCGGCAGTTACGACCGAACCATTGTGGCTGCTGATATGCGAGCACCTGAGGCTCAGGGCGCACGATGGGGAGTCGAGTCGGACGTCGAAACTGTGCGATGGGACCTACACGACCCCAACTTCTTCTACGTCACAACGGACGGAGGAATGGTTTACCGCTACGATATCCGAAACGCGCCTGCGACCCCTCAGCAGTCCAAGGCACAGTGGTCGCTCCAGGCACACGACTCGTCTGTGTCGTCATTTGACATCAACCCCACGATTCCCGGATTCCTCGTGACAGGATCGACCGACAAGGAAGTCAAGCTTTGGAACGTTGAGAACAACAAGCCCAGCATGGTGGTATCGCGGAAACTGGACGTCGGCAAGGTCTTCTCGACCACGTTCGCGCCCGACCAGGAGGTGAGCTTCCGATTGGCCGTGGCCGGCAGCAAGGGCACTGTCCAGATCTGGGACACGTCGACCAACGGCGCGGTGCGTCGGGCGTTTGTGGGACGCATGCCGTCCTTGGAGGGCGAGGTGAAGGAGCGGATGATCGGTCTCAACCAGGACGACAGCGATTCCGACGACGACGAGGAACCCGCGGGGGAGGATGCGGGACCGGGTGGAGAGCAGGACGGATGGGAATCAATGGAAGAGGATTAAAAAGAATATATACATAAAAAACAGAAAAAGGAAGGACACCAAAACCAAGAAAAAGGAAGGAAGGACAAACAAAATGGGATGGTTAACTAGCATTTTGAGATACCCGGTTCTGTTCGGTCAAAACACACAAAGTCTGTGGTTGTAGTAGTCAGTATGGTGAGCCGTTGAAGAAGTCGTGGATGAGTAAATTTTCGCATGGACAAATAATGGCATATATGGTATTTTACATTTCATCATACTTTAGTTCAACAGAGCCATCATTTATGAGTAGTATAGGTAAATAGGTATCATCTCTTTTATCTGAGTTTCTTCCACAATTCGTATGAAATACCTCAGAGTAGATCTCTGGAATCGTACTAGTAGTAGGGGAAAGAAAAAAAAAAGCCAAATATCAAGAATCTCATTCTCCTATCGCGTGTCATATTATAGGGAATGGCTTAAAATGAATCAATATTACATAGGTAGTCTACTCTCGTCATCTCTTACCCGAAGAAGCAGCCCAATGGATCTATGTAGATAATTTGTTATTATGTATCTCACATAGTTGAACTGCACGCGATCGCGCCATGTGGTTCCCCGACATGATCGGTCCACGAGGTCGTCTCGCAGGAATGGCACCTAGAGTAGACTAATAGAGAGTATAACTATGTACATATCTCGGGGTTTTAGATTGACGTCAATTGGAATTTGTACAGTACGTAGAAGGAAATAATTCGAGCGGAAAGGGAGTGCCGCGTTGGATGGAGAATCTATTCCTGGATTACTTGAGTAGGTATTTAGTCGCAAAATTTAACCAGAGCATGATGTTATGGTCCTTACAAGTGAGTTCCATTACTCCGGCGTAGGGAATAACTACATGGATGATCTAGAGTAGAGTAACTATGATTTATGCAGTATAGAGAGAGAGAGAGAGATAACGAGATGGTTTAACGTTTCTCCGCAGGGTCGCATCTGAAACAAAGCGGAGATGAGATCGCGAGAAAGAGGGCCTGGTGGATGAGACGGAGCCCGGTCTTTTCTCCGTTGGTCCATTGCAGATCGCATCGAGGGGGTAGTGATACCCGCGACTCGAGGGAGCGCAAGGACCAGATGGACTCGATAGGAGAATTAAATTAAGTGATTGCGCACGTCACCTCTGAAACAGTGCAGGGTTCAAGGTGATGATGGATGGAGTAAATTTAGAAAGGATGAAGTTATGGTAGAATGTCCTATGGGTATACTAATAATCGACCAGAGTCGAGTACCTCGGTAAGTACTAAGTACGGAGTAGTATCGATCATGCGTGAAGTGTTCTCTCTTCCTGCAGAAGTCGAGTCAGTTGAATCGAAACAGAGCTGTTGTTTGATGGCGGGCGCACATGGCTGCATTCAAAGGCTGCCGCGTGCCCCTGGCTGTGTGCCTGGCTGGGCGCCACTACGACTGACTACACACACCGGCGTGCCAGCATCCGGGCTGGTTCCTGGCATTATTGGTTGCAGAAGGGGGAAACGTAGCATTAGTGACAGGTCAATGGTTGCCTGTGACCAGGATCATGTAGGCTAACTGGTAACTAAGTACTGTAGTAAGTATGGTACTCTCTCCCGGCTGGTAATAATAATAATTAATACCTGCAAGGTCACTGTGGGTTGCACAGGGCGCTTTAAAACAAAGCAGCTAGCTAGACGGATGGATCATAATACCATAGTGAGTGAGGTAACTACTAGGGTAACTAGGGCAAAGATGAAAAATGATGCAAGACAAGGCAAAAAGAAAAAAAGAAGAAAAAAAGAAAAAAGGCCTCATCAGAACCAGAGGTTCACCTTCTTTGCCCCCAACTCTCAACTCCACTGCAGAATTTGGCTCCGTCGCCCTACGAGCACCTGGAGAAAAAAGAGTGGCCCTGACCCTCAGCACGACTCACGGACCGGCTGGTCTAGTCCCTAGGTTCCTTAGATGCTCCCCCATCCCGGTGGTGGCGCCTGTGCCATGGCCCAGTGGTCCCTGGGATGATATCCTTCTTCGCCTTCATCTTTTCTGCTCCCTCGCTTCCTCTCCCTTCCACCCACCCCACCGTGCCCGAGGATTCCCTCCCTCTCTTCCTCGCTGTCCCGGGTGTCGAGATCTCTTCGCGGCCTTGTACTGTACATTCATTCTCTCTGGCGCGTCCTGGTTGTCCGCTCCTTCTCTATCTATCTATCTAACTATCTATCTATCATCCCTGATTCATTCCTTCGCCTTCTCTAGCAGAAGAGCGCTTGTCCATCCCACCAGTGCTGAGCAACTGGGTATTCCGGAGGCAAAAAAAGAAACAAAACTCAAAAAACCATTCCTTCAGAAAGAAAAAGAAAGAGAAAAACACTACTGCGATTCTCTTTGCAGGGCCGCCTGTTTCCTCAACAGTGCGACAGAAGAACAGACACATCGCCAACGTCGATCGAAGACGATAAGCCGATAAGCGACATTTCGATCGATTTGCTCTCCCAGATCAGTGATCTAGGAACACAGCATCCGAAGCTGGTCTCTACCCGACGCAGATTATCTATATTCAACCAGCATCATGAGTTCTTTGACCAGAGCATTCACCAAGCGCAACAAGCGCCCTGAGGTGTCTGCGCCGATGCCCTACCGCGAAGGCATTCCTCTGCCCAAGTCCGCGAGCGTTCGCCGCCCCAAGATTTCAGGACCCATGAACTTGATCTCGACGACCAACATGCTGGCCTATAATGCGCCCGACCTGCCGTCCGCGGTCTCGTCTTCGTCTTCCTCGATCCGGTCCGGTGATGAATCGGATGTGGCTCTGACCCCTAACAGCTTCGCATCACCGATTACCTCGCCCAGTATCACGTCAGACGAGACGTCCCCCCTCGGCCCGGAGCCTAACCATCTGACGTCCTACTTTCCAAAGCGGTCCGCGACAGTCAGCAGCACCCCGCGCTCGTCTACCTCGTCGACTTCCGCGGACGCACCCGCCGTGCCCAAGCGCGCGCTCTCCCACACCAAGAGATCCCACCAGGAACTCGCCCGCAAGCGATCGATGTCGCGCATGTCTCCGCCCCCCAACTCGCTGCGTGCCGTCCGCTCCAGCCAGGACTTCTTCCAGCCCATCGACTCTGCGAGTCACCCATTCAGCCGGGAGCTGGAGCAGGTCAACGAAGTGGTGGAGGACTTTGGCGGCAGTCGTGTTGTGCTCGACGAGGAGGAACAGATCCTGTTGAACAAGGGTCTGAAGAAATTCAGCGTGGAGGACTACATCACTGAGATCGAGGAGTTATATGGCAGCATCTTCAACGACCAGTTGGGCCCCGTGAGCAGCAGTGCCTGGCTCTAAGCTTTCCAGGGAGCGCTATGTTAACGTGATGTACGACAACCACTGTACCACATAACGAAATCGAGGGAACTGGTTACTTCCCGAGATGATCGACTTTCCGTTCTTGAGTCGTCTTCCTTCGTACGGGAGACGGCTCCTTCTTTTTCTTTTCGCCTTATTATTCGGATTCGTGTTACATATTGTGACATTATGACGTCCGTGGTGCAGTGACCACGGATCGACTTAGGGATATGGGATATGAACATAGTTTATGGCAGGATGCCTGGGTGGCGATTCTCGGTTTGCTCTTTTGCTGTTCTCTCAAGGGGGTCACTGTATTGTCCTCTGGCATATGGTGACTCACTTGGCTCATGGTTTTTTTCATTCAGACGAGTCCGCTCGATCCGAATATCCTTCGTTATCTGATCATGAGTGTTTCTTTTCTTCCGTTTACGAGCGGGGGTCGTTCATAGCGTGCAGTCCACAATCTGTGGTACATATGGTATTTCCTTCCTTTTCGTTTTATGGCGTCCGTTTTATGGCGTCCGCTAGAATTAACGTATCTACAAATGGATCTCTTTTCTCCCATCCTTGCCTACAGTCCACCAATATCAGCGTGTTAAATGATGTCTTTTTACCTCCACGACGCGTCTGTGCATAGTTCCATATAACCCAACTAGGTAACTTAGGGTTGGATCCATCGTGACCAATGAGCGCTAGACAAGCCCGGCGCACGGACATCAATCAGCCAGTCACGGGCCCCACGGCAGAAAAAAGCTGGTCTTCTTCACCGCCCGTCGATTCTTTTTTCGCTTTTCTCTCCGCCTGCTGTGTTACCCTCCATCCATCGTGGTGCTGACGCTCGTCTGTCTGCTTCCCCTCCGTCACGAAGAGACGCGACCAATATCGATCCGGGCAGACAGACGGGGCTGATTGACAGTCAAGAGTCATCTCTTTCAACTTAATTGAGAAACCGCTCCAGGACACTTCCCTCTCGAGTGGTAGTGTCGTCAGTGTCGTGTGCTCCCTGTGTCGACCATCATAACGCCTCCACGGTCGAGCGTTCAAGAGCGACAAAAGACCACATCCAGCCGATTCTGGACAGGAGCGGTCCTGCCAATGGAAAGATATCAGTCTTGTCCATCGAACACTGCAGAAATATCCTACCGGTCGAGCTGATATGGTATCCCTGGCCCCCGCTTCGGGTAAGCCTGGCACGGCGACCTCGAGACCCCCCTCGAAGATGGTAGTTTCATCCCCCGCGCCAATATTGAAAACATCCAAACCCGTCGATAACGCCGCCACCACGTCTGCGGGGACGAAGCGCAAGATGTCCGAGATGGACCTTTCTTCCTCTCCACCCTCGTCCGCTGCTTCGGATGCCGGCGGCGCTGGGCCTAGCCCGAAGAAGCGTGCAAGGGTCCAGTTTGATTCTGAAGTCAAGACGCGAAGTTTGCCGCCGAATGAAAGTATGAGTGGTTCGGAGCCAGAGAAGAGTGCTGCTGTTGTTCGGGAGGAGGTGCGCAGGGCGATCCAGAGACACCTGTCGGGCGCAGATAGTGAGGCGTATGATCGAATAAAGGAGATCTTTTCGGCCGATCCCAAGAAGATGGAAGAGGATGGGTCCTTGCCTTATGGCTTGCCCTCGCATACGACGTTGAAGCACCATCTGATGGGTTTGCTGTCCAACGTCGCGTCGCTTGATAGGAACTGTACCGGTCTGGTTCATTCAGTGTTGGATAGCGAGTGGCTTGGAAGAGACGAGTCGTATGTCAAACTCTACATTCGATTTCTCGGAAATCTTGCTGCGGCGCAAGGAGGCTATTTGGGCTCCGTGCTCAAGATGCTGGTCGGCTATCTGGGCGAAGGTAAGAGATGCTCCTCCGCCCGTGTAGTTTGTTCTAGCTGACAGCTTCGCGGCACAGTACCCAAAGGCACCGGCAAACTACCAGGCTACCCCCGCGTTAACACCGCCGAAATCTACGCCAGAGTCCATATGGCACTCCGCTACATCATGAACTTGATCCCTGCTGGAAGTGGCGCCCTGTCACCCATCCTCTCCATGCAGTTTCCCTTTGACACCGACTCCGTCAAGGCCAACGTCGCCTACACCAGGAATCTCATCAAGGTCATCGAGTATACGCCCGAACTGCAGGCAGATATCCTCGCTCTCGTCACAGAGAAGCTCGTAAAGATCGATGTGCAGATTCAAGTCGATATGGAAGACATTGAAGATGAGGCTGGAGAAGACCTAGTGCAGGATATCGCCTCGCCGGAACGGATCGCTCTGGCCGATGACGACTCGGACGCAGAGTCTGTTGCGAGCGATGATTCAATCGACGTCGACATGCGCCAGTTAAAGGCTGTCAAGGACAAGATTCACAAGCTCGACTGCATGATCGACACGCTATTCGAGTACTATGCTCCGCCTTTCACTTCGGGTTCCCTGGATGACAAAGAGAACGCCCTTGATCTCCTTCTGAGCCATTTCCAGAGCATCATCCTTCCTACGTACCGCTCTCGTCATTCCCAGTTCCTCCTCTTCCATTTCTCACAATCTTCCCCTATCCTTGTTGACCGCTTCGCCACTACTTGCATCCAACTCATCTTCAACAAGCTACAGCCGGGTATCACACGCCAGTCTGCGGCGGCATACCTCGCAAGCTTCGTCGCACGAGGTGCTCATGTCTCCAGCGAGGTGGTGCGCGATGTGTTTGACCTTCTGGGCACGCATCTGAACAATCTACGTTCTGAGTACGAGGAGGCTTGCCGTGGTCCCGATCTTCGACGGTATGGCCCGTTCTATTCCACTGCGCAGGCATTGCTCTACATCTTCTGCTTCCGCTGGCGTGATCTTACGACGGCTGCGCTCGAGAGTGACGATGCCAGCAATCTGGATGACATCGATCTGGAGGATGTTTCCTTCCCGATGTCTATCAAGGAGATCCTCCATCAGACCATCTACTCGAAGCTGAATCCGCTAAAGGTGTGCTCTCCCGCCATTGTGTCCGAGTTCGCTCGCATTGCACACCATCTTCGCTTCCTTTATGTCTTCCCGCTCCTGGAGACGAACAAGAGACTCCGTATCTCTTCGTTCCGCAGCATCTCAGCCATGGCCGATCCCCGCTTCAGCCAGATTGAGCGGGAGACCCGAGCTGGTGATGACGGTGGCTACCAGCTAGATGCCTACTTCCCGTTTGATCCCTACCAGCTCCCGCGAAGCCGGCGGTGGTTGGAGAACGATTATGTCGAGTGGCGCGGCATCCCTGGAGTCGATGACCGCGACGATGACTCGGACAGCGAAGCGGATGAAGGTGAGGAGGATCATGACGACGTCGTCAGCACTGATGGCGAGGATGACTGAAATGTCATCCCATCAGCAGTTCCAAGTACTCTGTTATTTTATCTATTCAACGAGTGGCCAGCGAATGCCTGGAAAAAGTCTGGTATCTTTCAAGCTTTTGTTTGTTTCGTGATTATTATTTAGCGCGGCGCCTGGAGCGATCATCTTCACACAACCTATGGCATGTGTTGAAATGTTTCCACTTTCTCTTGTTACATTACGACCCGATGGATAGTTACATATCTATCCTGATCTGGATGAAGATGTGAAAAAAGTGCAATATTGTAGGTAGAAAAAAATGTTAAAATTTATGGATCCAAAATACATCTCCTAGTAAACATTATCAAATTACCCCGTCGAACAACATCCTCAGCAGTATAACCTCAATCAAATCGACATACCGAGGAAGCCCTCGCTTTCTATTATATGTGCAGTATTTCTGGTCTTAGAGAATAGTTTATCAATTTAATACACAAGTCATCAAAAAAAAAATCAAACTGCGCTTATTTATATCTCCTATAGATACAGGCGGGCTTCTATAAATAATAGATGTTTAACTTAAGTCTACCTCTATTTATACTGTGTATTTCCTGGATAATTATAAAGATCTAGGATCACGGAAGCAAAAGACTCTGAAAAGAAGCATGTAAAACAGAAATGTATTCTTGATTGCTTACAGTAGAGAACTAGAGGATACTGGAATCTATTAGCTATTTATGCCCCATAGATTTACTTACTTCATCCTGATTACCTGGAGCACTGCCTCCAGACACTTATTTCGAGCATTTTTACTAATTCCCGCGTGTCTCATTTGATTCTATATTGGTGGCTTTATGGTTTGATTACCTATCCTACCTCCCTTTCAGCGGAGTTGTATGTATGTATGTACATATAAGCCGTTTGCAGCTCGTTTCCAAAGAAGCCGTGAGCGCCGACAATAATATATATATATATTATATATTGATTATTACATGGGATAAATGATCTAAAATTATACAGATTGTCACCGGTGTTGTATGATCTGGATAGCGGAAATATGGAGTCATCATAATAAGTAAGTCATATTATCATTGCAGTCTATTGAATCGGTCTATGTGAACATTATCTGGACGGCCTCGAGCAACAAACTGAGAAGTAAACAAGTGGTAGAGTACAACAGGGCGGCCAGAGGCGCTGAAATAGGGTATTGTGGTGAAAATGAACTGTGGAATATGCAGAGGCGAGAAGAATCAGCACGAAACAGCTTGGTCAACCAAGTTCCAGAAGGCGACTTCTAGGTAACGAGAGACATCGGTTGAGCCGTCCTCTTTCAGACAGCCGTCGCCCGTACTCATCTTGATGTCTTCCCATTCCCTCCAGTGCCTATCGAATTCTTCGCCCATTCCTGATGCGTTCAGGATTTCGGATACTCTCCAATGGCAGTCTAGTAGAACTGCACTTGGCAATGGGACATCCTCTGCGCCGTTTGCTTGCTGGAGAGTTACTCTTCCCACCTTGGCAATCTCTCTTTTCACATGTCCAGAAATAGCACGGCGGTATGTCTTAGGATCGTAGATATGAGGGGTTTCCTAGATAGTTATGTAGTATACATTAGTAAGCCACACTCTTTGCATAACTATAACTAGCTAGTTAGTTAATATGTATTAGTATGAGACGTACAGTGGGGACAAAAGAAAACGCGAAGTTTCCGAAGGACTTATGGATATCATCCCTCAAAGTGATGCCATTTGACCGATCGTTGATACTCTCGATGCCCATTTTGATATGGCGGATCCCAGGAAAATACCGGAAGAGGGTCTCCCATATCTGGCTCACATCATGTGTGGAGCCCTATACTTTAATCAGCACTTGTATCTAAACTAAACAGGTACTCATTAGGCGCTATACTTACTTACCGGAGTAGGTTTCCATGAGGCTAAAGGAAATGGAATGATGTGGGTAGCATCGAGGTCTTCGCAATCGATATCATCTGGTTCTCCCATCTCCAGCCATTTGTCCCTGTCAAGGCCGTTGGTGATCACGCAACGGTGATTATCGCGACGGAGTATATCTGCACGGAACTTGTCCTGTTGCTTCTGCGGTTCTTCTTCTGGAATTGAGGCTACGATCTCGACATCTTCTTCTCTCTTGGCAATCGGAGTTCGGGAAACAGAACTGCTGCCTGCCGCTTTCACTGCATGAAAACTCAGATGGGTGAATTTTATGGTAGATATTTTGATTGATTATTAGGAATGCCCCGCAGTGAACTTACTGGGGAATAGAAGACATGTACGAATGTTCTGGAACATGTCATATAGCATATCATCTGTTATGCTTTTAAGCATGTCATGAGCCGCGGACTCTCGGCCCTCTTCGGGTAACCAATCGAGTAAAGCGATCATGCAGGGCTTGAGCTTCTCGTCGCCCTTCCTCGCCTTCTTACTAGAGGCAGATTCATAGCGATTGATCCGCTCTTTGGTGAGGCGGGCGAGTTCAGGCCATGTCTCTGGTGGCTCTGGCTCAACTGCTGGGTTGAGGCGGGCTGACTTCCGCCTTGGCTGAGGCGTCTCCAGCGTTGCTTTGCGCTTCGGCGGCATGATTAATCTAGATGGAAGAATGAAAAGGGAATTTGGAAAAGCAGGCGATCCTCAGGATTGTTGATTGGGGGAGGTCTGGGAGCTACTAAACGCTAAGTAAGTAAAGTAAGTACTACTACGTACCATAGTTTGTGTAGGTAACCCCGCTTCAATTTGTGTTTCCAGAGTTGATAACTTAGTTAACAAAAAAAAGTTCCATTGTTGCTGACATGATACATCTAACCACAGCGTTAAGTTAAGTAGTTATAGTTATGACACCGTGGACACGATCTTCCAATAGTTCAGCTCGTGTTCGTACACAGAACAAGGAACATCTTCCAGCTACTCTTGAGGATTTAGTTGCCGCTGGTACTCGAGTTTGACATCTGGACAGCAAAGACTCCACCAAATGGACCGTTCTCATTGTTGTTGGAAACCTTGACCAGGCATAGATTGCTGATACCGTTTATAGTGCCGGTGCAAGAGGTGCCGGCAGGGATCTCGACCGCGAATGGCTATTAATATGTTAGTCATGCTGCTCTGGATGACTTTGGGGGGGGGTTTCATGTCGTCAAGGAATACTTACATAGTCCTCATTGACGTTTTCAGCACGCTTGCTAAGAGGTTTGTACATGCGGTCCATCAACCAACGCTTCTTGTTGGGAGCCGCGATGAAGCCATTGTTGCCAGGGGGCTGAGTAGAGACAGTAGCCTGCTTGGCAGTAGACCACTTCCCAGAGGCAGATTCGTCAATCAGCGCTTCCAACGGACCGGCGCCATCAGTGGTAACGATGTGGTATGTGCCCTTGACAGACCCGCCGCTGCTGACCTGCGGCAGCGTGGAGCCTGACTGCGCCATAGCCTTGCTCAGGTCACTCAGCTGGTTGTTACCGGCCTCATCGGTGTATCCAATATCCTGATCGGTGCGGATATCTTTAGACCAGAAGACGGTCGTGTCGACCTCTGTCATGTAGTTCGGGCCAGCTCCGGGGACAGCAGCTCCCCTGATACCGAGAGCAGTGCCATTGCCACCCTGGTCTCCGGTAACGACGGCCACCTTTCCGTGAGCTGCGACAAGGGGAGCTAGGGCTAGGGCGTAGAGGAAAGTTGAGGGGTGCATTTTGTATTGATTTTTGCAGAGATTCGATTGGTTCTTGATTCAAAAAAGGTGAAAGGGTAATAATAATTGAAGATAAACTTAATGAACTTGATAATGACTGCTATATGTAGGAATGTAGTGATCCAAATAAAAAAAGAATGTCACGAATCAATCGGACGATGAAAGAAAGAATCAGAAGGACTTGCTGTTCTGTGTGATGCTGAGCAGAAAATTGATGGATGGCATACACGATATTTATAACCTTTGAATCACTCCCTTTCGATCTCCATCATCTTCGGTCGATGTCGCTGTCGGGTTTGTTTTACTCTAGCGCTCCATCACCATGTTTCCTAGTCAGTTTCAGCAGCAAGATTTCTAAGCCATTTCCTGCAAGCTCCTGTAAACGAAACGCCCCATTATTGATGATACTAACTGTGAGGTTTCCAGACTGGTCGAAGTAGGCGGTACTTTCCTTTACCATCATGCAGGGCGAAGTAGGTAGCCGAACGATCCGAACCCATACAGTAGGGAAGACCCATAAGGGAATGCAATAGTGCTTTCATATGTCCGTCGTTATAGAGATATCCAACCACAGCGCCACAAGACTCAATGGTGCGGTATCTCACCTATAGTCCGGCGCTGTCTCAAACAAGAATTCAGGCAAGACTTTGATTCTAGTCGGAGCTTTCACAATATCAGAGCCATTGGGGCGGTAGCTTTCTTTTCCGTCACGAGCTGTCCAAAGAAAAAGAAAGCATTCATCGCATAAACGTTTCAACTGCACGTCCCTTCGGTTTTACCTGCAATAAGAGCTCTTCTCTTCGCTAGGCTGGCAGGTCTCTCTATCTGCTCGGATCGCGTTTCACATGACTTGGACATGCGTGGCGTGTTGTTCTGTTTGTATTATCTCTTCCGGCGAAATAATAGATGCGAAGTTTGTTCTGGCATGTATGTCCGTTGTCGACATTTTTGAGATAGTGCATGATCTGTATGCCAATGATCGTTTCAAGTCACGCTCCAGACCCTTGCAAAGTAGAAAATTGATGGCTCCTCTCCGCCCATCCGCTCCCCTTCACCATGAAAGACCATCTGAACTGCGGCGCGTTTTGCTGTCTTCTAGACTTAAGAATATGTCCAATCTTAGGGGTACCCATGACTAGACATGTGGATACTCCTTATGTTTTTGAGAGACAGTACAATTGATTAGTGACCTCGACTATTGTAGTCTGCAGCAGCGGGGAATACTTAGCGCGAGGACTCATTTCTTTGCATAAAATATCCAAACCCACCGCGACCGATTTATTTGTTGGACCAAAGAGTGAAGGCCATATCGATTACTGATGCGAGGCTCTCCATGTTGATGGTTGGTATGTCTTGGTTCCATCTATTGGCGGCTTTCACGCTCGAACTTTGAGGACACAGTTTGATCTATGTGTCATGATCTCCCTATGCACGTCAAACAGTCTCGGCTACAAATGGGCTAAGGAAAGACGGATCAACAATCGGTCGGATAGAACCGAGATCGTACATACATCATCCCATAAGGATGGTGGATCCTTTTGCTCGCAAGCCAGGGAAGTCTAACCGAGAAGGTGAAACAGAATGTAACCAGCGTGTCTCTGGAGGTCAGTTTCAAATCTTTAACCGAAACACGATGTCGGACGAATGACATGGATGTCTGCCGATATTAGTGTCTAGAGGAAACACCCGAAACAGGTCCATACTCGACAATCGGGATTGTTCTGAGAACCCCTTTGAGGTGGTTCGTATGGAAGCATCGTTGGTGGGATACTATGAAAATTACTCGAATGGTCAAAACACCGTACTTATAGTCTAGGGGAAATTTCGGCCCAATGCATTGAGGGAGCTGCTCATGATGATCGCTTGGAACATGGCCTAGCCTCGAACTCGAGGGAAAAAAGAGAAGAAGCCCAAATTAATATGAACATAATATGGCACGTTTGGTTATGAGATCCATTCAAGTTGACGGTACTTAACCCCTAGCAAGATTATTCAACAGCCTTACCGGAAATGGTACTTGCTTTCTGATCCGTCTATGCACAGGTTTCATACTACCATTCTGCTAGGATCAATGTGGGAAGAGATTACGAAGAGCAATGGACTCAAGTCTTGGTTGAAAATATATTTCTCTTATGTTGGATGCTTCATTGAGTCGTCCTAATTTACGAGACTACAATTCTTCATTTTCCATATTCAGCTGTACTCTTCGGCTCTCTTGCGCCAGTCCTTACTAAGGGGAAATGCCCAGATTAGTCTCGCTACGATTTGTTGAGGAGCTATCAGTCCGATGTACCAGTGGAGGAAATGCCTCTCTCCATGTCATAATGGGTGCAGTCTTCCAATGATGACCCCACATGGCCGTTTAGGCTGACATAGATATTCTATCAGCTGGCTTTCAATGTTCAACTAATATCATGGTGTTACATGTAGTCTCTTCCAGGCAACGGAAACTTTAGGTCTCCGTTATCACCGTTATGAAGACCATTAGGTGGTGCAGCTAGAGTTACTCTCCTCTTTTTCGCGCTCGTCTGGTGAACGCCGCGACTCAAGCTGTCCCACTCAGTTATCTCTTTCTCGGCTTTCCGGACCTTGCTTTCCAATTCCTGGTTTGATATTTCTAGCCTTTCGATCAAAAGGTGAAGCTGATCGATTTCTGCAGCCAAGGAGTGTGTGCTATCACTGTTTGCCATAAGCCGCCGAGTCAACTTCCTCGTTACATCCACTGCGAAGTCTCCGCCTTCTGCCATGAGCATGTCGAGACTCTCTCCCGCAAGCGCGGTGAATCTCAGGGCGACAAATTGCGATAGCAATTTCCTGGCCGGGTTTTGCTGTACCTTGGCGCTCGGCGTTGCGTCGTATATGATATGGACGGCATCCGCAAGGTACGAGAATAGAGATCGTGTTTCGGACTCGTCGAGAAGAATGAGAACTTGCGTAAGGCGCTGTAAGGCTAGCTGCTCAAGTTGCGGGAGCAGAAAGCGATGCGCGAAAGAGTAAACCTTTGCGTGAATAAGGATTGCAGCTCCTATGCCAACATCGGGATCCTGGGCCGTTTTGCGCACAGTACCCGCAGCGGTTTTGACACTTTCTGCGGGTAATCCGGCTTTGATACATCGGCTCAAGGGAGTTAGAGGCCGATCAGGAACAGGTTCATCGGTCTCTGAACATTCAGCAACGGTAGACTTTATATCTACCTGTTCGCTGACGCCTGCAATTGAATTAGCCGAATCGTCTCCAACCTGGGGGTTATTTTCCACTTTTACCTTTGCGAATGTCGATATAACCTTGTTCAGACGGTAACTCATCCTCAGCAGTCGACTGTGGAGTTACATAATAATCCTGAGTGTAGAGGTAACTCAGAACGCATGCGACGGTTTGCTCATCGCAATCGGTCCAATCAAGTGTGGTCTCGCCATTGCTCCAAGATTCTTTCAGTCGAGTGTTCAAGGCGGACGAACCATGGAGCCTTAAGACACCTGGATGTACGTAGTAGTCTTTTGCATCTCCCCCGACAATGATTTTGACCGGACGTTCGGAGAATATCCTGCGTTATGTTAGACTTCGTGCACAGGAGTGGAGAAAGAAATTTTAACCTGTTCATATGGTGATGCACTACATGTGGACCCATACTTATTATTTCAGGACACACAACGTTGCTTGTACTGTACAATAAGGCGCCGACTGTGGCAGAGGAATATCAAAATGGAAAGTAGAAATCTCGATCAGTTGTCTTTGAAAGTTCTTATGACTCGCCAGATCACTCTCAGAGTATCATACAATCGCGCAAGTTCCTGGCTCCCCGCCAGGACAGCTCAGGTACCTAGTCAGGTCAACACGTTGTGGCCGGTGATTGGTACAGAATGCCAAACTACGGGATACCAGCCCCCTGAGTTTTCTGGCAGACAAGAAGAAATTTATGCCCTTGGCTATGAAAATATAGTCATCCCAGGACATTAATTGAACTTTTGGAGAGAGTCTGACCAAGTTTCCACGGTTGGTGGTCTGGAGGCTAGCGGCTTTGGTAGACGCGACAAACATCGAGATACTCATTAACGCCCCCAACACTTAGATATTATACGGTAATAGTATCGAACTAGATAATCTGTTGCAAATTGGTTATCTACATGTATAATTTCGGTACAATTCTAGGGAGCTTATTTTGAAGTCGTAAAAAGGAAAGCGGTATGTTGTTGACATCTACCTAGGTAAGTAGTAGTTATGAAAAAAAAAAAAAAAATAAATAAAATAAAAATAAACATTTCGCTACCACTCAGCCATTAACATCACATGGGAAGAAACAAAGCAGCAATTAAGTTAACAAAGGTTGCTCTAATAAATTTAGATAACCGCCCTTGCACCTTGGAACTCAACTCAGTACCTACCTACCTACCTATCCAACAAAGAGATTTTCCAGACACGTTAAACGCAAACGCGATGGATTTTAGCAATATAGAACCCTCAGAAATCACATTTAAGCAGAGCCTCTCGAGTTCCAAAGGCTCTGAGGTCTTCCTCGTTGATGTGCGTGGGTAAACATGTGTGATGAAAGTGGTCAATAACTACAGGCACACCTATTGAGTGATTCGACACAATCTTGTCATTTTAAACAGCACCATGGATATGGTCGTGTCACGCCTGCGCCTGTAGACCGCGAAACAGACATTCATCTATTGCGAACTTGGCAGTGTCTATGAGAGCTAATTGATCCATACGTGTCCTGCGGATGATTGATCTCTCTGCAATTTAATCGAGTCTATGGCAGAGACCCTTGATCACCTCTAGCTTGCAATTTAGGGTCAAAAGAGAACCTGAGACCGTACCACGACGGAGTTACACGTACGGATGGAAAGGATACCCGAAAGGTTCGATAAGAGAGAAAACGAGACATAAATACGTGGCATTCATGGAGAATACAGGGGGAAACATGAATAGCTACCAAAGCAAGAAAACATGTAATAGGCGTAACAGACATAACAGACATAACACGGCATCACTAAACACAAATCAACCGACAACGTCAGGGGGAATAACTGGGGAATCTGGAGATTTTCGACTCAATGGAACCCATGATCCGACCAAAGAAAACAGGTAAATGTAAATGCATCACCAAACATCACGAACAATTACAGGACCAGGTCGCCTAATGTGATCCCATCCTCTTGGGACTTTCTTCTCTTATTCTTTAGTATTGGGTATTGAAGTAGACTGACCACGTAGGACGACAGAGATGCAAATGAAAAGGGAGTTGTCCTCGGGCTTTAATCCTCGAAGAAATGCAGAATTGCCCGGATACCCTTGGATCCTAGTCCATGGGGAGGGTAGGCAATATACAGTGGCTCTTCGTGCGCACCCAGCTTCAAACGGAACTCACTCTTGCGAGTCAGGTGGAACTGGCGCACAACAGCCTCATAGGTGTGCTGCAGCACCTTGACCTTTGCTCCGCTCATGTGGTGACCAGGTCGAAGGTCGGCCGTGGCACCAGCACCGAAGGTGAGCGACTTGACGCCTGCCTGGGCCGCCGTCTGGATGGCATGAGTCACGATGTACTCGATGGTTCCGTTGGGCGCCCCGGGGAAGTCGAAACTGTACTTGACCTGCATACCGCTCTGGGGCGCTAGCTGCACCAGGGCCACGAAGGAGCAGATATTTCCCTCCTTATCTGTGGCATAGAAGTACCAGCGATGCTCCGAGTCGCGCCAGGGCTGGATCTCAGAAAGATGGATCTGAGTGCCCTTGCGGTTGGCCAACCAGTCCTGAATGCGCTTGTCGATCTTCTTGCGTACCTCCTCTGACACCATCTCGCCCTGGGGCAGCGTTGTGATCTTGACACCTTCGTTCTCTGCGTGGCGGATCTTGCGGGAGATCTCACCGTCTGATGCCGCCAGGTTGCGAGCGGGATCAACCCGCTCCTCCGCGATACAGGACAAGGTGCGCCAGCCGAGCTTTTCCCCGAGGAAATCTTCGACTTGGGGAGAGATGAGAAGCCAGATGGGTTTGAGCTTCGTCTCGCGACGGAGCCAACCCAGGAACGCGTTGATAACACGACCATACTGGCTGGGATCACAGAGCGGATTACCCGGAATGATAGCATAGCCGTGCATCGGGATATAGGAAACGGCGGCACCGGTCACGTAGTCCCGCCAGATCTTGTAACGCTCGTCGCCCCACGAGGTGGACGTGGCATCACCATAGTTAGCGATGAGGTGCTCTAGCGGCTGTAGCTGGTTATCGTCGGTAGCTTTGGCCGCCTTGTGCTCTTTCTGCCAGGCTGGCTCCAAGGTGGACGATTCAGGGTGCCGCAGCTGGAGAATCGGCGGCTTGGGAGGGAAGCTCTTGGGGTCGCGGTGGAAGAGCGAGGCCAGACGGATGTTGCCAATCTTGAGAATCAGCATCAGCATCCGCTCCAAACCAATCCCAGCACCAGCGTGTGGAGGCGCGCCCCAGCGGAATCCCTCGAGATAGTCCTCCATGTCCTCGGGGCGGATGCCAGCCTTGGTGATGTTCTCCTCGAGCATTTTGGGATCGTGAATACGCTGACCACCAGACACAATTTCCTGACCACGCACGAAGATATCGAACGAGTTGGTGAAACGGGGATCCTCTGGGTCGGGCATAGTATAGAAAGGACGCGCGCCGACAGGGAACTTGTCGAGAATATAGTAGTCGGTGTGGTACTTCTCCTTGACTAGCTCTCCCAGATGGATCTCGTCCCGGGTCGACAGATCCTCGTCATCCGGCAACGGCTGGCCGTCCTCAGTGCGCCACCCGGAGTCATTGAGCATGCGAATAGCATCCGCAAAGCGGATCACAGGGGTCTCGTCCAGCCAGACCAGGTCTTCGGAGGGGAACTGATGCTTGACCACATCAACCTCGCGGCGGTATTTCGTATACAGACCCTTGAAGATATGCTTGATGGTGGCGTCAATGGTCTCAAGCATCTCATGGTAGTGTTCGTCAATGGCCATCTCGATATCCAGACCGGTATACTCCGTCAGATGGCGATGGGTGTTGGAATTCTCGGCACGGAAGACGGCGCCAATCTCGTAGACGCGACCAAAGTCGGATGCGATAGCCATCTGCTTGGCCAGTTGAGGACTCTGAGCCAGGAAGGCTGGGCGGCCAAAGTAGTTCAGCTGGAAGACAGAAGCACCGGACTCGGTGGCCGAGCCCTGTAGCTTGGGAGTATGGATCTCAATGAAGTCCCGGTCATTGAGAGCCTCCCGGAAGAGTTGAGAGATACCAGACTGGATGCGGAATATACTCTGCGACGTTGGTGTGCGCAGATCCAGAATGCGATTCGCCAGACGGGTTCGATCAGGGATGTGACTGTGGCGGCCCTCGACGCGGTCTTCCTCCTCTGTGCGGACTTCGGCCTCGTAGACGCTGAAGGGAACGGTCTCCTCACGACGGACAATGACATGCAGCTGCTCGATCTCGAGCTCGACATCGTGGATAGTACATCCCAAGACGGGCACCTCCGGGGCCCGAACGGTACCCCGAACGCGCACAATGCATCCGGTGCGCAGATGTTCCGCCCACTGGACCATGTTGACTGATGCAACACCGGGTTTCTCATGGAGGACGCCTTGGAAGGTGGTGAGCTGATGACGGAAGACAAGGAAGACGAGCTTCGCGCTCATGCGGCGAACGATATGCAACCGCGCAGTGAACAGGATCTGCTGGCCCACAATGTCCTTGGAGACCTTGTCCAGCGGAAATCGTGCCTCCCGTGGGCGCTCCTTTGACTGCAGAAGCGGCAGATCACCGTACCGTGCCTTCATCTCTGGAGTCTCTTGGCGCGCCGCTTCTTCTTCGCGCTCGCGGCGACGATGCTCTGATTCGGAGCGCTGCTCCTCACTGAGACGGGATCTGGCCTGGCGGCGCTGCTGTCGCACCAGGCGCTTCTGCTGGTTCTTGCTGACGCCGGAACTCGAGTCATCGGACACATCGTCTGATGAGGAAATGTAGTCCTTGTCCCGTAGAAAGCCGACAATGCTGCGACGGGGCGACGAGATGGGCGATCGCGGGCTGCCGCCACTGCTACTGTCATCGTGCTTATTGCTCGGCGTCAGCTTGGACAAAGCACGCTTGATGGACATCTTGGCCCACAGTCCACGGGGCATTCACACGGGATTGAGTTGCGAGGGATATCGAAGGGTATCGAAGGGTATAAGGTATAAGAAAGATGAGAATCAACGTTGATGCGGACCGGGGACTGGAGTAGGCGGGCTCTTTATGATGTAGGAAGCGACTCTAGGGCCGGGAATAGTTAGTTAGTTAGTTAGTTAGTTGAACAGCCTTAATCAGCGAACGCAGACAATCAGGTTAACTAACTAGTTAACTAACCTAGGTACCCCTTCTCAGACGGATGTTCTAGGCAGCCGAAACCGATTTTCAGATTCGCTATCGGCCTCGGTTGCAATGCGGGCCCGACCCAGATCAACCGTTGGGAGGGAGATGGCAATAATAATAATCGTGGTGGCACAGCTTTTCTGGTGCACGATTGGAAATCAATGAACCAAAAAAAGAAAACAGAGAGGAAAGAATATGATGCTTTGTTATTCTGGAAAATGAAGATTGTATTATTACTTATTGCGCGGGAGCAATTTGCGGTTTTATTGACTGCGTGCGGCGGGCTTTTCACAGATGATGTCAACCACCGGCGCTTTATGTCATGAAGAGCGACAGGAACAAGCAGTAAAAGACAAGAAAAGACAAGAAAAAGAATCAGGCAAAAGCGACCGGCGGGCTTGGCGAGCAGGAAAACGAGATCGAGGCCGATACTTACTGGAAGCGGATGCAAATGAGGATAGTTAGTTAGAGCGTCCTTACCAATCAAGCCGGTTTTGGTGCAGAATGCGATGGCGGACATGCCGGATGTTGATGCGATCGATTAAGTATTATTATTATTATTATTATTATTGTATCTCAGCTTAGATACTTCCCCCTCTCCCTTTCTCTCTCTCTACTCTCTCTCTCCCCCTTCTGATGATTACTATTATTCAGAATCGATCCATTGATTGCCGCCTTCCCACTAAACAGTTACAGCTGGAACTGTTGCTATAATTAATTAATCCTTACACGACCCCGCCCACTGATTACTACAGATTGGTTTAATAGGGCTTACCGTAGTTACGCATCCAGGGAAGCACTCAATTGCATTCTGTATTCCTGGCCTGATCGACAGCCAGACGTGAGATGTAAGTACCTTTGGAAAGTCCCTTTTCCCCCCCATCCCAGACTAGTTTATCTATCTGGATCTTTTGCCAAGGCGTGCCGGCACGTCTCTAACTCCGTCCAGTCATGTTGCCAACACGCTGACCGTCCCCAAATAATCTCCCTCCTGTCTGTCCTCAGTCTGTCTGGCCATACGAACGCTGCATTATTATTGCACCAACCTATCTTCTTCTTGCTGGGTCGTCACCTGCACAAGCGGCCATGGCCGTCGCCCGCTGGTGGCTTTACACCCAAGCCATTTTCTGGCGCTTTCTCATGCGCATTGGCATGTTCTTCCACCATGTCATCAGCCCGCGCTCTCCATCTCCAACCTTTACGCGCAGCATTCCCTGCCAGGACAGCAGTCGGTCCATCCAGCTGCACTTCTACTGTCCCGAGGACTATGCAGACCAGCGGAAAGCCGGTCGACGGCTCCCCGTCGTCGTCAACTTCCACGGCGGAGGCTTTGCTCTAGGCCGTGCGACAGACGATGCGCGTTGGGCCCAGACGGTTGTCTGTGAGCTCGGTGCGGTTGTCGTCAGTGTCGACTATCGACTTGCTCCCGAGAATCCGTTTCCCGCCGCCGTCGACGACGGCGTCGATGCCCTGCTCCATCTTGCCAGCAACGCATCCGATCTGGGGATCGATGCTTCTCAGGTCATCCTGACCGGCTTCTCCGCTGGAGGCAACCTGGCCGTCACCGTTCCGCTCCGTCTCCGCCAGGTCCGCGGTGAGGCCCGGCCCGAGCTGCATCGGTACGAGTCGACGCAACAGCTCCTCGATGCCACCAACGAGCTCCACGTCGTGGCCATCTTCTCGTGGTATCCGATCCTCGACTTTGTGCTGCCCCGGGAACATCGTCGTGCCATGAGCATTCTCCCCGAGAAGACTCTCCCGTCCTTCTTCACGAACCTCTTCGACGAGTCCTACGTGCCCAACCGCGATGACCGCACCTCCCCCTATGCCTCACCCGCGCTGGCCACAGACCAGCTGCTGGCCGAAGCGCTACCGCACAACGTCTTCCTCTACATGTGCGAGTGGGACATGTTGCTGCGCGAAGGTCAGGTCTTTGTCCGCCGCCTCCAGGGATTAGGCAAGAAGGTGCGCGCCATGATGATCGAGAAGGTCCCGCATGCCTGGGACAAATCGCCCAATCCGTTCCGCGATCAGGACAGCGTCAACGTGCTTTATCGCGAGGCTTGTGCGGAGATGAAGACGTTGCTAGAAAAGTAGATTTTTCTTTTCTTTTCTTTTCTTTTCTCATTTCCGTCTTTCTACGCTCGTACCTAACTATCGCTACACGCGAGAGTTCCCTTTCTCTCTTCCAGCATCGTTCTCCCGGGTCCGAGACCCGTTCTTTCCTCACGTACATGCAGCGTCTACGAATTGATGTCTCTTCCGCGGTATATCGATGGCGTCTTTGTCTGGTTCCTTTCTCGTCTGGCGTCGGGTGTCGTTATTTGATCAAGAGCATAAGATCCAGCAACTGCTGCGGCAGGCAGCATTGCAGCATCGTCTATCTCTCTGTATGTACATACATACTACCGCCGCCCTTGGGCCATGAGGGATGTTGCCAATAGACCTGGTATACAAGGTCGATTAATTGTCTCCTCATGTCTGTCTAGCTTATCTAGTCTGCAGTAGTGTAGTCCTAATCAGAATACAAAGTGTACATATACGAATCAATCTCGTAGCCCGCCATTTAGACAGTAGCCATTTAGACAGTAATACTCCGTCATATCATTACTTGACTCGTTCATCTGAATGACTTACCATGATTCTATCTACTACTCCAATGCACGACCCATGCATAGGGCCCTGAGAACCAGGGTTCGGTTTCGGAACCGATCATACCCTTCACCGCTAACTAAGTATCCGAGGCAATAGTCAGCGAAGACTGGGGCCAAAAAAAAAAACAGATTTAATAATAATAATAATAATAATAATAATAAAAGCTTCTTAACTACACACAAAGCATTATTATTACTAATTCTATAAACGCCTTATTAGTTAAGCAATAACTCATTTGTAGTTAACTAGTTAAAGCCTGGGGCCAAAAACTGCTTAGCTAAGCTTAGTCTGTTGGTTAGTTAACTATCACCACGTGATCCATGACGTCGGGAAAACGTCGGGAAGTAACTAGTTAGGTAGTGCCTGGACTAAGTAACGTCATAGTATATAATAGTTACTCTAAGCAAGAAGTTAGTAGACTTAGCGGTTGGATAATTAAATCATTCAATCTATTGCTCTGGCCTGATTTTTTTTGTTATTCTGGGAGGATATCGAGGTCATTTAAGTCATTGCTCAATTTGGACAAGTGGGTATAATATACCTACCTAAACTACCAGGTAACTAACTACTAAGTTAGTAGGGCATGTGTTAAAAACGGGTTCTTTTTATTTTTATCTACGATCGAGATGGACGGTTTAAGTACGTATCCTATTCCATTGTAGATGAAGAATATATGTATATATGCGAGAAAAGAAAAAAAAAAGGTTAAAATTCATTAGGAAGTAAGTATGTTACCTCGCAAACTTATCAATTTTACCTTCAAGCTCCTCGCCTCCTACGAAGCTGTTGCAACTATAAGCAGCCTTAAGAAAAATGATAGAAAAAAAAAAAAAAAAAGGCCGATCTCCTATCCTATCCTTACATGTACGAGAGAGCTAGGAGAACTGTCATTTGTGGCCGTGCAGGATCGCCTCGGGCAGTCCAAGGTATAGGATGCGCATGCAAGGTCAAGATCTCCATGCTCGTCTAACTTGCGGATAGGCACGAGCTCAACGTCGCTGATCAGGAATCCGTACCGACTGCAGTGTTGATTGATGTAGAAGTTTACCTGGCTTGGCGCCTGGAGATATTCGCACCGATTCCTGTTGGACTCTGTGGGTATTCCCGGGATATATATATATATTTTTTGACTCGGATATCATAGGTTTACTCTTTCCACAACATGTTCTATCTCCCAGAGTATAGCACTAGATATATTCATGGTATGCTCAGGAACAAGCGAGTCAGAATTTAATGAAATGATCGATAGAAGCCGTGACATTTTGAAGTTTGTATTAGACACATCGTACCATAAGAGTTCAGAAACCTGCGAGGTCCATGTGTGACGCTCTGAATATTCATAGTACAGTACAAATCCAACGTCAGAATAGCCTCTCTCGCCTTTGCCACGCGCGTGATAACCTTAGTAACACAAACAGTTCTATACGGGCAGAACAATCGCCATTGATCATGGACAGATAGCATGTCTGACAGGTTGCAGAATATCAGAGAGCCGGATGACATCTGCGAATGATTTAAAACCTCACTTTGACCGCATCTTATAGTCCCTACAAAGTGCTTCCTCTCTCGTGGTCAGTTCGAAACGAAATGTCTTGTCCCACGCCCTTCTGGCCGCGTAGTCAGCCAGGTAATTGCCTGGCACATCTCGATGCGCAGGGACCCAGTGGAGTTCAACTGACACGAAAAGAGAAATCAAGACGTTTGCGAGCTCAATTACTTCCTCCACCAATATATTCGTGCCCTTCTGTTTTGCCCTTGTAAGATGCAGGATCATCCTCAATGCCTCTTTGCAATCGGAATAAATGACGAGGATTTCTTGCTCTCCGTGAGCACCGTTGGAGATTCTCTCGACGGCCTTATCATAGGCGATCTGTAGAGCTCGAAGGATGGCCAAAAGCTCAATATCCGGACAACCCATGTCTCCATGAACTTTGTATCCTAGGATCTTCCACGAAAAAGGGGATCCTTCGTCCGTGGATTTGGACACAACTGCAACCCCGGCGGCATTTTTCCGATCCAGGTGTTGCGCAACAGAACCATCAACCCAGTATACGGTACGGTTGCGAATTCTTCCTCGTAACCTATATTCAGACAAAGCGTATGCTAAAGCCTGGATATGAGTTTGGATGATGACACTGCCCGCAAAAAGTGGAAGATCATCCTCATCGCGCAAAGACATAAGCGATGATTGTCGCGGCTGCTGTTGTCCTTCAGGATACCGATATCCATCAGGAAGTACCATGTCGTCTAATTGAATACCATCCTTGAGAATCTGCTGGCGAATGATCTGTATTTCGTCGAGAGAACAAGCCTCTTCCAAAAGCAAAGTTTCCCGGTTCGTCGAGAACCTCGGCTTCTTGTATTTTAGTTTCGTGTTATGATCGGGAGAAATCTTTCTCTTTCTCGAAGCCCGCCTTGATGAGGAAGAGACGCTAGCTTCTGGAAAGGACCGACCTGTATCACTGTGAGTCCTAAGGGGATCGACAGTATTGACGCTGCTCTGGTCTGTCATACCTTTCACATCGGAGCGCTTGGGAACATCTGTAGTACTAGTGTCTGGAGAGGCTGGAGTTGACGCTGATAAGACTGATGAGAGATTACCCATGATGAGTGCAAGTAGGAAAAGGACAGTAGGACGTGGTTCAGTTAGATGAAAGAAATAAATTTGAAGATGAGAAGTAGATAGTGAGAAGGACAGTCAATAGAGTGACAAGGAGTTTCGCTTATTGTGTTTGTTCAGGAATAGGCTTAGTGACATATATGAAGATGCCTAGGGAGCAGTGTGGTGAAAGTGTTGCTGAGTTAACTACCCTTGGTACCTTCGACAGTAAGAGCGAATCCCCACTCACAGGGAAACAATCAGCCTACTCAGATGCTCTGGACTGTCTGATATCTCAGAGAAGAAGTTCCTCAAAGGCTGCCCATGTTTCCATGTTTATGTTGCTCCTTTAGAGCACATGACAAAGAAAGCGCAGCAGAGGAGAGGCCTTTAGAGTATCGACATCGTAACGCCTGTATCTCCTCCAGATAGATATAAGCCAGAAAACAGTCCCGCTTCCGTGTGACTATTTTCCTTTTCACCTTTGGAAAAGTCTCATAACTCATTTAGAGTACAGAGGCAATTACAGTTCCAGAAATATACTACTAAACACCGGAGCCACAGAAACATTACAGCCACATTTCAGAGTCATATGACCACCGGAACAAGGGGATGTGGAATAAGTGACTCTCGCCGACAGATTTTCACCAGGAAGATCTTATGTGATTATTAACGCGTATCGCTGCTGTCTATAATGAGCATGTACAGATGTGCTATGCTGAGGATGCGCATAACAGACTGGCGGAAAAACCGCAGCGCTAGCTCGCATAAGTCGATTGAAATGGACTGTGCTATATCGAGCATGACTGGTATAGTCGGCAGATTCGATATGATACCATTATGGTAGGAACGAGGCTGCACCCTAAGCGATGATATTGACGACCATGTGAATACCGGAAGTCTGCGGATCGACAGGGCGGAGGACAGCTAACGTATTAAATACGTTCCTCTCATAAAGCGTAGCAAGAGAGAAGAGTCTCTTAAGGAGATAAAAAGAAGTTCTGCATTATCTGAACCGAACAAGATATGAGTCAAATATACATGGAAGTCGAGAATATAAATAGTCCGGAATATCGGGCTCCATCAATCAATCAACATTATAAACATACTCGCGCGCGAGGAAGCCGGTGGCATTGAACGCGCGCCGTTCCGCGACAAAGTCTTTCAATTGTTCGAAATTGCGACACTGTCGAGTAACGCCGCTTCCAAGGTGGGCGTTCATTTTACCCTCGGCCGGTTCTATAGTCGTGTCCGCAGCACAAGTGATACTTTGCTGGAGATAGTCGAAACAATGTGATAAATGAGCCGCACGGTTTTTGCCGAGGTCAAATGGTTGAATGTCGTCGGACTGTGAATAGTAGGCTCGTCGTATGACATACAGACAGTGTAGTTGATGGAAGACGGTAGGGATGGAGACTTGGGGGGCAAGACTTTCATCTTTGAAATAGCCCAGTCCGTCTGGGTTGCAGTGGGTATATGTTAGCGATCGAAGCGTAGAAGAGAGGGAGACTGCTTAGGATCAGTTCAAGACTTACTGGGAACCAAAGAGTCCCAAATTGGTTCTGCTATCTGTCCTGCGCCCTCGCCCTGCGGTGGCTCCTCCGAAAAGGGAGTGGGATAAGTGAATTCTCCTGGGATGTTCTGCAGTGGGATGCGGGGTGCAAGGTGATTGAAAGCATGGCAATTTATGATCATGGCGTGGATGCGGATCGACAGGACTCCCGCAACAAAGCCCAGAATCGCAGCAAAAATCGTCCAGCCTGCAATCTTCCGAGTACTGGGTTCTCGTAGGGGATACATTCGTGGCGCACGAAGTCCATCCTCTAGAGTTTCATCCGATGGTGAATCGAGACGTTCATATTTTGGTGGTCTATCGTGTGCCGAAAGCATGGCTGATGAATGCTGTATGCAGTTCTAGATGAGTATGAACAAAAAGAAAGATGATCAATCGAGTTAACCAGAGAGAGTCTTTTGTCTGCGACATGCCCCGGTTTCGAGGGGTACAAATCTCAGTCGGAAGTTGGCCGATGCGCTGCAAGCACCCTAATTATAGGAAACACAATTAGTCTAGGACTCTAGGCTATCTACCAGGTTCCTCACTAGTCCAGCTGTCGTTAGCTTCTTAAGAAAAAGACTTACGCAGCCTCCAAAGCATTCGGCAAGGCGGCTGTGAAACCCTAACGTCCGTAACCGACCTTAGTTTAGTGCAAGACGCGCACGCGACGGCTATCTATCCTCGATCGGGCGATATTGAAGTTTTTTTTTTGCATCCATCCAGCAATTTCTCCTACTCTTTTCCATGGTAACCTGGTCCTGTTCCTAACCGCTTCAGCGAAAGTGTCCACTATCTATCCTCTTTCATTTACGCGGCCGTTCTTGGCGTTTCTACCCCGGGATTCCAGAAAATGTTGCCCAGGCTCGAATTTGCTCAAATTGATCTCGCTCCTTTGCCAAGCCGATTCCGGTCTTATGGAGACTTTCGTGGGCATTAAAAAAAAAGATAACAGTCCTTCAGCATCTGGACGGTATATCTATGCCCTAATCCATTTTCTGCATCCGGCCCGTTATTAAGGGCTTTAGGAGAGGGGATACGTGTCGACTCCAAGGATCGAGTGAACCCGAGTGATTCAACGGCCGGGCAAAAAATGGATGTAGAAAAAAGTGATGCTAGTAATTGAATAGCATAGGTCCCGAATCAACGAAAATAGAACAAGTAGACCTCCATTAGAAGGTCTGCTCTCTTTATAGTTCGCAGTCCTATTCATAATTGGATCGGAAATGGCCATTCATTGCACATAGTACACTTATATCCATATAATCTCAACTAGGACGTCTTAGGAAGAGTTTCTCTTAACGCCCGCGGTGAGATACTCTTTACTTCACCCGTCGTCGGATCCAGCTCGAAGAGAAACTCGTCAAGTCCCACATTTCCATAGTTAGACTGGTCTACTAGCTCCCAGGTTGAACAAGATTTGGTGAAGGGACCTGTTCCAGAACCTGCATCCGACGGTGACACGAAGATAGCTCTGAATGAAACTTGAGATGGGGTGCGCAGCCCTGTAGGGTTAAGGTGGATGACTGGATTGGAGATACCCGAGAGAGCAGACGATGATACGACATCGAACATGTCCACGGAGTTGCTGATCCATTTATCAACTCTCAAACCGGGACCGTCATCTATGGAGATCGAGATGGAGGAATTGCTTGTCGCCGTAACAGACTCGTAGGTACCAGCATAAGTTGTGTTCGCTTCAACTTTGGCTGCCTGCTCAAGAGCAGGGAGTAGTTGTGCGGAGATGAGATTGGAGAGCACAGCAACAAGACTTGTTGTGTCATCGCCTGCAGCGAGGATCGTGAACCCTACCCCGTGGTCTGGTGACAGGGCTGTCGATGATGAATAGCTTCCAAAGTCTCCAGCTTTCGTGTACAGGTCAATCACGCGCCCGTTTCCTTGAAAGCTGTATATTTCCCACGGTGCACCCACGGAGGAGTCGATCGAGCCTGTGTGGGTGACTGGTCTCATCCATCGCCGAGTCAGGGCCGGAGAGATCAGTGTGTTATTCAGTATGGCTCGGCCGAGCGTAGTCATATCTTTCGTTGAGGAATACAGACCTCCGGCTCTATGTTGAAGATCCAACGATACTTCTAGTCAGACAAATAAGAGAGTTTGTATAGAGAGATTCCCACTTACGGAGTTTCATCACCTGCAGGTATATTCCATCCACTTGACGTCGCATCGCCTGGAATAACTCCGTACTGATCAGGTGGTGTGGAGATGTATGATCTGGTCATGTTGAGAGGCTCGAGAATGTGTTTAGATAGCAACGACCCGTATGTATGCCCTGATATAGCTTCCAACACATACGAAAGAATCTGAATGGCAGCATTGGAATAGATCGGTGTGAACGATGTTGGAGCCATAGGATGTGTCTTCGTTATCCCTTCAAAGAACTCTGGCCAAGGCTAGCAGCTTCATGAGACGAATCCAGATGATTCATTTGTACGTACGAGACCTGTTGCACGGCGCGATGGAGCCACAAGGAGGTATTTCAGATTTTGGAAGTTGGGGAAACCCATATTTCGTCAAGGAAGGGGCGGTAAGAGACAAGTCCAGGAATCCGTCTTGATCTTCGTGTTAGAACTATTCATGATATTTATTGTAGAAGAGGGCTACTGGAGACATCCGTATACGTATAGGAATGAACTTACAGTCTCTGCCCAGACCAGCCAGATGAGATGCTAGCTCAAGTACAGTTATATCTTCCCATCTTGTGAAATCAACTAGGACATTCCTTTCAGTGGTATTTCCAGCTGTGTTGCGGGCAGCCTTTCGCAGTTCGGGGATATATTCGGTGATCGGATTGTTGAAGTGTTTTTCACCATCAGCGATTAGGAACAAGAGAAGCGTCCAGAGCTTTGATCCACTTCCAATTCGAAATACAGTATCCTCGTCAACGGTATGTACACCACTTGAAGCGTTACTCGTTAATGGTGCAGTGTGATAATATTCAAATAGCGGGTTGGTTTTGGAAGCCGAATATATTTGAATGGTGAAAGAGTTGGTATCGTCAAGGATAGAAGAGGCGGACGAATTCGCCGCCGCCTGGACGAGCTCATCAAGTGTCTGAGTTATATTCCGAGATGCGATGTTGAATGCTTCTGATGTGACTGGATTGACAGCGGGTGGGAATACAGGTCCAAGAAGGGGGCAGTATTGAACTGCCTCCGCAGTGGCAAGGACGTATGAGAATAGCAAACTTCTTTTCATATTGAATTGACGGAAAATATGGATGGATTAGAACGCAGAAAGGAAGTAGAGAATTCCGATGAAGTAGCCCAATTCTATTGAGATATAGCTGTCTAAGTCAATATTTATGTCGCTTGAAACCCCCAAAGCATCCTGCGCCTGTCTATTTATATGCGAGATGCCCAATAAGATTCCATCTAATACGAAGTATACCACAAGGCGTCCAGCTACACTACCTACTTTCTCACATGATACGTCAAAAACATCCGATTTGGCCAATCACGATACTGTTAGGACGTTAGCGAGAAGATCTAGTCACTGAACGACACCAAGAAACCAGTGGAGGCTTAGCTCCTACTCTAGTATGGACTATGGAGTATGGAGTAATTACATGGGACTAGTCTTGGCATTGAGTTGACTGAGTTGTATGTACCTACTTTCAGGCGTCCAACTTGGGGCCGAAAGTTGAACTCAACTCAATGCCAACACTAGCTAACTATTATTCGCGGATATTTAAGGGATTAGGTAGTATATAGTGCCGGAGTTGGATATGAAGCTAGACTGTGCACATCTTATCTCTATTATCACTGCCGGATCTACTGAATTAATTAGTTTTAATGTTGGCATTGAGTTAAGTCCAAGCTCAACTCGGCTCCGAGGCATGATTGGAGCTAAGGAGGCGAGAAGTAACAGGTGGGAAGTTGCCAGCACTCGACCTACCTAACTAATTACTTAGTTTCACTAGTCTAATTTCGCGTTATTAGGGGGTTGGCTAAAGGTATCCAAAGCTATATATTAGGCTTAGCCCATTACATTAGTAGAGCAATATAAAGAATAAAATAAGTTTATAATATACTCCATAAATTAATTCCTGACCTTATTCCATCCTATGTTATAGGGTATTAATTCGCGGCCGTAATTTTGGGCGATTTTGGCGGGCGATTGGCGCCCGACCCGGGGTCGGGCAGGATATAAGTTACCATACTAGGTTATTATTCACCAATGATTGACCTAACTAGCTCTTACCTCCAGGGCTGAAGCTAATTATTGCTTATTCGGGCCCCCTCAGATGAGGCTCACTTCCTTTGCCACTTCAGCTCCTTAAAGTCTTTAATATTGCCTGCTAATCCTTCTCGCCCGATTTTGTCTTTGAATACAATACAGAGACTGAGGCAGCATGCGTGACACCGGAGGAGGTTTCAACGAAAGAGAGGCTAAGCGACCCAAGTACGAGCCAGGCCAGGATTTGCTGCGATCATCAGCACTGAAGGCATTTACCCATACCGACTACACAGTGGGATGGATCTGTCCACTACAGATAGAGCTTATTGCAGCTCTCGAGATGTTGGATGAGGAGCATGCAAAGCTGCCGCAGCAACCTGCGGACCACAACGTCTATCATTTGGGTAGTATTTCAGGCCATAATGTCGTTATTGCCGGGATGTGGCAGGCTGGAAATCCTACAGCCGCAACCGTCGTTGCACAGATGCGAATGACATTTCCCAATATCCGATTTGGCCTGCTGGTTGGCATTGGAGATGGCGTCCCCGTTGTGACAGAACATGGGATGATTCGACTTGGCCATGTGGTGGTCAGTAAGCCAACAGGGCAGTCATCTGGTGCTATCCAATATGACCGTGGAAAGGCGGAAGATGGTATATTTGTGCGAACTGGCGCTTTAGCTCTGCCACCGCCAGTTCTCCTTCTGGCTGCAGATTCCCTAGGCGCCCAGCGTGCTCGTTCAAGAGAAGACCCATTGCTACAGAACATCCAACGTATTGACACCAGCCTCCCTGGGCTGCGCTGCTATAAATTCCCCGGCAACAACAAAGACTACCTTTTTCCGGCCGAATACAAACATCTTCGTCCTCGAACATCATGCGAGGCGGGTCAATGTGACCTATCCCAACAGATTTTTCGGGATGAAGACGAGATATATGCGGCAGATAAGTGGATTACCGTTCATCGAGGCACGATCGCTTCTGGGGAGGTCGTACTCAAGGATGCCGTGAAGCGAGATCTTCTAGGCCAAGAAAGTGGAGTTCTATGCTTTGAAATGGAAGGTGCTGGCGCATTAAGTGATTTTCCATGTCTTGTGATCCGCGGCATCTCAGACTACTGCGACTCGCATAAGAATGACGAGTGGCATGGCTTTGCTTCAGCTGCCGCGGCTGCCTACGCGAGGCAGCTCTTTTTTCACATGCCGATAGACAAGGTAAGGTAGTGAGCATAATACATTCCCAATTCCTGCACCGATACACTGACTAATTATAGAAGCTAAGTCTAGTACCTGTTGACGATCCTGGGATAAAGAGGATAGTTGGAAGAAGCGATGACGAGGAACGACACAAAATTGTCGAATGGATTTCATCAACCAATTACACAACCTCCCAAGCTGACATTCTGTCTCAAAGATGTGAAGGAACTGGACAGTGGCTACTAGACGTACCCGAATTTGGTGATTGGGTAAAGAAGAAAGGAATACTCTATTGTCCTGGCATTCCTGGAGCTGGAAAAACTACATTGGTGTCTATCGTCATCAACCATCTTCAAGAGATCTTTGCCAAGAATCAACAAGTCGTTGTTGCGTATATCTTCTGTGACTATCGAGAACAATCTAAGCAGAAGCTGAACAACATACTTGGAGCGATTTTGAAACAGCTTGTCCAGCCAATGGAAACCCTCCCAGATGATTTGAACATGTTATACAAGTCTCATCAAGCCACTGGATCAACACTGCAGAGGAATGAGCTGACCGAGCTACTCATTTCAGTCGCAAATTACTACTCTCGGGTTTATCTTGTCATCGACGCATTAGATGAATGCCCAGACTCGGATGGAACACGGAGTACATTTATATCTCATCTACTCAAACTTCAGAAAAACTGCAATGTCAATCTCCTCGCAACTTCAAGGTTCATTCCAGATATAACGGCGAGGTTCGGACATTTCCCTTCCGTGGAGGTCCGAGCTAGCGATGCAGATGTGGCGTTGTATACAGAGGGGCGTATACATGAGTTCAACTGTGTGCGAAAAAACCCAGCACTTTCTAAGCTTGTTGTTTCATCCATTACCAAGACCTCTGATGGAATGTAGGATTGCCCTATGAAGATTAAGCCTACCTTGCGGCGGAAAATTTGGCTTACTTTATACCTAGGTTCCTCCTCGCAAAGCTCTACTTGAATTCCCTGAAAGGTGAACCCTCTGTCAAATCGATCAAATCTGCTCTCAGCAGACTCCAATCTGGGTCAGGAGCATATGATAATGCATACCAAAAGGTTATGGAGCGAATTGAGCATCAAATTGCTGGACAGGCAAGTCTTGCTAAGAGATTGTTATCGTGGCTTACTTGTGCCCGGCGCTCCCTCACTTTGACAGAGCTTCAACATGCTCTTGCTGTGGAGACTGATCAGAGCTTTTTTGATGAAGAGAATCTTCCAGACATTGAAGACATGATCTCTGTCTGCGCTGGCTTAGTGACCTATAGCGAAGAAAGCCATATAATTGCGCTGGTTCATTACACGGCAAAAGAATACTTTGAAAGAGAATGGTCTTCCTGGTTTCCCCATGCCCAGGGTAATATAGGTAGGATATGTGTGACCTATCTCTGCTATGACTCGTTTGAATCTGGATGTTGCGAGACATTGGAAGATTATGAAGAGAGGTGTCGTCGATATCCTCTCTACAATTATGCCGCATCGAACTGGGGTTTCCATGCACAAAGGCAACGCCTTGATCACGAGCTTGTTTTTCAATTACTGGAAAATGATAAAAAGCGAGCAGCATGTGCGCAATCTCTGATTTGGTCCGATCATACCTACGGGATCGAGTTTTGGAAAATCCCCAAAGATACCACAGCGCTCCAGCTGACGGTCGAGTTGGGCCTTCTCTACGAAACAGAGTACCTACTAAAAAGTCACCATGATGTTAATGTCCACTCAGATTTCTTCGACACTCCGATTATAACGGCCATTAGTAGTGGCAACGAAGACTTGGTACGCCTTTTGCTCCGCCACGGGGCGTGTCCTGGCGATATGAGTGATTTTGGAGCAACTTTGGTCTCCATTTCAGCAAGCATGGGTCATGAGGCTCTCCTCGGCCTCGCCCTCGAACTGGGTGTAGATCCCGAACTTGGTGACAGGAATGACCGCAGCCCTCTCTCATATGCAGCGGAAAATGGCCACGTCAAAGCCGCTAAGATGCTGTTAGATGCAAAAGCAGATATCGAAAGAAAGGATAAATGGAATGGTAGGACACCCTTGGCCTGGGCAGCTGCCAACGGCCAACAGGCTGTTGTCCGTCTGTTACTTGAAGCAGGTGCTCGACCTGATACTAAGACCACCGGAAGTGCGATATATCACGTCGCGCGGACACCTCTTTCTCTCGCTGCCCAAAACGGAAAGAGAGAAGTCGTGGAGCTATTACTGGAAAAAAATGTTGATCCAGACGAACCCGATGCCAACGGTCGAACGCCACTTTCGTGGGCTGCCGGGGAGGGCCATCTAGATATAGTCCGAGATCTCCTCGCCGCGGGTGCAAATATAGATCGAATGGATGCACCGAAAGATGGGTTGCTGTGTTTTGGTCGTACGCCGCTGGGATGGGCAACGCGCTCGTCCCAACAAGCTGTCGTTGAGCTTTTGCTGGAAAAGGGGGCGAATCCTAATTCATTTACTGAGGAGTCACCATTATCAACTGCTGTCCAATCAAAAGATGCGCAGTTGGTTGAGCTGTTACTCAGATATGGAGCAGATCCCAACCCAAATAATCGTCTGCGTCATTCAGACATTCTTGGATATGCCATTCTTGTCAAGGACAGAAGGATGCTAAGATCTCTGGTGAGATATGGGGCCCAACCTGAAGCTACTACGACTCGTGATGATGCATTATCATGGGCGGCTAGGAAAGGTCATACCTTGTTTGTCGAAATGCTTCTAGAAGAGGGTGCTGATATCAATACGAGAGACCCACAAAGTGGAGATACTCCCCTATCATATGCTGTGATAAACAAACACGAGGAAGTCGCTGCACTCCTAATCGAGAAGGGAGCTGGTGTTGATGTCCAAGATTGGAATAACCAAACAGCATTGTCAAAGGCAGCAAAACGAGGAACCACAAACGTGGTCACGCTCCTGCTTGAGAGAGGCGCAAATATCGGATCCAGAGATAACTTCGGCCAGACACCACTTTTTCATGCCCTCGAGCATGGGAACGAGAGAGTCGTTGAGCTTCTACTCGAGAAAGACCCTACTCTATTCCACAGCCGCGATGAGGTTGGCCGTAGTGCTCTCTTGATTGCTACAGAGAATCGACTGGAGGCAGTCCTGCGGCTTACTAGAGAGACCCAAGAGCATTCCGAGATACTTACTAGGGAGCTGGGAGCCGTTCTCCGCACCATATCCTCGCCACAATACGATCTAACGCAGAGCAAGAGCAGGAAATTATTTCTATGGGCGGCTAAATATGGTCACATGGAGGTGATTGAATTTCTAGCGGGAAAAGGCATCAGTTACGTCTGCGAAGATGAGTTTGGAACAACATCTTTAAATTTGGCTGTCAGAAACAGCCAAGCTGCTGTGATCGAATTTTTACTGAAGGAAGGTATTCAGCTAAATACGGTAGATGGTTCAGGCTACGCTCCGCTTTCATGGGCTTTTATCGACAATAATGATACCATCGCTTGCTTTCTATTGTCAAAAGGTGCAGACCCTCATAAACCCGTCAAAATTAGACCAAGTCTGAATGCCGGGCGTCTGAATTCCCCTTTATTCTTGGCTGTCAGACGAGGATTCGAAAGAACTGTTAAACTCCTTCTGCAAATGGGGGCCGATCCAAACTCGTCTATCACCGTTGGGTCACAGTTTGATGTATTGTCTCTGGCACAATGTATCCCTGGGAGTGTCTTATCCACTGCTGTAGGCAATGGAAACTACAGCATCGTCGAGGCGCTCTTAGATCGCGGTATCGATAATGGTCTCTGTCATGATAGCCTTATCTTGGCAATGCAGTTCCGCGATACGCCGCTTGTTTCTCTCATCATGCGAAAGGGAATTCGGGAAAATTGGCTAATTGAAGAATATGGACAATCTGTCTTGTTCTGTGCAGTATTTTTTGGTCATATTGATGTGGTGCAAAGCCTGCTGGATGCAGGCATGGACGCCAATACGCGGCCCACAAAGCGTTCTATTGACTTTCCCCGAAGAAATAGAAGGAGGGGGCAGCATTGGGAGCAGCGTGCGGGTGGAAATGTCACTCCATTGCGGTTTGCTGCGCAGGAGGGTCACGAGGCGGTCGTTAGAGCCCTTCTGGACAAGAAAGCGGACCTGGATGTCGGATCACCATTGCAGTGTGCAATCGATCATGGCCATGCAACAGTGGTCGAGCTCTTGTTGCAACATGGAGCGAGGATGGATATTCAAGATCGTGGCTCTCTTCTCTTGCAAGCCGCCCGAAAAGGTCATCATGACTTGCTCAAATTTTTACTCAGAAAGGGTCTCCATTCGGAGTCAGAAGCCTCTAATAAAGGGTGCTTAGTCCTTGAAGCGGCCTCAAACAAGCATATTGATGTCGTTCGTGTTCTCCTTGAAGAGGGGATAGATCCAAATTCCGTCGATAAGATCGGTCGAAATGGGTTGATATTGGCAGCAGAAAAAGGACGACCCGACATCGTGGATATTTTGCTTGATTACGGTGTTAGTGCGAAATCTGCAGATTATCTTGGACGCACTCCGTTGTTCCTCGCAGCAGTGACACGGAATGTTCCTGTTGTTAAAACTCTTCTTGAAAAAGGAAATGCGGATCCGCAAAGCACGACATGTGCTGGACGTTCCCCCCTGTCCGTGGCCCATGATTTCAAGTTTCACGAATTGATTTGGCTTCTAAACGGAAAGAAAAACGGGAGTTCCTGTCCTGAAGAGCACAATTTAGGTACACCTGTTGATAATTACTGGATCTGCGATACTTGTGAACGCCCTCTCTCTGAGATGGAGTGTTTTTCCCGCTGTTCAATTTGTCAAAACTGCGAGTACGAAAGTCCATTGCATGTATGCATGGAGTGTGTTGCTGGGCAGTTAGGCTGCTATGATAAGTTACATACCTTGGAGAGAGTGGTTTTAATTGAGGGTAGACCGATTACCATTGACAAAACTTCCAGGTGGCGCCAGCATACATTGCCGTTTCACCCTGCTCCTAATCTGCCACTATAAAATCAGTCTGGATTAGCCTCCTTTGAATATATCGCGACTATGTAGTACTTGAACAAACTTATGGCTCTCTGTTTCTACTCTCAGAAGACTATACACCTAGATAAACCAGACAGGCTCTTTTGATGCAGGTTTATATAGCATCGCTTCTACTTCGTAAGCCTCAAACTGCCCCCTTTGTAGCCTGATCGTTACCCTCAGTCATCATTACTTCTATGGTCGAGGCATTTGCCCCTATTTACCTCGAAGGAAAGAGTATTTATCGACCATTTATAAAAGGCTTTCAAAGCAAGAAATTGGCTTATAGCTCTTCCTAAGAGACTACGTGGATGATCAACTCAATTAAAGCAAGGTTTCAAGAGATCTAATCGAGAAGCAAAGAGCTACTTGAACAGTCACTATCAAATCTGTTTTCTAAAGTTATCTATAATCTAGGTTTCTAACGACACTTTTCGAACAATAGCTAAGCTAAAAAAGCCTTACTCGATGGAGCTGAATTTATAACAAGACGCATTAGTCTTTCGAAATTAATAATAAGATATTATAGCTCTTGTTCAGCACAGACTTAGTAGGGTCACTAGAAGTATAACGTAGAGATCTTAATATTAACTAGAGAGAAAGTAAACCTAGCATGATGCTAGAGTTCATAGAGCAAAATATCCGACACCGCCACTGATAATTAGACTGCTAGTAGACTATGTAGCAAATATCACCTGCAAACATTTTGATCGAACTTACTCCCGAAGGGCTAAAGAATTCCTGGTTTTTTGGAATCGAAAACCTCCTTCTCCACCATGTAAACTTCATCAATCAAAGGCCGTGGTAGCTTGTTTGTTGGTCGTGTGGTCTTCTCCGTCGTAGGACCGACCATACAGAATATACACTTTTATAAAAGGCAAAGTGTGGACTTTGACCAAGCAAGGGTACGTATGCTGACATGCCTTACGGGCCAAATAGAGCAAGTAAAGCGGGATAATCCATTGCTGACCATAGTTCGGAAGATGACATGGACACCTAGCATCCTATTAAGCAGCATATAATTCACAATATGTCTTCTCCAGAGTTCCTAGGGTTTTATGATTCAGATTGCCGTTATCGGCCTCGTCGAGGTGTGCCTCGGTGTCGCCTTAGATCAGAAGCCTAGAACTACTTGCTGGACCTAAACACTCGGTGCCGAGAGTTAAACTCAACTCAATGCCAACACTAATTGATTTAAAAGCTGTTCTACAGAGCTCAATTCCCTTACTATCGTACTGCTACGTATTTATAAAGGAGGGCTTAATTCCACGTGCCTTTATCCGTCCCCCTAATACAACTAGTGCTCGTACCTGCAGGCTCCCCTGCCAATTGAAATAAATATAGCGAATAACATAATGCCACCTAATCAGGTTCGGCTGCATGGTAGCGTTGTTAGTCTGATATATATGTGGGGATAAACTAACCTATCGCAGCTGTTATTGAATCAATATGGATGTAGATTTTGACTAGATGGGTTAAAGGCCCTAGATGAAGATCTTTGGCTATCTCAGGTCACAGCTTATGCGAACCCATTACATCTTCTTGGAAAGATCATTTACGAAGGATCTGGTGCTGTAGGAGGCACCACAGATAATACTACAGGAGGTCGTCGTGGAAATGAATCGAGTAGAGAGCCAAATTATCAGGACATTGATTCGCTGATTTGCTGTTTCCAAGTCCTATGATAGAGGAGTTATCGGCACTAGAATGAGGGGTATATAGTGAGCGCGCAACATATCTGCACTGTAGGCTCTTGGGTGTTGATAGAATGCTTGATTCTCTAGGATCGAGCTTGAAGCTCCAAGCCATCCAAACTATCTTTCAAAGCATCTCACTATGCTCTACAGGGGTATGAAGTAGTTCTCAAATGGGGTCCTCAACATCATACCTATCAAATCCTCCCAAGGTAAGATTCGAGGCATCATGTTCTTCTCACTCCGCAGGCATGTCTCTTTCAAGTCCCTCCAAAACATGACCCACAAGGACCTTCACTGCCTCGTCCGCTTTCTGTTCAAGTTCGTCGGGAACTTTGTGAACCGTGATACCTGGAGGGGCTATGACAGGAATCTCGTCCGGGGTACTACTAGTCTTTAAAATGCATTCCATTAGTACACATATGATGAGCCCATATTGACGAACATACCGGGAGGCTACTGGCATAACGTTGGAATACGCCGAGATAAGAGTCTTTGTGAGGCTCCGCACCGACCTTGTCGACCGCATCTTGGATTAATTCTTCGAACTGTCCAAGTTCATCAGTTCCATCCATGGAATTCTGTAAGTTGAGACATACCTCATTGATATCCGCGTTTTCAAGAGCATTCTTAGTCGCATTCTTTGCAAGATCATTCAATTTGCAGAGCTTGATGAGTTCCTCCTTCTCTTGATCGGTCAGCTCGACACCATCTTGGTGAAGAAGCTCACCGGCAGAGGTGTAGAAGTCGTCGAGCACTTCTCCGAATTCGTGGCTGGGGAGAAATTGGAAGTCCTTCGTATTTTGTGCCTCGAAGCTATCCGCTGCTTTCTTTTCACCAGATCAACTTAGCTGACTATTAATATACGGAGATACAAAGCAAGATTCCACCTACGTCTGGGGTACCAAATGCCCTCTTCAGCTTCAGAAGCACGAGACTTCCGCGTAGGGAGCTAAATTTCCATCTTTTCTCTAGGCCGTGATACCCGTAATGTGCGCTTTCATATACCGTCTTGGCAAATACGTAACAGTTCCTGGTCCGCAAGTCGTAGCCACGTAGCCTATCAGTGACTTCTTTCAGCAAATTGGCTAAGCTGACGACATTTAGATTGTCGTCGTCAAAGGTCAGCGACAACAGAGGGAGAGGAAGGAGAGGAAGAATGCGACCAGACGATGACGAAGACGAAGAAGAACTTCCGAACGAGCTTCCAGCCGAGGTTCCCGAAAGATGGCTCGAAGAAGATGGACTCAAGGGGCTAGTGCCGTATGACCATCGACCGATAATGACCTGGTCCTGCTTTTGCTGACGCTCCGCCAGCACACGAGTGCGGCCCTCTGAACTGGAACCAGTATCTTCCAAGATGATTTGCAGATACTCATGAGCCAGTGCGGAGTTCAGGTTCTTAACGTGTGTGATTCGTCGGACGAAGCAGCGAGCATACTTGGATGCATTTTGGCTCAAATCGGAGTACCACTCGCCTGTGGTTATGACTTTCTGTTCGGAGGTGAAGACTAGTGGCTGGAAACCCATATTGATGAGAAATGAACAGTATCAATATACAATCTTGATATCTGTTGGTTTGCTCAAGGGAGAGAAGGAAAGAGAGAAATGAAGGGAGATGAAGCTACTATATATGCATTAAGTATACAGGATTACAAGGAATGTTGATTTTACTTGTAAAGAGATGATGATTCTATTACATTCCAAAATATAATGGAATCATAACTCACTATCCTAGTCAGCTGTGGTAAGATTATAGATTAATTGTCTGCATAGTACTTATGCAAGGCTAGTAAAGTGGTGTGTAGATGAGGGGCAGTTATGTGGTATGGCAATACAGATAACCATTTCATACAAACCAGATAAATCAGAATCATTGAATAGGATTAGAACGAAAGGATAACAGGACACATGTATATATATGAGACTTACTCGATAGATTGATGTATAAGTATACATATTTTACCGGAAGCAAGAGAAATCTTTTCTCATAGATCAAGGCCATCCGTATATCTCTATCCATATATCTCTGAAAAAAAAAAAGGGGGAGGGGGGCTACGTATCCTGCAGCATAGCAAGAAATCAATACTTCGGAGATGAATTCCCTTTCGAGTTTCCCTTGTTACTATCATGGATAATGAACAACCTGTAGATTCCACGTAAGCAACGAAGCAACACAGCCTGCGCGTTGCTCGGGTATCACTGCATACTGATATAGATAGTATGGATGGTGAAGAACCTATTCTTTCGGCACTGGCGATCCGATACTTAGTAGGCGATCTCCCTCACCTTCCGCTTTGGGCTAGTTTTGCGTATAGAGAACCTCTTGAGCTCAATTCCCCCACAATCAAGCATCTTCCACAGGCTCCAAGAGATAATAAACTGCCTTTCGGAGCTCCTAGGCTCCTAGTAGCAGATCTCTGCTTATTTGGCCAGCTAGTTGAGTCATCTAGTAGATAACTAGTTATAACTAGCCTCTCCGGTCACGTAGCTAGAATCAGGAATTCAAGCTTCTTATTAGCAAGCCCAAGACAGCTTGTAGATCCCATGTAAGCAACCAAGCAACATAGCCTGCGCGTTGCTAAGGCTTTGTTGTTCAGGTATCACTGCATAACAATAGAGAGATTGCCCTGATTTCTATACCAAATATGGTCAACCAGAAGTGATGAACAAAAGAAGCGAAAACAAAAAGAAAAAAGAAAGAAAAGAGAACAGAGAACAGAGAGAAAACGGCTGGTGACTGTTGCAAAGCCGGGCAGCTCGACTTCGGAGCTGGCGCGTTCTCCGAATCTAGCTGATTTTTAGCATTGTACTCAAGGTATTTAATGCGTTCATTGGGCTTCATTTGGGGACTTTCACGTTCAAGCAGCTGTCGAGAATCCACCATGGCTTCAGAAGTCGCAACGGCGGCGTGTATGCCGATGCCTTCTACTCATTCACTCGAGATGCCTTCCAGTAATCTAAGACTGAGCAACTCGGGCTCAGGGGAACTGTCGTTGGCTGTCAATATGGAATGGTTCTGGGATGTTGGCATGTTGCACGTTCGCTTTCTCAATCACGACGACCGCTGCCAGCAGATGGTGAAAGACGCGGCGAAGATCTGGGAGAAGTACGCGAACATTCGGTTCGTCTTTGACGACTCCTCGGAGGCAGATATTCGCATCCTGTTTGACACGAAATTGAAGGGTGGCAGCTCGCTGGTTGGAAAGCACAAACAGAAGGAAACGCCGTTAGACAGACCGACTATGATTCTGGGTTCCGGGCTTAGCGACCGGGAGTTCAAGAGAACGGCCCTTCATGAACTGGGTCATGCATTGGGTTGCGTCCATGAACACTGCAGTCCAGTAGCGAGCATTGACTGGGACGAAGAAAAGGTCGTCTCTTGGTACGAGGAGAATAGTGGATGTTCCCAGGACAGGGAGTCGCTTCAGAAATGGATTCGGGCCAATATCACCCGACAATACAACTCCAGCTCTTCTTTCCAAACCACTGAGTTCGACGAAAGGTCGATCATGGTCTACCAGATCCTTCCCGGCTGGGCGAAGAAGGGCTATTGCGTCGACTGGCCAGACAGTCTTTCCGAGGCAGACAAGATGCTGATCCGGAGGATCTACCGTTCTATCTTGCCGACAACCGAAAGTGGCCAGTATAGCACCCAAGACAGTAGGCTATGGTACCAGCCGAAGGGGCAAAATGTCATGGAAATCCAGCTCAACAGTACACGCGAAAATGAACCAAATTTCACCGTAGGGATCACACATTTCGATCTGGAGCGTGAAAAGAACATGCATCTCCAGGCCTATGCGGACGACTTCCAACGGGACAGCTTCAAACTCCATCTGGATTCGATATCCGGCACCACCCAGTACTCAGCCGCCGCCACTTGCCTCGTGAGCGAACGCCATGATTTCACGTTCCAATCTGGCACATACGCGACCAGGCAGAAAGATAAAACGTATCCCGATGGCAAGGAGTATACAGCCCCCATCAACTTCGAAAGAGCCTTTCGGACGACACCAGGCCTGGTTGTATGGCTCAAGGCCTTCCAGTTCGACAAGGGAGGGCGTCTCAACGTTCATGCGTATGCAGGGAATTCGGACAGGAACGGATTCGATCTGCATATTGATAGTTGGGATGATGCCCGCCTCGTGAGCGCCGAGGCGTCGTGGATTGCCTATGAAACCGACCCACCCGGCATCCACTCCGGAGTCCTTACGTTCCAAAATTTCAGAGAGAACGAACAGCAGTATGGGGATACAAAGCGTCATCAAATCAAAGAGAAAAAACTGGGCGAGTGGCAGCTCAGAACGGTGTATGCTGCTATTTCCAAATTCGATTTTGAACCAGATAAGATACGGCTGTCCCTCAAAGTCAATCCAAGGGTCTCTGCTTTTGAAATCGACGCAATGACTTGGGCGGACAGCAAATGTCATGGAGCAGAGGTGTCCTACCTGGCGGTTTGTGCTTGATTTGCGTGGGGTTGGCCAGCATCGCTCTGTTGACGGAGGGGTGAGGTCGGCGAGATGCGATAGCGAGGCGGGGTCTACAGAGCTTAATTCCCTTACTATTGTACTGCTGCGTATTTATAAAAGCATGCTTAATTCTATTAACTGCCTAACTTATGGGGTTTAAATACATTCTGGTCCCCTTTTATATGCCTTCATCCGTTCCCCCCAATACTACCAGTGCTCATATCTGCAGGCTCCCCTGCCAATTAAAAACAATACAGCGAATAATATTATGCCATCTAATCAAGTTCTGCTGTATGGAGGTGTTGTTAGTCTGATATATCTGTAGGGATAATCTGACCTGTCGCAGCTGTGACTGATAATATGGATGTAGATTTCGACTAGATAGGTCGAAGGCCCTAGAGATTGTAAAATATCGAACAGGATCATGAAGATCTTTGAATATCTTAGGGTCCGGTATATGCAAACCCATTACATCTTCTTGAAAAGATCCTCTACCACACCGGTTGAAGGATCCGGTGCTGTAGGTGGAACGTAACTGACTTCGTGAGGTTGCTCTGCTCCTGCTTCGACACCCACGGTGGTCTGGGCCAGTGTCTTATTAGCGAGAATTCTCTTCGTCAAAGCCTTTCTGATCTCATCAGCGAGATCGCTATTAATCAGCTTGAAGATCTCTGTCCCACAGGCGTCAGCAGCAGTAATATGGGCTCCGTCGGATTTGCACTAGGGTGTTTACTCACCTAGCGATCTCTGTTGTGTCGGTATTATACGGGCCGTAGAGAGAGAAGCCACAACATTCGTCACGAAGTTTTTCCGCAATTTTGGAGTCATGCTCATGTAGTGATCATTGCATTGTGTGTAGTCCGTGGTGTCCATAGCACTCTTAAAGCGTTCAAGGTTGCCAGACCAGTTGAGGAAACTTATATTATGGTTGTCCGGGGCGACCTTGTTATCATCGCTTCGAATGTAATTGCGCGCGTTGGCGTAGTTGGTCATGTTGTACGCTCCATCTCGCCTTGTGGGGCTGTAGACATATGAGCATGGCCGGTTTGTGGGCAGCTGGTCGTTGTTGACGCCGAGACGGTATCGTTGTGTATCTCCGTAGGCGAACAGGCGAATCTGAAGTACTAACCTGGAAGTTAGCGCCGTCGTATGAATCAACAGGTTCTGACGTACGAGGATCAGGAGAGATATCCCAGCCAGGCACGATATTTGCCGGATTGAAGGCGGCCTGTTCTACTTGTGTGAAGAAATTCTGAGGACATTCAGTCAAGGTTATCTTGCCGAATTCTTTCCATGGAAACACATTCTCTGGGAGGATCTTGGTGGCATCAAAGATGTTCACAGGGCTCATGCTGGGGTCTTTGACTATTTGTGCCATGACCTTCCAGGCTGGGTACTTGTTGTTCACTGGATCCGATCGCGCTTTCGTAATTTCGGCATATAAAACACGAGCCAGCCAGTCTGGGTCCTTACCAGCCATGGTGGTCGCAGCGCCCAGGTCGAAATAGTCATTGTCAGGATCGATGGCAGGGTCAGGAACTAGTTTGATCCTGACCAGGGTGTGCTCCCAACTGTGGTCTTGTTTCTAAATTATTTCGCGCATTGTCAGTATCAAGGAGCGAGCCATGTCACAGAAGATCAAGTTGCAGCAACCTTTTTGGTAAATGTATAACAATGTACACTAGATGCCTGCATTCGAGAGTACGACTTTGGAGTACCCTCATCACTGAAAATTCTCATCAATGCGTTATACCCCTCTGGGTGGTTGTTGAAGTAGCTTCCCAACATTAGCAAAATATCAATATACACTCGAAGAGATTCCCTTACTCCCAAAACTAGGTGCTTGTTAGTCAACCCAAATATGTAAAAGACTGCAGATAGAAGGCCTTACCATGTTGGAGTCCGGCAGGTTGCTGGCGGGATCACGCTTCGTCGCGTGGACAAGAGAAGGGAACTTGGCAGGGTCCCTGATCAAGAAGATTTCCTTGAATTGCATGTTAGCTAGAAGGCAAACCCTTTGGCATCCGACGGGACTTACAGGGTTGAGAAACAGCCAGTCAAGGTTCCCTTCCTCAGTGTAAAACTTAAAGGCCGCGCCCTTGGTATCTCGCACAGTGTCCGGGTAGCCTCTCTCCCCAGCAACAGTCGAAAATCGCGCAAAAAGCCGTGTCTTTTTGCCAGTAGCATTAAGGAACTTAGCATCAGTGTAATCGCTTACCGTGAAGTCCTTGTTCGTAACTTCGAACACGCCGAAGGCGCCTACTCCCTTTGCATGCACGTATCTGTTGCAACACAGTTTCTGTGTCAGATACTTGTCTTGTCCATTGAGGGACTGCTAGAGCGATAGTAGCGTCTCACCTTTCCGGAATCCGCTCACGGGTAACATGAGAGATGGTATCAATAACATTGAGATCTTGGATCAGCTGGGAGGCCATTCGATGTTTGCCGTCCAGCTTGTCGACTCTTTCCGTCAACAATGGATCCTCCAACGGACAACCTAAAATGGTCAAACAATCAATCAAATGCTACTGAGGTAGCTGACGACAAGTTAGACACTTACCATTTGACATGGTAAAAAAGCCCTTTGAGATGGGCGCATCAGGAATCTTCCCAGCATCAGGACAGAAATCTATGAAAGTCTATAAGCCATTGACTACCACCTTGGGGCTGGGTGATCGTTACCCTGGGCCGAGGTGGGATTGGGCCTTGCTAGTGACTCCTTGAGGTAGAGTTAGTAATGAATGATATTTGTCTGTAGGATATTCATACTTTATGCTCCATTGGGACGATGAGATCAGTGATCGCAGTAGGTTTAAAGAAAGAAGTAGGTTATGATGAGGTACGATTGCTTCTCAAGCATCTCTAGGGTCTATTTATGAGTTGACAGGACGTAGCATCACGAACCTCTCACATCATTTCGAAATAGGGTCAGTGTGGTATTGGATCATGGAATGTTAAGGCTGGTTGAATGCAGAACGAGCATGTTACACAAATGACTCCTTGACTTAGAAATTCTCCGCCAGGAAAACGAAGAATGCACATCTGCAGCAATTCCAAATTATGTTCATCCCATTTCTAATCAGAGCATTCATGCCGTTTGCAAACCGATGACCTCAATTATCACTCATGAATCATATGTCCTGATTCATCTTGACCTCAAGACTACCATCCTGACGTCTCTGCAAGGTTACAGTTCCATGCTTGGGCATGGTCAATCTGCGGAAACGCTGGCGACATTCAGGGAATTTGTTAATTTGCTTCCTATCACGCTGTCAGTTGAAGGATTTTCTACAGCTCAGACGAATTGCACGAAGCAGAGGGGAGGTCTCTTCCATGGTCCAACAACACGCAGCGACACGACAGCTTCCTGATCGACAACAGTGTAGGCATTGGAGAATTGTGCAATCATGATCAGTTCTCAAGCCTTACAGTCTGTTTTCAGACGAGGTATCACTCCATACATGCACCTTAGCAATCTTGTGAACGACAGCAGACGCCCATTGTTGTGGAACGAAGGCTATATCTGCTCCAAGGGATCACTAAGATAATGCATTCGTTACAGGCATATCTTATCGTTTCGAGCACCGTCCACATTGACAAGTCACCATGAAGCGCTTTCCCCTACTTTGGCTGATCCATGTGGCCGGAGCACTTTCCGAGCCCTTTCAAGCCCCTTTTCAAGTCCCTCCAAGCAGCACAACCCACAGCACAATTGCGGCGACCGCCACAGGTGTCATCAGTGACCCTTCGAAAGTTGCAAATCAGACATACGACTATGTGATTGCCGGAGGAGGTCTCACGGGTCTCACCATCGCTGCTAAGCTCCTTGACCACCCGGATAAGTTCAATGTTCTCGTGATTGAGAGCGGATTCTATGGATCTGAATATGGTCCCATCATCGACGACCTGAACACATATGGTCAGATATTTGGCAGCAGCGTTGACCATGCCTATGAGACTAACCCCCAGATTCACAAGCGGGTCGAGATTGTCCGGTCGGGCAATGGCCTCGGAGGTTCGACTCTTATCAACGGCGGAACTTGGACTCGTCCACACGAAGACCAGGTCAATTCCTGGGAAAATGTCTTTGGAAACCATGGCTGGAATTGGAAAGGTCTGAAAAAGTACATGGACGAGATCGAAAAGCCTCGAGATCCAATGAAGGACTCAACTGTAACCCCAGGCCATCTTCACTATTATGAACCGAGCTGCCATAACTCTGATCTTGACAAGGGTAAGGTAGAGGTTGGAGCGCGAGACCGAAAGACCAAATGGTCGCCACTGATCAAGGCCCTAATGCACACAGCCCACGAAACGACAGGTGCACCCTACCAACTAGACCTCTGTTGCGGTCGCCCGCACGGCGTGTCCATGTTCCTCAACACCCTGACCACAAAGCAGATTCGCACGGATGCTGAGCGGTCGTGGCTGGAGCCCGTGCTCAGGAACAAGGACTTAGAAGCCCGAATTACTGTTCTGACTGGTCAGCTTGTGGGAAGAGTCAATCTCGAGCAGGATGGCTCGAAGTACAGAGCAAAGGGAGTCGAATTCGGCACCCACAGCAAGGACGGCTGGAGGTTCAACGTCACGGCGAACCAGGAAGTTCTCCTTGCTGCTGGATCAGCTATCTCCCCTCTCATTCTGCAATGGTCTGGCATTGGCCCTGCCAGTGTACTGGAGCAGCCTAAAGTCAATATCTCACAAAAGATCGACCTCCCTGTTGGCCTCAATCTGCAAGATCAAACCACAACCTCCGTCGTCTCCCGAACCACTCCAGACGGCAATGGGCAGGGCCAAGCAGCGTACTTCGCAACCTTCGCTGAGGTATTCGGGGAGCATTCGCATTATTTCGAGGCGATGCTGAACGACAACGACACACTGCACAAATGGGCCGCCGATACCGTCGCCGGAGGCGGTTTCCACGACCAGTCTGCTCTCTTCCTCCAATACGTCAATTACCAGAATTGGCTGCTTGGCAAGAACAACGTTTCCTATGGGGAACTTTTCATGGATACCGACAACCATATCCACTTTGACCTATGGAACTTGCTGCCCTTTGCACGGGGCTACGTCAAGATCCTCGACAACGACCCCTACCTGCGTAGCTTCGAGTATAACCCCCGCTATTTCGAAAACGAGCTCGACCTCTACGGACAGGCTGCGATGTCGAAGCTCGCGCGTAATCTGACTCGCTCCGGAGATATGGGAAGCTACTACGGCGAAGAGACGTTGCCGGGGGCGCTGTTGTCTGAGAACGCGACTTTGGAAGACTGGGCACTCTATGTGAAGCAGAACTTCCGCGCCAACTATCACGGTATTGGTACATGCAGCATGATGAAGAAGGAACTTGGAGGTGTCGTCGATGAAACTGCTAAGGTTTATGGAGTCGACAACCTGCGCGTGGTTGATGGCTCTATTCCCCCTACCCAGGTGTCCTCGCACGTGATGACGGTATTCTATGGTATGGCCTCGAAGATTAGTGATGAAATTGTGAAGGCCTATGAGAAGAAGAAGAAGAATAAGTAAGCGCATAGAGCAGTATTTCGCGGAATTTGCTAACATCAGGTTACAGAAAACCACCTCACAGCCAACCGCTGGCGTGGGCTGACTTGAGATAAATTCAAACGGCAAAATGGCGGATGGTACTAGCCATAGCCATTATTAGTTAACTGATTGGTTATGCGTCATTTATTTTCCTCGTCTATTGCAGTCATCCTTGTAGGGGTTGAGACATTATGAGATTGGGACTCAAATTCTTACCACATTTCCAGACTGGTAAAGTAGATTTTGGTGCCCCTAGGGGCTCCAGTATGTATTTAACTAGTCGACTCAATCAAGCATCTTCAGCATCTCTGAGAGCAGACACTTATCGCTTTCTTACCGCAGACCAACGTTCTCGAAGTCCTCAGAGACTATGCCTAGTACGGCTGCTATTGGTTACTGCCCCCAAGAAAAGGGATACAGAGAAGGACTAACTGTAATATGGATAACGTGTTTGTACAAGCCTGGAGTTACACCGTAAACGGTCGCAGAGATCGTTTAGCATCGTCTCAGTTATCATTCTTGGTCGACCGCTATAAGTATAGGGGGGCTCAAACATCTCCGAATAGTCGCAGGTGGGAGACGCGTAAGTAGCCGCCCTGCCACCGAGACTCTCTGATTGCAATAAACCAGCTTTCCCAAGGACCGCTCCTTGTCGCAGGATAAACATAATATTAGCTACCTTCATTCACACAGCTGCAAATGATAAAGGTACCTATCAATAGCAGGACCAGAATAAATGGCGTCATTAGAAATTTGCTTTCCATGTTTACTAGTAAACTGTTAGAACATGTAGTATAGGTGGTATTTTAAATTTAAAGATGTTATAAATTTCACAGAATTAAAATATTTGAATTTCAAGAAAAAAAAAAGTATCTGAAACTTTGAAATTTTACCTATTAATAGTATTTACCTATTAGTTATTTTACCCAAAAAATGAATAAATGAAAAATCTTAACTACATAGTTACTAACTAATTCTTACTAGTTTATGTCCCCACTTAATTTCCTTATCTACAGCGCGCCCCATATATAGTCTGTGCATTTTAAATTTCGCAATGAAAAAAAAAGGGTAGAATTCCAGTATTTCATAAAAGAAAAAGAAAAAATCTAAATTTCACTAGTTACCCTTAACATGTAGACTCTGAAGCTTTTCCCGATATAGAAGGATGTAAGAGATTCCATCCATTTAGCTTAATCCTAAGCTTTTCGTCGCAGAACGCTTGTTTTTAGGCTGATTTTAAACCATAAAGAACCCGTTTTTCTCGAACATAAAAGCAATGGCTTACAATTAGTCTCCGTTCTTCTATACTAGTTAGTAACTGTCTTCTCTATACGGCCGCAGCGGTCAAAGTTACCTATAATGTTGTCCAAAGGCTAATAGCAATAGAAGAAGTGCAATCCTCAACCTTCTATCGCTTATTTGGAGGGATGCATCAGTAAAAGACTAAGCAGCAAAGTCATGGTTGCTATCGGTAGCTCCTTGCGCCACAGATGGAAGATCATCTTCCTCCAGTGGGGCGTTAATGTTGTAACTACTATTGAGAAATCTTTCAATAATCCGATATCGCGCTAATTTACATCTCAAATGTCCTTGTATGAATGAACACCATTCTTTCGCACAATTACACGGATCAGCTCACTACCAAGCAGTAGCCCATAATGCATACTTATATTCTCCATGAGATGAAATACCGAAGTTTTGCCAGGCAACCGTTGCCTGTAGTATATGATGAGCAAGACTGGATGCTCTCGGCATGTTGGAAAAGGGACGAAAGTTTGGAAAAACCCCTTTCGCAACCAGGACACATGTATAACCACCCTCCGTTCTCAAGGTCGCGGCGATACTTTCTGCTCTGATAGCATGCTCGCGCTAGATCGTCGATCTCGCCCTCTATAGTACCGGAAATGCAAGATCCAGATTCCAAATGTATCAGCATTCCTGAGAAAGTCTTGAATACCTGCTCGCAACCGTAGCGGTCATGACCGTAACATTCTAAGTCCCGAGGCGTGTGGCGTTGTTTATGCTGTCAGAGTATATCAGTATTTGTCTATCAAATCTCGGTTGACCAAAGTACCATTTCCAGATTATTTCTGTTTTGAAAGAATTGACCACAGTCGACGCAGAGGTTATGCTGTTCTACATTATGGTCTCGTAGTTCGTCGCTGGAGCAGTGGTATATTCCACAAGGTCGACAAAGGTGGTGATCGCTCACGCGATGCGTCTGAAGTTGATCATACGATATGAAATCAAGCGGTACAGGACATTTCCAGCAAACATTATGAGCCGCTGAGTCTCGAATATGAGCAGCTTTTGCTGATGGTGTAGAGAAATATCGACGACACCTTGCGCACCATTCGTGTCGACTGGAGGATTTGCGGTGACAGTCAAGGGCATATTGCGAGTTGAAGAACCTCTGACAAGGGGGGCACCAATAATAATCGTCATCGCCATAGCTAGAATCAGACCATAGGCTCATGTTGAACAAGGCTGGGGTGTTGGGCCTTTTTACGGACAGTCAGGAGATAAAAGAAGCTATTTATCTATTCCGAGAGTTAGGAACTGAGCTCCACTGTTTAGGCTCCACACGTGAATTTCATTGCCTACAGTAAATCCTATTGGTACCTATAACAAACCTAGTCCACCCCACCTAGTCTATCCAATGGGATTCGGTAAAATATTGGTTTTAACATGGTATAGCCAATATTTTACTCTCCTTATGCCTATACAAAATTTATTATAGCAAAGTATGTCAATCTAATTAGCTGATTTTATGCGCTATACTATTTTAGATTAATAAATTCTCGTTATAATAAATAAATATTCGGGTCTAGTTTAATTTGTTATAGCCAGGAATTACTGTAATAGATTATATAGTATAAATTATTAAAACAAGGGTAGCTTAACTATAACCCCAGTTGAGTTATGTCAGATCCCGCGGCTGCGTTCCGCTGCTGTATTCCCTATACAAACCGGATAGTTAGCAGCTGCAACGGGAAGCTACCTAGATTGACCTGCATGGAATCAATAAAGACGGGAGTGGAACCATGGAACAGTTTAATTAGATGTTCAGCTCAGCTCAGAACAGCCGAGGCATTGGGATAGAGTCGAGGAGCATAAATAAGTAGCTGATATCTAGATTCCGGTGTCAATTGGTTCTTCAAGCAATCCAGAGATCATTCCCTTTTCATATAAAAAAAAAAAAATCTTGCTTCCGTGATCCTAGATCCTCACAAGTTAAGCTCGAGAATTCATGAGTTCATTCGCAAATCTTAAAACCATATCCTTGCTCTCGTAGGATCTGGAAAGATGAATGATGGAACGCTTGATTCGATGTATATATATACTTATGTATGTATGTATGTATGTATGTATGTATGTACATATTCTGCTACCACAGAATAGACCGCGTCTCAGAATACCAGTTTCCATCAACCCCATCCGGCTTCGATAGCAGTAGAAATCGAACACCATTACCAGTCGCCTCTTCAGGAATAAGTACTTCGTAAACACGGCACGTACTCGCTGGTAAACCCCGCATTTCAACCGGAAGCGATAATTGCTTCTCTTCTTCCATCACCATAACAAACTCCGCAACCTTCGCATATAATATTCCATCCCACATTCCTTCTCGTCTGTGGTAGCTGGAAATTAAATTAATCGCTTTTCTCCGCAATATGGGCTCGCGGCATTTGAGCGCCGTGTAATACAGAGGTGATATGATTCCCATCTCCCCACAGAAGATACCGCAGGAGTCGTTAGATTCTTTCTTCTGATGATTGGTCGTTTCATCGTTTATGAACGTGGTGGCGATGGAGATGATCTCTTCGAAGTCAGAAATGTGGTTGTCGAATACCATCTCGTCCGGTGATAGGCATGTCTTCAGCCATATTCGCGCGACGAGGTATTGCACTTTCAATATAAGAGGTCCTCGAGAGTCAGATCGTTTGATGCGTTTACTCCTCGTCAGCCTTTCAAATTGACGCGACCAATTGTCTAGTGCGGTTGTGATGTGGGTTTGTTCTCCTAGGAGTTCCGTTGTCGTCAGACTGCAGTCTTGTCCGCTCTTCGTAAGACGAATGAATTTCAATGCTCTCTCTGTCAGTGAATCTAACAATACTCTTGCTTCTGAAGTTGTTGAAAATGAAGCTCTGCAGGAGGAGGAATCCTGGTTTCCTTGTGGAGTATTGAGCGTCATCAGCGGGCGACCAAAGAGCGACTTCTGGATGTTCAAGCGGACGAACAATTCAACCAGTTCTTTATCCACTGCATCCAAGATACCTCTCCTCTTCAAGTCAGTTATTATCTTTAGCCCCGCTTCGACATGATTGAGTGCTTGGGAAGTTTCCTCGCATGATTTCCAGGAACATGAATAAACAGCATGTAATAAGTGTTGGTTCCACTCTTCCTCCAGTTGGTGATGAGGAATGGGTGATCAAGTGGTGGATGGCCTTGTTGTATTGCTCCAGTACGAATTTCTCATTTCGCTGCGTTTTCGAGACAGTAGACTGCTGTACAGAGGAAGCAGCAAAGATACGTTGCTCATGAGTGGCACTCACGGCAATGATGGCGTGTCTTACAGCTGGCTCCCAAAAGCTCAGCCGAGGCAGCACGCGGCACCAGAATTCTGACGCAAAGAACCCTGCTATAGCCTGGGAGGTCTGGGTGCAGAAGAGTTCTGCATATTGGCGTTCCTCCCTTGTGCCCGGACGGAGAACCAGACGGCTGTCAGGACTGATACGGGGAGCTGGAGTGTGGTATGTTGATCTAGGCTTGCCGCTCTTGCTCTGCGTAGGACGGCATTCGTCGTTGTAGCCATCACACGTTCGCTTTGAGCTCCTACATCGACGGCACGCGGGTTTCTCTTCGTCACATTTAACACGTCGAATCCTACGGATATTGTCAGCTATCTCGCATGAATTGTGAACGATTATCTAACTTGCAAGTGATACACCCTGTCTTTACTTTGGGCATAAAAGCCCGTTTTTTAGTACTATTCATTGAGGGGATGCCTCGATGGCACCAGTCTGTCCTGGTGAGAAAAGAAAAAAAAAAAAAAAAAAAAAAAAAAGATACTACGAAATTTAGAAATATCGCTGAGATAGAATGATAAGCGTCGTATGGTCTGAGAGATTGCAGAAATAATTATTAGGATCGACTCTGAAATCCAAAAATAAACCATCGTCCATTGCGGCACTAGCACAAGAGGTTCTGGGGGCCTAAAGGCTTGGACCATTCGCAGAGGAGATAAAAGGCGGACTCGTGGAAAGCAGCAGGTGGCCTTACATCCAGAGACCACGCTGGCCAGTGAGGGGCTCGCAATGTCTAAACCACCAACATGCTGTGGGATTCCTGTAGCTATACGCTGGTCGAGGAGAGAAAGTGGGCGTCTGTCCAAATCCATGTGTATTTCACGTCGTAGAATTTCAGGAAGCGTTGTCGTCAGCCTGGATACGTTCAAGGATACTTAGTTATACCAGGGGTTCTATTTCCAGGGCAAACGATGTTTATAATGAACTAGATAGGTAGTGAACCATGAAATGCCTGTTTGAGCAATTTGCCAATGAGGATATGATTGATAAGAATTTTATGTATATGCGACCTTCTGAACGACAGGTCAAGCAACAAACACCGTTCTGGTATCACCAACTTGATTCAACATAATTGCCGTCTATCTACACATAGCCGCCCTCCGTTTCGCCCTGTCCAGCCGGGATGGCATTCAGTTTATACTCTAGATACAGGAAGTTTCATCTATACAACACGCCGCCAACGCCCTCGACGTCACGAGACGCATAAGTATGCGGAGGTAAACATAAAAAGAGGATAAGATGGCCAAGACCGTGGACGGTAGGCAAGGAGAAAATCAAAATTAACGGACGAGAGCGAAGAGAAGAAAAAAAAAAGCAAACTCTGTCCGGTTAGTCGCGTAGAGTATTCCAATGGTAAGAAAAAGGGAAGCCATGATCCATAATCCATGACGCATATGAGCATGGTTCATCTCATCTCTGCCATTTGTTTCGGCTTGCGGGATATCGACTCCCTGTGGGTATCGTTCATCTTCAACTCAGAAGTTGCTAAGCAACACACCTATTTTTGTTCGACTTTGGCTGGTTCTGCAGAGCTTTCAGAAGACGGAGCTGGCGTCTCACTATTTCTCGGTGTCTCTGTCTTCGTCTCAGGGACAGCAGCAGATGCGGCAGCTTCTGGCTCTGATTCGGCAGGTGTGCCACGGAGCTTTGATTCAGCTACCTTCAGCTTCTGCTGCGTGTCTTCCAGCTCCTGCTTCAGTGCTTTGATGTAGTCAATGGCCATTTCAACCGTGCTGGCCTTGCTGATCGTCTGGTTGCCACCCTTCTCCTTTTCTGTATTCTTCGGACCACCGCTAGGACTGTCTTTAGCCCTCGCTTGCGCGAATCCGGGAGGGAGCAAGGCCTCGATCTCTTTCAGGGCAGTGTTGATTCTATTTCGTCGGCCCTGTTCTGCGAGCTTGTGATTGGTACGCTTGGAACTGAGATTTTCGGCTAGCGTCTCTGGATAAGACACTCCTGGAAGAAGAGTGCCATCCAGGATATGCTGATAATTAGACTTGGACGCTAAATATAGTGCAGATGTCTCTGTGGATACTCCTGAGGCGACAGTTAGCATTGCCTCTCAAAACATGGTCAGATATTGAGCACTTACCACCATCACCACGGACCAGTGGCTGGATACTGGGACTGATCCTCGGCCGCAATGCCGGACTGATCTGCGAGCTGACACTCTGGCGTTTTCTGATGCCAGCCTTGGGGTCCGGCTTTCTCCCCACTGGTCCACTGGGAGATGGCATCGGACCGGTCCGCGGGCTCGGGGCGACAGAGACAGAAGAAGCTCTGTCCACGACCGACCGGGGCTCTAACGACGGGGTCTTCTTGGCAGACGTCGTGGGAGTGTGTTCACCGCTACGCATAGCAGTCTGAATGCGAGTCAGACTTGGCCTGTTATCTGCGGCAGCATCAGGAAGCTGGACATCTTCCATAATATCATCCTGCTGACCGCCGCTGGGGACCAAGCTCGCCTGGCCCGTAAACCGGCCGGTTGGATCCTGGGTATGCTGAGCTTTGTGAATACGCATGAGCGTGGCCGGCGTGACAACTGCACCGCTCTTCGGACCCGATGTCTGCGGCTCGATTACAGGCGACTTGCGATTTTGAGGGAGCGCCGGAGGAGGCATCAACGGCTCCGAGAGAGGCTCGGGGGACACAGAGTCCTGAGAGCTTTCGGTGCTTCCAAAACGCAGATTACTGCCTCCATTGATGGGCGCACGGGCGTCTTGGTTGAGCGCATTGGAGATTTCCTCCGATTGCAGTTGACTGCTAAGAGCCTGCTTTCTCCGCGTCTGCGCGCGTACGACGGGAGACTGCTTGCCTGCGCGACCGGTCACTCGCGTAGTAGCCGAGGGACGGCGTCGTTGCTTCCTCTGCAATCCAGGGGATGCGGGGGTTGAGACAGGCACCCCATTGGCGTCGACGGGGGAGTGTAGGTATCCCATGTCCGAGGCCTGGGTCGTCTGGAACGGGTACCCAGAACTGGAGCCTCGCGCCTCGAGAGCGGGCGAGGTCAGCGGGGTGAAGTACTCGCCTGGGATGGTATACTCGGGCAACCGAAATTGAGTCTCGAGCGGGGTCATAGCTGGCGAGATCAGGGGGGTATAGAAAGCCTGTTACGAGTTAGTACTCGAGTTCTGCCTGTCCGCGATATACATCTTGTTGGCCGTCCTACCTGTTCATCGTTGACACGACCGTAGCGACCATACATCTCCGCATTCTCTTCCACCCGCTGGGGATACCTGACGGCACCGCCATGGAGCTCGATACTGTTGGGGGTCGGAGGAACCATTGGCTGACCGGGAGCATAGCCATGGTGCTGAGGATGCTGGTGCGACGATTGGCGACGTAGCTGGTGTTGCTCCTGGAAGAAGTCGTTATCGACATTCATGCCGTTGTACGGCTGGGAGACCTGGCCCTGGCCCTGCTGGGACAGGTCCATGGGCAGATCGCCCATCATGTGATTGTACTGTGAAGATTGACCCTGCGCGTCTGTCTCCATGCGGTTCATGCCGTCGTCGGGCATCGTGGTCGTAATGGCATGGTTGGATCCGTGGAGGGAGCGCTCCGGCTGAGCGGAAGCATGGCCGTCGAGGTCGGGGAAATTGATGCCAAACTCGAGGAAGTTGGAGAACTCATCTCCGCCGGTCGCAGAGACGAGCGATTCGTCCTGCATCTGGTCCTGCCACGACATTGTGGTATCTTGATTCATTGCCATCACGGTGATCGTCTTCTAGACAGACGCAATTCTCGATGAGGGATGTCCTTTTTTTTTGAAATTTTTTATGATCTTGGCGTCGTCCAGTTCTAATCGCTATCTATCGTCGAGGCGCAAGCTGAGGGGGCCGCAGGTGGCTGCGGCTTCGGCAATGAGGAATTAACACGACCACTGGATGTTCATGGCGCAGCCCACCATCACACACACGCAACGAGAGATGAATTTGTAGAGACGAGGTCGTGGTGAGGGAAACGAAGGTTGTGGGAGAGAAGAGACGAGACGAGAGCTGTTCGATTCCCTCCGTTCGGGTGTCCCGACTTGGCGCAGCAGTCGGGGGGGATCGGGCTGGCTAGATGGGACGGACCAGAAATGAGCAGAGCCAGTAATAGTGGCCGGCAATGCGACTCTGCAAAAAGCCTCGTTATGGCGTCGTTAGTGCAATAATAAGAATCCATGGGATGGTTGCCAGTAGTACGTAGTACCACTTCGCTAAACTAAAGCGGTGGCATCTCTAGAAAAAAAAATGTACATACTAATTATTATTAAGGACGCCCGCTTGCTGGAGCTTTCCCTCGTGCGGGGTGTAGGCTAGAATAGCCTCTAGTTAACTACGGAGCATACTCGTTCTGCATTGATTTTCGCTTCTATTCTAGGTGGTGTCCTTTTTGCTCTACTCTACTCTAGACTATTACTCTCTACTCTGCTCTGCTCTATAATAATAATAATTAATTATCACATCGTCCTCTTTGCAGCCAATTGACGCCTTTTTTTCCCGTTCCGATGGGGAAACTTTCCTGTTTGGGCCACACCCCTCTCGGCGATACAGTATCCCCGATCCTCCGGCTGAGCCGTCCAAATGCGGTATCGCGTATTGCCCGATAGATAAACCGAGATAGATACGGTGATAAGGATGGGCGTTGGGATAAGTACTCACGGATTTAATTCACCTAAATTAAATTAAATTAACTCTCCTCGTCTCATCTCGAAGGTCTGTGGAAAGTAAAATTCATTAAATAAGGATTTCTCAATCAACACAAGTAATATGGCTTTTTATTTTATTTTATTAATTAATCAATAGCTTAATGGTGTAACTAGTCAGTTTGGGGCCAAACGCGTTGATGAAGAGGCATCTATCTCTATGTTAGGTACTCCGTAAATCCTCGTCAAAACAAGTCGAGTAGTTAGTTCGTGAAACGAGCTGAGATCGAGATCCTCCGCGTCAAACTCACCCTGTAGATGATTCTAATTCCTCGACACTGGTCTGGAATTCCATCCTGGCGACGGCCGACAGTTCCTGAGCTGCCAAGCGGGTGTCTGTCGCCGGCTTGACTCCGCGGGGTTGGGCTGACGACTCCCAGTGACATACTTACATGACCCTCCATCATCAGACCAGCCCGATACTTACTATCGATCGTCTTCACTTCTCTCTCCTCCTCCTCGGTATTCCCGGTTTGCCTTCTCTCGTCTGGCACCATGAGGCCGGTCGTCCCTGACGGGCTACCGTCTCACTCCCGTAAACCGTCTGTCGTCGAGGCTGTTCCGCCCTGGTCCGATCTCCGCAGCGCAGCGCCCACGACCTTCTTCCTCTCCCGGGACGATGGCCGTCAGGATAGCTCCCCCACCGATCCAGAGGCCGCCCGAGACAGCATGTACGGCGTCCAGAGCTTAGAGGAGACCATCAACAGTCTCTCTGCCCCCGAATCCATATTCCCACCCGAAGAAGATGCCGTTCAAGACTCCCAGGACAACGACGACGACAACAACCCTCCAACGATCACACGGAGATCCACCCTGAAACCGTTCGACTTCCACGACGACCACCGCACCGAAGCATCGTCGCGGCCCGTCACTCCCTTGAATCTGGGGTCTCTCGAGGACCCTTCCTCGCTACCCAGCAGTCCCAAATCCACATCCAACCAGTCCCTCAAGCCGCTCGACGACATCTCGATCACCGATGAGATCAGCAGCCAGGCCCTCGCGTCCGGCGACGAAGAGGAGCCTGTCGAAACGCAACAGCCACCGGACAGTGCCTCCCAATTGATCATGCCCAGCATCAAGATGCCCAGTCGTCGGCCTTTTACAGACAGAGGGAAGACCATGGGTCGCCTCAAGGTCCTCGTCGCCGGTGCAGCGGGTCAGGACACCCCGCAACAAAAGACTTGTTGGGACACATAAGCTGACACTGTACAGGCTCAGGCAAAACCTCGCTGATCAAATCCATCTTCCAAGCCTGTGAAGATATCGTCCACGTTGATCCACTTCCGGCCCCGCTACCTCCGCAATCTAATCGCTCTGGCCGGTCCCGCTCCAGGAACCGGTCCAAACGGACAAAGTCAAGTCCAACCATTGCAGAAATATACGCCAGCACGAAGCCATATCCCTCATGGTGGTCCGACCTGGAGGACTCCCGTGTCCTCCGCAGGCGGAAGAGCATGGGCGACATCGTGCTCGAACGCAACCTCTGTTTCGTCGATAGCCCCGGGACTGGCCTTTCACGGGCCGCACAGACCGACTTGGTCATTCAATACATGCACCAGCAGCTGATGCGGGCCATGGCTGCTTTTGATAGCATCAATGCCGATCTACAGGGTATGCTAGGAGGGAACGGAGGTTCTCAAGTAGACGCCGTCTTGTATCTCATTTCCGAAGGTGAGCATGTCCCTCTGCCACATGTTGATCCGCCATACTGATCCACTCCAGACACACTGTCGACCGATGTAGAGTGTATCCGGAGGCTCTCCGAATTCAGCAACGTCATTCCCGTTATCTCCAAGGCCGACCTGCTGACTCCCTCTCAAGTGACATCGATCAAGCAATCGTTCCACACCCAGGCACAGAACGCTGGAATCAAGACCTTCCTCTTTGGAGATCTACCGCCGGGGTATTACGACAGTCCCCAGTCTCCATTTGTTGTGTCCTCGGCCCTGTCAACCGACGACGACAACATGGACGCGAGTGTGTTGATGAGCCCGGATTACGAGCAACCGCTGGCTCCATCAGAGCTCGGAATCCTAATAGAGAAAATGTTCGATCCCGAGAATTTGTCCTGGCTACGACACTCTTCAGCCAAGAAACTCGCACAGCATCGTGCTATTCCTCAGAAACCTCCGTCTGCACCGAATGCTTCCCTATCTCGATTGAACGCTTCTGGATATTCATCGCCAGCTACTTCTTCTGTACCAAAGGTTCTGGTCTCATACCCTGGAGATGGCTCGTCTAGTTATACCCTGGCGCGTGTCTCTGACTACACGCAGCGCGAGGAAAGGATGGCCCAAGTACGGTTGGCCAAGTGGGCTGCAGACCTGCAGCGCAGTTTACAAAATGAGCGCGAGAGATATGCCGCTCTGGCAAGAGGAGAGCGGGCTGTCTGGCTAACGGAGCGACTCAATGAGTGTGTCATTGACGGCACGCTCGTCCCGATCACCCAGACCCCGGGTTTCTCTGGGTTGGGGCGAACGGCAGAAAGGGCTGGCAGCCACCATCTCGTGCGAACAGGAAGTGGAGGAAAGGCAGAGTATTGTGTCACCGATCTCAGTCCGCACGATCCTTTCGGCCTGATGCTGTGGAACGACGATCTCAGACGAAAAGGATGGGTTGCCATCCAAGTTGTAGGCAGCTTTGGTGTCGTAGGGGGCTTAGCCCTATGGCTCTCGAAGAGCTGGGGCGTATCATCGCAGAGTCTATCGGACTGGCGTTTCAACTGGTTTGGCAGTGATTAGCATACTTCAAACGCACAGAGTCGAGAAGAGTAGACATCCTCGTGAAGATGTTCTCTCGTTTCAAGTCTTGTCAGGTCAACGCAGAGCATCATTGATCTTGTTCTCCGGTAACGACCTTGGTCCGATATCCTTCATGTCGACCTCTTCCTTTTTTTTTTTTTTTCTTTTTTCCTTCTCTCATTCGATTTCCTACTAATTCCCATGTGCTTTGAATACTATTGTCAGCATGCATGAATGGCACGGTAGGGCTCATCATCATCATCATCATCATCGGACTGGCGCATTCACGGATAGTCTTTCGGCCTTCTTTCCCTATATCCACTCGATCATTCATGTGTCTCCTCCTTGTCTACGCGTCATCCTGCCTTTTGTGTCCATTGATCGGTGTCTGTGATCGGGACCGACAGTTTCTCCTGTCAGTCATCAAAAGGGCACGGCGGAGTCACGGTCCATTCCGGGAGTTAGCAATACAATACCCCTGGTGCAGTAACTAGGAGGCTCTTGTTTTAGATGCTCAATCCCAATTAAACCTCTTCAATTTGAAAGATGCAGGCCTGTAAACGTTGTAAATTATCTTGAAAAAAAAAAAGAAAACATCGGTCTTGACCTGACCGCCCAGCATTCGTTCAAAGCAAATACTCCCTCGCCCCAACCACCACACTCAAAACCCCATACACCCCTCTCAACGGCCATATCTCCTTAACCCATCCCCAAACCCGCCTCCCCCAACCATTATTACCTTTCCGTCCATCCACAGCATTATTATCATCCTTAACCCTAACCTTCTCCCACAAATCCGGTAGATATTCCGCGTGATACTTCTCCCTCAACTTCCGATACGTCTCTCGATCGTATATCGCCCAAAACTCCTCTTCTGTATAATATGTATGGGCGTATAGACACTTCTGGCCGCCGAGAGAATGGACTTTTTGCTCTAGACGGCGATTATAGGCTTTGAATTCTGAGGGAGAAGATGAACCCCAGGGACAGGGGCCCCATATTCCGACGTTGATGGACTCGGGAATCAAGCTAGTATCAGTATCTTCTTGTTGTTCGTTTCCGTCTTGGCTCCGCGGACGAGTCTCTTTCTCTGCGTCCTCGGCAAGAATAATAATAGGCCCATACCCCTTCTTCCTCTTCTGGTTATTTCCAACACCGCTCGCTCCTTGTTCCTTCAAGGGACAAATCCATAATGGATAATAACCAAATTCCTCATGGAGATAGTCCACGAACTCATCCAATTTGTCACTGGGTATACCCACATCTTGAATGATGTATCGTTTCGCGAGACCGCTTTTATGTAATGCGTGATACATGACGCGTGTGTGCATGAATGGGTCTAGGACCCAACGTGTGAAGGCGTTGAAGGGCACAAGGAAGTAAGAGAAGGAATATCTGCCGCCCCAGAAGGCACCGCGGTCGTAGCGGAAGAAATAGTCTGTTGTGGGGATGAGTTCGGTGTGAAGAAGAGAGGAAGATGATGTCTTCGATGATGATGATGATGATGATTCTGGTGACTTAGGATAATATTTGGTGAGTACATCTTCAGCATGTGTATAGAACCATGGATCTTGCGGACGGGTGAAGTGTTGGATCGGGAGGCATTCTTCTTCTTTCGTTTTCATTTTCGATACCGACGACGTCGATGATGATGAGGAGGAAGACTCCTCCCTATCAGCCAGGAAGCCAGCACAAACCACACCCCTATCTTTTCCGAAAAGTATCCCATCGAGATACTCATATTTCATATCCAATGCAACCTCATTGATTTTCTCTCTCATCTCTTCCGCGCTAGAGATGGGGAAATAGCTCAATTGCACAAAGGGCTTCGCGTCCCGTAGCTTCACCTCCAGACATGTCGTGATACCTAACGTTCCAAACGAGGATGCTGCGCCGTAGAAGAGGTCTTCATTCTTCCCTTTTCTTTCCCTTTCCCCTTCTTCTTCATCTTCTTCTTCATCTTCTGAAGACGCAGAAGCCGGATACGCCTCCACAATCTCCCCATCGGCCAACACCATCTCAACCCAACACACGATCCGATCGAAAAACCCATACCGAAACGAACTACTCTCACCACTCGTCCCTGCAAACCCACCCCCGACAGTAATGCCCGGAAACTCCATCACGACCAACGGCACCAGCCCCTCCTTTAAACAAGCCTTCACCAACACGTCCATGGAAACATTCGGTTCAACGAGGGCTGTCTTTTTATGGGCCGTGTTCGTGATGCGGAGAACGCGGTTGAGGGAGCTGGTGTCGATGGTGTTGGAGCGCGTGTAGGAGGCGCGACGAGTGCTGCTGGTCGTCCCGTGGTATATATGGAAGGGCAGTTTTTGAGAAGAAAAGGATTGGACTTGTTGGGAGATATGGAGGACGGTGGCATTGTGGTGAGGATCCATGGTAGTGGATTTTGGGATTGATAATTGATTGATTGATTGATTGATTGATTGATTGATTGGGATATTCTCCTTGGCCCAATTAAGTAGAGGTAGGTGTTGGCTTTCTTTCGTAGAACAAGCTCCCCTTAAGTCGAAAATAATGATCCCACATACAAAGCTATGAGCTATGGTTTGATAGGAGAGTCAACTTTCACCTTCCTACCGAATGGGATGATACTCGCGGTCACGAGACCAGAGTGATAATGAATACAACTCACCAAGAGGATGTTAAAGAAACCCAGAGGACATTCAGCCGCAATGATTTCTCCAGCCAGTTCAGTCTATATAAACAGTATGGACGCAATTAGGATATCTGACTAGGTATTCTCTCTCAATGAGAGAGATAACAAACAGATTGCTCGACCACCTAGGTAGGTACCTATCTAGTGACGTCTTATACGAGCTAAGTGATGATACACTCAACCACGCTCTTCAAAAGAGAAGATCGATGGAAGATGGGCAATGGTGTAAATGGGATTCGATATACAGCTCGATCCTACATGATAAATGAGCTCCAAGAGGAGATTGTTCTCGCCAAAGCTGCTTATCAAGGGACAATTACGTATGCTGCCAATGCCGACCCCACCGGTAGATGCGTGCAGTAGTTAGTTATTTAACTATCAGCCAATACTTACTAAGTAGTTCATTAATGTATAACTATATACAGTTCAAGTGATTTTCGTATTCTTATATGCTTACATTATATCCACTGATGCATCTACTCTACCTAACTGCATTAGAATCGCTGCACTCAACTTGAACTGCGGAGGCGGCGGAGCGGAGACATTTTGAAGCGCTTGACGTAACCCTACTTCACAACCTTGGGCTTGAGCATCGCCTTGCCCACAATATAAATGTTCTACAGGATCTGATGTCTTATGGGAAAGAAATGTGGAAAACGTAAGTAAATGCTTTTCATAATCTACCTACAGACTCCGTCCGAATCTTCCGAGAGCACTTTCAATCTCAAGAGGCACGGAGCTCTCATGAACCAGTTACACACCAGAGAAATGAAAGAGACGAAGCACTGGAAAACCGCTCGAAACGCCGCGTGACAAAGCACAATCAAAGGCTCATCCCCTCTCGTTCCGAAAACAAGGCGCTCAGAGTAAGAACGTCTGAGGCGACAGGCCGAAACATTAGGTAGAATTAATAAAAGGAAATGAAAACTATAGGAAATTCATGAAACCAGTAGATGTTACACCCATTTCATCATATCGCATGGCAGACATCATTTAGTCAACCTCCTCCATGGCGCTCTCGCCGGTGGCCTCGGCGGCAGGAGCCTCCTCGGTCTTGGTCTCGGCCTCAGCCTCCTCGTCGACATTCAGGCCGAGAGAGACCAGCTTGTGGATGCGCTCAGCGAAGCTGGCAGGCTCCTCAATGGTGAATCCAGAGACCAGCAGGGAGGTCTCGTAGAGCAGCTGAGTGATTGACTTGACGGTGCGGTCATTCTCACCGTCAGACTCAACCTTCTTCTTGAGCTCCTTGATGATGGGAGACTTGGGAGAGATCTCAAAAGTCTTCTTGGAAGACATGTAAGAGCTCATGGAAGTGTCACGGAGGGCCTGGGCCTTCATGATACGCTCCATGTTGGCGGACCAACCGAACTGGCCGGTACGGATGGCGCAAGGAGAGCCAATCAGCTTGTGAGAGACAACGACCTTCTCAACCTTGTCACCAAGGATGTTCTTGAGGCTCTTGGCGAGACCCTCGTATTCCTTCTCCTCCTTCTCGCGCTCAGCCTTCTCCTCGTCGGTCTCCTCGAGCTCGAAGTCCTTGGTGATGTCGACGAGCTTCTTGCCCTCGAACTCCTTCAGCTGAGTCATGGCGTACTCGTCAATGGGGTCAACCAAGAACAGAACCTCGAAGTTCTTCTGCTTGAGGGTGTCCAGGAAGGGAGACTTCTGGACGGCCTTGAGGGACTCGCCAGTGATGTAGTAGATGTTCTTCTGGTGCTCCTGCATGCGGGTGATGTAGTCGGTGAGGGAGGTGGCCTCGTCACCACTCTTGGTGGAGTTGAAGCGGAGGAGCTTGGCAAGAGCAGGGCGGTTCTGGGAGTCCTCGTGGATACCGAGCTTGATGTTCTTGCTGAAGGCAGAGTAGAACTTGTCGAACTGCTCACGGTCCTCAGCAATCTCGTTGAAGAGCTCGAGACACTTCTTGACAATGTTCTTCTTGATGACCTTCATGATCTTGTTCTGCTGCAGGGTCTCACGAGACAGGTTGAGAGGCAGGTCCTCAGAGTCGACAACACCCTTGACGAAGCTGAGCCACTCGGGAATGAGGTCGGTGGCATCGTCGGTGATGAAGACACGGCGGACGTACAGCTTGATGTTGTTCTTGGTCTTCTTGGTCTCGAAGAGGTCGAAGGGAGCACGCTTGGGAACGAAGAGGATGGCGCGGAACTCAAGCTGACCCTCGACGGAGAAGTGCTTGACGGCGAGGTGGTCCTCCCAGTCGTTGGAGAGCGACTTGTAGAAGGCGGCGTACTCCTCCTGGGTGATGTCGGCAGGGTTACGAGTCCAGATGGGCTTGGTCTTGTTGAGCTCCTCCTCCTCGATCTTAGACTCCTTGACCTTCTTAGTCTTCTTCTCCTTCTTCTCCTCCTCCTCGTCGACCTCCTCGACCTTGGGCTTCTTCTCCTCGTCCTCCTCCTTCTTCTCCTCTTCCTCCTCCTCGGGGACCTCCTTCTCGGTCTCCTTCAGGACGTGGAGGTAGATAGGGTAGGAGATGAACTCGGAGTGCTTCTTGACAACCTCCTTGATCTTGCTCTCGTTGAGGTAGTCCATCTGCTCATCCTTCAGGTGGAGGATGATCTTGGTACCACGGCCAAGCTGCTCGCCCTCGGTGTCCTGGGTGATCTTGAAGGTACCACCGGCAGAAGACTCCCAGACGTACTGTTCGTCATCGTTGTTCTTGGAGACAACGGTGACCTTGTCGGCCACGAGATAAGCGGAGTAGAAACCGACACCGAACTGACCAATCATGGAGATATCAGCACCAGCAGTCAGAGCCTCCATGAACTGCTTAGTACCGGAGCGGGCAATGGTACCCAGGTTGTTAACCAAGTCCTGTCATTCTCTGTTAGTCCACTGCTCTCCCCACACACACACCTCTCTATATGAAAGGATTCCTGTTGGTTACTTACCGCCTTGGTCATACCAATACCGGTATCGCGGATGGTCAGCGTTTTGGCCTCCTTGTTGGGGATGATGTCGATACGGAGGTCCTTGCCCGAATCGAGCTTGGACGGGTCTGAAAGAGCCTCATAGCGGATCTTGTCCAGAGCATCGGAGGCGTTGGAGATCAGCTCTCGCAGGAAGATCTCCTTGTTAGAGTAGACGGTGTTGATGATCAGCGAGAGCAGCTGAGAGATCTCAGCCTGGAACTCGAAAGTTTCCGACATGGTGAAAGAAGTGTGTGAAAAAGAGGGGGGGTATCTAGAGATATGATTGCGTTAGCACTCGAGAATTTGAAAATCTCACTGCTGCTGCTGCTGCTGTTCGTCGAATTTATTTAAATTCTCGTTGTGAGGCCCAAGCTCCTGCGACCGACGGACAAACAAATGACGGAGGCAAAACCACTTACAGAACGGAAGAGAAATGTGGAGGAGGATGTAGAGGTGAGACAGAGGTGGTAGATATGAGAACTGCACGGCAAGCAGATCCAAAGGATATGGAGGATGATAGTTGTCTGAAGAAAGAAGAAGAGGGAAGAGTCGGAGAGGGGAAGCCCTTTTGTTCTTGAAGCAGCAGCAGGCACAAAATTCGACGGGCGCTAGAGATGATTCTACAGCGATCCAGCGACTTCCACGCTCTCCGCCATCCGCTAAGCCGCTTCGGGCATGCTCGATTGTTGCCTCCAGCGACATTATAATTATTAGTATAATAACTTGCGCTTCCAGCGTGTTCTACCGCCTCCAGGAAAAGTCCCGGCTGGCCACCAGTTCCTTCGTTTCCACGGCCACTGCAACTCATTCCATCCCCAGCAAGTCGACTCCCCGACCAGCGGTTCAGCCCTCAAACAAACCTCCAAAGAACCCCTCCAAAAAGCTGTCCGCTTGCTGCCCCTCCATCTAGAACGTTCCGCTCCACCAGTCACCGCCGCCGTTGCTGGGCCACCGCGACTATCCAGGCGCCGCCCCGAGCTTCGGCACAGACTCCGTTCGCGCTCCGCCTTGTCATTCCGCCAGAAATTTCTAGACTATTTACGGTTATCTGTTGATATGTATGGTATTCTTATCGCACGTGTCGTGGAATCTACGGTACTAGTGATGGTAGCATCCCCGGGACCTGCGATACTTACTTAAGTAGGGGGTGGCGCAAAATTGGGAGAGGGCAGGGACCTTGGTAGCTAGAAGTGCTTCCACTGTCGAGGGTGACCCTGCGTAAGGATATAGTATGCTATTATTCTTGGTTACTGAGCTTCATGGTTTCTCTTCTATTTCGGTATAGCCTCCTTCTGGGAAAATTCTGCCAAAGGTGGTACTGAGCAGAGTAGATCCAGACGCAAATGGGAATGCTAAGTATACATTAATTGAGGGTAAGATTCCAAGCGTCGAGCAGATCAATTGTTTTGCGTTGTTTCAAGTAACCACTACTCCATAATTAAATAAGGCGCAGAACTTATTTCCCTTCTTCTTGGCAACATGCACGCCTTAAAGGTCTGGTTTACATTTTATTTCCTCGCGTTTACGGGTAAAAAGAAAAAGCTGAAAATCCCAAATCTTTATCTCACTCCGTCTCTTGTAGCAGCTCATAGAGTCACTAAGAACCTCTACGCAGTGGATAAATCAAGAGAGAAGGCGAATCTCCTACCTCACTGTTAAGTTACGCCGTCTATATCTATATTGAATAGAGTTGGCTTAAAGGTCTATATTGGATATACTAGTATGGGACGAGAGCCCATATACTACCCGTATATCTAGGTAGCTAACATCCTTTCCCCCCGGAATAAATCCTCATTAGAATGTTAGACTGTCTGGGTGAGAATGAAGAACCTGCCAAAAAAAGCACGACATTAAAAGATGGCAACTATAGCAGGCTGGAAAAAGGCTTTGTGGAGTCCTTGGAATGCTTATCCATATTACACCTTTCCTATCCCATTATGTCCGACACTCGACAGGTTCCCCCTAAGTATTCCTTAAAGACAATCTTGGCAGGCTTTGCGTTTCATGCAGAACAACTCCGTTAAGATTCTTCACTTCCATCAAGTCTCCCATCGCACTCTACCAATTTCTATCCCATAATTGCTGTATCACTTGGATATACTTCTAGGCATCCCCCTCTTCCACCAATTACATGTGGAAGCAAAGCTTAGCCTTGAAGCTTGGCACGCGCAGGTACCAACGCGTGGGGCCATACTTAGGACAACGTCTTCTCATGTCGCCTATGATGCATAAGATACTGTTGTCTGAATTGCATTATCATCTTTCGATCAAGTTTCATCGTATATATAGTAGGAGGAAAATATCATATCCGCTGTTCCCCTCTCTCATGGCCAGCGCTTATGCATGTACATACCTAGGTACACAAGCTCTAAACCGTCGATCATCAGATTTATCTCGGCATTTGGCGAGATCCAATACCTTCGACAATAGCACACAGAGATAGTTGCAGTAAGACGTTATCCTCCTGGAATTCGACAAACTCGGTCTATTTGTTCTGCTTGTCAACGTTCAAGGACACTCCCGAATGGCTCTTCTACCAGCCCAAAAGAGTCTGTTATTCCTTTGCCTTGTACAGCAGCAAAGTAGAGTCAGAGAAACCACTGCTGGTGAAAATACAACCTACGAAACCTAGTCAATAATCGCTTACCCCGCCAAGTAGGATTCAACTTCTAGTTAATCCCCGCTTAATATTTCGGATTGACCCCCAAATCGAACGTAAACAATTATGCTCAGACTTGAATGGAGATCAATACTTTATGACTCGACCTGGGGCCTCAGACCACAATAGGACTGTCAGTACCAGGATAGAGCCTAATTTGATCCCGACAGCAGCTGCGAGAGTTCAGAAACTTGCTGGCTACACTTAAATATCGTCTGCAAAAATGAGCGAAATAGACGAGGGAAAGCCTCGCTGGAAAAAAAGTGGCCATTGTGAGCGGCTCTAGCTCGGGAATCGGTGCAGCAATCATCACCCAATTTAACTCACGCGGCGCATACACAGTCATTAACTATCCCTTGTCTTAGAGATGAATCAGAGAAGCTCATTGAATCATTGTTAAAAGCACCTGCAATTTCCGCGGAAGCAGACCAGGCAACCGTCTCGGGGCCTCGGAAACTGGTACCTAGACGCGACAGTTGCCAATTGGGGAAATATCGATATATTGATTCAGGGGGGGGGGGGGGGGGTTGGCGGTCAATAATAAACCTTTCGAGGAACAGATGTTGGTCGGTGCGGATCTAGCAGCGCTGAAGCATCCTACGAAAGGCAGCTCTCGAATTGTTAGTTAACATTGCATCGATATCTTCGCGTGTTTCTGTTTTTGTACTGTATCATGTTCCCTTGGCGGATGTCCAGCACATAAGTATAAAGCCCATTTTGGTCATGAGGTGTTTTCAAAAGGGCCTATTTGATAGCAATTCGTGTTCCTATAGCAGCATTAGGATGGACCTGGCTGTCTATATAATGACTGGAGGATTTGATTCTCTTTCTCGTTTCAAAATGAACTCGGAGAGATTTTCATGCATATGACCTATCTGCTAAAGAAACAAAAGTATTCGCTCGCAGCGGTCGATGCAACTCGACTAGAATACTCATTACCGCGTCTCGAGGATCATGCTCAGAAAACTGCACTTTTGAAGTTCAGAGGTAAAACATGATACATCACTAGTTCATACATACATACAAAGTGGACTAGATAAAAGATAAAAACACCTGTGAAAGAAAAAGAGTAACGGCTCAAGGAGGAAGGTATTTTGAGGCGAGTTGCAGAATTACGTTCATAACTTCAATTCTAGGCAAATACGTCCCTTGTGTTCTCTTTGCTGGTCATGAATTCCAATTGATTGCCACGACTCCGTTTTTCCATCCTAGCCACCCCCAGAGCGATGCCTCGGAACAAGAGGACAAGCGCATAATTGTAAAGGAAAAAGAAAAGTCCCAAATCCGAAGAAAGGGGGGAAAAGTGAAAAAAAGAAATAGGAGCAGGAAAGGAATACATAGAAAAACCAAAGTCATCAATTTACAGACCCTGAAAATAAGAAAAGGAATAAAGACGGGAAATGTAAAAGATGAGGACCTTGGGCTCGCTATGCTGGAAAAATACACGTCAGAGAATCGAGAAATGACAGAGACGGAAGAGTCGCGCATCGAGAACCGAAATAACAGCAAGGATATGATAAGAAATAGCACCGAGTAGGAAATGAAGAACTTTTCCAACCGCTAAAATGCGAGCGTGACACATAGTCGTCACATAACACATGTCATTAAGAGGATATGGGAGTGGCATCTTCAGGCAGTTACAGCTCAAATCGATGCGCTGAATGGGCCTATGTGAAGAGCATCCCCTGAGGTGAAACAGGATACATCATGAGAAGAGGAGCTGAGCATGATTCAGCGTTTAAGCGGCCTGGGCCTGGCTGCGGCCCTTGGGAGCGACGTTGCCTCCGCGGCCACGAGGAGCGAAGCCACCGCGGCCAGAGTCGCGCTGGAAGCCACCACCACGGCCCTGGCTGCCAGCACGGTCTCCACGGCCACGGGCACCGCCCCGACCAGCACCAAAGTTAGCGTTTCCACCGTAAGCGTTAGAACGAGGACGGCGCTCCTCGACAACGATCTGCTCCGATCCGATCTGGTGGGGATTGGCAGCAACGGCGGCGGCGTATCCAGCAGGGTCGGCGAACTCAACAAAGGCACAGTTCTGCGATAATTGTTAGACATATTCTAAAAGGAGATGACAGAAATTGGGATATATATTACCTTCTGGCGGCTGACGTCGAAGTACTTGATCTTTCCGTAGCGCGAAAGAGTCTGTTTCAACAGACCGGCATCGACCTTCTCGGTAACGTTCTTGATGTAGGCCAGAACATTCTGCTCCTCGCCGGCGCGGGATTGTCTCTTACCGTGGTCCGCACCAGCGGTCTGCCAGCCGGAACCGTCGTTCGAAGAAGGCTGGCTGACTCCTTTCTCCGAGACAGGGGCGGAGGGGGTAGCGGGCTGCTGCTGCTGCTGTTGGGGCTGTTGGGGTTGCTGTTGGGGCTGCTGCTGGGTTTGCTGCTGGGGTTGCTGAGGGGCGCTCGCAGCAGCAGGCTTGGGCGGAGCAACGGGAATGACAGGAGTAGCGACTGCGGCGCCAGACTTAGATGCGATATTGGCCCAGGTCTTGGGGAGAGCAGGGGCAGCCTTCGCCGGGGCAACGTTCTCCTTCTCTGGAGAAGGTGTGGTGCCCTTGGCAGGAGCTGCAGCAGGCGTAGGAGCAGGGCTCTTCGGTTTCTCTTCCTCAACAGCCTCTGGCTCAGCAGGAATAGCTTCAGCAGGAGCAGCTTCGGCTGGCTTCTCTGGTTCAGCGGCGGTCTCGGGAGCCTGAGCAGCGACCTTTGGTACTTTCTCGTTTTCGCCGTTGGTGGCAGCCTCCTCAAGCTTCTCGTCCACGACATGCGCCGCAGTTTCATTGTCCACCTGCGCCTCCACAGCTGGCTTAGAGGTCTCAGCCTCGACTTCCACGGGAGCTTCAGCAGTGGCTTCCTCGTGGGTATTGGTTGGCTCAATCGCGCCGGCTTCATCGGCCACGATCTCCTCCTCCTCATCGATGAGGTAACGGAAGACATCGTTGAGCACGTAGTAACCGTTTGGCTGCTCAGCCAGCACGAAGGTCTGAACGAACTTGCGCGAAGGTTCCGATCGGTTGGAGATTTCACCAATGACGCAAACCAAGATGTTGTCGAAGGAGGCCTGAGAGTCGACGTTCAGAACGCGGACCTTGCAGTCCTGGAAATCGAGCTGCTTAATCTTCTCGTGGATGGCCTGCAAAGGGAGCAGGAGTCAGCATTACTCCGGAGATATCCGCTTTTTAGGGGCTAAAGGGATACACACCTTCTGGCCAACCGCGACAGGGACAGATTCGGCCTCAGAACCGGAGACGAACTGCGACCGCCGAGAGTAGAACAGGTGAAGCTTCTCTGGGCTGCGGCTCAGAGTGGTGTAGTACTGCTCCACGAAAAACCATCCGACTTCGTCCTTGGGGATCTCATTCTTCTGGGTTTCGTTTGTTTGCGCACTCATCGGGGTGGATGACTGTGCAGGCTGGAAGTTGGAGACATGGTTGTGACCGTAGGGCTCGGTGGCATACGCGTGATGCGCAGCATAGTTGCCGTTGACAGGAGCTTGAGTTGTGTCGGCCATTATGGAAGGTACGTAGGAAAATCGTCTAATGTATGGAGAAGAATAGGTCGAAGAGCAGTATGGGCAGGAAAAGGTGTCTATGCGGTGCTGTCGGAGACGAGTCTAAAACTTTTTCTTTCGCTTGAAGACGAAACTTCGCAGCTGGTCAGTCGCTGGCGAAAATGCGCACGCGCACGCACACACCCAGAGAGAAAGAGAGACAGGCCCAAGGCGTCAATACGTACAATGCAAAATAGGTGATGTACAGATGCGGAGAGTGGAGAAAAGGATATCTCTCTTCTCAGGTCAAAGGAGAATCTGGTAGTTTGAGGGGGAAAGAATCGGGTGATGTGCGGCTTTTCGGGATCTTAAAGGCTTGCAAGAGATTGGTAAGGCTTGTTAGGCGCTGGAGAGAGCAATGAGGACGGGAGAGCAACGCAGAGAGACAGAAGTCAGAGTAGGAGAGGGGAATCCCTTGCGGCGGTGGTAGGAGAAAGATGAGAGCTGGAGACAAGGTGTAGCGTGAGTAGTGGTGCTGGGCAGAACGAAGCTTCCTGGGAATTCGCCTTCAAGTCGGGTCAAGTTCTGCTCGGTTCACTTCTGGTGCGCGCGGCTCTTTTAGTGCCTAGCTTGACCTTGCAGCTTCCCAGGGACGTTCCCTTTACTTCTCCAATCCAGGAGCAAAAAAAGAGCAGAAACAGCTTAACGATACCTCTTTTCTTTTCTCTTTATTGTTCTTTCTTCTCTCCAGGGATCTCCATGTGGTAATTGCAGTACCATTATTGATGGCTTGACGCCCTCTGTGTGATCTCGGATATACTGTTTCTCCGACATGAAGCCCTTAAGTATGTCCTTGATGGCCAGCTCATTGTCTCTTGAACAAGGAAGTCTTCCTTTTCAGAAACCGACGTCCTTGTAATGGGCCAATTACCGAATATAGGAGATTATCTGTGGTACTTCTCCAGCACGTTGCCAGAGCGACGGAGACTACCTACCTGATCTAGTCACTAGGTCTTACTCTAATAATTCTAATACTAGGTGCATGTATGATATCATCCCATGAATTTATGCAGCTGATACAGAAATGCCCTACTAGATAAGTTTTCAAGCAAATGCCATCAAATTAGCGGGACAGGACGCAGTTTCCCCCGCTAGTAGTGGTTCCTCCCATCAGAAACGGCGGCCTAAGAGTGAGTGGAAAGGCGGAATCTCTCTCGCTATATTGAACTGGCTGCGTTCAAAATCGTACTACATATATATATACGTGGGATTTCTGTCCTAGAAACTGGGTATGTATGATTGCAGGTGTCGCTGCCTCAGCACTCCAAAAGACGTTGAGGTTATTTCCTTGCGGCCAAATGAACAAATGCTGCATTTTTCCACTTCACACAGAATGCAAAACGTCCGAGAGAGGTAGTTCAATTCCCTTCATAATCCCAAGAACTCATCGAAGCCTTCCTCATTCTCTTTATCCTCTTCAGTTGCCATCGAAAACTCCTCTCTGCGAATGCAACATATTCGATCGTATTGTCCGATGTCCAATCGAGTCACCCAGATTGTATAAGCCAAAGCGGTGTGAACGAGTCTGAGGAGCCAATGGAACCTAGACTTGTCATCGGGGAGTCTTGTCTGCTGCATGTGAATGATGGCCGCCACACAAAGATACTAAGACTCTGCTCGGGGATCCGCAGTGTACAGAGATTATCAGTTTCTATTAACAGCTAACATTTAGAGTAGCAGACATGGTAATCAAATCCAGACAATGTGTCCCAGTACATGTAAAAAAGCGGTCGAATCGGGGTAATCGCAAAAAAAAAGACGTCAAAAAGAGCTCATAAAATGCAGCAGTATGGCGGAACGGATTTCGCAAAGAACGTAAAAGACATGACTAGAGTATCTTCTCGCAATAACAAGGCATGAATCTGCGGCCTGACAATGCCGCAGTACTAATCTGTCAATGTGGTGGCGGAATATTGCGTGAACATGTCGACATGTCGAAGGAGATCACCGCGTACATCACAGGTCGGATGTACTCTGGAGAGTCGACGTGATGATGACTGTTGACGGCAACCTGCCTGTCGCATAGTGGGGGAATCAAAGGTCGGCGTTCGCTCAAGCATCTCCGATAGGAAATCAGATTTGCTTCTCATTCAATAGCGGTTTGCGCATAACCGCGTCCTGGTTGGTCATCCGGCGTCCAAGAGAACGCTCAACCTTTGCGCCAAGGGCCAGTTTGTTCAAGTTGGCGGCCTTCTCTTCTGTGGGAACGAAGCGTTGCTGGGTCAAGGGCTTGTTCTCGAGGCGCTCGAGTCCGTCTGACAACTCCTTGATATCGGCCATCTTGGGGTCACCGCTGGGCAGGGTGCGATCCGAGTACGCAAGAGAAGGGCTTCCGCTGAGGGTGGAGAATCTCTGAGAATTCCGCTGCTGTGTGTCAGGTCCGGTGTGGCAAAGAAACAGAAGCGTAGCAATGTCTTTCAGACGTGCTCTAGCGGAAGAACTGCGATATCTGATCGAAAGACACGACTTACAGCTGCCATAATCGGCCTCTCCGACTCGAACGAGGGCTGACGAGCCATCTTTTCTATCCGGCGGGGTAGGTTGGAAAAGGATGAGAAGCGGTAGGAGCGGTGTGATGCTCGGTGCGCAATGACGATCAGAGGCTAGAGGGTCCTCCCCTATTAGACACGGGATGCTTAACCTCGGAGGAGGGGTGGTAAATGTACGGGCGATGTGCTTACCGTGGGAAATTAGACGATAGCTGATCCCTGATCGATTCGAGAAAGCAGGGTTTATGTGAGACGCTGAAATGACTGCACGGTGATACAGTTGGAAATTGTAGGAAGGAAAACGACGGGGAAAAACGGCGTCGGGGCGATAAAAACGCAGGGGACGTGGAGAGAGTTAAGTCACAAGTCGTATGAGATCGACAAGTGATAAAACCAACAACAGGCCGAACAGACGCCTCCCGCGCACGCAACAACGATATTCCTGCCTAATGTATGTATAATCGGCTATAGGACGAAAATAGCAGTGCGGACGACGAGTGCAGACAGGATCTAAAACAGCGTTTGCAGTCCCAACAACGGCGAATTTCTTCAACTGTCACGAGCCCGAGCAACGCGAGTCTGTAACAGTGTAACGGCTGAGAAGGGTGGGTCAATCAGAAAACAACCGGAGGATTGCGCTGGTGATGGTGGAGATGAAGGGTTCAGGGCCTCTTGAAGGCCATCGTGCCATCGAGATAATAGAGAACGGCCGTTGAACCTTGAGAGATGCGACCTAGTACAGGGAGGGTTTAGACAAAGCCTCCAGGGGCTTTCAGTTAAGGCAGAAGTTGTTAAAAACTTAAGGGGTTCCTACAGTGGAGGTCCAACCCTTGCCGGCGCTTTGCTTGCCACGTGCAGCTACCTCAGCTCCCGCCACGCGAAAGCCCCTGGAAAAACCGGTGGACCATTGTCTATCATTTCCTGTCCAGCCCGAGCTGATATCAATTATCCTCCATGTTAGACCAGATCACCGCCGATCGAGGTCAAAGACCCATGTTGTGCAGATGATATAATAATAATAATAGGTACTGCGGTCCCCAATCCTCTGTCTTCTGCGCAGGAGGCACAGGTTGATCTATCAGATGGAGTACAGACCGCGATGTGCCCTTAATAATATTTATCTCACAATTGTCTCGAAGAAACGCATCAGAAAGAAGAGGAGAGTGAATTCCTTGGTGCCACACCTGCATAGCGCGCTTGTTATCACAAATCCGGGGACTCCGGAGGAAGGCAGATGACTTATGCGCAGAGCTAACTATCCTTCAGGTCTCCTGGCTAGGGTAATCATGGCTCTCTTTCCCCTATCCATGCTGTGTAACCCCCAATGCGGGAAGGCCTTTAGCTCGCCCAGAAGAATTACTATACATATCTACTCCGTACGGAGTACATCTACGGAGTCCCAGAGGTCCCTGTGAGGCTGAGAGCAGTCCGTACTTCTGCTGCAGAGTAAGCACCCGGGCCGACGAGCTTGTTCTGTTGAACAACCTTCCGCATGGTATTCCCTGTCATCCACGCGGGCCATGGATTATGACGATCACTTGCGGGCTCGAACTAATTCATCATCAAAAAATCCTTGTTTTGGGGCCGCGACTGACTGCCGTCCCCGATCTCCCTTTCCAGACCTGGACGTCAACCGAGCAAGAGATCATCGCAAAGGTTGACGACTATCTCATTCTCACGTCATGGGGACTCCAGAGGATTTGCTTCTCGAACAACTGAGATTCTCTTGATACTGCGCCACTGTCTTTGGCGATCATCCTGGGATTTGCTTTTATGGCGCGTCTGAATCTTTATGAGATACCATATACCTCGGGGCACCGTACACCCTAATCTTTCCCTGGACGTCTCGCACCCATAAATTTCGTGTGGGAGTGGGCTTCGCCCGTACGCTAGAAGGAAGTATAAGATCCCGAATCTCGCAGATGCTATGCATATCGAGTGCTAAGCGTTATGTGCCTCTGTGGCCTGTCTCCCAGTCTGCTTAGCTCTTAAACCGGGTTATCCGGTGTATCTACTCCGTATACTCCGTGGAGTACTCCGTAGTAGCAGATCGTTCCCTCGATCAAGACTACCAAAAGCATCAGCCTGGAGACTTACCCACAAACTTGACACAAGGTGGATCAACAGGTAACGACTCCAGCAGTTGGATGTCCTGGCTGTAGAACAAAGAACCAAGCGTCATGAAGAGCGTCCGTGTTCGAAACGGCAAGGCTTAACTCTGAAACACGGGGTCGATTTTAGTGCCCGTTGGAATGTTCCTGGCGTCTTCTTAGCCAGCAGTTGGGCCATCTCTAACACACAGGTCCCCCTCACTGATCCAGACCAGCGAGCAAGAAAGCACAGCCTACGGAGTCCGTACTACATAGAGTACTTACCTCTTTCATATACTCCGTTGATCCTTTCAGGTGACGAATCATGCCGAATCACGTCTAGACCCAGACGAGGAAGCCCGCAAGATATCCATGGAAAATATTGATGGTCAAGTATATTCTCCAGAACAGTACTACCATAATCCAAAACGACAAAAAATAATAACCATTGATCTGACTATCCGTGCTGCTCTGGAAGTTCAACACTCAGATAGCCGGGCCCATCAAAAGTCCGGATTCCGGGAATCGACGAAGCCAGCTTTCCCCACCTAGGAAAGCAAAGCGAGATCCAGTAAAAAGCTGCAACCGTGCATCATCGTACTGAGCACATCCATCCATCTATCTATCTATCTATCGCATCTTGTCAGAAAGGCAACGAGCTCCGAAAATGCCGAAACAAAAATCTTTTCTGAAGGAGACATCAAAGACGAAGAAAAAGACCAAGCAGCCGCAGGTGGGTTTTGTCTTCAGTCATGTTGCCGTGGGAGGAAATCGCTATTGATTGTTTTATTTTCCTCTCCTGCACCCCCGTATTATGCTGAAACACATGACCTCATGATTCTCATGCGCACTTCAAAAGCAACAGAACAGATTGGACTGACAGCTGCAAATAGGAGCCTCAGACAGCAGATGAATTCTTAGCAGGTAATTATTAGGCTTCATTCATTTCTTTTCCCTTTATTCATGGTTATGTCAATTTGATTTGGCATTAAATATTGATACATCACTTTTTTTCTTTCTTTCTTCCCCTCCTCCCTCCTCAACGCGGTGTTGCTGTTCTATCCCGGAGCGCTTCGCATGTTATAATCCCCACTGTTATTAATATGCAGTGGCTAGTTAGTTGGGGGGGTCGGGGGGGTTGCATGAATGATTACTATAACTCTAGATCATATCATCTTGCTAACGCAAAACCGGTTTGGTGCACACACAGCGGGCGTCGATCTCGAGGAAGCCGGAGAGAAATGGCGTGCCGGTGATGCAGTGAAATCCATGCGCTTTTTTATGCGCGCTATTGAGACCTACGATAATGGATTGGGCAAGTATCCGACTTCATTTGACCTGGCTTATAACAAGTAGGTAGCTAATTGTTCATATTCCCTGTCTCTGTCCCTGCCCCTGGTTGCTGATCGACATGTGTCTCGGGATGCACCATGTTTGCAAAAACCACTTAAACAAAGTCAGAAAATACGGTACAAGGCTGACGATCATTTTAGGGCGAGAGTCCAGTATGAGATCACACAACATCCTAAGCTGGCTAAGTTGCTTTCTGCACCTCTGGTGAAGGTCCTGCAGGTCGCGCTTCAGTCGCACAGGGAGGCACTCGCCCTCGATCAGGACAATGCAGATGTGCTGTTCAATACGGCGCAAGTTTTGACCAGCATAGCTGAAGCACTTACAGAGGCGAAGCATCCGTCTGATCGGCAAATCCAGGAAGCATTGCAGAATCTCAGAGAAGCGCTTGAGCTTTTCCAACGATGTCTGGTGGTGCAAGAGCTCCGGTATACTGAGGCTCAGGAACAGATTCGAATGATGGAATCGGGAGAGCTTGGAGGAGCCGAGCAGCAGATGCAAGAACCTGAGCAGGCAGAGTCATCTACTGCAGCTGAGCCGGAGCAAGAGCAGTGGGCCGCTGTAGTCGAACCCGTCACGAAGAACACACTTGTCGACACGGCTGTAGCACAGTTGCAGACACTGGCGACGCTATGCAATCTTCTTACATTCAACCCGGACGGCAAGGACGTGGCTTGGGTAGAAGAATATTCTTTCGACCTGCTCAACACCAAGATAGCTGCGTACGTGGACGGATCAGACAAGCACTATGAGGTCGCTCTTGCGCGGGCGGAATTCATGGCTGCTTTAAGCGAACTCTCGTATCGAAGCGGCCGCATCGAAGTCGACACTTATCAGAGAGAACTCGAGGCTGTCTTTGGTCCTAATCTGGACGTGTCTGATGATCCAGAGGGTCTTTGTAACAAAGCTGAGGCGCTTGTGTCGTTTAACTCAGCCCTAGCCGATTTCCCACCTCCGCGTCCAGAACAAATCAGCGAGACTCTGGTCCTGCGGTGGCAGGCACTATCTTCAGCTTTAGATGCCCTGACCGCAGCGTCAAAGCATCCCGACGCTGACAACCTCCCTAAGATCCACGTGGCACGCGGTGACGCGGAGATGTACAGGTGGCGGCTGGGGTGCCCTCCTTGGGAGTATAAGACAGCTCATGATAACGCTGCGACCCTCCTTCGGAACGCCCAGACGTACTACCGGGGTGCCGCTGCTCTTGCTCGGAGGGATGGAGCCAGAGATGAAGAAAGAGATGGCACATGTAAGGAAGCGATCGCGGCAGCCTTGGCTGGCGACAGGACGAAGTTGGACCAACTTCGAAGCACTGCGGCAAAGGACGTCATCGCTGTAGCTGAGGACATGGTGGGAGACAATATGGCGATGGCATCCGACCTCGAGCCTCTGCTTTCATGAAATCCATGGCCGGAATGAATGAAAATTTCCGATGATCTTTCACCATGACACCTGTTCCTCTCGAGACTCACATCGATGCGTAGAGTAGGATTGCCGTAGTAGCCGTTCATACATCCTGTCGAGCTCTAACTTCCTCATCCATCCTGACAACTTCCTCGCGGAGACTATTCTCCTTGCTATACTGCGCCGTAGCTGTAGCAGCTCCCTCCACATCGGCCACAATGGCCTCCAATCCAGATAGCAGGCTCTCAATCTCCAGCCTCTGCTGCCGAATCTTCTCCGCTAGCTCCGCGTTCTGCGCCTGTGTCGCTTCCAATTTCTCATTAAGCGCATCTTGCGCATCTCGTAAATATGGCGCCAAATGAGCCTTGTACAACTCCTCTGCACCAAGAGTATGCGGACTGTCCAAAAAAACAACAAACAAAAAAAAATCAGCATGGACCATCCAAGGATAAATAAATAAAAAATAAAAAGTAAAACTCAACATAACATACCCAACAACATTCCCTTCCTCCCCATTCTCCATCCTCAACTTCGCCTCCCCCACTAATCTATCCAACTCATTCAACCCCCTAACCGCATCCTTCTCGCGCATAATCTCATCAAACTCCGCCTTGGCGCTCTCTTCCAGCTTCGCGTTCAATTGGCGCCACACGGACTCCAAACTCGCAGGCACATATTTCGCAGGCGTCGGGAAACATGCTGAGAAATTGGCGTAGGAGTTCGCGCGTAGTGTCCGGGAGAGGGCTTCGGTGTATACTTTTTCGAGACGCGACGCGCGTGGTCCGGGTGTGAGAGGGACGGGTGCGGGAGGCGGTGGTGAGGGAGATGCTTCGTGATGAGAGCCGTTTTGGGATGTGGTCGTTGATGGCATGGTGTGTGTATAACTGTGTTTTGTGTGTCCGTGGTGTTCAATTTTCTATGTTGTTGGGTGTGTAGATTCGATGTGTTTGGAATTGGGGGGCCATTTGAGATTAACTCAAGTCGATCTTGAATTGCGGTAAATACAGAATTGCCGTTTGATGGGGGCCCGAGGTGAAGGCGGTCTAACTAGTAGAAGGCTGAACGCGGGGTACGCATCACGTGTCTTACTTACAACGACGTACTATGTAGGTATTTACTCGAACGCCCTATCTCCTACCATTTTGCTGCTGCTTAATCTTGAACGAATTAACGTTGATATCATACCTTCAATTGAGGCAGTACCTGGTCACTGGACACAGTATTTTGTGCAACACTTAGAGCGTGCTTGATTGGAAACAGAAAAAAAAGGGAAAGTCGTGCTCTTGATTCCAGGCATCAGTTACAATTAAATCCCTCAATGAGGTTTCCGAGACATATGAATTTTTTTTTTGCCGGCGATTTTTCTCGACCGCTTTTACAAATAGAAAGAATCATCAAAAGAAAGCAACTGCAAAATTCGTGACAAATGTGTCCTGGAGATATGTTGCGGTACACAAAGATATTGAGTATAATCCGCTGCATATAAATCCAGCTTCATCTGTTGACGATACCCAAATCATTCCTGCTTTTTTTTTTTCATCGCCAAATCAGACTGAACCCTTGGGCTGTGGGTGCATCGCGAGCTCAGTCGTACTCTCGTTGCTATCGGAGTCTTGGCGTCTGAAGTTAGGCGCGTCAAGATTGCCATTGGCGGCAGTTATTCTGATTGGATACGGCCGTGACGCTTGACGAACGTTGGCAATTACAGTCTTCACGGAAGGCCAAGAGACTGCGACATAGATAAGGCCATTCCACAATCCTTGAAGGGGAAGGACGATGGCTGATGCGTAGTCGAGGCCCATAGATTCTCCGTCGGGGTAGACCAAAGTGTATAGTCGGTTCAGACTTGACGGGACCTACGTGAGAGGATAGTTAGTGTGCCATAGATTAAAGAGCCAGATCAAAGGAATTGACGAACCCATGTGATGACCAAGGCAATAAAGAAAAGCATGGCACATTTAGTATACGCCCAAGCAGCTTTATTAGATTCCACAGCTGCAACCTGACGTCTGAAGTTGACATTTCCAGTTTGAGGCACCGGTGGCAGAGGCTGCATCGATATCTCCTCCTTTTCCATGTGTGGCCCAGTTTCTATCTTGATAGAGTACGGGCTGTAGTCTGACGTGCCAGGGACTCGACCTCTGTCGGCGGAGATTTCCATGGGCTGCGTAGATCCCACAGAGGAAGTGACTACCTGTTCAGTTGTTACACGGATTTCCGTCAATTTCGCCCCTTCTTGGAATGGATCATCGATAAAGTAGCTTGAGCCGATAGTATTCGTGTTCGCGCTCTGCAGCTGCCGCCGCTTCTCGAAAATGACTTTGCCGGCACGGATATAGATTGCGAATGTCAACACCAAAATGAACCAGACAGGGCCATAGAAAGTGGCAATTCGCAAGGCATCCCATTTGAGCGAAACCCAACACCATAGCTACACAACGGTTAATAAGGCACACATGAACTGCGAGGATCCTGTGGATTGGATCACACTCACCACTGCCTCACCGTATATCTTGCCCTTGGCGGGGGTATCGACGAAGCAATATATGAAAGCCGGGACGAACGGGATGCCATAGCAGGCAACGAAATATTTCCATTCCAGCTTTCGCAACTGAGACGAGTCGAATTTATGGAAGAAGGTAAGGTAGACATTGAGCGCCATTGCGAATGCCCAGAGAGCGTCAGCTGGCATGAACCTAGAATAACCAGTCAGACGACAAATCAGATATACCTGGATTTGAACGAACGCACCACTGGATCAAGAATCCCTGCACCTGACACAAGGAAGTTCCAGTCCCATGGGCGTATCCTGCTACTGAAATCATTGTGGCGACATTGGACATGATATTTCCCCATGAGGCGTAGAAGACAAGACGGTTGATGGGCTTGCGAAACAGATTCGAAGAGACAAAAGTGCCGATGATGACGCTCGTTGAAATGAGGGATAGAACCGAGCAGACGCGCTCAGAGACTTCAATGAAGCGTGACTCGTAAGCGGATGGCCCCATGGTGGCAGAAGACCGTGAAACGTTCTATAGATGAGCAGCGAATCCTTTTTCTGAGTGATCTGAATACCGTCCCAGAGATATTCAGTATGCTGTATTGGACTCGGGGGGCCTCGAGTAGAGATATGGCGTTAAGAGAACGTGATGGTCAAGGTTGTGTGATGAAAGAAACGCCGGAGAGATGAGACGTGAGAGCATTTGACCCTTGAGTAGTGCGTCCACATCGCCTGGTTGTGTTATTCTCGCTCTAGCTCACGGAGAGCTATGCACCATGCCTGTATACAAACCCTGACTAGGGGAAAGATCATCTAGGTGGTTCAAAGAAGAATTATCACTGCAGGCTTCTAGTAAAGAATATATGATACCATAATCAAGTAAACAGTTCAAGTGCTATGCACACAAGGAGCGACAGTATAGGGGTTGATAATGTCCGGGGCATCATGAGCCAAGAACAAAGTTGTCGCGGCACAGTGCTTACTTCTACTCCAAGTATTGGCCTCGCCATTCATATCGGCAAGTGGGCAAAGCCGCTGGTGCCAGAGACGGCTTAGAAATTCTAGAGTCTTGAAACCGTGCGCAGGACTCCCTGGGCTTAAGGTTGAAGCTGGCAAGGATTCGAGTCAAACCAACATGGGCCTGAGCTCTGAAGAACACCAGCGTCGACTTATTATGCAGCCCATTACCCCGTTGCGGCTGATTTCCGATTCCGCGGTAAAGAATGGGGAGGAGACCAAAAGTGAGCCCTGCGGACAGTCCCTAGTGCCTGGTCTTTATCTAATCACGAATGAAAACTCTGCAGACGAAATGGATACATGATCTTAGCCATTGAGTCTCTCAAAGATAGACGCCAATCCGCCCCATAATGGAGTCAATAGGTCAATCTAAGCTTTATGGCTTTGTTTCAGGGCTCCAGAATGGACCGTTGAGCTCCATGACAGGAAAGGACATCGAACACAGAGTCTCCCAATACATGTTTGTCGACTTCCATTCGATATCCTCAGTCATTCTAGGGATCTGACACGCGATCAAGTAGCGAAAGCGGCTAATCTTCGGGGGTCATGACCACGACATCGGGGACCATACAGGTGGCGAACAGCGTTATTGATACGAGGTTCGATCTCATCTCGAAGAAGATCGTTACCTCTGCAGAAACGCTTTGAGCACTTATTCCAACCGGATGCAGGTCCGGCGGCGCTAGCTAGGGCCAGGGGGTTGGTACGCTATACTGATGGACACCGATGAGAAAGTGGAGGAAGTGGACGAGCAGCACTGAACATTTACTCTACTTCGCTCCGCATCCAATTGATACGTGTTTTATGCTCTTGTTATGACCCTGCACGATGAGAGCTGCCATGATCGAATGGAATAGATCGATGCTATATCGGAACTGTTCTCAGATTCCCCAAGGGCGAAGAAAACTTGCTTTGGAGGCATACACTGTATAGGTAGTTACCCCGGAATCTCAGAGACAAATACCACGACAGCGGATGGATGTCGTGGCGTGAGAGAGACAAGAGTTCTTTCCCTGCGTAGAATACCCTAGATAGCAGGTCCTGTCTAAAAGCCTCGAATGGCTCCTTTGACGGAGATACTTGCACATGAAGCAGTCTCACCGAGTCTACTACTGTAGTAGAATACTCGCCGGTTACGTTCGCTAAGTAGGTACAACAAACCAGCCGACTCCAGAAAGCGGGGCGAGTTCGCTGCGGGGAGAACCCTCGTCTACTTAAGTAGTAGTAAGTACAGTACTTCCTCGGCCCAGGAACGCACGGCTTATGTGGCCCTCGCTCTCGATTCACCGAAGCATCCAGGAGCAGAATAGCGCTGACCAGAAAGATTAATCAGGCTTCCTGATGTTCTGTTGTTACCGATCAGCCTCAATCGGCCTGAGATGAATATGCATTATTCCCTTAGGAAATCAGCTGGATACGAATCGCGGTTGGGGAGCTGAGCAATGGAACACGATCAATGATCGTCATCATATCGCATGCCCTTTGACGTCCAAACCATAGTATATCAGAATATTCCAATATCTGGTGGCGTTTGTGCGCATGCGAGTATAAGGGGCGAAAGGAGATCTCGACGCCACTTTTTGGAAATCGTGCGCATGGATCGCGAGGTAGAATTCCCCTGACAGGAAAACGGCCCGAAAGACTGGAAAAGCCCAAGAAGGAGATGCAGAAAAAGGTTTGTAGCTCAGACGCCATCGCTACGGTGCTGACATCCTCCTCGATGGATACGTACCAAGAGCATCAACAAACTTGGTTGGCCACCACAAGACAGCAGCACCGTCAATCGAAGCTTTCTGAGCATCAGGTCGTCGGGTCATACCGAAGATTCGGGCCTTTCCGTAGCCTGTATGTACGCAGAGTGTGAAGTACTAGAGTTTCAATAGCCCCTGATGAAACAATCTGTATAGTTCACCAAACGCTTATCATCGTCCACCATCAAAATATCATGCATCTAGGCTAGGCATTATGCGAATCTGCCAAAAACTAGCTAGTGCGACATCATCTTAGCAAATACAGTGGCCGATATTGAAAGATCACCGTTGTAAGACCCTGACAGGCCCAATGGTCCCAAGAAAAACTTCTGCCTTTTCCCCCTTGCATCCCAACGTGAAAGCCACCACGTTCATGTTGTATCTTATGTAGACGGAGCATACTTTTACCGTCTCACAGGTGCATCATTCAGAACTGCACCCCGTTAGCTTTATGGGCAAAGCGTCTGCTGCGATTTTACACGAACCAAAACCGATTCTCCAAACATGTTTAGTCCCCCTCAAAACCTCTGCGGTTTCCCACAGGTTTAGAGACGATCCCTGAGTCAAGTTGAGACGAGACGAGTCATCAGAATGATCTTCCTGAAAAGCTAATCCCACAAGACCTTGGAACGAAGTTCCGTATGGAATCCCTACGGGGAGAGAGAGCGCAGCTGACAAGAGCTCTAATGTCGTTCATAATTATCTCTTTTTTTGAACTCCTGATCCCTCGTATGCATGAGTCATGACTGTTGTAGCGCCTCTACCTAATTGTATGGTACTAAGATCTGAGGTCACCCTGGAATAATAAAGAGAGCACTGAAGGGAACGGCTTCAAAACAATTAAATACGAAATTATCAGGCAGGGTTATGATTTTTATTACCAATGCTTAAATAAGTCCATGGCGAAATTCAGAACATTTGGTACTATGTCGAGCCGCGTTGTTCGGATTATACCCGATGTCTGCAGCGCACACTTCGATGGATTTAAACGATGGCCGATCTAGATGAGATATATATATATATGTCTATATATGTTTATATTTATCGGAATAAACAGAAGTTGTAAATCCTAGAATAAATAAATGAACAAAGATCACAAGGGAATAAAACAGAACACAAATATTTATATCTATACACAGGTACTGTTATGCTGGGGGGAATTAGGGAAGGAAGGAAAATGCAAATTAGGGAAGGAAGGAAAATGCATCTATGTTTCAGCAGCGGAGTCTAGGAGCTTCTCAAAACCAAGCAGTTTGACGTAAAGCCCGTAGTAAAAAGCAAAACACGAAGAGAAGTTAATTCCATAGGCACGGCAGTACGACCTAGATCCAATTCATTCTCCAGTCCCAACACAGCATACTGCCCTGATCCCTCTGTCCTTTAGCTCAGCGGCTCTATATGGAGTCATTTAATGTCACGCACAATACTGTCTGGGATAAGATATTAAAGCTATTTAAGAGACATAAGGAGTTACTAGGACTCTGTGCATTTTGTTGCCTTTGTATGGTTTATCTGTCAAAGTATAAATGGCACTGAAGCAAACAGCTGTATTGAATCTCTCGCAGATCGCTAATTGCTCCCTTAGCTGATTATAGATCACTGGGATCCTTGCTACATTATCTTCTTAAGCATGCAAAAAAAAGATCATGACCGGTATCTGCACACATTCCTTGTTCGCTGACGTTACCACAAACCAGTTCATATCCCCATATTAGGCAGGTGAGCCCATAGTATCATCAATTTATCCTATCCTCGGCATCTTTAATCTCTATCTCACATCAATATAATAGCATGCACAAGAGAAATGAAACCACCATAAATCAATATCCTTTTCGGGTATAAACGCCATGCTCTCCTCACCCGCAGTTCCCAAGCGTCATGCCATCGTTCTTTCCAAACGCCAACTCCTCTAGTAGCCTGGCTGTGCTGCGACCATTCCAGGATAACCACTGGCCATCTGTTGCTGCTGTTGTTGCTGCTGTTGTAGCTGTGCCTGTAGCTGCGGCAGGTCGTTGAACCAGGGATGCCGCAGTGCCTCCGCTGCGCTGATGCGCATTTCCGGACGCAGTTGTAGCATCCTGTTGAGCAAGTCGAGTCCAAGCTGGTCAACCTGCGGAAGGATAAGTCTCAAATCTTGCGTGGCGTATACGTGCCAATTTGGCTTGTATTCTGGGAACTGAGAGATTCCGGGCCAAGTGCGCTCCGACGGCGTACCCATCAACCGGAAGATCTTCTGCAGCTGGTCCTCGTTTGTAGTACCGGGGAAGAGAGGTCGACCGGTGTACATCTCTGCCATGATGCATCCGGCAGACCAGATGTCGATACTGGTGTTGTATGTTCTGCTACCCAGCAGCACGTCGGGGGCACGGTACCACAGTGTTACGACCTCGTTCGAAAAAGTGTTCACAGGAATACCAAAAGCTCTGGCAAGACCGAAATCTGCGAGTTTCAGTTGGCCCTTCTTGTTGATGAGGAGGTTCTGCGGCTTGAGATCTCGGTGCAGGACACGGTTCTCGTGGCAGAAGGCAATGCCTCGAAGAAGCTGGTGCATGAACGACTTGATCGTAATATAGTCCAACTGTCCGCGATCTCCTCGCGAATCCATATATTTCTTTAGATCCTTGTCCATATATTCGAACACCAGCATCAATTTGTTCTCCGTGTGGATGACATCGTAAAGGGATACGATGCTCTCGTGTTTCAGCTCCTTCATCAGCGAAATCTCTCGAATCGCCGTTGACGGTGTACCTTCTTCCGAATCAAGGTGGATCTCTTTGAGGGCCACCATCTCACCCGTCTGGCGGTTACGGCCCTTGAAGACCTGTAGTGACAGTGGTTAGGCAATGAAGGAAGTAGGGGCGTAAGAGGGGCGTGTTAACGTACGGTCGCATAGGTACCTTCTCCCAGCTATCAAGAGTCAGTGGATATTCGCACTGAGACATCATCACGATCCGCTTACCTTTTCCAGCTGCTGGAAGGAGCTGGGTTGCTGCTTGTCCATCGTTTGCGCTGGCGATCTCGGATGCGGCGACTTCAGCCGTGGCGGGGCTCTGACACGCTGGGGGAAGAGAAAGGAAGACGGAGCGACGATAGAGGAAGCCAGATCGAGGTAGGAAGCAGTGCTGGCGATATGGGAAGGACGGCTCCTGGGTGACTTTAAAGTCCGATTGTCCATGTCCAACTTGATAACAGCCAGCCCTGCTGGAGCCCCGCGCCTTTCTGGATGGCGCTACCCAGGAGTGAATCGGTGATGGATACCCACTCGCCCGCGCCTTGAAGACAACACGGCAACGGAATTATTAGGCACGGCGCTTAAGGTTCTTCCAATAGTCTCCATCGATCGATCCTGTGGATAAATTTGGACCAGACGCCCTTACTTACTACTCGCAAGGACTTGCGATCTATCCTCGCTATCCGGGACTGCTCAAGTGGTTCAGTATCAGACTATCTAACACCGTCATTATTACTATGGATCACACTGAAAAAGAACTGAATGATCATCGTCGTTTTCTATTTATTTTTTATTCTATTCTCTCTAATTAAGAGGATCAAGCCGCGATGCGACTTCGGGCAGTATCAGTTCAGCCCTGTGGCTGCACCGTACGTGTGGTCCTGGCTCTTTGTCACTAGGGAAGATGACTGTTTCGTTGCGGACGCCGCCCAAGTTCAATATCCCTATGGGCATGCCTCTTTTGTAGGCTCTTTCAACTAACCTCCACGCAGAAAATGTCGCAAGGCTACTACCGACTACTAGCAGTCTGCCAGCATCGTCAATCGCCTCTTCGGCTGCAATCTTGACGTCGAGGCCTATATTCTCGCCGAACATAATGACTGCAGGTTTCAAGATGCCTGCAGTAGAGCCTGGAGACCAAGCACCGTCACTCTCAACGTCCACCCTGGATTTGGACCCATCTGCAAGTAATGGTGGACTTTCCAGACAGTGCGGACAAGCTGGGTACCGGAACATAGAATACGGGGCATGTGCAAGATCAACATCGCCATCGGGGTTCACCTTGAGCCCTCTTCGCCGTTGCTCTTCAGGATTATCCGTATCCAGAGCCCCAGACTCGACTATCTCATCCAAGAACTCCGCCCAGGCTGGATTGAGCCTTCTCAACGACTGCTGGTATTCCTCTCGCGGGATATGCCTTCGGCAACTGATGCATATTACCGATCTCAGGTATCCGTGGAGTTCCAGCGTATGTAGGTTCGGATGTGCAATCGAATGGAAAGAATCGACATTTTGGGTCACGACAGAGCTGATGTAGCCCTTCTCACCCAGATCGCGAATCGCCCGGTGAGTAGCGTTTGGCTTCGCCCTCAGCAGGCCGGGCCATCCGACAAAGCTTCTGGCCCAATATCGCTTCCGTGCCTCATGCCTGGTCACGAACTCATGATAGTATGTCGGTCTGTATGATTTATTCCTGATGTAGGTGCCGTTTTCGCCTCTGTAGTCTGATAAGCCAGAGGCCACCGATATCCCAGCGCCAGTGAGGAGGACAGTTTGCGCGTTTCTCCCAACGTCGACGCCTCTGAGCAGGGGGGACGGGGGAGCCGTAAAGAAGGAGGTGATCGCATCGATAGCCCCCGATACTGTGCTTGCGCTTCGCGGAACGATGATCGGAGGCGGCAAGGGACCCGTGAAGGGGATTCTAATTGCTGGAGTCGTCATGGAGGAGACATCGTCGGCCAGAAATAGAGAAAAAGGACGACGCGGGTATTCTTCGTATAAATTAACTCTGATTGGAAATCTGCTGGAGTTGATATGGCTGAAAAGCAAGCACTATGGAATTATTATTAGTATTAGCTCGACTGCGACTGATCGATCGATCCCCTTGGCTCATTGCGTCGGCGGCTGCGGAGCTCCCGCGAGTTATCGTGGGGCCTCCCCGGCCACTCCAGGGCTTTAGAAGACAACAGAACAAGAAGACCAGGATGAGCTGAGCGTTAGTAGTAAGAGTGACGAATGTGGATCAACAATAATAATAATAATAGCAGAAATTGGCTCTCTTGAATGAGCATCTCTGAAATGCCAAGATTGGCAATCTCTCTCCGCGCAGAGCGGATGGACGCGCGGAGCCCGGCGGCTCCGAAATCAGCACATGTCGGTATCTACTCGCCGCTGCCGGACTTCTTGTGCCTTTTGAAGGAGACATACAGTAACTAACAGACCAGTATTTTCCCATTCACAAGCTCTTGGGCGACTGATCATCCTACATTACTTGCAACTCTCGTGCAGGCCTGGCGATGGGCTTATTTGACCTATCCAGAAAGCAAAAGAACACTCTGTCCTTAGCATTCTCGTGTTCGTGCGCGTAATCCCGGTGCGTCGCCCTGATGGCGCTGACGCACCCCCTGTGGTACAGGCACCGTTTCCCGCCAGCGCTCCGCTGTCTCAGTGCCCGTAAGGAGCTGTCCAGCGTGTATCGCTCCCGGTGCTCTCGCCAGCTGCGTGTTGTCTGGACGCCAACTGTCTCGCGTGGTCGCTGTCCTCGTTCAGATAACATCTCTCCACAGTCTCCTCCATCCTCCAATGCTCCTGTCCATACTTCACGTCCCTTGACGCCCATTCCGCTCATGGCCATCCAAACAAGAACCCATGCTGGTCACAGCCACGGCCACCACCACCATCACCACGACAATGTCTATCTGACCTCGTCAAATAAAAATGATGCTGGAGTTCGCATCACCCGAATTGGCCTCCTGGTCAACCTGGCAATGGCAATTGGCAAGTTTGTGGGAGGCTATATCTTCCACTCTCAGGCCCTGGTTGCCGATGCGTACCATGCGCTCACAGATCTCGTGTCTGACTTCATGACACTTGGAACAGTCTCCTGGTCTCTGAAACCTCCAACGGACCGGTTTCCGAATGGATATGGAAAGGTGGAGAGTATTGGTGCCCTGGGTGTTAGCAGTCTGTTGCTCTGCGGTGGAGTGTTCATGGGCCTGAATGCCACCGAGGTCCTCCTCGGCCTGTTCCTCCCGGAGGTGGCAGAAACTCTCTCCCACATAGGTCTCCTTGGCCATGGGCATTCGCATGGACACAGTCATGGATTAGAAGAACTGGGCCCTAACATTAATGCGGCATGGTTGGCAGGCGGATCTATCATTGTAAAGGAATATCTTTACCATGCTAGTGAGTGCCCCCTTGAATCCAAACCTTGATGGCGATGACTAACCATATTGGTACCTGAACAGCAATGAAAATTGCAAAGGATCGCAAATCATCCGTTTTAGCCTCGAACGCCGTACACCACCGTATCGACTCGCTTACTAGCTTTGTCGCGCTATTGACAATCGGTGGTTCTCACCTGTTTACAGATGCCTCCTGGCTGGATCCAGTTGGTGGACTGGTGATCTCTATGATGGTTATCCGAGCAGGCTGGGATAATACAAAGACTGCACTTCTCGAGCTTGCGGACACTACCGTGGATGGAGAGATCAAAGCTTCCGTGAAGAAAGCAACGTCCAAAGCTCTGGCCGAAGCTGGAAACAGTCAATCAGTTGAAATAAGAGATGTACAAGGTCTGAAGTCTGGTCAGAACTACCTGATGGAAATTGAACTGGCCGTGCCCGGATCCTGGCCAGTCGATCGATCCCGGGAGATCGAGAAGAGTGTTCGTGAGCGCGTTGGATCCCGCGTTCGGGGTGTGAAGCGGGTGAAGGTCCGCTTCGTGCCACAAGCCGACAAAGAGGTCAGCTTCACCGAAGAATTCATTCCACCCGGAGTCAGCCCACGGAGCAGTCCTGAGCCTGAGGGTTCTGATGAAGTGGACCATGACCATGACCATGACCACGATCATGACGACGGAGACGCGCACAGCCATTCGCACAGCCATTCGCCGGAAAACAGTGTCCACAAGAGACGTTAAGATTGCCGGGGTGTGGTTCCTTGGAGGCGGAGGTAATCTCATGTCGAGGTGCCACCAGCTTTGTCCTGCAGAAACAAGCCTCAACATTACGATACCCTAAGAAGCGGGAGGACAGAACGACCGCACATGATGGTCGTTGCAAGGGGTCATTCTGGAATATAGAAAATAAGTGGCGTTGTAACTGTCCTGGCTAGAAGGAGCCTTGGAGTACGAAGCAGATAACCTCTTTTTGCCGTTGATGCTCCTTGAGCTCGAGATTGGACGGATCTTCGGGGGTTTCGCCAAACCTCGATCGTCTGTCCTCATACTTTGAACCATCGTGTCGCTCATGAAGTCTTCTGATAGTGCTTCATCGAGAATAGAGCAGAGTCTCCCATGTACCAAAACGGCCAGCAGGAAACTGCCATAGATGAACGCACGCACTGCATCAATGCGAAAGTGCATACAATGAACCGGGGTCTCGTAAAGCGTCAAGTTCAAGGTGCAGGCAATGGCTTTTCTTAGTAGTACGCAGTGCCTGTTAGTTATTTCTTTTGTGCTGGTACTGTCCTTATCAACTATTGTTATCAAGCCAGGCAGAGCTCCCAGCACTACTATATAATCCACGCTAGACTAGACTTTCCTCGAGTCCGGTTAAAATGCGCAAATTCTTCGGCGCCAGACCGAGTGGAGCCACCATATCCTCCTTCGACCATCCCGCTTTACATCACCGCGGGGTACTCTCGCCCGCACACCGCGCAGCAGCAACCCGTAAGGATCTTCAACGCTTGCAGGGGCTCAATTGGATTTTTATCTTTTTTCTTTCGCCGCATTATCTCTGATTTGCATCATCAATTTATATAGTAGATATATATTATATATATATCTCTCTCGGTGGTTCCAGACTGCGCAGCTGCGACGTACTTCGGTACATAATACATACAACCGTAGTCGCGCTGGTGTGAAGCCTCCTCGTAACTCACACTTTGCCGGTGTGACTACGTGTTAAAAGGGTAAATTGGCTGGAACTGCTGCTTCCCAGAAAGAAGCGATCATACTACCGTTCCAGATGCACCCTGAGAGTGATTTAGGCATCTCAAATCATCTTGTGCTTTTCCACTGATCTCGTGATCATCTATTATTTTCCCGAGAGTAATCTGTCTAGATCTCCTTTTCCTTTGCGTTCCTCCTTTCTTTTTTTTTCTCTCTTTCAGTGCCATCTTAGACAATTACACCGGACATTTACACCCTCCCTCGAGAAAAGGAGAGACAATTGTCACGAAAATGGGTTCCCAGGGTCCTCTCTACCTTGGGTTCGACCTTTCGACTCAGCAGCTGAAGGGTCTCGTGGTGACCTCGGATCTGAAGGTTGCCCACATTGCCAAGTTCGACTTCGATGCCGACTCGAAAGGCTTCGGCATCAAGAAAGGCGTTCTTGCCAATGAGGCGGAGAGAGAGGTCTTTGCGCCTGTGGCCCTCTGGCTTCAGGCCCTTGACGGCGTGCTGAGCAAGCTGAAGGAGCAAGGACTGGACTTCAGCCGCGTGAAGGGTATCAGTGGTGCGGGGCAGCAACATGGCAGTGTGTACTGGAGCCACGACGCGGAGAAGCTGTTGAAGACCTTGCAGAAGGAGAAGACTCTTGAGGAGCAATTGCAGGGGGCCTTTTCTCATCCGTACAGCCCGAACTGGCAGGATGCCAGTACGCAGAAGGAATGCGATGAGTTTGATGCTGCCTTGGGGAGCCAGGAGGAATTGGCCAACGTGACGGGAAGCAAGGCGCATCATGTGAGTTCTATTCTTCCTCTTTAGCCTCGTCTTTGAAGTATGTACATGTGCTGACGCTTCTGTCCTTTATAGAGATTCACTGGTCCCCAGATTCTCCGTTTCACACGGAAGCACCCGGATGCCTACAAGAAAACCGCAAGGATATCTCTGGTGTCTTCGTTTTTGGCCTCGCTGTTCCTTGGTCACATCGCACCTTTTGATATTTCCGATGTCTGTGGAATGAACTTGTGGAACATTAAGAACGGCGCCTACGATGACCGCCTTCTCAAACTTGCCTCTGGTCAATTCGGCGTTGAGGACTTAAAGAATAAACTGGGAGATGTCCCCGAGGATGGAGGCCTTGACCTAGGCAAGATTGATAGGTACTTCGTGGAGCGATATAACTTCAGCCCGGATTGCACGATTATTCCCGCCACCGGTGACAACCCCGCCACTATTCTTGCTCTGCCTCTGAGATCGTCAGATGCTATGGTCTCACTGGGAACTTCGACTACTTTCCTGATGTCGACTCCTCACTACAAACCAGACCCCGCCACTCACTTCTTCAACCACCCTACCACGCCCGGCTTGTACATGTTCATGCTTTGCTACAAGAACGGAGGTCTCGCTCGTGAACATGTCCGGGATGCAATTGATGCGAAGCTGGGCAAGGACTCTGCCAATCCCTGGGCTAACTTCGACAAAGCTGTGCTGCAGACGCCAGCATTGGGCCAAAAGACCGACTCGGAGAAGATGAAGATGGGACTCTTTTTCCCGCGACCAGAGATTGTTCCCAATCTGCCTGCTGGACAGTGGCATTTCAATTATAACCCGAAGGATCAGGCGTTGCAGGAGACGACTGACGGCTGGGACAAGCCACTAGATGACGCTCGTGCGATTGTCGAGAGCCAGTTGCTTTCCCTCCGCCTCCGTTCGAAGGGACTTACCCAGAGCCCCGCGGAGGGTATCCCCGCACAGCCTAGACGAGTGTATCTCGTCGGTGGCGGATCGAAAAACAAGGCCATCGCCAAGGTCGCCGGCGAGGTCCTTGGAGGCGTCGAGGGCGTCTACAAGCTGGACGTTGGTGACAATGCATGCGCTCTGGGCGCCGCCTACAAGGCCGTGTGGGGTCTGGAGAGGAAGCCCGGCCAGACCTTCGAAGAGCTCATCGGTCAGCGATGGAGGGAGGAGGATTTTATCGAGAAGATTGCCGATGGATACCAGAAAGATGTCTACGAGAAATATGGCCTCGCGGTGGAAGGCTTCGAGAAGATGGAAAAGGAGGTTCTGGCGGAGGAAGCCGCCAAGCACGGCAAGGCGTGAACCTGGAGATGGAAATATTAATGACAGGCATGACGTATCTTTGCTCCTTTATATATATAGACAGTCGAATCGCATCTAGTCTTCAGTGTCCATTTGGGCGAATCCCTTTCAAGTACGTACTACTCCGTAGTTAGGTCGGACTAGAGGGTTAGAACTACTGCGTGAAACGGCGGGGCATCGAAAAGGGATCGACTCAAGTATATTTTTGCATATTCTGCATGTAGATAGCTTCCTGCAAAAAAAAAAAAAAAAAGTGTCCCTCTTTCTGTGTCGACTTGTAATTTCATCTCCAGTTTGTTTCTTGACGATGCTAAATTGCCCGAGAACAAGCGGAGGAAAGCCGGGCACGTACACCGTTGCCTTTTTGGGGCTCCGGCCCAAAATTGCGGATGCCAAGCCCCCAGATCAATTATTATTATGATTATTATTATTATTATTCTTCTTCCTTCTGTGCACAAACACACAGTGCCTCATCTGTATTAGTTTATCCCGCAACTATCATTAATATTCTCTCTTGGTCCGATAGTAAGTCCCTGGGCTAAGCCTTTCTTCCGTGGCTGAACTGGGGCTAACTCATAACTGGAGCCTTGAAGGACACAGCCGACACCGCCCGCATGTTCTTGTAACTACCATGGCTCGATGACTGACCTCTGAATGATATGACCTTCCACATTGAATTTTGAAGCAACAACCGTCACACGAAACTCCCACACGTCCCAGTCGCTCATCGCTTTCAGGGTCATCTACGACTCCGGAAGCAAGTTGGGCTGGCCGAAGATGGAGGATCAGGTAAAGATTTTGTCCTAGCCCTGAAAAAAAACCCCACGCCCCTCCCCCGGGATGCTACCCCTCTCAGCGAAAAGAGGTCTCCTCCCTCCAGCAGTAACTAACCAGATGTGCTTCTGTAACAGGTAGCAAGCGCCATAGAAATCGGCTGGAACCCTGCCTCCGACCAAGCCCTCAAAGCGCAAGCCTACGACTACCTCAACCAGCTCCGCTCCGACCCGTCTGGATGGCAGGTCTGCCTGTCCATCTTCACCAAAACCCCACGGCACTCCGAGATCGTACGACATGTGGCCCTGGAAGTGGTCAACAGCGCCGCTCAGGCCGGCCTGATTGACCTGCAAGGTCTTGGGTTCGTCAAGGATGCGCTGATGGCGTACCTGCGTCAAGGGTACGCACAAGATGGGACGCTGAATCCTGACTCCGCAAATATCCAGAACAAGATCGCCCAGACTCTCACCTGTCTCTTCTGCGCTCTCTACGCCAGCGGTTGGGAGACTTTTTTCGACGATCTGCTCAGCTTGACGACTAAAAACCCGTCGACAAATGCGCGAGACAACCCCGTCGGGATCGTGTTCTATCTCCGTGTGATTGTCTCGATCCACGAGGAAATCGGCGATGTGCTGGTGTCCAGATCTCGCGCAGAACAGGATAAGGCCAATGCCCTCAAAGATCTGATTCGCGAGAGAGATGTGCAGAAGATCGCCAACTCCTGGCAAGAGATATTGTCGCAGTGGCGGGATGGGGATGATTTGATTGCGGAGATGTGCCTGAAAGTTGTGGGTAGCTGGGTGAGCTGGATCGATATCGGTTTGGTCGTGAACCAGACTATGTTGGATCTTCTGTTCCAGCAGCTAGCACGGGCACAGAGAACGGATGTCAGGCAGGGCGAGGAGAAGCTGCGGGATGCGGCGATCGATGTTTTTACTGAGATCGTTGGCAAGAAGATGAAGGCCGAGGATAAGATTGATATGATCATGTTCTTGAATCTAGAAACTATTGTCGCCCAGCTTTCCAACAGCCCTCCACTACACGATGCTAGATTCACCTCCAAATATGACACAGACCTAGCTGAGACCGTTGCGAAGCTCGTCAACATCACTGTCATTGATATTGTCAGGGTTCTGGATAATGAGGCCGCTCCAGCTCCAGCCAGGGAAAAAGCCAGTACGCTCCTCCAGGCCTTCCTTCCCCATATCCTCCGCTTCTTCTCCGACGAATACGATGAGGTCTGTTCGACCATCATTCCTTGCGTGAATGATCTTTTGTCCTACTCCAGGAAGGTCTCGAAAGGAAACCCGGCTCTCGCTGCCCAGCATTCCTCCATGCTTCTCCCCATCCTGAAGGCTATAATTGCGAAGATGAGATACGATGAAACATCTTCATGGGGCGATGAAGACGAGCAAACGGATGAGGCGGAGTTCCAGGAGCTACGGAAGAGGTTGAATGTCCTCCAGCAGATCATTGCATCGGCAAACGAGCAATTATATATGGAAGCAGTTTCAGAAGTTGTGGGAACTACGTTCGAAAACCTACGGCAGTCCGGTGGCCAGCTCGACTGGCGGGATCTTGATCTGGCTCTCCATGAAATGTTCCTCTTCGGCGATCTGGCTGTCAAATCTGGGGGTCTGTACAATAAGAACAAGCCAAACAATCCGGCTGCTGATCGACTGGTGGACATGATGCTGAGGATGGTTGAATCTGGTAAGTCTGCGGTCAAACTATTATTTTCTGGCTGGCGTCTCTGACTCGATATAGACATTCGATTTTTCACTCACCCTGCAACCCAGCTCCAGTATATGGAAATTTGCGTTCGTTACAACTCCTTTTTTGAACACCACGCGCATCTAATTCCAGGAGTCTTGGAAAATTTCCTCCAGCTAGTTCACCACCCCTTGAAGAAGGTCAGGACGCGGTCATGGTACCTCTTCCAACGCTTCGTGAAGCACCTCAGAGCTCATATCGGAAATGTGGCTGAAACCGTCATCAAAGCAATCGGAGATTTGCTTGTTATCCAAGCTGAAGTGCCAGCAGAGGGGTCTGATGGCGATGAGATGTCTTCAGAGGACCACGAGAATTCAGCAGATGCTGTCTTCAATAGCCAGCTATATCTATTCGAGGCGGTTGGATCTATTTGCTCGACTGCCGCTATTCCGTCCGACAAGCAAGCGCTGTATGCTCAGACGGTCCTGAACCCAATATTCATGGATATGGAAAGAAATCTAGCTGCAGCAAAATCAAACGATGAGAGAGCCTTGTTGCAAATCCACCATGACATTATGGCTCTGGGAACTCTTGCGAGAGGTTTCTCAGACTGGACCCCGGGAACTAACGCTCCCTCGAACCCCCCAGCACCAGAAGTATCAGAAGCTTTTGCTCAAGTTTCAGAAGCAACACTCGTTGCCCTGGAATCACTGAAGACGTCTTTTAATGTCAGAACAGCATCTCGGTTCACCTTCTCGAGACTGATCGGTGTTCTCGGCTCGAGAATCCTCCCCCAGCTGCCAAGATGGATCGATGGACTTCTCACTCAGACCTCATCCAAAGATGAGATGGCACTCTTTTTGCGACTTCTAGACCAGGTCATCTTTGGCTTCAAGACTGAGATCTATGGCATTCTGGACACGTTGCTTACCCCTTTCCTTCAACGCGTGTTCTCTGGAATCGCTGATCCCATCACGGGCACGGACGATGAGATTCAACTGGCGGAATTGAAGCGAGAGTACCTCAACTTCTTGCTTGCGGTCTTGAACAATGACCTGGGAGCCGTGATAATTAGCGAGAGTAAGTTACTGACCGCGTCTCCAATAGCATCTCATCTCTAATACTTTTTCTAGCCAACCAACCTATCTTTGAAACCGTCATCTCCACCATTGAACATTTTGCGAGAGACGCAGATGACCCTACCACCGCGAAGATGGCGTTCCTGGTCTTGTCTAAGATGGCTAGTTCGTGGGGTGGCCCAGATATCGCTCCGGTGATATCGAACGGAGCGACTCCCACCCAACCGGCTCTCCCTGGTTTCGGTCAGTTCATGATCACGCGCTTCTCGCCGCTTTGCTGGGCGCTTCCAGCTACCTCTAGCTTCAACTCGAAGGATGCGCAGGCAAGGCAGGTCCTTGCTGAGGCAGGAAGCTTGCAGCGGACTATTTATTCCAAAACAGGTGCGGAGTACGTAGAATATCTCCGTACTCGAGAACTTCCCGGCATGGGAATGGGGGCAGATCTTATCGAAGAGTTTTTGGGCGCTTTGAGTCGGCTGGATACGAAAGGTTTCCGGCAATTTTTCCAGGTATGTCTCCTCGCGTTCTAGACCGGCCTGTTAATGCGCAGCTAACATAGCTGTCAGTCCTTTATCCAACGGTTGAGCGCATGATACCACATGATGTTACGCTCTCTCTCATTCCCAAAATCTACGCCGCCCAGTCTTTTTACTGTTCTCTTAGATTCCCCTGCCTTTTTTCTCTTCGATGAGCTCATCATTCCCATGTATTATGCACCGGGATGAGTGTTTCTTTTCTTTTTCCCGTCTGCTTAACTTCCTCTTCTTATTCTCATACAAGCGACTTTCCAGTAATCTTTGCCTTTTTCTCACTTATCTTGCAACAAGCATTGAAACAAGAAAAGCAAAAGCAAACAACGTGCATAGTTTGTGTGATGCAGCGCGGCATGCATTCTGGGGCGTTCTTCATCTCCCGTATAGCCAAAGAGACAAAACAACATTTTTCTTCTCTATCATAGGCAACCCATTGTTTGATCTGCTGTCTATACCAGACCGGGCGGGGTTTCCTTGCCGATGGATATTTTCTTCTCTTTTCTTTTTTTGTTCTTCCTTATATGATAACTGATCTAACTGATCACGAAGAGATACCAAGAAAGAGAAATGAAATGGCAGGAATGGATGAGTGTTATCGGACAGGGCTGTCAAAGGATCGAGAGAAACGAGAGAGATATGTCAAACTTATGCATGATGCATGGGAGGGTGATTACTTGTCCGTTTTGACTTTTGAGGGAAGGACTCTCCAGACCTTGACAAGGGTTTACACTTAACTTAGGCACAGCTGCATTAGGGCAGGTTTAGATTTCAGGTAGATGCGGGGAAGGCAAAGCAAAGCAGAGCAAAGCAAATGAGATGAGATGATGAAAATGCAGATGATCGATCTTCTTTCTGTATTATTTTTTTTCCCTTTTGAGGTATTGGTTGTGTATTTTGGGATACTTGATGGATTGGATTACTAGTAGCGTTTACACTTATTAAGGTATCCTGATAATATCATATATGCCTTCTTGTCGCCTGATATTAAAAGAAGAAGAAGAAGAAGCGTATATAGTAACAACTTCATTTAATCATGTCATATCATATTATATCGAGGCTCTAGGTGCCTTGGGGTCGCTTCTACAGAAGTTAGACTCGGAATCTATATCACCTAAAAAAAAAAAAAAAAAAAAAAAAAAAAAAAAAAAAAAAAAAAAAAAAAACAATCAAGGGATAGAAAGATAGTTAAAACAAAAAGGGGATTTAAAGAAAGAATATACATATGGAACTTATTTATTCTATCGAAGATAGAAAACGAAAGTTATAATAATGAAATAGGGTCTCACGCACTAAGCGAACAGATACTTGGCCGCATGCTCTACGTGATCGTCGGCGAACGTGGAGATGAAGTAGTAGCTGTGATCGTAGTCCTGCTGGTAGCGGACTTTGACGCCCTCGACGCCGGATTCCTTAGCGGCCTTTTCGAGGTTTTCGGGGAGGAGCTGGCCCTGCTTGTAGAAGTTGTCGCCGGTGCCCTAGTTTAGAGTTAGTGGTAAGTTACTTTTTATATTGATTTTTCATTCCTGGTCCACACGAGGAATAATCAAGCTATATAAGATAAGAAGGGAAAGGGGACATGTCACATACGACATCAATCAGCACATCAAGCGGGCCCTTCCACTTCTTGATCAGCTCCGTGGCATCGTGCTCCTTCCACTTCTCCTGGTTCTCCGCGCCGAAGTAGCCAGAGAAAGCCTTCTGACCCCAAGGGCAGTTGATGGGGTTGGAGATGGGCGCGAATGCCGAAACGGACTTGTATTTTCCGGGATTTCGGAGGAACTGTTGTTTTTTTTTTTACCAAATTAGTTATCTGGCTTAATAATGTAATTTGGCGGGCATCTAAGCGGGGTAAAAAAGACTCCATTATTACCAAAGTCAGAGCGCCGTGACCACCCATACTGTGACCCGTAATGCTGACACGGCTCGAGTCGATCTGGTCAAATGCAGAGAAGACGGTCTTGGGAAGCTCTTCCGTGATGTAGCTGTACATCTTGTAGCCCTTGTCCCATGGGGCCTTGGTGGCGTCGATGTAGAAGCCCGCACCGCTACCGAAATCGTAGGAGTCGTCCTCACCCTCGATCTTCAGACCACCTAGAACAGGTAACAAGCGTGTTAGGGTCCTGATTGATCCCGGATGGAAAGGGGGGGGTGTAAATGCTCGAAAGAACAGGAGTACGGGAACTACATACGTGGGCTGGTGTCTGGGTATAGAACAGCAATGCCCTTCTCGCTAGCCTTGTGCTGGAAGAAGCCCTTCTCAGAGCAGTTGTCTCCCGTGCAGGTCAAACCGGACAGGTAGATCAGGAGGGGGACCTTCTGAGACGAGGACTTGTACGCCTGCGGTGGCAGGTACAGGTTGAAGTTCATCTCGCAGCCGGTCGTGGTGGCATTGTGGGCGAGCTTCAACAGCTTTCCACCAAAGGAGGCGATGGTTGCCTTGGTTGTAACAGACATGGTAACTTTTCTTTTTTGGATGCGACAGGAAAGGAAGAAGACAATGGAGTTGACAGTGTAGATGAAGAAACGAACAGGAGAAAAAGGAAGATAATGCCGGAAGCTCTAGGAAATCCGTTATCAGAGTGGAGTTAGCCGTGAGGGGATGAGGGGCACCAAACCCCGCGCTGGAGAGGCTATTGCGGTTATTGTTCCCCCATGGGCGTTTCTCTCATCATAAAGGACGGAAATCATAGCGGGATCTAGTATACATACGCTGATCCCCTCCCGAAATTATCGACCAAGTGCTGCCGGGTTGTTGAGCCACAATCGGACACACTGACATCTATTGTTGATACCCCGCGGAGACGGACATGTTTACATCATCGGGAATTTCATGACAGTCCCGACTTGAGGAGCATTTTACAGAGAAAAGCTACGCTCTGTGTGGAGTCCACTGGATGTTCCCAGTCATTGACCGTTATATTATAGAGCCTCAAAAGTAGCTATGCCGTCTATTCGTCCGTCCCAGAACATAAACAAACAACCGTACTCCAGTCCGTAACCAAGTTCATATACATATACTCCGACGGCAACGGAATTGCACCAAAACAATACCCCTCGCCTACTTCAAAAACACCGGAACACCGTAGATCACTGGAGCTGCACCGTTCAAATACCGAAGCAAACAAGACGTTCTCGACTTCGTAACAGCTTCGTCCAGAGCCACGGGACGGTCAGACGCAGAATCGGGACTGGTCACAGCTCCCTTAACACATCTTGACTTTCCCTTCACGTCTCTCTGCGCGGTCTCATGGCCAGCGAGCAGACCCCACCTCTCGAATGTTGACTTGGCAAACCGATCAATGTCCTTGTCTGTGACGTCCCAGAGCGTAGCAACTAAAGCTGGAGTGCCGGCATGCATATAGTTCATCGGTGTTCCATAGGGTTCGTACTCGCCAGCTTCGGTGAGGCAGCCACTGCTGCAGCCCATGAGAAAGGTGACTGCGCACTGGTCTAGCCGCTTGATGGTTCGGCCTCGAATGTACTGAGCGCCACTGCCGTGGCCAAAGTAAAGAAGTAAACTTCTAGACTCCAGCGCTTCTTTAAATTCTGGCTCGCTGGGCTCCCGGTTGACAATGCTCGTCCAACCTTTCATAGAAGAGAGATCTTCTTCAAAGGTGCCCTGTGTCGCCTTAAGGTCACCGCCTGGATTGAGGATGTAGGTTCCGCTGCTGCGATTTATGTGCAATCCTTGGGAGATATCTTCCGCGTGTTGTCGAAAGTCCATGATCCTGTCGCGAATACATTGCAAGGATGGCATGCGGGAAACAGGGAGCCCTTGAAGACACGGGAGTGATTCCCATGGGAAAGAATGAAGAGCTTTGTCAAGAACCAAAATGGTATGGGCTGGTTCACCATGCCCCTCATTCCCCACGCTCTCGTGGTAGCTCCGCAGTGCATCAAGGGTATCCACCACCATCATATCAAAATCGATCTCATCATAGGCATTGCGTTCTCCATGGAACTGCAGAATGTCCACCACAAAGTATAGGAGGTCCATCAGCAGATCTTCAGGATCCTCACGGCTTTCCAGGTCCTGAATTCCGGTGAACAATTCCAAGACACTTGAGTGAAGCGTGAGTCTTGCTTCCCGCGCTTTGCCACCCTTCCTTCTCGAAGGGAGATGCTTGTCGAGGACGTGTTGAAAAGACTCGCCGAACCGGGATAGGAGGTCAACATTCCTGGTAGCAGGGGAGAAGACACCACGGAATCCTCCCAACCAAATATTTTCAATGTTAGAAAGGAGTGTCTCTAGACGTCGATCAAGTGCCTCCCTATTTTCCCACCACTCCTTTCTGGACTGTCTATCCGTTCGCGTGCGGGCATCATGTGCGCTGATATTGGCGAGCTTAATAATGTCCTGCAGCTCCCTCTTACCTTCATCGAAGGTAAATTCATCTTCTTCCTCTTCTTCCTCGGAATCTCCTCGTTTCAAGGGCAGACGGAGGAGGAAAGGCGTACGACCCTTGAGCATTTTCGAGATAACAATATCCGTCCGGTCTGCACTAAGTGACAACGATATGACGTTCCAATTGTCCGGAAGGATGTCAATATACTCCGAGGTGAAATCAGAGGAATAACTTTGAATCTCTCTTGTCCAGGTAGGGGCGGTTGGCCAGCTCAACGGATCAGAGAAGCTCGGAAGCTTCTTATCGATCTCAATTGAAAGCTGGGCGCGCTCAAAGGCACCAATACGACCGATTTCTATCTTATGTTAGACAGCTACGTTGATATCTTAAGACAAGACTTACCAGTAACATTGGCTGGAGACACAAGTCCTGTCCCTAGAACCCCAGAAGCAGTAGCATTCGATAGCAGCGACATCCGGCTCAGCAGACGGGAAGCAGCATGTGCATCAGCTGTGGAACCACATGTGATAGCAGCTTTGAAGATGTCACCGAGGGGGGTAGTCGCTCTTGACAGCATGGTAGCGAAATCTTCTTCTTTCTTGGTAGTACGTGACCGTGTCCCTTTAGTAGAAGTTGCTCTCGTTTTACGCACAGCTGGCGCTTTCTTTGTGGCTGAGGCATTTTCAGGGGAAGCAAGATCTTCAAGCTCTCTTGCTGGAGATTGCACAGATGGCAGAGAAAGCGTAGACTCCGGGAGCACACAATATACGGCATGCGTCGAGAAACGTCTGATCGTATCAGCCAGAAGGTGCTCGCTTTCGTCTATCTGGGTGGAGATCTGGCCCGCCCTAGACATGGCAAACTGCCACGCATCCTTTAGTAGGGAGAGAGCTTTGTCGAAATCATGTCCTGCAAAGGAACAAGATGCTTGTTGTCGCAGAATATCGCCTCTAAATCTCGACAAGGTGATTGACTGCACTGTAGCCGGAGATGCTTTGTTCAATGCTGATTCACTGGTCACCGTCTTTGCTTTCCGCGTCCGCTGAGTCGTTGTTGCTGCTGCCCTCCGGGGTTTCCTGGTTGGCTTTTGGATTTCTAGTTTTTCCATCTTGTCTTCGATACCAAGATCTGGTGAGGATAAGTCGAGGGGCATCATCGATTCTGGTCGACAAAGATCAAGGACGGCGCGTTCCGCTTCGGAGAGAGCACGAGACTGCTGATCATGCAGCCCTTTGGCTTGATAAAGAGAAGCAAGGCTGACTCGCAATGAAACAATTTCAATACTGTTATCGAGCTCTTGCGACATTTCCACTGCACCTTTCAGGAGATCCTGGCCTTCTGATATGTGGCCACCACGGATCCAGTCATAACCAAGTTGAGCTTGGCAGGCAATGAGGCGGACCTTGGCATTGAGTGTTTTGTTTACTTTCACCGCTTGCTCTGCGTAGTATATGGCGTCTTGGAGAAGTCCACTGTGAGAGGAGAGATGGACAAGATTCATAAGGCTGGAATGGTGCGAAGCGATATGCGGCCAAAAAGGCGATCCCTCGGAGTAGTTCTTTGATGAGGAACTGTCCTTTATGTTGAGAGTAGCCATTCCTTCCGCGACAATGTCTACTTCAGAATCGCGGCTGTCACGCTCCGGTGTCCCTTCTTTCTTCTGCGACATCTTCTCCAGTTTAGCCCACAGTCTGCAATTCAGACGTACTGAAAGCTTAGCGAAGAAGATGGCATTAGCCATTGACCCCTGTGCGTAAAAGAACTTCGAATGGATAAGAGCTGCATCTGCAATGATTCTTTCCCATGCAATCTTTTGCTGGCCGGTGCTGCTGTCAATCTCTCCCTTCACCCGGCTACTCTGGCAGAATGTTCGCGCCGCCGACAATGTGCTAGCTGCTTTCTCCAGGCTGCCGGTCTCGAGCAGATACTCCACGTTGACCAGGTGGTTAGACATTGCTGCAAATGACGAGACCCGGTTGGTCTCGATATATTGGCTAGCTTGGGCGAGCAGTGTGCCAGCTCTGGTGCAATTCCCAAGTCGACAATATTGCAACGCTGATCGAGACTGGACTAGAACGATTTCGGAGATGTCTTTGACAACCTGGAGTTGCAGAATATGGAGAAGTGACTCATAGACCGACAGCTGAAGTTTCCACATTCCACGAATTTCGAGATAATCGAGAACTGCTTTCATCTGCACAATCCAATATTCCGGATCACCCACGCAAGTTTCGACCGACTCCCATTCATGGCAAGTTCGAGCCACCTGGATCCAAGACTGGACCACTGCGTCGAGTTCTTCGCGGCCGAGATCTCCATTATGAAATCCCAAAATCAACCGTAGACATGACTTCAAATGATCTTCAAGCCCAGCCAGCACGGGGTCGTCAAAACGACTCCTTCCCTCCGTCACAATTGCTGTGCCTTCGGATATGAGTGCCTCAGTGACAGGTATGTCCAACGACCCAGGGTGCTGAAGTAAGAAACGTAGAGTGTACATGATAATGCGTAACCGGTGTATAGGATAACTGTCGGGGGTATACAGGGAAAGAAGTGTAGAGACAAGGGAATTGAGAGTTAAACGGAGGCTTTCGACGCTCGAAGAATGAGCATGGCTGTCCATAAGAAGGCCCATCTGCCATTCAAGGAGAAACCCTCGCTCTTCGGACTCCAGAGTGTCGTCGTCGAATATGACTGAATTGTTATTGTTTCTGCGCCGCAGCTGAACTCTCAGGTGTCCATTCAAAACACGGCCGAGGACAAAACCTTCACTTCTTGGATCTTGGAAAACACGATGAGCAGGCTTTCTACCAACCGTGGACATGAGGTCTGGAAGGATACCCGAGCCAATATGCTCATGTATGGATTGATGGAATGCCTTGACCGATTCTGATCCGATGTTTCCTTCGGCGTAAAGATGAGCAAGTCTCTCGAATTTCAGAGCAGCAAAGCCAGTACTCCTCTCGGCAGGAGAGCAATTAAGGAGCAAGCTTGTTGATTGCCTCAGAAGCGGAATCAGTTGCTTGTAACCCTTTCCTGATTCTCTTTCCTTTAAATACCGCGACCAAAAGACATTGGAGAGTTTGACAAAAGCAATGCCTCTATTATCGTCCGCAAAGGGCTCTTCCTCGGCCTGATTTTCGGGTCCAAGAAGTCCAAGGAGACGTTGGCAGTCGGAAAACATTGGCAGAGCACCTTCCCAAGCCGTTGACTCACACATCACTACCAGCTTTCCAACAGCAGCAGCCGAATCGATAGCGGCGAGAATGATGTTCTTCGATACTGCAAGCTTATGCTGAAACTGCTCGATCTCTTTTTCTTCGCTGTCCTCTGCTGGTTGTCGTCCAATGTAGCGCCTCAGAAATCTTACAAACCCTTGAAGATATTCGATCACTCGGCCTTTCAGTCCGTCAGTCGCGCTGTCTGTACTGCTGTTCCTGGAAACCGTGTTTGCGAGAACGCCCATTGCTAGCTTTTTGAGTTTAGCCGACTCAATGAGCAGTTGCTCCATATCAGTGTTGGTGCCTTTCAGCAGGGATCCCAAAGTCGCTGCTGCTTCGGAGAGCGACTGTGAAACCGTAGCTGGTGAACCTGCCGACTTCATCATTTGAATATCAATACAGGCGATTCTGCAGCGAATGATTCCAATGATGACAGACTGCTCAAGAGCAGGCAGGCCCAAGATGTCCTTGTATATCGCGAGAGCATCGTCGGTACATCCTGCTTCTTGTGCCATTTGTCCTAGAACCATATTGATCCTCCGTATCGTATGTGGATCCTTGGATGCGATTGACAGATTCCGCTCATCTTCCCCCACGGCAGACTGCAGCCTGAGCACCGTTTGGTATATCGTAGAGAATTCCACGTTGTCAATTGTATGCTCATTCTGGGCAAATGTCCCTAGCGAGCGTGCCAGAGGATCCCAGAGTTCTTTGTTAGGTTCACAAACGTGGCCAGAGACCTTCCACCACATCGTCCGAACTTCAAGTGCGAGCAGCTGTATGTTAAGCGACAGGGCTGGCTTAATTTGTGACTTCGAGACCGGTGAGGGTTGATCGCCGTATTTCTGACTCGACGGACAAAGACAAGAAAGGTTGTATGACAGTGACTGTAACTGCAAGGCTGCCTTATCCTTCGTCAAGGCTCCGGCTTTGAGCGCGTCGGTAATTACTCTGGCCGGGCTGCTATGGTTGGACAGCAAGAGCGTTGGGTAAAGCTTTTGAATGACCGAGGGCCGTCTCTCAGATACAATCAACCTCAGAGCGTTCGCCTGGAATGACACTAGGAGACTCAGTGGACAACCAGCGGCTCTAGTATTCCTGAAGGCTAAAAGGTCTGCCATTGTCTCTTTGGAGGCATCATCGTTAGGATTGCTCGCAGCGCTGGGTTTCTTCGTACGGCTGGTAGAATCCGCGACATTATCGAGATGCTGTTGTATCCGGCGCTTGAGTCCTCTCAATTCTTTGTACGCGAGTTCATTGAGGTCCAGTGAGAGAAGCCTCCCCGCAAGTATGCACGCTCCTTGTTCGAGTTGCATATTGGGGAAGTCACCTGTTTGGTCACCCTGTTCGCTTCTCAATGTCCGTAGACACGACAATGACAATCGCGCACACTCAGCCATGGCGAGCACTCCATCGCCCACCATAAATGTACTCGTCCGCCGCACATGGCCCGGCTTTGATTTGGTGGGCGATGTCACGATTCGGTTTGGCGAGCTTGGGCGCAGAGGCGTCTTGGTGTTTGGAGTTCGTTGAACTTGATCTGGCGTGTTCGCAACTTGGCGTCTAGAAGCAGGAGCCTTCAACGCATCCGAGAGGGTCTTGGAGGCAACATTGAAGACCTCAGTCGCCAGTATCAGTTTCTCTTGGCGTGAGAGACGCGCTTCGTCTTGGATATCGGTAGGCGCTTGGAACACGGCGACTTTGGTAGCTGTCTTGGACTTCGCAGTCCGGGTCGATCTCGAGTTTCTTGATGCTGTAGTGGCCCTTGTCGTCCTCGTCTCTCTCTTCTGGCTGTTGGTGGCCTTCTCTGCATCCGTATTGGAGGAGGGTCGGAGGAGTGTTTGGAGAGAGGAAACGGTGGAATTTGTGCACGATGCTAGTGACTTAATATCCTGTTTCACGGACTCCACGAGGGAGCCCGGCATTAGTACTGTTACCGCCATGGGCGTATAGAAGGATATAAGAATATGGCACTGACTGCCATCACACCGAGCGTGTTAGTATCGAACATATCTCATCATGGAGCTCCGTAGTCGAAGGAGGCTGACATAAACTGCGTTGTCGCAGCAACAGGCCTCCGCACTATTCCAAAACGAGCGATCCAGGCACATCGGATCTCCAGCCCCGATTCTCCGATTCTCTCTCTCTCTTGACGAACACTACTACGACCATAGAGTACCATACGTCTTTTTTTTTCGAGGCCAGTTCCACGCGCGACGGCATAGATCTGGTCGATCATTTATCGAATCCCTCACAATGGCTGCACTCAGAATTCCTGTTAGGCTGCTCGCCAGAAATTCCGCACAACACTCCAGCGTTCTCCGCAATCGCGCCGCTTTTCTTACAGTTTCGCAACATGTCCGTCTACATTCCTCCGAATCCTTACCGAGAATAGCACAAGCATCAACATGGAAAGCGATTATGCCAAAGTTCCTGCGAGATCCCGAGACACTTGGTCATCAGAAAAAGAAATCAATCGAATCGCGGGAATGGAATCCAGCAACGTTTTTTATTGTCATATTCATTCTCATCGGCTCGCAAGCTATCCGATTACTGCTTCTGAAGAAGGATTACGAGGCATATACTAGAAGTGCAGATGCGAAAATAAAACTTTTGAAAGAGGTCATTGAGAAGATTAACAATGGGGAGAAGGTGGACGTGGAAAGACTGCTAGGAACCGGGGACGCGCACAAGGAGAGGGAATGGGATGAAGGTTGGTCTCTTCTGCTTAGGTTGTGTATACCATGCGCTAATGCTCCTATTTTTTGTTACTAGTTCTACGTGAAATCGAGGCAGAAGATTCCCTGTGGCACCAAAAGAGGTCCGAAAAAGACGCTCAAGCGCCAGCGCAGACTGAACCTGTCGTACAAGAACAGCCCGCTGAACAGCGTGCAAAGGGAGGCATAAGATCACTCTTCTTCCGCACGAAGTCATCCGAAAACGGACAGGAGAACAATGTCGAAGAGGCAGACGACAAGAAAGACAAGAATCAGCCCCGAAAGCCCGTGTTCTTCTAAGCGCCGACATATTTTATTTATTCCATTGCGGTCGTAAGAAGGTCTGCTTCTCATACCATTGATAGATAGCTCGACCGGTGAATCCGGATCACTCTCCGTCGGCCTTTCCCTATGATGACTTTGCCAAGGGGAGAGGAGATGGACACAGCCAGCTTTTTCCGGGATGATGAATCTCTCGAGAAGAACAGGATTCTCGTGAGGTGGTTTCATCCGCGAAATATTCTGGCTTCAAGGAGAAGACATAAGTGCAGGAGAGGTCAGATAAACAGTGCCAGTCCACAACCTTGAGTTCTCGGAGAAAAAGAAGCCCCACCAGTTATGGCCGGTACACCGACTCATAACCAGCTCTCAGATTGGCCATGGCCATGATAGGGACGCGCGGAGATGATATAGATACGGAGTACAGTCTTCCAGAACCACAAGGGAACGTTGAAGAAAAGAAAATTCCCGTTCCGGGCAGATCCGCTAAAGTCGCCCTACTGCGGACAAACGGCTTGATGTACGGAGTATGCGCAACTTGATACCCAAACTCCACTAATCACATCAACTGGACTTAAGAGCTATTGGCTCGCGAAAATTTTAGCATTGTACGTACATACATATTAAATACATAGTACATAGCGCATATAGTCCTATACACTCTATCTATCTCAAATGTGGAGAACGAGATGGCGTCAATCCTAGTTTCAGTATCAAAGAAACAAAAGCTATCTATCTAGAGCAACTCCACAAAGCAACATCCATACTCATCTCCACTATGTACATTATCGGATTTATCTCGGCTTCCTATAGTCTATTCCTTTCCTTCATCACTCCCATCCAATAATAATAATACTACTAACTCTCAGAGACTAATCCCAGCCCCAAACGAAACTATTAGTTACATGTATCTAGATATCTATCTAAGAATCATCAATCAATCACAGTACAATAATTCCAGACCGCCATTTTAGACACTTTGACCAGACCCAGACCCAGACCAAGACCCATACTTAGTTCTATCTAGACTAGATACTGAGAGTAAGTAAGTTAGTCTAGAATCCAGATAGATAGTCTAGATACGAGATATCCGAGACAGTAACTTAGTACAGTACCTAGGTAACTAATAATAATAATATACTATCTATTCATCTATCTAGAATAAGTATTACAGTAATTACCAATGAATAAATGAATAAATGAATGAAATTGAAGTAGAAATCTTCCCTTAGTCCGGATTCCGGAGGAGCCCTGTTATCGATTTTGAGTATTTCGCTCCGAGTTTTTCGTTGGGGCGGGGAGGTTTGCATGAATATATAGAAGAATAATACATAGTAGTATGTTTCTATAATAATGATGATGATATATTATACGTACTTCTCTACAGAGCATTTTTACGTGATTGGGGAATTTGCTGGGTTGCTTTAATTCTAAACTTTGCAAGTGGTGTGGAGTATTGTGGTTAGTTATAGATCTTTTTCGGATCTTATATATACATATATATATAACTATATTTTTTCTACCGGACGTACATACATATACAGACAGTGTACTGCTCTAATCTAGCAAATTCTATTTGTAGAGTTGATCGTCTAGAATATATGAAATCGTCTAGACGGGAGATAAGGATACAGCCGAAGAAACCAGAGAGAAAACGTGATTGAGACGAAACCTGTTTCCGTTCATTGAATATTGGGCTTAAAAAAGAAACACAGACGAATGAGGCGCTGCACCATAACAGAGCGTAGTTACATGCATGACCGAACCGGATGGGGACTCGCTAGGAAAACATTGAAAGAAAGCAAAGAAGAATAACAACACAAATGCAACGCAACTGCATACTGCCACAAGGCGAGGGGCGCATGTACACCGGAGAAAAAAGAACAGAAACCCCTAGGAGTACACATGTAGTAATGACCATGCAACGATCCCTTCTCGACTACCCGTTGTATTGTCATCAACGGTGTCGTCTGCTGTTTGCTCATTTGGGAAACACCCAAATTTGGAGATCTAAGTCTAACGCTCTAGTCTGACCCGATTCCCAGAGAGAGAAAAAAAGAAAGAGATACAGAGGAAATCACCTTGCACGGAAAGCCTTAAATCGTCACTTTTTTTTTTAATCCCATGAATTGTTCATTGCTTCGGAGTCGAGAGGAACTTGGGCCACTTCTCGCCCTCTGGGACCTTCACGCGACCAAAGTTCTCATCGAGGTCGAGGATGAGCTTCAGAGCGTTGCGACATCTCAGGTACGGAAGAGGGGCCTTGGCAACCTGCAGGCCGACGCCGGGTTCGACACTACCGGTGGGCGTAATAGAGGTCATCGCAGCCTCAGATCCGGGCATAGGCAGCACATTCTGGAGGACTTCATACGCCGCAAGGGTGAAACCGAACTGAGGAGAGGAACGGAGAATACGAGCTGGTCCTCCCTTGAAGAAAGCCCGGAAGCCCTCCTCCTTCCAGACGGTCGTCGCGCAGTGACGCAGAGACGTGTATCCGGTCTCTCCCTTGCGGGCCTCGACTTGCAGACGAGTCTTGATAACATCGCACGGGGTTGTCAGGTAAGCTGCAGGCATACCCGCAATGGCACCGGCGGTCAGGAGCTGCACAACGCCAAGCTTCTTCGTCTGCGACTCTCCGAAAAAGTCGGACTTGAGGTGGGAATAGGTGGGGAAATAGATGGCGGAGAAAGGAACTAAACCGGGTCAGTTCCATACGCTTCTTTAGATGTATGAAAGATTAAACCCACCATCGCGAAGCAGACAAGCACTGGCACCCTTGTACAGACCTACCAAACCAAGGTTCTTCACGATCCACATCGCTGATCGACGAGGAGCACCTTCGACATTCTTGGCGATCTCGCCCTGCACTTGCAGACGGATCTTCACGATTTCCAGAGGGTTGGTGAAGATCTGGTGGATTAGATTAGATTCGTCTCGTCGACTCAAAGCGATCGTTAACTCGACTTACCACTTGACAAGCTCCGGCCGTACCACCCGCCAAAATCTCCCAGGGATACCAAATCTTTCCTGTTTGCTTGTCGGTGAAGTGGCCGCGGACCAGGTCGTTAACGGTCAATTTGATGGCCTTCTCGGGAGCGACACCGATCAGCTGGGGCAAGACACCCGAGTAGAGACCCAAGAAGCCCTCATTGCGGATGACTTTCCTCGCGCAGTCGATGGAATTGTTGTACAACCTCTCACCGACACGGGTGCTACGTTGGTTCTGCATTCTCGTTTTCACCAGGTCAATGGGGTAGACCATGAAAGCACCAAAGGCTCCAGCAATGCTACCGAGCGCAAAGTGGTGGACCGACTCCAGGACATTGTGGAGGACGGATTTCGTCTTTTCGACCGCTTTGCCAGCGGTCGAGGCGACAGCTCGTTCACCAAGGGCCAGCGGGGTGTGCCAGGACGCATCGATGACCTTGGCGAAATCCTTGAGAGAGAGTCTTCCCGTGGGTGCATCCAGACCAGCGAAATGGAACAGAATATCGGCCTCCATAGGTGTAAAGAAAGAAAAGCGGGTGATGCGGGCAGCCTCGTTCAGGAAATCAGCCCGCGTGATCTTGCCATCATCACTTTTGCGCGTCGCCTCGCGCAGAATGAGATCAATGAGATCCATCTCACGGATGACATTCTGGAACGCGCGCACGTTGGCGTAGGAGATCTTGCTGCCGGCAGAGATGTTGCAGAGCGTGGGGAGGTGCTCCAGCAAGTAGTCGGAGAGCTTGTGCCTGGCGGTGCTCAGGATGATGCGCTGGAAATCTTCCGGCTCAATGTAGCCATCACCGTCCTTGTCGAAGTAATGGAAGGCCTGGCGGATACGCTCGCCCTGCAGTCCACGCAGCATCTGTGCGAACTGGGGGTATGTCATGTCATGACGGGTCTTCTTCCTGCCGACATAGAGCGACGCCCATTCCGAGTTCCAGTCGAAGGGGACGCCATCCGATCCTTTGTTGAGATTGTACAGTTTCTGGAAGGTCTCGTACTTGACCGCACCGGTGCCTTCGACGTCGAACAGGCGGAAGGCAACCTCGTACTCCGCATCGGGCTTGCTGAGCAGGTTCTCGAAGGTGGCCCAGTCAGAGATGTTTATCCGGCCCGTCTGTCGTCGATCGGCGACGGCGAAGAGAATGCTGTACTGCTCGCGCTTGATTTTATGCTGCCGTGGACAGAAAACAATCGAGTCAGCTTTCAACAACCTATGACTCACCCCATTGCGCAACACCAAGGGCAACGACTGCAGCCACTTACATAGTCCTCTTCCTTGGGTGCAATGGCTTCCACAAACTCCTGCTCAGTCATGTACAGTTCACCGGTCTGTTCATCCTTGCGCGCATGCTTCAGGAAGTTGGCCTTGATCTGCTGGGTGAGCTGCGGCTCCTCCGCCGTCCCCAGGAGTGACGCCTTGACAGTCTCCGTCACGCTCGACATGGTAATTCCAAATTACAACAACTGCAATCAATCACAGTGATGGATTGTTGTCCTGCCACACACAAAGCCCCGTCCTATTCCCAGAGTGTCCGTATGGACAACTTGACTTGTGACTGAGGGTCAGAGCAAGCTAACACAAAGGGACCAGAACAACGGATAGCGTGCAATGGCCGGACAGATAACAGCAAAGGCAATAATACACAACGGGAGACACAGGAACGCAGGATGACAGCTCCAGGCCAGACAGAGACGATGATAGAACTGAATCAAGCTGTCCCAAACAGAACCAGAGTGTGATAGCCGTCTCGCAGTTTTTTTTTTGGCGCCAGGACCTGCGGGAATCGGCGAAGCTTAACGCCTTTCGCAGCGCAGGCCACGCGAGTCCCAGCAAGCAAAAAAAACACTCAGCGACGGCCTTCACCGCCCCGGCCAGGGGCGTGGGGTCGGGCCAAGCTCCGGTATCCCCGATGGTTGTTTAGTTATTAGTATTATTATTAGTAGTTAGATACTTAGTTAACTAGTTAGTAGTTAGTAGTTAGTTACAGTATTTGATACTACTACTATCTTGCTCGTTATGCCTACTTGAGTAGCATCTCACGGATACCAAGTAACTAACACTCATACTGGACGCTTGTCCCTCCTGAGTTCCTGAGTCCTACTGGATTTGCATCTACCCGTTGTTCTCCAGAAGGGTAACCAGAGTTGAGTCATTGTCACTTTTCCTAGTTAATCGCCCCGTGAGGACCCATCCTACGAAAAACTCCCGCCAAGGTCATCTAGGGCCCCGAATCTCGGAGCACGCGCAAGATCCCTTCGAGTCGGGAAAACAAGCGCTCCAGGCAGGCTCTAATCGGGTGTCCTGATCCCGAACAGGATCTAAGAGTGACCGTGGGAAACAGCAGTACTCGTCGTCTCTCGGCCGGTAAGAAAGACATAAGATCCGTCAGAGCTGACAGTATAGGGAAATAATAATATAGTAAAGATTAATAGCTGAATTCACTGACATCAACGCAACATGCCTGCACCTCACAATCGAATCTCGTAACCTAATGTTATTATTATTATTATTATTGTTCCAGCGCCGGAATCCTTTTTTTTTTTCGACGGGTTTCCAGCCGCCATCTTCTCCAAATTTTACAGTTCTGACCGAACATGCCAGTGATTTACCCGAGAGGTAAACGGGATGCGGAGCACATGCGGGTCCGACCTTGGAGTAACTTAAGAAACACAGAGACCGAGCCGTTCTCCAACATCTGATTCGAGTCGGTCGAGAACTGTCAGCATCACTACTTGCGATCCCCCGCCCTGAAGATCGCCATAATTCGCGTCCAATCGACCTCGGAATCCTCGCCAAGGAGGCTGCAATGATCTTCTCCTCCCCGGGATCACGCATTCTCACCTGGCTCGCAGCTGAGAGATCTGGTTGAACGCGGGGGTCCAGCCGACTCAGCCTATCTAGACTAGACTAGTCTAATAATAATGATTAACCCCGACATGCTCATGCTCATGTTCACAGCTGAATCCTGATGCCCACACCGCTTCCCCCTTCCAGGAAGGCGCTCTGCGGCAACTGCGCTGCTTGGGGGAATCCGGAGTCCCCGGGGTAACACGCCCAGCCAGGGTTTCATCCCTTTCTTTTGCCAACCCCTTGGGGTAAAAATGATATTAATTAATTCCAGCATACCTGGGGAACGAACGGCGTGGCTGGCATCCTCTTGGCAGCTGTATGGAATCACCCATATCTACAACTCCAATTACTTATGGTACGGTCCCGAGATTTCCCTAGAGGCTTCCATCATAGAAGACGCAGATCTGACAGATGAACTCACCGAAAACACCCTATTAATAATCGGCATAGGAAGCATCAGCAATGGAGGTCACTACATGTATTATTATTATTATATTGGCCCCCAAGTTCATGTGCAGCATTGGCTATGTGGCTTCGAGAGCACTATGCCTTAGTAGTATAGATGATAATTATCACTTGCCTAGTTGGGAAGATCAGTAAATTGTGCAGCGTAAAATTTGCATTAAATGAAGCATTTTGGAATCATATTCCTTTTTTTTTTCCCCCTAGATATCGTTTTTGATTAGTCGATAATGGCAGACTCGTAATGTAAAAACAATTGGTGGTCATATTACGATCCAGCCGCAATAAGTATGGAATCTTCTATATCCCCGATCGATTCTTTCGGAGTAGATCCATGAGCTGTTGTATTCGTGCATAGAGGGTACTACCTCATCGAATATATATTGAAGCACCCCATTCTGGTATGTAAATATTTACTAGTCAAAGCATCTGCATAATATGATAACGCGAGAGAATCAGCGTAAGCACAGACTGGCGTTCTGAAGCTGACACCGCGCATGTACCGAATATTCCGTCTTCTAATTTCTTACAAGGCGGGGAACTGCGTACATGCATCAGTAATATAAAAATCAGAATCCGGCTTTTCCAACTATAGTTAGAGCTGATAGATATGTCATGGTCATCCCACCTCAGTGGAACTTATTCTCATTCTTCTAATAGAGGCTGCAAATTCTCTGCGTTTCCATCCTCAGGCTTCTCCAGTCGAAGGAGCCTAAAAAGGAAATCTTCTATAGGAAGAAGAACCAAGATGGCCCTATTCCATCTCCGAGCTGCTGCAAGAACGCATGCACCGACGAAAGCGTCCAGGAGAAAATGATTGGCGGTTGCAACGATGGTAAGAAGCATCGAAATCGGCCATAGCGGAGCAATGAGGCGCAGGATCAAATGCGGACTAAACTTGCACAAGCAGAATGCGATGAAAAGAGAGTTCCCAAAATGTAAAGATGGCATCGCAGCGATTGTTAGCTGGAACTTGTTCTGTGTCCAGGCTGAACCGCCATTATTGCCACTGTGCAGGACATCGATGAAGCCGTATTCTTCCGGAAGAAGGCGTGGTGGCATGCACCTCCAGGCTGTGATGATCACAAATGCGATCACGTTTTCCATCGCAATTGTTCGTCTGATGTTGTGGTATCTCCAGCGCGGCAGAAATGTGTAGCAGTATACAAGGAAGACTACCCCCAGGACTATGTGCGAGTAGTAGATTTTAGCCAGGACCTGCATCAGCCATGGTGCCTTCTCGAGGATGAAACGCTGTACAGATAGTTCGACATCAATGTGGAGGAGATGTTCGAGCCAGAGGATCTGAGTGGCATGAATATACGCTTGACGGAAGACAGCCTTGTTTCCAGCAATGGCTCTGGCAGATATTGCTCGTAAGCCCTGGTAGATCTACAGGTACTCAACTGCATTAGTACGGTGAGAAGATATGACGAGGGGGAAATATCCATACCCAGTATGTCAGGAGCCAGTACCAAATCTCCATCAAGAACGGGAAGTAATTTAGTAGACGAGAATGAATCGCTTTCCGGCGCCTTGGCACACTGCTCTCTGTAACAGTGCCATACTTGTAGACCGCATCCTCATTATCTCTGACTCCCTCTGGACCGACTGTAACTACAGGCTTATTGAGGTCATCGTTGGTTTGCAGAGGCGTGGACGATTTGCGTCGATTGATGATCGTTCCCAGCGCGAAGGTGGCGACAACCGCTGTATAACACCGGCTAGCGTTAGCAGTTGTTAATTCCTAATTGAGGTCTGACCAGATATTTAAGATTCAGCATACCCGCTGGTTCAATGATATTCTTCAACGACATATTTCGTTTCGACGTCCGCCTGTTGCTGCCTGGATCAAGAACGCTGAGCTAATAGGTGTATAGTTGACAAGACCACCGACCCGGCAAAGAGAGAGCACAAAAGTCGGGGTCCCAGGGACGATTAAGAAGAAAAAGAAATGAATGAGGTAACTCTGGGCTCAGATGTCCATCTCACCGAGCCATTCTGGAGGAGGCTGAACCCTACGTCAGCTCGTCAAGGTGCGATAACTGGAACAACGCGGTACTTACCGGCAAGGCACAACTTCCCGCGTAACCCATTCTCGAACCGGGGAACAATTCAGCGACTGTAAGTGGTCTTATGGCCTTGAAAGTACGGGAGGATGACTTCACAAACGAGTCTAGCTTGCTCCTTAGGTACATGAAAGCGGAACATTGTTAAGCACACGACGCCTTGGACGGAGGTCGACGGAATGGCCGGCCTGTCGTCATCCAGTGAATAATGTCCCAGTGTTCATTTCAGCCTTGTCAACGGTCGCTGACGGCGATCATTCCGCTTCAGAAAACTTAGCACGCGACCAGCTTATACTCCGTACATTATCTATCTAATGTTATTTCGATCTAGACCATGGCGTGCCAAGTTCAATCAAGGACTCCTCCCTGGAGATGAGGAGCATATTAGTTCATGTGACAGGTCCAGAATCCCCTAAAATCGTCTTAGCAGATAGTAAGAGAAATTGCCGTATACCTAGGTACTTCAAGAGGCGATATATGGTTACACGCTCCCGTCTACTCTATTTCTACTCAGGGAAGGGTATACCTATCTGGCCTTAATGTTTGCTTCGCCCAAGGGAAACTTTGACCCGCCTCAGAACCGAATTCTGAGACGGACTGAGCTCAGGATGTCCTCGAAGCATAACAACGTTGTTGTACGGAGTACATACATAAAACCCCCAAGTTCTCTAGCGATCGTCGCTCCGCATTCCTCTTCTCGACCAGGCAGATCATATTAGGCTGACACCACCCTCGACCCACGGCGATCCTGTTAGTATCAGATGAAGAGCGGCTTCACTGGCATTATTGAATTTTGACAATGTCGAGTCGTGCGTCGAAGTGATGTCGAACATTGAGAGATAGATAAACGGATTCCATCTCCTAGTACGTCGTGAATCCTGTACACCCGTGATTTGGTCAGATTCTGGATGAAGTATTTCACATGGCGTTTCCGGAGGACGAGAAGCGGAACCGACTACATATCTCTGGGAATTCTCCGAGCCTGTTCCGTCGTCCACCAACGTACGGTTATAGATGATACATGATACTGTAGAATCATTATCTTCTTATCATAGGGTACCCTTCAAGGGAGGTTTTCATATTCTCAAAAGGGTCAATGCACGGACATCGAGATTCGAACTGAGCATCAAACGGCCTGAGTCTCTACCCACTTCATTCATTTTGCTATTAACGTGAGTCCCGTAGATAGATTTTGTTGTCTTATCTTTGGACATCAGCCCATTTGCACACCTTGGAAGATTCAGTGGAGATGCCTAAATCACGCCCGCTGCTACTGGAGAGATCACCTAGTCAGCTGCGAAAAAGCAAGGGACAAATGTCCTACATAAGCTCGGATATTGGGAACAGAGGTCGAAGTTTTTCAATCATTTCTACAAGTGTCGCGACTCAATTGAAGCCGTGGCTCTTCATCATCTTGGCTTTAGCTCGTCTGGGGCTTGCCACATAGCTGACCCGGATGAGTGGTAATACGGAAGTTTCGATGTCTGCATCCCAGTTACAGTTAGCGACCCCAAGAAAAACTACAATAAGTGCGTGATAATTCGATTTCCTCTGCCGTATCGGGTGGGCGACGCGCACTATCCTGGAAACTCCGATGAGAAATTGCGTTGCGAAGTTGGGACATATGCGTGGCTTCAGGGTAATTGCCCATCCATCCCAATTGGCTTTATTTTCAACCGGTGAAACGGTACGTAGGTCTCCAGCGTCATCCTTGAGACGATATATTGATTGAAATTAGTTTACTGTTCTCGGGAACCTGCCTTTCCCTATGCGCCTTTTTCAATCATTCCGTCGTCATATATCAGCGTGGCTTCGATTACAGACGCCATCTCGATACATCCGCCATCAGTGCAGAGATCAATGTTCGAGAAACAAGGCATTGGTTACATGCTGATTGAGTACATTGATAGACCGCAGGGTCGGATGCTTTCAGAAACGTGGGATGAAAAGAGGGATGCAAACCTGGAGACGAATCTCTTTCGAGGCCTCTCACGTGTGATTCTAGGGATCGCCAGTATACCACTCCCTCGGATTGTATCTTTTACTATTGACCCAAGGGGCTTTCTCTCCCTGTCTAACAGGCCACTCAGACTTGACGTTCAGCAACTTGAAAACGAGCACATTCCCGTTGATTCTTGACCCTGAATGGGCATGTTCTCGTCTACTGGAAATGATACGCCCTCCCTATTGACTGACAAGCAAAGCTGTCGATGGGATTGATTCTGATGAATTTGAGAAGATGCATACGGAATTCGTGAAATACTTCAAGGAGGAAGAACAGAAAGTGCTCGTCAAGACGAAATGCCGACATTACTCACTGAACTCCTAGAACGCGGATAGAAGACGGGAACATTCTGGTATTGCGTTGCTCTTGATAGCCCTAGGGGCCTCTTTAGCGTTTTCTCCGACCATATTCAACACAGGTATTCAGATCAACATATCGAGGACCCGCCATTTTTCCAAAACCATGGGTCATTACTGGAGTGTTGATCCAGGGAAACTCATGTGCACAAGGGTCAAAGATAAAGAGGATTACGACAAAAGACTTCGTGCTGCATTTGAGGATTAGAGGTTCATCCCATAAAGGTTATCAAGCAGAAGCTGAATTTCAATCTCTGGGAAGCTGTAAATGAGAGGCCGGGGTGCCTTTGCCATACGTGCTATATTGTTTTGAGTTTCCTCAAGGTTTGGAGATGTGATTAGGATGCAGGCCAACCTCCAGATTTGGCTAATACTGAAGAAATCCCTGGCCGCGGACATTATTGAAGCTCAGAAGCAAACAGTTGGGCCTCTTCTCTCTCTCCCTCTTTGTTTCCTACTGAGGGTCTCTGGAGATTCTACTTCCATCATTTGTTCGACTGGTCTCCCGCGGTCTTTGTGTGTAAGGACTGGTTAGACTGTTGGGACAAAGGTCGCCCAGGTGATTTCTCTGCGCCGAAATATCAAAGAAAGGCTAGATGCATAACAGCTAGATTCAGACGTATCCAAACAAAGATTATGCATGCCTCATTATTCTGGTTGGCATCGTGACTCAGAGGGGTAAACTTGTCGAAGGGATGCTAACAACCTTACTTCATACCCCTCCGAAGTATTATTCTATGGCTCTATATCACACAATAGTCTGCTTTTCTTGATTGTCTAGAACCAGCCAAGGCTTTATTGTTCTCTTCTCCAAGTTTGGTAGCGTGTGCACCTGATGTGTCTAAGGCATCAAGTTATCGATCTCATCACAATCACCAACCTTCTGCAGATATGACCCCAACCACACAAACCGGATCTTTTACGCATTATTGGACAATGAAGAGGGGAGAAGATACTAGTAGGATGTGACTCAAGCTGTAACGTGCATCGTCTTGCGTTCGTCCGGCGCCTAGTAGTTGTTGTGAGACGTCCTTATTGGCAAACAAAAACGAGCCCGTTCCCAAGCCACCCGGTTCTCTCCACCATACGTACAAGCCAACCGCCATACAAACCAGCGCAATCCAACAAGCAACACAAGCTTTCCTGGCCTCTCCTTCGCTACCCCTCTTCCACTTATATAACCGGGCGCCTATCCTGCGCTCCTCCTATCCTCTCCTTTCTCTTTACTAGGCATTTTCTGTGTTGGAAACAGTTCTAATTCATTTCGCCGTCGTGTTTTTTCTCGTTTTTTCTATTTTCATCTGCTTCGTTTGGCTGGTCCAATCGAACAGTCTCATTTGCACTTGGACATAATCACCCAAGCTCCATAGTCGTACTTGCGTCAATAATATCCATACCCCATCCCCCCAAAACCAGAGCAACTTTGTTGATCAAAGTCCCCCTCTGTTGATATCGAAGGAACAAGAAAAAGAAACAGCGTTTCTAGTTATCAATATCGTCATCTTCTTATTCTACATTAATACATACTCCCCCCGGCTCCCTAATCGAACCAAACTGCAATCGTCCAGATCCCATCATGTACGCCGCTCGTGCTTCCAAGCCAAAGCTCTCTCTGAGCATCTCTGCCGTGACTCAAAACTCCGGCCGTCCGTCGTTGTCGCTCAAGTCTCCTGGCGCAATGCCTCGCACGCCGACCTCGCCTTCTCCTCTTAGCCCGACGGCGAGAAATACAGTGGCAAACCAGCGAGGTTACCAGACGTTGCAGGTGCCGACATATTCCTATGCGAATTCGAGCTCATCGAAAAGTATCCTGAAGAAAAGTGCGGAGTCCAACGCGAGCAGAGACAAGCGCATCCAGTTCCAGAACAGTCCAACTGTTTACTGCGTAACCCCCATCGAGAACAAGGATGATGTCTATGGAGGCTATGTCAAGATGTCCCGCGATGAGCGACGATGGGGCAGGCGCTCTTGAATTACATAGGCCAAGTTTTCCGAATGAACGAACCAAAAATCCACACAATCAATCGCAACCCAGTTGAGCCACGAAGGGCTTGAAGCGCAGCGACGATTGTGGACCTATCCTGGGCGGAGTCAATACTATCAATTGATGAACAGCCGCGCCCGGCTCCGACATACACACCGTGAGGCCCGCCAATCTTCGAGTCAAACTCGTCCTTTCATACGCGTGGTCGAGGTCGGATTAGCCAGACGAAACCAAAGTTCGGGTAAAAAAAGAAGTCAACAACAGAAACGCAGTTATGGATATTATATGATGTTATGCCTCCTAATGCCCGACTTATCGCTTGCATGTGCAGATGTAAATAGCAAATAAACATGACAGTCGTTACCGTTCTTTACCTAGTTACAGCTCTTCCCGGGTGTTGATGTAGCTTGTAAGGGTTCGTATTCGTAGATCGTATCACATCTCTGAATTAATGCAGGTTGATCCGGCTAACTGCGTGGTGGTACCTAAGCTAGGAACACTCCAGCGACTTTCTCACTGTTCACCCTATAATATCTAGAACAGTAAATGCCGTCTAAATTTCAGAGATGTTCTTCATATCTACAAAATACTAAAGCCTAGGTTTAACCAGAATTAGGGCACCGATTCAGGGCTCAAGTGGCCCGTGCGAGATCGGATTTTGCTGCGAACCTCCGGGGAAAGATGTTCGCGCCGGCGAACCATTTTGACCAAGCAATACGAGTGTCTTATCTTACCGGCGCTGGAACTTTCTTCACCAAATACCTTTATCTTTTATGTATTTTGTCTTCTTCATGGGCCAGTATTAAACATACAAATGTTGAATTGCAGAGCAGTTGCTCCCGCACTGCGCAGGTTTCGCGGTGCTGCTGTTTCGATACCTGCGGGTTCTCATCGGAGCTTGCTCACTCTTGCTATTGAAACTTCTTGGTACATAGTCCTTGTCCCCTGGCTTCTTTTGTTCTATCTGCCATTTTGTGCTCTTTTCGGGAAAGCGAAATGCTGACTGCGATTGTTGTACCTTTTAGTGACGACACTTCCGTTGCAATTGTCGAAAAACATACTCGGGCATCCGACAGCCCGGCGACGATACACTTTCTCGAAAATGTCACCGCTGACACGAGGCAGTACCGAGGCATCCACCCCATAGAAGCGTTACAATCGCATCAAGAGAGTCTTGCAAAGCTTGTCGACAAGGCAATAAAGTCACTACCGCCTGTTCCGGAGAGTCAGGCGAGTACCAATGGCAAAGTGATAAAGGATGCAGACGGAGGCAGGTTGCGAAGGATACCGGATTTTATATCTGCGACTAGAGGACCTGGCATGAGATCCAACCTCTCCGTTGGGTTGGATACCGGGAAGGGACTCGCTGTAGCATGGCAGATACCTTTTGTTGGCGTTCATCATATGCAGGCGCATCTGTTGACTCCGAGGTTGGTGTCCGCTCTGACTGCAGGAAAAGAGCACAGAAATCAAACAGGAAAGGCACATCCGGAATTCCCATTCCTGTCTATCTTAGTCTCCGGCGGACATTCCCTGCTAGTGAGGTCTAGCTCCGTCACTGATCATGCCCTCATGGCGTCAAGTGCCGACATAGCAATCGGAGAAGCTCTCGACAAGTCGGCTCGGCTGATACTTCCGGAGTCGCTGCTCCAAACGGCAAAGAACACAATGTACGGCAAGATGTTGGAGCAGTTCGCATTCCCTAATGGCTCTGCCGACTACAGCGACTATCGCCCTGCAATGACTCGTGGGGAAGAGCAAGTCAAGCGGGAGAGCCCTTGGGGCTGGTCCATCACGACTCCACTAGCAAACACACGCCAACTGCAGTTCAGTTTTTCGTCTGTACCTAGCACGGTGACGAGGCTCTTTACAAATAGAGAGAAAGAAAACCAGCTCACGTCTGACGATGAGCGTGTTGCTCTTGCGCGGGAGTCAATGCGCGTATGCTTTGAGCATCTCGCCTCACGAACTGTTATTGCTCTGGAAGCTTTGCGGGATCAAGCAGGCCAGAGTGAGCAGGTCAAAACTCTTGTAGTCAGCGGTGGAGTCGCAGCAAATCGGTACCTCATGACAATCCTTCGCTCATTCCTCGACGTCCGCGGGTTCGGGCATGTCGAGCTCGTCGCGCCTCCGCCGTACCTCTGCACCGATAATGCTGCTATGATCGGTTGGGCTGGAATTGAGATGTTTGAGGCTGGATGGCGCACTGAACTTAGCTGTCGAGCTTTGCGAAAGTGGTCCCTGGATCCGACGTCTGAAGACGGCGGCGTTCTGGGACCTCCTGGTTGGACAGCGGTCTGATATATCTGCCAGGACTGCTCTACTGGCGTCTGGACATTTTGTCTTCTGCATCTTGGATGTACGCTATGTGATCACCGCTTGTATCATATTTACCGATACCCTCGAGTTTGTGCGGTTATCCTTTCTTGGAAACTTTCATGGGTCATTTAAAAGCATCAAAACTGTAAAATAGAATATACATAGAACAAGGAGATGAGAGGGAAAAAACTGCCAAGGTGGCAGATATTCACAGAACATGGTTCAAGGAAACCGTTCAAATAAAAGAAACCAAAAAAAAGAAAGAAAAGAAAAAAAAGAAAAAAAAAAATCCAATCTCCGCAAAAAGAAAGCAAGAGTAAATGATAGAATAGTCCCCTCGCAGGAGCAAAAATACATAGTATAAGTGAGATTCTCCAGTCAGGAGAGGAGCTGTTCCAGCCTTGGCATAGCATTTTTCTTACTCGTTTGCGGCATCTCATGTTCGCCGTGCATGTTTGCCTTGCGGTTTTCAATACTATTATCTGATCTGATCTTTCGCGCATTTTTCAAAGACCTGAGACCACGCCCGAAACACTAGGTTAACATTAGCCATGTATGTACAGACGAAAATGTCTGGTATCAGAGGAAAATGCAGGAAGAATTTGAAGCAAATTCTGAATGGACTTACAGCTTTCTCAACATCCTCCCATGATTCGTCCATAGCATCAGCTAGTGGCATCCATATCTGTTCGCGTAGCTGCTTATACAGAATGCCAAGTTTCTCAAACTTGGCCTCGTCCCAACTACTCCCACGTTTCTTTGCTATAAGCCGCTCGTATCTTTTACGGCACGCATTTGACGATTTGGAAGGGAAATACTCCTTCTGGATTTGTTTCCATCCGTGGCCCCGGGAGCGGGCATTGAGAAGGATATTGTCTTCTTCGTCCTGCCATGGCCCTGATGAATAAGATACTTTCCCAGACAATCGTTCTGGCCCAGATATTTGGAATTGAGCTTCCTCTCGATCCGGAGAAAGAGAGCCTCGTATGATAGAATTCTTGTTCGGTGCTCGATATTCCGGTCTTCCCCATGGAGTTGGTAGTGTGTTAGATCGTAATAGTCTTCCGTCCCCGTAGCCTTGGGAGACACCCTGCATCGTATATTTGGTTACCATTCCCCGAAAGGAACTGATTTCGTATCTCGGACTTATCCGTTAGTTTAGTGCAAAGATTTTTGGAGAAGATATCATACGTAATAGTGCTCATAGGAGCAGGAAGTCAAGATTAGAATTAGCAGAGCTATAAGCCCTATAGCCGACTGAGTACTCGACTATGGTCGTTCAGACATGAGGATATGATACTCTGACAAAGCCGGACGAAACTTTTTACAGTGATATTGCTTTCTGCTGTGTCACAAGGAGAAGGAATGAAAGACAAAGCACACTGAACAGACAAGTCAATATGGAATAACTAGCAGAAAAGAAGTTCTTGTTTGAAAGGCAGATAGGTTGGCTGTAAAGACAAATTCACCCGATGAGCGAGATGGCAGTTTTCTTATTGAGTTGGTTTCCTTGTCTGCTTGGTCTGTTAGATGTGGTGGAGCCTTTCTCGACTATATGGAATACCACTCTGTCCTTGGGGTCGAATTGGTGAACAAACCATCGAAGGAAATTCAAGCAATGAATTCTTGGAGCAGCAAATCGGAGGGTGGAGCCAGTATACTATGAATAAGTCATGATCTCCGGCATGGAGGCCTTCGACCACTCAGCCTATCCCCCTACGGCCAATCTGCAAGCCATCCCTGGATGGTGGGAGTGCAGCCCTTCAGGTGATAGCCTTTGTCTGTAAAGTAGCCGCATCTCCACGTACGCAGATATAGACCTTCTCTGCACGAGCAAGGAACACCCATATGCATACCTAGACATGGTCATACAGGCGCAGCAGGGTTCAGTATGACAACTGACGAAAGCAGAGAAGATTGATGGTAGCCGTTATGCTATGTAGAGTCTAACTCAGGAACGTGGTGGGGGCCAGATGGTGGCGGCGGTTGTGTTGAATGCTTCGCCCTCCAGGACGGCTGGAAGGCCTCGAGCATCAAGATAAGAAGCTGCGCGAGATTACGGCGGATCTGTCGGTTTTTGGAAAGAGAGCGTACCATTCATAGGGCTGGATATTTTTTTTTTAGCCTCGAACTTCAGGCTTCATGTTTCATCCAAGCCTTTCCCTCATTGTTGCTACTGGTTATTATTCTCGAAGCTGCAGGTTACGCGCCAGACGATCTCAGCTTGCCGCAAGCCCAACATAAGCCACCACACCCTCCACTATGGTCTGCATCCCAGGAAGGCCAGGCCAAACCCGGTGGATGCACGCTGAACTATTTTGAGATACGGTCCCGCTCTCATATCCCATGTCCACTGTTCAATAAAGCAGTATGCGCCAAACCAACAAAAATCAGCGTCGCAGAGAATATCGAGGAGACCTTCCTCAACAGCCAGCAAACTATCATAAACATACGGACCAGTCCATCAGTCGCAAAGATAACGACATGAATTGTACTGCAACTGCAGTTCACTGCCTTGCGCAATTCTCTCGAGCATCAGGCTTTCTCGGAGAAGCTGTATAAAGTGGGCTGGCATCAGGTGAATTCGCAGTTTCCTCATTGAACCGTTAAGTATGAGGTCTCTGGCGGTTATACGCTAAATAACGGGCTACATATCGGGACATGTCCCGCGACGTGATCATGGTTTCCGGCGCTTAACGGGGTCTCTTGTGTGGAATACCCTGCACAGCCTGGCAAACATGGGAACTAGGCTGTCGATATGAAGGTGTCTGTTTTGCGTGGTTTGCGTGTCAGCCAATCCGGCTCCTATGTGGTCTTCAGGCGACCGCAGTAGACCCAGCCTTAGGCGTTCATGACAAAGAGGCTTTTCCTGATTGAATCGAAGACTGGTCCATCCACGAGCTCTCCTCTAAGCGCCTGTGGAGAAGCAGCATACAAGCGTTGGTAAACATGACCAATTGCGGATGGACAAGTCAGGACATCGAACGCCTGGGTAATAATAATATATATGGCAGCTGACTCAATTGCCCCAGCAGCGGACATATAGACTCTGGTATCATTTCTACCGCCGCAACCATGGTTGTACCTGCATTGTATCCAATCATAATTACTTCTATTAAAAGCACACATACACCTCGCGCCGTCATGATATGCTTGATTCTAGCTAGCAATCCGGGACCATTTAGAAAGTGTATATGAGATGACTATAGCGGTTCTATCCGGTTAGCCCATAATCTGAAGGATAAGAGAGAACAGGACCTTGCATTTCCAGTGATAGGATCTTCTAAGCAGACTATTTCGGTATAGATCGTAAGTCCAGGTCTTTATTTGAGGGGCCGTTAACGGCTCGCGGGGGCGGTCTTAGCCCCCCTCCTCACAGGAAACACAGTAATGGTGAATCAATTGGCTTGCCAAGTGTGTAAATTAGAAGTCGAGACGAGTGGAAACGGGGATCCACAGTAATCAGTCAGACGGGTTCAGAAGTTGTCTTTCGCATTCGCAAAGCTTTCGGTATTATTATTAGGGCAGCAGGCGAGGATCCAGCGAGCTTCGGGTTTTTGGCATACCCGAGGCCAGAAAGCTGCATCGCTCCAGAATTCTTTCTCTTCTCCGCAGATAATATGATACTATAGCTGATGGGGTAGTATCAACTACGGGTTCTTCTAAACTCCATCTTGATAAACTACGGCGGTTTGTTGCTTGGGGTCAGTGGGCCCGGTAAGTAGCGGACTAAAAATATACTACGGTTAACTCATACATAAAGGTACCTAGTTAATTATCCTCAGTTTAAGGTCGGGCCATGAACGGCCCGACTGATGTTTATCTGACGACTTAGTATCTGAGTTACCAACCTTTCTATCCGTGAAACTTATCTCGAAATTGTAGGATATTCCTGAATGAGTTATTCTGTAGCTTACGGATTGCAGTCACCGTAGGGGTGCGTACGGCTCTCTCAACAAAAGGATAGGTAACAATCAAGTTTTCATTGTTGATGAGCTCTAATGGAAATGACTTTTCATACTAAAAGAAAATCGCTGATTACTCTGAATTGGTTATATTAGCGTTCGCTGCTTTCCATTGGAATTTGCTCACACCGCACTCGTTCATTCCACCTCAGGGTCAACTAAGGCATATCACAGCTCCGGGAACCTCGAAAGACAGTCAAGATGTACAATCTCAGAATCGTCTTCGTTCACACCTATATCTAACATGATTACCTGAAAGATGTCGAGCCTATAGCGAACTATCATAAACTTGGCTATGGTGGCTGTTCACACATGGCTTGCAACAGACCAGGTCTCCGCCAAATACGTTGCTATGAAGATTCTCACTTCTCAATTCAGCGCAAGAAGAATGACATATAACGTCGAGTGGCTGAGTCAAAGGGCGATTGACCTTTCTGAAGCTGGTGTTATTCTCACCGATTTCGGAGAGTCCTTTATGCTATTAACTACAAAATGACAATCTTCGAATATTCCACTACTCTCTGTTGCTCCCAAGGTGTGATTCTTACCTGAAGAACCGCTTTCCTCTGCTGCAGATACATGGGCATTTGATTGCGTTGGATGGGAAGTTTTGGGCCAGAGACATAGTTTTGAACCTTTCTTCACTTGCCTACACCTGTTCGTGTGACTGAGGAGCATGTTAAGGTCCTTGGTAAGTTACTACTGGGGGCGGGGGAGCGGTGCGGTAAGGAAAAGAAAACTCGACAGAGTGGTTTTGCGACGCGTACACCGCTCTAGCATAAACATCACGGGAAAGAAGCGATCATGGGACGGCCTCTCGGGGAACTCGATACAGGAACCTAGGCGGGGAAGATACATGGAACAGATGGAGGAGGAAGAGAAGATCGCTGTGTTCGAAATGCTGAAAGGTATGTTCAAGCCACAGGAAAGTACAACTTCGAGTCAGGTTCTCCGTCTTGAATGGACGAAGGAGTGGGCTATGCCAGAACTTGGAGAGAATCTAAGTTAATCTGGGGAAGCTTAGGGGGCGTGGGAAATCCGACTAGATAAACCTAGATCTAGTTATCATTGTTACTTAGTTAGTCCTCACTAAGCTTTTCGGAAGTAGAATAATACTGTTTTTAGTTCAAAAGCTTCACTAATTAGGTTACGGTATCCACAGCGCATTGATGCAAAACCAATACAAATGAAACCGTGCTCATAGCCGCGAAGTACAAACGATAGCTATCTTATCAGTGTATTCACTGTCTATAGATATTCTATAGCATTCTCCGAGGGAAGTGACAAATGGCGGTGTTTACCGCGGTTATGTAGATTTCTGACCTACACCTCCATACTGGAGGCATTAAATGTGCGCTATTTCCATAGGGATAGTGACCCGAGTAGCCTTTAGACTCCGGATGACATGAATTATCATACGGATGAGAACTATTTCTTTACGTTGTCATCTACAGAATGCTCGCATATAGTAATGATGTTTTGTTAGAGCTTTTCTAGTTACATCCAGGATTGCCATTCCATCCTACCTGAGCCCCGCAGCGAAGGATCAGTCGCGACCCATGGATGTCTTAGAATTAACTAGACAGCCAATGCGGGACCGCACAGGGAAGGGTCCCTTTTGCATTTGACCTTGAGTGAAAGAGCGTAGAGTGCTTTCTAGCAACCGGTCGACGATCAACCGCCAGCTACGTTTCCACCCTGCTGCAAGGCAGACACCTGCTTTCGAAGCTCGAGGAAGAAGTCCTTTCCGTTGGCCATTGTGTTTGCTGTACTGTGTTAATCGTAGTATACCTCGTGTGTATGACGCGAATGTGGACATACGCTTGGAACCCCAAGGACCACTGGCTCTGTTATTCACTTCTTTCCCCGTTGGCTTGTATGCAGTCGGCTTTGGCTCTGGTAACAGATCATGAAGGTTTAGCTTCTATCCGTTAACTGTCGTACAAAATTCCGCAAAACATACCTCCTGGACCTGCAGCAAGTTATAAGCTTGTTAGCAGATATGCATTATATACTCTGTTGCACGCAAACCCGACATACCTCTCCTGAGAGCACCTTTTGACTCGGCCGCATTAAAGCCTCTGACCGGAATGTGTTGCTCCTGCGGAGGACCGCTAGGGACCTGCTGTGCTCCCCAGGCATTAGGCGAGTTGGCACCATGAGCACCGCGATGGCCCCCTTGTGGACCCGTTCGATCTCGTGGACCAGGAGTGGAATGCCTCTGGTTTGGGCGGTTTGGGTCGTACGGTCGGCCTCCGCGCCATCTGAGAGGAAATGCGGGCGATTAGCTGACGGTGGCTTCGGGCAGGGCAACGGACAGGTGAAGGTATGGCGAACTCACCGGTCATCACCGGGACCACTCATCCTGGACCTCTGTTGCCCTGGACCGGATGAGCTGGTAGCTATAGCAGACGTGAAACGAAGCTCCGGTACAAGCTGCTCTAAGTAAACGGCGCCAGAGTTGGATCTCAGCCCTGGGAGGTCACCGGGGTCCCCGCCAATCCAAACGTGGTTAGCGCGGTCTCGAGCACGTCCATAGGCGGACCTCGCCTTCATCGCGTTGTGAACAGGTCCCCTTACGGATCATCGCCGTCGCAACGCTCTCTCTCTTTATTATCCTTTCTTTCCCTCGTTTCCTGGTCAGTCAGTCGAGTCATGCGAACGGCGGTCATCTCTTGCTCGCTGCCGACTGCCTTCAGCCTGGCTGGGTCTGTCACTGTTTGATTTCTCACCCCATCTCCCAGGCGGCCTTCGACGATACGTCTCGCGCAACGCCTTATCAGCGGCGAACAGAATAATAACAGCATCATCTACTTGTGTTTCATTTATAGCCATGGCGCCGATGGCTGTTCCCAGACCTACTCCTCGCGCTTCGAGGCCGCGATCCAAGGCCCCGTTGAAGGGCGGCCGGCCGTCCGATCCAGACCGCAGCGAAGGACCTCCGCTTAAGAAACGAAAGTACATACCAGGTGGACCTGGAGGGGGAGGCAGATATGTCGAAATTGATGGCACTGAGACACAGGCAGGCCCAACCGCTACAGGAGGCCAGACCAAGTCCACTAGCCGAACACGTCCGCATACGCGAGATCATAAGAGCAACTCTGTCCAACCGCCGCCAACGACGCCCCCGTCAACACGTCCAAGACGAGAAAAGAACCAAAACCGCGCGAGATACAGTTCTGCTACGGCTGCAGCCCTCGCGCTGCAGCAGGATGATGGATACAAGCCCCGAGAGGAGAGGGGTTGGGAAGAGTTCCACCCAGACCTTGACATTGAGGCGAAATTCGCCGTCTTCAGCTCAGACGAAGTCGATGGCTTGACTCGGTCCTCGAGTCTTCCACAAGATGAGTCGCACCGTGGTCCAGGTGGGAATGCTGAGGGAGAAGGTTCGGGTGATGCGGCCACGAATGGGAATGAGGTGCCACCTCCACCTATCATCACACCCTTGAAACGTGGTCGAGGCCGTCCTCCTCGACGTCCTGATGCCATGCTCAGCGGTATAATCACTCCTAAAGAACCGAAGGTAGTGCCTCTTCCTGGCCCGAACCCCCGCGAGAGACTCACCTTACCTAAGCCGTCCTTTCATCTCCGAGATCCTTTCGTTCGTTATGAACAGAAGGGAATCGGCCAACAGAATTATGTCGACCGTACCATGGCCAGCGTCGGGTATCAGGAGAGCGACCTCTTTCTCCGTCACGATCGACGCCTAATTCGCATGACAGAAGGTGCTCAAGAGGAAGACTTGGACATTAGCCAGCCTACAAATACAGAAGGAGACATAAACTCGGCAATCGGTGGCGCTGGTGTAGGCAAGGTTGAGTATGACATGGACGAGCAAGATGAAAAATGGCTAGAGGACTACAATGCGAAGCGGCGAGAGGACCAGCTGGAAGCCATTAAACCGGCAGTCTTTGAGATCACTTTGACCAAGATCGAAAAGGAATGGTACGCACTCGAAAAGCGCATCCCAAAGCCAAACCCCAAGCCTCCGCAGACACAGCGACCTCGTTCGAGCTCCGCAGCGGCTGTGAATGGGGAGACCGCCGGTCCAGGCGAAGAACAGGATAGCAAGTGTGCAATTTGCGACGACGGTGATTGTGAGAACTCCAATGCAATCGTCTTCTGTGACGGGTGTGACCTTGCAGTCCATCAGGAATGCTATGGTGTGCCATACATCCCTGAAGGTCAGTGGCTTTGTCGAAAGTGCCAGCTTATTGGTCGGGGTTCACCTAACTGCATCTTCTGCCCGAACACTGAAGGTGCTTTTAAACAGACGACAAGCTCAAAATGGTCGCATCTGCTGTGTGCAATTTGGATTCCTGAGGTTTCTATAGGGAACATGTCTGTGATGGAACCAGTCACCGACGTGGAAAAGGTGCCGCGAAGCCGATGGAAACTCACTTGTTATATCTGTAAGCAGAAGATGGGTGCCTCGATCCAATGTAGCAACAAGAACTGTTTCGTTGCGTTTCACGTTACGTGTGCTCGGAGGGCACAGCTCTATCTGAAAATGAAGTCGGGCCACGGTAGTCCTGCGATCATGGACTCGAACCTGCTGAAAGCTTTTTGTGACAAGCATGTGCCGCCAGATTGGCGAAGGGAACATAATACTGATGTTGCTACTGCTGAGGCAGTCGAATATTACAAAAACACCATGCACGGAAGACAGTGGGGTGATAGTCAGGCAGCTGCGTTGGCATTGGAACCATCTTATTCCCACGAGATGGATGCTTTTTGTGATGACGGTCACCACATGAACACACCGCGGCTGACCCTTACCGTGGGGGGCAATAAAAAGAAGCGGTTAGCAGCTCCCAAGACCGTCTGGAAGCTGCCGTCTGGAGCCCCTGTGATACCACAGGTCGTGCTCAACTCTGTTGTCGCATCTCTTCAGAGATTCTCTGTCCGCCAGAGAAAACAGTACGCTGAAGATGCGTGCAAATATTGGACACTTAAACGAGAAGCCAGACGAGGGGCAGCACTATTAAAGAGATTGCAACTCCAGCTTGAGACATTCTCTTCTATGGAGATGACTAGAAGGAACTTCGCCGGTATGGGGCCTATAGGCGGCGTAAGGCTGCAGCGACGCATCGACTTCGCCGAGAGACTCTTTGTGGACCTTGACAAGATAAGGATATTGTGTGACGAGGTTAAGAAACGAGAGAGAGAAAAGTTGAAGGATGCAGAAATGCTTCGAAGTATCGTAGACACTGTTTACTTTCCCATACCTCCTATTCTCTGGCCAATATTCGAAAAGGCACAAGCGTAAGTCTCAGTTATCTCGCGAAGCTGACTTTATCCTGTTTGCTGACGGTCTGGCAGGCTTGACAACAAGGCCGCTTTCCGACCTGGGCTCCTTGCAGTGCGCTCAAAACTAGAAGAGCGCGCCTATACATCTGTCGCTGCGTTTTCTGCCGACCTGGCGAGTGTCTTCACGTCAGAGATCGGTGTCCAACCTGCTGGGGACACCGCCGAATTACAGATGCAGATCAGTGGGCGAGCCCCGGAACTCAGTCTGGAACAACGCGAAAAGCGAAAGCTGGCGAAGAGAATCATCAAGTCTATCCAGCCAGCACTAGAGGATGCGATCAAGAAGGAGAGCGAGTTGAATGGCCGGCCTTTCGAGAAAGAACTGAAGGATCTCGATTTGATTCTGGAGAGTAGTGTTCTTTCTCGGAGGGCGTCCGTGGCAGCTGGGGCTCCTGCTGAGCAGGAAGTTCCCGGAAAACCCATGGCCATTAATGGTGAAGTCGAGGATGTGCCCGAGTCTGAGGCAGCAGCCACCAAAGTCGAGCCCGATCTAGGCCGCGTGGAGGATGAGCCGCGGGATATAGCCATGCCTGATGCTGATGAGGTTACCAGCTCCGCTAAAGCCCAGGATACACAACCGGGAACCGAAACCGCAGAAGCGGAAGCTGTAGCGCCAGGCGAAAGTAACAATCCTCCATTAGAGGCGGTCGACTCTAATCATGCAGCCGTGAATGGTGTTATCAAGCACGACCATGAGAGCGTCGAGTCGCAGGCTCCCGGTGGATCTGGAGTTCCGCAGCGAGGGCCCTTGACACCGCCCTTGAGTTTCCAGGGAGATCAACAACTTCCTCTGGAGCAAGGTGGCATCCAGTGGTACATGCAGCCTTTCGACCCCGTTGGAACCACCATCCATGAAGAACGCTGGACGGGGAGGGATGTCATGCGGGGAATGAGTGAAGAGCTGAGTGAACTTGACGAGGATGAGCTTAAGGACCTGGTCGACAGTGAACCGGAGCTCACGGAGGCCGCGCCTAATGGTACTGCCGAAGTGAAGGGCCAGCCTGCCGTTGCGACCGACGACACGGCTGTCAAGGTCCATCGGACAAGGAGACGATGGCGGGGATTCAAGTAAAGCCCGTCTGTTATCCCATTGTTACATGTATGTATGATGTGTATTATTCATGACAGTCTGGAAGGCGTTATTCGGACGGACAGTTTTCAGTTTCAGGAGTTCTGGATGCAGGCCAGCGTTATTTGATGATACCTCTTGGTAGTTGACCAGCGTCCTTCTGAATGACTTCAAAAAATTGTATACTCTAGTGTATTCTTATATGTATGGGGCCAGCCGCGCAATAGTCGTGTACCTAGTATAGGCAGTTAACTATGCATCGAGTAAAGTAGTAAGTACATGATTGACGAAATCAAGTGGTCGTTTCTTCCAGGCAAGAAATATCCTCACAATTATTATTGCATGGAGCCATCGAATTCATACTACAGTAATTATTTTAGCTAGATCGATTCATCCATTAATACATTAATATTATTAGTTAGAGGTTCCTGCAGTTGGGCTTCTTGGCGTGATCTCAGCCCATGTGAGGCTGGATCGATCTCGCTGGCTGCCCTGCGAACGTCAAACCCCAGCAGAGCCTGCAGCCTTGCCTTGTCTCACCCAACGCTGCCTTTTTTATTTTATTTTATTTTATTTCCTCCCTTTTCCTCTTCCCTCCTTTCAATCTAACCGTCAGTCTTTCTGGCCGTAAACACCCTCTGTCACCTGTTGGTTCCTGTCTTTGCGGCTGAGCTCCTCACCGAACAGGTCCCGTCCGCGTCTATTCCTCCCCGTAGCTGGATCGCGCTTTTTTTGTCCTGCTTCATCCCTTCTTGCCACCTTCCCATTTCCCTTCCCCCATCACCTTCACATCACTCAACATGGCTACCGCGGAATACGAGAACGAGAACGGTCGCTACGATGGTATGTGTTATCCTGTCGATTGGGTCGCTTCGACTTTTACTGCTGTTGGTGGCAGCTGACGCTGATGCCCATGTCTGCCAGACGAACCTCGTTTCGACCGCGACCGCAGTGCCTCTCCCCGTGAAGATTCGCGTGGAGAGCGTACTCGTAGCAGATCTCCCAACGGTCGTGCTTCTGACCGGTACGTGACGGTCCCTCGATGGTCCTTTTTGCCAACTTGTCGGCAGTTCACACTGACGTTATGTTTAGAGCTCCTCCCTCTGGCCCGCGCAAGGATGATGAAGACGAGGGTGCAGTGAACCCTGGCTCGAATCTCTTCGTCACCGGTATCAATCCGCGCCTGACTGAAGCGGATGTCTCGCGTCTCTTCGAGAAGTACGGCGATGTGGAGAACTGCTCGATCATGGTTGACCCTCACACCAAGGAGTCCCGTGGCTTTGGCTTCGTCAAGATGGTCACTGCTGAACAGGCCGACGCTGCCAAGGAGGGACTCCAGGGCGAGGTCATTGAAGGTCGTACTCTGAGCATCGAGAAGGCGCGTCGTAGCCGCCCTCGTACTCCTACTCCAGGAAAATACTTTGGACCCCCTAAGCGTGGTGAGTAGATACCCGTTCGCGACAATGTCGACCAGGCACTGACGAAGCCAGAATTCCGTGGACCTCCCCGTCGAGGTGGTGACCGTTATGATGACCGACGTGGTGGCGGCTACGGATATGGTCGTCGTGGTGACGATCGGTACAGCCGCTACGATTCCTACAGTGACCGTAGCCGGGACTATGACCGCGGTTACGGACGACGCGACTACCGTGACTACCGTGATGACTATGGTGGCAGTGGCAGCTACCGCGGAATCGACCGCTACTCTGGCCGCGGTGAGGACCGTTACAGCCGGGATGAGCGCCGTGGTGAAGACCGCCGTGGAGGAGATGACCGTCGCGGTGGTGGTGGTGGTTACTACGATCGCGATGCTAACCCTCCTAGCTATGATTCAGCTCCCGCGCGCGACTCTCGTGACGCCTACTCGAGCCGTTCCTACGACGGCGCTCGCAGCGGCGAAGACCGATACTCAGGTAGGTAGGTGAAGTTCCGCGGAAGTCTGGTGCGGGACAGACAGAGCAGTCTGCTGGATGGCGGTTGTATGATCTCGCATGACGATTTATCCCCCAAGCCCCCTTCGCCTGGCCCCTTAATCGTGTTCCTTTCCTCTTTGTATTCCTCCCAGATGGCCCTTTTCTTTTCACGGTTCCCCGTGCTGGCTCGGAGCTTTTCCGTTACGGCAGCGCGCACGTCTCATTTTCTTTTATTGCTTTCAAAAAATCGGCACTCGCGTCTATCTGTTTCTCGGCGATATCGAAAGGTCACCAGCCACGATCGACTCAAGTCAACTGTACACAATCTGCTTCGTCACCTTTCGGTCGCTGGATGATGTTCTCTTTGTTACGCTCGGATTCCGGAATATTTGGCGGCGGAAAAGTACATCTTATTACGTTGTAATCCTCGGTTGTCTCTCATGGTCAGCACTACTACGTTACAACTTCCGGACATGGTCATTATCGCTAGTCAGCTTTCTCGCCATATTGCGTCTTCTCACGTAACGACTCGATCGTCTTCGACGAGAGCAACCCAACAGCAGATGTGTTCCAATTGCCCGCAGGGGCCACAACGCCTCAGCTCCAGGGGGGATAATTTGGAGATCGTCTGTCTGATCCGACCTAGTCGCCTTCGTCTTGTAGTCTCGCCACTGTCTTGCAGAGGTTGCCATGCCCATAGTACACCAAATGCAATGCAGACCCCTGTAACCCATGCATCGCATCCAATGCCAGCAACCTATTCGGATTCTATCTACCATCGTACTCCGACGGAGGCTTCGATCCATCACTGTACCTTTCCGGCTTGGCCGGGCTGGCAAGAGGTAAGGAACGATGAGAAGAGATGCTGATGTGAGATAGCGCAGTGAATTCCTTGCCACACTTCCCTTCATTCCAAGAGATATCTTCCTGATTTGCTGTCGGGCCGGAGAGCTCTGCGCGGACGACTCTCAAGAGGCTTCATTGCTACTATCTTCTACGGGGTATTCTGGCATATGATCTTAGTCGCTGTAGATGTTCATCGCTCAGGCTAACTACTCAGGAACGTCCTCGGGAACATTGGGACTGGCTTGCGGTATCCTGACTTTCCGTGACTGCGTATATTTCAGTTTTCATAATGAAAGAAAATAGTGAAGGCTCTTTTTGTATTCGTTTCACTAGATTAGACTTAATCGTGTCTCTGATGCCTGGGTCAGGGATCCGGTAAGCGGACGGTACTCCCTCTTCACTAGTTGCTGTGGCATTCTAGCCAATGTCTGACGGCAAACACCGTTTCGAAATATCCTCGTACCCACTGCGCGGTAAACGTCCAGTCGGCCTCTCCATCAGTGGTGGTGCTATGGAAATCCAACTGATCAATCACGAGCGCACGCGAGATGAGGTTGCTCAGGGGACTGTAGTCAAGAGTAACTTTCCTGGTCATACCCAGAATAAGAAGGAAGTTCCATAGTATCTGGCGCCCTGGCAAAAGCTGAAAACCATATCGACATTCATTGTGTGTCCCCCCTCCCCCAACAAAAGGTCATGAAGCGTAATTCGGGAGGTCTTCCCAAGTTCGGATTTAGGCCATATTTATTCGGTGGATTTGTTACCCGCGGGGCCATTGCCTTCGACCTCTTTGCTTTTCTGGATGAGAAATTCGCCTAACACGCGAAGGGGGTCTGGCGGCCTATAATGTAGAAGTGTCAGTAACCAACCGTGATCGATCAACAATGGAACCCAGGCGCAAGTATTGAGACAGTCGCTCGAGTCTTTCAATTGAGACCCCAAAGCGGGGGGCAGTAGTAGACGAGATGACATACTGATCTCTCACAACGACTTTCATCCCTTCCAGAAGATAAGGCGCGATCTTCTCGTTCATGAACACACGAACAGGCGCTCCTCCAGCACGAACCTGGGGAGTGCCCGCATTTGCGGCAGTCGAGGAAGATGCCGCGGCGAGAGTATTGCCCCCAGCTCCGGCTCCAGCTCCAGCTCCTGGCACGGTAGCCTCGGCGGCGCTCTTGGTGTCCTGCACGGGGACTGCGCTGCCGTCCATCTTGTCTGAAGTATGGTTCGTGTTTGTCGTGGGGTTAGGTACGCTGAGTTGTGGTGTCTGGAGGAATGGAGGTTGCGGAAGGGAGGAGGACGAGGAGGACGACTGAGTATGCGGTTGTGGTTGTGGTTGTGTTTGCGAAGGTCGCGACTTTCAACGAGATAGAGATTCTATGTCAGAATATGCGCGCGACTCAAAGGAAAAAGAAGAAGTTGGTTGTGTGAGAATGAGGGAAAAAGAAACCCGAGAAGACCGATTCTCAGGAACGGGGGAAAGTAGAAAGAAAAACAACACAACACGATCAATGAGCACAAAGAATAAAGAAATAAAGAAAAAAAAGAAAACAACGCTTTTTCTTTTAAATTTCGCATACACTGAAGTTGCTCTGCTGCATCGGAGAGTTTGCGGCCACCGCAGGCGGAGCTTCTCGCGGAAGCTGGGGCTGGAGCTCTCCACTGCCGCCGGCGTGCGAGTGGAGATCAGCGGCGCTTAGCTGCTGGGCCGTGTGTCTTGGGGTATTATTATTGTCCGCCATTATTGATTGGGGAATTTTACTGAGAAAAGTGCATTAATATTTGATATGATGGCTGCTAATAATAATGAGGCGTTGTTGTTAGTTACTAGGACGATTTGACTTCTGCTTATCTGATTCCCTGAATTACTTACTAGGCAGGGGTCGAGAGTTTCCTGATTGGAATTCCCAGGGTCAGGTGCAAACAGTGCAAAATAAATCATCATTATTGCTGATTAATCTTTCAAGGCGAAAGAGAAAAAGACACAAGGTCAGGTGACTACGCGTTGCTCAGGGCACGTCTGAGGCGTCAATTTGGCGATCTGGTTCGAGGCTGCAGCTGGAGGGGATTTATTATTCCGCCATGTTGTTTGGGTAATTGACTACTATTTGATTCTTTGGATGAGTTGGGCTCTATATATCTCTCAAAACAATCGAGGCAAAGGAGTGGACGTGCAGTTCTTTTCTTCTCCAGGCTAGATTGTCTCTCTCTGGCTAGGAATAATGCTCAGGCGCTTCCTTCTGGTATGTCTCTTCTTGACTTTTGGGATATTCAACGCCCATCAGCAAAACGGGTGAAAACGGCTGCGCAAGATGAAGTCGTCTCTATTCCTCCGAGTCGACAGGAATCAGACACCATTAATTCCCAGGATAAGGACCAGACCCCACTTACTACTACTACTCCGCCGCGCGAGGTCTCAGATCTGGGCCTGATTTCATACCCGGAATTACCTGCCATTGACGACCCTGAGGCTCTATTACCAAGCAGCCAGACGGAGCTGGAAACGTCTTTACCTGAGATTGCAACGGATAAAGCTGCCATTGAGAAGTATGAAGCCTCCCAAGCGCAGGATGGCGAACTTGGTCTACGCCAAAGATTCGGAGAACGAAAATGGCTGAAGGGAAAGAGCTCCATATATGTCGATGCATTCAACCTTGCACTAGAAACAGTGTTAGAGGAGGAAGCGCATCTATTCGACGAGGCTGAGATGGAGGTATTCAATCAGTGGAAGGAGCTGTCGTATGAGGCGCAGTATTTGTATGTTCTTGACTGTGCTTTGTATTCTTTTCTCTTGGTTTTCCGTTTCCTGGTCATTAAATATTTGTGGGAGGTTTTTGTTGCTGATTCTTGATGACAGGTACGTGCGGCTCTTCCTTCGCAAGACTTATGCATGGCACCGGTTGAACCGCCTTGGCCACTACGACGATGTAACAGATCTACCTGCCGCTGTGGCAGATCTACAGCGCACCCGCAGTCTCCCAGCGCGGTCCAGGATTAAGAGTGACAACCCTGCTGAGCTTGAGCCTCCAGAAGGCTCGGTTTTGGGGGACTCTTTCAGATTTGCTGAGGGGACTGAGGATATAACAACGCTTGAAGAAGCTTCTTCATTGCTACTGCTTGAAGAGCTCAAGGGCCTGGCGAGAGAAGCCAAGGTTCAAGGAAAGAACAAAAATGAACTTGTCACAGCTTTACGTCAAGCGAGTCAGACCCAAGGGGGACTTGATTGGACTGCTGACCGGACTGAGGGTGGAGGCTCGAACAGAGATTCTCATTTCACGAGGAAGATCCTTGATCATACTGGAGATTGTATCAGGCTGTCATCTGCTCCTCTTCGGCTCTTCGAACGCGTTCATCTGGTGTTCTATCGATCCGAAGAATGGACCGAAAAGTCCCTCACGACAATTATCCTGGCAAAGATATCGCGCAAGAACTTTCCGGAATACATCGTGTCTCGCTCCAGTGCCATTTTCCCTTCTAGGGGGGCACTCCTGGAGTTCGAGGCTGCGCTACGGACCCAGTTTCGGATCGACAATATTCTAGAATTCAATGGCACGCCAACCCTCGAGCGACTGCAGACGATCAGGGATCTCTGTGAGAAGGTATATCCTCGATGGAAGCATCTACTTGATCTGGAGCAGCGAAAACAGGAGAGCGTGTACGGGACCGGTGAAGGAGCATACCTACGTCGCTTCTCCCCAGCTTGGGTTTACACGCGGATTATCCACAAGGGTCTACAACCTCTTGGGCGGTTCAAAGAGCACAAGAGGGAACACGAACTTTTGACGGAATTGCTCGACCAGCGTCTGTTCCATTCTGCTAGACGCGGGGGCTGGTATCAGAGAAAAGCTCTCTTGGAAGAACATTATCTCTGGGCTCTGACGCCCTCGGAAGGACGCAATGAAGAAGCTCAGAAAAAGCACTGGAAGCGAATAGCCTTAAGGACCTGCGAAGAGGGCCTTGAGGATCCTGACTGTCATATTATATACCACTACGATCTGCAAAAGAGGATCACCAAGTTAGAACGGTCCTTGAAAGTGGTTAAAAGAGAGCAGCATGATTTCGGACACGTCATGCTAGCGAAGCCAGAAGAGCGTGTCATAGAGGGTATCCGTCTGGAGAAGGACGAATCCCCAGCAAATACCTCTTTCTTGAAGACGGGCGGCGAGCCGCTCTCGAAGAGGGGCCGACCTACCGCATGGGTCGACGAGCAAATGGACGGAGGTGAATGTAGAGTGGAGACTATGTGTCTGAACTGGTATAAGGAACATGGCTGGAAAGGCTATCATTCTGAAGGAGGCATCGTGCGCACTTTGGTAGGTAGAGCATCTCCCTGATCTTATTGACACACCGCTAACCAGCCATCTAGTTCGGATACCTCTTCTACGACATCATCTTCTCCTACGTCCCCAACGTCTTCCAAACCCCATTCCAGACCTGTCCACTAGACCTCCACACCGACGCATTCTATCCATCCCGCGCATCTGAGATAAATCACCGCCTCGCAGAGATCTCCAACGGCGCCGCCGAACGCATCATCCAAGATATACACGCACGCGAATTCCCCAACCAGACCTGCGCCATTGGCATTGACTGGTCATTCGAGCTCGACGATCTAGTCGAGATCGTGCGGTGTTTCCGCGGCGAGGCCCTGGCGACGATCTGTAAAGTCATGGCGCAAGAGTATCAGCAGCGGGGAGGGGGGATTCCCGATCTCTTCCTGTGGAATGTCGAGAGGGAAGAGGTTATGTTTGCGGAAGTAAAGTCGGAAAATGATCGGTTGAGTGATACGCAGCGGTTGTGGATACATGTGCTTATGGGCGCGGGCGTCAAGGTTGAGTTGTGTAATGCGGTTGCGAAGGAGGTTAGGGTGATTAAATAGGTCATTCAACTACAATACATCTGATCCCTACTCGGAAGTTTAAGAGAACTACATGAGTCTGAAGAATATGTCGTACAAGTTCCATTTTGTTTTCCGTAGAAAAGGCTAGACTACCATGTCATAACTTTTGTTCATTCCAAGCCAAGGGGATCCCCGGGCCTGGATGCCTTCGAAAAAACCCTCGTTGTCCGCCTAAGCGAAACCAAGGATCTGACAAGACTACCTCTTCATGGGGTATGGGAAAACCTCCTTGCCAGAAGTGGACAAATCCCTCCAGACAAAGAATAACCACGCTGCAAAGTCGAAAGTCGAAAAGGAAACCCCTTTACGCGACCAGGGTGCTGGCGGTGGCGCTCTCGTATCTCCAGGTGGGGGGGAGGACACCGACGGTCTTGTAGTAGCGAGACAGACGGTGGATACGGGACTCGATCAGAATGAGACGGAACTTGCTGTCCTTGTCCTTGCGGTTGCGCTCAAGGTGCTTGCGGACGGCAACGGCCTGAAGAAACGAATTAGCACTTGAATCTATCTGGAAATGAAAAGGGTTTCTAATATAATCCTCACCTTCTTGATCAGGAAGTAAAGGTCCTCGGGGATCTCGGGAGCGAGGCCTGTTACATTCAAAATCTCTCTGTCAGCCTATTTCTTGACCAAGCAGAGGCATATGGATAGAGTTGCATTTCTGCAGGACTCTATTTTGTATATTGAATTCGAGCGAAGGCATTCCAAGGATAGAAACTGGAAAGTCTTGATCGTGGGAGATTATGCGCCAGTGCAATCAAGCCTTCCTAGCTCCACCTTTTCTGCCTTTCTCCTTCATCCTATCGATACGATAGGGAGTGCGAGTGGTGTCGTACCGTTGGACTTGAGGATACGGAGGATCTTGTTTCCTGTTGCAGTCGCATGTTAGAAGCCATGTCCCATTTTTTTTCCCCCGATTTTATATCGGACAGGGCATGAACATACCGGTGACGACCTTGACCTGGGCAATTCCGTGGCTGTCACGGAGGATAACACCGATCTGAGAGGGGGTAACACCCTTCTTGGCCAGCTTGGAAACTGCGAAAAAAAGAAAAACATCAATATCACTGTCCTTTCAATATCGAATCGGCCGAAACGTACTCTGCTCAACAACCTGGTCGGGAGTGGTCTTGAGCCATGCTGGGGGGTTGCGAGAGTAGGGGATGGCAGAGGAAGCAATTCCCTTTCCCTTGGAGTGAAGGCGACCCATTTTGAATTGGTTGTCGTGAGGGTGAACTTGTCGACGGTGGTGATCTTTGCGCTGGACGGAGGTCGGGAGCAAAAAGGAAATTCGAACAATTAGAGATTCCGCTGATACTCAGTGTGCGTCCCGGCGAGCCAGGTTGTGGGTCAGGTGACTCGGTGGGCCCGCTGCAACGTTTTTCCATCTCCCGACGCGAAGAGTTTATTATCTTCCCAGACAGCACAATCTTTTCGGTTTTCCCCCTCCAAGTACCCAAGACATGAAATCTTTTCGACGTTCTGAGTCTGCTCTATGATGAGAGAGCATGAAGGTCGATCTCCTATTCAAACTTACTCATAGTGTGTACTGCCTACAGGGTATTCAGTCAAGGTTAGTCACTTTTCCCTGCTGCTCGTCGCCTTCTGCAAAACACTATGATGATACAACACCTTTTTACTTTTTATTTCTGGTACCTCTTATGTCAGAAGTGGCGCCTTACGGTGTCACTTCAATGATCTTAATGGACTTCTGACTCAAATCTCCCAACTACGTTTGCTTCATGTCAATTTTGAAGTGATCTTGCTAACATCAAGAAGAGTAATAGGGTAATCGATATCTCATTGGATAATTTCGGAATTTCCGATAAATGAGTATATGATGAGGGAAAGTGCGTTGGTTGATGGATAATCCGGATCTTTCGTCTACATATCTATTCAATGGAACTTATTTTCTCAAAAATCTTTTGCTTTCTGAACAGTAAATTCATTCCGTAAATGTCGCTTGCTATCAGCAGATGAGAGTCTGGATCAAGTCTTCGGGGCCAATGTTGTCTATTATCGCTGTATGGGCTTTTCTGTATCTGTTCCGCCATATACCGTTGCGCCCGGGAGCAAGGTCGTTGGTATCCAAGCTGTCCTTGATTGCTTCATGGAATTTGAGCATTGCTTGGTTGTTCCAGCCGTACATGTGCGCTACCTGATCTGCAAGCAGGGTATGGGTTCGATATTCTCCGTAGCCAGCCTTTGCGCATTCATCGATCATTTTGCGAATCGCCGCAACTGCTTTGAGTTTGTCATCCTCGTTACCACCGCAGACAATGTTGACAACAAGGTGCATCTCTCTGTTGGCGATGCAGTAAGTCGGAAACAGGTCGAATCCCTATTCTGCATGAAAACGGGTGCCGATATCCAGAATTTTTCTTCACATCTTCCCGTCCTGTCGGGCAGATTGGCACGAAGAAGAGATGACCTGCATTCTTCTTCCAGTTCCTTGATTTATGCGACCCCTGAACAGACTTGTACCGGAGAATCCAGGTAATGGTCTTCAGGAACGTCATCTGGGAAGAGGAAGTGGGCGCCGTGAATCGTGTAGAATTCTTTCTCGACCGTTTCGAGCGTGTCCTGGATTTGTTTCTGCGTCCCGTATAGACTTCCTGTTTAGAATGTCTGTCTAGCTCGACAAGATACTAGTCGTGCATTGTATCTCGCCATAGAAACCCAATAGCAGCCACCGCAAGGCATCGTTAATGTGTATGGCGAATAACTTCCCGGGATCTGGCTTGAACGCCGGTAAAATACCTCCCTTTTTTCCTGTGACAGCTAGTTCCTGGATAACATGTCAGATCTCGAAGGATCTTCTTCATCATCAACGGTTTTATGGTCTCTACGATCTCCCCGAAGTCGTCACCATTTCGGAAGGTGACCATGAAAGTCAGTTTGAGGCATCAACCAGAACCCCATCTTCGTCATAATGCCAAAATTGGATTGACTGTAAGTGCGTATCCATACTGGAAAGCTCTCCAGGTTGGATTATCTGTGCCATTGGGGCCTGGCAATGCTCCCATTCTGGTTTTGATAACCTCGCCGTTTGGCAGGAGGACCTAGTTTATAAACATCAATATGTGGTATTTACTAGGTGGTGAAACAAACACTTATCCCCATCAAATGAGCTCCGGTACTATATTCATAAAACTGATCTTGTCATCATACCGTATGGAGTATATCCAACACTGTCATTTAGGACGACATATTTTGAGCCCAGTATCTTTTACATTTCGTCAATAGTTGCATAGGACTTTTCGCGTTTTGACTCTGGTGGAAGCGCCGGCAGCTCGCCCTTGCGCGCTGTCACTAAAGACACTGTCCGATTGGAGTACAATGAGACGAGGGAGCTGTTGCCTCTTCTAGTAGACGTTGACTAACTTAATGCCAGAGTGGCGAGAATCTGAAAGGACGGGGGAGGCTGGATAGCCTGCTGGGCATTAAGTATGCTTCGAGGCCATAGCAGTTTAGATCCTAGTGAGTGCCTGTTAGCTGAGATTCCAGCACTTGCCTTCTGGCAGGAATAAAGCTTCACTTATCCTTTCTCATAGCCAATCTGGTGCTCTCGGGAAAGTACCAGATTACCGAGTTCACTCTTCTACACCAGTACGGAGATCCCCCATCCCCCGGTCTGAGCATTCGGGGAAATGTAAACGACCGCGCATAAACCACCAACCACCCGAGGCATCCATGATCCCCTCCTCTTCCTTCTTCTCCACATCTCCGCTTTTTCCCCCAGAAACCATTTAGCCATAATGTCTTAGCATGCCTTCCCCGGATCACCCCACGTAGACCAGTTCCAGGGTATTGCAGCATCTATGCTGTGCTGTAAAGACGATATTTCCGCTCAAAAAAGACCTCTTTGATCCGGCTGCATGGCAGAAAATATTGATACTGAGCCTCATACAAACGACACGCCGATCACTCCTGCGAGGCGTGGGTCGCAAAATGCCGAAAAGGTGACTAGAGCGTGTGATAATTGTATGTCACCGCGGTGAAACCTTTAGTTGAGAACCGGACCCGCTAATATCATGCAGGCTCGAAATCAAAGTCGAAATGCTTGCTGAGGCCGGATTCAAGGACGTGTGAGAATTGCAAGTTCCTGGAAGTGCCCTGTACTTTTCTTCGTACGGTAAAGAAAAGAGGACCGCCTAAGGGGTATGTTAATACCCTTGAGCAGAGACTTTCCAGCCTTGAGAATATTATCACAGGGCTCCAAGCGAATGCTCCTAGATATGGCACGCCAGACTCTATTGGTCATCGTGTGAAGCGTCAGGCGAGAGAAGAAGATGTTCAGCCAGCTGAATCAAATCAGAGACTTGTCTCTGCATCGGAAGTTGAAGATGGTCGAACGGAGCGTTCGACGGTGCTCGGATACCTCTCCATAGATGAGAACATGACGATGAGATACCATGGACCAACTTCGGGGCTGCATCTCATCACTTCTTCTCGTATATTTGCATCTCCGTTTTGGCAATTCGCCAATCCCGGCTTCTGGCCTCGCAGCAAGCGGACGATTTTCCGAACGGAAGACGACATAGTATCAGCCGCTGATGCGGTAGTCGGTGGCATCCTTCCCAATCTTCATGTACAAGACAAACTACTGGAGTCTGTATCCCCTTGGTATTTTGTCCAGCTTGTTCTGACGTATCACAGGGCCTATTGGAACCATATCCATCCGTCATTCCCTATAATCCACAGAGAAACCTTTCTCTTCCAGCTGAATAAAGACCGGAAAAAGATCCCTCGTATGGGGCGGTCCGCACTCGATCAGCTTGAGCGCCGTATACCCCAAGTTCTGCTTCTGGCGATGTTTTCTCTCTCAGCAAGATTCGTAGAGAGCTATGAACCGCAAGAAGACAGCGACCCGGGGGATGCTTATGCGACTAGAGCAGAGAGCCTTATTGCTCAACATAGTACGCAGCCGTGCTCCAACATGGTCTTTGGATTCGTCTAATTTATAGCAGAACAAAGTACCCTCCACATCTGCCTAGCCATTCTCTTGATGGCTTATCGTGAGATAGGTACAGGCGGATCGAGCAGCTGGATGTATGTGGGAAATGCCATCAGAATGGTTAGATATACTATGGACTTTGGGGCGCTGCTGCTAATATAGACTTAGGCTCAAGACCTAGGACTTCACAGGGATCCTTCCATCTGGAAGAACGTGGCCTGCTTCAAGAACATGCCTTTGATTGAGATGCAGATACGACGTTCAATCTGGTGGGGCATCTTCGTCCTTGACAGATATATCTCAGCGTGGCAAGGCCGCCCTTGCGGTATTCATGAAGACGATTTTGACACCAAACTCCCCGAGGATATACTTCACGGTGCGAGGGATGTTTATGTAACCTGCTTCAAGGAAGTTATCCGGTTATGTAGGTGCTTCCGCTTGATTATAGCGAGTCGATACTGACTAGCTGCTAGCCCTGATACAAGGTCGGATTCACAAAGCCTTCTATTCTGTCGGCACTAGACCAGAAAGCCAAGAAAAACTGAAAGATTTTGAACGGGACCTCGATGTATGGGAGTCTCAGCTACCAGAGTGTCTGGCAGTGCGACACGAGCCTGGAATCCAAATTCCCGTGGCTGTCATAGCACTGCACGCGCAGTTCTGGAGCTGTAAAGTCTTGCTACACCGTCCATTGTAGGCCACAATATCCCCTTATGGCCATTATTCTCCGCTAACATGATTGTTTTGTAGTCTAGACATATCCGACGAACCTCGCACGAATTCGTCTTTATTCACGGCGACATCCGCTGCAGTAGCCATCTCAAACCTCGTCCAGCGTTTTAACTCTTCTTACAATGCAAACTTTGCCCCTCCATTTCTTAACTACTATGTTTTCACCGCGACGATAATGCATCTCTTCAACCGTTCAATGTACCCTCTCCTCTTCTCCCAGGCTGCTCTCACCCATTGTACAGACTGCTGCCGAATGATGAGCACTATCTGGTCCAGTGCAGCGAGGACGCTGCATATCATACAGGGTGTTGATCGTGAGGTTGAAGATACGCTCCCTGTAGTATCTACTAGTACTTCGGAGAGAACTGAGATGATATCTAATTCTTGGCCGTCGCCGATAGCCGATCCAGATTGGTTGTCGTTGGAGACATGGAGAATGGATACGAATCCTTCGGACGAGATGATTCCCACGACGTATTTTCAACCAGGTCAGGCGTGATGCTTTTCTTCTTGTTCTTCTTTTTTCCCTGTGTATAGCTTTTATAGTGGTGATAGTTTCTGCGTGCAATTGGTTAATATGATCTTGATTTTATCTTCTAATCTTTGCTAGTTTTATTCCGGTAGTTGATTCTCAATAGTAAATGCTATCTTCGTGCAGACCACCCAGTGTAGCTAGAATGCAAATGCATTTGCCTTATCGGCACCAAATCAATTACCTACATTTTCTGCGGAACATGCTGATGAGTCCTGCGATCACCCGGGGATATATTCTGGCGCGGAGAAACCAGATTCCAGAATATTAACTTCAGAGCCCTTTGTATTACACAGTCGGTCAATAATAGCCGGTAAACTACCCCGGGTGTTATACTGCCAGATAAGAATAAATAGAAGACAATGTAAGTATGAGGCTCTCTGAATTACCGCTTCTAAACTAGTTACGTTTCCTGGATTATTAGAGACACAATGTTGACAGAACGACCTTCAGATGACCGCCAACGAGTCATCATCGTCGGTGCCGGACTGGGTGGCCTAGCATGTGCGATGGCAATGCACCACCAGGGACTCGAGGTTCTGATATTCGAAAAGGTACGCGAATTCTTCCGGTTAGGTGACAGTTTGGGACTTGGTGAAAATGCTCTCAAATTGTTGGAGAGATGGGGATTGCGGGAGCAGCTCGTCGCCATTGGAAATAAGAATCCGAACATGAATATCCGCAGGTGGAACGATGGGAAAATCCTGGTGACACAGCCGTTAATGGTGAGGGAGCTGGGACGAAATAGCTGAATTAGTTCGCTTGTCTAATTCTCTGCCAGGACATGGCAGGATATATCGGACATCGCGGCGACTACCATGTCTGCTTCATCGACCGCGTGGAAGAATTGGGAATGACCATCAACATGGGACATGAAGTCATCTCTTACGATGAAGATGCTCCTAGTATCACACTCAAAGATGGACGGACTTTCTATGCTGATCTTATTGTCGGTGCGGATGGGATCAAGTCTCGGGCAAGGGAGCTTGTTCTTGGCTTCAGTGATGCTCCAAAGAGTTCCGGTTATGCTTGCTATCGGGCCTTCTTGAAGGGTGATATCTTGAAAGATGTTCCAGAATGCCAACCCATCCTGAACCGTGACTGCGTCAATATCTGGATTGGAGAAGACATGCACTTGGTGCAGAATACACTGAGAGACGGTGGGGAGTTCAACTGGATTATAACTCATAAGGACACTGAAGACATCAAGGAAAGCTGGTTCCAGCCTGGGAACATGAATGATGTCCGAAGCCTGGTCAAGGATTGGGACCCTACAATCACGTCCGCTATTAATGTTACCCCCAGTTGCCTCGACTGGAAGATTTGTTATCGTGCTCCTCTCCCGACATGGGTTAGCAAGAGCGGGAAGATCGCACTGTTAGGTGATAGTTGTCATCCTCACCTTCCAACTAGTGCTCAGGGTGCATCTCAGGCGACCGAGAGTGGTGCTGTTCTAGCATTGTGTTTGACACTAGCAGGGAAAGGAAACGTGCCGTTAGCAGTATGTATTAATATCATCATCATCCTTCAGGATGGTTTCTGATTATTCACAGACAAGAGTATATGAGAAGCTCCGTTTTGACCGTGTTCGACAGTCGCAACTTTCGGGAGAGGACTTGCGGAATCGATGGCACAACGCCCTCAAACTTCTAAGGGACGGAGAACAGCTCGATCCTGACGACATCAAGATTAAGGTAGGAATCAATGGCTTTCTTCTAATTAGATTGTCTTCTGACGAGCTGCTTAGAATCGGTGGCTGTACCCCTTCGATGCCGAAGCAGATACCCGAGATCCATGGGATGAAATGAGTGCAAAGGTGAAAAAGGAGCTGGAAACTGGCCATGTTACACCACTCTTTGGAGATGACGGTCCCCCGAGAGTTCTCACAGTGCGCGATGCTTACGGAAAGGTCAAGTCTAATGTGACGGAGTATTCCATTCTACCCAGCCTGACTGTGTAGCGTGGATCTGGAATGGTGCTTACAGAGACTCTAACGCAGTGATTCCTTATATGGTTACTCGGTATATCCTCTAGTGGTTTATGTGTTATCCTCACTGGGTTCTACTACATTCGTTGTTCTGCCCTCAGTTACCTCATTCTGAAGCAGAGAGGTTTTCTTAGTCTTCTGACATTTTCGAGCACTAGGTTAAGGGAATCTTTTATAGTTGCAAAACCTTCTCCCGAACTGCTAGTGAAGAAATCCTAGCGTATTGACATTGTACATTTCAATCTTGGGGCAGACCCTCCCCCGCGTCCACAATGTAATACAATTTGATACTTTCCAGCAACTCATGTAACAGGACCCAGTATAGTGTCTCTTTAATATGTGTTTGCGCCCTGAGAATCAATATAAGTTGCTTGCATACCTACAACCGGCATTTCCTGTGGATGGCGAAGAGATTCGAAGACTGCCAAGCACCCGAGGAGGTAGCTAAGAGATATACACCGATATGTCTATAGTTGCTGAATATTCAGAGCCCTGTGAACCTGGTTCTGCGCGGTAGTTATCAGCTCCAAGAGCGCGGCTGATGCTGATTGAAGTGGAGAAACATGAGTTTCGTTGGAAACTATCCAATTCAATGCATTTCATCACTTTATGTCACTATTTAGCGCATTCCCTCTGAACACAGTCAAAGACCAGAATAGTCATTCAATACCAGGTCGCACCGGGATCCGGTCTTCTACCTGTAGACCGAGAAGCGCAATTATATTGGACATAATTTCGCTTAGCTATACATCACCTGTAGGCAGAACTATCTAGGCGCCATTATTGCCATACCCAGTCTAGGGACTATGCCCAATACGGTCCCGTATATTTCACTTTCCATGGAACTCTAACTGTAGATCCCAATGTTTTTATGAGCAGGACTATATATGCTCAGCTTTCGACTGCATTGTGGGTTTTCTCCTTTATACAAAACATCTTTCTATCTACAATCTGGACTACATTGCATCTCCACTTCAATAGCATATAGCCGCATCTTATACTCATCATTGCATTATCATCACATTTCTTACTAGCTTGTTGATCTATTCTGGGCATCAGCAGATATATTGAGACATCATTCATCCACTGATATAGTGTAAGTGAATTACTCTCCTATCTACAGCACTGAATAGCAACGTGCATCCTATTATTCGCGACAGATATTATATATCTACCATCTCCTATCTGGCGCATTATATCTATTACATCCCTCCATTCTACTATACGAGGCTTCTACTCTTTTGGCTACCATATATTTCTACATCTTCTCTGACTTCCACCACTGACAATCTATCAAGAATATACATCACCACGAAAATGGTACAGAACAAAGCCCCAGAGAAGGAACGCTGCATACCATTTTCAGCAGGCCTTCCCATCTTCGACGAGGCCACTGGCAAATACGTCCCTCGCAAACCCGCAGCGAGGCCAGTGACGAAACGAAACTGCTCCCCAGTCAAACTTCGAGACATGACCCCTTTCCACAAGGGATATGATGCCGTTCACAAGAACAAACGGGCCAAAATGACTATTTCCGCGGAGTCTAAGAGACGAATCTCGTCCATTGACTATGAGACCGAACCGGAATATAACAGATCTCGCTTTCTCGGACACGGAGATGGAAAGAATCCGCCTGTTTGGAATCCTTATACTGGGAAATACGAGCGACTCTCTTTCAATGAGTTCGGAGCGTATGAGTCGCAATCGGGCAGTGCCTTGGGCGCGCGGCCTGGAAACTATGGGGTTGTTCATGGAACAACGGAACAAAAGGGCACCGTCAGACGGAAGAACGGTGGCCTGGAAGCGGATAATCCTGTCGTTCTGTTTCCTGGAGAGCCACTCGTGGTGGCGACGCGCAAAGCCCTGGAGCTAGAGAAAGAATTCCCAGGAATGCCTCTGGATAAAGCGCTTGCTCAAAAGAAGCGCAGGATTGCGTCGGAGAAGGAAAGCAAGGATCAGCCGGCCAAGAAGAGAGTCAAGGCTTCGACAACAGTGTCGGCTAATCCGTCGAAGGCGAAGGTAGACCTTGCTGCGTGGTTGCAACACAGCAAGAGGACCAGCCAGGGCCGTCACCTGCAAAAAGCAGGTATTCCATCGCGTGCTCAAACAAAGAGCACCCCCGGGCGTTCTGCTATATCTGCTTCGAAGAATACAACCACGGGTCTTCTTTCTCCTCCAGAAACTCCTTGAAGCAATTATACCGGCAGGAATCGCGAGGCCACATGGGTATAGGAAGAGATAGTCCTCAGGACTGTCTCCTCTTCGAACATTGATGTTAATCTTGTTACGGTTTGATGATGTTCGACGCAATTTCATATCGAAGCTTTGTATATACTATTATCCGATCACATCAATACATTGAAATAAACAACGAGGACCAGCCAAGTGTAAATTTCATAGAATAGCCACGGTCTAGACGTTCGGATGCTTGCTAATCGCATTGTCTGCCAACGATAATCCATTATTCTTATCGTATCCAGGCGGTATCAGCCACATCCCAAATTGGCTAATCTTAGTGAGACTTGAAGGCGCCTGCCGGAAAGCAAAGTTCCGACTGCTGGCAGCCTTGAAGACAGTCATACCTGGTTCACTTGAAGAGGCCATGCATTAACCATGGATCAAATAGAAGTTCCTCTGCGGTGGCTCGTTCTTCGGGTATCCAACACAACATTCGTCGGAGGAAACGCAGAAAGTCGTCCTTTTCGTCACTTTCGAGTCTTTCTTCCAGAGTTTCCAGGTTATAATCCGGAAGGGGAGTTACACCTTTCCAATTACCTGACCATATGGATTCAAAAATCGTTAGCTCTGCGAAATCGCATCCGCATTTACGTAGAAAAATTCGAGGGAGGGAGAATTGCACAAACCGGTTGTATCCCAAAACTGGAGACCCGTTTCGCTCCGAGCGAGAAACTCAGGAGGGGGACTCCCTAGAACTGCTTGCATTTCCGCAAGATGATACCCATCATCTAATTTACCTTCGGGATCCCGAGCACTAAAAAGGTGGCGATGCTCGAACAGATCCCAGATCTCGGCCATTATCAGCTTCAGGACGGGTTTGAATACCGATTCGCTCCATGGACAATTATCTTACCAACATTCCAACATTCCAGATATCAACTTTGTAATCCCAAGTCATGTTCAAGACAACTTCCGGTGCTCGATAGATGTCTGGCATAATATCGCCCCGTTGCTGGTCTGTGCCGAGTCGAGCCTCACCTAAATCACAAAGAACAGGCGTCCCATATGAGATGGGGAGCGGCCGTGAGAGGTAAATAGTACGGTCCTCGAGGGTCTTTCGAGGCACAGGCGTTTCAAATTCTGCTTGCTCATATTTGAGAAGAATCGAGCCATCCTTGATACCTAGGAGAATATTATTTGGTTGGAGATCTGTACCATTAGTTATAACTTCCTGTCTTTTAGCTCACCATAATATGGTGACGGTTTTTTGAATGAATTAGTACCAACCAGTGTGTATAACCCGTGCTTCCGTGTGGAGGAAGTCAAGAGCGGCAAGGATGTTCCGAATGGTAGTTCTCACCATTGCGCTACTCATGACCCTATCTGGGAGTAGCGGGGTGAGCTGGCTAAGACTGATCCCGAGAGGTGGATGCACAAGACAAGTGTGAACACCATGTCCGTAGGGGCTCTGGATCTGAAAGTTGTCGATCAACGATCGTAAGCACAGCAGACCGGCGTGGTTAGACTGGATAGTCCGGAGATGTTTGTAAACCTCGATCTCGCGGGTCACAGATGTTGATGCTGTGTAAATTTTTAATGTTATATAACGGTGGTCGCTGTCCTGTTAGTTTGAATAAATGAAGTGGAAATAGGTAGGTATCCTTACGATAAGTCGCGACATAGCCACACAGTTGCGCTGGATCCATAACCCAACTTGCCAACTACTTGATATTTATGATTGAAGATCTCCCCGATGTGGACCGGATAGAACTTTTCAGGTCTGTAAGTAGGAATTGATTCCTCTTCAACAAGTAAGGAAGGATCGATGCTATCCCACCCTGAACTAGGGTAGACCTGCGGTTCTGAAGGAGAGCAGGAATCAACTATGCCACGCTTGCTTAGTCCTATACTTGAAATCGCGGAGACGATACGCAGATGAAATGAGGGTCGTGAGGGAAGAGGAAACGAATGACATCGTTCCCTCAAGACATAGAAGAGTCGCCTCTCCATTGTGCTTCCTGCAGTTGATGAGAAGCACCGGTTTCGCCTTGGCTTTCATTCGTCGGAGAAACCATCGGCCGACAATGATAACCCCAAGCATTCTCTGGTTCTGCTACGAGGTCATCTCTACTTTATGAGGGCACGAAATACTCCTTTCTGTAATATCGTCTTTAATGAATTATCGCTAGTCTGTTCTGAACGTGGAGTGACTGAGGATCGCATCTAAGTACACAGCCTCTCGCGGTTTCACGAACAAATAAGACCCCTCTGTCCGTGACCCTTGCTTGCTGCTCCCCTTGCCCATTTTCGCTTCGGTGAGATTGGGATCTGATTTTAGGAAAGGTTAGGGGTCTAAGATTTCACAGTATGACTGGAGATCCTCATTTTGGAGGGTAGGGGCTTGCTATACGCAAGACTTTTACACCTACCCCACAGGGGGCACCACGAGAAGATATGAGGCACTTATTAAGGTCGGGCACTCAAAAACTCACCTTGCTTGGTTTTACTTTGCTCGCGATTGATACCTCAGAGTATAGGTTAGCCTCACGGTCTAACCCCAGCTCGCCGCTGGCTCTGGGTCAATGGTTGAGGAGTGGGAAGGTGGCAGTTTGGTAAGTATAAATTGGAATCATAAGCAGACGTCTTAGCAGCCGTTTCTACCCACTCGTTGAACTTCTTTCCGCTGGCGAGAACCTGTTCCTCACCGACATTGAGGAGTTGAGAAGTGCCGCTTTCGAAATCAACCACATTTCCAATGTTTGATTCGCGATCGTCCCGATCTTTCGATTGGACGTTGTGCAGTGCTGTCGAAACTGCCATTTCCACCAGGACTCTGGACATATTTCTAGAAAGGAATAGCTAAATACTGGTATGGCGACTCGGTGGTTTTTCCGTCCGATTTGGCTCAGTTTGCCTTCCTCTTTTTGTTCTGCCCAGTGCCGTCCCATTCGGTGTTTCTAATAGCCTCGCCCTTAGTGACAAGGCAAGCCTTGTCTGTCTAGAGGTATTCATCGGGGCAGTTCTTGCCCCCCAAGCTAGTATCATAAACGTGGAACTTTTGGCTATAAGAGAACTTATTGCCAGCAGTAGTCGTCGCGTTGTGTCCAGGGAACTGAGACTCTAGTCTCTGACATATTGTTCAGGAAGCATCTTCACCAGCTTCTTTATGAGTATGCGCACGGCTCTCGAACCTTGCTAGAACCTTTTGTTTAGGAAGTAATTAGTAGCGTTTCTGATATCGGGAACAGAAACCGTATAGGTACGGTCCTAAATAGCGGGTTACCGGGTTCTCCTGTTTGGCGACAGTACCTTGTCTCTCTCTCAGGGAGTCCAGACAGAGTATATGTCATCTGAGTGCACGAAGGGTTACAGCACACAGATAACGACTTGGCCGATACATTGCAAAACCTCTGGCGTAAAGTCCAGGCTGCATTCATTCCACTCCATGATAAAGCTGGAATGCCCAAAGACTCTCTTATCTTGCTGACTATTTCGTATGAAAAGGCGGTAGCCCATTTGCTAGTATAGCCCGAGTGACGGTAAGTATTGAGGAGAATCATAAAGAGTTCCGAAAGTTCACCTCAACATCTTGTCTGCAAAGTTGCCTATAGTGGAAGCTTTTCTTATAAGTCTGATCTGCTTTCAGAAGGTGATATTTAGTGTCATTGCGGACATTGTGGGTGACTTCCTCCGCTGATGGCCCCGCATTTTTCATGATAACTCGCACGTTCTCGGCGTTGATAAGTTCTATGTCTCCCTCATCGAGCTCCTCGCTGTCTGAACTCATGTCAGGATTCTCATATTCGTCTTCTGAGGTCCCTTTAGTGTCATTGTACTCTTCGTCTTTGCCGTCGTCATCCGACACCTTAGCACGCTGGAGAAATATTAATGCCTCGGACTTCTCTGCTATAAGATTATAAATGCTGATCCGCTTCACATATGCATTATATAATGTATTTGGCTGACTGGCACTAGCAGCAAAGTTGCAATAGATACCACGACGTATGCCATCTTCAGCCAATGGAAGGCACAAAAGGTCCTCTAGGGAATGTGTCCTTCTCGAAAAGCATTTGCACCTCGTAATTAACAGAAATATCGTTTAGGTTAATACTCATACGCTTGAAAGTCCCATGGCTTCGGTGAACTGATCGACGGGCAAAAATGAGTCTCGCTCCTCGATGGGAGTGTTGTCATCCTCTGATTCCAGAGCGCTGTCTGGTTCCATCGCGAACGCTTCTGCAGTGTCGGTTTCCATCGTCTCGATAGTGTCGTCGCGACCGTGACAGTGACAGTGTCAGTGTCAGTGATTAAGTGGTAGGTAGTTGTTGAAGTTCAACTCATGGTGATCTTTTAGCTCTTTCTGAATGTTTGGTCGATGAATTTGACTCTACAGAACCCAAAGAATTAGAACAGGGCAGGGGCTCAGTAGTGTTATCGCTCTGATCATCTTTATGGCGCAATACTATTATGCGTTGAGGTGTCGGAGGAAGAGAAGGGATAATATCAGTCCTCGTTGGGGTGGTCGTGTCTGATTGTATTCTGGGTGATCTAGTCCTTTAATTCCCTAGTCCATATACAATCAGTTTCAGTAACAAAATTGGGTCGAATATAATCATACACAGCTTAAGCATAGCTTCCATAGCTGTCGAGAGATCAAAGATAGCCCAAGCGATAGTTAGTAGGATCATTTTCTGCGACGGTAACTATTTCAGATAATTTTCCCACGTCACATAACCAAAGTGCTGCCCATATTCCAGGTTCATGACATACCCTGGCTCGTTCACATATCGCATCTCTCGCCACTGGCCAGGAGTTGGGTTCTTCTTTGGCTTATCCAGCTGCATCTGCTCAGTGTCCTCTTCCGACGGGACAGCAATACCTTTGGAGGCAAGTTCGGCAGCATATTCTGCACGAACCTATGATAGTTAATACAGGTAATTATTCTATAAAAGTCTCATAAACTTACTTGCTTGCGGGTGGCCTCAAGGACAAATTCCTCGCGGCGCTTCCTCTTCCGCTGCCTCATGCTCAGCTATTATATATCAGCATATAAATTTAAACTTATTGGTTTTCTTTATCTTACCTCCCCGGTGAGCGGCCAAGGAGGCTGAGAGGGGCTGCACAGCGGCAGCGGCAACTGCTGTTGCAGCTATTCCTGCTGCTATTTATCAGAAAGATATAGTTAGCAGATTAATCTTTAGACACAATAGGGCGTTTACTCAAAATCTAGATAATAAGGGTTGCATTTTAGATAATAAGTAGTACACACCTGCTCGCTCTTAGCGGCCCCCTTAACTCTCACCGGGTGATTCACAATAATTTTGTCTGATTTAATTATTAGAGACGAACCAGATAAAGGATGACATGTATTACTAACCCATTGTGCTGGTAGTTGTTGCTGTTGCTGTTCTCTAGGAACACTGGACACAGTATATGAAAAGTCCCTGAATTGGAATAGCACCGCATTATAAAAGAGCTTATCTATAAGATCATGACGCGTATAATTCATAATATTGAAGAATTCTATATAGCTCAGCCAATTGCTGCAATCGAGCGAAACCCGGCTATTGTGCAGCTGTGCAACTGGATGATTTTTCCTCTTTTTTTCCGAGCAGGAAATAAGGAGACGAGTAAGAATAGAGTCACTGGACAGATTTATAAGCAAGTGTCTCGGATCTCAGCCACATAGGCAAGCAGTAAGAAGGTGAACATGCGAACAGTTCCGTGGAGATGGAAGAGATAGAAAGAGGAGAAGGTATCTCCAATATCCCAAGGGCTTATATTCCCAGAGTTCGCTGCTGTATCCACCCGATACTGAGTGATCTATGCGGGGGAATGTCTACTTCACCGAGCACTTACGCGAGTGACATGTACTGTGACGGGAAATAGCGCTTTCCGGACCAGACTGAATGCCACGAAGTGGTAATAAGGGGGTGTGAATGAATACCTTCGATCTCGGCTATTCAATATACAACAGGGAATAAAGATGTGCTGGGAGAGTGGAGTGGAGAGGTCGTAACCTGAGAAAAACAGTGAAATGCGTGCTTATTGAATCGAGACTGTCTTAGCAGTCCGTTATTACTCTAATATGTAGCCATGATTTTAAGCTGAGATGCTCGATAGTTACGTTAGAATAACCGGCATATACGAAATGGACAAATACGGGTTTTTTCTTATCGAAGTCGCTATAGTTGATTCGCTGTATCTTTACGTGGTAAGGATTGTTCGAGTTGCATTATGTGATTTTTGTTCTGCCGATGGACTTTCTAAAGCTTCAAAACCAAACAAAATGCCAGAACATAGCTATAGCTACGTTAATCGCGCCGCAAGGTGATATCTTAACTCCTCATGAGAGAAGATCTTCTCGCCTCCTTTCCTTCGTATCCAGTAAAACCCTCACCATGCGGGAATTTTAGACAATCGTGGATCCTTATACAAAGATTAGTTAGTTATGTTTCCAGAGCTCATGCACAACAGAGGATGGAGCCAGATTTCCTACTGTGGGGGCATACTTACTGTCTTATGTGATCCATGGATTTCGCCATACGTCTCGCCTTGTGGACAGTTGGAGAAAGGCCTTTTGAGACAGAGCGATAGCAGACGCCGCCGTATATAGGCCGTCTGAGTCTTAATGACAGATTATATATCAGTATCAGAAGAAAACTGTTCTTAGATAGTCTGTTAAGAGATAAAACTTACAACAACAACAGCAGTAGCAGTAGCATGCATACGGTAGTACTTTGTCATAGGCAATCCATTCGAATTCGTCATTGGTAATTCAATGGACGAGTTTTGAGATAGTTGTGCGTATTGCACCCATCATTGGGAAGCCTTTCCGGCGTTCAACCGATAATCCACCGAACACGTTCATGAATGGATTCGTGTCCATCGTCGTGTTCGTAATGATGATGTTCAGGAACGTTTCTCGGCTCATAGGTTCTGAATCATAAGCGTTAAAGAATGTAAAAGCTCTCGGGTTCTTAATAGTACTTACTACCATTTCTTTACTCCAGCTTCGCACCAGTTTCTTATCACCAGCAGTTTCACAGCGCAGCATATCACCGATATAAGTAGTTCTGAACCTCGGATTTCTAGTGAGGTCCTAAAACAGAGATTGAGCTAGGAGGATTCGTTTGACGACGCTTTGCTGGAAGAAAAAAGGAAGCTAGCCAGCCAAGTCGACGACCCGAAGAAGAGTTGTAGGGATCCAGGCAGACAAACGAGGGGTTCTCCTTTTTGGTCGGCTGGCAGAAAGCCATCAAGAGATATGGAACTCCGGCGTATGTTCAAGACGCATGCGAGCGATTGCCTGATCTCTGTATAGGTTATATCACTTAACAGGGAGACTCGAGGAGCTCAAGAAGTGCCTCTGTCGACTTCGCTGTGTAATGTTTGAAGCAACATGGGCTGTCGCTAAACAGTCATACGGTTTGGCAGTATGAAAGCGAGGAAGACTGAAGGCACGCTGTGACAAGCCCCTTCTGACAAGCATAGTGTGTATTATAAAGCGCTGTAAGCGCCACGGATTGAGGGATTGCCCAATGGTACTCTGTGAATAGCTGAATAGAACAGACAGGCCCTCACAGGACGCTTGCAATTTGCTTGTCTGAGGTTCGATCTGGCGAACTGGACCTGGCGGACTGCACCTGGCGGACTGCACCTGGCGGACTGCACCTGGCGGACTGCACTTGGCGGACTGCACCTGGCAGACTGCACCTGGCGGACTGCACCTGGCGGATTGCACCTGGCGGACTGCACCTGGCGGATTGCACCTGGCGGATTGCACCTGGCAGACTGCACCTGGCGGACTGCACCTGGCGGACTGCACCTGGCGGACTGCACCTGGCGGACTGCACCTGGCGGACTGCACCTGGCGGACTGCACCTGGCGGATTGCACCTGGCGGACTGCACCTGGCGGATTGCACCTGGCGGATTGCACCTGGCGGACCTGGCGGACTGCACCTGGCGGACTGCACCTGGCGGACTGCACCTGGCGGACTGCACCTGGCGGACTGCACCTGGCGGACTGCACCTGGCGGACTGCACCTGGCGGACTGCACCTGGCGGACTGCACCTGGCGGACTGCACCTGGCGGACTGCACCTGGCGGATTGCACCTGGCGGACTGCACCTGGCGGATTGCACCTGGCGGATTGCACCTGGCGGACTGCACCTGGCGGACTGCACCTGGCGGACTGCACCTGGCGGACTGCACCTGGCGGACTGCACCTGGCGGAATGTACCTGGCGGACTTGGAGATACAGACTTGGAGATCTCCAGAGAGGCTGACTGAAAGCCAACCCACCTCAACACGAATCACTCCGATTTGCCATGTGATTCTGTGCTCCCCGTCCCCGCCCGGGCAACACGAAGACGACGACTTATACTTCATTGGCGACCTGGAGGTAGCCAGCTTGAAGCTGACGGATCCTTCACAGGGGTCTTCGGTGAGTAGCTGACTTGGAGCCAGCGAATCTCAACACGAACGCCTCCGATGCGACGTTTCCGTGTGCCTCCTCGGACATTTAGACCCGCGGACTAACACCCTCCTGACAACGACAAATGCGACTTATACATCAAGCAACGACCTGGAAGTAGCCAACTTGGAGCTGACGGATCCTCCAGGGGTCTCCGGTGAGTAGCTGACTAGGAGCCAGCGGACCTCAACGCGGACGTCTACGATACGCCAAGATGTCGTGCCGTCCTGGGCGATTTACAATCGGTTCTATAGTAGGTAGACAGGTTTGACCCTCTCTACCACTACAGTCCCAAAAGACCCATTTAAGATGCGAAGACAACTGAGGAAGGAAAGCGGCTCAGGACAAGAGTTGCCTACGAGAGAGTCTTGAGTTCAGTAATGATCTCCCCGTGGAGACCTTCCTGTTCCCTCAACTTCTGCTCGAAGTCGCCTAGTGCCTTGGTGAGACCACGCTTTATCGCCTTCAGCGTCTTCAGGCTGCCTTTGCTTTCCACTAACGCCGCACACAGCTCCTGCTTACGCAGTTGCTGTCCAGGAGTTAGGGTCCGCGCCGGCTTTTCCGGCTGCATCATGTCCGGCGGGACAAAAATGCCCTTGGACGCAAGTTCAGCGCGATACTCCGCATGACCCTTAAATAAGTAGTTAGTTACCATTTGTCAATCTATGAAAGTCTCAAAAGCTTACTCGCTTGCGGGCTTCGACCGCTTCCGCCTCCAGGCGCTTCCTCTTCTTCTCTGCTCGCGTCAACTATTATGTATTAGCATTGCATGGATATATAAATATTGATATGAACTATCTTACCTTCCCAGTGGGGGCCGCGGAAGGCTGCAGGGGCCTGACAGGCTGGGACGCCTGTGGCTGCTGCTGCTGCTGCTGCTGCTGCTGCTATTTTTAATCAAAAGTTTAAATTAGAAACAGGAACTCATAGATACCAGTAGGAAGCCAAAATAATCAGATTGTATAATGTGCATAGATCATTCCTTGTCGCCCCAAGCAGCCTTCTTGGCCCCCACCGGGAGAGTTTTCGCGAGCTTTCCTAATCTTTGGTATTAGGATTGAATCTGTTAAAGGGATGACATGTATTACTAACCCATACTGTCGCTACTGTTGTTGTTGTTGTTGTTGTCGTCGTCGTTGTTGCTGCTGCTGTGGTTGCTGCTGCTGCTGTCGCTGGTGAGGAAAGAGAAAGGGAGGAGAAGGAGAATTTTGGAAGTTTTCTTTTTTTGTGGGAAAAGGGGGGTGCCAATAACACAGGAAACGACATGTGACTGAGAGAAAGGAGCGAGCACTGCTGTCCATATACGGCAAGTGGGTTGCTCCTCGCCCTTCAGGTCGACGAGAACTCGAAGGATCATCTCTGGTCTTCCTCGTCTCGTCTAATACTGGACGGGATTGATCCTTGTATAACGAGGACTAGTACCAGCAAGATCCAGTGTTCTATAAGATCTATCTCTATATGTCGGGTTGGTACGTCTTTTACGGGCTAGAGTAGCAGCATTGAGGATGCTGCTGTTATCTCTGCAGAGTATTAGAAGTGTCGCAAGATCTTCTATTAGTGACGTTCTATAAGCAAGATATATAGACATTGAGAAACAGACAATATTAATTGGGCTGTTATTATTGATTTGGATCTTTTGCGAAGATTGCTCTTGGTACTAGGATACACGTTCAATCCTCACTGAAAGGGCAGGCTGATATAATAAAGAATCTGGAACGTCTCTAAGCCTATATGCTCCTTGGGATTCTCTTTGAATACCCGCGTAGGAACTAATTGTCCTGCAAAGCTTCTTAGGTTCTCTTCGGGGAAACGTTGTCTACTAAAGACGCTCGAAAACCTCTTAAACCCATGTTTTTGAATTGAGGTAAGCCTGTGATATTAAAACTCTTTCAATCAGACGTTACTCAGAGGTTAGAAAGGATCGTTCTTAACTGTTAACTGTAAACCTGATCTGAGATCTCACTGCTGGTTCTACCAGCTCCATCCAACAGGTTGACAGAATCAATTTCACTGTCTCAAATTATATTTACCCAATCGTTCCAGCAGGACGGCTTCGAGAACCCTCACTAGAGACAGTGTCATCTAACACCCAGGGACGTCTGCAGCTTAATCGCTCCTTTTGTGTTTCCAGCTGGCTGGAGGATCGATCACATGAGATTGGGAGAGGTTGTCCGCAGTTTTCGGAGAAGGAATGTGAGCCTACTCGATCTATCCATATTTTGCTTGTGGAAAAAGGCACGCCCTGGTAGAGCTGTGGTCATGGGTACCTACCTGGTAGCTTGGAATCGGTCCCGATACCGACGACAATATAAGGAGGTGAGGAAGAGAGAGGGATAGAGAGCATGTTAGTTTGTTGTCCGTCTAGTCTATTCCGAGAGTCAACGTCGAAATAAAGTACTTGGTTCGCGTATAAATCATAATCATAAGCTCATAAATAGCAAAACTCCTCTTTGTACGACCTGTAGATGTGTGTATGGCGTTGGCCTCAAAACATCTGTGGGGCCGCAGCTTAGCGGGTTTGCCATGCGCCAAAACGCTGCAAAATATGATAGAATAATGTTTCATGCCCCAGACCCTTATGCATCCTGCACGTGGAGTTCCGAAGATCGAGAGATACGTAGTAGTATATCGCATTTCGCGGAACTGTATCCGCGATACTACATCCCACCTGACCGAACCGCCTGATGTCGCTCACGAGTTCATCAATACTGATGCTCGTCACGTTCGTCGACTTTGTTGGGAAGGCGGAGCAGGAAGTGCGGCTGGAGCTGAAAAATGAGGATCCATCCCTCCCCCGCTACCCGAGTTTGGTAGCGCTCACGTCCGTGGATCGGCTCTTTCCAGCTACTTAATCTTTCGCGCCAGGGGCATTGCTTCTGTTTTCATCAAAGAAGTTGTAACGGTGCCTATTTAACGTCTCTACGATTTGAACATCATATTTCCGCTCCACGAAAAGCTCGAGCAGAAATGTCTGACTACTACGGTGGACCTCCGCAGCATCACCAGTACGGCGCACCGCCGCCTGGTGGGGGATTCGGTGGTTATCCTGGACAGCCTGGCTATCCTCCTCATGAACAAGGCCAATATGGAGCGCCTCCGCAGCAAGGATATTATCCTCCGGTAAGTACTTTTTTTGTAGTAGTATCTCGACTGTTCTGCGCTTCCGTAGCTCTTGGGGAGCTTGTGGATAATGGTTTTGGGACGCCTGGAGAGGACTGAATGCTGATTCTTTCGCACCAGTCACAATCGCCGTACGATCATCAGCAACAGCCGCCAGCTCCTTATGAAGGCCAGCAAGGCTATGCGCCTCCATATGGCGGACCTCCCCAAGGTGGTCCCCCAGGATACGGATACAGCCAGGAAGGACATGCGGGTTATCCGCCCTCCGGATATCCTCAAGAGAGAGGCCACTCACCATATCCTCCCCAGCACCAGGGAGAAGCAGCATCATACTATGGTGGCCAAGTACCACCGCAGGAACATGCGGCAGCCTACCCTGGGGCTCCGGGTGCAGAAGGTGAAAAGGGTCTAGGCGCGTCATTGTTGGGTGCTGCTGGGGGCGGTTTCGCTGGACATAAGATTGGGGGTGGAGCTCTAGGCACGATTGGCGGTGCCCTGATCGGTGCTGTTGGCGCCAACGTGCTGGAAAATAAAGCCAAGAAGTGAGTATCGAAGTCTTTTCCAGTGTAAAAAGGCAATGTCGAATTTCCCTAACTTGTCTTCTTTTCCAGGCACAAGAAGCATAAGAAGAAGCACAGCAATGATCATCACGGGCACCATGGCCACAGTCACGGTCACAGCCATCACAGCCACAGCCGACACAAGTCAAGCTCAAGCTCAAGCTCGAGTTCCAGTAGCAGCGACAGCAACTAAGATCCCAGCACAGTTCCTATTCTTCAGCTGAAAGATGCTGCTGTTTCCATATCGGGTGTCTACTTTCCGATAGATTGATACACACGGTTTGATCAAACAGTTCTCTTCTCCAGAGGAAGTGTATGACCCATTCACAGACTCCTCTGCTGACGCTGCGCGTTTCTATGTGTCATTTTTGTTTCGCCTGATTGTTCCTGTATCCATACTGAGTATTGTCAAACTCGCACTATCACTAGCAGTGAGAATGATGTGTGGTTGTCAAACGGTTATTGTTAACAGCATGAACTGAGCTTCTTGAGCATAATGGTAGTTGTAGGACCGTATCGCTCGGTATCAGCCGAGCTGGCCACCGATGGTGGCAAATGTTCCTGACGTACGGAAGTAGGCGACTAGTTCACCTCCACAGCGGGCCTAGTTGGGTCTGACATCGTCGGCAGAGTCAATTCCGTAGTGGGCTGCTGTTTGAAATCGACACGATCTGAATAATTAGCCTGTGCCAATGACAGTTTCTGTTATTCAATCCTTCTCTAACCGCAAACTTGAGGCGGGAATAATGGAGAATACAAAATCGCCACAGCTAGAAGTAGAGGAATGACAGTATAGAATTACAACGAAAGACGAGGCTATCGAAATAAGATCATGATGATATCTGCTGGACGTCCAGGTTGTCTGCAAACAGGTCACAGGTAGAAATCAGCATGGACAATGACGCTGTTTTTGAGGGGTCGAAAGAGCAGAAGGTGGCCAGAGTTTAAGTTTCCTGGTAAAGGGAAGACATGATGTCTGTTAGATCTTGCAGTGAGTGTCAACGCCACCGGGATCTTGCGACAGAGGAGAAGCAGAACGAAAACTGTATTGCTGACAGTTTTGGCCAGCAATCAGAGCGAAGAAAAGACCAATGAACTCTGTTTTGCTCTGAAGCGTTCGAGAAGGACGTTCTTCTACCTAGATTCGAGGAGAACTGCTCTAATGGCCATTCGATTGGATGTTGTATTAGTGCAACTCCAGAATTTTAGAGCCAGACGAAGAACAAGAATAGTTTCATCAAACCACTAGTCTAGTCCAATTCAAGGCGCCTAGCGACGTAACAGACTGTGGCGACAGGGATAGGATATCAAACAAAAGCGTGATGAATCTGTGGCCGTAAGAATGTCCCGAAAGATATTCCGCAATGATTGGACGCTACTTCCGAGTTCAAATCGATGGCCATCTTGGTATGATCCAGATGCGAAAATGTATGGATTTTCCTCGGACTCTCCAGGAGGAAATTCGTCGTCCGAGACAGGACGAAAATGGAAAAGAACAAGCTTGTGACTGCAGGTGCAGCGTTAAGGTTACTCCGACCCACTCCGACCGGCGACCCGGCTTTTCTTCGCGCCTTTGTTTCGCCGACTTTTCGCGGGGGATAAGGGATAAGGAGGGTGGAGATGCATCTGGAATCTGGAGAAAAGGGGGCCGTCAACACGACCGTGCAGAGTTCTTCTCGTGTTAACTAGACACCCTAGTAAAGCCTGGGAGATACTTCGATAAGCACGATAAGGGATACCTAGTAGTGATCCCCAGCCCAGCTGCATCGAGCAGTTAGCGGGATCTCCCTGTCACTTTGGTCAATCATTCGTACTCTACGCAAACAGGGATTCCATTCTCAAGCGGTGAGCAGGGCTGTTGTGTTCCAAGGCTGACCGCAACTATTCCTTCATGCCATAGGCCCTGGAAACTCACAAGTCAGGAATCACGAAGTGGCGGTCATAAATTTCCCCCCTCAGTTAACTAGACGGGCAGCTCCTTCATTATTATTACGAGTGCAGGCATGTGTCTGGGCAACTTTTCCTTCAACAAGCCGCCAGCCATAACCGGCGTTACCAAGGCAGGGAGAAGGGCTTTTTGGCATGAGCACCTAGAACGGACCGAGTTTGTTTCGCTCCCCAGGTTTGGTAGTCCTCGAGAGCATCGCTCTAGATCCTGGAGATCCAGACGAGCACACCTTAGACTACTTTTTCCGGACATGAGTTTCTGTCGGCCGAAGGTTAATAAACATCTTGTACGGACTATGGTAAGCAAACATGACGAAGAGCGCGTAACATTCCCATGGCGCTCCAGAGTCTAAAGTCGGGACAACAGAGTTTTGATCCGAGAAGTCTGCGCCACCGACTCGGGACGGTCGATCCCAGGGTGGCGACAGAAATAGATCGGGTCCTGGGGAACTGTATGTGTTGTTAGAAATCCATGTAGCGTTGTTAAGGGGGTTACAATGCCAGATGTCCAAGGTCCAGTCCAGCCGTTCAGGGCGGATCAAGGGATAGACAAGGATGAAGCAGGGATTGGGCCCAACACATCACTTTCATGACTGTCAAGCGGTCGCCGACACATGCAAGCGAAATGGGGTGAGATTGGCCGGGCAGAGGGCTCCGTAGTTCACAGCACCGCCGCGTATTCGACAGTAGAGTTGTATCCGACCTATGGTATCAGGTATTCTGACGGAGCAGCAGTTGTGAGCTTCTCCCCAGACACCGTAGCCACTCGGAACCAAGAATGACAAACCAGCAAGAAAAAAAATAAAATTCCTTTTTTCCAACCCTTTCGCTCCGTAGATCTTCCAGAACGCGCTGGTTTTTCGGCGCTGACAGTATCTGATTCCCAATATCCGTCTGTCTCCCCGCCGACGATTCGCCTGAACGGCAGATGGTGGCCAATCAGCGACAAGGGATTGTGGCGGGCGGTCGTGTCCATATCCGGACTAGCGCCGACAAGGTTCTTCGCCACCAGTGACCAATCGGGTTTAGCGCGGGACAGCGAGAAAAAAAAAATTTCCTCCTGCTGGCGAGCGGTTGGGCGGGCGAGGGGCCACACAGCGATAAATATCTTTGCCAGCCCGCGCACCCCTCCTTTCTTTCCCATCTTCCTCTCTCTCTCCCATATTTCCTCTTTCATACCATACAGAGGCTTTGGTCCTCTTGCTGTTCTCTTTCCTTGTCTTCTGCTTAGACAGAATAGATCTCGTACCGGCCGCTTAGAGCGCATTCTGCGTCGAGAGGACGCAGTCACCGTGGGCCGCCACCTTATCATCGAGATACCCGGATAGAACGATTTTTGCACGACCTCGTCGCATCTTTCTATCTTTCCCGCGCTCTTAATTTCGCCTTTTCATACCATTTCTTCTTCCGACGTTATTCAAAAAGTCGCCAAAATTTCGTCCAAAATGCCCGCCGTCGACGTTTCTTCCGTTCCCGCCGTTTCTGGCAAGGAGACCGCTCAGTCGGTTGCCGTGCTCGAGGATCTCCTCAAGAACCTCAGCGTCTCCAAGACCCCTGATGAGGTCAACGCTGCGACCAGCAACATTGCCTCTCTCTTCAGCGGCCCTATCGACGAGAAGGTCCTGCCCGCCAAGGCTGTCGAGGCCTTCAAGAAGCAGCTCGCCAACAAGAAGGATGCTGCTGCCCGTGAGCACGCCCTGGAAGCCATCCGGGCTATCGCTCAGGAGCCCAACCTGGCTTCTGGTGTCGAGCCTTACCTCGTCAGCCTGCTGGGCCCCGTTCTGACTGCCGTCAGTGACAAGATGGTTCCTGTCAAGAACGCTGCTCAGACCACTGCCATCGCCATCGTCAAGGGCATCAACCCCAACGCTGTCAAGGCCGTTCTGCCTCCCATCATCAACTCTCTCGCCACTGCCCAGAAGTGGCCTGAGAAGATCACTGCTCTGGAGGCCATCGAGGCTCTCGTCGAGAGCGCCCCCGTTCAGCTGTCCTACCGTGTGCCTGACCTGATCCCGGTTGTCTCCGAGTCCATGTGGGACACCAAGCCCGAGGTCAAGAAGGCTGCCTACGGCACCATGGAGAAGATCTGTGGTCTGATCGTCAACAAGGATATTGAGCGCTTCATTCCCGAGCTCATCAAGTGTATCGCCAAGCCGGAGAACGTCCCCGAGACTGTCCACCTGCTGGGTGCTACTACCTTCGTCACTGACGTCCACGAGCCTACCCTGGCCATCATGGTTCCTCTGCTGGACCGTGGTCTCGTTGAGCGTGAGACCGCCATCAAGCGAAAGTCCGCCGTTATTGTCGACAACATGTGCAAGCTGGTCGAGGACCCCCAGATTGTCGCTGCTTTCTTGCCCAAGTTGATGCCCGCTCTTCAGAAGAACTACGAGACCCTGGCCGACCCCGAGGCCCGTGAGAAGACCAAGCAGGCCTTGGACACTCTGATCCGTGTCGGTGATGTCAAGGACGGCAAGATCCCTGAGGTTTCCAAGGCCGGTGACATCGCCACCGTCTCTGCTATCCTCAAGGAGATCCTTGAGCCCAAGTTCAAGGCTGTCATTCCTCAGTCTGAGTCCATCATCGACTACATCGCCGCCATCGCCGGTCAGCTCGTTGATGAGAAGAACAACGAGGTTGTCAGCTGGACTGAGAACACCCTCCCCTACATCACTGCTCTTGTCGGCGAGAAGGAGGCCAAGCCTATCGCTGAGGCCCTCCGCAAGCGTGCCGCTCCTGGTGCTGAGGCCGAGGATGAGGTCGCCGAGGACGAGGAGGAGGGCGAGGACCTCTGCAACTGCACCTTCAACCTGGCGTACGGTGCTAAGATCCTGCTGAACCAGACCCATCTGCGTCTCAAGCGTGGTCAGCGTTACGGTCTTCTCGGTCCCAACGGTTCCGGAAAGTCCACCCTTATGCGCGCCATCAACAACGAGCAGGTCGAGGGTTTCCCTAAGAAGAGCGAGGTCAAGACTGTCTTCGTCGAGCACGACCTGGACTCTGCCGATACTGAGCAGACCGTTATTGGCTGGACCATGAAGAAGCTGGCCGAGGCCGGTGTCACGGCCGACCAGAAGACTGTCGAGGACAAGCTGGCCGAGTTCGGTTTCCTCCGTGAACAGTTCGAGAGCCCCATCACCTCCCTCTCTGGTGGTTGGAAGATGAAGCTGGCTCTTGCCCGTGCCGTCTTCGAGGAGCCCGACATTCTCCTGCTGGACGAACCCACCAACCACTTGGACGTCAAGAACGTCGCCTGGTTGGAGCAGTACCTCATCAACTCCCCTTGCACGTCCATCATCGTCTCCCACGACAGCAAGTTCCTGGACAACGTCATCCAGCATGTTATCCACTACGAGCGCTTCAAGCTTAAGCGCTACCGTGGTACCCTGAGCGAGTTCGTCAAGAAGGTCCCCTCTGCTCGCTCTTACTACGAGCTTGGTGCCTCCGAGATGGAGTTCAAGTTCCCCGAGCCTGGTTTCTTGGAGGGTGTCAAGACCAAGGCCAAGGCCATCGTTCGTGTCACCAACATGTCCTTCCAGTACCCTGGTACTCCCAAGCCCCAGATCGAGAACATCACCTTCCAGTGCTCGCTCGGTTCTCGTATTGCCGTCATTGGTCCTAACGGTGCCGGAAAGTCTACCCTGGTCAACGTCCTGACCGGTGAGCTGATCCCCACTTCCGGTGAGGTCTACCACCACGAGAACATCCGTATTGCCTACATCAAGCAGCACGCTTTCGCCCACATCGATAACCACCTCGACAAGACTCCCTCCGAGTACATCCAGTGGCGTTTCCAGACCGGTGAGGACCGTGAGACCATGGACCGTGCCAACAAGCAGGTCACCGACGAAGATGAGAAGGCCATGGACAAGATCTACAACATCGAGGGCACTCCCCGTCGTGTCATCGGTATCCACTCCCGTCGCAAGTTCAAGAACTCCTACGAGTACGAGTGTTCGTTCGCCCTGGGTGAGAACATCGGCATGAAGAGCGAGAAGTGGACTCCCATGATGACCGCTGACAACGCCTGGATTCCCCGTAACGAGATCATCCAGACCCACGCCAAGATGGTCGCTGAGGTCGACCAGAAGGAGGCCCTCGCCAGCGGTCAGTTCCGTCCCCTTGTCCGTCGCGAGATCGAGCAGCACTGCGCCAACTTCGGTCTCGATGCTGAGCTTGTCTCTCACTCCCGCATGCGCGGTCTGTCCGGTGGTCAGCGTGTCAAGGTCGTCCTGGCCGCCTGCTCCTGGCAGCGTCCTCACCTGATCGTCCTGGACGAGCCCACCAACTACCTCGACCGTGACTCTCTGGGTGCCCTGTCCAAGGCTATCAAGTCCTTCGAGGGCGGTGTCATCATCATCACCCACTCCAAGGAGTTCACTGAGAACCTCACCGAGGAAGTCTGGGCCGTCATGGATGGTAAGATGACCCCCTCCGGTCACAACTGGGTCCAGGGTCAGGGCTCCGGTCCTCGTCTCACTGAAAAGGAAGGCGATGGAGAAGTAAAGCGCGATGCACTCGGAAATATCATAGAAGAGACGAAAAAGAAGCAGAAGTTGTCTTCTGCTGAACTTAGAAAGAAAAAGAAAGAGAGGATGCAGCGTCGGAAAAGGGGCGAGGAGGTGTTCTCTGATGAGGATGAGTTCTAAAAAACCAATTTGCAGCACGATTAACGGAGTTATGGCTATGTTTTGACGTTTTCTTTGTTTTTGAAGCTTTTTAGATAGAAAGTTCACGATAGCGGTAACTATCGGCAGAATAAAATCACGTGATGCAATTCAAAAGAACCATTATGTCGCAAGGCAGTGCAGAAACTAAGTACCCGTCGTATCAGGTGCCTGGCTACTCAGCCAATCCGTGTCAAGAAGTAACTGCATTCTGTAGCTGTTTGCCTATGTGCTTTCTATCGGTTTTGTTGTCTTACTCTTGTCTGCTTTTGCTTCTAGGTACCTACGTTTATTCTGATCAAGAGGGGTCTGGCTTAGGTACCGTAATTGCGACTTCTACTCTTTCCTTTCCACTAGACTGCTTAAATCTCAACCATCGTCATAAGGATTTAAAGACACGGAGAATTGAGCGGGGGATTTGAATGAAAAGTAAATAAGGCCGTATGCGAGCAGATCGAAAAGATTCTCTTTGTTGAAAAATCCATTGCGTAGCTTGGCTAGGCATCATTGAAAGACATGGCTATATTCCGTTTTCCTGTCTAACCTCTGATCGTTTGTATGGGGATCTTCTTTCGTGTCCCGAGTCCTGGCCGCTCATCCATCACCCCCTGACCTACAGTGGTTTTGATCGTACCTTTTTCATCAAAATACCATCGATTCCTGCCTACTTGACTGTGAGTTCATCTGCTCTATTAAGTTCACTAGCTTATCACTTGTCTACAAGTGAGTTCGAGTTACCCTCCCTTACCTCACTGCCTCTTCAGGTTTATCAAGGTCTCACTTCGTCTCATCAAAACTTTGCGTCGTCTCATCGGTTTCATCATTCTTGTGTCCTTGGAAGGTCCTAACCCGCTGTAGATAAATTGCCAGCTATGGAAGACCACCAGCTTTTGAATCACAGCAACAGCGCACGTTTCTTCCATTGGCGCTATCGAGAGGTATGGACGAGAGTGACTTTCGTGGCCAAATATTAACATGGGCATAGGCCGAGAAACTCTTAAACAACGGGAATGAAGAAGATGGCGACAAGGCAGAGGAAACATGCAGAGAACTTCTGCTGGAAGCAACGCTTCCACTATATATCCGCGCCCGATGCCATACTTTACTGGCTGTCTGCGATGGAAACTATCTGTGAGACAATCTGCCCTTGACCCAAGTCTACAGCGTTTCTTCTGACATTATCAGTTACCACGCACGGAAAGCTCTCCACCTCTACCAAGAGTTTGCTGCTGATGAACCGCACCTAAAAGTATGGCAAGAGGGTCCCTTTGAAGAGTTCGCTGCTGATGAACCGTATTTAAGGTATGGCAAGAGGCGAGCGAGGCAATGAAGGAAATTGTTCGAGTTGCGGAGGAAGACTGGGAGAAAGAACATGGCACGATCCCTCCTGACAGCACTGAAATAGGATCAGGCGCTGGGGCTGAAGCTCAAGCTGGCCTATCTACGAGGAGCTTAGGCGAATCGACGAAAGGGCCTCTTGCAAGCCTGCAGCGCACTACTCGTGTCGGCCGTCAAAAGACTGATGAAACTGCTACAGCCAGTGCTTTCAGTAGCGGGGATATGGAGACCTCGCCAGCTTCATCTCACGGGATACATGAAGCCGCCAGGATGGATTCAGATGAGCAAAGTGGCACAGAGTAACCAATCAGGTGAGGGAGGTATCCCGGCCTCCACGCTTAGCGGACGTGTCTCTGGCTATGTATCTACTTGCGGCCTGTCTTATACAGCTTAACTGTGTAGACTTATAAAAGTTGCCCGCGGGTAGAAGGGGTTACTATCAGAATAAGAAAGAGAACCACGATAGGGCTGTCTACTGGGTCGAGCCCGACGTAACATAATCCACCCCCGAGTTGCTCAAACCCCCAACTTGATCAGTGCCGTATTCATACAAATCAGCCAAATTGGCAGCGCAATATCTTAACCACAAAGCTAATTAGAAGGGCTAATCTTTGGAATATATGTAGTATATACCTTATAAAGTATATATCTTCATTTTTAGAGACATTATTTTAAATTTCTTTCGAGATAATAATAAAATGCAAAACTTACAATGGCAGTTTGTATTATCTGGGGAATTAGAGACTTTTAGATGAAATCTACTGAATAGATATAGATAGTATCGTGATATATTATGAATTCCAAAGATTAGCCCTTCTAATTAGCTTTGTGGTTAAGATATTGCGCTGCCAATTTGGCTGATTTGTATGAATACGGCACTGATCAAGTTGGGGGTTTGAGCAACTCGGGGGTGGATTATGTTACGTCGGGCTCGACCCAGTAGACAGCCCTATCGTGGTAGTCCAAAATGACCATGTACTCCTAATTTAGTAAACGTCAAGGTCAAAGATACGAAGATAGGAGGATTTCTCTTTGGCGCATTGTTAACCGCATCATTAGCAAGACTTTATCATCTCAGCAAGACAAGCCGACGATGCGATGTCGACCGACAGATAGAACTATCTGCATTTGGCTAAAGGAACAGGTCAACAGGCTTATAGAGAATAGAGAAGGTCTGTATTATGGACTGCGGTGAAGTACCTTTGGTGGTCTCTATAACCTCCTGTATTTTAGGCACTTAGTCGCCCCTCCTAGTGAGGTTATAAATGCAGACTTCTTCCACCCTCCAATCGTCCTAGTAGACAACCAAAGCCATCACATGTAATGAACCTATACAGGTAACTCTACTAAAAGTAAATCATCTATACCTCCGGCTCCTGGCGTGACCAAGTAGGAGTGAAACCATGAAGACCGTCCATACAATTGGCCCGCTTGAAGCGCTGATGGAGTCATCGTGCATCTGGGTGTTGGTGCGCCTTACTTCGGGACTATCAGGCTCAGAAACAAGAGTGCTTAGGGATGGTGAGGCACCTTTGGAGAATACGTGCCTCGCCATTTTTTTAGCAGTTTACGAGGACATCCAGCATGCCGGCAGTCTGGAGCACATGCCTCTAGATTAGGGACCACAGGCTAACTCTTGGATACCTAATCACGTGATATAACATAGCGACAGTGATCAGCATCGTCGCTGACTGTACTTGATCTTCTTCCACAATCCGCGTACCATCATCTCTAGGTTTGCACGGCAGAGGTAAAATTTTCGAATTCTCTCTCGGTTGTCTTTGATAGATCGATAATGTGATGACCGTGAGGTTGAGTGCTACGTGATTTTCTGAAAGGCATCATCGGAGGCATTAGGAGGTACCTAGGTAGGTACCTTGTTTCTTGGAATATGTGCCAAACTCCAATCGTGCGTCTTCGGTGCCAGATCCCTAGTATAATACCAAGCCGAAGGCAACTCTACCGCTCAATCTCGATAGTTCCAGCACTGTCCTACCATCACTCTCCCACGAGCATAAGTTCTTCCGAGACAGGTAAGCACATCCATCTGAGGACGATTCAACGCACCACTCACCCGTACCAGACTGGAATTCTAACGATGAATTCTTCAAATTCACACGTGGCCGCTTTATTGTAGATGAGGCAGAAAATCTTCGAAAGCGAGAGATCAGGTTCGACATGAATCGGCTCGCGCGTGTCGCTGCAGACTCGGTCGGCGCCTCTCGATGCGTTGCTATCAAGAAGTACCCTGACGGCATGTACAATAAAGCATTCCTCATGTCCATGGATGATGGCAGAGAAGTCGTAGCCAAGGTTCCCAACCCGAATGCTGGTGCTCCACACTTTACTACGGCTAGTGAAGTCGCTACAATGGACTTCGTATGTTTATTCTAACTCTGTCCACAGCAAGTTTCGCTAACACGACTGATTTGAGAGGCCAGAAGAGTCCTTGAGACACCGGTACCTCGCGTGTATTCATGGAACTCGCAAGCCGAATCGCACCCTGTTGGGGCTGAATTCATTATCATGGATAAAGCTGAGGGTGTCCCGCTGTCTCAAATCTGGGGCACCTTAGCACTACCCCAGAAGCTAGAAGTGCTTCTTGCCATGACACATCTCCAGAAGAAATGGCTGAGCGTATCGTTCTCACATTACGGCAGCTTGTACTACACAGGAGACATGCCGCCACCAGCAGGTAACCACTACATCAAGGATGGTAAGGTCATCAGGGATTCAGAATTTGCTATTGGTCCGGCTACAGGCCGGGATTGGTTTGATGCAGGTCGGTCGGTACTGGGCATTGAGAAAGGGCCATGTATGTCGTGATTTGTATCATTTTCGTGCAGCCCGCTAATAAGTTCGCAGGGGCTTCTCTAACGCAACATCTACAAACAGTCAGAACGCGAGAGGTCAAAGCAATTCAGTCTTTGAAACCGCCAAAACAGATTGCCTTATTTTGTGGTCCAAAGCTCTATCGCCCTGATAAAGAAAAGAAGACAACTGCTCTAGAATGGTACCAACAGGTTGTCGATGCCCTTATCCCCCAAGACACTGCCATAACCAGACCCTGCCTCTGGCATAATGACCTGCATGATGACAACGTCTTTGTTGACCCACGTGATCCCGAAAAGATTTCGGGTATCATCGACTGGCAGTCTTGTCCCATCTCCCCCCTCTTCAACCACAACCCCGATCCAGCCTTCCTCGACTGGGATGGCCTTGAGCCTGAGACGCTAGATTTAGCACCAATGCCCAGACTCTCTGGGCTTTCCCCAGAAGAACGGTCTGCGGCTGTACACGAGTATACCATGCAAAACGTGTTAATTGCATGGCGGAAGCTCATGCTTTCCAAGAACCCAGACCTATATCGAGCAGTCGAATTCCGAAAGACGGCAGCGTACGGATTGATGTTTCTCGCTCACCGGATGTTCGAGTATGGCGAAGCGCATTTCCAATCGCTTATGGTCGATCTGAAGGACACATGGGCGGATTTACCTGCAGTGACCAACGATATCCCCTTCCCATATGATTTCTCCGAAGAAGATCTCGAACGTATCAAACTTGACAGCGATAGTGCAGTAGCAGGAACTGAGCTTGTTGCAGAGGTCAAAGAGAGGATGGGCGATTTGTGGCCAGACAAAGGCTTCATCGAGCACGAGCAATACGACGAATGTAAAGCTGCGCTCCATGAAATTAAGGCACAGATACTGGAACAATTGGCTGAGACTGACGAGGAGAGAGCCGAATATGAACGTTATTGGCCGTTTCAATGATTTCTATTTATCGAGGCAGTGGCATGATCGTGAAGAAATGGTAACAGAACTAGAAAGACACTATCTGTCTTCTTTGCCTCTATATCAAAGATAACCATCCCAATAGTTCTCGGGTTTTCTACCCAGCCCGGGTAGTTTCTCAGGTCTGGGAATGAGAAGGCGATTGGCTTGTTTTGGGGATCGAATTGTATTTTTATGCCTTTTGTCGGGTGCGGACCAGAATTTATTGTGATATGCTCGCTGGGAAGTGCACGGCGTTACGGAACGCCTTTGGGAATTTGATAATAGAACAGAACTGCTCTCGATTGCGTGATTCCCATCTCTATACCCGACCGATTCAACTAGCAGGGGCCTTGCACGGTGCCGTGATTCGAGAAGTCGTATATCCCGATCACTCCCAGTCCAATCAGAATCATCCAAGAGAAGTTATTCCCCAAAAGTCGACCAAACATTATCCGTAAATAGAAATTGATACGGCTTGATGGAGTTGCAATTTGATTATAGACATGTGAGCGTGCCGCAATAACCAATACGAACCGTCAGTAAATTACTGCTCCTTGGAGCTCTATGCTTCTAAAAGTTAAGCATCGCTAAATATAGTAAATCTCAAAGGGGAAAAAAAAGGAAGAGAGAGAGAGAGAGAGAGAGAGAGAGAGAGAGAGGGGCTAGTATTAGGATGTGCATGTCATCTTCGATCGGTTCGCAAAGTATTCCCCCTAGAACTAGAAGCAAGCAGGCAATTTAAGGTGTTCAGGTCAGACTATGCTTCCGTGCTATTTAACATCCGACGCAATTATGTTAAGCCAAAGCCCTCTCAATCAGAGTAAATACATAGGAGCGAAAACAGACAGTAAGACAACAAAACAAATGAAGAGAACATCCAACAGCTATGGTCCCAATTGTCGCAAAATGCAATCACTTCTCGAGAGGGATCGGCCGTGGAGTAGCAAGTGACCTGACCTAATATGAGGTGTAGCGTCAGATAGCAGAGTAGTTGCTGCGCTACTTAAGCAGTGGTATCCATGACCTCCTTTATCTTAGGCACTTAGTCGTCCCGAAAGATGAAAATGAAGAAAACAAATGCAAGAAACCCCGAAAAGAAAAGTCGTCTCAGTCATTTACTCCTGGCCCTCGTCCTCATCGTCGCCAATCTCACCACCTCCAAAATCGTCCTGGAACTCATTCTCCGTCTCCTTTTCTTTCTCCGTAGCTTGAAACTCTACTTCTCGAGATGGATCGTACCACTTGAGACGGATGGAGATGTTCGCAATGTCCGCGACGATTGCTTCGCATGTTTCTTTGGAGAAGTCTTGCTTGGCCATATTCGAGAGGTGAGTCTCAAAAACAACATTATTCAGAGAGTCAACCCGGTCCGCGATGCTGGACGGTGTGATCGTCGTCCATCCCGTCCTTAGCTGTTGTCCGTGAGATTTGTGTGCTACCACAAATCTCAACGGATGTCTTATGTAGACAGACAATGGCAACTTGAGAAACTCGGAGTAGTCGGGCTCCGCGGCCTGCAATATAGCTTCTAAGTATAGTGTTTCGCAAACATCAATTTCTATAGTGAATTAACAAGATTCAAAGACCTATTAAGAGAGACCTTACGTTTCCACTTTCCTAAAAATATGTCAATATAAGCATATTCCAAAACATATATCTTGTGGGATACTTACTGTTACACAAAAGCCACATCCGATACGTCCTTTCAGTGAACAGGGCCCAACACATCCACCAGCACCAGTTCGCTGGCATTTTCAGGTTGTGGAATGGGTATGGAGAACCATTATTACCTTGAGGAATTCTTGCATTGAGATGCTTCTCAATGTTCTCGACAAGATCGAGGATTCGGTCTACCTCCTCCGGGCGCCAATGCTCTCGCACGGCAAGTTCTCTTTGTGAATATATATGTAGATCCGCTTTTCTTTAGGTTTGTATAACGGTTTCCTGGAGGCCTATACTTATTATTCGCGGCACGATCGGCGGCGCGCGAAGGACCGACACGATCAGGGGTACGGTCGGCTAGCATCTGTGCCAAGAGGCGATCAAGCTCAGACTCACCGGACGGGTAGAGGTGCCCGAACGACCCTCGCGATCGGACTCAGGCTCAGGCGCTTCGGAGTTCTGCCAATATGTTAGTGGCTGTATGACTGTAGCGAACGTGCTCTCTTGAGACAGGGTGACAGGATTCCAACCTGATGAATGTCATTCATCCTTAATATGAGGTCTTCTTGTTCCTCTTCCGTTCCCCTGAGCGACTGGTATTGTTTGATGGTGCCAGTACCCCTGGGATGAAGAGATTTTTCATCATATTTAGGTAGAAAGCTGTGATGGCATCATTCCCCTCAGTATATACCCATACTGCTAGTTGACTGCAGTGTATGGAAATACTGCTCAACAGATGGACGAAAAGCACCTCGACCAGGATTTCCACTTCCTTCGGCTCCGCTGAAAATATCCCTAGTAAATTAACTGAATTTTCTAGAACTAGAGACTATATAAGTTCTGGAGGGCACCCAGACATTTTGTTCTCAATATAACAATATAAGGAAGTGAGGAAGTGAGGAAGTGAGGAAGCTAAAAGGTATATATACGAAATGAATATGTTCGTTTCTGGATCTAGAACTACCACAATCTGCCTCTTATACTGTAGAGCAGTCTCCCGCATGCGACTGTCTTCTTTGATACTTCACTAGTAGAAAGCGATCCGCTGCAAGTGAAGCCGTATACTAGTTTCGGGTGAAGTAAGAGTTGCTATAACTCAGTTGATATCAGCGGGTAGTTGCCGACTGTTTGATAAGTTCAAAGACCAAAATGATTCACGGCGAAGAATTAAAAGGAATAGCAACAGGAAACCTGGTGGAGACCCCCGCAAATTGCTCTCTTTGTTCTTTGTCTTCCTTTCACTCGAGGGGCGGAGAAGTTCTACATTCATTGGACAATTGACTTCTGCGACCCTACCACTTTCACATCTCCTAAGCATTCATCACTGAGAGACTACTTTCCTTCTCTGCAAAATTCAAACCGCTAGAGCTGTTCAATCGAATATGGAGGACGATAAGATTACTCACCTCAGCAACGCTGCTCGTTTCTTCCACGCGCAATATCGAGAGGTCAGGATACTCTACAGAGTAATTGTACTATCAAGAATGGACACTGATACGAGTGGGTAATAGGCTGAAAGGCTTATAAACAGCGATAATGAAGAAGATCAGGATAAAGCGGAGGAAATCTGCAGAGAGCTTTTGTTGGAAGCGAGGCTTCCACCTCATGTCCGTGCCCGATGCCATACCTTACTGGCAGTCTGCGATGGGGATTATCTGTAAGAAAATCTGCCCTTCGTCTTCCCTTCACCCAAATCTACAGCGTTTCTTCTAACAGTACCAGTTACCACGCAAGGACAGCTCTCCGCCTCTACCAAGAGTTTGCTGCCGATGAACCGCACATAAAGGTGTGGCAAGAGATGGCAGAGGCAACAAAGGAGATTGTCAAGGCTGCAGAGGAAGATTGGGAGAAAGAACACGGCACGATCCCGCCTGAGAGCACTGAAGAAAAGCACTAGGGGCTGGAGCTATGTCGACTAGACACGTATAGAGCTAGAGTCAACCCCATGCTGAAAGCTTGTTTCATCATTTTTATTATGAATCATGAGGTGAAGACAAGATAAATACCATAGGCGTTCTTTTATAGAACTAGTATTCACCAAGGCAATTGTGGTTATGTATCACCGGCTTCTCTATGCCGGACTCATACCCCTTGCGTGGGAAGAGACCCTTGTTCACCTGCATCGTACGGGTAATCTGCTCTAGCTCATATAGTAGATCTCAAAACCCGTCATCGAGTCCCTTGCTCTTCTCATCTTGATGTCTCTCATCAGTAATTTCCCACCACCAAGAATTTGCCCCATCTCGATCCTTGGCTGCGTCTCCTTCGCCTCTCCTGACCTCTTCACTCTCGTTCCATGGCTTCGGATTGAGAAGATAATGGATGTTCTTCACATTTTCATCCCTCCATATAGCATCATGCACACCCTTCCATCGCATCGTCTTGAGCGCGTTGTAAATATACGGTAATGCGACCCACCGTCCAGGGAAGGCGTCCGCAAGTAGCGACTGGTCGGCGAACTCGTAGTTCTCCGTCGACGATGGATTAGATAACCGTGCGAGGATAGTGTCATACACTTTCTGTGAAGGGTTTACCACCTGTAAGCCTCCATTTGGCATAGCCAGACCAGCGGTGGGCGATGGTCCGGTTGTTTGAGCAAGTTCCGGATCAGAATGCAGAGTCGTGTGCGCGCAGTTCTCAGGTATCCTAACGGTTCCAGAGAGTAAGATTGCCAACGGTCTGCTTATTACAAATAAAGCAGTACTCACCAGTCTTTAGGATAATGCGGTTTCTTCAGCGGATTGCAGACACACGCATGGGTCGCAGCAAACACACGATTCCCCGTCCCACCAAGCTCAGGAGCGTCCAGTTCAAGTTCCATCAATTCATCCATATTTTGCAGCGCCATCATATCACTATCCAGCTGTACCACTCGCTCATACTGGACGAGCGAGAAGGGTGTGAGCTTGCTCCAGCAGTCGTAGAATCGAGCATCGTTGCTGTAGTCTTTGTGTGCTGATGGCAGAAGATAGGGAATGCGCTGCTTGGGTATCCTTCTAGCATCGAGCGCAGCGTGACCTTCAGGAGGGAAAGTATCCGTGTAGAGTGCGACTAGGGGATACTTCGATCCGACTTTCTTCAACGAGTAGTCGAGCGTAAGCAGGCCGGGGAGGTAGGCGGTGTTGGTGATTAGAGTTGTCCATACTGGGTCTTATCAGCATTCCGCAGGGGATTACCAACGTACGGATGGCTGTTCTGGAATCCCATACCTTTCGTTGCCTCCGTGGCCTTGTTATCTTGCCTGTTAGTGGTAGTCATGGCGGTTGAATTTCCCATTGCGGGGTAGTCTTCGATGTTAGTCAGGTACCCTGTCACCCAGGTTGCTCAAGTATCCCGCAATTGAGCCTCAGGAGAACCGCGAGCAGCTTCTAGAGATGTATTTTCTATCAGTGTCACCGCATGGTAGGACAAGAGCGTCGTGGCATCGACTGATAAGAAGTAGCGCTGATGGTATCATCAAGCGATAGCGGGGTCCCAAGAACTAACCAAGATCCCTAAGCCATTCAGTCAGCAAGTACACTTGCCGATGGGAGCCATGTTTAGGCTCGGTTCGGAGTTAACGAAAACACGCGTTGGTTAGAGCTGAAGGCTGAAGCAAGACTGCCAACGCCTGTCTAATAATAATGTCTATCATCAAACTGCACAGGTGGGGGTTACGATACATAACTGAATAATACTACTAGTCTTACCCTAGATCGCGTCCTAACTAGTTAATCCTGCATAAACTGACATAAGCAACTCGTATTCAAAGGAGGGATGCATCACGTGATGATCGCGTCGACGCATGATGTCAGGTGATGGCCCGTTGTCGACGCGCGGCACGTGATCTATAGAAGGGACGCGGAGAGCGCGCATTTGTATGGTGCAAGGACGAAAGGTCCCTAATGGCATGCATGCTCATAAATGTTCATTTCCGGCGTTCCCTCAGCTTGCGAAGCGGTCTTTTCAGGGCAGTGTTTCGAATTGCCACGCCCTCGCGAAGCCCGCGGTGGAGCTCGAGCCCTCGTGGGCGGCTGTAGAACGCGTCTCGGGCGAGCAAGCGTGCATTTCCGCGGTAGGAGACGAGACGAGACGCACCGCTACTGCAGACATTCCTCCACCACTCTCGCACCCTTTTCTTTCAATGCTTCTCGTCCTTTCTGACGCAAGAAAAATTTCTCTCTCCCAGCCTCCCTTGGTTCCTTGGAGGTCCTATTTCTCTCTTCCTTTCCCATCTCTCTTTTCTATTCAATCGTGTCTCTGCTCTCGTGCCCTCTGTTTTCTCTCGGGATCTAGATCCCTACACGACCCTGACACGCCTAGATTGCTTTGGTCCCCGTGAAAAAAAAAAACATAAAAAGCTCTATATAGCTTCTATTCGAATACAACAGGTTTTTCCTTAAGCTTGCAGCATGGAGTCTTCTCCGATCAGGGGCAGTACTGCGGCTGCCGTGGCCGGCAAAAAGCGTCCTGCATCCTTGCTGCCAGCCTTCGAGCCATTGAGCTCCTCGCCGTCTCTTCCTCGACCTCAGAAACGTATGGCACGCGACGATATATCGACCTATCCTACCCCAGTACCGACCTCGTCAACCCATATCATGTCTTCGTCTCCGCCACGAATTTCCATGTCACGTCCTGCGACACGCGGTACCTTCTCGTCAGTATCAGAACGCGTACCCCTTTCTGCGGTGCCCACGATTATGCTCCCTGAGTCTGGTGAGACGATTTTAATGGGGAGATCGAGTGCGTCGTGCCACCATCAGCTGTCTGTCAATCGATTGATATCAAGGGTGCACGTCGAAGCTACCTATAAGCCAGCTCCCAATCCCTTCGACAGAGCAAGCATTGAAATCAAGTGCACCGGCTGGAATGGGATAAAGCTTCACTGTCAAGGAAAGACGTACGATTTGGCAAAGGACAAGACATTTAAATCAGACATCAAGGATGCGGACGTTATGATCGATGTGCATGACGCGCGGGTGCTGGTCCAGTGGCCACGGCCAGAGAGAAAGGAATCCGGGTCAAGCTCGGACCAGACTTGGGACGAAAATTCGCCCCGAAGGAACTCTCAAAGCCACCGTCCATTCCAAGGTAGTCCGCTCAGAGAACGTCAACGTCTGGTCTCCCCGGTGTCCCCAACCCCTGCAGTCCAGGCTCTCATACCCCCTTCCTCTCCACTACTTCCTCCAAGCCGTTCTCACAATCCCGTAGTGGTCTACGAAGATGCACAGTCTCCTGTCCGTGAAGCAGCCCACGAGAATTCCCGCACAGCATCGCAGAATTCACAGATTGCTTCAGACTCTGTAAATGGAGTTCTTCGGAGCTCCCAGTCCAGTGACTTGAGTGACCTGAGTAGATCCCCAGATGACTTCTCTGACCATGATGAGGAGAATGACCCCATCATTCATTCATTTGGGCCTTTCGGGGAGAACATATTACCTCGAATGGCTTCCTTCCGCGCTGGAGGATCCCCGCCATTGCCTCGCTCACCCCGTCCCCGATTTGAGTCTCTCAAGCGGGAGCAGACTACCCAGCCGTCTGCTTCCAAGGCCGAGGAAGCGCAGTCTGAACCCCCAGAAGATGATGAGCACAGAGCAACCATCCGGAATCATGCAGTTAACCAGCTAGCCTTCTCGCGTCTTTCTTCCACCCCTTTCTCGACGATCTTGAACAACTTTCCTCCCGGCATCTGGAAGAGAGATAGCCATAGTGACAAGAACGCCTCAAAGGCTGAGATCCGAGCCATTCTCGATTCAACGAAGTGCATTGGCAAGGTTCAGCGTGAAGGCAAAGATGCTGCTGGCAAGCCTCTCGAAAGCGAGTACTATTACATCCCTGACTTCGATGACGACGATATGAGGCGGGAGGCTGTCGTGAATGATCTGAGGAAGCCTGGTCTCCGCAACTGCAGAAAGCAGCACAAGGTTTGATTTTCCAGGTTCGAGTGATATTTCATTTGCTGACGGGTCTTTTGCAGCAATACTTTTGGCGCAAGCCCAAATAGATGGGTTCGGCCCGGTTTTAATCCCGGTACCCTATTACATGCACGGGTACTATTTTGTTAACTTTCTTTCTACTACATAACCTTTTTGTGCTATTAGGACATCCTTTTTTTTCGCATAGCGGCGTGTGGGCATACCCCTGTTTTTATTCCCCTTTTTGATATATGTGGGTGGTTTCTGTTTTCCGATTCTCTTTCCGTTGCGTTACCAAAAGAACTGCCTATGCAAGATCATGCTTGAACCAGGATCGGGTTGATCTAGCAGCCTGGCCAAGTCAAACTACACAACGCCTTTCTGTCATCTTACTAAAGATGGCTTGCAACATGGCGAAGAGATACTCTCGCGAGTCCCTCCTACCCCATTGTTTTTGATTACTGGGTTTTTTATGTATGGATTTCCTTTGTTCATAATGTCTCTGAGCAAGTTATGACACCTATGCTTCCCAAACGACCTCTTGATGCCCATTCCCGTTAACCCACCCCCCTTGCCTTCAAAAAAGACCCCTCGTCGCCCAATATTTGCCTGTACATAACTTTACCTTGACAGCCTGGTGGACATAGATGTACGTCTAGTGGAATTTGAATGACCCGAGTATGACTTAGTTAATGACAGTGGATTTTGACATTGGTAGCGAGTCTAAATACATTTACAGAGAAGCATGTAAGTTCTCATCTAAAAGTCCAAATAGGTGCTTCTGCAAGATTTGAGCAGAGCATATCTCGATATGATCTACTAGAATGTGACAGGAACAATCAACGTGGGTTGAGTTGTATCCTGCAAACGACTCCTTTGAGAATGCTAGTTCGAGTTGCAAGGCGGCATACATCTGCGGAAGTTCATACTAAGTAAGGGAGTAATTGTTCGCGTTTGAGTCTTCGCCACTCCCTATTTGACCAGTATTTTCGTTGTCGATCTTCTCCTTGCACGCCGTATGACCAGAGAACATCATTACGCGGATTATATTACGGCCATCATATCACATCCAAATGATTTATATTTTTTTCTTCTCTGAAAACAACTCATAGACCATGTACCCCCACCTAAGCAAACTCCCCCGCTAACACCAGCACATCACGCCTAACATCAAACGAGAACTACTCGCAAGTTCGACACTCAGATGCCACTTCAACGGTCGCGATGGCTTCAGCTTCCAGCACCTTAGATCATCAGTCTCTCGACCTGGTTCTTGACGGCCTGGATCTGGTTGTTGAGGTCGGAAGCAGCGTTGGTGGTGATAGAGCAAGCGATAACGGGACGGCTCACACCGCACGCACGTCCAAGAGCCTATATTTTTCCATCTGTTAGCAGATGCGCGAATGAAGATACCAATATGACGGGTCTCAGCAGGGGTATTACCATCTTGCTAGGGACGTAGACGTAGGGAACGTTCTTGTCCTCGCAAAGCAGAGGCAGGTGGAGGAGGATAGCGAGAGGAGTAGTGTCCGCAGCGAGGATGACGATCTCGGAGACACCACGGTTCAGGGTCTTCGTCGCTTCGTTTGCTCCCTTCTTGATCTGGCGGTAGTGGGAGCCCTGCTGGACGAGGTCAAGGATAGTCTGGGTCAGAGCCTCGTCGGCGACGGGCCACGCTGTGAGAATACAAGTCAGTATAAGAACCAGACCCTCCACTAAAGAAAATGATTGGAACGTACCAGCATTAGCCTGGTCAGACATGGTTGTCAAGAGTTGGATTCAAAGAAGAAGTTTAGTCGAAAGGTTCACTGCCTCTGCAAATATCTGGCAATGGCTCGCCCTTCGCTTTTGGATGTGGTTGTTCGACGGAATGTGGTAGTCGTTTAGAGATCGGGACGTTCAAAAAAAAAAACCTATCGTCGGCTCTAGATCTGTCGGTCCGTTTGTTTCTCCGAGATCCAAGTGCCGTTGACCTTTTGTCACGTGATGGGCCGGGCTTAGTGCGTGGAGCGGTTAGATTGCTTTGGGTTTAGTCTTGCGGATCGTTGCACACCTTAAATCTATGCCGCAGGGCTCAATCTCGAAGCATCCAGTATTTAACCTACATTCTAACGAACATGCTTCTGGTATCCAAAAGTAACTAAGAGGAAAGTGTAATATGTGAAGCTGTATGAGATTTCTAAGCGTGTCCCTTGCAAAAAACGGTTTGAAGGCGGCTTGCACGTTCCTTACTCTGAGTCACGTGACACTACTATCCCTTCTAGGCAGCTTCTGCAAACAAAGAACTTCCATATATTCCAGAATAACATTACCATTTTTAACGGGGAGTCCAGATGGCGCAGTGGTTACGAAAGTAATCACCGCTCCATCTAGCTGGAGGCTTCCTGTTCGAAACGGGGTCGGCGCGAAGAAACTGGAGCAGAAAAAAATGCTCTGGCTAGTACTCGACGCCATAACCCCGGAGTAAAACCCTGCCCGCCAAAAGCAAGGTGGGGTTTTCGTAGCACATCAGATTCCCTATAGGAGCGGCTGATGTGTGAGCTTTTTTGTATCTCGTTTAACCTGAGTTGATTTCCTTTTTTGGAAGTTAGATAGCGCAATGACATAAAGTTGCAGTCTTAGTAGATACAAGTTTAGTCTATTCTAGATAAAGAATAGCTATCTTTATCTCTTGTTCGCGTGATTTACATACCTTAGTTTTACTCGCAGTATGCCTTATCTTTTGTATACATCTTGCAACTCGATGCTAGGGAGTTAAAGAAGAAAACTTACGAACTAAGCGATTAAGCCGATATTAACTAAACAGAGATGTATCATTCCTCATGTAATGTATATTTCTTATGCACCTATATTTGCCTCTGTGCGAGCAATATCTATCGAGTCTGAGGTTTACTATCACTCGTTTATCTGGAAGTGGAGTTCACTACAAGGCTTTCATAAATATCGCGAAAGACTCGAGACAAATAGCTATCTTACCTGCTTAAGGGGATAGATTATTACATTATAGTGGCGAACAATATCAGAAAATATGTGCAGTTGCCTAGAGGGTTACTCATGACAATAAATTATGTACTTGTACTGTATTCGATCTGCGACTATTCCCTTACCGGTCTTACAAGATACTATACATATGCTTTTCTCATATTACATGGCCAGTCCACTTCAAATCAGGTAAATTATCAGACACACATTAGAAACATCTAATTATTCGCAATTCAAGGGAACAACCCCTGCTTCTTCTGGGAGACTCTGTAGAGCGTATAATGCGACGACAGTATCCGGGGCGGAAAAGACCTGGCTAGGAAGACAAACATACGCTGCGCGCAGCCAGTCAGTTTGTATCTAGATGTGTCATGGCGTAAAAGCGAGGCGATGTAGCTGTTCGATTGTTCAAGTACATAGGTATATTTACTCGTGGAAGAGGATTTTAAAGGTGGATTTGATCCAAATGGCAAATGAGTAAATATCCAGTTATGACATGCCACCAAAATCCTTCGAAACGTATCGCAGAGTATACTCTGGAGACAGGATGATGTCAAGGTTAACCTGGTATGGTCCGCTTGCATCTTGGGTCAATTCAGCCTGTTTCATGACCATGCCCATGATATCAGTATGATCTTCCAACAAATCCATTCGATCCTGATTCTTATTGTGAGAGGCTTGTCATTTACCGACAAACCGGTGTATATGTGGTGTGGCATAGCGACTCGCTTCAATACGTCAGCGTACATCTGCATAAGTTGCCACACGGATCTGATAAGCATCACAACTATCTTCCACATCGAAAAAATAAGAATAAGCCGCCGTTGACATTGCGTATGCCACTAGAAATTGAAGATAGAGCACGTGATTGTTGTTTAAGATATCATCATAGCTTTTCCATCCTCGATTGTGGCGTTTTTATAGCCGAACCCATCACCGTCAATTGCGAAGCACAAGACACAAAACTCATTGTTATAACGAGATATCACCTGCTCAATATATACTCCAAAGCACCTTTTCTATACAAGATGACGTCCACTGGTCACAAAAGCCCATTCTCTGAGGAAGCGCCGGTAGAAACGATCCTGCTCCCCGCCGGAAGAGCTGACACCGCGGACAACGGCCCCTCACCCACGGAGCCTACTGGCACTGCACCCTATCCATCATCTCGAGGGACGGAAGACAGCCCTTGGAAACCATCCTTCAGCCGACAGCAAAGCTGGAACGAGCAAGATATGAAGCATCGCTTCCAGGAAAGGCTGCTCGGATCTGAGAGGGGCAGGGAATCCGGCTTCACGGAAGCCCAACGCAGTGGATAGCAAGCGACGAGAGGAAATACGACTCAGCCAGAAACTATGAAATCGTCGTTGGATTTGCCCTGCTGCTGCGATCCAGGATATTGCGCAGGACTCCATTCTAGTTCCTGTCCCGCATGACGACTATTTCACGTGGTTCCGAGCTCCGTGCGACAATGGACGAGGCCTGCCTGACGAGGAAATGAAATGATTTATGATCACTATCAAGCACACGCGATTTGCTCCTTTTCCTTGCCTGATTCTCGCTTCATCGATCGGCCTCTGTGCTCTTCACAAGTAGTTGGAGATCCCCGACTGGTGCGGACAGGAGTGGAGAAACATGCGTTGCATTGGAATGTGCCTTCTTTGTATACGATTTAATGTAGTTAGTTAGTTAGTCGCTTTATGTAATTATCTGGGATATCGATTCAACTGTAATACTGTTTGAGTTTAATATTCTGCCTCGTAGATGAACCGTTCGGCACGCTGAAAAAGCTGGGGTGATATGTATCGATAAACTCCGCGGTGTACCCGCCGCCGTCCCAGACCTCAACCTCGAGGAAACCCACTCCGCCGCAACGAGCTTCTCCTTGCACCAGACAACTCTCTTTAACGCACAGGGACAGCTGTTGCAAGGAAGCAACCCGCTCACACTCTTGCCCTGTCAACAACAGCGAGCTTCCATTCCAATGTGGCCCGCAAGTCACATATGCTATTTCCTTTCATATTTACTGGAAGGACCTTACGACGACTGAACTAAATCCTGCAACGCGACTCCAAAACGCGACAGTGAGGGGCTACCATGGACCGAAAGAGAAGGCGTATGTTCTCTTGTCGCACTATCTTGACCTGCCGTTTGGGACTAACTGACTGGACTGATACAGGGGAGCTCCGCGATCTGAATGCGAAAGCTTGGAGTGGCGAGACCGGTATGACTCTCGTTCGAACTGCACCTCCCATATACCCGCCTAAAAAACTGACACCTTTACGTTGGCAGACATATTCCCGGTCAGCAAGTCGCTTGACTCTGCGTTGAAGAAAAATACGGCATTTATCAAGCGCCTCCGAACTGGAATCACCGCTTCCGCACTTCCCACTTTTCTGTCGGACATTCGCACCCTGTCGCTGCACAAATACCTGTCTGAGATCATCTCAGCCTGCTATGAGGGACTTTGCAAGCTCAAGTCCCCCGGCGAGGTGGCTGCCGGCGTGGATATCGTCAGTGCTCTCCACCAGCGATTCGGTCCCGACGAATTCACGAAACAGATCGGTTGGCTATTAGGACGAGGTTTGAGTAGCCCGGATAAGTCTCAGTTAAAGGCGCTCAGTCAAGAATTGCGCGACAGAGAGGAAAAGGAGCGTCTATCGAGACACAGAGTTTTGCTCAGGGTTGTTACGGAGCTTTGGCTGGTGGGGGTCTTGAAGACTTTGGATGATATTGAAAAGCCGGAGGACGTGGGTGTCAAAAGTCTGGATGGAGCAGTCGCTGCTGCGAAAGCGGGCGAGGGCTCCGTGAAGGCCAAAGCACCACCATCGGTACCGAAGGGAGATCAGGACAAGGAAGCTGAGCCGTTCCCTCTGGAAGTTCTAAAGGATCTTCTCGGGCATGACCGGGAGCACGCAAACCTGCCACTGGCAGTGCTCTTTGTAAAAAGCTTCAGCTGGGATATCCTTGGAGTCAAACCACCTGAGGAGGGAAGGAAGACAGTTGAGACGGATGGTGCCACGGCAACTACGGCACCCGATACTGAAGCTGGAAACGAATCTGCTGCTGATTCAGGTGCTGATGATCCTCCGCTTACTCCAGAGAAGTTACAGTTGCGGTTCAAGAATATCTTGAACCGCTACCTAGAGGATGTCAAAGCTCACGTTATACGCGACCAGAAGTCCCTGGCAGCTCAAAGCCGCCGTAATGCAGAAGCATACGTGAAAAGTGGTGAGATCTTTGAAGACCGCCAAGCAAACTTCGAAAAGCAAAGCAAGGCCCATGAGAAGCTCGTTGCGAATACGCAGGTCCTTTGCGAGGTTCTTGGAGCTGAGATGCCTGATCTGGTCGAGAAAGAGGCAACTGATTCGGGGGGCAGCGGAAATATTGGTCTCGTTAAGACAGCTGAATACCTGCGTGGCCTGGGAGATGGAGCGGGTATTTGGGAAGATGAAGAGGAAAGGCGCTTCTACGAGAACCTGGTCGATCTCAAGGGCAAAGTTCCCGCTATTCTGCTGGAAGATGGCAAGAAAAAGAAAGGCGAAGCAGACGACCAGACAAAGAAGAAAGCGGAGGCCGAACCAGCTACAGATGCCTCGACAGAAAAGCCTGAGCCATCCAGCCAAGCTCAGCCTACCGAACCGAAGCCTGCAGTGGTGGACGATCAATCTACAGCCATTGCCAACAAGACCGTGGGTGCCCAAGTCGATGCGCTACTGGCAAAGCTCCCTGAACTCCAAACAAAAGATCAGGTCGACCAGTTGGCGCTAGACTTCTGTTTCCTCAACTCCAAAGCATCCAGAAACAGATTGATCAAAGCAGTTCAGGACGTTCCTAAAGGTCGCACTGATCTCTTACCTCTCTATTCGCGACTGGTGGCCACGTTGGGACAGCATATGCCAGATGTGACTCAAGGCTTGATTTCTTATCTCGATGAGGAATTTCGCAGTCTCCAGCGCCGGAAACAGAAAGAGTTTTTGGGCCAAGTTAGAACGATCAATATTAGATATCTGGCGGAGTTGACAAAGTTCGGTGTCGTACCTGAACATGTTATTTTCCACTGTTTCAAAGTCAGCCTCGACGACTTCTCGCGGATGAATATCGAAATTATCGGCAACCTCCTGGAGAACTGTGGTCGATATCTACTTAGGAACCCAGAGACTTCGCCTCGAATGGCCTCGTTCTTAGAAACCCTTAGTCGGAAGAAGACGGCAACGCACTTGGGACAACAGGAACGGATGATAATCGAGAATGCTGTGTATTACGTCGACCCTCCACAGCGCCCAGCTATCCAACAGAAGGAACGCACGCCGATGGAGTTATATATCCGCAAGCTGATCTATCTGGACATGAACAAGCGCAACTACACGAAGATACTGAAGTCCATCCGGAAGCTCCATTGGGAAGAACAAGAGGTAATGAATGACATTGGGTCATGAGTCAATAGGCGTTTCACTAACTTCCGAAAAGGTCGTCAACATCCTCGAGCGAGTATTCAGCAAGCCGGGGAAGGTGAAGTATGGTAACATCCATCTACTTGCGATCCTTGCAAGCGCATTATACCGGTACCACCAGGACTTCGTTATCGGTATCGTGGATAATATCCTGGAGCGTATCACGTTGGGTCTGGAACAGAACGACTTCAAGTTTAATCAGAAGCGCATCGCTGAGGTCAAATATCTTGGAGAGCTGTACAACTATAAGATGATTGATTCTCCAGTCGTGTTCGACACTCTCTATCGGATAGTAACATTCGGCCACGGTGGGTTAACATTCAGGATATGCTCAATGTCCCATAGCTTACACATGGTACAGAAGGCGGTACTCCTACTCCTGGCAAGATTAATCCCCTAGATATGCCCGATGATTTCTTCCGAATCCGCTTGGTGTGCACGTTGCTGGATACATGCGGTGTCTGCTTCGATCGTGGATCTGCAAAGAAGAAACTAGACTTCTTCCTGACTTTCTTCCAGGTAGGTCCTCTTGTGATGATGACGATGGTAGTATCTTGCTAATGACAGCAAAGTATTACATCTACACCAAGGATCCGTTGCCGATGGATGTCGACTTCCTCTTGCAAGATACATATTCCTTGACGCGACCCCAGTGGAAGATCGCCTCTAATCTGGAAGAAGCTACTCGTCTATTCGGAGAAGCAGTCGCCCAGAACTACAAGCTGCAAGATGCTGACAAGAATGCTGAACCTGAGGAGGATGATCTGGAAAGCATAGGGTCTGACGATGGTCTCGAAGACGACATCGTTCCGGAAGCAGAAGAGGACCAATCCTCGAGTGAGGAGGCTGAGGTGAGCAGTTTGCTGGCTGGGGCTTGTTTGCAGGTACTGATAGGACACCAGGCCTCTGGCGCAAATGCGGAGCAGAATGAAGACAGCGAGTCTGAAGACGAAGAACAGATCTTTGTCAAACGTCAAGAAGAGGAACGCGATCCCGAAGCGGAAGCAGATTTCGATAAGGAGTTTGAAAAGATCATGGCAGAGAGTCTTGAGTCGAGAAGGTTTGAACGCAAGGCGATGTTCGATGTGCCCCTACCCATGAAACGACCTGGGCGGGAGTCTTCCACTACAGATAACCCTGAAGGCTCCCAGGCACCGCCCAGCACGATGGCTTTCTCCCTAATGACCAAACGGGGAAATCGGCAACAGGTTCGGTCGAATATTGTGATAGGGAAGCTGGCTCCTTGGCTAATTCAGTACAGACTCGAACGATTGATCTACCCTCGGATTCTAGCTTTGCAGTTGCGATGAAGAGCCAACAACAGGCGGACCGTGAAGAACAGCAACGGATCAAGAACCTGGTTTTGAACTATGACTTGTCGATGGACAATGACAACGATGGTGAAGACGACCTTTCATTGGACCCACTTCTTCAGAGGAACCCAAATACTAAAGGCATTAAAGGACTTGAGAAGCGCAGTTCTCACCGCGACACCCGGATCGATAAATCGAGCTCGAGCCGCGCCGCGTTCCGGTCGAGAAAGCTACAGCTCAGCGACGTTGACTGGTATGACCACAAAAAACCCGGATCTCGATCTTCTGTACCCAAGGGCTCAAAAACATATGGCTAATCAACGATGGGCGCTTGTCGTGCCCGCTATGCGATAATATAGGACCTGAGGTTACCCCCTGGACGAAATAGACGTATTCTTACTGTCTCGATACGAGTATCGATTTACCTTTTTCGAGAAGGCAAAACCCTCAGTCATTCCTGACGAGACTTGCTCTGTGGTACACGACAGCCCGTCAACAGATGCAGGGGCCAGATCTCCACTGCTTCTATCACCGTGGATAAACGCCCTTCGGTCACGGCTCTGCTTACCCTCTGCAGGATGCATGCAACTTCGCGGAAGACTATCGGGGAAAACCGCCCGTACAGCCAAGGACGAACAGGAGATCCATAAGGTCCGAAAAGCAAGCGCGGTGGCAATGATCAAGCTCAATAATCATCACACTGCGTCAACTGTCCATGTACGGGAGACATCGAATCGCAATATGAACAGTTGATTACATGCCCTAGCTAGCTAGTGGAGTCTGATTACGCCAGTAGGCACTGGCTTTCTCTTTCCTTTTTTTTTTCTAAAATTGTCATTTCGTGAATTTTTATCTTTGTGGGAAAACACGCAGTAATCTGACAGAATAAATAATTTAAAAAAAAAAAAAGTCGTATTATTATTAGTATCTCAAATGCAGACAAATTCAATAAATAATTAGTCAATGAATACTTGCTTCTTTAGTAATCTGCTTCTTTGCAATTAGTTAGAATAGAGGTGCATTTATAAGCTACCAGCCGAGGTATGCCGGTTGGATAGTTATGGATTTCTAAGCTTAAGTAGTAGTTAACTACCGCCTTCCTTTACGTATCCAATATCCAAGGTACTGTACAAGCTACTAGTTAGTTCCTAAGAAGACAGAAGAAGAATCACTCATAATAACAAAGGGAAGATGTCTTTGAATAAGTTACTGTAACTAGTGTAGCAGTCATGTGTAGATAATATACACTTTGGGGGGTTCCGGGGGGTTCTTGTCTATATGGTCTTGTACTAAAAAAAAGCATTAATACAAGTTTTTGTCAAACTTTTCCCAACCATTTCCCCTCCTCTTCCTACTTTTTTCTTTTCTTTCTCTGAAGGTTGAAATGTATCTATATCCATTCCAGTAATAAAAAAGAAATGGAGGGGAGTATGACAAGGCTTTCTTTCTCGCTTCTTTCGTTCGCTAGCTAGCAGCTTCGGGGTTCGTCACGTCACGCGGTATAGGGAGGATTTGGGAATCTCCGTCTACTGTGTGGTTTCGTTCTTCTCCCGGGTGTCGTGGTACTGCTTGGGCACTAGCTCGTCGCCTTCTGGGTTCTCGGCGCCTTCAGCGGTGGCGGCCTTGGCCTGGGCGTGGACCTCCTTGGCGCGAGCGCGCTTCTCGTCGGGGTGAGAAGCAGCGTCGATTTCGGCGGCGGAGGGCTGAGCGGACTTGTCCTCTGCGGCGATCTGGTCTCTCAGCTGGGTGTCAACCTCGTCCTCGTCGAGCTCGGTGCCGTAGACGTCGGGGTGCTGGCGGAAGCAGTCCTGCATGCCCCTGTTGATTGATGTATGAGTTAAGCATGCTTTGTCTGAACAGGAAGGAGAAGGCGGAGATTGCAACATACTTGAACTTCTCAATGCAGTCTATGCCCTTCGGCTCTTCCGTAGAGTAGACGAAGCAGCTGAAAGCGGCCTTGAACTCCTCTCCACAAGGACCATGGGCCATTCCACCCAGGCAGGGGCAGTCCCAGTTGATCTCGCCGGTCTCTGGGTTGAATGCGCCCTCCTGTCCAGCCTGCTCCTCAAGCTCCTCCGGTGACGACAAGCCCTCCGAAGACTGTGCGGCGCCCTCTGGGGTGGTCGCAGTCTGCACATCGGTCTTCACGGCATCCTGCTGCTGCTGCTCTTGACGTCTCTTGGGCTTGATGGCATCGAGTGTGGGGAGGTTGTCGGTATCTTCTTCTACCTCAGGCTGGGGCCGGAGAGAGACTGCAGGTTGGTTCAATTGCAGGTTAGCAAAGTGATTCATGAATATCTACTCAAAATGACCCGACTGATTCCGCAGAGAATCCTCCCTTGGGGAGGAAAAGCGAGGTTCTCCGCGGAAGATGAAAAATCACACTCGTCGGGTACATCGGTCACATACATGACGGCTGCTTCGCAAACACGCTGCTCGTGTTGTAGTAGTATACGACACCCACGGCCAGACCTGCTCGCAGAACCAGGCTCTTCCAGCTCCTCGACTTCTGGGTGGGCGGTGCGGTGCTGATCAATCGTCGGCTGGACTGGATGCGACCCGGTGCGCCGACAGCAGCGGCTGGCGCGCGGAGCAGGACTCTCGACGCGGGCCGGAACATGATGTGAGAAAATGGACGGACGGGGCTAGAAATACAAAAGACGATGCATGAAACTGGAGAGAGGAATCTGCGGGTGGAGGAGAGGGTGTTGCGCGCCGGAGAGCGGGCTTTTCTCTGGAGTTGGATTTGCGGAGGAGCTGCAGTTCCCAAAGGTTCGAGATACGGATGGAATGAGGCGCCTGAGGCAGCCAGGCTGACGTCGGCTTGGTCAGCGGGATCTGGATTGCCTTTGGCAGTTTACCTAGGTAGTTAATTATATCTCGATCTTGATCGTCTCGAGTATGTTCTTGCAGTTAATTTAATTGACTGTGTCTTTCTCCTGTGTCAAGAACACTCGGGCCGCTCATGGAGTGGGATCCCACCCAGTTCTTCCGTGACGGAATTCGTCCCTCTGTTCCTTTTGCTCTGCTCGTTCTCAACCAGCCTATCAACCAGAGGGCTTTCGCTGCACTGAACAAGCATGGTGAGGATTCCCATCTAAGCTGACTTTTAGCACCGCATTTATATTCTTTTTGTTTTCTTGGAATTTCCTAATTACATATACATATATCGATGTTCTAGCTAACATCATCAATAGCATGCTTCACAATCTGCGCTGACGGCGGCGCTAATGTGTACTATGATCTCATGAAAAGCCAAGATAGGGAAACGAGTGATGTGAGGTTTCTTCCGATTGTCTTTCTTTCTATGCTGTCTTCATCCGTTTCAATCATTTAAACCCTTCTATGCAGTATACTATAGATTATGCAATCCCCAATTTCCCTCAATCATTCAATTATCTCTAAACAGACACACCGCGAAGTGCTTTTACATTGCATTTATTCATTTCCCATGTTTCCCAAGAAGAAAAACACCACATCCCAATATCTCAAAAAAAAAAAAAAAAAAAAAAAAAAAGCAATTTCTAACCACAAACCCAGCTCCCCAACGCCATCGTCGGCGACCTCGACTCCATCCTCCCCTCTGTGCGAAAACACTACGAATCCCTAAATGTGACAATCGTCCACGACCCAGACCAATATTCCACGGACCTTATGAAATGTTTAAAATACCTACGCGCGAACGCCTCGAGGATTCTACACTCCAGCGCAGAAAATACCTCGTCCTCCAAGGGATCTACTTCGGAAATTGAATCTCAATCTCAAGCTCAAGCTCAATCTCATCCACGACTCGACGTCCTCATCCTAGGCGGTCTAGGCGGCCGCGTCGACCAGGCTTTCTCCCAGGTCCATCATCTATACGCCATGGCTCAACATGAGGATAGTCCGGGCGAACTGTACCTTGTTTCAGAAGAGAGTATTTCGTTTATTCTTCGGACGGGACGGAATGTGATCCAGACGCCGGGGGCGAGGAGGGCGAAAGGTTCTTCCAAAGATACTGATCCCGATGGTATCTACTATCTAGAAGAAAACATTGGCATTCTCCCTATTTCTGGCCCCGCGGTGATTTCAACTACCGGATTCGAATGGGACGTTAGTGACTGGCGGACTGAAATGGGCGGGCAGATCAGTACGAGTAATCATATCCGAGCGGATGTGGTGAGTGTCGAGACCAATGAGCGGGTTTTGTTCACGGCGGAGTTAGCGGGGAGGTTTAAGGCGAGGTGAGGTAGACTCGACTGGATGAACGGGTTGGGTTGTTGATATATACATAGTATAGAAGTCCTGGATAGGATTGGCTGGGTAGGTCGGCTATATAGCTGTCGTTATAGGTGGTTAGTACAGTACATTACTTGTATATCCTGGTTTTATATATATGGAAGTTCCCGAACCTTCAATGATTCTCTTGACCTTATCTGAGAGTACCTAAAGAGAATGAAACTACATACCAACAATACTTATCCATCATACAAATATATAACTACAGCACGATTCAAAATTATATAAAATCCCAAACCAGCCAAATACAAAAACCAACAGTTTCACTCCCGAAGCAAAATTCCCAGCTTATTCCATCGAATATAAAATAGAACAGAAGCAAGATCTACACTATACAACTTAAATTACTTGCCTGTTTTACTTCTTTATCTGGAGAAGGGAGGGGGGGGTGATTTAATCTTATATTTATTTACCTCTAGCACATAAAGAATCTAGATCCCAATAATCTAGTAAGTTCCATCCTATATTTAGGACTTTCTGCAACGGGATAATTAATACATCACTTGGCGGTTTGCTTTATACGCAGGATACAACACGCACTTCCCACTCTTACTCCTATATCAATAAAGAACATACTAAAATAGCTAAAGCAAGGATATATATAACCCAAAACACATCATTTCATTCCTTTATTCCTTGCCCTCTTTATTTATTCCTTACATACATCATACTCTTTAACCCTCCCGTCCCCTTCCCGTCCCCTTCCCGTCCCCTTCCCTTCCCCTCCCTCCTTTCCCGCTCCTTTAACCAAGTTAAAAGACAACGAGAAGTTCTCAATTCAGCAGACTGAAATAAAATAAAAAGCTAAAACAGCAGACAGAGCAAGAGACAAAAAAAAAACAAGCAAAATACTCCCCCTTACCAAGTAACCCACAATTTCCCCGGCAATGTAATCGAGCAAGAAACGAAGGGATATCTGAATAGTCAAGTATAAGAGAGGAGGAAAAAAAAAAAGCATAAACACCTAACTAAAGGAACTAGCTTCTCAGAATGCGTGACGGATAGACTAGACTAGACCAGCCAAGCAAGAAAAGAAACAAGAAAAAAAGCACACCCACGTTACATAAACCCAGTAATAACCACATGACGACGTCGAGATAGAGAGACGGTTCCCTTGCAACAATCAAAGGATCAATCTCTCTTTTCGAGAGGGGGTATATCCATATAATTACATATATGGCTATCTCCCCTCCCCGGTTTCCAACTCCACATATATAAAACGTAAAAGTACAATGAATGCACTTGGTGAAAACTCGAATCGAACCCCTGCGAGGACCAGTTTTTCACTTCTTCAGAATAGCCTCGTACAGGCTGCCGATACCGCCAATGGCCGTGCCGGTGAGGACGCCAGCCCACTGTCCGGGAATCGATACATTCACTTTCTCAATGGAGAAGTTGCTGTAGATGTCCCAGAAAGTGAAGTGGTTCGCGTACACCAGGTACGAGATCAGAGCTTTGGCAATGTTGTAGACAAGAGGGTCGAAGCTGGCCTTGTCCTGGCTCGAAGAGGCTGTGCGCCGCGTGCCATACGAGTGGCTGGCGGCAGGTTGGCTGGCCTTGAGGCTCAAGTTGAAGAAGTACGCAAAGGTCAGAGGGAGGAACAGGCTCGTGGTCAGCCACAGGGAGAAAGGCGCCCAGAAGGAGCCAGTGAGCAAGACGAACAGATCGGGAACCTTGACGGCAAACTCTGGGGTGCGGATCGCATCGACAGCAGCGACGGTGGTCAGGAACTTCAGGGGCACGAGCTCCTTCACGAGGCTGAATCCTTCGAGGGCGATGATGATAGCCTCAATGGACTTGACGCTGCTCAGCGCCGAGCGGAGAGAATCCGTGTGCTCGGTCAGGCGAGAGGCAGCCCACGCATCCGACACCTTCTTGCGCGCAAGAGCCGTCTGGCGATCAATTGCCTCCGTCACGACCGCCGGCGACGGGGGCAGCGAAGCAGTGAACGACAGCGGCGACCGGGCCGGAGTGCGAGTGGTAACCGGAACAGGACTCTTGATCACGCTGCCCGAGTCGGATTCATCACTAAACAGCGGTCAATAAACTAATAATCAACTAAAGCAATCCTTGTTGCATCGCGTCACGTCTGAAATCCAGAGACGCGCGCGCGCGCACACACACACAGAGGATTCAAGAAAACAAAAAAACGTACGTAACGTCCGACTCTTCCTTCGCCTTGGTCGTTCTCCGGCGCGCAGACTTCTTGATGTCGTCACCAGAGGCGATCGCATCAGTCTTGGGCTCTTTCTTGACAGGCGACGAGAGACGCGACGGCTGAGACAGTCGTCGGTAGTAATCCGCGAAGCGCTTGTCGCCGGAGAAGATGTCTTTATTCGAACTGAGATGCTCATCGAGCGCGGTCTCAAGTTCTGCTTTCAAAATGCCCGCCTCACTGAATCCGAACGAAAAAAGAAAAAGCATTAGTGATCCAGAGGCCGACATTCACTGCGCGCGACAACGTACCGCTTCAGATCAGAGACATCGGCAAGATTCAACAAGTCACCTTTGCGGAGACTCTTGAGGTAGGGAAGTCCGGCAGACATGATGGGCGATTAATATATGGGCCGAGATCGCGTGGACCATGCGACAGCAACGATATATAGAGCGACAGAACGCGATGTATAGAAGTGCGCCGCGGGGCGAGAGATGTTCAGGACGATTCGTGATGGAGTTGGGATAGTTTAACTGGGGGGTTTGGAGGAGAAGCTCGTGGGGCGGCAGATCAGGTGTTGTTTACATCCGTTGGACTAGCGTGTTTTTCGCCGCGCCAACGTCAACATGCCGATCATATTTATATCTAGAGTATACATTATTGGAAGAAGCGATGATCGATCTATTCGAGCCTATCGTACAGCGTGTCCAGCTCTATCAACACATACAGCACAAAATCTATCAACGGACACCAGTCCAACATGCGTGCAGATACAGAAAAATGCCAAATGACGACCGTGAAACGCCCAACATGCCGCCCGCTCATCCCATGCTTCTATCCAAGTCTGCCTCTGGGTACAGAGCATTCGTCCGGCCGCATTCGAGCTGGAAGGGAAAAAAAGAACGATTCTAGTAAATCATAATGGTCGCAGATCATCCACTGTCTGCCACGAATCCATCTGTTTCAGGAGGAACTGATACAGCACCAGCATCGTTCCACTCTGGACGCTGGTCCATAAACCTCGTGGACCCACGCCACGGAACCATCCGACGATTCCTTCTGTCCTGTAGATGATCTTCAGACCCGTGAAGAAGGACGAAGTGTCGAGGACGGTAGCACCAGGCCGGGACATTGACGGCGTCGAAGTACAGATGGGACGTGCGTGCGTCCGCGTACTCGTAGCTGATGGTTGAGTGGACTGATGCCGCGACCCATCGCTCTTCACGGATTTCTCAGTGGACCGAGCTTCCGATCCCGAGCTGCTGGGATTCAATTGCGTCTGGATTCTGGTCTTGACGACGTCCATCGGGCAAGTCATGACTCCCGCCATACCACCAGCCGTCGTGGCAGTCAAAATCTCCAGCCCGAGGCTAAGATCCTTAGTGCCCGCCCATTCCTGGGCCAGTTCTCGTTCCTGCTCATAAAAGGCGAACTGCAGCGCAGAAAACGGCAGGTCTCTGAAAATGGTCGCCTTGTATCCGTAGAACAGTGCTGAGAAACCTTCCTGGCGAACAATTGTCCGCAATGCGTCTCTAGTCGATCTATAATTATAGCCGGAAGTGAAATAAGGGTTATTATATCGTCCCTGGAGCTGCAACCGGGTCTTTAGCACCTCCGAAGGGACATATACGATCGAGGCAGCCAGATCCGCAAGGAAACCTGTAGAGTGATTAGAATCAACCCCTCAACGCAATTATACACACACACGCAAAGACAATCCCACTCACCTCCAGTCAGATATGTCACACTAGGATTGATCCCTGCATCGAGCATATGCCTCTTGCTGAACTCATACACTCCAAAGAAGATGAGAGTACCCGGAAACGAGCCAAAGAATGCCGGAGTAACACCACTGTACAGCCCACGAATCCCCTCTTCCCTCAAGATGGTCATATACGACGAGGACATGGAGGTGTATTTGGGCGGGAAATGCGGATCGGCCTGCTGCCGGGTCTTCACCGTGTCTAGAGTGTGCATCAGCATGTCCCCGGTCGTTCCGCCAATGCCACCGGCAAGCATAGACTGTAATTGAGAAATCATTCCGCCGGTCAGCCCACAAAACTCTGTCAGGTCGTCTACGCTCTTCACCCACCGTCCCCCAAGATTAATTGGGATGCCGGCCGGGGCTTGGATAGCAAAGACGGGACGAACATTGCATGTCCGACGAGAGGCGCCAAAACGCCGCGCGCGAAAGAGAGGAATTTCATAGACATACATGTAGATACGGCGACCGGTACTCTTCATCTCCTATCTGCGGCTCCCTTGGTCGAACGGCGCCATCCTCCCGTACGCCATTTGGTACGCTGCCTGCGCCGGCCGTCACCGCCGCCGAATCATTCCGCCCGCCGGTATGTGAAGGAGAGGAGATCGATGAGCCCGCCGAGGTGAAGAAGTTATACACCCGCGAAGACAGGCTCATAGCAAAAGCGCCGCGGCCCGTATCACGGCGCGGACCAGGCCACGAGCGGAGGTGCGGATATGAGGTGCGGCGAGATTATGAGGCAGCGTTGCCACCCACGGACACGCTGCGACGAAGAGGGAACGAAGGGAGAGAAATCTTCTAAGGAGAGGAAGGAGATGCAATGAAACGCATTATACACTGCTGGAGCCCAGCTGAGAGATCGCCAATGGGTCTATCGCTGCTCGACGAGCGTTCGTGATCGAGTTTCACGTCCAAAATTTTGGCTCGGGCTCGGCCTCGGGGCTGCCGTTTCTCCGCCACCCGCTCCGGTTGAGGGTTCATGGTAGTTGTCAATTGGACGGTTTAATTAACAAACTACGATGTTAGATAGACTATATGATCCATGAGAGAAAAAGGATAGCTCTCGGCGACTTCATTAATGGAAACTTGAACGCCAATTGAAAGTCTGGCGGCTCGTCTCAGTACTTCTAACTTACGTTATCGCAACCAAAAAGGTACAGAGTAGAATGCACGCCGATAGAGACGAAACTCGGATATAAGGAAACAACGGAATAGAAGCGGCGCCGTAGGAGAAAGACCAATTCCAATACGAAAACTAGGGAAAAAAGAACTATAGGGAGGAATTGCGTGCTGACGTGGCTCATAACCATGACCATCGTTGACGGAGCTCACGCTGAAATCAAAAGAGGCCATCCGCTGGCAAAGTATTACAAGAAGAATCTCAGAAACTCCGAAGACCAATTCCACAGCAGACAGGCGATTGGCCCGATATACCTGTGTGTGGCGTCTCTTTGATCTCCCCTTAACACTTCCCACTTTTGCATGGGATGTTCGCGCAAGCGATTCGTCCGTTTTCGTAACTGTGGGTTGGAAAGTGAAGCTGGCTGTGGCCCCCGTTCAGGACTCCAGTTGATTGACTGCAGCCACCAGTTCACTTCCAACCGCTCGATGCTGCTCTACTGAGGCTTCTTGACAGGAGTGCCCCCGTACACCCCAGTGTAGCGCTTCACATCCGTGGCGTCATAGGCCTGACGGACAATACCCTTGAAGGTCTCCCATCCCTGGCGAACAGGCGGGGGCGTGCTCTGGTGGGAGAGAGCAGTGTCGATGCGCGCGGTGAGGTGCGACACGGCGTTCTGAACAAAGCTGCTCTGGGCGTGTCGAGCACGGAAGAAGGTGATGTAGATGAGCAGGAGGACCCAGCTGCCCTTGGAGAAAGTGAGAGCGGACAGGACGAGACGGAGGAGGAGAGCGATCTCGAGGGCGGCCACCAGACCCATGCTGGCATCGTAGTACTTCTTCACGAATTTGCCAATGTTGTCGGCCAGCGGGGACGGCTTGCCAGCCGGCGGCTTGGGGGAAGAGGGAGAGACGGGGGTAGCACCGTTGGCAGCCTGGGTCTGGGGCTGCAGGGTCGGGATGAGATAGGTCCTGGTGTAGGTCGCAACGTGGAAAACCGAATACACGCTGAATGGCAGGAGCGCCAGAGGGACCTGGCGGGAGTAGAGCCAGACAAGGGCCATTGCTGATATCGCGTGAGCAGGGATTCTTGTGGCCGGCCGAGACAGTTGCACCTACCGAGATACTGGACATTCTCATCACCCGCGAGCTTCAACGCAATGCTGGGGGCACTGCCTTGCAGACGTCCACGCGCGATATACTGCTTGTACACGACGATTCCGTAGGTCAGAGCAGCGGCAAGGAAGGCCGTACGGTAGGAGAACCTGGCCCAGCGGGAGTAGTAGTTGAAGGTGATGTAGGAGAGGAAGTAGCGCAGCACGGAGAGGAGCAGGGTCATGTGGCTATCGAGTTTGTCAGTTTGTCTGTTACGGATCTCTCATCTGCCATTGAAGCCCAGAAGAGCCGAATGATGCGATTCTTGCGCGTGCCCGCACGATCTGACCCCTCAGGCGGCCCGAAGGAGCTATGACGGTGAAGAACGACGCTGGAGAGCACGTACCCTACGAACCACGCGAACCTGCGCAGAAATAGTCCGTCAGCACCAGCGAAAATCTTCTACAATGGCCGCGAAGGGAGCAACATACTGCAGCGTCTGAGCCAGCGCCTTGAGCCTCTCAGGCAGAGGCAGCGTCGCGGGAGGAGGAGGAGCCATGGCCGCCAGTGAGATGAGGTGAGGTGAGGTAGACTGGTTTAGGCAGCGGGAAGGTGATGGGAAAGATAACCAGGCAGAAGCGACTACACGACGGAGGACAGGAGGAGGGAACAATGTCACAGCTAACGACAATCGGAGCAGAATCCAGACAGACAAGAAAGAAGAGAAGTCGAGGGAGGCTGGAGTTTTGGTGGTGCTCGTGTGCGGCAGGAAAAGGGAAGGGAAGGTGGTTCTCGATAGTCTTTACGAGTAGGCGGTCGGGAGCTTCAACCATGCACGCTGATTGGCCCGATCGGCCATTTGCTCTCCGCCCTCAGCCGCAGTGACGTCTCCGGCGATGATGCAACCAGTTGGATTATCATTATTATTATCATTTTAACAAGTATTATTATTATTATTACCAGTATATGATTATTATATATTATAATGATTATATTATATTATAACACCCATACACTGCATCATCCCATCATTCCATTACCAACAAACCCTTGACTGAGTATCTTACCTGCTTCACGTACATCCTTCCTTGCTGGAAAACTCGCCTCCCGGATCTGGGTCAACTAACTACCTATCCACTTCCCTCTTTCTTCCCCTCTGCCGTTCCGTGGCTTAACTACTGATGTATCCCAGGATCAGCCTTGCTTGCTGTCACAACTCACAGCAGTCGAAAATACAAACGACAAAATACTATGGTAGAGCACAAACCACCCTACTTGTAGTCTTGTACATATCGTATAGCTGTGATGATTACCCCGGATTATCTATCATCTCATCTCATCTCACCACTCAGGAACAGAACGTGGAGAACCCACGCTAGGTAGATCTGAACTAGTTTATGGTAGTTACTTACCCAGTTGACTAAGTAGTTACTCGATCGATGCAACCAGAAAGTTCCTGGCCTGTGATGCAACCCCGCCTTTCGATATACCAGTAGATCCTACATGATGATCATCGTCACCATTGAACATTTATTTAAGAAGTAGCGTAATGCATGTAAGTAACTAGTGGATGTACTGTAGTTCCTGACTCTATCATACAAAAATTCCAATCCTTTCCTTCCCTTTTCTTCCTTTTTCTCGAATGATTCAAATCCAGCAAGTACTGTAATAATAATCGAGAGATTTCCTACCAATTTGTTCGATTCTCCGTATCTACAGAGAAGCCCACTTAGTTATCCAGCAGAACACTTCCTCGCCTTCTCCACCGAAATATCCAACGCATAAGGCTTCCTTTTTCGATACCCACTCCGATCCTCATCAGGACCCATCATCAACAAATCATACAATTCCAGATTCGCCTTCCTCTCGCAGTTCCCGCACGGTCTATGACGGAGCACAAAGTAGCGCACTTTTCCCTGGCTGCGAAGGAGGTTGAAATCGAGCTTCCACCCGGCTTTGATCCGGTGCCATTGTTCGAGATCCGCTTCGGTAGCTGGGTTGTAGACCTGGCGGGAGTAGGGCTTGTATGTGTACCAGCAGGGTGGCATGTGGAGGTGTGTTGTGGTTTCTTCCTTTTCTTCGTCGTTGGTATTGGTGGTGTTATTAACGTCTTTGACGTTGACGTTGATATCTCCATCCCCATCTTCAGCAAGAACCTTCTCATCAAACCGAAAAGCACAATGTATCCTGGCCCTAAAAAACCAATCTTTCGTATGTCCACACTTCAACTTCAACCTCTTCATAATCTCCCCAAGGCCATTGCGTCGCAGGCTCAGTTTCTGTTTACAATCGATGCATACCCCCGGTATATCAACCTGTCCATATGTCCATCTCTCCTCGTCGCAGCACCGACTGGGGATCCGGCCCGGTTCGGCATCGAAGAGGTCCGGGTTGGGAAACGGGATGCCGTTCGGGGCGAAGCACCATTCGGGTTTGTATTTGAACCCGACGTTGAGGATGCAGCCACATTGCGTGTAATGTTCGTAGAGGACGAGGTGGCACATTTTGGATTAGATTCTGGAAATCAGTAAGGAAGGATTCTTAGAAGGAAAACAGATATATATACATACTACCAGAAAGGCAGTTCGAATGATATTCGTACCTTCTTCTTCTTCTGCAGAGGAGTTTGTTCTTTTGTATCCAAGCTGAGCTAGATTCACATCGAGATACAGATGGTATCCTCCCTCTCCTCCAAGTCTTATTCAAGAGTTAAGACACGAGAAAAATGAGATCAAGTTAAACCAAGCACGACGAGCGATAGAGACCTTCAATTCAAAGTCTGCGTCGATTGATCAAACCCGGCCCAAGACCAAGATCACACAGTACGTAGGAAAAGTGAGTGTTAGGACTGAGTATCAGAGCAGAGAAGAGAGGAGAGGAGAAGAGAAGAGAAGAAAAGAAAGTAAACAACCATAGACCCAAATCACTCACTTCACTTGACCCTCACGCGCCCACGCGCGTCGCCCAACAAGACGAAAAGAAATGGGAGGGCCCCCCTCTCATCGTAATCATATCAACCATCTCCTCGACTTCATTCTTGGATAATTGTCTACAGAAATACCCCTTGGCACTTGACCTGTATCTTGGTAGGATAAATCATTTCATTTGACACGAGCAACGAGAATGGGAGGAGTCCGTAGATCTTCCTAGATTCCGCAGTTCCTTCGATCGGTACTTGATATCAATAGCTGAGACGGATTTTTCTAACTGCATAGTAAACTAACAAGCCACGTTGAAGACACGGTCTGATAGTTGCAATGTCGGCTATCAGGGCTCTGGTCTCTGGTCAAGACAGTACTGACATGTCGGTCTGTTACTCCACTACTGGAAAACAAATCAATAAAACAAACCTACTAACACACATAACTGCATGTCGAACTCAACCTCATCATTATTTCAATCACAAACCTAGATACATATCTACCTCCAAGGACTGCTGGCAGGCAGACACTGGCCAAGGCGAGTGCGACGCAGGATGGAGCTCAAACCACAAAAAGCGACAGAAACAAGGAAAATCGCGAAAGATGGTCGGAGGGGGATGTGTTCAATAAAAGGATGTAGGGGGTGAAAAAAAAAAAAGAAGACACAACTGGAAAGGGAGAACGAGGCGAGACAGAGGTATAACATAGGCAAAAAGTACATGACAAGAAGCAAAAAGGCGGGCTTGGGCAACTCAAAGCTGGATCAATTTGCCGTTCTGCACCCGTGTATCATCTCCTTGCAATCGAAAAGATTCCATCCGCCGCAAAGCATACAGAGCGTCTCTGATGACCCCTGGCGCAAACCTCCTAAGTTTCGGCCCCAAATCGGTATTAGTTTGGATAGGATTAAAATCCCTGTCCGCCCCCTTTTTTTTGTTCTTCTTCTTGGGCTCGGTTTGGCGCCCCGGTAAAATAAAAAGTCGTTACCAGAAAGAGATATTGGTAAAATGAGAGGTCAAAGAGTGTGAGGTAACAGAGAATCGGACACGTAAAGGGAAAATGGAAAGTGTTCAAAAGGAGCGCTCGATCAGTGGGCAGACGCCAAGAATGGAGACACAAGAATCAACTGACAATCGATGCCGCAAGTGATCCCCTGCCAGTCCGCGGCTGGCTTGGACCGTCTCCGATTCAAGTCATGCGGATTTAACGAAGAGAGAAACCCTTTCTCTTGCCCTTTTCCTCGAGAGGTCTTCCACTCTCGATACGGGCCTTCTTCTCTTCTAGTTCCTGGCGTTGTCGTTCGAGCTGGTCCTTCATCTCGCGATGCCGCGCGTATAGTTCGTCCTCGCTCTGTTTCAGTTTGCTTTCCTTCTCCTGGACCTTCTGTTGGAAGACCATCTTCATTTCGGCCTCCATCTTGGCCAGCTTCTGCTCGTGCAGCGTGCGCTCCTCCTCCTGCTTGACGGCCGGGTTGACCTCCTTGAAGACGCTCGGGTCCTGGGCGACACCCATCTGGGTGAGCTTGTCGGAACGGTAGTTCTCGTACAGGACGTTGTTGGTGTGCTCCTTGAGCTCTTCCATGTGGGTGCGGATCAGCATCTGGCGCAGCTTGACGAAGTCGCAGTGCTCCTCGTTGTCCACCTCGATGATACCCCAGGGGTAACGACGACCGCGGACCTTGCGGCCCTCAGGAGTAGTGACCTCTGCGTTGGCACCAACGACAGCAAAGGGGACCTTGGACATAATTTCCTGGTTCTCAGCAATCGTTTCTTCGTCGTCGAGCTCATAACGGGGACCTTCAAAGATCTGGATAGAGTGGTGGTTGATATCGGCAAGGATCTATATTCATGTTAGCAAGCGCCCCATTCAAACCTCCGAAACAACCAGTGAACGTACTCTCTGCTTGAAAAGGGCAATCTCCTCGTCGGTCAGAGTATCGGACTTGGCAATGACCGGAATCAGGTTGACCTTGGTGTGCAGGCGGCGCATCACCTCGATATCGAGAGGCTTTAGCGAGTGACCGGTGGGCTGGATGAAGTAGACACATGCGTGCACACGGTTGTCAACAATGTTCATACGGTTGACTCTGTTCTCAGCCTCGAGGTACGCATCGAAGCGCTGCTCAATGTTCTCGACAATGGGGCGCCACGAGTCATCGTTGTTGACGAAGTCTCCGAATCCGGGGGTATCGACAACGGTCAGACGGAGGCGAACGCCGTTCTCCTCGATATCAGCGCTGATCGACTGGATCGAGACGGTCTTGGGGACAATGTCGTGGCTAGGTCCCGCACGTTCCTTCGGTGGGTAGAGCGATGTGTTGAAGAGGGTGTTAACTAGAGTAGACTTTCCCAGTCCAGACTCACCTATCCATTGTTATGAGTAGCCGCATAAAACAAAGGCAATTGATGTATATAGATCACTCACCAACAACCATCACATTGAAGTTGAAACCCTTACGGACACTCTTACGGTGCCACTGGTTGGGTAGGTTGGCAAAGCCGACGTAGCCGGTCAGCTTTCTGCGGACGACGTTTCGCATATCGGTAGCAGCCTGAGCAACAGCCTTGGGGTCCTTGGAGCTGACGGTCTGCGCGCTCCCTGATCCCATTGGGTTGCTGCGCTCAACAAAGGGAGAGGTGGGCTTCGCACTGCTGCCGGTGCTAGGGACGGGGGAAGCCCGAGTGGGCGCGACGGGAGGAGCGCCGTTGGGGGCAGGGGGGGCGGCTGCGTCGAAGAAGTCAGCATGTTGCTCAAAATGTCTTCTTTCCTCGCTGTCGGGCGGTCTCTGTCCCACGGTAGCCGTGTAGGAGGATGGGCTGTCGAGTCGAGGCACTCTGGAGCGGGACACGGGACGACTATGGTTCCCAAAGTCTGCAGTCCGTTGAACGTCCACGATGCGATACTTGGGCCGGGCCATCATCATCCTCTTTCTCTTTTTTTCCCCGAAAACACGGTTGCACCACGCGCTAGAGTTGTCGAATCTACCACAAGTGTAGTGCCCGACGACAAGAGGGGCCAGAGAGACGATGGACGAGCGATTGGAAGTGTAGAGAATAGAAACAGCGGACAGAGCTTACCCATCTTGGAGGCGGTTCAACGTATGCTTTTCTAACGAGCGGAGGAGGAAGGAGAGAGTCGGGCAGTCGTGGTGGACGTGGAATGAATTTCCCCTGTTTGGCGTTGCACCTGCCGTGTCAGTCACTGGTGTTTCTCCTCTGGACTGTCAAGTACAAGCAATCTCCCGCAAATCAGAGGGGGAATGAAAAGATTCGATGAGATCAACCATGCGTATGGACGGATTTCTCGCAGACGCCAAAACGTAGTGGTAGACGTGTTGTTGCGAGGCGGAAACTCAAGAGACCAGATTGGATTTCGCGTACCTTTCGGAGTTGTCCTGAACCCAAGGGTAAAAAAGGGTGAACGACAATTCAAACCGACCACGAGCAACGAACGAAGGCGACTGGACCGCGCGTCAAAAGAACAAAAAAACAATCTCAAGCACCGCTCGGGATGTGCGCGTGGCAGATTGACGGGACGGTGAAGGGTAAAGGGAACGAGAGAAGGAGAACAGGGGCAGTCTGGACGACGGGTTGAGGAACGACTAGAGCAGTACGGCCGCTGCGGAGGGAGAGAGTAGTGGGTGGAGGAGAAGAGAGGATCGGGGACGAAGGTGTGCTTGGGGATCCTTGGGTCCGCCCGGCTTTGGCTTTAGCTTTTGCTGCTTAGTCGAGGCTAGACTAGCTATCTAGACTGGAAGAGCAAACGAGTCTGGCTTGAGCTTTCAGGGTGAACGCGAGAGAGAGAGAGAGAAAGGGGCACTTTGGGACCGTTCGAGTTGGCGTGTGCTTTTTTGGGGGGGGAAGCAATGAGACAGAGAGAGAGAGAGAGAGCCTCAGAAGGGAACCGAAGAGACCACGCTTGCACGGAGAACTAACTAACCAAGCGTCCCTCACCCTGGGACCGCAAGGAGATTAACTGGCTCTGTTTACTCGTATCTAGTCTCGTGGATAGATGGATTATTCTGGCCTGTCAGTCTCTCACCTGCCAAACCAGACAGATACTAAAGGGAAGTCAGGGATGGGATACGATCGGATTATCCAACAGCTCGCTATCAAATGAGAATTGGACTGTGTGAACGGAGAGTATGGACAACCATCTCTTTTTCTCTTCTCCCCCGCCTGTGGAATGTACTTATGCGCAGCCAATCCACTGGCACGTCGGCACTGCCAATCGACCATGACCATGGCGATTTCATCCCTTCTGGCCCCTCTTCAAGCAATGTCAAAAGCTGGTTGTGTATTCTATTCTACTTGTTCTGCGCATGCTTTTCGGGGGTGAGAATAATAATACTACTCCGTCGACGAGACCAGCCAGAATCAATTAGTTACTCTAAATTACTCTAAATAAATCATGAATTACCAGCTAGAACCAAACCGGCTCTATCTACCATAATAATGATAGAGTCCGTCCTGACTTCGCTCCATCTCCATCTCAGGGGAAAAATAATCGCCAGGGGTAAACATCGCAGCAATTTGGGTCTGGATGGGCTTGCGGCCAATCGCGACCGTCACGCCGCCGGACCTAAGCAGGATGGAGCCATGGCTCACGACGATCAACGTTCGACCGGCCGAACTGTGGAAAAATGTGGAAAATCATATGAAAACAGTTCAGCTAAACTAGACTAGACTGGTAACTGATTTAAGTTATTATGGTATTGTTCTTCTTCTTTGACTGGAAGAAAAGTCTTGTTAATTGGCTATTATCGCCTCAACGGCGGGTTAGTTAACTATATCTTTCTTTCTTTCTTTCTGGCTCCATACATAATGACACATACAACACTGCGGTTATGCGTGTCAGACAAACAGCTGTGCATGATCGTACAGATAGATCTGATACTCCCAAACACCCACCACCACCTGCCACCTGCGACATACTCCGTACAGTACTCTCTTCATCCTTTTTCCTCCCTCTCTCTCCCTCCCTCTTCCTGATAGAACGTATTGCCCAGTCCCATAAGACCAAGACACCCAAGCAGCAAGTTAAAAATCAAAAACGACTTCCCCATCTTGAAACACGTCCCCGATGATGATCAACAAATATTTTTTAGAGCAAGCTCGTGAGCTGTGCTTTTCGGGAATGGCCCGTCCGTTCCCACGCCAGGAGGAATGTGGGCCGCACTGGGTAATTAGAGTCGAGGACGGAGTACAGTAGTATTTTTGGCAACCTTGGCTTTTTGCATGCCAGTGTCCAGACTCTAGACCCTTAGGGTAACTAGAGCATTCACCCGTGGACTACTTACTGAATCTTCACGTAACAGTTAGACTACTAAATACTTTTACTTTCTTGAAATACCATGGTATAGTACGGAGTACAATAGGCACCACCTACATCATACATGGGTAACATAAGTACCTAGGTACTCCGTATATATCTCCTATTTAGTTCAACCCTGTCCGCGACGGATGAATATTCGCAATATAGATATTCTCCCAGCTGATCTTCGCGTAAAGACTTCGGACGCGTTCTTCACCACCCGTAGTTAAAACACTACTTGTACTACTAACTAGAGTACTCTAAATAGTTAAATGGTGTCATGGAGGAATAATCGCGAACCGGTGTTAGGTCACTAAGTAAAGAATTCGGGTTCCAGATCGCCCGAGTTAAGTATGTGGTGGAACCGGTTTCCCTTCCAATCCACTTCCACGTCCACTTGCCGGGCTGGTGCGCGCTCTGGCTACGTAAGGTGATTAAAATAACTACATACTGTACTCTATCTACTGTTGAGAGAGCACCTTCAGTAAAATTCCTGGGGGGAAAGATGTCGGTGACCATAACTATAAACTAACTGCTGTACTTACTGCGCTCATATATATTTTGGGATCTGGTCTCTTTAGGAGGAGCTGGGTGAATTGAATGGACCGGGAAACGGGGATTTCTAGCCAAATTCTTCATTCTTCTAATGGCATATTACATACAATCAAGTGGAATAGGCCTCGATCCTGCACGTGTCCACTTACTTGTCTTGAGCACAACTGTTTCCCCACAGTTCATGGGCTAGCCCAGGTTGGAACGCTCGGGAAGAAGGAGAGTACTAATGATATCGACTAATAATAATTAGAATTTTTTGGAATCCAAACGGTCATAAGTTAATACAGCCAGATCAGTTTCGGTCCCTTGATAGTACAAAAATAGAAGGAAGAGCGAGAACATAAGGTATTGAGAACACCAGAACCAAGAAAAAAAAAGGACGCTATGTGCCATTCTCCCCTTCCCCAGAGTAGTCATGGCCCAGTTTTTATGCATGCATCACTGTCGCACTGCGCTCGCGCAGAGCATTTAAATCCACGTTCATCATTCCTCCTGGCTTCATTTACCAGTCTTGCTCTTCTTCTTGGGACGCTCGTCTTCGTCGTCGTCCGAGGCGTTATCCTCTGCGCCGGAAGCGTCCTCCATCTCCGCGTCACTACCGCTGCCGCCGCTGCTCTCGTGAGCAGAGTCGTACTCTTCTGCCACATCAGACTCTGAGGAGGCCTCGAAGTCCTCATCCACAGACTCCTCGTCTTCATCGGCCGAGCCACGGTCGGCGCGTCCGCCTTCGTCGTCACTGGAGGCCATCATCTCATCATTATCCAGAGCGGCCGCCAGGAGTGCAGAAGACTGGAACAATCCGTCAGTATGCATACATCAATAGAAACATAAGGCAAACTCACATCATCCGTCATCTCGTTCTTGAACCGGATGTTCTTGGCCTTGAAGAATTCCTCCAGAGGCTGCTGCTCCTCACTATGGGTGCATTAGTAAACGGACGGCTGAAATGAATTTCACAAAGACGTACCGGTTGATGTTGCTGAATTGATGCTCGCCCATTCCACCCTTCAATGTCATCGTGATATCGAAGGTTCTGCTGGCCGACACGGCACCACCAACACGTGACATTGTAATTACGGCAATATTCTCGATCTGGACGTATGTGGCCGGCTTGGGAACGAACATGAAACTCTTGTCCAGGCAGAACAGGAGACCTTCATTCGCCTTGATCGAGCACTTGACTCCGCTGTGTCCGTGGTGGCTGACGAAGTCTTTGGATGGCATGATGACCTTCTTGCCCGAAAGACCACGGAAGATCTTCGTGATCACCTGGTGGATAGGCTCCTCATAGCGAGGCTCCAGCTTGTCCTTGTATCGAGTCTCAAGGAGCTCCCTAAAACACGGTCAGTAACGTATCGAGTAGACACAGTTCGTCGAATACATACTGGGTCATATTGAGTTCTATGCTGATTTCCTCGTCCAGCTTCAGCTGCATGACAAGGAAAGGATATCTCGTTTGACCCTGACGGAGCGGAGGGTCGAGACCCAGGACGATAAGCGTATGGGTGTCGTCGTTCTTGGGTAGTAGGAAGAACTTCTTGATCGAAGCATACTGGATCTTGTAGTCGTACGTCTTTCCACGTAACCGGAAAGAGGACTCGTACATATCGATATCGAACCGACCTCTGCACACTCTTTGTTATCATCTGAGCCCATATATAAGCGCTGATATAATGCATACCTTGGAGTAAGATGTAGCACATCCAGGAAAGTGGCGAACGTGTCACCGGCCACATCTCCAATCTCAGCTTTGTCCATGAGGGTCTCATAGAAGAGATTGGCCGCATTCTGCTCTTCTTCCTCTCCCTCGTTCTCCTCGTCTCCCTCCTTTTCCTTCTTGACAACCGTGCCTGGGATATAGAATCTCATTTCTACGAGTTCATCCGCGCCAGCACCAGCCTTCCGACCACGGTTCTTTGTGCTCCCATCTGGCCGGCCATTCGCACCGTTTGCATGGCCATCTGTGGGAAGAGCAAATTCGACCGCCACTTCGTTCTTTCCAGCCAGATTGGTGTTGGAGATCTCAGTGTATGGGATTTCGAACGCGGGACGGTTCTGCACGTTGAATGCCAGCTCTGCCTTGGTGAACTCTGCCTTACCCCAGTTCCATCCGCGGAGGGCGTGCTCGCGGCTCTCGACGTTGATGCCGTACCAGATCCTGAACGCTTTGCTAACTCGCTCGAAATCCTATTGTTTCAAAAGGGCCTTCGTCAGCCACGTTGCAATACGTCCCAGCATTCACGGCTAGGTAGAGAACGCACCTCTTGTTCGAAACCATCTAGCTGAATGACACCAGAAGTCCGCGACAGGATCTTCAGCTCATATCCCTTCGCCGCTCGGCTCCATTGCGCCGCACCGATGTTGCTGCTGTCCAGGGTAAACGTATCACCTCCGCCTGACGGCTTCCATCCCAGACCACTTTCTGCCAGCTTGCATTTTCCTGGGTTTTTTGACAGGTCCAGGTAGATATTATCGAAGCTCTCCCTGCAACGAGTATTAGCCACAGAGTCGAAATGATCGCAAATACCAGGAGCTTGCTCACATGTTGGAGATGGCGCTGCGTGATGAACGGTCGGTCAAGGGAAATGCAACGCGACTCGAAACTGACTGATGGCTTCAGACAGAGGTATAAGAAGTGATTCGAGCGCAAATGTCGAACTGCTGAGAGCTATCCGCAAAGCTCTTGATCAATTTCTGGAGTTTCGCGTAGAGCGCGCGGCTGTCGACCTCTCACGCGGCGCGGCAAGGAGGAAGTGGGCCCGCCACTTCATTGCAGAATCTGGTCTAGCGTGCCAAGACTGTTGAAGCTCTCAATCTACAGTTACAACCTGAGGCAGCGTCAAGACGGTCCCAGGCAGGTTAGAACCATAGTAACACAAGAATAAAAATCCCTTGAGGTAGTGTGGTCTCCTAGTTCCTTCGACCAGATCCAGATTCCTGAAGACATCAAACAACTCCTGGTACGTATTATTACTGAGAGTTCCAACTCTAAGGTAAATAACGCAAGAGGCTATTTACGGCTCGTATCTTTTATCCGAAAAGGCAGTCGACTTTTAGAAACCCTCGTGTTTTACGAAGATATAGTTATTCTAGAGAATATCCTATTTGAGAGATTTCCAATACGATTCCCAAAAATAAGGCTTCTAATAGAGTATAGCCACGGTATTAGTATTGCCAAAGGCCAGTACTTACAGGCGATACGACGGCTCCTTTTAGATAGTGTTTCGATACCGAGCTATACCGGTAGATAAAAAATAGAGATACGACCTTTTGTCTATATAGAATTGATTGACGGTGACATATTATAAGAAGGATAGGATTTACTATTAGGTGTCGTTCGATCAAGTACAATATGTAAAGAAGTTCGCGATTTATTGTCTTTACGTCGACTTCAGAAACTACCAGGTGAGAACTTTATCAGTAGGCATTGCAAAGTCATTATGGTATAATATAATATAGTTGTTTAAGTTTTATCTAGGACGAGTAGGTGGCTAGCCACTTTCTGACGTGATCTTTCTTAGTTTTGAAGCTGGACCTTTCTGGCAGTGAAGGTTTTTAGATAAGTAGTTCTCTGAATTATTACCAGAGCAAACGTTTACGGATACTATTTTCGATGATCCTGTTTATTTAGATCTCGCAGATAATTTATGTTTTATGCATAGTAATCTCAAACCTAGTAATGTTCTAATTCCCTCCAGCGAAACTCTTTATATTCTCGCCCTTATAAAAATTTATCAATCCGGTTGGTTGCTAATAGTGGGTATATTACAAGGCTCTCTTAATTTATCCTATTGGAGATTAGTAGGAGATATTCTATATTCCTGTATTTCTGGAACCATAGCCGAATTTTTCTTTTTTTTCTTTTTTTTTTTTCAAGGCTTACTTTTTCTCCACTGGTGCTTTTGGTTGTCAAGGGAGAGAAACCGGTCAAGGCTCAAGCTATCTCTCCGTCCGTTATCAATCCAACGCCAAGCATCAACCCATCGTTGGATAGATAGTTCGAGTTCTGCCGCTTTCTATCGGAACTTCCGGATTGCCTTGTATGTTTCTTGCTGCCTCTTGAAACATGTCTTGCCGTTAGAACATGCTAGCACCACGGCCCTATGGCAGTATGACTTGGCTTCCCCTCTAGCAGAGTGGCTAAGTGGAGGCTAGTTCTCTCAAGTCTCGCTCACTATTGATTAAGGCGACCAATCTAGAAGAGAAAGCAAAAGAAAAAAGCCTGGACCCCGCAGCGAAAGTCGAGCACGTATCTCAAGGCTATCAGATCTTCGACATCTTTGTGGTTCTAATATTAGCATCATAGATGTACTGGTACAGTACCAGTATCTCTGTGCGTTAGTTAGTTGCTGAAGTACGAGGACGTAGGCTAAATGTCCACACTGGTGGACATTTTTGATGTGCGTTCTTTACAAAGATACCCACGGGATCAATTTCACGGTCCAATGTTCGGTAGTTGGGTTAGTGAGGTTGACAGACTGCAGTGCGTCGAGTTATCCTGCTTTTCTGTATGTCTAGAATCTCGAGGACCCGTCGCACAACAACAATCGCCTAAAACAGTATAATGGTAGCGAGATGACATCAAACTGGAACCGCGAGACGATCATTTCCGTCTAGCCACAGCCTCCAAATACGTACTCTACGGGTTCTGCTCAAAATCATTCGAGAATAGTTAATAGAGAATTCCCGTAATATGGTACAGGCGGACGCAGATATAACTAGTACCATACGGCCACCCCGAGCACGCTGAGTCGCGACTGATGGCAAAAAAAAAAGGCTCTCACATTGCGCCGTGCACTGCCATGGAGGGGTTCCGTGTTGCATCGACGATCATTCATTCCGGGTCCTCACCCTGAAAGAGAGAGGGTCGCGAGAGCGCGTCTGTTATCGAAGACCCTCGATAGCATACCTCAATTATGCATATCCAAGACCCAGGATGGCGGGAGATCTTATCGATAGTCCACCACACATGCCAGCGTCAGTTATCGCAGAATAATTTCGAAGAATTAGAGTATTTCTTGGTATTTATGGTATTATCTCAAGCCACGAGCGATGATGCCACATGAGACACCAACGCAACCACGGGTCGCGCTTGCCCGCATTCCGTCCCGAGGCGGAACCCGCTGTGAAATAATGGACTGGTCTGATTTGCCCGGTGACAAGTAAATCCTGCCTTGGTCCCTGACGGTGGGTGGTCGCGAGGTCGCGAGGCGGCGTCTCGCGAGGTGGCGAGGTTTTTGTTACCAGTTAGATTACTAGTAAATACGAGTGTATTAAAAATGAATATATATTAATAGGGAATAAAATCAAAATAAAGCGGCGGGGTGGTAAGTACAGGTAAAGGGATCTCGCGGGGCGGAAGAGGGAAGGCTGTGGAGGGGAGACGGAGAATGACGAAAGGGACTAATAGAAGGAAAATAGTGAGGGAGAAAGGTACAAGAGACCACCCCGCGAGACCAGGAAATACTGTAGATCTGTATGTAAAAGAAGCAAGACAGGCGAGGAGGGCGACTACAGAAAGCGGGAGGGACGAAGAAGAGGGAATGGGGGGAAGAAAGATTAAAGAAGAAATAGTGAAGAATAGGAAGAGGTAGAAAGAGAGTAGAAGTGAGATAGAGAGGAGGGACGAGAAGGGAAGAGAGGAAGGGAGAAGGAAGAGGAAAGAGAGGCGCGCGGGGGGGCGAGAGAGATAGGAGAAAGAGAAAGGAGAAGGAGAAGGGGAAAGGGAAAAAAGAAGAGAGAGGAGAAGGGAGAGGAAGAGAAGGGAAACGGGAAAGAGGAGAAGAAAAAGAAAAGAGAGGAGGACGAGGAAAGAGGAAAAGAAGGGAAAGAAAAAGGAGAAAAAGGGAAAAGGAAGAGGAGGAAAAGGAGAAAGAGGATAGAGGAGGGAAGGAGGAGGAAAGAGAAGAGGGGAAAAGGGTAGGAGGGAAGGAGGAGGAGGGAGAGCGACGGGAAGAGGAAAAAAAGAGGAGGGGGAGGGGAAGGAGAGGAAGAAGGGGAAACGCGAGAAGAGGGAGGAAAAAAAAGAAAGAAGGAGAGGTCGGGGAGAAGGAGGAAAGAGGAAGAGAGGGAAAAGAGGAGTAAAGAGAAGAGAAAAAAGAAAAGAAGAAGAGGTAGGGGGAGAAGGAGAAGAAGGAAGAAAGATGAAGGAAAGAAAAGAAAAGAAATAAAAGAAATAGAGGCTGTGAGAATGGAGGAAAGATGAAGAGAAATTGAAAAGGTAGGAAGGAAATTAGGAATGAGAGATATGGGATCAAATAAAGAGAAATAAATATATATCCAGTTGTAGTTTAATTTATATAAAAAGTAACTATATAATATAGAATAAAATAAATTAAATAATGATACTATTTATGTAAATAATAATATAGTTTAATCTGTTATTTAATATAATTTATTATTATTGATATTATTTTAATGATTTTACTGTTAGTATTACTTTTTAGTATTTTATATTAAATATTAAAGTTTAAATTATTATTAAATTATATATTATTCTTGTTTAAATTTAAATTATAATATACTTTAATATTTATATTATCTATATAAGAAAAAAAAAAAGAGAGAATATATTTAATCTTAAAGTATTATTAATTATACTTAATATAATTAAATATTATTAGTAAAATACTAATATATTAAATAATACTAATATATTAATAAATATTAATATATATTAATAATCTATTATTTAATATTTATTAAAAAATATTAAATATTATTAGTAAATCCAGATTTATTTAGTAGCACTAATAGCCTGTATTTGCTTAATTTTAATACAGATCTAACAGTTATTTACTTAGTCTCGCGGGGTGGTATAATAGTAATTTATAACTAAGCTATTTTAATAGTAATTAGACTTTATTAATAAAACTAGTAATATTTAGTATAAAATACAAAAATTACAATCTTACCGCCCCGCGAGATAAGATTTACCTGTACTTACCACCCCGCGAGATTTAAAAATTTTAGATTTTATTCTCTATTAGTATATATTAGTATAATTTTAATATAAAATAATAATTTACCAGTAACCTACTGGTAACAAAAACCTCGCGACCTCGCGAGACGCCACCTCGCGACCTCGCGACCCATATAACCGAGTCCCTGACACTTTGTTCTCTTAGTGGCGGCCCGGTCACCGCGAAACCGTACGCCGTATAGAATACGTACCGGTACATACAGACAGAACTGAGTCCTGACAGACTAAGAGTGACACAGCGAGATCCTGACTGAACACCCAAAAGCCCCCCTTGCCATGTCATTCCCTTGGTCCATCCAACTTCGCACATTCATTCGTTGACCTCCTGTTTTTTCTATGCACCCTGTATCGATATCATTCTTTGCGACTAACAGGGTCTCTCTCCTGTCTTCCTTCTTTTCCATTCGTTTTTCGTTGTCATCCGTTCGTTCTCCTTTTTTCCACGCGTCGACGTGGACAGGCTGCGCCCCCTCCGCCTGTCCTCTGCATCTCTCTTTGTCATAATCATACAAATCAACCTTTAATACCGTGGATCGAGACGGAGCATCTTTGTCGTCGCGCCCTGGACAATGAGGGCATCCTCACTGTTTGGGCCCGCGGCGGCTGGCTGGTCGACCATCGCTAGATTCTGGCCGCTCCTGATCCCGCACTCGTCGAGCGTCCTCGCCCTGAGCTTCAACACCGTGCCGCTTCCACAGCTTGATCTATCGTCTTTGGGAAGAGTCGTCCTGACCGGAGACTTCGACGCCATTTCGCTGTATTCCTATGAGCAGCAGTCTGAGACGCCTGCTCTCACCAATGGCTCCCAGTCCCTGCTGACCCAGCTGCCAAACGGGGCGCTGGCCACTCTGTCGACCGCTGATGCCGATATCCTTGCGATGTGCCCGCTGTCTACGGATGCGAACTCAAAAGTTGTCGTGGGAGGGAATTTCACGAGTTTAGGTGACGTCGAGGCCCAGGGGATTGCCTTGTTTGACCCAACTTCAAGCAAGGTGACCGCTCTGCCGGGACTCAATGGCTCGGTGTCCGCCTTACTGTGCGATCAAAGTTCCGGTACGGTCTATGTCGGCGGTGACTTTGAGAGTCACAATTCCTCGAACGCCATCGCGTGGAGCGCGAAGAGCGGGTGGCAGAGTCTGTCGTTTGGCGGATTCAATGGCCCCGTGCGATCGATCCTGAAAACCGACAACGGCCACATCGTCTTTGGAGGCTCTTTCCAAGGTCTCGGCAATGACACCACCATTCCCCAGAACAAAAGCGAACAGATCATTAATCTGCAGGACGCACGAATTACCAGCGACGCACAGTCACCAACCCAAGGGTTTATTGACCCGCAAAATGTCATCTGCAAGACGAATGATCAAGATAGCGCTGGAAATACGTGGTTGCTGGACGATTATTCTCCTGGCTTTTGGCGAGCGGACATGAACTTTACCTATCAACCGACCAAGCTCCGCTTGTACAACACCCACCTGGACGGAAGGGGCACCAAAGCATTCAGATTCACAGCACTTCCGGACACGGGAATCATGAATCTGACATACACTGACCCCAGCTCTGGCAAGGATGCATTCTGCGATGCCTCATGCCCACTGTCTGACGATAAGAGTGAGAAATACCGCGATTTCCGTTTTGTCAATTCTGTCGGCATGCAGGGCTTTATGCTGGAGATCTTAGATTGGTACGGACAAGGCGCTGGCCTAGACGGTATTGAGCTGTTCCAGGATGGTGAGTATTCGGACCTCTTTTGCAACCCTGGAGTCTCTTTCCCACTAATAGTCCTCTAGAGATCTATGCCTACGCCGTCAATGATTTCAACGAACCGCCATGCGCAAATCTCAAGTTTGGTTCCACGGCTACCACGACGGGTGAATGGACAGTCACACCAGCTGGCCAGACCGCATCGGACTACTTGAGCGCCCGAGTGAGCGCCTCAAATGCCGGTAGCACCTCTGTTACTCTTAAGCCGGACATCAAGCAATCGGGAAATTACACCGTGAGGTTGTTCACTCCTGGATGTATTCAGGATAACACATGCAGTTCTCGCGGAATAGTCAACGTCACGGCCACATTCGCTACAGGCACTGAAGCTTCGGCCCCTATTCAGACACTGATCTATCAGACAAATAACTACGAGAAATACGACACTATTTACACCGGATATGTGGATGCTAGCAGCAGTGATTTCCGCACCAGCGTAACATTGACTCCGGCCAGTGGTCAGGGTGACCTCGATGTTGTGGCCTCCCGCGTTCAGTACCAGCTCATCTCAGCGAATGGTAGCTTGAGTGGTGGCTCGAGCGGTGGCTTTAATGCTCTGTACGATTACGACCCCACTGAGAAGACCGTCAGCAAGTCTACCATTGATGAGGCGGGTAACAATCTGGACGAAGGCGCTCTGATAACTAGCCTCGCAACTCATGATGGTGTCATCTACGCCGCAGGCAACTTCTCGACGACTGCATACAAGAACATCATGTCTGTCTCCGATGGAAATGGGACATCATTGCCGGACGGCGGCTTGAATTCTGAAGTGAATGCCCTTCTGTCTCTGGATGAATTCTTGTATGTTGGTGGCAATTTCACGGACACCGCAACCGGCTCAAATGGAGACCTCAAGGGAATTGCAGCATACTCGTATTCTTCCAAGTCGTGGTCTCCCCTGGGTGCTGGTGTCAATGGCCACGTCACATCTGTCGTTGCCCTTACATTGAATGTGTCCACGAGCACTGCTGAAACCACAGTTGCCGTCAGTGGTGACTTTGACCAGATCCTCGGTTTCGGCGATAACTCTTCGCTCCCAGCATCAGGCTTCGCTGTGTGGGTTCCTTCGAAGAAGAACTGGTTGCAGAACTTGGACGTCTATCAGATGTCCTTTGACGGTCAACTAAGCGCTTCAGCCCTTGTGGGCAACACCAGCATCCTTGCAGGAAACCTTGCCTCCGGCGGAATCTCCGCGAGCGGTGCTGTGTCCCTGACGGACTCTAACAATGTCGCCATCGAACCTCTGCCCATCAAAATCGAGAAACAGACACCATCTGGCTCATCATTGACGAAGAGAGATGTTGGCGGTCAAAGCTTCAGTGGCGTAGTTACCGGTGTTTTCGACAAGAACAATGGCCGCAATCTCACCCTCCTCGGTGGAAGCTTCTCTGCTGAAGCTACCGATGGCTCGACCATTCAGAACGTTCTCATCTTGGACGGCGGGCATGATAACAAGGTTACCGGTTTGCCATCTGGAGTCGATGGCAATTCGACCATTCTTACCATGGAGGTTGAAGGCGACACCCTATATGCGGGTGGAACTATCACCGGAACTGTAGGCAAGACGTCCTTGAATGGCTTCGTAGTCTATGGCCTTTCTAATGGCAGCTTCGCCAGCCCTCATCCTGCTCCACTGAGTGGTAATAATGTGTCGGTCAACTCTATCGCTGCACGCCCGAGCTCCTCGCAAGTCTATGTCGGCGGAGAATTCGACTCAGCTGGCGGGCTGCCCTGCCCCAGCGTCTGCTTCTACGACACATCTGCAAGTTCATGGAGCAGGCCTGGTTTTGGAATTGATGGCGTGGTCTCTACCCTCAAATGGGTCAACAACGACAAGCTGCTTGTCGCCGGCAATCTTACCGTGTCGAACAACCATAGTATGGTCGCGATCTACAACACCAAGGACCAGAGCTGGACCTCAATGAACGGAACCTCCGCCAGCGATATCCCGGGCCCTGTCACTGTCCTTTCTCCGGCCAGCGATGACGTTTCTCAAATCTGGCTGGCTGGCAAGTCTTCCACCAACGGCTCCAGCTTTCTGATCTACTATGATGGCAACAACTTCCATTCCGTGGGCAATGTATTTGGCCAGCAGACAACGATCCGTGATGTCCAGGTGCTGGAGACCAACAAGAATCACGATGATACCGCGTTCCTCAATAATGACCAAATTCTTCTGATCACCGGTCAGCTCGTGCTTCCGGACTTTGGAAACGCATCGGCTGCTATCTTCAACGGCACCTCGGTGACTCCGTTTATTCTCTCAACGACTGGGACGGATGAGCCAGGCAGCATCTCGCAGCTCATCAGCGAGAACAAAAACACGTTTAGCAAGAACAGTAAGTTCATGTTCCCTCCTTCGCGTTTCGATCATTACTAACCTACCTGCACAGGCGGTCACTACTCGAACGGTATCATCGTCTTGGTCTCCTTCTGCTGCGCCCTCGGCTGCGTCTTCTTGATCGTCCTGATTGGCATCGTGCTCAACAAGATCCAGCGTCATCGCCAGGGCTACATTCGTGCCCCGACCAGTGGAACGGACCGGCCCACGAGCATGCGGCGAGTGCCTCCGGAGTATCTTTTCGATTCGCTAAGGGCACGCACCGCGGGTATGCCGGCGGTGTAACCTGCGGAACAGTATCTTGACCGTCCATGTTTGGCGGACCTCGCTTACTGTTTTGAATATTGCGCTTTTGCGCTTTGGGAATGGCGTTCTAGGAAGCAATGGTACTTAATACCCTGTGCTAATGTTTGAAAGCCCTTCGCCCCCTTTTTTGCAACTTCTTTTGCCCCCTCTTCTCATTTCTCTTTATTCCCCGCCGTATCCCATCCGGCCTACGTGCACCATCTTCGGCATGTTACTGCACTGTGTATATTCCAGTGTCTATTGCACATAGTACATACCTCGATGTTCGAGGCTTGTCGATCGCATTTTGTCGCGCACATGGCTGGCTGCCATGGCTTTATCTGTGTGGATGTAAATAACTCGGGGGAAGACCACTGTTAATGATATGGCTAATGGTCCTGAGATGCAATATACTGTTTCTTCATATTCGTCGCAGGCCCTTTTAGTGCTAGGTAGGCTAGTCGCTGTAGGAGTCCGTAAGAAGAAAAAAAAAAAAAAAAAAAAAAAAAAGGGATCTTCCGCAGGGCCTCAATCCTTGTTTAATTAAATCGCGACTATCTAGCCAGACTAACTTAGCCTCTTGTACTCGCTTGTATTCGGTGTAACCAACTAGCTGCTGGCATCATCGTCTGTGTAAGGTCAGACGGTGCCTCGGTTCCGGGTTGCTAAAGTTAGCACTGCTCCCAGAGAAATCGAGCCAACGTCCCGATTGCTGTCGATCGCTGCAGAGTGTCTCGGTGTCCAGCATTCCAGAAAGATCGCCCTGTCGAGGACGTGGGGAGAGCAGGGTGTCCATCATCGCATCGTTGGCTGGGGATTGTCTCTTCCCCGCACAAAGAGAGCGATCCGGGGCGTTCGTCCCGCACGTGTGGTCTCGGCCTTCCACAACCCGCAAGCATTATTTCTCCAGCTTTGCTGGCTCTCCACATCGGTTCTCTCCCAGGTTGTCTGTCGGATGTCTGCGCACACGGCGTCCTGATCAGCCGGCATGCGGTCTCGAACAGGCTGGTACGTTGGATCCCTCCCTTTGCTGTCTTCTGCTCTGCTCTGCGCTCTCTGGCCATTCTGTTTTTTGGCGCCTTCCCGACGACTGACTCATGGGCGATCGTCCGGCGATCCAGTTTGACGTGCCGGACTCGCAAGTTGAAGTGCGATGAGCGAAAACCCGAGTGCACCCAATGCCGGAGGGCCTCCAGGGAGTGCCGGCCCAGCGAAGGCATCGTCTTCCGGCATCAGCAGAATGCGTCGATGAACAAGGACGAGGAAGCCTCGGGCAAGGGCAGCCTGAGGGGGTTCTATTCCTACAAGAACACCTTCGACAAGGACAGCGTCTGGCTGGATATCCCCAAGAATGGTATAAGGAAACACCCCTGGAATCTACTGTCCTCTCTATAGCGGACGATGGCTGAGACTGGATACAAGTGATCTTCGTCGACAACTCCGACCCCTACGCTGAGGACCTTGAAGCAACCCTGGGAGCATCCGAATCTGCCGTCGCGAATACACCACATAGTGACTGGAATATCTCCCCCGGGATCAGGGCACCGGGAGAAGGAGAGACACGCGGGCTCCAGGCCCTCTCAGCAGCAGCATCTCACGACCACTACCCCTTCCATCCTCCCATCGACCAGTCGATGCAACCCGATAATGTCTCTTTCCATAATGTCGAAATCACCCCATCAGCTCCATCGATGCATTCACCCGGTAATATACGCAGCGCAATTCCACCTTCAGCAGCATCACCTTCAGTATCGATATCCTCCTCCAACAATAATATTAATTTCCTTCTGAACCCATCTAGTTCGTTATCACCTAATATTGACCCTACCCTGCACGCTCCTGTAGATCGGAGGGAGTCCTCCTATACGTCGATGTCTCTGGCGTCACGGGTGGCAGCTGCGGATCTACGGCCAGATGTCCAAGTAGAGACCGAGCACGAAATTGCATTTCTCCTGCGCCATTTCTCCGAATCACCTGGGCTATGGTAAGCTTTGCGCTCTCTATGCAAGTCACTGCGACATTGAGTTTTGTTGGCTGACCACCACCGCTAGGATGGATCTGTTCGATTTGGGGACTTATTTTGCATCATACGTCCCCGTCAAGGCTCTCACGAACCCCCTTCTGAAATACGCAGCTTGTGCATATGCAGCTAAGCAGCTAGGGCGTGTCAAGGGTGCGAAAGCCCGGTCAGGTGGAGTCTGCGCTCAACAGGCATCGACGGAGATATGGCCGGATGCTGCAAATGTCGACTGGTATTGGTATGGCGCGAAGTATTATGAGAAAGCCATCCGATTATTGATGAAAGAATTGCAACATGATGCAGAAGGCCCTCCGCCCCTGAGTACCCCCGAGGCGTTTGGACAATGGCAAGCTGCGGAGCTATGCGAGGACGCTGAAAATGCTCGAAAACGAAGGCGTCGCTTCTCCAATAGTCGACTATCCAGCGCGCACTCCGATGAGGTCCTAGCGGCCACGGCAATCTTATCAGTGTATGAATTTCTTGACGCAACTGGACCGGCCTGGAATCGGCATCTGAGCGGCGTGAAGTCCCTTCTAGACGTCGCAGAAGTGGGCATGGTACCTCTGGAACAACATACTTCACCTGGTGAGACGCCTTTCCCGCCACCAAAGAGACCAGGGCTTTCGAAAGCAAGGAAGGCGACATTTTGGAATTTTGCTAGACAGGATTATTTAGCTGCTTGTAAGTGTCGGGTCGCTCCTCGTAATATGACGGACTAACTAAAGATCTGGGAAATCAGTTATCAACGAATGCCAGACGAGGTTAAATACGGATGACCTGGTGATTTGGACCGATGCTGGTTTACAGCTCGATAATAATGGGTTCCCCCGGCCCAGTAATAATACAGCTGCTGGCTATCCGGAAGGGGATGATGTCATGAAGGAAGATATGATTAGCAACGCACTCATCTGGATTCTTTCAAAGATCGTCAACTTTATTGCTGCTGGCGATAATATCCATCTCGGCCCCAACAGCCCGGTCGATGCGGGACCCCTAGGGATCTCACAGCAGACACTGCTGGAGCGCTGGTATCGTCTCCAGGCTGAGCTCGATGCTTGGTACAACGGTCTTCCGGAGACCTTCCGGCCTGTTGCTCGACTAGAGCCGTCCAGGTCTCCTTCACAAGTCTCGACGGGCGATTTCGACCCCTTTCCGGAGATCTGGTACAGCCTTTCGATGTGCGCGTCCGCTATGCAACATTACCACATGGCGCGGATCCTGCTTCTTATCAACAAACCTCACGAGTCGACTGCTAGGCGGAGTACTGTGACCAACAGGCTGAAGTCATACCGTTCCATTGAAAGCGAGATCCGATACCACAGTTACGAGATCTGCGGTATCTCCTTGTCTCGTCCTGATGGCTCTGTACGGATCAACTCACTGCAGCCATTATTTGTCAGCGGCCAGTGCTTGACGGAGTCTCATGAACGACGAACGATTGTCCGCTTGCTCAGAGAAATCGAAGCCGACTTGGGATGGGCCACTGAATATCGAGTGCAGCAATTGCTAAAGGAATGGGAATGGGATGACAGTAACAATGCCGCGACTTAGCTGTGGTCGACCACGCTCATCGAAATAATATAATTGGTCGCTTTGCAGACAGTATGCATCATCGCGAGCAAGACTGTCAATGATTCATCTGCCCATCGCGCGGCGAAGATCGTATTCCCGCCATAAGCTTCTCATTTCGAGGATACAATCAGTTTCATCCGCCATATACATACTGCCATATATGGGTGTTTTCGGATGATACATCACGATAGGAGAGCGCATGACTATCGAATGGATGAGCAGGACTCCCTATAATTTTGCCTGATGCGCCACAATCGTGGAACCATCGAAACGGATGAGCCAGATCGACTTCACTTATTCATAAAACCCTAGTTATGATCTCCCAGCTGCTTGTCTTCCCGGGCAGCGGGTGAGAGAAGTAGCTGGGGATTGTACCACCTGAACAGTGCATGACGATATGAGCGACATACCAAGTAGCGGCGTTTGCAACCGGTTCCTTTACGATCTTATTTTCTTCGGGATTAACACACATTGTCAGAAGGCTCCCAATGTCTTTTCGTCGGCAATACGTCGAGGCTATGCGGATCTTCCCATAATTTCTGGAAGCTGTATTCATGAGACGACCATCTTCGTGAGCTCTTGGGAGCTTTCTGGCGTATCTTCAGCATCTTTTGACGACGCATATTGACATAATGTATTGACTAGCATCACATGCCTTCGTATGTATCGAGTTTATCGTAATAATATCACGATATCTAATTTGGTTTCTCGATCTTGCTCGTTTCCAACTGTACTCGTATTGTGTAGAGTCTGACAAATTCCAAAGCGAGAACCGCATGTATTTGCAAAATCGGTCTCCATTAGCCCGACGTCGCCCGGATCTTTTAAGGGAAACAACCTAGCATAGTCTATGGATCTTCACCCATCAAACATATGCGGGGTCTTCTCCGCTCACCCCAGTCCAGCCCGGCTTAACTAACAAGTAATAATTATGATTATCTGGGGAATCCAGACCAAAAGGAAGGTATCCCGGCCCCCGCCATTCCCAAATCTTGCCCGACGTCTCCCAGAACTAGCCAAAAGTCTCCCCCCGTTTTCTTCCTCTATCAAAGAAACCCTGGCATTTATGTCGTCCCAACAATCTATTTGGCTCATTTAAACTCATATTTAAACTTCATGGAAGGTATACCGAGCTTTTTACCCATCTCCTCCCCCACGGCCATGTCTATACTAGGTATATCCCGGACGATGTATTATTATATCTAGTAATCCAAATCCGATTGGGGAATAAAAGATTGCAGTAGTGCAGCATAACCCTGTGACCATGCTGTGTACGAGGAAGGGAAATTTCAAGCGACCTATCTGGAGTCAGGCTAGCTATATGCGTGCGCGTGTCTGTGTTGAGGTCTTTTCGCGGGGCTGGTCTGGTCTGGTCTGGGATATATGCAGACGGTATTTAAATTGGATGTTCTTTCCGACAAGGGTTGAGTTGTTGTGTTACGTCTCTATCACTTACTTTATATATATTGGCTTACTTCTATTTCCCGACAGTTATCCTCGTAGAGTAGAGGAATATTTACTTACATATCAGGAAAAGAAGACCAAGCAAGATGTCTCTCGACACAGACATCCTCATCATCGGAGCCGGTATGTCTGGCATTGGATTCGCAATCCAGCTCCAGAAACAATTTCCGCGGGCGAAATACGAGATTATTGAAAAGGCAGAGAATCTCGGTGGGACGTGGTGGGTGAATACGTATCCGGGATGTGGATGTGATGTGAGTATCTCTCTCTGTCTCTCTCCCCCCCTCCCTCCCGGGGGAAGGGGATTAGGTACTATCTAGCTACGGATCTTAATAGAAAGTACCTAGGTTGCGTCTCATTTCTACTCATATTCATTCGAACTGAATCCGAACTGGAGTCGGAAATTCGCCCTTCAGCCTGAAATCGTAACTTATTTCCGCACCGTCGCTGAGAAGCATGATATCCCGCGCCATATCAGATTCCAGTCGACGGTGCAGAAAGCGGAATTTGAACAACGGACGGGAACGTGGATCGTGACAATTCTTGGTCAGGAAACGGGTGATGTTTATCAGAAACGAGCAAGGGTGTTGGTCTCGGCTGTAGGAGCGTTGTCGGTGCCGAGGGAGTGTGAGATAAAGGGAGCAGAGAGGTATCAGGGAAAAATGTTCCATTCTGCAAAGTGGGATCATGAGTTTGAGTGGATGGGGAAGGAGGTTGTTGTTATTGGTATGTTGTCTTTGAGGTTGAGTAATAATATACTACTGCTGTGCACATGATGATATTAACAAGTACGATCTAAAGGAAACGGCTGCAGCGCCACGCAATTCGTTCCCATCCTGACCGATGGCCCTGACAAGGTCAAGAAACTCATCCAATTCAGTCGACAACCGCACTGGCTTGCAGAGCGGCCGAATCCTATCTACTCCCCCGCCTTCAAATTCGCAATGCGCTATATCCCCTTCGCGATGCGACTCTACCGACTCTATCTATACTACCTTATGGAAAGGGATTTCTCCGGCTTCGACATCAAAACAGGAGGCAAGATCCGCGCCGATCTTCAGAAGACACAAATTGAATATCTCAAACGGACCGCTCCGGAAAAGTATCATGATGCCCTGATCCCGAAGACGGAGATAGGGTGTAAGAGAAAGGTCATGGATACGGATTATCTGGCGTGTTTGCATCGAGAGAATATGGAGCTTGTGTATGCGGATCCGATTGAAGAGGTTACGGAAACGGGTGTGAAGACGAGGTCTGGAAGGGAGGTATATGCTGATGCGATTATTTTGGCGAATGGATTCAAGACACAACAGGTTTTGCATCCGTTGGAAATTAAGGGCGAGGATAGTGTTTCGTTGAATGAGCATGTGAGTTTGAGGGTTTATTTTATTTCTTTCCGTATTACTTTGTTTCTCTACTAATAACTATCACAACAGTGGAACACCTTCTCCTCCGGCACCCCCCAAGCATATTACGGAACATGCGTGTCTCAATTCCCCAATTTCTTCATCATGATGGGTCCCAACACCTCAACGGGTCATTTATCCGTAATATACTCCACGGAATGCCAAATAAATTTCACTCTTCGCGTCCTCAAACCGATCCTGAACTCTCTTTACCCGTCGTTCTTGAATACCTTCTTCACCACGCTCGGACTACGTTCTGCTGGTCCAGATACCGTTACCGTCACACCATCCGCTGAAGAGAATGATAATAACTGGATCCAGAAAGAAGCTAGGAAACTCGTCTGGGCGTCGGGCTGCACGAGTTGGTATGTTGATGCGCGAACGGGGAGGAATACGATGCTTTATCCGGATTGGCAGTTTAAGTATTGGTTGAGGAGTATTTTCGTGCCGTTGAGTAGGGATTTTGTTTTTAAGAGGAGTGTTGTGAGGTTGCAGACGGAGGAGGATGATGATGATGATGAGGGAAATGTATCTGAGAAGAAAGAGGGGAAGAAAAAGGCTGGGGATTCGTCAGGCGCTTGTTCTGGCTTCTGCGTTGGGGTTGACTGTCTCGGTGGTTTTGTCTGCGAATGTGGAGAGGGGAAGGCTAGATGAGTATATTTCTGCACTTAGGAGGGCGGTTGGGGTAGTGGTTTGAAGGTGGTATGGGTTTGCTTTCTTGGTCTCGGTAATGTTGCATGTGGTAGTTATTTATTCAAAGTTGTGGGATCTATATCTTCATGTGGTTGATATACACGTAAGGTGTTGGAATTTCCTATAGTTACTAGTTACATATATGTACGTGATCTATGAGCTACGACTTGGGAAGTAAAAAAGTCTGTAGCTTGAAGTGCATAAAAATTCAAACAGCAGGTACAGCTCATTGCTTCCTCAAGCGTTTGGACGCTCTTCTCGTGTGCGTCGTCTCTGCAGCTTGTACGACGACTTTATCTTTTCCCTTCTTAGCCTCACCCTCATCAATGTCTTCTTCTTCCTTGATCTTCCGTTTGGATGCCACGGCCGTCGTGACTGTGGTTTTGATTTCCACATCTTCTTCCCCATCCTCTTCTTTCTTCACGTCCACATCTACCTTGACCTTCTTGGAGGTTGTTAGTCGCTCAGAAAAGGTCTTCAAGTCAGCGGTAAAGAGCACACTATGAGCCCAGCCGGCCTCCTTGCCCCAGAGCTTGCGGAAGTGATTACCCACGGCATCGTAGGTCGCCTTGTTGAGGGTCTTGTGCGCGCCACGGCCAAATTTGTAGTCTCGTTGGGCGATTTGCCAGACTGCCCAACTTGTCAGTTTCTCGTTCGACGAGTTTGAAATATCTCGAATTGAACCCACCGTGCGTATCAACCGGAACGGCCTCACCCCAGCCCAGACCCATCAAACAAACGCAATCTGCAACTTTAGGACCTACACCTTGAAGCGCCAATAACTGCTCGTGTGCGACCCTGTATCCTTCTCTGCCTTCTGGTCGCATCTCCCCTCCATGAGCGGGTTCCATTCCGAAGGCAGGACTCTCTGGATTTCGCAGCGTGTCAAGCCATCCTTCTTCCCTCTCATTAGCGACCATAACTGCAGTATTGTATATGTATTTTGCTCTGTATCCGAAGCCAAGCCCCCGCAAGCGAGACTCGACGTCCTTCCCGGTCAACGCCTGCGGTGAGGGGAAGTCATGGTATGCTCGTCCGCCAATGGTGCCGATCAGAGGACCATAATTGATGCATAGTTTCTCGACCATCTGCGAGATGCGCGAAATATTATTATTGCTGCTGCAGATGAACGAAACCAGGGCCTCCCAGGCATCTTGGCGAAGGATCCGGATTCCGGTGAACTGGGGTGCTTTCTTCTTGAAATTGGGATCGAGAGATGACCATTCAGAATACAGACGGGTTAGTTCTGAGGAGAGGTTGAAGTAATGTTTGATGAGGGCCAAAGTATCATCTGAAGCCGTTTCGGACTGGGACTCTGAATCATCATTGGCGCTTTTGGACGCCGCGCGAGACGGAGACGTGGACGCCGGTGGTGTGGGCAGAGGAGCTGTGGATGGAGGCGAGTAATATCTATAGTACAGATGAGTGGGATCCTGCTTTAGCGATATGATGCGCCCACGGAGAACGCATCTCCATTCATCATCATCGGGTAGTTTCTGCCATCTGGAGGAGATGCGTTAGTGATAGGTATCTTATCGACAAGCGACGTTGCGTGCGATGAGAGCTCACCGGAATGACTGCCCACAACGGAGGGTGGTATTAATACAGAGCTCGCTCAGGCTCACTGGCAGCTTGCGCCACTCTGAAAAACAGGCCGTAGACATGATATGGAGACTCCCAGGGTGTCAATCCACCCATGGCCAGACCCCAGAATAATCGATTATTCCTCTGATAGATTAAGTAATCATTCTGCCTCCCTGAGATGCAGCAGATAAGGAAGGCGGTGTATGTCGCGTTCTCGGCCTCCGCAGACGCGCGCCTGCGCTAGCCGTTTTGGCACTAGGCGCGGCGGTTGCTGACCCTCTCGCTGGCAGAGCTTCAGAGTTATCTCGACATGCAACTTTTCTGGGCTGTCGCCTGTCTCCAGCAACTTTCGCCTTCGTGATTCATTTTCCTTTTCCAACAGAGGCTTCGACGCTGTTGTTTGGGCACTCGTTTGCAACGTTGTTTTTCTCGGACCAAGTCGCCCATTGGTCAGCTGTTTGACACGAAGGAGAGCTGGGAGCTAGAGCCAAGATGAACGGCGACACTTACTCTTCGAGAGGTGAGAGGACGACTGGCGCTTTTGTAATTATTTACCATGGACTTTATCTAATGCTTTCTGTCTACAGATTCGGGGCGCTCGAGGGACTATTACGTGAGTTTTGACGACTGTGTTGTCGAATGCGATGTGCCATCAATTGTTTTATGCTAACCCACCCTGCCTTCCAGCGAGACGATCGCCGAGACCGTGACAGAGATGGACGCGATAGAGGCGACCGGAAACGCTCGAGGTCTCCTCACCACAACCCCAGAACTTCGCGCCGGGAACATGAGGTAGATTCGTACTCGTCTAGCCGCGACTATCGAGCAAGGGAACGGGAAGACCGTTACTCCGGCCGCAGAGACGATCGCGAGTGGGACCGAGACCGAGGTGATAGACGGCGACGGGATTTTGACGATCGGGAGCGCCCCTCTCGGCGTGATAGAGATCTTTTTGATGAGCGACCAAGGCGTCGAGACCGTGACCGTGATGGTGGACGAGAGCGGAAAAGGAGCGCAACGCCGCCAAGGAAGAGGTCGCCGACGCCTGATCTGACGGACGTGGTTCCTATCTTGGAGCGCAAGCGTCGCCTGACACAGTGGGACATCAAACCCCCTGGATATGAGAATGTCCTTGCTGAGCAGGCGAAGCTGTCAGGCATGTTCCCTCTTCCTGGAGCGCCTCGTCAGCAACCCATGGATCCCAGCCGTCTGCAGGCTTTCATGAACCAGCCTGGTGGCACGGCAGACACCGCTGCTCTCAAGCCGTCCAACTCGCGGCAGGCGAGGCGTCTTTTCGTATACAATATTCCCCCCACTGTTACGGAGGAGAGTCTGGTCTCTTTCTTCAACCTTCAGCTTAATGGTCTCAATGTCATCAAGGGCGTGGATCCTTGCGTCTCAGCACAGATGGCTAAGGATAAGACGTACGCCCTTGTCGAGTTCAAGACGCCAAATGACGCCACTGTCGCGCTTGCCTTTGACGGAGCTACGATGGAGGAGCATGATGCTATGAACACTGGTAACGGCGCCACCAATGGTGGACCCAAAGGCCTTGAAATCCGGAGACCGAAGGATTACATCGTTCCGAACGGAAGTGAGGACCAGGAGTACCAGGAAGGCGTGGTGCACAGTGAGGTGCCTGACTCGCCCAACAAGATCTGCGTATCCAATATTCCACTCTATATCCCCGAGGAGCCTGTCACGATGCTGCTCAAGTCTTTTGGCGAACTCAAATCCTTTGTTCTGGTGAAGGACAATGTCACGGAAGAGTCCAGGGTGAGTGGCTTTTCTGATCCGATTATCTCAAGTGACGATGTGTACTAAGAAGTTACAGGGCATTGCTTTCTGCGAGTACGCGGATCCGAATGCTACTAGCATTGCCGTGGAGGGTCTTAACGGCATGGAACTTGGCGACAAGCATCTGAAAGTTGTGCGCGCTAGTATCGGCGCTACCCAAGCTGCTGGTCTCGATATGGGAGTTAATGCCATGTCTATGTTCGCCAAGACGACTTCTCAGGATCTGGAAACCAGCCGTGTTTTGCAACTGCTGAACATGGTGACTCCGGAAGAGCTTATGGATAACGATGACTACGAAGGTAAGGACGTGAAATGCGAGAGTAGATTAGGTAACACATGGCTAATGGAATTTCCAGAAATCTGCGATGATGTGCGCGAAGAGTGCCAGAAGTACGGTCAAGTGCTCGATTTGAAGATTCCTCGTCCTTCAGGAGGCAGCAGACAGTCTGCTGGTGTCGGCAAGATCTACGTCAAATTTGACAGCGTCGAGTCTGCTACCAAGGCATTGAAGGCGCTGGCTGGCAGGAAGTTCTCTGACAGAACTGTGGTGACTACCTACTTCCCAGAGGTGAGCTGCTGCACCGTCGTTATATCCAATTCGATGAGAAATGCTAACATTCTGTGAAGGAAAATTTCGAAGTTAACGCTTGGTGATTCTTGTTCGATAATAACCCGTCGAATGATCCTATTGTGTCGGTAGCGCAGGAGATGCTGGATTATCTCGACTACGGCGGACTGTTCGCCGTCTTGCATTGCCGCAGCCGTCGACTTGAATCTCAACAAGTGAATTGTCCTCTTTGTCTTAACATGATATCTCTGAAGTTGTCCCGTATTTGTCCCTTTCGACGTATTTCATTTGAGAGGGTGTGAGCTATTACGGAGTGAAGCGTTGGTCGGCTGTATCATAGTGGAAATGATCCCCAAGAATATTCCTGCAATGCCGGTACTATCTGCGCTGTTTTGTCATCGAGTCTCGATATGTTTCTTTACTTTTTCTCTTCACCATTGTGTAGCAATTTGCTCCCTGTCATGAAAATATCTGCGGAAATTAAAATTTGAGGATGGTCCCGTTGACCAAGATATACTTCTCCGGTAGGACACGTTTGTCTACGTAGTAGCTGTTCAGTTAATGCCCATGTCCTTCAGGATAGCACTCGCGGCAGCACAGCTCATGCCGCGCGCTTCGTCGAGTCTGTCTTGTCACTTGTCTTCTTCTCGTTTACCAGCTGTTACGTCAGCTGGATAAGCTCGGTAGTTATAAGCGCGATATCCTCCGAGATCGAAGAACTCCGTAGATAGTGGTTAATACTTCATATTTACGAAGTAACTCTTTTCAGAAGCGGGAAATAGGAGCACCAAATCACACTAGAATCCCGTGCCACGTTTAAAACGGCCCCCAAATGCAAGGAACACTCGTAGAAAGGGCGCGGGATAAGGATAGTAATAATGAAGAGCGGTCACCTGTCTGTCTCTCTCACTCACATACGTAATTACTCAGGAAAAAGAGATATCTCAGGAATTTGGTCTATTTACTTGCGAGATTGCATCCAGAAGCACCTACTGGATAAATCAACTAGAGATGCCGGGCTGGCTCTGGTATTAATCTATATCCTCGACTGCCCCTTGAGCATGACAACAGCAGGTTCAAGGCACCCTGCCGATCTTCTGCATCCCGAAAACTCAGCAGCATCTCCCCACAGTATACGAGCAGCTAAGCCACGAGCTATGGCAGTCCCAGACTTCCCTGTAAGGCAGCTAAGGTGCAGATAAGTTCGTGCTTGCATGGATTTCAAAGCATCCCTGCTGAATAAAAAATTGAAGCTTACTGCCCCCATGGTTCCTCGTTCTCGATCTTCGCCCAAGATCATTCTTCTTGCTGTATCATTGCTATCCAGAATTGTTTCTTGTAGTCTAAACCACCATGTCTGGCTGCTGGGCGATGCACAGTGGCACGATCCAAAGGATCAGTGTTGACGTGCCCTGTGGACGTACCAATTCCACTCATCCATATGTAACCTGCTGCGTGGCAGGCGATTACTGTTTGAGCAACTCCATCTGCGAACATGTCAGTAAGGATGGCACGAAGGGATATTACAATGCCGACTGCACGGATCCAACTCTGCAGGATCCCGCATGTGGGACTCGATGTGGTAAGTCTTCATCAGTATGTTAACATGAGATAATGAGCTCACTGTATGTTCTGATGATATATGTAGGAGGTAGAAGAGAATCCGACCTTGTTTTCATCCAAGATCGCGGTGTCTGGGCCTGCTGCACTAGTGATAATGGCACCATTGATTGCAACAATCCCAGCATCGAGGTGTATCCCGGTCCAGCAACAGCTGATCTTGCTACGATACAATATGTCCCTGCCACTGGGACGCCGACCTATCCCGCACCGACAGGAACAGCGACATCCACTTCAAATACTACAGTCACTCAGACTTCGTCTTCATCATCTGGCGTGAGTCCTGGCGCTGCGGCTGGGATCGGAGTCGGAGTTGGAGCCGGTGTTGCTCTTGCTGCCTTCATGATTGCGTTCTTGTTCATGCGAAATCGGAGGCAAGCACAAAGTCGATCTGCTACAGCGCCTGCAGGCTACAATAGCGTACTAAGTCCGACAACATACCAAACATCACCGGCCGCTTGGACCGCCGAACCTGAAGTGCGACTGGCCCCAATATACGAGCTAAGTCATCCAAAACAACCACGAGGTGAACTTGATTCACAATAGAAGTAATAGTGGTCATGTCTCGGGGCTGGCTGGAAAGATCTCATCTCCGAAGGGGCCCCGAGTCTGTCACGATAGAACTAAACAAAGCCGGAGAGAACGGTAATGTTTCACTGAGCTGTCCACAACCGACATCGTGAGCGGGAAGGATTATCGGATTTACGACAGAGAAAGGAACAATGGCGTATATATGACCTACCACACCATAGGGAAGACGCTTCCAGAACCGGTGAATATTCGGAGACAGTCTACGAGGATATCCTTCAGAGAAACCATACTTTGCGTCGAACTGGAGCTGGAGTTATGGATCTTCCTTTTCGAGGAAGATCATTGGGATACGAGAGTGGTGTTTCAAGAGTGCCGTCTTGGGTTTAGAGCTCTGCGGGTACTCCAAGAAACGATATTCGATCGTCTATATGGCATAATGATTGGTCGTTTATAAACGCCTTCTTTTATGAATCTATGGCGCAAACGGAGAATAAATACCTACCGTTGCTAGGGGGCGTTGTGGTTTATTGGCCCTAATAATACTGAAGATGATACCGGCATCAATAATTTATTCTATTACCCTTCTTATTTACTATCTATAGAGACCGGATTGTTTCTACCCGTCCCTAACCTTCTTCTTCTCAATCCGCTTTTCATGCACAAACAGCGGGTCTGGTGTCGTTTTGCAGATTTATAGCTTTCGGGTCCTACAGATGAAGTCTCTATAAAGCTCTTGCCAGCTATATATAAGTCCCCATGGCATGCTGGCTTATACTCTGTCCAGAATATTTCTGCCATCCATTCTAATTGTTCCTCATGTAGACGCCTATGGAATTCCTTGAAGGGATTTCCAAAACCTGCCTTCTCAATGTCTACCATACACCGTAGAAAGAGTGCATTCCATACGAGCCCACGTATTGTCCCAGATGTTCTTGGAGGGGAGCTATTAATTCTCGATGTTTGCCCTGGTATTGGTAGTCTGCATTGTGTCACGTGATAAGTACACTGTACTTTCGCTGTCACTCTTTGATGTCTGTTATCATCTGTTATCATCCATCCTCTTGATAAATAGAAAGCAGATTGGCGTTCGGATTACCGCGGAAGAGAGGTAAGTGTTCTTATACTTTACGCCAAAGCGCAACATTGTTTACTCTTTACCGTAGCGGGCCCATTCGAGTGTCCCATCACGTACATATCATCCAATAATGACTTCCCGATCGGCACACTCTTGATATATATTCGATATCTTCCATTTGAGCCGATCAGGGATCCACAACGTGACATATCCCTCCAACGATAATGAGCACGACCGTTGATCGGCCTGTGGTGATTACGCCAGACTGCAGATTTCAGATCTCTAGCAAGGTCCTGGAGGGCGGCTAGAGTAGGCATGCTCGTAGTTATTTGAGCTGTCGTCTCCCCCGCTGTCTCGTCGTTGTCTTTTTGTTTCTTCATGGTCTTTCTTATCTACTGACCGGTAAGCATTGACGTCAACTGTTGCCACTATCCCCTACTGATTCAGTGTTACAGCGTTGAACTTCAGACGAACCTGTGTGCATACTATCTCTATCCCAAGTGAACAATGGGCTCAAAGAACACCAGACAGTCGGGGGTGAGTCCCAGTCGGATCTCAGGCTAGCAGGCAATAATGATTACTGACTGCGATGCATACAGTCTGCAGAGGCCGGCACAAGAGACGAGGCGCAGACACCTGCACCTCCTTCTCAGGACCGACCAGCCTCGCCTACAAAACAGCCGTCCGCCGACTCGCCCAGGGCACTTGGTTCAGGTGGCCGACGGCGCAGCTCCGGGACCTCCAGACGGAGCGGTAGGTTTTCGGTTCTCTCTCACCCGACTTCGCTGGCAGAGCGGACGCAGGGGAAGTTCACTTTTGCTGGCCCAGACGACACGCCTCAGGTCCGGCGGGCTCATGAACCGTTCGTCCAGCCCGGCTATGCCGACCTCAACCCGGAGTACGATCAGGCTTCCAGCGCGAAACCAGTATGGAGCTTGGCCAAACCGCTACCGCGCGTGGTGCGACCGGGCATGGTACCGACGAGAGAAGAACTGCTATCAAAGCCTGAGGTGCCAGCAGAGAACTCCCAGAAACTTGGGTTGGACGTGGACCTGAGTGAGCTTGAGAAGGGAAGGATTCAGAAGAGTACTAACCCTCGGAAAATTGCGGCGCAGGTTGCGGATGCTCGCAGGCGACGTGAGGCTAACTTGGTAAAGAAGCTCCTAAGCGGTGACGCAGCGTCCACGAGACGCTCATCGTCTTCGATTCGCCCTTCTTCAAACCGATCGAAGAGTGCAGCAACTTCGGGCTTGCCGGTAGACCAGCTAACGCCGGTCGAAGAAGGAGAGCCACTCACGGAAGATCAAGTGGAAGATGCGCGGCAGGATCAGGATGACGACGTGCTTGAGGACGTTCCTGACGAGAGATCGCCACTGTTGGGCGACCAGACGGACTCTAACATCGATGAGAAGAATGTTCCGGAGGATCTCCATCCGTTGGTGGCAGAGCTTGTCGAAGATGAGATCCATAACCACCACACCACCTGGTCGGTTATCCGAACACACCATCGCGAAGCACTTGCTGAGTTCCTCGCAGTGTATGTCCAACTCACTGTCGGCTTCTGCGCCGATCTGGCCGTGACTTTTGCCAATGCAGGCAATCCTAACACCACCGCCTGGGCTTGGGGTTTGGCTACCATGATGGCTATCTATATCTCTGGCGGAGTGTCCGGTGCGCATCTCAATCCGGCAGTTACTGTTGTGCTCTGGTTTTACCGCGGTTTTCCTACGCGTAAGCTACCAGATTACTTTGGAGCGCAGTTCATCGGAGCCTTCTTGGCCGCAATCTCCGCATACGGTATCTACTATGGCCCCATCCAGCACTACCTCAGCACCAACCCGGATGGTATCGTAGGGAGCTTTGTCACTGGCCCACAATCGCCATGGATCACGCCTGTAACAGCCTTCTTCAACGAATTCGCCGGGGCTGGCATTCTAATAATCACACTTCTGGCTCTTGGAGATGATCAGAATGCACCACCTGGAGCCGGAATGAACTCACTTATTGTCGGCCTCATCATCACCTGCCTGTCTGTCACGTTCGCCTACGAGACTGGAGGAGCGCTCAATCCGAGCCGTGACTTCGGCCCGCGACTGGCCCTGCTCTTGCTAGGCCATGGCCGTGAGCTGTTCACGAAGAGCTGGTATTGGCTCTATGGACCGTGGGCGGGTGCTCTCGGTGGCGCTCTTGTGGGAGCGTTCTTGTATGACTTTCTGATATTCACCGGTGGAGAGTCCCCGATCAATTATCCACTCGAACGGACACAGAGAGCCCTTAAGAAGACTCAAATGAAGTGGAAACGCAGACTTCATCTTGCTTAAGAAAGAACGTCTGATGAGTCATTACTGCTGAATGTCCCTTAAATTGCACCAATATGCCTTTTCACGATGTCTTTCCTATATTTTGTGTTAAATGTTTCGTCATGCGTTAGAGTTAGACCAGATAGAGTATAGAGATTAACGTGCCTAGAAAACAGAATATCATGTTCTCACTTGAACAATAGTGAGTTCTTGAAATATAAACCGATCATCTCGGTCAAAGACGACTGTAATCGCACTAACTCACAGAAAAAGTACACTACGCATTCAGAATGATAGATATCGAGTTAGATTGTTCTTCTCTAAGACTAACTTGGGAGACAACGAATTGGAAATGCGTCCTCGTCGATGAGGATATGCGACATGCAATACAATATGTTTCAGGCGATTTCGAACGGGGTATACGTTTCAGTAACTACCTAACTTGCAAGTAAGAGATAAATTGCATTTTTCTGACAATAATCATGATAGGATCTCAACGATATGGCACTTATGTTCTTAAGTCAGAATTAACCAGCAAGATAATAATACTTGTACTTCTAGCTTATAATTACATACTTTCATACTAAGAGCATGGGTGATATACTTCATTTATGTAAAAAGTTGAGAATATGAAGAGTCTTCTGAGCATGTCTGGGGATTTATCTACGGTGTTCTACTCTAATTACTCTTGCGAGGCATTATTGTATCAGAGTATAAATCACCATTCTTCAATCCGTGAAGATCTAAGATCACGCAAGCAAAGATTCCGAAGCAGCATTTAAAACGGGAATAATCTCTTAATTACTTGGAGAATTAAAGGACACCGAAATCTATCAACTATTTATGTTCATTGACTCTATCCCAATATCGCAGCTGAGCTGAATCCCTAATTAAACCGTTCCATGGTCCTACTCCCATCCTTCTTGATCCCCATATAGGTGGATCTAGGTGGCTTTCCGTTGCTAGCTGCTACCCGGTTTGTATAGGATAGGAGCAGCGGATTGCAGCAGGTTTGTAGCTCGTCGTCCCCATAGAAGTCGTGAGAGCTGACACAATCTTCTCTGATATATGTCCAAAAACGATCAGATGAGTAGCTAGCTGAAAGGAAAGGACGATGTGCCTACCCTCGAGCTTTACTTACGCTGCTGCTTTTTTTTTCCGGAGCCATAAGTTTGTAAGGCCCAGTTTTCGATATACTAATAACAAGTACCTTGGATTCAATAATTTCAAAATGTCTACGATAGTCGACATATCATATTATTCTGCGAAAGAGTATTGAACTTCCTATGTCGGGAGAAATTCCCGAAATCTTATACCATGACTAGGTACCTATCTATATGTTCTAGATAACTTACCCCCAAACGTACCTAAAAATAGATCAATCTCTCGCGAGAAACGCGGAAGGTTATTATTACCTTATATTCTGCAGGAAGCCATCTTTGATCGAAAACCCTTGCAGATTTGTCCCAGAAAACTACTGTACAAGAAAATATTCCGACGTCAAGCCACAAAGTGGATCTCGGCTATAATTCTCTTTCTTGTTTCATTTGCGCTATACACTATGTACTGTGTACGCTGTGGAGTGACATGTTTAAACGAAGAGGACTATGCGACAGCGACTATTGAAAAAGGACTGTAGTCGGGGAAGTTTTAGCTTGTGGATTGGATTTCAAATAGTTAGTAGTAGCGAGACCGTGGTGGTGGTAGTTAAGTAATGCCGACAGATTGGATATCCCCCGCTTAAGTAAGGACTCGGTTCGGATTGTTGGAACTTGGGGACTGACAATTTGAGATGGATCACAAAAAGGAAACCCACTGAGTGTATTTTATTTTGCGAATAAACATACCACTGGGTCACGTTGCACGGACTTATTCGGGTAAGACATAGCATGGGAATCACGGTCTCTTCTTATTTTCCAATAGATTTCTTTTTTGTACCGTTTAGAAAATTCAGTTGGGGTTGAAGATCTCGGGCAATTGCCACGAGTAATGTCTTGCAGAGTGTGAATCGGCGTCGCCGAAGGTCAGAAGATGACTGACAAGCTGAAAGCTTTCTCGGAAACCGGGACGGGCCATGGCCAATGAAGCGTGAAAACAAAAGACCTCTTGGATGTGTCTTGATTGGCGGTGAACAGAGACTAGTTGGATAGATGTGATCGCATCCCTGAGCCGACCTGGACTCTCTCGGGCCTGTAGGTTTCATACGTTGGCGGGATACCCGTCTATGACAGTAGTCTAAATCCACCTGTACCATATGTGTCGTGTGCATGGCATTGGGGTTCAGTGACACACAATATGTGTGATGGTGCTGGGACCATGATCTGTCAGAAAACCCAGTGTCACGACTCACTGGACAGTTTATTTCTGGCGAGCGCTTGCGACAGGGCCAATTCTGTTTGTCGTTCAGCAGCGGTGATCTCTATTGGTTCATAACTCAGCAGTGATGGCGGATAGTGATCTACGAACTGGCCAAACAGATCAGTAGGGTCGACTATGGAGTAAAGAAAAACCAAAGGTTCTTTTAGACAGCTTGATCGACCCGCGAAGGCTGGGGCGTATTGCTCACTTTGACAGTTCTAGCCTCGAGGACACGGTTCCAACTTCCCAGTGACAGATCGCGATCAGACGGCTTTTCAGTCTGTGCTTTTCGGTATCTCCACCAGTGGGACTGTCATGAAGTGTTTTGTTCGGGTGTGGCGATCACGACGGCGGCCCCCATCGCTCCCGCAAACACTTTCCAAGGAGATCTGACCGATTCCGAGACGAGCCCAGCGTGGTATAGGGTAATAATAATACATAGCAAAAGAGCAGTGTTGGGCTGATGATAATATAGAGTAGAGCAGGTCACTCAAGGGATAGACCTATTATCCTGCAGCTGGAAGTGGGGGAATATGACAGAAAATGAGATGACATCCACCACGCTGAAGGCTCAAAAATCTAAAACGATTCGTCTGCGAATAAACTGTCCCTGTTGATAAATATTCAGCTCGAGTCCGTCTCGGGAACGGCTATAATAGGGCATCATTGTAGCACACTCTGGAAGAATCGATCAGCCATAATCAACGAGAATTGTAGGCGTCATAGGAATCGACGGTGGTACCAAGACGCGGAAGATTTCTCTAGCCAAACGGCGGATATCTTCGGTTTCTCTTGACATGGGGCTATACCGATGAAACATGCGCGTCCTTGCTGACATTTTCTTCGGATCAACATTGCATGCATTCTGTGTTACAGTAGCGGCGACATGCGTACAGAACTGCAGCTTGTGAGACTGAAAGAATAGTCCCGTCCTCGTGTGCGATCCTTATCTTCGGAAATACTCGTCAGAAAAGTACCAGAGCCGCAAGACTGAAACTGGCGCGAGGAGAGATCGGGGGAAGTAGTTAGTTGTCGCGCAATGGCGGTCAATTCATGATTTCTTGTTGCTTGCAGCCCTAAAACATTCCCAAGCAATCCATTGGCAAGCTAAGCGCATACCATAGATCGAACACCGGATACAACGCAAGGTCCATCTGCCGAACTCCTATTCCCACATGGCGAGAAACATGCACAAGGCTCTCGATAACTATCCAATAATATACAGTCATTATTTTTTCTTCTCATGGCCATAAGCAGCATTGGAGCCGCCGCGGATCTTCGCAATCGCATCGACTCCGTAGTCAAATATACTCCGTATACTGCCCTTCTCTCTTCCCCCTCCCGTCTTCCAAGGACTTCGTTGGAATTAGCCCCATTGAGAAAAGTCTGTCTGATAAGGTCAAGTATCTATGATGCCAAAATGTATACGTGAGGAGCCGGAGTTCTAGATCTCCATCCGTTCGCACTCTAACTCGACGCACGCATAGAAGACTGATCTCAACCATTCATCATTACTCGATCCCGCGTGTAAGATATGAGGAATATAACTATAAGCTTCCTAGTGATTTGTAAACACATCAGTCGTGGAGGCCCATGGAATGCGCTTTGCCCACTTTCCAGGCGTGTCTGCAGAAAGGATGTAATGAGCAAATAACACTTACCAGCGTCTATCAGGGCCATTATTATCCTGAGCGCTTGTTGTGCACCCCCATGTCAACAAGCCGTCCATAAGAATAGAGTTCGCGGAGATTTCTGGATCTAGAAGGTCTTTCAGATGATATTCATTGCTCCGAGGCTCCTGTTTGCGCCATTTTCCACACCCCGCAAGATTATCAATTGTACCCCGGAAACAGAGAATTACCGATCCATGGACCGTTTGTTTTTTCAAAAATACATCTCAATGCTTATGCATTTGCCAATTGCTGTAGACGAGCCATCAAGAAGTCCGTCCCGGTACAGTGGAGATGGGACAAAGGTTCCTCTGAGTCTGTGACGTCTAGAGTACAATGAGAACCACATGGCTGAGCCTATTTTCTCTCTGCTAAGCGCGCGTGGGAGCGTCACCGGAAAATGGACGCGGTAACTAACTATTCGAGGTATACTCCCCCGAGCCATGGACGCCCGAAAGTCTGTTTGCTCACCATGAAAGAGCCCGTTTGTCAAAGGTTGACCAGAAGGTTGTGATCTTCAACAGTCCACGTTTCCAACGAGTCACGGCATATGCGAACCTTGACCGCCGACGGTACACAGGGTAGTCTAATAAAGCTTCCTTGGTGTTCTTCGGGACTTCGAAGTCACCAGTCCCTGGACCAGAGACACACAACGGCACAACGCTCAAGTGTCAGGTAACAATGGTTTGATTCTGATCAAATCTCGGTGGACTGGTGGTTCTGCTCTGCTGGGTGCTTCAACGAATCCCATCGCTAGTCACCCTGCAGTAGTTAAGGCTAGATATTGGCGTCGGGTCCGTGATCCTTCGTCACAGCATCCCAGGAGCACTGCATTCTGCGTGGGAGCATTTCCGTAACGTCTGCGGCGTAATACTCTAATCCCCGATTTTGAGTTACACCGTCGTGCGGTCAGGCAGGTACATGAGTCGATCCTTGTTCGCATTATTATTTCGACTCCAGCCCATCGTTACTAGTGTCTTTGGCCCGGCCTCAGTGGCACGGGGCGCTCCATCCTGCCTTGAGAAAAGAAAGAGAAGACTGTGCGTCTGGAACGTATATCGAAGGGCGTCGCTGCGGCACTGACTCTGTTAACAAGGATCCCCTTCCCCTCTTGGCGTCCTTTTTTTCTCTCTCTGGGTACAACGGGAGATCCGGTCGTTGCCCGAGACGGGGAACAACCAAGACACCGGGGGGAGCCAGAAGATCATGCCTGTTTCAAGCAGTGAGCCGGCCATCCGGTACGATTAGAAAGCAGAAATAAGGTCTAGTTTGCTAGTTAGCTGAGATTATTGGCGCATGGAAGAGTAGAGTACGGTCATGGTCTGCGATGCGATATGCCGACCTCACGTTGACGGTTACCGCAACAAACGGCGGAGATTGGGGGCGCACAAATGCTGAATCGCATAGCTTCAGGATCAATTGAGATCGACCGTTACTCCAACGGCAGTCGAGAAGAGCGCAAGCACACGAAGACTGTGGCATGCGATGCTTATTCGCGGCCCCTGGGAGACCGGGCGAGCACAGGGCTCAAAGCCCCTCCTCGCACTTGGTTCGAACTAAAAGCGACTAACTATCCGTTTATCCACCAGACTCTCTCCATCTATCGATTACGATCCCAGTCTCCATGCTCTCGCCAGCGGAGCCGTCTTTCCGTGTAACGGGCTAGGAACGCTCTGTTCGAGTCCCCTGCGTTTACTCCAAGAGTGTCTAGTCTATCTAGGCTATCTATCCGCTGGTGGAGTTCTTGCGCCAGCATCTCGACGCCAGGGCCGCTATACGCCGCGATGCTGAACCATCTTCGATCTCGACCACCGCCCCCGCCGGTGGCTCTGATAGGATACTCAACGCGTACCTGCTTGTCTGTGACATGGCGGTAATTTTGATCCAGATTGTACGTCTGCTTGGGGCCTTGGGTAGATGGAACACCCTGGTCCAAGCCCCCCCGGTCTGTCCACGGACACAATGGCCTCGTGCACTGGGACGCGCCTCAGAGCGCTCTGACAGCCGGTGCAGACAATTATATCTCTGCTCGTTGCCCTCTCCTGCCCGGGCTGCTTTCCCCGCATGGGAGACCCCGGAGGTTAACATTGTTGAGGGATCAATTGCGCTGACTGCGACGCTCTGCGCGCGGTATCTACGCGCAAGAACGGCCACGATCAGCCTGTCCCAAGAGGATCATGCGAGTCCTCTACGACATTGACACGCAACACCCAGGAGCGAACGACCAGACCTGACGTTGGGGAGCACACGATGGCGACGCAGGCGAAGAATGGGCTCTGCCCGGCTCCATTCCTGCAGGAGAGTCTCTTTCCCGAGACGGGTGGATGTATGTGCTTGTCTACAGGGTCATATTACTGGGCTCGGATGCTGACTGCCTCCAGTCATCGACGGACGCTTCTGCGAAACGACTCAGACGGCCCGGGGCGCAGTTTCTTGCTGTCTGCCATGCCCATCGTCAGACTGGAGATATACAGGTAGGATAGTGCCAATGCGACGTTACAACGATGTGCCACGGCTGACAATACGCTCTAGATCTGAATAGCAATACAAAAGTAGCGAGTTGGCTGAACGTCGCAATTCTCCCGCTCAGCATATTTCTTCTCGCCTCGTATGCTGTCCTTCCTGCAAAATGGACGCATCGCCACTATTTGAGTATTTGCTTCACCCTGGGCATCTGTTTTATGGAGGTATATACATCACAATCTTGCGTTTACGACCTAAGCTAACATCATGGCCTGCCTTTAGCTTGCCTTCATCATCCCTCTTGGCTCTAAGCCAAATCAATGTTATAATGAAATTACACCCAATGATATGAGATCGGACCTTTCATGTGCTTTTACGGGGTCCTTCCTCCTCTTTGGTGGTTGGGTTGTCATCATGTGGAGTATGCCAGATACCGTCCTCCTTTCTCTTGAAGTAAAATTGACTGGATGTCTGCAGGTTTCCTCCGTACCGTCGCTCTTCATCTCCAAGTCTGCTGGGAGATTCTTATCGGACCCAAGTTCATGGCAGCAGCTCTCTTGGCCGGATGGGGTATTCCAGCTATTGGTCTGGCGCTCATGCTCGTCTTTACTGGCGTGTCCTACCGCTTCGGAAATACCTGCCATATCAACCACGCCAACAGCTTGAGAGACTACTGGATTCCACTGATGGTATTCGCTTTTGCTGCTCTTTTGCTGCAGATGACCACTCTCATTTACTGCATTCATATCTATGTCAGGTCCTTTTTCGATGACAAAGCCACGACGACCAACAGCTCGGCTTTGCCATCCTACTCCGGCAGCGTTCGCAGTACTACTGCACGGCAGGCGTACAGGCGCGTGCGCAGAGTTATCCAGCTGCAATGGCGAGGAATTGCAATTGTTTTGACTATCATTGGCAATGTGATCTTCTTCGCAGTTGTCTTCATCAGAATGGATAACTCATTAAGGCTTTCGCCCGAAATGGAAAAGAAAGCAGCAGGTTGGATTGTATGTCTGGCCCTCACCAAGGGCGACCGCAATGCATGCGTGGACAAAGCCCACGGGGTAGGTCCAAATGAAGCCACCGTTCTGGCGGTACTTATTCTTCTATCTCTGAGTGGTCTCTGGAACTTCATCTTCCTGGTGCGAACTACCATGATCATGGGATGGGTTAATCTCGTGAAGGGTCTATTCAAACCCCAAAGCGAATTCGTCTCTGCTGATGCTAGGGTTAGTGTTCCGGATCCTCGATCTTACGAGATGCTGAGCTCCGGAGACAAGTCGCTGAAATCGCCGGATCCGGTTGTCACATCGCCAGACTCTGGGATGTCGTCCACGCTGCGTTTTTCTGATAGTAAAGGCCAGGAACCCGGCGATTACTTTGGACGTGACGCGAAATATACACAACCAGCCTACAGTTTCTCAGCACCCCGGCCCCCTCCCGCATCGCGTGGCAACTCTCCGGGCCACTGGGATCCTCAATCCACCTTTGCTCGTTCTACTTCTCCGTACGGCCACGACTATGACTACCAGAAGCCATGAGAAGCTTGTCCTCTCTTTCCGATCTGTTGCCATTACCTTTTCGATATACTTTGGCCATTTGTCTCGGCGCTCATATATTTGGAGCTGCAATATCCCTTCAGGTTATGGGATATCCGTTTTTATCTCGATCTAGCGTAGCCTGCGCACGCTTATTTCATTTTTCCGTCGACTATCGATCCTCTGGCAGAGCCTCTTTTTTTCTCTTTTCACTCTCCCAGCCTGGCATAGGCTGGTCAATTACATTCATATACATATGGCTGTTTCTCTATATTTGACTGTTTGCGGCATACGGGGGCGCCGGTTGTGTTTACGTTTGATTGCCCATGATAGGGCTGGGATTGGACAGGTGCTAAAGGCTATGGGAACGGGCTGCTGCAGATCCTGGAAAGATAAAAAAAAAAAAGGGATGTCGCACAGCGTCACTGTCACTTCTTGGGTGCTCGGGTTGAAGTGGGCCGAGCAAAGACTCGTGTCCTGGGATATTGAAAGCTATTCCATGTACAAACTATCACTGTTTCACCTGGGTGTACTCTACCGGACTATGATGTGCTCTCTGTTGTTATGCGATCATGTATAGACTATTTCGCATACCCTGAAAGATAACGGGTTGAAAAAAGCTTTCAGAACTTGAAACTCTTCATGTCTCTTCTTTCTGGCGCTTCAGTAAATCATCCAACCTCCGTCACAGAATTTCTAGACGAATCGGATTACTCACAGTCTCCGTTATCGTGAAAGTGATGCCTCGACGTAACCCACCTTGCATCCTCCGTAACACGCTGGGACCCTAGACCCTGATCGACATCCAGGCCCTAGAGCACTAAGTTGGTACTACGGTTCCAGTCCGGATCGAATACTCTGAAGACCTGTGGAAAATACAACCCCAACCCCAGATAAACTTGTAGCTTCTGACCGATCCAAGAACAACAATGAAAAAAGAAAAGAAAAGAAAAGAAAAGAAAGAAAGAAAGAAAGAAAAAGAAAAAAAAAAGAACGAAAGAAAAGATAACCTATGAGATCGCCATTCCGCCCGGATATTATATCTAACTTAACAAGCAATATTCATTCGAAATCTACACCGATTTATTTATTACCAGTCGCAAATCAACCCACTTTAATTATTACCTACTCGACTACCTTAGCATGCGATCCAAGGTTCTTGCTTATCGCTTGAGTTTCAAGGGGCCTCCGATCATCGATCCACCGCAAAAATGTGCACGGTTGTTCATCTGAGCCATGGATCGCGGCACGGAAGTCGTGTCGTGTAAGACCTACTCTGGAGTCTGTACGAACAGGGGGGGATCAAAGATAGTAATAATATGTTAATTACCATAATCCATGTTGAAATTCTAAGTTTAGCATTATTCATAAGGGGTTGGTTTCCTTCCTCGCCGCTCTGACGTAGATAGTTAACTACTGGGGTTGGTATTGCTCTACGTGCTTACTCCGAGAGTAGTTAATAGGGGATAGGCATTTAGAGAAAGGGAATCGCGCATGGGAGAGGCAACTTGGATCATTTGATGTCGTTGTGAGGATTATTGTAGATATCTAGTTAGTTAGTTATTCCAATTGGATGAGTTATATAAGAGAGATATTATCTATAGACTACTACTACAAGCCCGTAGGAGATGGACGACACGACACGACACGACGCACCTTTCAAAGAAAAAGCGCGTGGAGTTCGTGTGTCCCTGACCCAAAGCCTGGGCTCTGCAGGGACCCTGAATGTTAACCGGATCAAACCGAAGTCATAAGTGAAACTATTATTACCATACTTATGAAGCTTGGCACGGAATCGGCCCACTGAGTCCCTATTATTGCGCTCGGATCTGGACTAGATACCAATAGTCGATACTTACAGTCGCATGAATATGTATCCGTATTATCTCATCAGGGATGATGTCCCCAGTCAGGTTTAACATTAGTGAGGAATTATTCTATTCATAAGCCTGGTACGCTATCATTTTGAAAGTATAGGGGGCATATCGCGTTATCCAAGCGCGTAGAATAGTAACAATAATTAACATGATGTACACTCATTATTATAATAATAATAATAATAATATGTATCGTTTCGCCAAACCCAACAGCCCTAGAAGGTTCGGTGACATAACCAATCGAGTGATGGGCCCAGAAGTTCGTGACGGGATGCACAGCCCGAGATCCTAGTCTAGGGCTGCTCTTAGCTGGTGGAGAAGAATAGAATTTCACGTTGGGCTTCTGTTTGAACTAAAAATTTAGTCAGGTCCAAAGTTACTGTGCGGGAAACGAACGGGGTCCTCTGTTCTTATCCTTGGATTTTGTATTATTTTACCCATCTCTGCGGGAATGATCCATCCCGTTACGGATCTGATAGAGATTCTTTTGATGTTTCTTTGATTGGCCCTAATAATACCCGTGGTGGGAAGCGGGAGTTTGTTTGGTTCTGCAGTTTGCTCTACTTAGTTCTTTTCGATGATGTCGCTGATTTCTTGAGTTGTCGGCCTAACAGATACACGTACTCGTCAAACATGAGTATACTCTATGCGCAGGCAGTGCTTCCTCCAGGTATCTAGGACGCCAATGACAGTGCGAAGTGAACTGAAGAGTGGACTTGACGCAGTAGACGGTCGATTGATTCATCTGTTCATCCCCTGTCATCTACATAGGGAGACTCTCCCTTATCAAGCGCGTCTATCCTTGGTGCCCGAAAGTTTGTAAAAGCCCAGAAGGCGACTTTGCAATCTTCGTCCACGGAAAAGTACAGACTCATGAGTGAGAAACCCTGTAAAATACAGAGTAGACTTTAACGGCCACCCGTCTCAACCGAATCCACGAAGTATACTATGGTACCATACTTGCTAGCAGCGGCTTCTCGCCGAGACGATGCCAACACGAGAATGGTGGACCCACGTGTGAGAGATACTACGCGGCAGCGATTCTTCTAGCAATGTTCGATATTCTTCTCAACTGGAGCTTTTTTTCCTTCTTTTTATCTTTTGTCTTTCGCGATCCTTGGAGTTGGGGGTGGCAAGATGTGGGGAAAGGGATAAGTATGGTACTTTGAGAAATTCGTTACTCGACCGTTACCTATCACTATCACTATCACCATCTGACGACATCTGCATTTATGCAGGTCCTCTTTCCTTCAGGCCGTAAAATCCCTCGTTAATGCAGAGGAGATTGAAAAGCAGATTCAGACAAGAGGAACCAAATCCTGCAGGGGCCCCTAGCATGCATGAGGTAGTCAGCCATGCAATCCGTGCATAACTACGGAGTAGAGTACCGTATTCAACTGCGATCCGAAGATGTGATGCGACGTCGATTTGAATTTGAGGTCCTCGACAGACAAACGGCGGCATCTACCGCCAAATTGCAGATGAAAAAGAAACATCGTTCGTTATATTACAACCGGCCCAGTCCAGGAAGATCCGAGGAAGTGATTTATCATTGAGGCTTAGGCTTACGGCGCACGAGCCATGTTCACCTGCGTAAGTATCCGCATGGCGTGTTTCAGAATAACTCTACTAATAGATGGTCTCCCTTCAAAGTTCGACTATGCGGGAATCTACCAGACCCATTTCACGTCCCCGGCACTAACACAAAAATACATACTCGTCGCTGTTCCGGGACCATAGCGGTGGGATAAGCCTAGAGTCCTGGGTACGTAACATGTTTCAGACTCAACCAGCTACAATGGTAATAGTATACGAAGTAGCACGGACTTATTTTGCATCATGCTAGGAGTCCTGTAAATTGGGACGCGTGATGAACATAGATATAGTTATACGTTACCGTACTGTATGTCATCTCATCGCTTAACCTACGATTGCTAGATGCTGGTTGAATGCGCTGCATTTTACCCTTGCAAGACTGACGAGATTATAGGCGCAGAGCTAACAATTAGTAACTATGCGCATAATAATATAATCCCGTGCAGTGCAGTTTCCAGACATTGCTGTTATACGTTATTTTCCACCGTCAAAGATGGCATCGAAGAAGTAGAAATCAAAATGCGAATCTTGAAATTTAGCTTGCATTTGAAAAACATGATTAATTCCCATAGGAATAGCATTTATCATTCATCATATAATATAAAAATCGCCATATATTCTTTCGCCGGAGAGCAAAGTAAGCCAGCCTCCTTCCACTACGCGAGATGACGAGCTATTAAGGAGATTTACTCTCTTTGAAAAATATAAATCTTATTAATTTTCTTTTTTTCTATTTTTGGTATAGTTAGAGGTTCTACTCGCATTCCTTTGGAGTAGTCTCGGACTCTCGATTAGTGGTTTAGCTAGGCTATCGTGCTCCGCATTATCAGTAATTGCCCAAAAAGGGAAGTCCACTACGTACCTAGTAATCGACAGCGCAGTATATATATATATGTACTATGCACAATAAAAGGTATGAACATGTGTAATGAAACGAAACATTTATCAATTCGATATAGCACTTAACAGCAATTACGAGAAAAGACATACTAACTAGACCCATTTTCAACCGGGTCATTACACAAACTCATCGCTAGAGATACTACACTTTCTCACTTCTTCCAGTCCCCGTCCGTCACTATATAACTATCCTATAATGCGACTTACACTAAAATACACGAAACAGATAACACGCTTGGATTGTCAAGAGTAATTATCTCCCGAAACCCGATTTTCTACCCTCAACTAACCTTGGTGGCCAGCAACGTCCAGGCGGTCCTCATCGCTCAGTTCTCATTGCCTTTAAGAACTTCTGTCGCACTGAGATTTCTTCGTTCTGTGTACCATCTACATACTACAGTCTCACATTATCTAATTAGAAATCTAGTTTTAACTACTTCTAAGCCACTGCTGGACTTACTTATCACTATGATATCCTACAATCACATGCTCCGCCATCACCAGGGCGTGGTAGCATTGCGCTCAATCTCGCGTATCTCTTCTTCTTCTCGACCATTCTCTCAATCGTCTCGATCCTTCAACAAATTCTCCGTCCGCGTGTCAGGAACAGGTCGCGGCGTCGCTCAGAGCATCAAAGCCGATGGTCATCCACACCTCATCCAGACCGATGCCTACAAATTCTTCGAAGGCCACGAGAGTGCACCCACCCCACTGGTTTATAACCTCGGCAGTCTCGGATCCTGCACGCAAGTTGCCGGCTCACTTGTCGCGAAGAGCCTCGGTGCTAAGCTGGGAGAATGGAACGTTACAGTCAAGGGTGATCTCGATACCGGAGTATTGGCGGAGGGAAAGGATGGGAATGGAAATTGGGAGAGCATAGAGGTCAATGTGCGTGTGCAGACGGATATCGAGGATGAGAATACCTTTAATAAGTTTGTGAGTGAGACGGAGAGGCGATGTCCGATCATGCAGTTGTTTAAGCAGAGTGGGACGAGTTGGAAGAGTAACTGGGTGAATGAGAAACTGTAAAATATGTATACTACGTTCCATGGAGGTGGGATTCAATGCAGGATACACCTATTATAGAGAATAGCTTAAGATAAACAGAAACAAAAGGGAATGTCCGGTTGAGGGTAATATCTATCCGGTACTCATACGCAAATGTAGACAATCAAGCATCAACCTCAGTTGGAAACCCCTTCCACGCTTGAGGCACGTTTGCCATTCTCAGCCAGTACCCTCCCTTGCCGTCTTTGGTTGATATAGAAAATGGCACAAACTGCAAGCACATAGCCAGTGGAGCCCACGGCTGTACATATATCACCTTCGCTTCACTACCTGTTGTTGAAGCGCCCCGAAAATCCAGTTCGCAGAATGGCATTGCCGTAGAGGACGAGAGAATCGGCACTCGATTGAGATCAATATCGGGTCCTCCCATCGTGACAAAGTTGGTTAAGTTGTTTTCGAGGAATTTCAGAGCTCTATAGATTTCTGATGGCGTTCTCGCTTGGTTGACAGCTCGTCGAATGGTGAGCGCATTCTGGGCAAGAGAGTCCTGTTGCAGCTTGCGCAGAGAGTCGAAACGGATCAAACGTGCGTAGACGGTGTGACGTGGGCAGGCTTCATTATCTGGCAGAGATGGAAGAGCGAAACGCCAGTTGAGGGAGTAGTAGAAGTTTATGGGACGGTTGTCGGGTGTCGAATTTTGATAAGAGCACTATTTTGGTTATTATATATTGTAAAAAATAATGAGATATGATATTGAACCGTATTTCAGCGATCTGAAACTTACTTTCAAGAACCAAGCGGTGAGTATATCCTGTTTAGTCAACCCTGCGGCAGCATGTCTCGTTTCATCGACCTCTGCTAATTCCTTGACAGCGTGCTGTCGAGCATCGTCGATCCATTTCTTCGGGACATAGACATATCGCTCTTCTGGTGTCTCAATGATGCCCATTACCCTTTTCGCCCCTTTCCACAGCATGTGGGAAGCTGTAAGTAGCGTAGATACCAACCCAACTCGATGGCCGTCAAAGTCTAGCACTGGGTCTCTGGGGTGTGCCTCCATGACAGGGACCGAGTTCGACATGGGATCATATCTTTCGTCACAAGAAAGTATAAGGGTTGGGATAGGCTTCCCAGAGACCAGCGCTGCATATGTTTTGATGATGTCGAACATACCTTGACTGTCAACGAAGTAATGCGGACAGCGGAAGCCTAGAAGCGTCACATCTTGCAATGATGTTATCCTTAGTGTGAATAGAGGTTCTGATGATTTGTTCGATGGCGCATCGAAATGGAACAACGTATCAGGGATGCTCGAGTTGGCAGAGAACACCAGTGGTGAGCTAGGCTGCCGACTTTCACAGTCATACAATATTGGCAAACTTTCTCTGCCTGTACGATTCAACATGCGGCTTTTGACGTCGATATTCTTTCCGATACTAAACGAATAGGGTTTCGTCTATGATACTAACAGATTAGCTCTTTCAAATACTTTGAGAAAAATGCTGTACTCATGACTTATTGTTACTTTTTTGCTCATAAAGCCTCCGAGTATAGGCCAGTGACAAATGAGTTCTTCTGCCTTCTGTTTCAGCAACGTAGTGTCGAGGGTGTCGTCGACGACAACGCCAAAATATAGAGCCAGATCTTGGACGATAGGATAATTGGTTTTGATAGTGAACGAGTTGGGTGGTTCATGACTATTTGCGGAAGCCATGGTCCCGACTTGAGTGTTTCAAAGTCGATAATGATCAGTATCTTTCAACGTCCCAAACGAAACGTCGAGGAAAAGCCTCCCCAGTGTGAAAACTGGGAGACTCACCTCTTCTAATAGCCCTGTGAATTGCGATAAAGGTGAATAGAAAAAAGGAGCGTCTTGCTTTAGATTGAATGCATTGGCGAGAGATGTCAATCAGTGGAGTCCGGCCCGTCGTCCCTACCATCACAAAGAAAATCCCCAGTGCAACTACTGACCGCCAATATTCACAAAGTACCTTTATCAGCGAGGCACTTTTTAATGCCAAAATCATTATTGAATAACTCAGTGCATCAAAATCTGTGCATTGGGAGTCCCGAATCTGTTGAAAATGACTGCAGCAATCACTTCACGAGTATCCTTGAAGGGAACGTCTTCTTATACCCAGTAAGGAAATTTTTGCGTCTAATATTGCTATTACCGTCCGAAAAGCAGGCCTATAACACCCGATGATCATTATAACTAGTCAGTACGCTATGTAGCTGACCAGTAGTATCCTAATTAGTGACACGATGCTTGAAGCCGCCGATGCTCGACTCCAGGCCCCGCACACTATCAAGCAAGCTCAAGAGACCAGCCTTATTAGAACATTGCTCGAATACCAGTGCACTAGATGAAACTCCACCATATTGCTACTATAACGGGTTCTTAAACGCGTAACCATGTGTTAAAATTGGCCGGCAACGGAAGAGTAAGCCTGCTTATGCATGCATACCGATCCTCGCGCCGGCTTAATATCAAACCATGCTTATTTACTAGCGCTGACATCATCTTCTTTACTACCAATCGTCGGCTTAATAGAACGTATAATAGGTGAAATATGCACATAGGACTCTGATCAAAACAGTTCGGGCCGTTAGTCGAGTATGTCTTGCTAAGAATAGCTAAACCGGTGATCCTGTCAAGCGCTTCCAACTCGCATTTCTCTCACTAAAATTTCTTTTTGGGTACGGATTATGATTTGAGGAATAAGGTATTAAGCTTAGGGACAAACATGCATTATCTCTGTAAGATAAACTTGGAAGGAGACTAGGGAGATAGCCTGCACTGGCTAGACTCGAACAGAGTCAGCGCCACTGTAGGACATAGTTATCTGAAGTTTTACTGTTAACCAACAGCTTCTCCGAGCCACTCAGAAACTATACACCATAGGGCACACATACAATATCAGAGTTACTGTATAATCAATAACACGAGCGCGACCTGCGTTTTTCTTGTAGGCTTTGGCAGCGCAGAACCACGGCGACTCGGATGCCTTTCAGAGAAAGCTAAACAGTTCATTTCGGCTTTTTCAATTCCTATTTGACATTCAGCTCTTCAGATATTGACAAAAATGCCTCATTCCGTCTATCAAAAAGAGTTACACGGAATGTCTACCAATGTCTACGTTCAAAACTTATGTCGGGTTTATTACTTTCCTCTACTGGCACTAGGGTGATAGGTCTCTTTGAATTCGCTGAATTCGCTTCCCATAGGATTCAAAGCATTAGCTGTCGGTGCATATAGATAATAACCTGGACTGTGGATGTTAAGAGCATATCTAACAGGATTCTCTTATACAAACTATTCTATCCCTGCATAGGCTTTCGCCCCACAATAGATCCAGTAAGTATACGAGGGATCACGCCCTTTTCAAAAGCAGCGGCAGTTCTGCGCTCGAACTCCCGTACCTTTTGAGTGAGCTCCTCTTCTGAAAGACCTTTTCTCTTGAGAACTTCCACCAGTAAAGTTCTTATCGTAACTGCATACCACTTTCTTGCCAATTCAGTTGCGTCTGGTTCATTCAAAGAAGAGTATTCGGCAGATGCGACGTCCTTCAGTCCGAGCTCCTCGAAATGCTCTTTAATCAGAAATGGCAATCGGTCACTGAACCCCATGGAAGTTGCAAAGTCGTTTATGATACTAAGATCTGGTTCAAGTCCAGTGTGCGGGACGTTGAATCCCACCTCCCCTGTGCGGAGGTCATCCCATTGGATGTATCCTCCTGGAGCTATAATAACAGCCATTAGATTGATGGACGGAGTAGTTGCTGCGATAATGGCCATTTCACATACCAACTATCTGTATTATATTGAAAATAGCCTGCTGGATCTGCGCTGGTGTCAATGCAAACACCAAAAGCCTTACATGAACGAGGTCGAATAGGTTGTGAAATTGCTCGTCGAACGGACGAGTGACGTCATGAATGGACAGCGTTATGTCCTTGAGATCAGAGGGATATTGGGCATCGCTGATATCAAATCCGTGAAGATATCTCTTTCCGTTGATACCGTTGGAAGCAGTGGCGTAGAAGTCCTGTAGCTCACGGAGCCAAATTCTATGAGAGAGATGTCAGCGCCATTGCCCTAATTGTCGACATCGACTAATGCACTCCTACGCAGTTCCAGTGGCGATATCGGCAACACTTTGGATCTTTTCCAAAGGTAGTTGGGGATGAGCTATGTGACTACCCATGATCTTCTTGAGTACGTCATGTTGGAAGTTGAGCCTGTGTGGTTGATTAGCACCCTGACAGGAAAAGAAGAAACGATGTAACATGAAAACACTTGTCTCAGACTGAACACATACCGTTCAGTCTCGGCTTGGTCACGGTTTCTGAGCAGATAAGCTTCATCTTGGTTCGAAGACATGGTCATACGCAAAGTATATGTTTCTGGCGGGTAAGTTGAAAGAGACTTGATCGAGTCTACCGCTACAATAGTGGAAGCGTTCCCAAGTATTATATATGTTGCTCCCGAAATGCTGACGATCTATTTCAGGAGATTTAGCATAACTCAAAGGTCGATCAAGCTTGGGCTAGTCTGCGAGCTATATGAATTCTATGAAGCAGATGCGCGAGACGATTTGCTAGCTCGCGATATGTCGACACTGATTCGCTGCGTTTGCAGTAGCTACAGCAATGGGTTTCCTCAGTCAGTGGAGACGGGGTTGATCCTATCCAAAACTCGTGCAGGGGTAGAAGTTCCTGGAATCTGATAAGGCCAGGGAAGCGGACGAACGTCAGTCCGTTGATCAGTAATTATTTAGATATGCAGTTAATAACCTCGGAGCTGTCAGTTCGGAGCAAGAATTGAGACTCGGCTATTTTCTATCTGCAGTTAGTCTAAACATGGTAGAAAATCCATCGCTTGGGCATCCATATAGTACCAGAGGTCGTTCATGCAGGTGATATGAGCGCCTGTCATAGCGATGTTAATTAATACTTGGCGAATAAACAGATCAGCTGTTTAGATACTTTTAAATATACTTCTGCTACATTGGATTGATATAGGTGCCAGATGCGATAATAAACGTAATAACAGGCATTATCCAGATTCAAGGATGACGTTATAGGTAAATAAAAATATGAGACATGTAGTTTTCACGACATCCTCAACGTTGAGCACAATAAGCTAGCTAAACCCTACATGATTTCTGACTGCTCACAACTACCATACAGCTAAATTCATTTTGCCTACCCACCGCTGTCCATCAACATCAGCGTCAGATACGCTCACGGTTCACACACCGTAAAAATACACCAGCTCGCTGTGTCTAATTAAATCTTATCAATAGCGCTTCTATTCCTGAGGCACAGAGCTACTGATTCTGCTTCTAGGCCGTTCATATTTCTAAGATTGGCCACAGTGTACAGTTGCTATAGAGCAGATCCGCTTCAGAACTCACTCTTGCCACGAGATACAAAAACCATACTCTAATATGCAATAATATATAGTATGCTCTGTGACAGGATTCCAAACCGTGGTTCTGCTATAATTGCTCCGAGTGCTCCTTTGTATTTTGTAGCAAGAGAGGGGCAAACCCTTCGGTTGGTCTTGTGAGGACGAAGTTGAACTTGCTTTCTAGACTGCAGGAGTGATGGTTCGAGAGACTGCATTATAGCCCGATACATGAGCTCAAATCCTTCGCAGCGAACACTTTAGATATGATGGGTCACTTCTTTCACTGCTATACAGTGATATTGTGACTGATTACTTGAGCCTCCCTACGATCTAAAGAACCACTCTCGGGATACAGTCGGGGATGTGTAGTGTATGCAGACAGGTTAACGATCTTATACCGAGATCTTTCAAGAGAAGATGGAGACAAGATCCCACATATCCTAAAACAGATATCTCAGTACCGAATTTCTGTGACTGTATGTAATCTGTACTACCCGACCTATCCCGGGTAGGACATACCCCAGTCTCTCATATATTCACTCTCTTATGACAGTTTCTAATATAATCTAATCCGCATATCTCCTATAGGATAATATGCCGACATAGTTCTTAAGAGAACATACCTATCCCCCTGAATAAATCATGAATCTTTACTTAAGATACTCGATCTAAGAGATAACTATTAGTAGCTTTTTTTAGATTACTATTAGGCTATAGATAATTAAATTAGCTTCTAATCTATTTAGTTCTTGATCTCCCGCAAAATCAGTAATAATATATTAAGCCTATTGGCTATTGGCGCTTAAAAGCTGGATAATACTATAATAGTTTATATTTTTATATTATAGAGAATTATTTTTTATCTTCTATACCTCTATATTATCTGCTTAAAAGCTAAGGGATTGGATAGATCTACTGCTATGATATAGGCCACCCGCCACTTATCTCGCTCGTAGACGTAGAAAGTAATCTCAACAGTGCTACTTGAGTGGGCTTTGGGGGGGCTCAGTTTCAATCAAAGGAAGTAAAAGTCTAGGCGGCTAAGGCTTATTAGCTATAATATTGCTGCTGTTCCTGCCAGGATCTATTAATATTTCTTAAGCCAAATTTTGGAAATTATATTGTGTTGGTGGCTAAAGCTAAAGCTTATGGCTTGCTGAGTTATTGATATCCTTTAGAGAGGATGGTTAAAGCGAACTTGGGGATTTATAGAAGTTCTTTCTGGTCTATGCTCCACTATCAATGGAGCGGAAGGGAAGCCGAGAGATTCGTCTCCCAAAATGTTGTCGACGGCTAGTTTTTGATTATTACTTTACTAACACCGTCGCATTTACAGATAGAGGTTCTTAGATCGAATAGGCATACGGATACAAAGGCAATGTAACCCTCTGCTATTAGGCACACTTAGGACCATTTCACATGTTCAGAGGACCACCAGAATGCATTAAAGCTGATGTTACAGCGCACCATTTATCTCTGAGGAGGCATGCTATTGTCCTCTTTATCCTTATACGGCCAATTACGCCAACAGATCTCCTGTTGGTCTGCCTCTGCTTGCCTAACCATTTCCATTCGGAACTGACGATTGCCCTCTACTGCCCGCTCAAAATTGTCCGGCTCGGTGCCGCCTTCCAGGTCGATATTGAGGTGTTCTCTAACCCGGGACAATAGCTGTTCCGACTCGTTCCATTCCTGCGATTCTGCTATAGCTGCCTCTCGTTCTTCATCGCTGAACACAACCGGACAAACTGCCGAGGAAATTTTGCTCCATATCGATGGAGTCGTAATGCCTACTAACGCAGCACGTAGATTGATTACGTCTGCGTCCCAAGGGTACCCTGTCTGGCGAAGGAGATACTGCAGCATTCCGAAATGAGGAAGTTTCAAAATATCCATGTGTTGGTCGTTATATATACCTGTCGCGGCTGTGTAGTAGAGGTTGGCCTCTTCTAAGCGAAAAATGGCTCTGGATTGTCTCTGTTCGTCGATACCCATCTCGTCGAAATGATCAGGGAGAGATGGAATCTGCAGACTTTGAGGCCGGGAGTAGTCATGCTCACAAAACGCGGGATAGCCTGCTTGCATAAAGCGCGGGAATATCACAGAATCCTGCCAATCAATGATACTGACAATTTTGGTGGATCCAGGTGCCAATAAAATGTTACTCAGACTCAAATCGGGGTGTCTTAGTGTCGGAGCGCTAGAAGAACCCGGTGGGATTAAATAAGGCGCCAACTGTAGGAATCGCGAAAGTAACGAGCTGTGCTCGGAGGGATGAATGTCATAGTTAGTTGGTAGAAGGAATGTCTGGCGAGGCTGAGCTTTGGCGTGATGCTGAATGACAGCCATCTCTCGGCGAGCCGCGGAGGTAACACAGTCCACGGTTGAAAGCCCTACGGCAATAATTAGCCCAGTTCACGTCGGTTCTTTTTCTAAAAAGCCAGAGAAAAGTAGGAAGGGAGAAAAGAGAACACCTACAGGGCCCACGGTCAATCTCTGTTTTGCTTCGTTCGCCATGCCAAAACTGCCGGGCAGACACAGGGCCGATAACAAAATTTTCTATGGTTGGTATCTGGGTTTCCGTGTCAAGGTCCTTCTTGTAATATAAGCTTCCATACGCAGGAAAATGGAAATCAAAAATTTTCCTCTCTATATCTGCGATTTGTGCCATGACGTCTTTCACCTCGTCGGTTGTGAGGGATAACCACCGCGAGGCAAGACTCTCCCCCTCTACCCGCTCCATCAGAATATACTCTGCTCCGACAGGATTGTCCGATTTTGCTGAATATGTCAAGACCTCCGGCACCGGCAGTTTGAGAACAGCTCGCAAAAAATCCATCGTCGCCACCTCACTGGCGGTGGTGTAATGCGGAGGCCCGGCAATGGGAGTGGGAATTCGTGCAATCACCTCACGACCATTCCTTGCTCGTAGACTAAACACTTTGTTGAAGCCTCCCTCTGCAAGCTTAGAAATATCAGGGCAATAGTCTTGTTGCAGTGCTTCGCCGGCAATCCGTTGGAGCTCTGTTGGTCGAAACTTGACGAATCGTTCGTTTAAACGGTCGGTCTCGTTGAATCTAACTGATATTCAGTAATTGAGACCGGAGACATCATAGAATTAACTTACATCCATCGTCGTGATGTATGTCGAAAGAATTCCTCGTGGAGTGCTGGTGGGCTGGTGGATAAATGATGGCGGGATGAAACAGATATAGCAGGCTGTCCAAAACAGACCCACGGTTTGCAGAAACAGGGGATGTGTGATACACTCCTAGCAATGGTGAGTCTCTGAGGAAATGTCACCATTATTCAAAAAAATAATATGAGAGGCAAAACATTGGGCGCACAAAGACGTTGACGGGGATGGGGTTTACTTGTAAGTTGACCACTGAAGGTGGAGCTACATTTTCTCTAGTCGGCTGGGGATGAGATAGGTAAGGTCAGCTTAATTCCCCGCCTTCACCTTCTATGTGATCCACAGACTGGTCACGGTGATCTATTATTAGAAAGTTTTATCCAACTAACTAAAGGCTAGATCTACTGATCTGAAGGGCCTTCAACTCTGGTCTACAGGCGACACAACATAAGGACGAAGAAAGAATTAAAGAGGAAGGAAGGAGCATGAAAAAAGCTAATGAATAGATCACTCATTAAAGCCTAGACGCATTGAGTAAATAAACGGCCGTGCGTTTTCCCCACTTGACAAGTGTGGTCGGCAAGGTCGAAGTAGAACCCGATGTTTTTTTCAAGTCCCGTTGAGAAGTCGGGAATGTAGTTTTGCCAGCTCCAACGGTAGGCCTAGTAAATTTCTGGAAAGCAACATTGACCTTTTGCGGATTCAAGATAACATCGACCGCTTTCTTTCCAGAGTTCTTTAACCCAGACATGACTGAGAGACTAAGTTAGTCAGCACTGATAAACTAAAATAAAGGAACTTGACTCACCTAGGCTAGAAATTGGTATGTAATGAGGAAGGAAGATTCTGTGGCAACCGAGAGAAATGACTATCAGAGATCTAATTCTACAATCTATGAGCATGAACGAGCTCCAATTTATATGTCTGGTTTCTACTAGCTAGGATCGTTGGCAACTGAAAAAGAAGGGAGAGCAATCCTTCACCCAGATATGCACTGCAAGAGGTCTGCTTTCCAGGGATTGATAGGCTCTTGTTTCTCGACGCATGAATTTGGCCGCAACACATGGAGTTTTGATGGAAGTCGACTAGACGACTAGACCAAAAAGGAGAACTCCTTAGAGGTCTGGTCCTAGCTGGATCTAACAAGTTTCATTCAGCACGCGGCTAACAGGATGTTTAGCAAGGGGGTGTAGACCTAACCAATGAATATCATTATTTGTAGTGAGCTTTGTAACTGAGTAGTTGAAAACAGCATATATAATACATTAATTCTGTGCATTTTACAAGGATGGTCAGAATCCTGTCGCTAATTGCGATAACATATTCTCTCTAGGTAGATTTCGGATCGCGAACAAGGTCTATATACCTGGGAATAGATTTGCTATAAGGCATGCCGACAGTAGCATGTAGAAAAGATGGGCGTCAAGCAGCCAGTTATAGGGGACCATATTTGAGATAGATAGCATACAAGGCAAGCGGAGGTTGATAAATGTCAAGTCTCATGTGCACCCGAACCCCGCATATCAAAGATCTCCCACAAGACTGTCAGCTTTGCTCCCTTTTCAAACTTCATTTCGCAGATAATCAACTTTTCGATTCTAGATCCAAATCTTTCTGTTCTTAGCTTTGTAATTTCCCTGATCTCGAAAATGGGAAGTTGTGCTGAATCGGACATCGAGACGATAAGAACTACAAAAACTTTAGAAGAAATGAGCATCGACCTAAATGATAATACAGAGAGCTTCGTTTCCCGTTGCATTGCTGCTCAGTCGTTTGCGGACTATCTGACCGATTCCGATACTGATACCGAAAACTCAACCCTACCTCCCAGTAGACGTTGGGTATGGTATTGCAAACTTCCTGGTTGCCCAAACTACTACTCAGCCTGGACTTGCAAAACCAATTTCCTCCTTCACCTCTACGAGACACCAATGCATCGCGAGGACGACAACACGAAGACGCGTGAAAGTCGATGTATATTAGCAAGAAGCTGGAGGAGAGAAACTGCGTATGATCTTAGCGAGCCAAAAGAATCACCCCCACAACATAATGACTATCAATGTGGGAACAGATGAAGATGGCATACATATTTATATCTTCTCAAGAGGCGGCAGACAAACCGTTATGTGTTATGGCACAGGTTCACACGGAGAGGATTCAAGTTGCTTATCTTCAGTGTGTCATTTGGCTTTGGAGGCATTCCTTGGCCGACTTTCCCGGATCTGGTCTGTGTTCAGTTCATTTTCCATGTAGCGAACTAGCTTCCCTGTAGGCAATCATATACTCGTCTGCTATAATGGTGATCTCATCGAGGTTCGGGAATGTCAGCAGAGTCTGAGACTTCCGATATAGCAATATGACCCGTTCATCAGTGATATATAGGTGGATTGGCACGGCGGGACATCGCCGCATAGCTGAGTATGTGCAGCCCGTTCCTAGAGTGTACGGGAGAAAACCACTAATAAAAAGTGAGGAATAGGCAATAATCATAGATTCATCAAGAAAGACGAAGGCAACGCCCTATAAGAAATAATCAGTAAGGTATTATCTGGTTTACCTTGTATTATGAATTGTATTGATATTAATGATAATGGGAATACCGCAAACAGTAAGTAGGGAGTTACGCAGAGAATATTAGGCATACTAATAAAATTAAAATGACTCGATATTGCTGCTATAAGATTATGGTCAAGTTTCCAGCTATTGAAATGGAAATTAGCCAGGGTGTGCTCTTCTATTGGCCTGTTGGAGACTTTTATAAACTGGTATTTTGTGAGGAGATTGAAGTGAGAGTGAGTCCAGCTCTTATTATACGATTCCTGCAGTTTATTCTATGAGTTTTAATAAGCTGTTTAAATGTGTAGGCTGGAAGGCTCTGCGGCAGTACCTAAGGTGACTGAGTCTCAGTTGCCCGAATTGGATTCTAACAATTGCTGTGCTGCTGCCTGCTACTAGTGTTTAAGACGTTGGAAGTTCTATAACTACTAGCTTCGAGTGCGGTTTAAGAGAGGTAATCACACGCTAGTAACTCCACGACTTAACTATACTCTCTTTCCATCTGAGAAAGTCACATAACATGCCAGATGCTGCCACACAAGCCCTCTCATTGGAAAACTCCAGCGAGACTTCCCAACCTTGCGTTTCAGAGCGCTAAATAACTTGCACACCTCTCCTGCATGACTGGTGATTCTAGACGACTTCACTAAATGCGAGAATACTTATAATTTATCAGTCGTACTATCACAGGAATTAGCATAACCTACTTACCAGAAATTACTATTCTAAGAAACATATAGCACAAATTGGATACAGGTTTTAGTTTTTCTAAAATAGCAACAATGCTCCTAGAATTGTCGAGTTTGGTTTCAGGAATGTGAGTAACCTGCTTAGGATTGATTCTCGTTCTAGGAAGGACCTTGTCCATCCTGGAATATCTAGTTCTGGTCCTCTGAATCTCATATGTATGTATTTCGCGGAACCATGATTCTCAAATAATAGCTCCCTGAAAAAACAAAGAGTGGTTTTAGGACTTTAGTCGCAATTTCTATGATCAGCTTTAGTCCTAGTATCTGGAATAGAGACGCACTAAAGCCCTTGGAAGCATGTTCCCGAACAGTCGCGATCCTAGAGCCCAATCGCTATTACTACCTTCCGGGATGTGTGGGATGGTCCTCGCTTTACACTACAAAACATGGACTTCTTCTTGGCGCAATATATCTGATCGTTTCGAAGTAGGCTAGTTAATAATTTTAGATAACAGTTTCCATGTTGAAGCAGTTCCCTACGTCCGAAGATATTCCTTTTCCCCATAATTCTTTCTCACTGATTGTACTAGGGAGGCGCATTTTTGTTGAATTAGGGACAAGCCACATTCACAGCTAGTATATTGTTGCTAATCTCCTAATAGAGATGTGGAAAGTAATATAGGGCAACGCTAACGACTTTCTTCTTTTTAGTCCTGTCTTCCGTTTGGCTAGGTACTTGTTTAATCTTGTGGTTGCGGACTTCCACGAATGACTGTAGTTGTCGAGGGCTCGTGCACGCTTCTTTTTCCTTCGTCTTGCGCTCAGGCTCAGACGAGTAAATACCCCGCAGTGACATATCAGTGCTTTCTCGGTGTAGATGCTGGAGCGCAACTCAGCCCATAGGTGACTCATTACTGTGTGTCTGATCACACAGAAAAAAATTTTGGTCTTCAACAAAATTATGATGGTAGCTTATCTTGCAAGCTGAAGTTTAAAAATTAAAGCTGGTGGAGAGTTTCGGTATCCACTATCCACGCGCCGATATAGGCTTAACTATGGTAGCGGTCGAGCACGAGACCACCCTAGTGCCTATTCCTCTTCACCGGGAGTTGGCCATCGTGAGCAAAGAAAAATCTATATCGTCCCAGAGGATCCAGATCTGGAATCTTCATCGGAAGTTTGACCAGAATAATACCAGACGCCTAGCTGTTAGCTAAGAGGTATTGGTGGCCAGTCGCGTTAACCGGTGAGAAAGGAAGCTTAAGAGTTAGATCTGTGCCGAGATAGCTTTGCACATCGGACTTCTACACCCGAGGCAAATCCGACTTCTAATCCCAGCTCAATTGACATCAGGGCGTATGCGCTCAGCTATCTGTTTCTGAGAGGCGCGCACAAGCAGGGATATACCATATTCGCTTATCCTAAGGGGCCAAAAGGAGGGATTCCATCCCTCGGTGTGAAGTCCCAGGACCTGGGAAACATGGCTTCAATCATAGAAGGGCAATCGTTATCTCCTAGTTTCTCATCGCCGTAGTGCTCTTCTTCTCTGGTACTTACTCTACGTTTGAAAGGTGGCAGAAGTGCGATACCAATTTTGCTTAAACAGAGGCGCACGTAACGAGCCGCCAAGCGTAGGGTGCTCTTGACACCTCTTGGGGAGAATCGCCGAGACCATGTGTCCATCTTGGATTTAGCCATCCAACAGGAAAAAAGGGAATGCTGGATGCGCATGTGGCGGATAATTTTGTGACGTACACGGGCCAACAATTTTGTTGATCGCTGCTCGGGGTAATAAGCACTTGCAGTGCAAGTTGTGGAGAAGAAGAACAAGCGGGAAAACTGGAGAAAGGTTAAGGCACTAAACTGGGACTAAGAAGGCAGACTCACCGGCCCAGAGCCGCCACAGCTTGTTCTCTGCGATGAGATGTCTGTTTGTTGCTGAAATGGTGGTTCTGAATAATAGAGGACGCAGCTGAGATCGAGTCTCTATCCGTTCTATGAGGCAGGGGCGTCTATGACTAGGATTCCAATTAACCTTGCCAGCATGCCAGTTGCGTCCATTTCCCCAGGTCTTCTCGCGTGGCATTGTTGCTGTTCCGTGGAGTACCAAGGGTATCTAGTGCTTCTTGGCTCTGCAATTTGGTGAGCTTGATGCGCTTGGCAACAACCATCCTCGGAGAAAAAGAGCTGTATGAGCACCACGGCATATCAGCACGGTACCAGAAGAACGAGAAGAAAAAAAAAAGCACGAGAGACGAACGGCTAGCTGCGGTACTGGATCTTCCTCGTGGCCACGTTAGGCACGTTTGAGGTTATTTTTTTCTCCCCGAGCCTTGTCCGCATCCGGCTCCGAAGAAGGCATTCGGCTTCGAGTCAGAGTCAGGAAGAGCCAGCCGGTGACCGTTTTCCTCTGTAAGACTCAAGACTCAAGAGGGAACAAATCTCTGCCGTCCCGATCACGGAGACTAGACGGTGTCTCTTGAGCAAAGATCCCAGGTGCTGCGATAGGCCAGACAGGTCGCTTGTCCCCAGACTCCCCGTGGTCCTTAGGCTTGATTTACACTTTTCCCCAGTCCGGCTGTTTCTCCTCTCAATGGATCCCTTAGATCCCCTCACCACGATCGACACATCCAGCATGGCGTACCATAGGGCGTCGTCTGTCTGCTATCGGAAATCTTCCGTTTGTGCCTGGTCGTCTGCCGGGAAAGAGGCACGCACGGTCAGTCGCGGGGTGGCATAGCCGCAGGGCATTATGTAGGTATTTATCTCCTCCTCCCCCGCATCTGGTCTCCTTCGCTCTTCCCTTTCTTCTCAGCCCTGACTCTTCAGTTTGTGAGACCAGCTCGGTGTCCGGAGAATAGTTACCTACCTACCTGCTCTGGGCTCTCCTGCTGCTAGTCTCCTTCCTGGTTCCGTTGCATTATCGCTGGGATATCAGTCCATATCGACTCTCTAATCGTGCATATTATATAGGAGGACTCATCTATAGTGCAAAGATGGCAGACACGCAGGACAAGCCACAGAGGGTTGAGCTGGAGTCACCGCTCCAGCAGGAGCAGGAGAGTCAGCTCAGCCTCTCCAGCATTGGCCGGTTTCTCGTTACTCGTATTCCTACTCTCGTGCCGCCCATGCACCGGGTGCCCAACCCGATCAAGGCGCTGACGCTGTTGAACAAACAACAGTGGCTGTTTTTTGGTGTATGTCGTCTATTCCTGCGCTGTCCGCGCTCTGTATCCCCTTCGCGGAGGGCGCAAATGGCTCTCTCAACTATGCCATATCCACAGCTGACAATGTTATTAGGTAGCATTCCTGGGATGGACGTGGGACTCGTTTGATTTCTTCACCGTCTCTCTCACTGTGACTCAGTTGTCGGAGTATTTTGGAAAGTCCACCTCGGATATAACCTGGGGAATTACACTCGTTCTAATGCTTCGTTCTGTCGGCGCCGTCATTTTTGGTGTTGCTTCGGATCGGTATGGACGAAAGTGGCCCTTCATAGTGAACAACTTGCTGTTCATCGTGTTGGAGTTAGGAACGTCTTTCTGTCAGACCTATAAGCAGTTCCTGGCCTGCCGTGCCCTCTTTGGAATCGCCATGGGTGGTCTCTACGGTAACGCAGCAGCTACCGCGCTCGAAGATTGCCCATACGAGGCTCGTGGTGTAGTCTCTGGTATGCTTCAACAGGGCTACGCTTTTGGATATCTGCTGGCTGCAGCCTTCTCGCGCGCACTTGTCGATACGACACCGCATGGCTGGAGGCCTTACTATTGGTTCGCAGCTTGCCCTCCGGCACTCTTCATTATCTTCCGTCTTTGCCTGCCTGAGACGAAGGCCTTTCAGGAGCGACAAAAGGCTCGCGCAGAAATGCGTGGAGGGGTGGCAGGAACCTTCCTTTCGGAGGGCAAGGTTGCTCTTAAGCGCCATTGGCTGATCCTGATCTACTTGGTTCTGCTGATGGCTGGCTTCAACTTTATGGTAAGTCAATCCATCCTTTCAGGTTTCCTGGCTCAGAAGTGCCCGCGCTTGTTGCATGGCGTAAAATAGTCAACTAACAGCTTTCTATAGAGCCATGGCTCGCAGGATCTCTACCCCACGCTCCTCAAAGCTCAATTCAAGTTCTCCGCTGATGCAGTTACTGTTACGCAAGTTGTTGCCAACCTCGGTGCAATGACAGGCGGCACAGTCTGCGGCTGGGCTAGTGGAATCTTTGGTCGCCGCTTTTCTATCATCTTTGTCAGCATTGTTGGCGGTGCGCTGCTGTACCCCTATACTTTCGTGACGTCCAAGAGAGTGATGGCGGCCGCCTTCTTCGAGCAGTTCTGCGTCCAGGGCGCGTGGGGTATCATCCCTATCCATCTGATGGAACTGTCTCCGGGTGCAATTCGCACTTTTGCTGTCGGTACTGCGTATCAATTGGGCAACCTGGTCTCATCTGCCAGCTCGACGATCGAGTCAACCATCGGTGAGCGCTTCCCGCTGCCGCCAGCGAATGATGGCGAGAAACGTTACGATTACGGTACGGTTATCTGCATCTTCATGGGTTGCGTTTATGGATTCGTGATCCTCGTCACCCTTTTCGGGCCGGAGAATCTCGGACAACAATTCGACGTTGAGCACGACAGCGACCTTGCCGAGGTGGCTGCCACCAGAGGCGCCAGCATTGACGCAAGTGACCCAGAGAAAGGAGTTGCCGTTGACAGAGCTAATGTGACGCACTGAACTGATTCATATGAAGATATTGGTATGCACTTGGATAGCAAGAAACGAGATACCCATGAATTCTGTCCTTTCATGCAATGGATGACTCATGACAAGCTTGAAAGGGTTAGATTATATATAATGATTATTCTTCATGACCGTGTCATGTCATAATGTCACTTTGCTACAATATCAAATGATGTCGACTTTGACATAGCTTCACTTGTATCTGTTTTGCTTTGGTGATGGACCAGTGAAGGATTATCCTGTGGTCTGAAACTCAACCTTGTGGTAGTCTTCAAAACTTCATTCTGACAGGATATCGCATCCCAGTTGTAGACGCACCGCAGTAATTCAATGGTAGTTAATGCTTGACCGTATGTAGATACGCGTCACGTGATAATCAGATTGACTTCACCTGCTGTGCCCGGTTTATCCAACTGCTCACACGTACACGTTTCGCCCATCCCGGGGCGCTTAGGATACGACAACATATTCTCCTACGCTACCAGGTAGAAGGGTAGGCGGCATAATTTATCCTCTTGTTTCTCGCTGAGAAATATACATGTTGATCCCCGGAGACCTAATCTCTATCTACTACTATTGTTGATATCACACATCCGCCACACCATGGCTTCGTCCCAGAGCAATTGAAATCATCAAGCAATCAATATATCATAAACCGTACGCATCATATATTGCACAATATTATTCCACGTCCCCAAAGATAACAGTCACAATGACGGATGTCGCCCAGTCAATCGACCTGCTACCCGCATCCGAACTCCGGCCGGAGAACTACAAATTCCCCGCGGGGAAATTACAACGATGCAGCCAGTCTGGTAAAATACCCCTCGTGTTAATTGCCTGTGGCAGCTATTCGCCGCCGACGTTTCTGCATCTGCGCATGTTCTCGATGGCGTCGGACTTTGCGAGGATGAATACCGACTTTGAGGTCGTGGGTGGGTATCTCTCGCCTGTGTCGGATGCATATCAGAAGGCAGGGTTGGTGGAGGGGATTCATAGGTGGGTTGTACTATTCTGCCAAACAATTTTTTTTTCTTTGTTTGAATATGATTCATGATGTGCATCTATTCGTGGAAACCAAATGGGAGTACATCAGAACTAACAAGAGTATATATATACTACAGAATTCACATGTGCCAGTTAGCAGTCCAGACGTCTAAGTGGATCAACATAGACCACTGGGAGGCTATTCAACCAGAATATATGCCTACGGCTAAAGTCCTGGACCATTTCGAACATGAAATCAACTCTGTCCTAGGCGGGATCGAAGATGCTAATGGAAAGCGCACGAGAGCGCAGATAGCCCTTCTTGCCGGCGCGGATCTGATTGAAACGTAAGCTATACCCGACCCTAAATTCTCAAAGAAAAAAACGAAAAGACAATGAAAAGAATGAGACAAAATCTCACTTGTCCCCAAGACAAGATCCTAATGTGTTCTGATTTTGATCTGGATAGCATGTCCTCACCCGATCTCTGGGCCGAAGCAGACCTTCAACATATCCTGGGCGACTTTGGCGTCTTCGTCGTGGAGCGCGCAGGGACTGATCTCCGTGACGCATTGACTAGTCTGAAGAAATGGGAACACAATATCCATCGTATCCCGCAGGTGGTGCCGAACGAGATCTCGAGTACGAAGATTCGGACCCTGCTGAAGCAGAGGATGAGTGTGGATTATTTGATTCCGAGGGGGATTATTGAGTATATTGAGGGGAATGGATTGTTTATGGACGAGGAGGAAGCGGGGTCTGGTAAGGGGGGTGAGAAGGTGGATGGGCGGAAGTGAATTGACTACTACATGTATGGATTTATGGGGTTATACTCTAAAGAAGGAGAGGGGCGTTTGGTATGTATAATATGAATCTTTTCTCTTCTTTATTTCTTTTAGAAGGAGGTATTTTTTTTTTTTTTTTTCAGATGTTTAGAACGTACTGAGTTAGGTGTCAGGACTCTAGAAGGATAATGTATTGTATTCATAGTAATAATAACAATACACGACACTATCAAATTGCTCCATTGCTGCTCTCCACTTGATACTTACCACCAGTTAACGCTGTTAGATAGGATAGGATAGGAATCCGCTAATTATAGGTCGTACCTTTTCGAGATATGAATTAGCCATCATAAATCTCCCCACCTCAAAAGAGGTATCTGTTTAAAAAGATAGCACAAGAAAAGAAAAAAAAATCCAATAATCAGATTCTGCTTAATCAACTTTCTTATATTAACGCGCTCAGTGCAATTTTTTATTGCATCACGAGAGTAGTCTCCTCATTGGAACGAAATGATTTTCTTTCTCTCTCTCTTTTTTTTTATCGGCATAAGTCCCGAGTATATTCATTTACTATTATCGAGGACCTTTCCGGATATAAAAAAAAAATCAAGACTAAATTAGAAATCCACACTGACCTGTATTATTACTAACTTGTAGAAGTAGATAACTAGTGCAAGAGATAGGATAGGATAACTAGGCCAAGCTAAAAATTTTAGTTAGGTTGAGATCCTGATTTCCTATGTCTTTCGTTTTCTTGCACTGGATGGAATAAAGTTGGTAGTGGAGATGGGGGGGATGCGATAAGACCCATTTTCTACCGGTAGCGTTTGCGTTTGCGTTTGCGTGTGGTGTGTGTGTGTGTGTGTATGCACGTTCTTTTAATGTAGATAGGTATGGAGTGTGGTTCTGTTTTCTGTTAGGACTAACTGGGTAGGTAATTGTCGCAGAAGGTGGTTATGCTGTATTGAAACATGTCCAGCTGGATAATGCTGCAGAGGAAATAAGAAGAGAAAAATGGTTGGGAATAAATCTGATGAGATTTCCACTCTATTATCAAAGCAGGTTAAATGTCGAGGTCATGGTGCACCAAGTTTGACATCACGCGGACGGTGCGGGGTTTAAGCGTTTTGGAGTATTAAAGTCAGTAGGTATCAGTATCATTATTGCATGGCTCTTTAGTTGATAATTATTAAGCTCTTGTTTCCTTGGCTGTGGCTGCCTTGGTGTGAAACCGGACTGGGAACTAAGAAGTAGGGTTACCCAGGTAGGATTATGCATATTATTTACCTGCATACAGGATGTGTGAGGTGGGAGAATGCGACAGGAACTAGGTAGGTAGTTAACTAGTTAGTTGGTTAGCAGAGTAATTTATTACTAAGTATGATCAGAATCTATGATATTCTGTGATGTGGGAAATAGCGATGTGTAATTATAGAATAGAGTATGTTTATGCCAAATTGTGGAAGAATAATAATATGCTGTTAGTTAACTATGTTATGTTCCGCCGTTTAACTAAGGAATTGGTACTCTAAGACAGAAAAGCTTGGTATTGTTAAAAAGTCCCGAGACAGGATATCTATTTTGGGATAAACATCGATCGACGTCGACCAGGTCTTAACTGTCTTGGTCATCAAACGCACGGATTGCGTGCTGATAAGCGGCTGATCGTATTCAATTAATTAGCCAGAGCGATGGCAAGGCTGCGAAGGTAGTCAGGTCAGGTCAGGTCAGGATCTAACGGGGTTCTTGAGTCTTGAGAACTCTCATTATTAACTAACTCATAACTGGTTAATGTAGTCAACTGAGGGTGGTGTGTAGAATAATAATAATAGTACAGATGATAAGCCTGAATTGAATAATATAGACATAATAATAATAAATCCCTTGAAACCCTCGATCGAGTCCAGACCGCGCGCGGAGATGCCGCCCAGGCCAACTTCATCCATCCAGCTTCCCGTCTCCGGAGGCCGGCCGCGAGTAACTAGAACAAGATCGTCCATCTTCCCATCTTCCTGCTTTCTTCTTCTTCTTTTTCTTCTTCTTTTCCCTTCTTTTCTAGTTTATTCTCTTATATCTTGCCAGCAAGACATTCTCTGCTCCTCCTCCCCCGCCCTGCTCGCGCATTCCGACCGAATCCCACCTGTCGCTCGTTCTTCTCACGGAAAAGGCTCTTCTGCCCTGTGCTCAGCCGCCAATCGCCGCCGTCGGTCGCTTCGCTGCTTTACCGCGCCTTCTCCCTCTCTCTCTCTCCTTTAGACGGCAGACGGCGAAAGTTGAAAGTCTTCACGACGGCCCCCTCTTCCCTCAGGTCAACCCCCTTACGTCGCCTTACGACTGCAGTTACTACTCCGTCCGATCCCGCCAGTTCGACCCGTCAAGCATTGGCGCTGGATGAGTGTTCTCCCCGCCTCCTCCAATGCACAGACGCTCGTCTGGCTCTCCGGTCGAAGACGGCGTTGAAGACACTCCGGTCTCGCGAACGTCGACAGAGGATGGCCATGGAGCAAACGGCTACGAAACACCAGAGAAGTCGCGGTCGCAGGTAGCCAGAAGGGCCCCCAGCATCGATCTCCGTCGAGACAACGCCGTCTCGACCCCCCGATCCCGTACCTCCAGCGCGTGGAGGAACCCGCCAACGCCCTCGTCGCAACAACCCGCGACCACCGATCCCAAAACGCCGGCCATGATGCCATTGGGTGCTCAGCGGTTCACCATGGAGGCATCGCCAGAGGCTCGACGGGTTCGCCAGGCGCGATGGCGCAGCCCATGGGCATTGTCGATCGGGACGCTGTTTGTGACCTTTCTGGGGATGATCTCGCTGTTGTGGATCGTACGCTCGTTTATGACACGCCAGGCTGGCGCCGATGGGTGTGATGTACCCATGATGAGTCCCACGTTCATCAAGATGCTTGGGTTTGATACGGAGCACACACGGTTCGCGAGCAAATACAATTTATACCTCTATCGGGAAGAAGGGGTGGATGCATATAGTCAGGAAAACATCGGGGTATGGATCTCTCTCAAGGGAAAAATTTTGATTGTTTGGTGATATTCTTTTCTTGGGGCGTCAAATGCTGATGGTAGATTGCAGCTCAATGGAGCACCCGTTCTTTTCCTTCCTGGAAATGCCGGAAGTTACAGGCAAGTCCGATCACTGGCCGCAGAAGCCTCGAGACACTATTTCGACGTCGTCCGACATGACGACGAACGTCTCAAGTCGGGAACGCGGAGCTTGGATTTCTTCATGATTGATTTCAACGAAGATATGGCAGCGTTCCACGGCCAGACCCTTCTCGACCAGGCTGAATATGTGAACGAAGCGGTGGCCTATATTCTGTCGCTCTACCATGACCCCCGGCGGTCCCGACGAGACCCTGATCTGCCCGATCCGAGCTCGGTTATACTCATTGGACACTCGATGGGGGGGATTGTCGCCAGGACGGCGCTGACTATGGCCAATTATCAGGCGAATTCGGTCAACACTATCATCACCATGTCTACGCCCCATGCGAAACCGCCAGTTTCTTTTGACTCAGACGTGGTGCAGACGTATAAGCAGATCAACGACTACTGGAGGGAAGCTTATTCTCAGACATGGGCCAACAACAACCCTCTTTGGCATGTGACACTCATCTCCATCGCCGGTGGTGGTCGCGACACGATTGTTCCGTCGGATTATGCCAGTCTCTCATCGCTAGTTCCTGAGACCCACGGTTTCACCGTGTTCACCTCCACGATACCCGATGTCTGGATTGGCATGGATCATCTGTCCATTACATGGTGTGACCAGTTCCGCAAAGCGATAATCAAATCTCTCTTCGACATCATCGATGTCCGCCGTTCCAGTCAGACAAAGCCCCGAGCAGAGAGAATGAGAATTCTGAAGAAGTGGTATCTGACTGGACTGGAGCCGGTTGCTGAAAGGAGTCTGCCACGCAAAGAGCCGAATACACTGTTGACCCTGGAAGCCAATACCAACTCAATCCTGTCGCAGGGTGAAAGGCTCGTCCTCCGTAGTTTTGGACGCCGGAAGGAGCCCGAAGCACATTTGCTGCCCGTACCGCCTCAAGGAGTTCCGGGGAAGAAATTCACCCTTCTCACAGATCAGACGCTTGATAAAACCGGTGGTAACGGCAACCTCGAAGTTTTGTTCTGCACGGTGTTCCCACTTCAAGGTGGCAACTCTGCGGCTGTTTTCTCAATGAACATGGATCTGTCTGGAGGTAGCGCGGGTTCTACTCGCCTAGCCTGCAAGAATGCAGCCGAGGATAGAATACATCTGCCAGCGTCAACCCGTGAATCTAAGTACCCCTTTGATCGAACTCGCCCATTCTCCTATCTTCAATATGACCTGGAAGATCTGGCGGAGCATCAATTTGTCGCAGTAGTCGACAAGGCCAATTCGCCAACGGGCGGTTGGGTCGTGGCGGAATTCTCGGACAGCTCTGATTCCTTGATCCAGACCAAGGTTGGCCTGGGCCGTCTCCTCAGCGCTGGTCTGAATGTAAGATTGCCCGCAAACCGCCCAATGTTGACGGAGATCAAGATTCCTTCCTTGCACTCGAGTCTGCTTGCGTACAAACTCAGTGTGAAGAACCATGGCTGTGGTGACAGGCACGAGCTTTTCACCCCGTTACTGCGTCAATCCATTCCAGAACCGAACGAGTCCAAGTTTTTTGTCAATGTGAAGGATGTCAATGTTAACCTGCATGGCATTGCGCCATTCATGCCCCCGCCTCTCCGTGAACAGTCTACCTTGGGTGGTATTTCCTTCCAGCTCTGGTCGGATCCGACCTGCGGTTCCCCGGTCAAAGTCTCATTGAAAGTGGATCTCTCCGGTAGTCTTGGAGAGCTCGTGATGCGTTATAGAACGGTTTTCGCTGCGTTCCCGCTACTGGTTGTCGCGATTGTCCTGCGAAAGCAGTTCCAGGTATACGATGAAACGGGCTATTTCATTACTTTTTTGGAAAGCTTGAGCTTGTCTCTCCGGTCATCTTTGCCTCTTCTGATGCTGGCGCTGTCGTTTTTCGCGTCGTCCCTGGCTACGTCGAGAAGACTGCCGCCGAATGATGACCCCTTTCACTGGCGGACGAACGCCACCGAATCGGCAATCGACTTCACGAAGAATGACCTGCTGCTAGGCTCTCAAGATGCCTTCTTTTGGTTCCTGGTCCCGCTTTTCGTGCTGATCAGTATTGGAATCTGCGTTGTCCTCAACTATATCGTCCTGTTTCTACTCGCCATATTTTCTTTCCTATACGGTCTTTTCCGAAGCAGATCGGGTTACATCCGACGGGATGACAAGGGGTACGTTAGAATATACTGAAGAAGCGGAATCTCGATTGCTAACTGTTGTTGTACCAGGAACTTACCGATATTTTCAGCTCCTACCCCTAGAAGGAGGATCATCAACACTGCCATTCTGCTGTTCCTTGTTTCAACTGTGATTCCATATCAGTTCGCCTATATGGTTGCATGTATTGTGCAACTAGCAACCACCGTGCGCGCGATGTGGCACGCAAAAGAAACGGTATTACCTCTTATGTCAAGCTCTCCAAACTTTACTGACCATTATGCAGAAATCGACCGCCCATTCCAACTTTTTTAATTATGCTCATTCAATTCTCATCCTCATGTTGTGGATCCTGCCCATCAACGTTCTTGTCCTCCTTGTATGGGTACATAACTTGTTGGTGCACTGGTTCACACCGTTCTCATCGCATCATAATGTTCTATCAATAATGCCATTTATCCTCCTTGTGGAGACCATGACGACCGGGACTATGATTCCCCGGGTTACTACACGGTAAGTTCACTTGGGTGGAGTGATACAGAATTCGGGCCTAACAAACCTTCCAGATTTAAGCATCTTACTTCTGTCCTTTTCTTCTCCCTTGCCGTTTACTCCGCTATATATGGTGTTTCATATGCTTACCTTCTTCACCACATCGCCAACATTGTCGCCACATGGTTAGTTGGCATCTACTTTTTCGGCAGCGGTCTCTCCCTAGGGTCACTGTATCGCATCCTCGAGGGAGAAGATATTGGGACTGCTGTCTCGGAAGCCGGTGGAAGTCATGTGAAGAAGAAGCCTTGAGTCTTCTGCATGTGTTTAGTTTTCTTGTTTACTATTAATACCGCCTGCATCGTCTGGCGGCTTGCTGTTCTTTTTTCGATCATTTCCCCGGAGTAATGTGTTTCTGGGGCGCATGCCCCTTTTTGGCCTTCAACGGTCGGTCAATACTGTACAGCACGATGATTATATCAGCGTTAGCATGGCACGGCGAGCTGTTTCGGTTTGCCTTTTAAGATTCTTTTTTTGCATTTTCTTTTCTCTGGCTAGATACATCGATACATCTGGCCGTTGGTTCTTGCCGCTTCCTTTTCCAGGTTAGATTCCTATGCCAACTGGCTAAGTGCGGGTCGGCTCCTCTCCACCACCTACCCGCAGCTATGCTGGACCAACAGCTTCTCTGTCTCTTGCCATATACCGATTACCATTGACCGTCGTCCTGTCGGGCGGGATGTGCATGTTCATTTTTCTTTTCCTTTCTCGATTGAGGCGAGGGCGGTGGAGTTGGGACGTATACAGATCTAAATACAGTTTGGCGGATGAATCGAAGGGAGTGAATCGTATCGTTTACCATGGTAGAAACGCTCAGTTGGAGTAATCATTGTCCTGTATTATCCTGTATTAACGACGGCTGATCTGAGGACTTTGTCCAAGGGAGAATCAACACGATTGAAAACCGTGCACGAACAAGCCGTTCCTGTAGAGATAAAAGTCTTTCTTGGATAAAATGGAGATTGTACAGTATATTCTGATTAATAGACTAGATCTAGAGTCTTGATCCCTCCCTCCTCAAGAGATCCACTCCCTCACATCAGCCCTGCTGACCGTATATCACACCGGCGGGCTCTCGACCCTTCCTGCACGGATGTTATTCCTCTATCCTTAAACCCTTTTTCTGCTTTCCCTGGGTGGTGATAATTTCCCCTGTTCCAGGTAATAGACTCGGTCTGATGATAATCACGTCGATCCGTTGGTGTTGGGACGAGGCCTGGTCTGTGGAGGATATAGTTGTGAGAAGAGCGGTTTTTCGTGATGTTTGTGTAACTAACTAACTAGTCGATGTATGTATGTATATTTATCGAAGAGCAGAGGGAGGAGCTCTTGTATGTACTACTCGATTCGGTGGACTCATTCTTTCTCTTCATAAGTTATGGATCATGGAATGTTTCCGAGTAAGCATTCTGGATCGCGGCGGAGGGATAATACAATGATCGATTCAGCTGAGAGGCTTGAATGTCATTATACCAGGGCTAGAAGAAGCAGGATGATCGCATAATGGAGGTTCAGACACGCTCCAGGAAGGAAAGAGAGCCAACTCATAATTTTACCTTTTACGCATTCAGAGGACCGACTTTCACATCGCCTCGACGCTTCAATTCTTCAAACTCTTGCTTCTCCGCCGCGAGACGTTTCTGTCGTCGCTGCTTCGCCTGCACCGCTGCCATCCGCTTTTTCAAGCCGAATTTCAGCTTCGTGATCATATCAGCCGCTTGACCTCGCGTGAGGTCTTCGGATCGAAATGGCTCTTCGTGAACGCGCCGTTTATTCAGCATGGCAAGTTGGCTAGGAGTCGCGGGTGCGCTCCTCCAACGTTGGTGAGTGGAGATAAACGACGTGTCGAAGATACCGCTAGCGTAAGTGTCGGCTGCACGAACGGCCTGGTCCAGATCAGGTGCGCTGGCAACCTGGCGTGGACGCGTGTAGACGGTTGCTTCGGTCTCGTCGTGGGTGAATTTTGTGACATGTCGCACGGCAAATAGGTCTGATCCCTCGTCCTTCTCGATGGTGAGCCATCCAGATCGGTCAACGAGGACATAGCGAGCTTGATCTACCCGTACCCATGAATTGGGTGAGATGGACCGGATGTGTCTTTCACGGTGGACATCACCGAGCAGGTCGAAGATACTGTCGTACTTCGTAAAGGTGATATTGACTTCGTCCTCGTTAGGCAGGCCCTCGCCTTGCGACGCAGGCTCGGATTCGAGAGCTGCGGCGCTCTCAGATAGCTCTCTCGCATTCACCTTCTCGAGCACCTTGTCCGGGTCAAGGCCGAACAGTGTAGGCGTTGAGAGCACTCCAGCACGCAAAGAGGCAACCATGTCGATAATGTGACAGTCTTTCTTGCCCGGATACAATCGAAGGCCCCTTCCAATCATCTGGATCAGGAGATTCTTCGACCGTGTAGGCCGCGCAAGAAGAACGCAATCGATGTTTGGGATATCAGTTCCCTCGGTAAACAGACCGCAATTCAGCAGAACCGGATATTCTTGGTTTTTGAACGCGAGCAGTTGTTCGGATCGGACGTCCTTCGGAGTAGAGCTGGTAATGTATCGAGCATCAATCCCATGCTCGCGAAAGGTTGCGGTGAGCTGCCGGGCATGCTCGATGTCGACACAGAACACTAGTGTTGATTTCCGGTCACTGGCGTTCGAGAGCCATGCGCGCACAGTTATATTGTTGGTTTGTTCTGTATTGACTGCCTCGGAAAGTTGGCCGACAGCAAAGTCTCCGAATTTGTCCTTCCGGACGCCAGACAGGTCGGCCTCTGACTTTACAGTTGTGAACACCGCATCTGCCAACCACTGTTCCCCGATCATGTCGACGTAGTCTTTATGGTAGACAATATGGTCGATCGCGGCGCCTAGCTTCAGCCCGTCGAATCGAGAAAATGTCGCAGAGACACCCACCAGAATAGGCGACTCCTCAGACGCTTTATCCAATCCGAAATGCTCCAGCGCCTCACGGTAGGATCGCGCCACGATATGGTGTGCCTCATCGACGAGCACCAGCTTGAAACGATCGGGATTGAACTTCTCTATGCGACCTCTCGATACGAGACTCTGTATAGAGGCGATTGTGATATCGGCAGCTCCTGAAGCTTTATTATTTCCCATTTCGATCTCGACAGTTCGGTCTGGATACGCAAGTCGGCAATGACGCGCTGCCTGCTCAACGAGCTCTTTTCGGTGAACTATGATCAATGTCTGGGTTGCATGTCTGGTACGAGGAGGTATACGGCCGATCAACTGTGTAAAGATGACCTATAGTACAGAAGCTGATTAGTTCCTGGACAGCAGAACATGTATACTATCGACAGCTTCTACCAACCGTCTTTCCTGCGCCAGTTGCTAGAGATATACCCAGTCGTTTGTGACCATCGCTGACGTATTTCAGCACGGACTGAATGCATTCTTCCTGGTACTGTCGGAGACGAATACCTCCCGACAGCGGTGGATCGCTAGAAGGGGCATCGCTAGAAGGCCGCGGCGGACTGGATCTTGTAGAGCTTGTAGAGTTTAGACGTCTATCCCAAGGAAGTGGTAGAACAGCTCTCTGAAAGGCAGGGCGGCGCAACGACCATCGTAGGACCCGGAACATTCTCCATCCTCCCAGGAAAGACTCCATGCGAGTGTTCCAAGATCAACGCGATGTGGCTGTCCAAGAAATTATTAACCTCCCATTGTCTAATCTAAGACTTCTTTTTGACGACGATCTGCGGCGAAATGGCGGAGCTCCGGCAGACAAACAGCGCAAACACATTTCTGTCAATCTTTTGGGAATTCTTTGATGCGGACATGATTATTTCGCTACCACCACATCATACCAACTTTCTGAGTGCCGATGTTTCTGATTCTGCTGTTGTTCACATAACCACATATTCGGTGTGATGTTTCCCCAATTCCTCCCAGATCCCCCAGGTCTTCGGCGTGTAGCACGCTCGGGCCTCGCCCAGCATCAACATCATGAGCACTACAAGTCTTTACGAACCAGATGAAGATGAAGAAGCTTCGGACTCGGATGTTGACAGCAGAGCCCCGCGACAGGGATTTCCGGCGTCTTCCCCGCCGCTGCAGGGGTTAAGGATCGAGTCGTCAGATGAATCTGGAGGAGAGAATCGCAAAACAAGACGGCGCTCGAGGTCTTCCAAAGGACTGCGATACAACGCCCATCGAAGTCGCCGGAGAGGGTTTACAAAAGAGGCCATCGAATCGTACCGTCATATGCTGACGGATATGATCAATGATGTCTCCACAGGACCTAAGTTCGACGAAGGAGAAACACATCATCCGTCACAGAACGGAGCCGTTACCTGGTCCTCCAGCGAGAAAAATGTCTTTTTCAACGTCCTTGCTAGAAAGGGAACGGATGGTATACGAGACATTTCCAATGCCATTGGGACAAAATCTGAGCTAGAGGTACTCGACTATATCAAGCTTCTCCAGGCCGGTCTCGAGCGCCAGCATCTTCTTGAGCGTCACCCCCGGTCCATTGTCCTGGGAGATATACCAGCCGCAGCGGAAGTTAGTCCGGAATGCTGTGAAGCTCTAGATGAATTCGCTGAGATTCTTGCCTTAGAGGAACAGGCCTCGGAAGACACTTCGGGGAGGAAAAAGCACCATGATAACTGGATCATCGATCGCGAAAAGGCCGAGCAGATAGAGCAGCAGCTAGAAACCCAGAATTCCTCAGACAATCAAGCCGAATCGAGCATAGCTCTCTCTGCTAGCTTACTCAACATCAGCAAGTGGATTAAGCTGTCTGAACGCTGCTTTATGAATTTTGGAGGGTCGCGCATCGAAGACAACTGGGTAAACATAGCCTACGCGGACGAATCTCCCTCGCTCACCAGCGATGCGTTTGCAGATTTCTACGCCCTGGCAGTGAGCATAACACGACGCCTGGTCCAGTCGTCTATTTTCTTTGCCATGTCCCGCATCCGCGACGTATCATGGAGTAATCGTGAAATATCTCGGGTCGTGAGACTCCGCGACGTCAGAGCGGCGCTAGACGTGCTGAACATGAAGTCTGATACATTTGATTTCTGGATCGGAGCTGCGCGGAGATGTAGCCTCGAAGTGGCAGATATACGACACCGTAAGGGCTGGACAACGTCCTACATGAGTTATGATGAGGTCGAAAATGCTCTATCAGGATCAGTAGCGTCTCGCGAAAGGAGCGTTTCTCGCCATCCATCTGAGAACCAGACACAAGAAATCGACGCTATGGAAGAAGAAGATGATGATGATGAATCTTCTGCTGAGGAAATGTCAGAAGCCCTGTCTTCCCCTGGGTCTGAGCCTCGTTCAGACGAGGACGAAGAAATGGCACCTGATCCCGAAACCCTCGAAGATACCCACGCAGAGTATCTCGACGAGCAGATCAGCAAGACGGAGGAACTCCGTATCTGGCAATTGATAGGACACCACGTCCCATCTGGCCCCGAACCACCGATCAAACTCGAAGACAGTGACCGAATGCCAAATGCCAATCTCACCGGGCCTCGAAAACCGATCGGAGAGCGCAAGAGAAAAGAAGATCTAGTCGACTGGCGAGATCGCGTACTCTATCGAAGCGAATGGGAGGAATACGGCTACGAAATATTCGAAATCGAAGACGATCTCGATCGAAACCGGAGGAAAAGACGACGCGTGGAAGACACGCGCGGGAGCAAATCAAGTACATTGCAAGTGCGCAAATGGCGTGAAAACATCGATCACGATAGCAGTGATCAAAACGAGCGCAACACAGCAGGGATGGGAGATACCACCACAGACGCGCATGAGGGCCACACCGACGAGAACGAAGACGATCAGAGCACCGATCTTAGTGACGGCGGTATGGAATTGGATCCAGCATCTGAAGCCAGCGCTCATCATATTCTCGACGAGCATGGCCATGACCATGACCATGAACATGAACGTAAACCTGATAAAGAGGATCGCGACGGGTCCCAAGGAAGTCATCCACCATCTAGTTCAGGTCATGGACAACCAGTGCTCGATCCTGAAGAAGGAGAAGAAGAAGAAGAGATCCGTCCTCCTTTACATTCTGGTTCACCCGGTTCTCACGAACTTGGTGATTCTGAATGATATCTCGACATCCGGGATGACCTTTCTCATATCTATGTCATCATATAGTGTGTACCATAGTTACATGTCATGTTGTGGATATTAATTGGTTAAAAGTTATACTATCTGCTTTTTGTGGACTGAGTCAGTAAATTATAGGGCATGGGGTTAAGCAAGCTATCCAGCAATAAAGGTATATCCTCTTGAATTCTTCACCCCTGACGTCCGCCATGGACTCCTTAATCTCACAGGAAAGAATGAGAACAGTACAATTTCACAAAGGCAAGTAATTCGATTGATAAGTTTCATTGATTTGACCTGATTTATTTGATAATAAGGAAAAATCATGCATTAGAAAACACATGTTTCACTAAATGAAATCCTTCTCACTAAATAAGATAAAAAAGCGTTAACATAAAAAGGCTTCTTCGAAACTCCCTGGAAAATTGTGCGCCTTCCTCATAACTAACATCAAAAGTGTAAAAACAAGGGAGAAAATAGAAGACAGGCAGTAAAAGCGAGTCACACAATTTTAAAAGAAGAAAAAGAACCACCTCATCTACCCAAGTTTCTGCCACGTCCTTGAGATTTAAAAATTTCCCTTCCGTGTCCGATTTTGCGTCTTTTTGAAGAAGTCCCTCCGTAGCTGTACACAATGCGAATTTTGCAGAAAAAAGTGCGCCCTGTTGTTGAAAGAAACACATCCCTGCTACTCTTACAGGTCCAGAGTCTTGAAATCCGCACCAGCTTCTGCGCTCAATGGCTGAACTCTGGCTCTTGAGTCAGCGTCTGCTGGCTGGAAAGTGAAGTGATTTCCAAGACCGGCAGTGGCGGCGTCGGCGAGGATAGCGTTCGCTTCCTCACCAGGGCCCTTGAGGCTAGCAGCTTGCATTGCGTCCTGGACTTCCTTGACTCGCTTCTTGAAGGCCATGCGGTCGAGGAAGAGCTGCTGTCGGGCCTGCTCCAGCTCTCTGCGCTCAGCTTCGATGATCTCTTCCATTTCGTTGAACTGCGCAAGCTTAATCTCGAACTTCTGCAGCGTGATGTTGACAGCAGCAGACACAAGGCGAGTCATCTCGCGCTCTTCGTGCGATGCCAGGGCACCGGCACGAGCAGCAGATGTTCCCAGTGCTACAGTGGCAAGAGATGCTGGCGTACGCTTGTCTCCCTGGGCCACTTCCGTGGACTCCTGTTCCCGAGAGACTTCCTCGATCTCCATCGAATCCTCAGACTTCATGGGCTCTCCTTCCTTCTCCTTGCCTTTATCTTGAGCCTTGTCACTGCTCTTCTCAATCTGCTTTTGGAGCTCCTTGCGGATCTCCTGCACGGAGCGTCCGGCTGCCGCGGCGGCCACTGCAGGCTCTGCCATCTGTGCCAAAAATGCGACAACAGACAGAACAGGGTTGTCGAGCTGGCTAACCGGTTCTCTTCCGTTAGGAGCCCGGTTTGCGTCTGATGTACCGGGCAGATCGTCGAGATACTTGTCCTCAATCTCTAGTTGCAAGAACTTCATCACACACTCTTCCCGAGTTCTCGTGCCGACATGCTTGGCGATCTGGTCCCAGTTGTCGTCAAAGTTCTCGAGAGCCTCGAGGAGCAGAATCAACTCTGACTCAGACCACGGAGCATCCTTATCGGAGATACCGGTGTGTGGCTTCTCTTCGATTCTCACAAAGTCTGAGGCGCTGTGGCTGGACGGCATGCGACCCTGGAGGAAGCAGTTCGGGCACAGATCGTATTTTGTATCAGAAGCATTGGGGTTTGCTGTAGCAGGAGTCGACTTGGCGTAGTGAAAGCGAAGGCGCGTACAATCGATACCACAAGAGAAGCAGTGGACTTTGCGGCGCGGCTCACGGACGACGCTCTCCAACGACTTGGCTGAAGCCTCGGCCACTGTGCCGTTAGCGGCAGCGCCATCTCCATTCGTCTGCTTCGCCTTGTCTTCGGAGGGAGTGACTTCTTTGCCCTTATCGTCGTAGATATTGCGACGGATCTCGAGGTTGAGATCCGCCTTGCTGGCAGGAGTAGCGGACGCCGCACGGTCAGTGGCAGGCAGAGGCTTTCCAGGAGTAACAAAGGAGTTCGGTCCCGGCTGGAATGGCTGCAGTCCACGAGGAGTATCGGCTGTGACTCTGAAGTGGCCAGTGAAAGGTGGGCCGATATTCGAAGGCCGCGTCTGAGGGTCGACCTAGAACAAAAGTTAGACAGGTTTGCGGAGCAGTTGTTCTTGTTATTCTTACCTGGTAATTGATGAGGCCCCATTGTTCGAGGAAGGAATGAACACGCATTATAGCGCAAACATCACCCGCCAGATTCCTGCGGCAGGCGGTGACCGTCAAATACTCGACCGGGTTCAATCGGTAGGTGTTGATCATGAAGTCTCGGTAATCTTTGTAGACTGCAGGAGTCTTGCTTCGGTTACGACCGTTGAAGAACTCTGCCATTGCTTTCTTTTCCAAGGGGTGGATCGTATGCATATCGAACCACGATGTGTAACTGGGGAGAATGATGGCATGTGTCTGGGAAACGAGATGCGAACGAGCTGAATCCTCGACGGAGGCCTTGTCCTGTGCGGGTTGCTCTTCTCCAGCGGCATCTGCAGCTGGCTGCGAACCAGAAGCATCTGCGCTTGCATCCGCTGTGCCATTCTCCTTGCTTGCCGTCTCTGTACCGCCCATCTCCTCGTCTTCTGGCTCCGCATCATCATTCTGCGGTCGGGGCGATGCTGGTGCATCCATAGGGTTATCTGATCCCGTATTTTCGGTCTTCTTCACGGGCGATTGCGATCCTGCATTTCCAGGTCAAAGCTTTAGCAACTATTGCGTTTCAGAGAACGATAACAAGCTAGCGATTACATACCAGAGTCAGCGGGCGCATCCTGGCCAGCAGCACCTGCCTGCTCTTTATCAGCAGGGCCACTGGGGATGACGGGGTTCTCATCCATCGTGGCGCGTTGGGATCTAGATGGGACGTTGGTCGCAAGTAACGGGAACAGGCTCCTTGCCTGCGATGAGAGACGTCAAGAGTCGTCAAAGCTCTTTGGTGAACAGGACGCAGACGCAGTCAGCAGATGACTGGCGCTGTAGACCAGGCCGCCAAATACACAGAAGGGGAATGCAGAAGCCCAGGAGGCGGGTGGTGGATGCGGTCTAGATGCGATGTTGCCGGTCACGATCTGTCGCGAACACGGACAGGAAGCTCCTCGTTCTCCCCAAAAACTCGCGCGGTCGCTGGGGCTGGTGGCGCTAGCCTTATGCGGAATACTCTCCGCCACACTTGGCACCAGCCTCACTCCTGCCACTGTAGACTACCTAGGTAGGTATTTCATTACTCTGTGATAGCATCGTAATGCCTTAATACCAAATAAATTATACTCCCTGTTGTTGGGCTGGAGCCATGTCTCCCTAGAATATCAAATATAAAGCAATGGGAAAGTTATGACCATGACCATGTTGCATTGCCATCTACAGGATGCATAGGTATTTACTGTTCAAAGACAGTACGAGAAACAAAGGAATCGATTGCTTGCGACTGAGGTATCATAGCTATCAATCTCGCTCATACATTGAGTGGTATTGTATGCCTGGTCTGACACTATCTAGGCAAGACTCTCATATTCTATCGTAAACGTCTGTCTGGTCCCATCTTCCACAATCACGCCTATTTCTTAGCAGCAGCAGCATCAGCAGCGGCCTTCACCTCAGCCTTGTCCTTGAGGACTTTGGCTACGGCAGGACGAGACTTGATGCGGTTCAGCCACTCAGACAGTTTTGGGAATTCCTTCTCCAGATCGATCTCGCTGGCAGCCCATGGCACAACCTCGTACCACGGGACGAAGGCAACATCAACATAACTATATTTGCCCCCCACCAGCCAGTCCTGCTTTTCCAGCACCCTATTCAGGACACCAGACACACGACGGATTTCATTGACGTAGCGGTCCTGTGCGCTCTGGATCTTCTCCGGGTGGAACATCTTGAACCAGACGGCCTGGCCGAAATAAGGGCCCTGGCCGGACATCTGGTAGTGGAGCCACTGCTTAGCATGGAAGTAGTCGGGCGTGCCGGCCGTGAAGCTGATCTTCTTGTCTTTGTCGTAGGTCTCCACGAGGTACTCGACAATAGCGCCGGATTCCCACAGCGTGATGCCAGTGTTGGGGTCCTCGATGGCGGGCACTCGTCCATTGGGGTTGATCTTTTCAAAGGGCTCCTTCTTCATCTCTGGGAACTCCAGGATCTTGAAGTCATAGGGGACGCCCAGTTCCTCAGCGACCATGGCCACCTTCCATGGGTTGGGGCCGCCAACGTGGCCGTAAAGAATGATCGGTTTGAGAGATGCCATTTTGGCTGAAGGCGAGTGGAGGACGAATTAGATGGGAATTTTGGGAGGTGCTAGAGAGCCGGTGTTATAAAAGAGCAATTAAGTTTGGCCTTTTGTATTTCTGTAAACAGTCTGGAGTTAACCCACGGCGGGGATGTTACAGAGCTTATATATGAACCTGTCCACCGCGGGTGATAAAGCTTGGGACGACTACCGAATCCAAGCTGGAAGCAGATCCCCCACCTCCCTGCTCCATCTTGATACTCAGAGTATAACTATTGACAAATGGGGTTTCCCCGAGCACAACATGCAGAATGGCCGAGAATTGTCGAGAAGCTTACTCAATCAACGTCCGAGTCAGCTCCTGAAGCGCAGTGAAGCTAACCTTAAGCTAACCTTCACTTGCTAAGGCGGCATCAATTATTTTCTAATCACGATGACATACTTTGGGTATGGTACGACGTAGCGTGTAGCAAGTCTTGGTCCGCATCATGATCTGAAAGCAATGACTACAGACCTAATTGGCTCTGCTGGAGGTCCCGAGACGCTTTCCCGAGACGATTTCCTCCTCGCCTCTTTTATACGTATTTTTCATCATCGGCGGTGTTTGCAATAATTCGGATGCCGAGCAACGCTTGTATATCCCACGTGACTTTGCGCATTAATAATCCATGGTGATCGCTCCAAAGGACGACTTCATTACTTGCCAAAACGGGAGAAAGCAAGAGGTTTCATGGAACAGTTAGTGGCACATCTCGTGAAACGAAGCGTCTCTTGGTTGCATATCTGAGCTCTGGTGGTGCTAAGTATTGATTTCAAAGCAGGGTCCACTGAAAAATAGGGCGAAAGGGAATGAGACTGCAAGAAAAGAATGAATATGGTCAGATCTGACATAATTCAATGGATGTAAGCGGCGGAAGGGCACACAAGGCATATCAGCCCAAAGCAATGAAGTTGATTCTGTCAAATCGCCTCGTTTAAGGCTTCTATCATTCAGAAACTACGCCGTAGTATCAAAGCCAAGCGTGTTTCTACGTAGTACGTTAGTTATGCACTACACCCTAAAGTCCCAGTGGATATATGCTTGATAAATCATAGAACTTCATCAAAGCTCTAAAGAATCGTTTAAATGAATATGATAACTAAGTATTGATCAAATGCGTGTAGTCGACGCCGTCCAGCTGCGGGGCGGAAGTCAACACTGACAAGGCGTCGGCAAGCCAAAAATTACTTGGCGCGTCGATACGCGTTTGTTCGCGTCAATAGCACCGCTTCGGACAGTGGGATAAGCACCAGTACTCAGATAACACCAAGTGCTTGATGCTGTGCGTTCATTGAGATAGCACCCGTTTCAATGATAATGACAGTGTCTATAATCTGATGGCAGCATCATCTTCACCTTTGCTACCATCCTCCTTTGACCCTGCCCTCCACCTACACTCAGAAACACCAGACATCGATCTATTGAACGATTGCCCATCTGAGACTTTCGACGACGACATCGAGGCATTACATCTCCAACGGCAGGAGAATCTTCGCAAGGGAATCATTATCCAGCACCGTGCGTGGAATCTGTCTGATGTTTTCCGGAGCGACGAGGATCTAAGACTTGGTACGCTATTTCAATTTACTGCGCCAGAATCACTATTGTTAGACCAGATAGTCTGATATCAGCCAGATACTCCAACAAAGCCTCAAACATTGCAAGAGAACGGTGAATTGGATTTTCTTATTCGGTCAGATCTCGTTTTACCTTCCTCTCCTCCTACCGTCAAGATGCCCTTCATATCCTCGACAACGGGTCCCCTTCCCGCCTCATCCCCGGGGCTCGAGGCGCAGAAGAGAAAGATTGGGGAACCAGAAATTCCCACGGAACCCAAGAGACTGAAAACAATTGGTGGTTTCGTGGAAGATGATGATGAGGATGATATGGATGCTTTCAGGGATGCGAATTTCCAGAGCGACTTTGCCATCCAGGAGCCCGCGCCAGAACTACTACTCCCTCCGTCTCAAGCAAGCTCACTCCCAGCGGCTACGTCGAGCACGGAGATCCCAGTCGTGACCAGCTCGGTCTCGAGTCTCCCATTACATAGCGGCCCGACCACGTCCACGCAAATCGAGACCAAATTCTCCATCAAGACCTGTTCCGGGAAGACACACAACGTTCGCGTGAAAAATACTACAGCTCCCATTTCCTATGAAAGGCTCGTTGCGGAGCGATCAACTACTAGCCGATCTGGAGCCCAAAAGAGCTACTATGGCATCGAAATTCACAAGCTTATGGACGATGCTGCAAGGGAAACGAAAGAGGAAGGCGAACGCCGCGCACAACCATCTACAGCAGTAAAGCCATCAGTTGAGGCGCCTTCAGTGAGCACCAACGGCAAGAAAAACGTCAGCCCCCTATGGACTGAGAAGTACCGCGCGCGCAAATTTACAGATCTCATCGGAGATGAACGCACACATAGATCGGTATTGCGCTGGCTCAAAGGATGGGACCCGATTGTCTTTCCTAATCTGGCCAGGGCTAAAGCAAAAAAATTAAAGAACGATGAACAACAGGAGGTTTTCCACCGCAAAGTCTTACTTTTGACCGGTCCTCCAGGTCTCGGCAAGACGACTCTGGCTCATGTGTGCGCGAGACAAGCAGGTTATGAAGTTCTCGAGATCAATGCTAGTGATGAGCGCAGTAAGGATGTTGTCAAGGGCCGCATCCGGGATGCTGTGGGAACAGAGAACGTGAAGAGTGTCAACGTCGAAGCGAATGGCACCACCATTCGCAAGCAAGGACGACCGGTGTGTGTCGTTGTTGATGAAGTGGATGGAGTTGTTAGCGGTTCTGGCGGCAGTGGAGAAGGAGGCTTTATGAAAGCACTGATCGAACTCGTCCAGCTGGACCAGAAGAACTCTACTTACAGTGGAGAACAGTCTACCACGAGAAGGAAGAAGGTTGACAAGTTCCGTCTTATGCGGCCTCTGATCCTCATTTGCAATGATGTTTACCACCCAAGCCTTCGACCACTTAGAGCGTCCACGGTTGCTGAGATCATTCACATCCGGCAGGCACCATTGGAAAATGTGGTGCAACGAATGAAGACCATCTTCGCGAAGGAGGGGATCCCATGTGACGGAGACGGCGTAAGGCGACTATGTGAAACCTCCTGGGGAATAGCAAGTCGGAAAGAAGGGCGTTCAGCTCGGGGAGTTGGCGAGGGTGATATACGCAGCGTCCTTGTGGCAGCCGAATGGATCGCCCATAAGCTGAGGGACGCAGGTGGTGAAACGCCCCTGAAACTGAGCCGATCCTGGTTCGATCAGACTCTGATCGAAGATTCTCGGAAGGAAGGCTCTTCGTTAAGAGGCCTAGGCCGAGGTGGAGTACGTGAGATTGTCGATCGGATCTTCGTTCATGGAGCAGGCTTTCCTGATGCACCTACGGGTGCGGACACCTTCCGTGATCCTTTCTCTAAAGGGCCTGGAAAGACTCCTGTGGGAGTTGCAGACATCCGTAAGCGCCATGCGATCAATCGCCTGCGGGAGATGGTGGATGCCAGCAGCGAATATGACCGTTGTGTGTCCGAGTGTTTTGCGTCTTATCCTACACGAACTTTCCAGGACGACACATTCCTCTCGAAACCGAATGCTGCTTATGAATGGCTCCATTTCCATGACGCGATATCCTCTCGGGTGTTTTCTAACCAGGATTGGGAGCTCAACCCTTATCTCAGCCAGCCTCTATTAGCTTTCCACCATCTCTTCGCATCGAGCAACGGGGGTGTCGTCAGCAAGGAGCTATTAGGCAACGATGAGGATGAAGAAGAACATCCATTCTCTGGCCCCAAAGCCGATTTTGCAGCCTTTGAGGCCTTGAAGCAGAATCAAGCAATACTACAAGGATTCCAGTCCTCCTTTTCTCCAGCCCTGCTCAGGCTGTTTCGATCCATGGAATCTTTAGCAACGGATCTGGTTCCCAACCTTCTCCGGATGTTATCGCCTGATGTGAAGCCGGTCGTGGTGCGAGGCCAAGGGGAGCAGAAGAGCATGGCTAGTGTTCGAAAAGAGAGCGAGCGCGCTCTTGTACGGTCAGCCACTCGAGTTATGGCCGGTGTGGGTATTACATTTGAGAAGGCCAGAGTGGAAAACGAAGGCGGGGCTCATGGCGGATGGATCTACAGAATGGAGCCGTAAGTCCCAGCATAGTAGAAGCTTCCATTGTAGGACAATAATGACTGACCGATCTTCTGATAGGCCTCTGGACGTACTCACGTCATTTTCCAAGATCAAAGGAACCTCGATAGCTTCTGGAGGTTCTGCTCCCGTGCGTTATGCCGTTCGACAGGTTCTCGATCAAGAATACCGCAAGGAGACGATGCGCAAGCAGTCAGAGGCATCTCAACTCAAGTACACCAAACCCGGTCGGAAGTCGCGCGATGAGGAAGAGGACAAGGAGAATGCGAAGTCCGGAAGAAATTCCGGTGCTAAGCGTGACTTCTTTGGCCGAATCATCGAGGAGCCAGTCCCTGGACCAACCAACCGCAAGGATTCTGGAGAACACAAGGAAACGAAGCAAACAGGGAGCAAGGTGTGGGTTACGTTTCACGAAGGTTTCTCCAACGCTGTGCGTAAACCGATCTCGATGAGCGAGCTGCTCAGCGGGTTGTGAGGCAAAGATCGTCACTGTTGAACTTATATGATTATGATACCAATTGTCTTTATAGATGTAATATGCATAGCGGTGGATGATATAGGTAGTTATAGTAATTGGTTTTACTGCGAATACCAGAAGTTACAAATTTGCCTTTTCTAGTAATGTCGGCACCTGTAGCTTATCTGACGAGCTATCGAACGCTTGCTTATTCCTTGATTACCATGGAATCTACCAGATTCCTAGGGTCTACTTTCTTTGATGAAATTGGAATCTAACATGATGAGCCGGGTCCATAGTCTCTGAGCATAATCGACTAGGACACAAAGCATCCTCCATCCACATAGATCACATGAACTACACATCGACAATTATAAAAAAGATAAATATATTATTCGCTTCATATATCATCATATCATTATGAATTATCCTAGGATCCAATCTCAGGCTCTCCCTCAGACTAGAATACGAACGAAACACAACAATAAACATCCACATTTAATCTCAGTCATCTGCGGTATTGATATCCAGACAGAATCAAAGAACATGAAAAGGACACATAAGGGGTATAAGTATCTGTTAGAGGGGACAAAGGAAAGGGAAAGTTAAAAGGTTATAAAGTAGAAGAAACGGATGAGTTAAGAGGGATGTAAGCGTATCCCGTTGAGGGTTTCCGTCTTCCTCTCTTCTCATCTTCTGTCTTTCGTATTTAAGATGGAAGAGGGGGACTGGAGGGATAGCTTTCTTTTTGTTTTGTGATCGTGCTGTCGTTGTTGAAGGTGTATTAAACGTCAAGTCGATGATCGTGAAAGAAGACCCGTTAACTCCGGCGATGTCTCCAATAAGCAAAAGCTTTGTTCTTTGATCCACACTCATTGCAGGAGTGGGAATCGAATCGAATCGAATCGAGTCCGAACCAAATCAATAAGACCGCGTTGGCGGTCTCAGAAGAAAGAAAGAATAATCCCCCCCATATCGGTCGTGATTGCATGCGTACATTGGAAGCGAAGAGAAGTTTGACGTTGCCCAGTCCTCTACCGCAGAGCCAGGCAAGTGGCAATAGCCTCGTTATGCACGACTTTCTTTTCCCTCGAGCTCGATCGCTTGGTGTTCATCATCGGTGAAGTTGTGCTCCTGGTGGACTCCTCGTAGCTGGGGAGAGTAGAGGTAGTGTTGCAGGTCGAGGTGGAGGACCGACGGATCGAGGAGTGACTGGAGAATATGTTGAATTTGGAGGATGAAATGTTGTTGGCTGCCATTTTGATGGTTTGGTAATATGGTTGAACCGATAATGGCAGGTAAGGTAGGTAGGTAGGTAGTAGGGAGGTTTTATATAAATAACCCTGATGTTTGGATGGGGGTTCTCGAATATCCGATCTTGTTGTTTGATTATGTATTATTGAATGACAACGCTGATAATCACAGTCTCGTGCATCCAAAAGGGGGTAAGCTGGTTCTTTTATATCTGCTGCCTAGGATCTAGATACCAACCAACATCAACGGCCCTTTTTTTTTTTTTACACACACACACCCTGTAGAAACAAAGGAAGACTTTCCGCGCCCCACAGACCGTCCAGAACTCCCTCGAACTGAGGTAATAATAATATACAAACAACATTTACTTCGAAGCCAAAAAAAATGAGTCTGAGGGACGCGAAACAAGCCATGTCGATCCACCCGACCAGCGGAGTCCCGAATAGGTGCCCGCGGAATCCATCTTTAGTTCTATCTACCATACGCCAGCGGAATGGGGCCGAGACTCATGGCTTGGCCGTTTCTATGACCTTGCTTTTGGACTCTGGTCTGGGCATGTTCGGCCGCCAGTCAGATATTCACGCTGCAGGGAAAACGTGTCGGGATATTTCTACCTTGGTGGTTCGGAATTAGATCACCGCGTGGGGGCTGACGCATACTTACCGCTCGGGGTATATGTATGTATGCATATTTATTTCTGCCTGAGATGAGGTGATAATGCCTTTTTTTCTTTTCTGCATGCTCTAGTTACTCTATACGGGTATTATTGCCATAGAGGATTCCTGAACCAATCGACTTCCCGCGTGGCATAATCTATATGTCAAAGTAGAGCTTATAGAAGTGTCTGGACGGTGGGCCGCGCTATTATTATTCTATGTGACCTTTTTTCCTTTTATTATTTTTTCCCTATTCCCCGTTTTGCCCCAGGTGGTAATCGGATAAAAGTGGAGATTCACCTACATCTGGATGTAGAGTCGAAAAGTTGTAGAGAGTAACTAATACTTCTTCATAGAATCTGTTCCAAAAAGGCATTTCTTTTCCCTGCCAGGGAAGATCCTAATCGACCATATCTGCTCACATCAGCATCCCAGCCTCTGTCGTCAGCAACTTTATGATTCAAGGAGCATGAGTCACAAAATACGAGCCTTCAGGGATCAAGCATCGATACTAGTTAGTAGTAGTACTGTTAAACTGCGGTCTGCTTAACTTAACGGCCTCGGACTAAGTAGGTTCCCCACTTCTTTCCGCGCAGATGATATTTTCTTACTACTCCGAACTCCGAAGTTTCATGCCGTGAGATATTCCGAATAGTTGCTCTCCGAGAAGAAATGCATATCGAGGGGGGGAAGGGTGGTTCTTTTCTTTTCTTTTATTTTTTATTTTTATTTTTTTTATGTAGATATATATCCCGGAGTCCCTCACGGGCTAAGTAGCTAGATACCAACAACACCGCAATAACCAGCGGTACCACAAACTGAGAGTAAAAAGCGAAGATACTGCTACAAGTGGATGTCAGTTTTCCGCTTTCCGCGGAAAGGGAACGAACTCGGTGCAATTAATCCTATTCCATAGCGGGTTAATTTCCTCTCCTTGTGGGGAGGATGAGGATAAGTTTAGGGCTGGACGCGTAAAAGCACTTCATAGTTCAGAGTGAATTCTGGTTGACTGAGCCACACAACAAGAGAGTCAAAGGACGCATGAGCGACGTTCCGCATTATCTAGGATCAGTTGATATGGAGTATGATTAATAATGACTCCGGGGTATACGATCCATGTATAGAACCACGCCGAGCTGGCACCCCCATGTATAGTAAATTCCAATCGACAAATCGTCTTATCTAACTCATCAACATCATAGCTCTCCTCTCCAAAAATCTCAATCCATAAAACTCAAATCCTTCACCATATCCAAATCCACCAGCATACTCTCAAATTTCGACTTCGCCATCGTCCAAGCCACTTTACCCAGAGGAACCCGAAGCGGAACTCGTTCACCACGATTAGCGATATTGAAAATCGCCTCTGCTACATCACGCGGTTCTAGCAGACCGACACCACTCTCAAGACCCTTTTTCACGTAGTTTTCGAGCCTTCGCGATGGCATGTCTTCTGTCGCGTATGCGGGGTGAGGCTTGATGATGGCTTTGCTGTGGCTTTCGAAATTGGTCTTTACGCCACTGGGTTCGATGATGCAGAAGTTGACTATATATATATAGCGTAAGTTGATGAGGAGTTAGTCACGACGATAGATTTTCGTATCGACCAGAAACATAGACAGCAATAATTAAATTCAAACTTACTATTCCACTCCGGATGCATTTCTCTCGCTAGAGATTCCGTAAATCCCTCCACCGCAAACTTGCCCGCATGGTAATACGCATGGCCCGGAAACGCACACAATCCAGCCAAAGACGAGATATTAAAGATGACACCACCACGACGCTTCTCATCTTGACGCATAACCGCAATCGCACGCGTAGTCACACGCGCAGTCCCGAAGAACAACGTCTCTATTTCCTGATGCGTTTCCTCTTCCGTTGCGGCTTCGGTGTCACCGGAGAGGGAGTAGCCGGCATTGTTAACTACGATATCAAGATGGTAGTTCTGTCCGAAGTGCTGCGCGGCGGTGGTGAATGCGGCGTCGACGGAACTGGCTGATGTCACGTCTAAGGCGAGCTTGAGGATGTTGGGGTTGTTGTCGGGGAGGTATGAGAGGGTGGATGGGTTGCGGGCTGTGGCGATTAGACGTTGACTTGGCTTGTTGGCGATGAGAGTGGCTATTTCACGGCCGATTCCTGATGAGCAGCCGGTGACTGTGGAAATAATGAATAGAGGTTTGGTTTAGTTGGTGGTCACATGTAGTTTGTGTTTTTTCTGGGATGGAAAAGAAAGTAAGAGCATACTCACTTAGCCAACATGCATCAGATGGAAGGTTGTATGGTTTGGTGTTGACTGGATTCATCTTCAACAATAGGGATACTAGATAGTTGGTATGGTAAATAATTGGACTGGGCCAACACGACGATGAATAGAAATTATATCACTACGGAAGGGACTTGGGATCTTATATGTGGATTTCAACACAAGTCAAGAAATATGACTGATGCTTAGACTGAAGATTGTCCGGATCGGGGCTTCACTCGATCCCGAATACCGTACTTTGGGGGCCTCATGAGATATGGACAGCCGTCTCCAAGGGTTTGTTTCATACGGATAGGCACTAGGTGATACTGTACTTGATATGTCGAAAGACGGATCCTGAAGTGGGGGCCATAGGGAGAGTGGAGCCGACATATACAATGCTAAGATCATGGGATTTTCATGTCTTTATTAATTTGGCCTTTTTCTTTCTCATACGCTGACGTTCTACTCTAGACAGCGTACGTGGTATACTATAGACAGACATTTCATGCTCAAACGTAAACAAACCTTACCCGCAACTCGAGGACGCAGAAAACAACACAAGGACATTGAACGCTTAGTTTATTGCTTGACCTTCTCCGTCAGCTCGGGGACCTTCTCGAAGAGGTCGCCCACGAGTCCGACATCGGCCACCTGGAAGATGGGAGCGTCTGCGTCCTTGTTGATGGCCGCGATCACCTTGCTGTCCTTCATACCAGCAAGGTGCTGGATAGCACCGGAGATGCCCACAGCCAGATACAGCTGGGGAGCGACGTTCTTTCCGGTCTGACCAACCTGCAGACTGTTGTCTGCGAAACCGCTGTCGACAGCCGCACGGGACGCACCAATAGCGGCACCCAGAGCATCAGCGAGCGGAGGAATGATGCGGTCGAATTCCTCCTTCGACTTCAAACCACGTCCACCAGAGACGACACGAGAGGCGGTTCCCAGGTCAGGACGTTCGGACTTGGCGAGTTCTTCAGATACCCATTCGGTAGCAGAAGGCGCGTTGGGGTCGACTCCGTCGACGATCTCAGCAGAACCACCCTCAGTCTCAGCGCCCTGGAACGAGGTTCCTCGCACAGTAACAACCTTGACGGGGTCTTCGGACTGGACAGTCAGGATAGCATTTCCGGCGTAAATGGGGCGAACGAAAGCTGTTACCCACCGGTCAGCACGAGTTTGTTTGAACCATGGCATGCGATCCAATCCACTTACTGTCCTCGCTCTCAATGGCAGTGACGTCCGAAAGCTGCTGCACATCCAAAAGCGCCGCCACGCGAGGCAGAATGTTCTTTCCGAAGGCAGAGTGTCCAGCAATCACATGAGTGTATCCGCCGGCCTTGATGTTCTCGACGAGGAGGGGGGCATAGTTCTCAGGTAGACCCTATAGATAATCCGTATTGATTAGCTCAATTCAGAGCCATATTCCTATCACTCAACTCTTGCAGAATTTCCCGTACCTTCTCGTAAGCGGCATTCTCGACCGCAATAACCTTCTCCAGACCCTTGACCTTGGCAGCTTCGGCAGCTGCAGAGCCCTTGATGGCGTTGCCCGCAACGAATCCGGTCACTGAACCACCCAGCTTCTGTGCTGCAGCAATGGCAGCCAGCGAAGAGGGCTGGAGCTTTCCCTCCCGCTGCTCCAGCACAGCGAGAGTCGAAAGAAGCCGCTGGAGAGCGGACAGCTGTGACTGGCTCAGTGCCCGCGATGGGTAGAGCTGTGACCGAGCGGCCCTCAGCACGGACTGTCTGGCAATTGGAAACATGACGGCTTTATAGAACCGGTTCAGAGATTATGGATCTTCTCTCTCGGCGGATCGCCAGCAAACCTCGCTGCGTTTGATGCTGGGGTTCGTGGTTTCGGGGGAGCTACTGAGAGGGACTCAGGGCGGTGGTTATCGTTTGACGTGCCAAGACGTCTTCGATCCCGAGGTCGGACTTCGGTTAAGCTTGGAGGGACAGGAAAGCCAGCGGATATTCTCGCGGTCTACTTAGCGTCACTACAGGAGAACTGTATACAGGCTTTTAATTTTGCTGCAGGAGCTAGAGATTATGGGGAGTCTAATACAGCAGGGTAACTTTTATTCGAAAGGGGTATCGAAGACACTCCCTGTGCCCCAATTGGAAACTTGATACACGTGAGATTCAGACGCCGCCTAATTGTACCCATATATGCAAGCACGAACAAACCAGGAAAACACCACTGCGCGAGGATCACGACAGAGACTTCCGCTTCTTCTTGCCGGAGCTGGATGCGCTTTGCGCAGCAGCAGCAAGCGTCTCGATGGCAGCGTCGCCGCCATCCTGCAGAGCCTTAGCCTTTTGTTGCTGGAGCTTCTGCTTCCTCGCCGCAAGCGCCGCGGCATCATCCTCGTCGTCTGCGGTCTTGGATTTCTTCTTCTTTTTGTTCTCCTCCAGCAGCTTGGGCTCTTCAGCGCTCGACTTTCTCTTCTTGTCATTTGCACCCTCGATAGCCTTGGTCTCTGCAGCATCCTCCAGCACATCGGTTTCCTCAACCCACAGCTCACTGGCCAGCCAGATGGGCATCGCAATGGTGTTGGGGCCCTTGATATGGATCGCCTTGATGTTCCTCCAGCCCTTCGTAATAAACTTTTCAGTCAAGCCCTTCACCACAGCCTCGATGTTCTCCTGTAGCTGCTGCGGGGTGAAGTTAGAGACACCGACACGGATAGCCGTGGTCGCGGACGGAGCTAGATGGACAGGTGCAGAGTTCAAGGCCTTCTCGATCTCTTTGGCGACGATCAGCGGCGATGCAACCGATGCGTCTTTCTCGTCGTTTGCAGACTTCTTCTTCGGGTCCTTCTTCACTCTTTTGCCGTCGACCTTCTCGATCCCAGCAATGCGCACAGGGATCGGACGCTTGCTAGACTTGTAGAATATCTTTCCGAGTGTCGGAACCAATCGCATGATGATTCGGTCATCGGCCAAGAAGACATCATGCTCGGCGAGAAGCTGCCGTCTGCTCTCGAAACTCTGGTATCTGGCCTTCAGCTTGGAGAAACCAATGACCCTGTTGATGCGGGAAGAAAGAGACGAAGGGAATGCGGGGTCGGCGATAACGTCCTTGAATGCACGCTGAGGATCCGCCGTGATCAAGCAGATACTCAGAGACGAAGCAGCATTGAGCGAATGCGGGATGGTGATCTTGCCAGGCTTCAAGCGGTTCTTGTCCACGACATGCTTCTTCGTGGTGAGAACCATCCAGACGGGTTCATTGTTGATAGGAACGTCCTCATCAGATGCATCGTCATTATCTCCAATCAGCGTCTTCTTCGTCGACGTCTCCTCCTTCTGTTTCTGTTGGGTTTTTAGGTGTCGCAGAAGTGCGGTAGAAGCTCTGAGGACCTGATGCGCATGGATTAGCTGGCCGTTCCTTTCTGATATTTTTTTTTTCATGAAGCTAGATAAGCATACCTGGCCATTTTCGAGCTGGTATGGCGACCCAGTGGTCACCTTGGTGGTGAGAGCCTTTTCAGAGACCATGATTGCTGTTTGGCGCTGCAGAAACGAGCGCTGTCTCTATCGATTTTGCGATCTCCGAAATTCAAAAAAATTCGCGGAAGGAGATTGTCCGGCTCTTGGCGTGATCCGTTATCTGCGCTTAGTCATCTGGTATAGCCATATCTACAGATCACGTGATATATAGATACCAAGTACTATGTGGAGGATTATCGCAGATGCCAGTCAGAAAAAAAGGAATAGAAGACGTCGGTCCGATATAAATCTATATAATTTCAGAACCTGTGATCGGAACTGCTCATGAATGTGCAGTACACACAACTCTAATCATTCTGTTAGTGATTAGTTGTAGTTACTGTATGTTAGATAACTTCTAGCTACCTAATCTATTTCTATCATCAGATATCTGGGATTTTAGTCGAAATAACTAGTCTACAAGAAATCTTTGTTTCGCCACTGATCTACGTCAAGCCTCTCCCCTAATCACCAAGACTCTCCTCGGTATTACGATTGAATCTTCCTATCCAGTAAGTAGGATCTCCGACGAGGGATGCTATTAATAGTGATACGCAACGTTTGACGGTAATATTAATCGCGACTAGTGTCTCTATTCGAACACGCTCGTGTTGAGGAAGGTCTGGAGGGATATCAATGTTAAGAAAATAAAGCAGGTTTAACGGTCGTATCTTGTAAGGGGGAAAGATGGGGAGGGTGTTAGTTATATTTGAGTTGTCTTTTTAGAAGAAAGTTTCCTCATCAAGGGGAAAGAGGCTGAGGTACAGGAGAATATAAAGCCCAGGAATAATTATTCTGAACGGAAAAAGTAATTTTATGTGATATATAGATAGTAGAAGCAGTATGTGATGTCACAAGAAAAGAAAAAAAAAGAAAGAAAGAATCATAAAACAGAATATTGCTATAACGAATCAGTTTCTCTCTTTTGTTCCTAAGTAGAATAATAATAGCAGGTACCTAGATTAATACATACTCGTCCTTCCTTCCTTCCTTCGTCAACGCAGTAAACTAAAACACGTAAAGCAGGTACCATGTGTAGCTTAAACAGCAAAGCACGCAACTATGCCAATTCCCACGGATTCTAGACTATCTACCCACTCACACACATTCTATTTCCAGGATTCGAGTGCACGTCTGGAATGCTTGGGCTTCTACCATTCATAGTTATGGCCCGAACAACAATGATGGCGTCATAACCCATTCTTTCTAATCTAACCAAGTATGTACACACATACATGGATGGCTCTAGAATCTTTGTGCAGATTGTGGGGTTGGTATAGATATGGTATGATTGGAATTTAGAATGGAATATGGTAGAATATGGTATAGTACTCTCTAGGGTGAATGAAGTAGGACATGCTATTCTAGGTTGTGGCGGTGTTTACTCTATTGTTGTTGTTGTTGTTGTGGATGGTGGCGAATGCGGATACTACTACCATAGTTGGTGTATTATTGTTTTGGTTGCGCATTCCATCATGTTCGTCCCGAGGGATGTATGTACCATAGTCTTGGAAAAGGAGATATATTTACTCTGCAATTATGGTAGATTATTCTACGAGATCCAAGTGATATTTCACGCGTTGTACATCATTATGATTTCATATTCTCGGGGAATGGAGAAAAGGATGAGTTAACTATAGTATGTTTCTGTTGCAAGGATAGTTGTTATTGTTTTGTTGTTGTCGGCGAATCCACGTGTAGCTATATCTCGCCTATCAATAAATACCTTAACGAAGAAGAGAACTATGGTACTTTGTAACTATGCACCCGTTCGTTCATCGAGTCTCCTTTTACACCCTTTTCCCACTGACCGTCACAGATAGGGGTCGTGGATGAGCCCCACGTTGGCGATAGACGGCCCAGCGGCCAAAGTTAAATGCGAACGGTACTTGGCGCCGCGTGGAGTCTGGTAGAAGTCATCTCGTCTAGAGCATTCATATTATTTATTCATATTACTCTTGACCAGAGTAATAACTTACTGGAACAGAAAAGACGGACCAGAAGAACAACGTTCACGGTTGCCCTATGGGGAAGCGAGGGCCTGATATCAGACCGTGGAGAGGCCCACCGACAGTTTGATGAAGATCGGACCTACAGTAGTAGTATGTAATGATAATACTGGCACAGTGGAACGGGACCTGGGGTGGTGTTGATCTGTTCACATCGGTTCCCGTGCAGATCCGTCTGTGATCTTCCCTTGCTTCTTGCGATCTCTGCATTATTGTCTGTAGAGTATCATGTCAAGTCTCCTATCCTATGTATTCAGATGAGATGCAAATGCGATCGACCAGCAAGCCGCATCTGAAGACAGATGATTTTTTTTTTCTCTGAACCAGTGAGTCGGGATGTCTGATAGATACTACTGGTAAAGGCACTGGCATGCCCCAGGGCTGGACCGTGGTGGACTCTCTTTGCCGTCTGCCAAGTTGCTCGTCCTACTTGGCAGGAGACTCAGCCTCCTTTTCCAGCTGGGACCATCACTGGGGGTAATAATTCCGGAGTAATACGACGACAATGATGATTAAATAGTGAGGGATGAGTCCTTCTGACAGAGTATCTGATCCAGAATTCTAATCATGAAGAGGTCCCTGCAGAGCACTCGCTTCTCGAAGGTTGAACAGGCCGTTGATCTGGAGAGCTGTTAAGTTAGTTGGTTAAATAATTCTCGCCAGAATCCGCATCTAATTTTAAAACAACCAGCGATCGGCCGTGTTGGACTTGCTGATTGGTGAGCCAAGCCGCTAATAACTAGTCAACTGCCAGGAACAGGAAAACACCAAACAAGTTGGAAGAGAGAGAGAGAGAGAGAGAGAGAGAGAGAGAATAATAAGAATAATATCAAGAAGGATACGGTACTGTGGTACTATTATTATTATGGTACAGACACACCAACACTAGTTAGATCACCCTCTGTGCCGTGCCAATGCTCCGCCAATACCTCTAGTCAATTAATCCTTCTTAGTATGGTGGTTAACTGGTTAAGAATAGTTAAGAATTATTACTAGTTGATAATAATAATACCACAGTAATTGTATTATTATCCCCCTGGCCAACTGGACGATCAGACCCCAAGAGAGACCCAGCCAGACCAGACCAGGCCAGACCCTTTTCACTCCAATTCATCCATCCGGTCTTCCCCCTCGCCCAACGGCCTCTACTCTACTCTACTTCTTTTCCCTTCCCGTCTGCTCTCTTCTCCTCTTCTCCTCCTCCTCTTCCTCCTCTTTCTCTTCCCCCAGGCCCTCACTCCCCGTTGCCCTCCATCGAGTGTTCCTTCCAACTGAGAGACCCCGTCTCTCTACCACGTTCTTTTGGGAACCTCCTGCGCTCTCTTAGGTCTCTCGTTTCGTACGATTCGTCCCTCGGCCGCTATCCAATCGAGATCACGCTCTGCATCTCTTTCGCTTCCTGTACAAATCACTTGGTCAACTGAGCTCAGCTGCTGCTGTTTGGAGATCGATGTAGGTGCTTTCGACTTTCCCTTATGTTCTAGAGTATGCGACAACTGTTATATGCATGCGTGCGGCGTTGCAAGATCGCAAGAGGTGGATCAGAGGGGAAGGGTTAATCGTGCACGGAGAACCCATCAGTCCTGTACACAGTCGAAGACGATAACTAGCCCTATTCCTGATCATTGGCAATGCAATTGCATGCGCAGACGGGTTCACAACGAAGTGCTATTATGCAATTGATACCATACTTGGACAGCTCTGATGATCAATGGCTAATAATCCCCCAGATCTCCTATTTTTACAACCCGTTCCGCGCCCTTCCTGAGCACTCAATATTATTATATAACCATGAAGTTCACCGACATTGCCGTCACCCTGGCCACCGCGGGCTCGCTCGTGAGTGCCCAGCACCACCACCACAACCACCGTCATGTCCACGCCAAGCGTGCCCCTGGACCGGCTGGCGACGTCGTCTACGTATACGAGTTCAACGGCGTCCCCATCGACACCCAGAAAGTCTGCGAGGGTATCGCCGCCGGTACTCTGAAGTGGGCTGACGGCCAGGCTCCCGAGGGTGTTTGCAACACTGCTGCCAGCTCCACCGCCGCTCCCACTCCCTCCGTGGCCCCGGCCGAGTTCTTCGAGCTCAGCTCGTCTTCCAGCAGCTCCAGCTCGAGCCCGACTCCTACCTCGACCTCGACCTCCTCGTCCAGCTCGGTCTACACGCCTCCGCCGACCTCGTCCAGCACCCCGGTCTCCTCCCAGACCCCAACCCCGACTCCCAGCTCCAGCTCCTCCGGCGCCAAGGGTCTCGACGTTGACTTCCCCGATGGAGAGATCGACTGCAGCGAATTCCCGTCCGACTACGGTGCGGTTCCCCTCGACTACCTGGGACTGGGCGGTTGGTCCGGTATCCAGTACGTCAGCATCGTTGGCGAGCTGGTCAGCGACATCATCACCGCCGTCACTGGTGATCACTGCACGGAGGGCTCCATGTGCTCCTACGCGTGCCCGGCTGGCTACCAGAAGTCCCAGTGGCCCAGCACCCAGGGTTCCACCGGCCAGTCCGTTGGTGGTCTCCAGTGCAAGAACGGCAAGCTGCGTCTCACCAACCCCTCTCTGTCTAAGAAGATTTGTATCCCCGGTGAAGGCGATATCCAGGTCCAGAACACTCTCGGCGACCAGATCGCCATCTGCCGTACTGACTACCCTGGTAAGTCTTGAACCTGAGCCGTTTATACATATATAGTATATTATTTGGCAATGAATTTCTGACCTGTCTCCTCTCAGGTACTGAGTCTGAGACCATTCCGGTCTCGGTCTTGGCCAACGAACTGCAGCCCCTGGCCTGCCCCAACGCCGAGACCTACTTCGTCTGGGAGGGTAAGAGTACCTCGGCTCAGTACTATGTCAACCCCAAGGGTGTCAGTGCCGAGGACGGCTGCCAGTGGGGTGACGGCAGCCAGCCTATTGGCAACTGGGCTCCTATCAACATTGGTGTCGGCCAGAAGAACGGCTACTGGCTGTCTATCTTCCAGAACAAGCCCACTACCAACGCGAAGCTCGACTACAACCTCCGTATCGAGGGTGACAACCTGAGCGGTGCCTGCAAGTACGAGGACGGCCTGTTCTACGACCTCAACGGCAGCAACGAGGATGGCTGCACTGTAAGTTCACTGATGGCCCACGTCGAAATCTTTTCGAACCGCTTGCTGATTTCTTCTTTCTCCTACAGGTCCAAGCGCTGGATGGCAAGGCTACCTTCGTGGCGTACTAGTTCGGTTCCGGTCTTGCGTCGAGCGCAGCCAATCCATCAACCGGTTCCCGCAGGACGTACTAACGGCAGCCGGTCGTTTCTCGTCGCTGTGCAATCTACGATCTGTTCTATAGTGCACTTGGCTCGAGTTATCTGTATCTTAAGTATCTTTCTGTCTTGTTCGAGGGTCGGTTTGGTCCGACTATTCTTTTGCCATCCAACAGCTCCTTATACCGGGGATATTGAGTGGTTAAACTTCAATGTTATTACTGTCTGCAGCCGCGATTTTTATATGTTTATTCCTCGTCCTGAGTCGGCCAGGTCCAACAAAACGCTGCAAGGCAGATGAGACAGACGAGTCATGATCGACCTGCGGTGGCCCGGTCGGCTCACGACGTTAATGTTTATTATACCCAGGGCAGTGGTAGTGCTAGGAATGCTACGATGCTTTCGTGTTTATCCTGAGACACAACCTGTAGTACAGTAACCAGAAGCCTGATTAGCCTGGTAATCTAGTATAAGGCTACGCAGCTCACTTGGTACTAAACTGGGACAATCCCAAGACCACGGTTGAACATCTGGCCGTGGCAGGTACCAAAGTAGCGTATTCTAAATTTGGATTTCCTTCTGAAACCTCACGACGCGAAATAGGTAAAGCGCACCAGCCAGTAATTGGAGATGTTTCCAATCGCAAAAGTCAAGTTCGTTTATTGAACGTCATGATGTATGGTATTCATTCAATAGCCGTCATTCTTTTTAGCGAGTTGTCTTTATTCTCGGTAAGTACTGTACCTCACTAGACTTTTGGCGGCGGGGAGGGGGAAGGCAGTGCAGTGCAGTAAGTGGCAGAATACCTAGTTACCTATGGAGAGTATCAGGTTCTTTTCTTTTCTTTTCTTTCTCTCACACACACACTCTTTTTCTTTTCTTTTTTTCATAGAGTATCGGTTATCTATCTATCATATCGATAGAAGAATAAAGCCACAGCAGCACTTAGGCTTGTATTTCTACAATCGTGGTGGTGGTGTCCTGGATAAATTTTTACAGGGGCTAGTTAGTAGTTAAGAACTGCAGATTACTTACTTACTACCTATTTATCTCAGTCGGCACTCGTTGGTTGACAACTTGATAGTATATACTGTATATACTGTATATACAACTTCTAGGTGAAAGGTTGATGAATCTATCCATTCTTTTAATAATTACTATACTATACTATACTATTGCGTTTCCAGGGCTTTACTTTCAGAGATACCATGCCATTTTGAACTGGTTAGTTTCAACAAACTTTTATCGTATATAATATCGTCGATCTCACCTCGAACAGTTCCATTTATGCTATTACAGTTAAACATAACAGACATGCAGAGTGAAATAATGCAAGACAGGAAAGAGTTTTAATAATTCTGTACTGCCAAAAACGCACATAAGTTGAATGCTCCGATCGTTCCATCGTGGGGTATCTAATCAAACATGAACAACCATGAAGAGAAAGGAAAGCTCAATGCCAATCAACTCCACTGCAAAATGTCCCGCGCATCACTTGGAAAGAGAACATGATTTTGATGATCACAGGAGTATGCAAAATTACCAATCCTGGCCGCGGTCCTGCATTAGGATTTCGATCGCTTCGTCTTCGGGAACTGGATGATCGTTCAGTTCCCTGACACACTGCGTCAGGCCCTCCGCGGCTTCGTCGACCTGTTCGGCCGTCCAGCCGGTACATGCCATGACCATGCGGCGGTAGTTTTGGCCCAAAACAACGTTCTTGGACTTGAGACGCTGCACTTCATCCAAAATCTCATCATTATGTTCCTTGTAGCTTGTGATGTGCGCTTTGAGAAGCTCAACTGAGGGCAGCGATGCAAGGAAAGCTTTTTGCTCTTCAGAGAATCCAGAAGCAGGGTCGAAATCGGCGGGAAACAGCTTGTCAAACTCGTTCGAGTCGAGCCCCGACTCCTTGTCCGCATCTCCAATAGCAATCTTTTGCGAGGGATCAAAGGCTGTGCCGTGGAGGCTCTTCAGCGTACTTTCAAGCTCCGCGGCAGAGCGCTCGAGGTTCTTGATCCGTCGATCCAGTTCGACTCGTCCGGTGGCGCGTTGTTTCAATTCATCGAGCTGCTTCTGCTCAATTTGCCTGGCTTTGGCGCTTTCGCGTATCTTAGCGTGCCAGTGGTCAAATTCTTCTTGCTTCTTGCTAAGAGTGGTAGTGACGTCCCGGTCAACTGACCCAAGTGTCTCCTCCACGAGAATTCTGATCTGGTCAATGGTTGCTATTGTCGAAGTTAGTATCTGGAAAACCCAAACAATATACGAACGTCTTACCATCAAGAATGTCCTTCTTCGTCTTAGCCAGCTGATCCGTAAAGGAATCGTTGTTCCCATTCTGCTGGGACTGCGAATTTCCGTTCACCATGTCGACACCGACCCCATAATCTGCAGGTCTCAGGCCGGTATGGTTGGGGATGTGAGGGTCTGCTCCAACTTCGAGAAGCTGCGGAACAAGGACCGACCGCGCACGACCTGCAAGATTCAGTGCCGTGTCGCCCTGGTCGTCGCGCAAGTTCACAATCTCTGAGATGAAACGACCGAGGGTGATCACTTCACTCTTCTCAGTCTTGTCCCCGCCTGCATTCACTCCAGTCCCACTAGGTCTACCGGAGGAATCTATGGCAGTCCCTCCGTACCGGACGATGAATTCTAAGAGAGCTTCAAGGTAGTGCTTTGCTGAGACATGGCCTCCGCCGCCGGTGGCTGCCATCACAGCAATATGATGGAGCACAGTCCGGCCATTGTAATCGACCATATCAATCGTCGGAGAGAGCACTTGCAATAGACGCGGGAGAGTCCGGTAGTCAAGATTATTCCTCGTCCCCACTGCTTTCTGGAGAGCTGTTTCTCCAGCGAGATTGAGCCGATAGATGCTGACTCCCTTCTCAACCAATGCATACACCAGCGGCATGCGAGCAAGCATGGCCGCCCAGTGCAGAGCGCTGTTGCGATACTCGTCAAGAGGAATTTCCAGGTCTTCCCCGGAAAGCTGCAGGAAGGCTGGGTGGTTCGAAAAGTCTTTCGCCCGTTTATCCAGAAATAGTGTCATGATGAGCTTCATCTTCTGAAACCTCTCTGGAGTCGTCGCCGGAGCAAGTGGCTCTAGTCCACGTTTCTGCCCATCAGCGACAGAGGCCGATCCGTCCATCTGCTGGTAGAACGAGTCGCTGGGTTCCGTTGGCGTGGCGTCATGCATCGACAGGTCGGCATTCGTGTTTCCCCCTGTGAAAGAGCCCTGGTTGGAGAATGATCTGATTTTCTTGCGAGGAGGTTCCGCCGCATCTTCTTGGCCAAGGCTCGAATTTCCATGGACACCCATGCTGCGTCCACTGTGCTGCATATTGCTCGCAAATCCGCTGTCAGAAGCGTTGCTGTACATGCTCTGCTGGCTGTTCGAGAAGACCTGGGATTCCTGGCTGCCCATTTGGTGCGATGGCTTTCTCATCATGCTCGATCGTCTACCATCCATTCCCCGTGCTGCGGGAGAGTCGAATCGAGCTTTGCTGATTGCATTGACTGCACTGGCGGCCGTGCGGGAGATATTCTGGAAAAAAGTGCCTTGCGGTGGCTGGCTCATACCTCTGTTGTCAGCGCCGCTATAAAGCCGCTTTCTCTGAGCGGCCATTGCCTGTTCTTTTGTGGGCGTATCCAATGACCCTTGACCCGCTGAACTGACACCGTCCTGGCCCATATCGTACTCCAGCAGTGGTCTCAGCAACTCTTCGACATGGTATTCGCGACAAAGTTCCACACCCCTCTGGTAGTTTACCCAGGTACCCTGATACTTGCCGTAACCGCCCTGAACCTTTTCGTGCTCCCCGGCAGCAATTTCCTTCTCCAGCGTTTTCGTCCGTCTGGCCTTGACAACACCGGCAACCTTTAGGATCTGGGTTGCGTTTAACCAGGAATCGGCCCGTCGTTTCATGACCGCCACTCCGTTGACCTCCATTTCATACACGGACACATTCGAGTACACAGCCTGGAGCAGCAATCGCAAGTTAGTTAAGCTTTTGCCATGGTATCAATCAACGGGAAATCAAAACAGACTCTGTAGATCTGAGGCTGATATTCCTCTTGATATGGGGCCATGGCCCCATATGTGTTCGTATCATCGTATCCGCCAAAGCTTCCTCTCGACCTTGAGTTGTGTCCCATCCCGTTGGTGAAACTGAAGGACATATTGGACTGCTGTGACCCCCTTGGAGGAGTCGCCCCCGGTGTCGACGCTACCGACTGGGACGCATTGAACGATCCCATACGAGATTGCGACATGGCCATCCCATGAGCCGATCCGATACTGCCCTGCGAGTACGACATGGGCAAGCTCGGACGCGATGCGTGGTGGCTATTGGAAGCCATGTGGCTGGTTTACCTCTGCGAAGTGGCTCTTGGTGCGTCCAGCTGCAGGATTCATGCGCGACCTGTAGATTGTCAGACGTACAGGATCGCCCCAGACATAGCCCAACACGTAGTAGTAGATCTCAAAGGACAACGGTCGCTGTTGCAGCAGTGGATGGGGTCGGAGAATGCGCCTACACTCAGAGAGCAATAATGTGCCGGAAGAAGCGCGCCGGGAAGCGGGAAAGACGCGAAAAGACACGCCCGGCAGAAGAGAGCCAGAACCTGGCAGTAATGCGCAGATCCTGATCGCAGATACCACAAGAGTCCAGATTAGATTGACGTAGACAGACAGGCTGTGCCGGACAAGCTAGGCAGTGAGCTGGGGGATATGCATCAGATCGTGCTGGACAGTCGCGGGGTCTGTTCGCGTTGCGCTTACAATCTAAGTAGTGCTTTTTCGCGTAACCCAGAAACATCATAAGTATTTCCTTTCTGGGCCACCGCCTTTGCTGCTCCCGGAGAATGATGGAGAGCATTTGATACTATCTTCTTCACTTTCAGACATCAAACACCCCCCTTGCAGCACCTTAAATTGAAATCAGGTTGTACGTACCTGGGATCACCATACCTTCGGTGGATTCATCCCAGACAGCTCTCTGTCATCCCAGACATGGCTCCTGGCCCCGTCTTCGTGCCGCCGGAGCAATGGCGACATCTGCTACGAGCTACTCTCCGCGAATGCTCTTACCTCCCAGACCCCATTGCGAGAGGGTATATGCGCGATCATGTGCGTGAAAGATATCGACACCATGCGTCCAAGTATCGGAGTCCCGCATCCATCCCAGTTCCCAAGCAGTTTAGTCTTCGAAGAGCCGCAAGGCACACCCTATCCCTTCTTCAACGCGCCAACGAAGGATATCTACGACCCCTGGAAAAGGTCATGCTGTTATCATATGGTCGGATCGGAAAACGGAGACACGAGCTTCTGGAACCTCTCCTGATGCCCGAAGTACCACCAGATTCTGAAGCAGTCGCGAAAATGATGCAGCAGCCTTCGACGTTCGAGGATGGTTGGCAACCCCCCTCTATCGTGGTCGACCTTCTCAAGTCCCAGCAGAAGAACGGAATCATTGGAAAATACGGGATAAGACCGCAGGTGAAGACTCTGATGCCGAAGATCCCCGCAGAAAACTCCTGGGGAAGGCCCCTTGCCGTCAGCCGGAGAAGGAATATCAGGAAGAGATGGTACGCTGCTGCACTAGATAGCCTTCTTCCACCTCTCCCGGAGGAAGAGGCGCGGCTACTACAGGACCTGATCTCTGGAGTGCAGCCATGGGCTCCGGTAAAGCGGAGAAAAGGCATTACCCAGCCAGAAACGACGCAGGCCCTCGATGCCAAATTTCTCGTGCAGGGACCGCAGAAAGGACACACTTTCGGGGCATTCGCCAACGGTCGACCGCACAACATCACACGACGCTTCATGCGTCGTGTATGGGAACGGCTTTCATGCATGATCCCTCGTATGGAGACGATCGGACCAGGAAAGGCACACTTCGAATGGGGCACGCCCAGTCGAACCAGAAGAGAAATGCTTACGGTGGACAAAGACCAAGCCTCTGTTCTCTTCGCGGGTGTCGACTCTGACGGCAAGATTCAGAACGAACATCACCGCGCCAGTGAACATTGAAAGAATCGCCTCACTTGAGATGCGAAAGCAGCAGACTCTATTCGTCAGTGTGGCTAGAACTGCTCCCGGGAGACAGTAGTCTATCCCTGACCGCGTCTTCCTCGCGGGTCGTTTAGGCAACTTCAAGGCTTATCCTTGGTCCTTATGGATGCGGCCTTTAACTACGGAATGGATTTCTACCGGTCAATGAGGTGACCCTTTATGACCACATCCTAGGACGCGCCGTGAGTTGAGCCGCAGGAAGTATGTAGTCCTCACCATGCATAACATGCTGCCAAGGTCCTATGAAAAAATGAGTCCTCTACCGTAATAGGACCACAAAGGATACTGCCTTGAGCACAAGGCGCAGATTCCACCGACGGCCATTCTCTTGGATTTCTACCTTATCTGGCTCGCAGCTAGAGAATGATGGAATTACTATCGGGGATAGTTCCCTCTTGATGGCAGCTTCTTCAGATAGAGTGAATCGAGGGGGATCTTTACGAATTCTCAACTCTAGAAAAGGTGTAATGATAGGGATACGACTTGTCTACTTTACAAGACGAGCTACCTCTTTCGATCATTGCATCTTGGACACTGTCTGCCTCTGCTGGAAGAAATGGGGCATAGAATTATTCATACGGTACATGAGAACATATCATAGTTCGCTCAATCTAAATCCAAGAGGGAAGCTCGCTCTTAGCTTAGCTAAACCACATACCCAGGTAGTTATACCAAAATATTACTTAAGAGCAAATAGACACCGAAAGATGAACTTCCAGCTCGTTATCGACATAGATCTCATAGTCTCTGACTTTGTCTCCAGCTTCAAGATTATCTACCTCGTATGGAAATAATAAACGAAAGAAGCCATTGTAATTTGTCTCGTTGATCAATCAATCAAACAAACAGGTGTTAAGAATGAAGCTGAGTTTGGCAGCAGGGTGACAAACAGCAAGATAATAAACAAAAAAGAGACTAGAAGCCCTTAGGAGCTGAACCAGCCATCGCACGAGCTGCGCGTTCGCGGTAAGCTTGTCTGAAGCGGTACCTTCCAATAGTGCCCAGTCCGACGGTAGCGATAAAGAGGCCGCACCAGATACCCGTGATGATTCCACCGATGGGGTTGACTAGGATGTGAGTACCGGGATAGGAGAACTTTGTGGCGGAAAACAAGATGGCCGTCGTGCGTGTCATGGCTTCGGGGAAGGTGATGTTGGTTGGTGTCCCGTTCGGCTGCGCCAGCTGGCCGGCAACATAGGAAATGGTGTCGGATGAAAGTGTAGTTGATACGAGGTTGCTGGTGACGGGGTTGTTCGTGCTCATCGTAATGTTAGGGATCATTATGACTCGGAGGTCGTCTCTGATAGGTACATACATGTTAGTCTGACTGCTTTATATCCCAGCGCATTGCCCAATAGGCTAAGATGGGGCGGGCGAATACGTACGCTGTCAGTTTTTCGGTGGACAGTTTGTCGTTCAGCTGTCCGACACTCGTGAAGCCCTGTAGCATCTGTACTGTCTGGCCGTTGGATGTCTTGCTCTGAATCGGACCAGATATCATAGACTTCGGCGAGGACAATGTTGCCTCCGGAATCGTTATCTGCATGCTGTACTGGGTTGGTTTGGTCCCGGCGAACTCGTCCACGGGCTGGTTCATCTGATAGAGTCTTAGATCGGTCTGGAAGACACCAGTCGTATTATCATAGAACGGAATGTTGTAGCAGGCGACGATACCGCTCGGGTTGACCGCGGACTTCATCGCACTCAACGCAGAGTCGCATGCTTTCACAGCTGTTGCGTTGAACGCAGTCTCGTTGAAATTGCTCGCTGCTGCAGCTCCAGCATTATCAGCTCTCGACACGACATTCACGCCGCTGTGGTCCTCGGGCAGAGCAGCGCGCTTTTCCTGGAACAGTTCTCTCTCCGCGATTTCTAGGGCAGCGTCCCCGACGCCGATGTCGAGTCCACGACGGAAAAGCTGGTCCGCGAGAAGGTTCTTTGCGAGGGCGTTTGAGATTGGCGCAGCCAGCAGCAATGCACAAATTGGCGCCAGGTTCAGCTTCATCTTGTCGTCCACAGTAAGACACCCTCAGATGGGAACGTTCGATCCTCGTCTTACTCCTCCCGCTCAATAATTAAAAGGACGCACGTCAGGCGATTCGAAAAGAGAGTCGATAAAAATCCGTCCAGCGGCACTTCGAAGAAAAAAAAGTAATAACCTTGCATCGAGGTCAGCGTCAATCCGAACACATAGCCGCCGTACCAACAGGGTCAACCAACCAGTTAGCTACGCCAGCGGTAACTTGAAGATGCCAAGACGAGAGACACCTCTACGAAACGAAAGTAACGAACAAAAAATTAAGTAAAAAATCGCGAATTATGAACTGAACGTAGGGGAAAGAAAGAAAGAAACAAGTCGACTCCAGGTGACCTTAGTGAGAAAGGAATAAAAGAGGGAAGATCGTTAAGCACCGTGGCCTCCGTTAAAGGGGAGCAGAGCCACGAGGTTCCAGATTAGCATCATGTCTATCCTCAACGACTGTATCATCATTGTCGCAGCTCCACCAAAAGCACAGACGACCACAACTTTGAAGGTTCATGCACAAAGCTTCAAGTATGATCTAGTGCTCAAACAGGCGATTTTTACCTTTAGCCCCGAGGTGCCCGACTATCCGAGTGTTCCTGATGGCGAGACCTGAGACGTGTTTGGTTTGGCGTCAACCGACCTTGTCAATCCAGAAAACCCCAGGCACCCTAAGGGAGTGTTCTTGAGCTGGTAGTGATCTTAATCACCGGTTCGAGGCAGTTATACCATACTTGGCAGGAGATGCTTGGCTCGAATGATCAGGTTAGAAGGAAAGAATAACAATCTGATGTTAAACAATTGCCGTTACCCCCTCGGCCTTGTGACAGTTGGTCTGCTGCAGTCGCTTAAATCAGTGCCAACCCTGCAGTATAGTTAGTTAGCTACTGTAGTCCATGACGCGAAGATGCAGTATCCCCTAGCTTCCAGACCCTATCTACCCCGGGGTCTATACGGTACACAAACAGAAGGGCCGTCGCGACCGAGGGGTACAGTGAAAGGCCCAGCCCCTCTCCCAAGTCGATCGATGGCATTCGATTCACGATCTCATTATCAGAGGGAAAGGAGGAAAGAATAGGCTTCTCTGTCTAGAATATTGGGATCCCAGACAGCCGGAGTTTCAATAACAGCCAAAATGGCGCTTCTCTGTCGACGGTCCAAGGAGGTGGTTTCGGGTTACCTAGGTAGAGCAGGCGCGTTCCCCAAACAAGCATAGCGAGTGTTTACTTCTACTTCCGTGGGCTCATGCTCAGACATGATCATCCCCGTTAGATACTACTGTGACAGAGGATTAGTATAGGCTAGTTATTATGTTGGGACTCGGTACTATCGTTGCTCTTCAGCCCTCCAGAGTCGGTCGGCACTTCATCGTGTTTTGCACAGGCCGGCAGATTATCCGATGATGGGTTTTGTTTCGAAGCCATAGCTAGCTGGTTTCGACGTTCATCAACCCAAATATTGTCAAAACAATTATCGAATTATCAAGCTAACTACTCCGTACTCCATAGCCTTATGTTGTTTTGAAATTGGTTTCGAAGAAGAGGAATATATATAAGATGACGACTGTGACAACGTAATCTAAGACTACGTAGATATGCCTAGAAAGCCTCTCAAAGCTCGAATAGGTATCTAATGGTGATGGTCTGGCTGTACTCGCTCGTGTACTTAGTCGGCCGTCTCAAGTATATTCGCTCTTGATAGTTTAACTCAAATTGAATAATGAAAGAGGTACTATATCAAATGCCCCCAGATTCCCAGAAACTTTATACATATCATTATATGAACTATGCCACCGGTATCCATGCAGACTCTCAAGCATTCAAGAGTCGAGACAAACTGCCCAAATCATATATGGAATCAGATTTGATCACATATCTCTCATTTCAAACCTTTGAGCAACCCATTCAGCACAGCGACAAGACCGTAGGCTCCAGGATCTGGCAGACGAGCGGCTTCCTCTTCCTTTGTCTGTTGCATTCCAGAGTCATCCTTGACATACGCAGACCGTCCAAATCTGGCTTGTAGATTTCGCGTGTTCTCAGAACCAGCGTGCGCTTCAGAAACGGCTGCCTCAAGGGCGGCGAGGCCCTGAGGCTGGTCCTTGCTTACGCGGTCCAACGTTGTTACGAATGGTATCAACGCATCCATCAAGGTACGATCTCCAACACGAGCACCGGTGAAGTTCTCCAGTGCCGTCAGTGCTTCCACTGCTGCACGAGCAAAGTATCGAACATCGATAGGGGTGTTCTCCTCGTAGAGATGGTTCAAAGACGCGGCTAGCGCGGATAAAAAGATGCCGTAGATTCCTCCTGAGGTGCCTCCCATAGCCTCGGTGACGACCTCCGACAGTGCAAGCGTCCCCTGAGTGAGACTGTGCGTAGGCAGTGAGCCGGTTTCTGCCCCTTGCAACATGGCCTGCGCGCCTGCAAGAAGCGTTGTTCCGCAATCGCCATCGCCAAGAACCGTATCGTAGTGTGTAAGAGCTGGCTCTGCTGCAACAACTTCCGAGTAAATGGACTTGATGACCTTTACGAAGGCTTCCTTATCACCTGTTTCGCACTTTGTCAGTAAAGTATTGAATGTGTGAGAACACAGAAACAGAAAGGAAGAGGGAAGACTAACAGCGAATGTCATTAAGGCTGGTGCGGCGGGGCTTCTCAGCTCCTTGATCAACTGACTCGCTAATGCCGGACTCCTTCGTCCACTGGTCGATAGGGATACTTGAGGCCCAGCCGTTTGCAGTCGTGGGGTCATTGAGAAGGCTCAAGATTGTGGAAGCTTCTTCGGAGTCATCCAGGCTCAGTAACGTGATACTGAAGCCACGACCGTCCAATGCGGAAAGGAAGGTGCCTGCGTAGGTTCGGCACGGGGTGATGTTATACATGCTCTTTAATTGCGTGCTGACCAGAGAGGTTAATGCGCCCAGTTCGATGGTCGAGAGACCCCCTAGATTGTTCATTAGTAGAACCACACGACGACCAGCGTTGGCTGCTTCAGCGGGCAGGAAGCCGTGCTCCTTGTTGGTCGAGTCAAGGAGAAGATTGAGCATCTTCTTGATAACCTCCTCTGTTGGTGTCTCTGCTGGTAGACGGTCGAAGGCTGGCTCATTGTGAATCCCCATACCCAAACTGATCTCCTCACTGTGCCCCGTTTCTGCTCCCTGCTGGCCTGGGACATAGCACGGTGCGAGCGACACTCCAATGGTGCCCATGTTGTTGGAGATTTTATCACACAGTTGAACAATGCGGTCGATATCTAGGCCCCGGTGCGCTGCTGCACCGGCCACTTTGTGAATGAGAATAGTACCAGCCAGGCCACGACGACCGACGAATTTGCCGCGAGAACGAGGCACCGATACGTCTTCAGCCACCAATACCACGCGGACATCCTGCCCCGTTGCGGCTTTGTAGCGCTCAGCGGCGAGCGAAAAGTTTAGTTTGTCGCCAGTATAGTTCTTGACAACCACAATTGTCCCTTTGGGTGAGGCAGCTGCCTCAAGAGCACGGTATATCTGTCGGATATTGGGCGAGGAGAAAATGGAGCCGGCAACCGTCGCATCCAACATACCCTCACCCAGGTATCCAGCGTGGGCAGGTTCATGGCCACTTCCACCTGGGCCAAGTTAGTAAATCAACCAATCGCAGACTGTAGAGGAATTGAGAGAAGAAAAACATACCTCCACTGATCACCGTGACTCTATTGGCATCAGCCAGGTTTGGTTTAAACAAAACACCAAATCTCTCATCGAACCTCAAGCCCGGCTGTAATTGTAGCTGAGCACGACTCCATTCTCTTACGAGCAAGACTGGGTCCTGGATAAATCTGCGCTCTACAGGAGATAGTCAGCATTGGCCAATGGCGTTTGGACAAGTGACACATGCGCCGCGCAGAAGGACCAACCTGGAGCCATTGTGTATAATAAAGGAAGTAGACGGTAAAGCCGGAGAGGGAGACAAAAGAGAGGCTTGGCCGCCTTTTAACTGGTATGCTTTTACTCAAGTTATCTCGTGGAATCTAGAGACTGGTAATGCCATTGCTGAAAACAGACAAATTATCTGCCATCGATATAAGTCATCCGATGCCATTGTACCACCAAATGCCCTCATGTGATGACCCCTCACATCCCCGCCTTTCTTTCCTCTTCTACTTTCCTCCTGATTCTCCCGTGGCACGAACCAGGAAGGTGATTGCAACAAATGAAAAGAAGAAGACATGTTCTAGCCGCCAAAATTGGCTTTCCCATCCGATATTGTCAAGAAGACGTAAACTATGCGAGTGGGGTTCTTCATCGATGCGGAGAAGCGGATCCGACTGTGGGGATCAGCCATCCGGTCCGATCGGCTGGATCGGAGATGGGATGGGATGGAATAATTATAGCAAGTCGAGCGATAACTACAGATGAGGAGAAGTAGAAAATCATTCTCGAGTTATTTGGACGCGCAATCTTGGAGTCTTCCTGTCTTGTTGCACAGAGCATCAACTTATGGCTGGCGATGTTAGCAACTACCCACCAAGTAAGTAACATGACCTGGCAGATCCTGCGCGGTGCTACGAGTGTTTAAACGACCATAATTATGCCATTGGAGCATGTAGATCTTGCATACGGGATCATCCGGACTTCCCTCGGTTGTTCCTGACTATTGGCCAGAATGTATCTTTCCCCCGATAAAGATGACGAGTTATGGCGGTGCCTCGTGCATCTAAACGCGACTGATCGCCCGCCATTTCTCCAACTCTCCCCTTAACCATGCGTCTACAGGAACTGGGGTTTATTCGCCACGTTGTCACATATTCAATCAATGTATATCGAAGATGATAATCATTGAGTATCCCATAAGCAGAGATATCAATCACGATATCACGTCTATCCATTCAGTTATAACACCGCTATTCGCGGTGAGAATATCAACACAACTACAGGCAATATCGCGCCTAACCCCCAAGGTGATCAGCACTTGGAGTCGCACTAAGTGATATGCTTTTCACAACTAAGCCTTGCTTTCTAGGATATTGTCCCCATTTTGTAAAACGAAAAAGAACCGTCACACTTTTGTGCTAGGGCAACGTACAATGCCGATCGAAGGGTCCAAACAGGTTTGATTAGGACCCATGAGTAGCTAATAACAGGGCCCAATCCAGCAAGCTTATTTGAGGTCAATTACACGCGGAACCGCAAGTCATATTCCCCTGTCCTGTGTTTACCTTGAAGCTGTCACCCCGTTCTCGCCGAGACATCGATGGCATTTCCAGTCGCTACAGCTAGTGGACCATGGCATTTGATATCGTTCAAATGCCTATATCATTGCCTCCTAATATTCTCACGTATAATGTAGATTCTGTCAAGAGTTTAAACGTCGCTTGTAACCATAGTTCATAAATCATCAAGCTATGCTCTCTACCTACTCAAATTTATAGCCAAAAAGAGGGGCGGAGGTGCGTGTCGATAAGCCGACCTTATCAGTCGCCACACCCGCAGAGATCACTAATGCCACAGGCCGGAAACCCCACCATCGCTGTAAAAATTTCAGGTTAAAGAATCACGACGGCGGGGTATTATTTGCGTCCATTACTACGTTTGACGCTCGTTTCAGATTTTAATCGCTGCGAAATACCCTAGATAAACATTCTACGGGAAAGCAGAGACTTTTTTCGAGCTGCAGCAGAAATTTCCTGCGTCCCGCGAAGACGCGAATTTGCAGCTGACAAATTTGCAGATTGTTTCTCATCATATGCTTCACTAGCAATCACGATCTAAAGCGTGTTGCCTTTCATGTGTGGATGACTATATCGGTTTTCTATCTGAGTGTCTATCTTCTATAAGGTCTTTTTTTTTTTCTTTTCGACAGATGGCGGAATCTACAAACTCTACGGTTCCAGTTACACTGGATACTCTATATGATGAGTCCGATATCTCATCATCAATGAAGAAGCAGTATGATCCGGTTAGTCTCACTGCGGCCGGGTCACTCGCTGTCCTGGAGCTACCTCTTGCCAAACAGATTTTTGGTCATGGAATCCAGGAAGGAGACGAGGGCCTTGTCCCCGTGAAGAGCGGGGAGTCAACGTATACGGATTTCGTCACCCAAAGAGCAAAGAAGCTGGCGGAGAAGGAGACAGGTTCTTCAAATATACGGTCACAGATTCTGCATATTGGTCTTGCGGCGCTCTTCTCATTCCTACAGTCCAACGTGACCGGTCCCCCATTGGCTTTTGATTCCGCGAAAGTCGTCTTCCCTGCGGCTTTGACGGAGACTAAGGCTGTTGTAAATACAATCCGGAAGAAGATGATCCGCGATCTGTCTGTGGATGGAGAGGCTGCTTATCAACTAACGCCAAATGTCGAGCTCTTCTGTGTGGCGAAGGCGTTGTTGGTGGACGCGGGTGTTCTGTTGACGGCCTCAGCACCGTTAGCAGCGCGGGTTGCCCGGATGCGAGTTAATTTCCTGCATCAAAAGATGTTGTCTGAGGTTACGGGTAGTCTTCAGGCGCTTATTTATGATGACCTTGATGAGATCGCGAAGGTCCTACTTGATGCGCCTAACTCTGATACGGAAGAAAAGGCTAGATTCTTGGTCGAGAGGGCGACAATACACACGTTCTTTGGCTTCGATTCAAAGGCTAGAGCAGATCTCGAGCAAGCTGCTGCAACGAGAAATTTCGAGTTCGCCCTAACTGGAAAGCTGGGGAAGAGGACGAAGTTTCAGGATCGTGACATCAGTCAACTCGTGGTTCTAGCGAAAAGCGCCGACGGCAAAGCTGCGGAAGAGTCTAATGCTACTACAGAGAAGAAGGATGAGGCTGAATCCTCAGGACCTAAGAATATTGACCTCAATGACGATACCCTTTTGGAGTCTATTTCATTTGCGAAGGAAGATGAGAGAACGCAAGAAAAGTCAATGACGGTGCAGGATGAATCTTCTCTGCCTCCTTCCTTGGCTTCCCTTGATCCTGCAAACCAGCCTATGCTGAACCCTGTTGATTCGGCTATTCTACTTTCTCTCGCATCTGCAATCACCAATACGACCCCTGAGAACGGCCTGACGCGAGAAGAAACCCTTCCGTACGCGACTCGTGTGCTGGAAGGCGGAAGCTCCAACTGGCAGATCTATACGCAGGCTCTGCTGGTCCGAAGTCGGATTGAGGGCTTCAAATCCCGCACCGTGGAGAGAGGTGTCTTGCAAATGCAAGCCCTAGTAGATCAGGTCATAGCTGACACTGCATCTGTTGACTCTGCTCCGGTAGACACTGCATCGCCCGAAGCAGCAACCACTTTCCTTCCCAGACCGGAGAAATCGGAATCAGCACCAGCGGCTGACAGACTGGAATACATCTGGTTGTTGAATTTCTCTACACGATGGGGTCTCGAAGCAGAGTTGGCCAACCGATGGGTTAACCTTGGAGGACTCCGGACAGCTCTTGATATCTACGAGCGTCTTCAGATGTGGGCGGAGGTTTCTCTATGTTATGCTGCCACTGAGAGGGAGGATAAGGCGAGGACGATCGTGCGCAGACAGCTGTACGAACGAACCAACAAGGACGTCGAGGACGAGGACGAAAAATTCGAGGGCCCAGAATTGTCAACTCTCCCTGCAGATGCTCCAAGATTGTTCTGTATTCTGGGGGACATCGACAAGGACCCGTCTATGTACGAACGTGCTTGGGAGGTTTCCAAGATGCGTTACGCTCGCGCTCAGCGATCTCTCGCCCGCCACTATTTGACCTCGAAACCACCAGCTCTCGACAAAGCCGAAGAAGCCTACCGCAAGAGTCTCCAAATCAACCGTCTCAACCACGGCGCCTGGTTTGCCCTCGGCTGTGTCCAGCTCGAGCTGCAGAAATGGAACGAATCAATCGAGTCGTTCACGCGAGTAGTCCAGCTCGAAGAAACCGATGCTGAAGCATGGAGTAACCTCGCTGCTGCTCTCCTCCACGTTTCCACCACCGAGCCAACTCAGATCGCCGCAGACAGTATCCCAGCGGAAAAAGCAGAAGACGAGGAGGAGGGAGACGAAACCGCACCCGCAGCAAAAGACCCCTACAAGAACAAACGCGATGCACTCGCAGCACTCCACCGAGCCGCCCAGCTCAAAAACACCGATCACCGCATCTGGGACAACCTCCTCACAGTAGCAGCTTCCATCCCTCCCCCCAATGTCCCTTTCAAAGACATCGTCCACGCACAACGAAAAGTGATCGAGATCCTCGGACCGAAAAAGGGCGAGAAATGCATCGATCTCCCGATCCTGACGATGTTGGTAGATTATCTCGTCAAGAACTACCAATATGAAGATCTACTTATCGCCATCGACGAAAACAAAACGGAACGCGTTCTCCGTCGCGGAACTGTCCCCGGACAGATCGTCACGTTGGTTGATGAGAGCGTCGTCCCACTCATCACTCACTCTGCTCCGCTCTGGCTGCTCGTTGCACGCTTGGAGCAGTTTAGACATCGACCTTCTAAAGCATTCGAAGCTCACGAGAAGGCGTGGCGTGCTGTTGTTGCATCTGCTACGCAGGGAGCGTTCCAGATGGGAGACGAGAACAAGTGGATGGATGTCGTCAAGGCTACGGAACGCTTGGTTCGCGAGGGATATGCCAAGTTCGGAGGCATGCAGAAGGAAGGACAGGAGGAAGGGAAACCAGATGCTGAAACCGAACTGGTGGCGAAAGATTGGAGATTCAAGGCTCGAAGTGCTGTGAGGGGTATTCTGGGTAAAGGTAAGGAGTTCTGGGAGGGAACTGAGGGATGGGATCGTCTGAAAGAGCTTCAGTCGGAGGTCAGTGGTTAATCATTGACATTGGGAAAAATTCCTGAACGTTGCTGAGTATAGCATATTTTTTTTAATGCTGTGCTATTACATATTTTTGAACAGAAAACCATGCATTTGAGGATGGGGATAGACTTTTTTTCTTCAGCAGCGACTAATATCATCTAAAAGCGAGCATGTAATACAAATTATATTCTCTCATCATAAGGTCATCTCTCCTCCACTTTCCTCTTCAGCATACCGCAGAAACTCTCAAACAGGACCGTATCAGTTCCTTTCAGCCATCTGACCTGTACGGCCACCTCATTCGCAGAGGCTCTCTCCTGTTTGACTTGGACTTTGAATCCCAGAGCCGCCTTCTTCTCGTCGACTTCGTCTTTCTTGACTGCTGCGTCCTCGTTACGTCTCTTTCGACGTGCTTGACGGGACCAGACGTTCTCCATGGCGAAGCCTACACCTGCGGCCATTCCTGGACGCCAGTGCCATTGGACAGGAAGGAAAGATAGCTCAGTGTTAACCTTTTGACCGATCTCGTCGATCGATTTGTCGGATATATGGAAGCTGAATTCTGACGGGAACGGGAGGAGGTGTTTGGGGAAGCCGGCGATACCTCGAGCCACGGACTGTTATTTGGTGTGAGCTCAATTGTCACAATATGGGTTGGAAACAGTTTTCGACTGTAGACATGGAAATACCCATGAGATACTTACCATTTCTGGGCGTAAGTCTGCCCATGACCATGCTATTGCCCAGCGCTTTGTCTTGTTTCCCTGGACGAACTCGGTGACGGCGTAGTTGTGGTTTCCGTACTCCATGAGCTTTTCCACAAGGACAGAGACGCTGCTCAGCTTCCCAAGCATGGATGTGTACCATTGCACCCTTTCTCGAAGCTCAAGACTCTCTTCAATCATCCTTGTAACGAAAGCAATTTCACCACCAGTGGTTACCATTTCCACGTTTGCTCCAGTACATGCCTGTGGATATTTGTGAGCAGAGATAGTACGGATTACTCGAAATAGTAAGCACTTACTGAAAATGGAGGTCTCTGCTTTGCTTCTGCTGAGGCAATCATCTCTTGCTCGGACTCGTAGAATGGCGGATTACACATGGTAAAGTCTAACCTGTGGCTTTGTCAGTATCGGTTTGTTGATGAGTCTTAGTAACGTACCTTTCGACCTCAAGTCTCTGATCGAGGTCAATAAGAGGGCCTTCCGGTATTGTCCGAATAACCTTGATCCTGGATTCAAGCTTATTTTGTTGGACATTGCGTCGTGCTGATTCTATGTTCTGCTCATCGACATCTGCATCGTCGTGATTAGCTTCCTGAATTTCAGATTCTGCTGTATTCTCACCTGTTGCTACGAACTTCCATCGCGGTCGTGAAGCACATCCAAGAAGCGGATATATACTGCAACAGCCCGTGCCTCTGCAAAAGTCAGCAAAGGCTCCATTCTATAGGTCAGAAAAGTGTGGAATAGTACATGTCTAGCCCGATTACATCTCTGTCGGGATCGTAACGATCCCGATATTCGTCTCCTGTGGTATCCAAGAGATCCTGTAACCATAGAATGTAATTATACCTAATAAAATGTTAGAGCATGTGAGATTAATGAAATTAAGTATTTTCTTCAGACGACCGCACCTATTTGGCACCTTTCAATCGTCAGTCGCTCAGCCTATCACATACAAGAGACGGGGACGGTACCGGAGGGCATAGTCTGTCCTCTGGCAGATCAACCTTGAGGCCGAAATCGCGCAGTAGGAGGCTCTTGGTCAATTGTCTTTCTCCTTAGCCATTAGTAATTTGGCAACCCGCTAAAGTGGTGAAAATGCTAGTCGTACCTGACAGCATCTGGATCGGTGAAATCCAATTGCCCGTTCGGCTTCACGCTATGAGAGAGATCAGAAATTCCCACGAACCAAGAAAACGCTAGTCTCAAGTCCACTCACTGTTTTGCAAAGTCTGGGGACTGCAGCGCAAGCGCCGCGAAGTCGACTTCGTCCTTGTAGATGTTTCGCGCTGATTTCATCTTTGAGACTTATTTTTCACTGGTCAGTTTCTCACATCCGACTCGTCCGTTTCTTCAACCGCCTAGTCTATAACGTCAATCGCGCTATAACCTACCAAGGCAATTGATAACGCGGCTGGATCAGGGGAAGAATGTTCATACTCTAGACACGGATCTCGAACCTTAATGGCAGAGCGCCAAGGAGCCACAGTTGGACTGTTATGCTAATATTTATTCAGCATGGCCCTAGATCAGTCCTGCTGGGTTTGTCACTGTACTTACTACTACCTCTGGTTTCTCTGAAAGCGACAGAGCTGAGACAGGCCCAAGAAGAAACACGCGTAGCTCTGGACCTGGTGGGACGTTCCGTAATGTACCAGCACATCAAGCCCAATCAATCTGGCCGGCCGGATCGGATCTGAGAGAGTCTCTTTCCACGCACAACTTCTGCCTCTCTAGTGTCGTGTATCTCGCGTGCTAGTCGGCTTGGTCGTCAATTGAATGGCTGGATGCACGACAGGAGGAAGTGAGATTCTCCGCTTTGTCAATAGCGCCGCGTAGGGCTGGCAAAGCAAGGGCGGGGTGGATGATGTCATGGGCGCTGTAGTCGATGTGAGAAGCACGTTTTTTTCAGCTGGATTGGGAAAATTTGTGAGATAGAAATAAAGTCGGTGGTGTCAGTGAAGGTGCTTTTGTCGGTGTCGTTATAACTAGGAAGTTGCCTCTGTTCTTAGAGAAGTGTATTAGCTGCTCTGTGCACTCCAAGCCAGACAAGAACGTCGCAAAGATGGCCCACAAGCTCAAAGATAAGCTGGAGGACAAAATCGACCATCTCAGCCATACGCTAAAAGGTAGTGTCGATGCTCTCTGCATTGCGGACTTGGGTTGACGATCGAGTGTCGCGCAGAAAGCCACTTCGAGAAGACGAAGGCGGAGGCATTCCATCTCAAGCATAAGATCGGCAAACTAGGAAACGTATTCAATCCAAACCATCGCCATGACGAGGAGCATGAGAAGAGAACAGACCAGAAGCGAAGTTCCATAGCGGAATCCCACCGTTTTCAGTCCTTTGCGCCTGAACACGAAGGCAACAAGGTCAAGTGGTATGTCGATGCACGCGACTACCTCTGGGCTGTTTCTGTAGCACTTGAGAGAGCCACAGAGACCATCTACATTGCGGATTGGTGGCTCTCTCCTGAACTGTTCCTCCGACGGCCGCCGTATTTCAACCAGGAATGGAGGCTCGACCAGGTGCTCAAACGGAGAGCAGAGGCAGGAGTCAAGATCTATGTGATCGTCTACAAGGAAGTCCAACAGGCCCTGACCTGTAATTCAGCCCATACCAAGCATGCGCTGCGCCAACTTTGTCCCAAAGGGAGCCCAGGTTACGGAAATATCAAAGTGCTCCGCCATCCAGACCACAATGTCTTTGAAAACCTGGGCGATATGACTTTCTATTGGGTGAGTCAGATACATTTTCTCTGTGTACAGATTCAGGATGGCTGACAGTAGTATCTCCTCCACGAAAGGCCCACCATGAGAAATTCATTGTGATCGACTACGCGCTGGCCTTTATCGGAGGTATCGACCTTTGTTTCGGTAGATGGGACACTAATGGACATGCCCTGGCGGATGTGCATCCGTCTGGCATCCAGGACGAAATATTCCCTGGACAGGATTTCAACAACAACCGCATCCTTGATTTCCAGAGTGTAGAGGATTGGCAGAATAACGAACTTAGCAAGACCGAATACGGCCGAATGCCGTGGCACGACGTGGCCATGGCGGTCATTGGAGATTGTGTCTATGATATTGCGGAGCACTTTGTCCTGCGCTGGAACCTGGTGAAGCGGGACAAATACAAGCGTTCTCACGACGTCGACTGGCTCATGCTTGAAGGGCGCACTGGTGAGGATGAAGACCTCGTGGGAATCCAGCGCCCGTCATACCCCTGTGGAGATTATGTCCAGCATCCGCTGTCACCGCTGAGTACCAAACCACGAGCCATGCAAGGATCGGTTCATGCTCAAGTTGTCCGTAGCAGCGCCGACTGGAGTAGCGGGATCCTCACCGAACACAGCATTCAGAATGCATACATTGAGGCGATCCGCAATGCGCAGCACTACGTTTACATTGAGAACCAGTTCTTCAGTAAGGTCTATCCACTTTATGTTTAGAATGAGGCCTTATGCTGACAATATCTAGTTACGGCTACTGGAGACAAACAGGCACCCATAAACAACAGGATCGGAAGTGCCATCGTCGATGCTTGCGTCCGGGCTGCAAAAGAAGGGAGGAAATTCAGAGTGATTATTATCATCCCAGCTATTCCTGGTTTCGCGGGTGATCTACGGGACAGTGCTGCGACAGGCACCCGTGCAATCATGGATTACCAGTATAAGTCAATATGCCGCGGCGAACACTCGATTATGGGGCGCATTGCTGCCCAAGGAGTCGATCCCAGACGTGAGTGCCCTTGTCACTAACACCCTGTTATCTGGACTGAGTCCTGATTCCGTGTAGAGCACATATTCCTCTTCAACCTCCGTTCTTATGACCGCATCAATAAGACGCCAGCTCTTGTTGATCTAGAGGAGAAAGCTGGGGTTAGATACCAAGACCTTCAGCGCGCTGAAGCGGAACAGATCATGAGCGAAAGTATACATCCTGCAGTTGGCGAGGAAGCTGATGTCCATGAGAAGAGCTATGCTACTGGAGATGAGGAGAAACAAAAACGTATCGATCAGCTGCGAAGATTCGAAGAGCAGCGACGGAAGGCTGGGCATCATGGCGAATCGAGCAGTCCAGACACAATCTCGCAGACGGCAATGCTCAATGGCGGAAAGGTCTCTGAGCAGTTTTGGGAAGGTGATCCCGAAGGAGAGAAGGAAAACTACATCCAGGAAGAACTCTATGTCCATGGGAAAGTGTGCATTATCGACGACAGACTTGTCATTTGTGGTAGCGCCAACATTAACGACAGGGTACGTCCAGAGCTGATATCCTCCATCGGAACTCGTGAGTTACTGACGAACGTTTTAGTCCCAGCTAGGCTATCATGACAGCGAACTGGCCATAGTAATGGAAGACAGGGAAATGCTTGATAGTACCATGGATGGCAAGCCCTACAAGGCTGCCCGACTTGCAGCCACTCTCCGACGGCGGCTTTGGCGCGAGCATCTTGGCCTGCTGCCTGCTCAAAGCTTTAACGCTGAGAATGACCCAAATGCTCTGCCCCCCAACGATTGCATGAACGAAAACGACGAGGGACCCGAGTATGAATTTGTCAAGGACCCTCTGGATGACGACCTCTGGGATACCTGGACCGGACGAGCAACTACCAACACGGAAGTCTTCCGCCTGCTCTTCCGCGCTGATCCAGACGATAACATCAAGACATTCAATGACTATGACTATTTCTCCCCACGGGGTTATATCAAGCAAGGCCATCTGCATGACCCGTTCTTGCCAATTAAGTTCGTTAAGGAACAACTGGAGAGGATCAAGGGTCATCTAGTCTGGATGCCTCTCGATTTTCTGAAGGATGTAAATATGGCTGAGCCCGGCATGTCTGTGAATCAGTTCACAGAGGTGAGTGATATCCTATATACACGTTTTTATCGACGAACTTTTGCTGATACCGGTATTACCGACAGAGTATCTACACATGATCAATTCATTGGACACCTGTCATTTGCGTCCTGTTCTGAATGTATAATGAGAGCTTTTCCATTTTACTCTACATGATTCACCCAGTCAGCATTAGTGATGCACATGCTATGGTAATTAATACAAACTAGCTATCTTTTAATTTCCCATTTGATTATTTTGCTATGTCTTTATATAATGTATTTCAGCAACTGTAAACTGATATCCTGGCAATAAAACACGGTTTTCCAGTAAAAAGTTGGCGAATCAGCCAAGTTGGTATTGCTCCATGTTACCTAGTCCCCTCTGTGCTGTTTTAACACTACAGCAGTGGTCAGGGTGGCTAGAACATTAAGTACCTAACAAGGCCATCCAAGGAAATGTTCTGGCAAGTTAATGAGGACAATGGGAATAGGAATACGGGTCGACCTAAATATATTCCGCAAGTATTACAACATCTTAGTTGTTGCTGGAATCAAAATCTTATCTTTGTCTCGGATTGTTCTGCACTGGCTAATCTTTTCTTTGATTTCTCTCATGATATGGAATGATACTGGTCTATGTATGTGGTATCCAGAAGAGTGCACATGTACAAACTGCATGAAACGGCTGAGTGTCCCATGCCATACTTAGTATAGAACTAAATAATCATCCAGATATGCAAAGAGCTAAATAACAACCCCCCACCCCCAAATAACCGCCATGGTCACCTAAACTAGTACTCCTTCCCCTCACCTTTTGAAGAGAATAATCCCCGATGTAATCTCTTGGCAGCGGGAACCGCCCGACAAGATAAGCGGCTTTATCAATCATCATATCGGACAAAGAGCAAATTGTCTGACAGATAACGATGAATCGATTACTCTAGAATTTCTATAGGTCAAACTGTTTTTTGGTCTTCTCTATCAGCGAGACCTTTACATCTTCTGCATCCTTGGCAATATAAGCCTAAACTGTATATAGCATTTTATAGAGACGCTAGTCTGGCATGGTGAGTCCAGCATAAACCCCACTCATCATCACAGTATTTATATAGGGCCTATGGAAACTGCTTTTGAGAAGTTTTTTCTTTCTGGGGAGTATCGGATATAATTACTTCAGAGAATCTGTAGAATATCGCACTAAGCCATGTCTATCAAACGAATCCCCTACTCCGCTCCACGGGAAGAGTTCATCAGCGCGATTGAGAAAGATGGATGCGTGATCATCCAGAATTTCACAACGAAGGAAAAGCTTGCGCGAGCGCAGAGCGAGGTTCAGCCGTACTTGGATGCTGATGGGGAGATGAGTAAAGTTGGAGGTTAGTATACTTTTTTTTCGTTTATTATGTTCATTCGATACACTTTACCATGGTTTTAGATGGTTAGCTTATAAATGATGGAATTGGCATATATAGCACTGAATGGAGGCACGAGAACTTGCACGAAGCTCATTGGACGAAGTAAGACTGTACGAGAGGAGTTCTTTTCAGATCCTTTATATCAGGTTAGGTCATCTTTCTCTTGTTTCTCTGTCAATATTATTCATGAATTATGCATTTACACATACAGGACCTATCTGAGCACTTCCTCTCACTCACCACTACAAATTACTACAACACCGAACCCTCAACCAACACTACCCATCCACTCCTCTCCATTGCTATCACAATGGACATCCGCCCCGGCGCCGCAGCCCAGCGTCTCCATCGCGACGACAAGAACCATCATGCTCGCCACGTCCGCACTTCCAGCTACTCGTACGAGCCACATCGGGACATGCTCCTCGGTCTCTTCGTGCCTGGATGCGATACCACGAAAGAGATAGGCGCCACGCGCGTCGTGCCGGGGAGTCATCTGTGGGGAGACGAAAAGCCGGATTTTGGCCCCGATGGGTGTAAGGGCGTGGTTGATGCGGAGATGAAAGCTGGAGATGCGTTCGTGATGTTGGGAAGTCTGTATCATGGTGGAGGGGAGTTTATGAAAGATAGTGGTAGTAGGACGGTGCATATTATGTTTATGTGTAGTGGGGTTTATAGGCAGGAGGTAAGTTTAGTTTTTGTTTATATCTCTTGATGGTGAATATCTGAAGAAGCTGACTTTATCTAGGAAATCTCGTATCTGTCGTATCCGATAGAAGAAGTAAAGACGTATTCGAAACTTGTGCAAGAACGTCTGGGTTGGAAGCAGTCAGAGCCGAACCTTGGATGGGTCGATTTGAAGTCTCCGGAGTTCATGCTGGAGTGATATTGATTCTTCAATGCTTTGAGAAAACAAATGAAGTCCGAAATGCTAGGAGAGTTCCGTACTATGGACGTATCATCCCGCTCACGAAGGTTTTCTTGTTCTTATTCTTTTTTATCGGTAAATGATATTAACCGTTGGGACGATCTGAACTCATTATACAACCCGCATTGTAGTTATCTATTGACCGCCTGGCCCAGCAGCCGTCAAGAAATCGAAATCAACACCTTCTTCGGCCTGGTTCACACTTCTCTCGTATAATCCGCGGTATCCTCTCTTCCGACTCCTCTCCGACAATACCCCACTGCTAGAAATGGACCGCTTCCTCTCTTCAATTCTCGCCTTCAGTTCATCATCAGAGATGTCCAAATGCAGTAGCCTCTTCTCCACATTACAAGTAATGATATCACCGGTCTGGACAACACCAAACGGTGAGTCTGGGAGTGCTGACTCTGGAGAAATATGTAGCACGATCGTGCCCCCTGCGGTTCCGGACATGCGTCCATCCGATAAACGGAGCATGTCTTTCACTCCACTCGCTCCCAATTTGCGCGGTATTGGGATCAGACCTGCTTCTGGCATGCCTGGGTTGCCGATGGGTCCGATTCCTTGAAGGACTAGGACAGAGTCTTTGTTCACAGGAAGATCGGGATCATCGATGCGCGCGGCTAGATCAGCAGAGTTCTTGAATACAACAGCAGGACCGGAATGTGATAGTAGAGCACGATCTTTGGAAGCGGAGGCCTTCATGACGGCGCCGTTAGGAGCGATATTACCGTAAAGAACCACCAGCGAGGACGAAGGATACAGAGGATCAGAAAGTGGTCGAATCAGCTGTTGGGAATATGGGAAAGAACGGAAAGGGGAAGCGTCAAGCACTTCACCCAATGTCTGACCCGAGATGGTCATGGCAGATAGGTGAAGAAGCGGACGAAGCTGGTGCAGAAGCGCAAGCATACCACCCGCGTTATGGAAATCGTTCATGTAGTTGTCACCGCTTGGTTTGAGATCAACTAGGAGAGGTGTTTTACGACCAATCTCGTCGAAAGTCTGCAAGGTAATCTCACCCTGTAACTTCGGGTGGCGGTTTGCAATGGCTAATAAATGCACAACAGCATTTGTCGAGCCACCAATAGCCTGCAGGACTGTTATTGCGTTGAGAAAAGATTCCTTAGAGAGGATATCCTGAGGAGTCCGTTTCGCCTTTGCAACCGAGACGGCATTTGCTCCTGTCTCCTCCGCTATTCTGAGCCGACCAGAGGAGACAGCTGGTGCTGAAGCGCCCCGAAGAGGCATCATTCCCAGCCCAGCTGTAATGCAAGCTATGGTGCTGGCGGTCCCCATGACGCCACATGTTCCGATCTAGTAGAAGCAGTCAGAATACTGATAACACCACCCAGGAGATACGATACTAACAGTTGGCGCTAATTCCTCATTTATGGCTGATATCTCCTCGATATCTATCTCGTTGGCTCTGAAGGCTGCCCAGTTATTTCGACAATCCGTACAAGCGCCTAATCGCTGGCCCCGGTGACTACCAGGCATCATGGGCCCAGTAATCAGGGGCAGAATTGGCTTATTCGCTGATATACCACCCATAAGCTGCGCGGGAACAGTCTTGTCACAGCCTGGTCTTCGTCAGACTAGTTACAATATCAGAACAGATGCTAGACGTACCTCCAATCATAATACACGCATCCAACGGTTGCGCCTTAATCATCTCCTCCGTATCCATACTCATCAAGTTCCGCAGGAACATACTAGTCGGATGTGCAAAGGACTCATGAACACTGATAGTTGGGAAATCCACCGCCAGGCCTCCATGGAGCTGTACGCCGCGCTTGGCGGCCTCGATGAGTTGAGGCACATTGGCATGGCAAGGATTGAACCCAGAATATGTGTTGATAATACCAATTATAGGCCGTGATAAAGCATCATCTGAGTACCCCAGTGCTTTTATAAATACCTTTCGAAGGAAAAGAGAAAAATGCGCGTCGCCATATGAGGTCAAGCCCTGACGAAGCCCTGAGGTGGCTTCGAGGGGACGGGAGAGGTCATAGTCCCCGCCTGACGATGGTTGGTTGTCATCCTGGACCATTTCGTCTTGTCTCCAGAATACACCAAACAATTGTTTTGTCTATACTTATGCCATAGTCGGCGAGAGGTGTACTAATAGACTACATATAATACGCTGACTGTGCTTCCGCGATTCCCCCGCACAAATGGCGAGCTCTGCCCCCGCCGGAGAACCTCCGCCTCTCGGATACATCTCCGTGTTTCCGCTGTCAATATTGAGGAATTTTACAGGAGGTTCTTATATAAGATTAATTCTGAATGCATCTAGTCTCATGGCTCCTGGATAATATCGTGTGTTGATGGTATGGTAGTTCCGTAATGTGGTCATTCTATACGATTCATGTGCACAGTGATCGTTATCAAACTACCTTAATATTGGAGATTTCCATATATCAGGGCAATCCATTTCTCATAATGAATATTATTGCCAAATTAAAACTTGGATCTAATAATGTCCAGTTATGTTCTTCTCTCTACCTCATACATACATTATCACTGACAACAAGACATTATTTTTGGTTTGATCCAAGACTTTCTACATACCGTTTTCAGCTAGTTCCAAATAACTATTCTCGATATCAAACTCTCCTGTAAAGGGCATTTAGCATCCAAGAATCATCTTTCTACAACGAGAACTCATCAATTAGTGAGTAACTGACACCTTCACGACAGACAAGTTCATCTGGAAAGCTTCGAGTTCCAACTTCATCCTACCAATTGTATCCAGTATCCCAGACTAGAACATCTACGATGGCCAACGATACGAAGCATTCAGCATACCCTTCTCTTATTTCCGTACGACTCTAGCTTAGTAGGAAAGTTGTTTAGTATCATAGGATAGCATAGTGCCAAAACCAGTCAGTCTAGAATAATCAAGTGGCGATGTGGGAAAGCAGAGCTTGTTTCTCCGAGATACATCGCTTAAATACCTCCGTGCCTGTTCGGGAGATCATCAAGGTCTGTTATGACAACGGCCGTTTCTATATTGAATTGGAATACGTCCCTGAAATGGACCCCAGGCAGCGTGTGTTGTGGTTACTTATCAGAAGAGCAGAAAAAAGAAAAGAAATAAAAGAGACATCGTTACAGAAATCGTAGGCTATATAAGCTAGCTTCAGAAATTGAATTCTATACCCTAGACAGTAAGTCTTTATATTGGGTATTAGCAAACTTTGGCGGTGCTACTAGTTAGTGTGACTGTATACTAATAACTTGATCTCGCTAGCGAGAGCTTTTTACCTGTGCACAGTACATACATATTTTTATACTAGAAAGATCAGTGTCCTTTCACTTTTATAATAGGTGACTAGATAGAACTTAGTAACTAGTTAACTAGATAGTTATCAGATCTATGTACTAAACATCTGCGTATATTACTATTAGTTATCCTGAAGTATCATTGTCCTTACTGGAATCAAAGGGTTACAAGTGCAGTGGGATCAATTACCCAAACTCGGTAATCGGACGCTATATGCAGTACCTAACTCAACTACCGCTAAAATCAAACACCGATCTGATCTATTATTAATAGTTCATAGGATAAAGAGAAAGAGAGACAAAAAGCAAAGAATAAAGAACTATTCCTATATTCTAATAGAAACGACACATACAAGATAAAAGAACTATACTAGTTAATCCTAGCAATAATTCAATAAGCACAGTACTACTATCAAGTAGTACAGTACGAAGTACAGTACTTAATACATCCCACCCGTTCGCACCACGATAGTAATAATCCTGCATGTTTCGCATTGCACCGCAGCGTACTTGCATATGGTATTTAATAATTATTATTACCCGCCTGTCTTTTACTTTACCGTATCAATGAAGCAATGGGAGAGAAAAGCGATATTTCGCCGATAATCGAGCCTCGTCGGTTTTCGGGCTTTGCGGCGATAAGAAAGCAAGTTAATCGGGAAGGTCGGTCGGTTGGTCTAGTTAAATAATAATGACTCGATTTGGGAGGAAATGTTTCACCATTTAGGGACTTTGGGGTTTTCGACTATATGTTTTGTTTTGTTTTCTTTTCTTTTATGTGATGTTTTTATTATTAGTGTTAGTAGTAGTGGTATAGATATACTTTTGCTCTAAGTGAGGGGTCCTTTGGTTTATTTGTCTTTAATTTTTAAATAATATGTAATACCTATTCGCAGTAAGAGTACCTAAGGATAGGACACACGATCAGATACCGAAATACATTCGAAGCAATTATTAAATAACTTTAGCCTATAAAATTTGTACTGGATAATTGGTAGTTATAACCTCCAATTGGAATTGCTCGTGTGAGCATCCAGTTTTCTCGTTAGCGGTAAGGCTGCGTAAGTCAGTCAACCCCGCTATTTGAGAATAGAAAGGTCTAGGAGACAATAATAATAGTCAGTGAGTTGAGTATCGGAGAAAGGAGACTTCTCCGGCCATTACTACTGCCTGCTTTACTGCAGGACAATACTCCATAGTAACGATAGGTAGTTAGTTAGCCAAGTAACTAATTACCTAGACATCTCGCAGAAGAATAACCAACTAGATAGTTAGTTTATCTTCTTGCTTGGTCTTAGAGTAGAGTACAGGTAAAAACGCCCGGAGACTTCCGATGGCCACGGCGTCCTCCAGGGAACTTCTCGGTGAGCCCAAAGAGGAGAGACGAGCACGCGGCCAGTCGGGAGAAATCGGATGCGGAAGGGCGGCAGTTGAACAACGCTGTCATGTGACCAGCACTCCTGCCCCTCCCGACACGACACAAGTTGGCGGACTGCAGTGCTCCGTGTCTGCTGGTCAAAGTCCGAGGAAGAGGAGAGAGACAAATAAGTTAGTAGTAGTAACTATGTGAGAGAGGGTACGGAGTAGTCTGCAGGTGAGTCACCGCAGTTTTGTTAGTGAATTAGTCTAACTCGTTGGTTAGTTACAGTAGCATTATTGGGTAACTGTTGTTCACTACTACTCCGTATAGAATATAGACTCTCTGCGTTGATCGGCCGAGAGAGAAGATGTCGACGAGTTGACTTGACCGGCCGGCTGGAAGTATAGATAGCAAAGAAACGTCCTCTAGAGGGTCGAACTAGATGCCACTGTCGCGCTTAAAAATGTTACAATGGTCACTGGTTGCATTGCTCGTCCCGCCACCCCGCGAAGTAGTTCTGACTATGTGAAGTTTAATTGACCTTAACTTAATGGTTCGCAGCGATCCAGTTGGCAGTCGACCAAAACCCGGGAGGACGGATCGTTGGATCTCGAGGAGAGAGACCTCTCAGGGGCAGGACCCTGCGGACATCCATCGATATGCGATAAAGACGTTCGATGACCTCTAAATATGACCTTTACAAACGCCGTGGTCCAATCAGCATGAGGACGTTAAATGCAAGGTGCAGCGTTGGCGCACCGACATCGGGGTCGGCAGCGACAGTTGATTAAGTTGATCCCTCGCGCTAGTTCGAGGACATCGAGACGTTGACTCCAGGAGGGTCCCGGAGCAGACCCCGCGAGTCGGATGGAGAAGAAAGTGGAGGGGGTGTGGGTGCTGAAGTTGGAGAAATCTGGTAGCAAGTAGTAGAGTAGTGATTATTTCACGGATAACTCCCAGGAAGACGCGGATTAGCAATATGATCGTGTCCGCAGGCGAGGCCGTACTTCTACCCCGGCTTTTGTAAGTTTTCCTGACCCTGTAAGTAATGCGGTTACGATGTCGTCCTTTGATGATCGTCTGCTGGTCCTCCCCAGCGTGGGGTAGAAATGTCAATTGCAACACTTTTCTGTCCTCCTTAGGCCGGAGAGCTAGAAACATATGCTGCACCCTGCACGACGCACGTTCCGGTGGCTTGAGGATGGGCACAGGGTGCACCGTGGACGACTTCGGCGCATCCTGCACTGCCTACCTGCCAACCAACCCTGCCTAAGTGAGTCGTAGCTGGTCGATGATCTGTTCTCTCTTTTCGCTGGCAAGCAGATCTTCGTCTCGCCAGGAGTCTGAGTACTCCAGTCTTGTCCGCTGCTCGTTTATGCGGGGCTTGCTCTTGGATGCCTCGAGATGCTGATCGACCCGATCTCCCTGACAAGCGCCCACCCTCATCTTCGTCTGCGAGCCAAAAGTTATTACATACATCCATCACAGCGATCCTGACGTCTGCCACTTCCACTTTTTGCCATCTCTATGATGTCTTCGAGACGACTACTCCGTACTCTGCGTATTGCTCTCATATCTGCACTTGGAGAACAGATAATGTGAACCCCCACCTTCGGATTGTCTAGAGTATACCGTAGAGACTGGTTATGGGTCATGAAGTCGGGGAGTGGAGCACGCTGCTCCAGGAGAACCACCGGATGGACCGCGGGAACGACTCCAAACTGTGGTGCGAAACAGAAAGTCGTGTTGTAGAGCAGACCATACATGGTGGGAAGCACTGCGATGTCCGCTTTTCGGCAGGCAAAGGAGGAGTACTAGTAGCCATCAGCATCGGCCATGGCTGCCATCCTCTAGCCTCGTCTCGTAGTCGAGATAGTAGTCTAGTCAGTCGCTCCTCTGCTCCGAGCAGACACGGTTCGTCAGACTGACCCTGCGCCCGAGGGCAGCTCCGACCGTCGGATTCGGGGAGCGACTCCATCATATCAGCGAGCACTGTTAATATTATTCCGCTGGTGATTGTCTGTTCTTTTCATGTCACTGGATCAGCAGGGCGTGCTGTGACTGGGCGGACTGAATCCGGACGTGCTCCTCGGCGGAATCCCTGCCCTCCTGTGAGCAGCCATGTAAATAATACCGTCCCAATACGCCAGCCGTCATAAAGCGCCTAGTGGCCGGATTATGCCCCACCGGGTGGGCCTTGACGTAGCCAGAGTCTAATGTTTCTGGGTAAAAGGTTGAAACCCCTTTGCCCTGATTGGCCCGCCTTGTCTTATCTCTGCCTGCAGCACCGTATGTGGAAAGCTTCGATCGCGAGCAGCGGGCGCAGGCAGATCGATGCCATGTGCCCCGGGAATGTTGCTCGAGGGCGAAAACTGTCACAAACAGCTCTCGAGAAGGATACTATATATATGGTACGAGGCCGTAACAGGACAGAATATCAAGTAATGAAACCACGGTACCCGGGGGAAGAAGGAGATTGCTGTATCCCCCAGGTTAAATGAGATGTCGTGTAGAAGGATGGATACTAACAAGAGTACCCAGAAAGAGAGACAGACCAGTCCGTGTGTAGCAGCGGAAACCACAGAACGGGGCCAAATACCAAACCTCCGAAAGCCGCTGCCGCCTGCAGACTGTATTATTGTAACTTCTCCAGAAGCGGGATAGACAGGCAGAGAAAGGTAAAAAAGGCACATTGACCTGACTGTTCTCGGACCAAACCATCCAGGCATAGCTCTGCTCCCGTCACCAGCTTGCAGCAACGCTTGAGATCCATTTGCCACGGCGGAAGAGTCTCCAACAACCCCACAGCCCGTGGTCTTTTTTTGGGCCGCTCACCCAGACCATTTGAATTGCCGGTCCTGCCCGTGTCGGTCTCTTCTCTCTCCTCTTACTCTTCTCTTCCCTCTCTTCTTCTCTCTGCTTCACTCCTTTCTCGATTCCTCTGAACAGCGAGCCGCTGGGTTGATAGACGTTTCTTCTTTTTACTATATACCCCTTCCCAGTAGCGTTGTCGCTGACCACCCCCCGGTTGTCGTGACGACATCCCCTTATCTTATATCGTCCCGCTTTCTGAACACCCCGCCCGCGGACACAGAAGACGGCGAATAAATAGGCACTAAAAAAAGAAAAATCGATAGTCATTGCATTCTCTGTCGGTCGCCGGCGGAAGAATGGGTCACTTTGAGGATATCTATGAAAACACGATAGAAGAGCAGCCGCACGAGTACTCGGTGTACAAGCCAGAGAGGGGTTATGGATGGGCGGAGGCCTTGCCCGCGCGGCAGGGTCTCTACAACCCTGAACTCGAGAAAGATGCCTGCGGTGTAGGATTCACAGCGTGAGTACTGACTGGTTCTGCTGCCGTCAATGGGCTGGGGCTGTGCCTCATTATGAATAAACAACTTCTGACGCGTGGAGTGCAGCCATATCAAGGGCAAGGCAAGCCACAAGATTGTTAGCGATGGTAAGGTTTCCCTGGATGCAGGATTTCTTCAGTGTCTGTAGATGAGGATGCTGACAGATCGCAATTGATAGCCCGTAACCTGCTTTGCAACATGACCCATCGAGGAGCGGTTGGCTCTGATGCTCGAGACGGTGACGGCGCGGGCGTGATGACCAGTATCCCGCACAAGTTCTTTGTGAAGAACTTTGCTCGTGACGCCGGAGTCGAGCTCCCTCCATTGGGACAGTATGCCGCCGGTAACTTGTTCTTCAAGCCCGATAACGACGCACTGAAGGAGTCCACGAAGGCGTTTGAGGAGATTGCGCAGTCATTGGGCCTCCGGGTACTCGGATGGCGTGAAGTCCCCCGTGACTCGACCATTTTGGGGCCTGCTGCTCTCTCCCGTGAGCCGGTTATCCTGCAGCCATTCGTCGTCTTGAAATCAGCCTACGGTGACGGCAACAAGCCTGAGATCACCGATCCAGAGAAGTTCGATGACAGACACTTCGAACGACAGCTCTACGTCCTACGGAAGCGCGCAACCCACGTTATTGGTCTTGGAAACTGGTTCTACCTGTGCTCCCTCAGCAACCGGAACATTGTGTACAAGGGTCAGCTGGCGCCCGTCCAGGTCTACCAATACTATCATGATCTGGTCAACGTTGATTACGAGGGCCATTTCGCTCTCGTGCACTCTCGTTTCTCCACAAACACATTCCCCTCGTGGGACCGCGCACAGCCTTTGCGATGGGCTGCCCACAACGGTGAAATCAACACCCTGAGAGGAAACAAGAACTGGATGAGAGCCAGAGAAGGCCTCCTGAAATCTGAGATCTTTGGTGACGAGCTGGAGAGCCTGTACCCGATTGTTGAGGATGGCGGATCCGACTCTGCCGCTTTCGACAACGTCCTGGAGCTGCTCATGATCAACGGCGTTTTGTCTTTGCCCGAGGCTGTGATGCTCATGGTTCCCGAGGCCTGGCAGGATAACCCAGCCATGGACCCTGCAAAGGCAGCCTTCTACGAATGGGCTGCTTGTCAGATGGAGCCGTGGGACGGTCCTGCTCTCTTCACCTTCTCAGATGGACGTTACTGCGGTGCCAATCTGGACCGCAACGGTCTACGCCCTTGCCGTTATTATGTCATGGATGATGACCGTATCGTCTGTGCCTCTGAGGTCGGTACCATTGATATCGACCCTGAGCGGGTCGTTCAGAAGGGCCGTCTACAGCCCGGAAAGATGCTTCTGGTGGACACTGTTGCTGGTCGGATCATCGATGATTCTGAATTGAAGCACACCGTTGCTCACCGTCAAGACTTTGCAGCATGGTTGGACAAGGAGTTGCTCAAGCTCCCAGCTATCAACGAGCAGCTTCTCGCTCAGAACGTGGATCTTAGTACTCCTCTTGATGACCTGACCGTCCAGAACGACCCTCGCCTGAAGGCTTTCGGCTACTCTTTCGAGCAGGTCAGTCTGCTCCTGGGCCCTATGGCAGCAGACTCAAAGGAAGCTCTGGGATCTATGGGTAACGATGCCCCCCTAGCCTGTCTGGCTCAGCAGCCTCGTCTGCTCTACGAGTACTTCCGTCAGCTCTTCGCCCAAGTCACGAACCCGCCCATTGACCCTATCCGTGAGGCCATTGTCATGTCTCTGGAGTGTTATGTCGGCCCCCAGGGTAACCTGCTCGAGATGGAGCCTTCTCAGTGCAACCGACTTCTGCTGCCAACTCCTATCCTCACTCTCGGCGAGTTCAACGCCTTGAAGAACATGACTACCATTCACAAGGACTGGCCAGTGCGAACCATCGACATCACCTTTGAGAAAAAGAAGGGTGTTCAAGGCTATATCGACGCCCTGGATTTGATCTGTGATGCTGTCACCGAGGGCATTCAGAATGGAGACAAGATTCTGATCTTGTCTGACCGTGCCACTGGTCCTGATCGAGTTCCCGTTTCGGCTCTCTTGGCCACTGGTCTCGTCCATCACCACCTGGTTCGCAACAAGTGGAGGTCCCTGGCCGCTATCGTTGTTGAGACTGCAGAGGCCCGTGAGGTCCACCACATGTGTGTCCTTTTGGGTTACGGTGCGGATGCCATCTGCCCCTACTTGGCTATGGAGTGCATTCTCAAAATGAACCACGAAAAGCTCATCAGGAAGCAGCTCAGCGACGAGAAGGTCCTTGAGAACTACAAGGCATCCTGCGACGGTGGTATCTTGAAGGTGATGAGCAAGATGGGTATCTCTACGCTCCAGTCTTATAAGGGCGCTCAAATCTTCGAAGCTCTGGGTATCGATGACAGCGTTGTTGATCGCTGCTTCGCTGGCACTGCTAGCCGTATCCGAGGTCTGACCTTCGAACTCATTGCCCAGGACGCTTTCGCGTTCCACGAGCGTGGATACCCGTCACGCCCCATTGTCCAGGTTCCTGGCCTTCCAGAATCTGGTGAGTACCATTGGCGCGATGGTGGTGAACCCCATGTGAACGACCCCGTCAGCATTGCCAATATCCAAGATGCCGTCCGGACGAAGAACGACAAGTCTTATGAGGCATACGCCAAATCCGAGCATGAGCAGATCAAGAACTGCACGCTCCGTGGTCTGCTCGACTTCGATTTCGAGCAGCGCACCCCGATCCCCATCGATCAGGTCGAGCCCTGGACGGAGATTGTGCGACGCTTCGTCACTGGTGCTATGTCCTACGGTTCCATCTCCATGGAGTCGCACTCTACCCTTGCCATTGCCATGAACCGTCTGGGCGGGAAATCCAACACTGGTGAAGGTGGAGAAGATCATGAGCGCAGCAAGAGATTGGAGAACGGCGACACGATGAGATCCGCCATCAAGCAGATCGCCTCTGGCCGATTCGGTGTTACTTCCGCCTACCTGGCTGATGCCGATGAGCTCCAGATCAAGATGGCCCAGGGTGCCAAGCCCGGTGAAGGCGGTGAGCTCCCCGGTCACAAAGTCTCCGGACCAATCGCGCGCACCCGTCACTCCACCCCCGGCGTCGGTCTGATCTCTCCGCCTCCGCATCACGATATCTACTCTATCGAGGATCTTAAGCAGCTCATCTACGATCTCAAGTGCTCCAACCCTCGTTCTCGTGTCTCTGTCAAGCTCGTGTCCGAGGTCGGTGTCGGCATCGTCGCTTCGGGTGTCGCTAAGGCCAAGGCTGACCACATCTTGATTTCCGGCCACGATGGCGGTACCGGTGCCTCGCGATGGACTGGTATCAAATATGCCGGTCTGCCATGGGAGCTGGGTCTTGCAGAGACCCACCAGACCCTAGTCCTGAACGATCTTCGCGGTCGTGTCATTGTGCAGACTGACGGTCAACTCCGCACCGGACGGGATGTAGCCATCGCCTGTCTGCTTGGAGCTGAAGAATGGGGGTTCGCTACAACTCCTTTAATCGCAATGGGCTGTATATTCATGAGGAAATGCCACACAAATCAGTGCCCTGTCGGAATCGCAACTCAGGACCCTGAGTTACGCAAGAAGTTCAGGGGCACTCCCGAACACGTTATCAACTTCTTCTACTATGTCGCAAATGAGCTCCGTGCCATCATGGCTAAGCTCGGTATCCGTACTATCAATGAGATGGTCGGCCGTGCTGAGCTGCTGAAGATGAGGGACGATGTCAAATCCTCCAAGCAGGAGAACATCGATCTGTCCCTCATTCTGACACCGGCGCACTCCCTGCGCCCAGGTGTTGCGACATACAACGTCCGGAAGCAGGACCATCGCCTCCACACCCGTCTCGATAACAAGCTCATTGCGGAGTCCGAGCTCGCCCTGGAGAAGGGTCTGCCTTGCAGAATTGAGTGCGACATTGTCAACACCGACCGTGCACTGGGTGCCACCCTGTCATACCAGATCAGTCGTCGCTACGGTGAAGCTGGTCTGCCTCAAGACACCATTCACGCCAACATTAAGGGTTCCGCGGGTCAATCTTTTGGTGCCTATCTTGCTCCTGGTGTGACACTCGAGCTCGAGGGAGATGCCAACGACTACGTCGGAAAGGGTCTCTCCGGAGGCCGTCTCATCATCTACCCTCCTCGTGGTGCTGTTTACAAGTCCGAGGAGAACATCATCGTCGGAAACGTCTGTCTCTACGGCGCTACTAACGGAACATGCTTCTTCAGAGGTGTTGCAGCTGAGCGCTTTGCCGTCCGCAACTCTGGTGCTACTGCTGTTGTGGAAGGTGTCGGTGACCATGGTTGTGAGTACATGACTGGTGGTCGTGTTCTGATCCTGGGCTCCACTGGACGTAACTTTGCTGCTGGTATGTCTGGTGGTATCGCTTACGTCTTGGACGTGAAGCAAGACTTCCACTCAAAGGTCAACTTGGAGATGGTTGAAGTGAGTGGTCTGGAAGACCCAGCTGAGATCGCCTTCGTCCGCGGTTTGATTGAGGACCACCACCACTACACCGGCTCCGAGCTAGCTGCGCGCATTCTCCTTGACTTCACTCGTGCACTTCCCCGCTTCGTTAAGGTTCTCCCCATTGATTACAAGCGAGTCATGGAGGAAGAAGCTGCCAAGGCTAAGGCTGCCAAGAAGGCTGAGTTCTCTCTGCCTCAGCTGCCAGGTATTCCTGCCAGTGTCGAGAAGTCACATTCGACCCATGAGGAGGGCAAGAAGGCTGATCTGCTCGACATCGAGGACAGCGTCAGCGATTCCAAGACCGAGAAGAAGCGTTCCGCCCTCATTCTAGACAAGACCCGGGGATTCATGAAGTACAAGCGTCGCAACGAGAAATACCGCAACCCAGCCACTCGTACACGTGACTGGGCGGAGCTTTCTAGCCGCCTGAACGAGGACGAACTCAAGTACCAGTCCGCTCGCTGCATGGACTGTGGTGTTCCTTTCTGCCAGTCTGACACTGGTTGTCCGATTTCCAACATTATTCCTAAATGGAACGAATTGGTGTTCTCTAACCAGTGGCAGGATGCACTTAACCGTCTCCTCATGACCAACAATTTCCCCGAATTTACCGGACGTGTGTGCCCGGCTCCTTGTGAGGGTGCGTGTGTCCTGGGAATCAATGAGGATCCCGTCGGTATCAAGTCTATCGAGTGTGCCATCATTGACCGTGGTTTTGAAATGGGCTGGATGGTCCCCAAGCCGCCTCCTGTGCGCACCGGCAAGACAGTTGCCATTATTGGTTCCGGCCCTGCTGGTCTCGCCGCCGCTGATCAGCTTAACAAGGCCGGTCACAGCGTCACCGTGTATGAGCGCGCTGACCGCATTGGTGGTCTGCTCATGTACGGAATCCCCAACATGAAGCTCGACAAGAAGGTCGTCCAGCGTCGTGTTGACTTGATGGCTGCTGAGGGCATCAAGTTTGTCACCAGCACTTTCGTTGGTCCCGACTCGGATGTCTCCCTGCAATCGCTGCGTGCGTCTAATGATGCCGTCGTCATCGCTACCGGTGCTACGGTTGCGCGCGACCTGAAGGTTCCCAACCGCGAGCTCGAGGGTGTCCACTTTGCTATGGAGTTCTTGCACCGCAACACCAAGTCTCTTCTCGACTCCGGCCTGGCCGACGGCGAGTACATTTCTGCCAAGGACAAGCACGTTGTTGTCATTGGAGGTGGAGACACTGGTAATGACTGTATTGGTACTTCAGTCCGCCACGGTGCCAAGTCCGTGACCAACTTTGAGCTTCTACCCCAGCCTCCGCCAGAGCGTGCCCGGGACAACCCATGGCCCCAGTGGCCGCGTATCTACCGTGTCGACTACGGTCACTCGGAAGTCAAGACTCACATGGGTAAGGACCCCCGTGAGTACTGCGTCATGTCCACGGAATTCGTCGGCGATGGAAACGGCCGCGTCAAGGGTATCAACACCGTCCGCGTCGAATGGACTAAGAGCGCCTCCGGCGGCTGGGACATGAAGACTATTGAGGGCAGTGAACAGTTCTTCCCCGCGGATCTCGTGCTCCTCTCTATGGGTTTCTTGGGACCCGAGGACCGTCTCCTCGGCGATGAGATTGAACGGGATGCCCGCAAGAATGTCAAGACCGCTCCAGGCCAGTACGCGACCAACGTTCCTGGTGTGTTCGCTGCTGGTGACTGCAGACGTGGACAGTCCCTCATCGTTTGGTAAGTTATTCTATCGGGCTTACACACCGTAACCACTACTGACTTACGATCTAGGGGTATCAATGAGGGTCGCCAGGCTGCTCGCGAGATCGACACTTACCTAATGGGTATCGGCTCTCAGCTCCCTGTTACCGGTGGTATCGTCCGCCGTGCTGCTGTTGACTGCCTCCCTGAGACCACGCAGAAGGTCCAGCCTGTTGCTGCGTAAATGAACGGCAATCAGTTCTACGCGTAGCGGTTGGTAGCAGGTCTACCCCAAGAAACTGTCGACAAAAGTGTTTTAAGGCACAGTTCAGGGCCTAATTCTACAAGTTGTGAAATGACAGTTGTGATACGTCTTGATATCTTCCATTCTCCGTGGAAGTTGTGGCAAGTCGTCTGGATGTAAAAGGTAAAAGAACGAAAAGTTTTCTCAAACGGCGGGAACCCAAAAAGTCGATTTGCAAAGCGCGGATAAAATTGTTTGTATTGGATATGGAAAAACCAAACAATATACCCCCCTCGCTTTCTGTTTGCGCCGGTCATCTGATGACAAGTACTGGCGCATGTTTTCGCTCTCCTTCTGTGTCCTTTGGCGAGATCTTCTGTACGCCGGGGTGGAATTCACTGGACACCCCCATTGTTTCTGCTCTCGGGGTCAGCATTGTCGATGCTCCCCCGTGTCCTGTACTGGATGGTTCTGTTTGCATGGATGGACACGAGATATGGCAGCATTACTACGTCTGGGGAGGCACTATGCATGTTTTATTTGTTTGCAGGTTTTATTGTCTTTTCCCAAGTTTCTGCTCTAGGATGTGACCATGATGGCTTTTGCAGCATTTCTCATATGATTATGCGGATGTCTAGCAGTTTAAGCGTTCTATATTGCTTCATGTTGTATATATTCAGTTCTATATCATACCTTATCCACTTTGCTCTTGTGTCTAGTATTTTAAGTAGCGAGTAAACTGGCTCCTCGAATAGTCCATAGCTGCAGCAATTCACTTCAAAATCACTAGGTCACGGCGGAAAAGACCTGAGCTCGAAGTTGACTCCAGCTAAGGTAGCACCTACGAACTGACAGTCCTGGATTTTACTTGCATTAACATTACTTATCATACCCAATAGTCTTTACATCAACCATAAAGATCACCTAAGAATATCTCTATACTGTCCAGAGACTGACGTGGTGTTCCTTTAGCAGGAAGCGGACTAGACTCGAGCCTTTCCCCGACGCGTTAAGCGGTTCCGTCCATTACGGTAGCTTTCCTTTCAACGCCGCAGCTTAGCTCTGCCCTGACAACTATTCCCAATCGGCAACTTAATTATATGGCCGATTCGACTTATTGTTGAAGTTTCCCTGTGTCCGATGTATTATATTCGTCTCTGATCTAGTTTTTTTCATCGATTGAAAAAAGAGTGACTCGAGGAGCAAGTCAAGTCTAGACAACAGACAATGTTCTCGCTACCTCTAATCACACCCCGCGATGTGAGTCGAGTCTACGATTCCCTTTCTGCATTTGCATTGCATTGTCTACTACGCAGATCTCTCAAGGACAGAAAAGAATCATATCATAACGATTGGTATAATTTGAATAATAAAAAAAAATAAAAACTAACTCGTCTTGAAATCTTCAGTCCCACGAGCTCTGGTTCGGCTCTTCGCAAACTCCTCCACACCGCTCCTCCGCATCTCAGAACCAACTGAATCCCTCCGATCCTCACCAGTCGTCTTCGCGTCGATATCACCAAGGAAACGGACACCTGCCGAGCGGTCGCACGTTAATTTCATCTACTGCGCCGTCAAATACACTTGCGGCACTACAGCTGGAAGAACGCGCGTTGCGCGCACGAAAGCAGAATATAGCATCGTTCGGATACGCGTGGATCAAACCGGCAGGATGTGCGAAGACTATGCTGGGGATGAGGGAGGAGGAGGCGGAGAGAGAGGAAGGGTTACTTGCGGCTGCGGCGGAGATGGCTGGTGCGGGGGGGGATTTGTCGACTATGGGGATTGTGGATGAGTTTGGGAGGCCGCAGGGTCAGGAGGGAGATAATACTGGTGGTGTGGATGATCAGATGTTGGAGAGGGATTTGGATGATGATATTCCTGATGCGGATGCGGATGGGCTTGTGGAGGAGGGAGAGGAGGGGTTGGAGGAAGATGAGGATGGTGAGGAAGGGTTGATGGAGAGGGATTTGGATGATGATATTCCTGAGGCGTTTCCGGAGGATGATGATGACGATGATGATGAAGAGGAGGAGGAGGAGAATGAAGAAGAAGATGACGATTTTGATAACCAGCCGGATCTGGATGATGATATTCCCGCGGCAGAAGACGAGGGGGGTTCGCTTATGGTCCGCGATTTGGACGATGATATTCCTGAGGCGGAAGAAGGTAGTGAACAGGGAGAAGAATGGCAGCATACCGACACGGAAGCTGAAGACGACGACGACGATGATGATGATGAGCACGATCCCTTCTCTGAACAACTTTTCAGGACCAGTACTTCCAGCGGTCGAGGACTCCCGCCGCAACCGCCGCCTATTCGACGAGAGACTGAAGCTCAGCGACGCTTCTTGAACCGTTGGAGCGGTGGCGCAGACGCGTTTGACACGAGCGGAATGACGCTCGAAGACGAGGAGGACCTCCGTGCTTCAATAGCCAGCCAGACCAGTCGACGGAATAGCGCCTACAGAAGACGATTCACGAGACAAAGGGGAGGTCCAAGGGATAGTCTTGAGTAAGTGAAGTCTGGAGATCTGGGGTTCAAAACTTGATCGACGTCGACGATACATTTGGCTACGAGTCCCCATGTGATTATTTGTTTCGGGCCTTATTATTGTATATATCTATGGTTTACCTATGAGAAGCGTGCATGTTAGGAGTTAGGTCGGATACGGAAAGGGAACAAACGGTGGGGGTGGAGTTGAATATGTATATAATACAGTTTACGGACTTGCTGGAATGAATTTCACGCGGATAATCGCTCAATTGAATTAGAAAGGAATCAAAAGTACGTTCTTAAAGACGAGTTCGAGCTATAGAGAAGACAATTTGTGGATATCAACTCAGCAGCAGAGCAGCTCACAAATTTAGCATGGATTGTATTATATATAAACTACATGTATTAATATGTGTTTCAGGATAGTTAAAAAGCCATATCGATAACATCACTCCATGCCCCAAGCACCTGGAACGCCATATCATGCAAACATGGTGCTAGTCGCATCAAATTCCATATGAAGAAAGAAAGAAAGACAAGCAATACAGTCGATATCGTTGGAAGATATGGTTTTGGAGAGAACAGAATCCGGAGATAACATGCCGCTCAGGACAACCAGACGTAGGCGAAGAGGAGGAAAACGGCAAAGAAGAAAAGCAGCCAGACGCGCCAGCCGACGCCTGTCCGTTCTGCCATGCGCAACATTCGGTTCATTGTGCCGCGGAGTTTGACTCGTGTGTTATCGAAGGATTCGTTCATCTATGGATATTGGATGATGTTTTAGCCGGGGGGGTATTATTCATGGAGAGAGCAGTGCAGGCGTCACGTACCTTGTCCGCTAGAGCGGAACTTGTCCGGATTTCATCGCCGATGGCAACGGTGATCTATACAGAAGTGTTAGATATCAGCCTGTGGCTGAGAATGGAATAATCGCGTGTACGTACATCCTTAAGCATCTTGACCTTTGCGCTAATACCCTCGATCTCAGATTCGTTTTGCGATTCAAGCGACGATAGAACAGCGTCTGAATATTGTCCTCTGTATGAACTAGTTAGCATGGAGATATACCCTTCCCTGTTCAGCTGCAGAATCGCCTTCCACGTACTTCGAATTCGGCGTCGCAGCCCTATATCCACCACCGCCTAAGCCTGATTGCGCTCCGCCGGCCGTGTAGCCATCGCTGACCGAACCGGAGTAACCACCATATCCACCCGGACGGGGCGACCGACTCGCAGGCCGAGAGGCGCCATTATATGCATCGAAGAGCGAAGAAGATGCTCTGGGGTCGCGCTGATGGAGGTTGGAGTGGGGGAATCTATTGATCGAAATATGAGCATGTTTTTCTCTTTTGCGGAAGAAACGAAACGAGTTGTCGCGAGACTATTTGCGGTTGATACAGCGTTGCGCGGTAAAGCAAGATGCGGAGAAAGAGCTCTTGAAGAAGAAGAGGAAAGAAAGCCATACCGTGAAGCCATGATGTACGCGTTTGCGTTTGCGTAGAGGGAATGATTTATTTACGAACTGGGAGTAATTCGTAAATTGTTTTGAAGAAGATAAATAAGTAGATACAGACTGACCAGCTCGCCGCACGATCATGAAAGTCGCATCTTCCTTTCTCGGAGGATATTCTCTGGGACGTTGTTGAGTATGGAAAGGATACTGATCTTGCGGCGCGTGTCACATCCAAGGACAAAATGGCCGGAAGAAAAGAGATTCTGGACTGAATGTAGATAGATAAACAGGGGAAGAGAGAGGACAACTCTCCTGCTTTTCGCCTTGGACGATCATCCGCTGGCGGCGTCACTCTTGCGGACGCTGATTCGGTCCAGTTGCTATCCTGGTCTGTGTGCACAACCGGAGTATTTATTGCCTTTGCGAATCAGGAGATGACTTTATGGTTATCTCAGCAAGCTCAGACCCTCTAGCGAGGTGCCCCCCCTGCGGGTGGGCTTTTTGCTGTAACAGCCTGTATTAGCGCATATATTAAAGAACTAGGCCAATAAGATCAGGTAAACTAGACCCACTAACTCCTGAACCAATAGTAGATCTTATAGCAAAAAACCTCGTAGAGGGTCTGAGAACAATTGGTCGCAATTTATAAGGGATAATTGACTAACCTTATATAAATCAATTATCAATCTTCAACGCGATACTTTGCATCTTAAACCACATCTATTTGGGTTAAAAATAGGCTTAAATAATAGGTCTTTATATCCTCTTTCTCTAACATTTTATAAAAGGACTAATATATTATAGATATGTTATAGAATAGCAGTTTAAAATCTCTGATTTCTGCTATATTGGCTTATTTTGCTGCCTCTACTCTACCATACTGGCTTATTTCGCTACCCCTACCTATTACTTCTGGTGAGCTTTCGCAAAATCTAACCTAGTTATTTCAACGCGATAATTCGATATTAAAAAATTATCTTAACATCTTAATATATATATGAATTAATAGAGAAATAGTATATAGATCTATAACATTTGACTTTAATAAAATTAATTAATATTTGGTGGAGTTATTCATTGTTAAAGTCGGATGATACCCTTAAAAAAGGGCTAATCTGGTGAGCTTTACTAACAAATTGCGACCATTTGTTCTCAGACGCTCGCCAAAGAATTTTCTGAGCACTACTCTATTAGGTTTAGCGCACTTATATTCTATTCTATTGGCTCAGTAAATTACACTAGTCTTGGCGAGCGTCTGAGCTTGCTGAGATAACTTTATGGTAATAGTCGCAGTTCAGTATGATCTCTGTGAATGATAAAGGTGGGTTTTCCGAAGGCTGGCAGTTCCTTTTATTACAGCGTCAGTTGGGAAATGCTTCCAGATGCTAAAGGCCTGTAATTTATTAGCTCTGATCTTCGTGAACACAACATATCCAATCTGATTAAACGAGACAGTACGGAGAAAAGGCCCAGGGAAACCGACTTCGATGATAACTAATCGGCCCTTTTGTCAGGACCGCGTAGAGATTTGGGGAAAGCAAGTAATGCAGAATTCGCTGAGGACTGCATCTTTCTCTTGGTTTGTGGCTCATCTTACACGCGGCTACATCTGGGACATCCATAGACTTGATAACGCGAACCTCGCATCTCTGGATTTGCAGATTCTGTGAATGAGTATGTTCCACATATCAAATGCTACTGGATGCTGGAGTCATATACTGGGAGGGGAGTCCGATTTATATTGCAGGAAACTTGAAAACGAAAACAGCGTTTGTAGAATGCAGCCGTGATCTAATGTACATACATAACAGCCCCGCGGACCGAAGGGGGAAGGTATCCGTCTAATGAAACAATGATCCATAAAGCCATCTCATCCAAATTATGGTGCAGCTCCAGCTCCAGCCTGCGCCTTTGACCGTGCCTCTTCCGCCGCCTTCATCTCTCTCTCCAAAGCAGCAAAGTCTCCCTGGAAGGCATTCTTGACCGGCTCCGTCCTCATTTCCCACACGTCCTCACTGCTTGGCCCAGTCTTGTATTTGATGGCCTTCTTCTTGTTGTGCTCCCGAATCATCCTTCTCCTCGATTCATCGGGTAAAGAGCGCGCCTTCATGCAGAGCCAGAAATTGTTCCAGTGCTCACTGCATGACCGCATCTCACCGTATCTGTACACGCTGACGAATTGACCACCGAACGACTGGCAGAAAAACGCATAATCGAAGGCTGACCGGCAGTCCATCTCGTCCGGATATAGGGATTCGGGAGCGATTGACGAACGAGGCTCACTGGAAGGTTGGATGCCGGCTTCTGTGGATTGGACATGCGATGTAGGTTCGGAACGAGCTGGCTGAGAGGTTTGCGAACCATCTGCACTTTCAAGGCCGGCCAGCAGCCGTTGAAATTCCGCTTGAACCTGCTCATCAGGGCTCATCTGCTTCGCTGTAGCGGAGATTGTCTCTTGCGGTTTGGAGGCATCGCGCGACGATGAGGTCGGAAGTGTAGATTTCGCGGATGTCTGATTTTCATCCTTGGAGGAGGAACTCCACCACCAGCCCATTTTTGCGAAATGGTGCACCTGAAGAGTGCTGGATTCAGAAGTTGACGGCGTGATGGACTTCAGCGACTGTAGAAACGTCGGAGGTGTAAATTTAAACAAGACAAACTGTGACCGTACAGATGGCTCTTTGTCATGTTTAAAATCGGTAAATATGCGTCACAATGGGTATTGTATGGTAATCGCTTCGGGCTACTCCAACTTGCCCATAAACTTTATCCCACAGACTCCGCCGACGTCATCTGATGCTTGAGCAATAACAAGTGCGCGCTGCCCTTCAGCGTTGTCAACCATGTTCGTTCAGTAAAGGCATGATGGCATCCACGCTGCTATGGGCTGCGCGGGGGGTTCATCGAGTTCCTGTGCACCAAAGGGTGCCATGTATATCTCAGACACTGAGCTGTCGCGCGAGATTTGCTCAGCTCCGCCCCGCAACAGCAAGATATGCGTCTTCAGGGGCCCCTCGGTCAATTGAAGCAGGACACATTAAGCTGGAGCCGAATGAAGGCCTTCTGTTCATTAACAGTATGTATTACGCAACAATCGCAGCTATTGATTAAGTTCCTGGTCTAATCTTCATCTCTGCAGATGTATTCCCACCGAAGCTGCAATGGCTGCTACGCGTGCCAGTTATTGGAGAGGCTTCTCGATACGAGGAGGTGATGAAGCGTGTGGATAAGCCACACCTCGCAGCTTCTGAGATATTGAGAATCGTCCGGCGAGCTTTACCGAAAGAGCCCCAAATTGAAGTTACAGGGATCATCCCTCGATTTTCTGAGGGAGGTGTATTCGTCAAGTATGCCCGAACGGCTGGTCTCGACGATGTCCAGATTGAGAACGCCGTGAATGAGCATCTCGCCCAGAATCCGATAAAGCCTTGGTTTAACCCGTTCCAAACAGTCGAAGCAGCTCGTGTCCTGGGAAAGCCTTGGATAGAAGACCTGTTCCGCTTTCCGAGCCCGAGGATAAAAGTTGAATTCCTTCCACCTCAACCGGGGGATTCACCAGCCGAACTGACGCAGGAAGACCTGTATTCGGTGTTCCGGAGATACGGAAAGCTGGTCGACATCGCCCCCGGTTCAGGCACTCCAAAAAATGCGTTTGTCGAATTCTCTAGACGCAGGCACGCTATACTAGCGAGGAATTGTGCACACGGCCTTGTCGTCACAGAAAGCCAGGGCGGTGGGAAGGCAGGCACGCTTCTGAGAATCACATACGAACGGAAGATCAAGTTCTCATACATCAAGGACTGGATTCTCAGTCATCCTAGGATCGTCATTCCGGCCATTGCTGCGTTCGTTGCAACCATGACCGTCATTATATTTGACCCGATACGGACATTTTTCATCAAATTGAAAGTGAAAGCGACGTCGGATGTGGAGCAAAACTCAGTATGGCGATGGGTCCGCAAACAGGTTAGCAGAGCCAACTTCATAGGCTTCGGCCGTAATAAGCGGGATCCAGACGTCCTGGAGGTACTATGGGACGATCGGAAAAATGATATTGCCCAGCTGCAATCCTGGCTGACAGAAAACACTGGGACATTCATTGTCATTCAGGGGCCGGCCGGGTCCGGGAAACGGGAACTCGTGTTGGACCAAGCACTCAAGGACGGGAGATATCGGGTTGTTATTGATTGCAAGCCAATCCAGGAGGCAAGAGGAGATGCTGCTACTATTGCGACAGCAGCTGCACAGGTCGGCTACCGTCCGATGTTTTCGTGGATGAATAGCTTCAGCAGCTTCATCGATCTCGCGGCGCAAGGTATGATCGGAACTAAGGCAGGGTTCTCAGAAACCCTGGATGCGCAGCTCAGCAAGATCTGGCAGAATACTGGCGTTGCTCTGAAACAGGTGACCCTTGAAAGCCGAAGGAAGGACGACAAAGACGCGCAGATGTCAGACGAAGAATATTTAGACGCCCATCCGGAGAAACGCCCGGTTGTTGTCATTGACAACTTCTTGCATAAGGCTGGAGATACCGATGTAGTCTATGACAAGATTTCTGAGTGGGCCGCAGCGCTGACGAGTGCGAACATTGCTCATGTCATATTCTTGACCAGTGACGTATCATACTCAAAGCCCCTCAACAAAGCATTGCCAAACCAGATCTTCAGGACCATCTCCATGGGCGACTGTTCACTTGAAGTTGGAAAGAAGTTTGTCCTTGACTATTTGGGCCGTGAGGATGATAGTTGGAAAGATGGGGAATTGAACAAGAGGTTCCCCTTTGGAACAGAGGAGCTCGACCATTGTATTGAGACCCTGGGAGGTCGGCTTACAGATCTTGAGTTTCTGGCGCACCGCATGAAGGCTGGAGAGAGCCCTCAACGTGAGTCAACTTGTCCTTGCTATGGTCGTAAATAGACTCAGCTAACGATCACAACAGACGCGGTAAACAGGATCATCGAACAATCCGCTTCTGAGATTCTCAAGATCTATATTCTGGATACCGATCCGTCCAAGCAACACTGGACGCGTGAGCAAGCATGGCATCTAATCAAGGCCCTAGCGAACTCCAAAAACGGCGTCATGTCGTACAACGACATCTTGCTCTCTGACTTGTTCAAAGACAACGGGGAGACAACGGTGGCAGCTCTTCATCAGGCCGAATTGCTTACTATAGTCTCTGAGAACGGCCGCCCTCAGGCGATCAAACCGGGAAAGCCAGTTTATCACGCAGCATTCAGAAGGCTCACAGAAGACAAGACACTACGCAGTCGAATGGACCTCGCAACATTGGCTCAACTGATTAGCAATGAGAACAAGAGCGTTGCCAAATACGAAGACGAGCTGCAGCGACTCGCCACTCTTCCCAAGCAGCCGAGCGCTCTGACTCCGAGGGTCCAATGGCTGCTCAATAAACTGTACAGTTCTCAAACGAAGGTAGAGAAGTTCGAGAAGGAAAGCGCATTCCTGAAAGCGATCCTCCAAAGCGACGGCCGCCCAGGTACTGCTTGAGCTTTTCTTTATCGATACATAGTTACCTCTTCTGTCTGGCGATTTAGTGTCCTAATGAAACACCTTGTGTATGTATGATTAGTTAAATATCCATTTTGAAATCAAATAAGTCAAACAATAGGCTAGTTGAGCAGTGAAAGAATGGTATAGAAACCAGTCAAGATTCAGATGTCCTACAATCTACATTATTTTTAGATACCGCTCATTGGACGGTGACTACGATGACATAAGCCACGCTAGCCACTGATCGCCAACTGGCGCGGTTTCAAGGCGATTATGTAAGGACCTAAATATGGAGAGATCTGGCTATGGCCATGGAAGCTCTAAAACATCACACGACAATTGCTGCGTCAGCTATAGGACAGGGAGTAGGGGCTTCGTCTTGTCTTTTTTTGTGTATAACTGTACTATACACCCTCTGCATATCTCAAGCTCTGCATACTCTTGTCTTTGCATAACCCCTGACTTGGCATCATCGGTTCTGCCGCCACTCTGTTGGCCTTTCTGAGAGCCACTTCTGGCCGATAGTCCCGATATCAGGGCATGCTCTGTTACGAGACAGCATGAATGAGGAGGGTCTACCCCCCAAAGGCCCGCTTCAGGTGCCTAGGGATGCTGCGCCGCAACTAATGTGGCAGACTGTGGTGGCAGTACTTATCTTTTCCTGTCTAGCTACGAGACTCATCACTGGTTTTCAAAGTCATCCAAGAGCAGTGACGGATGAAGAGCCTCGGCCTGTTAGGAAGGCTCCTTATTGGATTCCATGGCTCGGGCATGGGGTGCCGTTTGCGCTGGGGCAGCAGAGCTTCATTGGAAGGGTCAAGTGCGTTTTCTATTATTAATATCATGTTTTGGGTATAGATGAAAGCTGACAGATGTTGCAGAGATTGGATATGCGAGCCGGTGTTCAGTCTGCATCTTGCTGGAAAGACGCATAACATGATCATGGCCCCATCCATAGCCAAATCTGCCCTCGCTCATCGGGCGTTGTCCGCAGACTCGGTCTACGATCGTGTCATGCATAAAGTATTCGGTGACCCTGGGCCCATCCGTAAAATGGATGCTCAGCAGACCAAAGCTTTCGATGAAGCTACCAGCCTGTTTATGAGGGAGCCTCATGTGACCGAGACAACTGCTACTATGGTCCGGCTTTTGGAAACTGAGATTCCAAATCTTGTGTCATTCTCTCACAGTATGGTCGACCAGTCAATCTGGGAGAGGGCGAGTCAGACAACTCTTCTCGAAGACAGAGATAAGCCTACCTGTGAGGTGGACCTTTTCAAACTAGTCAGGCATTTCGTCGGATACATTACCAGCACTGTCTTCATGGGAAAAGCGTTCGTTGATTTTCATCCGGCTTTACTCGAAGATCTCTTCACCTTCGACAAGTACTTCAACTTGCTGCTCATCGGCATCCCACGCTTCGTTCCACTACCAGGTATATCTGCAGCGTACGCAGCCCGTCACCGCTTGCTTCGCATCATGACTGTCTTCCACGCCTCTTTCGCTTCGTTCGACGAAGGCCGGGATCCAGGATTCGATTTCCGCGACCTAGACGACGTCTCGGAACCGATGAAGGCGCGCATGCGCTGCTGGAGAAAAGCAGGCTTTGCCCCTGCCGCCAGCGCACCCGGAGACCTGATGATTTTCTGGGCCATGAACACCAACTCCCCCACCATCGTATTCTGGAACATCATGCACATCCTCGCAGACCCCGAACTCCTAGCAGCCATCAGACGCGAAATCGCACCCTACGCCAAAGCCTACCGACCCGGCTTCGAAGACACAGGCCTCCCTTTCACCGAACCGCCTCGCCTTTCCCTCGACTTAAACGGCCTCGTCACCTCCTGCCCCCTCCTCAAAGCCACCTACTTCGAAACCCTCCGCATGGACACCGCCCCCTTTTCATACCGAGAAGCCAAAACAGGCCTCACCCTCACCGAATCCCCCGAAGACGCTACCACAGACGGCGTCCCCGAACCGCGCACCTACAGCTTCTACAAAGGCGACTACCTCGCCATCCCTCACGGCGCACAGGCGCGCGATCCGCGCTCTTTTCCCGAACCAGATAAATTCGACCCCTACCGATTCATCCGCACGGATGCCTCGACAGGGAAGAAAACAGCAGATCTAGACACGGGCCATCTACGACCTTTTGGTGGTGGATCGACGATGTGTAAAGGACGCTTCTTTGCAGAGAGACAGGTCCTTGCGTTCGTGGCGAGTATTATCTCCATGTGGGATGTGGAATTGGTTGAGGGGAGAAGTTTCTGGGAGAATAATAATGTACAGCGACATCCGCATACTAGTGGAGCGTATGTGCCAAGGGGTGGTGTTAAGGCTAGGTTAAGACAGCGTGTTTAGATATGCTGCATACGCATATGTATGTGCGTGTGTGTGTATTTTTGGTATACAGCTCGATTCAAAGTTCGCATGTTGTTATTATTATTATTCTCTGAGCGGGCGTGTTTTGTATGGAACTTAGGCTATTTCTTCGATATTTCAAAATCTTAGAGAAGGGGTGGGATCCTCTGTTTTATTTGTTTTTTGATGTTTTTAGAGAAATATGAGATTTTTTGTAGTTATAGTTGAAAGGTATAATACGGGGGTGCTGAAGGTGGTGTCTTATTGATGGACATCACTTTATCCTAGGCTGTGAGCACGGGTAGTTCTGCGATATGAAGACACAGCAATAGAGATATACTGGTTCCATTTTAAACCTATAATGTAAAAAAGTACAGCTGTCTATTCCGGGACTGCAACTGAACCGAGTATTCATCGCGGCTAGCATCCCCTACTAGAGAAAAATTCGAGGACAAAGCACTGCATGAGTGAAGACCAGGAAAAGCATTCAAGAACGTCGCATGTTCAAGAACCATAATCCTAATTCACGTAAACTTTATTTGGTATTTTGTTGAACTGATCTGCATTCCCTTTTTTCCTTTTTTTATTCCACGCGCCAGGTGTCGCTTTCGAGGGGGTCATGACAAAAAGAAGAGACATAAAAGTTGAGTTGACGAAATGAATAATGATGATGCTATCGCTGTGCATCTAGTGTTCCATCTTGGAATCCTCGTCAGGAGCCTCGAAATCCTCATCGTCGTCGGAATCGTCCATCTCGTCATCACCAGCAGCCTTGGCCTTCTCAGCCGCTTCGGCGAAGTCGATGCGCTTGCCGCGAGTTCGTCGTCCGCCCTCGATGATGTTGTCAGTCGAGATGGGCTCGAGGTTGTCGCCTTCTTCTTCGTCTTCTGTGTAAGAAAATCGTCAGATTTTTTCTTGTTCCTTGCCTAATGAATGGCCCGGAGCTCTAATAGATGTGCCTATGGTCGCGTTCCTTGTGCAGGAACAGCTCACTCATCGCGGGGTCCAAGCGTTCAATAGAAGTGAAGTCAATGCGTACCTTCAGGAGCCTAGGATGCGCACAAGTCCCATGTTAGTTACACTGAGCAACGGATCAAAACAAACAAGAGGAGGGCGCAAAGCGCAAATCATGCAACTGCGCACGCGACAGAATGAAGGGAAGGTTCTTCCATACCAGTTCCTCAGGACCACTTTCTTCCGAGCTCTCATCCTCGTCCATGCTCATTTCCTGAGCCGTAGGGTCCTGCTCGGTAGCCTTGCCCTTGCCCTTTTCGTACGCCGCGGCATCGGGGGCGTTGGCAGCGGGGTCAGTGAAGCTAGAGTCGCCCATGGTGATTTATGAGGGTGATCGAGGTTGGTTTTCGAGATGGATGAGTGGGAGAGATAGGAGGGTACGTGGAAGAGCGCGCGCGAGAAGAGGACGTAAACAAGGGCGAGATGGGTGTTTTATACGATGGAAGGACAAGCTGAGAGTTGTGGTGAAGACTAAGAGTCGCAAGGGAGAGTCCAGATGGAGCGCGGAGACCGATGGCTTCGCGCCGGCTCGGCGGTCATTGGTCAGCTCCGCAGGGCGATCGCCGCGCTAGTGGCGCCCGCTCCCGTGACTTCGCGCTTGCCTGTTTGGGCGGTAAATAGTATTCGACAACTACAGGGCGATTTGACATGTTTATATCTGAAAAATTCTGATAAGCGGGATGATATTTTAATTGTTTCTCAAGTAATAAACACTCTTTCTTCGCATACTCAGAGAGTCGAATTCGGTGTTGAGCACCAAGTATTTGTATGTACATCAGCTCATTGAAGGATCCGGTTGCGACCTAGTATTTAGAAATCGCATACAACCATTCCATAGGCACGACAACGATGGCAGCGATGCTCAGAATTTGTTGATAATTTGCTGAATTGGTGTTAGTAGTAAGCTATCCTAGAGACATTATATGAATGCTTGCCTGTTGGCTAATGCTAGGAAGTCATTCAATAAATGAATTAGAATTAACCCACAGTATCGAAGACGTACCACAAACTCAAATGTATTGAAAATAGATGATTCGGACCAGTAGACAATTCTACCATGTCAAAGTCAGCCAATACTTTTGCCAATTTGCCTCCGTATCAGCTTCGCGGAATTTTTCAATCCCACCCTCGACTCCAGTCTCGTTGACAGTCCAATCGCCGCATTTCACCCGGTCAGCCCAGTTAGTGAGGACCTTGTGCAGTTGAACCTGTCGTGACCCAAAAAAGCCATTATACCCAGATTGGTACAACTCAGAATTCACATCTAAAGGGCTCGGTTCGTCATCTATAGGCTCCATTCCCATAACTTCATTATCACTTAGCCGAGCCCAGCCATTGGCCCCGAACATGAATGGAAGCAAAAGTTGACAGCTATTCTCAAATGCCTGATTCATACGATGATCGCCAATTAGATATAGTCCTGTGGTGATAGGGACATCTGTATAGCCACCATATTTGAGCCAGTTATTTGGAATAGGGACAGTTTGGTTGGAAACTAGTTCTCCTTTGTCAGCTTGGAAAAGCAGCACCGGCATCTTTCGGCCGAAGGTATCCCTTTGGCCGTTTCGGTTGAAAGGCTGAGCAATGAATTCGTCCACGGTAGGTATCCTTATACCAGGGGCTATATATCGAAAGGAAAGCTCACGAGTCCATTTTGCGGACTCTTCGCAAAACTCTCTTGCAAAAGTGTTCTGTTGAATGCCAGCAATATCAAGAATAGCGGGGTCCGTCCAAGGAAGGGAAACCTTTTCATTTCCCCCTCCTTCTTCTGAGCCAGATCGCTTTAGCCAGCTTGATCTCTTAGCCTCGATCACATCCAAAAGATATTTCAAGGCCTCGACACTCTTTTGAATATCAAAAGTGGTATAATCATTGAAAATCCATGGGCCAAAAGCGTCCGATCTGCTTTCTTTACTTTTCTTCCCATCTGGTGTGCAGGCCTCAATCTTCCCCTCCTTGATCATCTCAAGGTAGGCGCCGTATATTTCCTCCAGTGGTTTCCAGCCATATCCATTATCGCAGATTGGTATTACATCGTCAAACAACTCAACAAAAGCCGCTTTGCAAGTGTACTGATCGAACCTATAAGGTCATATTAGCAAAAGATAATAACAAGGAATCGGGATATCTATACAGCAAACCCATTTCATCTCCACAGTTAAACCCAGTCGCATGATGCAGATTGATAAAGCGATCTTTTCCTCTGTCCTCAAACCACGGATCGTCTAACAGATGTTCGCAAGTAGTCAGAGGTTGAAGAAAATAGAAGAATGCTGGGGCGTTATCATGATAATATGCACGTTTAAGGAATTCGATCAAATCAGCATTTAAACGACTGGCAATTTGTTCGGATGGAGAAAATCGTTCCCACCAGGTCTGTAGAGACCATGACTCAGTGTTTTTGTTAGTACTACTCCATGCTATTTGGAATATCCTGTTATGGAGATTCGCACAAGTCTCGTAATCAAGACGTATTGGCTCGACCTTGGGATGTTGCCTTGCCGTGGGGCAAGTCATAGCGAGGATCCGGATAATAGTACCTGAGGGACGCTCGCTATTGTTCACAAAGCCATTTGGAATGAAGAGAATAAGCAACACGAATGTTCTGAATGCCTAAGCCCGGCAACCTAGAACTCAGCCACCGCATCAAAACGCGATCGCGCTTTTAAAACCCCAGATATATACAAAATGTACGGTCCCTGCGCGCCCCCTGGTTTTTTCACCGAGGCCCGGCAGTTTTCTGCCGCGGGGAGTTGGGATCCACCACCCGATATTACGATGAAGGACGATGGATTCGCACGCACTGCCATTCAGCTCGGAGCAAAATAAATGAATAAATGAATATGTTGATAATCGCCGAGCGCTAGCGAGGCGACAAAACAAAACTGAAATAACATTCAGAGGGATAGCCCCGAAAATACAGCCTCTAGAGCAATAACAACAGTGCGAATTATTTTGTTAGAATATACTGTACTTCTCGAGCTGAGATGGGAATGTGTTATGCGCTCTTTTCCTCGTGTCTGCCTGGCAGAATAGCAATTTCGATAATAACATTGCAGAGTGATACAACTGGTTACTCTCCGTTATGCTTAGGTACGATAACGGGACTATGTCGGGACCATATAAGGCGTAAATACTTCAGGGAAAGTTAAATCAACAGGCTCACTTAATCAATTCAAATTGACTATAAAAGAAATGAAAAAGAATCTGGACTGCTAGACAGCGTTATTCGGGGGTCGGCGTAGTGCGCATAGGCTTTTAGATTATACAGATTAGAAACAAGAGCTCAGATCAATTGACTACTTAACATATTCGAGTATTGGTAGATTCTTTTCGAACGAGATTGTTTTGCTGAGTTGCGAGTTGCTAGCAATGTGAAGTACTAATTCTAGAACCCAACAGTTGAACGCAAAGGCCAAGAACAGAACCACTTGAGTCGACCAAGGGTAAGCACGATTGAGGAACCATTCCAGTTGATGTGGGATCAAATGTCAAGTTGAGGAAACCTATCCGATGAAATTAGCAATGGGTTCCTCGGAGCCACCCAGCAGAGAAAGGCAAAAGACAAAGTAAAGTGGAAGAAGAATATTATTATCTGCTGCTTCGCTAGCGAGGAAGATCACTCTGATTTCCAGAATGTTCGAATAGCGTTGTCTGCATCAGGGCCTGCAGCCAAATGTAGGTAACTTCGTCGAGCAGGAGCTTCGTGATAGCTGCGTAAGCATATCCGATCCCAACGACGGTGAGCATGAAGGAAACAAGCAACAGTCGGATTCACTCTTTCTCTACAGTACAACCCAGCCATTGCGATGGGAGCAAATCCCAGATTGCATGAAGTCCCCAACGCAGCTGTCAATGTTACCAGGACATGTTGATGCTCCAGGGGCCTAGACTTTTGACGCCTCCATAACCACTTCAAAGGCAGGTCGAGCTGAAGTCGCTATATTAGGCCAAAAAAATGGCAAAAGAAAAAAACATACGACAGCAGGGATTCGCTGGTGGTCACCCACCCAACTACTAACCTGCCGGCGTGTGGCTTAAGTACGGCTGAGCGGACGGGAAGCCCTGTTTTCCACACCCTATGGTCGTATGTGCTCGATTAGAATGATCAAGAGGTATATGAATCTTGCATAAATGCATACCGAGTGTTTGCTAGTAGTAGTGTAACACTGCCATATACCTTGCACCAATACGCAAGACGATTAGTGGAGACTTAATGGCGCTATATACCATAGGTCTACATATTCATCAGAAGCCAGATCAGGAACCGATGTGAAGATTTGGTGGACCAAGTCGCGGGTGTCTGCCGACCTGTGCTTGAGCGGGCGCGGCAAGTTTCAGTACTGCTTTGTTTTCTGCGCAGAGTTCGAATAATGGCAGTGGCCCAGGTCGGTAAATTTGTCTCGGGTGCTATTATCGACCGTAGATATGATCATGAGGGTTCCTCCTGTCGAAGCTCATGTATTTCTTTCTGATTGGTTGTTCCGCCCTAGGACGGTGAACAAAGCAAGATCAGGTACACTACCACGGAGTCCCCAGACTATTCTGGTTCGGATCCTAGGTCGTGGACGCAGTGCTAGTGGGTTCATGATAATCCTGATGGGATGGACCCGTTAAGCATCCCTGCATGTTATCAAAGGTCCTGAAAGTGATCAACCACGAAGGGGGTGAGGCTGAAGGATTGCCCCATCGCATTCCTCAAGAAGCTTGCGGGGTTGCTATGAGGCTCTTTCATGGTTTTCCAGCCACATCCACGGATTGCTCAGATATTCTTGAACGTCAAGCCAGCACAAAGAATGGAGTAGTCCAATGAGTAGGTAGCTATTTTCTATAGCAGCCATCATCTCCACCAGGACGTTCCTGGCCCACAATGGAGAGAGCATCCACCATATCTCATGGTGATCATACGAGGAATCGAATCGATATGATATCTCGACGAGCCATGCTGGCAAGAAAGAAACCAGGAGAAAGAAGTCTGGTCAGCTGCACAGCACGTGATCCCACGGGAAGTGGCCCTAGGGGTGATGCGATTGGCCAGTGCAGACGGTTCCGTTTTGGGCGGCGGAGGGGCTCGTTCTTTGATGCGGAAATGATGGCGCGTCTTTCCGACAATAATAAAGAGTTTTCTGGATGATTATTATTATTATAATTTAGTATTACCAGATTAATACCATATTCCGGAGGGCAGTACCAACAGTGGATATTCCATGAGCTGTCTCCATAACAACGATGGTAGTCAACAGTATTAGGTACTCTCCATGCTCCGCTGCCCCTAGATAATATTTCAATAAATACAACTGTAATAATAGTATCTAAAATAGATTATGGTACACATAAATTCTGTAATTAATTAATTATTATTGTTATTATTATTAGCATCAGTTCAGTAAATACTGTCTGGAAGATTCCCCAGACCAAGTCATGATGAGCTCAGAGAACATCGACCCCTCCAGCGGGATTACGTCATGCGAGCACCCCGCCAGATCGCCGTGTCATCGATGCGATCTTCAATCTGCCATATTCATTCTAGAAGTCACTGGCGGTCTTCCTCTACCATATCTACCCAGTAATTAATGGCCATTGCGGCCAGTGAAGGTGCCAGAACGCCTGGATGCTTCCTCAGCGGCACCGCTGGCACTTGCTAGCAGTTGCTGGGGCATCCCAGCCTTCGGTGGAGGGCTCGTGGCCCCCGTAGAATCGCATGGATTCCCATCGAAGCTCACCCGATGCTAGAAACTTCTGCCTCACCGCCCACCACTATATTAGTGATTTCCTCGCACAACCGTAGCCTCAAGTTTCTTCCCTCAATCACATTCTCATCAAAAGACACTGAATCACGAATATCTCTGTCTTCTCTCTCCTGATAGACTCTTTTCTTTCCTAGGCTCGACCGTCCCTCGAGTCCTTAATATTGTACATTAGTCTTCCCTTTTCCACGAATTATTGACGAGTCTCTTACGAATCACCACACACAATGGCTCCCGCTGTTGGTATTGACTTGGGTACCACGTACTCCTGCGTGGGTGTCTACCGTGATGACCGTATCGAGATCATCGCCAACGACCAGGGTAACCGCACGACCCCATCGTTCGTGGCCTTCACCGACACCGAGCGTCTGATCGGTGATGCCGCTAAGAACCAGGTCGCCATGAACCCATCCAACACCGTCTTCGACGCCAAGCGTCTGATTGGACGTAAGTTCAGCGACCCTGAGGTCCAGGCCGATATGAAGCACTTCCCCTTCAAGGTCGTCGACAAGAACGGCAAGCCCGTCGTCGAGGTCGAGTTCAAGGGCGAGACCAAGCAGTTCACCCCCGAGGAGATCTCCTCCATGGTCCTGACCAAGATGCGTGAGACCGCTGAGTCTTACCTCGGTGGTACCGTCAACAACGCTGTCGTCACCGTCCCTGCCTACTTCAACGACTCCCAGCGTCAGGCCACCAAGGACGCCGGTCTCATTGCCGGTCTGAACGTCCTCCGTATCATCAACGAGCCCACGGCCGCCGCCATTGCCTACGGTCTCGACAAGAAGGCCGAGGGCGAGCGTAACGTCCTGATCTTCGACCTGGGTGGTGGTACTTTCGATGTTTCCCTCCTGACCATCGAGGAGGGTATCTTCGAGGTCAAGTCCACCGCTGGTGACACTCACCTGGGTGGTGAGGACTTCGACAACCGTCTGGTTAACCACTTCGTTAACGAATTCAAACGCAAGTTCAAAAAAGTGAGTGCTTTCGCTGACTCTAATTTGCCATTGTGTTATACACTCCTGGCGCCCCCCTCCCCACCAACCCCCCAACCTCCATCTTGTTCCTGGTTTCTGTCTCTATCCCCAGGGATGGTTCGAGAGTGTACACCCTGATACTCTGTCTGACCATTCCCAATGGGTATACATTGTGCCCAGGTACCACTGTCCTTTGCTATGTGACCTGGTTGCCTGGTTACATTTTGCTACTGTGGTATCGCTCTGCTGTCATTGTGCTATATTGTGGAAGCTGCTATACTACTACAGCTATAGCATTGCTAGTGTCTGGTTCCCTTCTAGCTCAAAAAGACAGCCAGCAGTGCAAGCTGCTTCAGTTCTAAGGTGCCTCCTTTCAGTGCATCTTTTGGGGCCTATGTATCGCCAGGACAGGTTGTATGGGCATAGCCACACTAGAAATAGTGTGACTTATGGCCATCTTCGTCGGGCAACAATCTCTTGATGTGGATTTTTCTTCACTGTTTTCCCCCTTTTTTCAATCCGGTGCCCTCCCAATGATCACTTCTCCTTGCCCATCATGTCCCCTTAAACCCATATCACGTGATATCATTTCCATTTCCCTATCAACGTTCACACAGGAGCAAAAGTCACCTTAGGATCCTTAGGAGGACTCTGCTATCATTGTTCAAACAATGGCAAAAGTCACCTTGGGATCTTTAGGGGGACTCCGCTATCATTGTTCACACAACGGCAAAAGTCACCTTAGGATTTGTAGGAGGACTCCGTGCTAACTTGAATAAACAGGACTTGACTACCAATGCTCGTGCGCTCCGTCGTCTGCGCACTGCTTGCGAGCGTGCCAAGCGTACCCTCTCTTCCTCTGCTCAGACCTCCATCGAGATCGACTCTCTCTATGAGGGTATTGACTTCTACACCTCCATCACCCGTGCCCGTTTCGAGGAGCTCTGCCAGGACCTCTTCCGCTCCACCATGGACCCCGTCGAGCGTGTCCTCCGTGACGCCAAGGTTGACAAGTCCTCCGTCCACGAGATTGTCCTCGTTGGTGGTTCCACCCGTATCCCCAAGATCCAGAAGCTGGTCAGCGACTTCTTCAACAAGGAGCCCAACAAGTCCATCAACCCCGATGAGGCTGTCGCCTACGGTGCTGCCGTCCAGGCCGCCATCCTGTCTGGTGACACTTCCTCCAAGTCCACCAACGAGATCCTGCTGCTCGATGTCGCTCCTCTGTCCGTCGGTATCGAGACCGCTGGTGGTGTCATGACTCCTCTGATCAAGCGCAACACCACTATCCCCACCAAGAAGTCCGAGACCTTCTCCACCTACTCCGACAACCAGCCCGGTGTCCTGATCCAGGTGTACGAGGGTGAGCGTGCTCGCACCAAGGACAACAACCTGCTCGGTAAGTTCGAGCTGACCGGCATTCCTCCGGCTCCTCGTGGTGTTCCTCAGATTGAGGTTACCTTCGATGTCGACGCCAACGGTATCATGAACGTCTCTGCCGTCGAGAAGGGCACTGGTAAGAGCAACAAGATCACCATCACCAACGACAAGGGTCGTCTCTCCAAGGAGGACATTGAGCGCATGCTCGCCGAGGCTGAGAAGTACAAGGCTGAGGACGAGGCCGAGGCTGGCCGTATCCAGGCCAAGAACGGTCTGGAGTCCTACGCCTACTCCCTCAAGAACACCCTCAACGAGGGTCAGCTCAACATCTCCGCCGGCGACAAGGAGAAGCTCCAGGCCGAGATTGAGAAGACCATCTCTTGGCTCGACAGCAACCAGACTGCCACCAAGGAGGAGTACGAGTCCACCCAGAAGGAGCTCGAGAGCGTTGCCAACCCCATCATCTCCGGTGCCTACGCTGGTGCTGCTGGTGGTGCTGCTCCTGGCGCCGCTGGTGCTTCTTCCACTAAGACTGCCGACGAGGTCGAGCAGCCTGAGGAGCTTGACTAAACGGGTGCACGTGATGTTTCCGGAAACGGCTAGTTCTCGGATCTTCTTGATTCCCTCTTCTTAGTTCATTTTTCCTTTGTTTCGACATCTCGTTTGCTTGTTGGTCCTGGGTCGACAAGCGGATGCTGGCGCTAATGTCTTTTGCTTTTCTCATGATATGATGGCTTTGATTCCTTTTTAATTCCTGTTTTACGATTGCATAGATTCATGTTTGCTTCGGGCATTTCATGATAGCAACACACTTAGGGAGGGAAAAGTTCCAGTGTGATCAATAAAGAAAGTTCATAATTATCTACTTCTTTTCTAACGAGGCCGTAGAACCGTAGGTAATTTTCCTAAGTATTGGTAACAAGAGTTGTCCTAATAGTAACTACCGCGTGATAGAGTAGACTAGGATTATCAATCGATTCTCCAAGGAGTGCTTCACGTTACTAGCAACTCGCAACAGTTAGCAGTACTATGCCAGCCCCCGAACGTTGTTTCAGTTTATTTGCATGTGACATCTTCTTTCTGCAGCCCTTTTCTTTCATTTTCATTGTATTTGTATCCCTTCCATTCGAAAACATGGAGTCTGTTGAGATTATCCATTATCTGAGAGGATTTATGCATAAATCATCGCATAGGCGTATGTCGTATCATAACAGAAAAGTCCGCAGTTTATACATATGTTATTTGTATCGAACTTTATACGGAGTACTTACAGTACAGTATGAGAAGGAAAGAATAAAAATTCCCAAAGAAATCTCCGCTCAATCAGAACTCCCTCCCTGACGAAATGTGAAAAAATGACCCTAAAAAGTTATACTTCCGTTGTATCCATGTCAATATCCACTTCGCGTATTCTCTCTCTCTCTCTCTCTCTCGTTTGAACCAAATCAAAGATCCTTGAACTCTCCCCTCCACCACTTCCCGACTCGGCGCTGTCCGATGTCGAAGATGGTCTTGATTCCGATCTCTTTCGCGCGGTCCGGATGACGTTCTCGTTCTTCGCGCTGGATGCGGACAAAGGCGGCTGAGGCGCCGATTGCGAGGGCGAATATGGGGTCGCCGATTCTGATTTTAGGGGGGTTGATGTTAGCTAGAGATAAACTTGATGGGAGAGGACAGGAGAGGAGGGAAGGGTGTGGGGTGGGATGGAGGAGCGGTACTTGGAAAGAAGGTAAGGAGCGGACGCTGCGGCGGACATGGTTGGTTTTGATTCTATTTCTAGCTCTTTGGATTATTCGGTATAGGCTGTATCTCTCTCTTGCTGATAGTGGATAGATACGGTTCTCGTCGCGTAGATTGTTTTCGAGCTTGACTTTCAAGAGATGGAATTGCGGGAGTTAACTGATGTCGGATGCGTCGTGCGTAACTCGTAAGTAATCGATAGATGCTCAAGATACTCGAAATATCAAGAAAGATGAAATTGGTTGATCTAGATCTCAAGATCGTAGTTCAATTGGTTGAAGCGTAAAAACAGTGCAGGATCAATCAATGATCCTTCGAGATAGCTACCGATCTCGAGTAGTTAGTTACATGCGGAGGACCCGGCCGAGCCTTTGGCTTTCTGATTGGGCGGGCTTGTACCTGGCTTAGTCAGACGTTGGAGTCGATGCATGAACGTAGTCTATTTAACTACCTACTGCAGCTCTATTAATGCTGTTGCATTCTATTTTGTTTTCTTGGTATTTTAGTCTGTTGGTAAGCTGCAAATTTAGAAGTGTAAGAAATATAGCCGTGTATGTTTTGTGTACTGCGAGAATAGCTCGTTATCAGAAGGACTCGTTAGAGGTACAAAGAACGCAGTAGCTTCAAACATCGATATCTACAACTGTAAGCTGAGAGAGGATCTCTTATAAGCTATTATGATATAGAATAATAAATAGCAATAAATATTCGCTGAGTAGCTTTTCGTCATACAAATATCCGGCTATACTTACCTCCAGAAGGGGTATATCATCCGCTGTATATCCAAAACGCGTTACTAGACCCCTCTCAACCATTTAAGAAAAGCATCAAATAAAAAAAAGACGAATGCAAAAAAGCTCACACCCTCACCTCTCCTTTATATCAGAGAGCTGTGAGGGTGCTACGAAAAGCCCACCTTGCTTTTGGCGGGCAGGCTTTTTCAATCTCTAGGAACTGAGGAACATTTCTGACGGTCACTGGTGCCCAGAGCTACCTAGTTTTTTTGCTCTGACGCCCTCACGCCGACCCCGAGGTTCGAACAGGGAGCCTCCAGCTAGATGGAGCTGTGGGTGGTAATCCAGACCACTGCGCCATCTGGACTCCGCTGTTAAAGAGGGTTATGTTATCCTGGAATATATAGGGGGGTTTCTTTGTTTGGGTGGATGGCCTAAAGGGGAAGGCTATAGTCACGTGGAGGTAGGTGGATAGAGGGACTGTTGATACTTGGCTAAAGAGGTCTGTATTAGATATATTAGAATGGGAACTTAGTTTAGTGGCTAATGGCTATATTGTCTGGTTAGCTAGATAGATATTAGAATCGTATTTCACATTTATCTTTCCTACTAAGCTAGTAATTTGTATAGAGTAAGTTTACACAGTTAGTTATATCTCAACTATAAAGCGGTAGTTGTTGAAGTGTAATACATCAAAGTCGTCTAAAGAGCGTTTGTCCAATGCATTAGCCGAATTACTGATATAGCCAGCTATAAGGTTATACACACTACCATTAGGTCGTCTTGCCAAGTTAGAACTGTCATTTGGATTGCGAGTTAAGGGCGAAGACAGTTGCGCAGGCTTTCTATCCAAACGCCCTCAAGCTTTTTGCATGATACTTCAGTTCAGTTCTATTACCTACATTTACATTAAATGTATAGATCAATAAATCTCTAGTACTTTTTATATAAGTTCTACTCTTATATTGTTATCAGAAAGCCTGCCGGCAAATAAATCCTATTTTTAAAGATGCTATCGGTAGCTTTATCCCAGACACATTGAACCTCAATCTGCGTTCGTGGTACTGTGAGATAAACCCTGTTCCTTAAATGCTGGTGAAGGCTCGCCCTTTAAGCACAGACAAGTGGTCAGGAATAGTGATTATCTGACCGGATATACCACCGCTTGGATGCCCATATTCGAGCAGAATGTATATATCTAGCTATTTCCACAACCCGACTCGATATACAATTCCAAAAACAAAAACGTACTCCCATCATCGGGGCAAGTTGCATGCCAAGGCAGAGACCATAGCTCAATCACGACACTTCGAAATGCACTATTCACCTCTCTGAACAACCCACGATGCACAGACATGGTAATAATTTGGTGCCCTCCAGTAGTAACTAGTTGGGCGCCAGCACCATCTTAATCAGCAGAGTAGTTGAGCTGACTTGCTCGAGCCACGTAGCTGGCTGACTCAATCAAGCATCTTCAGCATCCCCAGCAGCAGTTCCAGTATCATACTTTATACTTTGCGTATTTGCGGTCGACACAGCGAGATGCTTTGTGGTCCAAACAACTGATAAGCGACATGACTGGGAACAAGCCATGATCCCTATGTCATCCCGAGTGTTGAGCGCTAACGGAGGTGCGTATTGAGAACGTCCCCGCTTTATCCATCTCCATTTTAACAATACTTCCTATCTGATTAGGAATAGATAAAGACAAAGTAATCCAGGACCTGCTGGGCAGACTAGTGGAGTCTAAAAAGGCGAAAGATGATTTATCGAGGAGACTAGATTTCTATCGAGGCAGTATTCACCAGAGTCATAGAGAGAGGGAGTTGAGTATGGGTCGTTGAAAAAGTGCCTCGGGTGTACTTAGTTTCACTAGCACCCGTATCGATCATGTTCGTGATCATGCAAAGATTTGGCACAAGGATGATTATTTCTCAAGAGGACTCAAGTCATTGGAAAAGTCAAAGGACAACTTTGCAGAAAGGAAACGTTATGAAAGGGAGGTCAGAAAACGCTTTGATTTAGAAAAAAGACAAACCGGTACCTGATCCGAAAGTCCTCTTCGACCTCGTGTGGCAGGAAGATCACTGTAAACACAGAAAGCGTCCGAGAGGTTATTATCGCCCCTGCTGTCTAACAAGTGTCTCTATGTTGATCGAGTTATAGGCATAGAGATGTCGTCTATTATCCTGATTAGAAACAGTGCAGAACGGCCTTACGAGATCACGACGGAGAAACATAATATAACCGCCTATTCATGCCCTAGGGCGCCCCAGGAATGCGAGTTTTGAGCGAAGTCAGATGTTAACGTGTTTTGACCTTGATCCCGCCTATAGTTACTCATCTCGCCTTATCAATCATTGCCTGATACTGCAGTGGCTCTACGACTTATTATATCTCAGCCTGCCCCATGAGCGGATAGAGAAACATGGCGAATCGGATCAGGAGAATATATCTACGCAGGCTACATCTATCCCGACGTCGGAGTATCGATAGATTGTCTCCTTCTATAGAGACGACGAAAAGAACGAGTCTCCTGAACTATCGGTCGTTGCAAATTGCGGGGCGCTTAAGTAGGTACTTATATACAAGCCTCAAGGATAAAGACTCGTTTGTGAGTGGTTACAGTACTGTAATAGCCGTACTACAGATTAGGGATAGATGGGTAGGTAGCTGACATTTCACCATACTGCTCGTGTAAATTCCTCTACCGCGGTACGTACACTTCGCATCTGTCCTGTCAGCGGCGGCAACCGAGCTTCTGTCTATCAGCTTCATGGAAGCTTTACGGAAGCCCGAGCTACTTGATATACCGAACCAAACTGGGGAGATTGGCTCCGACAGCGGACCTCGGGATAATTATCGTCACGTGGTCAATAACCGAGTATAGGTGGTTATAAGAGATCGGTCTTGGTGGTTGGTGAGGTCCTAAGTGGTCAAGGCCATCTTGTGCTACATGGAACAGATGAAAAGTGGAGTCATTGTGCTTTTATTTTTCATCCGCATAACATACTACATGACCGTGATTCAGGACAAAGGCAACAAAAAGGCTCTATACGACATACAAGAAGATGGAAATCCCATCGCTCCAAATGACCCATAAATCAGTCGTCAGGAGGCGAGCAATATTAGTTCTAGAAAGCGTAGATTTTGGAAAGATTCCTTGTGTCTCTCCGAACCTATACAACGTGGCCAAAGGCCGGGATCAGAGTCTGAGCCAGCCAGAAGCTGAACACCAGCTTAGGTCCAGTCATCAGCAGCTTGGGCGTCAGGCCCTTGAAGAAGCTGGTGAAGCCCTCGTTCTTGGCCATAGAGGCGACGATCCGGAAACCAGACTCGGGGTTCTCGAAGTTGCGGGTCTGGATACGGGTCTTGATGACATCGAGCGGCGCGGAGACGATAAGGGAGGCACTAGCACCAGCGATGGAGGCGACGAAGTTCTGCGTCCACGAGGCCGAGTTGTAGTCCTGGAGGCCGTAGATGTATTCCTTGGCAAAAGCGGAACCACCGAAAAGCTAGATAGTGTTAGACATTCTGACAAGAACTGGGATTCAAGATAGAGAAACATACAGCGAAAGATCCAGGCGCGTTACGGGCAGCAGTCCAGCCGGCACCACGGTACAGTCCCATACCCTCATCGGAAATGATCTTGAAGAGTCCACGGCCACGGAAAGCTTCGGGGTTTGTCTGTCTCTTGATCTTCAGGACATCCAGGGGAAGCAGGACGATCTCTCCGATACCGATCAAACTATCGCATGTCAGCAATTGGATCTTTCCTTGCATTGTAGACAACGAAATCTCACCTTCCAGCAGTAGCGTGCATGATAGCCTTGCCAGTTCCCTTTCCGAAGGCGTTATCGAAGTCGGAGCCGTGGTGCTTGGCCAGGTAGTCTCTGACGAAAGGCTGACCACCGTACTTGTAGATTCTTTGCAAAACCTAAGAGAAAATCGTCAGCACGGGAGTTGTGCTATAACAGGCATTGGCATGCCGCAGAAATCGCACGTACCTTGTAACCCGCAGCGTATCCGAGACCGGGGAAGAGAGAAGTGAACTTGCGGGCGATAGGCGCAGAGGCATAATCCCTGAAGACAACCTGGTTCAGGCCGCTGAGGGAGGTGATCTATAAGACGCAATCCATCAGTCTCGCGCCGCTTGGCATAGTACTCAAGATACTGGCGACATACCCTGCCCTGGTGGCTCATCAATCGCTTGGCGGTAGTATCGACCTTTGCGAATCGTCAGTACTTGATAAGGCGTCAACAGCGGTTATGATATGAGTCGTACAGGATGGAAGACCAGCAGCTCTGCGATACCGGCGGAACCTGTTTATTGCCGTTAATATCATGTCTAGGTCACACCAAAACTATCCATCCCACGCACCGGAACCCAGCAATCGAGCGGTTGCTGACTCTCTCTTGACATCCTTTGCGGCTGAGCCGGCACCGGCCTGGACAATAGCTGGCGACATCTTTTCGGCTGAACGATTGGACACGCGGAGATTTTATCAGACGACTGTGTCAAGGGAAAAGGAGAAAGAAGCACTCAACGAAGATAGATGCAATCGCTCGAACGAAACTCCGCAGCCGAAGAGAAGGAAAGGAAAGGAAAACGCAGGATCACCTCCGGTAGCCTCCAGAACGACTCGATCTTCGACCGGGGACTTTCCCAAATTTTTAAGGGCGGCCGGCGGCCAGATGGCGCTAATCCCGAAATAGGATACCGTCGCCGACTCCAGGTCCCGGGGTGTATCGGTGCTTTTGCTGTTGACCGTTCTTTCAGGTGAAGAGTACTAGATTAATAATGGTCACGGTCATAGTACAATGCCATTATTACCTCTTCTTCGCTACAGACAACGTTGGTTGTTGTCAAAATGGGACCTGACGGTGCCCCGAGATCGGTCTGATGGTGAACCAGCCAAGCTTTGTATACCGACGCCAACATACGGAAGCGCGAAACTGATGAGAATAATTGTCTATGGGTTCGTTCCAGATACAAATCGATAGAAGCGGACGGGATATACAGACATTATCCCTGGAAACAAACATACTCTTGAGTGGCTTCGTTATTGAGACAACAAATCTCGGACTTGTCAGATCGTGCTGACTGGCAGAGGTAACCTGCTATTCCGATACCAAATTCGAGCCTAACACATGATGCCCCTGAGAAACAGCGTACAGTGGCTCATTTGTATTGTTGATGTAGGACGCATAAATGGAAGCATGGCACATATCATATCTGGGCCGACCGGACGTGGTCATGTCAGAACTGGCAAAGTTACATGCGAGCCTGCAAATAGGCCTGCAGACTTTACATTACGATCAGAAAATGGTCGTCAATAGCAAGAGGTCACCAGTCTGAGGCTGGTGTACCTCGCCGCTATCTTCCCAAACATCGGGGAGATCATTCACGTGTAGCTATCACTAGGCACCATGTCACGGGGAGTCGATCTTTGACGTATGCGGGGACATCATCACCCCAAGTCGTTTCATAGAGAGGGGTAAATCTAGAGGGTACGAAAAGGCGATGGCGTTATCGGCCAGCCCATAAACGTAGACAGATAGGATGGAAATAATACATTTCAACTACTATATCTTGCTCGGATAGCAAATCTGATCTGTAATGGGTCGGAGGCAGCTGGTTGAACGGAACACGTGGTCCATGTCGTTCTGCATTAGGCCTCTTTCTATCCTTGCCCGTCTCCTAGTCCCTACTTTGAGCACCCCAGGAAGAGTAGTGAAGAATGCCGCATTTCAAATCCAAAAACGCGGGAGCGAACGGAGCACACGTATATGAACCGTGGGAAGGATATCCTCGATTGACGACCCTTAAAGAGCAAGACTGGCAAGTACGGACCACTGAAAGAAGATAGAAAACCCGATATAACGCCCGCACACATGATAGAAACCCACCACCATATCGAGCAGCCCTGTCATCTCATCTGGTGTCGATCTTGATGATGTCTATAGACCCCAAGGAACATCCAGCACATATGGTTGTCAAGTGTCCTTGGTCGGTTGGGGAGATCGACCGCTCACAAGTCATTCAGCAATCACCGAAAGTGTTCTCTCCAGAGTACCTTGAACGACGTCAGTATACGGTTCGCTGTAGCATGCCAAACAGATAGTGATCACGTACGTGATGTACAGGAAACCATCCTCGTCTTTGTGCTCATCATAGATGCTGCTCATGAGAGCTGCAGTAGGCGGCAGAACCTCGTCGACGAAGATAAAGATAGCCTTCTCCGGAGAGAGCTTTATGCGCTTGCGGATAACGTAGACAAACTGTCCGACGGTGAGGTCTGCCGGCACCAGATACTTCTTCTTATCGATAGTTGCGATGTCCGACTTCTCGACCTTCTCACAGATGACCTGCAATATACCGATCGGACAGCATTAGTAAAACAGGCGGTGAGAGGAACGTCGACAGTGCAGAGACACCAGCATGCTGCAAAACGGCCTATTCAGCAATATGTAGAGAGCTTACCGGGATACGATCCGCGTACTTCTGGCGGATGCGCTCAGCTTCAGCCTTGCGCTTCTCGAAGGGGTGTTCGTCCTTGAACTTGGAGCGCATGGTGATAACGGGAGCGATAACGTCGGGATATAGAGAGGTGGTATTCAAAGCAAAGGTGACCGAAACGGTATTTGGCAAAGTGTGGAAGACAAAAGATCGTCAAAATCGATGGTAAGTGATGGTTGGGAGTATGAGCAAGTAATAGGAGAGATGGGAGTGATGGCTGGAAGTAGGAGGTCAAGTAGTTGGAAGGCGACAGCCCCGCGCGTAATCCAGACGGTCTGCGCCCGTTCGGGTCGGCCAGGTCACGGGGGGATGGCTGGCTGCTCTGAGAAGGCGGTGAGGCCCCACACGTGACTCACTGCGCAGGCATCACCGGCACTTGGTCCGAGTCAACTGGGCAGAGCGACGAGATGCGCTGGGGGAATGAGGGAATACGACTTCCAGATGGCCGGTAGATTATCCTGGACTGGCCTGAAACCACCGCAGCAGAGGCATTGCTGGTTCATCTGCCACCTGCGCACCTCTGACTCTCATCCTACGTGGCTTATCTGCTTCCGTTATCACTGATCGGAGACTCCACCGGTGACCTGTCCGTCATCTGTTCCTGCAGCATGCCGCCTAACGTTCTTGAACCAGCTGGAGTATGATCATACGGGATCGACTCTTCTGGCAGCTCTACCTCACGAGAAAGCCTTGACTCATCCTCGAGTATTAAGTGATTCCATAGTTAACCGGTCATCGGGTCTCTTGTCCAGTGGAGCCTCATCGTCTTTCGATCTAGTATTGATCTTGATATGGAATGCAAACAGTGCAAACTAACTTCCCCAGACAAACACAGCAAACAGCAAATCGTCCTCCAGTTTATTATTCGGCTTCCAAGCGACTGGACTTCCGGGTGCCGTGACAGCCACGATTGCCGCAGATGGTCTGACATTTGATATCAGCCTCGAATATTCAATTTTCGGGCCGATTGTTTGATTTATTCGAGTCCAGGATTGGTCTGGGCGCTTGTTATTTCCATTCTTACCTTCCTTTTGGAGATCTAATCCTGCCATAATTCGTTCTCGTGACCGAACAGCGCCAATAACACATCAGCTTACTTCCAACCATGGCGGCTCCAGGACGAGGCGCGCCTTTGGCGAGGTCATTACTTCGACGGCCTTTTAAAAGGAGCCAATGCCCATCTCGCTTTTCCCAGAGACAGACCCTCAGATATTCTACAGAACAGAAGTCTCGCGAGTCGGTGCAGTTCACCGTCTGGCGACCGTACCTTCGACTTGCTATTGGCGTGCCATTCGTCGGTGCTCTAATATATTCCATAGTATGACCAATGCTTTACCGGGTTACAAAATAGTCTTGTTAATCCTTTGTCTATCCAGATGACTGGCGAAGTGACAGAGCTCGACTCCCCGTCCATAGTCGAGCTGGACGAAGCCTTGAAAAACCAATCGACCATCAATGAGTCCTCTCCAATGCGCCTCCGCATGGAGAAATTGATCAAAGAGCACCAGAAGAAGATCACAGAGGAATTGAGTCGCATAGATGGGAAGGAGTTCAAAACAGACACTTGGACACGTCCTAACGGCGGTGGTGGTATCTCCTGTGTGCTCCAGGACGGCAATGTCTTTGAGAAGGCCGGCGTCAATGTCTCTGTCGTTTATGGAGAGTTGCCTCGGGCTGCCATTGAGAAGATGCGCGCGGACCACAAGTCATTCGTTGCCGCTGATGTGGACTCTTTAACGTTTTTCGCTGCAGGGTTGTCTTTGGTCCTACACCCCCACAACCCTATGGCACCTACAGTCCACCTGAACTACCGATATTTCGAAACCTCAGATCCCAAAGATCCCCTTCACGGAGACAAGAATTGGTGGTTTGGTGGCGGTACAGATCTGACGCCATCTTACCTCTTCCCGGAAGACTGCGAACACTTCCACAAGACCATCAAGGATACCTGCGACAAACACGACCTGACCTACTACCCGAAGTTCAAGGAATGGTGTGACAAGTACTTTTACCTACCTCACCGCGGCGAAGCCCGCGGTATCGGCGGTATCTTCTTTGACGACCTCGATGCCGCGTTCCTTCAAAGCTCATCTTCATCTTCCCAAAACCCACAAGAAACTCTCTTCTCTTTCGTCACTGATGCTCTGGCCTCTTTCCTCCCTTCATATGTTCCCATCCTCGAGCGACGCAAGGACATGCCATTCACTCCTGCCCAAAAGGAATGGCAGCAGTTGCGCCGCGGTCGCTACGTCGAATTCAATCTCGTCTATGACCGAGGCACAAGTTTCGGTCTGCGCACACCCAACGCCCGTGTGGAGAGCATTCTGATGAGTCTGCCCCGAACGGCTAGCTGGGTGTACATGGACCCGATCTCGGGAACCTTCACGGACGACAAAGTCGACGGCACAGAAGAGCAGGCTGAGACGGAAGACAAGCAGAGAGAAAAGGAAATCATGGACGTTCTGAAGAACCCAAGACAGTGGGCTTGAATGGAAATCATGTGTATGACAACGCATTATGTAAATTAAAGTTTTCGCTCTCCTGTATGTATGTATGTGTTACTAGTTATATATTAAAATGAAAAGACCACGAACCGGATAGATCCGGAATAGACGGTCATCGATATCACTCGAATCGCAGTCAATATTTTCCTTCATGATGTAGAATTGAAGCTTGCTTCCCTTTTCCTTTCTCTTTTTCTTGCCTTCCTTGAAAATTTGTACTAGTTAGTCCTTTTGATTATTAACAATTCTTCTTTTCCCGTCGAAAAGACAATCTGGACCTGAAATATTGACAGATAATGACAGGAACCCCCCCTCCCCACCTAAGAAGTTGGTTGATCAATATAAGAGAGAAAACCTGATCAAGCGGTATGTGCATATATACATGCTGTAAACAATTTCTCCCACCAACAGCTGTATTTCTTTCTAGAAGCACTATGAAAATCTTATAAAGGGGGAATAAAGAACGAGAGAACTCCTCCCTGTCCTTCGAATAGAAAGAAAAGAAAAGGTACAGGTAGTTGTGGTATCTGTGCGATAAGGAAACCAAAAGGGGAGTCGTCAATAGGGGGACAGGACATGGATGCCAGACCTTTCAATGGCTCAAATTTGATAGAACATACGGACATGCTGTATGTTGAAAGAATACATAACGAATCGATCTGTGTCGATGCGTGCTTTATCATTCATATTTACCTGCCAGCAACCATGCTTCTTTGTTTCGATAGCCAACCTCTCGACGCATCGGCACCAGCGCCAGCGCGGGTAGAGGCAGGGTGGCGGTATCGGGAAACGGTGACATTGCTGTTCTGGAGACGGCCTTGGAGATCGAACCAGGCAGATGATATGAGGGCGATCTCTCGTGATTGCTGATCGATTACCTTTTGTAGCTCGGCCTGTAGAAGCTTGGTTAGGACTCTGAGGAAAGGATTCCAGATGGCGATAGTGCGGATATTGAGTTAACTCACCTCTCGCTCACTTAGTATATAGTCGATGTTGGTTTCTTCATGACTCTTGATCCGCTCCCGGAGGGAGTTGATAAGCTCGTTCAGGTGATCAAGGTGCTGATTAGATATTTGCGTTAGCTCAATGTTCCCGCAGATTGCAGAGACTTTAAGAGTATACGGAGTGATAGGAACACTCTTCTACGGTAGAACATATCCGAGGGAGTCTCCAAAACAGGGAAGCGTTCTTTTTTACTGACCTCTGCACCGTTCACCAGCCTGTCCACAGCCTTCTTCGTCACCTTAGAGAACTGCTCGAGTAGCTCATTATCAGACTTCTCGGATTGTTCAGGATTTTCCGCACGAGCAGCAAACCGAGCGAGCAGAGCCTGCATCTCATTGATGAGATCCTGGTCTTCTGCACGGATTTCAGCCCGCTTCTGATCAAAGGCAGAGCGTAGCTCGTCCCGCTCAGTACAGACTTCTCTAGTGAGTGTCTGGCTAGCGTCCACCTCTGCCTCAAGGTGGTGGACCTTGTGCGTGAGCGCATCCCACTCAGCTCGGACCTTGGATACCTCCGCCGAATTTGCCTCCTTGACCCCGTTAAGCATGTCAAGCTTTTCCTTGTTGACAAGACCAAGTTCATTCTTCGCGTCCTGAAGCAGGCGCTTGTTTGTTTCTAGCTCGTCTTCTAGATCTGCAAGTTTCTGTCGAACCTCTGCGTATTGGTCGTACAGTTTCCAGTACTCGGCGTTTTGAGTGGACTTGGCTTGCGCGAGCTGCGCTGTCAAGACCAGGTTTTCGGAGTAGGCCTCCAGATGTGAACCGATCTTGGAGGGATCGCTGGGAAGCGCAATTTCTGTTTGTTCGCCAGCTTGGTCCTCGCCTACGCCTACCACCGTCGGCGAGTCGGTGGTCTTCAATCTGTCGATCTCTTTCTTCAGATCGTCATTTTCCGCTTTCCTGGACCACATAGTTAGCACTGACAGGAAGAGATAAGACGGGTTACGAACAGTTGTGCCTCCTTGACTCCAATATCCTCGAAATCCTTTTGCAGCGTACCCTGCAATTTCGGAGTACTACTGCCTGGGGTAAGTGATGGGCTACCGGGCGAGCCTTCAAGTTCCCGAATGCGTTCCCTCAGCTCACTGATCACGGCTTCATCTCTTTCACGTTGCTCCTCGGCAGTCTGGAGGCGTTCCGTAAGCGCATGGTTATTGAATTCGAGCTGCTTCTTCAAGTTCTGGATTTCATGACGATCCTGCTCTATCCGCGGCAGAACTCGCCTATATTCTTCAAGCTCGACATCACGCTCTGAAGACCATTTCTGGTTGGAATCCGCATCCTTCAGTTGCTGCTGCAGGTCCTTAACCTGGTTCTTGAGGACTTGGTTCTCCTTTTCGAAGTCCTGACTTGCCTGCAGTTTCTGACGGTACTTTTCAGCTGCATTGGCTTTACGTGCAAGCTGATCTCTCTCGGTCTTCAATTCATCGTAATCATCTTGCAGTGTCTGGTACCGCTGATTCTTGACTCTTAAGGACTCCAGGTTCATCCGCAAGCTGTCAATCTCATCTTGAGCTGCAGCTATCTTCGCCTCCTGGGTTGCGATGAGATCCTCCTGCTGACGACTCTTCGTCTCCAGAGCCTTTGCATTGAATCCCATTTCTCCCTTCCCCGATTTCAGAGTTACCAGTCGGTCCTCGGTGGAGGCCAAGCGGTTCTGTAACGTATCATTATTCTCCTGCAAGCGTGCCAGACGGTTGTGTAGATCCTCCAACGCCTTCTCCATTTCCTTCTTCTCGCTTGTCAATCGATCATTTTCCGCCAGAACCTTGCCGACGCGTTCCTCAAATTGTAGCTCGGGGTCAACGGAAAGAGCAGGTTTGGAATCATCCTTAGGTTCATCATTATGGTCAATGTCATCGGGATTGCCATTCTGCGCCTCCTGTATAATATCCTTCAAGCCTTCTTGCGTCGAGGTACTCAGCGCTTGCAGCGTTGTCACGTAAGTCTCGGCGTTCGGGGAGCTGATAGCGGCGATCAACAGCAGTTTCATAAGCTTATTCATCTCCTTAATAGAGTTGTGTTCTGCGATCATTTTCAGGTCCGGCGAGGCATCCAGCCCCGAGGGCAATTCATCGTCATTCTGGCTGCGGATATAGCTGATCACCAACTTGTGGATATGCTTCAGGTTCTGCCATTTAGGCACCCAGTGGTCGGATTGGTTGCGCTCTGGTAACTCGTCGAGAAAATACTGATGATCGATATCCTGTAAGATTTCCCATAGTATAGTCCCATCAGTTAGCTCGTCAATCGCCCGGATTGTCTTGCCCAGCGAGAAGCTATTGATCCACTCGAGCAACACCTTGGACACGGTGTGCTCGGCAGCCGTGGCAGGCACCATTTTGGACAAGTGCTCCTTGGTAATTTGGAATGGTCTATGGGGTTACTTGGTCCAGCAGAAATAAATTCTGCATGCTGACAAGGTAACAGCAGGTGGTGGATGGCTTCCAGGGGGGTTATTATTGTATGCACTGGTCCGTCGCGAGTTTCCGCGTCGAGACTCGAGAGTCCGCGGGTCCACACTAGGGGCATTCGACGCCGCCAAAGATTGGACCCAACTGGAACTGAAACACAGTACCCTATCCTTGCTATATCTACGAAATTAAAAATAGAGTAATGATTAGAGGACTCTAATCAATCTCATACAGTTTCTTAAGATGCATCCATCATTGGTTACTGAATTCTTGTGCTGAATGTTACTCCATTACCCCTAACGAATAATAATAGTACATAGATAGTCGAGGCACCCAGGCACCGTCCCGACACCCGAGGATCCCTCGACTTGAGTCGAGCAGAGTTCTGAAATCCAAGGGAATGCAGCACCCGTTACCCATTGTAAAAAAGAAATATAATGATATCCTAACGCCATGTTCATTCATCGCATCATAAAACGAACGGAATGCATAACTCAAATTTCCAGTTGCCGCTGTGTTCGCAGGGACTGTTGCCTATTCAAGCCTCATCAATCGAGACGACCTGGTCTTCCTCGATCGAGGGGCTATATACAGAGGAAAAAGTCGAGAGGTTTTCAATGGCACTGGCAGAAGCCTTCGCGGCGAATCCTCTATGGGATTGCGTTAGTTATATGATAGAGGTTGGAGTGGATGAAGGAACATACTTGATCAGTTCTGCAGAGCACAATGATTAGTACAACGGCCTTAGATAATTGCTTAGATTATAGGCAACTTACGATATTCATGAGTGATCAGACCTCCCTGAGTTGTTACTCGTGGTTAGCATTGTATACCGACACACACAGCAGTGGCTTCAGCTTACAGCTTCTGTAATAGCATTCTTCGCCGTTGTCAAAACCGAATCTGGCGTATCCTTGGGATATGTGACGATGAAGGATTTCTGAGGGCTGACGGCCTGGGCAAGAGGCAGAAGGCCAAGGACGAGACTGTAGAGAAACAGCTTCATGGTGTCACAGCGGATCAGTGATTCTTAGATGAATTTTCAAGTAAATGACAACAAGCACAAAGTCACAACAATCCTGCTCGTCAATAAACCAAGTCACAACACATTCGAGACTTCTTTAGATCGATGGATTGATGTGATGGAACATGATCTGGTTATCGCCTGCCATGAGACTCCCGACTTCGTCATCCACCGATGCTGACTCATCAACCGCCTCTTCAGTTCTCCGATCACCTCTCGTCTCTTGACCTTGCAACTGGCTAGTCAACTTCATTCATCGAACAAAGCACCCTTTTCCATTCTCCCCTATTCATTTTATGGAGTATATTCTCTAGCGCCTGTTCAGCAGTTTGTTTCAGTTCTCCTCTTTCTGCTTCTTTCTGACTGCGCCTGCCGTTGAGCCATTCCATCGCAAAAACTCACCCTTCCTGCTTCCTCACCGGCCTCATCGACAACTTTCTTCCTCTCAGTATTTCCTTTTCTGCTACCTGTTTTCTGCGGTAAAGGTAGAAGCCAGGATATTTACAGGTGTGGGTATAATTTTTTGAGGGTGGCCGCAGGCTTTCACTGGTCGTGGGCGTTCGCATGGACCTGTTGTTGTCTCAGTCACGAACATAGCTAGCAAGCATTCTACAAATTTCTTTCCAAAAATTCTGCTCTTCCAGGAGATTCCTTTGGGGGGAAACAAGCAAAGAAAAAAAAGGCCATCATCTGGCAAGGAGGAAAAAAGAAGGCAAAAAAATCAAGACAGAAAAGACAAACGGGCACCAGAGAGACAAAAGCAGTGCGCACAAAAGAAAGCATTGATCTTCAATCAGGAAGCAGATATTGTCATATTGTGTATTCGGGTGTTATCCACTACGGACCACTCTGAACCCCCCTTGTGCAGAACTCATCTTCCCACAGCCATCCACCTTTCGTATACTTGATTGCCCGCCATGTCTTCCGGACTCGCTTCTGACGAAGTGGCCGAGGATTACAAGAACTCCCTTGAGGACCTGACTACAAATGACAAGTTCCAAATCAGCAACCTTACTGTCATAGCCAAAGAGAATACGGAGCATGCAATGGCAATATCCCGGGTGCTGGAAAACCACATTCGAACTGTAGGTGCCTCACTTCTCCCCCGTTCCCCTATGCTTGTTTCTATCTTCATACTTTGTCAGTTGTACTGTGTTGTCGTAGTTGGTCTTTGGAAGAACTGCTCTAATTGTCTGTAGACACCACCTTCTCAGAAGCTGCCTGCTCTGTACGTAGTCGATTCTGTCGTCAAGAATGTAGGAACGCCCTACACTCTCTTTCTTGGACGAAATATGTACCAGACGTTCATGAATGCGTACACCTTGGTCGATTCTCAAACTCGCAAGAAGCTTGATGAGATGCTCAAGACATGGAAAGAACCAGTCCCCGGTTCCCTAGATACCAGGCCGGTCTTCCCTGTTGAAATAACTCGCAGTATCGAGAACGCTCTGATCAAGGCCAGGACAGCAGCACTTCAGCAGCAGCAGGCTAGAGGCCAACATGAGTTGCTGGGCCGCGGCCGTGGTGTTACGACACCCCCAAACTGGACACATTCTCCTACTCCGCCTCTAGCTTCCTCGCGATATCCGTCTTCGTCGGGTCAGAACTTGGGTCCCCAATATGGGACAAATGGACATGGCCATCAACCAGCAGTAAGTGAACATCTGATCCTTGTCAACTTCCATGTTACGTCTCGAAGTAGGAAGATTCAGCAATATGGATGCTCACCGGATGTAGCGGTACAATTCGCCAACGCCTCAGCCTAGTCAGGTGGTCGACCTTGGTGCCTTGAATAGTGATATAGATGCATTAATATCGACCGCTCGGTCCGATTTTGCCAATAATCCGCTAGATCCTTCTGTCCAGCAACGTCTCAAGGCTCTCCTCGATCTTCAAGGCATTTTGCAACGGCAGGAACTGCCTCAGGAACAGCTCAGACTCGTCCGAGACCAGGTCTCTAGACTTGCACCTCCCAAGCCAGCAGCACCCCCAGCGCCTCCGGTGCCCCCAGTATCATCAGTACCGCAGACACTTCCAATCTTCCCTTCGGCTCCGGCGCAATCTCTTGCATCGCAGCTACAACAACCAAACTTGCAGCAACTGCTTAACCCTGGAACGTTGGCCGAACTGATCAAAGCTACGACAAATAAACAGCAGCCCACACCTCCCCCTCAGGCACCCAATCCATATCCACAAGTTCCTGCGGTCGGCACTCCACAACCCCCTGCAGCTTCAACTGCAGCGTCCGAGAACCCGTTGATTGCCTCCCTGAGGGCGCGCGGTCTCCTACCACCTCTCCCCTCTGCCACTGCAACGCCACCAATACCGCCAGTTTTCCCCAACCTACCACTTATCGTCCCGGGTCAAGTCCGTTATACGCCTCCAGTTTCCACACCCCAGATTCCTGCCGCATCTGAGATGACCATCAGTGTGCAAATGAGCACAGCCTCCATCAAAATGTGAGTATAAATTCTGGAATTCGTGGTGACTACCGCTAAGATACATAAACAGACCCCGTCCCACTCTGGTAGCAACACTCTATGAAGCGAGATCCAATCGCTGCGGAACTTGTGGGCGTCGTTTCTTCGCTAATGAAGAAGGGAAAGAGAAAAAGGCTCGACATCTGGATTGGCATTTTAGAACCAATCAGAGAATGGCAGATGCAGCGAAGCGCGGCCAGAACCGCAGCTGGTACGTGGACGAACGTGTAAGTATCTCCCTCTCCAGACATGTCAAGTGCACTTGTTGATAAATGATGCAGGATTGGATAAAATCGCGAGAATTCGAGGACGAGATCGGAGCTGCAGATGGCGGATCTGCTGGTAGTAATACGGCAGGACCAGATGCTGCTGCGGCGCAGAAAGGCCCGAAGAAGCAATGGATCCATGCACCTAACGATGCGGTCTTACGAAATACGCCGTGTCCCATATGCCAGGAGAAATTCGAATCTACGTGGTCGGAGGAAGTACAGGACTGGATCTGGCAGGATGCCATCAAGGTCGGCAGCCGCGTGTACCATGCAAGCTGCTATAGTGAGGTTACCAAGGACGGCGCCGCCCCAGGACGGGGAGGCACACCTTCAGTGCGAACGGGTACCCCAGACTCTGTGCTGGGTAAGCGAAAAGCAGAGGTATGTGAAGAGCGTATTTGGACTTAATTATCAAGGAGATACACATTACTAATATCTTCCAGGATAATGATCCAGCTGAGCATAACGTCCGGATCAAGACAGAACCTGTGTCATGACCATACGTCTACTAATCTCTTATTCACATAAATTTCTGTTCGGCAACTGTATTCCGAACCCCAGTATTCATATCTGATTTTGTGCACCTCTTTGTTAGCAGGAGGACTGGCCCCTCTTGACAGGCATATGTTCATCTTCTCCGCATATATGGCTGGTTTTGGCGTCCGGTTTCTTCATAAGCAGTTGATTATCTGTTATGGCCATAGTCCTCTTTAACTCCGCAACAAATAGTCAAGAGGTGGTTGGTGTCTTTCATGGATGTCACATATTCAATACCAAACTGAGCAGGTAAGCTCGGATTCAAATACAAGAATCAAATGCCGTACTACCATTCTCTCGGGCAGAATTTAGCCTATTTTCCGAACCACATTTTGCTTGTGTACTCTATGGCGACCAAAATGTCGGCAACTGTAACTAGAGAGAGCACTGCTACGGAGATAAAGCCTCAAGATCATTCCCCGCTCTAGAGTGGGCCGCCATTTCCCCTCACCCTCATTTTTATTAATACAAGTTGCGATAGAAAGCCACGTACGAAAGATCCCACTGCTTTCCAAGAGGACCTTCAGAAAAGCGGGCATTTACCTGGAGCCACAGCTGTACAGTACTAACTCTTGTTGATATACATTCTTTTCACCTGTTATAACCTCATTTAACTCCCCTCCCCTCCCCACTGAGCCTGGGCCAAGAATTGCATACAGCTGTATCATTCCTATCTGCCGAATACCTCCCCTTTCTCGAAGATCTGTTTCTCGTAATTAATAACAATGGCTCCGTACAATGCGCGCTGGGGTATTATGGGTATGTTTGAGAAACCACATCGATGAATTGACACCGCTGTAGCATTTTCCGAGCATTGATCTACGTCCCATTCTATATCTATGTGATACACAAGACCAGCGATGCTAACAGGAATAACTCCACTACAGCTACCGGCTGGATCGCCGAAGGTGCGTCTTAATCTTCTTCAGAAACAAACCAGCGCGAAACAGTTCTGTCCATCCATCTTGCTAACAAGACTCCACGAATCCAGTCTTCACCAAAGACCTTCTAATCGACTCTTCTCTCCGCGACGCCTCTGATATCAAACACACCGTAACAGCCGTCGCGTCTTCATCTTCCAAATCCCGCGCCGAGAATTTCATTGCCGATCTCAACATCCCTTCCCCTGTCGCTGCATACGGCTCATACGAAGAGCTCGTCTCCGACCCCAATGTCGATATCGTCTATGTCGCCACGCCTCACTCGCACCATTTCCAAAATACCATGCTAGCCCTTAACGCCGGAAAGCACGTCCTATGCGAGAAGGCGTTCACGGTGAATGCGGCGCAGGCGAAGATCCTCGTCGAGACGGCGAAGCAAAAGGGACTGTTTTTGATGGAGGCTGTGTGGACGAGGTTCTTCCCGTTGAGTGTGCAGATTAGGGAGATTATCAAGAACGGGGGGGTCGGAGAGGTTTTGAGAGTCGTTGCGGATAATAGTTTCGGGGATGATGTTGAGAGTAAATGGGGGACGAAGCATCGGATGGTCAATATGGATTTGGCTGGTGGTGCGCTTTTGGATCGTAAGTTTGAATGACCACTCACTCACTCACTCACTTTAATGGGTTCTTTCTATGGGGAGATGATATGCTTCTATCTACAGGCACGTTTCGCTAACTGCGTGATTTGAATCTGATAATAGTGGGAATATACTCCCTCACCTGGGTCTTTCAAACCCTATACCACACACTTCCACGCGAGCAGCGCAAACCACCCTCCAAAATCTCTGCGCACTTGACTCCCTACCATCTCACCGGTGCCGATGAAGCGACTACCATCCTGCTCTCTTTCCCAACTACTACTCCCTCCAACAGCCCTACGCCAGGCCAATCCCAAGCCGTGGCCATGACGCATCTCCGCATCGCCTCTGATCCAGATGAGAAGAACTCCGCACGTCCTGCGATCCGAATCCAGGGCACGAAGGGAGAGATTCAAGTCGACGGACCAGCTTTCCGTCCTCAGCGATATAGGGTTATTTCCAAGAAGCCCGAGAACGGTGAAGCTCCGCCGGTGAAGGAGGTCGAGTGTCCCTTTCCTGGAAATGGAAAGGGGATGTATTGGGAAGCAGACGAGGTGGCTCGGTGCGTGAGGGATAAGAAGTTGGAGAGCGAGGGTATGCCGTGGGAGGAGAGTATTGCTATTATGGAGGTTATGGATGAGGTTCGTAAGCAGGGTGGAATGACTTATCCGGAGAAGATCGAGTCGACGGTCTATCCTACGCCGCTGTAGAGTGGGGTTGTGTTTACGATTTTTTTTTTTTTTTTTCGTGGTCGGTTTTGAGACTATGGTAGTTACTACTGACTTGTAAATGAAATGACGATGTTGATAGAAAATGGGATATAACCAAGTATTAAATTATGGGGGTTTTATGCGAGAATAAAGTTGATCATCTGATAGGGATGCCGATAGTGAGAACCAAGTACGGGTGAAAGATAGCATCTTCATAGATCAATGTAGGAAATTCCGTTTATGAAGGCACTATGAGCTGATATCTTAATAACTAGTTAACTAGCAGATCTATAATAGACCATACTGCCCTTCAGGCGACTTGAAGAAGCTGATCCCAAGGTATCGACGTGCTGAGGACCTCGGATCCCGGGATCTAACAACACATGGTGTAGAGCTCTCGATATCCTACAACACGGATTTCTACGTCTTTCTACGTCACTCATGGGTTAAATAACACTGGAACTAATTCTTGAAGTAGATCTCATTCTGAGATGACTGTTGACATCCGATTGAATGCGACAAAGTACATACTATACAGGAGCACCCGTGACCTGGTCCTCGCAACGGTCTATGTACGAGTACGGCTCACCTTACGACCTGCAAGGGACGAGGACTGGCAAACAGGACTTTTCCGCATGACACAATCGTGAACTCATTTAGGCCAAAATCTCCAGGCCGCCCCGACGGAGAAAGGAGATAAGGGCTGTCTCTCATCCCGACGCAAAGTCCCGATTTACGGGGCAGAAACCAAGGCAAAAGGTCGTTTAGTTGGACAAGCCAATTCTTCCAAGGATGCTGTTGTCCTTCTCTCCAAAAACTCCCAGCAGGCTCTTCCACACACGGTCGGGCTCCTGGCTGGCGTCAATCTTTCTCCAGATACCCGTCTTCTTGTAGTACTCGACGACGGGGGCGGTCTGGGCGTGGTAGGTCGCCAGACGCTTCTTCAGCGTATCGGCATTGTCATCGGAGCGCTGGATCAGAGGCTCGCCGGTGACATCGTCAACCATGTCGTTCTTGGGGGGGTTGAAGATCTTGTGGTACGATCGGCCAGAGGCAGGGTGAACGAGACGACCCGTTATCCGTGCGACCAGCAGAGCGTCGTCAATCTGCAGCTCGACGGCATGCTGGAGCTGCTGCTTGCGGGCGTTGAGCATCTCATCCAGACGCTCAGCCTGGGCAACAGTTCGAGGGAAGCCGTCCAGAATGAAACTGCCGTGCCGTTAATATTCCATTCCTAAACCACCTCGCACACCCTTCGTAAACTCACCCGTTCTGGCACTCCTTGTTGGTGTCCAGCTCGCTCTTGATCATGTTGACCATGATCTCGTCGCTGACAAGGCCACCCTGGTCCATGATCTTCTTGGCCTCCTTTCCAAGCTCGGTCTTCTTGGCCACCTGGGCGCGCAGCATGTCTCCAGTGGCCTTTTGGGCAGAGAAGAGACGAAAGTCAGCCGACCGCTAAAAAGAAAACAAATCTCCCATTCAATTTTCCCATACTTACCAGATGGCAAACGCAGTACTTCTCCTTGATTCTGGGCGCCTGAGTTCCCTTGCCTAAAAAGGAAATCCGGTCAGCACAGCTTGAACAACGGGCGATGAAGATAATGCTGGGGAAGCATACCTGCACCAGGAGGACCCATCAGAACCATGCGCATCTGCTCCGCGACGGATCTGGGCTTGGAGCTCTCGCCGCCATGGGTGAGACGCTGCTCCAATTGCTCAACGCGCGCCTCGAGCTTGTGGATGATGTTCTTGAGACCGTCGACGGTCTCGTCCGTGATGGGAGCCATTTCGAACTATGAGAGAAAAAAAGCCAGAGGACCTGACCAAGGTCGTGCTGCACTCCAGAAGCAAGGAAGGATTGGAGGGGAGAGGCGTGGGAGTTCGAAAGGTTGGAGCAGTTGGGGAAGGGAGGATTTTGCCAGGTTGGAGAAAGCGAGCAGAATCCGGGCGGAGAGAGAACGGGCTGGAGCTCCCGCGTGTCCGAGGCGCTTTCGCTCTGGGGAGACACCGCAGACCCGCCGCTGGTCCGACACTCGGCCTTGCTGCTTCTGGTCGGCGGAGAGGAGATTGTACTACTATACTATACTATTATTGCAGTAGTAGTTAGTTGGTTCTTGTCCTTGTTTGTATATTAGTTATTGTATCTATCTTATGACGAAGGGCTTGTGTGGCATACCCGAGGATCATCTCTTGAACAAGTGAGTGTGCCCTGCTTTCTCACAGCTCCCGTTTCCGGTTGATGCTCCATCAACACCGTCACCACGTTAATTATCCAACGTCAAGTCAGTTAGTTAATAATAATAATCAATTACATATCGTCCCAGACGGCCATCCATTAGCTTCCAGACTATCTCCGATACGCTGATAGTATTTCCTATACTGGCCTTCTAACCAGGAACGATGCCCCTGTCGAACTCCGCAGGGCCAGCTAGCGTGCGAAGTATCTATCAGCCTTTCCACGCAGTCGGTTCGGTTGGGTGGCCATAGCTCCACCACCAAGAACCGCTTCATCCTGCCGTGACCAGCCGATTCAGTTGTCTAGGGCGTCGTATAAGAATATGCACATAGGGAGATGGAGGACATGAGGTTGTGGTTTTGGATAATCTGGGGTAATCCATGCCTCATGTGTTCTTGGTTACGTGGTAGCAGCTTTTGCATCTTTTCTCGTGCCATTTCGGTTCTTAGTTCAGATATATAGAGAACATAATGAAAATACCAAAGACTGCACCCCTCTTTCATGTATCGTCACCGGCACTCCCAACACTTTTCATCTACAGAGCGCGATACCTATATCCCATATCTTATCGTCTATTCCCAGGAAAACTCAACAGAGTATCCGGAAAGTAGAGGACAGAAGGTAGTCGGCTCATTCAAAACAGTCCCTTTGCAGCGCAGCTATATCTCTTATAGACTTCCTCAAGGCTCGACCGCAGCAAAGAAGCTTTAGCCTGAAATTACTGTGGACCCGAAAATATGTCGGTACTGATCAGCTCAGCATATAAATACTATACTTAAGTTCATGGTATAACTAGGATATCCGGGGATACCCGGTATGAGACATTGCGGAGAGCACGTTCAGGGCGCCTGGGGTAGACCAGAGCCTAGGGAGTGGCTATTCGACGCAAAGACCAAGACAAGAAAGGGATAAAGACACACACGAAATCATGAGAGAAGTATGCCTTCTTGTTCTTTCTTTCTTTCCCCCGTAGCCGCTTGTGCCTTGGGAAGTACTCAATCAGCCTTTGCTCATGGTTCGACAAGAAACCAACCTGACATCTGCACGTACTAGAAAAATAGAATTGAATGCACTGTAATACACCAGCCTCGATTGACATCAAGATGAGCTGATAAGCTAAGAGTATATTTAACTATTGAAGTTGTTGGTTGATTCTTGTGCTGTGCTCTATAACATCACGTGACCCAGCTCGTCGTGGCTGGAGAGTGGCTTATCTAACCAGGCAGTGAGATCAACGCGGCAAGCAACCTGGAGAGCTCCAGCACGGCGACCTGAGCTTGCCATCATCATCCCAACGCCAAACGCTGCTCTCGACTTTCGCTCCGCACTTCGCACACCGTATACCCTTTACTGTCTCTCTTTCCCTCTCCTTCCCCCTCTGCACATCAGCCTGCGTCTTCCGCCATGCCTGCCACGACGGCGGAGACTCTCTCCCTCGTGACACGCACCGTCTCCGTTGCTCCCCTTGTCCTGCTCTCTGTTGCAGACCACTACGGACGATCTGCCAAAGGCACGCGGAAGCGTGTGGTTGGTGTGCTTCTCGGTCAGAACGATGGCAGGAATGTTCGAGTATCAAACAGTTTCGCAGGTAGCTTTATCCCCGCCCGCCTGCGCACCGACGGTCGCTGACTTCCTGGCGCTTAGTTCCCTTCGAGGAAGATGAGAAGGACCCCTCCGTGTGGTTCCTGGACCACAACTTTGTCGAATCCATGAACGACATGTTCAAGAAGATCAATGCTCGTGAAAAGTTGGTAGGATGGTATCATTCCGGACCTAAGCTACGGGCCTCCGACCTCGAGATCAACGAGCTATTCAAGCGCTATACTCCCAACCCGTTGCTCGTTATCATTGATGTACAACCGAAGGAAGTCGGTGTCCCGACGGATGCGTACTTTGCTGTCGATGAGATTAAGGATGTAGGTGATCTGTTGCCGCATGACCAGCCATCATGCAGCACCCAGGACGGACTGGGGTGCGAATATCGACAACGGTGCTAATATATTACGAAACAGGACGGTACTACCACTTCGAAAACATTTGTACATACGCCCTCGATCATCGAAGCAGAGGAGGCGGAGGAGATTGGTGTCGAGCACCTACTCCGAGACATCAGAGACGTTGCAGTGGGAACGCTGTCGACACGGATAACTTCCCAGTTGCAGTCATTGCAGGGTCTACACCTGCGACTGCGCGATATCGGCCAGTACCTTCAGAAGGTCCTGGACCATGAACTACCTGTCAACCATGCAATCCTTGGAAACCTGCAGGATGTTTTCAACCTGCTACCGAACCTGTCGACACCCGCCGCTACACCAAAAATCAACGGCACGGAACAGCTATCTGCGGCAACGGAAAACAACGAGCTGGCTCGTGCGATGAGTACCAAGACAAATGACCAGCTCATGGCTATCTACCTGAGTAGTTTGATCCGCGCCATCACTGCGTTCCACGACTTGATAGAGAACAAGATCCAGAACCGACAACAGCAGGAGGAGAATGACTCCAAGAAGGAACAGGAGAATAACGCGAAGAACGAGAAGGAAGCCAAGAAGGCTGGTGGGACGGCCAACGGTGACCAGAAGGAAGACCAGGATGGTAACAAAGAGAAGAGCAAGAAGGGTTAAAGAGACCCGGTATGCTACTTGGGTGGTATGGAGAATATCGATTGGATTGCATAAAAAGCGTCTGGAGCAAGCTAGTGTATGCCTGAAACGTATAATACGATTGACCCGAGAATAAGGTCAGCCCCTTTTCCACTGGCTATGACGATCGAGATTTGCGGTTTTCTGTATTTGATACAGCAAGACCATAGATATCATGACATTAGGAACCACCGCGAGGTGCATTTCGTTACCTCCTAAGTGAGATGAACACGAGGCCGTGATAAATGTTTACTACCGCCCCATATCATGATCCTCTCCATCCTGAGCTGAATTCTGAGAGATCGATCCTATCTGAAAAGATATCACCCGAGGTTATTGACCTGCGAGCTATTCAGACGCGGCGCAGTAACACTTATCTCTCGGATGTATGTAAGCTTTCCTGTGAAGCCTTCCAAGGCTTCATATGTAGGCGCAAATGTTGTCTTCGAACGATATATGCACTTCGTAGTCGCGTTGCGTTGACATGTCCCTTAGAAGACACAATATTCTCTCAATAGAAGACCACAACCCTCCCCAGATCATATATGTACCAACGCGACGGGAGCTGTCTTTGACGATAAATTCGAGACCATTAATGTGCTCTGCAATGCCCCGGACGAATCCGTTTCTCATCCACCCCAGCCTGCAGCCCAACCAGCCATCTCGGTTTGGCTCACATCGATTCTCTCCTGCAACCCATTTCCAAAGAGCCCCGCACACCTCGTCGCCAGAATGCAAGCAAGTAGATGCTTACACATAGGAGGTGCCGAGTTCCCCCACATCGTTCGCGTCAATGTTCCTCCCAACCAGTGATCCCCATGGTAGTCATTCATTTCCTCATCTTCGTCCTCACGAACACCAACATCTTCCTCTACTGCGTTTCCCAAATTCCTGAACGCACTCAGCACAAAACCAGGACAAGTACAGTTCCAAGCTCGTAGACGAACTTCGTAGTACTTCTCTGGAACTCTCCGCGATGACTGCGACGTTGTAGATGAAGTGGAAAGGACGAGAAACATCTCATCTCTCACTGAAGTCTGCTGTTCAGGTAGTGAATCGACTTCTTCTTCTTCTTCTTGAGAATCTGGAATCTCTTCCCTGTCATCACCCGATCCTGACGTATTCGTATATTCTGCTGCATTTACATTTCCATCTTCGGTCTGCTTGCTACTAACAAACCGCCTCACGAGCTTTCGATCCAAGATATCCAGAGCGAGAAGCAACTCGTTCGGAAACAGACAGTGGAGCGTCAACATGAGCGATTTCACTTTCGATAATTGAGAGCCTTGTAGAGAATGAAATGGATTTTGATTTTGAATATCGCCTTGTTGAGTACTCATACTTTGAGAAGGCCATGCAGTAGTAGTAGTAGTAGGTGGTCCGGTAGTGTTGTTGTTCTGCGGTTCGATTGTAGATAGCTCTGCTATGAGCCGTTCGATGATTTGTGATATCGATGGGATATCGTCAGACTGCGATCGAGTGGGTGGTTCCATTTTGAAAACTGGAGTTTCACCGGGAATTATGCATGAAGATGTAGCACTCGTATGCCATGTAGAGGACAGGACACTGGATGTGTGCGGGTTACAATCATCGCAGTTTAATAATTTGGGCGTTCCCTTCCCTCCTCACAGCATTCCTTTCAGATCTTGCATAGAGCTTCCAAGTGAACATATTCGTTAGAAAAATGCATGATCAAAAAGGAATATACAAGTGCCTCAGAAAATCAACGTCTGTATAGCATGTATAGCATTGTACATATGCACCAGTTTCTGGCGTCCAAGCACTTCAGCCCCTCCCTCACCAGAGGAGAGTTGGTCAATCAATCAACTAACTAGAGACACATAAGTTCTATGTCTCTCCAGTTGAGCATAACGGGTTATCGTGCCTAAGCGCAGAATTTGTCGTCTCTTGCGTCGCTTTTGGGAGGTCGGGAGGTCAATCGGAGACTGTGTGTAAGTAAGTATTTTGCCCCACATACTTAATGTACTCTCCCCGATAGGTCGCTGTTTATGTACTGTATGGGCATATCACGACGTTGATTCTTCGCGTTATTACGTAGATTCGTTAAGGAGGAGAGTTGGAAATCATTTTACCTGGGTTTAGCTGAGGGGAAATTATTTTCATTCTATCTTTTGAGGGTGGTCGTGATGGGAAGAAGTTCAGATGATATGCGGATTTTTAGACTACAACGCTGCGCGCGAGTTTATCCTTCATGATAATAAAAATATGGTCATTGAATTTCTGCTGGCTTTCCAGAATGACATTTTTGGTTTTTATGATTGTAATGATTGAGGTGATACAATATCTGCGTAATTGGTCCACTAGAGACATTAATTCGACTATCTTGTCTCACTGTCTAGCGTTACTGCTTACCTGGATGAAATAACTTGACAAGCAGATAATGGCGGTTGCTAGGTAGATTATAGGGATACATAGCGATTCTAAGATTAGGATGCTGCTAGGAGCTGAACAAGTCTGTGATCTACGGCTTCCTCTATTCTGCCACTTATACTACAATCTCAAAAAGCATTCCTCCTTTCTTAATCTGCACTGTTGTGTCACTTTCAGTATAAAATCTATGTACATACCTTTCCTGCTTGATCGCAAAAGCGTCAAGCGTCCCTGAAAACTTGATACTTCTGAATTATTACCGATAGACACTGGCTTTTCTCCATAAATATGCTCGATACTCTTTATTCTCATACTCCAGGAACCCCAGGAGACAAAAACAGATACCGATATCGACTGCCTTCGTTCCCAAATCAGCAGATGAATCAATCATCACAGAGAAGAAGAAAAAAAAGCTCTAGGGTTTTCTAATATTATTCTTTCCACCTGAATTACTTGCATAGAGCTTAGGTAGACTGTCATATCTCTCTAAAGCATCATAATAATCCTCCCTGGCCACTATTTCCATCGTATCCAATTCCTAAATCTCGCACCAGCTACGGAAGTAAGCTGCTTAAAGACTTACCACGAAGAGATCACAACAAGTCACAGACTAGAGAAGCCATAGACTAGAGAAGCCATAGACTAGAGAAGCCATAGACTAGAGAAGCCATACGCCCCTTACCCATCTCTCTGATTGCCATACACTCTACCCCCTAATCATCACCAAGGACTAATATAACTCGCACTCGAGACATCGTTGACCTCGAGCACACTTGCTCACTCCTACTTCCTGCTGCTGCTTTTGCTGCTGCCTTGACAGCTACCCGTCCCTGACATCCTAGCCACTACCCACTTACTACCCGATTATGACTCACGGGAAAGTTCCGTCGGACTAGACTCTCGGATCGTATACGGATAGTATAGTAATAATATACCGTTTACTTATCGTATCTCGCAGTCTGGAGGTCAATACAAAAGGCGTGTTCATTACCTACTACGATCTTATGCTGATAATATATCTGAATATCATGGCCAGTGTAGAGATGCATCAATAATTCAGCATATAACTGCTAACTAGTCAACTATCTGGACTGACAGATGATTCAGCATGAGTAGTTACTCTTTTAATTTAGTGATTAATCAAATAACCCTGAAGTTTTGATTTCCCTTCACGCAATTTCAAGTTTCAGGGTCCCTTCCCGTGCGACTTAACTTTCCCTTTACCATACTTACCGCCGATACGAGCCATCTTTTGTGACATGTAGATTGAACAAGGATGGACCTGGAATGCAGAACATACCGGCGCGAGCAGTAGCTAATTAGTCTTAACTACGACTTTACTAGGAGAGATTCTAGAAAAAACGAAAAGCTCACCGCAAAGGTGCCGTGCTAGTCTGCTCTGGCGGCGACATGAGTCTATGCGGAGATTTTTTCGACGGCAAATTAATGAAGCTTCATTTCGCCATCCTATGAAACAGCTATATTCTATCGGTAAGATTGACCACCCCGGAAATTTAGTCCAGGGAGAGTCTAAGGTATGTATGACCTTTTTTTTGCCATTATTTTACCTACTTTTATTCTACACTAGAGGAAGGGCCAAGGCGAGACCCTGGAACGGGACGTTTCAGGATCCACGATGTTTGTTTTAGGGTCCGACTGTGGAACAGGTTGCCATCCTTCATATCCAGGAGCCACACCTTCTCCCCTCACGAGAGCGGGAGCAGAGCAAATCAGAGCTTCATCCGGGCCAGCCAGAGAGCCCGAGCGCAGATTGTGTGGTTTCTTGACGGTGGCTGCCACCATCCTTGTCGGGAAGGCGATGTGTTACGCCTCCAGCCTATCTATCATCATCATCGTCGTCGAGATGTCTTGGGGAAGTGACTTGCCAACGCCGGATGACTTATCGCAAGCAGGTCAATGTCGAAAAGGGCATCCGCCGATGGATCATATTGACATCAATGCGTCGCAAGCCGTATATCTAGGCTGGTGCCTTCCCGGAGATATATACCCTACTGTTTAGTTTACGTCGCCAAGCTGAGAGATATGAAATCTGATGATCAATACTCCTGCAGTCCAGATAAGAGACCGCCATCCGGAGGGCATTGGCTATGGAGAGGAAGAAATGAAGAGCTCGACGATACTCGTCACAGACCACGTTGGCAGGTCGATTTCCCAAAGCATTGGCTAGGTGTGTGCCTGCATGATGATCAGGCCATGCTGAGACTCCAGACCATTGAGAATGGCCTAAGATGCATTTCACTGGTTCAGTCCGGGTACGGAGCGAGGCTGCTGATCAGAGTCTGAAACAACAGAAACTGCATGTTTACCTCATCCTGTGTCGCCCGAAACGGCACAAGGCTGCTTCATTCTTCTGCCGTGGCACCATTCCAAGGACACTTTCGACACGGCCGCGTAAAGACCTGTCCATTACTCCAATCAATCGTGGAGGATATCCTACATGTCTCCAGCTCCAAGTCGACTCCCCGCAACATTGTAGGGTGAACGATGGCGAGTACAATGCCGAAGTATCTCACTGAGCTGTCATCGCATGTTGTTCTGGTTGGCATGGATCACACCAAGTAGTAGCGCTTAGAAGAGCAAAGACAACAGTCCCAAGCTTACTCGGGAGTTGCCGCATGCCATCCGGACGCCGTTGGACAAGCCTATAGCCCTCAGCACGGAGACAGCGCAGAATACTTGCATACCCGCGGACAACAGCAGGCAACGTCCCCAAGCACTGCTCCCCCTCCCCCTCCTGCGAGTGCTAGATGTAGAGACCCAGCTTATTTCTTCTTAGACAACCAGGGACACCGCGGTGCCACACTGCTTCCGCGAAGTTTCGACTTCATATAAAGTAGATATGATGAGAGCTTACCACTTGGACGGACGATCGCGTCGATCAATCATTCATTGTAGACTTAAGAACTTCTTCCAATCATCTTTTCCATCAGCTTCCTCTACAAAGATCTTGAAATAAATAAATAAATAAAACACAAAATCGGAGAACTGGACTGGCCGTCGCGTCTACCATATGTCGCGTTGCGTAGATCCCGTGACTTTCCTTTTGTAGATGTACTTACTGTACGTATCGGCAGCAACAACATCAAGTACCGTAACTAGTCTGATCGACTTTTCGACGGCGAAGCTCCCTGGACGAACGAACCGGCCAGACTGCTGTCGCCTCTTGCTTGCCGGAAAGACGCACGACAGAACTAACTCAACTCATGGGCAGTGGGTGATTCCGTGAACAATCTGCTCTCGCTCCCCGGCTGCTGTGATAGGATAGAGACAGCTGCCCACCGCTTGTCCAGAGCTCCGTGTGGTTCTGTGCGTTATGCTTCATTTCCTTTAGCTTCGAGCCATCGGCAGTCGAGGGTTCTGGCGGTGACCTCACCGCCTTGCCGCACCACGACGACCGTTTCTCCTTTCACTTCAAGACGTTCCCACTACTTCAGACCTCTGCAGCTGGACCCCGAGTCACCACCGCCCAATGATACTGGCATACATCACTGCATACAAGCAGGAAGAGATCCGTGGATGCCCTAACGATTACTGCGTTGAAAAAGGAATGAAAAAGAAAGGACGACGAGATGACTCGACAGCGGCAAATGCTGGAAATGCTGGCCCGGCCAAATAATAATGTTGACCTTGCGCTGCACGGTGTGGGAAGAATAATATTAAATCATCTGCCAGTCGCCTCCCGTTCCTAGACCCAGCGAGCAGGAAAATGTCCGATGGCTGGGCTGAATAGCGAGCGGACTGGTTCGAGGCGCGAAATGACAGCGGGCTAGCGGGACCATCTAGCGACAGATCATGGTTCTTCTTCACGTCTGACTTCCGAGAGTAGCGCTGCAGTCCCCACCGGTTAGCTCTCGACAGCGCTTTTCACCCTTGGACGTTCGTGACGGTTGCTCTCGTCTGAACCGTGTCTCCCGGTATCTCCACCCGGGGCGGATTTGGTTCCCAACGTCTCGACGTCAAAAAACCCACCGGCTCACATTGTCCCCTTGCGCTGACGGCGAACCGTCAAGCGACGCCAGCCAGGCCAAGCCACCACGAGCTCCACCAGAAATCCTAGCTAATCTTGTCCTGAACGGCCTTCCCTGTCAAACTGCGCTGCACTAAGCGGAGAAGAGTCGTTGGAGAGTCAGGAATTGTTCCGAGCAGAACATCAAAAGTAAGTAGCGTTGTGCCCGTCGTTTTTTGCAGGAAGGATAAGCATTATTGGGGTGGTGTTGGGAACAGTCCTTCGTTTCTCGAATTCTTGCTAGCCGATCTCCCAAAGTGGCGCTTGTCAGAAGAGAGGTATGCGCATGGGGACACCAGAGATGATCCATGCTCACACAGACCGCTGCTGGACCGCCTTATGGAGAGAGGCCGTACCTGTCCAGAACTCGGTAGAGTACATAATACGTGGGATCCAAACGGTATAATAAAAAAAGTCGAAGGCAAAACGAAGAGCATGTAAACGCATCCACGGTGACAGGTCACTAATTTCCGAGACGCCCAAGGCTCGTAAACCACAACAAACGAGCGAGAAGTTATCCGAGCACCACGGTTTCAAGTCCAGAGATCAGTGGGCATGGGTCGCTCCTGACCCATGTTTCGAGATCGCAATCTGGCCAGCGGGAAGCCTGGGAACTAGTATCACAGCCACCGCACAACCATCATATTACTATTACTTACGGTGACAGGACGAACCTGACCAAGTATCAATAAGCGAACACGTTAACTACGACGACCATGCGCACGCAACTCAATCGGCTCCAGAACGCCGCTGAGGTCAATTTTCCGACGCGCAGCAAGTGGGCAAAACGCCAGAAGCACGTCGGGCCAACTGTCGTTCCCGCTGGTCTGGCCCTGGAGGTGGAATCACTCTGAAGATTGGGCCTTGGATGTTCGTTCGTTCGGTCTGTCATGCGGGGAGTGCGCAAAAGAGAACAGGATTGAAGCGGCAGGGTCGCTTTACGCGGTAGCAAGGTCGAAATGTACCCAATGGCGTGTATATCGCCAGTGCCATCGAGCGAGTTTGCCTCGCGCAACAATAAGAGAAAGCTGCGATGCGATGCGATGCGAGATGCCAGACACCGGTTGCTGGACGAGCCTCTTTTTCTCTGGATGACAGCACATCGTCCACGCACGACATGTCGAAGATCGGACTCGACTCCCCGGGCTAATCCGCGGAACGAGAGGACTGGTGTGGCTTTTCTCAAATTAGAACGACGGTTAAGTTAATCCACACTGAGAGCGGCGAAAGATGAGCGCCTCATTGCCAAACGGTCGCGTGGAGCCCTGCAAGATTCTAATATGGCCTCCGAACCTAAAGCCTTCTCCCGCCTTGCCGTGCGGACGGTGCCAATTTCAACAGAATCCGGACCTGAGACGAACGCATGACCCCAGATCCTAGCGGCTCCTGTCGATTTGATGCCTATCCTGATTGCCGTTGAACCGTCCCAACCTGGACCTTCTGGATCGCTTCCAAAATATGATCCAGCGAACCGTGTTGTCGAAAACACGGGAAAGGCTTTTTCGTTTCCCCCGAAAAAAGCCAGAATGGCCCAGAACGGTGATTCAACGGCGGATGGTGGTTCCTGGATTTCTGTTGTAGCCATGATGATCCCTCTTCTGTTTCGTATGCTGGAGCTTTACCACGGCCGGGCTAGACTTTCGAACTTGCGAGATGTAATTACTGCGGGCAAACAATTCTGGGATCCATTCCGCTGCTCTGGCCCTAGACCCGTCGTAGCTCTGTTTTTTGCACTCTGTGCGACTCTTATACCACTTCGCACCGGTGGGTTGGCGCCGTTTCTTGCCCCCCCCCCCCCCCCCCCCCCCCCCCCGTTGAAGCCGTGCCCCTGGACCAGAGAAGCCGGTGATGCAATAAGACCAGAACAGCTTCTGCCGTTAGAGATATCCTAGACGCCCAACGGTGGCACGCCCACCATTGGTCCTGCCGTGGGCGTACCGTATCCCCGTTTCGAACGAGCTGGGCCAACCGAGTTCGCCAGGACAACTTGGATGACTGCCTCACCCGGACTGGGTTTGACCGCTTCACCCTTCGTGTATATCTTAGTTAAGGGTGGGTATCATTTTAATCCCCTCCTCCGCCTCTTGCCCACCAGGACTGGTTGGGCTGAGCCGAGTGAAACTCAAAAACCCTTGACGTTTCCCCATATTATCTTATTTTAGGCCTCTCCATTTGGATCACCGGCTTTTTCTACCGTTGTCTTTCTGCTCTCTCATTCATTCATCGTTGGGAGATCTAATCATTATAATTCTCCTGCTGCAAGATTTCCCCAAGTCAAATCTTCCATTTCTCCGATCTGTCTTCTTCTAATACCTCAGCCACACCCTACGATACCTTTGACCAGGCACGTGTTGGACCTTGTCGACTATCTGGTGTAATTGATCCCAGCCAAATCCTGGTCGACCATCCTCCTGTTTGATGCGCCCCGATTGCGGCCCTGTCGTTTCAGCATCCAGCGTTTCACACAGCTCAAGTTGCCTGTAGCTGAAGAGCTGTATATCTCTAACAAAGCTTTCCTCTTAAAAACCTAGAGGACCATCCGCTGCAAGCCCTGCGTGTCTGGGTTCACGCGGTCCAGTCTTTGCGAAGACAAGCGAAGAAGAGTTCCGTCCAAGACGCGCATATGATCGTGGTACAAAACCCAGTCTCTATCCCGTCCGCCAAAGTGGATATCTCACTGCTGCTGAAGCCGCAAGATGAGGAAGGCCCGGCGGCGCCGAGAGCTTCGGCGACATCGTCCAGGACGATCTTAACACCGGTGGCGCCATCAGCAGCTGTTGCGACAGGAACAAGCACCGCTTCCACATTTGCGACTTCAGCACGTCCTGCCAGTGCCGGTGTTCCTTCGTCGGTGCCAGCAAAGCGCCTTCAGTCTGCGCACCCTGCGGAATCACCTGCGAAAAAGCAGTCGAAGTGGTCTCCTGAAGAAGATGCCTTGATCATTGAGCTGCGCGGTAGCGGAATGAAATGGGAGGATATCAGCAAGAGATTGCCCGGTCGAAGCGCGATCAGTTGTCGCCTCCATTACCAGAACTATCTTGAGCGCCGGAGCGAGTGGGACGAGGACAGGAAGAACAAGCTAGCCAGGCTATACGAAAGGTAAGCCTTTGGAAAGGAGCCACGACGCTGGATATTGAGCTGCGACTTTCTTTAAAGTGAACGGATGCCAAAGACTGAATATTGACTGACTCGGTTACATGGACAGGTTCAAAGCGGAGATGTGGGCCAAAGTCGCTGAAGAAATGGCCATTCCATGGAGAGCGGCAGAAGCAATGCACTGGCAGTTAGGGGAACAAGAAATGGCTCGCAGAGCCGGTGTTGTACCGTTTTCGCTATCCAATACTTCCATTGATCCTCCGACCACGAAACATCGCCGGGGCAATACCGTCATGCCGCGACTGAGGAGTGGATCTGCACCACGACCACCTCCTCCCCAGCTCCCTTCGGTTGAAGAGCTCACGGCTGGCGTCCCAGCATATGCACCGCTTCCACTACCTCCGAGAAACCCTTACCAAATCCGAGGATCGCCTCCAGAATTTCGCACCAGCCTTTATGGCCCTCAAGTGGGAGGTGGCTCAGGACCTCCGCCCCGTACGCATCCATAAGAAACGACGTGAATGCCTGATGTCTCTTTTGCGTTGATTTTGAATTGCATAGCGCGGTGGGAGGTAGACAGTCATCTTCTGGACAGACGTGTTTGCAGTTCCCATTTTGCTTTTTTTTTTGTGGATATTTTATTATGTTTAGATTCCCCCACATTTCACTCACGACGGATGGCCTTTTTTCTTTCATCTTCATTCCTGTCATGTTGGATCCAGGAAAGGTTTGCTTTCGAGATTGAGTCTTGAAGCAATGACCGAGCTCCGTGATTTCTTTTTCATGTCTCTGGGGATCGCGTTGCGATCGCCCACCAATTGTCTTTATCATACCCCGAGTCCAGGACTTTGCCTCCTGCACTGCATATATCACGCTCCAACTCTCCTGATTCATACAGGTGGTAATATCGATGAAATACCTTTTGTTCGTTGTTTGAACCAGATTCAGTCGGTTTTTGCTTTAGAACCCAAGGTACCATGATATCCTGCTGGTCACCTTTGTCCCAGCCTCTACGGCTTTCCTTTTGCTCCAGAGCCCACACGTAGACCAAGGCCGTGCCGCCTCTGCTGTTGTTAGTGGTCGGTTTCAGAGTCTGTAATATCTCAGCTATTGCGCGAACTCTTCTCTCTGGCGTTGATAGATGATGAATCACGGCAATTGATATGGCAAAATCGAAGCGAGAATACGGATGCGGTAGATCCAGGATATCAGCCAAAATAGTCGAGTGTGGCTGGTGTTTTATGGCAATACGTGCCAGAGCCTCAGACCTGCCTTACAATTAACACGGGCCCTTCGTAATGTAATATTACAAAGGATCGACATTTTATAGACAGGGGACATAATCGAATTGCTTAAAAAAAGAAAACATGAAGACGTAAAAAATATAAAACAAATAAGAAAAAAAAATACCGCAGATATTCCCAACTTACCTATCTGACGCTACAATGAATACGTCAGGATTGACGGTTAGGTACTTGCCATTACCGCACCCGATGTCAAGCCCAATAGAGCCAGGAGTTTGTTCCTTCAAAAACCGCTCCACTACAGGCCATGGCTGCAGGAATTAAGATACAAGTCAGTAAATGGTGTTTCGAAGCAAATCCAATAATGTAACAATTTATAATCACAAAATCACGCAAATAGGAAAGTGTAGGCTAGGTAAAAAAAAAATTAGGTCTTACCTTGTACCGCGTAGCGGAGAAATGCTGTGCGATCTGTTGGTACACCTGATGCACATGTTCCTCCTCGTATGCTTCGCTATTTTCGTGCGGCTTGGTGCTCGAGTTCGAAACCTCGGATGATGCCATGTTTGTAGTGTCACAGATTTACTGGGAAGTGTGGTGAGTTTCAATCAATGGGTAGATAGATACATCGAGATCCCAGTAAATTATGCCTGCTGGCCGTCGTGGACATTAAGAGGGACTGATCGATCTGAGATCAATTAAAGTTTCGTAGCGGCACGGGACCCTTGCTTGTCACGTGGTACGGTGATGTGGGAAAGTAACGGCGTCGATAACATGTTGGATTATGGATGTTTCTTTAGCATGGAATTTCTCTGGGGAGTTGTTTTGTTGGAATATGAGCATATTATTTATTATATGAGACTTTTAGTTCATATTGTTCCTTCTAGAAAATCCGCCAAATCCTGCTTGTATTCGATAACTACCGTCACTACTTAGACGGCACAACTCTCAGATATTAGAGGGTCCTAAACTGGATAAGACAATTACACGGACTCAAAGGCCCTCCATTGTTACTTCATACTCGGGTATTATTTAGCTTTACAAGGGTTTCGATCGAAGCAGAGCTCAAATAAGCTAAAGTGACTGTATCGTGTAACCAGATGGCAGTATAGTACTGATGACTAATCAATGGCATTGTGTGCGGCACAGAAAACCAAGGAATTGTCTGCAAAGTGTTGTACTTAATAATAATGTACTAGAGTAAGTAAAGTTTAGATTTCGGGTGCCGTCGCTGGAGACATCAAGTTATTCTTCTATTCAGGGGCCATACAGCAGGACTCACTGCAGCAAAGAATATCCAGCCAGTTCTGTGCAAATTCCGGGTACTTGGTAAGTGGTTTAAACGGCTAATCTTTCTTCTCCCTGTTCTGGTGCGCTGGCAGTTGGCTAGTTGCCCTCTTTCCTGAACAGGACAGCTAACGTGACTATCGATAACCCCCTTTTCCCGTCTTGTTTCCTCTTTCGGTATTCTTTTATACCACTCTGTGGCATTTTGTCCTCTTTGATTAGGCCTTTATGAGGACTGCTCTAATAATTTATAAAAGGATAATACTGGCTGCCCAAGATGTCTTTCCAACCAACTCCAATAGATGTCCCCGTCATTATCTCCGTGCCTGGCTCGGGGCCAACCGCGGACAGTACTCCAACTCTTGGAGCTGAACGGCGCATTACTCCCTCATGGACTGTCCTCCAGCTGAAAGGCAAACTGGAGACCATGACTGGTATACCGCCTAGCTGCCAAAGACTCAAGCTCAAGGCTCCAGGAAGGCAAGACCAGTGGCTCGAGGGTGATGAGCAGGTCCTTGAAATCTATGGACTATCAAAAGGATGCGAGATCGAGGTAGGTGTCTAAATTCTGTCTTTGACTTGTTCTCCGATTTGTCAATGAGGTCCAGATTCGGGACATTGCTCTTCGGGCTTCTTCATTGGTGTTCTCTTGTACCATTTGTATGTACTATCGAACTTGGTAGATTCCAGATATGCTCCTATGCGAGGTATTCTGGAATCTACTGATATGCGATTAGTACCCGATTTCTGCATATAGAATCATGAATTATGTCTTGACTTGTTTCTGCTTTTCTCATCCTTTCAAATGACATTCCGACACCAGAAAACGCAAACTGTTACCCCCCTTCCCCCGAAATGGCGATGCTATATTCCTACTCCACTGCATTTCCTACAATATCTCACCTTTCACCATGGGATCTAGAATTCCACCAGCCATAATATACTGACCATAACCTTAACAGGTCCACGACACCCGACCTCCAGCCGCAAGACCCAATTTCACCGACCTCTCCTCAGTACAGAAATATGAACTCCCCACCTCTACTTACGAGTCCCTGCCCAATTCTGTCCTGGCATGGAAGAAATCCCAGAAGCTGGGCCGTTTTGACCCCAAAGCACGATCACCTGAGGAGTTGATGCGTGAACAGGCGCAAAAGGACGTCGAGGAAGTTAAGAAGAGGGGTAAGTGGTTCTTTCTGTTTCTTTCTTTCTTTCTTTCTTTCTCTTTTCGTGTATATGGATTCCAAACTTACTGTCCTTTTTCTCCGTTCTCCTGTTCCATATGCTAAATACCGGTATTATGTGTAGGCATCACAGTCGACGCTCGTGCGATCATTCTTCCATCTTCGCCTCCACACATCCGTCGTGGAACTATCCGTTTCGTCGGTCCTGTGCCTACGATTCCATTCGCTGGTATTAAACCGAACCCCGCAAGCGAGGATGATGAATCAGACGCTGGCGTATCATCGTCGGAGCAGCAGCCTCTCTGGGTTGGGATTGAGCTTGATGAACCATTGGGTAAGAATGATGGTAGCGTAGGTGGACAGCGTTACTTTAACTGTCCTGCGAAAACTGGTGTGTTTGTGAAGCCGGATAAGGTGGAGGTGGGTGACTTCCCGCCTTTGGGACTGGATGATGACCTGGATGAAGATATGGAGGAGATTTGATGGTTTAGCCTTGCAGAAGATATGCTAGGTATCTTGATTCTATAGTGATAGAAGGATATATGCGTGGCTTTGCCAGTGAGGATGTCTACGAGGAATCAAAGTCAAAATGGTTTAGAAACTTCCAGTCTTGAATATTATAGATAGGTCCAAATATGATTGGTATCACGCAGTGACTCCTAAGCCCCCGAATCCCCTCGACTCTGAAAAGGATATAGACTCGCACCCGCCACAAAAGAGACCCCAACCAACATGGTGAAGGTTAAATATTTACAGGCACATAAAATTATAACGTGAAAAGTACCAAATCAAATCGTTACCAATGCGCTGTCTACTTAGCACCAGCTTTCTGTTTTCCTCTGGGCCGGCCTTTTGTGCTATTTGTAGCACGGCCTGTGCTTGCTTCTGCTGTAGATTCCTCCTCCGTGGCAGGCTTTGAACTTTCTGCGGCGGCAGCAGCGGCTTCTCCTTCAGTAGGGATGCATCCTTGCGTGAAAAAGAGCCGAGCATCTTTCTCGTACGCATTCGCGAAGCTATAGTAATTTCCTATGGAGAAGATATGTCAGTATTTCTTGTTCTACGTCTGTATTATTCCCATAGAATGGTTGAATTACCTCTTGGAACTTGGAAAACGCATCCTTTCCCAGCGCTGAACTGAACGCCAGAAATGTCGACTTGTACTCTGCCATGGCAAACATAGAATACCATATGCATTCTCTTCGAGTTCTTCGGTTTTTTGACACCACCAGGCGGCAATTCAACAATACCAGAGCCCAAGAATGGAGAGCTGAGCAACTTGGCGAAGCGGAACGTCGAGTCTTTCACTTCACGCGTCTCTATCCCTGCAGGGCCATATGCTATATCTGTGTTATTAAAGTTAGTATATCTGCGGCATGGACAGCTAGAAAATTTCACTACATACCAAGCACGTCATCATCTTCCGTTGTAGTTTGAGTTTCTGGGTCCCATTTCCTAACATATCCATGAAGGATACCTTCTTTCTCCCAAGGATCAGAGTTGTCCTGGGTCTCGTCTTCTGATTCGTCATCCGGATTCTTCTTAGACTTCGACTTTGATTTCTTAGAAGATTTTCGCTTTGAACCTGCCCTCTTTTCAGGCTCGACGTCTTCCGTCCGAATAATTTCCTTGATAGTAGTCAATGGGAACCGTTCGCCGACTTGCGCTTCTTCATCACCATAGACACATCTCTCATTGCGCCAATATGCCAGCGGCCGTACTGATACTCGTCCGGACCGAGTATGCGTGGCTACCTGGTCAGGATTTTCACGCTTTAATATATATAGGCTGCGACCTTTCAGAGGACCTGTACGGTTGGCATAGTTCTCAACGACCTTGTCCAGTTCTGCGTTCCCTGTAGCTTTCGGACCTTGGTTCTTTGGTCCTGTGGTCTTCGATTTCTTTGCCGGCCTTTGTTCAGTGGGCTCCTCCTCTTCATCGCGCTGGGTCTTTGACGGCCTTCCCGCCTGCTTGCGTTTAGATGTTCCATTAGCCTGAGTAGTATTCGCTTTTGACCCACGTTGCGATACTTGGTCCTTGGCGCTAGCTTTCCTTTGAACAGTGGATTCTTTACTGGCCTTTCTCGGCTCCGGTACTGGTGATTCCGCTTCTGAAATATCTTCATTCTGCTCGACATCGGATGGCACACCCTCTTGGAGGTTTTCTTCGGCGCCCAGCGGCTCGTCATTTTCGTCGCCGCCGGAACTGTTGATGATGTCTTGGACTTCTGACATATCTCCCAGATTCTCGTCGCCGCTGAGTAGACCGTTTCCATCTCCATCAGAGAAGTCTGCAGTGGTGTCATGGTCAAAAGCAATCTCCTTTCCCTTGCCCTTTCCGTTCACTCCATTAACGCGCGATGCGGGCGCTGCATTCGGCCGTCGTTGGCTGAGAGGTGATCTAATGTGTCTTCCAGCCTCGGAAGTCCTGTTGTTTAGCTGACGACCGGTAGATGGGCTAGAAGATGGTTGGTCGCTGCGCGGAATCGGCGACGAACGCAATGCAGGAGTCCGCCGTGGAGAGCCCGTCAGGCCTGTCTTCATAGGCGATCGAGCAACGGGGGGAGGGAAATAAGAATTGCGTCCACTTGCACCGGCAAGGAAATCACCCGGGCCAGGAGCACTACCTGTGTAATGTATTAGCTATCAATGCGTAAAAAAAAATTCGAGCTCTGACCATCTAGGGAGTATTAGGGGAACAACAACGGTGTTTTGACGACTTACCATCGTCGATGGACATACCATCTGAATTGCTATCTGATTCATTATCATGCGCGAAACCATTCAATCCCGTAGGCGACTTCTCCGGCGACGAGAACATGCCGTCGATCTCTTCCATTCCATGTTCATCTCGCTTTCCTTCCTTCAGAGTAATCCCGGTCCGTCTGTGATTATTCGCCGTCTGATTAGCTTCCCATTCTAGTTTTCGCGACCTTGTCCATCTCAATCTATCCCTTATAGCGAAAATAGAAAAGATACTCACCTTCCTGCCTTCCCCACATTGGAATAGTCATAGTCGCGAGCTCTTACAGGTGCTCGGGGAGCCATAGTTGCGGAGGGTCCGCAGTGGCCGGTCTGGCGCGGAAAAGACAGCGATCAAGACCAGTCGATTTCAGCTCCAAACGAAGAGCGCTTTTGCGAACGTCCAGTCTCTCAGAACAACGCGCCTTCGCGATAGATCGTAGGGGCAGTTCGTCGCGGATATGGTGGAGGGGAAGTTCAACCAGAGCAATGAGCATCTCTCCAGTCTCGCCAACACGCGCCGCACGCGCTAGACTCAAACAGGGCCGACGCGTCTCTTCCACCGCCCGGCATGAGAGATCGAGACTTGCAGTTTGCAGCAATCATTCAGGTCGCAATTCTTGATTTGGAGTCTCATAGGATATTATCGCATTTGACAGATAGGAAAAAGAAAACGAAAAAGAAAAAAAATGAATGATCCCATACAGGAACCTGTCGATCTTGCCCAAGAGACACCCCCGACCGACGTCTTCAGACCTCCCTCGATCGACCGAAGCCGACTGCTCTCCGGCGAGTCATATGCAAACTATACAGAATGTCCTCCGGCGATTATCCTAGATTCCGCAGTACCGGGCTCAGCGGAGACGTCCGAACCTACTCCATGCGTTCTGGGTGTTGATGAGGCAGGCCGAGGACCTGTCCTTGGACCCATGGTCTACAGCGCCTTCTATCTTCCCCGCGACCTTCATCACTCGCTGCTAGCCAAAGACCACGCTTTCAACGACAGTAAAGTCCTCACACCAGGCGTCAGATCGAACCTAATGCGCCTTCTATGTACACCCGGACACCCGCTTTTCCAGTCCTGCGGCTGGGCTGTTAAGGTGCTATCCGCACAGGACATCTCTTCAGGCATGATGCGGCCTGGCGCTGGAGTATATAATCTCAACGCACAAGCAATGGACGCCACGATTGAGATTATCCGTGGAATTGTGGAGGAACGCAAAGTTGATGTCAAAGAAGTATACATCGACACAATCGGAAATCCAGCGACTTATCAGGCGAAACTGGAGCGGATTTTCCCGACACTCAAGATCACTGTTGCCAAGAAGGCTGATTCACTATACCCTTGTGTCAGTGCTGCGAGTGTGGTTGCGAAGGTGACAAGAGATGCTGCGTTGGATTTATGCTATGAAGAGTTGATGGACCTCCGACGGAACGCAGGAGGTGATGCGGACGCACTAGAAACTGCCGCTGAAAGCTGGGGTAGCGGATACCCGTCAGATTCGAAATGTGTTAACTGGCTGAAAAGAGATATGGATCCTATTTTTGGCTGGGGCACTGAGTGTCGCTTCAGCTGGGGAACGGTAAAGGACTTGCTTGAGGTAAAAGGACCGACTAGAGTTGACTGGCCCGTCGATGAAGCAGAGGCGCAAATCAGCGAATACTTTCTCAACTCTTCATCTGGACAGAAGGGAAAGGCGGACGAGCTCTCGAGTTGGTATGGGCAAAAGGCGGGAATGATATTTTGAATAGTATGATTTAACTACGGTGTTGTATACGGGCTTGTACGATAGGAATAATGATACCCATGGCCAAAATGGAAGACATCGTCGATTATCATGACATATATGTGATATTCAATTATCCGTATTAATCTCATCGGGTATCGCCACTGAACTCCCTTAGTATACACGCCGTGTGCCTGACATGGTTTCCTGAAGACAAAGGAATGGAGAAGATACCCTGTCGAATGTGCTGAAAAGAAGGAGAACAAAACCAATCTGCTACAAGGTTGCAGTCGAAAAATAGTAATTATCCCAGAGATACTGGTAGTCTTCGAGGATGCCGCCAACGAGGTCTAGCAAGGGCACACCCTTCGTCTTTTCGGTCACATTTTTCAGTGACGGCCTGATCGATGTTAGTTCAAATCCAAGTCATTCAGGGGAATACAAGTTCACATACTTCGTGAAGGACTCGTAGAAAGCACCTCTCATCATCCACCAACCCATAGCCCAGCCTCTCTTCTTGAGTTCCTCTCGTTCCAATCCCGTTAATCCCCGCAGACCCCCGGCGATGCGTTCCCGGAAATCCTTCTTCGCAAGCTGCCGACATCCATATTCCATACCGAATCCAATTAGCCAAGGTCTCCAGCTACGCTTGTCCTGGCCCCATTTGCGAAGTGCCAGGGCGTAAACGACAGGCCTAAGGATGTACAGGACCTCGGCCAATTGACCCTGGCCGTTGACGCGGTGCAAGAGAGATTTAGCTGGCTTAACGTCGTCTGCCGTAAGAACCTTGGAAATGAGGAAATTCGACACGTCATTCACATCTGGTAGACTAGGAAGTGACAAACGCGTCCGGGGCATCGTCCAACTCAAATCAGATGATCCTGCACTGGCTGGTGATTGCACATCATTGTACTCGTTATCCTCCCGTTCTTCGTTAGCGGTCATGAGGTCTAGCTCACGTTCCGGTAACGGAGGGCTAACTAGGGGTCTCGAGTTGGTCAATCGAAGCAAGAACAGGCGACATATTGCTTTGATTGTTTCAATGAATACGACAACGTGCCATCGAACCTTCTCCCCACGGCGGCGCGCAATCATCTCCCAGAGCAATTCGGTGTACTGAATCATCTGGAGTGTGAGCGCCGCCTTGCGATACAAGGGCGACTGCGACGTCCAGTACTTCGTGTACCGGGCATGTGGAGTCGGAGGTGGACGAGCGGCGGTTGGAGGAAGCCGGGCGATAACCCGAGAAACAAGGGAATCATGATATAAAGAGAGCAGTTGTACGCCAGAGTGTACTATAGAGGCCGTCAGAACCGTGTGCATACTAGATGCTTGATAGAAGTGAGGGACTTACCAGATTCCGAGAGTACCTCGGATTCCCGATATCGACCTAGTAATAGTTTCTCAGTAACTGTATAGATCAAACGGGCGGATCTGTATGTCTAACCAGGTATTATATACGTCAGCGATCTGAGCGCAGACTCTATCTGCCCGACAGAACTGGCATTTTTAGTGATAAAATCCTCATAAAGCGACAGCAGTTTAGAAGGCTCAGATAACGTCTTCGCGACGTAGCGGGTGCGTTTGGATTCCATATTGACTCGATATGGGGGTCCAGCGTCAAGCGGACCTCACAGACAGTTCCCCCTTGGACTTATTAACACGATAAAATGGATAGAAGTTATAAGTGTCGTGATATAAGGGGAACCCTGTTTGAAGGAGATGATGCCAGGGCGGACGATGACGGTTAGCTGCGATGGGGCACGTGTCCAGCGTTCGCCAAGCCTTCGCTGCCGAGGCAGGACCAACTTAAGTAGAGTAACTAAATATTAAGGCAGTTCTCGTATCCATTAACTGGCCTTTGATGACATCTGTAGCAAAGGTCGCGATAGAGTTCAGATCTTGAGATTCGGCTTACGTGCGATGCTTGATGTTTATAGCTGCTCAAGCAAGCTTGCTAACTACTGTATAACACGACTTCGCGTTCAGCATTCCTTGCATTATATCATATCCCTAGCTAACTAAGTAATGCAGAATGATACGCCAAAAAAGCGCCTAGTCTACGACCATACTCGTATCCTCTTCGTAACATGTAACTATATGACGGAGAATGGATTGGGATTATATGCATACTGCAGAATGCAGAGCTCACCAGCTTCAGAATTAACGGTTAAGCCAACTTTGAAATTTAAAAGAGCATCTCAACTTCGCCCTTCGTCTACCATTCCCACAGCAAATGATGCTAGGCAACATAGAGACGGACAGTGGGGTATGTACTGCAAGATGTCGATGTTCAATCATGAATATTCTTGCTCAAAATGAGGACGCCAACAAGACATGCATATCCCCAGCTGCAAAATTCAAATGCATCTTTCATATGCATCAAATAAGAAAATTGCGGGATGGGAGATACAGAGTACACACTTTATCGGTACTTGTTCTAAGGCTCGTCGGCGAACTTCCATAGTCCTCCGGGACGCATAGCCTCTCTGTATCGTTCCATCACCTTCTCGCGCTCCAACTTCCTGGCATCTTCCTGATCCCGTTCCAATTCCTGGGTGCTAGGCATGTCTGTACGCCAGAATCCAGGAGGCGACCGTGGTCGTTCGTGTGCGTATCTATGTTTTCCATATTGATTCGCTAACAGTCTCGCTTTCGCCTCGATCAGAAGATCGTGCTTCTCCTGCTCGCCCATTGTTTCCAGCTTGTGCTTCTGATCGCCCATATAATCTTCCAGAATTTGACTATCTTCATCGCCTGCACTCGTAAGACCTCCCGCCCGTGCCATGGCACGAAACTTATCACCGCAACAGTCCGGACGTGTACATCCGGCAAGGCATTTACGTTGGTCTCGCTTCCGGACAACTTCGTCGAACGCAAATTCCAGCCCCTGGTTATACTCAGTATTGATCTTGAAACAATCAAGGTTGAGTTTATGGACTGGGCGGCATCTGAAGGGCTCGTCTTCCGGATCTGGCGGTTCAGGGCTGTGAGCGTCATTATTCAAATATTGTCTCGAAGGAGATCTTTGTCGGTCCGGACGCGATCGCCCCGTCGCACCAGTAGATGCCTTTTGTGATCTAGGTGGTAGAAGAGGTGACCTTTTGGGCGACGGCGCTGCAAGTAGATCATCCAAGCGACGTTTTGCGGAGGCAGAGCTCCCAGCTAAGAGACCTCCCTTAGGGGCAGGAGTGTTAGCCGTCCTATGATTGCGTTCTGCTGCCATGCCGGCATAATTTTCTTCGCCATCTTCTGCCACGCTAGGTATCGCGTGTACACCTCTCACGCCTGTCTTCCTGCGCTTGGAATCCGGCCCAGGTCCGGGCTGGCGAGTCACTGCTCTATTAGTATCTATCGGCTGAAGGGGCGTTTGCCGCCCTGTTGTTTGCTGCGCACGGAACTCCCCCGAATCACGGCCAAAAGTAAATCTCCGAGGTTCAGATTCATGGAATACCCTCAATGTCGAAGTCCCATGAGATCCGTTGTCCCAGTGTACATGTTTCCTTGGAGTCTCGACTGTCTTTCCAACGTCCTCCAAGTCTTGTGTCCCAGGTGGGCCTGACTCAAGGCCGTTCAATAAGCTATCCAGTTCACTGGAGGTGCTTTTCTCGGCTTTTATAACAGCGGGTCTTTCGTAGGTCCCCGTTGCCATAGTTTCTCTGCTGTATAGCGGTGGCAAAACAGGCTCCACGGTGACATTCGGTTCGACTGGTGTTACAATCATTGCAGCAGGTGGATTACCGTCACTCTCGTCGCGCTGCCTTTGTTCCTCAATTCCCGAGCTCTGTGATGCAGTTGGCGTAGAGTCGGATGACTGAAGAAGCGATAGGTCGACTTGGTCTCCATCGCGCTTATCGAAGGGTTGTGGTAAATGGCGTGAAGATGATCGGCCTGAGCGGCTACGCTCCCCAATTCGTTCAATTCGTCTGAACGTGACATTGACCCCCTGGACAGGGACTGTAAACTCCTCCCGATTGAAATACCCCTGCCATTGAGACAGTGTTTTCTTTGCGTGTTTGACCTTCCGCCTGAGCGTATCAGACGCCGTCGCAAGTTCTTGTACCTGGGTATAGAGGGACCTGTACTTGGACTCAAGACTGCGATGTGCTTCAAGTAGTTGAGCGTTACCGGCGTTTATTCTACCACCACTTATGGTAGTCAAGACTTTCTCTGGATCATATGCTCTTTGAATATCGTTGAATATCGCAGCGGAAGAGCTCTGTCCATCGGTATCAGTCTGATCGGCCCGGAACTTCTTTTGAAACGACTTGTTCTCGTGCCGGAGTTCTTCAGCCCGCTTCACAGCCTTTACGCGAGCTTCTTCCGCAGTCCTTGCTTTCTCTTCTGCTTGATGGATTCTTGCATCTCGAGCAGCAAGCTCGGCATTCAGCTCATTGTACGCGCGATTGAAGGCCTGGTCAAGTTGGTCGCCTAGAGATATTTGGAGGTTCCTGATAACTTCCATGAACGCCAATTCTGGAAACGAGTTCCACGTATAAGATAAGAGTGGTTGCGCTTTGTTTGGGATCAGCTATGCATAGAAGTCGGATAGCTTCTACGTACAATTGCCTTAAGACGCGTCGACGCGATACCTATGGAGAACCACTCTAACGGCATTAGGAAACATACGATGTTCCCCCACCATATGATTCTCCGGCCTGCGAGTAGGGTCTAGACCTTGGATGTGTTAATATCTAGTCCATTACCATTTAGCATCATTTCCTAGGGTATCATCATTGCACTACCAAGTCTATTTTATCTTATTCTAGATGGGATCTTGGGGAAACTGTCATTGGGTCGATTTGAGTGAGCTCCTTAGGTAAGCGACTTGACGTCTTCCCGTCTACTGCGATAATTCGACGGCGGCGAACTGATAACCAAGTCAGTTAACTAATCTATCCATGTAGGGTGTCTGGCAGTGTTTCGCAGGCCGCCGTTGTACGGTCTGGGATATAGCTTTTCCTTCTTTTTCTAGCATCCACTGTTCTACACAGCTTGGATCTGCGAAATGTCCAAGCGATCTCGAGATAACGAACGCACTTCGTCTCCTGCACCGAAGCGTCTCCGCGCCACTGCGGATCGAACAGACCGCCTTTCATCCTTGAGTGATGAGCTACTCATTCAGATTCTCTCATTTCTCCCGATACCGTCGCTCATAACATGCCAAAGGTATTGTTCGCTCTATCCCTTGTTTCTTGGTGGTGATGTTGTTCTTTGCTAACTCTGTGATAGACTATCCCGCCGGTTTCATTCCCTCGCCGGGGACTCCGAACTATGGAAAAGACTATACTACTCGCGATGGGTGTGGCCCCGCGCCCGTCGGTTGGCGAATTCAAAGCACTCGATATCATCCCAGAAAGCACTTGATTACTCCCCAAGGGTGTCGAAATGGCTAGGTCATGGCCACCTCATGGAGGAAGGCAGGGCGACAAATTGGAAAAGACAGTACCGGCTCAGGCATAACTGGTCCAAGGGTAGCTGCCGGGTCAGCGAAGTCGAGGTCGCCCAACCGCCCGTTCCACAGATATTGGTGAAACTCTATGCAGGCATGGTGTTCACTGCGGATAGTGATTGCGGGTTAAGAGTGTGGTCTACAAGATGTCCCAGTCGCTGCTTGGCAAGTTTTCCATTTCAAGACGTCGCAGGGAGGGTATCTGCTGCTCCTACAGCTCTTGCTGCAGCCAAGGGTTCGTCTCAAAACAGCATCGAAGTCACTGTTGGATTCGAAGATGGCCGTTTTATGGTTTATGAGTTGCAGACGCCTACCTTGCGCTTGGTTCTACGACTCTGCCATGCAGCATCATCTGGGGGTGCAGTGACCGCGGTCGCATCGTCGTCACCTTATGTTCTTATGATATCCCAGCATAAGGTGCTGTCCTTGTACGAACTCCCCTGGAGGAAGATCGATACAAGCACTGACGCGACACTGGAACCTCCGCGGCGGGTGGCTTCTCTTACTGCTAACAACATCTTCGCGCCAATATCATTGTCCATACGGAATTCTGCTTCGGAAATCGTGGCATCGATAGCATACAGCTTTTATCGCGTAGGCTGTGGTTGGTCCCTTGGCATTCAGGAGCTGCGTCTTAGTAACGACGGTGAACATCTCGGTTCTCGACTCGCCACTACGGTGGATTCCCAGTACGGTACAGATCTAGTCAGACTTCCCATAGAACCTGGGACAGGACGACGACATGGACCAGTGGCGCGCCAATTTCCTGCAATACCCGCTGAGCCTTCTATACTGCACAACGAACCCCCTACCTCACTGTCTTATTCACACCCTTACCTTCTGAGTTCGCACGCGGACAACACGCTGACCATGTATCTCGTCGTGTCGACATCTAACGCCTTATCCATAAAGGGAGGGCGGCGACTTTGGGGCCACACATCCTCAGTCTCGGGTGTACAAGTCAGTGAACGCGGTAAAGCCGTCTCGGTCGGCGCGCGAGGCCATGACATACGAATTTGGGAACTCGAGGCTGTGGCGTCCTCCCCGTTCTCGTCACAAAGATCATTACAGGGAGATAGCAGTGTCCAGGTCAGTCCCGAAAATAAACACCGCAGAAAATCCGTGGAGTTTGGCATAGCGCCAGTCTCCCTGGACGCCAGTTGCGGACAGCTGCGATCGGTGTTTGAAGACCTCTCCGAAGAGTTATCGTCGAGAGATAGCTGGATCGGATTTGATGAGGAGCAGGTAATCGTGCTCCGTGAGAGAGGGGTGGGGACCCAGTTGCTTGAGTGCTATGATTTCACATAGGCTGGGCCAGGAGCGGACTTTTACTCTTTATGTAGATAATAGATATTGTATAGATCGTCCTCCATCGATATCATCGAATCCATCTTGATGTCTGCAAAGATCGCCCCGCCCTGTTGGCCAGAAATTAGAATCAGATAGCCCTGTCAAAGATCGTCAGAAGAGCATCTTAGTTAGCAGTTCCGCGTCAGGACTCTGTAGTATGGGTGCAGCGCAGCGGCCCGCACGACAATCGCGCAATAGAAAGGCCTAGGATCAACAGATAAAGACCACTGATCTTCGAGTTCATGCTCGAATTGATAGCAGTCTCGAGTAGTAGTAAGGTCACTGGCTGTCGCCGTTAGACCGAGGGCTAGCAGTGGTCCAGGGCTCGTACCTTGCAGGCCGACGGAGAGTACCTTTGGGAAGGCGAGCACGCGTCCCGACTGAACGGATATAAGGAAGCTTCTGGTGCGATTTATCTGAGACAGCGTTTCTTGGCCTGAAGTGCTTCGTTTTCACCCTGCCACTTGTATATTCCTTTCTAAACTGTGATCTGCTTTGTCTATCGCCATCTCAGATTTTGTTGAGTCAAGATGGTCGTCACTGCCTCGTCTCCTTTGCTTTCCAGTCTGTCCTGGAGAAGAACGCCCTTGGGGGGACAGACGGGGTCAGCGAAAGCGATCCTATCGCCGGATTTCTCTCAGCTTAGCCCAGCTCAGTCGTCAAAAGGGTGAAATGCGAAATGGAGACCTTGTCTAAGCGACTGCTGGCTCTAATTGCATCGCTAATTATGAAATGAACGCTGCGAGAAAGTGCGACTGTCAACGGAGGGAACAGAATCCAGCTGCCAGCTGCTCCTGAGAGTCATGGAAGAAACCAGCAGACAGAGACACAGATGGTGGTGGTCTTTTCGACTTCACATCCAGCTCGCTGGAGACGAAGCAGGATTCAACCGTACTTGCTCTGCTGGCCAACGCCAACAACGCCAGAGGCGAGCGTAGACGAAGGCCTAGAGCGCACGCCGCCAGTGCTGACTCCCCACTATCAAGCACTACCGAATTCGACGTTGCCTTGAATTCTCTGATTCTTCCGGTCCTTTCCTGTTCTTCCTCATTTCTCACTTTTCTCTCGGATCAGATTGTCTGCTATTTTAGAGGCTAGCGACCAAACCACTCTCAGGTACCGCGGCAGACCTCACCCCGCACTATCTCTGCATTTTAATTTTTCTACCACAGATTTCTGACCTCTCTACAAGCAGTTTCTCAACCCACTTACATCAATCTCCAACGTTTTAATACCGCTCAATCAAAATGGATTACCAAGGTTCCAGCGGCCGTGGATGCTTCAACTGTGAGTTATGCATTAGCCGTGATATTTTGACGTCGCAACTTTTGCGATTGTCTCCTTGAATTCCCTGCGTTGCGCCAACTCAGAGCGCAAGAAAACTGATGTCTGATGGCCATTATCTTCCTACACGGTTGGTTTGAAACACCTTCATACCATCATTTCTAGCTTGCAATGTGCTCTGAGTTTGTTGTCGCATTGTACATGATTGTGAAGAATTTTGTTTCCGAGACTGACATTTTTTTCACAGGTGGCGACGCCGGACACCAGGTAATTTCCTTTCACTGAGTTCTGCTCTATGCAGACCTAATACTTACTCATCCTGTAATACAGGCGCGCGACTGCCCTAAGAGGGGTACTCCTACTTGGTATTTTCACCCGCGTTCTTTTTCTCCGGCGGTTTTTGTCACGGACAGATGCGCTAACTACTTAACTTTGTACAGCTACAACTGCGGAGGACAGGGACACGTTAGTAAGTCTACTTCCGATCTGTTCTCCGGTACTCCGAGTTGAAAGTACTGACCATATCTCTTCAGGCCGAGAGTGCACTGCACCCCCCAAGGAGAAGTCTTGCTACCGTTGCGGCCAGACCGGTCACCTCTCCCGCGAATGCCCTCAGTCCGGCTCCGGTGACAACTACAACGCTGGCGGTGCCGGTGGTTCTGGCGGTCAGGAATGCTACAAGTGCGGCCAGGTCGGACACATTGCTCGCAGCTGCCCCCAGAGCGGAGGTTACAACGGTGGCTACAGCGGTGGCTACGGAGGCGGTTACGGTGGACGCCAGCAGACCTGCTACTCTTGCGGTGGATACGGCCACATGGCTCGCGACTGCACCCAGGGCCAGAAGTGCTACAACTGTAAGTGCATAGCTTTTCGTATACAGTATATCTGACCCTTCAACGTTTGACCTCTAACTCTTTACCAGGCGGTGAAGTTGGCCACGTCTCGCGGGACTGCCCTACCGAGGCCAACGGCGAAAGAGTGTGCTACAAGTGCAAGCAGGCCGGCCACGTCCAGGCTGCCTGCCCTGCCTAAGCCAGTTCTATTTGATGGTTCTCCTAATTCCCTTTGGGTTTTGTGATGGTCGATGAAGGTCTAAAAAAGGGTGGCATAAAAGTCCACAATTTCATGATTAGGTTTTTCAAAATCAGGGCATGGTTTCTGCTTTTGTAACGAGATCACGGCTTAATTCGAGAATCTGGGCATTACGACGATTTCTTCTGTGGAGACTCTACATGATGAATCCTCATCGCGCCGTTTTTTCTTTATTTTTCTGCCGGTTTTTTCTTTTTCCTTTCACTTTGCTACAAAAGTTGACAGAACTTGCATGTGCCGGATAAAAAGAATATTAACGAATGAATCGCATCGGATGGCCTGTCTTATTTTTTTTCTGAAGACAGATAGCCATGGCCATCCTTCATCTCTATATCTCTTTATCTCCTCCCTTAATTCTTTCTTCTAGATCAGGCTTCGTTTCTTCCTCCGAGTATTTTTCTCTCTTCCGACGAGGGACGTTAAGGACGGACGTTCCTGATCTTGCGGACGCATAGCATTTAGATTTCCTATCGAATTGCGACGGAAGTAGTAAATATCATTTAGACTATAACGAGAGTATATCAAGTTGCAAAGGTATCAGTGCCTAAATATCTCAACCACCTTTTGTTTTCACCCTGGTTAGCTATTGATTTTGCCCAATCGTAATTACAATATATCTGCTATAAGATCCTTCCTTATGTCCACTGTTTCTGGACAACAAGCCATATATGTTCATATATATACCTTCCCAATGGCCAAAATCGCACAGGACATAATGCGCAACGGTGTATAGTTATGCGGTATCAGAATCTTTTCTTTATCTTAAGAGCTGCAGCTGCACATCATAGCTCTCTTGAAACGGGGAACGTCTCCAGTGAATCGCTCCTCTTCTTCGGGGTTCACACCCCATTTATCCTCGAATGGATTGAGAGCCATGTGCATAACGCGGTTGAGAATATCACGCTCGCCGCGGCGCTCAACGCGTTCGATGACTTCGTCGAGGATCCATCCTCGTGGTAGGAACTGCGGTTATGCGTCAGTATCTCTAGATACTATGAGGAGTTTATGTATGTATTTATGGGGAAGGGTAAGATTTCTAGGTAGACTTACGTTCGGGTTGATGGCTTTCATTTGCTTCTTTCTTTCCTCGTCCTCTTCGGGTTTCCAGTCTTCGAGGACTCGTTCTCTCCAGCTGGCGAGCCATTGTCCGACTCGTTCTTTAGCGGAGTCTTCGGTGTTGCCGACGCCTCCGACGCCTTCGTTGTGGAAGAAGACACGAGCGGCCTCTTTTCGCTGTTCTTCGGTCTCGAGGTCGGCTAAGGATAGCTCTGAGAGTCGTCTGAAGAAGTGGTTGAAATCAAGCTCTAATGCTTCTAGCGTATCGAGCAATTCGGAATTCAGCTCCTGGAAGTCAGATTCCTTGTGTGTCTTGAGACCGATCCGTTTGCCCATCAGTCGCTTGTACTCGTTCAGGAAGACAGTCCTGTACTCGTCGCCTGTCTTGCCGATGATGGTTTCAGCGCGCTTGATGAGGGTTGGGGCGAACTCTTCCGTTACGCCCTTGGTGACGAAGGTCTCTTCATCGACCTGGTCTCCAGCACCGATGAGCTCCCCGAGCGACTCCCCGAGTCTGACAAGGTTCCACCAAATAATGGTCGGCTGGTTCTTGTAACTGTACCTCAGCATATGATCATCGTGATTCGGTGTATAGCTAGAATCGAAATTGTCCATAAAGGCAAATGGGCCGTAGTCGAGAGATAGCCCGTAGATTGAGGTATTGTCAGTGTTCAACACGCCATTCATGAAGCCGTAAGCTTGCCAGGCTGCCACGGTCTTTGCGTTTCTCCTTGCAATTTCTCGGTAGAGTCTAGTGAAACGATTCTCTTCTGCACCCTCCGGTCCCTGGATCTCGTTCTCTGGAACATCCCTGGGGGGGTTATCCACCTCGGGGGAATCTGTAGATACGGCAGCAGGCAGAGACTTCCAGCCCTGGAAGACATCCTCGGCAATGAATGTCGCCAGTTTCCTAATCAGGTCTCGATCCCCGCGTGCACGGAGAATGTCGAAAGATCCGATCCTCAGCCAGGTCTCAGCGAAACGGGCCACGATCGCTCCGGGTTCGATGCGTTCCCTCAAGACCTTGGATTTCGGAAGGAGAGTGAGCGAGAGCGCTCTCGTGGTAGGCACGCCCAGTGCATTTAGAGCTAGTATATGCGTTAGCTGAAGAAATGGATTGTTTCGGCTGTATTACCTTCGGAGACAATATATTCACGAATGCTCGACCGAAGAACAGCTTTGCCATCGGCAAATCTCGAGTACGGTGTCTTTCCAGCACCCTTCAACTGTAGTTCGTATCTTTTTCCCGTGGAGGGATTGACGCTCTCAAACAAGCTGATAGCACGCTATCCACTGTTAGCTTGGAAATCCGGAAATATATCCGCTTATGTTCAAGGAATGCATACACCGTCTCCCAACTGACCAGCCCATGAACCACTGCGGCTAGGTCAACTTCATGAAATCTATTAATCGGGTACTGGCAGCATACAATTGCCAACCTTGCTTTGGTCAGTGACAGTTTTGTATTATTCATAAATTCAAGCAGAACTCACCTCCGTAGCATTGAGCCCAAGGGTAGATTCCACCATTTTCTTCATCCCAGAAGAATTTATTCCCGGCCACCAGGGCCTTGAAATCAGGGTTCTCTTCCTCTCCAGGCTTTAGACCAAGATCTTCCATTGCTTTTGCGCTGACCCCAAGGAGTTCTGGTTCCTCGGCTGTTTCCGGGCGGACAAATGTATACATCGCGCCCTTCACGAGTCGCGGACCTAGCGTCTCCCTGGGAGCCTTGTGCGAGTCCTGCGGAGTCGGGAATGCAGGATCTGGCGGAAGCTTCGTGGTGAAGACATTGGACTTGGGTAGCTCAGATAGAGAAACCCTAGCTGCCTTTCTGGCAGCCGACTGAGAAAGATGAGACGCCATCTGGCTGAGACGGGTCTGGGTACCTCGCGAACGGAATGGGTGTGAGCAGCGAAACATATGAGAACAACTGTAAGTAAGAGCCGACTAGAACATAAAATACCGCAGCGGATGAAATGGCATGAATTTAATAAAGAAAAAGAAGGATAAGACCCACGAGGGAGAAGGTTGTCTGAGAACTGTATAGTTCGCGGCGAATGTTGTTCATCCTCAGTTAGTTTACTTGGGAGTTTAATCGACAAGAGGCGGCGTGACATCATTTTGCCCCAGTAGCAATTGATCATTACCGTAATTACCGTAATTACCGATTCTCTACCTTATAAATAATATCAACTGGCCAACTAATTGCTACTACTTATTTATGACAGAGGACCTTGAAAGACGAGTTCTGACAATGGTGATTCTTCTCCAATTAATTGTGTCATAGTGATATGCTATTGCACCATATTCTCATCCTCTAGTGGCCATCATGAAAGCCATAACTGCGCGTATCATATGTTTTAGATGTCCCTATAGCCTCTATCGTCTCGTTCTCTCTAACTATTAGCCTTCCCTGAAAGCTCAACAATGTAATTATTAATATGTTTCAGCGGCTATAGCTGGATCTTCGAGAGACAGATGGTCCATTGCCAACCGTCCCTCACTGCAGCGTATGTCATGTTAGTTCCTTGGCTATATCATCTTTTCAATCACCCCCGATATGCAGTAGACTCCTGCCCTGTTCGGTTCACTGCATGGACCCGGTCTCTTCGGAAGGACATCCTTAATTGTCATAATTGTCTGCATTACTGATTCCCCCCCGACTCGCAACGTGCTAGTTAAGTTGCACAAAATCGAATGATTATTAATCCAAAGACTTGACCTTCCTAAAGTGGGGGGGAAATGAGTCCTATTACTGACAATCGAAGACGAGTACTTCTGGCTCTGCCCCGCATCGGCCCGCTGTATTTATCTCGGTCCTGGCCCGCGGTAGTTGTCTATCAATCAACTCCTACCATATCATATTCTAGATTCGAGCTTCTCTTGCGGAAACCGTATAACTAAGCTCGATTCCATTAGCAGATCAGTCTCTCTCTCTCCTTGACGTACCAGCTTCTGTTCTGTTCTGTTCTGTTCTGTTCTGTTCTGTTCACTTCACACGGGCAAAATGGCAAACGTTATCGACTCCATTCCAACCGTCAAGCTTAACGACGGTACTGAAATCCCTGCGGTAAGCTGGTTCCAGGCCGTCTTGGCAAGAATATGTTCCTGACCTAGAAGTAGATTGGGTATGGTACCGGCACAGCCTGGTACAAGCCGAACGGTGGTGCAATCAACCGTGATCTCGTCGACGCCATCAAGGGCGCAATCAAGCTGGGATACAACCACCTCGACGGAGCAGAAGTCTACGGCAATGAGGAAGAGCTGGGTCTGGCCATCAAGGAAAGCCAAGTGCCGCGCGAGAAGCTCTTCGTTACCACAAAGGTCATCACCAACATCGCAGACATCCCCAATGCGATTGACATCAGCTTGAAAAAGCTCCAGCTTGACTATGTCGACCTGTCAGTAGCTCTTGTCACTATCCGCAAAAAGTATTCATAGGAGCGCAAGCTGACCATCATTCAGATATCTGATCCATGCTCCCTTCTTCGCTAAGTCAGATGAAGATCTCCAGAAAGCCTGGGCTGAAATGGAAAAGGTGAAAGAATCCGGAAAGGCGAGGTCAATTGGTGTATCCAACTACCTGCAGAGCCATATCGAAGCCACTTTGAAGACGGCCAAGGTCCAACCTTCCATCAATCAGATCGAATTCCACCCATATCTACAACACGGAAACCTCGTTCCTTTCCACAAAGAAAATGGTATCGCAACAGCGAGCTATGGCCCCTTGACCCCGGTCACTCGGGCCAAGGGTGGTCCTCTGGACGGCCTGCTGTCATCGTTGGCCAAGAAATACGCAGTCAGTGAAGGAGATATCCTTCTGCGATGGTCCATCCAACGTGGTGACGTAGTCATCACGACGAGTGGCAAAGAATCCCGATTGAACGAGTACCTACGCGCGTTACTGTTCAAATTGACACCCAAAGAGGTGGACGAGATCTCAGAGCTCGGACAGCAGAAGCACTACAGAGCTTTCTGGCAAGACAAGTTCGCGGCTGACGACCGCTCGTAGAACGCGTGTCTGTTAGCATGATAGGACCTCAGGGGATGATTGTCCGAAATTTGCACTTCGCAGCACCACTGGGCTGGTGCCTTTATTTCTAGACATGGAATGTATGTATATTGTTCGAATTGACACATTTCATGTGCATGCCTTTCTTTAGCACCGAGAGGCCATGCTACATGCTCAATTCAACGATAGTGCTTCACCAGAATGGCCGTATCGGCGTCGCACTGAGTCGATATAATCGAGAGGCTAGATGTTCAATCGCGAATGTGACGACGTACTATTAGAGTGAGGCTAAGCCACCACGCACGGTTTGCGAGGAGGCGGGGTGGTTATGGGGTGGCTTCGCCCCCAAAAACAGCCCCAATGATCAGCTTCCAGGGTCCTCCGATGTTTCAATGGATAACTTGTACATGGGTATCAAGTATTGGTGATATGACTGAGGTCTATTAAACCATGTAATACTGGAGAGTAGGTACCTCCATGTAGTAAACACAAGGAACAATCTACTTCCTTTCTTGGAATATTGATTGTAAACAAGCGCCTTGTGGATATGGACGTACATACATTATCCGGTGCATAAAATTGTGAGCAGTCATGGTCAAGCCGGGCGAATTAGGCCAATCTCTGCAGGGTTTCGGTAGCAGACAGGGAGCGTTCCTGCAAGGGTTGATTGACTGAGGCATGGATATCTTATCGCAGAATACTATCTATCCTCGTCCGTGATGCCACCAACGCGATCAAAGGGGACGCTGGATTGAAGATGTGGATTCTACCGTAAAGAAGAAAAAGAAGAGAGAAGTTCAGTTGATCAGATGGTGTGGAAGGGAGTTTATTTACTGCTCTTCAGAGGCCTCGCATGCACAAGTTGCGTTGCACAAATAATAAATAAATAAATAATGGTCCAGTCCAGCGCAGGCGTAGACTAAAGTAATGCCGTGACAGCGTGATCAGCGCCCCATCTCGGCACTGCCCGCCCTCCAGCATCGACCGCCTGTTCACGCAGTCGGGGCCATTATCGATCTCCCATCTGGCAAGCTACGTGGGTTGATACTGCTGTGGTAGCTAGTTGTGCTATCTAACGCGACCCATGCTGCAATAATCGCTCCTCTTCCGCTCGTCCTTCCCACGCCTCCTCCGATAACGCACCGACCGCAATTATCCCCGTACCACCTGTCTGCCGCGTCCCAGCTCCGAAAGAACTATTCCATGGCATCTAGTCCCAACGCCTGCTGTGCAATTCTCCGATAGATCTGGGTGGCTATTGGCTTGTCAGCAGCTTGGCCTCGAAATTGATGGACCGTCGGATGTGATATCGCTCTCCTCGAAGAACAGAAGCCTTGTCGGGGGAGGGGGAGCCTACTGTTGATCATATCTTCGCGACGACTTGGACAGTACTCGAGTACCGATGTATCTGATCGAGCCCTCTCTCAGTGCAGCTTGATCGCCTTCACTGTGCCAGGGTCTCCCTCAGATTACCGCGGGTACTTTCCGCCGTGAATGGATCTCGCCGCGCCCATTCACTGCGACTGCGACAATAACCGTTCCTACTGATCTATTGACCTACGAATACCCTGCCATGATCCTTGAGACCTATTGAGCCTGCATATAGCGACCTGGTCGATTCACCCTTGTGCGCCACTTTATGGAATCTCTGGATGTCTGACTTTAACGACTGCATCTATCATCTGCCACGTCAAGGAAACAAATGATCTCGCGAAAATAGGGTATATTCTTGTTGCATCTTACGTCCTGAACTTCGATTGGCATTTTCCTATAGTCTCCAGGTCCTAGTTGGATTGCAATGTCGGCTCAAACAACGACTTATTCCCACGAAAAGAACGAAGACATCCCCCGATTTACTACGAAGGGACCCCACAACACTGAGCCAGATTCGGTCGACAAGCGGCTAAAGGACCTGAGGGACAAAGTCTTGCCTGTTTATCCTTTCCTCCTAACCGTCCCATCGGACGTGCCGTTTCGCCTTGGAGATCGATACGTCAATAATTGGGCGGTGGGAACGGACGGTCCATTCAAACCGGAAGAACAGCAACTACAGTACATGACATTTTTGACCCATTCGGAAGGCGATTCTTTACTGGTTGCTGTTGGCGATTGGTCAGATGACAGTGGGAATATCATGGCTGAAGACGATTCCAAACCTACAAGTGTGACCAGTGCTGCCAGTACCCCCCTCACTGGCGCGACCAAGAAAAAGATCAGTCTAAGTGACTACAAAAGCAAAAAGATAACCAGTGGTCAAACTACCTCTGGAAATCAGGGTGCTATTGACGGTGCTGCACCGGCGCCTGACACTCCAAAAAACCATGCGCGTATTTCCAAGCAAGCTACAAATGACAGTTCTGTCCCGCAAACAGACAGCCCCAAGCGGTCGAAGCCGCATATTCATACTGAAGATGGCGCTCCACGCCGTAAACGGTCCGTGGAGCCTGAATCGAAGCCTTCGAAGGAAGAGGATCGGAGGCACGGTGGACGATCTCCTAAGAAACCGCGATTGTCTCCCCTGAAAACTGAGTCTGGTGATGGTTCCCAGACTAATGGCGCAACCCATGCCCTTCCAGCTCTTCTCTCACCGACCCTCCCACCAGTTCCTGTCAGTCCGAAACTTCCACAATTGCTCTCGCCTACACTTCCGCCAGATATCGAAGAGGAGCTCTCAAAACTACGAGACGAGTCTCCCATTACGAATATTCATGCCAAAGACAGATCACCAATTCCACCTCGAACATCCAAACACGATCCAGATGGAAGGCGTCCGCATTCCGGATCGCTTGCAAGCTCAAAGAACCCTAATATCAATAATAAAGCAGTGCACACACATAATCGATCAACATCCGGTTCGAAAACAGTGGCCCATGATCCTCGAGAATCCTCGGGCAGTACGGGTAGGAAAATGCCTAGCAGCACACATGGAACCGACAGCCCAAGCTCTAAAACTCGCCTTATTGTCAAACTGAAGTACGGCCGATCGAATAGGAAACGGGTTGAGGCTCTTCTCAAATTTTCAGGGAAGAGGAAGGCGGCCGGCGACAGTGCACGCTCGAATCTGGCGGAAGATCACGATTCTAGGGATAACAGAACCAAGAAAGATCTGTCTTTATCAAAGCTTCAAGGCGACAGACGGCAAAGGCTTGTTGAGAGTGATGATTATCAAGACATGCCTAGGAAACGTCCAAAAACGGTAGCGCCAGGATCTGCTTCTCCGAGTTCACCAGTTCCTGCCTCTGATGCTACCGGACATCACTCGCGTTCCTTCAAGTCAGTAACTTCTGCACCGAAAAGAGACGCCAGGGGGGGCTCCTCACGACATCCTGATCCAGAAGACACTGAAGCCAGGTCGCAATTGGCCGGCAAGACCACTCCTCTACACCCAGAGAGAAGCACACGGGCGTCCCCTCCGCTGTCGAGAGAAAGCAAGCCCACGCATAGTCGGGATCGCGAACGGCGAGCATGGCGAGACGAGTACCAGAAATATGCTGGTCTGGGAAGGGAGCTGAAACACGCTGCCAGTCGACAGACAACAGACGCAAAACTCGCTGCGGCTACTGCTGTGGAAGCGATTCTTTGCTTCATCCTCGCGTTCATTGCGGACGACAGATGCAAGACAATCACTCGTCAGGTCCCAGATTCGACCAATTGGCGATCCATTCTAGCATACTGGCGTGTAGTCACCAAAAACAGCGTCGCATATCCCCATCTTCATAGTCTCTGTCTTCTTCTGGGTGCCATCTCCCACGATACCATTCATGCCCTTGATCTCGAGCGTCTCGCAGTCAGCCCACTTCCTGGAGAACACAGTCCAGTGCCCACTCCAGGGAGTGACGGGCATACTGTCACAGCGGACGAGAGCAAGAAATACAAGTCAGAATTCCTCGAGCTGAAAGCCCGCCTTCCGGAATACTATAAGGAAGCTCTACGGCTCTGGCTAGAGGGAGCTCGTAAGCTTTCAGACGAGACACTGAAGCACGAGTTTCCCAGTACATGGTCCAAACGCTCTGGAGACTATCTCGATCGGGGCAAAGAGCCATTAAAACTGGGGTCATACTCTGGTCGATTCTTTCTACCACTAGGAAGGACGACCACGCCGTTAGAAGCGGTTCGATTCGGTTTTGCAGTTCTCAGCGAGTGGTGCCAAAAGGAAGGTGTGGATTGGCACGGTCGGCTGCAATTATGATTCCATTGTTGTTTTCCCTTTTCCCTTTCTTTTTTCACTCTATTCCAGTTATTTATCCCTGGAGATCCGGCGTCTAGTTTTTTGTTTTTTTGGCGGGCAAAGCCTCCTCTTACTTAAACTTAAGCATGTGTTATTGTTGTTCTTTTTTTCCCTTGTTATCTGTTATTTTTTTTTTTTTTGCCTTCTGCTTCGTTTCGTTCTATTGTGTAAATGATACCACTGTTTATTTTCTTTTCTTTTCTTTTTCTTTTCTCTTTACCTTTTTGTGCTTACTTACTTACAACAATTATCTTTGAACCGGCTCAGAAAGGGCAGCTAGTTAGTTAGGTATTATATTAGTTTTCTTATGGTATAGTACCTAATGAAATGGAAGTGATATATATATACACACATGTATCTTCGGTGTTAGCTTCATGTTTAATTGTATTGATTTGGAGCGTGTTGTATAAATCACGAGGAAAGGAATATATTTATAGTTATATGATCTAAGTATTTGGCAGTGTTCTATCGAATCGTATCCTTATCTAGAGAATGTATAGAATGTATAGAGAGAGAGAGAGAGGGTGATATCCACATAATATATGATAAAGAACAGAGGATAATAAAGTAAACCCTTGATAGTTAGTATCAGTTTTTTAATTTAATTTGATTCTCTCTTTAATTCTCTAAGTGTGTTGAATTCGATAGTCTCCTAGTTAATAACCATCATGACATGATAATGATCATTCTCCAAAAAGAAATCAAAAACGCCCTAACTAATCTACCCGAAAAGTGAGAAAGAAGTATTTTGAAAGTCCTTCGAGGATAAGGAAAGGAAACGGAAGGAAAGAAAATGAATAGGGCAGAGCAAACACATGAATCGTTTCATTTCAAAAAACGTGGAGAGGCTAAGATCGTTCGTTTAACATCACAGAATAATGAAGAGACAGCGAACGCCTGGGACCGGACCGAACCGAACTGAATCGAGCCGCAATGGAATGAGTTTGGGTACTCTCTAACCAGAGGGATAGGTAGATAGATAGAGAGAGGAACGGGAATGGAGATAGGAGATGGATGCATGAATACATGAATGCATCCTAGCTACGCATCCGTACATTCCTTGAGGCGCCATGACACCGTGGATATTGACAATGACATGACAAGCTACCTAGGTGATAATGTAATATCAGACGCGGTTCCATTGTGCATGATCCCGAGTTTCTGCGCGCCAGTCGTCTCCAAACAGCCATCCGGCTTCACGGCAATACCGGGCCTCGCGGCTCGAGGCCCCGACTTCAATGCCCCAGCAGACAACGGCGGCATCGACAATGTCTGCAATAACTCCCTCCATCGCACCGAGGACGCCCCACCCGATGGCGCCGGCAATCAGTCCCACAATATAGGCGTAGAGACTTCCGCGGATTGTGCCGCTAGTCTCAGCAACCCGAAGAGTCCGAGCGGTCGTGACCCATCCGCCAAAACCAAGAGCAAGTGACATCATGAAACGAGTGGCATGCAGGACGAGTTTGGAGAGTCTGTAGGGCAGAAGAGGGACGTGCTCGCTTCTTTGTCTTGAAAAGGAACGAGGTTGTAGTGTAGTACCGGGTGTTGCGGGAGCAAGGAAGGTCATTTGAGATAGACCGTGAGCAGAGATAGCAAGCGGTCGAGAGTGGATGGCAGCATATGTCAGTGCTAAGGGGTTGGTAAGAGCGCTTATCGGAGTGGGAATAATGGAATAGGCAACTAGTGTGATTATGGATGATATACGTCGAGGGAATATAACCAGCGGCAGCCGGACTAGCAACCGGAGCAAGCTCGACAAGCAGACAGTGCCAAAGAGCGTCGTAGCAGAGTGTACAAATGCTGCGTGCACAATCTGCCGCGAGGTGGGTGCAGGAACTGCGAGACGGTGGAAATACCACTGGCTGACTGTTGCGGCGGTGACAGAACGCTGCAACCCAGCAATGGCACCAAGAGACCAGAGGTAGACGAAGATGAAATAGACCGCTAACCACCAGGTAGTCAGGTCTATGACAAAGTTCTTCGGCCCCAGAAAGTGACCGCCCAGGAATACCCGAGTAAACATGAGCATCCATATCCAGGTCCAGGTGACAACGGTGAGGAGAACAGCGAAGCCCAGAGCAAGCAGTGCAGGGTTCGCAACAAGGATCCGACAGGCAAACTCCAAGATATTAATCGCCTTTCCAGTGGCGTGGCGGCCTTTGATCACAGTGTAAACCCAGGCGCTGGCCAAGAGGAACGGAACCAGAGAACCGAACCGCATCACCTTGTCCTGCACACTTGTCCCATGCCACGAGCCCTTGAAGCTGGAGATGAACGGGTATAACGAGAACGAGAACAGAATCACCGGTACAGCTACGATCATCGCATACACCAAGTGGCGCACATAGTACCGCAGTAATGCAAGCCATAACAAGGACACAAAGATCGAGACAAATGTATAGATGGTCAACAGAAAAAGAGATCCATGAATTGCTGTATAAACGGTATCACCCCATTTGCTCGGGTCTTCAGACGGAGCAGAAGTATGCAGATATACCAGGAACGCCGTGGCAAAGAGACCAGCCAGGCAAAGCAAGAAGAGGTGGCCCCAGAAGGCGTCATGGGACGGCGGTTCCGACTCCGGCTGTGCCATGGAGGGAGGCAGAGACGCCGTAGGACTGGACGGCCTCGCATGATCTAGCAATGTTTGCTTATCCGGATCCTCATGAACAGGAAAAGGACTGGTCTGAAAGTTGTCTCCAGAGTCCCGAGGCTGTTTGCGAAACTGCTGGATCACCGGCGGCTCTTCCTCCGTGAAATCGGGGATCCCGCCAGGCTCGATCTCTTGCAGATCACTCCTCAGAGTATCCTCCAGGCCTACATCGACCATTTTCCCTTTCCCAGTGGCACCGCTGCTCCGACTCACCGTGTCGGCAGGCTCATTTTCGTCTTCTTCCGGAAGCAGATCGATCTGCACATTCCGGCGGGTCGTAGCCCTCCCAGCACGCCAGGAACTCCGTATCCCACCTGGTCGGTCAAATGCATGTCCATGACCGGAATGGTCTTCGCCCGAAGCCTCTGAGCTTCCTCCATCATCCTCCAGCTCAGATGACTGCTCTAACTGGCTGGAACCAAAGTGACGGCGCGACCTCTGCAATGCGTATAGATCCGCAATCTCGCGCTCATGTTCCAGCTCATCGTCCTCTTCCCGAAATTCGTCCGTAGCACTGTAGAAGAGAGGGGCCGGTTGCGCTGACATCCGCGAAGCAAAAGGGAAGTGTGACGTCTGGGAGGAAGCCGGCTGATACGGGTTGCCCATGGCTCGTTGTAGATAAGACCGGGAGGCGGGGAAGCGCGAGCTGCCCTGATATTGTCGTCTCTGGCGATCAGATCCATTATTTCGACCTGTGTCTTCTGGTACATGCGCTATACGAGACTGGGACTGAGCGAGGAAACGAGACGCATCTAAAAAAAACGTGTGAGCAATCGCCAGCAGCAAACGGGCCAGGCAGTGTCTCGTGTGAGAAATTAGGCAGAGGCCGGAAGTGTCTGGGATATTTCTACATACATTCTGAGAACATGATGTTCTCGAAGCACCGGTCAGTGGAGCGAGACTTTCCGATATCTCTCTTCCCCAAGGTGCCTGGGCGAGGCTTCTGGAAATGGTCATACAAAAAGAAGGCAAGGCAACCTCAGGAAGAAGTCCGGGGTTCTCTTGCGGTGAGCAGCGACCGCCGAGAGCTGTTACAAGCTACCCGGAATACAGTAAGGGGGAACAGGGCCAGCATGAAATAGGGCGACCAGCGTCAGGAGCTAGGACCAGGTGCCACGGGGGAAGAACGAAATAGATCAAATAATATCAGGACCGCGAGGCTTGTGTCGAGTGAGAATCATTACAGAAGTGCACGAGATCGAGTGGGACGAAGACGAAGACGAAGACGGAAGTATGAGCGTCAGGCGAGAGAGCATCGATGACTCAGCACGTCAGTAGCTTCACGCGCGCCACGACAAACGAACAACCAGCTGGTCCGGTTGAGAGCCAAATTGTCCACCGTTGTGATCAATAATAAGAAGAAGAAGTTCAACTGTCTCTTGCACATCACTTATGTCGGTGGCATCTGTCACTCAGCCGCTGTGCAACTCCCCATCACATCACACTGTCTGCCATCACAAGGCCAGAGCATGAGGCTAGACGGCTCCTTATCACCTTCCTCCCGCCGATAAGTTAGCAGCAGCTAATTCAATACTTACTTACTACTACTAGTTGATCATCCTTACAGAGGGCTAGGCTGCAATCAAGCTTTCTCACAGGCACCAGTTCGTGGAATTCATACATATATCACCCAATCTAGCCCCCCCCAAAGCCCCAGAGAGACAGGATCTCTATGTCGCAGCCATGGGATTATATCGCAAAGCTTGTTTGCATTGGTGATTCCGGCACCGGCAAGTCCAGTGTGAGTATCAGTCATCTGAGAGTCCTCACCCAGGAACTAACTAACTAACTGCCCTACCACTCTATAGCTTACAATTCGACTCTGCGAGGGCCGTTTCTCCGCAACCCATGATGTGACTATCGGCGTGGAGTTCGGATCTCGTATCGTCCCAGTGGGACCTCCGGCGTCCTATAAGTTCGACAACGATCTCGGCGATCAGAAGCAAGGTCCATCTGGCCCCTCGTCCACCAGCTCCCAAAAAGGCCACAACAATGGATCTAGCGAGGCTCCGCAACAGAAGCGCATGAAGCTGTCTCTCTGGGATACCGCAGGCCAGGAGACATACAAATCCATCACCCGTTCCTATTTCCGGGGCGCTTCCGGAGCCCTCCTAGTATTCGACATTACTCGTCCATCCACCTTTGCCTCCGTCACCCAGTGGCTGCACGATCTCCGGCAGATCGCGGAAGATGGCATTGTGGTCGTCTTGGTCGGTAATAAATTGGATCTCGCCACTGAGAATGGCGACCCCAATCAGCCGCGAGTGACGCGTGAAGAGGCCGAGGAATGGTGTCGGCAGAATAATGTAGTGCGCTACGTCGAGACGAGCGCCAAGTCCGGCGAAGGGGTCGAACAGGCATTTCTGGAGGTAGCAGAGAGGATATATCGAAATATAGAGGCCGGACGGTATGACCTCAACGACCGCCGAAGCGGCGTCAAGGGGTTCGGAGCCACAGGCGGTGCCAATGCAGGGATGCCCAAGACGATCGCGTTGGGAGTTAACGATGCTATGGCAAGAGGCAGACGAGGCTGGACCGGCGGCTGCTGTTAGAACGAAGCGGGCTATCCCCATGACGAGACTTTACGCATTGTTCCTTACTGGGACCCAGGCATGGCTCGATTGTACATATCTATAAGGTATCCCATCTCATGAGTGAGTAGGTTGTCACCTGTTTCGATAATGAGACTTGCACGTTGGCTGCTTTGCAATAATATGCTCCCAGTTGGCCTGGGCACTGTTTGGACGGATTGCTAGTAAGCAATTCGTCAGGTTATATGAAACCGAAACAGAAGAACAGAACTTGTGTTACTCTTACAAATACAATTTTTCGCTCGAATTAGCATTAAACCGCGCATAAGACCTTTTGGTACAACCGGTCGAATAACGAGCATGGGATCACACTTTCAATCAACTCTTTTTGTCCCAGGTGATAAGCATTGCTTGGTTGCTAATAATCATACATCGTTCCTTAGTCCCGTGTGGATAAATCGGAAGCCGTCCCTCTAATCACCGAAATTGAGGCCAGAAAAAAATAAAAAAAGAAAGGGTTGGAACAAAAGCGGATATTGGAGAAAACAGAAACCGCATAGTAGCGGAGTCATCATGGAACAGTGACACTTTCCTACTGCGCTACCATGACCTCGCAAGGGCAAACTAGTCCGCTATTCTCCAGCCCTTGAACCATTTCAGGTGAGCCCATTGCTGATTTGAACCTTCCATACCAAACACAATGTCACGGAAGACAATGAACAAGCCAATCGTGATCCCATAAAGAACGGTGTACAGTGCCCATTGAAGTGGCCGGGTCAATTTCTGCGTCATCCAGTCCACGCAGAAGCCAGCCGTGAGAATGGCGAAGTAAAGGGCAGGGTAGTAATGGTGAACATATGTCACACGAGCCATGACTATAAACGGAATGTAATGCAGGACCCAGCCGAGGAAAGGATACACACCCGAGTAGTGGATGTGGTCAATATCCGCCTGGCTCAGTTCACGATAGCCACGCTGCCAGCGAATGAGATACCAAAGTACTAGGAGCCCGAAAATGCCCAAGCTCGCTGTGCTGCTCCAGTAGACGAAAGGATTTCCCAGAAGGAAGTACTTCACCACACTGTCATCCCAGGAGCACATACGGAGACCAACATTCAAGATGGGCCATTGCCAGAACTTCGAGGCGAGGTCGTCCTGCTTGTCAGGGTCTGGAACCAGGGCATTGTTAGAGGTCATCATTGCAACATTGAGATGGATAAAGTCTCTCAGGAATGGCGACTTGTACGAGCCAGGATCACCAGGTGGAACTAGGGAAGATAGTTGTATGTCAGCAGCAGTCTTACTTAAGGTTTCTATCAATAATGGCTCAACTCACGTCGGTCGTTCCAGTGGGATTCTACGTTCCAGTGGGTGTAGGTATCTCTGGGATTGTTGCTCTTGACACATGTGGTCTCGATCTGTTTGAAACCCCACTGTGGCAGGTTAACGTTGCCTGCCCGTAGATAGCAACCGAGAACCGGGTGGCGTAGTCGGAAGGCAGTCGTAAGAGTTCTAATCTTCGAACGGTCTCTCGATGCAGCATCGCTGACCACTTCAACAACCCAATGATCCTTTTCATCGCCAATAGTAATGTTTCCGTAGCAAGAAACCTCGTAATCAGCCTTCGTGACGGGGGCCGCGATGGCGTGAGAGTGAAGGTTGCGGCCCGTCTGGGCGTGAATTAGGCGAATAGTGTCACCGTCTCCAACGAACTTCAATGGTCCTTCGGGGTCATATTCGGGTTCGTGGCGGTTGGGGTAGAAGAACCAATCGTTGTTCGCATCCTTGTGATGATAACATGTCACTTGCTGCTGGCCCGAGCCCTCAGGGTACGTTTGAACATGAGAGTGAAGAAGACCGCCTCCGTAACCCATGTTTTTGATAGTGGCTCTCGATCCAATGGCAATCTCGAGAGGACTGTCCTTGCCGACTTCCGTGCCCTTCAGGTTGGCTTGGAACAGAGAGCTCATCTGCGCATCTCCAGGGCCGCTGTTTTCAAGAATCAAGAAGTGGAGGTAGAAAGAAAACATGTAGACGAGAATCGGGATGACGATCAGACCAACGACGCGAGCTACTAGATGTTGTGCAAGCACCACCTGCCGGTTCGTCAGAACTTGATAGGCCAGATTACTATCCGAATCCGATTCTGTACTAACCTTGGGCATTTTGAGGTCTCCAAACTTGTTCCACAGGTCCTCAATAGTGTAGATGCCAACCAAGGCGGTACAGAACAAGCCGACCATCTTGACACTGCAGACACAGCCAATGCTCAAGCCGGTCAGGAAAAGCCACGTGAACCACTCCAATGAGAAGCTCTTGTGCTGCAGCCGGTGGAATCTCGCCCAGCAAAGAATGGTGGTGAACGTAAAGCAGAGGAGCATAGAGTCGAGTAGGATAAACCTCGAGATGGTCGCGTACGAGTTCTCAAAGAGCACCATCAGGGTAATCAGCCAGACCGTGACTCGTCGGAACCGGAGTTCGCGTGCAGTGTAGTACGCCAGCGGCACGCAGACAGCACCGAAGAAGGCGTTGAAGACACGCATAAACATGTAGTTGACATCCTCCGGGTATTTCTCTCCAGATTTGAACTCGAAGGATCCATTGTAACCCGCGAGGTAGCCAGACAGGCCAACCAGTATCTTTCCCAGTGGCGGGTGGACATCGAAATAGAACTCGCGCTTCAGATAGTGGGAACCGAATTTGCCAAAACTGCGCGTGAGCAGGACGGTCAGCAATGGAACGGAGACTGAGGAGGTCAGTGAGCGGGGGCCATCTTACTGAGCTTCGTCCCACGTCACGATGTTCGAGCGGCCAATCCGCCACATTCGCGTGAAAAACGAGAGGGCTGTAAAGATCAAAGGTGCCAGTATGAACTCCCACTCATCCAAGACGGCCCCAAGGGACTTTTGCTACGATTCAGGACAGTTGTCAGCAACTCCGTGTAAAGAGCGCGGTGCCGCGGGAAATGGGGCAGTTGTGCTCGACGATACCTTTCTGTGCACCTTGACATCCTGTTCGTCTCGCACCACAGCTGGAACATTCCCACGGCTATCTTCCGTTCCTGGAACGTTTCTGCGTCGCACCCCGGCGTTCTGGTCAGCGCCGGTGGTCAATGCAGCATCGGTTGACGCCATTGTGAAATGCGGAATCTAGAGCTTGAATGCGAAGACACAGAACAGCGGTATCGGGAGCGTCAAGCCGGACGCGATCCTGGCGGGAGTCGTCCAGTGACTCAATGGAAGTCAATTGCAGCTATGGGAGACTTCAAGCCCGCAGGGAACGCAGCATCTCCGACGATGGGCGTGGAAAGGACTAAGTCGGATTTAGCTGTGCTCAGACGAGGAGGGGGGTTTATTGCCAGTTCAGGACACGAGCGACCAAAACAAGGGTGGTCGAGAACAAGGGAGGCAGAGAAGGAGAGTCAGACTCACGGGAGATTATTTTATTTATTTATTTTAGATATTATTCCGGCTGGTGGAAACGAAGGATGGACAGCTCCAGCGAGGGGAGACGCGAGAAGAAGGAGCTGGCCAGAAAGTTCAAGGACACGCAGCATTCTACAAACGGGAATGGCCGAGTGGAACCTTTCAGCAGTCCACGAGGACCGCGCCCGACGTCCGGACGGCCAGGGTTATTATTAGGTCTTTTATTGTTGTGGCTGACGGCGCACACTCCTTTTTTGGTGTATGTTTTATGTTTTTGGACACAATTGTATCTGTGCTCGTTTGATTATTATTATTGTGGTTATTATTGTGGTCATGGATGTATTTTGGTTTTGTTCTGCCGCTGTCTTAACAGTAGATAGACCCTGCACCCGAGAGTACCATGTTTCGATCTTAACACTAGACTTGGTTATCTATCAGATCAGAGGACCCGCTACCTCCGTCACCACGTAAGGGGAATAATCCCATCCAAGAAAGGGGTCGTTTGTGTATATATAGGTGTATATTATCTATACGGTATATCATCAATACCATACATATTGTTTCGTCTGCTACCAGAGCTATCTACAGATAGATGGATAGAATACAATTATAACAATAAAAATAAAGTAAGCAAAAATACGCCCGGACAATCCACTCCCCAATGGGACAACATCCATGCAAATGCGGACAGCAGAAACCATATCAAAAAAAAAAAAGACCAGTAGTAGTAGTAGTAGTAGTAGTAGTAGTAGTAGTAGTAGTAGCAGTTCCTCTGCATTCCATTTGTCATTATTGAAATTCCAAGAGCGAAACATAATAGGCTGTAAATTCCATACTGCAACGGAGGGATATCATCCTCACGTCTCCAGCAACAGACTCTGACCCCAGACTCCCACTTGATTTTATTCCTCCTCATCCTGCCCCAGACGTCTATATTGGCTACTACTACTGCCGCCTTTCGCTCCGGCATTCCGGTTGCGGTTCACCATATTCGAGATCCAGCCACCAATGCCCTCGCTCCGGTCATCATCGCGGCCATGTTTGCCGTTGGAACTGCCGTTGATGTTTGGAGGTTCGATGTCCAGTCCGGGAATGGCACTCTCTGCGCCGAATTGGTGCGGCTGACGTCGAATATCAAGAGACGGGACCGGCGAGCCCGCCCCTATCAGAGATCCTCGTTCCGCCTGTGCCGCAGGAGTTGGCATTGCCGTTGAAGCATCCCCGAACAGAACATTCATATCTTCTAGGCGAACACCACTGGTCTCTGGGTACAGGAAGTACACTAGAATAGCAGTCAACAAACTGATGGCAAACTCCCGACAGCAACATTTAAGAACTTACCAACAACAAAACTACACGCACAGAAGAACGCGTGAACGAGATATAGGCGCCATTTGATAGCTGCTTGCAGGATGGGGGTCACTTCTCCAACGAGCCAGTTGAACGCCCAATTGGTGGCGGTACTCAAACTAGCGCCTTTTGCACGAATGCTGAGCGGGAGAATTTCCGGGGGATACAGCCATGGAATGGGGCCCCAGGACGCGCCGAATGCAGCGTTGTAGATCATGACGAAAATGACTGTCAGGGTAGGAGTGGCAGGCACGTCGATATAGATGAAGTAGGAGATCGCAGAGAGCGAGAGGAGCATGGCCACTGCACCGGAAAGCAGGATCGGGCGTCTACCCCAGCGGTCGACGAGGTACCACGGCGGTATAGTAGACGCAAAATACGAAAGTGCATTGACACCCGTCATCAGGATAGCTGCTCGACCTGCCCAACCAGCGGACTCAAACACCAGAGGGGCGTAGTAAGAGATCACGTTGATACCGTTGAGCTGTGCCAAGGCCTGAGCTGACATGGCAATGAAGACACGCCTGTAGTAGCGCTTGAACATGTCCCCGTATGACCTTTCACCCTCTTGGCGCTGAAGGAGGACGTTCATCTTGATCTCTCGATACTCCTGTCGGGCCTTGTCATTGTGCAGGTCCCCTCCACCATACAGGTTGGCAATGACCACCATGCCCTCCTCATCATGATCATTATCCAACAACCACCTGGGGTCATAAGTTAGCTCACATGCTAACGGACAGCCATCGAATACACCTCACTGGACACAATGGGATCCCATACTTACCTAGGCGACTCGCAAATGATCAGACTACCAAACCCGAGAAGGGCTCCCATAATGCATTGGCACAGCAGCGGAAGACGCCAAGAATAATCGCTCTCGATAAAGCTGCATAGATAGTCAACCCATACGCTAGCCGCGTATCCGGTGATGTTGCCCGTAAACTCGATACAGGCCAGCTTTCCTCTGTTATGCGGCGGAGAAATCTCCGACTGGTAAACCGGAACGATAGTCGAGAGTGCACCAACTCCGAGACCAGCAATGATACGACCAACCATCATCATTGGCAGACCATTGGCAAACGATTGGAAGGCACCACCGATGAAGAAGATGATCGACCCGTACAGAATGGTTCGCCTGCGGCCTATCACATCACCGATCCTCCCAACAAGTATCGAGGAAATGAACGCTCCTATTTCCAGAATGGCAACGACAGTACCGATCTCCGCTCGGGACGGTTGATTGAAGTAGTCCTTAAAATACCAACCCCTAGACTAGCATTAGTATATTGATTGACGCCAGATTGCTGAATTGACCCATGGCAAGTTTCAGATCAGATAAGACGTACGTAATAATACCAGACATGACACCCTGATCATATCCAAAAAGGAAAACGCCTAAAGAAACAAAGACACTGGTAAAATACCTAGCGAGCTGTTAGTAATGGGGCCTTCGTAGAGCACGAATGAGAGCGTCGGAGCACATACAGCAATGGCTTGCCCACCAAGCCATGCGTGAGGGCGGCCTGTCGATTGCTGGGCGACATGATGGCTGCTATAACCCGCTCCGCTCGAGAGATCCGTCTTGGAGCGGGTCTAGGGAGCTCTATGGCCTCTTTATCAACTCCACCGTGCTGACTGACGTCTTCCGGGTAATGTACTCTTTTCTTCTTCTTCGTCCCCCCTCGAGACCGAGCCCGAGCGTGTCCGAAGACCTCCTCGTCGAGAGACGGGCGCAGACGGGACCGAAGAGGGTCCTCCGCGTCGGCGAGCTGCTCCGCTAGGTCGCCAGTATCGGACCAGGTGGAAAAGTCAGAGGCGTAGGATGAACGGGAGGACGGCCGACTGCCTTCCTTCTTCTCTTCTTCCCCGGATTCAAATAGCAACGTCGACCGCTCTGCCCCGGATCGAGAATGGGACGAGAGACGCCGGAGAGGGATGCTGGCGGAAGTACGGCGGGCGGAGCTGGAGGAAGGAATGATGGCGGTGATAAAGGGCTGGTCGAAGCAGCCCTATTTCCGCGGCGAGACAGGAGTGATGATCTCGGAATGAGAGGAAGAAAGGACGTTGGCAGAGGGGTAGGTTCGACGATCGCAGCAATGACGGCCTCCGACGATAGACTTCGAGGGGAGGGCGGTGTGCCGACAGCACGAGGTCCCGCGGGCAAGTCAGTCAGTCTGTCGTCTTCCAGCAGTGACTTGGATGCGTTGGAGATGGGGGATGAAGCCAAAGAGCGAGAGTGAGCACGCTCACAGCGCGGTCAGCCAGTCACAGAGCAGACCACCGATCACAACAAATGGCTGGTCGATGACAGTGGAATAATAATAATGGTGGGCTCTTTAGCTTTCTTGAAGCCGCTCACGAGACGAACTGGAGCCAGATGCAAGATGACGACGAGTGGACAATAATATCAAGTCTAGCAGTGGCGGCGATCAGACATTACAGCGCTGGAGGTATTTATCCGGACGACAGTGGACAGACAGTTGGGTGCAATTGGGCTGGCAACGCGGAGATCTGGCGCGTATGGTCGCTTTAGGGGGTTCAAGTATCAGGATCGGTATTGAGTATCAAGAGGAGATTGATTCCACGATGCGGGATAGATTGATAAAGAGGATCTCTGGCAGCTACGACAGTAGATAAACCGTTACAAGAGTCTCGCGTCGCAGACACCAAGACACTGGTTAGTTAGTAATTACTCTGGGGTTCAAAGCCGGATTAGGCGTCTTGGGAAGAGCGGAGTAATAATTAAATGCATAATAATAGGTACCATACATACTAAGGGGATCAGGGGGGCGGGAAAACGGTGGAAAGCCACTTACATACTAAGAACTAAGAAAGCTGGGGACGGTCGATCCGCCTTTTGCTCCCTCATCGCGTGAACAACAATACGAACAGAATTCGGATGCTTGTCCTCCGCGCGGCAAATGCTAAGAGGACAACACCTCGGTTCAACAATCAGTCACAGGGTATTACTGGTCTACTTCCCAATAATCACTGACTATTTAATAAATCATCATCTAGTCCAACTACCCCGAGAATCGAGATAGATCGACCGTTCTCTCGAATCTGACCTCGTGGCCATCATTTCCTGGTGCCGGAAAAGAGGGGCCGCGCGCTGCTCCTCTGACGCGGCAATCGCTCCGTGGCCAATAACAATTATTCCAAGAGAAGCTGATCGCATCCGGAGAATCGCCCAGGTTCAATGCTCGACCACTGGACTCTCGCCGTTGAAATACACTGAATTATAGATACTTAGTAGGGAAGCAGAACACTTCCATGTATTCTCTCTGGCGTTACTTATCCTCTAGTGTTTTTTTTTGTAAGAATTAGACTTTACATCTATGTCATAATTATAACAGAAACAGTCGTTATACGGTTAGTGCTGGGTTCTTTATATCCTGAAAATCTTTCCCTCACATTCTTTTCTGATAACCAATTATCAGATGGTGCTTTCCATTCTTCAGGAATAGCTATACTTGTGCCATGTCAAATACATGCTTTATGGTACATCGTCTTTTACAAGTAGGCCCATACAGCGTCGACGTCGGCTCATTGTTAAATCAACCTCATAACCCCTTAGGGTCAGTCCTGTGGTACCGCAACTCTGATGCTTATTTCTATACTGTAGTCGGATGGAACCTACGGCCGAGAAAGGAAAAGAGGACACACACAAGGAATACGAAATGACTCTATGGGAAGAGCTAACTCTGAGTAATCTGGAAGATATCATCACTCAATGCACCACAATTGCCGGTCATATTTTTTCTCAACATAAGCCCCATAGAGAAAATCAGTCCCCCTATTCCTAACCCGGGCTGTCATGCCTGGACCAAGCCCTTCGAAGTCGCCAATACGCGTTGATTCATCTCGGCAAACTACAGAACCTAACTTTCTCCCATATATTATACCTTCGCTCTCTTCGACAATGGCAACAAGAATGCCCACGTCCTCCATCATGCTCTCCACTCCCATGAACGAGAGAAGGGCCACTTTCGTTGCCCCGAATGCTTGCTTTGGATTTATACTGTTTCTCACTTCACGTCGTCCTACACCAGTATCTGAAATAACCGCTTCGGAATACTGCCAAACCTTACGCTTGCAATGGAAGACGACACGTTGACATCTCCCCATTTCTTCGATTAGGTAAAAATAGCTTGTGAGCGTCGTGTCGGAAACGTCAAACACACGCCCGCGAAGTTGGACCCGTAGTCCACGGGAGGATGGTTTTCCATGGGGTAGATGTTGATAATTACCGGGAAGCTGGAAATACTCGCCCGTGTGTTGCATAATATTGGATGCCGAGAGAAGCAGCGTGCGTGGTGCCCATCTTAGACCGGGCTTGTCGATTGTATCTCCCATGTAACACAGGATATTGAGGGGAACGGAATCCATCATAGCCCAAAACAGCTCCATTCGGGACAGTACATCTTTCTCCCTCAATATCGGTTCCATGTCAAGGTTAAGCAGTGCAGCCAAGCACAGAGTTTCATCAGAAGCCTGACTCGTGCTCCGGAATGCCACAGCTGTCATCACGGCCGGAAGCGCTTCTTCTCTATCAGAGGAAATCATTCGAAACCCTCGAAGGCTGTCGTATTTTGCGGCCAGAGAGGGCCAGATTGTAGTACTTGTGGTGATATCTAAAGAAGCTTTACAGCGTCGGAAAGTCAAGTCCAGATCACAAATATCATCCCTGAATAGAAAGAATATTGCTTTCGCCAGAGCGCCCTCCTGATAAGTCCACAGGCGTCGGTTCCATGCGGCATTAAAGATTCTCACGAGTAATTCGGTGTCACTCATTTGAAAGCAAGTCGTGGACATTAGCCAAGAGTCCAAGACCAGGACTGCGGTAGAGTTTTCGTACACCTGTCGCATCATCTTTAAAGCGGTATCTTGTGCCTCCTTTTGGTCGGCTGCATCAGGGGGGACACATAATGTATCAAGCCAAAACAGGACGGTATCTGCGGCTTTCCCGGGCAGATTACGTATAAGGCTACTCAGATGAAGTAGTTGGCATCTTGGAAGTGCGTTTCTTTCAACGTTTCCGAGCCCATCTGACCACACATGGGATATGGCAATATAAGACATATCGCTTTTAGCATCAACGAGCTCAACGTAGGCGCTGTCATCTCCAGGGTCAATAGACACGATGAGAGGGATCCTGCCGCGATTGAGGGATGTAGTAGGGTCTGCAATAATATCATCGCACCCAGGGCATCCATCCACATGCTTTGTTTTGTATATATCATCTGAGAGCTGCCGGGGTGAACAACTGAGCTCATTACATAGCCTCTGACTGGATGGTTTGTATCCTTCCTTGTTGCTGATATTAATCATACGATGCTCTTCTCCAACTGGCGATGGTGTTAGATTCGCTATGAAAATAAGGGCAGAGACAGTAAAAAGCTTCGTCATAGGCATAATATCAGAAGGACACCAGCCGCGTTGCCGTAAAGCCATCCACATGTAAGGCCTGCTGGTGTCCGGATGAAAATTTAGCGATTGGTTCATTATTTCATTAGGTCCCGAAGGAGACCAATGAGTAGTTATATTGCCAAAATCATGGAGTACCATGTTTGCCAGTACATGGTCTGGGTGTCGAGGATCAGAAGGGCCTTCAGCCATAATAAATGCATACAAGCTCTCAACAGACTGCAGGGACTCGGGATCATTCCTTCTGTGTCCCCACTCGCCTTGCAAATTAGAATGTATATTATAGCATAGTCGGAGTGCAAAGACTCCATGATCATCGTTGCCTGATGTCCGTTCGACGGCTTGTAAAGCAATTGCCGGCAGCAGTTGTGTAGTAAGGATTGGGAGACCGGACTGGTCGCGTTTATGGGACAGAAATACGGTCTTGACATCAATCGGGCATAGCCTCACATGGATGAGGCCGAAATATAGCCACCGCTGAAGAAACGCTAGGAAGTCGTCGGGGGGGTCATCGAAAATCGCCTGCCATTCAGCCACAGTGAAGGGACCCCAACCCTGACGGTTGGGGTAAGTGAGAAAGTCGCCGCCATCATAATTAGTCATGCTGAGGATGGGAACTTCGAACCGAAATCCAGCCGGGTTGCTGGGTAAGATAAGATGGTCCATAGTAGCGAGTACTTATCAACCGATGACTCTGAAAAAAGGGGACGCGTTCCATTGATACTTATAGTAAGAGCTAGAAGATTTTGAGGCTGAGAAGGGGAGGTTGCACTTTGGGGGGAGTCAGCAGTATGTACTCCGTAAGTAGCAGCTGGACGAGGGCTTGACATTCATGTGACTCGCAGTCTCTATACATGTTGCTGACGTGTCGATCATCGTAGCCTACTTAAGGCTGACAACTAAATAGCAACAAGGCTGGATAAATAGAATCAGACCAATCTGACCGTGACCGATCATTGAGGAGTCCCACCATTATGTCTCCGTTGGGCACCTTTCATGAAATCATAGGTGTTCTGATTGCAGTGCTCTTCAGCAATAAGCATCGATAGATATAAAATCAGTGCCGATCCTCTTATATGCGTAGCCTTCCTCACCCCCTCCACCTTTTGGAGGCACATCGCATAAGGAAAAAAAGAGAAAAGGAAGAAAAAGAAAAAGCAGCATTGATTACGGTATCATAGGACACCATCTCAACGCACCCGCTCGCAAATGTTGCTCTCATCACTACGAAACTGGGCACCGTTTCGTATAGATGCATTGGGCCTGGTCACAATGCTAGGCGCGGACGCGCTTAACCTGACCCTTGGTCGTCTCGTGTACAGCCGTTTTGCTGAGTTTCTGCCCTTACTGGGGGCATTTTTGATTGCAAATAACGATATCACGAAACCAATTCCCGGATTTGTCGCATATAATATCACCGACGGCATTATGGCAACGGATGTGACAGGCTGGTTTTCCAGGTGGCTCCTGTGTCAGGAGTTCAAGCCCTGTTCCACTATACTTTGCATTTCGATCCGAGAGACTGAAAGGCTTACCCTACGCCATACTGCTAGTTTTATTATTGGGATTACTTGTATGACACCAATCATTGTTCTTCCAATCGTCATGGGTGACTGGTGGGGTTTTGTCAACGCATTAAGCATGCTTTTATCCATCCTTGTGAGAAAGGTCATCATGGATCAAAATCGTCACGCCATAAGCACGGCGGCAAGACAGGCATTTGACACCTCGAAAGATGTGGTGAAAACGTTCTGGACGCTCCCTACCGGGACTGTGATCACAATCTATACCCCACGTCGGATTCTTACAGATGTTCTGTTGACGAACCCCCGGCCGCATCGGCTTCGACTCTATAATGCTGCGAGGGCACTTGGCTGGGTAGCATTCGGGTGCCATATTATTTCTTTGGGCATGACCACACTCTTCAACCAGATCATTAGCGTGGCTCTCCTTCTCCTAGCGACAGTCATGGTGGTATACCGCTTCGGTGAGCGTGAATATCTAATTGGAAATGATATAGTCATCTGCCGCTGTGATGCAAAAGGGGAACGCTTTCGTGCAGCAACATATGCCCGACTGGATCTGTCTGGAAAAGAAGAGGAGTCAATGGTATTATGGAATCTATTTCCTCACAAAACCAACACGGAATGGTGGAGCAAATATCGCGACTGTGTTCGTCAGGGCAATAGTGGCTTTACGTCCTGGGATGAGAAACTCGCAGGCTACTATGATGAGAAGGTGGTTTGAGCCATCGAACAAATAAGATTATCAATAAACCTTGGCACCGCCCAGTCTGCTGGGTTTTGATATCTGCAGTATATAAGGATTAGCCGGCGGAGTGACCTCAGGATACCTCAGATACCAGGGGGCCATGTGACATTTCGCGAGATTCCGTGGGCGTTGATACCTACCTATAGATAGGCATATAATCGGCAGGCTCCATGAGTGGAAGTAAAAAGAAAGAGATCTAAGACTATCTATAAATAAGCTGCAGGGGCGTGGGATAAGGGCTACATTTCCCATTTCAACTTCATTACATTGTGGCATCGACCACTGCTATTCAATTTCCACATTTCAGGAGGCTGTGCTGGACCATTCCACCCGCGGTCTTTGCCGGCGGGGGACGTTTGGACAATTGAACTGCTCTTCGTCCAAGGGAAGGAAAAGTGGTGTCGTAGGGCCAGACCACCCAGACGCCATGGCCAGCATAAACAATCTTGCTCACACCTGCAAATGCTATAAAGAACATGATGCCATCGGTTTAGTCAACCTCGATAAGGGAACATTCTCATGTTGACGGACGGGGTAGTTATGCGTCAAGCACGGTCGGCACATGTATTTATCTGCAGAATCAATTATTGCTCTTTAAAATAAGCTAAATACTTGAATTTAGAGGACTGCGCGCCTATATGAGGTTGCAGAGACTCCTCTAGTCGCGCATTAAGGGACGCGTTGCAAGAGCTTATTTACATGTAAATCCATATAAATTGACCACAGTCGAAAAGTAACCTAACGGAGGCTTTCTAACTTATCTTATGCCCCACTTCCTCGGGGCTGGCTCCGAATTACTAGCAGTAATAAATAATTAACTGCATAAGGCTGTTTCCTACACCTTATGGACCTCGCGCATCGCCTACTGCCTACAGTAATTAGCGAGGGCTAGTTATCCAGCATTCGCATCAATAGCAGCCGCACACTCCATCAATAAGTTTAGGATTGTTTACGTCTTGTTTCACCACATGGTTCTTCGAATGACTATTTACATCTCGTATATCTCTATGTATGTCTATATGGTAATTACACAATAACGGACGTAGAATGCTGCTGGGGCGTCGCTATCAGTTTAGAAGAATATCATATCCATCCTTCTGTATATGAACAACATCCGCTGAAGATGCATACTTCCGGCGCACCAGCTCAAATATCACCAGGCCTGCGCTAGTACTGGGCACCTGACGGATGGAACTGCCCACGAACCCACGGAACAGCCATCGCCGCCAGCCTCCTGCGCGGGCGGCTCTCTTCTGGCATCGGGCAAACGTCTCCTGATATGCGTGGAAATAATGCCGCATCATCTGCTGTCTTGAATGATCAAGTCTAGCCTGCTGGTCGAGATACTCCAGCCGTCCAAAATGTAGATTCTGAATCACGCTCAGCGGGTGCTGAACCCCCTGCTGCGCGACCGATGCCATGAGCCCAGCAAGCATCAAAAAACAGGGTTCGATGGCGTAATGTGGTTTGATGACGGGCACTCCTCGATCACTCGTAGCCGGCGACGACATGGTCTGCACTCGAGAGGGTTGCAGAGATCCATAGAAGCGGGTGATGAACGAATAGTACGCCTGTGCCTTGACGTACTCGAAAGTGGAAAAGAAGACAGCGTATCCAAAGGAGTCCCGGAGGAAGGTCAGCGTCCACCCAGCAAAGACACCACGGAGACCGATCTCCTGAAGCTTGTGTTTCCCGTAGTGCCACATGCTCTTATACTGGCCCTCTATCATATCACTCGTCCGAAGACGAACCTGAAGAGCATCCAACGGGGCAGCCACAACAGACTGTATGGTTCCAGCCGCGAAACCCGCAGTGAATGTTTCCAACGGATGAGCAGGTGGGTATGATCTTTTGGTTCCCTCCGCAGTGGGCCGATGGAGCGCAGCGAGGACTTGCAGGTAAGACGTATAAAGGACAGCACCGACTCTAGACAACGTGTCAGATCAGTCTTCAGCGGTAGCTTATACGGATATCCAGATCCTCACCCTGCATTTGCCAGGAGCGGAGGCAAAACCTGATCAGGTATGAAACGCCATCCGTATGTACGAACAGCATGTGCAAGTAAACCAGGTGTGGTCGTATGCCAGGACCATCCTCCTTCAGCGACTCGCGGGTTTATTGCTCTTGCAAAAGCCTAGAATTCATGAATGACTGTTTAGCTATAGATCACATAGGTCGAGTAGGGCTGACAGTGGCTGTACCATGTAACTGACCGGGTGATATGTTAACGCACGTTTCAAAGGAGAGGAAACAGGGACATATCTTACTCAACCCGGGTACGGAAGAAGGCTTTTATGGGAGCTCGAAAGTAGAAGGCGATCATCTGTGCACTGAGAGCGCGCACTCCTGCAGCAGATGCTCCGGTGGCCGCATTGTTTCGAGGTTGTCTGCGAGATGTGCCATCGGAATTCGGATCGGTGAGCTCGTCCTCAAAGCTCATCGGATCGGTATAGAAGGACATATTCTAGAACGATAGCGTACTTTTGTCGGAAAAGCCTCCATCAGGGATGCAGAAAGCTATATTCGAGAGTCATGCAATATATATCACCTGGTCGACACAGGAACAGAGGCCGCAAACATACTGAACTAAACAAGACGAGATGAAGCGGACAGAAACAGAGGTAACAAATCTCTCCTGAGATGGACGCAAGACACAAAAGGCTAAGCCAAGAATGAACGGACCGCAGTTCTCCCTATCAACCGCAGCTCTAATAATCAAGCAAGAAGAAGAATGAATGTGTTAGGGAAGAATAATACTAATTAGTTCTAAGTTAGTTTACTGATACCGAGTAAAGAGCGAAGTGCCCGAAACTCCGGAACTCCGCAAACATGGGACAAACAGTGCAAACATATTGTAAACACTGCAAACATAGCACTCTGCGCTAGACCCAAAGTAGACAAAAAGCTGCCGCCCGAACTGTCACGGTCACGCTCGGCAGGGTCGTGCAACAGACGCGTTCACTTTACCTCGAAACTGCAGAGCTTGCCCTGCGTGCACGCCACCTTCACAACACCCCTTTGTGAAGACATCACTTCAGAGGCCCGTTTAGTCCCAGGTTCGAGTTTATACGTACCTTGCGGACAATCGCTTTTCTTCCAGTGGTTGCCTCGTAGGGGACTGGTGGCCGACCTCTTTAGCGCCACAACCCTCTCTTATCGACCTCAAGATGGCAGAGGAAATCGTTATCGACAAGAACAACTTTTTCAACCGCTTGTCTAGCTTCTATTCAGCATGGAAGGCAGACAGGCGGTCAGGAAACACTGTCTTTGGAGGAGTTGGCTCGATCGTCATCGTTATGGGTAAGACGGACGAGGCCAACTCTTTCCAGAAAAGCAATGCGATGCATGTGAGTTATTGTCACAGTTCCCTTTCTTAGCGCGATTCTGACGAGGTATGGTGTCCTAGTTCTGGTTGCTTGGATACGAGTTCCCCGCTACCCTTTTCGTATTCACTATCGATGCTATGTACGTTGTGACTACGGCGAAGAAAGGTGAGTCGCGATATTCAGCTATTTAGCACTGGTGGCGAGCGACATCCAACTAATACTGCGAACTTGTGAATCAATAGCGAAGCATCTGGAACCTCTGAAAGGCGGCAAGATACCGGTAGAAATCCTGGTCACTACGAAAGATGCGGAGCAGAAGACCAAGATCTTCGAGAAATGCTTGGATATCATCAAAACTGCAGGGGTAAGCATGTTCTGATCTGGACTCTGCCTCCATAGGCCGTATTGCTAACTTCAACAGAAAAAAGTTGGAACCCTGCCCAAGGATGCGGCTTCAGGACCTTTCGCAGACGAATGGAAACGTCTATTCGGAGATATAGCGAAGGATGTGGAAGAAGTTGACATCGCGCCCGCTCTGTCCTCCGCGGCTTTCTCTGTCAAGGGTCCGGAAGAACTGGTCTGCATCCGTAACGCAGCCAGGGCATGCAGTGGTCTCATGTCGGAGTACTTTGTGGATGAAATGTCTCAGTTGCTCGATGAAGAGAGAAAAATGACCCACAAAGCACTTGCATCCAAGATCGATGCTAAGATCGATGATGCTAAGTTTTTCAACAAATTGGCCAAACTGCCGCCCGAATTCGATCCTCAGCAAATCGATTGGGCCTATGGTCCTGTCGTCCAGAGTGGTGGAAAATATGACCTGAGGCTAACGGCTACCTCTGACGACAACAATCTGCGTGCCGGCATTATTATCGCTGGGCTTGGAATTCGCTACAAGACTTACAGCTCCATTATCGCACGGACGTATTTGGTCGACCCAAGCAAATCGCAGGAATCAAATTACGCATTTTTGCTTAGCATCCATGAGGCTGTGATGAAGGATATCCGTGACGGCGTTATCGCCAAGGATTTGTACAACAAGGCCATTGGCATCATCCGCTCTAAGAGACCGGAGCTTGAGAAACACTTTGTTAAGAACATTGGAGCTGGTATCGGCATCGAGCTACGGGATTCCAATATGGTTCTCAATGGAAAGAATACTAGGCCTCTGAAAAGCGGCATGACTTTCTACGTCTCCGTTGGGCTGGTTGATGTCCAGGACCCAGAGCCCAAGGAAAAGAGCAATGCGGTCTATTCTATGGTCATCACCGACACTGTCCGTGTCGGTGACACTGGTGCTCATATATTCACGAAAGATTCGGGCATCGATATGGACTCGGTGTCCTTCTACTTCGGCGACGAAGAGGAGGAGCAGAAGCCAGCGAAGGAAAAGACGGAGTCCAGGTCGAGCGCAATCGCAGCAAAGAATATCACCAAGACTAAACTCCGTGCTGAGCGGCCTACTCAGATCAACGAAGGCGCCGAGGCTCGCCGTCGTGAGCACCAAAAGGAACTAGCTGCCAAGAAAACAAAGGAGGGTCTTGAACGATTCGCTGGCACTACTGGGGACGAGAATGGTACCGCGCAGAAGAAGTTCAAGAGATTCGAGTCTTATAAGCGAGACAACCAACTTCCCGCCAAAGTCAAAGATCTTACTGTGTACGTGGATCATAAAGCATCGACGGTCATTGTTCCCATAATGGGTAGACCTGTTCCCTTCCACATAAACACAATCAAGAACGCCAGCAAGAGTGACGAGGGAGAGTACGCTTACCTGCGAATCAACTTCCTTTCCCCTGGCCAGGGAGTCGGCAGGAAGGATGATCAGCCATTCGAAGACCTGTCTGCCCACTTCTTGAGAAACCTTACTTTGAGGTCAAAGGACAATGACAGACTGGCGCAAGTTGCTCAGGATATCACGGAGCTACGAAAGACTGCTCTCCGACGGGAGCAGGAGAAGAAGGAAATGGAGGATGTGGTGGAACAAGACAAGCTGATTGAAATAAGGAGTATGTTGAAAACTAAGTCCACCTTCAGTCATCCATTACTAACTTATGAACAGATCGCCGGCCCGTTAAGCTCCCTGATGTCTACCTCCGGCCTCCGCTTGATGGCAAGCGTGTGCCAGGGGAGGTTGAAATCCATCAGAACGGTCTCCGCTACCAGTCGCCATTCCGGAATGAGCATGTTGATGTCCTTTTCAGCAACGTGAAGCATTTGTTCTTCCAACCTTGTGCTCACGAGATGATCGTTATTATCCATGTTCATTTGAAGACGCCGATCATGATCGGTAAGAGAAAGACCAAGGATGTCCAATTCTATCGCGAGGCTACGGATATGCAATTCGATGAGACCGGCAACCGTAGGCGCAAGCATCGTTACGGCGATGAAGAAGAATTCGAGGCGGAGCAGGAAGAGAGGCGCCGCAGAGCTGCACTGGACCGGGAATTCAAGGCCTTTGCCGAGAAGATATCCGATGCAGGCAAAGACGAGGGCGTTGACGTCGACATTCCTTTCCGGGAGATTGGTTTCAACGGAGTGCCGAATCGATCTAATGTGCTCATTCAGCCGACTACGGACGCTTTGGTGCAGCTCACGGAGCCTCCTTTCCTCGTTATTACGCTGAACGAGATCGAAATCGCCCATTTGGAGCGCGTGCAGGTAAGCTCTCAAAATCGAATAACTTACAGCCCCAAGCTGCTGCTAACTGTTTCACCTAGTTTGGCCTCAAAAACTTCGACTTGGTCTTCGTCTTCAAGGATTTCCACAGGCCTCCGGTGCATATCAATACCATCCCCGTGGAATCTCTTGAAGGTGTGAAAGACTGGCTCGACTCTGTTGATATTCCGTTCACCGAGGGACCTCTGAACCTCAACTGGACGACAATCATGAAGACTGTAACCAGCGATCCTCATGGCTTCTTCGCTGACGGTGGTTGGTCTTTCTTGGCCGCGGAATCCGATTCAGAGGCTGGCGACGAATCAGATGAAGAGTCCGCATTCGAATTGTCTGAGTCGGAACTCAATGAGTCCGACGAAAGCTCAGAGGATGATAGCGAGTTCGATGACGACGCTAGTGCTGAGGCTAGTGAGGATATCAGCGGGGATGAAGAGAGTGAAGGCGAGGATTGGGATGAATTGGAGAGGAAGGCGAAGAAGAAGGACGCAGAAGGTGGCCTTGATGACGATGACCGAGGAAAGAAGCGCAAGCGTTAATCGGCGCGTCTGGTTCTAAAAAAAATGACAACTACGCGGAACTGGCTAACATTGTTGATTGGGACCTTTATTTCACGAATGTGTTTAATTGCAAGGCATTTTTTTCTATTGTGCCAGAAGCATCAGCAAGATGCAATTCCGGACGCATTGTTATGAGCGGAGGTTGGCAAGGCAGTTTGGGGACAACTACGATTTACCCATGTGATCCCTAGGTAGTTTTACTTTTACCTTAATGCACGAACGCTTGAAATCTTGGTCTAGTCTGGTCTTGACATATTATTATCAATTGTATTTATGCTCTCTGCCTGTAAAGATAAGCTCTATCCAGACAACAGATCTTGGTAGTTGAAAGCTCACCAAGTCAGATTTCGTGCCTCAGTAGTATATAGTAAATATAGGATAAGTAGAACGAAAATGAAATAAGATTATAAGACCCCAAAAGAAATAAAAACCCTCGAATGAGTATCTGGAACAGGAAGCAAAATCTTGAAATCCTGGTTAGATCCAGTAGTAGTCTCTGAAAACTGACATGGGGAATTCCTGGAAGACAACACCGAGAAAAGAAAGAATGCAAGAGAGAAAGAGTAAGCAATCAGAAATGCTCCGTATGCATGGGCTGCATCTTCCAATATCGATTCATGCATTTATCCATTCATTTATTTCCCCTTTCTCATCTTCGCCCACATATTCCGCATCCGCAAAGTCTGGTCCTTCGTAAACCCCTGATAACAATCATCAGAAGAATAATCCATATAATTATGTATAGAATCCAGTCCCGCGGAATCAGGACACGAGTCCTGTCTCACTGGACAACCCTCCGTCGCTTCGGCTTGTAACGGCGTGTCGGCGATATAATCCCCCTCGTTACTGGGAGAGCACGATCCACCCTGGAATACATGCAGGAGGCCGTTCCAGTGCCCGACTTCATGCACGGCTGTTCCCCCCAGGTTGTAGTGCGTTAGGGGTCCGCCGGGCATGGAGCTGGCGAGGATGTTGCAGCCGTCTTTGATGTAGTCGGAGCGCGTGCTGGTGGAGTTGATGGTGGGGTCGGGAAGGGAGCAGAATCCGAGGAGAGAGGGCATGGTGGATGGGGTGGTTTGGGAACGGCCGAGGATTGAATCGCTGGGGGTGTCTTGGAGGTCGGTTTGGAAGTATATGTTGAGCGTGCTGTAGGTGCCTTTGCGGAGAGCGGTTTTCATTCCGATGTCGTCGCCGTTCTGTGCCCAGGTGTCGTTGATGGTGTGGTCGACTCCGAGGAGTTTGTATGTGATGGTCGTGTTGGAGTATGATTTTTGTAGGTAGGTGAGCTTTTTTTATGTGTTTTTTGATTCAGTGTCATGGTTATGCGCATCAATAGGAGGTTCTTGGGTAGGTGAAGACTTACCTGGTCAGATATCATCTTATCGGTCACCAAATCCGCGTTGGCTTTGGTAGTGACAATATGAAACCATGTCTCAATCTCAATGGGAGTTAAATCCTCTAGATTTCCTGCGCCGCTCATGCGAGCTTGGGACTCTATAGAGCCCAGCTGTCTTTGTAACGCCTTGAATGTTGCCCCAGGCTCGCTTGTCCCGCAATAGCGACCGCGATGAGGCGTGAAATCTTCTCCTCCATCTGCTGCTAATGTATAAGCGAAGGTCAAGCTTAAAAAGATCAATCCTACAAGCCACTGCATCGTTGCTGTTTTTGGCGCCGCGGCCTAGGTGTCTCGTAGGTGGTGGTTTTAAAACATCTTTATTTTTCAACTATAACGCCAATAAGTTCTGGTGACTTGAATGGAATGTAGTAGCAGAAACACAAAACATGGCGACGCGCCTGGAATGCTGTATCAAGGAGGGAAGCCAGGTTATATTATTTGCGGGGAGCCAAGCGTGTCATGCTCCCTCCTTTCCATATGAACCACATCTACAAGAGACAGAAAAAAAAGGGAATACCTGTAGCCGACTCATAGAAATACATTCTGCGAGTTTACGATAAAAAAGGGTTAAGTCCGCAATGAACGCCACGAAGAACCAAGGCCCATCCAGAGACTAAGGAAAACAAAATAGAATATGGCCGAATATATAATAGACCCTTCAAAGAGCATGCGAACCGAACCGGTCATCACGACCGGTGGTGACCGCTGTAGCATGTTGGTCGTTGTTCCAGGTCAGGTAGGTGTGATCGCCCATTTTCCTAGCGAGGAATGAGTATGGAGCCAACAAAGGGATGGGATGGGATTCGAATAAGGACGATCGGCGACATACCTCGGCTTCACCAGATGTGCGACCGTGAAAAGAGCGCCAAGCACGATACAGATGCCACCAACAACAACGTAAGCGATTCCCATGAAGGGATTCCTGCCTCCCATGACAGTGCGCGTCGAGATTAAGATCGATTTGGTGCCGCTATATTCGGTAACCGGGAAGTCTATCGGTTCAGGTTAGACATAGGTTGATTCACAATATCGGGTAGAAGACCACACATACAGTCGTCAATGTCTAAACGGTACACGCCAGCTTTCATCGGAGTGGTGTCATTGCGTCTTGACAGTTTGCTGAACGACGGCAGTCCCGCAGTCCTCATCCAAACCATCAATTCCTCGTCCTCATTGATGTTGGGAATCGGAGTCTCGTCATTGTACCCATTCGGATACCGGTCGTGCCAGTTGGGCGGCGGGTGCACTTGTGAGTTCTGATATTGGGTTTTCTTGTAAATTTGTTTGTCACTATCCCACGCAATACCTTTGTTCGTCATCTCGTAGGTGATGTTGCCTGCATCGACTCCCACCAGTGCGGGGCTATAGATAGTATCATTGAAGATGGAGTTTGCGATCAGTCCACACGGGTAGTAAGCCTTGCCGGTCGCCGGGTCGGTCGTAAGAGGGTCACAGGTGCTGCCAGCAATGGTACTGTTCGAAAGAGGTTTGCCCATCAGTTGATCGAGATCCAGCGACTGCACGTATCTGCGATGGTTCTGGTAGAAATTCGTCAAACGATAGTAGAGGAAAACAGGTGGTGGCAAGTCATTAGGAATCTCGAATAGCAGCGAGCAAACAGTAGTCTGGTTCTTCAAGATGGGCCTTTGGACCATCGTGCGCTGCCATGATGGCGTTTGAGTCTGCTGGGTAGACTTGAAAGTAGCTGTGACTTTGTCGGGGATCGGGCTGAAAGTCCCAACGGGTGCCTGGGTTTTGCAGTCGGAGTAGTCAATCACGATCTCTTGGACCTAAGATATCCCCGTTAACGTCAGCTGGCTACAACGCGTGAGAGGTTGCAACATCGACAGCATACCTGGGAACTAGCCCAGAGCAGAACTCCTCCAAGAGGCGCAAAGATGGTCCCTATAACGAAGAAGAGGGGCAGAACGGATCTGGGCGTTAAGATCGGCCTGGTTGATGCAGCGTCAGCAACGTAGATGAGGACAGACAAGGTTGCGATGATCGAGGCTGCTACTCACTGCCAGGCTTTAAGGCGCTGCTGTCGAAACGCGGTATCTGATCCGATCCACCAGGTCAGTACGAAGATATCGAGGATGGCGCGCAAGCCAGGACTTGGGGTTCCGCACTAGCCGGTCTTTTGCTCTTTTGTTTCTTGTCGCCGTCGGCCCGATGAGGATCTTGCTCCTCCACGGACTCAGGACGGTCCAGTTCTGTTCGCGACATGGCCGCACCTGAGAGTGATCTGGGTGTATGATGTGTTGAGCGCTCTCGAGACGATGGGAGATGGAGCGATGGAAGATGTTGACGGGCTCATGAAACAGACTGGAGATTAGTTACCTGCAGTCGGTGGATTAACGGAACGGAGAGCATCGAGTATTATTACACTAACGAGATGGGGGGGCGAACAGTGACAACGCCTGATTTGCTTGGCAACCAACTAAATTAATTATTGCCTACATCCACCGAGCTTAATAATATCAATGGGGCTTCCAGAAGTATTAATTAATATTTCTCATGCTACAATAATAATTACAATGGATTCAACTGAGAAGCATCTTCTTTTCAAGACAATTGTGACACGTAATAGTACATAATACCTGTAGAATATCCCCGCGAGCCCTTAGCCGCCGACATTCAATTTAAAATAATTGTTGCGGCATATTCAAGCATTGGCGTTCTCCACTGGGCGATTGTTACTAGAGTATGTACTGGTCTTCTCGTCCCAACGGACAGAAAGTCGGTGAATCGACGTTCTTCTGCGAGCTCTTCTCATTCGATTTTGTTTCAATGTTGTTGGTGATCTAGGCTGAGTCTCCTGTGATGTCTGTGTGGCTCTATACCATACTTGCTGTTCTGTCTCTTCTGGCCTTTCTCGTTAGTCCTGGACGCCACTACTTAGGTACTTAGCAACAATGCTTGTACATAGCTTTGTTCTAGTAAAGTGGGGGGATTCGTCTCGACTTATGGGAATTGCGTCTTGTTGTTCTCAATATCACGGTCAATATTGCGTGACGCGAATCCTATCCATAAGAATCCAAGAGTGAGAGAAGCTCCATCTTGCAGACTTCAGATATAGTTACCCAAACACATACTCTACTCACATGATACCTTATCAATCCTCTTCTGAGCCGACTTATAATCCCACATTGCTTTTTCTATGACTATAACTAGGTAACTACTTAATGATATTATTCCCTCAAGGCTCAGACTTCAAAGCTATCTCCCGCTTGCCCGGAGATCTCGTCAAATTCTAGACTAAGATTCTCAAAAAAGCACCCTGCATAATACGTCAACCCAGCTAAAAATGCATTTCATGGTTTCTTAAGGTAATAGCTATGCGACGAAATTGGCGCGAATGAGTTGTTTTACAGACCACGTGGACGATCGTGAGGTCCTCGATGAAATCCGTCTACTGGTCTCTAATTAAGAGATCTCGGATCCGGGGAGACCAAACCGGAGATTCCCCCCTTTGCTGAATGGTTCAGCGAGTTATGATAGTAAATATCGTGACATTTCAACAAGAAAGTCCACTTCTCCAGGAATGATAGTACCCCCCGAGACTCCCTGCCTAGCTACCTAGATAGGGAGTTCGTACACTTTCTTTTTTATAGTACTTTTTTTTTCTTAGCTGTCTAAGACACATAATACGATAGTTACTACAGTACTTCATATAAGACCAGACCGAGTTATGCTCGGCTATTGCAGACTGGCCATTTCAGGGGGAACGGGCCGCACTAATAACTAGAGAGCTCAAGCTTATAATAGCACGATTTCAACTACCTAGATAGCAAATATAGACAGCATTTTCCGTTGTCTCTAAGTACCATAAAAATTCTAGTATTCCTGAAGAGCACATGACTGACGTGTATTTGTGGCATATGATCTACCGTAAAATGGACATTCCCATAACCCACTCACTAGGTATATATGAAAGCTATTGGGGACAGCTGACTCCTCTATTGCGTAGCGCGCTTTTCAGGAGAGACTTCTACTAAACCATCTGGGAAAGCAAGTACATCACCCCGATATGGAGATAAACCAGTTATGTCATGTCATTATATTCACAGAAATGCCCAGTATGAAAAAGCCGGGCCATGCTACATGAATTGACAAGAGATCCATGGAATATCTGAGCTAATCGCTTAAGCTTTTATTTCAAAGGCATTCAATTGTCGTAAATAATCAATGTATAGAACTCAGCAGACGAGCAACATCCTCATGTCCATACTTTCTTGCCTCCTCTAACGCTGTCTGTCCTTCACTTTGCTGAGTAACGTCGGCCCCTCTTTCAAGTAATAGTTTAACGACCTCCATATGCCCACGGCCAGCAGCAAGAAGAATAGGCGAACCTAAAGCTCCTTGGGCATCAATATCAGCTGAATTATCCAGAAGTAACCGCACCGTCTCAAGATGTCCTGACAAACATGCCGCCGCGAGAGCGGTCCCCGCCAGACCTTTGCTGTCGATTGGGGCATTGGTATTGATCAGTTGCCTTGCAATATCACCAAGTCCAAAGGAGGAGGCATAGTAGAGGGGGTGAGGTGGGTGATTGAGGCCGTCATCATTATCTTCTGAAAAGCAATCCCCGTTGAAAGGAGTATATCCGTCGAGAAAGGCAGTCCAATTTAGATAAGCGGGCTCCAATCTGAAGAGCTCCATGATCATGGGACACAGAGTGTCCGCATCAAGGCCGGCTCGTTTTGCGTGCAGCGGCCAGTAGTTAGTCGCATATCGTAGCAGGAAAGATGACTGGACAACGTCTTGCATAGTGGTATATGGCCGGTCGAATTGAAGGAGATATGCGAGACAGACTTTGGCAATGCATGCGTGGGCTTTACTCTCCGTGATAGCGTACTGGCTTGCTGGTCCTGACTGGATCTGCGAGGAGGTCAGGTACTGTTTGACGGAGAAATGGGAAAGTCTGATCTGTTGGTGATTGACATCTTCGAGTGTCTCAAGCCCTGGGTTCCCAGGTGTCGTTGTCACAAATATGCTGGGACATAGGCCGAGAATGTCTCTTGGATCGAGGAATCGTCTATCGGGATCAAATCTAGTTGTGGATGCGAGGTCTACCGTGGCTATTTCGGCTAGTTCCTCTATGCTTAATGGTCGTGTGGAATAGGTGAGCCATTGTAGAACCATTGAAACGAGCCCTGAGTAATCCTTGTTGATTCGACAAAGCGCCTCTGTGTACATGGCATCCAAGGACCTTGGAAGGCAGCAGAGCGCCTGACGCAGCATAGACACGTTTAGACAATTCTCTAGGGCATCAAGCTGACATGCAACCCATCGGAACCTGGAGAGTGTGAGCCCTTAAAAGCTTTTCCTTGATAAAACCAAACTTACATCCCATTGGCATGAGTTGCCATCGTTTCTGTGATTTCGTCCGCCAGATCCGGTCGCCGCTGCCACCGTTTCAACTTGGGATCCGACTGGAGCCTTTCTTTCACGTACGAACGGATATCGATATCAACAGAAGTACCCTGAAGAACAACCTTGGCCCCGAACAATAGACGCTTGAACTGCATTTCTGCTTCGTCATCTTGACGACTTGTAATCAGCAGATGCAATCGTCCAGTATCCCAACCATCGATTTCGCGCAGGAACTCCCACAAGCGTTGTTTATTTACGCATTCATCCAGGGCGTCAAGGATAAGAAAAGCTTCGTCGTATTCTTGGACAAGTTCTCGGAGAACCTGTAGTAGCTCTTGAAAAGTCGGCTGATGTCCACCCTTGGAAGCAAATAGACTATCTACGGAGGGACGCAGCTTGTTGTTTTTGGAAATGAACTGAGAAATAACCCCTCGCAGCATATTCTCGGGCGACTGTCTCTTAGTGTCATTGAAATCAAAGTAAAAGTACGTTAGTACTTTGTGCGGATTGTGGCAACAGTTATCCTGTAGATGGTCGATGATGGTTGAACTCAGAATCGTCTTGCCGCATCCAGGTATTCCACAAACCCAGAGAACTTGGGACGCATCGGCTTTCCAGGACAGGAACTCCGTGCTTGTAATAAACCATTCTCCGGTCCCCGGATGTTTCTTGCTGCGAGCAACTTCATGGTTCATAGATGCATCCGGTGCTGCAAGCCAGCTCTGGATTTTTTGACGTTGAGAATCTACTCAAATTAGCCGACTTCTTAATATGTCGCTGATCAAAACCTTACCATTGCTGATATCCGAGGATGCTCGTTGCAAATTTGCTACACGCTCCTGCGTATCTGCTAGCAAGCCATTATTTTGGGCGGTTAGGTCCTGCATAGCGAGGATCAACCTCCTTAATACCCGGAACAAATGCATTAGATTCATCATTATGAAGAACATGAATAAAGAAAATAGAAAACTGACGTTTGATCTGTATCAATAGCCAAGCTCAATGTGCTCCTCAGCAACGCAATCTGCTCGATAGTTCTTCGACTTTCTGCCTCTTTAAGTGGCCAACTCAAGGCTCGCAGAAACGCCTGTCGTCTGGACGGAACCCGGCCAGCGTAATAATTCGATGGTGTTAACCGCCTTTCTAGCGACTCCAGCTTTTCAACCCCAATGGCCAGCGGGCCGAAAGGCTGACAGAGGAGTCTAAGAGTGGGGAGACGAGCGGAATTTTTGTTCTCCTCTTGAGCAAGGCGCACGAGTGACTCCAGCACGTTTCGGAGACTGCAGATCTCATCGATAATAGTTGAAAGTCCTGATGAAGAGCCAGTAGAGAAGCAGTTGTAGTTGTAGCAAATAGAGAGCACAGCATTTGCTGCTTGGAGAAGAGCGATTATGCTGGCTGTTACGCTTAAGGGATCCATTTTGGTTTATGGGGGTAGGCTGACATTTCTGGTGAATGAAGTGTACTTACAGCCTCTTATCCGCTGCTGAAGTACAAGCTAGGGCGATGAGCCACTTCGTGTATTCTCATTGGCTTTCTTAGCCTATAAGTGAAGAATCAAGACCAACTTTTTCGGATTATATAATAAAACAAGAGGATCAATGTATCCCAATTAAATACCTAATGTTCAATGATATTTGGAAGGAATTCAAATTCGGTGAAATAAATAATAGTGGGGCAGTTTATTGGAGCCCTTATGTTAAGCTCAAAATGATAGAGAAGCATTCAGATGCTAAAGCTGGCCAAATAGCAAAGAAAGCAAATACTTACCAATATCATGAATTGAACTCTTTATTTCATATCAGAAGATAAACTTATATCTCGCCTATCCACAACGCAGCAGATGCGGATATCATAAAGTCCAAGGACATCCCCGAACCTTCTTGGTTCCATCGGAAAGGGAAAGTCGCACATATTTGCTATCTGGGTACCTTCTGAGTCTCACTCTTATTCTTACGCCAGTGCTGTTACTGTAAAGACTCTGATGATCAGGAAACTGCATTCATTGATTTCTATAGAATCGGGACGACATCATGTGACACATTCAAGTCAGGGAGAAAGAAAGAAAGGAAGAGAGAGAAAAGGTCTATAGCTAAAAGAGATCGGAGACCGAAAAATATTTGCACGACTACGACCACCGACGATGACATCTCGGGGCCTTCATGCCTTGATGGATGGATTCTCGTGGAATCTTACTCGTCGCAACCAGCGCCTCCGGTCCTTGATGTCTGTCCGAGAGTGCAGGAACCGAGCATTGTCCATGAGCAAGACCATGTTCTCCTTGAATGCGAACGAAGGGACCGCCTCGCCAATCTTTTCTGGTTCGTTGAGGAGTTGTGTAAGTTCGGCCACAGCATCACATGCTGCCTTGTTGGCGCTTGGCGGATCAAGAAAGATATCGCGTCGGTATCGGACGTATGGCTTGCCTTCACTATCAATATGGAGGACTTTTCCTTTCACCGTGTCAACTCCCTTGTGGAATTCCGGAGGTACTCGGAGATCGAATTCGAAGTTCGTAAGGACATCAACGGTCGAAGGAGAGAGCAGCGAGAATAAGTCTTCTGCTTTAAGTACCCGGAAGACACCGCCGCCCATCTTGTCTGGATGAATGATATGGAAACCAAAAAAGCGAGTTGGCTTCTGTTCAAAAGCACCATCAGTGTGCCAAGCGAACTCGCCCAGGGAATGCGAGATACTGTGTGCCGTCTTTCCATTGGCTGTACTCAGCACACCTTCAGGCTTAAATGTGACATCCCAGAGAGCACCTTGAGTGTTGGAGTGCGTGTCTGCCTCGAATCCAAGTGTCTTGACAACATCCAGGATGAACTGACTGTCTGGATCTTCAAACCCGAGCTCGATGCCGACGATTCCATGCTCATATAATGCACTGAGATAGGCATCTTTGAGTGAGAGCCCGAGCTCGCGTGTGGGAGCCTTGAAGAGTGTTGCCAAGGGAAACTGAAACTCAGCGCTCTGGGGAGTTGCTGGTGCTGGGGCTGGGGCTGAAGGCTTCTCGAAGATAAATGGAATACTTCGAACGATACTTCGCAAGTAATTCGTCTCTTGGTACAGGTCACTAAGGTCCGGGGCTACGGCGGGCTTTCGTGCCTTCTTGGTTTCGACCAACCCTCGAGATGGCTGAGAGTTCACAAGCAAAGGCAGAGACCGCGGGCCATATGGGCGTGCAGGTGCCAGGATAGAAGGAAGTAATGCGGGAGTTGTCTGAGGTACCCTTCTGATAGAAGACATCTTCAATAGATTTTGCCACGGAGTGGTGAAGGATGAGTTGAAAATGGAACTGCAAGGCGTCTCTACCTCGGGGATATTGGCCCGCTTTATCTCTCTCATCCTTTGTGACAACACTCCTTCATCAGCCCACGATCTCTCATGTAGACCAGGGAACTACCAAGCACGACAAAACCACATCTTTCCGCTTACAGATACACTCCCCGCTGATCCTTATCTTTGAAGAAAATGTGGTTTCGGGGCTGGTAAGCTGCGTGCGTCACGCCTATCATTATTTTGGTGAGAGGAATCCTGTCTCATCGTACCACATATGGTAGGATCTTGGACCCTGTCCGCAGCATGTACTGATTCAGGAGGGCTCCTGTAGCTTTCACATGGCTGGTTTAGATTGCTCCAGCACACACGTTGTCTCCGTAGATCGTTACAATTGGGCCGATACTAGTCAAGGACAAAATCCTAGTCTTTTCGTGATAGCATACCTAACAGCTGAATGTCTCATCGCATCTTCTTGGCGGAGTTCGGAGGCCATTGTATAAGTGGAGTCGGGGAGTAGATGATCATTTCGCCAAGAATTGCCAAGCCAATGCATCCATGGCGGGCCGGAAGATCAAAGGAAGATCGTGTTGCTGGTGGACTCGCCTTGGTTACATCCGCATGTATCGCCCTCCATCCCAATTATCGGGCTCGGGCAGCAGTTGGTGCTTGATTTACTGCCTAGACCGTTGGGTTCTGGAATGTTTCGCACACTGGTCCATATATCAGTGGCATAATCTCTTCAGCCTGGTTTCCTGAACAACAAATGTCGCGGATCCTTCGTGTGGGATAATGTACTATCACACCATATGCGAAACAATTTAACCTTTGTCTAGCCCTGTATGTTGACAGCTCATTCGCCGAGACTTGGTAGCTGAAAAGAAAGGTTCAAACGAAGAAAACGGCCCTTCTTGGCTGCTTAGTGTGGCCTCTTGGTGAGACCTTGAGATAGGAAAAGAGTTGACTAGCGGCCCGCTGTGATCATTGAACCTGCATTGATAACGAGCTTGACCGGAACCTTTATTATCGGTTCCCGACGCTTCTGCATGCCGAATCCTATGGGGGCCAATTCATTCCGCGAATCCCTGCAGTTGGTACTTGGCCTTTTTCTTTATTTCTTCTTTTTTATCACGAGAATATCATTTTCCCTTTTCGGACATGTGCTTCCAATTATCTGGACGACAGTAGTGCCATCATTCTCCCCACAAGGTTTCTTCTTTTACCAAGCAGTAAGAGACGTGCATGCAGGGCACCTTGTGAATGGCTTGCATATCCCTCTGACGGCAAATAGTTCAACCGATCGTCTTTGCTTTAATCCCTCCGAAGACCCTGCGACTTGGGACTCTTCATTCCTTGCCCCAGCCGTTGTCTATACTCGCTTTGATGTCCAAGAACCACGAAACCTTCTTTGATCCTTCGAAACGACCTAGCTTGCAGGGTCCTCTCACGCCAGGATAGACATCCCAATGCCGGAAAATTCTCGTCTGAGACGGGCCTGCGATGGAGCAATATGGCTGATCCTTGATCAATGGTTCCTCATAGCACTCGGTATCGTCATAGCCATCGCTTCCCAGGTCCAGGTAGCACAATCCCAGCTGCAGCTCAAGCAGACAGTCGTCACCTATCTCTGCGTGGCGATTATCTTCTTCATCACGGGATGTACTCTTCCAACGCAGGTGCTTTTAGATAATTATTCCCGATGGAAAGTGCACTTGTTTGTGCAAGTGCAGTGCTTCCTGATGACATCTGCGGTAATATTCGGAATTGTTAGCGCCTGTGCTACCAATAAAAACTTCATGGACGCGGGTCTATTGATTGGTCTGATATTCACCGGCTGTGTGCCGACGACGATATCATCCAATATCGTCATGACTCGGAAGGCAGACGGAAATGATGCCCTCACTGTCGTGCAATCCACAATCGGGAACTTCCTAGGGCCTTTCCTCACACCACCTCTTGTTCAGATGTATATATCGACCCATGCGTGGTACACGGATTTTCTCCCTCATGCTTCAGGCGGCTATTCAGAGATTTATCGGCGCGTCTTCAAACAACTCGGGCTGTCCGTGTTCCTTCCAATGGTATGAGAGTCTCTTTTCTTCCCTTGCACCAACATTAGTTTCATGGCCGATAGACCGATTCCATACTCTTTACTGACGCAGCGAGCAGGTTGTAGGTCAAGTCGTCCGGTACTTCTTTCCAAAAGCCACCCGAAAAGTATTCATTGAGTGGAAACTCAACAAATTGGGCTCATTTTCCCTCCTGGTGATTATCTGGCAGACTTTCGACCAAGCTTTTGGTGCTGGCGCTTTCGCTAGCGTCAAGGGGAGTAACCTAGTATTCATTGTGTTTATCTCAATCGCCTATTTTCTCATTTGGCTGGCGGTCTGCCTTCTACTATCAATTCCGTGGCTCCCAAAGGAGGACACCGTTGCGGTGGCCTACTGTGTTCCTGCAAAGACCCCAGCGATGGGGGTACCGCTATCCAACTTGATGTTCGTTGGCCTGACATCTCTGCAGCAATCGAAAATACAGATCCCTATGGTAATCTTCCAGGGTCTGCAGATTGCCATGAGCAGCATGCTGACTGTAGCATTCCGAAAATGGATCCACTCCGGAAAACCGAAGGAGGAAGAGAGTCTATCTGAAGACCACGATCGAGACTCCAGCGTCATTGCCAATGGGAAATGAGAGGAAATGAGGACTTGGGTGGTAGCGGTGGAAAGTTTCAGGGGTTTCTTCGCGGTAAAAATAACCAATGCTTGACCACAACTCTGTATTGTAGAACGCGGAGCAGTTATCTTTCGGAGATAAAATTTGTCATCAAATAGAATTTCAGGCCTAGAACAGGATTTTGACACGCAACCGAGTGCGATTCATGGATTGGACAGACTTCTCAAAAAGAAATTTCAAACAGAGCGTGCGTGATTCACCCGATGTCACCCGTCATCAGATAAGCATAAGCCCATATAATAGGGGCAAAGGTGTAGATCGAGGCTAAGAAGTTTGCAGAAGGTTAGGAGAAGTTGATCCTCCCGGTTTATTTCCATGCTACCAGCAGTAGCGGCCGCCGGAGAAATGATTATCGGGTAAGCGTCCATGAGAATCCGGAGCATGGGCGATCAGAACTAGCTCACTGACCTCCCGTGGTTGGTAGGGGGGCCGCCAGATCATCAGAATAAGCTCAAGTTCGACAGTGAAATAAGCATTTCCGTGGGATGCTGCAAGCTACATGACACAGCAACTCTCAACGGCCCCAATCATGTAGCCGCCTTGTCTTAGAGGGTTTCTTCGTCATGCATCCTTCGCCAACGCCGCGGGTCCAGATCGACAGACTCCTGGACCGTGACGGGGCAGCAGAGCAAACCGGGAAGGGCTGCAGGCTGACATGCATAAAGACTACCATAGACATCCCTGGACTTTAATAGAGATTGCTTGGTACACTGTGCAGCCAAGACATATCCTGTGGATCATCTAAGTTGAAAGTCTCAAAGACGGTAGAATCGATGCCCTCTCCAAGGTATATTTCGTCGAGAGAGTTTGGGGCCGGCAATAATGGGAAACTCTGGGATTGCTGTTCACTCGACAACGTTGAAGTTACCCGATGATGGGGCTCGTGTCCTTCCGAGACTACTCTATCGTAAAGTATTTCGAGTGCAGCAATGCAGCGTCGCGCTGACGTGCTGGATTCCTGATACTTCCTTAAAATTTCAAGTGCAAGGTTCCAAGACCGAGTAACTGTCGGTTCGGTTATCTCCGCCACGATTGCCGAACGGAGTCGGCCGGCGATCAAAACAGTAGCTGCTGTATACACATCTGTTGACCTCAGTGTCAGCCCTTGTCGAATGCAGGAGACATGCAATAGTGAAGATCTTACATAAGATATTATACCACCATGCTGGGAGTGGTCCATTAGTGCCGTCGGAAGGGACCTTATTGTAGATTAGCTCAATCAGTTCCTGAGCCGCCCTCACACAGATGATTGAACATTGGAGAGTCACTCGTTGCGGGAATGAACCGGAGAGCGAGATGAGCGGGTCTTCACATGAAGAGTCCCGGTTTGTGCAATAACGCGATAGTGAAGGCCGGAAGAGGAGCATCCTGACATGCAGGAATCTAAGATCACGGCGATTCAGTCATACAGAGAACAGTCATTCTGCTAATTCATTCGTTGCCCACCTCGACCTAAGCACAATCGATTGTCGCTGGAATATCGGGTTCGCCGCACTTTCGCCATCTCGCAAGTGTGGTGGCAGTCTCCGACACCATTCTGCAAGAGCACGGTCTAGTTCAAACACTTCACGTTCACCATCACTACTCTCTTTTTGGGAGCAATAGTAGCTACGACCGTCGTTCAGTCGTCCTTCTGGATTTGAAGAGTATAGCCGTACGAGTATATCGTTTAGGATCTCATAGAGTTCCAACGACCTTTCGAAAAAGTTTATCAAAGATGGCTCATCTGCCCGCTTGCCCGGCCCATCTCGACCGCTAGGAGATGTGGATTCATCATTGTCGATCGTGGCAGGCAATGATACCCATGAATACGACGGTTCAGAAATCATGGTGGGTCGACCAAAAGTCATCGAGACGACCCTAAACACGGTCAGAAAGGGGGCCTATGGGGGTAGGAGGTGCATACCTGTCCATCAAGACACAACCATTCCAAATGATGCGCGCCAGCCGTTGTTCCTGTAAGCTCTCAAAACGAGAGATAGTAGAAGGGAGATGTAGTCCAAGGCTTTGAGCATTCCTGACCGCTAAGCCAATGACTATCCAGCACTGATGTGCCGAGTCAGTGCTCTGCAGATACTGGCCCATCAGTAGGAGACACTGGATCAGCTCTGCGGAACCGCTATTCCACAAGTTGAAGTGGAGGAGCTCCTTAGCTCGAGAGAAGAACACATCCGCCGATGCCCTCCGTTCTCGTGGCTCTATCGAGTCAGAGAGCTGACAGCTGAGTGCGAATATGGTATTGAAGGTACACATCAGCATGTTCTCGTCGTATTCAGAACTCTCTCCCGTCCATATATTATTATATTGCGCATTGAGTTGCGCCCTGTCGACAAACGGGTACAACGGGAACACAAGATTCCAGTAAACATCCATTAGACCATCCGCGAACTTGCGCGGAGGTAGCGCGTAAGTTGCAAGCTCCGACTCCATATTATTCTTCCGTCTCGACATCAAAGTCGATCGAGGAGGATTCTCGCCAACTGAATCTGAGGGTCTAGACTCTGGCGAGGATACTTTCTCTTCGACAGCCGACTTGACCTGCTTCATGAAACTAGTTGCACTCGAGCTTCCAAAGAAGCCTTGAGTAGGTCTCTCTTCAACAGCACCCATCATAGCATTTACCCCGTCGGACATTTCCTCCCCGCGTGACGGCTTCCCGTTGAAGTGCAAGGAGGTGTTAGTAGCATCTGAATACCGGTTATCCTTTGATCTCAAGCTCCACGGTTCTGACCCATCGTCACCATTCTGATCAGAGCGATAGCTGAATATCCGCGGAGTATCTAGCGAAGTAGGCACGGTGGCAACGGAGCCACCTCGAGGAGAATGCTGCGAGGCTCCAACATGGACATTCACCTAGACACACACCACACTGCAATCAGCATCCATATTCATACGCGTATAATCAGTAGATATAAGACTTAAACAAAGCACCTACACCAGAATGTTCCCATCCATCTGACGCTGGCACTCTGGTTTCAGAAGTCGACAGAGTCCTCAATGAGGCTCTTTCACGCTCAAGTTCCCTGACCCGACTCTCAAGACGCAGAACATATCTGTCCACGAAGAAACCACCACGTCAGAACAGAGACAACTGCGTCTACCGTCAAAACCAGGAATTGGTCAAGGCTCACTCTCGCTCAATAGACCGTTTCCTCTCCAAGTCGAGAGTATATACGCACTGACGGGCCCTCTTGACGCATGCTCCGCAAACTGGAATCGAGGTGCTTATTTAGCTCATCGTACCTTAATTCGAGAGACAGACGGAAAGGACAAGAAGAAAGACGAGACGAGACGACTAACCTGGATGGGCACCATCGCAGCGGACTTTCCTTGTACGACACTCTACGCATGCTAGCGCGACTTTGCGTCTCTTTGCTCGTCGTTCTTTTGGTGCCTGGCTACTGCAGCTGGAGTCATGGGAGTGGTACCTCTCCATGGAGGTGTCATTGAATCTGGATTTGCTTTTTGGTAAGATTTTTGAGGAGAAAAGAAGACGAGACTCATTGTTGTTTATTTGTCCGCGCGACTTGGAGACGCTGCTTCTGGACTCTGGAGTGCTTCCAGTGGGTCCGCCATCGGGTTCTCCGCGTTTGCGGGGAAGTCTACTTAGGTAACTCGGCTAAATTTGGCCAATCTCCCGGATAAGACTATCAGGAAATGAAGTTCGGTAATTGTTTGTACTGTATTAGTGTTATGGTCTGATGTGGCTATCTGGCCTATCCCATATAACTGTCAAGCATATAAATTATCCTGGATATTTATATTTCATTTCCGCGGGAAAACGCTTCATATATCAACTACCTAATCAGTATACTAAATACATGCATAGAAGTGTAAAATGTCAGTAAAAGAGTGGACAATGTCGCATCCAGATACCCCATAAACATATACAAGAATATAAGCTCAGCAGATATCGCGTTTGTGATCACCATCCCACGTTGTTTCGTAAACGCGCGTCAATGCAGGTAAGGTTTGTAGGCAAGCGAGCGACAAGAAGTTCGGTATCATTTAGCGACATCTTTCAGAACGAGTGTCCCACCCTCCTCGCCCAAATTGTATGAACGTCATTTGGAGCGCCTGATGGGAGTCACCGCGTACCGTCCTAAGGTAGCAGTCGGGGTTGTGCCTAATGTGTTAGTCGGACATGGCACTTGGAGCCCTTGGGTCAGCATGGACAACCCAGCTGGCTGTAACTTATCAATAGTCGAAGGTGCTGGGAGAGTCCCAACATAAGCGTTGAAGTTATAAATGCCGCAGATACATGTATCAACGATGTCCTTGAGACTCGTACCACTGAGGATTGACTGGCCGTTGCGTGTGACTGAAAAGACTTGCTTTCCCACGCCCATTGGCACACTAAAAGCACTAGCCCCAGCCTCGGCGGAAAACGTTTGGGTGTTGTTTCCAGACTGTACTTTGATTGTGGCAGGCTCAGTGAGGAGAGAGACGACGAAGACTGCATCTGCCAGTGTCTCATAGCCGTTCGGACGGCCACGGAAAAAGTTCCCACTCGAGTTGTTGGGATTCCCTTGCTCAGTGTTGTCTGTAGAGTTACAATTAATACTCTTTGGCGTGGGTCGATACCAGTAGATTAATTGATCATCGGTGATGTACTGATTCACTGAAGTACTACCGGCCTTGTATGCGGAGATGAATGGCTTTGCCATATCCAACCAGCCATCGTGCGGCCTGCGGAAATTTAGCTTCAGCGACTAATATAATTAATTAAACTTCGCGACTTACATGTCCATGACCCATTTCGAAGCCCCATCATCGTTATGGGGAGAAGAAAGAGGTCCAATGTAATGCGATTCTCCATAGTCATTCCACGTAATAATCTCGACAAACTGTGGACCAAGTGTGAGAAGGTCATTCCACCTGTTGAACCAAAGAAGGTCAGAGGGGAACACCCAGTTCTTGCTGTAGGACACTTCTGCTCCGTAATGTGTCGAGAACCAGGCCGATGCAGCTGTATATTTGATTCAGCAACGACAAGGTGGAGTCTTTAGGGATGAGAGACTTACGGGCAACGTAAGGCTTTCCTGATAGCGCTGTAATGTATGACTGATCACCATCGGCCACTGTAACATTATGCCCCGGCGTGGGAGCTTTGTTGTCACCATTGTTATCCCATGCCATCCAGTTCAAAGCACCGTCGATGGCACTAAAGTTTCCTTGGCCCGGATGGAAATTCGGTGCAAAGAATATCTCCGTCCCTGCGGAAGACTCGAGTGTTGCAACGTCGACTCCGTCTCCAGCAAACGACGAAACGACAACTTTTCCACCATAGGTGAGTTGTGCAGGGAGGCCAGCATATTGCTTCACTTTTGCCCCAATATCACTGGCTTGGCTAATACTCCACCAATTGAAATCGAAGGAAATGAATACTTTCATGTCATTGTTTGCGGCAGATTGGTACGCATAGCCGAGTTGCGTGTCAGTGTAGGAATCAGTGCCGATGTTCAAGGCAAAGGCGTCAATCCCGAGAGATTTCGCCCGTTTCATATCGTCATCATAGTCTGATGCATTCTGACGATTGCCAACAATCCCTATCTATAACGAGATGTTAACTCGACCCGGTATCAAACTCAACTAGAGCACCTACCATGAAATGACAAAACACAAGTCTGTCAGTGGTATTTGCCCTAGGAGACAGGCGGTCAAAGGTGACTGTCATAGGGACCGCAGCGACTATCATGGTGAGGCACTGGAGTAGTATCATGAGAGAACATCCTAAATGGATCTTCATCTTGACAGAAGAATAAGCGAGGTACGTGACCCCGAAACTCGAATGCAGAATGATTCAACAAAAACAGTGGATAAAGGTTCAGAAGTCTTGATCCTTTACTGGAGAATTCAGCGATAAAATAAACGAGCGTGAAGATGGGTGCGTCAGAGAGTGACTCAGTTCAATGGGTGTGTCAAAGAGTGACTGAGTTCAATTCTTTGTGCGTAGGTTGCTCCTTCCTGGGAGAGATTGCTTTATCAGACTGATCACCGAGGACATCCTTAAGGCTTCCTTCATATTAGTACGAGGTCGCTTCTCCTTTATATGTATATGTCCCTGTCATATTGGGCATCTGTAGCTTGATTGCATAGGATGTAAGCAAAAGTGCAACTCCACAGCGTGACTGTAGCCAAGCACATCATGGGGCACCTGGGGATTGATCCTTGCCGTACAGAGTAGCATTTGTCGATGTCGCATCATAAAAAGGAGAGAGTGTATATCCTGTCACCATCCAAAGAAAGACTGTGTAAAAGAATGGACGGACGATCGATTCATTGTTTGTCCAATTGCCAACAAGAACTCTTATGTTTCGAAAGAACCACGGGGCCACCCCGGTCAACTGCATCGGTCAGTGCTGATTCCTGACAACTGTCCAGAGGAGGGCAACCTTACAGTGATCGTTCCAGATTCACCGCCTGATAAATCGCGCAATTCACATGGTACAGATTTTCTGCTACGATGTACCAAAAGATGGCATAACGACATGTCTTTAGTAGGTAGGTAGACATTTACAATCACTTCAAACATAAACAAGTTGGGGAATTTCATTGTTTGGAAAATGGTCTCACATTCTAGTTCTTTGTGCACTAAACCATTTCGAACAATGGAATGTAGCGTGTTTTGGTATCAGACAAGGCTTTTTCCCGAACTATGGATAATCAGGTGAGACAACGCTTAGGGTTTCGGGTACTTTGATCCTCGATGGCTTGGTAATGTTATTCTAGGTAGCATGTTAACATATGGAAGTACTGGATCAAGTATCCGGGTCGATTTCTGAGATATCTTATTACTAGTTACGTGGACCTTGGAGGTCATGCGAAGTCAAAGTCCCCTTGGCCCGGCACCATGTGGTTGGTTTAAAGGCCGTTAGGCCCGATCTCATGTTTTAACTCTAACCCCGGAATCCAAGCCATAGATCGTGCATGGCTCTCTCGGGAACGCCGTCCATGCGGCGATGTCAGCAGACAGCCTTACTGTCGTCAACTGGCGCTTCAGTAGTATATGATTGGAGATCTTATTGTCGACAGGGACCCAAACCTCCTCCAGTAGATATGCTTACCTCGATAAACCCTAAGCGCGCAGCCCTGTATTCTAAGTCATGCTCTACTTCAGATGCTACGCTCACACATTTTTAACGCGCAAAAGGTTTCCATCAGACGAGCACCCCCAGAATTTGGTTATCCCGCGGCTTCAAGTAAGCATTGCATCCACTATGCAACATATGTTGAGAAGAATAGCCTGTGACCGAAACATCATCTGGACTCTACAGACGGACCATAGAACACCATCCACAGGTTATTTACCTTGAAGATGTTTTCCCATTTCATCGGTTTGCATGGGTCAGAGCGCCATCCCCATATATGTGGATCATGACCGTCAGTTTTAGAAGATGAACATCTGTAAGCCAGAACCACAGATGGATACTAGATGAATTGAACGAATCTTAATATATCCGGTTTCCGTCAACCAACCGTGTCGTGCGCTATCGCCGGTGAGATTGGTAACCCGGACTAGGTACTATATTGGTGGAGCCAGTCGTGCGGTTTGATGCGAGTCATAGCTACTCTAAGCTGGACTGGTTGAAACTTCCAGTCTTACACGTAACTCGCAGTAAAGTACAGTAGTAGAGGCGGGGAAAGTGTCTTCGTCTTGGACTGAGTTCTGATTGGCGAGCCCCGCGTCATTGGAATGCCATTCAATAGCACGCCCATGAGCGGAGAAATAGCTGATGATCGGGCGAGCGTAATTAGGCCGCTTAGGAAGATCAGACAGGCTTCTCCTCATTTTTTGGAAATCATTGCATCAGGAGAAAGAAGAGATATGGTAACATGTGAAAGTGGACAGTGGATCTCCTCAGCGGTTGGGAGCAGATGTTTCTATGAAATTAAGCGTTTGTATGACTGACTTCCAGAAAGTATCTATCTGAAAATGATCGGGTGCAAATAAAGGCAGAATCTGGGCTCATATACCGTAGTCTACTCATGAGTAGCAGATCAACGCTGCTAACTCTATAGCACTGCAAACGCAGACACATAACTCACAGAGCTATCTGATACGGATACCACGTCTTCACTCCGCTCATATCGAACAAAGCGGAACTTGCCGTTCGCGGATTTGGAATTGGGGCCCAGCTGCTCTAGGGCTGCCATGATCACACCTATCGGGTGTCGCCCACACACGGTGTTCCCTGTCTGGTGAATCACGTCGAGGAACTTCTCTGCCTTGCCGGTAGTTATGGCCGCCATAGTTGCAATGTCAAACGCGGAGATGCTCTCGTGGATCGCTGGTTCTGCAGAGCTGATGCGGTCCCGGTGGTGCAGGTGGTGGCCAGCAGACACCGACTGGATCTGCTCTTCTACCTTTTCAAGATCTGGGTATGGCTGCGGGAGGGAATCATAGGACAGTGGAAGATTTGGCCCTGGTGTTGGCGCTTGTGGGACGTAGTACGTATAACGGAAACGAAGTCCCCAATGACAGAAGTCAGAGCTTATGATAAAGGCATTTGACGGATCCTGAAGATAAGGAGCAAGAAGCGCTCCGAATGCTTGCTCCGTCGATGCTGAAGTACTTCCAACCATGATTGGTACCAGGGGTGGGTACTGAGAGGCCGGCTTGTCTGGATATTGAAGTTGAAGAAGACGATGGATGTAGGGTAGATGGAGTTCGAGACTATGTTCCGCTTCATCAACGGAACGTGACATCGTTGTGAAGCTGACCGTGGACCCATTCGGCTTAACTGCTTTGGAGGATAAGAGCTTCGTGATCAGATCCGTATCAAGCGGCAGAGGCTCGTCAGAAAGCGGGGTGGAGTAGGATGACATCTGGGACAACGCCAGCGTCGAGAGCGGATGATGATGAGAGGGTCCCAGGAGGAAGATCCGTTTACTGTCGGAGGCATCTTTAGAGAAGGAATTCTATCCTGAGTTTGAACTCTTTCTATGACTTACGCCTTCGAGAGATCTAGTGCCTTGTATGCATACGCAGCGCAGGGTCCCGAGTATGCATATCCAGCATGGCTTGAAAGATGTTAGTATATATCTCTACAAAGTAAATAGCGTCCAGTAACTCACGGGGCGATGATTACACGGGCGCCAGGAAGTGGCAGCGAGCCGAGTCCCTCTATCTGGTCAGGAACCTGGGCAAGCCAATGGTCCAGCTGACGGCTCAATGTCCGAGAGTTGTCAGAATACCAAGACCCCGCATGGGATGCTTCCCTGGAAGGCATTGTAAAGAAGTATTATCTGTAGCCGTCGAGATTCTCTCCTCTAACTCAGAGTTATCATGAACTAGGTGGTCCGAATGGCTGACGTGATACTGCGGCGTGAAGCGTTGAGTCGACAGTCGGGAGCGGGGTGAGGTCGTCATGGTGGAGTGACTTATGCCCATGGCTTGAAGAGATACCCCGCGGCATACCGAAGACTGAATAAGTTACTACCAGATGCCCAAGGCACTTGTGTTACGGCGTGTAGTACCGACTTTACTATTTATTCCATGGGCCAAATATAGAACAATACTATATTGACGTGAACTATAGCAACTATAGCTATTACACACCGGTTTACGGGTAACTAGCACTTCCCCCCGCATCCGGATAATGGTCCATATTTATTTTGGCGGTTCCCATTTACATACGACGGAAATAATCTAGATTGATTTGTATGTACAACCAATAAGAACTTATGCTATTCCCTAAATTAGAAGTCTCATTTAGTCAAAGAAGATGTGTTGGTCAGAGTTGTTCCTATCGCGTGTTCACGTAGCTTGTGGCGTAAAGTGGGAGCCTTCAGTGGCACTCTGGCGCATGACGACATACAGTGTGGACAAAACTATGGCAAGGATCGCTTGGGCGATATCTTGGAGTTCATTCCATCTAGATATCCAGGCGCAAGGTTTCAATACAGAAGGCTTTTTATCCACGACTTAATATGTATTACATGCCCTTGAAAGAGAAGGAGTCGAGGGTAGATAAGAATTCAATTTAGCCCATCCTTGCCTAGCGCGTTTCTCCGCGTATGACATCGCGTTTTTGGTATCGTCAAACGCGTCTCTATCGTCGCGGCGTTTCACCCAACCATCGCTAAATTCTTGCTGCAAGAGCGTTACTGGGCCTTGTTTGCTTTGACTCCCGCAACCCATACTCAGGAGTGTCTCATTCCTCATCCCCAGCCCTCAAGGGAACTGTACCCTTACTCTGCCGTTAGTTACACGCCTTGAGTCCTATTTATTCAGAGACAACCCTTATTCCGTGACCTTGTCTGCCATATACCCCCTGTTTTCGCAAACACAATGGGCCTCAAGCGCAAAGCCTCGTTTACCGCGTCCCCCAGTGCTACTCCGGTCTCGCCTGGCGCCATTACCACATCAGACGAAACATCCAGATATCTGCCTAGTCGAACAAGGAAGCGCTTCAGGGACGACCGCCCCGACGAGCAGACTATCTACGGTGAGTGATACTCTTCGTTATGCGTTCCCTCGAGGGAATGGCAAGGATCGAATATGTTCTGACTGTCAACTATTTAGCGCAAACTCTTCGTTGGCTATTCTCCGCCGCGCAGAAGCCGACTCCTACTCTTGCCGCGGACGAACCCACAAGCCCGCCTCCTCCATCAGAGCCGGAACCTATCGACGCGCGACAACAGACATTGGATAAATTCTTCCGGCGAGTGAAAAGCGCTGCCTCTCCAGCAGTCAAGTCTACCGCTCCTCAACAAACGGAAACACCATCATCAGCCCATTGGAACATAATGAACCCCCGCGCGAATGAGGGCAATGCTCTTACGAGCTCAGATGAGAGTGGATTAAGCTCACCGAACTCGACGGTCGATATTGAAATGGATATGTGAGAGTCTAGCAAAACGCACTCTGCGCCTCCATCACCACGCAAGTCGTGGCCGCTCCTTCACAATGGGGAGACATCAGCAGGGCTGTTGTTTTTAGTTCATGTATATTTTTGATCCCTGTCCACGCTCCTCAATGTGAACTCGCATGACCAGCTACTGCTACTGGTGCATGATATCGGTTCTTGTATAGCTGTGGTGCTTCTGAGCACTCTTAACGACTATTTGCCATTTATGAGTCTGTTTTTTTGTGGGTTATGCTGCAAGATGGAGTTTCCTGGGAGTATCTGGTGAAGGAGGTTATCTGCATAGAAGGTTTCATATTTTCGTTTATATTATATCTGACCTGTGCACTTTCGAGCGTTGTTTATTTGGGATATGGGATGGCGTTACAGGCCCTAGGCTGTTTGTTAATATTTGAGGGAGTTAGCTGTTAGTTGAAGAACAACGTGTGGTTCGACGGCCATACTTAAGGGAAAGATCTATCCTTGAAAACATGTTCTAAAACCATATGAAAGTTCTAGTTGTAGTCCCAATCATGATAGGAGGCGAGGCTGATTTGTTTGCGTCTGGTCAATTAAGAAATAGGCAGTAGGCATGGTAAGCATTTGAAATTTCATCCTATCAGGATAACTGGATCACATCTTGGTTGATAGATTGCCTGTTGATGATGTGTGAAACCAGAGTGTGTCTAAGTATTACCCCACGTTCCCGAAAGTCGGACCGCGCCGCGTTCAAACCTCAAGCTCTCTCGGACTGACAACTGCCTAACCTCCCTCTATCCTTCTTAACGGGCGCGACTGAACGAGAGCTTGGAGGGTCCTTCTACGATCTTGCGTATCCTCATTGATTTCCCCTCTATTCAGACGTTCCTGGTATACTCTCCCCTCCGCAAGACAACCGTTCCTGCATTTGGTAATTCGGAGTTGCCCTCCTTCGTTGTTACCGTGCAGCGGCAAAAAGAGAGCAACATGGAGAACAGTGCAGCTGTCCAGTTCCTCGAGTCGCTTCTCGGGCGAACACTCCGCATACACACGACTGACACGCGCATGTTCGTGGGAACCTTCAAGTGCACTGACGCGGTTCGTATTCCCCGGTCTATCTGCGAAACTACTGCTACAATGGCATCGCATCCAAGCTTCCTGAGTTTGAATTCTTTTGCTGATTTATTTTTCTGCGTGAACTTCAGGATAGGAACATCATCCTCGCCGGGACATGTGAATACCGCTTTCCTAGCCCTTCCGCGGTTCAAGCTGCGGCTGCTGCTGCTGCATCGAAAGAAGATGAGACGCAGGTTACGAAGGCAGATACGATTAAGGTGGATATGACTAGCCGACTGATCGGCCTTGTCGTCGTACCGGGGCGATATATCACGAGGATCGAAGTGGAGGAGAATCCAGAAGAGGTTCGTCTGCGCGAGCAGCGAAAGGGAATTGCGACTTGACAGACGTCTGTATCACTTTGAGCCTTGTTCAAACGGGGAGCGTTCAGCGTGACCGGTTCTTCGACCGTTCTTCTGGCACATACTTGTGAGAACTGGCGGTGTCGAGCTCCTCCGGCCAGAACAACCTGGCTACTTGACGTATCTTACTACTCCGTGTCTTGCTCGCATTTCTCTACTGCGTTGCTGCGCTTCCTGCCTTGGCAACTGTGCGGGCGCGTGGACCACTCCAACCTCGGAGCTCGAGGAGGAAACAGTCCGATGCTAGTTTTTTGCTTGGCGCAGCGGAGGCATACTGCGAGTGGCACGGCGACTTTGCAGGTAGCACAAGGGCTTATCACGGCGCAGGTGGAAGAAAAGGCGATGCGGAGTGACGAATGCGCATTGATTCAACCCGCATAAATCTGGCCAGCATTGGCGACGGGGTATTGGACGACGGACTGGACCCCTCGGGTCTAGAAGACCAAAATGGCCAGCATCTCGATTACCTCCGAACTTACAATGAGAACGGACTCGTGTAGTATCTTAATCCGCATTATTGACGGTCGAGAACGCACCAGATTCTCGTGGTTTTTTCAAGTTGGGCAGCATCGTTTCAGGACAGCCTTAGGCACCATAACCACTCTAGCCGTAGCATACGTTATCAATCTATTTATACTCCGGGGATGAGGTAAAACCAGTGGGGGTTCTGAGCATATTATTATTATTGTTGCCCCTCCAGACTCCAGAGCCCGGAGCCTCCAGAAAGCCCTGGGCGTCGTAGTGTCATCATCTGAGTGCAGCCAAGCAGAGGCAGGCAAGAACCAAGGTTCACACGCTGTTAGTTGGCTATTGCCTGGTGAATGTTGATGTCAGCGAAGGCGACAGAGCAGCGTGGCCTATGCGTTTGAGGAGGGAGTAAGACAATCGTCCCGACTGAACTCCCACTAATATCTTTTCTTTTTTCGAATTATTGTGATTTCCTTTTCCGGCGCTTGATGCCTTCGGGTATCAATTGGGAGACCTGGGAATCGATAGTGAGTCTGTGTCGAACGACAAGCGGAATCCAGAGACAGACCGACTAAGTTAGTTAAGCGCTGGCCGTCGGAAGCGGCGGGTCACGGGACGGTAGCGAGCGATCCAGACCGAAACGGACGGACTGACTGGACTTCGTTCAGCAGGACCGAAACAGCTTTGCTTCCAGCTGGAAATAATTATTACTCTATCTATCGACGCTACTCGACTCTAGCTACTACTCCAAACCTCTCCGCTCCACCCGCTGCGGACCATCCGAACCCAGCTTCGATTTCTCATTATTTTGCCATCTTGCTGAACGTCCCGTTTCAACAGGTATTATCTTCCTCCCCTGCTCTCTTCGTAAGTCAACACCCCCCTCCTCCCTCGTCGAGGCGTTGTTGCTGCTCTGGTACGTGCGAATAATAGCCCCAAATGGCCCATCATGACATGACGCATGTCCCAGCCTCCTCTTCCCCACAGGGCAGATGTTTGGAAAGCCTTCAATCCCCGTCCGCTCATCCGCTGTACTCTATCTGTCATTCATCTGTACACTCCCCCGTTTGTCTCCGTGGACCCCACACCGTACTGACTTTGAATCAAGCCCTCTCGCTCTGTCCAACTGCTGGTCGACGGGCAGCTGTGCTTGCTTGCTTGCTTTTTGCACTTTGCAGTCTGTCAGACGCTGGTCGCAGAATTGTCTGCGTCAATCCAGACAGCCATCCTCCCTCTCCGGTCCAACCAGCGTTGGCACGCTCCAGCTTAGCTCGCCGCAAGTCGAGCTAATTATTGTCCGCACGGCCAGATAGTAGTCAGTCGAGAATCACATCCGCACGCTTGACCACCCTTTCTTCCCTGAGACCGCTTTGCCAGACCGTGGCCTTGCCTCCCCGGTCCTCTCTACTATCGCCCCAAATCGTCCTTGTTCGTCGAGACCGCAGCAGTATTCTGTCGTTTCAGCCGTTTATCGTGTGTTCCCTTCCACACGATCCTCCAAGCTGCGAATAACAAGTCCACTGTTGATATTGTCCTGCATATCCCATCCCGCTGCGAAGAGGGTTGCCGCCAGTTCCGTCTGTGAGCCGTAGGCGGCAGTCTATCTAGCCCCTTCTGTGCTCTGAAGCCTCCAGTTTTCCTCGCGATGGGTCAGTCACAGTCCAAGAGCGGTTCACGTACGCCAACGGGACCGGGCGACTCGCTGCAGTCGTATCCCTCGTTCTCCCGATCAGATACCAAGGAGTCTCTGCGATCGCTGCGGGGTTCCATTCGGAGCAAGATCCCTGGAGCGGGCAAGGGTGGCAGCGACAGTCCCAGGGGGTCCACGGCTGGGTTGGACACCGACAAGTCTGATGCAGGTTCAGTAAAGTCTACCAACAGCACGCGCTCAGCTCGAGCAAACAGAGCTCCGTCGAACGCATCAAGCCAAAGCCAAGCTCAGTCCCCGGGCTCTGCGGTATCCGATGCAGATGCTGTTCCAGATCCTCCTCCATCTCCTTCCCAGTCGACGTCGTTGAATCGAGGCCATAAGGATGTGGGTGCTGCACAGCAGGCAGGCGAGGTTGACCTGGTGTCCGACGCGCCCCCGTCCGTCCCCCCAATGACGCCTCTGGCCCCGGGCGAATCCATTCTCATCAAGCACGAGAATCAGCTCAACCCGATAATGCAGGAGATCCTAGCTATTGAACAGGCCAGCAACTCTCCCGGGGTGGGAATGGGAATGGGCGCATTGAAGTCGATTGATCTGGATGATATGATCTCACGTCTCCTCGATGCGGGTTATTCCACGAAAGTCACTAAAGCGGTATGCTTGAAGAATGCTGAAATCACGGCAATCTGTACTGCTGCTCGCGAGCTGTTGCTGTCCCAGCCTGCTCTGGTTGAACTGTCTGCGCCTGTGAAGATTGTTGGTGACGTCCATGGTCAGTATACGGACCTGATCAGACTCTTCGAGATGTGCGGATTCCCACCTGCAGCAAACTACCTCTTCCTGGGCGACTACGTCGACCGTGGTAAACAATCTCTCGAGACGATCCTTCTTTTGCTGTGCTATAAGCTCAAATACCCTGAGAACTTCTTCCTGCTCCGTGGAAACCACGAATGCGCCAATGTCACTCGCGTGTATGGTTTCTATGATGAGTGTAAGCGGCGCTGCAACATCAAGGTCTGGAAGACGTTCATCGATACTTTCAACTGCCTCCCCATCGCATCTATCGTTGCTGGCAAGATTTTCTGTGTCCACGGTGGCCTTTCGCCTAGCCTGTCTCACATGGATGATATCCGCGGTATCGCTCGTCCCACGGACGTACCTGACTATGGTCTTCTGAATGACCTGTTGTGGAGTGATCCGGCAGATATGGAAGAAGATTGGGAACCTAATGAACGAGGTGTGAGCTATTGCTTTGGAAAAAAGGTGATCATGGACTTCTTGCAGAAGCACGACTTTGATCTGGTGTGCCGAGCGCACATGGTTGTTGAGGATGGATATGAATTCTACCAGGATCGAATCTTGGTCACCGTGTTTTCTGCCCCGAACGTAAGTGTTGTAACTGCTCCTTGGAGCGTTTTCCTTTCGTCGAGTCTTTGTTTGCTAACAGCGTGTTACATAGTACTGCGGTGAATTTGACAACTGGGGTGCAATCATGTCGGTTTCAGGAGAGCTTCTGTGTTCTTTCGAACTGCTGAAGCCTCTCGACTCGAGCGCCTTGAAAAGCCACATCAAGAAAGGCAGGAATAAGCGGAACAGCATGCTCAACAGTCCTGTAAGTGCCCGATCTCTTTCTCTTCTACTTTTCTCATTTCGCCAAGCTGGGGCACGCATGTCTTGTGTCACAGTGCCCAGCTTTCTGTGCACGCTTGCCATCTAGGCTTCAATCTACGGTCATCTACAATGTTGCTTACACATTACTAGCCTGCTACGGTGTCCGCCCAGAGCTACTAAGCCTGCCAAGTACTTGTTGCCGGAATCGTAATTTGCTATATACCACTATCTATAGAATCTGGGCCTGGTCGTCAACGCACTATTTCTACGGGAAACGACCTGACACTTGGCTCTCTCAAGGCTGCTCAGCCTTCGCCGTCAACAACAGCATCGCATATGACTCTGCGTGAGTGCACGCGCCGTTCGAGTCCTTCATCTTTCATCGCATCTTCCTTCACGGCCCAGCAGAATTCGGCTGTTCTGAGCTTGGGCGCAGAAGCTCAAGCCTCCCTTGATGCGGTGACCGCGATGAATACGATGCGAAACCACGCGACTAGGGCTGTGCATCTTGATCCCACGTTAGCTTTACCACTGCGATGCAGGATAGACTCGAAGGTGAACGTTCCGACTGACATCAACGATGAACCGGGAGTACCCCCGCAGATTCTCCCACCGTCGCTGCATCATCATCAAACTGCTCGCCGTGAACGTGTTTGGGCCAGAAGCCAGATGGAGACCGGGTTGCAGGACGAGCTCGGGCTTGATATGCCACAGAACCATCACGATTGGCAAGGGGACGATAGCAGCGATATATCTTTCTTTTCGGAGTACGCTGGAGTTCCATTTTAACATGTTATGACCTATGTAGACCAATCTCTTTTTTTGACGGACGGGTGCTCATGGCGCTCCCGCTTTTGTGGTCCTTTTTTTCTCTCTCTGCTGTTCTTTTCCGGTGTATGTAACGGCCATGATATCGCATATCGATTATGCGTCTCTGGGTGCATCTGACGGTCTCGCCTGGGATTTTTATTACCCTACTATTCAACGTCGGTTTACGAAAGAAGGTGCGACAGAGGCCAATTTATCTCTTTACTCTTCTTCAAGTACAGCTTGATGAGCTTTCTCCAATTCCCTTAGGATTTTAGGCACGCATACATACAAAAATATAATGACTAGTTCGGAATAAGATTTATCAATTATGAGACAACGACATTAGCCTTGTAGAAGTAAGTTTGTTCTAGAGATAATATCCAGTACTGCTGCTGGCCTGTATCCCATTTCAACTACAAGAAAGAAATCAGAACCTCGAATACATTACGTACGGACTTAAATAGTCAATGAATGAATGAGGCAAGGAATCGAATTCGATTGATCTCAGTACCTGTACCGAACACAAAATAACATAAAAAAGCCCGAAAAGAGGATATCGCAAAGATACCATTCTTGCAGCAAATTCAACCTTTGCAATAGTACTAGAACTCCCCAAAATAGACACGATTGCGCTCTCACTACATGTGTTTAGATATCATGTACGTATGTATGTATGTATGCATGTTTCATTCTGATATAACTTCTCTCTCTTTCTCTCTTTTCGTCGTCATCGTAATTGTAATCGTCATCGTTTTCACATTTACTATTTCTTCATCATCTCCGCAAGAGTAGACTCGAGATCTTTCTCTGAAGAAGAAGAAGATGATGATTCTCTGTTCAGATCCTCAGAGATAGGACTTAGGCTTATCATGCCGAAAGCGGGATCCTGCATATCAAAGCCCCTTATTAACGACTGGGGTAATCCATTTAATTCTAGTCTTTCCTCACGGGTTGGGCTCGGGGAAAAAAAAAAAAGGAGAGGTTTGCGGTAATCGGACGGGTGGAGGGAAGGGGGCGGGGGAGAGGGTATGGGTTTAGGTAAGGGGGAGAAGTGGTAGCTTACGTGCATGAAGTAGATTCCAGTGATGGTTTTTCCGCTTGCTATTTCGATTTTTTTTGGTCTTTGACGGACGTGTGGACCGGAGGGGAGTCTGAGGAGAGGGATCGCGCTAGGTTGGAAGATAAAGGAGCGGTTGCGGTTTGTGGTGACCTGTGTGTGTGGATTTAGTAAGGAAGAAGGAAGGAAGAAGGGGGTGCGTGTATGGGCTCGGTGAGGACTTTTCTCAGGGGGTAAGGGAATGTTTGAACTTAGTAGGTAGTTACTTTACCTTTAGAGAGGTTATGGCGCCATATCTATACGATCCCGAACCAGAAGAGCTGAGAAAGAAATCTCCATCCACTTGGATTCCTGTCAGGCGCTCTCCGCCTGGACCGTCGATTGAAAATGGTGTCTTGACAGAATCATCGCCGCTAGCAGTCGAATGGCAGGCTCGTAGAGATCTCAATGGAGCGTCTTCTGTGTAGTAGAAATCGATTCCTACAATGGCTGCTTTTGATACTGTTACCGATATCTTGGTTAGGTATTTCAGGTATTGGCCGTTAGGCCCGCCAAACATCACATGGATAATGGGTCGATATTCGTAAAGGGAGACGCTTCTCCCTGCGAAGGATGCTTCGTGGAGTTCGAGATGCTCTGCTGGAACACTCGGGTACCAGAGGCCAGTGGATCGGAGTGGGAGATGCTCATGCACTGGGTCGTCTCCGAAAAGAGGCTCGCTCGCAGTCGGGACGGCCAATGAGACCATCTTGAAGCCCTATATGCCTGTTAGTGTCATGTCGCGTCCTCATAAGCATCTTTGTTCTTGGAACTCACGTCAAAGAAAGCTCTCAAGGAGTTGAGTGGCTTTCTCATGCAAAGTCGGGTAGTTTGGGGTAGACCATCTGGACTGCCCACCCAACTCGAGATATTTCCTGCCGTAGTTACCACTCGCAAGGCATGGATACCTCTCGGTCCAATTGCGAGAATGAAGCCATTCAACCTTCCGTTTAATTGTCGGATGTCTATCTGTGTCTCCGAGTTGGGCAGTACATAGCCCAGTAGCACGTCGTCTTCGTCGGCTGAAATCAATCGTAGGCCGCAAATGTACCGCTTTCCGCTAAAGGCACATATCGAGACCTTTATCTGGTATAAACTCTCAGGGATCGTCACGTCCTGCTCAAATATGGCTCTGCAAGGCATTCCAGAAGGAGAATGACCTTGTGACCGCGGAAGAAAGTCACCGCCTGCTGCCCTCCAGACGTCTTTACCCTGGGGCATTTCTCCCCGAATTCCGTGTTTGCTTCTTTCTAGACCTGGGCCTGTAAGAGGCCTCTGAAGAAGGAGGTCCACCAAGTCTCTAGTAGATTCCCAGATTCTCTTCCTGTTCATCATTTCTCGCGAGGATGCGGCGTTCAATGCAGTCTTTTGGTAGAGGATCTTCCAGTCACGAGCTCTCTGCTCCAAAATATCACTGCATACCGGATCTGTCGCTTCGTATACGAATCCGCGTTCTTGAGATCGTTCAAACCTAGAGGCCCAGAACGCTTGACTCAGGGGAAGACTGGCGAAAGACCTGGAGACTGTTCTCAGACTGGACACGCTGCACGACGGTAGGAGCATCTGGATATGTTCAAGTAGTTCCTGTGGTAGCTGTTGAAAGCAATCAGGCTCTCCCTGGAAGACAGGAGAAATTGGGTTGGGGCTAGATTTCTCTTGTCGCTCACGGGAGTCCACAAGGGCTTGTTGGAGTTCAGGGACGTGTAGAGGTTCAGATTTGAAATACGTCAGTGGTGAGTCCTCGTCGCCCAGATACCGCTTCACGTATCCGACAACATAGACATCTTCCCAAGGATAGCGATCCAAGGGAAGGCGATCCATTAGTCGTCCATAGTCGTGACCCCAGTCCAACCAACCCTTCTTATGAGCAGGACATGAAAGGCATATGCTATAGAGCCGCTCCACTGGTACTGGGGATGGGCTCAGCATCTTCTGGAGCAATTCCCAGCATGTTTCATGGAGAATGAATCCAGGACGTGGCTGTCTGGGAACCCCGATCAACGGTGGGAAGACATCTTCCTGCGTGTATTCATAAGTAGTATCATCCCAGCGCCTGTTGGGATCTGACGGAGCAGATACTGGACTATGACGAGCGATGTAGCCACCGACTCCGGTTAAGAATGGCTCTCCATCAAGAAGATCTGGATCCGTTTTACAGCGAACTGGTCCAAGTCAGCATGATCGGTTCCAAAAATATAGAGATCAAGCTCCCTTGGGAAACAGAGAGCACAAGAAAACATAGTACAGACTTGCACGGAACTCTCTTCGCCAGGAGTTGCCCATATGGCGATATGGGACATCTGCCCCGCAAATAACGCAAAGCGGCGACACAGCCTCCATTGTTCGATGCGTACTCGACCAGTTTGTCGTGCAGGATATCCTCGGGTCTCAAGATACGTTCTTCATAAGTACTTAAGAGTACAAGAACTGCATCAGAGCAGACAAGTGGCGGAGACTATGTCCGGGAAGATGATGGAAGATATCAATGCAGCCCTGGGGGTGTGTTGGAAGAGACGAGCTGGTTTTGGATCACAAAGAGAACTGCTCCAGTCAGTAGCACATTATGTAGACGAACGAAGGGATGAATCGAATCAGGCAGCACAATATAGGAGCATCAATACATTTTTGGCCCCCTTGGTTAGTAGCCAGCCCGGTGGTCTCAAGGGAGCAATCAAACGAGCGGAGAAGCTACGCACGGTGAATCCTTTAACGCCTTGGAAAGATCGAGGATCCATTCGAGATGCGCGGTGAGCTGATGAAGCCAAGCCAATCGAACAGAAAGATGCAGCCGCGGCAACTAGGTAACAATCGTACTGCGTTGGCAGCATCCGACGCTGTGCTTATGCGGTTCGGGATGAGGATCGGCATTGTTTCTCCTCTCATGACAGCTGATGGTCTGGGGCACACCATAAACGAACTGAAGCCAATATACTTACTGCATGAAAAACCAGTCCTTGAAACTTTTTGTACGTTTTAGAATTACATACATCATTGACCTTGTCAACAAGAAAACCAAAAAAATGTCTATGAATACGCCGCGCAGCGAGCTCAAGATGCTCTAAAGACTCACAACTGCAAGAACTAGACTATTCCATGCGCTGTTGAATTGCCCTACTTCATTCATAGTCCCTCACATACCGACCGGGCAAATCCACATCCCACATCGGTCGCTCCACAACTGCAACCTCGAGAAGACCTTGATCATCTTCTGCGTCCTCATCTTCATCTTCATCTCCCCCGGATCTTTGAAGTGGGACAACACCAAGCAGATCTCGGTACTTGTATGTATGCCACCATCGGCGTGGTGGCTGCGGATGTCCATCATTATCAACCTGCACGAGCTGTTGCTGCGAGGGGGAATCAAAACGGGCTTGGGCCTTTTTCTTCGGCGTAGGAGTATCACCGTTTGCTGTACCATTCAGAAGGCGCTTCGAGAGATCAGCACCGTTCTCTTCCTGTCGAGAACCGCGGCGCAGGCGAGCTAGATTTGCTTCACTCTCGGCGATGAACTCTTCGTCATGCTCGTAGTCGTCTCCGTCGTCACCACGTCGATTTCTCTTCTCGAGCGAAATCCACTCCCCTTGGGCCTCGTCACGGCCGTCAATCTTGCGTACTTTGGTGCCCATGGAGACGTCAGCCTGTGAACGGGGAATCCGGTCTCCAGCACCACTGTTTTGCTTTTTCCTTTCAAATGCTTCGTCCTCTTCCAAATCCCGTTTTCTCTTGTGCGATGCAGCTTTGACCAGATCCGTGCTACCCTGGCCATCTTCATGGTCATCGAGCTTCTCTGAGGGGAAGTCCTGCGTCAGATCGAACATCCACAGCCAGGATGTGCCGTAGAGCCAAAGACGTTCACGCCCATCATGAACGTCCCAGACAGCTCCCATAGCTCGGTCTTTGACACCAGTAAATTCAGCCGGGAGATATGCCTTGGGGTTCCGCCTTGACCATTCAGATAGCTTTCCTTTCGATGCGTCGAACTCAACCAGTTGGTGTTCACTAGTCACCACCATCAAACGGTACTCTGCCGTCTGATTGTCATGAGCAGGATGGTCAGATCCGTTTGTAAGCAACTTCGTTTTCGCATCAGCCTGGGGGCGGAAGGAGAGCAGGATGATTCCTGATTGTAGACGAGGTATCGGCGACTCCAGGGATGCAAGTTGCCAACGTTGACCCTCAATAATAGGCTGCTCATCCTCATCGTCGGACTCCTCATCAGAGTCTTCCTCTGCTCTCCGTGGCTTCTTGGATGCATCTTCTGTGGCATCCGTGAGCGTCCAGGTGTCCACGCAGCCAGATAAATCTCCCGCTGCAAGGATTTTGCTGTTATCGGAGAATGCAACCGATCGTATCGTCCTCTCAAAATTTCCGAGCGTACCATGTCCCGCTTTCTCATGTCGAGCATGGCGCGGGGCTCTCTCAACCTTGGTGAGCTCAGGGAGCACCTGGGGCTTTTCTTGCGGGGATACCGCTGGCACGATCCTAGCAAGGTAGATATCGCTATTAGGACGGACAACACAGAGCCACCGGCTGTCGGATGATAGGGAGACAAGTCGCGCCCCCTCGTCTGCCAAGTCGGAAGGAAGATCTAGCTTCTGCACGCGGAGAGTCCCTCTCTCATCACCCTTCCGTCTGCGGACAGAGAACAGCTTCACGCTAGAGATAGTGGCGACAGCAAGAAGCTTGCCATCCGGCGAAAGCATAGCCGACGCGATGTTCTCTTCACCCTATTGTTCCATTAGAACCGCATACCAAACAGCCGTTCATGCTGATGAGATCTTACCTGGACCAGAACCTTTGCAACAAGTCGATGCTTCGGCGCATCGATACCTTCGGCCAACGACTCAAGACCACGAGACATGCGCCATATGCTGACCTCCCTATCCCAGAAGCTCATTATCAACCGTGAGGACGGAGCGGATGTGATCTGCGGAATTTGTGGGAGGGCAGAGAGCTTCCTATGGTGTTCCTTTCCGAATTCTCTCATTGGGAGAACAACAGGAGAGGCGTCAGGACCTGGAAATGGCGGTTAGTTCTCTATCACAGCAAATTGAGTGGGCATGGATCATACCTCCGGACACGACAATGCTAATTTCCTTGGTCTCATACACGGCAAATGTCTTGACATCATGTGTATGATACCGCCGATGCATAACCTCTGCCCACCTCCGTCGTTTGTCACCCTTCTCCCCTTCCTTCAGCCTATAAACAACAGTTCTCTGATCGGCACCTCCACTGATGACGGTCTCACCATCTGCACTGACAGCGACGTCCAGCACATCCGCCTGGTGGTTCTGTAGACGCTGAATGAGGGAGTAGTTCTTCGCATCCCAAAATCGGATTTCTCCGGTCGAGTCACCCGAGACGATGGTACCATCGGGCAGACACTTGACCGTCCAAACTAAGATCTCCTTTGGCCCACCAGTGGGACCCCTACCAAGAGATACAGTCCTCAACAGCTGTCCGTTTCGAATATCGAACAATCGGATAGAGCTGTCGGCATATCCGGCAACGATAATATCGCGAGTCTGGAAGGTGATGCTAAGAACTCTTGCTCGCTTCGTAGATGGACGCATTATTCGTAGGAACTTGAGATCTGAATCGGCAGTCGATAGAATGACTATCGAGCCGTCCGCACATCCCGCAGCGAGATGCTGCCCAGTGTATTCTCCTTCTGCGGGAGGCAGAAGTTTTCCATCCTTGCCTCTTTTTGTAGCTTTCCACCTTGGCTGAGCTGCTAGACACCAGATCTCTCCATAGTTTCCACTCGAGTGGCGTGCAGGACGGCCCTGCTCGAGGTCCCACTCCGTGACCGCAGTCGAATAACCGATACTGAACAGACGCAGTTTGCCAGGCAGCTTGCTGTTGCTGCCATCAGGGTTATCCTCTGCCGGATCAAGTGTCCAAACAAGCCCTTCGATACTGCGATCCTTGCCTCCTCGAAAGACCGTCTCTTGAAACCAAGCGCCTCGCAGGGGATTCCAAATCTCGATGTCACCGTTCGCGCGACCAATCGCAAGTCTCAGGGTCGGAACTCCTCGTCCAGCCTGATCTGCCGCCGGAGGATGCGAGAATGCTAGCGCATTGATTGCCTGGGGATTGTATGGCACGAAGCGACAACGATGAATATCCATGGCTGACGGTATAGCTGCGGTGAACTCGGTCTGAAATTTTGCGCTGAAATCCAGAAATGAAGAAGGCAGACAAAGTATCGCGATCAATCTGTGCCTTCTACGACCGAAGTCGCCCGCTATGCAGCCATGTCACGCACCGAGATATTGCGTTGACGAGGGTGTTGCTGGTGCTGCGATTCTTTTTTCAGCGGTTGCTATCTTTTCTTCGCGGTTATTTTCTGCCCGCCGAACATTTTTCCTATGGGGAAGTTTTTCCCGGGGCCGTATCATCACGTGACTCGGTTCCACTTACCCCTATGTTTCAGTTGGCTGGAAAGTCCTGTATCTAGTATGTACAGTACATTAGAAAAATATTGAATGCTTGATTGCTGTTCCCAGTCTCTACAAGGCATTTTATGAGCTAATAGATGCACTAGGTAGTACACATGGTTATCTCATTCATTCTGGCTAGGTCATCATTATATGCCAGGAGTGGTCCATCGGCTAGTCTAGGCTAACTACCTTAGGTAAGTGTACGGAGTACCATATACATAGTTATGAGATATCTGATGAATTTCCTTATTGAATCACCCTTATCTCCTAAGTTTGACCCCTCAGAATTCGAAACATTGGCGAAAACAGGTAAGAATATGCTAGAATCTATCCAACATAGAAATAAGTATAAGCCCGTTTAGAGAAGACCTGATGGTCCAAGCGAAATCCTATACAATACGAGACTTCCTTGTCCAGATGGGACTGAAAAATCTCTCTCGGTCGAGCCAAATGAATCGCATCCATTCACTACCAATAATGATAGTTATTATAGCCTCTGGAAAAAGCATTGTAACGAGGATATGTCAGCATTGGCAGAAGTGAGATAGAGCAAGAATGATTCATCCTTGATCAAGCGCTTGTCTATGCATAACTATCTCACAGATATTCCAAGTTTACTAGACAAGGTAGCTTGTTCTATTTATCGGGAATGCCTCGTCTAGAGGGTATCAGAAGAAAGAACAAGTCATATATACAGCAGCAAGAATGGGTTGTCCTATCTATCATGAGATTCGTGCATCGGGCTTGTTCATAGAGAGCTGACAACACATATCCTGTAAGGATGGTTCTGGCTCGCTAGACATTCTATAGAGAGCTAGTCGGGTAATTAGAGGGATGTTATGGTATGTTCCATTAATAGGATTATCGATGAAATTCTCTATGCTTTGATGAGTGAGGCACCCTATTAGCTATCACAGCTCGCAGTCACAGCTTAGGCCAGGGCATCGCTTCTCATAGTAAGGAGGGCTCCGATACCTTTAATCGATTGTCAACTGATATTCACCGAACTCGCTTTCGTGTTAAAGGAAGTTTTGATAGTCCATATGCCACATGATCGTTGATGTATAACACGTTATACAGGAAGTCGAGACGGAGCAGGTAAGTAATCCATGGGAGTATAGACTTTGACGTTGGAGTATAATACCGTCGCCCAATGTATCGAAGCTGCAATTTCTCTAGAGAACTGTAAGTATTACTTATTGCTTGAGCGTTCATCGTCTCGATCAATGATTACAACAAGCACGCGCACCCGAACCAGGCGGTATTTCAATCCGACCCCTGTGTCGCAAACGAACATCGAGAAACCTTGCTTTTTTATGCAACAACGGCACAGAACCTGAAATAACAACGCTTAGTAGCCAGCCATGATATCGCCGTCCAGCTGTGGTAGAGACGCGACGAAGAGCAGTGCAACCTAGAGCACGCAACACAGCACGGCATTGAAGGTAAGCAGTAGTTGTAATTATTGCCGGTTCCTGTATCGATGTCATGTACGCAGGGTGTATATGGTATCTCATAGGTCTCCCAAAAAGATCGGAGGATTGCCACGTCACTCGGTCTGGTATGGGGTGGCTTGCCCGTGCGGTGCGGCGGATGATAATGACGAGGGGCTATTGAGCGTGCCCCTCGTTTCTCTGTCGTGGGATCCCTGATAAGATACGCATTTGAACTCTGGCTATGCCGCAGTCTCAGCCCAGTAGGAACTATTTCCTGCTCTCTGCCAGGGGTTGCCTGGTTCTTTGCGTGCATATGCTAGTATCAAGCGCAAGATCTGGCTCGTGGAGGCTTTGGGGCAAATCATGCTTCAGGTCGGTTCGCCGGCGAAAGAAAACCTGGCATTACTCGCGCAGATCGCGCAGCTGCGACGTCTACTACTGCCAAGGCGCTGTCTTTCTCTTACATTGTGAGCTGAATCGATGAGGAGAAAAGTTCAATCGGGAGACCTGATTGGAAGCTATGTTTACAAGGTTAGAAGACTGCGGGGCGTTTGAAGTATTGTTAAATGGCAACTCCGCGTTGATAAACGCACTCGTGGAGCTGGGTTTCCACTGTCGAGTGCCACAATCGCCAGAAACTTTCGACCAGATTCAATCAAAAGCATTTGTTGGTGTCTCTCTCAGGGGATCGAATGCATCATAGCAGTGTAAAGAGCGCCAATTGCATCTAGCATTTCTGATTGAACCTCCGCAAGCGAAACGCGCATCTAGGAGTCTCCGACAAGGACCTATCGCGTGGCTACCAGGAAACTAATCCATTTGAAATTCTGGGACGCGAAGACCTGGGAGCAGGCAAGGCAAGCGGTTCGCGATTCCGACGCAAAGGATAGTTAGAAGTTTATCTGCGACTATTACATCTATCTCGCAGCCAGCTATAAGCGCGCGACGACAACATACTCAGCCATAGCGTGTTCCCGAAATTTGGATCATTTATGTGATACATCTAGACGTAACCTCGCTAAATCAAGTACCTGATTTGTGTTAAAAGAGCACGAGACAAAGGCAATTAGTTAAGAAAAGAAGAATGCTTACTACAGGCGGCGTTGCAGGTAACTAACTAGATGCATACTTAAGCCGGCTGCATGCGGGCGTCTCAAGATTAAAGAACAAGATATGACTAGAGGAATATGCCTGTATTTCAAAAAAGGTCTATTCCCTTTTCCCGTTTACAAGAATAGCCATTGATGGATGGCGCTGTTGATTACGATCGTACACGATCGCAAAAGTCGATTATACTTCCGGGTAAACCATCAACGCGCAACCAGAAGTAGGCATAGCTGCAGTTTCAGCGGCGCAGGTTCTGTCTCGAGTTTAGCACGACCTTCAACCTTCAATAATGTCAGGTTCTTTCGGGCTTGGCTCATTAAACTCCCATAACAGGAAATCGTGGTGTTTTGAGTACCTGTTCTGCTTGAAGCATAAATCACAGCATGCTGGCGTGCTAATTTGATAAGTATGTGCATGGATGTTTTCCTCCCGTCGGTGGCAAGAGGGATTTGACAAGAACCCCTATGTCAGCCAGCGCGGGTTTCATAAACAACTCCAGCATAAACGTGCAAGTATATAATCCCATTGACTCTATGGATCAAGAACCAGAGGGCATTGAGTGTCTCGAAGGACCCATCCCGGGGATGTGAGACGCAAACAAACGGCATTCAAGTTTTGTACTACGCTGAGCATGATTAAGAGGGCCGAAGTTGCAGCTCAATCCATCGATAACGATAACGCTACTATTTTCCTTCAAGATGACGAGAATCTGTTGCAGTTTCCGCACTCGGTGTGACTCCGAAATGATCGCGTGCTGGGACGCGGCTGAAGCTTCTTTACCTGTTTGACCGTCCAGCGAAGTGGGTTCAGGAGTCGCAATCCTTTCCGGGGGGGCCAGGAACTCTGGGACCAAAAAGACGAGAATCACAACGCGCCTGATCGACAATAAATAAATATAAACGCGATGTTTAGATAGAGAGTACGGTCAAAACATCAAATCAGCGGGACAAAGCCAATGGAGCTGTGTCGACACGCCTTCAATGGTGCTTTGTGTTGCCTTCGCGTGCGCCATGCTGTTTGTTCGCTTGCCCGGGGGGGCAAATCTGGTAGAAACCCCTGGTATTCTCGTGGGATGCCTAACCAACACTTGTAACGTAAAGCTCCGGGCAAACTGGCCGCAACTGAGCCGTGTTGAAGCGTCCAGGAGCAAGAATTATTGACGCGAACGAACGAGAGTGAAAACTATTGAAAGGAAAATCAAGCCCGTCGTCCTCGGATATCCTGATCACAGACCGCATGTGTACCGTAGTTTGAGAAGAGGTCAATTATGCAGGAGAGAAGGCATTGGCACAGCTGCCAGATGACGGCATGCTCCTTTTTAATCGGCTCTTCCGTGGCCTTCTACGGTAAGATACCCATATGAACCCATATTAATCCTTTTGGGGTTTGTGGAGTCTCTGACGATAGTATCCGCCTCGTCTGCCTACGGTCAACTCTATCCAGCGTAGTATCCGGGACGGTCTGTACTGTATAGAATACTTGTCGAGTGTGCTGTACGTTTCTTACACCTCTGATGTTACAATACTGTAAACCTCTGTATAGGATACATACGGCCATTACCACTTGGTCTGTGACCCTTTACGAGACAACAAGCAACACGGTAAGGCCGGCTGGGAGGCTCTGAGCCAGTCGAAAGCGCGCCTTGGAACGATCAAGAACGTAAACAGAACACAAGCGAACGGCGAAGAGCGCTTGAGACGTTAGTTGAGCCCAGACGAAGGCAAAGACGCGGGTTTTCCCAAAAGAGGCATATTGCCATCTATCGTGCAAGGGAACTCATCGCCTATGTTGCAGTCGGAATTGTGGCGTTCTGATTCGTCAAACCTGCATCGCTTTCGAGTATACAGGCAAACGCCATGCCGCTCTTTTGCTAGCTCTCTTGCAGCAGTAGATTCTGTGGGATGAGATGGTTGTTCATGTTATTATATCAATCTTTATTGCGAGAGCTATTACTTTGTATAAATTCCATTTTTCTCCTAGAGACTTAAAGATCTGGCATCTACCTATTATGTTTTCTCTTTCAGCCACATATATAAACGATCAAGGATCGTAGCTCAGCCAGACTAAGCCACCAGTAGCACAGCAAGAAGACGAATTCTCATTGTCCTGTTGGCGCGAGGGGAAAGAATTAGACATCTCGTACAC